GATGGTCGTCTATGATCCTGAGGATGATGCCCAAGATGTTCTGGACCGTGCTGCAGCCAAGGAGACTTGCCTTACTGGATGGTTCATAGCCAATTCTGATGAAGACCTGGTGGCAGCTGGAGCCCATGACTATCTCTATCAAGACTTTCCCTCCCGCTTTGTCTGGGTTGACAGGAAGGCATGGAAGGAACGCCAACGCGGAAAAGCAATTGGAAGGATGTATGCTGCTGGACCCAACTCTGGAGAGCGCTTCTATCTGAGATTGCTTCTGACTGTCGTTCCAGGTGTGTATCATTTGATCCCTCTCATGTCTGCCATTTGCTGACTATTGTTTTTTGAAGGGGCTACCTCCTATGAAAACCTTCGCACTGTTGACGATCATGTCTGTGCTACTTTCAAGGAAGCATGTCAGCTCAGAGGTCTCCTTGATGATGATGGGGAATGGAAGCAATGCTTGAGAGAGGCCTCTCACATGTGCACTGGACATGGCCTGCGAAGTCTTTTTGTCATCATACTCCTCCACTGCCTCCCTACCAACCCTCATCTGCTTTGGAACGACTTCAAGGATAATCTTTGCGATGATCTGCGTCACCGTCTCATTCATCGACTGCACATCCAGGATCCCACTCCAGAGCAGGTCCATGACTATGGTCTCTATCTCATCGATGGTCTTCTTCACAAGAATGCCAAGTCCCTCGAGGTGAACTTCCCTGACATACCTCGCTCTCATATGAACTGGGGGGACAGGGAGGGAAACCAGCTGATAGTCGAGCAACTGGACTATGACCAGGACGTTCTCCAGGAAGCTGTGGATAGAGGAGTGCCCACCCTCAACCAGGAGCAGAGACAAGTCTTTGATGCAGTGGTTGAAGATGCCATGAATCGTGATGATCAAACACCTGGACATCCTCACTTTGTGCACAGTGCAGGTGGATGTGGCAAGACATATCTCTGCAACCTCATTGCTTCCAAACTGCGTGCTGAGGGCAAGATTGTTCTCTGTGTGGCTTCCTCTGGAATTGCTTCTCTCCTTCTGCCAGGTGGACGAACAGCTCATTCCCGTTTCAAGCTCCCCATCCCCATCCATGAGGACAGCACCTGCAACATCAAGAAGGGCGATCCTGTCCATGAGCTTCTGAAGCGCACCTCTCTGATCATCTGTGATGAGATACCAATGCTCCACCGTCACAACCTGGAAGCCTTGGACCGTACCTTGCGCGATCTTCTTGGTGTTGATGCCGACTTTGGAGGAATTACTGTGCTGTTTGGAGGAGACTTCAGACAGACCCTGCCAGTGGTGCCTCATGGATCCAGGGAGCAGATTGTCAGTGCCACCTTTTGCAGATCTCGCCTCTGGCCAAGACTTCGCATCTTCCACCTCAAGACAAACATGCGTCTTGGTCAAGATCCTGCATCTGATCAATTTGCTGCATGGCTCCTTGAGATTGGGGGTGGTATGGGCACAGATGGAGATGGCACAGTGACTCTCCCAGAAGGAATGCAATGTCCCAACAATGACATCCCATCCCTGATCAACAAACTTTACTCTGATGTCCTCCAACCCAATCATCCTCCCTTGCCTGACTCCTACTTCCTGGACCGCACTATCCTCTCTGCAAAAAACACTGATGTGGACGAGATCAACACCTCAATTCTCGACTCATTTGCTGGAGACAAGAAGTTGTTCACAAGTGCAGACTCAGTGACAGACAGGGAATACGAATACATCCCTCAAGAGTTCCTTCACACTCTCAACCCATCAGGGTTCCCTCTGCACAAACTGGAGGTGAAGAAAGGAGTGCCTTTGATGCTCCTGCGCAACTTGGACCCCACACAGGGACTGTATAATGGGACTCGGATGATCCTGGTGGATTGGAACACAAGGATTCTCAAGTGTCGAATTCTCAAAGAGGGCAACAATCAAGTGGATGGTCAAGATGAAGCCACTGTGCTGATTCCTCGGATGAACATGGAGGCCAGTGATGAAGAGAACCCCATTCCTCTGAAGCGTCGACAATTCCCTGTGCGACTTGCATTTGCCATGACTATCAACAAGGCTCAAGGTCAGAGTGTCAAGTGGGTTGGTCTAAATTTGAGGACACCTGTGTTCAGTCATGGACAGCTGTATGTGGGTTTGTCTCGGTGCACTCACCCATCAAGAGTATTTGTGATTTTCCCTGAAGATGAAGAAGAGAGAAAGACAAGCAATATAGTGTACACAGAGGTGGTTAGAAGACTGATTGAAGATTGATGTACAACAGATTGTATAAATGTGTATTTGTATATGACAAAGATTTATTTATTGAAATTGTGTTGAAATGATAAAGACTGGAGGGGCCAACGGCCCCTCCAGCAGAGCACGAAGTGCTCTGCTTGCTTCCTGTGCCGAAGGCACAACGGGCTTGGACTCGTCTATAAAGTAAGGGAGAACGGTATGGGGGAAACCGTGTGAGAATGCGTATTCCGCGTAGCGCACATGGTGTCGGTGTTCGGTTGCGTCGGTAAGGTCGCTGAAAAGAGGATCCCATGTGGTTCTGTCAAGCGGAGTTTGAATTTGCAAAAACCGTTGTCCCTTACTATACGAGCTCACTGTCCAAACGTGGGAATTTGTAAAAATTGAGCCACAATGGGATTGGCAAGTGCTCACTGGCCCTCCATTTTGCACAACAACAATGAATTTTATATGTACTGCAACTGTGAATACATAATAAATAGTAAAAATTGAAGGACAACAAGGGATTTTGGGATTTTTGTGGGGAAAAGAGAAAAGAGAACACCAAGCAAGTAGAAAAATGTGAAAAATGCAAAATGCAAAATGCAAAATGTGAAAATGCAAAATTGCGAAAATATAAAGATGGGAAAAATTGGCAATGGGTAAACAGGGGAATGGGAAGATGGAGAATGGAAAAATAGGGTGAATAGGGAGGATGGGAGGATGGGAGGAAAATAGGAGGACAACAGAAGGATGGGAGAACAATGGGAGGATGGGAGGACAAGAGGAGGACAAGAGGACACAATAGGAGGATGAGAGGACAAGAGGATGGGAGGACAATGGGAGGACAATGGGAGGATGGAAGACAGGAGGACAGACAATGGGACATGGGACATGGGACACGGGACATGGGACATGGGACACGGGACACGGGACACGGGACACGGGACAATGGGACATGGGACATGGGACATGGGACATGGGACAATGGGACAGTGGGACACGGGACAACAGGACATGGGACAACAGGACAACAGGACAACGGGACACGGGACAACAGGACAAACAACAGGACAACAGGACAACAGGACAGTGGGACAGTGGGACACAGAACCATGGGACATGGGACACAGGACATGGGAGATAGGAAATCAGATAATTGGGAGGAAGTGTATGAGTCAATAGCATGACACAAAGAGTTTGACTGAAGGTTACCTGGGACACTGGCTTGCATCCCGCTGGCCGAGGCACGAGGCCACGGGATTGCAAGCCTGTGTCCCAGGTAACCTTCAGTCAAACTCTTTGTGCAACATCCCATAGCTAAAACAAAACTATATAATATTTTTTAAATGTAAGATGTAAGAATTTATTTATTTCACAAAATTAAATAATATGTAGACACAGTGAGGCAAGGCACCTTTGGTGCCTCCAGCAGAGCATGAAATGCTCTGCTTGCTTCCTGTGCCGAAGGCACAACGGGCTTGGACTCGTCTAAGAAGAAAGGGAGACTGGTTTTGTGGCTGTGTGTGGGAGACGCGTATCTCGCCAACGCCGCTTATTTCGCCAAAGGCCACATGGTTTGCGCTCACCTCGCTAAAACCTCGATTTAGAAATTTCGTGTGGTTCTGTCAATCGGAGTTTCAATTTCAAAAAACCGTTCTCCCTTACTGTCCAAAATTGGTTAAGCCACAACAAGGGGAGGAACACCAAGCAAATAGAAAAATGTGAAAACAACAATGATGTATATATGTACTGTAATTCTGTATACATAAAAATGCGAAAATATAAAGATAGGAAAAATGGGCAATGGGTAAACATGGGAATGGGAAGGTGGAGAATGGAGAAATGGGAGGAGGAGGACAGGAGGATGGGAGAATGGGAGAACAGGAGAACGGGAGAACAGGAGATAGGAAAGCAGAAAATAGGACAGAGACACGGGAGAATTTTTTGGGAAGGGCAAGAGTCAACAGCAAGACACAAACAGTGAGACTGAAGTTTACCTGGGACACTGGCTTGCATCCTGCTGGCCGAGGCACAAGGCCACGGGATTGCAAGCCAGTGTCCCAGGTAACCTTCAGTCAAACTGTTTGTGCAACATCCCATAACTAAAACAAAACTATATAATGTAAGATGTAAGAATTTATTTATTTCTCACAAGTAAATAATATGCAGACACAGTGAGTCAAAGCACTGAAGGTGCCTCCAGCAGAGCACAAAGTGCTCTGCTTGCTTCCTGTGCCGAAGGCACAACGGGCTTGGACTCGTCTATAAAGTAAGGGAGAACGGTATGGGGGAAGGGGTGGGACGATTTGGGCATTTTCGCGTAGCCCACATGGTGTCGGTTGTTTCGGTTGTTTTCGGTTGCGTCGGTAAGGTCGCTGAAAAAAGGATCCCATGTGGTTCTGTCAAGCGGAGTTTGAATTTGAAAAAACCGTTGTCCCTTACTATACGAGCTCACTGTCCAAACGTGGGAATTTGTAAAAATTGAGCCACAATGGGATTGGCAAGTGCTCACTGGCCCTCCATTTTGCACAACAACAATGAATTTTATATGTACTGCAACTGTGAATACATAATAAATAGTAAAAATTGAAGGACAACAAGGGATTTTGGGATTTTTGTGGGGAAAAGAGAAAAGAGAACACCAAGCAAGTAGAAAAATGTGAAAAATGCAAAATGCAAAAATGTGAAAATGCAAAATTGCGAAAATATAAAGATGGGAAAATTTGGCAATGGGTAAACAGGGGAATGGGAAGATGGAGAATGGAGAAATGGGGTGAATAGGGAGATGGGAGGATGGGAGGACAAGAGGAGGACAAGAGGACACAATGGGAGGATGAGAAGACAATGGGAGGATGGGAGATGGGAGGACAAGACAATGGGACATGGGACAATGGGACAACAAGACATGGGACAATGGGAGGACAGGACAATGGGACATGGGACAATGGGACAACAAGACATGGGACAATGGGACACAGGACAATGGGACATGGGACAACGGGACAACAAGACATGGGACAATGGGACACAGGACATGGGACATGGGACAACAGGACAACAGGACAACAGGACAATGGGACAACAGGACAATGGGACAACAGGACAACAGGACACAGGACACGGGACAACAGGACACGGGACATGGGACATGGACACGGGACATGGGACACGGGACATGGGACACAGGACACAGGACACAGGACACAGGACACAGGACACAGGACAACAGGACATGGGACAAGATAATTGGGAGGAAGTGTATGAATCAATAGCATGACACAAACAGTTTGACTGAAGGTTACCTGGGACACTGGCTTGCATCCCACTGGCCGAGGCACGAGGCCACGGGATTGCAAGCCAGTGTCCCAGGTAAACTTCAGTCTCACTGTTTGTGTCTTGCTGTTGACTCTTGCCCTTCCCAAAAAATTCTCCCGTGTCCTCTGTCCTCAGAACTAAAATAAAAGTATATAGTATTTTGTAAATGTAATATGTAGACATGTGCCGAAGGCACAACGGGTGTGGGCTAGTGTCGATGTGGTCGGGAGCCGGAGTGTCCAGGCTGGTCGCGTGCCAAGCCCACGCCACACAAAACAGGACTAACGTGAGCAGGGAGACCATAGCGATACACTAGCTACTAGGATGCAGGGTTTCCGAACTCGATCGAGAACCAGACAAGCTGGTACAGGAACGCACCCATTCTCGCAGTCAAGCGCCCCAACTCACTTGGGCCGAATAGCTAGCGAATATTAAGAAGTGCCCCACCTGATCATCGATTCAAGCCGCTCGTGCACGCAAACATCTCGACCGAAGGGCGTGGGCAATGACGTCTCCATTATGGATACAGCAACAGTAAGCGACTATAGATAAGTGTACATTTTAGATGGAGTGGCGGAAGATGGCGTCTACGAGTCCGTGCGTGTAAATGTAACATACTTGGTCATCATCACTTCGTAGCAAGAACGTGGAATTTAGTCAGCGAAACCACGACAGGGATGGCAAAGAATGCATATGCTACCCAAATCACTGCCAGATTTTGTTAAGACTGAACTTGAAATCCGAATAAACACTCAGGTCAAGGGTCACTCACTCGTGAACGCGTTGCCAGTATTGGCGATCAACTGGGGACCATTGCTTCCCTGACCCTGAATACTTTGATTGAAGTCATCAGCGGCCTTCCCAAACCACATGAAAATAATGAGGGTAGATGCCAGACCTAGACACCCGGATTAGCGCCGGCTATGTGTACTTCGAAGGAGATGCGTACCAATCAAGAAGGCAAATACTCCAATCCATGCGGAAACACGTTGCACCATGGGTTTTTCCCATACAGCACCAGCTTTGCCCATCAGGTGACGGAACGATATTGCCGTGAACATGAAGAAAAAAATCGCGGAGAAGACCAGGGCAATTGCGATAAAGGCTGGTGCACCTTCCGGTGGGGCCGATATGACGGAGCTGGGGGTATTAGATGTAAATACAGAAGTATCTTCATTCCATGAGCGTGACTGATACTAGAAATGAGATAGTCGTGACTTACTGTAGACAGGAGATATAGACGATGGCGTGCACGTCAGACCAGCTTCATTGCTTGGCCGAGAGCACGACCCCAAAGGTCCAAGGAAGATGCTGGGACCATCCACTACTTGGCTGGACCCGGGATGTGTCAATGCAGAGGAAGGCATGACTGTGAGCAATGCGACTTGGCTATGCAACATAACAGTCGGGGCAAGGTACGCAAACAGTGAGAGTAGGAGTGCTGTTAACATCAGTACAGGTGTCAAGTACAGGATGGTGCCTTTTGAAAGATCGGCTAGCATGATTGAACCAGTTGCGTTAGAATATCGAGTTCAACAAAGATGCAAAATGAATGTAGGAGGACGAGAGCCTGCTCGTCAGTGTGTCGCGGTTGAATGTGCTGGATAGAAACTAGCTGGACCTATCAAAGGGGGAACTGGTGCGTACTTTTCCATTGTTGGGAAGTCGACCTTATGTATTGTAGCAGGTACGCGTCGGTTCCGTAAGACAACTGAGCAAAAACAAAGAGGTCGCGCTAAGCGACGATGCGCTTGCAACGCTTTTGTACTTTTTTTAGACATTCGTCTTGTGTTGAAACCTGACGGAAACACTGGCGCGAAAAGCTATGGGCACATCGTTACAAGGTCGAGACCGTCCTTATTGTGATGACGGTCTTGCAAGGAACTCCAAAATAATGCTTCAGAATTCGATGATGGGCGCTTTCTATTGTTCAAGTAAATTGGCATGATCCTATTATATAGGATGTCACGTGGCCGTGCCGCAGTTCCGAATTCCAGTGTTTGGTCGGTAAGTAGAGACCAAGTACTACCTGCTTTTCTTCCATCGCCCTTTCATCTACATACCTCAGGAAATGTCGTTCTTCAAGCGCAAGGAGAAAAATTTGGTTCCTCCTGTTCCATCTTTAGAGCCCAGATCAGACGGTCCGCGTGGTACATCTCGAAGCACGTCTTCCCTCCCCAGTTACAAGTCCAGCGCTAGTACCTACGTTGCCAGCCGCGATGGGCCTGATCCTTATAATACCATGAGCACCAGAACTCTGTCGCAGAACTCGTACGACAACTGTGACAGTACCACGGCGGGTAAAATCGCTAATGCTGAGGCAGACCGGAACCGCAACGAGCTCTTCGCTGGTTATAATCCTCAGGGAAAGACAGGTTCTGGTCGATACTTCGATGGCCCTGCGCTAGGCAGAGAACCTGCTCCTGGGGAGGAGAATGAAGAAGATGTAGAAGGCATTAAACAGCAAACCAGATTCATGAAGCAAGAGAGCGTCAACTCTACCAGGAATGCACTGAGGCTTGCTCGGGAAGCCGAAGAGACTGCGGGGAACACCATCACAAGACTCGGGGATCAATCTGGTGAGATCTGGCTGAGGTTGCAGTTTTTTATTCACATTGATCGCCTCGCGATAGAGAAACTCGCCAACACTGAGCGTCATCTTGATGTATCAAAGGGTCACACCTTACGCGCCGAGGATCAGATCGGTGAATTGAAGCAGCTTAACCGGTCGATCTTCCGCCCTGTCATTACTTGGAACAAGGATGCAAAACGCGCTGCTCAGGAAGACAAGATTCAGCAGCGGTACGAAGACGAAAGGCTAGATCGCGAAAAGGCTATGCAGGACATCAGAGATACTCAGAACCGCTTGGGACGTGCCACTACTTATGGCCGTCAGGATGAAGAAGGTCTGACCTCCGGAGAGTCAGGCAGATTGCGCACTGCGGATCAGCTGGCCACGAGAAAGGAGCAGCGGAAGAGATACCAGTTTGAGGCGGGTGCTTCTGATGACGAGTTGGAAGACGAGTTGGACGACAACTTGAACGAGATCTCGGCAATCACCAAAAACTTGAAAGCACTGGGTACCGCTATGGGACAGGAGCTCGATCAACAAAACTCGAGACTTGTCACCATCGAACAAAAGACGACGACATTGGACAACGGCGTGTTCAGGAACACTGAAAGGGTGTGTTGCCATTTTTGCACGTCATAAACATCATTTATCTAACTTTCGAACGATAGCTCAAGCGCATCAAGTAGAAGTGGTGCTGTATGTTGGAATAAGACGTCTTTCGCTGTTACTCTGTATTTAATCCACGGACATTTTTGTAACTGCTGTAGCGGAGCTTATACCTTTGTACATGTTCAATTGAAACTTTACATAAAATCTGACCCGAGATTTTGATGCTCCGCTACCTAGGTTCCGGTGCCTGCAGGCTTGCCCCTTTGCATTCATCACACCTCATGCTGCGCAACACTCTGCACTGGCTTTCTTAGGACACCTTACAGAAAACGGGAGTTTGGAACTCCCAGAGCCAACGCTATGGAAGAATGTGTTACCTTAAATACTGCAAATGACCTTGAAACATGGTGAGGCGTCCTTCGATTTCTACCGTCACAAGACCTACACCACTTCGTGTCAAGGGAGAGACTGGTTAAAGAGCAGTCAAGTACGCGGCGTTCTTATCCATCGCAGAGAAGACTAACCCATCACAAGGCCTCTTTCGTCTCACACTCACTGATAATGAGACGCTACGCCTGCGGGTTGACGAACTGGAACGAGAACTGTCGGTCTGGAAGCTGGCTTTCAAGGCTGCCGAAGATGAAAGATGCAATCTACAAAAAAATATGCTCAAGCTGGAGAAAAACATTGGCTCATTAACGGTTGGTCGTCCGATATGTATTTTCAATGCTCAATTTGAAATGATCCCATCTCCAGGATGATAACCCACTTCTCCTCTGCGTCGTCGACGGGCGATGGCAACATTTTTACTCAGGACTTACTGGCGTCCGGCCATACGGGAGGTCGGCAGGCGGCTATGCTACTAACCAAAGGGTTGACAGATTATATGGTCGATATTGACGCTGGATCTTCCGGGCGTGGCCAAGTTTGGCTTACTGTGTACTGCAACAAAACGGGCTTGATGGACACGCTGGTGAATAACGGTATATGCAGTTCAGCAGAATTTGAATCATTTGTGCTGGGATTCAACTCAGCTTCACCGTTATTCTCTATTGTGGATGTGGGTGGGGGAAAGGAAGCAGCTGATGCGAAGATTAAAGGTGATGCTATAACATTTAGTTCTTTTTTCTTCCTCTAACTTTTCGGTAGAATGTCTTCGTGTTTTCACCCGCTTTCCCCAGACTTCACGTGTATTCTTTGGAGGTGACCTTTCCGTTTTCAAACCAAGTTCTTGTCCAGCTGATGCGACCGCAAGGCGGACATGACAATGGATACACTACTACATTAAATACCCTCGAAAATGAGGGCTTACTGCAAAAAATTGTCCTGCTCCGTGGATACAAGACTCTCGCCAAGGAGTTTCAACACTTTGATTTGCCCCACCTCGATATTGAAGGAGTTTTCATGACAAAGAAACTTCCTTCATCTTACTCACACAGGAGGTCGGCGGCCTCCAACGGGATTCGCTCCTCAAGAACATGAAAAACAGAGGGTTAACTCCAAGAATTTCCTTGTAGGAACACAGAGTCCTGTCATCTCTTCGGGTACACAATTCTGCAGATATCTTGACCCTTCTTTGGTACGGCCTTATTTCTTATTCCATCAAGTGTTAATCATCAATGTTAACTTTGCCACGACCAGCCACTCAACAAACGTACGTCTCCGGATGCTGTTCATCGAGCATTACGCCGATCTTTTGACAGAAACCCCACGACCCTTGCACATTTTTCTACCTGTCCGTGTGCAAGCAGGGCGATAAATGTGCCTACGGCCATGATTATTTTCTTACAGCAGACAATTACGCCGACCTTCGTGCCAATGCGATGAAATCTCCTTGTTCCATTCTTAACAAGAGTGCGTCACGCGAGATTGTTCTTCATGGATGGCAATCTCAATTCTCTGTTTATCTAGACCAACCTTGTCCTGCCGGCGAAAGTTGCCCTTCTGGACACTATTGCCCCAGAGGGTCTAAATGCGGCTACAGGAAACAAGGCAAATGCAAATTCATCGGGAGTGAGCTCTCCATGTCATTGGCCAATTAAGCTGTTGACCTGATGTGTGACGCGTAGGAGAGATGCATGCGGCATTGAATGACCGCATAAGTGGACGACCGCCATCTCGAGCCCTAAGCAACAGCAACGTCAGCGGACAGACAGATGGAACTCCAACTCCTCCAATGAGCCCGGTTGGCTTCAATAATATCGTCGGCCTATCTCCCTTTGTACCACAAGGCACTAGGTGATTCGTATATAACGCTGAATCGTAGTATGTCTATACATTTAATGCATAAATATGGTGCTACCGAATATCGTAGCATGAAACGCGGTCACGTGGGTGACACGATTTTACACCTGAGTTCATTTGCTTCGGCCTACTTTCGCCTCCATTCAGCCAGCCACTATGTCCTACGCAGAAGAGCGAGAGCAGAACATTGCACGCAACAAAGCACTCCTTGCCGGCCTGGGTATCGGTCCCCTCAAACCTAAATACGAGCCGAAGGAGAACATCAAGAAGAAGAAAGTGGCAGCTAAGAAACGGAAGTCCCCCTCCCCCTCGAGTGACGGGTCCGAGGAACCACCCAAAAAAGCTCCTCGTCTACCAGATGATAGTAATGTACCAGGGGGCACGCGAAGAAGTTCTCGTCTTGCTGGCAGAACATTCGACTACAAGCAGGAACAAGATCGCGGGGTCCCGGAACCAATCACAATCAAACGGTCCCAAAAGCTCAAAGTTGGCCAGGTGAAATCAAAGAGGACTTACGATACGTCAGTAGTTTTGTGCTTTCTCTTCAAGTTGACCGTGTAATTTTGTTTAGTCATATGTACGGTCACATACCCGATGTAGAGGTGGGGACATGGTGGGCAACAAGGTGAGGATGTCTCGGTGATTCTTGCCACCAAATATTGGCTTACTTCGTGTGCTAGGGAAGATTGTTCAAATGCATCTGTCCATGGGTAAGCCACTCCCCCCTTCGAATAGGCATTGTCGAGCTGATTCAATGTATAGCCCTTGGGTTGCGGGTATTGCGCCAGGTCCAGATGGTGCATACTCGATCGCACTTTCAGGCGGATATGATGATGATGTAGATGAAGGATACGCATTGTGAGTCATGATGCAAACATAGAAAACACAGTGGTTTATAGTAATCCAGCACGTTCACCGGTTCTGGTATGTGTTTGTAGTGGAGCAACGGAGGTGTCCTCATTTTTTTTAGGCGGCAGGGATTTACGGGGAACAAAGACAGCGCCTAAAAATGTAAGTAAACATCGCTTAATTTCGGTTTTCAGGTTCATCTTCAAACAGCTTCGAACGGCTCCTCAAAGCGGCGATCAGACCTTCGAAGATAGAAACAACGCAGCCATCAAGGTAAATGGACAGGCAGTGCACTCAGGGTTTCTTGACGCATTCTTTGCAGAGATCTGTTGACACTCAGAAGCCTGTCCGTGTAATCCGTGGCTTCAAAGGGAGGGATAAGTCAAAGTATGCTCCGTCAGAGGGGTCAGTTTAATTTCTATTTTGCCAATTCTCCATTAACTCGAAGTTTATCCATAGGTATCGCTATGATGGCCTATACCTGGTGAAAAAGGTGCGTCGCTTGTCAATACCCAATGCTTTCTTATCCCCGACGCACTTCTTTTTGCAGGCGTGGATTGAAAAAGGGCTCAATAAAGGGGGCTTTCTTGTATGCAAATTTGCGTTCGTAGTAAGTCTTCTGCAGTTCTGACCGTCAGTCCGCACTTAATAGCAGTTCACACCAGCGAATGCCAGGACAAGCGGACATTCCTGTGAACGATGATGATGGTGATGGTGATGGTGATGATGATGATGATGATGATGATGATGATGATGAATGATCTATACATGAATATACCCCCACCAGATAGAACGCGACCATCTAATGACCTCTTGAGATTTCAACAAGTATCATACTCACCTCTGATGTAGATAAATTATATAGTACTTCCTGCATTGTCTCGTCAACTTGATAATGTTACTGCATTACAAGCGCCTTCTGAAACCGCCATGGGAGCAATTCAATAACAAGGCATGGTATTGGTGATTGGCAATCTTCGTTCCTGAAACGGTGTGTGGAAACTTGACTTGGCGTCCGTAAACTTCAAGGTTCCAAGACCAATTCTTTTCACCTTCATGCTTCGTATTTTCACTTTGTTGCGGCAATAAACCAAACCTTCCTTCATAGAATGCACTCCTTTTATCACCTGTCTGTCGCTTTGTGTGCTTTCTCGTCCTTCTCTCAAGTAATCAGCTCTGGGGTTCAGCCGGCCGCACATGACCAATCGCGCAGGTTGGCGCACATACGCGCCTTGAGCAGGAACCACCAGCCCCTCGCTCTCGCTGTCGATGAGTCTGGGGATACGAAAATCTTGAAGAGAGACCAATTTACTTATTTTCAAGATGGCCAGTGAGTAGGTCCTGCAGTCCATCGAAGACTCTTGCTCATTGCATAACCAGGGGCGCTTGTGGAACATTTAATAGTCCTAGCGACTTTGTATGTCCTCTATCTTCCTAGGTTATTTGTGATCGCCTGACATCCACCTAGATTGTTGCGCTCAACTCATGTGTAAGTTCTACCGTCTGAGCTGTGACCGCATAACCTGAAACCGACGTTCAACAAGGAATTTAATGGAGGCAGTCACTGCTTCCAAACGGTAACTATCACTGTGAGTGGCAAGTCGACACAGGCCCAGATTACAGATGAGGTATCTTCCGCGAATTACTGCTCTGTAGACAGTTAACTCAGAATTCTTCACAGTGCCCTGGATGTCCCTGTGGGGGACTTGACCTCAGTCAAGGTCTCTTTGAATTCTTCGCGCCAACTGGCGTGGGCGAATTGTCTGGATCGTGGATTTATGGTACTTCTTCCACGTCCACATCTCTACCGTCCACGACGACTACACAGTCTTCCACAAGCACCTGGACACCATCATCGACTGCCACCACCTCAAGTACTCCCACCCCCACTCCCACCCCCACAAGCACAAGCACCCTCGCAACCACAACCATGTCATCCACCACATCAGCTCCCATCCTAACTACCACTTCGTCCACTGCATCTCCAGTTCCGACTTTTAGCCCCGACAATCCTCAATTGCTCACACAAGTCAACCTTGCGCTGATTGAACTCGGTTTAGTTCTCCAAGCCTGTGCGGCATTGTCTTCATAGACATCTACACCCTTTCTTTAAGCGATCCGCTTTAAATACAAATCACGCTGTTCTTGCATACAATTTTTATGGTGATTATGGGGTGGGATCTAGAAGTAGCGCAATGATGTACCCATCAATAATGCTCGTACTGGTGTAAACGTGTAGCCCAAGAATGCTATACCACTAATCATGACTGAGTTACAGCCGTTCGGACGATACGTAAGAATGCGTCACTGCTCTCTTCATCTGCTTGTCTCCACTTCGTCGTCTTCCACAGGTAGTATATGCCTTTGATACTTTCAGTCAATGCTTTATCCTCCTCGACAGCAACTTCGTTTTCTTCGTCATCACCTTGTCCGTTACCTGAATGTTGCCCGTTAGAATATGGCATACCATCTAACTTGACTTTTACGGGTGGAACAACGTGGGTATATTGACCCAGGTTGCCTGACACGGGAGTCACGAGGTCAGAATTATCCAGTGTTGAGAGAGGTGACGGGGTATCACGGTCGAAAGCTGATGGTGGTTCGTTTGACGTGGGTGTGTGGAGGTCTTTACGTGGGGAAATCATGTCAAGGAGATGTGCCAACTTGGTAGGCGATGGGGGCCCACATTTACTGTCGCTTAGCGGCAAAGAATGTATAGCATCATCTGGTATCGGTATAGTCTCTTCTTGCGTATAATAAGTCGGAGGCGCGGGTTGTAGTTTGCGATTGTTCGGCAGAGGCGAAGGCACCGTGGAGTCAGCGGATCCTGGGATAGTGAAGAGGTCAGGCAAGGTAAAAAATATCTCGAAAAGGAAGAAGCACCTTGTACTGATGAATACTGTGCCCAATAAGCATCTTCTGCTCCGTCGGCTGAGCCATCTTTTGCACCGCGCGGTGCTAAAGCGGAAAATGAATCATGAAGTGGGGCTCCGTATGCGTTCCAATAACGGTCTTCATCGTCTAGATCTGTGGTACCGGCAAAGAACGTGGCTGGCCGCCGTTGCAGCCGCACCCCATCCGCTGAAGATGATTGGGTATTTGCTTGTTGTAACGTAGGGCGTGATGTAGACGGGAAAGGCATCAGTTGACTGTCATGATACTTCCATCCGTCTTGATCATCCCATTCGAAGAGCACGCGGACGCCCTCGTCATGAGCGACGACCTGCACATGAGCATAAGTGTGCTCTAAATCTGATGTGTATCGAACGAAATAGTGGTCCGGCTGATCACCGGGAGCTGTGAGGGGATAGGTGTCGAGGAGCTGGATGACACGGGCACTTTGAGGTGCGGGCCAACATAGATAATCGACGGGATTATCAGGGGAAATCTGAAGAAAATGGTGTCGTTGAAGTAATTGTCTGGACAACAAGTGAGGTGGCAGGGGTTCAGTCAATAGGGATGGTGGTGATATGTACTGCAGAACGAGGTGTACGGTGTGCGATTGTATTGGAAACATGACGATCTCTGTTATTGTTGCGCACCTCAGATGGGGGGATATCAGTAAGATGGAAAGCCCAGTATCGGTTTCATTTGTTAAGTATTTAGTAGAAAACAAGAACTGAAATCGACCCCCCTCCTTGACGCAACCCCCCCAGGCATAAGCTTGACCCGACGGCGCAAGTTACTCAGCCAACACCTTCGCCGTTACTACTAGAGTGTCCCAGGCGTACAGGTATTACCTGTCAGTAACAGTCTCTTTCTCTCATCGTCCATCATCGTCGCCCTTCAGTCTTTCAGCGATGTATCTACTCTCATTTCTTCTGGCTTTGCCCTTGCTCTCACTCGCGCAGGTTCGTACTCCCATTTCATTTTATCTGCCAAGCTGACATCCCTTTTCCAGTCATCACAGAGTGCCCAGCTCTCCACGTCTACGATCGTGCAAGAGACTCTTGGTTCCAATCGACAAACTAGCACAATAACACAGATCACCGTGTTCACCATCACTCCCTCTCCCACGGCGTCCGCCAACAATTCTGCCTCTGGTAACTCTTCTGCAACTTCCAGCGGTGCCAACAATGGGACGACCACATCAGTTGCCTACAGCAATTTACCCACTGCAGCATCTACTGTTGCTGGTGGCGATGGCGGTGCCAACGGTGCCCCCAGCCCTGGAGCGACAGCATCGGGTGGGATATACGGCCCTCCAGATGGCTACATTGCAGGCGCAGAAGCCTTGCGTAGTGCAAACATTCTTGGGGCAGTCGTATTTATTGTTGGAGGGGCATTGGTTCTGGTTTAGGAAAAACGGTTTCGAAACTAGACACTGTTCGTATGTTTATAGACCGCATGACGCTGGCACACTGCCAACCATACTTACCTACGATATTCTGTTCAGCTCTCTTCAAGCTCTCTTTATTGGACATGGACAGACCGAAGCCTTTCAGGATTCGCTAATGGAATTGTAGTTCTGCATACTTCGCACATATCTTGCATCTTTGACCCATGCCTTCCGCTCATGGACCCTTTATGACACTATATATCCAGATCGTCTTGGACCAAGCACAGTACTAGTATACTGTAATGAGACCTGGTCTTCTGACCAATCCTATAGGACCATCAATGATGTTGCGTTTTACCGGATTTGAGTCACGTATCATATGTACCGTTCGTGCTCACATGATGACATTCCGAGCTAGATCAGCGACACCGGTCTAGTAACAAGTCGAACGACTCATAAGTTCAGAAGCTAGCCGAGACCGCGCTGCTGCTCCTTTGATAGTGCACATAACGGTAACAACTATTGAAAGGACGAGTGGCAAGTTCAACAGCGGGCCATGGGTGGACAAATAGGTCTTGTGCAATCGATAGTGCGCGGGTGATCTCACGAGGGACATCTTCTAATAGTACTATGTTCTTCAAATCAGCTGCTTTTCGACACGCCGAGAGAAAAATTCCACATGCCAGCTTGATGCCAGCCGTGACGCCAAAGTCAAAGACATTTTTGAGGATATTTGTTGCCAGGTGGTGTCAAGATTTGAGGTGATGACTTTTCCAGTCCATGACGCCTTCGCAAACTGCTGTACATACGGTAGTAGAAAGAAAAGCGGAGATCATTGTGTCGCAAACCGTTGGTTTGAAGCAAGTTCGAATCATCGAATCATGGAAGGTTGGGTCGGAGTGTCAAATTCATCAGTCGCGCCTGTTGCCCCTCTCAAAAGATCCATATGACCTTGGTAAACAAGGTAATTCGTAGCGTACGTTCGCCGACTATTACTTCTTCGGCCTATCTGTTTCACCTTGATCGGAAGCTGAGTAGTTGGACAGTGATGTCAAACACAGGGCCCGCCACCAAGAAGCAGAGAATGGATGTCAAGGTTCGTCCGATTACTCACAAGATGGATCTTTATCTCCAGCACCTGGATAGACCATAGGCACTCATAATGGCACCTTCCATTGCGATGAAGCACTGGCGGTCTTTCTTCTACGTCAGACAACCACCTATAAAGATGCAAGTGAGTATGTTGAGCCTTTCGTCGATGTTCACCTTCACAAGTGATTATCAAGGCCTAAAACGCAGTAGGGACCCAGCTGTCCTCGATGATTGCGACATAGTAGTTGACGTGGGAGCTATATATGATGAAAGCAAACAGCGTTTTGATCATCATCAGCGTGGTTTTACGGAGGTGTTCGGTCATGGCTTCAGCACCAAACTTTCATCTGCAGGTCTTATCTACAAGTACGCAAATTTCAGATCCTTCTGGAGGTCACTGACATTTTCATGAAGGCATTTTGGAAAGGAGATTGTCGCAAGTGTGGCAGGGTTAGATCCGAGTGACAGGAAAGTTGACACACTGTGGTTGAAGATGTACAGGGTACGCAGTTCCTCAAGGCGACCTGAATTTTCTAATCAATTGCAGGAATTTATTGAGGCCCTGGATGCAATTGACAACGGGATCTCGCAATACTCCTCCCAAGAACAACCGAAATATCGCAATCGGACTGATCTATCAAGTAGAGTTGGATGGCTTAATCCTCGCTGGAACGAGTCCTGCAGAGTCTCAGACAGTGGACGTACGTGTCCGCATCTTCTCTTATATCACATCCTGCTGATCTGTCTAGACCCTGTTTTTGAAAGCTTCCCAGCTGACCGGGGAAGAGTTCCTTGGCAGGCTTGACTATTATACCAATGCATGGTTGCCTGCGCGTGACTTGGTATTGGCTGGGCTCTCATCACGCCAGAATGTCGATGCTAGTGGAAAGATCATACTCTTTGAGCAATTTGCTCCATGGAAGGTTATATTGTTGTCGATCACAACCTCCCACTAGATTCTGATACATCTGGCAGGAACATTTGTTTGAACTCGAGGTTGAACGGGGTGTTTCCGGAGATGAACTTCCTTTCTATGTGATATACCCTGACGAGACTGGGGGAAACTGGCGTATTCAGGCAGTCCCTGTCTCCCCTGAGAGCTTTGACAGTCGAAAGGCGCTTCCCGATCAGTGGAGAGGGGTGCGTGATGACGAGCTTTCAAAAATAAGCGGTGTAGACGGATGCATATTCGTGCATGCATCAGGGTTTATTGGAGGTAAGTGAAGTATCAATGACGCAGTTGCGTCGTAGCCGATCTCTGACATTTGTTCAGGGAATAAGACGAAAGAAGGTGCTTTGAACCTAGCAAAATTAGCACTTACGATGTAATCGGGGTCTCGCTTTCGGGGCATCTTCATCTCGGTAGCCCAGTGTTCATGTGCCACGCAAGTTACCGTTATACAGCGGGCAACTGATAGACCGAATGTCCTTGTTCTTGGGTGAAAACAGTGACAACCATTCAGACCCGACCTACGTAATCGGAGTTGCCGTAGGTGATCATTGCCTTTCTGTCCATGTTAGAGTTACTTGCTGCAGACACGTTTTGATCTACAGCCTACGCGAACCAAGGTGTGCGGTATTTGAACTCATTCGGCCGCGGTACTCGACCTCGTGTTTTTCGCATGTCTCGCAACTGCATGGAGGCCACGAATGGAACGCATGCAAACGTCCAGGATGGCTGCTATTAGTGTGGTCTGCCCTTCTCACTTCCAACCTGTATCTTGCTATTCGGAAGCTCTGACCCTCTTTCATTTCTTTTGACACCTTTGAACGATGCCTTACATCAAAGCGCATTATCACCCTTTCCTTTTCGTTCTCATCACTATGTGTGCTATGGCTGAGCTGGGTCTCACTGCCTACCTTATCAGTGTTGGAAATGAGAGTCGTAATTGGCCTAGCACTCGTTATCATTCCCTGTCAGTCTGCCGTCTGCTTCAAAGGAAGTCCTGCTAACATTGGATGCATCCAGTTTAATACTCTTCGAGTTCAATGCCGTCTGGACCACGCTATTCGGGGCAGCTTATATGCTGTGGATTGTCGATGGTGCTGTGCATATTCTTGCCAGCATAGCAAGTTCCATCGTCTGGCTTGCTATCACTTCAGCACTTTGGGTAAGATATCTCACAGTATAAATAACCAACAGTTTAACCCGGGTGGACAGGGCGCTGCAGCTGGCACGATGCACAACACGCGGACTGGGGGCGATTGTAATTGGATACCCAATAGCTCCGGGTTCGTCGACGGGGTCTCATGCGATCAACTGGAGCTGAGTGTATCCAGGTGTCGAGAAACGCTAACTGTCGAAGCACTCGGTTGGGTACTATTCGGGCTTTGCGTCCTCACGCTCCTTGCAACATGCCTGTGGGTACGGACGAGCAAGCGGGGTTATGTGAGTGATTCTCGCAGGTTGGTATAAGCCGGAGACGTGAAAGGTTGATGATTGGTGCCGCACCTTACCAGAACTCGAGCTTTTATGTTTAGGAAGTTACTTGTAAAGCAGGAGGCGGATTATACTCTGTGGAGGTACCTTGAAATAGTGTGCAGCGTGGTTTAATTGCATCTGCGCTTGTATACGGCTATGCGTCTGGTACGCTCGGAAGTTAGGACGTTCCAGCTTGAGTATTTACGTTTATGTCGATCAAAAGACTTGTAAAATACACCAGTAGGTGCGTAGACAATGCATTGGTCAGACTGTGGAGCTTATCACCACAAACAACGAGCGGCAATCCCGGTTATTTCCGGGGGCTACACTACAACTGCGTAGAGTTATGATTACGTTATGCAAAGTTATCAGATAAGACCAATCACTCGGTAATTTAACACACAATGTCTGGCCACCGTCCTCGGCGATCCGGAGGCAGAAACCCTCGCATCTCCATTCCAAGGCGCAGCTACACAGAGCCACATATTAATTCTGCCTCACCAAGACCGCCTGATGAGGAACTTGTAGAAAGGGAAGAAGCTATCCCTCCGACGAGGGCATTCATTGTTCGGGCGTTGGCTCTTCTGTGTGCATGTTCCCTCAGCGTCGGTAGTCACTAGTGCGTTTGTCTTTATTTTTTCTCCCTGCCCTCCCCTGATATCTACTGTGTGCCTCAGTGCGTCATACACACTCGGGCCACTAAAGTCCCGACTTGCGCGAGAGATCGGAACATCCAACACGGAATTTAGTCTGCTGATTTCTGCATTCAGCTTAAACAGCACATGGACGCCTCTAATTGGGGGCCTGATGGCGAGTAAACTTGGCACAACGTTCACCAGTATTATTGCTACTGGCGTCATATTTTTTGGTAAGTAGCATTTGTTTCTCCTGCGCACTTTTTCACCCCTTTCTAGGCCAGGTTTTACTACTTCTTGGTGACGTGAAAGAAGATGTTCGACTGATGGTATTTGGGCTGTTCGTGTTCGGATTTGGAGTCAGCCCTCTTGCCGTTGTGCAGGAGTCGATTATTGTGCGATTCTTCAAAGCGCACGGGCTCGGCATCTCAATGGCACTGGGTCTTGTAGCTGGAAAATTTGCGTCATTTATTTCAGCGCGGACTTCCCTCCCTCTTGCGGAGCGGTTTGGGCGCCATGCGCCATTCTACGCATCCACATGCCTTGCTGCTCTTTCCTTTTTCATCAACTTGGTCTACATGTTATCCTCAAAATGGCTTATACGGGGATCTGGAACTGTTTTAGAGGCTTCCGAGATCCGACGTGAGGCGAGGCGCCGCTCCTTGTATGATCTTTCTGAGGTTCAGGCGCTGGAGAAAGTTGCAAAAAAGCGCCGCATCAGGTTCAAAGATATTCCCAAGCTTGGGGATATCTTCTGGGCGTGCGTGACACGATTGTAACCCATGACCCGTGCTAACCCTTCCCAGCTACATTGGGCTGAACATCCTTTGTGGCACTGTGTGGGCTCCTTTCACCCACTTGGCAGCGTGAGTATGGTTATCAGGACGTCTATCGTGACTAATGACATTCTTTGTACGACTCATAGCAACATTTTTGAAAGGAGATATGGATTGACGGAGGACGCTGCCAGCACACAAGCCTCCTACCTTCTAATTGGGAGCATACTTTTGTATCCCATTGTAAGCTCATCCTATGCTGCTCCACGATTGAATTTCATCGACACCAAACTAGACCGGATTTATGGTAGACCGGATTCAGCATCCACAAACAGTACTTCGCATGTTCACGCTGTCATCGGTATTGACGCTGCTTGGATATGCATGGCTTGTTCTTCCACCAGCGTGGACCAGAACACCTTCACCTGCAGTTGCTGCCTTTGCGACCGGCATTGGCTTCTCCCCATGTGAGTTAATATCGCACTACTCAACCATCATTCATGATATATGTGATTTAGTACTCCTTGTGGTCCTGGTTCCTCAGCTGGTCCCGTTCAAGTTTGTATCAACCACTCTGGGCGTCCACAAAAGCGTAAATCATTGATTTTATCTAGTTTCGTTCTTATCTGATCTCTGAGCTTGATGTTTCAGATGGAACAAACGGGCGCGACAATTTTTCAAACTATAGCCGGCCTTGTTTTGGATGGTGCATCACCCCGTCAACGAGCACAAGGTGACCAGTCCACGACTCAGCAGTTGTTGAACGTGTTTTTTGTTTTCAATGTTCTGCAACTGCTAGGCATCATCGGTCTCTCGCATCTTGACCATCGGCGGAGGCAGGCAGAGACTCTTGAGGAGGTCATCGGGGATGAAGAGGCTGAACATGAATCAGAAGAAGAGTCAACCTTCACCGGAGGCGAAGGAGACATCCTCGCCTCTGAAATCGGACCGCTGTCTTCTCTAGAACAAAGGAAGCCTCTGCTTGGTCGTCGGCCTAGGGCAGATTCTGGAGCCAGTTACTTCCCATCTTCATGTTCTTCCCAGGGGGTCTGTGGACACTCTGAGATAAGGAGGGGTAGGATTTTTGCGTGTCTTTGTGCCATGCTGGTTTGCAGTGCCTGGGTATTGTTTTTGAGCACTGCATGGTTGAGGCTCCGGTCGAGACAGCAAAGAGATCTATAATAGTTCACTGGCTATTTAAATAACTGTAGTACTAGTAAAGTTCTTCCAGAACCGCGTCATGAGCCACTATCTGCGGGAAGCACTCATTAACCAGTGTCCACGAGGCACTCCAACAGTTTCATCTGAGGTGTCTGATGTCGCAGAGTCGTCAAAAAAATCAGGGAGTAGTGCAACAGACGATACAGGAGCTGGAGATGGGAAACTCTCGCCGTCGGCACCCTTGCTGGGTAATTGTTTCCTCCATGACTCTATCATTTCCCATGTCAGGGCCGGATCCTTCGACTTTCTAAAGAAAACATCTGGACTGTGTGGCTCATCCACTCCCCTATCCGAAACATCAAGTGGTGCCGCGCCCGCAGCTCCAGCTGAAGACGCCATTTCTGATCAAGATGTCAGTTTAACCGACGAAGACGCAATGTATCGTATAATTCACCATCACTCTTGCCGCTCCAGCTCGATATGGAAGGAACGATTTCGAGCTCTTTTTCCGATTCGGCGAATAGCTCAGAACCATGGTCTGAGAGGATATTGTGAACAGGTTCCGCGACCTGTTAACTGGCTTAGATCATTCATTCCTAAGAGGGATGTTTTCCCATACCAACCTCCACTGGTTGTACAAAACCACCGGGGGCGCGGAGAGCTGAGCCAAGCCAATATAGCAACGCATGCATGACGGTAGGAGAACGCGATTGGGCATCCATAACGGGAGAAACGAACGCAGTTGTCCAACCTATCAAGCCATGATAATTGTTTCCTTTGACCACTTGGAGCAGATCTTACCGCGTGAAAACATACCAAAGACCCACTGCCGATATGAAGTCAGAACGAAGAAAGGAGTTTGTTTGTGAACGCAAGTGTCCCATAACTAGAGGATCTTTTGAGAGTCTGGCAAATGAGCGTTATGCGCACTTACCTTGCCCCAAAGGCGCTCCTTTCCGCGCAACGGATGCGTAGTACCTTCAGGAAGCTACCAAATATGATTCGTGCTCATAACCCAAGTGGTCGAAGCACATACCGAATTTAGCTGAGTGAATTGCCACATGATTTCATCAGACATTATCCAAGGAGGTTGGCAGGCGACAACTACAGATGCATCGTATATATCAGGGTGATCTTGATTGACATCTGTCCAGTAGAATTTCTTGAAAATGTCGTCATCGCAGCCATGATCATCAAGCGCCACAAATCCCCAATCTTTCGTCGCAGGAAACATGATATGAAAAACCCGTTGAACTGTTTGAAGGGGGAGAATTGTCCAGCCAATCGCATACTCTGATTGTACCAAAGGCTCAATAATCCTCGTACTCCAGGTAATTGTGTACATACCGATTGATATCGGATGCTACGGGAAGTAGCAATTCTGGAATATTGAATCTCTGCGAGGAGCGCACTGTAAACATCTCGCCTGTTTGTCGGTCCTCGTCGGACAGACAGAGGGAGTGACTTGGCACATGTTCTTCGATCCCTGCGGATGGTAAGGGTATGTCTCGCGAAGCTTGGCATTAACAGTAAGCCTACAATCATTAACATGACCATCAAACCCAGAATCCAGGTAAACTATGTTAGCAAGATTTCGATGTCGAGGGCGGATAGTAAGTGTGGTTCTGCGGCTCTTGTATCCGTGGCGAATCAGTGGCTCTGGTTTGTGTATGAGCTTTAGTCGGGGTAGAACAGCATCCTTAAGGTAGCCTTGTAAATCGTCTGTAGCTCGATAAGCCATGTTGATTGTGCAGGAAGCGGGTGTCGGGGGATGTTTTGAGAATAACAAACATTATATATTAATACGTTGCTGTAGCACCTCCATACAACCTGGAGTAATACAACGATGGACAATAAGAACAATGAAGTTCATGAGGAAACCAATCATGGCATATTACAAGGTTACAAACTATGACATAATGATACCTAAACGAGGCAAGCTTCTGGCAAAATCCGATTAGTACAGCGGCAACACCCGGAAACCCTCCCCAAGTCGTCCAAACGAGACGTTGTAGCCGTCCTCGATCGAGTCAAGACCCTCAAGAGGTATGTTTCCGTGTCGTTGTCGTCTGCAGATATGCTGGATGGATCTGCATTTCTGTCAGAAACTCTAGCTTGGAGAAATCCAAATGGAAATCGATGGATGCTTTCGCCTTGATTGGATGTATGTTGACCTGCCGAGTCACTAACCATCTTGCATTGCAGCCTGCAACATGGGCGCATACAAATACATCAGCGAGTTGTACAGAAAAAAGCAGTCTGATGTGCTGCGTTTTCTCCTCCGCGTCCGGCAAGTCCTAATGTCTGCGATACATTTGACGACAAAGTTGCTGAATTCGCACTCTAGATGCTGGGAGTACCGCCAATTGAAAGTCATCCATCGTGCTTCTCGCCCTTCTCGCCCTGACAAGGCTCGTCGTTTGGGATACAAGGCCAAGCAGGGCTACGTTATCTACCGTGTCCGCGTCCGTCGTGGTAACCGTAAAAAGCCCGTGCCAAAGGGTGAGCTACTGAACGATACACCCCTTCGATGTAAATTCAATCCGTCTTTCAGGTGCTACCAACGGCAAACCTGTCCGTCAGGGTGTCAACCAGTTGAAGCCCCAGCGCAGTCTCAGGAGCACCGCTGAGGAACGTGTTGGAAGGCGTTGCGGAAACCTGCGAGTCCTGAACTCGTACTGGGTAAACCAGGACGGCGTTTACAAGTATTTTGAAGTTATCCTTGTGGATCCGAGCCACAAAGCTGTAAGCCTGAGGATTCCACCATTTGTTATTATATTTACAAGGACGAATGATGGTGTAGATTCGTCGGGATCCCCGTATCAACTGGATCACCAAGCCAGTGCACAAACGCCGCGAAGCTCGTGGTCTCACCAGTGTAGGGAAGCAGGTTCGTTCACCCTTCGTGTTTCACTGGGGATTTTTCTGACGTCCGTTGCAGAACAGGGGATTGGGCAAGGGCCACCGCCACAACCACGCTCCTGCTCGCTCGACCTGGAAGAAGCACAATACCCTCTCTCTTCGCCGCTACCGGTGATTTACTTGCGTATTTCCTGTTGTTTTGCCATTATATTACTTCATGCTTGCTATGCTTGTATGACCATGAAGCTTCGCCAAAAGGATATCATGTGCTCCTACATATTTTAAAAGAACTTTCAGCACAACAGCTGTGTCAGCTCGGCATAACACCCCTTTAGAATAGCTAGGCAATATCAGGATGACGATTACGTTGCAAACCGGCATTCCCGGCACGTAATACTACGGATCTTTTTCAATGATGCCATGCATTCGCCTCGTGCCCCCGGATCACAGCACTGTGAGAAGCCTATGGCTGCGGTATTTCATTTACCCTACTACGTAGTCTACTCTTGGTGTTACTCTCAATGCTATTGTGCTTGGACTGTCTAGTCATCGCGCCTTAGATAAGTGCCAGTTCATCTTTCTCTAAATTGGCTTCCTCCTCGAGCATGTTCAAACATCGTTATGCAATTTTGTGCTTACTGTGCGGACATTTTTCGGAGACCATGGCCTTCCTCAGCATTCTTAGTGACATGAACTCGAAGTTCGGAGTGTCACCGGTCACCTCTGAATGGCCAAAGACCATGTTACCGACGAAGAGAGAAACTATGCCAAATGGATCCACTATAGTCTGGGTCATCCAAGATACCTACGAGGGCGAGACGTTTTTCAAGTGAGTGTCTTATCCACGTCACTCCAATTGACACTAATAGGCTGCAGTACATTTGACTTCTACACTGGTTCAGATCCTACAAAGTAATGTTTCCGTTCCCATTCAATTTTCGAAGTGCTCATCTGTCAGTGGCAACTGTTCAGTGGTTTGGTGACGTGCGTGTCTATTTGTCACTGAAAATTTTTAACTTTACATCAACGTAGGTTTGTTGACCAACAGACAGCATTCAACAGCGGTTTGGCGTATGTGAACGCAGACAACAAGGTCATCATGAAGGGCGACAATACGACTTGGCTATCGGCTGGGGCCAACAGAAGCAGGTAAAAAGCTCCAGCACGCTGAGTGCGCTGAGGCTCATCTGTCTCCTAGTGTCCGCATATCAAGTCAGACTGAATACAATATGGGTCTCTTCATACTGGATCTGGACATGGCTCCATGGGGTTGTGGTGAGACAAATTTCTTTCAATGCACTGATGTCATTTAATCATTTTAATGAAGGTGTTTGGCCTGCATTCTGGTAAGTAATGCTATAGAACGATTGGATGATGATTCTGAAGGTGTGCTAGGACGGTTGGGAGTGGGGAATGGCCATTAGTGAGCACGAAATACCTTTGCGTTCTCACTCAATAATCCCTATTAAAGACAGGTGAAATAGACATCATCGAGGGTGTTCATGACAACGAACATAACCAAGTCACCTGGCATACTGCTCCTGGTGAGCGAAGGTTCACAGGCTACTTGCTTTACAGCTTACATAATTCTCAGGTTGCAACTTAACTCAAAGCACCAACATTACTGGGATGATTGTGGTGAGTCTGTTTTCCATGAACGAGGGGTGGTGGGATAACCATTGCAGCAAACGAATGGCACTGATAACCTTCAATGCAATGCGTTCATCAACGACAATGCAGGGTGCGGTGTGCTTGAATGGAGTCGTGCATCGTATGGCCCAATCTTTGACCAAAACCAGGGCGGAGTCTTTGCTATGAATTGGGATGAAAACGGCATCGCGGTTTGTACGTTTAACTGCGAAAATTCACAGCACCATGAGACTCTGAACTGTTTCACTCCACAGGGTCATTTTACCGCGCAGCTATTCCTCAGGACATTGTACAGGGAGAACCAAATCCATCCAATTGGGGCACACCTGTTGCTGCACTGTCCACCCAGTCGTGTAATATTACCCAGTACTTCGCAAACCACTCGATCGTATTCGGTGAGCATTTTCATGAAGTTCCGATCCTCATTGCTCACGAACAATGCAGACATCACGTTTTGTGGTGAGGCTTCGTTTTTGAGGTGCAAATCGAAGCGAATTCTCAAGACTAACCAGGTGACTGGGCCGGCAACTCATACGCTACATCGGGTTGTCCTGGCACATGCGAAAACAGGCTGATGGATCCGACTAATTTTGTTGTGAGATGCCATTGTTTTCTTGCACTTTTTTGCCTCAACTGGTTCCATAGAATGCCTCTTGGATCATCAGATCGCTGAAAGTCTACAAGCAGGCTTTGGTGCCAGTGGTCACGTCGAGCGCAACCCGAACACATCCAATATTGGAAATGACAGGTTGGATTTTCTCTATAGTAGTATTCATACACGCCATGCTTGTCTCACTTTGAGATGCTGGCTGTCCCAGCAGAGACATGACAAACTTTGACGAGCTATTGACGATTAGACAATGATACCACGAGGACCTGTCGATAGATCTTGTACATACCCCTAACATTTGCCTTATAACTCGCTTACACTGATTATATTAGTGATAGATCAAAATATTGGAATACTCTAAAGTTTCAAGATCCTCAGAGATTCTGTCCCTGTGGCCGCATGGTCGTGATCTACATGTGCAAAACATGCCCGTAGGGGAGTAATGCTCGCGTGGCCCTTAGCGATGGCCCAACCATCCGAGCCAATTGGGAGGGAACCAAGCGAAGGGGTAATAAGAGGTTGGAAATCAGGGGAGAATTTAAATACTAGCGTCGCAGGTTCCTCTTTTGATACATCGCCTCCAGGTCCACTTTGTTGTGCAGGATGCTGACCTGCCACATCCGGGCCCTCGGAGGGGATTTCTCTCTTCATGCCCCCAGCGTCAGGAACTGATACCGCTTTGAAAAGCTGCCCGTATGAGTTACGCCACATGTGTGTCCAATGGATATCTAGGCCCTTTGGGTTAAGAAGTTCCATTATCATGGGGACGTTCACGTTATACATGTCGATTTCTCCATTGCGCATTCCACCGATGTCTTTACCCCAGTTGTTCCATAGGTACTGGATGATCCGTACAGATAGGATATATGCGGGTTCAAAAAGTTTGTTTGGGGTGGGATGGAGAACATCGCCGTACGAAATTGCGACAGAACGGATCTGAGATAGCGCTGACGACATTGCGGCACCGATGGTTCCGGACGACATGGCGAAAGCGGCTGGATAATCATGATCAGTTCATGCAACATTCAACGACAGCGAAGAGAAAGCACAGACCAGAAGAATTTCTGCCATAGTTTGGTCCCGAGATCTTACATACCAATTCGAATCAGACTCTGAGCATTATCACAAGGAGTAAGTACTGACCACAAGGTCGATTGTTCCAGGATAGAGGTTATGAAGCGCGATGTTAGTGCAAGTTGCAGGGGTCTGAGGAGCACATAGCCGATGAGCTTGCGTCGACAGTAGAATTTGAAATCATAACATACACCATCCAGCAGTACCCATTCAGCGACTTCGCCCTCCTTCAAAGGACGTGAACATGATGAAACCTCTCCCACCCCATCTTCAGCAGACTTTCAATTACGGGGTAATTCTCATCACACCGAAGTCACTTACCAGGAGCCTTCGGGTAGTAATATCTTCCTTTCGTGATTTCTCTAATGTGAAACGCCTTCCCTACAAGATGTGCGTCAGGACGAGGGCTTGAGAGAATGATTAGACTCACCGATCCACGATTTCTGGGAGCTTGGCACGACTACCTTCACATCCCACCCTGGTCAAGGGTCGCATGTTATACGCAAGGTCTTCACGTATGTGGGGTTCACCGAAAGCTTACCGAGGTTTGTGGTGAGATGAAGATAAAGCCCGAAAATATATGGAGATTGTGGACCTGGAGGGCCGTCATCATTCTTAGAATTGTCAACTCAATAATCAGTGAGAAATCTTGACAGGGAAGGCTAAGTACTTGCGACAAGTAAGACTCTGGGTGATGGAGAAGACATCGGGGATGGAGACGACTATCAGAGTGTTAATCGAATGGTCGTTGTTGCCAACGACGGCGGTGGTGACAAGCGCCTGTGTGTATCATTGATTCCCATAATTAAAAACTGTCCCCCACCCATCCTGAACCACGTACTCCAATTCTGCTCGGAGCGCTCACCTCCAGCCCACCTTTGACGCTGTCCACAGCGACATCTACTAGGCCAATTCTTGGCTAGTGTGGATTTCTATTGTTGTTTCCATTGTAGCCGCAGAAGTTGGCTATCCTTTAAGACTTGCTCGCGCTGCGTTCATGATTCACTAGTTATTTTTCATTCCTTGTTGTCCATAACCTGCGACGAACGTCGACGACTACCACAGTACTGCAGACATGACTACGCCAACGAGCAACACTAGCCATTGTTTACCCGCCATACCTTCCCTCCCACCGATTCAGATGCCCGGCGACACCGATAAAAATACTTACCTTGACCTGGGACATGATCCAATCGCACCTTTGTCCGCATCGTCCGCATCCACCCAGCCTTCTTTCTCCTCTACTTCGTCTCCTCTTGTCGTTCCTCGTAGTACTCCCTTTGTCACAGGTTGCTCCTCATCGCTATCTTCAACCGACCCTTCACTCCAATCCTTGCGCAAATCAGTCTCCGTTGACTCATTCGTTGGCTACGACAGGGAAACGTCACCGAGAACAAGCGGTCCACGAGCGAATAGAGGCAACACTTACTCCGCATTCGAGGAGTCTCGCACACGTAAACCAGACGGTCCACTGTGCCGCGAGTCCGCTCTTTCCCAACCGTTTATTCACAGTCACGGTGCGAGTGTGAGTGCGATGTATCAGAGTCGTGTATCCGGCATAGAGCACGAGCGGGAGCCTGAGCTTTTCCAGCGGGTGAAGCGACCGAGTGAAGGCAGACGGGGTTCTGTGAAGGGCAAAGATCACCTCCGAACAGCCCCTCGTCCAGGCGATCTCAATCTCCCTCCACGCATGCCCGTTCAGGCTCTCGATGATACTCGCCGTTTGCATTCCACAACATCGCTTACTTCCCTGCCTGTATGTAATCCTGCTCTAGCCAACCTTACGTCAGGGCGCGCAAGGAGTGACAGTCTTGGCTTGCCAACCACTTCAGCTATAGGTAGAAATCTTTTGATTGACATCACACAACCTTCTGTAAGCGCTTGTCACATCCCATTGATTTCAACTTCTGATGCTGCGTACCCAGCTTTTACCGAAAGAAATAGCCATCGCAATAGTCGGTTCATCTGGTTGTGGCAAGTCCTCTTTCATCTCTGAGGATGCTAAAGCACACGGGGCACCGGACATCGAGGCGTTATTCGCGTCATCTAGTGGAACTTATCCTCCCGCTCCTTTCCGTTGTACGTCGGTATTCAATACAATACCCATCTTGTTTTATCTAACTGTAATCTCTCAAGATACACGCCGGGTGATACACCGGGATTTCCCCATGGTAATCTACGAGTTGGATATTGCAAGGGTCTGGCACGGAAACCTTCCGCCCGTCAATGGAGTTATCGTGTGTTATGATACTGCCGACAAGGCATCGTTTTCTCCTGTGGAAGATTTTCTCCGTATGTTGCATCTCTCGTTTTCGTGGTTTATTATCAATCATCTTGAAAGGGCGGATACGACCATTGAAACTTCCGACCATAGCGGTCGCCTTGAAGACAGATCTGAATGCTGTTGTTGAACCGCGGGAGTCCTCCAAACTATTGAAAACGTATGATATTGGTTTGGCGCAGGTTGATCACTTGGGAGATGCAGAGAGGGCTAGGATAAAGAAAGTGTTCAATTGGTTAACGATATCTATCTTGCCAGGTCCTCGTGAGTCTGCAGAGTTGTGTTTGGGTGTGGCATTCAACCCTATCGATGGCGTTTCAGATGCTGATCTACGAAATCCCGCATCACCAGATGCTCTCCATTCACCGATTACTTGGGAAGCCCGAGCATCAACGTCATCAGCCACCCCCACCGCCTCCTCTTCCGCAGCTTCTACGCGTGGCACGTCCCAAGACCAGGGTAGCTCGTTACTGCACTCGCCCACCTCCACACTCCCATCATCTCCTCCGCCAATCGCTATTTCTCCCACGCGCGCTCGGTCAACGCCGGATCTCCTCTCGGCACACGAGAAGTCTAAATTACGGGAATCGCCCGAACGAAAGTTATCGAACGCTCGGAGTATCGCAAGCTTCATTGGTTCGTCAAGCGTCAATTCGTCGTCGATAAACTCCTTGGTTTCCCGGAGAGATACATCCTTGAATGTTACTGAAAACGGCCATCTTGATCGCCCTGTTAGCAAGGAGAAGGAACAGTGGGTCGTCTGCAATCATTCGAACCAGTGCTACTAACTTCCTGATTTACTTAGTCGTTCAGGTCAATATGCAACCCTAGAGGAGTTACTCGATAAATTGCTATTCCTTGCTGTCAGTGGTGATGGTAAGCTTGCCTCTGGTCGGTTGGCACTAAAGGATTTATAACATTGATTTAGATCCAACATTTATCTCGCATTTCCTTCTTACATATCGAAGATTTGCAAGCCCCCGCAGTATTTTGTTGGCCATGCAGAAGCGAATGCGACAACTTGACAATTCGACTGGCGATCCCATGTTTGCGAGTTACGCACAGATGAGGTATCTTAATTTTGCGGCCTGAAGAGTTATCGTAATAACATGCCGGTTGATTCGAAGGATATGCCACCTGCTTGAAACCTGGATCCAAACGTATCCGCAAGATTTCGCAGTTCCGGGGGCCCCTGGCGCCTTACATGCGCTGGTCAGGTCAATTGTCGGGAAGACATACCTCCTCCATTATGGCTCCGATTTCCTGCCTTTCCTTTCACATCTTCCGAACATCATAGACACAGATGCGGCCTGGGCACTGAAATCCGAAAATCCCGTAGACGAAAGTGAAGATCGATATAGCATATCGGACGGAGAGGAGGAAACGCTGGCTGTTGAGGCCGAATCACCATTTATAAGTCGTTCATCGGTGGTTCCCTTGAACGATAACCCCCCTAGCGCATCGAGTGTTAGAGAGCGCAAGTCAAGCTTGCCGCTCAGTGCGAAGATATTCACACCGGTAAATTCGAGTCACACCCAAGGAGATGCTTCAGATATGTCTCCAAAGGACCTCCTGAATAAGTTAAGGAGTAATGCCTCGATTCTGGCTAACTTTGATTGCTCCGAGATTGCGGAGGAGATCACGCGAGTAGAAGCAAAGTTATTCATGGATATTGAGGTTAGCATTGGCTAGGGCCGCGATTACCGTGATTATGACAACCTTCTTTGCAGCCGCGGCACTGGCTGCAATATACCCTCATTCCTGGACGCAAAGACCCTGAGTTGGACTCAATATCTCGATTCAACGCTATCTCTAATCACCTTGCTGATTGGTAAGTCGTCACGCGTGGTTGGCAGCAATGATAAAGATGGTTGAAGGTTTTTCCAGGGTAGTATCCCTCATACTCTGTCATGACAAACCGCGGCAACGCGCAAGGCAGATAGAGCGATTCGTGGATATTGCGCACGAGCTCCGCGCATTAAACAATTACTCAGCACTGCGTGCCTTTGTCGCTGGAATCAACAACTCCACTTTCCAAGGCGATGAAACCATGGAGTTATTCAAAAACAAGACTCCAGATCACTACAAGAATCTGTTGTCTTGGGACGTTCTTCTTCAACATCGCGGAGCTCATCAGGCTTATCGTATGGCTCTCAAAAACACCAAAGGCGCTTGTATACCCGCGCTGTAAGTGCGGTGACTTTCATGACAAATGGGGCTTCATATTTACCTCTTATTAGGGAGGTCCATATGTCCGACCTGATCCGTGCCCACGAAGGAAACCCCAATCTTCATCCGGATGATCCTACAAAAATTCATTGGGGCAAATTTAATATGTTTGGTCGGTTTATTCAAACCACGACCCACTGCCAGATCCAGTGCCAAACAAATCCGGATTACTGCTTACCGGCACGGGAACGAATATTGAAGGTCGTATTTAACGAGTTTGTCATGTCCGAAGATGTGCGTCTTGATTCGAAAACTCTTACCCCTCCTTAATTAACATTACGCAGATGCAAACATCTCGAATGGCGCCTCTTCCAGACTCGGACCTGGTTGAAGAACCCTTCCGACCCACGCTACCTAGAACAATGTCACGCGAACATTCAACATTCTCCCAGAGAGACGCAGGACTTCTTCGCAAAATACTGCAATGGTGAAGACAGTCTTCGGCATGTATCAGGATTTTCCTTTATGTATCTGCAGTTGGTTTCTATTCATCTGTCCCTCCGATCATCATTTGTTTGATACCCTGTCCCATACGTATCATATTTGTTATTCGGTGTACGATTTCACGGTCAAATTACATCGCTACTTCGCACTCATCCATAGGCACAGTAGCAAATCTTAGCATCCACTGAACTGAACCAGTCGAACGCTCTGCGCCTATAAGTACATAACCTTCTCTATAGAGAATCTCAAGCACGTGACATTTTTGTGAAGCAAGCACTTTGACACCGACAATATTGTACTAATTGTAACACAACTGGTCGCAGCACTACTGGGTGCTGAGAAACTCCATAGTCTGCTAAAACTCTGCCGGTTGACTGCACTGCATCACATCCAATCATGGACTTCGTAATGACTATCGATTCCGACGATGAATCACCACCTCAACGCAGAAACAGCAAGAAGCAGCAAGTAGATGACGCTGCCCTCCTGGACCCCGATTTTCAGTTTGATGTCGCAGGTGATCCCTATACCGATTTTTTGGAGTTTGGAGCGCAGCAGCAAGATATCGTGCAGAAAATTTCAAAGCCAGTGAGTATCGCTGCTACGCGTGGTAGTTGATCACTGAATCAACACATAGGATCCCGTCTCAGTAGATGAAATCATCGCAAGACGCAAACTGAAGACGGGGCTGAAAAGAAAACGCGAGCCAGAGAGCGAGAATGAAACTGAGGACGGTACGGAGGAAAGTGATGCTAGCAGTGCAGAAGACTTCCCTGAAACGGATAGGTCGGGCGACGAAGATGACCCCCTTGCCACTTCCGGGGAGGAAAATAACGAATCTACTCGGTCTGCATCTGAGGAGGACGAGGAGGTGACTGATAACGATGATGTAGAATCGAACTCTTCGGACGAATCAGAAGAAGAGACTCAAGCCGAAAAAGATCGTAAAGCAGCATTCTTTGATTCAGAGGCAGCACCTGCGGAGCATCATTCATCTTTTTTGACAATGAATCTTTCCCGCCCAATTCACAAGGCATTGGCCAATCTCGGATTCCATGTGCCAACACCCATTCAAGCCGCGACCATTCCTGTTGCTTTGCTGGGAAAAGATGTTGTCGGTAACGCTGTCACGGGTTCTGGAAAGACTGCTGCGTTTACCATCCCTATGCTGGAACGGCTTCTCTATCGAGAAAAGGGGAAGCATGCGGCAGCGACTCGGTGTCTGGTGCTGGTTCCGACAAGAGAATTAGCCGTACAATGTTATGACGTTGGTTCTAAACTTGCAGCGCACACTGATATTCGCTTTTGCCTTGTCGTTGGTTTGTTGCTTCAAACTTTACAGCGGCTAGTTCTCATGCAAAATATCTAGGTGGACTTTCCCTCAAATCGCAAGAGGCAACTTTAAGGACTCGCCCAGACGTCGTTATCGCAACTCCTGGACGGCTTATCGATCACTTGCGCAATTCCCCTTCCTTCGCGCTCGATGCACTGGATGTTCTTGTTCTTGACGAAGCCGATCGTATGCTTTCCGATGGATTTGCAGACGAATTGGCCGAAATCATTAAAGCATGTCCTGTTTCCCGTCAGACAATGCTATTTTCTGCTACAATGACCGACTCGGTCGACGAACTGGTGAAAATGACATTGAACAAGCCTGTCCGCCTCTTCGTGGATCCAAAGCGAACCACGGCTCGGGGGCTTACCCAAGAATTCGTTCGCGTGCGAACGGAGAAAGAAGCGGACCGAACTGCGCTGCTTGTATCTTTATGCAAGAGAACATTCAGACAGCGCGTTATCATATTCTACAGGAGCAAGAAGCTAGCCCACCAGATGCGGATTATTTTCGGTCTTTTTGATATGAAGGCCGAGGAATTGCATGGCGACCTCTCTCAAGAACAGGTTAGACAACATTTGTGCACTTTTATGCATGTCAGATGTTGATTATGTGATAGCGTCTTAGATCTTTGCAGCTATTTCGCGATGCACAAGTGGATTATCTAATGGCGACTGACCTAGCTTCTCGTGGTTTGGATATCAAGGGCATAGAGACCGTTATCAACTACGACATGCCTAACCAATTGTCTCAATACCTTCACCGTGTGGGTCGGACAGCCCGTGCAGGGAAGTCTGGTCGGTGAGCTTCAATCTTCAATTAATTCTCGGCGGTCAGCATGTTTTAATCATCAATTGTAGCTCAGTTACTCTGGTGGGAGAAGGAGATAGGAAAATGCTCAAAGCAGCCATCAAGCATAGTACGGGCGAAGATAATATCCGTCATCGGCTTGTCCCTGCCGATGTTTTTCCCAAATGGGTCAAGAAGGTAGAGGCTCTAAGGGACGAGGTCGCGACAATTCTTCAAGAGGAGAAGGAGGAGAAACAGGTAACTTTGGTTGTTGAACGTCGCTCAAACGACTTTACTCATGCTATGTTAGATTCGGCAGGCGGAAATGGAACTAAAGAAAGGTCAAAATATGATCGAGCACCAAGATGAGATTTTTTCTCGGCCTGCTCGAACTTGGTTTCAGAGCGAAAAGGAGAAGGCAAAGGCAGTTGGTGGGTGAAGATTTATAGCAGACTGCAGGGGCTTCACATCTTTTTTTATTTTTAGCCACGAGCAAACAGCAGCATGAGAATGGAATGGCGCTCACGTCAAAGGGGAAACCTGAGGCAATTGACGACCCCAAGGTAGGTTTACTGTATCCTCCACGATCTCTTTTTGAATTTTCCCTTCAGCCAAAGAGAGATAAGTTTGCTGGTCTAACCAGGAAGGCAAAGCGACGGAAGATGGCACTAGAAGCCGACAAGGAATTAGGTGAGACAGGTGCTGTGAACGCTGCTATTCGTTCCGCGAAGAAGGCTGCCCGTCCCGCCAAGATTGGGATTCCAGGTCACCAAAACGCACCTACTTCAAAAAGAACCAAGGCGAGAAAAGGGACGTTGAGAACTGGTAGTGGTGCATTTGACAGGGATTTATCATCAAAGGCGGCAAAGGGTGAAGGGGTGCACGCCAAGAAGGGAGACACAATCGGTGGGATGGGAAAGCGCAAAGGAGGTAAGCGGAAGGGCAAATAGCAAAATAGTTTAATCGCACAAAAAGGCAACTGTAATGGTTGAATCGATGGGCTAGGCCACGTGGCTGTATGCACAACGTAAGATCGACCGAAGAAAGTGCCATCTGGCGAACGACGAAGTTACTAAAAGGTTTTTTTTTGTTGCTCGTCCTCGCTGCATCTTCGCACCATCAGAGGTGGGACGCATGGAGCACAATGCGTTCGCGTCACTGGCCGTTTTGCGGCTCTCATTTCCATGCCGTCTACTGCCATCAGCTTGCTGCCCAGACAAGGACCTTGTCGTCCTAGTGTCCCGCCTTGGTGGGAGGGATAGGTTGACTCTATGGAAAATGCAAGGAACCAAAAAGTGGGACGTTGAGGTGGGGCGTGACGAAAGTTCCGTTGAAAGCGTATCGGCTTTAGCTTGGAGTCCTTGTGGTATGGTCACAAGTTATGCATCTTCATGTCTAACATTGTTCGCTGTAGGCCAGACAATCGCAGTCTCTCATGAGTTCTCCCGCGTAACACTTCATTCTGTGCAAGATGGTCGCATAGAGCGTTCTCTTACTATCCCACCATCATCGCACGATTCTGAGCAACGACGAATAACTGGATCTTGGTGGTTCTCGAGTTGCCGCGATTTACCAAGAAGCACGATTCCAGATATCTTCAAGAGAAATGAAATTAATGTCTGTGGATTCGTTTAGGCTAACACTGCCTCGACTCTTATCATGCCGAAGACAGGGTCTGCTCTCTCCATATTGAAAGTTCTCCCACTCCTTGATTCCCTTCGAGAGGAAGATCACAAGCTCACGTGAGTCATCCGAGGTCACAAAAATTGGACTCGTTAACAATTGTTCAGTGCCACGGACCTCTTTGCTTTCCAAGGAACGCAGACAGGAGCTGCGCTAAAGCCATCTACACCCGAAGTCATCAACGATTGGCCGTCGTTGCTCCCAGACCCATTTCTTGCTTCTCTATGCCCTCCGATCTTAACTGATGAACAAGGCAAGACGGCAAAGGAGACACAAGTTAATTCTTCTGCAGAAGACGAAAACAGCCTGCTTGTGATAGGTGATGATAACGGCAAGCTTCACTGTTTCCTCGATGGAAGCTATTACCTAGGGGCGATCAGTACATTTCCATCGACCGTGCCAACGGCAGTATTCAAGGACCCGAAGCGCCCGCTATTTCTACTTCATCCTCAGACCTTAGCCTCCGACTTCTCATCTGTCACCTTCACGCCTCTATCGGTTGACTTACCGTTGCTTGCCTCCCATAGAATTAGGGATTTTGCACGGCTTTCATCCGCCGCACGGGAGTTGATGTGGTATATCATGCGGGTCATTGAAGACCTGCGGGAAGTTTGGCTTGGTTCCAATTCACTGACTGGAGCACGAGAAGTTGGCCCTAAATGGATTCAGCTGCTAGAAACCAGACTTCGTGACCAATTTGGCCGTTAGTGATGCAGTCCCTCGATGGATTTTTACCATTCTAAGTTTTGTCAACAGAGAGGGAACCTAGTGCGATTCTTGAGCTCACTGGTCTCCTAGTCGCTGGGTTGTGTTCTGAGGGACTTTCGGATTTTTTCTCGTCCAGCGAGCAAATGAGTGAAAGGGTTGATTTTTCCAACGTTTCGTGGTTTCAAAGCTAAACCTGCGTTTAGTCTCTCCAGAAATGGGAGTCCACAGTGACCGACGCACTTGTTAAACTACGCGACTTCTCAACATTGCGACTTGTCCCAGCGCTTCAACGGTTACATATCATTTTGGAAGAAGTTCGAGGATGGTCACTTATGTCGAGCAGGATTTTCCACAATTGCCCACCTTTGTACTGACACCTTTCCAGTCCTCAATTTGTCTTGTTTGGATTCAACACCGACGACATTACCCAATGTCTCTTTTCGCTGAAGCAAGCCATCTTCATTGCACATTTGTTGGCGTTTCAAGCAAGGGGGGAACTTGGGTCATTCAAACACTTCCTGAGCTTTCTTCGGTATGGTGAGTGGGTCGCTGGGTCGCTGAGCTGCATAGGACCGTAGCCTATTTCCCATGTCAGAAATCGCCTTGGCAGGCAACTCCCCCGATACTCGCTCACCTCCTGAACATGACATCCTTGAAGTCAATCACTATTTAATGTCCGGCCTGAAGACAAGCCAGATAGACCGGTGGTTCACAGGACCAGCTCCCCAATTTGATCCCGGAGATCTTGGCTTGCCTCGACACAACACGGATACCAACAAAGTTCTTGAAGAAGCACTGGAACAAGCCCACACCGCATTGCAGGATCCTTCCCAAACATCATGGCAGCCGGTAGGTTTCTCCCTTAATTGTAATGTATACTCTACGACATGAGTTTGTATCTGATTTAGAAAGTCTCCACGGCCGATAAATCACATCTAGACAGGAATCTGTGGGTACTTGTTCATGATTTGGCTGTCCGGTGTCAGCGGGTCTTCGTGCACGTTTCGAAGGCTACCGCTCGATCAGCCATCGTGTCAGGTAGTGGTGGCGCTACGCCATTTCAGGTGGAGGCGAGTGAAACTGTTCCAAGCGGTGCTTGCCAATTTATCCGCGAAAGAGTTGCTCAGCGGAACGAGGTGAGTCATGTTCCTTACAGCGCACTGAATTCAACTAAATTCGGATCTTTTAGCCTAACAACCACCTGCAACATCTTGCGATCCATTTGACCTCGGAAATGCGGCCCCTTTGTGAGTTGCACTTTTGGCTCCTTCGGCTTTTTTGGAAATTCAATGTGTACAAATTAGTCTGCTTGACCCGGACGCCTTACGCAAAATGTGCCGCTGGGGTTCCGCTGCATATTGATGTCATTGTCATGGAGTGTTCCATAGCTGGACATGAGCCTGGGCATATTACCGACGTCCATCTTTGCAACGCTGAGTTTTTCGACGACGAGACCCTCGTCATTGTATACAAAGTCAGAGGAACCGACGGTAAGTCCCCTGATTTATGTCCATTTGGCCCTCCATTAAATGTGATCAAAGGTCCGATGTTCGCAGCTACGGTTCACTACAGCGCCCTAGAGTACCAAACACAATCAGAAGAATACGTAAACGGCCCCGCCCGAAAAGATATGATAGCCAACGTGCTCCAGAGGTTGAACGAGGGGCATGTAAGTATCGTGCACCACCATGTTTTTGTCGAGAACTGTGACCGGTGCTTTTACTAACGGCATGATCCAGCTCTTGTTGAAACCCATCCCGATCAAGAGACGTCGCCAATTGACCGCGTGCAGAGACGGATCAGTGTCCCTTGCAGTCAACGGAAGAGTCGGAAGGAGAGTGGTTTGTATACTTGACGGTGATGGGACAACAATGGATATACTGGATATGGAAGGAGATGAAGATATGGAAGCTGAGGACGAATCCGAGATGGATTCCACCGGCGCATAACAAGGCATAACCGTGACGAGAGGGTGTGTGATTCGGTCCGTAGGTTTTGCATTCGCGGCCTCATTTTCATAGCACACGGCGTGTTCAAGCCGAAAAAGATGGATGACTATGTCCTTGGTGTGCCCCTTTAGGGTCGTGAATCTCCATTAGTGCGTTGATCGCGGTCACTGCGGTGAGTTGGAGTGAGAGAAGGGTGGAGAAGTCTTAGATCTGTACAGTGCAATCGGCCGTCAAAACGCGGCTTTCAGAGTGAAATGAAGGAGTCATCGGGTAAGAATGAGATTCAGAGTGATTCGACCGCACATGCGCCCAAACATCAGGTTCCTGGGAGCGGCGAGCAGGGTGGCGACCGGATACATTGGTTCGGGAATGAATGCAGATCACACAAGGGATCACAGTCAGGTTGGCTCCTGATTACAAAATAGCCGCCGCATCACCTGAAGGACAACGTCTGCCAGCATCTACCATTCTGGCTCATTTGCAAACATATTATGATTCCGAATTGCAAACTTCCCCGTGAGGGCCCCACGGACAGTCTGAAATTGTAAACAGTTTCGCTTAACGTGATCGCACCGCGGCCCTCTCCTCGTGCCCTTGATTCGAATTCTTTTTTTCCATGCCATTTTAAACCGTCGTCTCTTCTGTGGATCATCCCAAAGCCCCTCCTTTACATCCCTCGTCTGCTGGTTTGATAGAAGCCTTATTGTCCTTCAGTTTTTACTAACGCTGAACTTAGCTTGAACCCTTGTATTCACATGCCTAATAGAGCCGACGCCGGCCATTCACCTCCAGGCGATAAATCCGACTTTAAAGCAGACGTTGACGATCCTGCTGCCCCAATGTCCGATATTGCTCTCCGAAAAAAGAAAAATGCGGACGCCCAAGCCGCTTTTCGTCAGAGGTGAGCTATCCGTCTCGAACCCCTGCCTTCATGATGTTAAAGTATTATGTTTTTGAGGCGAGCAAACTACATAGCAACTCTAGAAGAGACAGGTCAGGTGTTCTCTAGTTACTGTAATCTTCATCGCTCATCCTCGTCATATTCGGTAGTCACTAGTCTAGAGTCTGTTGTCCTCCAGCTTCAGGATTCGTGTCGCGAAGCGCGATCTGAAGCCGGGGATCTACGACAAGACAATGCGCGCCTTAGACATGAATTGCGCGAACGTGAGAAGTTCTGGAGGGCCCTTTGGCAGGCGAGGAAGACAGGACAGGCTCCTGAATCGGATGACTTGCCCCCGCTCCCATCGTCTTTTGCTTCTCATCCTCAAGCAACCAACATCAATAATCGCACCCCCTCGTCGCACGGCCATTATAGTGATGATGGCATGGGATATCAGACTAGCGACGAAACGTCCAATTCCCTGTGCAGCGGCTCGTATAACAGCGGGTCCAGTCACTCATACACGACACAATCTCCAGCACTTTCTTACACTGGCGTGGAAGCTGAGCAGATATCATCCGGTGGAGCCGGGCACCACATGAACGCCCGAGTGTCGAGATATGCTTCTTACCCGTATCCGATGCAATCCATTAGCCGGGACGGACCATGGACTCAAAACGTGGCGCAGACTGCGTCTGCTAATGGTCAGTTAATACTTCCGCTACCAATCTTATGACATCTGATGGTGCTTACAGGATCGCCTACCTTGACATCCCCCGATGTATATGCGAACCGCCCTTTTGAAGAGCAGAAGACTCAGCTCAATCATCTAGAAACCACCCCATATCTCTTTCCTAGCAGCCGTTCCATCTCCCCCACGTCGTCCACTCCCCCGTCCTCGTCTAGCACATCCTTGACGTCCCCATTCCAATTCACATTCCCTGCTGATGGCTCGATCACACAAGATCGCGGAGAATTTGATTTCCGTCGGCACTCCAATAGCCACGGTGCTGATTTAACTTTACACGGTGGCACCGCAGATATTTCGGTTCCGAGTGCTGGCAGCGACGGCGTGCGTTACAGACTTGGGCCCCGTCGCACGAATTCTGGTCCGAGTCCATTACTGCCATCCCTTCCTCAGTTCTCCGGGAGCGAGAACGGCTCTCAGCACGAGCGGGGGAGTAGCGAAGGCGAAGCCACCTCCTATTCGCAAATGCCGAGGCTTCGACCTCGCAGAGGACGTTCGCGAGAATCGAGGTCACCTTCCCCCAGTGCACCTCCGATTTCGGGCACGTTGGCGGTTATTAAAGCTCAAGCTTTTGGAGCCCTCCGTCGAACTCGGACCAGGGCCAAAAAAACTTCTGAGGGGGCGGCTAAGGTTGCAATGGAAGTTCTCGAGGCCAGGGGTATCGGGATGGGCGTAGTGGCTGGCTCGAAGCGTCCCCGTCTTCACCACGACGATTCCGACATGCAAACGTGATGCAAATAAATGTACTCCGCAACGACTACCAGTTCACTCATTTGATCCCTAGGGATTGTATCAGCATCTTTTCTCATCACCAGTGAACTATGTAACCACGATTATTTGTCCAGCATTTTAAGATACCAGTTACTTACTGTATTGCGCTTACTCCTTAAAGGTCTGCTGCATAGTGTTGCATGTAATATGATATGTACCTTCGCTTGCACAATTCATTTATCATTAAAACACTCTATCGGATGGCTGCGCAGTGCGTACTACCGCGTGTCCTTCGCGACACAAGTTAATTCGCCGGCGGCTCACTGGCTAATACCATCCTTATGCCCGTTCGGATCTACTGGCTCTGGCTCCAGGAGGAAAGGTTGTTCGGACGTTTTAACGGTGATGTATTCGTGGCAAATCTGCTCGGCGGAAGACAAAGATAAATAGAGAAGGATTCTACGATGTGTACTCCACGTTCCAAACAGTGTCTGTGCATTTCAATTAAGCCTTGGAACTGCGACATCCCACGGTCCTCTTATCTCACTGCAGAAAGACATGTCAACAAGAAAGGAAGGAAAAAGCTTGGGGGGTGACGTGCTTTTTGTATTTCTGTGCCCAGACCAGAACTCCCGGAGCAACGAAGGTTACCGTGATCAAAATACATGCATAGATGGAGGCAACAGATACGGATAAAGGCACCGTTAGAACAAACGATAGTACACAAAGGATGAGTGTGAAGAGGATCTGTACGACTTGCGGTGTAACCTATAATCAAAGTTACACGATAACGTTACCAGGCAAAATTGCCGACCCTACCTGAAGCCGGTGACGCAGCATCGGGAAAAGAGCGAACAATTGCACAGCAAATAGGACAAGAGAAAAGACGGCTAAATCGTCAGGCAGTCGCGAGGCCAAAACAACCGATGACGAGATCGCGGCATTCATGGACAGTACGGACGTCAGTCTATACGGGAGATGAGAATTGACAACAATGACCAGTGTGGCACTAACCCACCTTTCTTGCGTGACTGGTTTCATGGAGCTATAATCGGCGAGCAACGCGTTAAGAAGGAAGAGACATGCCGAAAGCGCCCAAATGGAGTCCGAGGACGTTGCTGCAGTCAAAGTTCGCAACACAGGTGATAATCCCATCAAAGCAAGGAAAACAAGAAGGGACGATTTGATCGTTTTCGAGCCTGGTTGATGCAACCAATCAGTGAAGAGCCCAGGGGTCACCGGGTATGCACGACGTACCGGTTGAGGCGCCGCGAACGGTATTAGAGCTGAGGATCTCACACAGAGCATGTCCTCCAAAGAAACTGACTATCGAGACCCACAGCAATACACGGGCATCAAGCCAGCGTTCCTTGAGCCTCACAAATACTGCGAGGAATGTGAAGATTGTCGCTAAGTGCTGCGTGATCGCACAGCATAGCAGTACTAGTGGCCAATAGGTGTACGGCTTGAAGTTAGCTTTGGGGAATATTAAGTACCACGTTTTGAAGATAAATTATGCCTACCAACGGTTCCGCCTCAAGGAGGAGAGGAAAGAGTGAGGATGAATGTAATTGTCAGGAAAAGGCTGCCTTTCCCACAACACTTTGTTCCATCCTGCGGATGACATTCACGCGTTCGATGATCGCAAAAAGAGTCCAACTTTAAGGACTATAGAGGTTGTGACGATCACAGCCACGTGGCAATCGAACGTCTTCCTTGCAATGAACCGAACTGGGGGATTCACACAAGCCCATCTACAAGTGTATCATTCCTCGAGCAATCATCATTTACCCATTTGTATCTTAGGAAGTACATGTACAAGACGAAACAAGACGGCGTCACTCTCCTCGATCATGGGAAGAGAAGAGAATTTGTTATGGCATCCTCTACATATGAAGAACATGAAATCAACGTGTTCGAACATCATGTTGTCCCACCGGCGGTCCGCTGAGTTTGATGACGGGTAAGATAATAGTAGGACACGAAGTACAAGCCATGAGGCTTGAGGGATCATTTCATGTTTGAGCGGGTCCGAGGTAAATTGAAAATATGGGAAGGATCGGCGATCACGTAGTATTAGACGGCACGAGAAAACCTGAAGGTCAGAATGAGAAGTCTGGAGCTATGGATGCCCGCATGTTGTACTGGCGGGAGGCAATACACACGCACAATGTTTTATTCAATCCCACTAAATGTAAGTGACAGTGAGGAACGGTAAAGAATTGGTGATAGAACTTGACATACCACTAAGCGTTCTTCCTCCCTTGGCGTAGGTTCTGGTTTCGCCGCTTTCGCAGTCTCGACTTGCCCAGCAAGTCGTCCCCGATTTGGATTCGAGGTATTTGTGCCTCGTGCTTGTGCCTATGCTGCCTGGTGAATCCTGTAAATGGATACTACTAATTCGCAGGCTTACCGTTTTCAACCTTCTTTCAGCAGCCTCTGCAGCTGCGGCGCGAGGATCAGGAGCGGATGTAGTGCCATAATTTTGCCCATTTGACTGGGCGGCAGTGCTTCCCAACACCTGATGTCCCCCGGAATGTGCACTGGCCCTGGAGCACAATGAGCCCATGAAGCGCGAGTAGAAAAGCTTGGTATGACACCACGCAAGTTCGTTATCCCCTTAACTGCCAAAGAGAATGGGAACGGTTATTAAGATGTTGTGGTCTGAATTCAAGAAGCGCAGCGCCTGATCGTGCTCTATAAGGGAAACATGTGTGGGCAGGGCATCGCGGATCTATTATACATAGCATCGATATCAAAGAGCTACATGGGAAGCGTATTCGATATCTCCCTGTAATTTCCCCGATTCTCGTTACCAGCGGAGCGAGCAGGACGCTCACGAAGGTTGTGGTCTTCAGAATACCTACGTGGTAACCATTCCTGCAGTGGCGACTAAGCAACACTCAAATTGCCAAGAAAATATACGAACCTCCCACCAGCGCCTGCTGACAGACCATGCCGTACTCGAGTCCAAACCTGCCTTGAGCATGCGGTTTTTAATGCTCACGCCAAGTAACAACCCGAGGATAATCAATAGAAAGAGGGTGACCACAAGCTGGTCCCTAGGAGAATCTCGTTCTGGCAGTGATAAATTAATATTGGCACTCCCAGGGAAATTGGGGACACACGGAAGCATCGCGCTTCGACATCTCCCTCTAGACCGGTCGCAGTGTCTGGATCTGTGTCGCCAAGAGATGCACCAAGGCAGATAGGCAGGTTCTGATTCAAGCACCACTGCTTAGTGCACGACAGACAAGGTTTGGACGGGTTGTCGGGCGTGTTCAGGGATAGAATCGTATAGTTTGCGGAGAAGCAGATGCCTGATGTGTGGTTAGTTCCAGCATGACGATCAAGTTGAAGGGACACCACATTTGCAGAAGTTTGTGACCTCCCACTTATTATTCATGATAGCTTCGACTGGCGCCTGCGAGATTGTTGATGAAGGATTATGTCAAAGAAGAACTCGACTTACGATGCGTAGTATGAGCGTAATAAAAACAAAGTAGAATAGCTGTAAACCAATGAGCCGTGTGGGATCGTGTCGCACCATGGCGGTGAAGGTGATGGAAGTGGCATTATGTGAGAAACACGCTCAAATGGTCGAACGCGTCACTTTCACCTCCAAGCACAATTGATCGTCAAACCCAATCTCTTATCCTACTAGCAGCCTCTATTAGCCAAAACTTTTTCAGGTCGTTGTCTCTGCAGGGATGTCGGCAGAATTTGAGGATGTCCTCACAAATCAACCTGTCGTGATAGATAATGTAACTCATCCTCCAACTGCAGCGCGTGTAGGCTAAGCTTAGTTCGGTCAGGGCTCTGGAACCATCAAAGCAGGTTTCGCGGGTCAAGATCATCCAAAATGCTTTTTCCCGTCATTGTACGTTTTTACAATGCGATGCTAGTCAAAGTGTATTCCTATTCACTTGAATTGCTAGCGTTGGGAGACCAAAGCATGTGCGTGTCATGGCCGGCGCTCTTGAAGGTGACGTCTTCATCGGTCGTCGCGCGCAAGAGTTCCGCGGTCTTCTCAAAATCAAATACCCCATGGAACATGGCATTGTAACCGATTGGGATGACATGGAACGTATTTGGAGTTGGATATATGCCGAAGAGCTTGGGACCCTCAGTGAAGAGGTATGTCTCCTTTATCTATTATAGAGGCCCAGACATTCCGACGAGAATCCCTGAAAGCACCCAGTTCTTTTGACCGAAGCACCGCTCAATCCAAGGAGTAATCGTGATGTAGCCGCTCAGATATTCTTCGATACATTCAATGTTCCAGCTCTCTTCCTGTCGGTGCAGGCCGTTCTTTCGCTGTAAGCTACAGACTTTGCATGTATGTTTCGACCCTCTTCGAACTATCTGTAGATATTCTTCAGGGCGGACAACGGGCATAGTACTCGACTCCGGGGACGGCGTTACACATGCTGTCCCAGTATTCGAGGGTTTCTCCATGCCTCATGCGATTCGAAGAGTGGATGTCGCCGGAAGGTATGGTTTTAATCTTCCCGTCGAATAAAATCCTTATATGTCGTATACACAGGGACGTAACTGACCATCTACAGCTGCTGCTAAGAAAATCTGGCCATCACCTGCACACGACTGCAGAAAGAGAAGTTGTTCGGATAATCAAGGAAAAATGCTGTTATATCGCGTTAAATCCTTCCAAAGAGGAGAAGGATACAGTGGGCCGAACTGAAGAGTTTCGTCTCCCAGACGGAAACATAGTTCAGGTGAATTCCTAGCTTCTTGTCTGGAGACACCAATCACATATTTCTTGCAGTTGGGACCCGAGCGGTTCCGTGCTCCCGAAATATTGTTTAATCCAGAGCTTATTGGGCAAGAATACGCAGGTGTTCATCAGGTTGTCGTTGATTCCATCAATCGAGTTGATCTGGATCTGCGGAAAAGTCTCTTTTCGAACATCGTGCTGAGTGGAGGGAGCACGTTATGTAAAGGTCCGTAAACTTCGGTAGACAAGTCACTCCCGCATTGATAACACCTTTCTGAAGGTTTTGGGGACCGTCTTCTCAACGAAATCAAGAAGTTGGCTTTGAAAGACGTCAAGATCAAGATTTATGCCCCTCCGGAACGCAAATACTCAACATGGATAGGTGGTTCCATTCTCGCAGGCCTTGGGACTTTCAAGAAGGTTAGTCTGAACTTGTTTTGTGTGGGCGGTTCTGAAACATATCCACAGATGTGGGTATCAGCAGAGGAGTATCAAGAAGATCCAGATATCATCCACAAAAAGCTTGGCTTCTAAAGCTTTACTTTGTGTTTCATCCCCTGGTGCTAGAACTTCATGCTCGACTATATTACCACTACATCGATACCCAAAATAGCCAACTGGTCTTGTAATACTCTTAGAAAATGCGCGAATGCCAATGGAAATGCTTGTGAGCCACGCATGTGCATATGATTCATGGATGTGGTTGTGGTGTGACATATGCCATAGTACAGCTTCTCGATAATAAGGGTGCACTCGAGCAAGAAACGGAGATAAACCAATGTGAGAGGGCAATGTTTACTTGCCCTTCTTGGCGGGTTCGGCAGCCTTGGTCTTCTTGGTACCACGGAACTGCAGACGAAGTGCATCAGTGCACCATTCGAACGTAACCAAAGGACTCGTCGTACCTTCTTCGCGCGGTTCTTTCTCTCGTGTCGCAGTTTACGTGAAGGTTTGTCAACCTTGGTCGCAAGGCCAGACTGGTTAGATAGATAATGAGACGGCAGTCGTGTGATAGGGTAAACATAAGCTTGCCTTGACCAGTCTGTGTTTAGGCTCGAACCTCTTCTGTGATGCCTCATCATCGTAAATCAGCGCAAACCCAGTGCTACGTCCACCACCGAATTGTGTTCGGAAACCAAAGCAGACTACGCGTGCTTTTTCTGTCTTGTACATGGTAGCCAATTTCTCTGCGAGCTCGTCTCGTGGTACGTTGGGTCGCGATGGGTGGAGAACATCGAGAACAAACTGACGGCGCGCCAAAAGGCGGTTGGTGATGAATTTACGGGCGCGGAGGGTAACCGGTGCTGCGTTGTCGGCCTAAAGTCATAGTTCGTAAGCTTAGTACATCCAAGCTGCATTGGTACCATCCATCGCCTCCCGACCACAGATCTCGTGCGGTTTCGACGATTCAACATGGAACAAGGACCCGCAGCATTCAACGGAAACTCTTACCATGATTTTTGTCGTCCTCGACGTTTTGCGACCTTTTCTTCCCGGGGTCTTGACGGGATAGTGTATGGAGGCGTAAGGAGATCAAAGTCCGTTCGGCAGAGTCCGGTCACAGCCACCTGGAATTGCCAAAAGGGGTTGGATAGCTCCTTGGAGTCTGGACTCCCTTGTGATAGACCTTGCGATGTCGTCCAGCTTTGCCTCTTCGTTCGCGCCCTATGTAAGCATTCTCTATATCTTTGTGAACCCAATTGTACCTATGCGTGCAGACCCCACCCCCAGATGACTCTTCTTATCGATTGGCGCCATCTTCGAGCTCTAATGCGCGCCCATGGTTTCCTGTTCACTCATCCTCACGAGGAATAGAGATATCTTACCAGTCTGGCGGCGTTCCTACATTTAGCAATTCAATAAGCGGGCATGAGGGTACCCAGGAAGATGTTCAGCAGAACCAGTGGGAAACAAGTTATGGGATGCGTGTGGACGTCCTATCAGCCTTCGCATATATATGGGGCCCAATCTCAGGTAAGTAATGCGAGAATGAGCAACTATTCTGTCGCGTTATGAACCACTTCAGCTTTGATATTACTTGTGCTGGAAACTCATAATGATTATGTCCGGTTTCATGGTAACCGCTTCCCCGCTTCCTTACTGATTTACCGCTGAGCTCATGAATAACAGCCTACCAATCTGCCTTGCTAATGACACCTCTACTATTGGTGCGCATATTCGCACCGCTACTTGGTTTTCCTTCATGGGTGCAGTCATTCCTCACCATTGTATTCGCGCTTTCCGCGCTTTTCATGGCGTGAGTGATTCGCAAAGTTGATATGATTCCCGAATTCACGAGTTTCAGCGTACGAGCGTATCTTGGAGCTTCGCGCGAAAGTCTTGCACGTTATCATCTCCCAAAAATTGGGCCCCTCGCTGAGAGATGGGTGTTTGAGGAATGAGCTGCCCTCCCACAGCGACATCATGCACGTGTACCGGAATCGCGCCCTTTATCTACGTAGTATTAATACTTATGGAGCTCACTTTCAGTCGGGACTCGTATTTCATACAGCAAACGGATTCAAGACATCCTTGTACATTGTAATCAAAGCCCACATGATAATGGACAGCTTCGTTTTGTTAAGGATGTAGTCGAGCGAACAGCATAGATAGTTAACAAAAACATGAGGAAGGCCGTTATAATACAGTGGCAAGATAAGTACAAAACAAATTCGTACGTGCGCTCTAATAGAAGCGCCAGCGCATGGGTTCTACAGATAGTCTGTGGTTACAGAAGAAGTTGAGTCTAACCCGCTGTCATATGCAAAGACCTGCAACCTGGACGCCAGACGCGCATGTCGCCGTGACAGCCTTGCCGAGAACGGCCTGAAGAAGGGGTTGGATCGCGTTGATGATGGCATCGGAGAGATTCTCGACGATGTCCAGGAGGTCGTCCAGAATACACTTTAGATCGTACACGACTACAAGGAGAATTCAATACCGTTACGCACGCTGAAAATTAGCGAGACTTACTGGGACCCAAGATCGGGCCGACGATGGGCAACGAGACAACCAGGTTGTAAGTGACTGTGAGGATGTCCTTGTTGGCGTTGACGATGCTCTCTAGCAAGGTCTCTAGGTTGTTGGTGGGATCCAGGTTTGCGACGTCCTTGTCACCGCCAAGCTCCGCTAGAACAGTTGTGAAGCCCTGGAAGTTCGTGTTGAATCCCGAAAGCTCTGTTGATGCCTGCTGCTGGAATGCTGGGTTGGAAGCGGACGCAGACGTTGCGTTTGATGCTAGGTTGTCTATGCGAGAACAATGAGTAATAGTCACACACAACCCCATTTCGAAACCGACATACGATAGTTTTCGGCGTGTTGTAAGGCTTGACGGTGATAGCTTTGCAGAAGGGCAAGTTTGCGGCTCGAGGCCGTCGAGCTGCCATGAGCACTGGCAGACGTAGGAACTGGTTCACGCGGCACGTGCGAAGCACTCCTGGCGGCTTTGCGTCCCGCGTTCCCCGCCGTTATCCGCGATGGCACCTTCGGGGGCTTAGTAGTTGGTACGGCTGTAGTATGCGAGGCCAGATGCTTAGGTGCTGGTAACCTGTTCGTTCTGGCAGCGAAGTTTGCGAACCCGCCAAAGGCCCTCGGCGAAGACGGCACCGGGATTGGTTTTGCCAGGGCATGCTGTACTGCGAAGGGCGTGCTTAGCATCAGCGTAATGGCGGCGGCGGGCACAAAGACAAGGAGAGAGCGCATGACCGGCATTATGAAGGAGTGGGATGAAAAGGAGCGTGAAGAAGGGTTATAGATATTAAGACAAGCGGCTCGCGCTGAAGTTATGAGAGATATAGACTAGGGGAACGACGTAGCCAACAAGTGCCCAGACTTGCGATAGTTGTGGTAGGATGCAAAAGTGCAACTCATCCAGCGAGAAGCGTTCTTATACCCCAATCTGTAGCTTGCCAAACCTTAATCATGCCTCATTTCTGATTGGTTCCCTCCACCTCGCGTCCATATCACGTGATGAAAAGCAATTCACTACGAGATGGCGCAGCGACATTATGAGCTCTTTACCTGGGACATGGACGAATACTAGGACATGACGCAGAGGACTGGTTTATACTAAAGGGCATTATTTATTATTGGAAGAGGACACGTTGTGTGAAGCAGGCCGGAGACGGAGTCAGAGAAAGATGTAATCAGACGCGGAGTATCATAAGCAGTGTTTTATCTGCAGTTCATGATTCATTGAGCAAAAAAGGAGGTACAATACTGATTACTCTCTTGAAATGTTCGTGAGTGGGAGAATGCGGGGTATGCGCAGACTGCAAAGGTCCTTCGCCTAATCAACCTGTGCTACGCAGGTCAACGCCGTGGATAAATTTGTCGGGCTTTCAGCACTTGCCTTACATATCCGCTGACAGGGCTTTTTGAAGAGCCCGTGTAGCGAAGTAACGCACGTCTGCATCTGAATCTGTTTTCTGTTGCTCTAGTACGGGAACGATGCTTTGGCGGACAAATTCTCGACCCTCGGTAGTATTTCCATAGGTAGTGGCAAGAATCTCTAGAGACTTGGCGACATTGAAGCGGATGTTCGGAATGGGGTCTTCGGCAAGCTGCAGGAGTGGCCCGATAATCTCAGCTTGAACGATTGCAAGATTCAGGGAAGGCGCGATAGTCTGTAATTTGAAGATCCGCTCAAATTGTTGCTGCCCAGTAAAGATGATGACGTACTGTGATCGCCTGCACGGTGGTCATCCTATAGAGGTAATTTGGATGTTGTCCCATACCCATGACCTTGGGCACAATTTGAACCTTCGCCCAATCGACGCCAAAAACTTCGGTCAGTTTCTTGAGGTTAATGGTTGCGGATTCGCGTATACTAAAGACCGTATCACCCAACCAAGACATACACAGGTTGCCGAGCTGTTCGTCGAAGAAAGGCTTGCCAAGTTGCGTTGCGAGAAGGGGGATATATTCTATGATAGCTTGTCTGACGCGCCATGACTTGTCCTCTGCAAGTTCAATGATGGCAGGAAGAAGACTATCAGACAGGAGTTCGATATCAATGACTGACGATAGTATTTTCAGAGAGCCATTTGTGTGCAAATGGGCAAGGAGCTTACCGCCATTCACAGTCTCGAGCTTACTGATGACATTGAGTCGAACTTCAGGAAATTCGTCCTTCAATAAATGCAGGAACAAGGGTAAGAGATGCTCGGTAGTAGCATCTCTGCCCAAGAGTGGTGCAAGGCCACTGATATGGTTCGCAAGAGCGGCACGCACGTGCTGAGACGCGTCGTGCGAGAGGTCACGAACACAAGGCACGATGCGTGCAAGAATGACTTCCTTCTCGAGCAGTTTTGAAAACCCTTATAAAGTCAAGCGTTGAATCAAGCACCATTCTATGGTGATATTGATTAACATACCTGGGATCTGGCCTGCAGCTGCTGTTCGCACTTCTGCCTCGTTATCTTTCAGAAGCTGCACATATTGACCTATCAGCTCCTCCCTGACCAGCTCTGTGCCGACGGCTTCTGCGAGCTAAATGCGAATATGAATTGGGTCAACCACATGACCGTGAAGTCCGGCATCGGGGACGCACCTCATTGAAGTGTGTGGCGGCCATATATCTCACTCGCCAGCTCTTATCAGCAATACTGTGTCTGATTTGCTTCAACAACTGCTCCTTCACCTCAGGTGGCGTAAGTTGCTTCGCGATAACAATAAGATCTTCTACTGTGAGTAAGCGCACAGAATCCTGATCATCGGATTGAAGTCTGCGGTAGATTGGTAGGCCATCCGACAAGACATGTTGCTTTGACAAGTTTTTGACAAAGGGCTGTCAAAAGCACAGATGTTTCAATCGGCGCAGAAACAGAATATGTATCACCCACCCCGAGCCACCTTGCTGCGGCACGTCTGACCATAGGTGTATCATCTGCACCCAGAGCGGCGAAGCCCTTCCGGAGATCCTCCTGAATCGACCACGATACTTTGTTGTAAACTGGAGGATACAAGGCAGCAGACGAGGTGCGCGATGTAAACCATTCGCCCTGTGATAGCCGCTTTAGGAGTGGAATGTAAAACTCTTCGATTTGCGGAGTAGATAGGACACCAGCTATTTTGGCGATAGATTCTGCAGCCTGGTGGCGAGAGCATAAGTTATCAACGAACGCATCCAGCAACATCTCTTAAAAACGCGCACCTTGTCCCGTACAAGGGTCTCTTCTACTGCCGACAGATTCTCCAGAGGGCCTAGCAGGACATGAGCGAATTGCTTTCCCCCAATATACTCCTCAAAATTCCTTCCAAGTTCTTTTGCCAAAGCTAGTAGTACCTCATCCTCGTCATCGACGGAGTCTTGCAAGAAAGGAACGAGTTCGTCACGGGCGCGATCTGGTCCTAAAGCAAGTGCAATTGTGGGTATGCTGTGGATGGCGTTGAGGCGTAGTTGAACGTCTTCCGAGCGCAGCTCGTCCATTAGAACGGCAATAGGTGCGATCTACAATGATGATGTGTTACTTTCAGGTCGTTTACCGTGGAGTTTATGGGGAGACTCACGTCCTCCATGGTGTATCCTGGTTCCATCGTGGCGCTGTATCAAGAGGCGTTCAGTTCCTATTGTTGAGAAATCATGTAGAGGCTTCTTACTGTTTGACAAGTCAGATACGCCTACTATACCTTTACAAGGGTCGCGAGGCTGAAGATGATTGGAAAGTGTGATGTCTAGCGATGAAACGTTGAAGCGAGTGATCTGTTCTTGATTAAGCTTGATTAAGAGAAAGGGTATCTTCTTTAGGTGGTGTCAATTCAATCACCAAGCCACAAGCCGTGTACAATATTATCGTTCAAGTTTGCAACTATAACTATCGCGCAGAACATAGAATAACCTACCAATCCCGCCTACTTCAGGATGAGCCCTGCAGACCGTCACTAAACTTCACGCCCCAAGGACGAGATTCGCTTGGAGTCATGAGACATTTGGCGGAATCGGAATTACTTCATGGAGCGAACTGAGTCGATACAATTGCAAGGTTTTTTTAGCTTCCGTATCATCTGCAGTCACCATAACGGAGATCGCTAGAGCTTCAACTGAGTTCATTTTATGACATGAGCGATGTCGCTACGATGGATATCATGTTGTATATGAAGTGTAAAGTAACCTGCGACCAAAACCTATTTGACTTTATGACAAAAGACAACCTCTTCACGAAGAAGAGCAAAGTAAAAAATTATGCGATAATCATCAACAGGCCCAAGGGCTCCAGTCGAAGACGACAAACCCCCAGTGGCACAAGCCATGAGGTCTGCCTCGCGTTGACGGAAAGCACTGTCGTCGAGTCAGGTGGCAAAGTCCCTGCGAAGTCTTATCATTAGCATCAAGGGGTCGAACGATGCATATAACACTTACAACCCGACAAACCATAAACATCACCCAGGACTCCGTACAAAATGTGCAGGTTATAGAATCTCAACCACTTCCATGAACACTCCCAACAGAAGATGGTCTTTAACTTGATCCATAACCGATACTACACTCGGCAGGATATTCCCAACGGGCTTCCACTTCGCTGCGTGCATGCACACAGAGACCCACATACACCTGAGACAACCCAGGGTATAGCGAGATCTGGCTCGAAGCTAGCCTCATCGGATAGACGGCATGTAACAGCATTTTGACATTACGACAGGGGTCTGGATACGGCAACAGTTTGTGAGAATAAATCCATGTCCTCGTTATAATTCGAAAGCCCTGCGAGACTGAGTCATGCCGCACAAAGCACGGAAGCACCGATAGACTCCTGAGAGGTCATCCTCGTATGCTTTGACCATGACTTGCCCCGCGAGCAACGCTTCATGTGACTTTTCGCAATGCACAAAGGTTGTAGCATGACGGCAATAGGTCCGTGTGGTTGTGTTCCCTGTCCATGCGACTGGTCTATGATATGGTTGCGAGATGTGCGCTCTGTGCAGGTGTGCACTAATCTATAGTATGAGTGCGCGTCATGCGCTTATCGCACTTTCAAGCGATCAAGGAGAGCAATGCCGCAAGTGAATGGACGAATGCACCGATAAACCACGCCCAGTGTCGAAGCGAAGAGTTCTTGTATGCAACGAGAGAGGGCTGCTTGACCCTTGATATCAAGTGTCCCGTGATATAGCAAATCGTTAAGTTTTTCGATGAGCAGATGCGATGCGCCATAACAGTATGGCAAAAGCTTCAGAAGGCATGGCAAAGGGGCCAAGGCATCAGTAGCAAGTAAAGTATCGATAAATATTGCCTGTAGACGCTGAACAGACGAGAAGTCAGCAGCAATGTGAGGACAACTTTGGCCTGGTGAATGAAACGACAGCATAATGCATCTGCCTATTTGGATCACTGCCGCGCTGCGAAATGATCACAGAGGAAGCTGATAAGAGGGCTTGTTTGCCGCTCCCTCGTACTTCCGGCTCAAGGCCGACCATAAACACAATCCGGAGACTCGCGGAGAGAATGCATCATGAAGTGTGAGAGAAGTGTCGCGAGTGGGAGTGGTGTGTGTCAAGAGTGAGAGACTTGATCATCTCTTGAGAGGGGTAACATGTCAAGAGTGGAGAACAAAGTAGAAGAATGGACGTAAATAGTGGCGATTCTACCTAAGGGCAGGCTTTTCAGATCAATTACTCAGCGCGGGACGATCGGGCCGCCAGGCCCCTCCCACAGGGATTGTATACTTCAAAGTTGCCAACTCATCCCTCAAGCTTACTGTCTACTTTGAAAGATGCCAGTTAAACAGGTTGCTGGGCGAGTCACTTTGACTCATTCAAAGGTCTGTGATGGACTAGACCCAAGCAGACACGAGCGCAGCACTGATCACTGATTATCATAAACAGGGCTCTTCTGTGGAACTACTTCTGTACGGTGCGACAGTCATTTCATGGAAATCTGGAACCATCACCGAATCTCAGCCAATTGAGCGGCTATTCGTCTCGTCCAAAGCCGCCCTCGATGGGTCAAAGCCAGTGCGGGGAGGAATTCCAGTTATATTCCCTTGCTTTGGAGCTCCTACCCACCCAGAGCACATGAAACTCGGCCAGCATGGTTTCGCTAGAAATGAATTGTGGACATTCGACAGCATTGTGATGGACAGTGATGCGGGTGTATCGGTGCGGCTTAGTAAGTATCACTCCACTGGATTTCTTTCGTTTGATATATTATCTCCCAGCGCTCGAGCCGACCTCGGGTATCACAGCAAAATATGACAAACCGTTCCATCTGGCTTATGTTGTTACCCTGGCTGAGCATCAGCTTAGCACTGATCTGCACGTCACGAATACGTCGACCTCCACGGCTTACCCACCAGATAACCTCGAATTCCAGGCGTTGTTCCACAACTATATTAGGGCTCCTGCAAACGACGCTCTTGTGTTCCCATTGCAAAACAAGAGTTATTATGACAAAACAGAGCCGTCCGAAGAGGCCAGAAGCAAACCGAAACTTGAGACCAGAGCAGGAGTTGACGTTCGCCAGTTCACCGACTCTGTGTACGAGGATGCAGGGGGGAAATATGAAGTCACATGGCCAGGAGGTGGCGTAGAGATCACGGTCAGGGAGCTAAAGGACGTTGTCGTCTGGAATCCTCAGCAGGCTGCAGGTTCAAAAATGGGAGACATGGAAGATGGTGGATGGTGAGAATTCGTACTAAACCATGCACTTGGAAGCTGACATCCCGTAGGGAAAGGTATGTTTGTGTTGAGCCAGGTTATGTGAGGGGATTCGCGAAGATAGAGCCAGGCAAGACATGGATTGGGCAGCAAACTATATCTGTCATTCATCACGAAAGGAGGATCAATCAGTTGTGATTAGTACTTGAGAATCGCGCACTTACCCAGCTGTATCAGACCAATCAAAGAGATCATAGATTTTGTAGCTCGAGTGACTCCAAGTTGCAAGCTTTCCAAGTTTTCCTGCACACAATGTATGTGCTTGCCGCCACAGAAGTTCCGTGTGACATGTTACCTAGTCCAGTACCAGACATCCAACTTTGTTTTCAAGGCGTCAACTGCATTCAGTGCATCCGCTCATGAGCAAAAATTCTTCCACCCTCGTACTGTATAACAATTAGTTTCATGGAGCAAGAGGCTACACTTCGAGTACTCATCAATCAAATTGACTACACTGTGGCCTCCCCTGGCACTCTCGACAATGCATCTCTCCCTCGAGTACCTGTGATCCGCGTTTATGGGGCGTCGTCCGCAGGAAAGAAAGCGTGTGTACATGTGCATCAAGTGTACCCTTACTTTTTTGTTGAGTATGGGGGCAAATTGAGTCCCGAAAATGGTGTGTGGGTCCACCTTCAGCATATTTTCGTATTGACTCCAGTCAGTGAACCGGTACATTGCAAAATTGTCTCGTTCTTTGAACCATGCTATTGCCATTTCGATGAAGCGCAATCCACACTCGCCCAACTCACAGTTTGTCCGGGCTGTCCTTCTCGTCAAAGGCGTTCACTTCTATGGATTCCACTCGTCATACACACCGTTCTTGAAGATTCTTATCGCAGACCCCACCTTTGTCAATCGTGCTGTGACTATATTGCAGTCAGGAACTGTCATGCGAACACGCTTTCGCGTTTATGAAAGCCATCTGAGCTACCTCCTTCAGTTCATGTGCGATTTTGGGTTATATGGATGTGGCTGGATCGATCTTGCGGAGGTCTGGCAGCGAGGACACGAAGAAAACGACACTGAAATCACGGGATCATCGACATTCAAGATATCACCATACTTTCGGCAATCCCGCATGCCGCTTGAAGTCGACGTCGCTGCTCATCAAATTCTGAACCGCCGTCTCCTGTCCGCACGCAACATCCACCACAAGTTGGCAATACCTTCACCGCCTTTGCCTTCTGAACCATTTGTCCTGAGTGTCCGTGAACTGTGGGATGATGAAAGACGTAGAAGGCTTGCCCAGGGCCTCTCCCCAACTCCTGCGCTTCCTCTCGATTCAAGCAAGATGTCGAGAGGTCATGGAGGCGAATGGGTCGCGGAGGCGAGGTGGTGGGAGGAACTCAGAAAACACATTGAAAAGGAAAGAGACCCTGAGCCGATTTTCACTGACAGAGAGGAACTTTGGGAGAAATGGGTGATGACTACTTTTGAGAGCGTGGAAGCCCTCTGGGAGCCTGTTTGGAGAACCTGGAAGCCAAGTCGTAGCGAGGCTACTGGCCATAACGGGCAGAGTACTCATACTTTGGAAGCCGAGGACAGGGAAAATCCTTTTGCACAGGCTACGCAGGATGGGTCTTTGATAAACCGGAAAGGACCACCGCAAAGTACGGATGTTGATGTCGACGAGATGTTGCTTTCCACACAGGAAATGAGCCAGATGATGGACCGCGAAGACCAAGAGTGGGCGGACTTGCAGGAGGGTGACACCATTGCGGAGCCCGACGCTGCTACAGATGATCAGTTAGCTGACGAAGGGCTTCCTCCGGATTTTCGGATGGACGTGCCCAATCCCTCTGGTGAGGTCGAAGCCGCTACTGATGGGAATGAAAGGTTCAGGAACTTATTTCGTCTGGCTCTTGTACTGATGTCTGCCTTAGGAGACTTGACTCTCCTTCGCGAGGCCCTTCCCGAACAAATCCGTTCCAACACTTGTGGCACAATCTGGCAATGTAGGCGATGCCTTCTTCTGAGAGCCATCACTGAAGTAAGAACAGCCGCAAACGAGCGAGGAGTCTTTCAGTATCTTCAGAGCTTCCAGCGACCCCTACCAAGTGAGCATAATTACTTTCATGGAAGGGTTTTTCATTTGTCTATATTCAGAAAACCGATGTACACGTGCCACGAAGCGACTATGCCTACGATGTAATTGTTGAAGCTAGCGTATATTGACCTGTATTGAACAGTTACAAACAGGGATGCGCCACCATCAATGGTTCCTACAGAGACCCTAGCAGGGCGGGAATCGTCCTCGGACTTGTCTGATTCATCTGACAATAGTGACCGATGTGATTGGGAAGAAAATCCATTCCAACTTCGGGATGAACAATTGATTGATGTATCAGGAACGCCAAAGAGTTCACAGGACTCGGAAACAAGTAACCGGGTGGGGCGTGCTAACGCAATTGTGGGGTTGGTCTCGCGAAATTTTACAAATCGCTGAACGCTAATAGAAACAAGAGAGGAACGACGCAGCCACTCCTCCCAGCGGAATGAGCAGCCGAACTTGCCAAGAGCCTCATTTTCAAGACACATACCACTTACTTCAAGCTCAACTACTGCATTCACATTCGCGGTATCGCCGCCGTCTTCCTCTGAACTTCTCAGGACCATTGAGACATATGGTGTCCTCCGAAGGGTGTACCGTAATCCCTATTACTCCAGACGTGCAGATGCTTCAGAGCACCCAAGAGAATATGCGGGTCTTTTATATCATCTTAAAGGTGGAGAGGGGCTAGATACCCTGGACCAGTGGAAGTCTCATGGAAGTCAGCTTCATATGGGAAGAGATGCGCGTCCTTCGAAGAGCACGTATATGACATGGGGATGGGAGTATGCTGCCCTACCTCCGAGCAAGACTCAAGTTAAAAAGTGGCTGAAAGAAAACCCAGTTCAGCTGAGCACGAAGGCCAAGTTGCACTCTCAGGTAAGTTGAGTATATTATGTCTAACAGCCATCTCAGGAACGGGCATTCAGATCGATGGCAGCACTCAGATGAATCCCTTCGGCGTGAAATCAATGCCACATGTTCGATCTGACACCAATACCAGAGCAGCCCAGCACATGTCCTTGTTTTCCCTAGAAGTATTTGGTGAGCTTCGAATCGACTGTTTGTCATCCGCTTACTTTTGTTACTAGCCCCTTCACGAGGTAACAAAGTACCCGACGCAAATGTTGACGGGATCGTTGCAATTTTCTTCGCTCTCGGGGATGATGACATTCATTCAGTGTTTCACGAACGAGGCATCCTAGCGGTCAAGAATGCGGAACTGGATCCTTATCGAATACGCGGCTTCCCGTTGGAGATCGTCGCTGACGAGCTGGAGTTACTCAATCGGATCGCTGACATAGTAGTTGAGTTTGATCCGGATATCATTGTGGGTTGGGACGTTCAAACAGCATCCTGGGGCTATCTCAATGCCCGAGGAAACCATTATGGTTCGTGCAAGGTCTTTTCCTAGCTTTTGGTAGTTAAGATACATGTGAAGGATTTGACATCGGCGAGCTTATAGCTCGAGCCCCTAGCAAGAATCCTGCTGCAGGAAACGATCCATGGAGTCAGAGGACAACTACTACGTTCAAGGTCACTGGTCGGCATGTGTTCAACGTCTGGAGAATCATGCGAGTGGAACAGACACTTTCCATGTACTCTTTCGAGAATGTAGTCTTCCAGTTACTGCGTAGAAGGTAAGCCCACCAATCAATCATCACTATTTGTCCACTCATTTGCACAGGGTCCCTCGTTATACCCCCGAGGTCCTAACAACTTGGTATAATAGTACAGATCCTGTGCACACTTCCCGTGTCCTCCGCTACTTCCTTGAACGAACGATCATTACACTGGAAATCCTCCAAGAAGCCGAAACAACTACAAAAAATGCGTGAGCCTTCAATTAGATTTAAAGCAAGGTGGTCTTTTAAGGTCTAAACAGAGAATTTGCGCGTGTTTTCGGAGTCGATTTTTACTCCGTAATCAGTCGAGGCTCACAATTCAAAGTGGAGTCATTTATGTTCCGCATCGCGAAGCCGGAGAGCTTCGTTCTCCTGTCTCCCAGCAAACAGGATGTGAGCTCGAATTATGCCATTCGAAATCAGCTGACAGCTATCTTCTAGGTTGGAAAGCAAAATGCTGCAGAATGCATGCCTCTCATTATGGAACCTCTCTCCGCCTTTTACAATGGACCCCTCGTCGTGCTTGACTTCCAATCTCTATACCCATCAATTATGATTGCGTACAATTATTGCTACTCAACCTGCCTCGGCAGAGTCATCGACTTCCAGGGTCGCAACAAGTTTGGTGTCGTGGATCTCCAAAGACCACGCGGGCTCTTGGAAAAGTTGCAAGACCGCATAACAGGCCAGTTATCCCTCTTTTGGGCTCTGTGCTCGTTTTGAATTTCCGACCATAGTTGCGCCGAATGGCATTATCTACGTGAAGCCTGAAGTAAGGAAGGGTTTGCTTGGCCGCATGCTCACGGAGTTGTTGGACACCCGAGTAATGGTCAAACAAGCGATGAAGGTTTCAAAGACTGATAAGGTAATGCGTATGTCGCCAATTCTTTGAGTTCAATAACCACGGTCGTACAGGCGCTCAGTCGAGTTCTGGACGCGCGCCAGCTCAGTCTGAAATATATTGCTAATGTCACTTATGGATATACAAGCGCGACATACTCCGGCCGCATGCCTGCTGTTGAAATTGCAGACAGTATTGTACAAAGCGGCAGAGAAACCTTGGAGAAGGTCGGTATCTTAGCCACGTGGTTTCGCACGCGCCTGACTGTGTAGCAGGCTATAGAAGTCATCGACAGCACCGCTAAATGGGGAGCTAGAGTGGTTTATGGGGACACGGACTCGCTTTTCATATACCTTCACGGAAAGACAAAGGAACAGGCTTTCCACATCGGCTATGATATTGCGGACGCGGTTACGGCGATGAACCCAGCACCCATCAAATTGAAATTTGAAAAGGTCTATACAATTCGAAACGAATGAGTCAGCTACTGATGTTTCGACTAGGTGTATCTGCCATGTGTATTGATGGCGAAGAAAAGATATGTTGGATTCAAATTCGAGAATCCGGACGAAATCATCCCCGCATTCGATGCGAAGGGAATTGAAACTGTCCGCCGAGACGGTGTACCTGCTCAGTCAAAAATGACCGAAACATGTTTGAAGTGAGGAGGTTTTCGCATCATTATGACGTGAAAGCTCGCTAATCCTGCGACCAGAATTTTATTCCGTACTCAGGATCTCAGTCAAGTCAAGGATTATTGCTACCGGTCATGGACTAAAATTCTTCAAAACAAAGTGTCCATACAAGATTTCGTTTTTGCAAAGGAAGTCAAAATGGGGACATACTCGTGCGTGCAAATATTTTGATCAGTGATATGTACTGGAACAAGATCATGTCAGTGAAAAAGCACCACCTCCGCCTGGTGTAGCTGTTGCCGCTCGAAGGATGATGGAGGACGAGAACGACGAGGTTCAATATGGCGACCGAATCCCATACGTCATTGTAAGAGGTGATCCCCAGACGCGGCTTGTGGACAGGGCGATGTCCCCGGAAGAACTACTGCAGCATAAGTGTGCCTTTTACTCCTTGCATTTGTGATGGAACGACTGATATCCACGATCCAGACACATGCAATTAGACGCTTCGTACTATATATCCCGTATTCTGATCCCACCACTCGAACGTGTTTTCAACTTGCTGGGTGCTGACGTTAGAACTTGGTTTGACGATATGCCAAAGGCCATCCGAGTCGATCATCCAAATCCTCTTACGATGTCTCCCAAAAAACAGAGGATCACGGCGAACCGATTCAAGATAGACGAACATTTCCAGAGTTCCCAGTGCCTTGCATGCGGTGGCTTGTCTTCAGACGGTAGGTACTCGTATAGGATCATCCCTCTTCTGGTTTAACGAGCTCACGACAGGAATCTGTGAAAACTGTCGGAGAACACCCCAGGAAACAATACCGGCCCTCCTTGAACAAATAAGAAAAGGAGAATCCCGGCTCCTGGACGCACAGCGGGTGTGCGCATCGTGTACATCCAGCGCAAATGCCGAGCCATTCGAGTGTATCAACATTGACTGCCCGTGGTTGTTTGATCGAAAAAAAGCAGAAAGGAAGACGGAGTTCCTCGAGGGGTTAGGAGGAATCATAGATGACCTTGAAATTTCAGAGGATCACTGCGATAGTATACCAGACTGACTCGACGGTTACTATAAGACATGCAACCTTAATTAAGTATACTACTTGCAACTTAATGCTCGTGCTCCGCTAATAGTTACAATGTCTCATTCGTCTTTTGTCTTGTAAGATTTTCCGCTCAGCCTCAAGACAGAGTTACTCAGTACACACCAAGTATAAGCAGTAGCAAGTGCCACCAGAGGCTTGAAGCGGGGGTGGACGCGAAAGTGCTACGGTCATGTGACGTACGCGTCCCACGTTTGTTGACGCATTGTTTGGCGCTCACTTAAGACGAAACGCTCACTTCAATTGCTCAAAGCTTGCACTAGCGAACGCGCGAAGGTAAGTATGGCGCATCCAGCGTCCGGAATCGTGGCATGGACGACCTCTATCCGAACGTCTATGGCGAAAGATTCATGTCGGCAATTATTCGAGGACCAAGTCCAAACCCACGGCTTCATCTTCCTAGACGATTACCTCGAGAATATCTTGGCTGGTCCAAAGCAAGAGTGCGTGAAATGAATCATCCTTTTCTCAACTCTGAGCATCTGTAGACCTATCATCGAGCTCGTCAAGACACCTGCTCGAAAGAAGACCGCGCCGAAGCGAACCAGAGCAGCCACTTTAGCAGCGGCAAAGGCTCAAAACGCTATTCTTTTGTCCCTCGAGGTATTTCATCTCTTATAAGACCAATATCGATAGTCATGTCTGTTCTGTAGGAGGAGGATATAAGCAAGGAAAACCAGTCACCTGTCAACAGCTTTCATAAAACCCTTCTTCAGGCAAAGCAAAATGCAGAGGCCATGCGTTCTCATGCAGACAGCGATCTCGCTGAGCAAGTCCTTCCGGAGCCTGAGCCCGCGGGCACGATTATGGGCGAGCATGTCGGGTATGACCCTGATCTAGTAGAGGATGATCTAGCACCAGAGGTAGAGAACACGATGGTGTACTCGCAGGACACCTTCCATTCTATTCCTCTTGGCTCACCGAAACCTACCCGTGATCAAAAGATACGCACTGGCAATCACACTCAACCACTTCCTCAAATACCGGTAGCCAGCTCTCCGATCACGCATGCCAGAGATGCATTTACTGCGCCGCTGCCCATTTTACCTGCGTCCAGTTCCGCTCCTGCATTAACAACTATGGTGGTACCACTTAACGACTCGCCGTCTCGGACTCTTGCGCATAAGAGCAGCGTACTGCAATTTCCAACACTTCGCGCTCCATCTCCGCTACGTAAGTCAATGCGTGCGATAGAACCATCTACGGGCACTGGAATTCTTCCGTCAACTACTGCAGCACCAGCGCAACCTCCCGCACTGGGCAAACGTACATCGTGGCTGATGAAGGCCAGAGAAGTGAAAGCCATGGAGGGCATCGTCCCTAGCAAGACGAGCATCCTCGGCTCTGGTGCTAGTACAATGGGTCCCTCTAGCCACACTGTCGCTCCCTTGAAGCGGAAGAGCGGTGACATGCTTGCTGCTGCACCTTTGACTTCAGACAAGACCGACGAAGGACGTAGAGCCAAGGTGGCCAAGGCCTCCGAGTCCGATTCTGCTCCACAAAATTCGAAGGACACCCCTATTCTGAACCAGGAGACAGCTATGCCGACTCAAGCTCTCTTAAATATGGGGCCGGCTAGAGCTCTGCATCTCCCTGAGGAGCGCTGGGAACCACTGAACGACAAGGAGGACGAGGCTAGTTTCATGGGAGTCTTTAAACGTACAGTTGAAGGTCTTGGTGCGCGTGCAGGAAAAAGCATGGGGAAGTCCCTTGGTGGGGGTGCGGCAGCCGTGGCACTTGCTGAAGCTCGTGCTGCAGCAGAAGCAAGAGTAGCGGAGAGGAACAAGATCACTGGAGAAGATGTCACGGAGTCAGAAGACCCTTCCGGATCATGCGCTGAAGAACCTCGACCGACGGCTGAAGATGTTTACTCTAGAGAATCAGAACACAGACTCAGTCTCTCCGACATTGTCTCTACTAACGAGAACCCGGTAGTCATTCAGTCTTCGTCTGCGGCGGATGAGAGCGTTTCAACAACCCCGCCCAACTCCCCACCTCCCACTCGTACTTCTGGCTCTAGCTTCGTTCCTCCTCCTGGTCCAGTGTTCAACAAGCCACCTCTTCCAGTGTTCATGCCTCCCACCTCAAAGCAGCCCGCACCCCTTGCCAAAGAGTTTTCTTTCAATTTACCAATAACGACCTTTACGCTTCCTCCGCCAATATCATTGGGTCTACCGGCAAGACTTGCTTCGCCTCTGTCTCCCTCGCGTCATCATCCACAGGCAGGCGGTACACAATCCTCGCAAGCAAGCACATTTTCAGATGCTGTTTTCGATCGAGTGGAAGACATTCCAGCCTGGATGCCCTCTACTCAAGACACTGAATACACAGACGGTACAGAGTCACAGATTCATCAAGCGAAATTCGCTGCACTTGAAGATGATGACGATGATAGTTGGCCCCTTGAGGAGAAGTTAGCCGCAAGCGAACAGGGATGGACTCCTTTCATATTCAATAATAAGGAGGACAGCATGACGTGGAGTACTCTCCCTACTGAATCTCAGGGACCCACCAGAACGACCGGCAATTCAGCGAAGAAGGAGCAAGATGAGGGACCCGCAATCTCCGGTGCCTTCGCCATGGATATAGATAGTGACGGCGCTCAGGTCCAGGACAATGGCACCAGTGTCCCCGAACTGGAAGCCGACCATGAGTCAGATATGCATACGAGTGATTTGGGCGCTGTCATTAAGGCTGGCCAGTCCGCTGCTACTCTTGTCGAGGCATGTACGCTTTTGATCATTAATATTCGTAGCACTCACAGTAACAACCGAAGTCGGGGGACATTCCGCGGAGCCACAGCCAGTTATCCATGGCCTCGACGTCGTCATCTTCGCAGTCACAGACTGGGTTCTTCGGACAGGCCACAAAGCTCGTCAATAGCATGCTTGGCACGGGCAAAAAGGCCAAGCCGGAGGTCAAGAGCCTGCAGCTTGCAGCTGCTGCTGCGAAGAAGGTATCACATTCAGCCTTACTTGGAGTATTTTGCGGAACTCAAATATTACATAGCAAGAAGAAGAAGCTAACAAAAAGGCCACCCGTCTCAAGGAGATGGAAGCCAGGCGCCAGGCAGCGCTTGCTTGCAAGGCAGACAAGGAGAAGGCTCGCGCTGTTGAGGAGGAGAAGAAAATCAAGGAGGAGTCCGAGAAGCGCAAACGTGAGCGTGACGAAACCACGGAAAAACGGCCTCTCAAGACCACTGCTGCGCTCAAGAAGGTTGAGGAAGACGCGACGAAGAAGCGCAAGATCACTGTCGACGAGAAGAAACCCGAAGTTAAAAAGCCACCTTCAAAAGACAAGAAAGACACCCTTCCTCCTTCCAAGTTGGCGAAGTCCAGTCTGGCTACTCCTGCAACAAAACTTGCTTCTGCTTCCAAGACCCTCAAGGTCCCCGCGCCGTCTGCGCTTGTGTCGTCTGCAACATACAACACCTCGCAAAATGCCGCTGGGTCATCCGCAGTTAAATCCGCAGGTACCGAAGCGAAAACAGGCAAAGTTGGTCCTCCAAAGGGCAAAGCTAAGGCTGTACCGCAGGAGAACGAAGATAACCTTCCCTCCGCCATGGTGCAGAACCAGATGGCAGCGCGTGCCATGGCCCAGATAAGGGCAGCTAAGCAGCAGCCACCCGAAATCCCCAGCGAGAGTATTGAACTTCCCGATATCAACAGCGAATACTCAGACTCGGAAGATGAAGATCGTGTACGGACGTTTGATCCTCCCGATTGGGCTCAGTCGCCGGAGCTCCGACAGGCGTTGCAAATGCAAAGCACAGTCGACCCGGATGACATATTCGGAGCGATCCGACCGTTGCGGATGGAGGAGATATTCAGGACGAGGCAGAGCCGGTTTAGGGCACGGTCGAGTTCAGCAAATTGGTCAGGCACGGACAGACTGACGGTTGAAGAAGAACGAGACTATGCCCGGCGGATGGGCTTTACGAAGCATACATCCTGATGTGGATTGTGAAACGCGTTTCATCTTTTAATCATACGTACATGTGTATATCATATCCTTCGTTCCATGCAACATATTTATTGACTTCAGAAATGGCAAAACGGACGAGAATGGCAAAACCTGGCTTGAATTCGACGGGTCAAGAGACAAGTACAAATGTATGAGCACGGACAAGGCCAGCGATATGTCTGGTTAGGATGAGAATGGAGCTACAAAACTACAGGGGGTATTGCGACGAGACCAACGATGACACCGGAACTAGTACTGTAGATTCGAGTATGGAGGGAGTGACGAAGAGAAAGATGGCGAGAGTGGGCAAACGAACAATAGCAATTATTGTACTGCAGCAGCAAAGTGTAATGAACGACGAGATTGACAATTGTTCACGTCAATATCATTGAAACCCGCAGTAAAAAAGACAGGGAAAAAAGATGAATCAAAAAGACCAAATGGCAAGGAATAAGTGCAGGAGAAAAGGCAAAGGCATGCCAAAAAGAGGAGCGTCGGCGCAGCATATACAGTATGGCGTTGATGGCAAGCAAAATATATGATGCAGGGTTGGTTATAGCAGAGATATAGCGGTGTAATCATCTATAGCCAGCATTAACGGGGGCTGGCGCCGGTGCAGGTTTATTACCGTTCAGGAGTGAAAGTAGCTGAGCACTATTGGTGACAGGGGTACGCGAAGTAATTTGCGGTGGGGGAAAAGTTGTCTGCAAAGCATGGGCTGATGGTGGGATAGCAGATAATTGAGCAGGTGCGACATGGGCCCTGACTGGGGGAATCGCAGTAGGAGGACCAGTCATCATATGAGGACCCGCAGGCTGATAGGCAGAGGGGAAGTGTGCGGAAACATGTGGTTGATAATGATGAGCTGGAAGGTAGCCTTGCAAGTAGGATGGATGTGGATGAGAAGGGTGAGGCATTCCAGCAGGAAGGGGTGGGGGCCCCGTCAGCAGCGACAACAATTGATTTTGCTGGGCATTCCGAGGGGAGTAGTCATGGGCAACAAACTGACTAGAGCGTGGTCGAACTTGAAATACGTCATCAATGAGGGGCGGCGGCTGAGAGTACCCGGTGTTGGCGTGCTGAGAAGTAGATGAAACATGATATCCAGCTGGAACCGAAGGAATATGTCCAAAATGTGGACGAAATTCAGCTTGCGGATAGTGTGTGGGTGGTGGCACAGAAGCCGAAGGTCCTGGATGACGGATGCAGGATATATTACCAATATTAGTCACAGTTGGTAATTCCCTATTGAGCAGAGTGGGGGTCATGCGTGAAGACTCGTCAGCTACCGCTTCCAGTAGGGCTAGCTGCCTCAACATCTTGCCTGAGGCAGGCACCTCAGTAGGACGCGGAAGGTAGGGCGATATGTCGGCAGTGCTCGCGGTACGTCTTGACGACGATGACTTTCGAGAGGAAGTCAAGGATGAAGTGGAAGATGCGGCAGAAAATGAAGCTGTCGAAAGAGCTCCTGATGAAGGAGTTCCAGGAATATGAGATTCATCAAAGGAAGCATGCACGCTCAAAGACTGGGGAACCCGAAGGGAATGCGTGGAAGACGATGTCACGTGTGAAAGCCTTTGTTTCGGAGGCGGAGAAGTTATCACAACAGGCGTTTCTGAGTGGGCAGAAACACGAGAAGACCAATCAACGATATTCTGCTTGGCTAGTGGGGTCGCATTGTGAGCGAGTACCGAGAGAGGTGATTTAACGGGCGGAAGAATGAGCTGAGACTTTGAATCGTCTTGCTTAACAGCCGAGAGCGTCAAAGAACTGAGCAGGCGAGCAAAATGCGGGTCCATGTGTTCAGGATCAACAACTTGCTCGTCATCGGACACGTGGGTAGCTACGGAATGGCTAGTCGCAGGAAGTGCTTCGCTGTATTGAGGAGACGGCGTCTGGGGTTCGCCATTATCTGCAGAGGACGAACTGGACTCGTGTGTGCCATTATCCGTACTTATGTACCCTCCAGTCTTCCAAGCTCGCCCCTCCATTGCTCGAGGCTTGTTGGCAGTGACGAATGCCTTCAATGATCTACTCGAAATTGACAACCACTGTTATAAAAGAGGTATAGACGAGACTCACGCGATGAACGGCGAAATTAAATAAAACTTTCCCGGTGCAGCTTTGTTCCGCCTCCAGGTTGGGAGATCAGTTAACTTGAACCACTCGATCCGCTGCCCAAAAAAAACATTACGACAAGAGCAGGTGTACAACTGAATAAACGTACACTTATCTCCTTGCGGGTCCTAGTTTTAAAAGGAAAATCTTCCGGGACTCCGGGTACCACAAAGAGGGATATCAATTGCTCCTTGATCGACATTTCAATTACGTTTTCAGGATCTAGCTGACCCGCTAGATTATAACCGGTCTCCTCAAGGACCTAGGGGAGAATTCAGGCGGCCGGATGGAAATGTGGAAAACACGACGCACCTCTCGAATGGCACACTCATGGGTAGGCTCGCTCTCATTTATCTTACCCTTTGGAAAACCCCAACCAGAAGATGACTTCCATCCCTTAACAAGGATACACTAAAGAAACCCCGGTAAGGCGATTTTCATGGCTGCGCAATGAGAGCACCGCACCTTCTCCCAAGTATCGTTTAACATAATTGCACCGCATACCGGGACTCTAGTCTTGTACTGCATGAAGGTATTGAAGGCTTGTTCATGATCGTGACTCCATTGGTGTAGTAAAGGACAAGCTTTGAAAAGCATTGCGGAGAATTTCTTGAGCGGTAGCGATGGAAATTTAGGATTTTGTTCCCGGATGAAGTCTTCGTAGAACCAATGGCTAAAGGAAAAAAATGAGCCGACAGAGAATCGCAAGCATTTGTGCGTGGCTTACGCTTGCTCGACCTGGAAACATATCCGCTCAAGAGACGATAGTTCTTCCTCTGGGAGATTTAACAGAAAGCGACTTTTTGGCGTAAGAAGACGTTGAAATGGAAGTAAAGTGAAAATACCTAGATAGATCTTCAAGGACCTCCTCATGTGTTGCATGTTTATAGGAAAAGCGTTCAGCGGAGTCCATTGGAGGAGCAGGATGCATTTCTGGTGACGAGGACGAGGACGAAGTCATGTTTAAGATGGCAAAAAAAAGAAAAGTAAAAAGTAAAGAGAGTCAGGAAGCCAGAGTTTGAATTGTATACACAGTGGATGGAGACACGATTGTGATTTGTTGTTAGCAGGAGTGATAGCGTATGATAGAATTCACTTGGGCCACGTAACAAACACGACACAACACATATCCTTTGTCACAAGTAAGACTATTTACCCCTCATCGTATCTCTTGGGTCTAACATGTCTGACTTCACAATGCACTTGCACACTGACCCAGCATCTGGGGCAATTGTTACTGAGGCGGCTCACTTAAACAATCAAGCCCATAGCCTCTCTCATCAAGGCAATTATACCGGTGCAGAGCAACTCCACCTGAGTGCACTCAAGCTTAAACTCAGTGCAGTTGGTGAGAATGACTCGACTACTGCCATCACCCGCAATGCACTCGGAGAACTATACCTCAAGATGGGCAGAATCGCGGATGCTGAAGAGCAGCTCAAAAAGGCTCTTTCCGTCCGCATGATGATGGGGCCTGCATATGATGCTGCAGTCACTGTCGAGAATCTTGGTGGAGTGTACGAAATAAAGGGCGACCTTGAGGAAGCGAGGAGGGTAAGACTGTCCCACCCTGAAAACATTATGGTCTGCGGAAACTATGACGTAGGTACCTCCTTGGTACATCTTTATGAGACTTGCTAATCGCAGTGTCAGTGTCCCGGTACGACATTTAATCAGAGCCGGCTTTTAGCTTGTTCTTCATGCAAGGCATGCAACTTCCGGCCGAGTATATGTACTGAGAACTGACCGATCTTATCCCATCAGTCTGCCTTCTATTGTGGAAGAGCTTGTCAGGCGAGTCTTTTGAATCACAATGATATTGGCTATTGTGATGCTAAATAACGCTTAGGCGAATGACTGGCGCGCTTGCCACAAGCGGTTCTGCAAAAAGCGCACATAAATCACGATCCCTCATGACTTGATAGTTTTGCGTCTCCTGACACTCGAGGAGTTCTGGGTCCTCTCATCCAGTGCTTGCGTTTATATGACGTGTTCCCCCACTTTTGTCTCAGTGGCACGCCAGGCAAAGAAGGACATAGTATCACAGTAGGGTCAAGCTCAGCCCTCCGCATGAGCGCCATATGTCACCCATTCTGGTTAATCATGTAATACAAGAAATCCTGTGTTGTGACTCCCTCAGTGGGCGTGCGATATCGATGCCCAGTCTGACTATTGTTTGACGTGGCTACACTACTTGTCCGCGCCGGTCATGAGGCTACTGGTTGAACAACGAGTTGCATTATTAGCGCACCATCACCTTATCGTCACGCAGTCACAGGATCTGTTACCGCTCTGACTTTTCTTCGTCACGTGATAATCGGGGCTCTTCCGTCACATCATACTTTTTTCTCCTTCTCTTTCCCTTCTTATTTCTTTCGTTTCTTCGATCTATGGATTTATCTCTCTTTCTCCCTTGTATAAGTTAATATCATGTTGAACGGAACTGGAGTCAAAATTTTCACCGGTTCGTCCTTGGATTCTGGCTTTCACAATCATCTCTTACGGAGTTGCCCTGGCAGGCACAAGCCATCCTGAGCTGGCAGAGATCATTGCTCGACGGTAAATACAAATGAACTCGCGAGCGCGCTGTTCACCCATGCATTACCATTGCTCTCTAGCCTTGGTCTACCTCTCGCCAAAGCTGAAGTGACCAAGAGCGGCATTGGCGAAACAATCGTCCGCATCGCAGAGAGCGTTCGCGAGAACGATGTGTATATTATCAATACTGGCTGCGGGGCAGTCAACACATCCCTCATGGAACTCTGCATCATGATCCATGCGTGCAAGATTGCGAGTGCAAAGCGCATAACGGCCGTCGTCCCCCTCTTCCCATACGCACGGCAAGACAAGAAAGACAAGAGCCGCGCTCCCATCACGGCGAAACTTGTGGCCAACATGATACAAAAAGCAGGCTGTGACCATGTCATTGTAAGTGTCCGGTGTTTGAGGGATCATCGGGGCGACACTGCCGGTGCTTGCGCCTGTTTGACGTTGCTCTGCGCTTCTGTTGACTCAATGAATTAATGTGCTGGATATAGACCATGGACCTTCATGCATCACAAATTCAAGGATTCTTCGATGTCCCGGTGGATAAGTAAGTATTTGACCTTGTTTGAAACTGGTTACTCACGTTTGTCACTTTGGTCGTCTGCAGCGTGAGTGTTGACGTTTCCCAGATCGCACAAAATTTGACACGTTCGCGCCTGTAGCTTTTCGCCGAGCCATCATCAATCCTGTACATACGCACCCATTTTGATTTGCACAATGTCGTGATAGTTTCCCCCGATGCGGGCGGCGCCAAGAGGTAACAGCTTCCTGATTGGGACTATATGTCAGTGCTGATAGTTATGTCTCAGGGCAACGTCTATTGCAGATCGTCTGGGCGTTGATTTTGCTCTTTTTCACAAGGAGCGTAAAAAGGCCAATTCCGTATCGCGGATGGTTCTGGTCGGACATGTCAAGGACAAAGTTGCGATCCTGGTTGACGATATGGCCGACACTTGTGGAACGTTATGCCTTGCGGCACATCATCTGACTGAAGCAGGTGTAGCCAAGGTTTACGCAATCGTGACACATGGAATACTGAGCGGTGATGCTCTGGAAAATGTCGAAAAAAGCGGACTGGAGAAATTGATCGTGACTAATACGTTACCTCAGAAGGAGAACCAGGCGAAGTGTTCGAAGATCGAAGTTATCGACATTGGACCAGTGCTCGGGGAGGTTATCAGACGAAGCCATTATGGGGAGAGCGTGTCGAAGCTCTTCCATGAAGTTCCCTACTAGAAGGAAGAATATTATTTGTACTAGGCGAGGAGTTGGGCATAGCCATTATCATATAACCGATCTGGGACATGTTAGAGGATAGGCTTGCGTCTAGACTTGGCCATGGTGGTCGGATCAATACCATAGGGATCAGATGAAAAGTATGTCAATTGATCAGGTGTTTTTAGCCAAGAGTTATTAATGGGGAGTGGGTGTTAGATCAAATTCGTGAGACAAAGATCTTAAACCAAACTCAATCTATCACTGAATGCATGGCTTTTTTTTTTTTTTTTACGGTTAGTGGGTAAGTTATGACGATATGACAGAGGATTCGAATCTAAATGTGGAAGTGAAAAAGTGTGAGATTGTATGTTAGTAGGATCGCTTATCATCAGGGTTTGACGGAAGGATCATTCTAGTTGGCTGGAATAGAGAAGCTGGGTAGATCGAGTGGGCGGTGAGAGAAATTAAAAGAAGTGAGGCTGAAATAAGTTCTAGATGTCATCATGTGGATGGGAGAAGGGATGAAGAAGTATAGGCCAAGCGGTTGATGAGATATTACTAATGATGTCGTTTGGCTGCCACGCTTGTTCTGAGAAGTGTTCGAGAGACGCCGCAAATCCACTAGGTAGTAGGATTGGAACGGGACCGAATAGATAGTTGTGGGGGGAGACCCGGCTATACCCGAAGGAGGAGGAGGAGAAGAAGAGGAAACTTGGGGGATGAGGAGAAAGGCGAACTCCGTTGCTGACTTAGCCAAGTAGAGAATGAAAACATTTAATTATCGATATAACGAAAGACAGAAAAGCGTCGGTTCAGCACAGCTTTAGATAGTATTTCCTAATTCGGATAAGAAGAAGGTTGTATCAAACCTCCTCGCTTTACTCTCTCTTTACCTTCACACTTGTCTGTTTTTTCGAGTTCGTCGTCTAATTGCTAGCTCATCTTGCTCATCCTCCAAGGTTTTTCATACTTATCATCATCAATTATTATATATTTTCTTTTCTTTTCTTTCGTATGTTCCATTAGCCTCAGCATCCGAGCTGCAATTACGACCCTCTCGTTAAACTCTCTACCTCCCACTTTCTATCACTAGGCAATGCTCTGCGTATCATGTTCACATCCTCGAATCATGCCCACCAGAGCAATGGTCTACACTATGAATCACAAAACAATCACAACTCAAACGGTCACCTCCATCCACCACAACCTTCCCAATCACACAAGTCTGCCGCTTCATCTCACCCTAAAGAGACAATATCCGTCATTGGTATACCTTCAGTCTCTATACAGAATGGAAAACTCCTCGTCGGAGACTCTCGTTCAAGTAAGTCAATATTAATTCTATTTATTTCATTAACCATATCGTGTTTACCCCCACCCCCCCTCCTCCCCCTTTCACCTGTAGACTCCCATCGCTCTTATACACCCATCAAGACCCTGGGTGACGGTTCTTTTGGAACAGTCTTGCTGTGTGATTGGCATGGGACCCTACCCCCCAATACACCCCTCTCTCCTATGCAATGCGGTGGCGGAGCTAGGCCAGAATGGGCTGGAAAGCGTCTCGTCGCCGTAAAGAGAATGAAAAAGAAGTGGGAGGGAGGTTGGGATGAATGTAAAAAGCTCAAGGAGCTCGAAGTACGTCACTCGACATCATTCACTGCCTCCATTTCTCACCCCCCTCACTCTCAGTCATTACGTGCAATACCATTTCACCCCTGCATAATTCCACTCTATGATTTTTTTCTCCTACCAGATACCAAGGAACTCTATTTCGTCTTCGAGTCTATGGAAGGTAATTTATACCATCTCATAAAGGCGCGGAAAGGCCGTACCCTTGCTGGTGGCCTCGTTGCTTCTATTTTCCGTCAGATCGTCTCGGGTTTGCACCACATTCATTCTTCGGGTTATTTCCATCGCGATATGAAACCCGAGAATGTCCTCGTTACCACAACAGGCCTCTTCGAATACCGTTCAATATCTCCGATAGCACCTCCCAATGCGCCTACAGAGAAGGATGTCGTCGCGATCATAAAGCTTGCCGATTTTGGCCTCGCGAGGGAAACACTCAGTTCACCGCCATACACCGAATATGTTTCCACACGTTGGTATCGCGCCCCCGAAGTCTTGCTTCTCAGTCGAGATTACTCAAATCCTGTCGACATGTGGGCTCTTGGTACGATCATGGCTGAGCTTGTCAACCTTCGACCATTATTTCCGGGTTCCGGTCAAATAGACCAGATACATCGCATTTGCGAGGTTCTCGGGGACCCTGCAGACCATGGAACGGACGTCCGTGGCAGATCCGTCGGTGGTGGCAAGTGGACCAGAGGACTTAAGATGGCGAAACAGTTCAATTTCGCCTTTCCAAAGGTCCGTTGCTGCGATACCATATACCCGTTCTTACTGACATGAACATGTCAGTCCTCTCCTCGGGACTTTTCGTCGTATTTCGACCGCAGTGTCCCTCGCAAACTCATCGATTGTATATCGGACTTACTCAAGTATGATCCTGATAATCGTCTTACCAGTCGACAGTGTCTCGAACATCCATACCTTATCGAAGCTCTACCAGGGAACGTTCCTCCGATGCCTCCTGCTCTTCACACACAGACTCTGTCTTCTACGCCATCGAAATCAATTTCAAACGGCATACATTACCTCACTCCCTCCGCTTCACCGCGCAGCATCCCTCCATCGCATTCACATCACTCTATCCCCAAATCACCCTACCATCACCCTCCGAGCCTCCACCCGTCACACATACCCGACGCTTCCTCCTCCCATCGCTCCGCATTTGTCCCCTCCTTCGTCACGCACACACCTAACTCGCACAAAACGTCAGAATATGTCGTTGATCCACGCATACACTCGCATTCCCATTACTCGGACATTCAGGAAGAACTACGCACCCAAGGAAGCACACCGTCCCCTTGGGCTGGTCACGCGCGGAGTGATTCCGACCAGATGGAGGTATCGTCTCCACAAGCAGAAGGCTTTCCTGACGTATACCACGTGGGCCACCCTATGGAAGTCCAATCTTCCCCAACGGTACCGGAATACCAGTCCCGTCCCCGTATCGAGCCTGACCATCCGATGCCCGCCCACGATGCCACCCAATCGCCGAGCATCAAACTCAGCAGCAAGCTACACTTCAGCCTTGGCAAGAAGCCCTCTAAATGGGGTCTTTCTATGTTTGGACACGGAGAGAAACTTCATCAGCAGTCGCTGCCACCCGTCGACGAAGTACCTGCCTCTTCTAACTCAACGCCATCGCTCAAGCGCACACAATCCACGAACTCTGATAGTCCGTCATTGGCAGAGTTGCAGCCTATCAACGGCCCATCTCGTAAGGATGCCAAAGCTATCAAGAAGGAGGCAGAGCGACAACTGCGCGAAGCGGAAAAGCAGCGCCGCGCAATGGCAGAGCGGACGCAGAGGGAACAGGCTCGTGCAGTCATGCAGAAGCGCAGTCAGATGTACATGCAGACTACTTCGCGGAACGAGTTGGAGTGGATGTGGCAAACGCATGCCAGTTTGCTGAATTCCAATCAGCGGGGAACGCCATACGAAGACAGCAAGTTGTCTGCTTCTGGTCCTATTCGACAGAAGGAAACGCAAGCGGGTGTGAAGGTGTCATCGCCAACGTTGAATGCTGCTTCAGGTCGATATATCAACCCTATCGACGGCACGCTGGCTCCCACCGACCGGTGGGGGTTACGGGATGAACGTTTGTCGAAAGCACGACGTAGAGACTTTGATGATGATCACTCCATGTCTTCGTCAGATGTTCACAGCTTGAGCCGAATGTCCGCCATCTCGTTCGCCACAGTCGATAGCGACCCTGGTCCGTCACGGACGCGAAGACCGACGCTGTACGGGATCAACCGAATGACATCCGCTTCGTCGCTACGCACGGGCACGACGTCCTTTGACGAATTCCCCACTTCTGCTCGGTCATCAAACTCCATCTCTCTGGACCACCAGTTCAATGACTTTTGCATACGTGCCTCTGTTGATTCTTCCGCGTCAGGAGCTTCCTCACCTCCGCCTCTCAATCTGCTTTCCCTATCACCATCACCACGGCCGTGGATTCGCACCGATTCTACCAGTCCACAGCACTCGTCATATATGGTTCCTCCGATGATACGATATCCTTCGTCTTCTCACAAGTCATATGAATGTAATGGACAACTATATGGTCACCCTCCAAGTCCAGGGATAGATCCTCAATCCGTCATAAATCCGATATTCAAAGTGGTAAGTCAAACTATAGTTCTACATCTCAATTCGAGCTCACTTACATGTTAGACTCCATTACCATCATCCCCTAGTGATCATCTATCATCGCCACATTCTCTCCCCCCGTTCTCTCAACTGGAAGCAGTCGCAGAAGGGGAATACCCTCCATTGTCGCCCATGTCTTTCCATTCGCCGGAAGATGACTGATCCTGCCGACATAACCACTCTCCTTTTGGCTTTATTTAACACCTTGACTAGGTCTTGTGAGGTTAGGAACTGTTCGACCAGTGGACAAACAAACCATTCATTGCTACATCTGTTCGTTCATACCTGTGCATCCCTAAACCGTATCTCACTGAACCCAGGAGGTCCATCGGGCATTTTTGCCCGGATTTGATGTGACACTAGTATTCCTCCTGGTTATCTTACCATACTTACCCCATTCTAGTAGTATATTTAGTCTGGTCGGGCGTTGTAGAGCGCCGCTGTACTTTTACCCACATTTGCAACAGACGGCATTTAGAAACATGCAAACTACTGTCTGATGCGGGATGAGAATAGATAATGTAGTCATATGCCAGTTGACAGCCCATGTTGACAGTTCCCTGTCCCTAGTAAAGAAGGAGCGAATGTCTTGCTTCTATATGGTTGACTACGTGAGACTATCCGTATTCTACTGTAACTTAGTGGTCATGCGGAGCTTGTTCAAAGCGGATGCCGCTGGAAGCCATGTGAGCTCAAAGGCCAACCAGAAAAAAAAAATAGTCACATACCAGTAACTAAAGGCAGAGCACAAGTAGCAAAATGATTAGTAGTGCACATCAAGCCGTGACGATGCTTACCCGCATGGCCGAGGACCAGCTTTGTCCTACAAGGATGTCAATTATGGTACAAGCATTCTGGAGTACCAATACGAACCAAGTTGATATATATCTTGGGATGTCCAAGAGGTCCTCCTCCTGCACCAAATCGTCATGCCGACCCTCAAGTTAGAAAGAAAAGCACACTCACCACCATCACAAACAGCTTTCCGCCCATGCACAACACGAATAGGCTCATTGTTAATCATCTCCATCGCGCTCAATGGATTGGGCTGGAGTTCTAAGATCGTTTGCTCAAAACGCGGACCTGACTGGGCGACCGAGCGTGGTTTCTGGCTTGTTGACCATGTCGTTGGATGGTTTGGTGCTTGATTGGCGATAGATGATGGAGAGGCGGGAATGGGTGTTAAAGGATTTGCGGAAGAAGAAGAAGATGAGCGACTCAGCACCTTCAGCTGGGAGGCGCGATGCACCAGACGACGGCTAAGCATGGTTGCGGACATCGAGACGGCCGCACCCGAAAGCGAGAAATTGTGGCCACCAAGAAAGGAAAGTGACGGTACCGCAAAGACCAACCCAAATCAAGTCGATGTACATTATGATTCAGAATCTGCTACACGGATTTTGCTACACGTTAAGGTACGATAATACAGTTGTCGAGATGCCCCACATTTACATATAGTTCTTGAATGAAGAAGCCATTAATCCATCTCCTCTATCTCAATGTCATCATCTTCCCAATGTTCGTCCATTCCATCAACATCGGCCTTGCCTTCATGATTGGGTACTACGAGAAGTTTATTGCGGGGGCCGTCGAACCGAATCTTAACAGTCTCCCCATCACGAATGCGGTCAGAAAGCAACATCACCGACAAAGGATTCAGAAGCTCGCTCTGGATAGCGCGGTTCAATGGCCTTGCTCCGTATGTTGTCGAGTACCCGATGGACACTAGGTATTGTTTCGACTCGCCGTCGATGTCAAGTACCATCTTCCTCTCGACTAAGCGGTCTTGGACCTCCTTGAGTCTCAAGTCCACGATCTTGAGCATATTGCTTCTGGAAAGCACGCGCTGCACAAGAGTGTAAGAAATTGATCTAAAATGCATGATATGTGATGGCTTACGAAGATGATGATCTCATCTATACGATTAATGAACTCAGGTGGGAAATGGCCCACAATGGCTCCCATCACTAGCTGCCTGGTCTGCGGAGTTACTGCACCTTGGCCCACGTCGTTCAAGTATGCAGCACCTAGATTCGACGTCATGATGATAACAGTGTTTCGGAAGTCAACAACGCGACCCTGTCCATCAGTGAGTCGGCCATCGTCGAGAACCTGAAGGAAGAGGAGGACGAATTCTCGCGAAGCTTTCTCAATCTCGTCGATCAGGATAATGCAATAGGGTTTGCGCCGAACGTATTCGGTGAGTTGTCCTCCGGTGTCATGACCGACATAGCCGGGTGGGGCGCCAATAAGACGTGCGATAGAATGTTTCTCAGAATATTCGGAACCATCGATACGAATCATGGCATCAGGGGAATCAAAGAGAAGAGTGGCGAGCTGCGGGTATTTCGATTAGTAACTGTAGTTGTGAAGTTACAACAACTTACTGTCTTGCTAAGCAATGTTTTTCCTGTGCCAGAAGGACCGGCCATCAAGAAACTGGCAATGGGCCGCTGAGCGTCGGCCAAGCCACTCCTCGAGAGCCTGATAGCGTTGGCGACAGCTTTCACAGCCTCCGGCTGACCGACGACGCTGTCGGTGAGGATACGTTCCATGCGGAGGAGTTTCTCCTTTTCGGTTGACATCAAGCGTGTGACTGGAATAGCCGTCCACCGTCCAACAATCTCTGCTATCTGTTCAGGAGTGACGGTGTCTGTACCTCCACCAATTTTGTCATCCTCTTCGACCTTTTTGGCTTGCAGGGTCTCCAAGCGATTCTGGAGGTCTGGGAGCGCATAATAGCGAAGGTCAGATGCGGTTGCAAGGTCATATCTAATACGCGCGGCAATGAATCAATGATGTTTGATTTATCAAGAGTAGCATGCATACCTTCTCTCCGCTTCATCCGCCTTAGCGCGAAGTTCATCGATCTTTCTCCGCACTTCGTTGATTTCGTCGCCTTTACGCTTTTCAAGCTCGTAGGCGGCCCGAAGTGGTTTTAATTGGTCGTCAACATCTGCAATAGCTTTGCGAGCAACACTTAGACGCTCCTGACTGGCCTGGTCCTTCTCACGTTCCAAGGCATGAATTTCGACCTCCAGTTCGAGCTTACGACGCTGAAGTTTGTCAATTGCCTCGGGTGAGGTCTCTCGAGTGACACGGACACTAACAAAGAACCATCAGATGGTTCGGCGTGAAGAGGAAAAGAAAAATACCTTGCACAAGCTTCATCCACAAGATCAATGGCGGAATCAGGAAGACGTCTCGAAGTCAAATAGCGATGGGCCAGGGTTGCAGCAGAGATCAGGGCACCGTCCAAAATTCGAACGCCATGATGGACCTCATATTTCTCTCGAATACCTCTAAGAATGCTGATCGTCTCAGGAACACTGGGTTCGTTCACCAAAACTTGCGCGAATCTTCGTTCCAGAGCAGCGTCTGTCTCGATATATTTCCGATACTCGCTAAGAGTTGTCGCACCAATACAACGCAGCTTGCCTCTAGCCAGAAGCGGCTTGAAGAGGTTGCCCGCGTCCATGCCACCGCCTTCGGCACCTCGACCGGCCATGATGAGGTGAAGCTCATCGACGAATAAAATAATTGATGTGCCATCCTCAGATGATTTCTCCACTTCGTTCAAAACTGACTTGATGCGTTCTTCGTATTCGCCTTTGTACTTCGCACCAGCCATTAACGCACCCATGTCAAGCGAAAACAAGCGTCCGATGAGGCTGGCTGGCACGTCACGGTTGACGATGCGTTGAGCAAGACCCTCTGCGATCGATGTCTTGCCAACCCCAGGTTCGCCAATCAGTACAGGATTGTTCTTTGTTCTGGAAAAAGTTAGCTTGAGGATACTACCAGGAATGTGGATCCTACCTTCTACAAAGAATACGAATGACTCTCCGGATCTCATTATCTCTACCAATGACGGGGTCGATCTTGCCTTCTTCGGCAAGAGCAGTCAAGTCAACCGCATACTTCTGCAAAGCGTCGAAACCTGCTTCTGCGTTCTTGCTTTCGACGCGACGGTTTCCTCTTGTCTGCTCGATGACTGTCTTCAAGGCAGCCTCGGTGAGACCGGCCTCCTTGACAATAGAGGATATCGATGGGTCTTTCAGAAGTGCGAGAAGTAGATGGTCCTGTGCGATGTAGGAATCATGCATAGTCTTCTGGAGCGACTGGGCCTCGCGCAAAACCTTCAGCGCGCCAGCGCTCATGGAGGCCTCCTCTGGAGGTGGAGATTGCGAGGGCAATCTGACGATGCTCTTCTGGAGTGCACGCTTTACAATGACCTATCATGAAGTGGATGAGTGTCACATACAATGCGGAAATGTGTAAACACCTACTGGATCACCGCCAGCCTTCTGTATAACAGAAGAGAATAGCGAGTTTCCACCGTTGCTTGACAGACCACCTGGTACATCATCTCCTGCACCCTCGTTCAGGAGAGCCGCAGCGATATGGGCGGGGTGGACTGGAGGACAAGTGAGTGACGATATATTATGACTTGAATGTGGACATACGTTGCGCATTAGAATAGTCCTTTGCGAGCTGGATGGCAGCCGCGATAGATTGTTGCGTTTTGTCTGTGAACTCAAAGTTCATGATGGCGAATTGTCAGAACGAGAGGAGCTGGTAACGATGGTCTCTGGTCTGGACTACCTTTATATCGACCTTGGCTAGTAGTATGATCTAGGGAAAGGGAGACGGGTCATCGAATATCGCAGAACTTGCTGGTGACATCATGATGATGAGAACGCTAGATTTAGTAGCCTAATTAAGACTGCGGCACTGCCACCACGTACGGTTCCTCTTCTCCAATGGTCGCGTTCGACACCGTCTGGCCCGCAGATTCTGTCGAGTTTTGCCCTCATGAGGGTGCTTCAGATATCTTTGTCTGCGGGACCTATCGGTTAGAACAGTCCCCCGCCGATGCCGCGCACGCTGCATTAGATGGCGGCCAATCAGATTTCGAACCTACGACAGGAAAGCAAAGTCAAGTTCGCCGCGGCAAGTGTCTTGTGTTTCAAGTAACGGAGAACAGAGGAGTGTAAGCCAGTGAATGATTCCTGCGAATCACTGCTTGAACGTCTGTCATCAAGTTCCCAGATTCAGGAAATCAGCCTTGCAGCTGTCCTCGATCAGAAATGGTGAGATCTACGTCGCAAGCTTGTAAATGGCGATAATTGTACAATTGTAGGTGTCATACGTCTTCAACGGCTTCCCCTGTACTCGGAATTGCAGACTCGGAAGGGAACATTACGCTTCATGAGTGGCACAAAGAAGAGGTGGCTTCCACACAATGTGTTCATAATCTCGCGAAATCGTGACCCAGTGGTTTTAGCGTCGACTCAAGACTTTTCAAAGTGTATCCTGCGCAACATCAGATGTTCTGTGCCTTTCTTTAGACTGGTCGACACGAAGATACCCCACGAAGTATGCTGACCCTCAAATGCACAGGCAGTTCTGACCCAGGATGCTCAGTATTCTTGGTTCTCTGGTAGTTTCCCTGTCAAACGGCTCACTATGTCTTCTGAGTCCTGATTCGACTGGCAAAGTATCTGTCGTTAACAGGTGGCACGCGCACGATTACGAACCTTGGACTGCTGCTTGGAACTATTGGGATACCTCCATCATTTATTCGGGTGGAGATGATTTAACCATGAAGGGCTGGGATGTTCGACAGAATTTTAGTCACCCGATATTTACAAACAAGCGGCATGTAGCTGTCTTCAAGCATCTTTTACCTCTCTCATACTCGCGAAGATTTAATGCAGGTGTCACGGCTATCCAGAGCCATCCACACATGGAATATCTCATAGCCGTTGGAAGGTAGGTCGTTGCTTCGCTATCAAGATCATGGCTGTTGAAGTTGCACACAGCTACGATAATAACGTGTGTGTTTTTGACACTCGGAAGCCGCTAGTACCGCTCGTCCAAGGAGACGTCGGAGGGGGTGCGTGGCGTGTCAAGTGGCATCCGTCGCCCAGTCGCAAGGAGGATATCCTTGTTGCGGGCATGCACGACGGCTTCAAGGTGGCCAAGGCACACCATGGAGAAGATATGACATGGGAAATTGTGAAACGGTTTGACGACCACAAGTCGTTAGCATACGGCGTGGACTGGTCGTTCGCCCCTCCAGATGTAGATGGGGAGACGCAGATCGCGAGTTGCTCATTCTACGACCACATTTTACACCTCTGGAGCGGGTAGGTAGCGGAATGTAAGCGAAATACAGGCGATGTGTGAGGATATCTGCCAGGGGATCCTTTATGGTATGCGCAGTGGGATATTTGAACGGGGTTGTGAAGTACGCAGAAGCAAGAGCGTGATCTAGATGGCAGTACTGACCGTGACGTACGTCAGCCCTAGCTAGCATTGTCCAAAGTCTTACAAGCGGTCGATGCTTTGCGTGGGGGTTGAGTTGGAGGATGAAGAAATAGATGTCTCTGGAGAAGTCTCAGTCTCTCTTTTGCGTTTCTTCCAGAACTCAGCATTTGAACCCTTCGTGACAAAAGCAAGGGTCCATCGCGACAAACCCCTCAGGGATTCTGGTTCATGGGTGGCAAAAGTAAGCAGTGAAGCCAGTGATAGAACAAAAACGATTCTGTTGCGTTCCGTCAGTATTGCAAGGAGATCATCTATAAGAATACTGACCGCTCAGCAAGTCTCACACTGGCGCGACTACTTGCAAGCCACTTGGCCGGTAAAGACGCTTTAAGGGCTCTGGGCAACACATACAAGGCCATTTCGCCCCTTCGCCGTGCGTTCTCGATCAGTATACTCCAACCACACGTGAGTGATCCCGCGAGCACACAGCCATATGGTCCATCCCACACGTCATGAGCGATCCAGGGAAACAGTTTCGCGAGCACCAAGGTGCGCGTGAGACAGACAGCGAAGAAGTACGACGATATAAAAGTGGAGAGGAACGTCGCACTGCGGGTTGCGGCTAGGAGCGCGGGAATGGCGCGGTGACGTTGGAGTATGGAGCGAGGGCGAGTAAGAAGGAGAGGAAGGAAATGGACCTTGAAATATGATTAGTGATGCAATGTTATGAACTCTAGGCCACACAAGTGACTTACAGGCAGGTATAGAGCTATGGCTTCAACAAACGCTAGAGAGAATCTCACACCAACATTTGTGAGGCAGCTGTTGTCGAGACCCCACCGTGCTGCAACCACGGAATGCACAAACTCACAGGGTAAACCACCCACACCACCCCGGCCAGGCACGCCAAGCGCCTTCCAGGTCGCGTCTGCATCTGCACCGCCAAATGCAGGCAAGAGCTGCGGGTCGCCCCAAGATGGAGGGTACCCGCGATCCTTAGCATAAGATGTCAGGAGGTGAGAACAGGTGGAACTGTGCCCATAGGTCCATTCTTTAGAACGTATGACACGCAAAACATCTAGTAGCCGTTTGTCTAGGTTGGCTAGGGAAGATATCCTGGTAGGTGAAAAACGTAGCACAATAAACAAGAGTTGCCCATAATGGTGATAGAATAATATCTAACCATTTCACATAGGAAGGGGGAAGTCTATAAAAAAAAACTGGATTTAGACCATTGATACCATTTCATTTCATTGTTAAGCACCTGTGCGGCTGGTAGAAGAAACACCACATGATTCTGTGTACAATGGGTTTGAATAAATACAAGGTCATCGAGCATGCTCGTACCTGGCACTGCAAGCCCAAAATATAACGGTGTCCATCCATGCAGCTGTACTTTGGTGCCACTTCTTGGCCTTGTGGTCGCCGTCAGCAGGCAATAATGAATTTGGCTTCGACCGACACCGATTTGCGGAGATGATATGTAGGTTAGCTTTCCGAGCTGCTTCCGTGCACAGGAAATGCTGCATGATTGCGTCGGTTGCACGAACGAAGAATAAGAGTGTTAATCCAAAAGTTGCGGACGGTCGACGAGACCCTGCTTTTAACGGTCCGATCCTTTGAAGCAAGAATAGCGCGATTGTCGAGGATAAAGCATTTGACAGTAACGCTTTCTGGAAAGGCGTTGAGTTGGACATGCGTGAGCACGCCTGAGCTGCGAGCGAGAAGACCGTTGCACGTCGTTGAAAAGCAGAAGTCACCACTGACTGCTGTCGAACCTCTAGATCATATTGGTTATCAGCATGGCGGATACCTATTGCTTCCCAGAAGTGCTTCAATGCAACGCCGCCGCCAACAGCTACGGTGATGGCGAACGGAAATCCTGTGAAACTCAACTCGCGCCTCAACACGCGTCTAAACGAACCCAAACGAGTTTCCGGAGCGGACGAGCGCGTAATGAGGGAAAAGGCAGCTGGAAGTAGTGCGGGACCAAGGGATAGAAATAAGCTGAGAGAATATGTGCGAAGGGCAACCTGCGCCGGATGACTTGGGTCATCTGGCCAAATATTAGGCTTCTGAGTCAAGAATGCTGCAAAATCGTTCCATGACCTCTTCCTATGCTCCGAGTCTGGTTCAGTATGTTCAGTGGGAGACGGCGTTGACATCAAAACTCTGCAGAAGAACTCGGGTGAGAACGAAAGGTCATGTAGGATTATTATAATCACATGCAACTTAGCGGCAAAAGTTCAACCAAGATTTGTGTTATCACTAGTAAATTAAACATATATACGACTTATGAACCTGGAACCCCCTTCCGCTAGTAATTTACTGCCCCATGGGCCATAAGTAGTTGAACCGTGGTTCTGTTGCTTAAGCCCAAAATCATTCGCAACGACGCCTTATTGAAGAGTTATTCCTTCGAGTCGTCTCCCGGACTCCGCTCTGCTTGATCATCTCTGTCAAGTACTTTGTCTAAGCCCTTCAAGTAGCTCCAGAAGTCGACTTCAGTGGAAGAGAAGCCGTTTCCAAGGCTTCGTCCTAACTCACTAGCCAAACTAGCACGTTTAATAAGATTGATAAACTGCGCTCTTGAGTCTGGGAAGATAAACGATCGGAGTACCGCATCTCCCTATAAAGGCTATATCAAATGATGATACACATGTCAATGGAAATACATACGTGGTTTCGGAGAAGTGTTCCCAAGTGTTCGAGAGGTGGACTTTGGATGCCCGAGCCATTATTTCCCGAACTCATGGACGGAGAGGACTCATATTCAGGATGCTTCCCTTTGCGCGCAAGGTCGGTATCAGAAACATCAGAGAGGTGTGGCGAAAGCCACATGCGCCAAAGCTCAAGTTTGCGACCGTCTCTACCGAGTCTTCGCATCAGGCAACGACAGCGCACCCAGTCTTGTTCATTTCCTTCCCATTCCAGGTTGGCCTCTCGAGCGAGCTCGTCTAGCGCGATATCTGATTGAGGATGAACGAGACTCGTATACAATGGCTGGCCAGACAGCCTGCTCTTGCTAGTGGATGGACTTGAACTTCCCTCCGAGTGCCCTGTCGTGTGCTGCGCCGGCCGCATCATAAGTCTCACCCATCGTCTTCTCCGCACCCAGGCACCTGTGCTTAGTTTGCCGATCTCTGCATGCCAGTTGTTTTCCCGAAAAAACCAGTTGTACTCAAAACCGTCGTATTGAACTTCCCCCGAGTCTGTGCGCATGTCAATCATCCATGATCTGGAGACCCAGCGCCAGGTGCCATCAGGAAGGGGATAATTAGAGAGAGAGATGTTCGGTTGCCGAGATTGTTTCAGAGACTTGGACGGAACGGTAAATTGTGGAGGATCGATGGGAAGAAGTGATAGGTGTGAATAATACGGTGACGAGAAAACGGTGAGACTAGGGAGGATAAGTGAGGGAAGATACACATGAGGGTTGAAATGGTGGTCGCACCCTCTTTGATTTTCATACACAACAGCCCAACGATACTCATTCTTATTGTCAGGGATATTGGAGATACTTGAAATGTCCAAATTGATGATGGTGGTGCTATCATTGGTCTGTTCGAGAGGCGGTAATTGGCCTACGGAGTTGTTTAAGCTGTTTGCTTCAAGTTCTGAATCCGCTGGATGTGGTTTGGGACGCTTAAAATTGCAGCAAGAGAAAAGGTTTGGAAGGGAAGAAAATATACGGAAGCGAGACTTTGGAGCTAACCGACGACGTGCAGGTTCAACTGCTGATGGATCATCGGGCTCCATCATCGCTTGTGGTGGACTAGGACTGGCCAGCGAAGACGAGCCCTGGTTTCGGTGCTCACCACTCGACATCCTGAGTACGAGGGGAAGTAATAAAAAGGCTCACCCAGCACAGCAACTCGACAGGCTGAGGTGCAGCTGGTCATATAGGCAACTACGTCACGGCATTCGAAGTCATGAATCACGATGGTGAAATTATTCCAAAAAGGAAACTCCTCTGTTATTTCTTGGCTTAGTAAACAAGTGACCCCTCATCCGAATGTTCCGTCTTTCCGTCGTCCGTGCCTTCAAGGTTGCTCGAGCAACACATCAACCAACGGACCTGCTGGCGCCGCCGAACAGATATTACGCAAGAGCATTCTCTGACAAAGCCAGCCCATCTTCGTCAAGGCACAGCGTAGTCACCTCATTAACCAAGACATGTCCGTCGTGTGGGGCTGTTCTTCCAACTGCGTTGCCTGTCTGTCCAAGCTGCAATTATATTGCAAGGATTCACGACTCAATATCGTACCACGATATATTGGGCCTTCCTTATAAACCCAACCCGTTTTCGGTGGATGCTGCGCTCCTTAAACGCCGCTTCCTTGAAGCACAGAGAATATCTCACCCAGATGCATGGGCAACTAAGAGTGAAGTGAGTTGACCAATGCACAGTTTTAGCAGGGATTTATTCAGCAGTCCAAACGAGATACCGCACTTCACGTGTCCAACGCGGTGAACACTGCGTACAAAGCACTGTCGTCACCATTGCACCGTATAGAATACATTTTGCAGCGGAATGGCTTCCAGACTGAAGAAGTGGACCCCTTAGAGGATTTGGAACTCATTAGCGAGATAATGGAGGTCCGAGAGGAGATAGAAGCTGGGGGCATCGAGCGAATCCGCGCCTTAGAAGTGGATAATGACAGTGAGTTTCGTTATTCACGTTTTGGCAAGTTAACAAAAATTCTGGTCACAGACAAAATGAGCGAAGTTCTGAGCATAATCAATAGATCTGTAGCCGAAAACAACTGGGAGGAAACCAAAGCTGCTGCAGTGCGACTGAAATATCTGAATGGAATTGCGGATGCTATCAAGCAGCGATTAGACAACATGTAAACAGATTATACAACACCTCGTTGTTCACTTATTACAGTGCACTTGTTGCGTTCATCCTTCGAGCCTTGTAGCTTGAGCTCAATACGAAGGAACGACTATATATTTCCCTCCGATTGGTCTGCTAGGGGAGACTAAGTAAAACTTAAACTCAAAACTCTCCAAAATGTTCGGCAAATGCCGAGGCCGTATTTTTAGATAGCTTGAGTGCAGAAGTTGCTTCTTAATGCCAAGGTCGCCGTTGTCTTGAACGTTTGTAGGGTACCAAAAAAAATAGAGGGGACGTTAGAGAACCCGAGGATGTGAGTGGTTTTCGGCTGATATGCCAGATGCAGTGGTGTTTTCAATGCTCATGGCTTTTCATTATTGCACTCTTCTACAGTTCCTTATGCGTTGGGCCTTTACTATTCGATTCGGGTGTCGCCTTATGCCATTGGACCCCTTCAAGCGTTCTCTTTCTGCAGTGTCTCTTCTCAAACGACCTTATGTCAATCAAGCGGCAGCGAGCGTGCAGAAGCACCATACCACAGATGCCAATTATTCTCGGTCACCTAGCCCGCCTCAATTTTCAGAACAGCGGCCGGCTAAAGCTCCCAAGCTAGCGGGAGCTCATTCCACAGCTACACTTGCAATGCCCGCATCCTCAAAAGGGACGCAACGGAACCCTACTGTATCACCTCCATTCGAGATGCCATCTTCATCTAAAAGTCGTAGCTCACTTGGGTCGCGTATCTCTGGTTCCTCGTCCCAGAAAGATTCATGGAAACGTGGAAAGGGAAGGGGTAAGGGCAAGAGCAAAGAACAACCCTCGAAATCGACACTTCCGGATCTTGACGGCCCTCTTCGTGACGCCACGTTCATCGAGCAGGAGCACAGGAAGAACATTGGTTCACGCCCTGACGTAAAACCTGTACTCGTAGATAATCCAAAGTCTCCTGTTGCTAATTTTGCCAGTCACCACCTGGACAAGCAACCGACTTATGAAGCAGTGGAGGGTGTTGTTTCTGGTACATCCGAGAGGGTATCTAGGTTGGTAACGTTTTCTTAAAAATGCTATTTGCCTGTGCTTATACCCGTGTGCAGGGTGACCGTTACCCTCGATACGACTCCTCCAGTGCTTGGTATCGGCGACCATAGAGTGAGGAGGGACGCTGAGAGGCTTGCAGCGCTTTCAGCTCTCTATCAGCTCCATGATACAGGTCTGGTACGTGTCACAAAGTGCGAACTTGCCAATCAGTTCTAACGAACACGGTCAGCTCGACCAGCCCAAATCTTCAGCGTCCTCCAGTTCCGCTGCTCCGCAAGTCATCGAGCTGAGTGACGGTTCAGTCGTCAACTACGAGCGCGCGCGAAACTTCATGGACTACTACTGTCGCAAATACGAATTTGGAAAACCGGACATCGAGCTGGAAGAACAACGTCAGGGGCGCGCGAAGTCAACTTGGGAAGCCGTCATGACTGTGGGTGGCAAAAAGATCGGCATGGGCTCCGGCACAACCAAGAAAGTAGCACAAATACAGTGCTACTTGGACGTCGCGCAGTATCTACAGCAATGTGATCCTGACCTATGGAAGACGTTTGTGGAGGCGTCCAAAACCGGAAAGGACCTTGGTCTTGCCCCGAAGGTTTACTTCCACATCAGTACACAACTCGAGGATTCGATACACGAGCTATGCCGTGATATCAAAAAGAGCACTTTATACAGGAACAGACCCGCTATTGGGTCTGGCTTGATGGGCTCAGACACTCCAAGATCTCACACTAGCCCCATTCCTGCACCACGACCATCCTATGCCCGCAGGTTCCCTCGGGATTTCTTGGCCCGAAGGTCAGAAGAACTCGAGGAACGGAGAAAAGCATACCTCAAAGATCCAGCAATGGAAAAGATGCGCAACACAAGAGCTGCGTTGCCCATCTACACTCGGTCGGAGGAGCTTGTGTCGCATATCCGGGAGAATGATGTCACGATTTGCATGGCTGCTACGGGTTCAGGCAAAACCACGCAGATACCACAGCTGCTCCTGGACGACTATATCGACAGGGGCGAGGGTGCTCGCTGCAACTTGATTTGTACTCAACCCCGTCGACTGGCTGCACTCAGTGTAGCTGACCGCGTCGCCAAGGAGAGAGGGGAAGTTGTTGGTGAAGGATCAATTGGCTACAGCGTCCGTTTCGAGTCAAAATTGCCAGAAGAGCATGGCTCCGTGACTTTCTGCACCACGGGAGTGCTACTCAAAAAACTGCAGTCTGCAATGGCTGAAGGCGGGCTCTCGGCTGCTAGGATGGACGAAGTTACGCACATCGTTGTCGATGAAGTTCACGAGCGGGACGTTGATACCGACCTACTCCTCGTTGTTCTCAAGCGTCTCATGGAGGATCGCAAGGCTCGGAATCTTCCATTGAAGATTGTCCTCATGAGTGCCACTATTGATCCCAGGCTGTTCCAAGAATACTTCCCTGACGAACATGGGGAACCGGCAAAAGTCATTGAGATCCCAGGCCGCACGTACCCCGTTACAAAACACTTCATGGAAGATTTCATCCCCGCATTGAGAAACCATCGCGCGTTAAACTGGGTGTTCCAAGACGATTTGGTCTCTAAATACCTCGCTCGTGAGGAAGCTTATGTGCAGTCTGGTGGGCGTTCAATGGCGGCATCTTTGCCGGGGGACCCTCGCATGCTGAGCAGTACAGATGAAGACCTGGATTTACCATCTCCCTTGGTGGCAGCTAGCATTTCATATGTCTTGCAACGGTCTGACTCAGGACATGTTTTGGTTTTCCTGCCTGGGTGGGACGAGATATCCGCGGTTCAGAAGATTCTCCTTGCTGGAAGTATGGATATCAACTTCAACGATCCATCGAAGTACAGCATTCACCTTCTCCATTCCACCATTCCTCTGGCCGAACAGCAAGTCATCTTTGAGCCCCCTCCAGAGGGTGTTCGTAGGATTATTCTGGCTACTAATATTGCCGAGACCTCCATCACGATTCCTGACGTTGTTTATGTCGTTGACGCTGCGAGGATCAAGGAGCAGCGATACGATCCTGACCGCCATATGTCGTCCCTCATCTCCGCCTGGGTTGGTTCTTCCAACCTGAACCAAAGAGCAGGGCGGGCGGGTAGGCACCGTTCCGGAGAGTATTTCGGAATTCTCAGTAAGGCTCGCGCAGCCAACCTCCATCCTCATCCAACCGTAGAAATGAAACGCGTCGACCTAAGCAATGTGGTCATGCACGTCAAGGCTCTCAGTTTCCCTGGGATGGAAATTGAAGAAGTTCTCGCTGCCGCCATCGAACCCCCCGAACCTGACCGTGTCGCCGCCGCCATGAAGAACCTACAGATGGTGGGTGCGCTGGATCAAGGCAAGAACCTCACGTCGCTGGGAAAGGTTCTATTACAACTACCTGTAGAAGTTCAGATGGGAAGGCTCGTCCTTTACGGAAGCTTTTTCCGGTGTCTCGACCAGGCCCTTACTCTCGCCGCCATTCTGACCAATCGGGATCCGTTTGTCTCCCCTATGCACCTTAAGGGTCAGGCTGCTGCCGCGAAAATCAGATGGTCGCCCATTGGGTTCAGATCGGACCCGCTTACCATATTGAATGCCTATAACGCGTGGTACGAGATGCAGCGTCGCGGCGAGTATATGTCTGCCAATCGCTTCTGTGGCGACAACTTCCTCTCCAAGCCAACGCTACTCTTGATTACCAAGATCCGGGGGCACCTGATGCAGTCTCTTTACCAAGCAGGAGTCATTGATGTATCTGCGGGTGGGAATGTCGCACAAACCGACTCTCGAAGCCGGGAGCTGACCGTGCCCCCCGACCTGAACATTAATGGCAAATCTCTTCCTCTCCTAGCTGCTCTGATAGCAATAGCTTCCCAGCCAAAGTATGCTGTCAGGACCGGCGAGATGACATACCGCACCCAGCTGGACAAGGTGAGCTCTATGCGGTACACCCACCTCTCCATAACCTAATTATATGTAGGCGACCTTTATCCATCCAGGCAGCGTGAATCACCGCAAGCACGTCGTTAGAAGTGACCAGGCTATGGAAAAGCAGCTTTACGCTTTTGCTGAAAAACGACAGAATTTGTCGATGGTCGGCTCCAGTCCTCAAACGTATCTGATTACCACGACCCGCCTGGACCCTATGACCTATATGCTCTTTGGCGCTTACGAGATCCAAGTCACGGAACGGGGATTGGAGTGCGACGGCTGGCTTCCAATTGTTGGGAATCTCGATGTATTGGATGACATTCAACGTTTGAAGACCGTCATGGAGTCTTGTATGCTTCGAGTGTTTGAGGGCATTGTGATGGCTCGACGCAAGAGGCGTCAACCACCAAGTCCCCAGATTTCGGTTCGCGAGGAGAACGAGACCGAATGTGAAGACACCCTCAACAAAGACTGCACCCTCTCTATCACAGAGATCAAAGAGCTAGATTTTATGACGACAGATATAGTGCGAATCCTCAACCGTTACAGCGACGAGCGTATTGCGTCTCAATCCCAGTCCAGCTCTCGCACTGCGACTCCCATGGCTTCGCCGAGCTTCCCTTCCCCGCGACTTCTCCCCTTTGAACCCAGGTCTGGGTACTCCACTCCATACGGTGTCGGGTCAGCGTACAACTCAAGGCCCGGTACACCTAGCTATCGTCTATCCAGTTCACGCAGATTTTAGACCATATTCATCACTATCATCTCCTTGATTTTATCATGTTATTTACACTTCTAGACCTATTCCTCACTCACGCATTTTCTGTACGCTACATGGCACTAATGTATCCTCGCATTGCATAATCCTATAAAACCAGTTAAGTCTATTCGAGATAACGTAAGTAAGTACTCGAAATCATCCAAGGCGTTTCCCATGCATCCTGAGCACAGTCGCCGGCTTGTCACTAGCGACCACAGGCATCAAGTACTCGAAAGCGCGTCCATTTTTTTTTTCGCTGAGTGAAGCTCCCCTATTGCCAAACGAGTCCAGCTTGTTCCACCCATTCTACCACTCATTAGCCAGAACATTTGCCAAAGATGGCTGCCAACATGCGTGGACTGACCCAGGTGCGTCCCTCAAGGTCATGTCAACCGTTACTCATATTTCCTTTAGTTCATCGCAGACATCCGAGGTGCGAGGGTACGTGAACTGGAGGAGAAGCGTATCAACAAGGAGATGGCGAATATCCGAAAGAAATTCAAAGGTCGAATGCATCATAGTTACTCCCTTAGCTCGGTGCTCATGTCATGCCGCAGACGGAAATTTAGACGGATATCAGAAGAAGAAGTGAGTACACGAGTCACTTTCAAAATTCGTGCACGTCTTCAACAATGGTACAGATATGTCGCGAAGATCATCTTCACGTATATCCTAGGGTACAAGGTCGATGTGGGGCACATGGAAGCGGTCAACCTCATATCGAGTTCCAAGTACAGTGAGAAGCAGATAGTGAGATCAATGAATAAGTCTATCGTATGCACTATTGACAAGACATACATAGGGTTACCTTGCTGTTACGCTGCTGATGCATGAGAACTCGGATTTCCTTCGACTGGTTGTCAACTCCATTCGGAAGGACTTGGACGAGAACAACGAGGTCAGCAACTGCCTTGCTTTGCATGCCATAGCAAATGTGGGCAGTAGCGAGATGGCAGAGGCGCTGTCAGAAGACGTCCATAGACTTTTGATATCTCCGTGAGTATCCGTGTTCACTGTCCACGACTGAAACATTTGATAAGTTTTTGCACTGGCAGAACATCGCAAACTTTTGTGAAGAAGAAAGCTGCTCTGACACTACTACGACTTTACCGCAAACATCCCACTGTAATACCTGCCGCTGAATGGGCCTTGCGTCTAGTATCCATCATGGATGACCAAGATCTAGTAGGTTGTCATTTACATCGGGGTTCGGTACGTTGAAATACTTCGTAGGGCGTTGTGATATGTGTTACCAGCTTGATCATGGCTCTGGCCCAAGACCATCTCGATGCCTACGCTGTTTGCTACACTAAAGCTGTGGACCGCCTACACCGAGTAAGTGTGTAGCATTAAAGCTAGGATGCTTTGTGGCTGAGTATCCCCAGTTAGTAATTGAGGGCGAGTATTCTGCCACATACGCATACTATAAAGTCCCTTCGCCATGGCTACAAGTCAAATTACTCCGATTATTGCAGTACTATCCTCCTTCTGGTATGTGTTTGTTTAAGCGACTCATTACATCACTGACATTACTATTCTTAGATGACGCGACTCTACGATCTGTACTCCATGAGGTGCTACAAACAATCATGAATAATAGCGCAGAACCCTCGAGGAACGTTCAACATAACAACGCGCAACACGCCGTGCTCTTCGAAGCAATTAGCCTTGCAATTCATCTAGACGCAAGTTCGCCACTTGTAGGAACCTCTGCAGTTCTGTTGGCTCGGTTTATATCCTCAAAGGAAACAAACGTACGGTATCTTGGTCTGGACACCATGGCTCATCTTGCTGCTCGTGCGGACTCTCTGGAGCCCCTTAAGAAGCACCAAGGCACCATTATCCTGTCTCTTCGCGACAAGGATATCTCCGTCCGGAGGCGTGCTCTTGACTTGCTGTACAGCATGTGCGATACAGACAATTCGGAGCTGATTGTCGGGGAGTTGTTACGCTACCTCAAAGTTGCAGATTATGCTCTGCGAGAGGAGATGGTGCTAAAAATTGCTATATTGACAGAGAAGTACGCGAACTCATACAAGTGGTATGTCGACACGATCCTGCAGCTCATCAGCGCTGCCGGTGATCATGTCGGGGATGAAGTCTGGTATCGTGTCGTGCAGATAGTTACAAATACGGAGGATCTACAGGAATACGCCGCAAAAGTCGTCTTCGAGCACCTCAAATCCCCATCCACCCATGAAAGTCTTGTCAAAGTTGGAGGTAAGACAAATTCGTGTTCGAATTCAGTTTAGTGACCGTTAATACGCAGGATACATCCTGGGAGAATATGGACATCTCATCGCGAATGATGCTGGTTACAGTCCTCTTGATCAATTCCAGGTCCTTCATTCCAAATCTCAATTCTGTGTCGCTTCAACTCGCTCTCTTCTCCTATCGACGTACATTAAATGGGTTAATGTCTTCCCGGAGATAAAGCCTCAGCTCATCAACATCTTCGAACGTTATAGACATGTTCTGGATGCAGAGCTTCAGCAGCGGGCCTGCGAATTCTACGCGCTCGCTTCTAGGCCCGATGACGACGAAGTGCTGCAGAACGTTTGCGAAGAGATGCCCCCATTCCCTCCTCGTGTCAGCGCTCTGATTGGCAGACTTAATCGTAAACTCGGAGACACGGAGGACAAGCGGACCTGGATACACGGAGGAAAGGAAATGAACCTCGAGCGGCAGGCAATTACACGAAGAACGACGCTGGGACCAGGATTATCTGCTAATGGGACAGTTACTGCCACTGGCACTGCAGACGCACAAGACGTCATGAGCTCCTTGGCAGGATTGAATTTATCTAGCTCAGGTGATCAGCAAGACTCGTCCCGCGCGGAGTACTCCTTAGTCGCCCCGCGGCTCGCCGTCGGACCCAGTATTGAGAAGTGGTTTAACAAGCTCACCTATAGCGCGGAGGGCGTCCTCTATGAGGACGTGCAGATCCAATTTGGTATAAAATCAAGGTACCAGGGTCATCTTGGTCAGGTAGCCATCTACTTGGGAAACAAAGTCTCCGCACCGTTGACGTCGTTCACTTCCACTATTCATGTCGATGACTCCGAGACCTTGTCGGCTACGTTTGCGAAAATTCCACCAAATACAATTGCCCCTCGCACACAAAGCCAACAACTTCTGCATGTTGAATGTAAAAAGGCATTTAGCTCTTTCCCCATCCTTACGGTGTCATTTTTAGCCGGCGCGCATCAGTCCATATCAATTCGACTGCCAATCAGCGTTACGAAGTTCATCGAGGGTGTCAAACTGGGGCAAGCTGACTTCTTCGAGCGCTGGAAGGTCATAGGCGGTCCTCCACGCGAGGCACAGGCTGTTTTTCCTATTGCGCTTGATGGTACTGGTCAGCTTGATCTAGTGCGACATCGTCAAGTGGTCTCAGGAAACAATTTGGAGATTTTGGAAGACGTTGATCCCAACCCGAGCAACCTAGTGGGAGCTGGAGTCTTGCATACGTCGGTAGATGGCAAGGTTGGTTGTCTGCTTCGCTTGGAACCAAATCGCGATGCAAAAGTGAGTCCTTCCCGTCTCCTTACAAGACCCGCAAACTGACACGAACCAGTTGTGCCGCCTAACTGTCCGCAGCACTTCTGAGGATGTAGCCGCGGAAGTGCTTAGGCAGATTGAAAGAGTCTTAAGATTGGATTCTTCTTGATCGATCACACGTGCACCGGTGGACACTTGCATTGCTCAATTTCATCCTTTCCCGAGGATTCAAGGATTGTATACACTCTTAATACAGTACGGGGAACGTAATATAATAGGATGTAAAATAAATATGACGGTCGCGATTATCGCTTTGTAAGTATCCCCTGTAGCATATTCTTTCCCTTCCTGCTAGCTTCATCTTGAAATTCGGGTGGACTACGTAGAGATTGTGCACTTGCACGGGATGCGAATAATGATAACGAGTCGGCAGATATTGATTTAGGTCGCAAAAAGCGTGGTCGATTTATTGCCCGTGGAGATCGCTCTTCAGGAGATGAGGGGACCTTCTGGCTTGAAGGAATATCCGAAACAGAGCCTCGGCGTAGGTTGGACAGGTCATGGGGGACGGGACTTGAAGGTATCGAGTTGTCGGATGGCGCTTTTCGGCGACCTGCTGCAGATAAATCAGACAGCGATGGTGCGGTGTATGGCCTTGACATCCTTCGGGGCTCACTGGTTTTCAAAGGTGAGGCCAGGGATGGAGGAGCAGCGGAAGAGACGGTTGATGTTATTCGAGGTACGCCCCATTGAAGGGCAATAGGGGGTGACTCCACACCGGCTAATTGACTGACGCGAACAAGACTCTGTTCCTCCAGGTCAAAGCATTGAGCACAAAGACTCGACAGATGCTGATTGTCTCCTTCAGAGGATTTCCCCTTTGGGTCAGCGGACCGTGCGCTTCGGATAACCGAGGAAGTGATGCAAGCTAGGTGCTTTGGAATGTCAAGCACATGAGGTAGCAGCGGAATTGACTCTCTTTCCAGGACGGGCATCGTAGTACCTCTCTCGTGCAATGAACTGACAACATTGAGCCGTTGGTGGCTGTGAGCTGGGTGACCGGAGTGTGGGCTATATGGATCTTGGATAGGCGTCGATACGACCAGAATGTAATCTATCATTGCAGGCAGACTCTGCTTGAGGAAGTCCTGAACCCCACGCATAAAGTCCTCCTTCTGAACATTCTGATCGAGGGATAATGAGCGGCAGTAAGAGTGAGAAAGACGTGTCTCACGGGATTGAGATTCGCAAGACTTTGTATGACCTTTGCGATGAGTGTGAGACTTCGTTGAATGCGAGCACTGGGAAGACCTGGAGCGGGTGAGATTTGGGCAGGGTATGATGGGAATATCAAATACCTGGATATAATCCAAATAGATGAGGATGCAAGATGCCAGGAACAATAAATCTTAGGAAGCAGAAGGCAGAAACGCTTTGCCAGGGGAGTTCCCGGTTAGGGGCGTCTTGAGAATCTTTCGTATGATAGCGTTTCTCAACGAGCTTTCTTACGTGTTCGAACAGACGTCGCAACTCGCTGCATTGGGCTCAGACAGCTTCAAATCAGAATAATGAAGTACTCACTGCGGACACTGGCCCCTCACAGCATATATCTGATTCCACACCTCTTGGCTCCAATGTATTAGTTGATCCACACCACGTTCGACCTCTTTTGCACCTTTGCCGCTCCTCACAGGATCGACCTCGATAGCAATTTTTTCGGAGCAAATGCGTCGAATGGTGCTTCCGATGCTAGACTCAAGAAATGCTTTCCCATAAAATGCCATTGCAAGCTCCATCGTCTTCGTGAAAGTGGTATTCCCTCGAAAAATGGTATTGTGAGCTGCCCAAGAGGTCAGCAAGGTCACACAGGAAGGTGGATCACTGACAGCTAGGTGTTCCGTCAACTTCACGATCGGCATACTCCGTGATATGCTCAACAAGAACATTCTTCGCAATCGCAATGCACATCAACTGATAAGAAGTAGACCGCAAATGTAGCCTGCGCTCGAAGTCGCTCATCCACTCTAGGACATTCCTGTCGCGGAGTACCTGAGAACCAAATACAATTACATGTCAGCAAGTGTGATATATTTGGGACGACTTACGGTCAGAAGGCCCGAGTAACTAGAATGAGGTAATATTATCTCCCTTGAACGAATTTGAGTCTGCGCTAGTCTGCGAAACGTACTCGACACTCACTCATCTACTGTCAGTTTCATTCGTATCTCTCCGACTTGAATACTGTTGCTTACTCCGCCAGCTTGTATGACCGGAAACCATCCTTCCACCGCTTCACTTCGCCGAAAGTTTGACAGTGCAATGCGGACTGAACCAAGTACCATGGGTTTCAGAAGCCTCTTCTCTCTCCACACTGTGACCTCGAGGGTCTCAAAAGGGGGCAAGTCAGAAAACGAAAAATTTTCGTGCCAGTCAGGAGAGCCGATCCCCTTCTTGACTGTCGTGCGAGCACATATGTTGTCGTTGAGATGGATTTCGCAAAAAGCATCCAAATCGACGGGGTCTGCCTCTCGCGGATCGACTTCGCTGAGTGTAGCAGAGCTAGCTGTTGCATCTATTTGGGCTTTGAAGTGATTCCCCAGGTTGCGTCCTTGCAAAACGGACAGCTCTACCTGCCGCCACATGCGATAGAGCCCGCCATCCCGAGAGACGAGGGTTTGGCCATATATCTCCGGTTTAGAATACGATCGTAACAAGATCATCCAGGTATTGCACGTATCGGAATCTTCAAATTGGACGTAAATGGGCTCTGCGTTGACTGAAGAGCCCCACCGCTGCCCTCTTTGGCAACAGTCTAATTAGTAGTGCCACAAACATAATAAGAAATTAACTTGCCCAGCAGATGCAAGTGCCACACAATTCTTGCGTAGGAATAAGGAGGAGTCCGCGTGTCGGATGTCGGTATGGTTGAGCATATGTACGTAGATGGTCTGGTATAGAATAGTCTCCTGTGAAGGACATTCAGAAGATTGTAAGACGTCCGTCTTCCTGAGACCCACATCGACGTAGATATTAAGCGAACAACTTTCGTCCTCGTCCATCAGCTTACATGTTGCAGACCGCCACTGTCCAGCACCTGCGGGAGTTCGAGTCACCGATATCCAGCTGGATTTCTCTAAAGAGCGATGAATAGACATGTAGCAGAATAGATGGTTCCTCACCTTTGAGTGACTTGGGGTGTTCCTCCGCCTTGCTATTGTCGGTTTTACGACGAGAAACCGCTGGCTGTGAGCAGTTAGATGCATCAAGTGAAACATGTACACAAGACTAACCTTCCTCAGCCCAACACTCGCAATAGTGGGGACATACAATTCCACGGACACCAAGAACTCTCGAGGGGCACCGGAGGTCACGGCGGGCTTCTTTGGGTCTAATGGTTCAGACATCTGGCAGACTTCCAAGACACACAGTACAATGGGCTGAGTTTCGCGGGTACGACACTTGTTATTGACCTTGAATCATTCAACTCGCTGAGCTCCACTGGATGTGCTTATTTCTCCCTGGTCTACTCGTAGTGTACGAGTTAATGCACAGATGGTGATGGGAAGAAGCAAAGATATTCGTGTGTATCAGAGATGCTGAACGGGCGCAGTTCTCAGGAAATCGGCTTCACAACCTGTGCTGGCAAAGTACCTGAGGCAAAAATTTCGGAGCTGAAAAACGCAATTATTTAACGGTTCTGCTTAGTTGATTGCAGTCTTTAGTACAAGCTTGGAACTTGCTTGGAACCAGGGAAAAGCCAATCATTGATAAGTATAAGCGGCCTCGGATGATGATCAAGGAATCGCCGCAGCCGAGCCTTAAGCTTACGGCACAGCAACAAGTATGCAGGGGCTGGGCACAGCGAATGGAAACGCGCGCAAAAGATGGGGAAATAGTGGCATTTCGTCTGGGTATTACTACGGTATCTCTTGTTCGTGAATTGTCCTTTGCATTCCAACACAGCTCCAAGCACACCCGTATAACATGTATACCAGCAACCAAAGCAAGATCCGAAAGGAAACAGATATGCAAAAGAAATACTCCTCGTCCACAAAAAAATAAGGTGACGTGGAACAGCAAAATAGACACAAGAACGACAGGCTGTGTGAAAAGATTGGACAGGTGAACTGGAGGTAAATTGGTCAACGCATTCTGTATTAGTGTCCTGCGTGGTGCTAGATAAGTATATGTAATCGCTTGGCCATAGCCACGTCAAACGTATCGTCGTGAAGGCGAGTATCATACTCAGTCCTTTTTGTAGCTAACAGGAATTTGAACATCAACGTGCGATACGCTAAGGGGGAGTATTTGCGCACCTATTTCCATTATGCGCGTGGCCATTAGCATTACCATTGGCTACAGGCTTCTTGCCTTTGGCGGGTTTCTTGTATGTTTGGATGTAGAAGTTGACGAACAAGCCAAGATAGGTGGTGAGAAGGCCACACCCAAAGAGAGCAGCAGTTTCAGTGCCAGCACAATTTGACCAATGGGGAAGGTGATTGTAGTGAGTAGCGGCGTAATGCTGATAGGCTTCGACCGAATTTAGCACTGACATGTGGCTAAAGATCGAGAAACTTACTGCCAAAGTAAACAATGACAATATCGATGATGAACTGAATGATCTGCATGGACGTGAGGTATTTCTTCCACTGATTACGGGGATGTCTCAGTGAAACGTGCCCAAATATTGCAGAGCGTACACATACCCATATTCTGGCACCACCAGCAGTAGCAAAGTAGTAATAATCTTCGCGGTTCGATAAACACGTGAAATCTTCCAGCAAATAGGAAACTTACACATGATGACGTGAACTAGCAGGTTTAGAGAGATCACAACCCATGACTGAGGTTGAAGGTCAAGCTACCGCTGACGGAGATGCTAACGTGGACGTACCACACTCGTTTTGCCGTTAAGTTGCGCAAAGCATAGGAGAGCCGTGGCGGAATGATGAAATACATGAAGGAAAGCTAAATTATGACCTGTCAGCGCGTGAAGCTCACGAACGATACTGCAGCACATACCAAGTGGTTTCTTTTTGAGAGCGAGGAACACCGTATCAAGAAGTTCAATGTACTTGAAGTAGTAGTTGATCATGTAGTAAAATTCCAGTTTCTGAAATGAAGCATGAGTCTCGAAAATACATAGATTCAATAAACGTTTCAAAAGTACCTCTGTCCACGAGGTCTCATCACACATCGTGCCATAGGTTGTTGATGTGAGCCATATCGAACCGACTTCTTCCGCCATGAAGACGAGAAGGATGAAGCTTCCAAGGCTGAGGAAAGCATTGTGTATGCGAAAGAGGGTATTGAGCTGCTGCGGAGGTCTATCCTTCATGATTTCACGAATGCCGAATATTATAGCGAGGTACGACGCAAGGGCGGTGGTGACGACGGGCCATGTTGACAAGGGCGTCTCGCCTGGGATATACGATTTAAGATATTTGGGTATGTAGTCCGTTGGAAGGACGGAGAGCATGAAGTCAGAGAGAAGAGGCATGGCAGACGTGGAATGAAGTCGAAGGATAAAAGTTGAAAAATTCGAAAGTTAAGTGAAAGGTTTATGACACACGCTTATGGCCGAATTGTGACACCGTCACGTTACGTGAAAGTAAATCACATTCGCCAGAGTATTGGATTCACCCAGGCTTCTATTGATTCCCACGAGTCCTCTTCTGCTTGGAAGGTAGAGCCCCAGGCCATCTGAGAGATGGCCTAGTTTACGTTCACATTTGAAACTTTCTTCAGCCATAAGCGTGCGCTCTCATTGCCAGTGGAGAGGTACTTAGGCGACGCTAGGCGCTCGGCTACATACAGGCTTCTGTTGAAAACTTGTTTTGACCGAATCGACTTTTTTAGATGCAGTAAGTAACTGAACCATTTAAAACGACGCTCAGTATTAACAAATATTATAGCCAAAGCCAAATTCATGATCAACCTCAACCAATATCATACAAAAAATGAGAATGGAATGCTTTATTTATATAATCGGTGACTTCCCGCAGGCTCAAATAATGGTACAGATAGCAATGCAAAGGTGTAGATGTATATGCTTCACAACGTGTGCAAAATGTCCCAGAGAAGTCAGAGAAATTAAGAAATGATCAATGCGGGACCGCACTCCAGGTCAGCCAATAAAACCTTTTCCCTGCATTACGGTGAGACACAGCTATGAAGATTAAAATGTGCCACACCTTGCATGTATTTTCGCATTCTGCAGAATTTCGACAGCAGCTGACCTCACCTTTGGGGCACTGTGCTCAGTCGGCAAGGCACAGATGAAACAGAGCGAAGAGTTGGAGGGAGCAAGGCGATAGGACGCGGGGATCTGGTACACTGTTAGAGAGGCGATACGGGTTAAACGTAGTGACCAACCCCCGCTGCGCGCAGTGACTCTAAGAGATCATGGATAAAGAGAAGGATTCGTGATCGCAAGTCATGAAGGTCATGTAAATCAAGGCCTGTATTTCAAGTTAGTTGAACAACTTTTTCAGAATTCATACATGCGAACGACGTACATGTATCAGAAGGGGATGACCACATGGGGACAGAACAGTGTAGCCGCACAGAACGACCAGTTTGACTCAGGAGCCTGACAAAGGTCGTGTTGATATTCGCATTAGCGGTCAAAATGAAAGTATAATAACAAATACCTTGCAAACGGCTCCACAGCATCGGTGAGGCTGCCCAACTTGCAAGGAATACCGGATAAGTACCGGGGAGCGCCTTGAATCTAGCAAGACTGACCTCGTTGAGTTGCAGCTCCTGCTCGGCACTCGGGGATGGCATAGAGAAGGATCTAGGAACAACAGACACCATGATGCTCTTATGCTTGTAGTTGCAGAGATAGGCTGAGTGGTGTTAAAAGGAAGACAATCAGGATTCAGTACTAGTGCTCACACGACCCTCAAATACTAAGTAGTATTCTGATTCAGGTGACGCGGATAGACCCGGTCAATTGAGCGGGATTGAACGGGACCAACGGCATAAATGCACGAAGAAATGTGAGAAAATAATTGGAATGATCCGATGAACGAGTCCTGCAAAAGGAATTACAGGGAACAACTTCAGCCAGCTTCAGCCTCGAGGTGCAATATTATCTACCACCGCATGTTTTGAGGGAGTATAAGTATCCTTAGGATGACGGTCGATTCCGATATTTGCTTCCGGCCGGTATTTAATTTTTGATGGGTGATGTAATATTGCCTGATCTAGTAGCAAGGCCGCAGCGGAAGGCGAAGTGGGTAGGGGGTGAAGTCACAAAACGACTCCATCTCTCGCTAGCACTACCTGTCTGACTTACAGCAACCCTCTGGTTTCTCTCTCTTAAGTGTACTTTAATTCTGATATCAGAATAAGTAGATACCATCCCCACAATGTGGTGGTTAGACCCCGGAAAAGAGGTCTTGAATGTGGTGCGTCATCAAGAAAATCTAGCTCCCATATGCCTGAAGACAGTCTTATCTCGTCTAGCTGTTCAATAGGATACTTGCCCCATATGTTGAGAACCTGGATATGAACCAAGTAAACTACGGCATCGGACAAGGTAGTGTTAACTTGACGCTCGTGCATGTGGCGAAGTTGATCCAACTCCAGGCCAATTGACGTTACGCAACTTGCGTCTCAAGAAGGGTGCCTTGGATAAATTCAGACTCCCGGTCGATGTTCTCGAAGGTACTATTGTATATTCAATGGTGTTCCGCGAGCTTACCTCTGTTCAGGTTATCTCGGAACATTCACACTGTCTCTCCATTGGATGAACCTCGGCAATCAGCCTGTTGAAATTTTGATCGAAGATGTGTATCTGCTCGTTGTGCCATCCCCTCACACAAATATAGACCCAGAGGAGGAAAGACAGCGAGCACAGGCCGCCAAACTCGAACGGTTGGAAAACGCAGAACTTTTGCATATGCGTGGTCAAGCGGAAGTTTCCTCAGGTGCGTTATTAAGCCATTCCGTTGCAGGGTCAGATGTCCATACCTGTTTTAGAGGAGTCTTCGCAGTCGCAGGGTCTCTGGGCTTCGTTAACGGCTAAAATAATCAACAACCTGCAGGTGACTGTGAAGAACATTCACATACGGTACGAAGACAACATGAGCGTTCCTGGCGTACGTAGCACAACTGCGCCTCGGAATTCATTATATAACGTTCAATATTAGCATCCTTTCGCCGTGGGCATCACCTTGGCGGGTTTCACAGCGGTGTCAGTCAACGATGAATGGCAACCAACTTTCATCGAAAGTACAGCCGGTGCAATACACAAGGTAAGCAGCTATATGAAGGAAACGGGCACCACTGAGCTGTGGGTCAGTTGGCAAGGTTGGAATCACTAGCAGTATATTTTGATACAGACTCGCAAAGTATGGCAGGGCTCCCCTTGTCTGCAGCCAGAGATAGGTTTATTGCCATGGTCAGTTTGATTTATTCTGTAACACTGTCAGCTTTAACCTCCTAGTCAGATATCACAAAAGGATCAGCAGTCATCCCATCAATTCATCCTCAGCCCGGTATCGGGTGAGGGAAGGGTAAGTTGCCATCAGCTACTGAGCGTGCTTAAAACATGACCATCCATCAGATTGTTGTGAATCACAAACTTGATAAGAATACACCGCACTTTGACGTGCAGTTGCTTTTTGACGAGATCGGTGTCGCCTTAGATGACAACCAATATCGGGATGCCATATCTTTGGTTGATATGTATCATGTCTACATCCGTCAGCGTCAGGTAACGACATTTCGAATCAGGCGATGTTGATTCCAAATTTATGTTTTGCACCCTAGTACAGAAAATTTCGTCCAAGCGACGAGGAGCTCAAAGCGAATCGAGCGAGAGTATTGTTACGCTTTGCCGCTCAGGCGATTCTAGACGGTGTCCGCGATCGACGTCGTAAATGGATCTGGGCATACTTTGCGGAACGTCGAGACGATCGCAACAAATATGTCGAGTTATTCGAGAAGAAGCTGGCGAACTCATTGCGCGAACCCGTACGTTTTGTTTTGTTTCACTGCAGCAGATGTATGATCATGGTTTTCAGGACATCGCATTGCTCAATGCGTTGGAATGTAAGTTATCATACGAGGACATCCGCTTCTACAGGTCGATAGCACGTTCCCGTCTACGCAAAGACATGGAGTTGAGGAAAAGGCTTGAGGAAGACCGCGGTACACAGCAGCAACAGCAATCTGGTGGCTGGATGTCTTGGCTCTGGGGGTCTCAGGCAGATAAACCGAAAGACGAACCCGCTTTCGGAGGTCAAATGACAGAGGAGCAGCGCAAGCAGCTTTATGATGTGCTTGATTACGATGAGAGATCGGCCATCGCAGATTCGTTCGAGGCGCCCCGGGATGCTCTCAAGACGCGAGTGGTTGCGGAACTCAAGAAGGGTTCATTTGCACTGAAGGTTGATCCGAGGGGGAAAGCCACTGATGTTATCTCCACTGTTTTCGACTCCTTCCGTGCCGAAATCATCCAAAGACCGGATAATTTTGAGGCGTCTGTGTCGTTGAGAGGATTTAGTGTTTTTGATGGGACGACCAAGAACACACTATATCCACAGATAGTTCAAGTCAAGACTTCGGTAGCGGAAGGTGCCAAGGCTGGGGGAGTTGAAGATCCATTCTTCTTCGTGAAATTTGAGAGCAACCCTCTGGACAAACGTGCCGATACTGCTCTTACAGCCCGCATGCGTCACATGGAAATTATCTACCACAGGGGGTATGTTGAGGCCGTTTTCAAGTTCTTTCGTCCACCCGAGAGCCAGTTGGAATCGGTTGAAGCTTTACTAGTACGTGCTCTCCGGGACCGTTCAGCAAAACACTTTATACTTTCAATTTTAGAACGTAGCAAGTCAGACCCTGGAGGGCCTACGAAAGGAAACTCGGGCTGGTCTAGAGTATGCTCTGCAAACTCATAAAACTATCGATCTTCAACTGGATATGAACGCACCCATTATCATCATTCCAGAAGAGTGCGTTCCACGAATCCAGAATGGTGGAAACTACCCGACTAAGTTGTTGCTTTTTAGCGTCACCACCCACCAATGCAGCCATCTCGTCATCGATGCTGGCCACGTAGCTGTCGAGAGTGATTTAGCAGATAAAGGTGCTCTGCGGGAGATACATGCCAAGCGAAACCAGCCATACAGTGAAGACGATTACAAAAGACTGGAGTCCCTAATGTATGATAAGATGTTGCTCAAGCTCGAGGCAGCTCAGGTTAGTCCACCACACCACAGTGTTAACAGGTCTAATGTCACCCACCCTTGTGTTCAGTTTGTCTTGGGCAACGACCTACAAGCTTGTCGTGATGCTCTCACTTCTGAGAAGAGCGACACCCTCCACCTACTGGAACGCATCAACATCAATTTGCGGGTGCAGAATTCCATTGTACCATCTGCTGTCAATCTCGCTCGATTCAAAATTTCCGGAAAATTGCCCAGTCTTCAAGTGAACGTCTCTGACGCCAAGTACAAGGCATTAATGCGCATTATAGATGTTGCGATCCCACACTTTGATGAAGGTGACGACCAAAAGCCTCCCCAGACGCACATCGTTACCGCACCACTCGTATTGCCTTTGTCAGCCGGTCTCTTTGGACCTGTTGGCACAGAATACAATGTAGATGATGACGGCGCCAACAGCGAAGCTGCATCAACGCACAGAGATGACCTGTTCTTCGAAGCAAGTGATGGCTCGTTCGAGGTAGTTCAAGTTTATCCTCCGTCTCCCGTATTTTTACACGATTTGCAGCATCCTGAGATCCGACAACACATCTTTGAGCTTGATTTTGAAGTTGACACCCTTCGTGGGGCTATCTCGAAGTCTAATAGTGATGGCAGTGAGAAGCCACTCGGAGAAGTTATCTTCCAGCAGTTTCGACTTGGGTTCTCGCTTCTCAAATTCGATATGAATGTGGACATTAATTTGAGGTACGCAGTACGGCCTTTTTGAGCGGAAGTTATTAACATGCCTTCAGGTCACTGACAATGAACGTCGTGCAAGCTGCCAGAGATCCCATTCAGCTGGTGTCTTCAGAATGCACGGAGTCGGTCATGAAAGATCTCATGAAGATCTCCTACAAACGGGTTCAGAAGAATTCACCCGAGTTTGATACCGTCCACGAAAGCATCGATCAAAGCGTTGATGTCCAACTATCCACGTTCATATTTCATGCTGCACCAGAACCAGTAGTCTCACTGTATGATTTCATCATGACGACCTTCGTTCCTCAAAGCCCAGAGCAGCCCGTGAACAACACTCCAAGCACAATCGCTATCTCTGATGATGGGGAGTTGTCTCCGCCTGCTAGTGACACGGGAACAATCAGAGTATCTATCAGACTTGATAGCGTGCAAGGTCTGTCTGTTATTCAGAGTTATCAGCAACGCCCTGACAGCCATATATAGTCATGCTTCTCAACGACTTCAGTAGCTTGGCCACTCTTTCTTTATCAACTGCCGACGTTCAGTTACTCCTCCGGACGAACACGATGAGGATTACCGGTCGCTTGGGGAGCCTTTCATTGAGTGACGATCGGTCAAAGGAACTTGCCAAGCCGCAATTCAAGCAAATCCTGTCGATTGAAGGCAAAAACTTTGCGGAATTTCGTTATCAAACTCTTGATCCTGCAGAACCCTCGAACTTGGGCTTTAACTCGTCTTTTTCCTTGAGTGCTGGGTCTCTCAAGGTCCACTTTTTGGAGCAGCCCCTGCACGACATTTATTTCTTTGTCACCAAACTAGCAAAACTCAAGGTTCTCTATGATGCTGCGCGTGACGCTGCAGTCCAGAGAGCTTCGGAGATTGAGAGGATGCAGTTTGACGTCTCCGTGAAGACACCAATCATTGTTTTCCCCTCAGATCCTAGTCGTTTGCAAGACATACTGGTCATGCGACTGGGAGAGATCAGCGCTCGCAATTCACACGAAGTTGACACTAGTACAATTACCGCCAGTTTATGTGGCATCCAGCTCGTGTCCGACATCTTTTATTATGGAGAATCCTCTACGCTGAAGATGGTTGACGACATTAATATCGTTGCGGATGTGATCCAAACAAGCGGAATCAATCGATCGCAGGAGAGTGAACTTCCAGACACCCAGGTAGCGCATTTTTATTACTATGATAGTCTTTCTAATGGCGAAAAAATATCAGATTTCAGTGAAGATATCTGATGTCAAGCTGTACTTGACACAGACTCAATACATTCTTCTCATGAAGCTCGTACAGTCCATACCCAAGATTTTGGTTGCTTCACCGGAAGGAAATGCCCAGGCAGAGTCAGCGTTGTCCGTTAATAGCAATGACAACAAGGGTATTTTCAGCAATCAGATCGTGGACCTCGAACCCGAACTCCACGTGGCTTCTGATGTTGACGGGATCCGCGCATGGACGACCGTGGATTTGGTTGCTTCCGTCAATATGGTAAAGCTGCACTTGTACGACGGTCTGGCAACTCGCGAAGAAAACCTTGAAGACCATGGCATAGCACATTTTACCCTTAATGATAGCAACCTGCGCTACAAATCGATATCTGATGGCGCTGCGGAAGCTCAAGTTGTGCTGAAGTCATTCACGATAAGCAATACCCGCCCAGGAGGATCCAAATTCCGTGAAATTATACCTGCAGCGGATCATGACCGTAATCAATTCATGGTTCTCTACACGGTGTCTGGCGACTCTTCGGTGGCCATTCTGACTGTTGATTCACCACACGTTATTCTGGCCATTGAGCCCGTCATCGCATTATTGGAGTTCTTCACGAGCGCGTTTCAACAGGACACCCCGGCTGACATTGACAACGCATCCACGGCTGAGTCTCAGCGCGAGTCACCACAGTCTCGACTTGATTTTCGACTTGATCTGCACGACGTTTCGGTCAGTGTGCTGGAGAACGACGAAGACGCGAATTCCCAGGCCATCAAGTTAAACATTGACCAAATTCTGCTGTCACAGCAAGTGCGCCCTTTCTTTCTTTCTTTCTTTGTATCACCACTGTGCTGAGAATGGCGATGTAGGGAATTCTTGCGTTGACTGTCAATCAACTAGGGATGTCACTTATCTGTATGGGCGCCGATGCAGACACTGTGCACTTCTTGGATGATGTTGATTTGACCTTCTCTATGGATAGTCGCTCTTCGACGAGAGAACAAATGACCAGCATGGAACTCGCTGCCAAACCCATCGTGTTCCGAGCCTCCTATCGAGATATCATGCTGATCACCACCATCGCTAGCAAAGCAGTGGACCTTTACGGCAAATCTCAAAATCACTCTCCTGTGGCCAGCACTATTAGCACGAAGTCCGCACAAGTATATGAGGGGCCCAGCCAAGCATCACGGTCTAATGCTACGAGAAGCCATAGACAGAACATCGGACAGGCTCACATTCTATTATCCAGAGAACAGGCACGTGGGAAGATGATTCCCTGGCTTGATGATTAACATGTTCTATCAGCTCAAAGCATCGTTTGATGGATTCCGTCTGATTCTCATAGGCGATATGCATGAGCAGCCCATGCTTCACTTGAAGATTAAGCCATTCATCGTCGGAGCTCGGGATTGGTCTGCAGATGTGCGTGAAGAATAGCGCTCGTGCTGACTCCGTAATTTGACTATTCACTACTAGCTTCGCGCGGCTGCTACCCTTGCGACCCAAATCAGCTACTGGAACTTGACAAATTCACACTGGGAACCTTGTAAGTAGCCTCATCTTCAAACGTCTTCTGTGCTAAGTCAATTATGCAGTAATCGATCCGTGGACATTTACTCTCTCCGTGAGTCCACCCACATTCGACGAAAATAGACATTCATTCTTGTAGGTTGACCGAGACCGACGCTCCAGTGAACTCAAGGTATCAGTGTCAGCTCAAGAACGTTTAGACCTCAACGTCAGTACTACTTTCGCGGCGCTGGCTGTCTCTTCTGCCAATATGTTGGGTAAGGAAGGACAAGTCGTGCTACAGAAGGCTCGTGGAAGCTTTGCACCATACCGGATCAGGAACCGCACTGGATCCCCTCTCTTCGTATGGTCTGACGATGACGCCAGTCGCGGTTCAAAGGATAGCGGCGCTGTCAAAATTGCCAACGATCAAACTGTGGACTGGCGGTTCGATGACTGGAAGACTATGCGCGAGGCAAGTAAACTTGTGCGCTCTAGTGGTGCTGTTCTTATTTTGCCGTTGTAGCATGTCTCGACCTCTGAACAACACAACATTGGCATACAGTTTGTCGGCAAGCCATGGGAAGCAGTGAGAGGCATACCAGTGGATAGAGAAGGGGAATTTATGTTTTCCCTCCGCCCTCGAATGGAGAAATATGCTGATCGCCTGTTGTGCGCCGTATCGGTTCAAGACAACGTAAAAATCGTTACGCTCCGTTCCACATACCTGGTCGAGAATCAGACCTTTTATCCACTGGAGATTATGCTAGTGGATCATACAGGACATCCGGTCTACTCGTTAGAAAAGATAGGTTGGTATCGAAAAGCGCTCGTGATTCAGTGGTTAATTTATCCTCAGCCCCTGGCCAGGACTATTCTCTGCCGATAGAAGCAGTAACCCAGAACAGGATCCGACTGCAGCCAGATCGTGCGTATCCGCACACTCGATGCTTACGGAGCATATTGATTCAGTCCCTTAAAAGAGGGGTTTGGGTATAGATGGTGCACCTCCATACGCTTTGAGGACCTCATCGCCAAGAAGAGTCTCACAATCAGTTGCCCTCACAATGACCAGCAAGAAGCTCCCTTCAGATTTCAAGCGTGGGCACAAAGTGACTTGAACGAGTCTGGGACACGGTGAAGCTGTCATCACATTTGTATGCGTCCTTGCTACTAATTGCGGTCCTCTCTTCCACCCAGGAAATCACCGAAAATCAAACTTAAACTGCGCGCGCCAATCGAGCTCGAGAATCTACTACCTTACAACATTCAGTATAGAATATATGACAAGGACGCTGACCAGAACTGGAAGAGCTACCTCAGAAAGGGTGGCGTCATGCCTGTGCATTCTGTGGAACTTGGTCATTTGGTCCTATTGAATGTTGAAGTACAAGATACGAGTGAGTCCAATTGCTCATCCGAGTATGTCTACTCATTGCAGAACGTAGTCTTCAAGGCCAGTGACTTCGCCATCATCAACACCGACCGGAATTCGGACTTTGAGGTAGAGTCTCGCCTAAGTCTGCGGGATCAGAGTAACCGCAAACTGGATCTACGTTTAAACTACGTGTTCGTTATGCACCCCACCTTTCGTGATTACAACTTATTGATTTCTAGACGCTATCCTGAGTCCGGTGGTGCATTCAAAGTGCAGATATATTGCCCGTATCTCGTTATCAACAAGACAGGGTTACCTTTTGGCGTGAAGGCTGCACGTTCTCATCGAGCGGCATCCCCTGTCGAGATTGCCGCTGATACTAGATTCGGTAGACTCCAGTCGATGATCTATCATGCCTTACTAACCATCTTTGCTAGATGTCATTTCCAAACCAGTCCCATTCTGTAGGTATCCCCATATCCTCCTCCTTACGATGAGCTTAGCATCTTACCAGTATTGTCACACCCCTATGACAACGGTCAAGCATTTGTGTTCAAAGTTGGGGAATCTGGTTGGTCGAAGGTACGGTCACATGACGGGAAGCTACGTACTAGATTCATCATTGCCCACCAGGTCTTCAGTCTAGAGGCTCCTTCTGCGGAAACTGAGATGGTGACGCCATCCTTAAGGCAAAAAGCAGAGGAGTTCCACATTGGGTTGTCGTGGACTGAAGGGTTGGGGAAATACAAACTCACCAAGGTCATAACTCTTGCCCCAAGATTTATCATCAAAAATAACCTGCAAGATCCTATATGCTTCCGGGAGCATGGAGTAGCACCTAGAGGACGCGCAATACTCAATCCTGGCGAACGTTGTCCGTTGCAGGTCATGCGTGCCAGCCGGGAAAAATTGCTCACAATTGCATACCCTGGACTTAACTCTCAGTGGTAACATCCCAACCATATCGTCTCTGGTACCTTCCTGAAATTTTATCAGGTCTGCACCCATCAATATTGAAGACATAGGATCTGTTCACCTTCGCGTTCGACTCCCGAACAACGACATGGATATAGTTCAGGCCGACGTCAAGATTGATGGATCTACGATATTCGTAATACTGTCTGCCGCGGAAGGATGGCCCTTTGTGATTGAGAACGACAGCGATTTCTCTGTCTCCATGATGCAATGGGTATGGGTTTCCCAAATTCCCTGTACCTGAAAATACATCGTCACTCAATGTCGACTCCATAGGATCCAAGTCGTGGAGATGTGGACGCAGTAAAATCTTCCACCCCACGATACAAGTTGGGACCTCGCTCGAGCATGACATATGCTTGGGACCAGCCTGCTGTCAGAGAGAAGAAGATAATGCTCATGATAAATGATTCCCGCCGCGTTGTGGACATCATGGAGATTGGTGTTCTCATGCCATTCAAATTCCATGTGCCTTCAATTCTCCTTCATAAGTTCAAGTAGTTACTAACGTGCAACTCAGGACCGCCAAAGGACCCGTGCAGTTTCATTGGATGTGAGAGCAGATGGACACAAACAGACATTGCGCATCACACCATACGTTGCTGAGCATAGCCTCTACAAGCCGAAACATCGCAGTTCGAGCTCCTTGTCGCGATCTGATACCATGACAAGCAGTTCAGAAGGTTTTGAAGCAATCAGGGAAGACGTTTCCCCGACATTGACATTCAATGTGGAGTTCGCTGGAATAGCAATATCCTTGGTTAACCGCAGGATGGTCGAAGTCGTTTACATATCCATAGAGGCTTTAAAGTTCGAGTACAGCGACAGCCCTGTCGCACAGTCCGTGAACCTGTCCTGTGGCTCACTACAAATCGACAACCAGCTGCACGATGCGCTGTATCCAGTCATTCTCCAGCCTAGCCCAATATCCAAGGAAGCCAGTGGTGCCGCAGTCCTCCCGACAATACAGGGTTCGGTAATTTGGCTTAAAGACCAAGGTCAGCCAAGTTTCCTACTTTTAGTTTCAGAACAGAGCACTCAGAGTTAAATTCAGAACACGGTGTCTTATTCGTCAAGTATTGCTCTGTCCTCCTCCAGGCGCTGACCATCGAAACAGACGAAGATCTACTTTTCGCAATATACGATCTGACACAAATCCAGGGTGTGTCGTGGGAAGAGAACACTGAGGAGTAAGTGTAGAATTTGATTTCGTGACCTTTGTTTCGGCTTACATGTGGGGTCAGTGTTCTAATACAACATCCCGAAGATATACCAGAACCTCAGATTTCTGCTGCCGGACAAGATGTCTACTTTGAACTCTTGGAACTTCAACCAATACAACTGTCTCTTTCATTCATGGCCACTGAAAGGGTTAGCAGCGAGGAAAAGTACGAATCGTGCTTCGACTTTGCTCATAATCTATGGATGCACTAATCGTTTTTCTTCAGGCTGAGCATTCGCAACCCTTTAGCTGTTGTCGTCAACGCATTGACGATGACTTTGGGTAACATCAATGACGCGCCGCTGGAGTTGAACGCATTGGCCATCAAAGACATGCGACTGACGATGCCTGAACTGCAAACTAGGATTACTTACCATTACCGTCAGGATATTCTTCGTCAGCTTTATCGCATCCTCGGATCAGCCGACTTCATCGGCAATCCTGTTGGGCTCTTTACGAATGTCAGCTCTGGCGTCTCGGACATTTTCTATGCCCCGTACAATGGAGTTGTTATGCATGGCAACAGGGAGCTAGGGATTGGAATTGCCAAGGTACGAGACGCAAAAAATTCGTAGGCCATTTCAAGTGATCCTCTACCAGGGTGCTGCTAGCTTTGTGAAGAAAACGGTGTTTGGCTTGTCAGATAGTATGACCAAGTTCACCAGCAGTGTTGGCAAAGGTATGCAAATTCAAATTGAACTGTTTGGATCGTCGCTGATGACGTCCTCCAGGGCTATCTGCGGCAACTTTTGATTCTGAGTATCAGGCTCAGCGCAGAATGACTCAGCGGCGCAACCGCCCGCGCCATGCTATGTGAGGGAATATTTTGTTGAGTGAGCGTGAGCGACTGACCCAGGATGCCAGCTACGGTGTTGCGGCAGGAGGCGAAGCTCTTGCGAGTAGCGTGGTCAGCGCAATGGAAGGGATCGTTGTAGGTCTTTTCCACTCGACTTTTCATTGCTGTGTTTGATTGAGTCTTACCAGACAAAACCCATACAAGGCGCTGAAACGGAAGGAGCACTCGGCTTCTTCAAGGGCGTCGGAAAGGGGCTTGTGGGGTAAGTCGATCATCCCACCCAGTATCTTCTGTTTATCTCGTTCGTGTGCAGCGCTGTTACCAAACCGGCTGTTGGCGTCTTTGATCTTGCGTCCAACCTATCCGAAGGTCTGCCATGTCATCTTCGCCACACAGGGATAGCTAATCAATATTGTGCGCCTCTCAGGGATACGCAATACAACTACGGTGTTTGACAAACCAGAGCGAGATCGCGTTCGTCTGGTGGGTAATTTCAGTATTTCACACGATTTTACCTTTACACCATCACGTTTACAGCCGAGACATGTACCACCGGATGGCATTTTGGTGGTAAGTGACCTTCTGGAGCATTGCGTCTCATACACTGACCTTTTACTAGCCATTCTCTGCTCGTGAAGCCTTGGGTCAGTATTGGATGAGGGACCTTGACAATGGCGCATTCCGCAAAGAGGCCTACGTCGCACACATCGGTATGTTGGTAGTTTTATCTACTGGGCATAACTGATCGGATGATAGACTCGCCCGGTAACGACAACGTCATATTGCTGACTTCGTCACGAGTTCTTTCCTTTTGGTCGAAAAAGCTCCGTCTTGATTGGGATCTCCCCCTGGCCATGGTGCAGGGTATCGCAGTGGAAGATACTGGCATCCGTTTCACTCACAAGTCTGGAAAAGACCACGACAAATTCGTATTCATACCAGACAAAACATCTCAAGCGTGGTTCTTTGGTCAAATCACATCTGTAGTCAAAGCCTTCAACAACCGCCGTAGAATGGACACATGATTAGAACGCAAACATTGCTGTATTCGTTGTAAAGACTGTATTTTCTCTAGCATTTGTACTATGCACAAGTAGATCATAATATATGCGATGAAGCTGAATCGCGTGTAATCCGATGGAACAAATACGACAGATGATTAGAAAGCAACGAGCGTGGTGGGAGTTGGAAATGGACAACCCAAAATGACGATAACGATGATGCAAAGGTGGGTATTATCCATAGGTATAAATCTAGACCTGTTGATTGCAGTCAGACATGCTGTCCAAGGACCCGCCCTTTCGACACGACTATATCCTCGCCAAGAGATGGACTAGATTGAAGAATTGCCGTCGCTGTGCTAGACACTCGTTCCCTAACAGGCGCTTTTGTGAACTGAGAAGCGATTTTCCCGTATTTGACAGTTTGATCAGTGGACTCAGTGGAATCGTCAGAATCGTGGTAGTGAGGAGTTTGGTGACCATCAAAACTGACGTAGCTATCTCGAGGACTTGTAGAATAAGCACTCTGAAACTCAGTATCCGAGTCATCTGTGATGGAGCCGATAGCAGGTGTAAGGGCAGGAGTGGGAGGTGCTTGTTGCTTCCGAAGGAGAAAGCGCAGACAGAGATGCGCCAGAGGCAATCTTACGGAGGGGTTGCATAGAACCGGCAACAGTGCCCTCGTCAGCGCTACTCTCCACCTGAGGGTCCACAGTGCCCAGGGGATCTCTGTTCCGCCCGGGGAGAAGATGTCCGGCGAGGGGTAGCCGAAGGAGATATGGTATCTACTGAGCGACGGGTGATGGTACTGGTTTGCGTTGTTTGCGTTGAGGATGCGGTGTTGCTACGAGCTCTCCTTTTCGCTTTACCAGGAGGGTTATTCACTAGCTTCGTTCCTTTGGGCGGACGTGCGCGAACAGGAACGACATCAGAGTCGTTGCTTCGTTCATCCTCTGTAGGAACTATGGCCCGCAGCAGACCTGTTCTTCCATTCTTGAACCCGTTCGGAGGCTAGTGCAGTCTCGAGCTGAAAACTCAGTTAGCTCCAACTTCGCTCAAAAACAATGTAAGGTAGCTCACCTTCTGCTGGATCTGCAATACTTTCTGCGCGATTCTATCACTCCTCTCACTGATACCCTCGTCGACGGCCATCATACCATCCTGCACCATCTCAGCCTGAGTTGCGGAGAAGCGCTTCTTCTTAGCGGGTGACGATGGCGTCTCGTCTTCTTCCGCAATCGTGTCAGTCTCACGATCACTCTTTCCGTGTACAAGCGTCTCATCACCATTCTCGTATTGTTCCGCAAGTGTGGATTCCGTCCCGAAGCTGCGCAATCTGGATGCACCGTTGACTGAACCGTCTTTGACGGCGTCACTGGATCTCCGTGAGCGTGACCCACTTGCCGTAGACCTCGCTGCTGACATGCGGGATCCTGGACGGGATGCCAGGTCGCCTTCATACTCAGACTCTTCGACGTCAACAGCCATGGAAGCAAGTGCACGCTCGATCTGGGCTTCGACCTCAGCAACCATCTCCGCACGTTCTTCCTCCATCCTCTCCATAGTCTCGCGCATGTGTTCCAGCTCAACAAGAGCTTCCTTGTGTGCACGCTCCGTATCTTGCAGCTCTACAGTTTGTTAGTATCGTTGTGTGCACATCTCAATTGATGCTCACGTGTTTGCAATTTCGCCTTCTCAGCAGCTGTGAGGTGGACTAAACCACTCAGGCGCTTCGTCTCTCTTTGCTCCTTTCCGATCTTGCTACGCAATTGGCCAGCCTCGGCACTCAAGCGCTCCGCATATTGCTCGAACGTGACGAACTTGTCCCGCCATAAATCTGCTTCCGTCATAAGGAAGTTGAGACGACGAGAAAGACGGCCGATCTTCGTCTCAAGGTCGTCACGGGCGTCGACAAACGCCGTCGCACGCTTGCGAATAGAGAGTTGAATGTGCTGCTCGGCAGGAGTGAGCTTAGGGATACGGCGAGCTGCGCCGAAGGAGGAGAGGCGCTTGAGGAACGAAGGTTTCTTGAACTAAACCAACGTCATCAGCATACAGCCAGTCATCAAAAATTGGACGCAAGATAACCAACCTTGTCCTGCAGCACGCTATCAAAGGCTTGGATAATCCGCGTGGAGTGCCACCACTCAGGGGCCTTGATTGTGTCTGCGACAGCAGCAGTCTCACCACCGCGTTTCGCCTGAATCTTGCAGACAGGGCGGAATCGACCTGCAGGAAAGGCTTCCTTGAACTCCCTAAAATAGTGCGCATATACTCAGTCTCCGCATGTGGAAATACAGAAGCAATGGTACTTACGAAGGCACGCTATGATCAGGATGATAATGAGGCTCGAATGCAGTGAGCAGGCGCTGCCTATATTTGTCTCTTTGCTGCTTAGCAGACACTACGCCAGGAGGGGGAGATGGACAGCTCAGGTAGTTGATGTCTCTGTTTATGCTGAGTTCGTCTGGTACTTGGCAGTCAATGAGGTAACTTACAGGTCAACTACACAGACCTCCGGATCCGGACGAACGCTGTACCTCGTTTCGGTAGCGAGACCGAGAATCCATGGTCCGGGGTCATCGATGTAGATCTTAGCATCTCGGGCGTGGACAGCAGGTAGGGCAATCCCAGACCAGCCGCGCAACTCAACAAGGTACTTGATCGTGCACACCGCGATCTACATTAGAAACTCGTCAGCTTCACAAGAACATTGTCGGACATCGAGTACGTACTCCGAGCATAGCGGGATGCCTAGAGTAGAATAGGATGCGACCCGTCGGCGCCAGGGCAATCTGAAACCGCGTCAGTACGGAACAGGTACAGTTGCCCACAAACTGTGACGGACTTCACATATAGTGAGAATGTTATCAATATTCAGGCACTTGAATAGGGGCCACATTGTAAAATTGATGTCCACGAGACCGCGGCCAAAGTCCAAGCCACCAGGGAAGCGCGCAATGACTTCGAGGTTCGTGTCGTCGGTCTGCGGGGAGGTATGCGAAGGCATGGGTGTGGAGGAAGCATCAAGCTTGATGAGATCACCAGCGCGTGGAGCGGGGTGGGCTAAGATTTTGGAGATCTGCAAGGTGTGCGACTGGACGTCTTTAGAGAAACGTGCCCAGGAGAGGGTTAAATAGTCACGCATGAGGTCGTAGATCGGATGACGCGACACCAGAGCTAGATATACGGGTCAAAATCATTGCCATGAAGCGCAAAAAACATACGTACTCAGTGCATAAGGGAGCCAGAACACAGTATCACCAGGTAAGAACAAGGTACTCTCACCAGGACCGTGGCCGCCTACGGTACTTGCGACGTCGTAGTCGCTCTCGCTAATAGCACCCGCGTCAGTTTCGGCACCCTCGCCGTCGGTCTCACCGTCAGTACCCTGACCAAGGCCCCTTGAAACTCTTTTTATTCGATCTCCTGACTGGATCTCCGGACTGAGAAGACCCCGGTGCGGAGCGCAAGGCCCTTAGTCGAGTAGCCACTAGTGATTGTGCACTCTCCTTGCGCGCACGACCTGCTTCGAGAGTGCGGCGAATGGCCGAACTTCTCTCAGCATCAGCATGGCTCCATACGGTGAGACAGACACCATGGTAGGTAACTGTTGCACCATTACCTCCTGACGCTTGTTTTTCAAACATGGGAGATGCGGGGGATGCCGGTGGAGGTTGAAGGACGCTCGGTGGACCGAGGTATGCTGATGAAGGACGGGCATTGAGAAAGGGGTCGTCAGTGTAAGGGAAGGAGAATGTGGGGGCTGCGGAGGAACGATCCGTTCCTGTGAGGACTGAGGCTCGAAGTAAGCCCACTTCAGAAGGAGCAGGTGCGAGGGGAGTGGAAGGGGCAGGAAGGGTGAAAGTAAAAGTATGGATTGTGCTCGCTGGCTGGAGGGTTGATGCGATAATTTCAACTTCACGCGTGAACGAGAGCTATAATAAGACAAGTTAGTAGTGATAATCACTAGGCGAGATGAACCTGCCTTAAGCGCTTTTGATAGCATTTTCCCTACTTCAGCTTTTGATAGAGCACCTGCACCCTTGAGGATCTCGGTACTCTCGCCCTTATTTGCTTTCTTCTTTTTCTTGCCGCCACCGGCACCTGGGCTCACGGTGCTACCGAGAACCTCGGGCCTCCACCAGCGGGCGACTGCACCCTCTGAATGAGATAAACCTAGGACGGCATCGGGGTCGGCAAGAGTCCATGTATGTGGACTCTTTGGAAGTCCCGAGACGACGTAGAGAGAAGTGAGAGGAAGGGTTGGGGCATGTTGAGTTGGAGTTGAAGGTGCTGAACGAGTTGACACGATAGACGTGCGGGTTGAAGCCGGAATGGGCTCCATGGACTTGCGATGAGCAATTCCTAAAATACGAGAAGCCTTATCGACTGGACGGGGAAAACGAGGAATATGAGATTGAGATTCTACTGGAGCTGATACAGTAATATAATCGAGCTCGTCGGCGAGAGCGGCGTCCGGGGAAGAAGGGGAAGAGGAAGAAGAAGGAAAGATATTAGAAAGTTTATTACTAGAATGGTTGTTAATGGAATGGTTGATGTTTACGATTGTGTTGCTTTGAGCCGCGTTAATGTACGCGCTCGAAGTAGACGTTTTGCGCAAGTTCAAGTTGGTCGGGTTAAAAGAAATATCAGAGTACCTCGACTTGAGCACCTTTTCACTGATAGTTGGACTAGCGGCTACAGCAGGGGCCTGAACGCTTGGTCGCCGAGGCAAAAGAGACATTTTTACGAGAATACAATCACGCGCGTCGCGACGCGACCTGAAGAATGGAAAGAAACGAGCGAACTTGGAAAAAATGAATGAAGGGGATGCACGCGTAGTGCAAGGTTTAGATGGAAGTACAAGTTAGAAAAAAAAGTGATTGAGCCGGGGGACTAGTCCAATCCTTGCCAGGCTCGCCTCTGCAGGACGTTACTTACGTCGGGTAATTTATGTTTGTTTTTTTGATAAATTGGGCGAGTATCTTTCTTTTACTTTCATTGAACGAATGGAATATCTCGCGTCGGCGTCGCGTATCGGCGCGGTACCGCGAAGCAATTGTACAAGCGTAATAGCTAGACGATGCAGTTCAGTCATGTTTTCAAATTGAACGGGAGTACAAACGTGATCGGCATAGATCTAGATTCATTTCACACGCTCATTCCTGTACGAAAGCTCCTGATGGAAATTCCTATATTGTGTTGCCAAGGAACACACCCTCGTAACAGGTCGTAAGCTGTTATCGTTAAAGAAGAACGAGGTACAATTTATATGGATTACCTCAAAGCCAAGAACGCTTCTCACTCCCAGTGGCTGTTCAGGGCCATCCCCGCGTTCAGTAGTGTCCACACCAACTTTATCTGTGAAATTCAGTCGTCCCTCCAGGTTCGCTCCCAGAAAACATTCAGAAATTGTTAGTCACGCAGCAGGTTTCGCCGTTCAGGCACTCTCAAACGTTGGATTCGTGTGATAAGCTCTGTTTTGCGTCTTCATGAATACACTACTCAACTGGCAGGCTAACCACTATCGAGTCTCTTCGCATTCCCGAGATTCTAAAGCCTGTAACTCAGATGCATATCTCCAGTGTGATATGTGATCCACAGTACCAAGACACCCCAATGCCAAGATTTTAGGCAATTTTCAGACAGCTTGGTATGCGCCCGACTGGTTGGCAGGCTGTGGTGCTGGTACAGAGGCAGCTTTTGAAGGACCACGCGGAGTCTCGTCTTCCACTGTCTGGTAGCCATCTCGACCACCGGAGGTGAAACCCCCAGGCATAGACCAAACTGTCACAGTATCAACGATCTGAGGGACAATGACTTTGCAGACTTAACTTACCCGTAGGACCATTGATATCAGTTCCAAGGCCGGGGAACTGTCCCCCGCGTTGACGCATAGCAATCAAGAAGGCGCCGGCGGTTGGTATCTCCATGGGAGTCAATTCAATCGATAATAGTAGACTTTCATTTTCTCACCTTCAGAAGAAAGAGGACAACGGTAAGTAACCTAAGGAAGCCAGCTTGTTCATTGTTGAACATCCACAGTACGTCATAGAATAACGACGCCGATAACAAGCCCGCAAACTAGATTTGTGTGAGGTCACGAAGGAAGATAGGATTGACGATACGTACCAAGGTCAGGGACTGTGCCGCATCGCTGCTTTCCTGTACATACGAACCGAAGAGGAAGATAGGCAGGTTGTATGCTGGGACAGTAAAAGGGCTAATTATGAAGGCCAGCGCCTGTATGGTAGAATGAGCCATCGTCACCGCCAGTATGACTGAGGGGAACATCTACTTACTGTCTCAGCGAGGACTAGTTTTGCTGGGTCAAGAGCCTGTATAAAATCTGCCATCTTTGCTAAAATGTAGCCTGAGGATGTGTTGGAAGCTTGGAAAGGGTTCAATGGGACCGCAGTTTCTATTTTGGATCTGGTCCAATCACATCGTTCATTGCTTCCTTATAGGTTAACATCCATCCAGACTGAATTCAACTAGTTGCGTTTCCTGTGTCCCAGCCTCGTCCCAGAAAACTTAACAGGCTATCCGCGCGTTTTCCGGGCAACTTTAATCCACTGAGCGCTCGTCCATGCCGTTGCCCAGCCACAAGTGGGAAGCAATCAAGGAACTGCTACGAGATCCTTTTGGTCCGTATCGCGACGAAGACGTGCTCAGTGCAGAATGCCAGTCCAAGCCAGGAAAGACCCTTGTTCTGAACTCATTTCAGCTGGCATACAACGACGAGATTATTGGGTACTATTTCTGCTCCTTTGTACCTCATACATCTTGCTAAGTCTCTTCTTGACAAGACTCGATGAATCCGAGCAACCTCTAGGTACCGGGGAGATAGACAGTCGACAGTATCGCTTTCGTGGAATTCTTAGCATACAGCGGACTGATTGGCTATCTCAACTCGGTCTTAAGCGAGTGGAAGCAGAGCTCAACCTGCGTGCGCGCACGCGCGGTATGCGTGAAGGGGAACGTGTCCCGTCTCTAGTAACGCTCGAAGAACTATATAAGGGATACCTTGGCCACACAACACCACCAGGTGATGACAACGAGCTTGAGCTCAAGTTGAAAATCCAGGGCTTCAAGAACTTCTCAGCCGTTTACATGCTTTGTGAGTCCAGACGCTCATACGGTACATGCCTGAAGCACTAACATCCGACATCTCCAGCCAAGCTAGTTCCAAATGGATTACTATGGCACTCCAAAAACCTGTGGGTATCATAACATGTATAATCCTAGATGTCTTTTCACCCTCCTTTAGTAACCGCAGCTACGAAGTTGCGACAATGCACATCTCCACCTTCAGACGTTCGGAGAACTTTTTCTGGCGCTATCGTCTGCTTGCCCTAATGACAAAGATCGTTGAAGAGCGACGAACGACGCCGTTCGAAAAGCGGACCCCTGAGTGGTTTGTGTCCCAATACATTCAACGGTTCGCTCATCCTCCCAGTGATAAACACGAGCGACTCATCTACGACTCTTCCGATTCCGATATCATCAGTGGCGAGGAAGGCCAGACCCAGTTGCCCCGTCATCCAAGGCGAATACACAGAATGGATATTCTGGGATTATTTGCTGCCCACTCAGAATGGTTCGTTACTGATAACGAAGTAAAGCGCCAAAAGTTATTCCCTTTCAAGCCATGGAATGAATTCAGAAAGAAAGTCAGAAAAGCAAGATACCAATCTATACGCAACAATGTTATCTGGGGCTGGCCAATTGGTTGTGAGTACCAGCCAGACCTGGAGTCAGGGCCAGACAGCGGAGGAGAGCAGGAAGAGGAAGATGACGATGACGACGACGATGACACGCAAAACATGGTGGAACGGAATCCCGTCACTGGAAAGACGAACGAGTTCGTGCGCCGTAAAATCAACAAAGGCAAGGCCAAACGAAGCTCGGTGCGCGTCCGGCATATCGTATCCAGCTCGGAAGAGTCCTCAGATGAATCCGAACTCGATCCTGCTCGTGTACATGCATATGTGCCGGGCTTCTCTGATGAATCATCTGCTGCTGATTCTGATTCTTCGGATGAATCAGAGGACGCACACCTGGGCGAGTTTGAAGAGCTCATCCCACGTCAGCTGTCTCAAGTCCCGGAGTTGCCAGGCCCCGATAACCGCTGGTGGTGTCCTGTACCAGATTGCAGGCACATGATCGACCTTCAACATCTTACACGAGACAGTGTCGGCGGCCTCCCGGGAGAAGTCGTCTACTATTTCATGAAGAAGAAGCGGAATATTCGAGAAGATGAGACAGCTCAAAAATATTTTCATGAAATGGTGTCTAAGCATTACGAGGATCATTTCGCAAACCTGGGCTTAAATTTTGTTCAGACTACTAGGGGAAGGGTAAGCAGGTTAAAGCCAGTTTTTTTTCAATCATTGACATATTTCCAGCTTGGAATAGACTGGACTAGACGATCTGGTTCTCATCGACGTGGTCAGCAGGATGCGGTCGTCGTGAAGGAGGAAGTTATTTAAGAGGCCCCCTGATCCAAGTCTGGGGCCTGTGTATATAGACCGTAATACGAGTAGAGGCTTGTTAATAACATCTCATGACGTTAACATTGGCAGCCCAAATATCTTCAAGGAATGGCAAGATAATGATGATATATATAGTCCGTATGGTATAAATTATCTAGGTCTAACAATCCGTCCCAGAAAGTGTCTCTTACCCACCGCCATCGTGTTCCCGTTCTGTAAGTCTCACCATTTCTATTGGCAGTAACATCGCCCGCTTCCATCTCCTGCTGCGAGATTTCAGCATGAGGACTCCACTCTCCTCTGCCCCGAGCATCTCTCGAGTGTCTCCCCTGCCCCTCACTCACAGTCCGCCTCCGGCTACCCGCAGAGCCAGCCAAAGACATACTCTCATTGACAACGGCTGCAAAGCCATGCCCAAGACCACTGATACGCCTGGAAGTTCTTCTTGACGAAGGTAGGGGCCCGAATCCAGGGCTGACAGGTGAGAGACCTATTGTCAATCCTGCAGGAGACAATACGCTCGACGACTGCTGTTGATGTAGTGATGAGGCGAGAGTACGTATAGATGCAGATGGATCGATGATGGTAGGGTGTTGACGTGATGAGCGAGAGGGATCTGGTGAGAGTGGAGAGATATTCATTTGGTGTGCTATGGAGGGAGGTGGGGGCTGTGAAGACAATGCAGAAAGGGTGTGCAAGGAGAAGGAACTCCTGGGAATAGCGCCCTCTGACCGCACCCGGCGGTCCATAGCAGGAGCAGTTGGCCCAGGGATAGATGAACCTGTCTGTGCCTGGGAACCGACGGCAGTACTTGCATATGAAGCGTAGCGTGCCGGAAAATCTGTGTCGGGAGTGACGGTTCCGTTGTCAGATGCTGCTTGGTCTTCAACATCAGATCCAGTTGCTGTGTCACTTTCATCAACGTTGGCTTGGGCACTCACTGCCCAAACCCCGGCAAGAAGTACGAACATGCCGACTATGACGAGGATAAGGTGCCACCCTGGGAGTTGTCCGAGCTGGTTGAAGTATACCAAACCATTGATAATCGATGAAAAGTTATAAAAGCAAAAGGCGGCTAGGCGGTTTCCACGTTAAGGACACTCTCGGGGAAAATACAAAAGAACATGACACACATGGACAGACAAACGCAGGATCTGCAAGCCGCAGGCCACGGTTGAGGTACCAAAGCTGACCCAAAGCAAAAATAACGAGTCCAGCAACAAGAATCCATGCCTCCCATCTGTAGAATTGATTGACACCGCCTAACGTGAGGACAAGAAGTTCAACGCCAGACTTTGCGAAGATCAAACAAAGCCCAGACAACGTCCCTGAAGCTGCAGCGTAAGCCAAGGCAAGAAGAAGCGAGGTCCTGCCAGGAAGTGGTGCGCATAGCTGTGATGAGGACGTTGAATGATGCAGAGTAGATTTGGCAGATGACAGGCGACCACATTTTGAATCGAGCAGTGGTGTTACCTCCGATGCGAAGCTGCCGGTGACGAGTTCCTCGGTGAAACCAGTAGATGGATTACATGAATTCGATTGTTGCTGTGTGTATGTGAGAGGGAGCTGTCTGGGAGAGTGTAAAGGAGAACTGTGGGGGGAGGTGGAAGGAGACGACAGGGGTGAATCATGATTGGCCTGCAACAATGAATAGGCTGCAGCTTCGAGTCGTCTCTTGTAAGAATATTCAACACCGTGAGTCTGCAGGAATGTCATATGTAATGATACAACGATATGTCGCGGCTAGCACGCACCACGATAATGCATACAAGCAGGATGAAACCCTCGGCACAGAACCAGAATATAAACGCCGGACGTGCGAAAAGCGCCATCAATTCATCGAGACTCCGCGTAGTTTCAGGGACAATCCCAAAGATAGCGATCAACGCAGCACCACCAGCGATGAGTGCAGTTCCGAGGAGCATTCGTGGGCGAAGGAGGAGACGAGCAAAGAGGGCATTCCAAAGGAGAGAAACGGCGCCTAGGGGTGCCAGTATGACGACCGGAAGGGATGCAATTTGTATGAAAGATCCAAATACATTAGATGTCAAAAAGATAGCTGACACACGTTTTGTTGGTTGGTGGAACGGACATAAACAGAGGTTGAGTGCGCTCACCGAAGCCTATCAACCATAATCTAGTGAATAACGTAAGCGGACGCTGAGGTATATAGAAGACACCACGACTCACGGTCGACGGTGTTCTACTTTCTGGTCTTGTTCTGGGAGCTGTGAGTTAATGACATGGCTACGACGCTGGATCGCAAGACCAAGGCTTTGGACAAAAGATGCGAGCAGTCCGATAAAAATTCCCAAGGGTATGGATATGTCTTGATTTAAATTTGTGTTGATAAAGAGCGAAGTGGGTGCTGTGGCAACAGAGATCGTAGAGGTGTTAGGTGCAGAGGCCGCTGAGAGTATGCCCATCGGCGGGGAGGAGATGAAAAGAAAAGTGAGGACGTCAATGTCTCCTGCTTGTCATTCAAGTACCAAGTAAGTATGCGCTGGCGGAAGCAGCTAGAAAATATAATATGTAGGCGAGAGACCTTTCGTAGGCGCAGTAGTAGGATGTCAGTACAAGTACTGCGTTGCTTACACTGCAGTTCGTTCTCAAGGAATAACCCACGTGATCTAATACTCCCACCATCTAAGATGTCTTAGACTAAGACCATCTAGAATGCGATCATGATCCTCTGATACTTCAAGGATATCCATAATTCCTCCTAATCCCTCGTCTACTTTTCTTCGATCAAAGTCGAGTCAGCGTTTTGGGTGGATGTGCACGATGCGTACACTGAGGGCAAAAATGATATCCAGAGGTGCTCTCCAACAGCTATCACAATTCACATCTGCTAGTCGAACTTCAAAAGAAGGAATAATAACATACGGATGCCAACCATCTGAGGACAATCGCACCAAATACAAGACACTGATGACTCCGAAAATGCTAAACGGTGTTATGTGATCCTCTATTTGGGAGACGTCACGGGAGAATGGTTGACTCGGACAGCCCTCGGGCCTCGGCATATTGTGAAATTGCATCCATCCGTATGAGGCCTTCAAGGATTCGCTCAGTCTGAGGATTCGCTGTTGGTATCAGGAAGTTCGATATTTTGATATTCTCGCTGCGGATTTAACGCTGGTAACCTATCGACGTTTTGTGAGGCGTTTATGTTGTCCTAGTAGGTCGCAGATGAAACAAGCGTAGGCAATGCGGGAATCTTGACGGTCTCAGAACTTCTTGGAAGCATGGTTGCAGCTTCGCCAACATAGGGGGAAGGGCGGCCGCTTCTTGTCTTCTGAAGGACCGAGATGCTATTTTCGCTTCGGGCTTCTTCCCATTGACAGTAATCTTACGCTTCTTCGTGGCAGCTTCCTCCGCCTTCTTGAACGCAATAGTCCGTGGTCTCGTCGCGCTTCTCGGATCCCATCTCGATCTTCTTATCCTCCTCAACAGCGTGTGCCTTTCCTTCGTCTGTCCTGCGAACAAGCGCTGTCTGGCGCGCGGCTTCCGGATGTCCTTGAGGCGGGTGGCTTTTTTTGTCAGCAGCTTCTTGCTACATACTTAATATTTGCGAAACACTCGAAGTAAAGCTGAATGGAATGCCTTCGCGCAGCAGCTGCTGATCGATGACTGGCTGTAGCTCTGCGAAATACCATCAGACGCCGGTTGTCATTGAAGCATTACGAGCACTACTTAATGACGATAAGTGTCCATGGAGATGAACAGTGGACTGACCAACTTTGAGAGTATCCTAATTGGACTCGTTGAAGGCCTTGGCTAGCTTCGCTATACGTCCTTTGTCCTTCTTGTGTGAAGGGAAAGGTACAGCAGCAAGATGTTGCTTCTGTTCACACTATTCAAGGGTGCGATATTAATATTGTTGCTAGACGCACCTATTGCTGTAACACCGCAGGCGCTTGTCCTAAGGCTAGATGCCCTTGCCAATTGTGACGCCGGATGCGTCATACTGATTTCGCGTTCCTGGTACAAGCTCTGAGCAACTTTCCTCAAGTTAGTTTGGCTCTTACTTAAATAAAAGTCATACATACGTGTGAAATATGCTGCAGCACGAATGCAACGAGGGTGTGCATGTCGCATGACCGTGACCAGTGGCAGCGCATGACCAGACATGACCACAGCCGCAGCTGTTTACTCCGACACTACTCCGTATTCAGTTTATTATAACACAGGGCGCTGGGCGCTGTACACGTCTACCGAGCATTGTCCCGAACAATCACCACTATAAGACCAGCTTTTCAAGGTCTTGGGTCATGTCATTTCCTAGCAGTTCCAAAGCTCGATCTAGCGATACATCCTCCGCGTCTGCTTCGGATTCATCATCTCTCCGTGAACGAGGAGTCTATGAAGCGTCTGGCGACGACGATTCTTCTGTCTTTACTGTGAAAGGAGATCGGGACACCACTCGTAGCCGTATGGGCTCTCAAACAGACTTGTCAGGTTCCTTGGAACAAGACATGTCCGAGGCCTGTCTTCGTCAACTGTATGATGAGGAAGAAATTGAATGTTTTCTCCACCTTTTTTCTGCTGTAAGTTTATGCCTCAATCAACGGATGATCTATCCTGAGGTGCAACCAGTATGTAACAGAAGTGAGACTACCAGGTGCTTCGCTTAGCACAGAACAAGTCAACTCCAAGCCATCAGATAGCAGCTCCCTTCATCTTCCACAATTACCAAAGCCACCGCCACTCCCTCCACGACCATTTGCTCTTACCTCCGAACGAGCGGAACCGTCTACACCTCTTCCACCCACCCCTCCCCCAAGACCGGTGGAACCCTCTTGGTCCGAACAGATAGCCCTCGTGAGTGCCACCGCTATCATAGCAATCAAGCTCTAAATTGTCTCAAGAAATATATACTACCAGCTCTTCCACCGACATCTCATTCGCCGCCACCCTTCGCTTTAAAGCGCCTGACACTTACTAGCCAGCGATTTTTCCTCGCAGTAGTGCCTCCTTACCAGGCTTTATTTCTTTCCATGGCAAAATTAGCGCTATGGAGAGACCGACAACGTAGTGGACTATATTGCGCGGTAGGTAGGGTGCTATTTTTTTGTGATTGACATATTCACTAACATCCAGGGGTTCTGGGTACTATGGCTGTACGACCTCCTTCTCCCGGCGCTAATGTTTCGAATTTTGTGGGAGATGCTCAGCCGGAGACTCTTTCCATATCCCACTTTAGAATCTTTACAGATGCGGCGGAACGATTCCGAAAGAGCTAGAGAGTTCGGAGACGAAATCCAAGAACGCCTATCGGCTACTTCAATTGGGCCGAAGGAGATATTTCAGCTCTTCCAATCCTATAGGCACACAGCGAAAAGCAAAATTAAGTCCGTTGCGAAGGACACTGGGGCACCCAGTCCATCTAGCGATGATGAAGCAGCTACGGTTCTTGACGATGACTCTCAAGAAGAACAAGACATCAAACGAGATCTTCTACACCTTCTCAATATCGTCGCGGACGTTCACGAACGTATTAAAAAGTATGTGTCCTTGGCTCGTGACGGATTGTCAACTAATTGCAATGTCATTGTCAGCATTTTCATTTGGAGACGACCGGCAGTCTCCCAAAGATATGCAATCGTGAGTAAGCTCTGCAGACTACTTCGGTGTGTAATTGACTTTCAGCAAGATTTTGGCTTTTGTGGCCTTCTGCACCCTGATCATCCCTGCGCATTACTTGGCAAAACTTATATACGGCAGCTGCGGTATGATGTTCTGGCATGCTACTCCTGTGTTCGCTGCTCTGCCACCAGGTGCTCGAGCCAGGTCTGTGTTCAATACATATTTGCGTGCAGTTCTTTTTATAAGCGGCAAAATAGACTGCCTGGTCTGTTGACCGATGCCCCCACCGATGCCGACTACGCTATAGAAATAATCACACAGAGGATTGCTAGGGGCGAAGAAATCATGCCTCCACACAGTCGCAAGCCCCGTTCGTGGAGTGCCCGTTCTAACAATGCAAGCGAAGCCGATCTTTCAGCAGCCCCGGCGCCATCCGATATATCATCCAGGAGCCGCATGCAAACTAATGATGGTGTCGATTGGAAGAAATGGGGAGCACGTGTTGCGCAGGGCAAGTCGTTGTTCAGTGAAAGCAAACAACTCCTTTTCCCTGGAGACGTGAGATCAGCCGGTCTGACGTCTTCAGCTTTACAACATGAAGAAGCACATAGTACGCTCATGATTGCCCAGATTGTGATACAACAATCACTGATCCGCTTCTAGCATATCCTGCACAGCACGCTTCCGCGCCTGGTCTAATCACACTGACCACTACTACATTGTATTTCACAGCACTCGCATCACAACAAGCAAAATTAATCATACCTCGCGAGAAACTTTGTGGCGTAAAGAAAACCGGTTTGATGAAAGGGCTTCTGATTACCCGGGTTGAGGACGAAGGTCGCGGAAGAGAAATAGAAGAGAAGTTCCACTGGGTCGGCAATCGAGATGAGCTCTTCGCGCGGCTTCTTGGTCCAGATGGTGCCCGATGGATGCGAATCTGAAGCTCGACGCGTCGGTGGCTGAATTGAAACTCCGCGCAAAGGAACCATATGTCCTGAGCGGCCTACGCGCTCGAACTCTTGCCCCTCCATAATTTATCCAGTCTCTTTGCTCTTGCCCATCTTTCGTACGTCTGTTTGCGTCGTGCATATTTATATCCTTGCCATTCCCGTCAACCTCTATGCTAACGCGATTTTATCTTTTCTCTGCCACCGCTCACTCATTCTCCAAGGACATTACACTGCAGAATGTTTTTCTCTACCGAACTGCTGTCTAAGAGGGATAGCGGGTTCGGCCTTCTTTGGTGCTGTTCTTATATACTCCATTGACGCGATGAAATCTTGTCTCATTGCTTGAAAATACTAGGCTAGCCGCAACCCTTGGCTCGAAATCAGCCTTTAAGAAATTACCCAAGCGCTCAGTGTTGACTGCAGATATCTCTCAATTGTGTGATCTCATTGCTTCTCCTTCGGAACCTCTGGCCCTTCGTCTCTCAAGTAACTTGATGGTCGGGGCTGCACGGTAGGCAGACCAACTTCGTTAGTGTTCTTACTTGCTCATTAAGTTCCGCAGTGTATATAAAGGTTTTGCAATTCACGGCTGAATAACCGGTTTTGTGTATTTATCGTTGCTTCTAGTCAAGCAAGAAATTTTTCTTTCCGATGTCACGACTTGCTTCAACTCGCTCAAGCGAGTTGTGCAAGAGTTCCGTTCGATGGCTGCGTCTGAAGCCCAGCTTCAGATGGCTCAGCCGAGCGTGAGGTGAGTCAGCTCACAAGATGTGAGCCCACGCTGACACCCCCTGTCAAGGCCATCAGCCGTCACCCTCGCTGCTGATCCTAGTGCTGCATTCGCCATGGATTTTGATGCAATGGTCGCTGTACGTTTCTGCCTCTCTTTCTGTTTGTCCCTAAGCCAACGGCATGACTAGGACTGGGACGAATACTTAAATATTGGAAGTGCGTTATTACTGGGCTTAAACCTGCATATGTTCATGTTCAATCGTAGATAATAAGGTAGCGGAAGGGGGCTCATCCGATGATGAGTACAACCCCAAAGCCAAGAGACCGAAAGGAAAGGGTAAGCAGTCGGCAGTTGCACCAGCTTCCACCGCAGAAAACGCCCGCGCCAATGCGCATACACTCAACGAGAACCACGACATCTTCCTCGCCAATTCTTTCGATGCCTCATTTGGCGGCAGCGGCGCCAACATAATTCCATCTTCCCAGAATGAAAACTTCGGCTTCGACGATAGTTTCTTCGGCGCATTTGATGGCTTGGACATTGGGGAGGGCGTTGGCGATGACGTCGTAAGGGAACTTGGTGAAGGCTGGGGAGCTGCCTTGGAGAATCAAATCGAGTGTGTATCCTTTGCTGCACGCCGAAATTTTACTTAAACGTCCTAGCCATGATATGCAAGTGGATGAACCGATTGACTTCGGGTTTAACGATGCAGATAACCTGTATTTCGAGCAGGATGTCCCCATTGATCATGTCGGTGCATTAGAGCAGAATATCTTGCCACTTCCTCCGTCGGCCTTTGCTACACCTCAAGGAACGCAACAAAACTCGGCAGGTAAGGCGTATCACTACACATTGACCGTGCCTTACAAAGATATAAAGCTGCCCTCCCTCCCTCCTCTTCCCTCACGGGACACTCCCTTGAATCCCCCTCTGGTACATTGGCTGTAATTGCCCCGCAGGCCGAAGAAATTGAGCCCGTTGCACCTGACGATCATCCGGCTGAAACAGTTCCTAAGAAGACCAAGCGCGCTAGGCTTATTTTGGATGTGCGAACAGAGTTGACGGATGACGAATTAAAGGTGGGTGGTAACGCTGCTCGTGGTCTGTGGCTATAGCTTGCATTTATGTGTAGGCTGCACGTCTGCATTATTTGGAAGAGCAGAATGCCATTCATCGACAACTTGCGCGGAGGAATTTCGAGAAGGATCAAGGTAGGGTCATGGACGATTTACTTTGGGGTGTTCCAGAACACAGTGAGCTTCAGTTCTGTACTTGCAGTCATTATGAGCTTACACTTCCAAGTGCAAGCCAAAGAATTAGTGGACTTTTGGCTGGATCATCTCAAGGCACAATTGGACGCTCGATCCGCGTTCATGATTGAACCTCAAGGTCAGTATTACTGCATATTGAACTTGCATTATCATACACATGACCGTCAGACGATTCTCCTCCATCAAAGCGGAGAAAGATCAAGATCAATGCCGAAGTCTCCAGTGGCGTCGGGCAATCTAAAGTCCGCCTTGAAAGCCCTACACTCGGTGTAGGTCAGGCGAGCCTAGATTATATGAATTTGGATGTAGGTGAAGTGGATTTTGACATGAATTTCGACATGGGTGGTAAGTGATCATCATGGCTATGACCCACTATCTCCACCTCCTTCAGATGGTTGGGGTGGCGCCAACGACCCGGGACCAGAATTGGATAAACTTCGCTCGTCTGAGGTAAGTTCGTTGGGACCGCATTCCATACTCTCCTTGACAAGTTTCTAGGAACCGGGACAAGCACGTCGTGCCTCACGCCCAATGTCCGTGCTGGGTGACAATTTCGGCCTGGACGTCGTGCAGAACTCCTTCTCTCAGCGTAGCGCGCTCTTCCCTTGGGATAACGCGGGTGGAAGCTCCTCGGCATCTGGTGTAGTGCCTCTTGGTCGCCAAAGCAGTGACAAAATCAGTGTCGACCACGCGGAGACTCGTCTGAGGGGCAGCTCACTAAGTCGACGAGGGAGTTCTCTTGTCAGCCAACAAGGCGACGTATTTGGTGGTACACATGCGATCGTCAATGGGAGTCCCCAAATAAACGATGACGATTTTGTATTCGATGGTACGTCAGTAAATCCTACAATTTGCCCGGTAATCTGATTCATGGCACCGATAAGTCCCAGCAGGCAATTCTATGGTCGAATCTCAATTGTCGGAGGTCAATCTCGCGACCCTCGAGAGAACTTCCTTCAACTTCCTTGAGTGATTATTTTCACTATCTGCTATTTCAACTTGGTGTACTCAATGTCCTCAAAGATACGCTAGGATGCAGTATAGATCCCTGTCTGGGTCAGCTCAATTTCTCGCCTTCGATGATGTTGTGCCGCAGACCACCAGCACCGCGCACGTCGCTGCAGCAGCTCTTTACCACTGTCTCGGTGCGTGACTGTTGTCCTGCTGTGCTTCTTCGCACCCCTTTGGCGCTTCTACGCATGCCGGATCCTACCTGAGTATGCAATGCAGTTCACTGACACTGATTTGACTAGTGTTAGGCACGAAGGACCTCATCCGACTTCGTCAAGAAGAGGCATATGCAACCATTGAAATCCGCATCAAGTAAATAATGACCCTTATCGGCCGAAACGTTTTTAAAAGCATCATAATCATCGATCACGTCAAACTGCGTTATCCAGCTTGTAGTCTCTCTTGGCAGATCATCAACGAAGAAAGACGGCTATTCCTTCTATGCTATGCTTGTACATACATACATCTAGCACTTCAACGTTGTCAACGTTCAACTGTTGTGTAAGTCTCTTATAGATTCTTAATTCTACTTATCGTGTACTGCCACCTACTGAAATAATTACTCGGTTGCATTTATGAGTCGGCTCTGAGTTAATTTCCAACCATGATCAGGCCATCCGACAAAATCATGATCGTGCCATTTTTGACCCGAATACTTCCCCGAAGCGTCGTGTTAAAGGGCCAGGATCCTTTCACGCACCCAATTATTTGCACAGAAGCTTTTGGTATGTACATCATGATCCTACGTGCTTGCTTCACTTCATTGATACTACGTACTTGCTTCACTTCGTCTCACCTTACTCGCAGGTTTACACACTTCAACTCACATTTCGCTCAACGCACCATGTCCTCGCCAGCAGTTCTTGCCGCACGCGCTGCACTTGCTAGCATAGATCTCACAAACTATGACCCAGAACAATCGAAATTGATGGAGGAGAAATGCATATTAGTCGACGAGCAGGATAATGCCATCGGCGCAATGGACAAGAAAACTTGTGAGTCGATTTGCTATGTATCATATGCATCATTGATAGCAGGCTTCAATAGGCCATCTCATGGAAAATATCGAGAAGGGTCTCCTTCACCGAGCCTTCTCAGCGTTCGTCTTCCGTCCCTCCGATGGCAAGCTCCTTCTGCAGCAGCGTGCTTCGGAGAAGATTACCTTCCCAGACATGTGGACAAACACGTGCTGTTCGCACCCACTGGATGATTTTGATGAGGAAAAGATTGAGGATAATCAGCTCGGTGTGCGAATTGCAGCTTCAAGAAAACTCGAGCATGAGCTCGGTATTCCGCAGAGTCAAACACCAGTTGACGAGTTCCAGTACTTGACGAAGATTCATTACCTTGCGCCCTCGAATGGTATGTGGGGTGAGCATGAAGGTACGTCGATGGCATCGAAGTATGGGCACGTGTCTTCACCCATTCCCCATAGTTGACTACATCCTGTTTCTGACCGCGGATGTTACTGTGACGCCAAATACGAACGAGATTCAGGACTACAAATACGTGGACAAGGCCGAGCTACAGGCGATGTTCAATGACTCATGTACGTACTCATTGTCCTATGTCGGATGCGATCTTACTCAGATACCCGCAGCAAATTCGTTTACGCCTTGGTTCAAGCTAATTGCTCGTGACTTTTTGTTCGGTTGGTGGGATACCCTGCTGCAGCGCCAGGGCTTCGATGGTCGTGTCTATGCGAAGACTCTGATAGGTGTCGCCGATGGTTCGAAGGTCATCAAGATGGTTTGATTTTATGTTCTCATATCACACATTAATTATTGGAGGATCTTGTACTACAAAGTTATATCGACCTGGGCTGCAGAAACGTGCTTGATGAATAGTGAGTCAGAGCAGCGCCCAGACGTCACGTTCCTCAAGCTCTCTCGGAAACTCAGTAAAACGGATGCCCTCCAAGCGAGTCTACTTGTTCCTTCACGATGTGGATGACCGGATGACAAGCCAACGACTGACTGCGATAGAAGCTGTCAGCAAGTTGATTGAAACAAAAGGTATCGCTATGACTATGAACAACTATTGCAGATCGCTGCTGTTTGCCAAGCACCGTACATAGTCAAGAGACTATGAAGTAGCTACTGGGCAAAGAGGACACGATCAAACAAAAAAACCCCGACGACACAACCCGCTAGTGCCCTCATGATAGTGGTTAAACTTGAGCGCACGGACCACCAAATTTCGATTTGTAATTCCTGACTGCGCACTCGCTCTCACTGACTCGGAAGGTTGCAATTATGACTTGTATCGAGTCATGTTTGCAGTGAGACTGTGACATGACAGCTCCCCGCATATATTTGACTTTGTCTATCATACTGCAGGGTTCACCTCCCTGAAGGACAGTTTTAGTAAACGGCGGAGTTTACGTGGCAGGGCAGAAGGCGTCCGAACATATTCTGGCCAGTTCGACTGTAGGTGGAGTGGGGCCCGATAGCACTGGTATTACACATGCAAAATACACATAGCCCGTACGTAGTATGTATGTGAAAGGGTATTCTGTCAGAGCAGAATTAGAACTATAAATACATATGGTAAGTTGTACATCGTCAACACGTCATGAATCGTCGTTTGCAGTCTTGTCTTGTCATCGCTATGCCCTGTCATTGAGGCGGTGAGTGTGGGAACTCTCCGAGGGGCTGAGTCGTCCGTTGACGCTAGAGCTTGGTTCTTCCTCTCAATGATCACCGTTCTGGCCGGCGCGTGAACCAGCGCGTGAACCAGCGCGCGAGCCGGCACGCGAACGTACCCTCGTCCCGCGGAAAATCCAGACTTCCTTCTTGCTCCCGAAACCAAGCATTCCCGTACGCGCAAGGGGAACGGTGGCTTCAAGCTTGTAGCCCATGGTACTTATTTCCTTTAATGCGGATGCTGCAAATATGTCTTTGCTTAACTCAGGGGCTAACATTGGAGCAGTCAGCAGTTGAAAGATTGGTGTGGAGCGAGAACGTACTGCCAATTGCATTCCTTTTGAGCTCGATAGTGTAGATCTCGTCTTCACTCGTTCTGTCTCCTGCGATTTTATATGGCCATGCATTGCGGAGACGGGGGCCTATCTGCTCGCCAACACGACGGGGGGGTCGAACGAGGGTCATCCTGTGTCCTGAGCGCGAGATATGTGCGGCAAAGAAGTCACAGTGTTCATCGGGACCACTATCTTGAAATACCAACTGAGGATACTAGGCACATAGTTAATCATGGATACACGAAAATCGAGGCAAGGGAAGACATACGGAATACCCAGTGCTGAGAGAAGTACGGTACTGATAACCGTTGCGCGCGAGGCAGGTAAAGAGTTCGCATATCATTTTTTGTGCGCTAGGTAGGATGAGCACGTGACATGAAATCAGTGATTGGATGATGAACATACATGACACCCTCGCTGCCAGTGGCAGTCCACGGATTCCTGTTAAATAGAATGCGAAAAGCGTGGAGGACGGGAATTGCTGTGGATACGCCATGTGGCCACATAGGAATGATGTTTTCCTTGATTTCTTCCATGGTATCCTGGAAGGCGACATTGCCCAAGCGGAGCTCGTTTGCGCTGTGAAAAGAGACAAACATGTGTTCTGTAATGAAGTCATATCATGGAAATTACGATAACAGTTGATCATTAACAGGGTTTCGACGTTGTTCTTTGGCGACTAACCTGGAAGGTAGGACGGGTTTGTGACGCTGGTGCGGGTCATGGGCATGAGGCGCTGGCGTGCACTGGAAGAAGTTCGAGTGCGCTCAAGAGGAGGTGGCACGGCGCTAACGGTCTCTGAGCGGCGAAGGCCACCGTTCTTTTTCATTGCAGATTTTAGTTGGGGCTTTTCGGGATTATGGGAGGTCTTTGCACGTGCTGTATTAGCGCGCTTGATGCGTGGTGGAGGCGGGGCCGGTTCAGGCGTTGGTTGAATGAACTGGGTACTGATATCAGGATAAGGTTGTGGGTATGGAGTGCTCAGATAATTTTCTCGAGGCCATGGTGGTGAAGTGTATGGATCTGAAGAAGGAAAGGGTTGACGAGGCTGATGCTGATAGCCAGGAGGGTAATAAGTGTGGCATGGCTGACCATAGTAAGGAAAGTTTGATTTCGGGTAAGCTGAATGCATGGTCAGTGTTGTGGTAGTTGCGTGGTTAGGAAAGAGATAGGGAAATTTATCGAATTGATACTAGTTTGATACTAGTATCAAATAAAATAGCCTCGTGCCAAAAGACAGAAGACATGAGGATTCCCATTCTCGGCCGCGGATATTTCGACTTATCCTTTAGGCGCTACTCCATTTCTCAGCGGAGAACAACAAACCCTCCGACACGAGGCAGATACATACTCTAGACCCACTATCGACGTCGGTCCGGATTCGGCCCTTTAACTTGGTCACGTGAGTAGTTGTAGATCATTCTCTTGCTTGCTTCCGAGTTTCTCTCCGTAAACGCCCAAGTCATTCTTCATCCTCTTTACTGCAGTTTGTGATGGCGTCAACGTTCTTTACCTGGCTTAGATCTCCTGCTGCTCGCGAATACTTTTTCAGTATGTTTTTCATCGTCATCTGGTTTCAACGTTTCTCATCTTCTTCACAGGCACACACTTCTGGGGACCAGTCAGTTATTTCAACATTCCAAAAGGGCTTAACTCACTTATTGTAGGTCGCGAACTGGGGTCTTCCCATTGCTGCTCTCGCCGACCTCAGCAAAGATGAAGAGGTCATTTCAGGCTCTATGACCACTGCACTTGGCCTCTACTCGTACGTTCCATTTCACTCTCACACAAACTGACTGCTGACACATGCTCCCAGCATGGTCTTCATGCGCTTCGGTGCGTCCTCTGATGATGTTCTACAGCGTGTACTGACTTTTTGTTGTAGCATGGAGAGTACAACCCCGGAATTACCTGCTCTTTGCCTGTCATGCGACAAACGCGACAGCGCAGTCTATTCAAGAGACCCGCTTCGTAAATTACTGGTATTATGGCGGCCGCGAGAAGAAATATGGTCTTGACAAGGACGGCCAGGGTCCAGTCACGCAAGCCATCGAGGCAGCACAAGCAGAGGCAAAGAAGGTTGCGGACACAAAATAACAATCTTCCTCTATATAGCCTTAGAATTCGCTGCACCTTCTGAACGTGTGTCCAACTAAGGAGTAGATCCAGATACATAATTTTCACCAAAATCCGTCATCCCCGTCTCCTTTGCTTTTCTTTCCGCTCTTGCTCTGCGCAAGCGCCTGTCGCTCATACATCTCAGAGATCTGCCATACAATTACTTGAGTACCTGCCATCTCATTGAATATCAATATACATCGGAACACTCACTTGCTCGGGTCCAGTAGCGTCATCTGCCGATTTGTCATCGCGTATTCGGATGAATCTCGGAAAGCGCAATGAGATCCCGCGCTCCTCTACCAAGCCCTGTGCCGCCGTGTACACAGGGCTCAAGCTCAAATCAGCCGCGAGCACCTCCCACACCACCTTTGGCTCAAACCACACGTCAGGCTTCGCGCCCCCGGGTTTGATGTCCCCACGTGGTTTTGTCATCTCGAGTAGTCGCAGAGTATCCCAGTGCGTCTGCAGCATCTCCTCGCTGAATCCGGTGCCGATCTTGCAGATTGTCTGGTACTCTTCGCCATCGGCGTCGAAGCAGGCTAAGAGGAACGCTCCATAGACATTCGTACGCTTGCCTTTACCGTAGTATCCACCAACCACGACGAGGTCGAGCGAATCACCAACACCGGCGAGGTAGTCTTTCTTTAGCTGTGTATGGTTAGTAGTCGAATTTCGACGATGTAAAAGTCGAAAGTACCTTGAGCCAATTGACACTCCGCCGGCTGGGTTCATAGTAACTCGCATCTGACTCAAGCATCTTGACCATAAGTCCCTCGCAGCCGTCTTTCACACTCTCTTCAAGGAATGCCTGGATCTCATCTATTGTCGACCCATCTGAGGACTTGGCAAAATCGAACTCTCCAGGCACAACCTGGAAGTGCTCCCTTAACAGTTCTCGACGCTCGCTAAGTGATTTTTGGAGGAGTGGCTACGCGCACGTCAGTCAATGCAACACCCTGATGTCGGTAAAAATGGGCAACAAACCTCGCCGTTAAGATAAATGAGGTCGAAGGCGAAAAGGCAGACTTTGACTTGGATGTCTTCGACTTTTACATCCTTGCGCTTTTCGCTTGCTAAGCTCCTGGAAGGGCATGAGCTTTCCCGAAGTCTTGTCAATAGCGACGGCCTCTGCATCAAGCACGAACGACTTTGTCTTCTCCTGGATGCACTGCAAGTTTTTCTATCAGTCCAATCCGCACAGCCAATTGCGTATCACCCACCCTCGGCAGCTGCTCCACCAAATCCGGATACTTGGCCTTCATATCCTCTGAATTTCTACTGAACACGCTAACGCTACCATCCTCCAGCATGTGTACCTGGGCGCGCTCGCCATCGTACTTGTACTCACACGTGAACCGCCGCCCCTCGAAGCGATCGAGCACCTCGCCAATCGCTTTCGTTGGCTTGGCGAGCATTGGTTTTAGCGGAACGCCTGGCGTAAGTTTGCAATGCGTGCGCAGGTCCGATAGCCCGTGCGTGAGTAGCGCAGGAATCACAAGGTCATACGTGGGGAGCTCGCTGGATACTGTGTTAATGAGCATAAGTAGGTGAGGGGAGGGAGACTGACCTGTACACGGCTTTCATGGTGTTAGTGCCCTCTTCGATGCGAGATGCCAGTTTCTCTTTGCTCCATCGCTTTCCGGCTGTCACACATGATGGATCAGCTTGTTAGCGAGGTTTGAAGGAGACGGACCTTGTGCCTGAGCCAGAACAGCAGCATGTGCGAGGGCCACGAGAACTGTCCGCTCAGCATTGCCGATCCGGAGCTTGCCTTCCAGACTGCGCACAATGTACTTCGCTTCGAAGTCCTGACATGCAGCAAGGAGCTTCGTAATAATCGACACCTTCTTTGCCTGGGACTGTGGTAGGGAAATTGAGCCTTTGAAGAACTTGTACAAAACACAAAGAACAAACTGAATGTCCCGACGACAATGCGATCTCCCGCAAGTTTGAGAAGACGAAAGGGACTGTAAGGGGCTTTGGTTTAAAGAGCGTCTTCTGACTGTTTTTGGAGTTCTGTGAACGAAGTAAGCTCGTGTGGTCAAGTCAAGCAAAGGCAGAGCACCATTGCTACAAGCCCGAGATCGCCTTCTTTCTTGAGGTCCGCTTTAATTGTTGCAAGACTCCGCCCAGTGGACTCGCTGATAGCTTTGATAAGCAAGCTCTCGCCAATACCCAGTTCGACGCCGACATAGTCTGGGCTTAACTACGTCTCTTAGTGCGTAAGAATGGTGCAATTGAATGGGAAAAATCTTACGCGGTTTATGCACAGGTATACGGACTGCAGGAGGGAGTTGAAATCACCCTTCTTGCTGCGTTGGATGACGAGAAGGAAGAAAGAGGTTAGGAGGGAGGTCTTTTCGAGCCTCTTGGTGGTGGCTTCGATAAGTGAAAAGGTCTTCGTTAATGCGGCATAGGGCACTCTGCCAAATCACTGTGCAGTAAAAGCATGAGAGATTGTAATACGACATACGGGTCTCCTATTTTCCACCCGCCCTTGACGTCTACCTCTGCGGTTCGGGATAGTGCTTCTTCAGCGCTGCGCATTCAAGTTGACTTAGTGCTTGTGAAGTCCAGCTAGAAGAGTCAAACGTACGTTTGCGTTGCCGCAGCCTCATCGTCATCCTCCAACTCGCTTTCCTCGGGAACCTCGTCCTCGCCCTCGTCAGCACTTGTTGAGGATTCGGGTGGTTGTTCTTCCACAGGCTCGGATTGCGGCACTGCTTTGGCTTTCCCTTTGCTTTTAGATGAAGGCTTTGGCGAGGAGCGCTGATTTGGAATGGTGAGAGCCGGTGCGGCGGTTGTAGAGCCCTCATCGTCTGACTCGACTACACGTCTCCTTTTGGACTTGGAAGGCCCAGGTGATGCTAGAGCATCGTTCAATCCAGCTGCAAGTTTCAAGGCTGGGTGACACTCACCAGCGCGTCTTGGCGAAGTAACATCCTTCCGCTTTGTTTTGGGCTTGGCCGGCGCTGCTCGTCATGAATGACCTGTCAGCTGTGCAGAGCGGAGGAGCACTCACATGCTGGTGGTTCGTCAACTTCCATTACATTTGCCTGTTCTGTTGGCTGTTTGCCATTTGAGATGGGAGACCCTAAGAGTTCACGAGGATTAGACTCCACGGTTCAAAGACCTCGAAAGACTTACTAATTTCAGACTTCACTGACGCACCCACCTTCATCTCGTCCGCCGTCAGATTAACGCTGACTTCGCTGGCTTCTTTCTTCACAGCCTCCTCAGTTCGCGTTGGGCTTAGTTTTCGTCCCTCCCCACATTTCCGCCAGGCTCGACTGCTGTGGCGGCGCCGGCTTGTTGTTCTTTGGCATTTCAAAGAATTTACCTGGAAATAGTGGTTGTTTGTGAGCAGGAAAGAGGAAAGCGTTATACTATGTACCGAGCGTTTGTTGTCTTCCCATAAATCTTGTGTGAGCTGCGACGCGGTAGAATGAGCGCGTGACAGACATAGACGCGTGCTAAACGCGTCGCGTCAACCCGTGTGAATTGGCTCATGACCCCTGTTCCGGTTCCGCCGGGGGTCACTCGAAATTGAATACAGCACCATGCAACTCCTGCAGAGCTAGTGAATGAACATTGCGGTTAGTATTACTATTGGTGAAAACAAAGTACTGCTTGTTACTGCACTCTAGCCAGCTCATCGTCGAGACCGAAATCTAGCACCATCACCTTGTTACTATCAGTCACCACAAATTCGGGCTACTCGCAACAAGTGTAAGCCTGGTGGCTTACCTGAGTTCCCATAATCAGCATAAATACTGTCCGAGATAATGAAGCATGAGCTTTCATTATCACTGCCTTTTGGCGTAACGGTTAAGGGACGACAGTCTTGACTACTTACAACAACTTAAATAATGTATTCTCGCAGATGCCGCCATCGGTCACTGCAGTACTACTTACACAGGGGGGAAACTGACATTTCACCACCTTTTGCCGTCAGTGAAATTACATTTGAGAGGTAATTTATAGCACTCTGGAACGCTCTAGGTTATGTCTGGAATGCTCTGGCCAGGTCTAGATCCGCTTTTGATTGTAATTTTGCAAGAGGCAAAATGTTGAAACCCCCGATGTCAACCCGATGTGCTAGCTAGCTTAGTGCTTTCGGAACTTGGAGCTTGTGCAAAGTTCAAACTACACCGCGGATCCAACGCTATGCGCTACTTATACTTGAACATGACGGCAATCAAAACTCGGCTCATGAGTCGGTGATTTTTTGTTCGGGTCACGTCCTGAGTCATTCATTTCTTCAATTTTGATCGTTCAACGTTCAACCTTGTAGCGTTTTGCAGTATACGTACGATGAATTGTGGTACAGTAGGAATGAAACAGAATATTTAGTGTGAACATTTAAATTGGGTCACCGGACATGAGTGGCAAATGCCGGAATCTGTACAGTTTTAGTTTTGTGGCTTTTTTCTCACGCAAGCAAGCACAGAGCCCCCGGCGGAAATCGAGCTCCCCATCGTCCTAATAATTCACCATGGCCGACCAAGTGCGTGCTGCTGCTTTGCTGATCCTATGCTGTTTGCCTTACCCACCGTCGTTTATAGATCGAGAAGGCGTACCAGAAGCAGCACTTGTTCCAAAACGCCAAAGCCCGCGGTATGAGCCTTTTAACCCGTGAATTCGGAGCAGGAACTTATGTGATTGCGATCGCTGTGGTAAAGGTGGCAAGAAAGTCGCGACAAAGGAAAAGCGGTGGTACAAGGATGTTGGTCTTGGATTCAAGACCCCTTCGGAGGCTATCCAGGGCACTTACATCGGTATGTCTCTATACTTCTCACATCTAGTTCGGAGAGTTCACGGTTATGTTTGTTCTCAGACAAGAAGTGCCCCTTCACCGGTGATGTCTCGATTCGTGGCCGTATCTTGACCGGCAAGGTCGTCTCAACAAAGATGACGCGGACAATTGTCATCCGCAGGGACTATCTCCACTACATTCCTAAATACAGTACGTCAAAAGACAAGCTGATTGGTCGTTCGCGCTGAGCTGTCTTTAACAGACCGTTACGAGAAGAGACACAAGAACATGGCCGTACACGCATCGCCCGCTTTCCGTGTAGAGGTCGGTGACATCGTCACTGTTGGTCAGTGCTCCTTTCTGTTGACGCAACTCAGAACTGATCGCAGGGGATGTAGGGCAATGTCGGCCGTTGTCGAAAACGGTACGATTCAATGTCCTGCGGGTGTCGAAGAGTAAGGCATCAGCCAAGACCTTTGGCAAGTTCTGAGATGGACTTAGTGCCGTCGAGATTCTATTTACGTTTTGCCACTGCATGATTTCTACTACCATTGCGCTATGCCCGCATGAAAATACATGGCTGCACTATGACAAGCACTTAATTTAGAAGACCTAAGTCGCAAAGCATAGGAATGATAATCAAAATCAGAACTAAGCTTAAGCAGTACTTGACCTGACGCGCGCTTAACTGAATGGGAAGCAAACAAGGGAACAAACAAGAGTCGCAAGCGGTGCAAGTTGCCGCTTAGGAAGATCCACATCCTCGTTGGAGAGGATACGACTCAACATATCCTTGTCTTCTTCCAATTTGCAAGCTGGCTCCAACACTTCTTTCCGTTCTAACTTCCAAGTTATCTTCCAGGTCGCGCTCCCAATCTTTAGCAACACAGCCAGGCTCGCCTTCACGCGAATCCCAGGTCCCACTACCAATGGGCCAACAGCAGTCCAAAAAGACAAAGAAGGGAGGCAAGGAGAAGGATGTGGACCCTATACACGAAGATTCCATAGAAGATTTTAACGGTCCAATGCCCCATGGCAGTCTGTCTCGCGCAACGGGTCATCTCAACCACTCCCAAAGTGTCGCCCACGAGTATGATGCCGTCCGAAGTAGTGCTCCCTCTCTTAACGTACCTAACCCAGGAGAGTCCAATGGAAGCAGTTCACGACAACCAGGTTCACCAGGTGCTTCCACCACTGTCCTCAGTTCTTCTCCAAACAACCTCTCTACTTCCTCTCTACTCGCACCAACTTCGGTGCAACAAACCTCGCCTCCATCAACAAAACCTTCCCCTACTCCTCTCGACATTCCACTTACCCAGACAATCCTCTCAACTTCTGTGCCGTCGTCATCCTTTACACCGGGTTCAGCGGCTAGTAGCTTCCCCTTGAGTGACTCCGCGGGAGGAAAGACCAGACAGTTCGATATTGACGATATGATCCAACGTCTTCTTGACGTGGGCTACACTGGTAAAGTCAGCAAGTCTTTGTGTCTGAAGAACACGGAGATTGCTGCCATTTGCCAAGCGGCGCGGGAGGTGTTTCTCAGTCCAGCCAACTCTCATCGAACTCTCACCACCAGTAAAGATCGTCGGCGACGTGCATGGGCAATATTCTGATCTCATCCGCCTCTTCGAGATGTGTGGTTTCCCTCCAGCCGCCAACTACCTATTCCTAGGTGACTATGTCGATCGCGGGAAACAGAGTTTGGAGACAATCTTACTGCTCTTGTGCTACAAGATAAAGTACCCAGAGAACTTCTTCCTCTTACGTGGTAATCATGAATGTGCGAATGTCACAAGAGGTCAGTCACTTGCGTTATCTATCCTGTGATGTTATTCTGACATTTTTCAGTGTACGGTTTCTATGACGAGTGCAAAAGACGATGTAACATAAAGACATGGAAGACATTCATAGACGTCTTCAATTGCCTACCCATTGCAGCTATTGTCGCCTCCAAGATATTCTGCGTACACGGCGGGCTATCACCTTCACTTCACTCCATGGAAGATATCAAACGCGTACAGCGACCGACCGACGTGCCGGACTATGGGCTGCTAAACGATTTGCTATGGTCCGATCCCTCGGATACTGCATTGGATTGGGAAGATAACGAAAGGGGAGTGAGCTACTGTTTCGGGAAAGCCATCATCAACGAGTTCCTGGTACGGTACGATATGGACCTGATATGCAGGGCTCACATGGTCGTGGAGGATGGGTATGAGTTCTGGAACGACCGGACATTAGTGACCGTGTTCAGTGCTCCGAATTATTGTGGAGGTTAGCATCACCCTTTTTTACTGTTCGTCCAGCGCTGAAGCGGAGTTTCAGAATTTGACAATTACGGTGCTTGCATGAGGTATTTCTGCGCACCCTTGGCATCTTGGTATTTCAAACTGACTGGTATTATAGCGTCTCGGAGGACCTTTTGTGCGCTTTCGAGCTCCTCAAACCATTGGACGGGCCGGCACTCCGGAAAGAGATGACAAAGGCCAAACGGAAGAGGTGGGTCATCTCGCTCTCATTAAATATCATATATTGACCTCACGCCTAGTCTTATGGCGACTGCAACGTGATCATGACATGCCACGCGCAGCACACTGGTGTCACAGGTTGGCCAAGGGCGTGGGTAACCTGTTAATGAACACTGTATATCTTTGGTGCCACTACGTATTGGTGCGCAGATGCCTGTTGAGATATCCGGGGCCTATGCCTGGCTCTCATACTAGAAACATCATATTACCCCTACCTCTATCCCGTTCCGTCTAGTCCTGTGATCTGTTGACCTTGATATCCGAGCACTTTGCCTTGCGCAAGCACACTCCTTTCTGTCCAAAGCACAAGTCCATGTACCTCCTCGCATCTCTCCTCCTTACCCTCCTTTCTGAGACTCCCTGTCTTTCCTTCCGTTTCACGTTTTCTCGCTCCTCGTCTAGCTTTCTTCTTTGGGCTTATTTAAGACGTCGCATATTTTCTCTGTTTGTGCTATATAATGACATTGCAGCTGAAGTTGCTGACTGCGGTTTTCACAAGTTATTACGTCGCATCTCACTACTTAGTATGATGTATTGACGGTATGAGTATATATCCTTCCATACAATCGCTCAGGCACCCATGTCCTCCCTGGCTTCCAAAATTTGCTGCTTGTAGTAAGTACTTCCAAATGACACCGCACATCATGCATCATCAACTCTGAGGGTGAGATCTTGACTCGGAGACACGTTTGTCCTAGTGGTATCAATCACTGAAATGTCCGATCTTCTCTTGACCAGTAACTTGCACCGGATAGCATGGATGGACATCCCATTACAGGAAAGACCTATTCTAGTGTGACTTGGCCCTCCAAGCAGACGTTGGCGCTTGGCGTTCCTTGAAAAAGACCACTCCAAGAGATGCTCTTCGAGTATTTTGACGTTCAGATGATGTCCAGCAATTATGCAAAGCGACAATTCTAAGATTGATAAGTGTCAATCACGCCTGCTCTATTGTATGGCTCTACTGTCAACCCTGAAACATATCATAAGCAAGCACCGCGAAAGCCCCGATAATCATGCCTGCTCCCAGCAGCCCCCACGCAGTTAACCCGACGGAGCCTAACATCAGATCCGAGATCAGTGTGAGGACTATTGTAAGTAGACTCCCAACGGAAGTGACAATCGGGCCCCAGACTCCCAACAAGATCTAAAAATATAAATTAAACAAGCGACACTATGTTTTAATCATTGCGCACCATGAAGCCTGCATTAAATATAACGCCTGTTGCACAAATTCCTGCAATCGCAGCGAAGGTCACCATGTTGGATGGAAGTGCAAAATTTTCAATGCCAGAGTAATGCAACAAGGGTAGGGTATCCAAAGCACGAACATGGTGCATAGGCCAATGGATGCCGTGAGGAAATTGGGATGAAGGCCAAATGGAGGAGAATGCACGACTTCATTACTGGCGAGGAGAGGCGGGAGACACTATCTCCTCGTCAATAGCCTGTTCCGCTGATGCTGGGATGTGGGTATAATGTACAGATTCAACAGCTAGCTCTGGGGCTGATGGCAGTGCTGCATATTTCTTGTAAAGAACTTGGTACAGACCGTATAGCACGGATGCAACCAGAGTTAGGATAGTCGCCAAAAAATGGAGCAGGCGTTCGGGTCACAGTCACACCGACGGCCAGATTTGCGGTTGTACTTGGCGGCGTGCTTCCGCCATACACGATGGTGAGCACCCCAACAGTGGCGAGGCAGACGGCGCACATCCGAACAAAACCCCATTGCAGGTTCAGCAGCTTGACACTGAAGACATAAGCGAAGAAGGCATTAGCATTCCAAATAGCGGTGACGTCGGTGACACTAGGAGGATGCTTGAGATCAGAAGTGTGGAAAGTAGTCAGGGACGTACGGGGCATATGCGACAGCAATAAACCATAATAGCGCAGGTATACTGTAGATAGCAGTCATGATGAGAACCATGACTAGAAATCGAGAAAGGGGGAATTGCGAAGACCGGTCTATTCTTGAATCTTCAGACTTTCGTGATGTCAACTGAGCAGTGATAGCGCAGGACAAGCCAGATAGCAGTGCACGAGGGGAATGGTGGGTTGTCAGGAGGAGATACCCGAGGTGCAATGGAAAGGATATGATGAATGACGAATGCACGATGTAACTGCAGACTTTAAGCTCGCATGAGTATAGCGCAGAATCATCTGTCTACTCACAATAGAAAGAATGAGTGCTGGTAACCCAGTGTTGTCTGGACATACTAATTCGATTATTAGCAATTCGTTAACCCAAAGTAGCCAAACCGAAGCTCTTCACCTGTGTGAGTTGGGTCTCTCCAACGAAAGCAAAGATCACTGCAACGAATGTTGCCAGCGCGGTCTTACCACCTAAACGTAGCGCAACTGAGCTCTCTCGCGCGCGCGCCATGATAAGTAAAGTAAGAAGTGAAGAGATTGAAGAGAGTGCTTCGAAGAGAGAGGTGCCCTGATTGGGAGGTTTTCACTGCTCCATCTCACAAACTGAAGGAATACTAATTCTTATCGGATTCAACGCTCAAGCGCTCGACAGTAACGTTGCAACTCGAACGTTTGAACGCTAAGCCGTAAGAGCGAATAGTACAAAGAAAGAATTCACAAAAAATATGACACGTGACAACACCGTACAGCACAAAACTTCATACTACTCGTCACTGGTCTCAGGTCCTCATCATGTTGCGAGCCTTGCTAGCCTCAAGCAGGCCATTACTAGCGCGTTTGCGCATCCCTACTATTCCCCACATACATAATTCCACACCTGCAATCTCGTCACTTGGCACGACTGCATCAATTCCGTCTATGACGCGTGGAATGAAAGTCAGGTCATCTGTCAAGGTTATGTGCGACGGGTGCAGCGTTGTAAAGCGGAAAGGAAGAGTGTACGTTGTGTGTTCGAAAAATCCAAAACACAAGCAGGTGTGCTATTGATGCTATCCTCATCCCAACTTTGATTGACTCTCGTGTAGCGTCAAGGATAATCGCCGTCAAACCTGTGTCATTGAACGCCGCAAATCGTTTTGGTAGAATGCATGTAGGGGAAGAAGGGACATATATGTCGATATAATGCACATTCCAACCAGCTCTCGAAATATTCTACCGCCTATGTTACTGTCGCAGCCACATTTGAAACTCGTAGCTAACTCCATTCTCCTCCTGGACCCCTGCTGGCACGTCGAATCCCGTCCATTCCACAAGTTCATCATGAGTTGCTTGCTTCCACTCCATTTTTCCTTCCTTGCTGGCTCCCAAGAAGTCTGGCATATGAACGTCACATTGGGGGAAGTCAGGTGCAAGGATTCGTGTCAAGAGGACACGGTCGGCGATACAAGACATCGGATTCGAAGATGTAGGTTTTAGTGTCTCTGAGAACAAGGATACTCCACCGATGATAAATCGTCGGTGTATGTCAACTTGAGACGTCAACTCAACCGCCGAAGTTAAGTTCGAGCAAAGGTGAACTGGAGCTGACGTATTGGAGGGTGTCCTGATTGTCGCTCTATCAATATATAAATCGCGAAAAAAAGAAGACAAAGACGTACAGCTCATAGTCCTTATTGTGACTGATAACTACGTTGAGGCGTTTAGAGAGAGGCCTGAAATTGGCGGGTATGCTCTCCCATGTCTTTCGTCCCATGATGACCGCGTTCTTCCGTCCTTCAGGCGCGGTGGAAGTGACCCGAGCAAAATAGGACATTTCCTTTGACAGCCGCCATGGAAGTTTACCATGTTGGCCAATACCGTTTGATTTCGTGGCGGCGACGATGATTGTAAGATGTGACATGGTCTCTAGGGAAGCAGTCCAAGCTCAGCGTGCTAGTAAAGAACCATAATATAGACCATCTTCATTCCATTTGGTCAGCCTACGACTTGCGAATGCCACGATCCCGTTCGATCTGAACGATCCTTCTAAAGTTTATGCCTAACTCGGACGCGGCGATTTTTAGGTAGCAGCGGGAACTTCGGTCCTGTTCACAAATAAAAAGACGTGGTGCCCCTCAAGTTGTGCCACCCCCGGGGTAACAGTCATCTGTACTTCACTCTAACGTCATAACCTCACGTAGGCATCGAACTTCTGTCTGACAGGAGAGAAATGCATGTTTTGTACTGAGGGGGTCACTAGTGCTTTCGATGTAAGACAATGATAATGAAGTGTGAAGGCGTGGACAGCATGCAGAGTAACCGATACTAGAATACAAGGTGATGATCAAGTTCAATCCCACTTCTTCCACTCACTACCTGCTGGGGGCTTCACCTCGACCGGAGCCTTGCCTACCTCCTCCCAGTTTGTGCTAAGGGTGGTCCCTCCACTTTCCTGGAAACTCTTCATCATTGCCCGTTTGGCGTCATCATCTGCATCTCCGAAGATCTTTTGGAAAAAGCCGTTGACAACGCTGTCGCCGCCAACGTTGGGGTCCTCATCAGTAGTTATCTCCTTTTCGGATGTGAGAATTTTAGTGGTGAGTTCCTCCCAGTTCTTCTTGGGCTTAGCCCTTGCCTCGACCACCGCTGGAGAAGTCGTTGGTCCGATAGGGGCCGAGGTCTGAAGAGCTAGTGAGCGTCAGCACGCGTTAAAGTAGCTGTATAGCAAGCACGAACGATCAGGAGCATCACCAGTGATACCTCCCCAACGGCCTTGAGCCATTTTCACAAGACGTAGTTCAACCTTGACTTTGCCGACCGTGAAATCGCACCTCTCGGTGTCAATCTGTCCTTTCAATGGTTGTAAGGATAGAGTCTTCTCGCCATTTTGGTAGCTAATCTATGGATCTATTGAGACCTCGGTCTCTCAGACTGAGATAGGTTGCTTACCGCGCGTGGCTCAAATATAACGGATACCTGTGCAGGATCAGCCCCTCGATCGAAGATGGAGATGGTCAGTTTCTCGTCCGTCTCATAAAATTCGTGTCTTTGTGGCATTAGACAGACATCAAGCTCCAGAAATGTCAATCTCACCTCAAGGATGCCATGGCTGGGTTGAAGATGCAAAAACAGCGATGCTAAAGTGATGAAGTTACGCGACGACTCAGCTTAAGAACTTTCCAGTATTACGGGTCACGTGAACTACCATGAGGCCAAGAATTCGTAAAACAATTCAATAGCACTGAGCTAGTAAGTACTGTGCATCGATATCAAAGGATGCTCCTTGAGGTTTATGCAGTCGCGCCCATGGACAGCACCTTTGCGATGGAATATTGTTATCAAAGGTGATGAACGTTTCATGCATATGGTGCGTGCCAGCCCTAACTGGAAATCAAAAGAAGGACAAATAGGTGTCCGACTACGAACTTGTACGACGTCATCTTCCCTGAGTACAGTCAAGCAACCAATGATGAGCACGCCGTCTGTGATACCCAAGGCTGTTTTGTACTATAGCCCACACTCTGTGTGGTCCTCTGCGAGTAAGCATCGCACTAACGTCAATTATCATCAGGTCTCCATACTAATGATTACTGTAATGTCGCTTTATGTCCTGACTGCAACCATCACCAGCACTTCTTGCACTGTGAGCTCCTTGCGAACTAATGTATGGATGCTTCCAATATACAATCCCTCTGCAGGTACGAAAAGGGGTACGGAGAGGATGAGGTTGATCTCAAGGTCGTCGACATCGGTACGTGCAACGAAGTGGCTTGACGTTGGCTAACCTATGTTTGCATCAGATAAGGGAGAAGAATTCTCCCCGACATTCCTCAGGTTAAGCCCCAAAGGTGGGATTGGGCACTTTCCGTATTATGGATCATTGATCACCCATCAGCAATGGTGCCAACTCTTGTTGTACCCCTCCGCGGCTCTCTAGCATCCGATGTTGCGAGCCGCTTCAAGGCTATCTCAGACACGAAAGTCAGCTGGCTTTCGTTTGGCCAGTTTCCTCTCTGCTAACGGGAAGAGCAGGCACTTATCGAGTTCTTGGACAAATCCCGGTCCGCAACTTCTCACACGCACACTACATCGACCGCTCCAGCCCCATCCTTGTCCCCCGCAACAGTTGCATTTGCTAGTGCATCCAGCAAGATTATTGGCGCTATTCAGGCTGACGAGGTCTCTCCCGATCATTTACAGCACTTGAATGCCCGCGATCAAGCAGTCACTTCAAGTGCTTGGAAAATCTCTAGTTCCCTATCCTTGAATCCAGACGAGCGGCAATCGTGGGATATCTAGCTGAGTGTGAAAATGAAAGCATCCGGATGTCCGAAAAAACCAAGGCATTCTGGCAAGAGAGAAAGATAGAGGTGGAGATGACACTGAGTATTTTCAATGGACACGACGTCGATGGATATTTGGCACGCTCCAAAGAAATGTGGGAGGTCACAATTCCCAGGCGTCCTCACTCGAGTGAACGAAGAGTTGATCGGGCCCTATGCGTTAGGTTCGTGGAGAATCTCTACCAGCTACCATGCTCAGCTCGCGATAACATAACGTAAAACATAGGCGATCAGGTCTCTATCGCGGACATTCATTTGAGCGCTTGGCTCTCTCACCTAGTCAGACTAGCCGGCGGAAGCCCTTCTGATGATGGAGATGTTGCCATAAAAAAGGTGGAAAAACATATTGGAAATGGGTTTGTCTTTCCAGAGGACTTTTTGTCTTCGGCTTTCAGCCCTTTCACTGAGGAGAAACCAGTCGCGAGGAGCAAGTTGGCAGCATTTTGGGATGCAATGAAAACAAGGTCGAGTTGGAAGAGGGTTTACTGATTCATAGGCCTGTGCGTGATTGACACAACTTTTGGTTTGTACACTCACTTGGTGGTATCAGTTTATGCGTCGTAGAACCCGCTAAACGGCGCTATTAAATAGAGTCTTTTTGCTAGCCAATCAGCCAATCAAAAACAAATTTTCCATTCCTGTGTGATGTTTGGATTCTTGTATTTTTGATCGCAGTCAGTGGCAGTGTCGCATCTAGGAATACCCGACTGCCTGTTGTAACTTACACTTCATACCAAGAAAAATCAACGCGGAAAGCAATACGACGCTAGCGTTAGATACGTTCTAGCTATCGCCTCATCAACGATAGACTGGTCAATTTTGCAGGCTATTTCTCTAAGGCTTGGCTTCCACGCTCTTTTCCAATGCCATGGCCTGGCATTGTGGACTTCTCTGGCTCTTCCCACTTATTTCGAGCATCATCTGACGAAGAACACGACATTCTCTCGGGACATGACTGTAGGGACACTCTCAGAGGTGGTCCATCCAACACTCCCTTATCCGAGCGCATTTCATTCACGGACACTGGATACCCTGATATAATGTCTGGAAGGTTGTCTTCAGATTCTTCATCGTCTACACCTACGCCGTCTCGCGCTCCTTCGCCCACGCCATTTTCTCGGCATTCTTCATCACCATCCGAAACTGAAACTGACTCACCCTTACTTGGCCTCGGAAGATATACTTCCCTGAGAGAAGGCCGCTGGAATTGGCGCAACTTAGGTTCGAGTTCCCTGAGGAGGCGTAAACGGGATGGAAGAAAGTGGAGAGCATTCAAAGGTGGTCTGAGACGTATTGTCAGGCACCCACTATTCCCTCGTCAACCGTTGACCATCGTAAGTGTTTTTTTTTCCATCTGCATTTTGTTCCATATCTCTGACTATTCTAAAAGATAATTGCGCTCCTGATGTTCACCGTCTTCGCCATCTCTCTCACATTAGCTTTGCTGTATATCTTGAACCCCGACAAGGAAGCTTTACCTTGGAGGGCATATTGCACAATCACGCCTACAACATCTGTGCCCCCGCACTATCGCACTGCATTGCCATACCCCTACATCAACCCCCTTCCCAAGGTCATGCCACCATCATTCCCACCGGATGACCTTGATGCTCTACCACCCGCAGGACTATTCTTAGCTGTCTTCTCCATGGATTCGTCACTAGAACGTAGAATGTTGATCAGAACAACGTGGGCGGCACATCCCCGTAGTCGCAATGGCGCAGGAGAAGGAGATGACGGGATGGGCACCTCGAGGACTTTGGTGCGTTTTGTTCTCGGACAGCCCCGCAAAGGGTGGGAGAGACGTATTCAGACAGAGATGGAGAGTAAGTGTATCTTACTGGCCTGTCGCATCACTCTGACGCACGCTCTTTCGTAGTGTACAACGACATTATAATCTTGCCCTGCCCAGAAAACATGAATTCTGGCAAGTCGCATGCCTACTTCACGTGGGCGGCATCAAACGCTTGGGTCCCGCCAGTCTACTTCAATACCACGCATCCCGTACCGGAGTTCTCGTACTCAGACCAACATGCCCCTGCCCCACGTCTTGCCCCCCATGATCCCTACTTGGCTTGGAAGGACAGTGCCTCAGGTCATCCAAGGGCTTGGGTGCGGCCCGATTATGTGGCTAAAGTCGATGACGATGCTTTTGTTATGTTGGCTGAACTCGAGGCGCGTATGAGGCTAGAGTTGTACGCTATTGGGCAGAGGCCATACGGCATGCCTTATACTTCGACACCCTCTGAATACTTAAGAGTGGAGATGCCAAAGGTGGAATCGCAGACAGGTCCTCCTGATGATACCCTTGCATCAACCATGGTTGAACAGGAGATGCAGCGCGATGAATCGGCGAACGACCCATTGGTTTACTGGGGCTACCTTGTCAAAGAAAAGTTTATGGCTGGCGAACTATATGGCCTGAGCTGGAGTCTTGTCGACTGGGTTTCCAAGGATCCAGGCGTTAAAGCTCTTACCAAGGGCGCAGAGGACAAGCAGACGGCCAGGTGGATGACACTACACCCACGTGCAGGGGAGATCCGTTGGTCAAGCGACCATTGCTGGATATATGATCATCCTCGTTCAGGAACTGTGTGAGTCGACACGTTTGTCTGCTTAACATTCCCGTCCTGATTTTCTTGTAGATACTCTCATGGCTTCTTGTTTCCCTCCGAAGTCTCTCGCGTTAAGAAACCTGTTTTGGCATATCTCGACAAAGTATCCCGTAACTCATCGACCGGTGCGATTTCCCTGTCGAATCCAGCTACTGGAACTTCTTCAATGCTTTTATCGTGGGCCCATTCGAGTGTTTCGACATTTGGAACCCGGTACCAGCAGCCCCTACAAGAGATGGACTTAGCTCATAGCGTTGAGGCACTAGTTGAAGGCAGCGACATGTCCAAGCTGCAGGAAGGTGCGATATCAAGTCTCCTTAACAAGCGCATACTAAATGTCACCGGTTACAGGGATATCTATGGACATAGAGCGAGCATGGCGCAACCGCGAAGGACGCGTCACCCGATACGAGAACAAGCGCGTCGGTGGAACTGTCGTGGTGCATTTCATCAAGAAACACATGTGGTTCTTAGAGACTGCACTTGCTTTCTTGGAGAGCGATAATTTTTCTGAAGCTGAGCTCGAGGGTCTCGATGCAGACGAGGACAAACTCAATGTGGGCTTGTCGTCAGTATGGACAGACAATTCGGTTTTCAAACAGACGAACGCAAGTGCTGCGTTGTGATCGCTATTCCGCTGTCTGGACTATTTTAGCCGACCTCTTGTATTTATCCTTGCTAAACCCAAGACATCGTAAACTACTGTGCTCGGAGACTACTCGTCCCCGTTATCGACATGCATATAGAAATTTATTCTATACGGTATTGTCACCGACCTAAATATAAGGGATATACACAACAAGGGTGGTGGGTGGAATAGGGTGTTCAATACCCATCCAACAGCAATGGTACAGGAGCAGGTCGATCATCAGGCGTTGTCAAGGGTTGTTTGTCCTGCAGTCTGTTCAGTACTGCTCTTCTGATGGTTCCTTCCCATTGCCTAAACCACTCTCCTTCTCGCAATCCAACGACTTTTGTACGTCTGCCCGGAGGGTCAACAAGGGAAGAACCCTGGGCGGTGGCGTCCACGGTCTCGAATGCATCACGGAAGGGACTCTCCGAGTGTACAAGATCTGGAGCAGATTGCTTTGCAGTTGGCTCGACGCGCTTCAGCGCATATGCACCACCACAGACATCCCAGCGTCCACCACCGCGTGAGTGAAAACGTTTGAATAGCCATATAAAAGGGTATATGAGCGTAAGAAAGAGTAGAAACTTGATCCAACGGTTCGAAAGAGCGCGGGAGAGGCGGTTATGCGACCGGATAGATACGATGTTTTGGGATGTTTCGAACTGGACGGACAAGTCACCCCGATAGTGTGTAGAATTGACGACAGAAATAGCAGCAACCCTGGTGGCCTCGAAATTCCAACCATAAGCAATCTGTGGATCGAGTATGAGAATTATATGATGTCACTGAAATACCCACCGACCTTGTGGTAATTAAATTCCTTCAAGTACTTGCGACTAGCACAATAGTCGTCTGCCCACTGACGCAATGTCCACGATGATTTGAGAACACCGTTCGTTTGCATGAGATGCGGCTGGTCCTCTCTCCATGCGTAATCACTACCGATCCACGGAGGGAACCCCCTGCGAGCGCGCTCGGCGTCCCACACTTTTGCTGCCTTTCTTTCCGATTTCTTTGCTTTCCGTTTCTCTTCGCAGATGCCCACTTCTTGATACATACGCCCCCGGTATGCAGGGGTGGAATCGGCATATGACCAGTGAGTTGGCTCTCCGAATATGTGTTGTCCTACGTCTATGCAAAAATCAAAGTCTGTTATGCGCTCGGTATACTGCTCAGTCTTCATCTTAGAATGACCATTGTGATGCGAGTGAACCATTCGTGTATGAGTTTCGTCATGAGACCCTTTGCATCGTAAGATGACGGTGGGTGGCACTGAGGCCTGTGAAAGCAAGAAACGGTATAGGGCTTCGCCTGGGAGAGTTGAGAACGCGAAGAATTAGCAACGGCGAGGAACGTACCATCGTCGTTGAGATGAGGATCATGGGAGATGATGTTACCAGAATGCGAAGTAAAGAAGTGCGCATCATAAGGAGCAAAAGCAGGTGGTTCTTCACCGCCTAGCGGTGCAAAAGTGTCATCCTGGGAGAAGTGGAGAACATGGTCTCCAGCACTTTCCTCGAATGTTGGCGGAGGCTGGTGCAATGTGGAAACGGATGATGATGCGAGTGAAGGATCGCTGTCAAATACAGGATCCTGCTTGTACTTGAGAGGTTCTGCATCGATGAGGAGCATGTCGTCGTGGTTGTCGTTGAAAGGGGCTGTGTGCCAGGACATGTGTTGACGTACTAATTTGGGTAGACGGTTTTTGATTGCGCAGTTTCATAGCTTTATTACGTAATGGTCATATTATTTGTGCCTAGGTAGGGCCTAGGTTATGCCCTAGCTACGTAAAAAGGTGTGTAAGGCGTTCGTTTCATTGTCTGAACGGTGACCTCGATTTGCTTATTATCAGCTTCTATCGCGTTGCATGCGATGATCCTAGAATCTTCGTTCATTAAGCCACGACTTTGAAAGTCGAAACGTGAGTGTCTTGTAATTCTCACTTTCATGCTTTCTTCATTTCACTTGCAAGAGTTCAGCACCTCTTCTACCCTTTTTCCTATCCTGTTAGGAACTTCTTATGATCATTTCCACTCAGGGAAGACGTTCAAGGTCCTGATCAAGGTCCTATTTTTTTTCTTTCCAATATCATTTCTTGTTGAGCCTGCGGCGGTGTCTGGCGTTCAGCGGTGCAGGTCTCTCTTGTCGTCGTTCACCATTGTTTCTTGTTCATTCTCTTCTTCTATCTGACTTTAAGCTCGTTTCTGATAACTCACCCGTTTATTTCATCCTGGTTCCCGCTCACAATTCGCCAACGACACCCCTTGGAAAAACCCGACAACATTGGTGCTATCTCTGTAATTGCAACTATATTGCGATTGTCTGCTACGCCCACAACATTTAACACCTTTGTTACATCTTCATTTGGCTCACTTATACCTTATTTCCGTTGCGTCTCCATCCACGGCTTATACTGTGACAATGTCTTCGGGTGCTTCATCCTTGTAAGTCGCTTGGTTATTATCCAGTCCCAGAATATTAACCCATCATGCAGTGTCGTGCCCACTACTGCAGCACCCAGCAGTGTCCCGCCATTAACCAGTAGTTCTCCACCGCCCACGAGTTCTTCACCGCCCCTGACGACGAGCCGTACTTCGTCCTCGTCCTCGACGCCCACGTCTTCCGGTATGGCATCATCCACAACCACTGCGTCCTCGGGAATCAGTGCAGATACAAGCACCCTTACATCAACAAGGTCTTCTCTGCCGACAACTACAACTACAACTAGTGATACTACTAGCTCGTCGCAACCGACTTCTTCACCGGTGATAACTTCCTCATCAATAACGCCAAACTCCTCATCAATAACGACAACTTCCTCATCACCAACAACTTCCTCATCACCAACAACTTCCTCATCACCACCAACAACTTCCTCATCACCAACAACAACCTCCTTATCAATAACAACAACTCCCTTATCGCTGACGACAACTTCCTCACCATCGTCCACCGCGAGTACACTATCGACCACTGCCGGTGCTCCCCAGACGTCGAACTCACCGTTTTCTCACCCTTCGTTGACGGCTCCCAGTACCCCGTCATCTTCGGTCACACCGGTGCCAATCGTGTTCGTGTTCTCCTTGCTGTTACATGTCGTCTACTGACATACCTTGTTCATACATTGTAGTACAACGTTGGAAAGCACCTTGTATATCACCACAACGAATGCTCAAGGACAACCGACAACGACGGCGCCTTCTATTGTCACAGAAATCACGACTTCCACAAACAGTGCGGGGGCTGCCACGACCATCACAGTAGCAGTTGCAAATCCCACCCTTGCGCCCGATAATGGGACGACATCGGGTTCCGCGTCAGCTTCCCGGCTTATCAGTCATTATTCAGGCTCATAATAAATCACAGGTTTTTCAGGAATACTGGCGCTGTAGTCGGTGTATTCGTCGTGGTTGGTTTGGCTGCTGCATCCATCGCGCTGTGGATCTTCTTTTACGTCCGACGTAAGCGTCGTATGAGTCGGATTGACCATGACACCGAAGTCGAGGCAGCTGTTGCTGCTTCAGGCTTTGGTCGAGCGCCTTTGGATGGTGACAATGACGACCGAGGTGCCCGGTCGCCACATTCACATTCTCAGTATTCGACGCAGATGGGGCCGCGCCCGAGCCTCGGTGGTTATGTTACCGACGGTTCTGGCTTGCATAGTGCTGGTCGGCCAGTTTCAGGGGGACCATTTGATGACGACAACGCCGCATTCAATCCCTACGCGGGCTATCCAGTTGAAGGTCAACCAACGGGTAGAGGATATATTCAAGCTCGCTCTGCCAGCCCTCCGCCGGGAGCTGAGCGACAAGGACCTAGTACAGGAATGCATGACATAAGCGATTCCTCCCGGGATCGGAAAAGCTCCTATGGGCACACCCCTACATACAGCGTTGGAAGCTTTGAACCGCTACTGGCTGCATATACGCAAGGATCCTCTGCGGAGCGGGGTGCAAGCTCACCACCCACGCCGCCTCCAAGGAACCCTGCACGCCGCGAGCACCTTAACAGTATCGCTTCCCGTCCTGAAAACCATTCACCAGGTGGAAGTGCTGACGATAGATTGGATCCTGAAATTCGGAGGCGGACCAGGTCGGATAGCCTTGGCTCGGATGACCTCAGAGATGAAGAAGACTATAGCCGACCGGTGCTCACCGTAAGTTCTTCAGTTTTTTTCTTGATGCTGTGCTCAGATATCGCAGGTCCGCAACATGCCTGATACACGCAGTACGCATTCTGCACTGTGATGAACGTCTAGGTTTTACTTATCTTTCCCAAAAGAAATCTGACTGTCGTGTCATTAATTTTGTGTCTGAGTACATTTGGACTATAACTGATTTGTTGAGCAGATCATAATCCATCCTCGCTTACCCTCGTACCTACCGCATCCACATTCTGTATATCACCACAAGCCATGGACATACACAGACGATTGTTGCACTCACGAACTTCATACTTAGTCTTCATCTTCAATCCATTCCTATTCAGTGACCTGTTATTTGCTAATCATGGTTCCATCATGTGGTGCTACCCCTCCGGCATGCTTTCCGTGACTCCCTAAGACTCTTGTATCCCGTGGTATATCTATTTGCAGTCACTTATCATTCTTCCGTGCCACAGGGCACAATTCTCAGGCTGCCACCGCCAATACTGCTTCTATTTCTCTTGGAACTTCCTCTGAGGTATAACTTGTTGATTGCATCTCACTCTGTCGTACTTACGTTGCCCGCACATGAGCCAGGTCCCTATACACGACACCCCAATACTCGGCATGGCAGCGCGTCCCAAGGTTTCAAAGGCCGTCGAATACGGAAACCCAGCCAACTTCTGGGTTGAATATCCTTCTGGTCTTATGGACCTCACGCGTTCGCAGCATCTCATGGCTGATGCAGTGGAACCATCCTTAGTGGGCTCCGCACAGCTCGACATCCCTGTGAACGGCGATCGTACGATCCGAGTCGACAAGTCTAAGACAGCTGCAGTAATTATTGACATGCAGAAGTAATATGCTATCCCGCTTTTTGTTTGAATGACGCATTGATTTTGGACAGCTTCTTCCTGCATCCCGAACTCCGGATCCATAAAACCGGCTTGGAGTGTGTTGACCCGCTTTTGAAGCTTATCACTCCTCTTCGAAAGCAAGGAGTAAAGATACTTTGGGTGTATGTCATGTCGCTTTTGCATCGGACATTATTCACCCAACCGTAAAATAGGAATTGGGGCCTCACTGATCCTGAGCTGCAAACCATCCCCCCTTCTTTGGCCAGGGGATTCAGGAAGGGAGGGTTCGGAGGGTTTGGCACCGAAATGCCTGGCAATTTTGGCAGATTGCTTATGCGAGACGCTCGCAATTCGGAGTTGTATGGTCCCTTGCAAGGGGAGTATTTGAAGGGACAGCAAGAGGGGACCGACGTTTGGATTCACAAGAACAGGTCTCACAGTTTCTCACACACATTCCCACTTTGCACTGAGTTCTGACTGGGAGTTTAGGATGAGTGGCTTATGGGGCCATCAGTCAGCATTGGACCTCTACTTGAAGGAGAACGGAATTACAACATTGCTTTTTGGAGGTGTGAACGCTGACCAGGTAGGAACTCAACTTAGCTTCACACCTTTCCTACTGCTAAAGTTGACTCAGTGTGTTGGGGGCACCCTCGTGGACGCTTACTTCCAAGGCTACGATTGTGTTCTGGTCGAGGACATCACAGCGACAACTTCTCCAGCCGGTGGACTTGAGAACGTCATATACAACGCTGGAAATGTGAGTGTTCGATTTTATATCCCTGGTGGATTAGAAATTGATTGAATTGAGGACAGTCTCAAGGTTTCGTCACCAATACGTCGAACATCATCAGTGCGAGCGGCTGATTTATTTCCATCACTTAACTTGCTGAACTCCATGAGCTATCCGATGTTATCTACCTATCATGTAAGGTTAACGGACACAGATTCAAACTGTCCTCCAAGATGGTACATGGCACTGTGTGACCGCGCGCATGAATTGCAGTCTTTCACAGGCCAAGGACAGACCTGCTACAACCACAATCATTGGTAACATCCATTTAGCAACGAGCAACTTTAACTCACGCCGAATGTCCTCCGCTGCGGAAGCAGTGATTTGGCTTGCGACACGGGGTTTAACGCGACAAGTTCAAACAAGTTTGTAAAATAATCGAAGCGCATCCCGCCAACCAATATGAGAATGTCATCTACTCACCACACGGCTCATACTTCGTCCAGCAGGACAGTCAGTCCCACCACCGCGCGAGGGGGTTTGACGGGCCTTGTATGGCACAAAACCGGGACCATCCTGCGTAGGGACACGGAGGCTACCGCAAGCAAGTCTTGATAGGCCTCGGTGCACGTGCACAAAGTTACATGCTGTGGAATTGATAGTCTCATACAGCGTATAAGGGTACCGTCCTGAACATGAAAATAGAGCCTTGCACATGAAACATAACTATCCATGCCAATGAGATAACAACAGTGATGACGAATAACTATGGGAATAGAAGATAGGAGATATCACATGAAGCATCTATACTTAATGACTGTATTAGATACTGTGAATCAAAAACGCAAACGTGAAATGATGTACAGTGTGAGTAGAATATGTGATCGAAAACACAAAACAAGAGTGGTATACAAAGAGATGGTACGAGGCGCACAGTCACATATGCGGGGAACAAGGCAGGAGTAGCGCTCTAACTCACCAACCGTCGATTATCACTAGCAGCATTTCCCCGATGGTATCCAATTTTTGAATCGAAGCTTGTCCGAGCGTCGCCTTCGAGCACCACTAAGACTCCCAAAGCTAAGATGGCTGGAGCTCGTCACTCTTCGGAGGGCACGATCTCCATAGCTCACACCGCTCCCAGCTTTCTCGGGATCCAAAATTCCCGACTCTATAGAGAGCAGGATGGACCTTGCAGCAAGTAAAAATGGAGCTTCGACGTTGTCACCAGTTAATGAAGAAGCCTCGAGAAAGTAAACATCTTTCAATAGCGTCAGTATATTTAAGCATCAAAAGAACGACGGGTTACCATTCTGCGCCGCCCATCTGCTGGCTTCGGCCCACTCCACTTCACGGTCTTCCTCCCTGTCCGACTTATTTCCGACTAGGACTACAACTAAGTGCGGGCTTGCCAAAGCTCTGGCATCAGTCAGCCACTGAGACATGTTCAAAAAAGAATCGCGACTGTCAGTAAAGCTATGAGGATCAAGACAGTGAATAAGAATGAGTGCACCAACTTCGTGATATCATATACAAGAATTACGCCAGCTGCACCGCGGTAGTAGCTACGTGTTACCGATCTGTTCGTCGTGCTGCTGTCAGGGCTGGAGCAAGTTACATGAAATGCGCGACGAACCGGAAGCGCTCTTGACCGGCAGTATCCCATAGCTATGGAAACTGTGAGGAATGTGTAATTACTGAAGGGCGTGACATACCTGAAGCTTTATCCTCTTCTCCCCTAACTTTACTGTTCTGCTAGAGAACTCCACTCCGATGGTATGTTGAGAGTGGTCCTTAACTGTGAGGCGGGCTGAGACTGACAACCCATAGAGAAACAGACAACACACATGCGTTGTGGGTAAAGTGGTGCAATAAGCATGATTTGCCTGTCCCTGCCTCTCCTACAAGAGTAATGAGTCTTGTTCCGAAACTCAGCTGTTCCCGGCTGAACACACCAATAATGATATATTTCATTAAGAAGTCTGAAACTTGATGAGCACGAATACAATTCACGGATCACCCAAGACAAACCGTAAGTTTCCAAAAGTTCTGTAGCATCTACATCATACTCGTCTAGCGCCATAGGGTGAGGAATAGGTTGGGTGCCAGTAAAGGCCCTTCACGCAACTGCAGGAGAGGCTTGTAATATTCCCACGGTCCTAACCTTCATCTTCGCTAAGAGCCAATTAGCTTGCACACACGTAAGCACAATTTCCTTTCCTGTCTGGTATAAATTCCTTAGCAAAAATACTAAAATTACATAATACATGATTCCCGATGATACATGACCGGGACTGAACTACCAGCCCTTCCATGGGATCCAAATGTCAACCACTTTGTCACTTCCTTCTTCCATATCCGAATCGACTGACGTAGTACCACGAGTGAGCAGCGGCTATCAAACACGCATGCTGCCCAACAATCTCGATGATATCTCCTACCCTCAACGCAGAATCTGTACGACCTGATTCTGGGTCCGGGGGAACTTGCACCAGTATCCCGTGCTCCTGCGAAATCCTTCCTAGCTTCCATGACTTGCCAATAACCTCTCCGAACCCTGGAATACGACCCGTGTCTTTGCTCATAGCTATGCCACCAGCATCACACATGGCTTCGTCTAGACCGTCACTTCCTCTTCCGGGGTAGTATGAAATGACAGTGGCCAAAACTTTCTGGGAGATTTGTGGACGACCGATCAAAGTCGTATGTAGCTGCTGGAGATCGAGCATGGTGTAATTTCCTGCACAGATCGGTCTATAGTCACGCTAAATTCCTTCTTGATGAAGCTCGCTTACCTGTATGGAGCTCTAGTGTTCCATTAAGCGTCGATGTCATCTTCAGCTTCGCTTCCGCACTTGCGCTAAGAGCAGTCGGAGTGGATCCTACAGAAAGGACGAATGGACTGATTGTTGACCTCTCTGTTATCTGACTCTGCCAGAACTTCGAGGGCCATGGTCGCTGCGTCATTGGTGAGACGCACTTCTCCTGTTAAATGCGAAGTAGCTTGCTCCAGCGATGTCGATGCATACGAGTACCCGGCGTGGGTGTAAAATCCAAACACCGAAATTGCAGGGGATGCAAACACCCTCCTCATGAATGCTTTGAAAGATACGGGCTCGGGAAGTATCCCGGCTCGCCTATGTTTGTGAGTGATACATCACGATGGTATTCAGAGAACATACTGAAGACCGCCATTCATCTTGATAAAGACAGACCATTTCTTCGGGTGCTCTTGCGCCCTCTCGTACTCCTCCAGAAATTTGACCTGATCTAAATGGTCTATGAGAATACGGACAGTTCCGCCGTATTTTGTCATCTCAGCATGGAGAGCAGACAGATCATCCAACTTATTCAGTCCAACTGGAAGGCCATACAGAAGCTGGAAATTAGGTGAGAATCGGAGCAGTTTTACACGCCTCTGGACTGACATCTTTGACTGTGCCGTCAGCTACGAGACCACCTTGCACGACTCCCCAGGCCTCCATGAGTGTCGATACAACGACGGCGGAAGCTCTGCCGACATTTGAAATCAACTGCAACTTTGTTCCCTCGACTGTCTGATGAAAGTCATCAAACTGAATTCTGTTCGTTCTTCACGTCCTCTACCTTGTGTGTCTTCAGGTGTCCTCTAAATGTCGCTCCCCAATCTCTAGCATTCTCGTGCATTTTCCTGCAGTTCTTTGCGAACAGCGCGCGGTCCACGACGAAGGCGGGCGTTCTCAGAGCATTGAGTGGTTTTCCTACAAAATCAGCTACCAATGCATCTTTATCGGGGTTGATAAAGTGCAATGGCGTTTTAGTTTGTAGTATGGGTGTCATGACTTTGCAGTGGAAGTTGGTTGTCAATACTGCATCGATAGCCTTTGCTTATAACTCTGCAATATTGCAATGTAAGCACGGACAACCGGCTCCGCTTCAACATTTACAATGTGTCCACCCCGTCATGATGTCGTTGCAGCTGCCTTTTGTATCTTATCATGTGGTCTCTCGTACACGCTAGTACGTGGCAAGCTTGTCACTCGTCTTCTCCTCGATACCCTTTGCGTATGTATATCCACGGTATCTAGGTCGGATACTAATATTAATACCAGCTCTTCATATCCACGGACTTCCGTTGCATGTCCTGGTGATCTTGTGAGGTCGGTCCTAGCGGACCGAGGTGAACCGCAGTGCGTCAGTGTGCCATCTACATAGAGAACAAGGTCTGGGAGATTCACACTCATCTCTTTGAAGGAAGCCTGCTCCATTCTTTCAGTCGAAATGACAGCTCCGCAGGCCATTAACCCAGACATCCTTCCACGTCTCGATCCCGAGTATGTTGCCTTCCACAACGAGTATGTCGCCCATCTCGTTCCCCCTCACACTCTACCTTGGAATCCTGCTATCCGTAAGCGTGATACCGTACCGGGAAGTGCAGAAGTCTTGTCAGTCGGCAGTGTTCAAGATTATGAATTGAGCCACTGCAAAGTACGTGTCTTTACGCCGGAAGGCACTCCTCCCCCTGACGGCTGGCCGGCATATGTCTGGTACCACGGTGGTGAGTTTCAGGCACCTTTCAAGATCGATGATATTGAAACAAAATTATAAGGGGGATGGACCCTCGGGAACATTAGCTCAGAAAACGCTTTCTGTTCTCGGCTTTGCAAAGGTATAATATCAAAACACGCTTCGCATTGTGCGCTTATAACTGGCATCTAGGGGCGAAGTGTGTTGTAGCATCACCAGATTATCGCCTTGCGCCAGAAGATCCTTACCCCGCTGCGGTAGATGATTCATTCGAAACGCTGAAATGGGTCTTTGAGAAGGGAAAATCCCTTTTAAGAGTCGACCCTACGAGACTGGCGATTGGTGGTTCATCTGCGTAGGTTATTACCGTTCAACATATTCGAATTGATTCGACCGTTCTTCCAGTGGCGGTAACCTTGCTGCCATAATCTCCATGATGGCTGCCGAGCTCAACCCACCGATCTCTCTGAAGCTTGCACAGCTCATTGTTCCGGTGACTGACAATACTGCTCTCCACACGGAAGATCGTTACCCATCATGGAAGGAGAATGCAAACACGGTTTGGCTTGATACAGGGAGGATGCTCTGGTTCCGGAACTTCTACGTTCCCAATGAGGCAGAGAGGACCAAGTGGGATAACTCGCCAATCTTTGCGCCCGATGAGCTGCTAGCCAAATCTCCAAAGACCTGGATCGCGGTGATGGAACTTGACATTCTAAGAGATGAAGGCTTGGCATACGCCGAGCGACTGAAGAAAGTTGGCGTGCCAGTATCGCACAAACTGTATGCGAAGGCACCCCATCAAATTCTGGCTATGGATGGTATGACCCCTCCTATTACCCCATTGATTAGCTGATCATGTCTACCCGCTCTCTATTTGTCAGGGTAAGTTACTAGAGTTCCTCAGTCAATGCTCCTCTCACCCAATCTTCAGTGTTCTTGCCGTCGGTCGCGAACTCGTGAGTGATGCCGTGGCGAACCTTGCCGAGGCCTTCGGTGAATTGTGAAATCTGCTGTAGTTGCGAGTATCTTTCTTGTCTTCTTTGTACCAAGTAAAGTCGAAGTGAATGTGATAACGAGGAAGTGTAATTTTATTTCGTCCAGCCTTGTGCTATGCCATCCGAGTCTTCAACTGCTCAGGTGAATCATATTCGCGTGGACGCTAACTGTGGTGATCGTCAAGGTGCTTCCATCTTGCACATAAAAATCGCACGGGTCAGATCTAGTTCAGTCCTAGAGTAGTTTAAGGTTCATTGACTAATGATAGGATCCTCCCTCTGTTCGACGAACAGAAGTAAGTTGACAAGCATGATCAAAATTCTTGGAATACGTGCGATCTATGATTAGCATGATAATCAAACTGCAGCAATCGCTTCGATCTCTATGTCCACATCGAAAGGCAACTTTCCAGCTTGGATGCACGTACGAGCCGGCTTAGGGTCAGGGAGAAGCTGTGAATGTTGTTGATAAACCAACTTCAATCGCAGGGATGAAAACGACAGACCTTAATATACTCCTCGTTCATGGCTGCATAGTCGTCCATGCTCCTGAGGTAAACATTTACTTTCACCACATTTTCCCATGATGAACCAGCAGCTTTCAATACGTCAGTCAAGTTAGAGACGCATTGAGCCTGCGGGAAGAGCTTAAATGTTAGGTCGCAGACTCTGTGACATGATGAACTTGCAGTGTGGGCTTTTATGTCCCCTGGCACAACGTTGCCTGTACTATCCATAGGAGTTTGTCCACTGCAGAAGATAAGGCCCGGGATCTTCACCGCATGTGCTGGGGCCCAACGGTCAGTTTCATGTCGTCGATTCGTCTGAGCTCGTACAATACATAGGTCCTGCCGGCCTGTCAGGGCTGTTGATTTTTTGAACTTCGGACATGTTGAATTTTAGTGGAAGAGGAAAATAAATCCAAGGGGTTTAGAACAATGAACTTGGGATCGAGCTACATAATAGTATGCGGACGGAAAGATCTATTCCGCGTGAGTCGTTCAGGTGACCAGATATCTTATCTTAGACCGTTACGGCCTATGATAATATTGGCCACAGAGCTGTAGGATGGTGTCACAAGATAGCGGAGGAGGCACATCCACACTTACGGACCCCGTTTTCCGAAGTGATCCAATGATGCAGATACATCTAGTCGCCATTCATCCGAATCTTGTCCACAAGCTGTAAAGAAATCCCACGTTCCTATGACGTTTGTCGCGCAATGGTTGTGTCGTGCAAGTAAGTGTGATTAAAGTGGGGGTTTGGAGTATCATAGTCTTTTACTCTTTGATCCGGGCGAATGGCAAATTTTGCAACAGGCTCAGGGCTCCAAGATCACCGCGGAAACCAAGCAGTAAGTTGACAAGCCTGACAAGAATTCTTGGAATGTCCAATTGTACGATTTATGAGTAGCATTAAGTTGCAGCAATCGCTTCGATCTCTATGTCTATATCGTAAGGCAACTTTCCAGCTTGGATGCACGTACGAGCCGGCTTAGGGTCAGGGAGAAGCTATGAATGTTGGTGATGAGTCAACTTCAATCGCAGGGATGAAACCGACAGACCTTAATATACTCCTCGTTCATAGCCGCATAGTCGTCCATGCTCTTGAGGTAAACATTCACTTTCACCACTTTATCCCACGATGAACCAGCAGCTTTCAATACGTCAGTCAAGTTAGAGACACATTGAGCCTGCAGGAAGAGCTTGGGTGTTAGGTAACAGACTCATATGACATGATGAACTTGCAGTGTGAGCTTTGATATCCCCTGGGATAACATTGCCTATTCTGTCTATAGGCATTTGTCCGGTGCAGAAGACAAGGCCCGGGATCTTCACCGCATGTGCTGAGGTTCATCGGTCAGTCACATATCATCGATTCGTCCGAGCTCATACAATACATAGGCACTACCGGCCTGTCAGGGCTGTTGAGTTTGTGAACCTCGGACATATCGAATATCAATGGAAGAGGGAAAGGCAATGGACTTGGGATCAAGCTACATAATATGGGGAGGAAGTTCTACTTATTCCGAATGAGTCGTTCAGGTGACCAGATATCTTATCTCAGACCGTCACGTCCTGTGTAGCGTGGATATGGCCGGACCACATGAGCTGCAGGATGGTGTCACAAGATAGCGGAAGAGGCACATTTACACTTACGGATCCCGTTTTTCCGAAGCGCATCGCTGCTGCAAGATCTGGTTGGCCTTCAGAGTCTTGCGTGTTTGTCTGCCACAAGCTGGCGACCACTCTGACGAAATCCCACGTTCCTGGAGTGCAGTCTTGTCAGGCTCACCATCAGGATAAAGGCAATCAATGACTGGATTTAGACAGTACGAGAATCTACGGCAAGAAAAAGCATTCTCTGAGAAAATGAAACTCGTCATGAGATAGACAAGAATCGACGATCAACCTGCCTGCGCTTGTTATCTTTTCTCCGGAAGACTATGCACAGCATAACTTTGGGAACACCAATCGAATCCGCCAATAGAGACCTGTAGCATACAAGCATCAATATCTTCAAACCGTCACCACTTCAGCATCGAATAATTAGTCAGTCGAGTGGCGACCGCAATCGATGGAAATATCGCTCATTGATGCGCAGCCATTATCGCATCGGAAATAAATACCGCAGACACCTGTTTGCCACCGAACCACCGGCCGTTCAGCCCTTGTACAGCTTTCTTGGCGGATTCTATCGCGTCAAACTTGACATATATCTCACCCTGCAGTTGCGCTCAATAGTTGAATCAAGAACTAAATATGAATAGGATGCAGACCTGTGTTTCCTTTTCAACCTTGATGGCCTCTACTCTGCCGTATTTTTCTTCACATTCGCCTTTGACGTCGTCGCCGAGCTCTTTATCCCAGTCACGTTCAGTTTCCCTGTAGCATGAGAGGACTTGTTAGATGAGAAGTGGTGATTTGAACGTGAACCCACTCCTCTGGGTCAAACATATTCTTCAACAAAACAGAACGGGACTGCATAGCCTGTGGAATGTTCGGTTTGTTGCTGCAAGTGCTTTGTAAGATAAGTTGTCGATACAGTTGGGATGTACATACACAAGCTGGGGCTTCGGAGCAGGCTCGATTCTAGCAAGTTTCTGCATTAGTGCTTGACGTGATGCTGCGTTCAAATTACCGCCTATAAAACTATTAGCTAACGTTCTGAAACATTGTTTAGAACGTACCCCCAGCTTCGTCCAACGAATCTTGTTGAGCGTATCGCACAGTGCCCTTCTCGTGGACTGTGTTGACTCTCAGCTGTAGCTGAAATTGAATGACAATCTATGAGTTTGCGATTTGAAGTGCCCTACCGTTCTTCCAGCAAGCTCAAAGCCCTCCATCTGTTCAAGAGCCATTCTGGCATCCTCGGCACGTTTATATCTACAAAATTTAGCGGATGCCCAAAAGGCAAGGCAGTTGTTACTTACTGCACAAATGCGTAACCCTTGCTCCGCCCAGTCATAGGGTCCCTGTGCAAATCAACAAATTCCAATTCCCCGAAGGGTTCAAAGACCTGCTTGATATCGGATTCGGTAAGGTTGAAATGCAAGGAACCAACGTAAAGTCTAGAGATTAAGATGTCAGAACTTCGGAGCGAATAACTGAGTAGTTTGCTCACTGCATAGCTCCATGAGGCGCATGAACGCCAGGCGGAAGATTAAGGTTCCTCAATGAACTATCAGACAATAGAAACACGCAACACCTCCAACACTCACCCATCTCCTGGATGAAGCCTATTCCTTTCTGACTCAGTCAATTGAACCATGATAGGGAGACCCATTACGACTGTTCCGCTCAATGACATAGCTTTTTCTACCAGATCGATCGATCGGAACTCGACGTATCCGATGCTGTAAAAGGCATGAGCCGGCGAAAACAATCCAAGGAAAATGACGGTGCATACCCTTTAGAACGGCGTGACAGCCGGTCTGTGACAATCCTAGAATCCATCACGGTCCCTTCGCCGAGTTTGTCCTCGAAAAAGTACCCAAGGTCACGCGCCGTGAGACGAGCGGCAAGCTGAGAAACAAAGACAGACCGAGCTTCCGAATCGTCCTCTTTAGGTTCGTCGGGATTGTAGTCTTCTTGGGCCTCGTAAGTAGGTGAGGGTCGTCTTTAAGAAATCACATGAGCAACAAACAGTGATAGTAATACAAAGGTAACTCACTTGATTGGCGGGGGACTTGCCTTTAACGAGTGCCTGTCCGGCTCATCCTCGTTAAGTGGAGTGTCGTCAATGGGGGGACGTTTGTCGTGCGTATGATCCCTTTCCCTCCGGTACCGAGGGGGATCATCGAACTCGTCTCGTGGGTCACGATACCTACGTTCACGTGAGCGATCTCTACGGTCATGACCCCTTCGTGGACTGTCCTTGGGCGGAAGTCCAGCCGAAGAATCGTCCATGTCATCATGTCTCTTTTTCTTCAAGCGTTCTTCCGGGAACTCGTCGTTTTCTTCCCTCTTGCGGCGCCTGTCGCGGTCGCCCCCATCACGGTCACGGCGGTGACCGTCTCCGCGTTCCCGCCTATCGTCATCACGATGACGTCTTTCTTTGTCCTTTTCACGATCGCGGTCCCTGTGGGACCTTTCGCGCGAGCGATCACGATAATCTCGTTCGCTTCCCCGGTCGCCACTGCGTCGTTGCTTGTCGTCATAGTCTCTTTCTCTGCGCTTTTCGCGACGGTCACGGTCTCGTTCCTGCGAGCCAGAACGATGAGACCGTCTTGTACGATGGGTATCAGTGGAATGGTTGCGAGACCTTATGAAGATATCAGTAGGTACGTTGAAAAAAAAGATAAGTGGAAAATGTACGATTTTCGGTTGGGGGATATGTCTACATCCATCTTGCTGGGTGGAGGATTTCGCTTGTGGTGGATGCTGTTTGAGTTGCTGCAGTGAACAAACATGCGAAAACTTCGTGTTAACACAGCCACAGGTCTAGTTCAGCGCTGGCATTTATTACATGTACTTAAATTGCAATAAAAAAGACTACAAAAGCCCAGCCAACCTCGCTTTGACGCGCTTCTCAGCCTTGACGAGCTCCATCTCCTCCGATCGTCTGTACAGCTCATTGAGGGGATTAGTATCACCCTCCTTGTCAAGATCACCCTCAATCTGGCTGAAAGCCTCGCAGAACTTGCCGTTCAAGATCTGTACAGCGGACGGGTCAGAATGGTTCAGGCATGAAAAAGCGAATCGTGCCTGATTATCCAGGATGTCCTTGAAGTGTTCCCGCATGGCCTCTCCTCCGAGCTTGAGTGAACCACCCAGTTGACCATACTGTGAGATTGTAGAGTGGTGCTTGAGCTAATTACCATGCATCAGCAATATATTTCAATTTGCTCCGTAGGCATTCCTACCTGTGCGACGAAACCATCATCTGCAGCTCGCTCGAAGATCTCTGCGGGTTCTTTCGACATCCACCTAGGGCCAGATTCATTACAAATAAAGTTCGTCAGAAAACAACTCACATTTCGTAGCAAAGAGCCTCGTCAGAGCACCCAGCATCCTTGAGGACATTGAAAGCTTCCCTAGTAGCAACTGTGTCATTTACGGTGGCGTTTAAAGGTGGTGTTCAAACCTGAACATCATAATGATGTTGGGCCAGAGAGCCTGTTCAGCAAAGAGATCCATCGCAGTTTCTTCCCGCACTGACGAAGCAATGGCTCCCTGTTTGGTTGCACCAATGGCACGGGAGAGTGCAAGAGCTACATCCAAGCCTTTGCCGGTTCCGTTTTGCTCGACGGAAACAAAACAAGGGAAACCGCGGCCCTTTTCATGGAGAGAGCGCACCGAAGAGCCAATCATCCTGTAAAAAAAGTCAGCCAGGGATCGTGTGACTCGACGAAATGGGGCAGTTACCGACTTACCGTGGAGCGACCATCACGACATCCTGCCCTGACTGAAACTTTAACAAGTTGAAGAAAACGTTGTAACCCGAAGCAACAACGATGGTGGCGTTACTCTTCATTTTGGGCGAGAATTGCTCGTTAAACACGCGGGGTTGAACCTGGTCAGGTATCAGGATAAATAGTACTAGGAGTTAATTAGTTGGAGTTGAACAGGATGAATCCGTGCTCACCGTCTGCAACTTCGGCAGCTGTTGCGAAGTCATGCTCGACGTGAAAACCTTTGGCTTTCGCAGTCTCAGCATATGAATCCACACGGTTGGCAATCAGGATTTGATCATTAGGGATGCCACTGTCACGTAGGTTCTGAGCTTGTGCAGACCCCTGATTTCCAAAGCTAAAAGACAAAATGAACGGGGTCCGAAAGCATAGGCGGACTCGAGGACTTGCCCGAGGAAAACAATCTTCTTCCTGTTGAGGACACCTAGGTCCGCGTCAGAGTCATAGTAGCTACAAAATAAAGAACTTTCAAGATCATCGTAGCGTTCTGAGATCATCAGAAACGTACATCTTAGCTTGTCCCATGATGAATTCAAGTCTGGAGAGGAAAGCACACATCCATCCCCTTTATCATGGGTCCTTAAAAACCCTACAACGCGAAGCAGAAGCCGAACAACAGTCCCAGTGGACCCTTTGTCCGAATGATATCACGCTCCTCAATTATAAATATCAAAGGGGGGATGATGAGGTTGTGCGAAGGTCATGAGGAGCGTAAGATGACCCAGTTCGCGGACCGGTCGACACCGTCCACCCGTACTTCCACAAGCAAGTTGCCCGGGGACCGAGATTCCGGACGGACCACAAGGCGCTGTATATATAGAGATAGTAGCCATACTTAGTTGAACGCGGATTAACTTGACTATGACTTTGCTCGCAGACAAGATCGTGTGTATAACTGGTTCGTCTCGAGGTATTGGGCGAGCATGCGCGGTTGAATCAGCTAAACATGGTGCTACCGGTTTAACACTGCACTATTTTGGAGACGAAGAATCCGAAGCGGAGCTCCAGTCCCTGAAAGAAGAGATATATGCGACGAGTCACGGTCATTGTCGAGTCGTCGGTGTGCCCGGCGATATCGCAGATTCGGAGACTTCACAAAAGGTGCGCCACCTCTGCCAGGTATTTACAAGCGTCCGTTCAAGTTCTTGCGACATCCGCAATAGATTGTCAAAGCAGGTGTTGAGGCGTTCGGGCGAATCGGTAGGACTGATAAAACAAAAAGATATTTACATAACTAACGACTTTGTCGGACCAGATGTGCTCGTCAGCAATGCGGGCATATGTCCATTCGCCGAATTCTTGACGATGCCCCATGCTACATGGGAACGTACCCGACAAGTCAATCTGGACGGCTCCTTTTACGTGGTGCAAGGTGAGTACTCTCGCAACGATGTGCGTGACTCTGGAGTCCTATCATCGCGTTTCCTGCAGCTGTCGCAAATCAAATGAAGAGCCAGGTTCCTCAAGGCGGGTCTATCATCGGTCTGGCTTCCATTTCAGCGCTTGTGGGCGGTGAATTTCAATGGTTTGCATCTTGATCCATTGCTGAGCGAGTCTCAACCACCTTTTGTAGTCACTACACGCCGACAAAGGCCGGTATTCTGTCGATGATGCAAAGTTGCGCTATCGCTCTTGGAAAGTATAACATACGCTGCAACGCCATACTTCCTGGCACTATTGCTACAGACATCAACAAAGAGGACCTTGCGAATAAAGAGAAGCGGGAATACACTATCAAACGGACTGTGCTCGGGAGACTTGGCGGTACGGTTCAGCTGAAAACAATGGTATCTGCTATGGCTGAAGTTTGATCTAGCTCCCGACGATGTAGCAGGGCCTGTGGTGTTCCTTGCCAGCGATCTCGCAAAGTATGTCACCGGCGCGCAACTGCTAGTGGATGGTGGGCTATTTGTTAATCTTCAGTGATATACTTCCCTAGTGAGGGAAAGGACAACTAGCATGAGACTACATACGAGACAACACAACACGCAAGAAATACGCAGATGTTTCGTGTTCTTGAATAATAAGGGACACGGGGACTGATGTACATTCAGCGATCTGTTCAAACAACATTCTATGATGGACAGCAGTGATGCAGCGCGCACGACTCCCTAATTCACTTATCCATCTCCGTAAACCATCCAAGCTCTTGTCCATTTACCACCGCGGGTTTTGCATCGACCAGAACGGTCGCCCATCGGGCCCATTCCTTCCCAGGATTTCTCCAAGCATGAACGGTCCCCTTCTGAATCACCACATCTCCTGGATTCTTGAGGTGTTTTTCTGTCCCATCGTCTGTTATTAAAATGAGTTCCCCATGGACTATTCATGACATCGTCAGTTGCTTGTGCTATGCCATCGCACGGCGAAACATATACGTACTCAAGATGTTATAGTCGATGGAGGGTGTCCGATGCTGCTCTTCTAGCTCCGTCAAGTTCGCGCATGTGTCAGACAGTTCTACGCACCATCGGAGTGCTAACTCCAGGACCAATGTCAGTGTACTTGAAGTTGGTCGTGTTACTTGCAATTAATCCAAGGTCGCCCACTTGGCGGGCTCCACCGTCCTCCCTATTGCATCTCTCCTTGAATCACGAGCTATGATGTGTTCATGTATACTACTCACGAACAGTTGTTATCATTCGTTGGTAGACCATCAGTAGAAGCCCAGAATGTGCCCGTTCGAAGGCCATTCAAGCCTTCCATCAACACCTAAGTTTAGATAATGGTTCAATTCTTGTGCACCATGAAGCAAGCTGAAGGGAAAGCACACCGATGAAGGAACTGTTTCATCCACAGAAACCACGGCTTTCCCTTCGCTATCATGCGAAGTTACGATGCGGCGAGGACCTGGGAGAACTGGGAGCAGAGACATGAAGCTTTGAGGTAGGAAGAATCGTACAGTACAACTATCTGGGTTTCCCTAAATATCTAGATGATCTTGCATCAATTGCATTCCTAACGTAAGTGATCCAAGCTAACGATATAAACTATAATAGAATGTCCGCTATCACACTACTCGTCCAGCGTGATGGCATGATCAGTGGCCGATAGAAGCACGGGAAGCACGGACCTCCGAGTGCTACGGTAAATAGGAGACAGTGACTCATACAAGGTTACTGGTACGAATTCGCTTGTTTCCAGAAAAGTAGAGCGCTGGGACACCAAGACTACATTGATGTTTAAGCGCGTAGGTACAACATTGTACATGGATTTAGGACGAAGATGATATAGTGTTCAAGGAGCAGTATCTAGCCCCATCGCTGTCAGAGAGAGCAAGGATCTCTATTGAAATTACTCACAATAATAGTATTCGTCAACAAGAGGTATCCAATCCTTCACGATGGAACTGAGAACCCCGAGTATTGGCGTATTAGCAGTCTTCTCCACGAGAGCCTCAATCTTGGGCCTAAAGAAGATTGTTATGTTAGGCTCCAACAAAACTGCCATGAAATGCACAAACCGCGAATATGTCTCCCATACAGAACCACGCAAAATGTACCAGAGAATATCCCTGTCTCTGCGGGCATATTCTTCACGTTCCAAGGTCGCAGAATGTGACTGGCGTCCGCCTCAAATTACGAGAGGCGAGCTCCATGGCAAAAGCGATCACGAGAGCCTTGTCCTTGTATTTCTTGGTGCTTAACATAATTGCTACAAGACAGTGAGCATGTGAGGTCCGGGCCTGTGCTTTTGCACTCACCATAAACCCAAGGGCGTATGATATAAATGAACTCAGAAATGCACTCCAAGGGCGATGACATAGGCTTCATGAGTAACATAGAAGGCTTGACAGATGACGTTGTAAGAGCTTTAGGGAGGAGATAATCCTCCACTGATGTGTCAGCACGAACAGGTGGTGGGGGTGTGAGCATCAAAGCATTTGGCTGCAAGGGGATGTGATTGTTCTTGAGGTGATCCGGAGTCGGCGGGAAAGAAGACGACGGAGAAGTGGGAGCAAGCGTTGGAGAAGTATGTGTGGAGGAAGGCGACAAGGAGGCTGGATCAATATCACGTTCTGGAATTGGAGGAGATAAGAGTGGTCTTGTCGTGATCTTGAGCAGTGTGAACCGCAAAATCATTCTGTATATGTGAATTCAGACGCGGGAGGGCAGTACAATGCAGCCACAGAGCTTACTTCAGAGTCTCAAGGAACACAATGCCTCTCCACCGGTTCTTGTCCGAGACTTTCCTCCGAAGCACCATTTCAGCGAGGAGCTGGGTAAAGCGAATAAGCTCTAGAGCTCGAGCGGCCCATTTGTATGACATTTCCTTGTCTGACCAGGCGCGGGTATAGCGCGTGTGCAAGGGGATGGGAAGTATGGGCTTCCAATGAGGATCACTCTGCACAACTCTGGCCAGCAGGGTATCATGATACATGCTGGACACATGGAGTATTGCAGACACTAAGACCATATGTTACTGTTTGATTCAAAATACAGAATTATAGCAATTTAAATACTGACAGCCCTCTGAGGCAAGATCGGCATCTTTGAACCGTCCAGGCAGAAACCATGTTACCGACCTCAGGGTAGATTCGAGGGTGGAGATGGTAGAGACATTCTTCACGAGGAAATTTTCATATTTTGCCAACGTCGACGACATGTAAGAAGTCCGGTATACCGAGCTGGAGGTGTGAGTTGGGAAGTTGCCTTGCCGCCGCTTTGCGAAAGTACCAACCGGGTATGTGTTCCCACGTGTTTTATGTCGTCGTCGGTTTCAAGTCCCTTGTTCCGTCGGTAACTCATGTGTAGACATTAATATTGCTGTAGCACTCCATGCTCTCTACTGATGTTCGAAGGTCCTGTAGCAATCGAGTAATGATAATTTGTTCACGATGTTCACGAGGCGTAAAAACGTTTATTGCGCTGCATGAACCAGGAATAATGTCGAGACCTTGCAAGAACATGACGGACACCACATAGGATCTCCGCGGAGAGTAAGTAGTAGCATTGGGGTAAAGTTCACCGGTTCAAGCCAAAGCCCCTAGTCTTTGTTGCGCCGTTTCCCAGCACCGTGGTTACTCCACCCGCTTCTCGCACTCGCCTCTCCACCTCATTTACCTTGCCCTCGACTTCGCGCACAGCCCCATCAATCCACTGCAGGCTATCCAAGTGGCTGCTCAAGATCTGAGATATCTGCATCATGGGATCATCGTTGCCAACAGTCCCCTGAGACCCATTTGGTAGTAAAGATAACGCATTGACCGAATCAATCATCTGCGTCAACGATCCAGACAAATCGTCCAGGTGGGCATGCAGCTCTGTGGCAAGCATATAACTAATGAAGAACGAAAATGAACACCATACAGTCTTCGTCTGACGATATGAGGACTTACTTTTTGTCCCGCTCGGTATCAGCAGGTCCTGTATCGAGCGCCCGCAAGGTGCCGCTTTCTCCAAAAAGTTCTTCCGCAGATCGCTCGTACGCATCCAGTGTCGCGGAGAGATCTTTCTGTTGTTGCTCAATGTGGTCGAGAGCTTGATCGATGTCATTTTGTTCCCGCTCCACAGCCTGGACGTGAGTAAAGAGAGTAGCAAGCTGTACAGCATGCTGTCAAACGATCCATTCGGTAATGCGGAAACATACATACATTGTTACCATTTTCCATCAAGGCCCTATCCCATACCGCAACTTCACCAGCAAATTTATTGAACTCTCGGACATGCACTTCCAGTTCAGATGACCACTTGTTTACTATTTCCTCGATAGTTTTTCCCCTGAGCGCCGATGGCGGAGGCACGGCTACTGAAGTGGCGGCAGCGGTGGCTGCTAACAATAGGAATGAATGAGTGAATTCAATTTGCCAGTGGCTGCTCATACCGTCTTTTGGCTTGTCGCATTCCTTAGGCAGCCCAACGGCTGATTGCCCTAGTGGAGCGGCTGACGGATGTGAGATCGTAGACAGCGAGTGCCAATAAGACATTTGGGCTTACTGGGCGTGGTGGTGGTTGTAGGTTTAGCCCCAAACAGGTTGGTCACAGGCGCTATGTGACTGCTGAACATAGGCCTGTTTGATCTTTAAAACATGATCTCACCTGCAGGAGCCGTAGTTATGGGAGGGGCGGGCTTTGCACCAAACAAGTTGGCTGATAGTGTTGATGCTGTACAACAACGTTCATCAGACGCGTCGTCGACATTACATATAGATCACTCACCTGCAGGCGTGGCAGCTGCCGGGGTTGCAGGCTTCACGCCGAAAAGGCCGGCCGCAGGTAAGGCTATGTACAAAGGAGCATCTATGAGCAAGATGTTGGACGCATTGAAGAAGACATACCTGTACTGGCATCTTTCTTGTCTGAGGAATTATCCTTGTTTCCAAAAAGGTTGAACGTCGTAGGAATAGTAGTAGACTGCATTTCTTTGCCAACGTCCGAGAGCACAACTTGGGGAAATTATCGACAGCCATTGGTTCGGCATGAAAGCCGAGGGTGCCGACTTTGCAAATAAAGCCAAGCAACGCGCTCAAGGAGACCGACACGACGTGTTCCAGGCAGTGCGTCGGTGCGATATAAACCCTCACAATATTCATCTGAATTCATCAACACGGTAGGACTAACAATATTGAACTAGTTCTGTTGACATATACTCAGACGACTGGCAATGCCTCACGACACTCGAGACTTCCAGCTTGAGCCTATTGATAATTGGGCACTTGCGTGAGTGACGCGCTCCTCATAACTGCGACAGAAAGCAGAAAAGCGGACACATTTATTCGTCTCATGTATGTGTTATTTATCAAGTGGAAACCACGAACTCCCCGGTATTTTCCTCGCAACCCGAAGGATCTGGAGTCAAAATAGTGCATAAACGACTCGGATGGCCTACACAAAAAAAGTCGCAATAAACCACAGCAGGAAAGACGAAACTACGGCACTTGCAGTCAGCCAGACAAGTAGTGTTGGCAGCTGAACATACGATACTGCGAGGGAAGGTGTAGCGATGCTCTCATGGCACCATACTAGCGGCTCAAGTTTGCTGCATTCTAGAGACACCTGCACCATAAGGGCCTTGGCCAGGCGGCCGTTGCGCATGAGACTGGGCTCATATTGCTTGGGGAACCGAGTTCAGGGGTTTTGAAATATCACGACGGGTTGGATGCAGGGTAGTGAGGTCTCCGCGACGTGTCAACCGTTATTGCTACAACGACAATATAAGTCAGGCAATGGGATCTGCAACCCGGGCTAGGGTGGCCAGATATCACCGCATCATCAGAATTTTCGCCACATTCAACTAGTATTTCAAACCTTTAATGCGATCTGCTAGTGGGTTCTACATAGTTCAACGACCCAAACTTCCTGGACTAGATCAAACGCCGTTGAACAGGGATATTTATGAAAGGCCACCAAGCGTTAACGTTCCGCACAGCAGTTTACCTCCGAAATGAAGTTGCACGAATCCGCATGTTTCATAGCTTTTGAATATACTGCAATTATGTATGTTGACTCTGAGTAAGATCGCAGCGCACTTTCATTTTTAAATTTGTCAAGTGAGTTGCGGTCCTGGGTAAGGATGGACCTGCTTTGCCAACAGTGATGTACAAAGCTTGTCACCAAACAGGTGTATCAATACCAGCCGATCAATAATGAGAATCTCGCTTAAATAATATTGCAAGCGGCCAGCTGCCATAGCAAGGCCTTTATAAAGTCTTCTTCCGCTTCCCTGACTCCCCGATGGGTAGAGATTCGACTGCAAGCACTGCTACACTACCTCCACTGGACTACCTTCACGTCAGTCCAGTCAGAGGTCAACTGGAGCCTTCAGACGAGGTTACCAAAAAAACCGGCTGGCGTTTTCTCCAGTGCACGGACACCCCCAATGAGCTCAAGGTACCTATAACAACTTTATCTCTGGATGGTTCTCAATCAGACGTACCGCAGGTGCTTTTACCTCCCCGTACAGCTCAGTTGTATTCCCGCCTACTTAAAGCAGAGACATCTGAAGCTCGCCAAGAAGCATAATGCATCTTGGGAGCGTATCCTCGAAATCCGACACCTCAAAGATAGGATGATCAGAAAGTGCCAGAGGCTAGCTCATTCTTACTCCGCCAGCAAGCCTCCTGCAAAGGTTCCCTTCTTGTCTATTCATGCCCCACTCGATTTCAGACTCAAAGAGATGGAGAAGTGGATTCGCCTCCATGGCGAGTCTGATGAATCTATTAGGAAGATGCCCGTGGGCGAGTCCATTCGTCCACGCAACTCCTTCTGCTGCGATCGTTGTGCAAATCTGGTCCCTCATCACCACACCATATCTCGCCGATCATCAATCCAATCCACTCACTCCCGTCGCTCAGCACTCTCTGAGCGTTCCCCATCAAAAATTCTCCCTGCATCCCCCCGACGCGCTCGCTCCTCCAAGGCGAGTTCTGTCCAAAGCGATCAAAAACCCTCTCCCGTCGCAAGCTCCATCGTCCTGAATGAAAGCCTTTCGCATCACGAAAGCCGATTGTATGAAAACAGGGTCCACGAAAGTACCATCCGCGAGGAAAGTAGGGATGATCAAGTCCACGCGACTTTCAAAGCACATGAGAGTAGGTCTGAGGACAGTAGCATTACCCAGGAGAGCAGGGTCCGAGAAAGCAGCAATATCCGCACGCGACAAAGCAAGCACTCCAGGAGTATGTCATACGACGAGCGGAGATTTGCCGAAAGCGGTCTTCATGAGATCAAGCACACCATGCAGGCCATCCCCGAAGCATCAGAAGTCAGTGCCGACTACAGCAATCGCTCTGCGGTGTCAATCAGCAAACTATCGGTTATTTCGCCTGACCCATTGCCTCATCCGTACCATGGTTCGACTTCAGCGGTTTTCTTGGACATTGTTGAGAGTCCCGTAGATGCCCCCGAGGTACAGAGCTGTGAACCTGACTATGGACACAGCGCGGAAGATGAGGGAGTATGGACGCCCCCTTCTGAAGACGAACCTACCAGTGACTTCCCTCCCCACCCGAATACGCTTCGCAGACGCAGTAGCCTCAAACGCAACAACGCAGACCTGCGCGTGAGTATGGCGTATTCCGCAAAGACCGTATCCTGGGCGATGGACCGCGACTGGGCCTGATCAGATTTCGAAGTATCACGCTGCGGCGGGTGAAATCGAACATGCTGGTAGGTTTATTTCACATTTACAGTGGCGTTGAAGGTTTACCTGTCTATACGTGAGACCGAGAGTGGGACGCCATTTGTGCGACATATCATGAAGAGCTTGCTGGCGTGAGAGCGCTGCGTCGAAATGTTACACAGACCCTGGCCAGATTACGGTTGGAGGCAGAGAGGCTGCAACGCGAAGATGAGGTGATTCAAGATCAAGAGGACAAGCTGCGTGCGGGATATGAGCAGCTCGAGCAGAAACACGGACAGTATCGAGAAAAGGGTGAGTAATCTTCCTCGTGTTTGCAGCCTATCGAGAGACGCTGATATGGCTATAATTATCGTCGGTAGTTAAAGCTGTTCTAGAAGAGACCGAACAGGTTCTTACATTGTGTACCACCAAACGAGATTGTTGAAGTCGTATACTCCGTCCGATATTGGAAGGTTCTTCAAGCTCAAGCCCGAATGGCATATATCGCTTTCACATTACAATTTACATACATTGTTTATCTTGACTGCATCCACCCTGGTTATACCCAAGTACTTACATGCTACTATCGGTATTTTAGAGCAGGTTACACACCGTTTCACGAAGGCACTAACAGCCACTAAGTATCGTCGTAATTATGAAAGCTTTGATCGGGTACGTTTCGCTTGATTCCACCAGTGCCGTACGGTAGCAAGAAATACAGCCTCAATTCCCAACAACAAAAGTATGACCATGGCGAAGTAATTGAATGGGCCCGGAGGGTGGATGCTATTCTTCGGAATCTTGATGTTTAGTGAAAATAATCCTACGAAAAGCAGCAGGTAAACATGACGCTAAAGGATCCGACAGCTGGTAACATACCGATCGGGAGTTGAATGCACAAAACCCCAAAACTAACCAGAGACACCGTCAAAATGGCCTTATCAGTGTATTCTTTGGTCTTAGCGACACGAATTCGCAGTTGAGTCAGATATGCTGGGTGAGACTCGCTGAGCATATGCTCGTAATGATGAAGGGATTGCTGCAAAGTCAAGATATGATCTGCGAAAACAGTTCAGTTGTATCGTAAACAGTCAAAACATCTTTTACCTTGAACATCCCCCATGTATATGGCGATTTCAAGGTCCTCGTTCCCTTGAGGAGAGGCTGTCTGTCGTCCACCGATCAAAAAGCGCTTGCGGATTTGCGATATCACCTCCGACTTCGTGGCAAGAAGACGAGTCAAGGACGTAACAAGTCTTCTCGCCCTGGCCATGCGCAGTAGTGTGTTTGTTGTCGTCGCTCGTGTTCTGGCCTCATGGTTTGTCGCAAACGCCTTTCCACAGATCTTGAAGATTGCGCTTCAAATGTCGCAAGAATAGTGGCATGGTGAATCGGGGAAGATGAAAGCTATGATTCCAGCCTGGGAGCAGTTTCTCCCATTTCTTTCGAAAGCGTATCTGGCAACTTTTCAACTTTGAGATCACATAGGTCATCCGTGGGTATACGATTGAGATCAACAAGAGTGTTTGTCGACGAAGTGTGGGAGGCGTCGTCGCTCGAAAATACGAGAGCTTCTACGGTTAGAACTTGTTGCTCGATCTTCTTCAGGAACGGAAAGAATGAATCAACGACAGAGTCCAATATGCCATGAGCAATCCAGTCTTTGAAGTACATCAGCATAAATAACATGTAATTCACGTAATAGTTACCTGATGACATATTGAAGCTGTCCTGAAGAAGTTGGACTCTATTTCTGACTTTCTCCATGTGTTCTGGGCAAGATCAACATTGAGTCTCTCAACTAATATGCAAGCCCACCTGATACATCGGTGAAATAAAACTGAACGACCATAAGCATCGTCTTCATAAACCCGATGTAAAATGCGAACCTACCGTGCAAATACCTTCCTTGAATACCACCAAGTATATATTAGCCTCTCTTAAAGAACCATCATCAGCCCGATAAATATCGCCATCACTCGAAACACCCTGATAAACCGACTGCGTGACGGCTGCATTCTGTATAGCTCGGAATGAAATAAAATAATAACCAAGTTTTGGAAAGAGCTCCATCTTTTCGCGCGGATCTTGCTGGAGAATATCCTCAAGTGTGAGAGGATGGATATGCAGGAGCTATTCATCAAATCAGCGTGGCAAGCTTGCGACTCGAACGCATCTACCTTGCCAATTGTTTGTAAGTCATCCCAAGTTGGACTGGCGACGTCAAGCCACCAAGCTTTGGGGGCCCGATTAAACTCGTGCGAGCCTCCGGGAGTCGGATCATGGGGCGTCCGATTTCTTGGGAAATACTCTTTCCGCTTCCCTTGAACGGAAGACTGTAAGGTGGTGGAAAGGTCCCCGAAAGACGCAGATCGACTGGGCACGCTGTCAGACATATAGTGATGATGCAAAGAGGGCGGAGGTGTGCCGAGGCTGAGTTGACGTTGTTTCCCTTTGCTCTTCTTTCCCCTTGATGCATTCTTCAGTGCAGCCTCCAACCAGTTGAGAGCAACAGGTAGGGAGGTTGTTCGAGAGACCGGCTGCTGCGGTCGATTCAAAGACTCCGACAGGCGAGTCACGGCGATCTCGGGACTCAAACTCGGGGGTAGGTATAGGGTAAACCCTCTATCGACGCGTCTAATCTTCTGCCTGACCCTGAGACGAGCGGCTACTTCACGTTCGGAATGTGTGGAACGCATGTTAGCGGAGCTTGTTCGTCTCTGACGCCGACGAGTTTGGCGAGGACGAGAAGGCGCATAAATAGAAGAGCGAAAAGATGTAGAGCTAGAGGATGGTGACGAAATTGAAGCTGAAGAACTTCGTCTCCGAGCCCAACGGGTAATTGCATGTTCTACCACGGCAGCAAGAGCTCCCAAGCGACCCGTGATGAAGGTTCCGGATGACGAAGTAGAGGATGCAGGTGCCACCGACTCCGCAATGGTAGGTGCGGGTGCATGGGGGACATCGCCGCGATAGATGTCGTCCTCCAAAAATATATCAAATTGACATTGCGGTCCAATGGAGGGGACATGGTTCGACGGGAGAATGTCCAAAGGATAAGAATGGTCCAAGTCCGAAACGTCGTGCAATTTTGGGCCTGCCATTGAAAAAACCATGAGTAATTGGTTGCTGCTTGGTTAACGTTGGGGAAATTCCCCCTGGGCACAGCTGAGAGCCGACGCGCTGAGTCCTGACATTTCCATTACAAAGCTCCGACCTCATTTAATTACGACATGCAACCTGTGCAGCAGGCGTCAAAGGCCGAAAGTCAATAGGAGTAATCCATACAGAAGATATACATATGATATACACAATAATGTAATGTCCAACCACGAAGAAAGAGATGCTAGAAGTTACACAAACTCTTCATTACCACGCCAACATGTGTCGGAAGCTTGAAAACCGAGTCGTTTGTGTGTGACCATCGGCACTCTGGGATGCTGTAACTTGCGTCTCGAGGATGTCACAACCCGAGTGCGTCCCCACAGAATTGGGCGAGCTGCAGAACAAACTGGAGTAGACAGAAGTTACTGAATGCGCTTGCACGGCTCCATCCAAGTTGGACTGATGTTTGTCGTGCTTCCCTTCGATATACGGCCAAGTCTTCTGCAGCTCTTCCTCAACAGGCAACAACTTGCAAAGAAGCGCATGATTGAATGAGATTGGGTTTTTCTGTCGGAGAACAGAGGGGTGGATTGTTTCGTGCGTGATGTTGTCTGTGGCTGTCGGAAGTTTTCTGACATTTGCCTGCGATATTGAGAATATACCGGTGCGCGGACTGCAATAATACATGAATGGGGTCCCAAATGAACTCTATGATACGCTTGCAACTCACTCATGTGGATGTTGCTCTCCCCAAGGCGCCACTGGATCCGGCAGCGAAACGATGTATGCGAAATCAATGGACAACATGTCACCAATATTGGCCTGCATAGGGAGTAATGCATTCAAAAGCGATCGCATCATAGATTCAGGCACCCACCACCATCCATGCAAGAGTTAGGTCAGACAAATCATGATCTTTCCAGCCGCCTCCGATCTATTGGTTCCGCGCAATCAATAGATAGTTGGTATAATAAATGGCCATAACTTACATCTGAATGTTCACCTTTGATGTACATTTCCATCAATAAGATGTATACAAGAGTTGTTGTCCAAACTCACCAGAAAACCAGCACTGTTAAGCACCTCATGAGTAAAAATATACAATAAATCAAGTCAAATTACCTGTTTCAAAATCTGCCCTTTCCGTCGTCCGCCTTCCGTTTGCTCGAATTTGCAGCAGTTCTAGAATAACTAGATGAAAGAGATTCGGAGAACTAGTGCTCAACTTACAAAGTCTAGTCTGGTTTCGTTTATGGCAAGAGCGTGATAGGCGCGCTCTATGTGTTCCCCAAGTTCATTGTTGGGGAAGCCGAAAATAGATTTGGTGGAAGGTGACTTGTGCGTCAATTCTTCAGGTAGGCCAACCGAACCGACAGTATCAAAGACACCGACACATCTGAAGACATCTTAACCATCCTCGCCGACGTAGATGAGGCGGTAAAACTCTTACTTTACTGAGAAAGAGTCGTTGTCAGTGTCGGCTCGTCTCTTGCCACGAGAATCGCGGGAGGTCCACTTGCTCAGCGATGCCTCAAGCTGTTCTATCTCTGAAGCGCAATCAGGATTGTGAGCATAACGGTAGTGAAGGTGACAAACTCGTTGGATCAGTCTCTTTGCCAAGTTTTTGGTACGACACAAATATGTCGGCGAAGTGGTCCATGTCGGTGCGGTCTAGGACGCCGATGGCACCCTGAAAAGAGGCTCATTTCTGAGACGAGCGTCGTCAACAAACGGTCCACTTACGATGAACATTGCTACCATCCGTGCGGTATATGCGCCCTGACGAAACAATCAATAATCACGCATTTCATACTAGTATAATGTTCCATACCCTGGAGAAACCAAAGAGGAATATCTTATATGGCGACGTTAGTCTGGACTTGAGACATTGAACGAAACAGATGGATTTCTTACTTCATCACCGGGGTGGAAGTTTCTGCAAGGAGACGCCTAAGCCACAGCCAGGTATGTATTTGGCGGGACTCACTGGGAAATGAAAGCATAAGCCTCTTGGACCTTTTCAACTGCATACAGCCATGAATCCTCGCCCAAATGAGCGAATGAAAGCTAATCTCACCGAGGGATTCTCCTGTTGCACCTGATCCAAAGCAATATTATTAGCCCCATACTATGAACGAAGACACCGCACGAACCATCGACATATTGAGAGTAGAGATTTTGCGCCGTTCCGACGCCACACTGATAGTAGACGATCTGGGGGATCGGAACTCCCCTGTCGACGTATGAGCGAGTGACCCAGGAACAGACCACGGATGAGCTTACGATCGTTCATCCACATGTTCCAATCCCCGCGATAATTTCTGAAAAGCGAACATGTATGAATTTAATTTTCCCGGTGTGTTAAATTGACGTACCAGGATGTTGGTGTGTTTCCAACACTCCTTGACGATCACTCCGTCTTGCCAAGTTCTGATGAAAGAAATCGAAGTCAGATACGGTCGCTTCCGGGGTTAAACGTTAATGATTGGCTTACCCATCGCAACACACGATGATTCTTTTCTTAAATTTAGTGCCAGCTTGGAAGGGTTCGGTTGAGGACCTTGACAATCGTGCAAGGTCGGGTTCGACTCTGGCGGGGACCATGACCTGGGTGAAAATTCAGTTAAGTTGGAGACACAATATATGTAGTAAGGTGAATGTATTTATGTTGGATTCATTCTCGCGGTCAATAATATTATAGCCATGATGTATTTCACTGGAAAACACAGCATTACCAGTAGTCGCCGCGACGCCGCATCAAATTGCAATCGATGACACCGGTCACCGAAATTGTTCGGCGGTCAACATTTCAACGATCTGATGCAGATGGGTTAGTTTTGCAAGTTCAACGTGCTTGCTACGGGGAAATATTAGTGCCGACTCCCTATAAGAGGAGATCGATCTATTCAAATGAATCAAATGCCGCGATAAGCGTGAAGGCTCGAACATTAATAGAGGCGAGTCGCACAGCAGGCAAACCAACACAACTTCGGCCCGGTACCCATGCAAACTCTCCCTAAGCCTTTCAAGGCAACGGTCGATCTTGACAATTGGCGTGACACAGCTTACTTGAGTGGCCACAATCACTGACATCATTTCAAACGTCACCGATCCTGCGTCCTGTCGCTGTTTGATGGACTGGTATGCTCGACTTCTAATTATATGCTGTACAGTGGGTCTCATAGCTTGGGACAGTTAACATGCTTCTCCCGTTGCTAGGAGGCTCAAGATTTGATAAGTACATAGCACATGCTGTTGTACCGGGTCAGGTAACGTGCGTCCGAGTGTGCGATACATCGGCCAGGGATCACAGGATGAAATGTACAACCATTGACGAGCTACAAGATATTAAAATTACTTCCCTAATCGAAATTGAGCGCCAGCATACTCGTCTAGGGCGTGACAGAACGCTTCCTCGGTGATTATTGAAGATGCGTGCGAATATTTCAGGGGACCGACGACGTCATGAATCATAGTCCGGCTGTATAATGGTGTCACTCCAACACAACGATAAGGCGGTCCATGACTTACTGTATTTCTGTCAGCGTGATCTGCCACGGAGGAAACCCATGTAGTTCGACAGGAGGCTGGGGGTCTTGGGGGTAGATATGATGCACGATCATGAAATCCGGTGATGGCAGTCCTCCTAATACAGAAGTCAGATGGGTGATATCGTAAACAGAGCGAACCTTCCTTCTAATATCGAGTTGAACTCAGATATGGGAAGTTGGTATGCTTTGGCGTGGTTCAGGTCATGACTGTTCTGGCGCCTGCGAAATTCTTCATCTAAAAGGGAACGTGCAGCAGACGCGATGGCAGCTTTTGAGGCACTACGTGAAATTATATGGAGTGTCAGAGGATTATAAAGAGATTGCTTGTCTGTCAATGATACGTTAATGAGTCCTTTTGACTGTGGGGGGGCTCCACCTACGGTGCGCTCGTCGGCGAACTGCAACCTCTCTCTGCTTACAATGCGTCTGGAAGGAGCGCACCGTTGTAACGTTTAGTTCTACGGGCAAGTCGGGCGAGTGGCTTCTTGACTCCGATGGCTCAGAAAGTGGAGGGGTCAATGGATATTCGAGTTCAGATTCACTCTCGTCGGTGGGCAAATCATCGTGGCGTGCTAGGCGTTCCTGAATAACGTCAGAGCACCTCAACAGTACACCTAAGGATCGTTCAGCATGAATAACAACATCCCAACAAAAAGTTTACCATCGGTATCATATGCAGTAAGCTGCTCGATACCTAACGCTCTGCACCATTTGATAACCCTAGTTAAGCACTCCAAATAGAGTTCCTCTGTGTGCTTAGGATACGCTGTATCACCGGAGACCAGAACGATTGCCAAGTGTTTTGGTAGCTTACTGCGGTATGCAGTGACGGGTTGAGGGGGCGAGTATCGACGTTTTTGAAGTCTTGTTGTCAGAAACACTAGCGAAGCATGCAGAAGATGCAGAAGCCAGAGAAAGAGGGAAGTCACCATTTAGCAAGCATGGACGAGAAAGAGAAAGTTGGATGTGCAACTTTGCAAGCATACGTTGCAATGAAACTTAACAGGATCACGTGGATACCCACCGCATTTATGATTCAGATAAAGCAGATTGGTAGATATGGCGGTGTTCTTTTTACCAAGTATACTGTTTTTCCGTGACCATCATGACCATTCTCCCTATCGAAGAAATTAAAGAACGATCTGATCGCCACCCCAAGCCTTCAGATGTCAAGTTTCAGTACGGGACTGCAGGTTTCAGAACGCTGTGCGTATGCGTCTGATTGTCTACATTAAGTTATCAATCTGATAGTAGCAACTAGGGGGAAGACACTCGATTCAGTGCTATTCAGGGTGGGCGTCCTCGCAGCCCTTCGGAGCAAGAAACTGGATGGCAAGACTATCGGTGTCATGGTGACTGCCTCGCACAATCCAGAGCCTGTATGTATTTCTATACGTGCACTGATCGCCTAGGTCCAATGGTGCACCCCTTTGTAGGACAACGGGGTTAAGCTCGTTGACCCACGCGGAGAGATGCTTGAGTCTTCATGGGAAGCACATGCCACTGCTCTTGCCAATGCGCCTAGCAGTGTTGCTTTCGTTGCTGCGGTCGACGAACTGGTGAAGACGACCAAAATAGACCTCTCAATACCCGCTCGTGTGGTGTACGCCAGAGATACGCGCCCGACAGGCCCGCAACTTGTTGCCGCCCTTAAAGATGGGCTGGAAGCTATGAAGGCGGAGTATAGGGACGCCGGCATTACCACAACGCCAGTGCTTCACTACTTGGTGAGGACAATCAACACCAAAGGCACCAAAGATTCGTACGGCGAGGATACTGAGGAAGGGTATCTTACGAAAATAAGTGATGCCTTCAAAAAACTGCTTGTGAGTGACGCATATATCAGCATACATGTCACCCATTTCAAGCGCAGGCTGGAAAAGCGACCCCGCCACCGTTGCTCATCGACTGCGCCAATGGTGTCGGTGCTTTGATGGCCGAGAGATTTAAGGCGTATCTTGGGGATACCTTCAGCATCAATCTCGTGAACGCCGCCATTGATACCCCTGGCGCACTGAACAACTCTTGTGGCGCAGACTTCGTCAAAGTCAACCAGAAGCTACCTCCTTCCATCACCCTGCAGCCAGGACAGCGCGCTTGCAGTTTAGACGGAGATGCTGATCGCATAATCTTTTATTACGCAGATGAACGCGGTCAGTTCCATATGCTCGACGGAGACAAGATTACCGCACTTGTGGCGAGTTTTATCGTTGAGTTGGTGAAGGCCGCAGGTTTGGACGAACATATCAAAGTCGGCGTCATCCAGACGGCATACGCGAACGGAAGCTCGACCAAGTACCTTTCCGGGGTAAGTAGGACGAAGGATATTGCATAGATGGAAATCTCATTCTGCAATCTCAGAGACTACCTGTCAAGTGTGTCCCCACAGGTGTGAAACACTTGCACCACGCTGCAGAACACTACGACGTTGGGGTCTATTTCGAAGCCAATGGGCACGGCACAGTTTTGTTCTCACCTGCCGCGCAGGAATTGATTTCCAGCCATATTTCTTCCACTCTAGCTCAGTCCACAGCGATCACACACCTGAAGAATGTCATCGATGTCATTAACCAAACTGTTGGTGATGCTCTCTCAGACGCGTTCCTGGTAGAAGCAGTTCTAGCACACAAGTCTTACAGCGGAGTTGAGTGGGACTCCCTCTACTCCGACCTCCCGAACCGTCTGGTGAAAGTCGTCGTAGGTGATCGGAATGCATTCGAGACGGAGGATGCGGAGAGACGCCTAGTCAGCCCCCTCGGACTGCAGGCCAAGATCAACGAGCTCGTGCGAAGGTACGAAGGAGGTCGCTCGTTCGTGAGACCAAGTGGTACAGAAGATGTGGTCAGGGTGTATGCTGAAGCAGTATCACGCCCCGAAGCTGATGGTGATATTGCTTCCTCCTGCTTGTTGAGCACACACTCATGGTCTTTGTCTCGCTTAGAACTTGCGTTCCGCGTCGCCGGTCTCGTCTATGATGAAGCGGGGGGTGACCCTTCACGGAAACCAAAAGAATTTCTTTGAACCTTGATGGCATATGTTTAGTTTTGGACATTGGTGCCCGGTGATGTGTACCCTGTAAGATTAGATAAACTTTCTGTAGGCTCAAAAATCGAGGAATAGTCATTTGTGCCACGATGCCCATGGGCCGCCGTCTTGAATTGCAAGCCAGCAGAATAATGTAGATCTCACCATCTGCTGGGATTGATTGATTTACTGTTGTCGATATTTCCCGACAGCCGGTCACATGCCCAATAAGACGTAATCTGAAGCAAATTTCGAACCATCGTACTACTTATGAACTACCCGCTGCATTTGCGACTGGTGCGATATGACTCCAGTCTTGCTACGTGTCCATTTAGTCCAAATTTCTTTCGCTTCTCTTTTGGCATCCCTTGTTAAACAGTTGTTATCCTCACAATTGATACTAGTTTTTTTAAACCCTTTTGCCTGGACCAACCTCACTTGCAGATGTGCCGCTTCGTGATTTACAAGGGCACATCACCTGTGCAGCTATCTCATGTTAGTGACTGACAGAGCTGTTCATTGCAAAGAAGACACTGACACAATTCGCTATCAGCTCTTGACTCGACCGTGCCATTCCATCATAAATCAGGCCTTTGATTCGCGTTTGCGTCTTGACCATCGTCGGCCAATCAATGGTGACGGCTTTGGCGTCGGTAAGTCCTTGTCTAAATCACTTCTGGGTAGCTTTTTGACACAAAGGGTCAGGCTGGTATGATTCCGTCCATGACGAGGAACTTGGCAGCCAACCTTGTATATTCACCTCCGTTACACCAGTACGCGTGCCGTGTCGCCAGTGTCGCACTCTCAACTGACCGAGATCAGGCATGGAACAACGCAAACTTAATCCGCCTAGCGGAGAAGATCAAGTCGCCGCTCGTCTTGTGAGTCGCTGCAACTCTCCTCGTGGTTCCAATGAATCGTACTGACCAAAGATGTCTTTTAGCGGACATGTCCGTGCGACCACTACTGGTTCTCTGTCTTTGGACAATTGCCATCCTTTCGCATATGGCAAAATTATGGTGCGTCATGACGTGTATGTCCACATTCTTGCCCTTGTTGATTTCCCCGTCAAACAGTTCATGCATAACGGTGGTATTGCAGACTTTCACCTGATTAAGCGACGACTGCAGGCCGATCTGTCGGACGATATTTTCAACGTAGTACAAGGGAACACAGGTGAATATAATACTCATGACACAGAGCGAATCATGACTCTCCTCTCGCAGACTCTGAGTGTGCTTTTGCACTACTGCTGTCGAAGGTGTGCTCCTTGTCAATTTCACCATCTGAATTTCAACGTAGTCGCGCATGCGCAGCTACCCGACCCCAAGGCTAAGAGTTTTACAACTCGTACCTTGCAACAGGCAATGTTGGATACTATTTCAACTTTAAACGCGTATGCTGAGGAAGCCGGTATCACCGAGGTGAGTTGAGGTTGATCTTCCTATGCAGTTTTTCTGAGAATAGATTAGCCGAGCTTGATGAACTTCTGCGTTACGGATGGCGAGAGCGTCATTGCAACACGTTATATTTCCTCTAGGCATGACGAAGCTGCGTCTTTGGTAGGATCCACTCACTGTATCGTATGGCAAGGGCATTCTGATCGCATTAAATAACAGTGGTTCTCGTCTGGGACGACATTCAGCGAGTACGCCCAGGGTGGTCATTACAGGATGGCGAAAGCTGATAAAAGAGAGAATATCATCATGGTAAAATCCCTTTTGATTTGATCATCCATTCTCATTTCTGACCGCTCTAATCGCAGATTGCCAGTGAGCCTCTTACTTTTGAAAAAGCGGACTGGATGGAGATACGCACGAACAACATGGTTGTCATAACACCCAAGATGAACCTCCTGCAGATACCGATCGTTGACAAATTCTATGTCTCTCCTTCTGACCCCGCGGCATTAAACCGGGACACTGATTTTGCCGCTGCCAAGGGCCTCCTCAGCCCACGTAAAGCCTTGGCTCCAGTTCAGCCCCGCGATAACGCCCCTCAGTTGTCCATCTGATTTTTTGGGATAGCTTCATCACATGCCATCCTGTTTATCGCTATCTTTGTTGTGTCATTCATGCTGTTAGGATCTGTACCGTAGATGATTAATGACGATTAATTGTTGTTATGTGTAGCATGATGTAGCTGTGGAATATAACGCGTGGACGCGTTTTGCATGTGACTTGAATTCGCTTACCGAGTTTGCTCTGTAGACTGCTAGCGCTTGTCCTCCTCCCTCCCTGTAGACTCATTTTTCAGTGATCCGCTCCTAGACCTAAAATTAGAGAGGATAATGAACCCATGGCTACTTTGGAGCGCCGTGTCGCATACTGCTAGGTCTTCGTTTTGGTGTCATTCAGCACAACAGCATCTGACGATAGGCTTTTTAGGTTATCAACAGCCCTACAGATCTTACTCTTTTTGCCGTTAACGCTAGCGACCCTTTCAACGCAAGCCTTTCTCTTGTTGTCACTTCTCCTTTCGATTCACTCCCTCATTCATGGAACTCTCATATTGCTCTGGGGATCCAATGCACTCTCTGTCATGCAGGTGCCGATGCACCCTTTCCTCCTCCTCGTTACTTTCAATGCTTTCTCGCAATCCGCACAACCTTGGCTTGCCACCGCAGTCTATTGGTGGGGGAAACTACTCACGTTTTGCGGTCCTTCCTACGTGGCCATGGAAGGTCTGTCCAGTCTACTGTTCGCGCAGAAAGCGGGTCAAATAGGCAGAGGCATTGCGGATGAAGCAGAAAGTTACCAGTTCGCGATTCTCATCGCAGCAGCTGCGGCATTTGTCGCAGCTGCGTGGTGGGTTGTCATCGTGCGTGCTACTCCGTGTCTTTCTCACTCTACATACTAAATCTTGTACAGGCATACCCTGCAGCTGCCGCATCTCCTTTGTCATCCACGCTATTGGGTGTAGCATTGACGGCATTCCTGTTCCTCGTTCTGATTGGTTTCCGGTTACGACGCACCAACGTTGTCGAGGCCTCTCTCCTTGCACTCTTCCTGGCATATAACGTGTGGCTCTGCGGGTTTGATCAAACATCATTCTCGGACCCTGCTTCCTCCTAGTATGTTCTAACTCAGTCTCATGCGCTTTTGCTGACCGACGACTCTCAGTGCCCCTCTGCTTTCGAATATCCTTCCACACTTGCAGACACTTGTGAACTTCATCACCAATACCCTGCCTAAGCCAGTACTCGTCGCACTACTCTATCGTCTTTCAATATTGCAAGTTGCATCACGTATTTTACCCACCATCGGTGCTGATAACTGGGAGTCGGACCAAGATGTGAATGATGGCCGACCGGTATGAGCACAGTCCCTGTTGTTTACTCCAGCTGATGGTCATTACGATAGACTTCGATTATGACACGCATCCTTCTCACATATAGACAGCTAATCTTTGTCATGGTATACTCGCACCTTCTTCGTACGTGTTTTCTGTTTCTATGACTTTTCGGAGACCGACTAACATTTTATTCAGTTCTTGATCCCTCTTCACAAGTCTGGTGGCGGTGGGCAAATATCATGTTTACTCTATTCCTTTGGGCTGTGGAACTCGTAGTCAGCCCCGATGGAGACGATGATTCGGCAAAGTGGAAAGTCGACTAGTTCTGTCGTCCCTCTGGAAAACCGATCTCTATGCCGTTCTTAAACGATCCTCAGCTTCAATGCATTCTAGCCGCTATTTGCCTTCCACTCCGCTTCCTCCTCCTTTTCGCCCTCGTAGTACTCCCTCTTCCATATCTGTACCCTTTGCTTCACCTCCTCGAGGATCTGTTCACATGCCACGAATGCTTCCTTCCGATGCGGTGACGCCACTGCTATCACAATCGAGGACTCTCCTACCGGCACGGTCCCCAGCCGATGGTGCAAAGCGCAGGAAATAATAGAGGCCACCGCTGCGGGGGCTGAATGGTGGGCAGAACGTGCGACTGATTGATGTGCTGTTCGGATAATATCTGTCATGGTTTTGATAGCCAACTTGCTATATGCCTGGTATTCTAGACGTGTCACGATTTTTCCTGTCCGTAGCAGGCGGTGAATGTCAAGACATGTGATGATTCTAATGTATTTGCATGGTTGGTACCTTGATATGAGTTTCGAGTGGTGCCGATGAAGACTGCTGTTGCCCCTGCACCATCATCGCTGACTGATTTTATGATTTCGTCGACCTCTAATGACTTGTATGTCAGCACGCATATGCTCTTGCCCACTTCTTCTCTTGCTTCCACTGAGGTGCTTGGATGGGAAGTCGTCATCTCGAATCTGTATGAGTGGATCGGGTCGGGACCGCGAAAACTAAGATGGGAGGAGATAACGAGCAGGGACAACGTAAAATATTGGCTCACGTGGACCAAGAGTATACGCATGCCTGCTGCAAAATAACGATTGAGTCTGCTGCTATCTGAGAACCATTTTCTATCACCCTGTTTTGTCTTGGTTCCTTCACTTCCAATGCTTCGAGCTTCCTTGCGGGGAACCTTTAACCATCAACGTCTTCGGAAGGCGTCGAGTCTAGCTGCTGCTCGGAAGCGTCAAGCTCCCATTGATGTTCACCCCGAGGTGGAGGATGCATTGGCCAGTGGAAAGCCTGTAGTGGCCCTCGAATCAACCATAATTACCCATGGAATGCCGTACCCAACTTCATTGGAGACGGCCCAGTCACTCGAGAGGATAGTCAGGTCCACAGGGAGTGTACCAGCTACCATTGCTGTCCTTGGGGGGCGCATCAAGATTGGTCTTCATCCAGCAGAACTGGAGCGTCTTGCAGACCAAACCAAACCAACCGCCGTAAAGTTGTCCAGACGTGATATTGCGGCTGCAATTGCTCTGAAGAAGGATGGCGGGACTACATGCTGTTCCACCCTTATCTTCGCTGCTCTCGCGGGTATCAAGGTGCGCACTGTGCAATTTTCTTTTTGCGCCGGCATGACTGTCATACTAGGTCTTTGCTACTGGAGGGTAGGTCGGGGAGTGTTAACTTCGAACTCTGGTATGCTAATACGGTGTTTCTAGGCTCGGCGGAGTGCATCGCGGCGGAGAGAATAGTGCGTTACATTTAGTGTTTACGAACTTCTAATGGTCTCGCTCCGTGTCTTAGCAATGGACGTCTCAGCTGATCTACATGAACTCACGCGTTGCCCAGTTGGTATAGTTTCCGCTGGAGTGAAATCCATTCTGGACATAAGACGGTATGACTTCGTGATTATCTCTGTTGCCCGTCGCTGAACTAACACCACAGAACCCTCGAATATCTGGTGCGGCTGCTTGAAGTTCTTGGAGAATTCGTCTCTAATTCAGTCACACAGGAAACGCTTGGTGTACCAGTAGTGTCTTACGCAGAAACGCACGACTTCCCGGCTTTCTATTGCGGTCGAAGCGGTCTTGAGGTACGGGTATACCAAATGTCTGTGTCTTGACTCATAAGTTTCAGTCGCCTTGGAGAGTAAATGATCCTAGGACAGCCGCTCAGATTCTACGTAGGAATGCTGGCACATAGCCTGGGTAACATGAGCTTATCAACATTACAGATACTCATTGGCAGCTGGGCATGTCCAACGGTGCCCTTTTTGCTGTTCCTATCCCTGCTGAATATGAGGCCGTGGGGTTAACCCTTCAGGAGGCAGTCGAACAAGCTGTTCGCGAGTCAGATGAACAAAATATCACTAACCTGGGGAAGGAAGTTACTCCTTGGCTTCTCAAGAGGGTTGGTGAGTTAACACAAGGGAAAATCACTTGCTAGCAGTCAGTACTCAACCTTCCTACACGTGACTCACCGTTCAACTATAATCCCAGACATAGCACTAATCGAGAATACTGCGCTCGTTGGTAAGAAATTGATACAAGAGGCCCTGTCGAAGCATTGACATTTCGAGAACAGGAGGTCAAATTGCAGTAGAATACGCGAAACTTGTTGGAGATGGACATGACCAGGATGTGAGGTGAACTGTCAAACATTAGACACAGCAAATGATGTCCATTTCTCCTAGCAATGCTATCCTGTGATAGGAATACCAGAAAAGCCGGACAAGCTGTCCAGCGCATGCGTTTCCGTCTCATCAGCAGCTACTGATGATCTCAACGAGCAACCGCCACCGCGCGCTTCGTTGATCGTAGTCGGTTGCACAGCAGTGGACATCACCTCCCAGCCTCTCACAGATTCAGACCTTGGACACCAGTCAACATCTCCCGGAAAGGTTTCCTTGTCGCTTAGGAGGTGTTGGCCGCAATATTGCCGAAGCCGCTCACCGAGTCCTTTCGTCGTATGGTAGCAAGTTTTCGGCTGCAACTTTGCTGGTGTCCCCAGTCGGCGATGATTCTTTCGGAAGACTGTTAAGCGAAGAGACACGAATGCTAGGGATGAGGACAGATGGGCTTATTCCCGTACATGGAGGTAGGTCTCCTGTGTGCAGCCTACTTCTGCAGAGATCGGGGGGCTTGAGAGCAGGTGTGGCTGACATGGACCTTGTTCGGAATATGGATGGCCATATGGTTAGTCTTGTCCCTTGACCACCCGTTACAGGTTTGACGAGTTTCTTACCAGGCACGAGAGTCTATTTTGGCACACAAACCAAAGCTACTTGCAGTGGATGGAAACCTATCACCTGATACACTGAAAGTAGTAGTGAGCGAATGTCTTCGGAACAGCGTTGACGGTAAGCTTCTTTGTTGGCATAAGCTGATAGAAGTGACTAAAATTCGTGCTTTGAAGTTTTTTTGTCCGTTCGCATTCACAAGTTTATCGAAGGAGTTGGCTGATAATAGTTCAAATTTTAGTGAACCAACTTCTGTCGTCAAGTCAGCTTCGATTCTTCCCGCTATTGCCAGTAATCTCGACCACCCTACATGGTCACCCATTGCTTTTGCCTCTCCTAACCTACTCGAGCTCGCTCACGTGTATCAACAAGCACAACTTCTGGACCTCACTTCCCATGTTCAGTGGTGGCAGGTTCTGGACGGCCTCGGACTTGGTTCAAAGTTCCGCATGGACCTCGATCTGCTCTCTCGAAGAGATGCATCAGATCACGATACTTCGCGGGGAAACCTGGCCTTCCTTGTTGAAAAAGGTGTTGCCCAAATGGCAATCAATCTCCTACCATTTTTCCAACACCTCGTCATCAAGTGTGGTGACTTAGGAGTCATTGTAGTAATGCGCTTGACGGCAGATGACGCGGCCGAGTCATCGTGGTCAGCGGAGTCGACTAACCATCATGGGCGCTATGTGGTGTCACACTCGTCAACCTCGGGTGATATTGTGATCTTGCAGCATTTTCCTGCAATACAACTCCCAAGCGATGCGTTGGTCAATACAACAGGCGCAGGAGATTCATTGGTTGGAGCTTTGCTAGCCACCTTGGTGCAGTCTCCGAAGGCGTTCCACGCCACAATTAGCCTACGACGCACGATGGACATCGCCCAGCGTGCAGCCCTTTTAAGTTTGCAGAGCTCATCCGCCGTCTCGCCACTGCTATCGTCCTTGCACGAACAACGTTCCCAAAGACATTATTGATAGATCACGATATCGTTTCTATGCCTCATAGTTCACCAGTGGTCCTACCTGAACTGTCTCCCGCTCCCTCCTTCGTCTCTCCTTCTCTGCCAGTTGGGATGCTTTCTTCACTTCCCTCGTTGTCTTCTCGTAATGGGCCTTGTAAAGTATATAAGCACAAGTCAAGATATATATTGAACCGTACCTGGGCTCCATGTTTCAAGCGAGTGATAATGTTGGCTGCCTGGCCCTTGGTCATGTTCTGCAGGGTTGCAGCGACAGCATCTTGATCCAGCGCGCGTTTGACGCGCCGTTTCTGGATGAAATTCTTCTGGCTATCAGATGCAGACGCTTTACGCCATTTTGCAGTTCGGAGGAGCCTTTCTTCATGTCAGAACTGTTATGACTCATGTACAAACGGAGGTATACCCTAGTGCCAATGATCCACGAAGAACCTTTTGCGCGGCATAAGTGTCGCAGCCTCGGATTGCATCACTGAGCGTCTCCGCAGTCATGATCAACCTTTTCCGCATGAACGGAGATACTTTGAACGCCTTCGCAGACGGCATATGCATCGTCGCCTCGGTGAACGTCGCGCGATAGTGCGTAGGCTTGTCTAAACGGCACGTGAGAAAACGATTACTGCAAAATTATCGAGCTGACCCTCATCAGCAGGAATGTGCTCAATACGGATATATCCCTTTCCCAAACACTCCAAGATGTAGATGTCGTTGCCACATCCTACCCATGCATTGGTGCTGAGCTTCGCGACATGAGGAGCACCCGAACAACCGTCGACTAAGGCGAACGGGTTCTGATAATCGAGATATGTTATATATTTCGGATCGGGGATATCATCTCGGCTGTCAGCTAGCACTTGCCCCGTGTCTCCAAGGATGGCAGTCTCAGCACGAGCTTCCAATGTCTCAATGGACTCATCTATGTAATGATGTTAGCCCCGCATTTGCGACGGGAATGCACCTTACCGTCGATAAGTTCCTCAGGATCAAGACCAAAGAGTGTTGGGGTCGAGACCACACCAGCTACCCGGTTAGTAGAGTCGACAAAGTCAATTATGTGGCAGTCCAGTTTGCCTGTCGATGGCGATTGCCGCATCCCCCTCCCGATCTATCGAAAGTGAATGGTGGGCACATGGGAGGCATTTAACATGCTACACTGCAACATACCATCTGTGCGAAGACATTGCGTGACCGAGTTGGGCGAGCAACAATAACGCAGTCGATGTTGGGAATATCGGCGCCCTCAGTAAGAATTGCTGTTCGTCCACAATAAGTCGTCGAAACACCCAACCGTCAAAAACGAACCGCAGTTTACAAGCACGGGGTATTGGCCTGTTTTAAAAGCATTTATCAGCGCATGCCGCTCAGCAGCAGGCGTCCCAGAGTGCAGATAACGTGCAGCAACTCCGAAACCTTGAAATGCCTTTGTCAGCGCTCGTACGTGTGCGATATTTACGCAGAAAACAAGTGTTGATTGGCGCTGCCCTGTTGCAGACATAAATTGTGGGGCTCTGCAATGACGAATATCACTTACCGGCTCTATCTAGCCACGCTTGCACGACAAGGTTGTTCACAGTATCTGTATTGATGATATGCGCCAGGCTTGTAGCATTGAAGTCACCAGTTTTGGAGTTCACAGTGACATTGCGCAAGTCAATGTTCGCCTTGACGGATGTAAAACGCACATCACAGAGCCTGCCATAACAGATTGAGAAGAATCCCCATGTCAAAATTGAACCAGTTGACCATTGTTCCTTGATCATCTCAAGAAAATCACGATGGTACACTATTTGTTGAAACACGGAGCCAAGAGCCAGACCATCATGGCGACTGAAGGTGGCTGAAAACCCGATGATTGGAATAGGGTGAGACAACTGCGGAGGCTGGAAGTTCGCCTCGGGGCTCCTTATTTCAGGATCGAAGTGCGCAAGAATTCGGCGGTATCTGTGTGGAGTGAACTTTTAAACGAATTTCCTAAAAAAAAAACGAGGGCCTCACGAGGGGGCGGCAGCGTGGTGCGCTTCATCAACAATTACTGCCTTCAGACTACTTGGATGAAACTTGGCAAGGCGCTGTGGTTGCAAGAGTGTCTGATAAGTGGCAACTGTTCTGTTCAGTGACGATACATCAGGATGAGAGAAGCGAGTTGTTCAAAGTCAAGTACATACACATCCGCATTTCCAGACGCTTTATGCTTGACGCCCTGCTCAATCTCCACACGCCATTGCGGGAATAGTGCAGCAGCTTGAGCGGCAGCTTGCCTTGCAAGCTCGATGCTATTCACTATAATTAATGCGCGTGATGTGGACGGAGAATGAGATGGTGGAGAAATCTGTGCTAATAAGGATATGAACACAGTTGTTTTACCAGCCCCTGTTGGTAGAGATACGCCAATCCGCGTCGCACCAGCCTGAAGTGCATTCTTGCATGCTTCAAGACACGACTCTTGGTAGGGTCGTAGCTTAACCGTGACAGCGCTGGCAAAATGACGCCGACAGCTGAACATACAAATAGTTCGGGAGATATCCCTGTTTACAGTTGTAGTGTGATGTTGCTCAAATCGCCTCACAATGTTGGTCATGAATGTCTTCTGCATTCGGTATGAACTGAGGCCTACTAGTGTGGGAGTATGTAGAAGAGTCCATACCCGGAGGTAACCCAGTGAAGATGAAATAAAGTCTAGTGATAAATCGTGATGCGGCGGACAAAGGAAGGGATGGAGCCAAAGCCCAAGTAAATATGCGATGCAAATCATTTAACCAGATCCACCAGAGTAGACCTTGCCGAACATGACTTGCTGGAGCTTGTCATATAGCGACAAAACACCAGCACCAGCAACACCACGGAGAATGTTGGCACCTGCACCCTTGAACAACGACTTCATACCCTCCTTGGCGACAATCTGAGAGCCAGCGTCGAACATGGACTTGTAGTGAACACCAGCACCGGAGGTCATCATCATGCGACGACTGGAGGTGACGGTATGAGTGTTGAGGTAAATTGAAAGCAGGCTAGAACTCACCGGATAGTGTCAAGAGGGTAGGAAGCAAGACCAGCACCGATGGTAACACCCCAGCCAAGAGCGAACGAAGCCAAGAACGAGCCCTCAAGAGCACCAACGAGAACGACAGGTTCTGCAACCACAATTAATGACATGATAAAAAGTTGGTTTAGTCAACGTACTAAGCGAATCGTAGACACCGAAGTAGAGACCACGGTAGACAATGATACCGACGACCGAAGGGACGAAGCCACGGTAGAGACCCGCGATACCGTCTGAAGCGAGAGTCTTCTTGTACACGTCAACAAGACCGTTGAATTGACGAGCTCCTCCACCCTTGGAGGACTTGGCATCGTTGGCAAGTCGAGTACGAGCGTAATCAAGGGAGTAGACAAAGAGCAGCGAAGAGGCACCAGCAGCACCACCGGATGCAACGTTGCCAGCGAACCATCTCCAGTAGCCCTCGGACTTCTTGAAGCCGAACAAAGACTTGAAATAATCCTCTGAAAATTTTATTAGTGATAAGCATACATAAGAGCAGAGGAATAACGCACTGAAGGCGAAGTTCAAGGCCTGTGTAGGGAAGTACCGAATCACGTTGGCGGTGTTACCTCTCCAGAGTGAGACCATGCCTTCTTCCTTGTATGTACGGCTGAATGCGTCCCCGACACCCTTGTAGGGAGTAGCTAGACGACCCTGCTTAATCTGGGATGCAAGGTGTAAGATATTTGCACGCTGGCTAGAGGATAGAAGACATACCATCTCATCCTGATTTTGTACCAAGAGCTTGATACGCTCAATTGGGGCCGCCGAGGTCTTCGCAACGGCCTACAAAACACGACGTCAGCGTCGAAAATCTTCACCAAACTGCAGTGCCGACACGTACAGCAGAAACACCACCCATCAGGAAGTCCACTGTTAGAGACTGTATTAGCGCTCCATACGAGACACGGTGCCCAAGCTACTGGACAAGCCGTGACGACGAGGAACTCACCCATGAAGTCCTGGGGAGTCTTGACCCTCTTAGTTTCGGCCATTTTTTAATTAGAAAGCCAACAAGGAAAGGCTGAGTGGAGAAGGATGAAGGTGAAAGGATGAGAACCAAGTAGCGAAAAAAGTTCGCGTCAAAAAGGAATTCGGAATAATCCGGAATGTTTTATCTCCGCTCTTCACCGACCGAACAGCACTTAAGCGTTCCGGGTGGTCTCTGTTCCGCTACTTGATCTTCCGAGTCGTCGCACAGTCGAGTACGTAAATGAGGATGGTTGCATACAGTGTATTGTGCTATCTGCAGAAACAATTGAGTATTATGACCAACCTGACCTAAACAGACGTATAGTAGCGAAATAATAAACTGTCCTTGCAATGCGAAAATAATATTAAGGCCACACGCCTGGTCGACTCGTAGAACCGCTAGGTCTGGACGGATAATAACTGTTGTGACTGTACGTATCATACGAACTACGAACCGTGTCATGAGGAGAAGTAGCCGCCGCAGGTGGCACGTATAAGTTTGGGTTGTATGACGGAATACGTACTGGAGGTAATTGAGGGATAGGATAATTACTCGGCCCAGTAGGATACGCAGCCGCAGGTGACCGGGGCGTAGTCATAGGTACGACATTGGCAACTGGTGACACGGGTGGAAGATGCACCGCATGAGGCTGTGGCGGCGGTTGTGGTTGCTGAGGTGCTGGAACAGAATCAATCCGGGATTTCTTCCAGATCTGCTCTGTAGGTGAGGGTGCACCAGAAGGTGCCTTGCGCTTCTCCAGAGAACTCCGCGCTACGGGTGGTGGCTGGGGCTCTTCCTCGTCGGAGTCAGCTGTTAGGTCGATTACATCACCTCGAGGTTGCCGCGCGGTCGTGAGAAGAATTGGGTTGGATGTGGGACTGGATAAATTGTTCATCGGATAGGAATCCGATAGCTCCTGCTTGACTCTGCCTTCGTCCTCGTCATCGGAATCCAGTACAAGAATCTCCACGTTTTGTCTCGCATGGGCTTTTGCAGCAGCCTCTTCATCCACTGATGCTGGTGATGATCCACGAGGAGGCGAGAGTCTGGACGGAGCTGTCACCGGATGGGAGGCCATCCAGGAAGCTGAACCAAACTTATTGTCGCTTGTGTGCCATTGCCCATCGCTTTCAACAATAACATCATCGACACACTCGGAAGTATCCATCAAAATCTGGTCGAAATACCTATTGGCATATTATGTTAGTCAACTGGCGATTCAGACACATAACCGACGAACCCGTCGATGATAAGATCTTCGTAATTTAGAACCTTCTCGCATACAGGGCAAAGCCACGTTGTCGTTTGCTCCATGCAGCTGAACCACGAGGTCGCATCAAAGCACTGCGGATGAGGGCATAGTATTGATCTACACGGCGTTTTCACTCGCATGAAGCTCAGCTACACCATTTAACCATGAGAAAAAGTCAACCTGGGTGAAAGACGTTCATACTGGGCATTTCAAAGACATCTTCTGTGATCCAGCAATAATATCATCATCCTCGCTTGAAGTTTTGTTCACTACAAAAAAAAATTAACAAGTGCCTTGGTCAATGAATAAATGCTTTACTCTGTGCCACAATATCTTCACCATTGCGATACTTGCCCTTCTTGAGCTTGTCTACGAGCTGATCTACAGTCGTGGCTTCAACAAGCATGACAATCAGATAGAATTTCTGCTGGCGATACTAAGGCAAACCGTGTGTAGATGACAGATCTACCCACCTTGGGCTGTATGGGTTGCTGGCTGTTCACGTATACCATTTCGACTCGGTTTTGCCCCGTCATTCTGACGTGCTTCCCAAGGTCTGCTGGCGGGGCAGTGCCTGGCTTCTTCTTCAAACCCTTCAGGTTCGCACTTAGCTGTGTGCCATTGACTCGCACTTCACACGTGGGAGGAAATTCGATCGGACAAGGTGCCGTGGTGGGCCTGAATCCTGACGAATAAAACGTGTTTGAGGTGCAGTATAATCGAAGCTGGAACTTGGCTCTAGAGGAGTGTGTCAAACTTAAGACATCTGATCCACTGACGGAAACATACGTGGTCGAGTTGAGCTTCATCGACTGCTCGCTGGTGAGAGTGAAAGTTAAAGTTTGCTGTTTTCGATCTGTTGAGCTTGTAGATTCTAGAAAATGGTTAAACTGGAAAGTTGTAGAAAGTGCAGAATACTCACCAGGACACTCGACAATGCCAGATACAGCCTGATCTACACGAAAGAACGGGGAGGGCTTGAAGCGCATGCCTGCGGTATGTGTTGGTGACACTGAGCTAAGCCGTAAACATATATCTTACCGGGTTTGGACACAGCTGACGAACCGGCGCTTGTGGTTGGTGGCGGGGGTAGCCGAGGGGGGGCATAGGGATCATAGCGGCCAGCGGGCATCGCGGTAAAACTGCTACGGACTGGAGTCGAAGCTGAATTATATGCTGCTGAGGGAACAGAAGGTAATGACTGGGATGCCATCGCTCCTGGCATACGGGAGCTCGTGTACCTGATGGTCAAGCGCGCGGTCAGTTCTTTATCCGGAACAAAGGATGCTACCACACACGAAAGAGCTAATCGAAGGAGCTCAGAAACGCAGCGCATGAGAAATGCCACGCACGCAAAATGAGTCAAAGGCATGAAAGGGCACTCACATTCCGGTATTGCGAACCTGGTATAGTATATGCTTCGCTTTGGTCCATTTGTCGATGTTGTTAGCTTGACGCCAGGCTTCTAACTGATACACGATCCTCTCGATCAGGTCCTGCTTCTTTCCAGACTTGTGAAATACGGTGTTGCATTCCTCATTGAAGCCGGTAAGAATTTGTTTGAGTTTATCCACCGTATTATGCTTGACCGTGTGCCGCAAATTCTGGAGTAATAATTTAGTAAAATATGATATAAGATTTACAAACCAGACCTCGAAATCACTCCAAGAATCATTGGCGGCCATTGATGCCTCCGCTGTCTGCCACTGTAAGCAAAAGCGTTCAGGAGAACAGAGAAGAATTGAGGACCAAGCTGAGCGGGAACAATTTAGGTTTACATACAAGATACCATAATACACAAAGGTAAACAAAGTAGATCCTACACTCGCTCACGTGCGCCATATCTAAGTCATTCTCATCGTTTAAACTTGTACGATTGTCCCATTGTTCCAAACGTATGTCTTCAGACAACGACTACGACAAGCTCACGAAGGAAGAGAGAGAAACTCGCGATAAGGCCGATAGGGAACGTGAGGCGGCCGAACAGGCTGGTATGGATCTCACCTAATCGGCGGTTGATCAGATCATAGACCATGGCATGTAGCTCTCCCATACACATGGAAGCAAGAGTTGGGTGAAGTCGACATCACTGTTCCTGTCCCAAAAGGGACAAGAGCCAGGGACTTAGTTGTTGTCATTCAGAAGAAAAAACTTAGCGTTGGTCTCAAGGGTAAGGACAAAATAATGGAAGGCGAGCTCTGCAAGGAGATTAAACTGGAGGACAGTACATGGACACTCGGTGAGGTACCGCTTCCATGAAACGTGCTGATTATTAACCGTGTTTAGAGGATCAGCAGTCCCTTCTTATCCATCTGGAAAAGCTGAATACACAACAGTGGTGGGACAACGTCCTCACCCATCACCCCAAGATCGACACCCGCAAGATCCAGCCAGAAAACAGTAAGCTCAGCGACCTTGATGGAGAAACCAGGTAATATTTTGCTGTTATATCAGCCAAAGCTCGCTCTTATCCAACTTCTCCAGGGGCATGGTCGAAAAGATGATGGTGCGTGCCTAGCATGTCTATATTTTCTCTACCAACTTGTTTCTTGTACCTCTAGTTTGACAACCAACAGAAGGTTTGTCCTTTATTATATTTATGACCTATGTGCATTCAATGCGCCTTCAGCAAATGGGAAAACCTACCTCGGACGAGCTGAAGAAGATGGAGGTTAGTAACTTCTATGTCGAGTTTCCTGAGGCTGACCGGCTTTGATGTCTTAGGCATTGAAAAAGTTCCAAGCCGCCCACCCTGAACTAGACTTCTCGAACGCCAAGATCTCATAACCTAGTGTGATGAGGGGGTCAGGTTTCATGTTGCCCCCGCCCATGTATCTCGAGGAGATTATACGTCATGTGAATAACACGAGGTACAGGAATTATCTTAGGGTTTCTCTCCAAATCCAAATCCTACGTCTCCCAACTGTAACCAATAACTGTCCTCCAAAGCCAAGCATGCAAGCCTGCACGCTTTCCTGTGCACCAGGAACTAGAACCTTCCACGTCTGCGACTCGGGTGATTTCCCAAAAGGTTTTGTAATTGGTTGATCATCGTCTTCTCCATCTTCGTCCAGGCGCAGGTGATTTAAATCAGATGCAATATCAGGTTCAGGCGGGTCTGGCGCTATCACGCGGGGGTGGAAGTTTGCGAGATTGTACAGACGAACGCTGTCAGGAAAAGACAATGCAAGTATGTAATCGCCCGTGGACGTTTGTGTGACGTGAGCATGTCGATTCAGCTGGGGTAACGAGGTCACGGATATGAGCGTGAATGATGCTGCAAAGATGGAGTTAGTTACTAGTTATCAAACTGAAATGTTGATGCACACAGCTCTCCTGATAATCCTGCACAACAATCAGCCCCATGAATAAAGAGATACTGGGGGATGTACCGATGAGCACCCCCTGAGCACCCCTTCAGATAATTGGCCTGGGGGAAAAAATCTATCAAATCCAATCCACCGGAAAATTGTCACAGTGCCATCTTCGTAGTATAGATCATCCTTGCGACCGTGACGCCTCATGAGAGCGGGTGCGCTATGAGTTACCAAAGTGTCGGTGTTAAGCCTGCTTTGCCATGGTCGGCGAAGTGAGAACGCTATCATTTATTTACATAAAATAACGCACCAGCTCACGGACATGATGCGCGCTTTGTGAATGCGAGTGCTGCTGAAGAGAGGTTTGTCCTCACGAGCAAGCTTACCGAAAGATACTGGGGGGAATCTCCATATCTTTACCGCTCGATCTAGCTGAGCCAATTTCGAAATCGTTACGTGAATCATGCAACCTCGAAAGGACTTACTCCGCATGTAGCGACCAGAGGATGCGTCGGATGGAATGCCTCATTCTCATACGTCAATCACGGCATCAGCTTAATCTACAGTACTCACAGCGCTCAGAACGGCAGCGTCATGACCGCCAGATGGGCCTCCACAAAGAACAGCGACACATCGGCCCGTGCCCATACCCTCCGGCTCGCTGGCTTGTAGCCCGTGAGGAGCTCCGCCTAGGCTTGGGGCTTTAGATGGTGGCCAGTGAGGATTGTTGGGGTCCTGTTGCGGTGAGATTGCTAAATCATATATACGTGTTGTAAAATCCCTTGAAGTGGTGCAGAAAAGAGAGGGATGATTGGGATGAACGACTATCGATGTGATCGGCTAATCACGATAACTGTCCAACAGTAGACTGGAAGAAGGGCGCAGGTACTCACCCCACCGTGTCCACGCAAGTGGCTAATGATCTCGCCTTTCACTGCATTTAGGATGTAGAGGATGCTGCCACCTGAGAAAACAACGAGAGGCTCTAGTGGCGCCTCAGCAGACAGCGCCCACCCCAAGGCCGCTACGGCGGTCTTCTTCCTTCCACTCGTCTACACACGAGTTAGATGAGCAGGTACATAAATGTCATGCCATACGTTCTCTACTTGGTTTGGTACGGACACTGAAAGGGCCTTACGCGACCTCGAGGCATTGAGTGGAATAACAAGTAGAGAGTCCAGGGCCCCAATTGCGAGGGTCCCAGACCAGTCGGAAATCACCTGCTTCCATAGGTCTCGAAGTTCTTCGGTAATCTTCATGCCATGCCACAGAGACTCCAAAGACTGTTCAGACCATGGAAAGAGTGCAGCGCAGTAACATTCCTTAGCGAAGTCGAGCTGACAACAGCACTTCGGCTCAAGTCACAATCAAAAAACGAAATCAGCACGGACATCAATGGTTTTAGAAAGCGTGAATGGCTTGGAGCAAGTAGGGTCTTGAAACCAGGGAGGCTTATGGTCATCAGCGACTATCTCGTTGTCGTCGAGAAACTCATCCGCCGTCGAGCTGCTGGTATTCGTCTGCATCTACCAGAACGTACCACAGATATGATAAGATAGGATAACGAGATGGAAGATATCGACTGAGAAACGTTTTGAAAGGAAAGGGCCTACATATCGACAAAAAAGGGAATTGTTCATCAACCTTTTTCGCCGACCCCCGCCTAACAACCTCATTCCATCACTCATACCAGTCGCTATGTCTGGATTATCCCCACAGCCCTCGGAAGGCGTTTACGAACCCAAACCTGCACTGGGCAATGCAACCACCATAGGTCTTCAAGCAGGTATTGTCGGCGCGTTTGTAAGTGCAGTTCAAAATGCCTTGGGATCGCATTCTCGAGGCGCTGCTGGGTTCTTGACACGCAGTGGAGGCACTATTGGAACTTTCGGTAAGAGAAACAAAATGGACTGCAATATGAGAGTAATGAATTCAGCTCCATCTTTACAGCCGCCATGGGCGCTGCTTTTGCGTTCACGGAGTCAGCTGTAGCGAATCAACGAGAAACCAACGATGCGCTGAATGGCATTGCGGGTGGTTGTGCAGCAGGATTCCTCGCGGGTCTTCGAAGTGTGTTGTCATGCCGGATCTATTATTCATTTACCTTACCTGCCAACCTCAGCACGCTCAATACCGGTTGCACTTGGGTCGTGCGTCGTAATAGGCGCAGCTATGGGCACGTTCGACTACGCAGGGGAAATCGCTGGCAGGTCGAAAGAGGAAAAGGAAGAGAAGAAAAAGAAGTTCTTCAAGCCAGTACCTCAGCCTGTCCACCACGCTTCCGAGTAAATGCATCATCACTCTATAGCCCACCATGCCAATTCTATATAGATTTAAATGCTGGCACCGAGCTTTCACACTTTTGAGATGCATTCTAAGTGAATTCAACGGACATGCGTGGGGATACAACATGACAAAACGGTTGATCAAAAAATCACAAAGTCGCTGATGGTTTTTTAACTAGGTGGAGGGACGCACAAGCTCCTCGATATGTGCATAGACTTCACTCTGGTGAGCCGTGTAATACTCCGGCCAAGACCTCGCGCTTTTGCAAGGTTGCTAAACGAAATTGCTATCAGGAAGGGAGGATATATGTAGACCATGGCTCACATGTTGTGATAACCTTGCCCACACCCTCTCGTCGTCATCATCTTCCCCTCCACCATTGGCAAAGAATTCACAGATTACCTCAAAATCCTCTCGTTCCAAATTTTCTTGTGATTCAGTAGGAGAAGTCGGCAATGCAGCTAATCGAGGTTTTTTCGACGGGCCAGGCCTTTCCTCCCCGGTTGGTTTGTCAATATTCCCAGGCATAGACTTGCGAAACGCAATATTTGCCCTCTTGCGGATGTCAGTAAGTTGCGTTTTCAATTTCAACGACGTCTGCATCTGCCAAGACCCAACCGAGTGATGGGGCATCTGCGTCCAAAGTGTAAGATAAAGTAGATACACATCGAGGGTGATCACATACCTTTTTGTGCACAGCTTGAAGGAGGACCGCGGTGGACATCGTGGGATCTTCATTCAGCAGGAATTGAGCATATCGACAGAAGTACTCCATTTCTGGCTGTGTGAAGTAAAACTTTCCATCTCTCATGGTTTTGCGCGTCTCTAGAGGAGGGGGAGTAGGAGACCGTTGTGCATGATGGGACTTTGCCTCTTTCGAGGAAGGTAGCGGGGGTGCCGCCGATATTCCCGGGGAAGTGGGTGCAGATCTCTTTGTCACTTTCTTTGTCGGCGTCTCTGCAGGCGTGACCTTCTTTGGCTTTGGCTTTGGCTTGATATCTGACGCAGATTTCCGATTCTCTTTCTTGATGGAAAGAGGAGCTTCCACCTGCACGAATTCATAAAATGTAGGTCCCCTTCCACGCTTCGAATGTTTAACATAGACACCTCCGTCGAGCGTGTACTCGGTTTCATCCACCAGCATGTTCTCAGCGATGCAGTCGGCAACGAACGATGACTGGAGCGGAACCTTGCCGCAAGCCTGAGCCTCACTCAAGAGCCCCTGGAATGTTTGCGAGCGCGTGAAGAGGATGACATAATCTGCATCTGCAATACTCCCAATGACCTTGCCTTTATTCTTCTACATGATGTTCGTAAAAACCAAGATGGATGCGTAAAGAAGATACTGACCTTGATGTTCGAAACGACTCCTGATCGCCCCTGCAGATCAACCTGCACAAAGAATGTCAGAGGCCGCCCTCGATCGCCGAGGAATACCTCTCCAGGGTTCTTTCTTGCGTTTGTGCGGTCGTGTGAGCTTGGTAGAGACTGCTCAAATATGCCATCTGAACCAATAGGAGGGGCATCTTCGTCACCATCAGATTCATCAGGTGTCACAGCACGTTCCTTGCCCTTGAGAGATCGTTTGTTAGGCGTTTTTCCGGGTGGGATTGCCTCGTAATTAGCTTTGCGCTTCCCTGAAGGAGGCAATAAAATCCGAGACGGTGAGCGTGAGAATGCATCGGGGCGAGGTTTGCGTGCGGAAGGACGAGGTTGTTTCTCCGAACGTTTCGACATACGAACTTCGGGAGTTCCACTGCGTGATTTATAAGATGATGATGAAGGAGGGTAGGGTAGGTCTGTAGCAACCATTGAATCTGGCGTCTGTTCGCGATGAATGGCAGTCGGAGCACTGGATGAAACTTCGAGTTGGGCATGCATGGGCGAGGGTTGTCCCGCCTGCAAGAATTCACCTCCGTTATTGTTCCTCATAACATCCATCAAAGTCATAAGCATCTGAAAACTCTGTGGGTCCCTTAAGTTGTTGAACGACATTCCTGTTGGCATCATTATTGGTGGAGACATGAACGGCATTTGGCCAGGAAGAAGCTGTTGGGGAGGAAATTGGCCGTACAGGTATGGTTGTGGAGGAATAGGGAATTGTTGAGAGAACGATGCAGCTTGCGAAAATTGTGGTTGAGAGAACTGAGAAACTTGAGAAAACTGGGCATGCGGAAATGGTGCTGGCGTGGAGGGTTGTGCTAATTGGGTTTGTGGAGGAGCCTGAGGAGCCTGAGAATTGTAAGGCAATGGAATGAATTGCTGAAGTGGTGCAATGGGTTGAGGGGTATTGGATGTTTGAAGAGGTGGAGAAATGCTTAGTGCATGATTATACGTTGGCTGGCCTACATGTTCTGAAGGCGGCTGTACATGTTGTGGAGCGACGAGTGGAGATTGTTGCGGTAACTGAGGTGGAATTAGATTATTCTGGATCAGAGGGAGATCAGCAGCCAGAGTTGCAGGAACGTGGTTGAGTATATGCTTTGCGACTGGTTCGTCAGGCGTAATGCGGGGCGTAGGTAACGGACTTCTTATCGAGGAGATCAGCGGAGAGCTCCCTTCAGGGCGAGAAACTAACTTTGACTTTGAGACGAGTTGTTCGACCTCGGCTTCTTCACCATCGGCTGGAATGTCGTCGATGACGATTGGTTTGCCATCATCCAGAGTTTGTGCCCCAGCCCAGCCATCAACTTCGAGGAGGGGTTTCCTGGCTTCGATACTCTTACGTAGCCATTGAAATTCAAGGACGGCTTTTTCTGGGGTCTGATGCCAGGTGCGAATGAGACGCTTCCCGTCGAGTTGTGAAGAATCAACGAGAATTATGTCTGCATCCTCTGGGCGACTGGGATGTGCGCCGGCTTTCTACAAAAACATAATATTATGAGGTCTGTTCGGTGAGGCAACAAGATTACATACCCTCATCATACGGACTAAGTTTGGCCGCTGTAATATGCCATTGACTTGCAAATGGATGTTGTACCCTCTACCATCTGGATGAACAAGAATTTTCTGGTTCTCAGAAGTGCTCTGTGATGCAAAGAGCGTGTCCATGAGTGGCTCGGATGACTGTTCCATGGCTTATGCCATATATATGCGGGACCAGTTACGAACGTCAAAAATGCGACGTGCACATTGGTCACGTGTCGTTACGTATGGTCACGTCATCACGTGCTGTTCAAATTAAGAATACAAGACTAAGTCGCGACCCGTGGCGGGCAAAGCATACAAGGTATCGAGGTCCACATATCATGTAGAAACAGCCACAGCGACTCCACTTCTAATTGTTCTTCTTCATATAACATTCAAGGTCATTCTACATCATCCAAATACCATCATCCTCCTTGACACCATGGTTCTCCCCCCATCCGACCTCGAGAATGACATTGCGAACTCAGTGGATAAACTGCAGAGGTTGTACCCAGACACATTTGATGCGAAGAGATATCTCTACTTGCCTCATGGAAAATATGCATTCGCCGCAGAACATACGTTCCAGGGGAAGAATAAAAAGCAATTAGGTAGATGCTCTTCATAACTCCCTTCCGGCCTGCAGCTGAAATTTAAATCAAGGCCTTCGCTCAGGGCATGGATACCGTATATACGCCCGAAATGGCGTTATTGCGGGGCATAATGTTACCTGTCTCTGGAAAACGTATATTACCTGCCGCGTCAAGTTTATGGCAAACTTAGCTAACTATTCACCAGTTGGAATGTTTCTAAAGCATGGAGAGAGTTCTTTCAAGAGGTATTCTGCACTCAACTCATGGGCTCGTGTAACCTGACGACGCATCGCAGTTGTACTTCTACTCTCACCCCAAGCTTTTGAGATGGCTTCAAGGAATCATCGTTCCACACGTAATTGGTGTGCACGATGAGCCCAATGGACAAAAGAGCGTGTTCATGGAACCACCTCATCACACATTCTGGCATACAGCACATGCGGACCTGTCCATCGGCGAGAAACAGGCCATCATTCGAGCTTACGAAGCCTTGCATGAGCACGGTATCATGCACAATAACATCTCCGCCCATAACATATGCATAGGTCAGGAGTCAGCTCAAAGGTTGTGCAAAAGATTCAGAAATTTATCATCACGGTTCTAGATCAAGATATGAATGTCACACTGCTAAACTTTGAAAGGGCCCGCTGCTTGAATGACAAGGGTATGGACGAAGTCCCCGGGTGTGATCAGGAGGCACTGAAGCAGGAAATGCGACAAGTCAAATACTTGATTGACTACATGGGTGCAAGGTTTATAGAGAGCGAAATCCTCACAGCTCCGGAAACCCCTCCAGGCGAACAGCAGGCGAGTCGCCCTTTATCACACATCTTGGGCCATTTATAATGACCCCCCCAAACCCAGACTGAGCCGCTTTGCATCTTGGATGTTATTCGCTGGCTTTCAGATGCTGAAAACACCCATATCATCCCGAGCGATATGCGCAATAGGCCGCTTCCAAATGACGGACGTGGAAGAGCCAAGAAACCAACGGTCAAAGCTGGGGCAATCGGTCAAAGGGGATCAGCGGAGCCTATGCAAGATGCTGTGAGGTCTGGATCCTGGAGTGAACCGATCGTACCTCCCATTCTTCTGCCAACTCTGCAACCATCTTCATCCGCAATCAGTACTACGGCTTCGCCACCATTAGATTCTCCTGCAGATATACGTGGGTTCCTTCCCCTAGATCATCTCCCATTTTCGAATAGACATGATGCACTGCCTTCCACTTGTTTCGAAGAGGGTCCTTCTGAAACGCAGGACATAGATACCAGTGTGCAGCCGCCGCTGCCGTCCGGATCTGATTCCGGGCGCTCTCGAACTATATCCAGTAGCAGTCATGATGTCGCTGTTTACTCGTCGTCGGTCTCTCCCCTTACCCCTCCCCCGTCGCTGCTCCCAAGTACCCTGTCACCCATTTCGGACATCTCGGCGCAAATTCCACAAATACCCCCATCTCGCTTACTGTCGGCTCATCTTGCTTCCCGAGCATCACCCGACCACTGTCAAAGTCGCACCTTCGTTCAGTTATCCGACCAACTGCCTTCCCCCAAGGTGTTCTGCGACCTTACACATGAGCAACTCCGCCTCGCGATAAAGCAGCACAACGCGGTTGTGGATGCTAGGTTATCCTCACAACATGCCATCATCACAGACAAAAACAATGTCGTGTTCCACCCTGACACAAATGATAATGGCATATACGCTACAGGAAGTGATCCTTTCCGCAAGCGGAAGAAAAGGCGCCGGCCTACCCCTTTTCTCCCGGAAGGTTCTAGTTCCACTGAAGATGAGACCATCCCCAACGAGGACGAGGAAGATGAAGAGCCCGAGCCTCAGATCGAAGTCGACTTCGAAGAACTCGTCGAGGAAGCTCATCTCGCAAGACTCAGAGGGCGTCGACGCATCTCGCGACCTAGTATGTTACCTGCCATGGTTCTCGCCAAATCCATGAGGCCTGATCCGGAGGCAAAGTCCCCCGCCATTGCCAAACGAAGTACTTGCATGCCACCCTCGGCAGCATTATCCTCGATCGGTGAAGAGAGTCCTGGCGACACCTCAGGAGCTCCTCCTTACAGTGTGGTTTTTGTCGGAGCGAACGGGTGTCCGGAAGAGGTTTGGAAGCTCCCCGTACCTGCGTTCATGTTGGTCAAGTCATCGGTCGCGAGGCAACCACAGGCTCAGAAGTTCCGAATAGAGCAGGCCCCTCGGCTGCGGGGACCTCCTCTAACGAATTCTTCCTCTTCGCGAGTAACAAATCAGGACACGCAAAGTCGATCCTCCAAGAAGCGAAAGATCGACTGCGTGGAAGGGATTGAATATTTAGAACAGACGTCGAAACGCACACGCCAGGACCAATCAACGCCTAGCTCATGCATCATATGTTAGATTAGATTATAGTCAAGTCGAACCGCTCAGTTCCTATTAGTTATCCTCACTGGTGATGTGGCGTCGCCATGAAATGCATAATCACGGACAAAGAATAGTGCTTCAAGTTTAACGTCTCATGCACAGGAGAAACTCCAGATTCATAATCATAGTTGCACGCGTGCTATCATGGCATTGTTGAAAAGCAAAGGAGTAACATGATAAAAAGATATGCACCAAAAAGTCTCTTCACCGGTAACTGGAAAATTCCTATCAGTCAATTGTTCATGAACTTCATGCAACCAATATACAGACCTCTTTTGCCTGCGAGCACGAGCACCAGCACCACCAAACTTTTTCGGCTCCATCCGTCTGGGATCTGCGATCAACAGCGTCCTGTCATACGCCACCAACTTTTTCTTTAACTCCATTGCGCTGTATGCATCGATGTATTTGGCGTAGTATGCGACAAGAGCCTTAGCAATAGCCTGACGGATAGCGTACACCTGCGACGTGTGTCCACCACCCTTGGCGCGCACACGGATATCAAGTGGTGCGAATGAATCTTCACCAGCTACAAGTACGGGCTCGTAGATCTTGAAGCGGAGAATCTCGGGCTGGACAAGGTTGATAGGAGAGCCGTTCACGCGAATGATGCCACGGCCCTCCTTAGCGTGTCGCGACTGCAGTAGCAGTCTGATGAACTCCGGGGTGAGCAAGAAGGCACTGCAAAGGAGGTGTTGCGACTCGCCTTCTTTTTGCCGAATGTCTGGACGGCCTTTGCTGTAGATGCCATTTTGTCTTAGAGAGGAATCTGCCGTCGTTCGGCTCCTTGATGAGTTCTGCGGGTGGAAAAAGCGAGTTCAGCGACCGATCTCGAGTGACTGATATTTGGAACAAAGTAGGTGTGATCCAACTCATCCAAACCCAATCCATCGAATCCAGGCCATTCCCCAATGATATTGGTGCATATCCCGGACCGTGTAGGCACGGCCGTATCATATTTCTGTAACACGCAGCATAAGAGCATAAACTCACCCTCTGAAGGTCGTTTGAGGTGTTACGGTCAGTCTTTACAGCGGGCCCACACACAGGTGAGGGATTAGAATTTGTGGCAACAAATTCACACGATCCAATTTAGGAATTCCAATTTGTCTCTCCTGCTCTAATTTCTCTCCGTGTTCAAGCACAACGATTCGCAATGCTTTCTGCTCTGCGGAAATCAGTGGCAGGGGTGAGGAGAAGTTTACTACATTTATTTTCAGGGGTGTCCTAACAACCTTAGTAGTCGTCGCAGGCAATATGCCACAGGCGAATGGCGACAGTTGCGCCGACCTTGGTCCAATCAAAGCCGACCACCTCTTCACAAGACAAATCCACGATTCGGAAAGGTAAGTGCATTGACTCGGATGCTAGGAAGAAACATGCTCATTGCAAACAGCTGCTGATCCAATTAAACCGGTGTATTTGGACAATGTCAAGTCTTGCTGGCAAGTCGAAAGGTGCCAAGAAAGCTGTCGCGCTAGACCCAACGGTATTCGACCATCCTGTGCGGCGGGATATCCTGCACCTTTGTGTTGTGCACCACTTGGATTCTCTTCGCCAAGGAACTGCCTCTACCAAGACGCGCGCTGAGGTTGCAGGTTCGCGTCGCAAAATTCGCCCACAGAAGGGAAGCGGCAGAGCTCGTCTGGGAGACCGCCAGAGTCCGATGTTGAGGGGTGGAGGTGTCGCTTTCGGTCCCAAGCCGCGAGATTTCAGTACGAAGCTTAATCGCAAAGTTATCCAGATGGGCATGCGTGTGGCTTTGACGATGAAGCTCCGGGAACAACGACTGGGTGTCTTGCACCGGATTAACTGGTGGTCACACAAGACTGCTACCCTCAGCTCAAGGTTAGAGGGACTCGGCTGGAGAACCGGTACCTTGTTCGTCACCGGAGAGTCGGAAGTACCAGCAAGAATGAGGTTGGCGTCGAGGAACCTTCGTGGAATAGAGTGCAGAACTGTATCAGACTTGGTGGTCTACGACATCGTGAAGTGGAGAAGGGTTGTACTTGACCTCGCCGCTGTCAACGCACTGGAGCGAGCTCTCGGAAAGGGCTTGGTGGAAATCACAGATTCGGAAAGAGTGGTTTCTGATGTTACTCACTCATCTGTGGAGGAGGTTGAGGTATCCGCTTAGACTCACTTTTACTTCATGCAATATACTTGTCCTGGACGTGAATCGATATTGTCAGAGTCCTGGTATACGTACAGGCCGCCACACCACGCGACCACGTGACGCAACGCGTCCTCATTGCATGCACCTTTGACTTCAAGTTCCCACTACTTAGCACAGTTGTTTTTATTTTCTAGCAGCAAGGAATCATGTCGCAAGCATCTCAGAATGACGAAGCGCAGGAGGGCCTCTCCATGTCTGGCCCCCTCCTAGTCGGCAAATTGGAAGAAGCCGGAATTCACGCCAATGACATCAAGAAGCTCTGCGATGCAGGACTCAACACCGTCGAGGCCGTCGCATTTACGCCTAAAAAGAATCTAATAGCAATCAAAGGCATCTCAGACGCGAAGGCGGACAAGATCCTGGCAGAGGGTAGGTGCTGAGATCGTAACGTTATACGATCACTAATGAGTCGCATTATCCAGCCCAGAAAATCGTCCCCCTTGGCTTTCAGAGCGCCACTGAAGTTCACGCACGTCGCTCTGAACTCGTTCACATTACCACGGGCTCAAAGCAGCTCGATGCTTTACTCGGAGGTAACAAGTGAGCATTTGGGAGGCATTGCGGTTTCTCACCTTCTTCACCACAGGGGGTATCGAGACTGGTGCCATCACTGAGCTCTTTGGAGAATTCAGGACCGGAAAATCACAACTGTGTCACACATTGGCAGTAACGTGTCAACTACCCGTGAGCATGGGCGGTGGCGAGGGCAAATGCCTCTACATTGACACCGAGGGTACTTTCCGCCCTGCTCGTCTCCTCGCAGTCGCAGAACGCTACGGGCTGAGTGGGGAAGGAAGTTCTAGACAATGTTGCATATGCGAGAGCATACAATGCCGACCATCAGAACTCCCTTCTCACCAACGCCAGTGCGCTAATGGCAGAATCAAGGTTCGAGCTGATTATATGCGCATTTTGATTGTGTTCCTCACGATCCCATCAGATTCTGTCTTCTCATCGTCGATTCATGCACAGCGCTCTATCGCACTGACTTCAGCGGACGGGGTGAGCTATCCGCGCGTCAGAACCATCTCGGTAAATTCTTGAGAACCCTCCAACGACTTGCAGATGAGGTACGAAGGGAAATAGTCTGTATCATCCTCCATATAGTCATTCCGTGAAACAGTTCGGCATCGCCGTCGTTGTCACAAACCAGGTCATGTCCAATCCGGATGCATCAGCAGGACCATATGCAGGAAATGAGAAGAAACCTATCGGAGGAAATATCATGGCACATGCTTCCACGACCCGGTATGCATTCATGTTATCGTTAGTTGATTCACTAAGTGAGCCGTCTTATCAGACTGCAGCTCAAAAAAGCCCGCGGAAACACTCGAACTTGCAAAATATACGACTCGCCCTGCCTTCCTGAGATGGAGACTCACTTCGCAATCTTGTCCAGTGGAATTGGTGACCCCGAAGAAGAAACTTGAGCATCACTACCCCCATGCAATTTGTATTCTTGTAGCATTTGGTATTTCATCACGGAAGCACTGTAATTGATCCTAATAAGACATCTTGGAGTGGTTTTTACAGCTTAGAAACGCGTAAGATACATCTTTATTCGAAACATAGGATACCAGTTGAGTGGGACCTCCAGGAGATATAGTGGGTGGAACCGTCCGTTTCGGTCAATGAATTTTTAGATCTGCACATGCATACACTCCCACCATCAAGCCAGTAAACGCGTGAGGATGTTCGCGCTCGTGTGACTGATCATCTCCCGCAGCTTGTTCACATCCTGGGGGCTGACGTCTGCAATATCCGCCAGCAGGTATGCAACGTCGCCCTTCGAGTCCGAGTACTGCTTCTCGACGTTGTATGGCGAGAGAACCTCGTTGACCTGCTTCAGCACACCAGGCTGATTGCTGTGAACATGGCAGACACGGACATGGTTACCCTGCTCTGCGGTGATTGCGCGGAGGTCGACTTCGGGGAAATTAACTGCCCCAAGGGTGGAGCCGTAGTTCAGGTAGCGAGTGAGAGCAAGAGACACTTCCTCCCCAATCATGCGTTGCGCTTCCTCTGTTGATCCGCCGATGTGAGGCGTGAGTATAACGTTTGGCAAGCTGCGCAGAGTGCTCGACCACGCATTAACCTGATCGTCGAATGGTGCCCCATTGGACCCCGGCTCTTGTGGGTATACATCTATTGCTGCACCTGCGAGGTGCTTCGACTGCAGAGCCCCGATCAGGGCTGGGATGTCGACAACGCGTCCGCGAGCGTTGTTAATGAGGTAGGACCCCACTTTCATCTGCGCAAGCTCCTGTGCTCCAATCATGTTTATGGTCTCAGGAAGTTCTGGAACGTGAAGCGTGACGAAATCGGCTTCTGCCAACAGAGTAGGGAGGTTATCGACTTGTCGGGCCGAACCAAGTGGCATGATATTGATGACATCGTAGAAGATGACACGCATGCCAAGGGCTTCTGCAAGCACTGAGAGCTGTGACCCGATGTGCCCGTAGCCGACAATACCCAACGTTTTGCCTCGAACCTCCCAGCAGCCTTTCGACTGCTTGTTCCAGATCCCCTGGCGCAGCTCATGGGAACGCTCAACAAGCTGGCGCGAAAGCGCGATCAACTCGGACACGACAAGCTCTGCAACGGAGCGCGAATTTGAGAACGGAGAGTTGAAGACGGGGAATACCAGCTTTGGCCGCGGTGGTCAGATCAACCTGATTCGTTCCAATACAGAAACAGCCGATCACAAGAAGCTGCAGATGGCAGCTTAAGGGTGGTTGTTCGTCATGAGACAGACGGACGTACCTTGTGTGCGGCTTTAATGACTCGTTCTGTGATCTTGGTTTTGCTACGTATGCCTATCGCATGGTACTGGGAAATCTTTTCTACTAGCTCATCCTCAGTGAGAGCCTTTTTTAAGTGGTCGACATGGAAGCCCTGGGCTTGGAGAGCTCGAACTGCATCCTGACTGATGTTCTCTAGGAGCAAAAGCTTGAGGTCATCGTTTTCGACTGGGTGAAGAACCTTTGGTTGTCTGATAGCGGCTGAGACTCGGAGGGAGTCACGCTTGCGCAGCCTGTCGTGGAGTGTCTGGGATGATGGAGATATGGATGCGGCGACGGTTCTTGGAGACCTGGATGGGATAGCAAGCGGGGCGGTCATGGTGAGGGAGTTAAAGTAAGGATGATCCATTGTCTACAACCGTTTATAAGGGTATTATTTTCTTGATCTTGAGGTGAATCCTATATTTACGATGGGCGCTTGTTGGAGCATTTACCAGATCATCCCGATATGGTAATTCACGATTTAGATTTAATTGTTGAGTCAAACTAGCTAAATCCATGGCACTCTTTCTTCTCGACCATGGTGCAGGTAACGTTCAGAGCCTGGCTAATTCAATCAGGAAACTCGGTTATGATTTCTCCTGGATATCTAGTCCAGCCGACTTCGATAAAGCATCTGTATGTTACATTCCAACCACCTCACTATTACCGCGATCTTGATTCCTCTCCCCGTAGATCCTTGTATTTCCAGGGCAGGGTGCTTTCCACACTGCGATCGATTGTTTGACAGAGCGTGGTTTACTTGAGCCCCTCTATGACTATATTCAATCTGGAAAGCCGTACTTTGGCATATGTGTCGGGATGCAAGTTCTCTTTGCGTCATCTGCAGAATCCCCGTCAACGCGTGGTCTAGGTGTTATACCCTGTCAGATAGAACGATTCGATGATACCACTAAAACAGTTCCCCACATGGGCTGGAACACTGCGGAACCTATAGACCCAGACACCTCGTCTTCAGAAGGCGTTTCTTCCTCCAATCACTATTACTTCGTCCACTCATATCGTGCCAAGTACGACCCAGAATGCAACCCCGAGGCTGCTATGTGGGCACACTCGACGACCCAATACGGACAGGAAGTATTCATGTCCACCGTCCGAAAGGGCAATGTATTTGGCGCTCAATTCCATCCCGAAAAATCCAGTGTTGCTGGACTCGCCGTCATCGATGCTTGGATAAAGCAGTCTCTCGCGGGGCGCATGCCAGCCGAGCCATCACGTCGGATTCTACGCCCTCCTAAACCACAACACGGCTTCACTAGACGCATCATTGCTTGCATGGATGTTCGTGCGAACGATGAAGGTGATCTCATCGTCACCAAAGGGGATCAGTACGACGTCCGCGAGAAGTCTCTCCTATCCACGTCCTCATTATCCAGCACCTACTACTTTCAAAACAGCCGGCGCCGTTCGCAACCTCGGCAAGCCTGTTGCACTGGCAGCACGCTACTTCGAGTCAGGTGCAGATGAACTGTGCCTCCTTAACATCACTTCCTTCCGCCACTCCCCACTCCAAGATCAGCCAATGCTCGCAGTTGTACGGGCTGCAGCAGAGTGTGTATTCGTACCACTCACCATCGGCGGGGGTATTAAAGATACAGTCGACCCTGATGGCACGAAACGCTCTGCTGTTGAGGTCGCTGGTGCATATTTCCGAGTCGGGGCTGACAAGGTCAGCATCGGTTCCGAGGCAGTCTATGCTGTCGAGAAAGTTCGCGCATCAGACGGCAGATTGGATGGCAACAGCGCCATCGAGACGATTTCCAAAGTATATGGCTCTCAGGCCGTCGTTGTTTCCATAGACCCCAAAAAAGTATACGTCGACCCCGCCACGTACGACGGGCCCTACAAGGACGAGCTTATACATGGTCAATCAAATAGTCCCGAAAACGAGCGGGGAAAAGCTTGGTGGTACCAATGTACCGTTTCGGGAGGTCGTGAGACCCGCCCTGTGTCAGTTGTGCAACTCGCACAGGGTGCACAGATCCTCGGTGCCGGCGAGATCCTTCTAAATAGCATCGACCGCGATGGAACAGGGCTTGGCTTTGACCACGACCTAATCGGACTTGTAAAGCGCGCAGTGACTATCCCTGTTGTTGCGAGCAGTGGCGCAGGCGCCAAGGAACATTTTGTGAGAGTGTTTGTTGAGACAGGCGTGGAAGCTGCCCTTGCGGCAGGAATATTCCATCGGGAGGAAGTCGGAATACAGGAAGTCAAGTCAGCTTCGAGGCAGGCTGGCATCAACGTCAGATCGTGAAGAAGATATCTACAATTATAGACCAAGATATTGTAGCCGTGATCGAAAAGTTACGACCTTGCGATGTGATCTTCTATGTAAGAATTCTGCAGGATTGATCACCTTCGAAAAGCGCCTGATCAATGATGTCGATCGGACGCGACAGTACTGCACACTCTCATAACAGGCCTAGGGGGGCATGGTAGAAAAATGCACAGTAGATAGACTGTCTCGATCATAAACCTACATACAACTTGCTCGATGACTCGCGAGTACTTATATGAAGATTACAAACACCGTAATGGATACAAGCATGGGGTCAGGAGCGTCGACAAAGGGGGAAAAACACAAAAACGATAGGAACATCCCGTCCAAGCTTTGGACGAAACAAGAGAAATAGACCAGCGATCATGACTGTAAAGTGCAAGAAAGAACAACAACTAGAGGAGTCGTAAATTTAGGAAAGGACATGCGTATGGGGCTAGCGAACAAATGAGGAATAATACTTCTGTACACCAGGAATCAAGGATCAGGATCATTTCGGACCCCTCACCACGTCCTTCACTTTCTTCAATAAACTAGTTTTACGCCCAAGGCCGCCCGACCCCGGAGAACTGGGGGCGCCTTCGAAGTAGCCGTATCTGTCTTCACCGGATGGTGTACGTGTGGTTGCTGGAGCGTAAGGAGTGGCAGGGAGTCGCTTGTCCCTACGTGGATCATCGACGTATACATATGCTTCATCTGCAGGAGGTGAGGTGTGTGGACGGCCGGCAACGTGTGTGCCGTTGGCGAAGCGCCCAAGGAACGAATTCTGGGGTCGATGTGTAGGGCGCGATGACCGGTGGGTTTCCGCAGCGGGAGATTGAGGCTCGATACCTTCATCATGACCCATGGGCACATTGGGCGAGTCACGCATCTTGCGAATGCGCTGCATCAATGATTTGGTGCGTTTGGGCGCTCCTGGCAGTGCTGACGGAGACCCTGGTCCACTGTCATAGTCGGTATTCTGCGCTTCTGGTACGAGAATAGGTTGCGGAGGCGGGATACCAGTGCGCCTGCCACGTCTTCCTTCTCTCTCACCCGCGCGCTCCCGGTCCCGCGCTTGCATCTGCTTCACGTCATCGTCGAGGTACTCTCTGTAGACCTCACGGAGGTCACGCCCATCCTTGGAGCGTTTGCCAAGGGAATGTTGCGGCGTGCCGTTCCGCGACCCGTGCCCCTCCCGCCCAGCGTATATTGAATTAGACGGTGTGTCACCATCACGTCTGGCAGTGCCTCCAGCTGCAAAAAATTCCTCATACGGTTCCGGCTCATGGATGCCCCAAGCCTCTGCGATAGCATCGACGTTTTTCTTTGGTGCCTGGTAGGTGGTAGAAAAGGCAGCTTTGTAAGCATCAGGCGCGGGGTACGGAGATTCATTAGATAGGGCCACTTCTGCCCCTGCGCTGCTCCAGGCAAGCATGGGGGCCTTGGTTCGATGGCGATTACGAGAAGGAGCACAAGCGTCAAATGGACCATCGTGATGGAACACTGGAACACGGTAAATTTATAAATGAATGAATTATAATATATGGAGCCGAATAAGAACGTACTGGGACCAACGCCAGTAAAATCAAGTCTGTCTATGACGTCTGCATGCATAGACCCTTTCTTGCCTCGTGCCTTGCCCTTGGCCTTATCAAGAGCGTTTGCTGTGTGAAGGACGGAGTCCTGTGATAACGAACGACGACCGGTATATGTAGGACGGGTTGGGGTGGTATTCTGGGCACTGAAGATTGAAGATGAGCAAGAAAAATGGACTCAGAGACAAGGACGTACGTTTGACTTCTTCCCATTCTTGCACGTGAAGACTGATCCAAACCTCTGACCTGCACGGTGTCCCTAACTGCTTCTTGGATGGTATTATCGCGATGTGGGGAAGGTTTAGTTGTTGATGGGGCTAGTCTGTTATATTGGGGATATTTAGACGGCGGCTCTGGGGGTAAGCGAGGAACAGGCTTTGATGGGTAGACTGGGTCCGAGAAGGGGTCTGAATGAGATCTGTGGCGAGTTCTATGTTTGGGTTGGGGAGGTTGACTTGACGTGATATGCTTGCTGGCTGAACTGGTAGTAAACAATTGCGTGTGTGCCATGTCGCCCGTGTTCACCTATTGCTACGCCCAAGGCGAGCTTTATCAATTACTTCAATAGAGAAATATGTTGCTGCTCGTCGTTCAGGATAACGATGGGGGAAACGATTGAGGACGACAACTGTCACGGCGGGAATGACACATGTCACGAAGGCTATGTTTGCCTATTTATACCAAGGCGCAGTATATTATCTACTTTTGGTTACTTACGCTCAAATTTTGAAAGCAGGTCTCTTCAAGTCACCCACTTCCATTTCATTCTAGCCACTTGCTGTGGCTATGGGTGCAACCAAAAAGGAATGGACTAGAGAGGAGGTCGCAGTCCGCATTCTTGCAGGCGATACCCTTGTTGTCTACAATAACCAGCTGCTGCGTATCCCCCAAGCTTGGTTAAACGCCCATCCAGGTGGTTCACTCGCAATTCTCCATTTCGTAGGACGTGATGCTTCTGACGAAATCGCCGCCTATCATTGTGACCTGACTCTTGCTAAAATGAAGTCCTATGTCATTGGCACAGTCGAAACTTCGGGTGGTGTTTGGGAGCCTCTCGTACCCCCAATCATGACTGGTTGGGTCAGGAAATTGTCTTCTGACGGCAAGCCCACATGGCATAATGAAGCCACTCCACTACCATCCTCGAACATCTCCTCTGAGATCCTCCTGGTCGAACGTGACTCTTGCCTCCTTCAAAATCATGGTCCCACTCTCTCTAATTTGATTCCCCCTCCATCAACACTTTCATTAAAAGACCAAGCTCGGCATTCTGCTGCTTACAAGGTGTTGCATAGCCGTATCATCGACGCTGGTCTATATAAAACGCGTTACATCACTGGTTATGGCCCAGAGGTTGCACGCTACCTCCTGCTCGCCGCATTGTCCGCGGTGGCTTACTTTCATGGCTGGCTCGTAATGAGTGCCGTATGCCTCGGCCTTCTATGGCACCAGCTCGTGTTTACCGTCCACGATCTAGGGCACATGGGTGTCACTCATGATTGGACCAAAGATCGCCTCATTGCCATTATACTAGCTGATTTCATCGGTGGATTAAGTGTCGGCTGGTGGGTTGACGTAAGTTCGCTTACTTCTCGCAAATTCACTCGCTCAACACCTGTCCTCTATTCCTGAATCTTCAAGAATCACAATGTACATCATCGTGAGGCTTCTATTTGCAAACTCATCTTGATCTAAGTACTAATGTTTGCTTAGTGGTCACAAATCACCCTTCGCAGTAAGTCCGATGACTATCATGTACTTGCACATACATCTGAAAATACCATAATAGCGATCCAGATATCGCGCATCTGCCATTTATGGCAATCTCAACGGCGTTTTTCAACTCGTTATGGTCGTCGTACTACAAGCGAACCATGGTGTTCAATCAATTTTCAGCTTTCCTGGTCTCCTTGCAACATAAACTCTTTTACATATTGCTTGGGTTCGGCCGCTTCAATCTATATGCCAATGCATATGGATTCTTGTGGCGGAAAGCCTTTGATCATCGAAGAGCAAGGGGTGGCTGGTGGTCCTGGCGGCTCGAAGTCATTGGTGTCCTCTTCTTCTGGTGCTGGTTTGGAGCAGTCCTGAAGGGATGTGGATCATGGAGCAAAGCCATTACATATCTCATAGTCTCGCATGTCGCCACAAGTCCTCTGCATGTCCAGGCACGTGTATATCTCTAAGTATTACCCGAGAATGCTCATAATTTTGTCACAGATTGTTTTGTCACACTTTTCCATGTCCACGGAGGATTTGGGGCCAATGGAATCGTTCCCACACCGCCAGCTTCGAACTACAACAGACGTCATATGTCCTCCACTCCTTTCATTTGTGCACGGCGGATTGCATCTCCAGGTGACGCATCACCTTTTCCCGCGTCTCCCACGACACAACTTGCGTGAGGCCAGCGTACTAGTAAAGGAATTTGCCAAGGAACAAGGCCTTGCGTATGCCGAATTCGGGTTTATTAGCGGGAACGGAGAAGTGCTGAGCGTGCTCAAAGGTGTGGCGGATCAAGCAAGGATCGTAGGCATGGTTGCCGATAGCGAGATTCGAGAGGCGATGAACAAGAAGGCGCAATGAGCACACGGACTCTACAGACTCTTAGACAGAGGCATTACTAGATCATTTGGGTCGCAAATTCCCCGTAATCAGATACCCTGCGGCATCTATACGTCTTGATACACCAAGCAGTATAGAAACGTCTCTGAAACATTGAAGTTGCTTGCGATTTCGACGCAGTGCAAGACAGTCGTGTCCATAAGCATACGTAACGCATGGGATACCTTAGGCACGACTTGTCGCGCCCGGTTTTTAGGAGCATACAAGAGGATAACCGGAAAGCATGATGTAATGTAGTAGGACGTAAAGAAGAAAAGACTACTTCTTCTTGTTTGCCTCCTCTTCCTCCTTCTGCAAAGAATAAAATCCATTGAGTAGCTGAATTGAAGACAACTCGTGAACAACAAACCTTGGCTGCCCGAATTTTGCGCGCTCCATCATACCGAGCATTAGCTCGTACAACGCGGAGCGTCTTGTAAGCCTCGAACGACCGCTCATTGTCTGTGATTTCGCGGGGTGCTTCGTGCACGTAGGGGTCAGGAAGAGGAAGGTGCGTGCGTGTAGTCTCAGCATCGAGGTCGGCACCCTGTCAAGCAGAGGTTAACATGAAATCCAACATTGCAAGGTATGCCGCCACACACAGTTGAGTCACCCTTCTTGGGCTTCTTAGCATTCCGAGGGAAGACGATCAGCTTAGCCTTATAGGCCTTCAACCGTTCGACATTCAGTTTCTTCCCTTCCTCGCTCAGGTTCCTCCTTCTGTGGTCGACGACAATACCAACACCCCGTGCTTCTTTGCGGTTGATACCCACCTCCTTCAACTCAGAAAGGGTGAAACCGCGACCTTCGCGAACCTTACGGTTGTAGCGGACGGTCTGGGCACGAACAGCGGGACGGAGGAGAGTGAGTGGACGGACACCAAGGGCGGCAGCCTTGGCCTTGCGAGCATCGCGTCTGCGGAGTTTGCGACCGGGCTGATCGAACCAGGTGCGCACGCGGCGCTGCCAATCTTTGCGGAAATGGTTGGAGTGAAGTACTGCGCACACATACAATGTCAGATCGGATGTGTCGAAAGGACGTTTCTGGTGAGATACGGACCGTTGTTGTGCGCGAAACCCATGGCTTAGTCTAGGGGGAAATTATAATGTCAGCACAACAGTTCTGTGATGTGGTGGATGCATGTAGGGAGTACATCTAACAGCATATGACCGAATCCAGCTTTTCCACCTGCCGGCCTGCATCGTTTTCTCCTATAGATGATATACTACAGGCCTACGCGTAACAAACCGTGCAATGAACGAGCATACTCACCTTGAGGACGGGCTTTCTTGACGCTGAGGACGGCGAGCAGCTTACCACCTAACAGTAGACTGTGTCTTCGGCAACTGCCGCGGGTTGATGCGGCGATTGATTTTGAGAAGTTAACCCTCACGTGGACAAGTCGCGTCGTTGATAATTCCGACGATTAAACTCGTGGAGGTACTGTTTGAATGCAATTATTTGTGCTGTTTTGATCTCTGAGGCTGCAGGCACCCTCCTCTGGATGTATGTCCCAAAACTTGGGATTGGTCGTGGTTAATTCTTCCTATGACATTGCATCCTCGATGCCAAAAGACTCCCTCGAGAACTGTACGACTATAAGTTCTAGCCGCTGCTGTAGTAGCCAGTGAATATTTCGCTGTGATCTTAAATTAGATATATCGCTGTAATCAGGCTTATCCCCGAGTTTTCGACGTCACTCAGAATCACCAACATCCCCTGAAATGCTAGACCTAGAGACAGTGTCGCAGCTGTGGAATCGCATCCACTGCGCGGCGCACGCTGTCATACAAGCAATTTGAAGATCATGAATTAAAGTTACCTTGTCCCACAGCCATGGAATCCATCGTGCGAAGCCAAGCAGGCAAATATAGCGGAGCGTCTTGCCAGTGTAGGACGGTGACCAGGATCATACTACAGACCATCCCACTGCAGCTTGCATCCAAGCTGCCCAGTTATTTCTATGTCAGGGCCATCGTGAAAACGTCGGATACCCATTTTCTCACCCTGCTACACGAAATGATTTAGATGAATTCACCTTGCTATCATTAGTATAACTTTCATCGCTAGTTTTAAGCGCTTGTAGGAGGAGTGGCGATGCGAATTTCGGTCGATGCAGCCTCCCCAAGGCAACGAAGCCGCGCTTGCGCTGCGGAGTACTTGCAGTGGTTGTCATTCCTTTTTCTCACAATTTTTTAATGCCCTTGTGAACTTGGTTCTTGATACTGGGCTGACATAAGCGACGATTGGCACGAGGTCGGCATTAGGTATAATATTCTCCTCAGCTTCCTCTTCCACAATTCTCGATTTCCTATAGATCTAGTGTTTCAAGATATTCCTTAGCCAGGACTGTGTCCGTTTCTCGCTTTACTTTCTTCATTTTTTGAGCATGCGAACGTTACCCCTCCTCCGCTCCTTTACATGTATTACTTCTTTTCTCTCTGCAGTGCGTGCGTTCAGTGTGACAGTCGGGACTCCAACTCAATGCGACGATTTCACTGTTTCATGGACCGGTAAGCACATATATTATCTTATCTGCACTCCTGCTGAACTTCGTCGTGATCGTCAGGTGGGCAAGCACCGTTTGAGATCCTCATGACTCCCGTTCGTCGGCGCTATCACCTCAAGCATATATATTACGCGCTAATTTTACGCCTCCCAGGTTTTTCAAGTCCCGCAGAATATAAGTGTACCAGCATCAGCCTTCAGCAATGGCAAAGGCTCATATTCAATATCGCAATTGCCATTTTTGAACGCAACACAGTTTGTACTCACTATGTCTGACGCCACCGCATTTGGCTCAGGTGGAACGACAACTGTCTTAACAGTCGGTGATCCTGTTGCCAAGAATAACTGCAACACTACAGGTCAATCAGTGGATTTCACCTTTTCTTTGCCATCTGCACTCCAACAATGCAAGTAAGTTTGATCGCCCTACATTTTGTGGCATTGACCTACCATTTCCGTTAGTGAGTATACCTTTGATGGCTATGATAATGCAGTGCAACCCGTTACTATCACGGTCAGATTATCACCGACTCTATCACAGTAATGTACTTATCTTTCCAAAGGCGCTTATTCCTGGTGGAGAGTCTCTCGTCCTTCACCCTCCGACTGGCTCCAGTTATAATTGGGTTGCGGATGTTAGCGCAGGGACGACCCTCATATTTTTGATGACAGACTCCCTGGGCAAACAAGGTGGTAGCTCTGACCTCGTGATGGTCCAGCTGTCAAACAATGCCTCATGCCTCAGCGCCAATTCACCATCATCAACTGCGTCTGTGCCCTCATCCACCATAGCGCCCACCTCGTCTAGCGTTTCACCGACATCCACCACCCAAAGTACTTCATCAAGCAACAATACCGCTACTATCGCCGGCGCGGCGGTTGGCTGTGTGGTAGCCATTGCTGCGTTGGTCACCCTCGGCCTATTCTTGCTGCGTAAACGAAGATCATCTCGCTCTCCGTACGTCATGTCTTCTTCGAAACGCCATTCACGCCGACTGCCATCTATGGATCTCGATCATGAAGTCAACCATTATGATCACGTTCCACAAATTTACCCATTCCCATATCAGGCAGACTCTGTCAGCCGCCTTGCTCCACCCATTCAACCTGGAACCCAACCACACCTAACCAGTCCATCCGCTGTCAACCTCACAGTTAACGACCCTCCCACACCATTCAATCAGACACAGCATTCGCGCCAGGTCTCTAATCCAGACAGCTTCGCTGGGTACGGAGACGCTGGAAGTTCATCTATGTCATCCGCTGGCAGACGAAAAGCTGCAATGGCCGGCCAGACAGCATACAAACCTACTCGGTTCATTTTGCATACCGACGTCGAGGATGTTGTGCCAGACGACAATGGCGTAGGTAGAACTTCCGCCACAGTATTCAGAGCATCGGCAACGTCTTGCTCTGCAACCTGAGTCCGTGCTAAGACCGATGTCATCACATTCTGAGTATTCGGGCCCGAGCGATCTTGCATATGCCGGATAGCGCGTTCGTTTCACCCACTCAACCACATTCACATTCACCACCTCATTCATGACGCGTTGTCACACTGCGCCCACTCCTCTCCTTCGACACACTGCGGACAGTTTTCTTTCGTACGAGGGGCGCATCTCCTATTTCTACTGCTTTTCAGGCCCTTCATTGTAAATGTTATCTATATCACTTATTTATGCTCAGCATTAAGCTCGGTATCCACTCCTTCACATCTGTGATATACCCGTGTCGTTATATTTTCCTTCGGACGTCATCATCGGAGGCCATGCATTACAAGAGGAAATTTGTCATACCTGTATATAGCTTGTGCTATAAAATTTGGTGAACCAGCATACCAAACATTTTGTGCGTAGCACTATTAAGACAGCTGTTTCATGGGATGAATATTAATGTCAAATCGCCAACATATGTAGTAAACAAACATCAGTTTTGTCTAAATAATACATGCTCAAAGTCAGGGCGCCCAGAATCAGGAGTTGTCAGGGGGGTAGTGTTTGGAGTGCAATGTGCATGTTCCTGCGCACCTTCAAGGTTGCGCACGGTACGGCTGTTGGTTAACACGTCGTTACTCTGTCTATTCCATCCATTGTCAAGAAGTGAACTGCGTTCATGATTCTGGCACGTCATCACCGAGATGGTGTTGTTGGAACGCGTCAATCATTGCATCCTGGTCTTTACGACGCCTATGTCTCCTGCGTCTATCCTCTTTAATGACACGCTCAATGCGCCGACGGGACTTGGTATGGGTTCGTGGATCAACCACGGCGAGCCTGCAACGATAGCATGCGAGCTCAATGCTTGCAAGCAGGCGGAGCGTTTCGGAGTTGTTCACGGCCTAACGTTTAGTGTCAGTTTGATACGACACGATCAAGAAGGACAGTCAATCACGTTCAAAGACCATGAGACAACACGAGAACCCTCCACACAACCAACGACAACGAAGTTACCGCGTTTTTCGGCCTGCAGCTCAGACATCTGCGTAAACTTGCTTAGTTTTATGACAGTAAAGTAAAGTAATATGGTACCTCTCCAAATGCGACCAGCACCTTGCTAGATGTCAACGAGCGGACAACTGTATGGGGATATGATTAGAGATCGGACGTAATCCTGCGAGTAATACGACGCTCACCGACACGAGAGGACTGGCCTACGACTTCCTGTGACACTAAAGCACGTCCAAGATATGCCCAGGAGTCCTTTTCTGGACGGCGAATATGCACCTTGACTTGGATATCTCGAAACTCGCGGACGGGAGGGAGGATGTTGGCTATTCACCAAAGAAGTCAAAACATCACACTTGAGCGCAATCAATTGCTTGGCGAATCACTGTACGTACGCATCGAAGGGGAAGTGTATTCACTCTCGATACTAGGGAGCCGCGGCGCTACCTGCACGGAGGAGCTGCTGCCCTCCATCACGGCATCATTGTCCATTGTGTGTATCTGCAGATTGCAGGATCAAACCAAATTCAACTCATAATGATGTTAGACAAACTTCTGTGAGGACCGTTGGAGTTCGTAGTTGCGTGTCCGTCTGTGTGCAGTGTGGATGAAAGCAGCTCAAAGGGCCACTGCTGCACGCTCACGTGACTCAATGTCTAGAGATCGACATTGAGCATGAGTTTCCTTCCGTTCAGAAAACTAACTAACTAGCCGACTACGACCCCGTTCCGTGACCAAAGATGACTATGTACCTACTATGTAGATCACAATTGTGATCTTCCTTAAACTGACCAGCCCTCCTTTCATGTTACCAGTGGAGTCCTTTGTTTTCAAAGGCGCCAGAACAGAACAATGTTCAAGCATAACAACGATGAGAGACTTGACTTTCAACGCGCCACCTCATCGCTAAAGGCTCGCGACCCTTTGAGCCACCAACACAACTTGCAAATATAAGAGCTTGCTGAGCAGCCAAGGAAGTTCAGAACTAGTTTTATTCACCAATGCGTTCATCCAAGACATTCCGCCGCTCGCGCATGCCCCGCCCACTGACAGCAGAGTCTTCTGAGGAGCTCGAAGAACCGTCGTCCTCTCAGCTCGCTCACGAAGATGAGAAAGCTCCACAGAAGTGCATGATACAATTGGATGACCTCGAGATTGAAAGAGAAAACAAAAAGGTAAGTATGCCACAATGAAGCTGGGGTGTCTCGTTGGATCGCTTGTGCTGATTTAATGTACGACAGCGCGATAAAGAAGATGGAGACTACGTCGAAAGTAGCCAGAGATCGACCAGAACCGAAGGCACGTCTGACAGTATGGAGGAAGACGAAGATAGTTCCGGCAGGAACGAAGGAGCAGCGACTCCTACTGCTGGGAGTCAGAATAGCGATGACGAGGACGTGGAAGATGAAAATATAAATGACATCTCCTCCCACGACATCAAGATTATCAAGCGATTCCTTGAGTACAATGGTTATAGCAAGGATCAAAAGAAACTAGCGATAACAGTTGGATGGAGTATCGGGGGTGAGAATTTGCGATATATTGAGAATTGGATTAAGAGACATGGACACGAATTGGACCGCTGGCCGATCGACTTTTAGACGGTGGCTGCAGAATCAGCGAGATAGGATATCATGTATTGGATTTGACGTGGACATAAAAATATGAGTCACTCAACATCAACATGAAGCATGACGCGTACGAAACTGAAAGTGGCAAAACAATTATCGCGAGTCGGGTGCGAGGTAATTCCCTGCTACTAAGCATAAATTGCGGGGGGTGAAATGCACATTGGTGATGGGTGTCCGTTTCGTAGGGAACGTAGCGAGAAGGTCAGATCTGATGCAAATGTCAATATCAATCACAGTCGCAGGCTATGTTGCATGGAACGAACGTTTCATTGTTTTCGTCGTCGATCGTCCGTGCGATGGTAGGTTCAGTAACGCCACTCTCCCGTGGTTTACCGGGCCCACCAGCACTCCTAACGTCCCAGCAGCGTACCGTCCAGTCTGCACCTCCACTAACAAGCATGGAAGACTCAGCGCTAAATGAGAGAGAATATACGGATGCTGTATGTCCAGTCATTTTTTTAATACGGCGTCCAGAGCTGAGATCCCAGAGATTAATTGCGAGGTCCTCGCCTGCGCTGGCGAGATATCGTCCGTCTGGACTAATAGCCAACGTCGAGAGACTCCCCTGATGACCGATGAAAACGCGGACGCAAGCCCCACGTTGAACATCCCAAAGCCGCGCAGTCCAATCACTTGAACCCGTAGCGAGATATAGCGAATTAGGATGAAACCGGACGCACTTGAAACAGAAAACACCAAATCAATTATAGGAAACCTATCTTCTGCGAAGTTACTCACGTCCACGTCACTCAAGTGCCCTGCATATATTCTCAAACATGATGTCCGGTCTGTCGACCATAATCTGGCGGTGCGATCACGGCTTGCTGTTGCAAAATATACGCCCATAGGACTCCACTGAACATCCCATACAGGGTTTTGGTGGCCACGAAAAGCAACGACATTCGTCATTGTGTCGAGGGACCACAGCCGCGTAGTTGCATCTGCTGAAGCAGAAAGAAGGTATCTCGGGGGCGTTGCTGATCCTCCTAATGGATCAAAAGATAAGGAATATACAGGACCACTGTGGCCGACGAGCTTTCGGGTTGTGCTTCCTTCTTTTTGCTGCAATTTCGACAACGACCCAGCTTGTATTCAAATGAACATTATGGTCACCATCTGACTTAAAAAAGACTCACAGTCCTTTATTGAACTCAAAGAGAAGTCATTACGCAGTCCCTTGAGTTTTTCGTTCTTCAAGCTCCATAACCGAATATAGCTCTCAGAAAAGCCGGCCGCCATAAGAGTCATGTCAGGTGAGAAGGTGCAACACGGCGCACTGCTCAGAGTAGTTTTGTCAGGAAACACACAAAATTTGTGTCAGACACTTACCCTTCTCCGACGTCATGTAGCGTATACGCGCAAATGCTAGGCAAGCCACGTGCCCGGACAGCGCCTCCTTGCACAGAGTTCAAGTCAACAGAACTTAACGCGGAGGGCTCAAGTCGTATGCGTTTCCTTGCATCTCGCACCTTCTCCACCTCTCTTTGAACATCAACCGTCTTGAACGACTGAGGGTGCGGGAGCATGTCTGATTCAGTAGGTGAGACAACCCCTGTGATAACTGGGGGCCTCAGGAATTGCAAATCATATTGAGCATTGGGATCACGGTCCAGTACAGATTGTTCGCGGATGACGCGTTCAGTCTCTGCGCGCAACTCTTCAGAGATAGGGGCAGGACCAAGTTTTAGCTCGCCTTTGGAGGCGTTGAATGCGTGAGGGTTGGGAATAGCGGAAGTGCTTGTTTGCGGAATGAGTTGAGACAACAGGCCAGTGGATTCTTCCCATGCATTGGGCGAAACTGCTGTTGCGCTCGCAGAAGTCACTAGCCTAAGTTTCAGCTCATACATCTTCAATAGTCGGAAAGCCAGTAAATTTACCATCAAAGCGAAGATGGTTATTCACCACTCGCATGATTGCTGCTCGGCCTCTCTTTCCCTTCTCCCCAGAGAAGCCCTCGCCTGCGCCAGAGGCTTCACCTCCAACTCCTTCTGTCAGCCATCCAACTAACAAACTGAAACCAGACCGGCTCATTCTGATGACATATTTTTCATTCTTGAAGCGTTGTGCAACGTCATCATTTTGAACATGCGAGGGAAGCAGGAGAGTCGATAGATGATGTAGGGTAGCGTGATGCATCGGGGCTAGAGACGGCGAATACGTTGCGTAGAAGCGCAGAGCTAAAGAATACAGATCGGTTGAACGTATGAAATAGAAGACATGCCATACATACCAGCTTCCTTGAATCCTCGTTGTACAAGATCCAGATGAAAATGGCAAAATATGGGAAACAGGATAGGTCGAAATTCGGGCTATTTAATAAAATTAACCTACGTCTATAGCTGATGTGATGCTCTCGAAGTACCTTGTACATGTCAAGTGAACCTTCTACCCACGCTTCGAGCTCTCGGAATCCCTCTTCCTTGTCCGTTGGATCAACAGACAGGATCTCCTCGGCACCAACAGTCCCAAGGCTGGCAATCAAGTTCTGTATACTGGGCGGATTTCCCATTGCCGTGAGCTCCTGCAGAACATTTGCACTTTCCTTCAGCACATTGTCCCCCGGCCGCGATGGCTTTTGTGCATAAACAGCAAGACTCTTGATCAGGTCTTCTGCGGATACTGTCTTCCCAGATTCATCCACGCTCCCGCTTTCGATTGATTCGTGAAGAGCCCGTTCCGCATCCTTATGGCCTCGAGAGCGAAGATACTCCAATACAAGACGGTCGATTGAGCTTATGCTCTGAGTGACATCAGGAGCACTGGCGTTGACTGGAGAAACACCTCCGGATGACGAGGCTGCAGGCGTCGCAACAGACATAGCAGCAAAAATGGTCAAGCTCAGTGTTCGGTTTGCGGTATTAGATTGTGTCGACAATAAGTAACGGTCCTTTATGATACGGCGCAGTCTAGTTTCAAGTCTGGTTCAACATCTAATGTACTTTCCATTACGTAATCGATATATCACTATCGTTCATTGATTCAACGATCGTTCGCCAATTAAAATCGTTCATAATTTACAATAAAAATATGTAACTTAGTCTGTTCAACCCAGAAATGATTCACCAGCCTCTTCGGGCTCTCTTGCTGGTACCTCCTCTTCCACTGCTCGAAGCCGACTGTGACATAAGGCGCTTCTTGCTTGCTGCCGCGGAGGGCTGGATGTCAGCCTTCGCATAGCCTGCTCTCGCGCATTCTTTGTCGAACGCTTCCACGAGAGCGTTGAAATCAACTTCTACCATACTGCCGAACAGCGGATGACTAGTGGACCACTTTCCCGCTGTCAACCTGGGAGAAGTAACGCCGAATGCCATGCGCGCGAGGAGGTGAGGGTCGTCGCGTTCGGGACATGCCTGCAGAATAGCCTTAATCTTAATGGGATCAGGTTGAGCGACAGCCCCTGACTCGAAAGGTATGCCCTCCCCTGTTTGACAAAAGCTGCATGATCCGCACAAGCCGGTAGGAATGGCTCCATCATCCCCGAAATGTGAAGCAAGACTCTGCGCCAAACCTATACTCGCATAGGTAGATATTCGTTAAAGATATTGTGGACTCACATGCGTCATCGGTAGCAAAATCAATCACCTGTCGGAGCTTGACTATAGCCTCCTCCTCCCTATCAAGCATACGCTTGTACATCATGTCGGTGATATTTACTATTTCTTCCAGCTCCTTCGGGAGAGGGTTGACTATCTTGTATCGCTGCAACAACCTTTCAGTCGACAAATTGCTGTGATGACATAGTATACTTACTGCTCTGACTTGCGAAGCCTTCACATTAACATAACCTAAGTGGCAATGTAGAAGTCAGTTGGAAGAAATGTCTGAGAAAAGGGTCCCATACCGCTGAGCTCCCAATCACTAATTTTTTTGGCAAGATCCCCACGGTCCTGGCCTGACTGCTGAGCTGCAGTAACTACATCAATCTGTAGCGGTTCGTCAGCAAGAAGAAGTACAGCACTTGCCAAGGGCGCATACCTGAAAAGTCGAACCGCGGGGGGCCCAATACATCTTGATTGTTTTCGCTGCTTCGGTTTCATCACCAAGTACTTTCTGCCAACCGTCAGCTGTGCGCGACGACATATCATACTGAGAGTAAAATGGCGTCACAGCACGAATGTAGTTGTGGTCGAGCTCGAGTTGTGCATAACATAAACCCAAGACGTTGGCCTGCAAGAACGTCAGTGGCAATGCGAATTCACAAGCAACTTTCGTACGCGAATATCATATCTGCAGGCAAGACAAGATGAGAATTTGTTCGTTCAGATGAGACTTGACTGCTTACTCTCTAGATTGCTGGTAATGATTGAAGCTCAGGGTGCCATCCTTATCAGGTGTTTTGAGCACTACTTCTTGGAGCCATAAGTGAATACTCCTCTTGTTGCACGTATCACCGCGACAAAATCCCTCCAGAATAGGGATATCTGGTGCGGAAAGGAACATCAAGCACGTGGAAGGTAAACCGTCACGTCCCGCTCTGCCAACTTCTTGACTATAGTTCTCCAGGGTCTTCGGCATAAACAAGTGGACGACCTGACGGATGTTGGCTTGGGCCAGTTAAGATACTGGCTCGAAATTTGAACGAGCCACTCACCCTTATCGATTCCCATCCCAAAAGCAATGGTAGCACAGACTATACCTTTCTCTGATTCCATGAATTGCTGTTGGACACGTGCACGCTCATCACCGCCCAATCCAGCATGATACACCATTGGTTCCATTCCGTGAGGGCGAAGATGATCGGCGACCTCTTGTGCATGTCTCTGCAGTGTCACATATACGATTGCAGGTCCGATTCGTGATTTCAAAAACGGAATAAGAATATCGAGTTTTTGATCCAGAGTGTTTGCGACTCGAACTTGCAAGGCCAGACTGGCCATTTACAACTATGATTAGCTGGGACAATTGTTTCAACGCGAGAGCACTTACTTGGGCCGGTACACTGCAGTACGAAATACGCCTTTCTGAGCATCAATGTAGAAGGATTTACATATGTCTTTTGCCACATTCGGAGTAGCGGTAGCCGTCAAGCAGAGGACACGCTCGACATCCATTTCCTCCGCAAAACGTGCAATCTACACCTATGAGTGCAAACCCGAACAGGTGAATGGCACAACTACCTTTAGATACTCGGGCCGAAAGCTTGCACCCCACTACACCCCGCTCATGAATGAGAATGTCATGCAAGTAATCCATACTAAACACACCTGTGAGATGCAATGCGACTCGTCGATGGCCAGCAGAGATATTTTGACGTGGCTCATCATCGTGACGAATCCTTCATTATTCAGTCTAGAAGTGATTGTCAGAATAACGCATGGAACATGCTTGAATGCAAACCTTTCAGGAGCCACGTAAAGAAGTTTGAGACGACCTGAGATAACCTCTTCTTTGACCCAGGCTGATCGTTCCGCGTCCAAGGTGCTGTCTAGGTTTGCAGCTTTCACCCCACGATCAACCAGGGCATCGACCTGATCTTTCATCAGAGCAATGAGAGGGGATATCACGAGAGTCAGTCCCTGTAATAACTTCAGTAGAGTCACGCGCAGGAAATGTAACTATGTTACTGGAAGGCATAACGCTGGAACCTGATAAGTGAGACTTTTTCCCCCTATGTGGTACTAGGTGTTAACAGCATCTATTCTTCCAAAAAGCGAATCGCATCACCTCCAGTTGGATATAAAACAAGTGCATTCTCGTTGTCTACGATTAGTCGCTTAATGACCTATGTTACATTTATGGCATCAGTTTTTAGACGTCTGAATTTGTAAAGTGAAAACTCGCCTCTGCTTGAGACAACCTGAAAGAGGGGAAACCCCATATATTCTTCAAGACTCGGTGCGCGTCTTCCATTTAAATTAGATCGCGTCTATGGAATACTAACCTAGCGAACACACAACTGCTGCAATTGCCAATGAGTCTTGAGTGTGACACAGAGTGGGGCGTAGAAGACGTTTTTTGGGCGGGTCTTTACGCGGTCTTTACGCGTTGTTTGTGCTTGCCATATCTGGTAGGTTTTTCCACGCTTATGTACATTGGGCGCTCAATCGAACGAATAACTTGCGCATCAGGCCATCATGCATCAGGCAGCACCTGATTAATGATTCTCAGTTTTGCGAACAAGAAGCACACCGTGCTACAGCGCCCTTCCAGGCGTTATCGTGGTCATTATAAATAGTAATAACCCCGACAATGTTTCCTCGCTGCTCCACCTTACGGACTGGAAATCCGTTGTTCCGTGTGCGCCCGCAGAAAAGATTCAGAATGCCTGGAACAGTGACTGAGTCGTAGGAGACGCCTTTTAGCGGCCTTATCTGTACCAGCTATCTTTGTATGGGTGAGCACGTATTTTCTAGGTCGATCAAAGCTTCTGATCTTACGCTGGCGGCCGAGCTCTCTGCTGTTCACGCCAATGCTACTGATCACCCAATTTATAATAATGCAGCTCGCCAGTTGAAACCCAGTGTCCAAAACAGAAGAGCTGCAGCAGACTCGTTATCTTGCTCTGTATATCTCAGAGGTCTGCTCATGGGTACGGAGCAGTATGTTCCCATTATCGCCGCATTCCGCCGACCAAACAGTGAGTGGTACAGTACGTTGACGCAACCATCATCAGATTCCAGTGCTTTCTGTTCTGAAGTATTTTTGACACATGCTTAGCTCTCTAAATTCCCAGCCATGGCAGGGAACACACTCTACACGTGCACCACATGTACCGGAAAGATGCCCAGGGCATTTCGGAACGCCTGTCATCAAGAACTTTTTCAGGACATCCAGTGTTGAACACCGTTGAAATCGGCCATCAGTCACCTGGTTCTCCAACAACATGTTCCTCGGTTGTTGTGTTAGTGGCGCAGCGAGACACATCAGTCAAATGCAGTCGACAGGGACTGTCCATCTCCGTCTCCCAGCTAATGATCCGTTTGCGCAGTCGAAAAATCAGTACTATTCCTCCCACTCATGGACAGTGACGATGGCTTTGGATCCTCACCCAGTAGGGAGATACGATCACCAGTGATGCCGTTAAGACTCGCCCGCTTCTCTCCGGCGGCTGTCCTCGCAGTTAACAACACCAGGGTCTAGGCAGCACCGCATAGGTCTGTGTAGGCGCTCAGGTGATTTTCATCGGAAGCACTGTGTTTTCTGATCACATCCCAGGACTGCCAAACTATTTCGCAAATTCGTCGCTTTTCATTGGCCTCCCAAGCAGTGGAATCGGATCTATCCGCTCTCCCCACCATCTCAACACCTCTATCGCGCCAGGCTCAACATCCACTGTTCCCAGCCAACTTCCGAGTTTTAGGCGTGCAACTTCTCTGGGCTTCTCGCAATAATAACAACTCGGAACTAGCCGTAGCAATCCGATTGTTGCTGGTGACAGCGCACGGTATACTGCTATGTTCGAATGTGACCTCAGATACGATTTAACGAGTAACTACCCGATAAAATGGTACACTATGATACATACACCCATACACACCCATCGCAAACACAATAAGTTAGACATAATATCATCACGCAACTGCGAAGAGTTGATCCCATAAGACGACTCTTTCACGATGAGCGCGAGTTTCCGGAAGCATAAAAAAGATTAATTGCGACCAAAGCAGCAACACCAGAACGACAGTCGGCTTGAAATTCTAGAAGTGCTCCTGTGAATGTACATGTTCAACTTGGAATCAACGATGAATAATGGAGGACAAACAGACCTTGGCAAACGTGAATTCAACATTATTGCTGCTGTGCGTAAGGGTTGCTGCCTTAATGGCTTTCGCAAGAACACCCGGGCCACAGAAGTAGGTCTGCGAGAGCAAACATGAGAATCGTCAGAAAGTAGAAATGTACTCGCCACACTTACGCCAACTTTGGTCTTCATTTGTGCACTGCTTCCAGGGAGATACTGACCGATCTCAATTGCTTCCCTGATCCTGCGGTAGATGCTCTTCCAGTCGGGGCGGCCAAACATGGTGCGAGTACGAAGCAGTGTGAGAGGATCGTATTCGGCACCGGCATCATTGACAGCAATGTTCCAAAGCATATCATCACAGATCTTTTGAGTGAGGTAGATATTGATGTGTAGGAAGTTCGCTTGACGTCGACTGTGAGCCAAATATTTCCTGGATCAAGGGATATTGGGGAACTCACGGTCAACTTGAGCTTCCTCAACTTCTTGCAACAGGGTTTGAAACCAGCCGAACGAGGGTGCGTCACGACAAACCCAGAAAAATTCGACCTTTCGGAGAGCGCCAAGGTCACCTTTCTTCTGACGGTACCAAATATGTTTGAGGATTGACGCAAAGGGTGTAACGCCTAAATAAACGTAATTAACAAGCATTGACCGAAAGTTGAATGTTATTACTTACCGATACCAGCACCAATTAGCACAGCGACCTCATTATCGAACACATCCTCGGCGGGAGCGCCATAAGGCCCATCAATTCTAACCCGAGGAAGTGGGCGAGAAAGAGTGGCAGAATCGAGCTCGACATATTCACCACGAGTACCACCATACTCGTTTTCATCTTTTTCAACGCCCTTCATGGCGGCTTTTGTCATTGCAGCAACGACAGACGGACCGCAACCAAGCCGCTCTCCTAGGGAGTGAGTCCAATCACCAACCTGACGAATGTGAACGGACACATAGGGATCTTCAGGGGCAGAAGTGATGGTGAACTATATTTTCAGCGGTCAGAAAACATGAAAGCCAAACTTCTTGTCACGCACAGGATGCCATTGCCATCGAGAAATTTCCGGGACCTGAATGAAGAGCCATTGGCCCGCTGTATACCTGAAACTGGGTTTGATGATCCGAAGTTCCATGGCCCCACTAGGATGAATGAGAACTTTGGACAGCCTTGTTGCTCTCCGGGCACGATACTCCCGATACATCCTTTCACCGAAGTAAATAATGCCAGGCCAAATGGTGAACCTCCAGCTTTCGTAGCCAAGACAGTGCTCCGTAGAGTAGAAGGGGAAAGTGCTGGTGTAGTCGGGATTTGTGGAGTCACGGACAAAGCAACCAGTGGCATGGGTGTAAAGGCCGATAAAGAAGAAGAAGGCAAGGTGATGAGTGTACCAAAAAGCTTCGAAACATTGGTTGCGGATCTTATGGTGCGCAGTGGCATACATGAGGACCATGATCAGAAGCATGAAATGGCCAGTGATACCGCCAGCTTGCGTATAATGAATTTGTAATGCATACTCCGCGCGAACCTCTGCAAAGAATGAATAAGGAGTGTTCGATTACGAGAAACACTCCAGCACTCACGAGTGCGTTCAACGTTGAAAAAATTGACATAATGTGCTGTAGTATGCACCATTGCCCAAAAGGCCATGGAGTAGGCGACCTGTCTATGGAACCAGATGTTCTCGTCCGCGGGGAAGAGCCATGCAAGCTTGGGGCGAACAACACGAATGACATTGCGCAGCATGGGGACGAGAAGCAGTCCCGCATCGAACGCGAGGGTGAGACCAGCACCTCGCGACGTCCAGACAGACCAAGTCAGAGCATTGAGGGCAGCCAGTTTCTTGTTTGTGGCCTGATAGACACGTAGTGAGTAATTGTCGAATCGGTGTGGTGAATAAAGCTTACTTGCAAATACCAACCCAGAGCGAAAAGGCTGAATTGGATACCGTAGAAGATGACATTGAAAACAAGCCTTCTCGGGTTGAGAAACTCGCTCTGAAACCAAGATTCACCCATGGTATACTATCAGATAGTGAGTTAATTTCTCAAGGAGTGAGCAAAGATAGAAAAGTGGGGCCTGCCCCGTTTGCAGGAGAGAGAGAGATGAGAAAAGAACAAAAACGCCAGGGAAGAGAATTTAAAGCGTGCCAGACGCTACGATTAGCAGAATTATAGTGATGACCACGGTATCGGAAGACCCAATATTATGGCTGTTATCTTAGCAGAGCCTTTCCGGCATCCGACGTGGTCACGGCAACCATTGTACGTTCACGGCAACTGTCTGTTCGCTGGCTATGCTAGTGCTGTTCTATGCTATCCTGAGTTGAAGTTTGCCCAATGAGCATGTGTGAACGATTGATGCCCTTTCACTGGAAGACGTGGGTATGGTTCTCTGCATCATGATATCGCAACCTTTAAGACCCGAGTCGAGGCACACTTGATCTGTCTACCTAATCTTGTCAAGTTGGTTAGCACGTCGGCAGCTACCAAGGTCCGATTGATTCCCTGCAGCCTCCTGCAGCTGGAACCCACAGAATTATCGATATCGCGAGTCGCGAGGAATATTGCTGAGCTTTCACTTTCATCAGATTTGTATATTATCAGTCACATCAATCGATAGTCGTTCGATATATGATTAATATCTGAAGATTAGATGTTCGCAGTAGCTTCGTGGAAGGTCCTTCTCAATATCAATGCTCCTTTTGTTTCAGGTCCAAATAAGGCAAGTCGCACGTGGTTGGTGAGATTTGCTTCCTCGACGCGTTCTTCGGACTCGTTGAACTACTCAATTGCACGGAACACCACTATAATGGCTGCACTACTCCCATTATCTACGTCGTATCGACAGCAACAAAATATAGGGTCATCCTCATCAATATTTCGTCAGAACCAAACCCAACCAAGGCCACCTTCTGTCCTTGACCTTCAGGGTCTTCAGAGTGCCAGTCGCGTGTTGCACGACCAGTTCATCAAGGATGCCCAGATAATACCAGATATTGGTGATATGCTTACGACCCGTAAGTTGCCAACTACCTAACCCCTGTGGTACATTCACATTCTCTATAACTTCCTTTTGCCAGCTGGTGGGCAGTCGTCCGCACTTTATAGCGTCTTTCCCGATGACTACCGGGCGCCATTTCAGAAGAGGAGGCTTGTAGGCATTCCTGAAGCACTCTTTCAGTATTATAACAGTAAGTCTAATGAATCTGCGTCTGATGCTAGCCTAAAGTTTTGTAGCTACCAACGTCACTTCACACATGGGTCTAATACCCGAAATTGAGCGTGTATGGATCTCAATCGATCATAAGCTATTTCTCTGGGATTATATAGAGGGGTATGCATGCGTTCCTATGCCTTTTCGCAAACTGATACGACCCTTCCAAAGTCAAGATATAAGCTCATTTGTTGACCAGCCAGACGTCATCACCCACGTGGCTGTCGTAAAACCAAGAGTCGGTGTCTTCGTCGACGAAATAACGTCCGTCATGGTCATATGCACCCCTGTATCCGTTCTTTTGATCGGGTTGTCGACGTCCACCGTCCTGGGTACCAACAATCGCTCCCGCAAAGAAATCAAAATGTATGCGACAGACATGATGGTTTCGACTGACATCGAAATGACCTCTGTTGTGGGGATGTCCGACGGGCGCATTTTCATGTGTGGCTCTCAGGATGGTTGTCTGTACGAACTGCACTATCAACAGAGCGAATCTTGGTTTTCAAAACGGGTGCTTATAGTCAACCACTCTGTTGGAAGTGTGCAGAGTCTGTTCCCGAGGTTCACCTCACCAAAGTCAGAAGGTCAGTGATTCTTCTGGTCCTTGACTTGCGATGAATGACTCCCTCACCCTAGACCGTATTGTTGCCGTGGTCTCGGATCAGAAACGCAATTGCTTCTATACCTTGTCCGCCAGGAACTCAATATCTATCTATCAGCCAAGCAGCGAGAAGGCCGTGCACCATATACAAACCCTGTCGAATCTTTACAAGTCTGCGCAAGAGAAGGCACCTGGTTCTCCTGCTCTTACCCCATCAAACTTCCAGATCATTGCTCTACATGTACTGGACCCGGGTGAATCGCGGACAGGAGTTCAATTGATAGCGATCACCATGAATGGCGTACGCTTGTATTTCTCTCCATCAACCTCGGCATATAGTTTTTCATATGCACAAAGCCAAAGCGCTGCGGGCAGTGTGCGACCTCTACAACTCATTCATGTACGACTTCCGCCCCCCAATCTATTGCATCCAGACGAACAGTCTAGTCCCCACCGTCCCATTTACAACAACACCACCCGAAGCTCACCTCCACAACTTCCTTCCCGTCCCTTCATCGTGTCAGGACTTGAAAATTCGTGTTATTTGGATGGACTAATGGTCTCAGCTCAGCCAGGCGATACAGATGGGACAGATTTTCTGCTTTGTACTGCTCCTGATCTCACTCGAATTGGCTCGCTCGGGCAAGTAAATCCGCCTTCGCAACAACAACTAGGACCATCTCAGCAACCAGCATATGGTCCATCATCATATGGCACTGGGCCAAATCAGCGTCCTCCTTTAACTGAATATGCCACTTTACTTGCCATCCCTGGTCGGACATGGGCGATGGCGACAGTTCCCCGCGAATCAGCCTCTGCGTCAGTTGCTCCTTTACCTCCGGTCACAAATGAACTTGCCACCCAATTCTCCGAACCTTCGCGACAGTTCATGATCCTTACAAATGTTGGTCTCACATTTTTGATCAAAAGGCGAGCTTTGGACTATCTCAAAGCAGTCATAGAGGAAGTACAGACTGAGGGAGTGGTGCAGCCAATAATCGAGTTCAGAGACAGGCAAGTCTGTTTGTTAACATGTTATTCGTAACAAACGCCCATTTCTATCTAGTTTTGGAAGAGACCAGACGTGTGCCATGTTGCTCGGTCTTGCAAGCGGGAATACTTTCCTGGATGCCGGAGAGCCATCGACCAGTGGCACACTCTGCACAATTAGCCCCGATATTGCCAACGTTGCTAAGCAGGCGTTTTACGATTTTGGAGAGCGACCCATCTGGACAGAACGAGTAACTTATGGCACAAGTGAGTAGTGCATTCTCTAGTCAGACTCAAACACGAGTTCACGCGCCTTTCAGGTGACAGTACTGGTAGTGCCATCTTTAGTGGTCGAAGGGAGGGCTTTGCCATGTACTTCGCACGTCTAGTACGGCGACTGTGGAAAGACAAGTTAACCAAGCCAGGGTAAGATGCGAAATCCTTTTAGTTAAGTCTTCATATACTGACAATGCACAGGCCCCTCAGTTTGCAACAGTCGAACTTCGAGGACAATCTTTTGGTCACTGTGCAGAAAAACCTCTTCGCACTAAAGGAGTTTCTGGATAAAAACCCTCATCTATTCCACTCTGCACCCGGAGAACATACAGTATCACGGACATCTTCTGGCAATGAGCAAGAAGCTTGGAAGGTTATTCATCTTTCAGATCGTGATGCCCTAGCTCAACCTTTACTTAGGCGGAGCAAAATTCTGTTTCCCAGCTTCAAGCGCTGTTATCCAGGACAATCGAAGCAATCTCTTTCATCCTTCTGTTGAACGATTATAGGCTGGGGGAGCTCATAGCTCAGTAAGCATTTCTGATGAGTGAGGGATTTTCTGATCATAAGCTAAATGCCAGGTGCGAACCCGATACGCAAAAATTGATTACCTCCATGTCATTTGAGGACCTTGTCACCATGCAAAACGGTGTCACTGCTGCACGTGCATTAGTAAACGTCGTAATCGATCAACAGATCGGTCAACAAATTAGCGTGCGTAACTCTCGCAAATCGGCTGCAATGAGATGACAAGGTCTGTGTAGGTGGACACGATCAGTGAAGTACTACAACAACGCTGTGGCTCGTTTTGCAGCACAGACGATGTCATGCTGTACAAGGTCAGTTGTAGTTGTTGTTTCTTGAATTGGTGATCCGCCTTACAGTGAGCCAGGCTCGTGAAAGTGTCCGTAAAGCTATGGAGTCGCGAAACCCCTCTGAGCGTCATAATTGGCTCGGTGAATCTCTGAGGTAAATTGACGATGCGTCGAGTGAGCCCCATAAGTCTAACTGATTGCGTCAGACTCTTCACCAAGGGAGCGAGGATGCTAGACTTTGATAAAATTCGCGAGGTCTGCGGTGAATACCAGCAGCTCGGTTATTCCAAAGGTTGGTACTTTTTTGGTCTGGTGGACGTTTTATTTACCCTTGTCCAGGGGCTGTGGAACTTCCATTGAGTTGCGCGCAGGCACTAGACCCTGATAATCTGGGCCTCGAATACTGGTATGCGGCATGTCCGCCAAATGACGCTCGGATGGAGTATTGCGATAAAAGACTCAAGTGCTACGACCTTGTCCTGCATTCTCTGAGCGTCTTTGAAGAGCAAGCTTCGCAGAGTGCTTCTGTAAATGGGTCAGCATCAAATGCAATTGACGACCCCGAAGCTATCCGCAGCCATGCCTATGACCTTGCGTTCTCCAGCGAGGACGAGATGTTCCACTTCTACATTATATGACTGGTTAATTAATCGAGGTCTTGCTGACGAGCTTTTGGCGGTACGTCCTTTATCGCGCCCACAATCTCAGCTCCGCTAACGCGCCTGGGATGACTGTAGATGCGACCCCCATTCCTTGAGGCCCACCTCAAACGGGAACCGATTACGGTGCCCAAGTACCAGTTATTATGGCAATTCTATGTGAAAGACGGTCAGCCGTTGCGCGCCGCAGAGATACTTACCGTCCTAGCAGAGTCTGAGTAAGCGTTGTTTCTGTCGTTTATTCAATCAATCCCTCACTAGACATACAGTACTGACTTGCCGTTGGACATGCGCCTCGAGTACCTAACATTGGCCGTTGGCAATGCGAAGTCTCATCCTGTGACTATCGGTGGCAGGCATGAGACTGCTATCTCGTTTCTTACCAACCTCGAAGAGAAACTAGATGTTGCCCAAGTACAACTTGAGGTATACAATGCCCTCTTACCTCATATGAATGATCCTGGAGAAGCCGGGGAGAAAATCAAGTATCTCAATAAGACCTTGTTGACCATGTCCGAGGTATGTTTTAAAGAAAGATCCCAGTCGTTATGTTGTTCACGTTCATTTTCAGCTGTACCAAGTTTATGCGGAACCATTCGATCTACCGGTCATGAAGCTCCTTATCTTGCATGTCTCTGATCATCACGATGAACATGTTGTGCGTCCCATTTGGGATAGGATATTTGATGACGGTACGTAAAGTTAGTTGCACGAGGAGTAGGCGCCTGCCTGACTTGCGTCACGTTAAGCAATCGAGAAGGGTGCGGATGCGCAAACTAATGCCGACCACATCATCGCCAGTGTTGTTCCACTAGGGAAACGATTTTATCCCTCAGAGAGTGCCTTCCCCTTGAGTGAGCAGACCGCACTTTTTCTAGGCCGCCTCAGTTCATAACATGATCTCAGAGTACATCGCATCGTTGTTGGTCAAGTTCGCTCTGAAAAACAGAAACCAGCTACCAAATGGTTGGACTCCTCGGGTACTTGTTCAGTGCGGTGTTCCTCACGCGGATATATGGGATGTATTACATGAGATGTATGAATCACAGGTAATTGGCCCATCTATGAACTTTGCACAAGTGAATTCAACTCGGCACTACAGATACCACCTTTCAACACGCAAAGTGGCGTGCAGGTCGTATCCTCTGACATTTCAATCCTTTTGAACGACTGGCTCGAGGAGGCAAAACGCCCTCAATCATCAGTTCCCCGAGGAGAATTCCCAGTTGGCAGAATAGATCTTGCTGTTGGGCAGTATCTGGCCGAACTAGGTGCTAACCAAGCAGAGACAAAGGCAATTTACGAAGGGATTAAACGTCAACTAAGAAGAAACTGGTAGCACATGCAGTAGTTGATGTTATCCATACGTTCCTACTTTCCTAACACCTGGATTGGGTTGATCAATTGACTTCCAAAATGACATCTTCCGCATATAGAAGTAAGCGTTCGCTGAGCTTTCGTGTCAACTTGTACGCTGCGTATAATGCCCTAGATGCAATGTTAAGGCAAAGACGCGACATGAGTAAGGACCACCTGCCTCGCAATCCCAACAACTAGTAAAGTCACGATGATCATTGCAGCTATGTCTGTTGAATTACCCCTCCGACTCCTATTCCCTCTGAAGCGAGCTATCCAATGGACTGGTCCAAGGAGAGGTAGCGAAAGTAGCATGTGAACTACAGAACCGGCACCTATCATAGGGAGACCAATAATGAACCTGCGCAAAAACCGCGTCAAGAACGATGGTGAGGATGGCAGCGGGGCAGGATTAGCCCTGGTTAGTCTTGTCCTTGAACCATTCTCCTCTAGAGGAAAAGCGTCTTGGTCTCGAAGTATTCGCAATGCTGCACGGATGAGATCGTGGCCAACGTCAATAGGGGAAACGAAAAAGTAGTAGGATGATCCATAGGATGAATAATCCTCGAAGGAATTCATGAAGTATGTTGTGGCATATGACGAACACATGACAAGTAAGGTGAACAAAAATGAGGATATGACGCCAACTATGACTAGATGTGTGTCAGAATCATCTCGCTAGGCGGAGGGTCGCACTCACTCGGATTGGTTGCCAACCCAATTGCTTTAGTCCGAGCAAAGTGATATCGGTAATGACATTGTGGACAACGATAGAAAGAGTTGTTGGTAAAGGACGTGTTCCTCCACTTTTTCAGGCAGGCTACATGGACATACTAAATACTCGTTCATCGATGTCAGTGTGTCGATATTCGAATTATTCGAGGAAGCTGACTGACGCTAATAGAACCCCTACACAGACAAGGACGAATGAGCCTTCCCAATGACTCATCTTCGCCATCGAAGCATATACGACATTGTTTCTCCTGCTCAGGTGGAGGAACTTCGTCTGCTTCCTCTGGCATGGTTTGAGCATTGAGGAGTATGTGCCACGAAGTCGTCACCGCCAATTTTGTGCAAACATTGTGTCAAATTTGGACATTCGTATAATTCTCGCAAGAAACCTACTGTTTTTAGTAATAAATATTTTGCCGAGCGTTCGGCACCACAATTTGGTTCGCTTGTGGAAATTTCCAAATGGAGCATAGATTTTCTCAAGTGCTCACAGCACTATTCGGTCTGGCGTGAAACGTCGGAGGTTGATGCTTCCTTGGAATGCATAAATTTTCGAATATCACTACATAATCTTGTTCCGATCACAACTCTTATCACAACTCTAAGGTTATAAACCGTAAGTCTTCGCTTCGGTGCTTGAATTTAAACTGTTGTCAAATGAATTCATGTGTTTTTTTTACGTCTGGACTGTAGCTGTGATAGATTAGTTTTCGTTGACGTACTTGAAGTCGGCAGCGGTGTTATAGATCGACCCGGAGAAATAAGTCGCGATCATGGCAGTCCTGACAGTACTAGTACGTGGACAGAAAACTTTACTGAGGTATAACCGAACCCCCAGCTCCGACCATCAGGCCTCTGACAGGTTTCACAGGGGTTAAGGGACAACCGCGTTTCAAAGGTGAGGGTTTCATTGCTCGAAAGTTCACACTGCAGCCTCAGGTCAAAGAGTTACCATCATTCAATGAGCCTATACACTCATTATCGGCGCCTATTATAATTACCAGTGATACTATCGAATAAATATCACTTTGTTGGGCGATGAAGTTTGGCTGATGCGTTCTTTTTTTATTGAGATAGAATCCCTGTTGCACATGTATCACGAAGAATAGTTGTTGAGGTAACCATGTCGTCGCTATCAGAATCATGACCGTTGCTACGCAGTACTAAGAGAGGTCTTCGAGTTGAATATCTCTCTCTACACTGTATGAATTGCCGATGAAACCGCTTGACTACTTGGCCAATATATGTGAATCCTACTAGGGAGTAACATCTGTCCTGAGTCATCGGATTGACGCTGGTGCACAACTTCAAGTGACCTAACCAAGGAGGTGATAGTACTTGACCGCAATCACTCATCCATATCTATAATATTCTGCAAGTGCGCCAATTCCAAATGTGAATTCTCCTGATACATTGACACTATTAGCTATTAGTATTTGTTCTAGACTGAACTGAATCGCGAATCGGGGCAAACCTTCTATAGTGCTGAATAACCGGTATCACACCGAATCAAACAGTAGCAGCTCGACTCGATCACTTCCAAATTCCGATTCTTCTCGTCAACAGCTGTAAGGCCTTGTAAAAACCAATCCTAGTAGACGTCAGTCCAGTAAATATTTACAACCCCGTCGGTGATAACCGAGTCTTCTAAGATGGTACTAAGACAGATGCATGTCGCAACTACTCGGACGTCGATCATTTTTTCAATCATAAACATAACTGCAAATCTGATTCAGATGACTGCAGGAATTCGTTGTTGCTAAACTTAATGTCACTGGCAAGTTAGTAGCACTGTGATGCACAGCAGCCCGCTGTCGGGCTGCCTGTGGCGATTTTCACAACTAATCCTAGGGTGCATGATGGGTGATGCTCGGCCCCGGTCGCTCCAGAATTTCCTGCTGTGAGTCGTTATATAATACTATGCGTGCGCATTAAAATCGTCATCAGGACCCCCATGTTTTTTTTCCAGGTACCTCGCATTAATTTCATATCTGACTTCAAGTCGGGTTAAATCTCAACTAAAAATCAGATCTCCTAAGCTTAAAAAATCTTCCTTTGGAGATGTCATTATTATCTTAATGGTCAAGTTGTGCGCACATTACCGCCCATTTACTCTCTTACGTGCTTCGGGCTTTTACATCAATCAAGGACGGCTCATACTCGACGCGCCTTGTGTTGAGCTAACCCGTTCCTTCTTGATGAACTCTACGACAGGGATCTAGATCTGTATCATGTCTTGAGGGATATAACGGTAAGAGCGAGTGGTCTATCGCACCAAGATGGCTGCTAAGTACCCTGTCCCATCCAGTGATAAAATACTCGCTCTATCTTGCACGAATGTTGGCGTTGGTCCTGGTGGAACCACCGCAATGCTCGCGTTCGTCATGTGGATTGTTCATGGCCCGCTCATCTATGACGCTTACATTTCAGACGCGTCTCTATCGTGGATTACAGGGGACAAGTCATCCTTGATACATATGTATCACCTACGATGCAAGTTAGCGACTACCGAACTGCGACCACGGGTATAGAATCTTCTCACCTTCTTTCCCGTGAGTTCAAGGTTGCAATGTCATTTTTCTGATATTCACGAACCCGTTACATCAGCCGACACACCTGCTTTTAGCCAAGTTCAACAGCATGTGGCAGACCTTATAAAGGCAAAGGTACTCGTCGGTCACAGTTTGTGGAACGATCTTTCTGGCAAGTATAATTTATTTAGTAGCTCCGAGCGTCACTTGCTGACTTCCATCCTTCTTAACCAGTTCTAGGAATTCCACATCCCGCAGTGGCTACTCGAGATGTTGCTCTATATCAGCCTTTTCGAAACGCTCTTCGGTCCCCCAATCAGGTGGTCGGCCTTCAGACTCTCATGTGGCATTTGATGTGTCGCAGATGTCAAGATGGTCAGCTTCACCCAGTGAGTTCCTACGGTTATCACTATCCTGCTCGACCGCTAAGTGACACATACAAACCTGTAGGTCGAGAACGCACGCGCTGCACTCGACTTATATCGGACTGTTTCGACTGAATGGGAAGGGGCAATTGCCATTGGAAATTGGCCTTCATGCCTTCCTCCCAGCACTTTCTCGCGTTGTTATCTCTGAACAATTTCCATGCCAATTACGATTCGTTACAACATAGCATTCTTCCGCAGGGGTATTCCGTATTTAGATGCCGTTAATACTACTATACATTCCTCTTATGCCAATTCATTAGTGGGCTTGATCATCTCTATGTATGGGTGCATTTGACTTCGCCTCGGAGTTCCAAGTGAATCTACAAGGACTAGCTAGGCTACTTGGTACGTCACTGCACAATCGTCGACTCTTCTTTGCTTCAGCGTTGAAAGCTTCCTCTCCAACGCCTGCCATTTCCAATTCTCGGCTCCCCTTCCATGAAGAACCTTTCCAGTTGACCGCCTGAGTAACCTAGTGAAAGCCCGAGGGGATGACCCTCCCGTAATGTCCCGTTGCGTCCGCCATGACTGCTTCTGCGCGCGAAGTGTTCGCTCAGATTCGAGCATAACCGCGGCGATATCAAGACGTCCTTCTTTGATGGAGAGACTGGCGATCCGCCGCCTGACGACGCTGGATTCAGTGCGGGGACCCCACCGCGTGCGAAAGGCTTTGAGGCACTTCATTGCAAGAGTCCCGCACCGTTTGCAAGGCCGGAGACTTGCAAGGGTTAGAAACAGCGTCTTTGACGATGGTCGGATCCCAGGGTGAGCTGAAAGCAATTTGGAGATGACACGACGCTGGGCGAAATGTCGGGCAAGCCCTGGTATCTCAGTCACAGCCCTGATGTGCAGGTGGATAATATCCAGGGCTGCGTGCTGCTGTCTGCGGCTGAGTCTCCTGGGGAGCGATTGGAAGTATGATGAAGTGATGTCGAGCGCCTTTCCACGGTTTCCCAACTGAATCATGGCCTGTACGATGAAAAAGACGGCCCTTGGTGGCAGCTGAGAATATTCGCGCGAGGCGACGAGTGGAAACATATTCGTGAGAGAACGATATCGGGCGACCTGCGCTGAGCCAGAGAGCGTAGACGTTTGCAAGACCACACATCTGAAGCTTGCAAACTTCCGTCCAGGCTCGCCTCGCTGTTGCGGAATTTTAACCCACCGTCGCAGAGCACCGCGTTTCAGAGAACCGAAAAACTCCATCCACAAAGGTAACGGTAATCCACTCTGATTTCCAGAGTGTAAGCCCAAATCTTCTGACCACTGCTCTCGTCTCATAACACGTTGGACACGTCTTAAAGCCTCGTCCCATCTACCAGTGCGTACTAACCACCTGACAGTTAATTTCCATGTTTCGAGATTTGGGCGGACCGACTCGGCTTTCATTGCATCAAGAAGGCGCGCTGCAGTGCCAAAAGCCGCTTGTCTCAACGCGAGAGAAACCAAGAAATTAAATGAACGAGTCGAACGAAGGAGACGCGTGTTTGAAAAGTGGTAGTTGACGAGGGTAGTGAGTGATGAGTGCGAGTAATTATGCATGTCCAGAAGATTTTGATAGAACATCTCACGAGATGTGGGAGTTGGTAGGCAAGGTATTGGGGTGGCGGTGAGGGAACTAGCACTGACGAAGGTACCGGATTGTGAGGGAGGATTAGGAATATAGACTGGCTCCGCACGACCAGGATCCTTCCATGTAGCATCAATTATGGAGAGGGTGTTGGGATCTATGGGTATAACGCCTTGACTTTGACGTGTTGGGGAGTTTGTCGGAGGTTGCGGCGCGAGGGGTTTATCGGAACGCGATTTTCTCGATATCCTGGCATATTTCTTTTCAGGCAGAACGGAGCCATGGTATTCGGCACGTCTTGTCCAAGCGCGAGCTGCAGCTGATTGCAAAATTGCAGAAAATGAAGACGTGGCGTCTGGTAGAACGGAGGAAGGTTTAAGCAGGCGGGATGCATGATAAAGCATGCATATGTTCGCAACTGGATACTAGTCAATATCTTTTTCTACTCTTGCATATATTTTTTTCCAACTTACTTGCAAGGCGAGACTGGGACTTGCAGTCTTCAGCTGCCTTCAATTCTGCCTTGGTCTAATTTCCGGATGTGAGGTTTTGACAAGGTTCTAAACAAACAGCAACAAACGCTCTCCGCCGTTCACTTGGCTTCAAACTGACTTTTGCCTTCACAGTGCACTAGTACTGTCTAAACCAAACCGAGCCCTCTGGTTAGTGGAATCATTATTAACATTAAGGGTTGCTCAAAAGCAGCATATACAACAATTCATAATTCAATTTGCACATGTGCATCTCATAGAAGCAATTCAACCAGACCAAGTTCATAAGCTTATACATTGTCTTTCACAGCAGGGTTCGCCACTGTATCATAAGTCGGATTCTAGAATGCCCATGCAGGGACTGTCGCGTGTCATGGTCATGGTCTTGCTGGAAAATCCTTGTCAAGCTTCTTGTCGCTTTCAGGGGGACACCCCAGAGTCGCTTTTCCATCACGATCGGCGAAGAAAACTGGGGCAACGATCTAGTGGACGGCTAGAAGCAAGGTTGGTGTTCTCTCAAGCTTGACGTCTTTTCACAGGTCATGAGTATCGCGTCACCAAATTTATTTGAGCCGGCGATCATAACAGCCGTCACTTCAACTGTTCCGCTTCTGATCATGACAGCTGCCTCGAGCCAAGTGCGTCGGAAATAGAGTGTCAAAACTGTCCTTGAAATTTACTGACCGACCATTTCTACCGAAGCATCTGAACTCCGGCGTCGCAACCCTGTGCGATAAGAGATTCAAGTACTTGTGAATCGGAACCGTGCGGCGTCTGAAGGTAAACGCTCCGGAAGACACGCTCTGAAGAAACAGGTGTGCACCTTCGATCGATATAGTCATACAACATGCGAGTGAGCATAAGAATCGGTCATGACTAAATACATAATGAGCGATGAGATACGCCACCAGAAAACCTATGAGCTACATATCAGTAAACCATAATCCAACGACTCCGCTCAGGATCATCAACAGGGAAATTTGAGCTCGACCAAACACGCATTACGAGGTCAAACATGTTGTGCTTATCAAAGTTCCTCCTCCATTAGGTGTAGCACATTCCTACCCACCAGCCACCCGACCTTTGCTACCCACTGATCTCGTACCTTTCGCATGTCCTGCCATCCCTCCGGACCTTTCGCCTCGGCAAACTCGTCCAAGCCTTTTTCCCAACTTCTAACGGAGTCCACTCCAAACATCCCCCCTTGTTGATTCACGACCTCGTCTATCCGATCTATCCAGGCTCGCCACTCTTGAATCAGCCGAGGCAGTAACAAAGGGGCCAGTGATGATTGTGTCAAGGATGGTTGAGAAAGTATATGGTTGCTGAGGGCCGCAAGGAAGAGAAAAGTCTCTGACGGATGAGACTTGTCTTTGTGTTGCAGCTGAAGGGCTGAAGAGTGTGACTGTGTCGAAGCGCTGGAATCAACGTGCAACGGTAATGAAGGCGATGCATATGAAAAATATGGCACATATGACATGCAGGCTGACACGAATTCATGTATAGCTGGTCGTAGACGCGATAGGATGTATGACTCTCGCATGCCACCATCAGATGGGCCTGCTTGACTCTGCTGGCCGAAACGTGTGAAGCCGGAGGGTAGGCCGCCGAGGGGTGTTCTATAGCTTGTGATTCCAAAACCAAAAGAGGTCGTTGATGATGTTCCTGGCGCAAAGGATGAAGGGTTGGAATAGGGATATGCCTCCCGAAGTTTTCGAGCTGATTGCTCCAGAGCTTGTATAGCTGTATCCAGCGTCGGACGGGGTATCAGAGGTAGTATGAGAGATTTAAGTGATGGTTGAGCGCTAATCATAGAATTAAGCAGAGGAAGCAGCGATTGCGGTGGCAGACTCGCTGATTAAAGCAGGTACGCGAGGTTAAATTCACCAGGATATGATAGGTGACTGAAACGACATACCAAGGAGAACGCCGACGTCAACATCGTTATCTGAGCCCACTGAGCTATTTTCTTTTCCACCTTTGTCATCTTTTGAGTGAACAACAGAGGCGACCTTTGCTCGCTTTGGTGCCGCACGCCTAAGGCGTTCTGGTGTTGGACTTCGGTCCATGGCTACGTCCCGTGCGCCATGTCGACTGGAGCTTTCCGTTTCATCGTCTAATTCATGTCTTCTTTTCTGTGGGCGGTGAGCAGAAGCGGGGAGGTTCATGCTGGAGGCTAGTTGCTGGAAAGTAGCAGGCTGCGTATGTCCCAGGGACATTGTAGACTGGCAACTAGCTCCAGAGCTTACTGAAAGGCCGAATCCGAATCCCAAGCAGGATGGGGAATGACTGGTTGGGTTGTGCAAGAAATCTAGCGGGGGGTGGACTAGGTTGGCCATGATTCGGTTGGTGGAGATGCAAGCACCCTTCAAGGGACAAATGCCACACGCGACTACATGCTTTTATCACATTGACCAGCCCTTAACAAACGCACGTGACATTCTCGTATTAAACCAGTTGGTTTTTTTTTCAATCTTTGTTCTGCCCTCCCGTCATCCTCAATCAAGGTGAGCATCAATATCTCTAGTCGTATCTCGCAGTGACGAAGCAAACGAATCGCTACTTCGAAGCTCGCAGAGCTAATGAATTTTTTCGTTTATACCCAAATTTCTGAGCTGTTTATGACACTCAGTTTCTCGCGTCATTATGCTTACCACCTTGTTGCAGTTCCCTGATTCCCTGTCGCAACAACTAGAATGTTTGCATGACGCTGTGAGTATCATATTCATCCCCTTCTCGAATGATAGAATAAAATAGAAGTCAAGCCCTGACCTTGTCTAAAGGACAAGTGTTGATGAGCATCCATGCTAATACTGATTCCACTATCAGCACTGTAATCACTTGATACTAATGTTTTTTTCTTTAGGTATTGGCACTCCGCCTGCTTGAATGTATGTTGGTACTGGGTTAGTTGATAATGTAGAAGTATACTGTGTAATCCATATCGCATCTACACTTCTGAAAGATCTCAGCTCTGTGTCCACTAATTTCGATGTTTCAAATTTGTCTGTACTCTAAGTCTGCAAATGGTTTGTTGATAATATTGGTTGAGATAGCTTTTTGTGAAGTGCTAGTGTGTCCAAATGAATAAATAATATGTGCAATGTTATGTCGAATCTGTAACTGTCCACAACGAGTTGGCCAACCACATCACTCCCACCCACACCCCTAGCTTCACTTTCACTCCGGGTCTCCAACTCCAACCCGATTCTCCATACCACACCTTGTAGCCTGGGGAACGCTGCGGCGACGTCCCTTCAGCCAATCTATCCACCCATCGTCTCGCTGGTCGCACAGGCGTATCGGGTTCCATGGGATGACTATCGCCATCCTTACTCGTGTGGATGTCACTGGTGAGGGGAACAGATTCTGCAGTGGAACCCGATGATCCTATGTGGCGGCTGATGGGGCGAGTTGAAATAGGAAGTGAAGTTTCTTTGCTTCCGCAGATCCACGTCGTAAGCTCTCCTGTGGCATGGGAAACACGATCGGAGATGTAGATGAAGATAATCGTGGAGATGACGAAGTTTACCGGACGCCAACGTGTTCCAGGCAAAAGGAGAAGAATACCCTTCGTGTCACCCGCGAGCCACAGGTGATACTGGATAATGAACGTCTCCAAAGAACATCTGCCGATAACAGAGAAAGCCCGAGAGCTACACGAACGAAGGGAGGAACTTGCGTTCCTGAGAGTGACGAAGGCCGCTATGGGCAAGAATGATATATATGGATGCCATGCGTTATAGCTGAACTTGCTTTCTTGCATCAGTTCAAACCCGAAGAACCATAGCAGGATGGAGATCGAAATCCCGACAGCCACTTTCACCGCCATGGGCCAAAGGTGATGGTCGGTGAGTCGATGTGCTTGAATCTTGATGACAGCAATCGCCAGAAGCATCCCGAAATACACGATCCATAGGTCAAGAGTTACTCGGAAATTCCATTCACGAGCGGACCAATGGATACTGAATATCCGGTCTAGGAACGCGAATACGGCATCCAGCATCCACGTCTCAGTCATGAACCACGTGAGTATGGCCATCGAGATCAGAATCTTCGATAAGAGAAATGGCATGCGATCGTTGTATTGTGAACCTATCGCCATCGTTCCGTAAACGATGAGATACCACATCGAGACAAGGGGCGAGAAATAGTACGAAAGGTAATTGACATCCATGGTGTATGCCAGTACTACCGTTAGAAGGTTTAGGCGAACCAATACCTACAATTAATGTTATTGAATGTCCTTAATTTAGGGCATGGGTGCTTACCTGGGCAACACGAAGAAAGCCAAAGTCAGCTTTCTTGATGTAAAAGGTTGTGTGTCCATAACCAGTCATGAACAAATATGCCGCGACCAGCACGCGAATAGGATTGTAAATTCCAGAAATCTTAGATGCCCCCGTATAATGATATACAAGAATTGCGACTGAGACAAGAGTAAGTATATATGGACACTGGAGCTCGTAGTGGCATACCTTGCATCCAACCTTTCCACTCATCTGTTTGATCGCGGTTTAAGAAGCCCATATCCTTGTCGCCACGCTTCATGGTTGACAGCCCAACCACGAGAGAAGATAGTAAGAGAAACCCGAAAGTCCATGGAACGAATTGTTTTTGCTCTTTCAGCCAAAAGCCAGTTCGATCAGCGATGAAGATCGTGCCAATGGATAAACCAAAAATAACAGCTGGCATATATTCGTCTGCGAAGGATATACCTTTGGTTGGACTCCGAGCGTCTGAATAACAATCAGGTTGTGCATTTTCCAAAGAAGGACGGGCTTACACGCAAGGTACCACATAATTGGCCCGTACACCACGACAACTGCTAGGATAGCGAGCTGCAACGACGACGGCGATGGATAAGCACGGCAACATGTCTTATCAAAAGGGAAAGTCTTTGGCCCCGCGTCATTACAGCGCAAATTAAGGAGGATGTTAGCATGTGCTTTCACAATGTCGTCCGAGAAATGGAGTCCGTCTTCCGTGCTAGCGTCGTCAAGCATTTTATTGAAAACAAGTGGCAAAGAAACAGGTAATGCCACGGGAGAGCTCGAGAATATGGAATAGAGATCAGATGATGGTGGGTTAATGCGATGATAAAGGTCCGAGTTCATCGCATCTATGTCTGAGGAGTGCATGGTTTCGGCACGTGCTGGAGAGAGTTTTGAAGGTACAATGTCCTCCACAGGGAGAATGACTACTTCATCTGCCGGCTTTATTGGTGTTGCATAGATAGACTCCAAAAGACTCTCCATTTTCGCTTCCCAGGCAGGGAGTCCACCGGTAGTATCGGCATAACGCAGGTACCACAGGCCTGAGCCTAGGACAAGCATAGCAGGACGGTCATCGACACCACGGCGAGGCAAGTGACCGTGGATGAGAGCAAGAGTGCTTGATGTATTCAAATACGGATCCCAGAAGAAATCCAGGGTTGTTACCGATTCCGAAGTGAAGGAATGGTTCGAATGCTTGTGGTTGTCATCAGGAGGAGCGCTTGGAAGCTTTGGATCGACAATATGCATAAACTGAAAGTATAATGTGCGCGTTACGGAGTCGCCAATAAAGACGACGCGTCTGGAAGCCAGACAAGGCGTGGTATCCTTAGACTGGTATACATGTAGCATACAACCTGGATAGTATGAGCACGATAGTTGAAGCCTGAACAACAAACAGCACACCCTCTGGTTGCCAGTTGTGGTGGTTCTCATCCAACCAAGTGCCTCTAGTAAGCAGGGAATTGCAATGCAGTGGATCTGCTCGGCCTGCGCACCGCCCCGTTAGCTGAGTCAAACTGTGAGAGGGATGAGTGCGCTAACCAGAAATGATATAATGCAGTATCCCTGCCAATATGGCGAATGCTCCGGTGGACAGAGCTACATAGTGGTGCCATGAGGGATTGAGCGAGAACAGTCTTTTGGACGAGGACATGGGAGGGGTGGTGAGAGCCTACTGCGGGTGGCGGTACAGTATGTTATTATCCCTCAGCTGGAAGTCAAACAGCACTTATGTTTTCACGTAAGCCTTGGGCTACATCACTTGCGGATGAGCCAGCGAACTCGATGACTCGCCCCACTTCTAAAGCATACTATATACAGGTACCTTTTTGGGCTTACTGTCAGGTCTACGTAGTAGGATCTGCATTGTTACTGTAACAACCCAACAGTTGCAAAGAATCAATCCCCGTTATGTATATGGAAACACACGATAGAATGTGCCACTTGACACCCAAGCTGGGGAGTGGGCCAAATCATCAGTGTAGTCCTATTGTCCATCGGTACACATGAAATTATGCAGTGTACGAAGCTAATGTCCTAGTGTGAGATTGGAAAGAGTCTTTAAATACTTGACCCGCCAGTGGTTGTATCAGTGTTGAAGCCTATCCAATACAAGTCAGCAAGCAATCGAACAATGAATTATAATAGGAAGCACGTACCTGTACCTTGGCAGTGATTGTTAGATGCAGTGGGTATACATGATAGGTACCTGCAGCCCGTGCACGCTGAGAAAATATTAGCCGTCATGCCTTCGTAATCACAACAAACACGAGCCTGCATATGGATCTGAAGTATAGAAGTTCCGGATCAAGACGACGAAGAGAACAACTGCCAATGGTATGGCTATCAGCCGAAAACCCCACATGATGAGCTTATGACGTTTCGTTGGACTGATGACAGGGTACAGGGTTGTGCCAACAAGAAGGCCCATACACAAGCCTCCAAGGTGAGCTGGAACATTCTGTGAGCAAAGTTGCAGGGCGAGAGAAATGTTGCATTACCAAAATTATCCACATCTATCGAAAAGAAATCAGCAACGATGTGCAGGACTTCATAAATGCATACGTACAAGGTATGTACCCAAGAGCGATACCAAAGAGTAGCTCCACTGTCATGATAGCGAGCTGCGGAAAGCACATGAGAGAAAATCTACTGCTAAGATAACAGAAATCACCTTTCTACCAGGTCGGTGCTGATATTTCCAGTGAGCAAAAAGATCCACCCATGTAACCTTGAGAGGTGATCAAAAAGTGAAAGGTGCAAGCAGGTTTTACAGCTTACCGCAACTGTACCAAAGATGGCGCCACTGGCGCCTATCGAAGGTGCCCCGACCAGTGAAAAGTTACCGCCCAAAACGTTACTACGTCATACGTCGTTGTGAGCATAACAATGAAATGGGCCCGGACGTACCCAAAAATTCCGGCTGCGAAATATGTTATAAAAAAGCCAGCGGAACCCATCTCTCGCTCTATCTGAAGGAGCATGAGAGCAAATAGCTGAGGGTAAAAAGAACTACCAACTTGAGCGGATATTGTCAACTGCGCGATCATGTTTAGGATGATATGGATGAAACCCGCGTGCAGGAATATGGCAGTGATAAATCTGAAACAAAAAATTCCAGCCCTGAACTACTGCGACCACGGCTTCCCTACCTGAACCACTGATTGGGCTCACCACCGTGGAAGCCACCAAAGCCACACACCTCCTCGATCGAACAAAGCCGATCTGGCGGATTTGCAGTATCGTTGAGGCCTGGTTGTTGAGACCGAATCAGTAACGGTCGCCAGCATTTAAGACAAATTTATCTTACATGCGATTTGGGTTGTCAAAGGGAGCCCTTGAACAACTTTCATGCATGGCGGGAAACGAGCACCTAAATTGATCAATGCACTCTCCGATGGCCCAAGCATGGGGTTTACGACTGGCTGAGCGAAAGTCAGCAACTAATGTTATACTGGCAGACTATTTGAAAACCTTGAAGGATACTGGGGTACCCTGTGCTCTGCTGTTCACAACTAGCTCGTTGATGAAAACGCCAATCATGACGATTGTTAGTGCCCATGCTAGGATCGCGATATTAGAATGTCTCGCCGGTGTAATACTGGTTTAATTACTCACCAACAAAAGGATACTTTTGCCGCCCGATACCCCGTTTCTTGTCCTCTATCCGCTGATCCATAGGATACTTGCCCGTGTTTATCCCAAGAGCCTTCTGAAACGGATATGCCCTGTCTGCGACAAGCTTTGAGTTCTCGCCTGATGGCTCTGCATATTCTAGGAAATTCAGGCCATTGTTGACGCTACCATGATAGCAAGACACACCCAAGTCCTGATAACTGTCTGATCGTCCCATATCCGCTGCATCATGCATGAGGTATTCATCTGACTGGCCGACGACAGACGATGGACGCGATTCCTCGTCCTTATATGGGACGCTCAAGTCGCCGAAAATTGGCGCATTTCTTTCGGTCAATGACGGTGTAGGTTGCCGGCTTGGTATGCCTGGCAGAGGAGGAGACTTTGTACGTCGATAGTTGAAGATGAGGGATTGCGCTTCAGTGTGACCTGCGTCGAGCAATGACGACGAAGGGTCTGGGGCAGGAATGCCGCTGGTTGTCGTTGTGAAAGTCATTGTATCGTCATGTATTATTCCATCGAAACCGCCAAAGGGCTTGTCTCGACCGTCATCCCCAAATGGATCCATATGCAAGTTTGATCCAGCCGGATGGTTTGTATTAAAATGTGCCATGATTTCCAGAAGCAAGGCGAAAAGGGGGGAAAAAATAAGGGAAGTACAGTAGTGGTGTAGGAAAGAAAGTATGTGTCGACTGTCAAGTTACAAACGCTGGCATAAGCCGCATAGCTTTCTAGGGTTCGAATTTCAATATCACACAAGCACAGCCTCACCACCACCAACCCAACTACCCATGGGTCTCTGCCAAGTCTCCGCAGTAGGCTCCTGTAGCGAAAGCGGCGATGGATCGCCAGTCAAGTGAATAAATAGTACACCACAGTGCGCACACTGCACAGCCGTGATACGCTCGAGGTCAGAATATATTACTCACCGTGAAGAGTAGTAGTAAGTAGTAGATCTGCGCTCGTGGTCCGGATCGGCGCTGAGCACAGCTGGGAAAGATCATATTTGGATCGTATACATATATACACTGGCCGCTGTTATACATACTCCATCGTCAAGCTTCCTCCAATGTCACAACTTTAATCTCGGACCACCAACAGATTGCCAACAGACCATCAAATCACCTCAGTCGATTGGAAGTCCCTCACTTCCATGCCACCTTTTCAGAAGTGTGTTACTGGGCATACCGAAAGGGTCCAAAACTTTCTTAGCCACCTCAACCCCAGCAACAGGAAGATTAGAGGGGTCCAATAGTCCAAGCTGCACAAGAATCCCGGCTTGGTCCCAGTACCTGAAAGGGTGAGCTATGTAGACTATGAATGGATCGAAGGAATACCCACAGATGTCTAATATGCAGCGTCGAGGATAGCACCTTCATACTATGAGAATTGACTAAATGCACTTACTCAAAGAAAAGCTTGTCGCCTCTAAAGGCTACTATCCCAACCATAGCAATCTCAATGTGTTTCCCTGTCGGAGCTATTCCAGGCAGAAAACTGTCGACGGACAGGTCGGCTCAATGAGACAAGGGAAAATCCCTTCAGAACGTACTAGTCTATTTCCTGAAAAGGATCTCCAGCTCATGCATAGGACATCGATACATCGCAACTTACAGATGTGTGGTGGCACTTGAAAATCATCTCGTCGACGATCCTGTCGCAACCAACTAAACAAAAATTTAGTGGGTCAAGTCTTGAGTTGAGACATGCATGCTTCACCAGTTCGGGAGACTGTAATGAGCTCAAAGTCTTGCGGTGTCACCTGCCACAAATCGTGAACGCGGAAAATGCATGGGCGTTAACCCTTACAGTTGTGAAATGATACTAAGAGATGGACAGGTTAGCACTGAGCTGGAACATTTTGGCCCACTAACCTTGTAAAATCTGGCCAGATCGTCATACCCAACACCCCCAGTCATCGTTGGAACATGATTGACGTATGGTGTGGCGACCTGTCAAAGTATCACTGCCTGCTAATTCATGGATTGGAGTCAGATGAACCATTGTAGACATCGTCTCTGATGAATGAATGAGTTTAGAATCCTTGCTTTATATGCGCCAGCAATGATCCATTGACATACTAGGTGCATTTCTTTCGATAAATTCCTGCCCGTCAAAATGTGTGAGTCACTTATTTGGCATATATGATTCATTTACGTAGTAAGTATGCATCTCCCAGAGCCTCTCGAGGTTGAAATGAGGGCCAAGATGTGCCTTCAATAATTCGAGGGTACGGGTAAGCGACAGGTTAGAGGCTGAACGAAGATAGGGATCGACTGCTTGTTTATCGTCAACATTCACGGTGACGGGGGGTTGGATCGAGAAGGGAAATGGTGGGGATTTTGACACGAGAGGGTACGAATATACCCGCACCGGTAATCGAGAGTGAGTTGGAAGGGAATAACCAAGATTAATCGGATCCTCGAAAAGCAACAGAGAAGCATGGAGCACTTCTTGAGAAGAAGCGAGATGAAAAGTAACTCTTGAAAGCGACAACAACTATAAGCTAATAATCTCATAATTAAGGCGACAGCCTACTTACGGGATATGTCTCCCCTGGCTGTCCTTTATCAAAAACCCATGGGTAGCTTCAGCATCTGGGCAAAAGTGCGCACAAGCCTTCAAATCTGCAAGCGACAGAGCGAGTTTCGACACAAGGGTCTCCGCATCTTTTGTAGTAAAACCGTATGTCAGCAGTCCCCAGTCAGCTCCCAGCGCGATGATTTTGTCGTCGACTTCTTTCATCGCATCTTTGAAAGAAGAATGCGGGGGAAGAGGGTATGTCAAATGCACCACGTTGTATCCTTCGTGTGCGAACTGAAAAGGATGGGACCGAGTTGGCCACAAACTATCTCTGATAACACACCTGTTGGCACCAATTAGTCTGATCTCGCGGGAGTAGCATCAACAGAGTTGCAGGTTTCGCTACGGAAGCCACGGCATTGAAGAATACTTCTGTCTGGGTCATTTTTGTAGTTGTGGTGCAGAACGTCACCGGACTGGGTCAAGGTTAGTATGCCCTAAGCAAACTGATTGTTCCTTCTATATATATTTAGTCTCCCTTAAGCTTGTCGGTCGAGTTGACCTTGTACGACAATCCAATGATGCGAAACAGGTCAACACATTCTTGTAACGGTAACACAATGTATGCGTAATGTACGAAAGTCCAACACTAGTGCGGTATCGAGGTGAAGCAATGGCAGATAGATGAATAGATGAGTCTGACGATTCACAACAAAATTGGTGTGACAGGTTCTCCAATAAGACTGAGGCGCCCTCTACTACGGGCTGATGGTCTCTTGGTAAGTGGTGTGCCGTGCGATACGGCGCGGGGGACATCAGTGTTGATGCGCAAGTCATCCATGTCATCGGACAATGGTGTGGATGGGTAGGTCTCCTCGTACGCTTCTCCAGGCACGGACACTTGCAATTTCTGCGGTTTAGTCCTGAACCTGTCGACCCACTGTAGTGTTTCGAAATCGACGTTCCGTACCCTTCTACTACGACATCTCCACTTCATTGCCCCTCCATCGAGAGTGCTTGCTCGGCTGGTGCTCTGAGCACTGGCAGCGGGTCGCGCATCTGCCAGCTCACCGTATCCGGGAACCATCCGTTTCTCGGGTGTCGCAGAAAGCATACGAGGGTCCGACGGAAGGAACAGAGGTAGCATATGACGAGAATCAAGAAGCTCCCCTAGAACTTGGGGTGGTTTGGCGGGCTCCCATTCAGACTGTGAGTGGGAACGATCGAACAAGATGTCGATGCTGTGCTGGGCGGCAGAGGTTTCTGAAGAGGTGTTGATGCTTGCAGGTCTTGCATTAGCTTCGCTCGCCGTGCTATCTTCAAGTTCGCGTTCGCGTTCACGCTCGCTCATCTGATGGGATTGTTAATTTTGCTCAGCAAAGACAGTAGTCAGGGCAATACCTCCTTGCGCATGGCTTCAACACCCATCTTAACACGATGGCGTTCCCAGTCCTTCTGGAGCTGCGTCAAATACTGAATGCACTCCTCTGTCATCCTCCCCTCATTAACCTCGTATTTGTAATCTCGCACAGCACGTCGCATCTGAATTTCAGCGGTAAGCCTAAAATCATGATATACAAAAAAAAAAAACTTGCTTGTAATGGGTTAATACTCTTCATTGTCTGTATAGTAGCCACCAGGTTGGAGAAATCTGTAATCGATGAGAGGCGCTGTAATCACAATCTTGAGCGGGCGACAAGATAAATTCAAGTATTAAGACCTCACCTGAAGCCAGTTCAGCAAGTCCCGTACAGGTGTAAGATGGGATGCAATTCCACGAGGTAAACCCATATCTTCTACCCACTCTTCCAGCACGACCAGATTCATGCCGATCTGTACCGCTTTAGACCTAAGCTTGGTACGTATGAGTACTGACAGACGACCTTTGCAACAAATACGTACCGGCAGAGATACTTTTTCCTGGTCAGAACTCGATTGAATAATTCACCTGACGTCGTGAGTCAATTGTGAGTGAGAAGAAGGGAGATTACACCCACACGAAGTCCAGTACATTACTTGAGACCAGAATTGAATTATTAGCACAGGATTGATGTCCGAAAGGGTTAAGAGTCTATGTAACGCCGTCAAGAATGAAGTCAGGTCCCGTAATCCTGAAGTCTGTGAGACATCAGAAATGGTGTTGAATCCCATCGAAGGTGCTCTTGCGCGCGAAAGGGTTTGTCTCAAAGACGATAATCCTTTAGGTGTGACAGGCGCGGGGCCGTGCAACAATGGGGACGGAGATGGTGGGCGACTCGGGAGAAAAGGAGGTGAAGATGGTGTGCCATTCTTCGGTGTTCCATGATTTGGAGTATTTGCCGTACTCGTCTTCTTCTTGGCACTGAACGGCCTCAAGAATGACCATTCTGATTCAAACTGCACTGATTCGAATTCCGAAGACACGGGTGAGCTGTCCAGTATTGCTGCATCCAGTAACTGGTCTATCCGACGCTCAGCGTAACGAATGACGAATACTTCAAGATGCAGTCAGAAATACAAGCACGACCAAAAGAAGACAAACAAAACTCACCGAACACAGAGTTGATCACTTGCTCGAGGAGTTCGAATGAGCCTAGCATCTCACAACCCTCGTTTATAGCGTTGTCGCACTGCATGAGGTGCAACCATATGGTGGAATTGTATAAGCAAAATACGAGACAAGCAATATCTTCTGGACGGCTCTGAGTGATCAGATTAGCGAAAAGAGCATAATGCTAACAAGCATGCACACAAAAAACTTCTCTTCGATTGCATCCGTCGCTCCCAGTACGAGATCTTCAAGCCATGTTTGATCGCATGTTAAGCATGCAAAACGCGCCATAAGATATAAAGTAATCGCAGGTTGAGAATTCCGAACAGATGTATGAGAGGTCGTGATGACTGCGTCGAAAATATGCGACAACTCTTGTGGAGACCATGCGAGCATGGATGTGAAGTCTAACAACGGAGTCTCCGTGGCAAGATAAGACAATTGCAAATTGAATTTGAAGGAAGATATGCGACTTACATACAGTTCTTCGTCAAGTTCGTCATCCTCGCTGTCAGAATCATCTGACGAGGAACTTTCATCTTCCTCATGGGAACCCCACCATTGATTCTGTAGGCCAAGCACTTTTGAGACATTCTCGCGGACGCTTTTTTGTCTCCCTTTACGTTTAAGCTTCTCGTCCAACGCTCTCCGCTTCTCCTCCATCCTACCACCCATCCACCCTTGGCTACGCATTGCTTCTTCAAGTAACAGCGCAATGTCGTCACGCCCTGGCAGAACCGTGTGGGCAGTCACTATATCGAGCGGCGTCAGCCGTCGACGTGTTTCTGCGAAAGGGGAGCATCCATGCGTCATCAAATGGGAAACGAGAGTTGGAGGACAAAGAACTGCAGCGTGATGCAGGGCAGTCCAGCCGGCTAACGGCGAAATGTCAACAACTGGGTGATATGAAACCGATGTACTTGCCTTTGTCCGCAGAGGTAGCGTCAGCTCCTTGTGCAATCAGTAGCCGAACACACTCTTCACGCTCAACATCTCTCTCCGATTCAGACCCGAAACCTAGGATTGCAAGACTGATCAAGCTAAGCCCGTCTTCGTCGCGTACGCTGAGGTCGACGTGAGGTTGTGATTGATGGTCGGACAGAAGATACTGGAGAAGCGATAGATCCCCGAATATGCACGCTCGTGACAGAGAATGGGATACGAGTTCAGACTTTTGGGAGGGAGCTAAGCCCGAATCAGGTGACAGCGAGTGGGATATGTAACTGGAACTCGGGTACAAAGGATGAAGATCAGGCTCCGGGGAAAAATCCAGTGGTCCCAACGATGCAGTGATCATTGTCGATATAAAACGGTTGAGTCACTGATAGCAACAAAGCAGCAATAGCCGTTGCCAGTAACCGCGTCGACCACTAGATGACGGACCTATCTTCTCCTTGGAAAGACCGCGATGGGCGAGACGGAGATATTCCGCAGTAATCGCTGTACAAAGATTAATCTATACGGTCTCGATGCTTGCGAGAAAGTCGTTTAAGCTAAAATTTAAACATGCTTGTGCATCCTAGTGTGAGCAAAGTACTTGTCCAAATCGGAATTTGGCTAGACTGATCTCAATTCGGACGGCCTGTTTCTCGACCACATCATGTCTGTCAAACGGCTAAAACGCTCAGAAGACGGCGATGTCGACGCGTCAAGCGCCGGCCACGAACGGAGTGACAATGACATGGAAGCTGAAGTACAACAGTCCACCACCTCTGCGGCCTCATCAGACGATGATGATTCTCCGGACACTGACGCTGAAATTGCGGATGCAAGGATAACAAAGTCGAAGAAAACATTAAAACGAAAGCGGCGGGCGACAGAGCCCTCGCAATTTGGTGCTACCCTGCAGAGCTTGCTTGACACTGTTGCACCCTCGGAACTGCCATTGTCTCTCAAACCTTCCATTGCGCGCCAGAAAAATGGTGCAAAGCTTGAATCGAAAGCCCATAAAGTGCTTCAAATAGAGAAGAAGGAAAAGGCAGATAAAGGACGCATACGGGATGTTATCGGAGGCTGGGGCGGTGAGAGTGAACGATCGTTGCGCAAGGTTGCTCAGCGAGGAGGTACGTGTATGCCACTTGCGCTGTCCTATCGTGCATTGAACATTCGCAAGTGGTAAAACTCTTCAATACTATTCAACAATCGCAAGCGGCGGCAAACGTCGCTGTCGAACAGTCAAAAGGTTTGCGAGGAACGGGAAAGCCTACGCTTCCAGCGCCCCTGTTGGACAAGAAGCCGAAAGGAAAAGCAAAAAGCAAACACAAGGACAATATTATTGGGAGAGGAAATCCAGGTTCGTGTCTGAATTGATGCTGGCAGTCCTAAAGTGACCCATTTCACAGCAACAATTGGGAAGGACGATTTCTTCGACATGATCAGGTCGGGTGGTATCGTCTCAAAAGTATAAGCGGGTTGCGCATCCACGTCGGCATGACATTTACTCAGATGCATCAGAGCTAGTAGGCCTGAAACGGTTTGCTTGTCGGAGCTGGATACGAGCTGTCGTACGCAGTGCGATGCTGCGAATACAATGCGGGTTCCTCGATTGAGAGGGGCGATACATTACTTCGTGCACGGTGCAATACAGCCCTTCTCGTGCAATCATTCTCAGTCTCGTTCACTTACGTTGGCATCCGATGCATCCGTGCGTCAATCATATGCAGATTTGTTTCACACCTTGGGAATTACGCACGATCGCGGGTAAGTGATGCAACCTTTTAGTGGGTAAACTGGAGTCTTTCTTGTTGGGCTCCAGGATACGCTAGTAGGCCATTCACCAACGATCGAGATCTAAAACGACGCGTAGAAGTTACACGTTGCCGTTTCGTACATTTGAGCACGCGTTTTTCTTCACTTATGACACACGTGCTACTAGTTGCTTATATACCTTTTCCCTGTGATGTACATGTGGTTGAACCTGACCGGTCTGACCTTGGAACGCAAACTACGCCGGGAGTACTTGCCAACTTTGGTCACTTACAATACTCGGCGAACATTAAATTTGCATTTGGTCTGCATAAGGCTCTGCCCCGTGGTCAGGAAGACAATAAAATGATGACGAGGAGGATTACATACAGAACTCGATCGATGTCAAGCTTTCCCGATTCTTGCCCAATCAGAACTCAACAGGGTTGCCATACCAAACCTGCCCTGAACTAGCGCAGGAGTTTAAATTCCTTCCACCTTCACCCCCGTCACATCCATGGTGTGTATTTTCTTCCTCCGTGCAGCATGTTTCTTATGGTCGTTGGTCAAACTCTAACCTCAGCCTCCGAGGACCATAATTCGTAAAGAAGAGTGGGAGCGACGTCTACGCGAGGTTCAGGTGACAAAAGAGTGAGTGTTTGTCCCTAATTTATGTTTCTGAAAGATGAGACATTATCAATGGGAATCTCTCTGAACTCTTGAGATGAGTCTAAAAATTGCATGTATTATCTGATCTATCCTCGTCGCACTCTGTATCTCGAGCAATTTGCTGACGTTCTTTTTTTAATTTTATTAGTGACTTGAATCGACTTATTATGGACTACCTCGTTATCGAGGGATACAAGTCTGCGGCAGAGGAGTTCAGCGATGAAGCCGATGTTCCACCACCTGTAGACTTTGAGAGTATCGAGAGTCGAATGGTGATTCGAGAAGCACTGCAACGGGGCGATATCGAGGAAGCTATTTCCCGCATGAATGATCTCAATCCAGAGGTGGGTCGCGTATTCGTTTTTGGTAGTTTGGTATCAAGGACGCAAGATTAAAACGTTTCATGCACCACTCTCAGACTTCTTAGGAGTCGGTGATGAGATTCGTAAACCAAAACTTCAGTCTTCAATATGATTCGTCCTTGAAATATTTTACGTGTGGCACGGACAAATTCTTACATTTTCGTTTTCAGATCTTGGATACAAACCCTGCACTGTACTTTCACCTTCAGCAACAGAAGCTAATTGAATACATTCGTGATGGGCGTATCACGGAGGCGTTGCAGTTTGCCCAAGATGAGCTCGCGCCAAGAGGTGAAGAAAGTCCGGAGTTTCTTGCGGAGCTGGAACGTACGATGGCGCTTTTGGCGTTCAACTCTTCATCCTCGGCCCCTCCAACTATCTCCGAACTTCTTTCACCTGCACAACGCATGAAAACTGCGGGAGAGGTTAACGCAGCTATTCTTGAAAGTCTCAGCCAGGGAAAGGAGGTGAAGTTGGAACAGTTGCTGAAACTTATGTGTTGGGGTGAGGGGATGTTGGCTGAACGTGCTGATTTTCCCAAGGTCTGTATCTTGGCATTTAGTTCCGATTGGTTTGGCTGAACTTAAATCCATTAGATTGATCTTCAAGAGGGACTCATAGCGACGGGGAGAAAAGAAGGGACAGCAGTAGATGATTCAAATATGCGAGAATAACGGACAGTACATGTGTATTATTACCATAACATGGAGTGTAGCAGACGGCCAACTTGCATCAGATGAATTTGCTCTTGTCTTGATGGAAAAGCGTGTTTAGGATGGGCGCACTGATCAAAACCCGACTACAGGGATTACGGGTCCGCGGAATAACCGTGAAGCTGGCTAATGAGCTAACTACGTTTGGTCACGGTGAGAGTAAGCCGGGTTGCGATTTAAAGGAAGAACAAGGACTCTCCATAATAATAATTATGCGTGGCAGCCATGAGGCAGTTTCAAACTTTGAGCGTGTTGGTAACGCAAATGAACTGTACAGTAGCTTTGACTTACTTACGGTTGCTGTGAGGTTCATTGCCCCTCCCCTTGTGGCTTATGTCAGCTAAAGCTGAATCGCGGTATTGCGAGGTTCCAGCGCTTTCAAGCCAACGGACAAGTTTGACCACCGTACAGCGACCAGCAATTCCTCTATTCTCCTCCTCATACTCATACTCGTCGTCCTTAGGTTATCCTTTCCATATAAATAAACTCAAGGTAATATTACCAGACCATCAACTCAAATCGCAATGGCTTACGAGCAGCAGATCAATAAACAGTCGGAGAGCGCTGTATGCCCTCCTACTCTATCTCAGAGGACACTAGGTCTTCAAGCGCACCTAGACCTCGTCGTGTTCTCGTTTTATCAAATCCAGATCCAGGTGACTCAAGTAGTAGCGAGGATGAACGTCCTCGTTACCCGCACCACCACCCTCAGGCTTCTAACTCATCCTTGAACCAACATTCTACTTCATCAATCCCCCCTACAGTCAGTCGTCCCGTAAAACCCCGTCCCACTCCCCCCTTGACAACTGATCTACCCCACCACTATCCTCCTTCGCGTTCAAATCCTAACCTCTCCTCGCCTTCGAGTCAGAGCTCAAATGCAGTCGAATCTACTCCTCCACCAAGCACTCCTGGTCAAACAGGACCCTCGGATTTGAATGCTTCCGTTTTTACCATCGATGATGGTACAGCGCCTGGTGAACGTACTGAGACCGCTCAACCTCCTACTCGTCTCCAGAAGATCGCAGATGTCCTCCACTTGCGCAATCGCAGACCCTCTTCACATCATCGACATTTGGGCTCTGAATCTTCTCTCCACGTAAGTCGCTCATTTTATTTTCCATCTCATCTTCATCTCATCTTCATCCTCTCAGTCTCTGTCCCCTTCTTGTTCCTCGCCGACTATTCCTCCTCCGCCTGAATGGGTCATTATGGTCACCTATGACTGTCATGCCTACACAGCTGTCAATATCACGAATGCAAATAGCGCGGCTTTCATCTGGGAACGCATTTTTGCCGAAGTGCGCTAATTTTCCTTGCTCCATTTCAATCCTAACCAAATACCACTACAGCTCCAAGTACCATACGAAGATCAGTCAGGACAGCTTTCCATTTATCGCACACAAGTCGGCAGAGTCGCAATCGGTGAACCGCTATCACACGATCGCCTCATTCGGCTGGTCCGTGAGCAAGGCGACAATGTCGGCAGTTTGAAGTTCCTGGTTTGCCATCCTCAAGCGAGAGTTCAGGAGCCTTCGCTCCCAAGTTCGCCGGTCAAGCCCATGCCCCCGCCTCCGGTCTTGCCGGTAGTGTTCAGTCCCTTGGTCCCGAGACCGCGAACAGCCAAGTCTTCTAAGCAGGAGAGTGTATCTTCTGAAGATCCAACCCCCGATGCAGGCTATGAGCCGTCCGTGATATCTGACGACATCGATGATTCAGACAACAGGAGTACGATGAGGCCAGCTCCTCACCCCAATTTGACAAATTCTTCCAACAGCATGTTATCGTCACCACCACAGAGTGCACGATATGAAGACCGTCAACCTTCTCCCGCATCCGCAAAAACACCGTATTCGTCCGTTGATCGTCATCGTTACGATCTGCCTCAGGGACAGGGCCTTCCCTCTTCTCAATCTACTCCCATTTACGAGGATTTCCTCTCTACCCCTAAACGTCACTTGCGGAGAGGCTCAGATGCAGACGTAGCGGAACAAGCACTTCGCGATGCTGAACGTGCAGCGGAGCAGGACGCAGAATGGGCAAAACTACAGGATAAGGGTATCACTCGGGTGAAAGCTATTAGACAGCGACCAGAAAGATCGACAACCTCCGACGACCAGCGGTCGGATTCTCGAATCACAGCCGCCAGCGAGTCAATGACGAGGAAACCTTCTCCACCATCGTCGTCGGGAATGACGCGTTCGCCTTCGAATAAGAGGAAACCGTCACGCCCTGAATATTGTGATCGCACATCTCAGAACAGGCAGAAGGTGGGCGGAGGCAAGCTTGTTCCAGCACGCTTCCTATCTGGTCACAAGCCAGCCGATTCCACGACTCCTACGAAGCCACCACTCAATAAATCGAAGAGCACAGAGGCTTTCAAGATCCCGATGCCTCCTCTTCAAACGCCCATGCTTCGCACTTCACCAAGTCGGCCCCATCTTGCTACTTCGTCCAATTCGGGCGCTAGTAATTCTTATCCAAGACCCCTAGAACTTGGACCCAGACCCAAACCGTTCCCTTCAAGTAGGCCCGATAATGTCAATGTGGATACCACCACATATACTCGCGCTCAACAACCATTAGCGAGCGGCACTCTTAGCTACCTGTCACCCACCCAGGAACCATACCCGCGTCCACACTCTGCCTCGCCCTCTCAGCAGCGCTACCCTGGCAATGATGTTCATCGCGACCGTGAAGAATTCCGACCCACTCACCAAACTCAGTCCAGCAGTGGCTCTTCAAGGTTTGGTGATGTTGTCCTGAGGGAGGATAACTTTGGGATCCCCCTTCCGCCGTCTCTAAGACCTGGTCCTTATACCGTTTCTCCAGCTCGTACCAATCCTCAGCCAGAAACTCCTCCTCGCAGCCCCGTCACATCTCGACCGAGTACGTCCAATAGTACATCTGCACTTACATTCACTTCCACTGGGACGATGGTGCCCTCGACCTTCAGGAACGAATCTGGTACCAGCAGCCAGGAGAGTACAGCAACGGAGTCCACCATACGTCCGGACGAAAGGGACAAGCTGGTCTGGGATATCAGATCCTTCAGTTCTTCCAAGCCATCTTTATCATCTACGGATTCCTCAGACGATGGAGTTGGCACCAATGAAACTTACGGGACAGCGTCTTCTGATTTGTGGTCACGAAAACCCATGTCAGAAACTAGCGACACCACTAAGGCATCTGTGCTTGGTACCAGACCAAGTCCTCCACGTCCCGCTCTTAACGTCATCACTCCAAGCTCCGGTCCTGGGGGTATGATGCGCGGTGTCCCACCCAATTTCCCAGCACCGCCGACTTTCATGCCTCAGCCTCACTTACGCCCTCCTCGGCCGCGTACGCCGAAGAATAGGCACAAGAGCAGCACATTTGAGGAGTATACGTGGGCACATCGTCCCCCTCCGGAGGATGTCTACGACCGCCTTGAAGAGTTCTTCCCGGAGCATGATCTTGACAAACCCGTCATTGAAGCTAATTCTGGCGGAACGTCGCCTACTACCGTAGAACAGACCTACGGAATTCCAAACGTCGTTGATAGAGACAAGGCGCTAGTTCGACCGAAGAAGTCCATCCGTATCGTAGCGGAAGAGCATAAAAAGCGAATAGATCGTGTTTCCAGGGGTGATCCATTAACCGACACAAGCATCTGGCGGAAGAGGAGCACGAAGTTATGGGGCAGTCGTATCGAGGAAGTCAATACCTCGTCGCAGACGAAGGCGACCTACAACAAGACACATCCTGACTCCCCGGCGGGTGGTCCTAGACGTGAGTTCTTTGGCTTTCTTTGCACCCCTGAGCTAAGCTGTCATTTAGCGATCTTCAAATGGGTCCGTGGTGAACTTATCGGCAAAGGAACGTACGGTCGCGTATATCTTGCCCTCAACGCCACCACGGGCGAGATGATCGCTGTCAAGCAAGTTGAAATCCCCATAACCGCTAGTGACAGAAAAGACAGCCGTCAAATGAGTTTCGTGCAAGCACTCAAAATGGAAAGTGAGACGTTGAAAGATCTCGACCATCCTCATATCGTGCAGTACCTTGGATTCGAGGAGACACCGACGTTCTTGAGCATGTAAGCGCTGCGGAAACTATGTTCGTCGTTGACAGGCATCCTCATTTGCACTTTCAGCTTCCTGGAATACGTGCCCGGTGGTTCGGTTGGAAGTTGTCTGCGAGATCACGGTAAATTCGACGAGGAAGTTACGAAATCATTCACTGGACAGATTCTCGAGGGCTTGGAATATCTTCATTCCAAGAACATTATTCACCGAGTAAGCTTAATCCTCGATCGTTTGTTCGTACCTCATTGTCTCGCATAGGATTTGAAGGCAGACAACATCTTGGTAGAGAAAACAGGCATCTGCAAGATCTCCGACTTTGGGATTTCGAAACGCACAGACGATCTCAATGGAATGGCGTCTACGGCGATGCAGGGCACGGTCTTCTGGATGGCGCCAGAAGTCATACATCCCCAGAAAAAAGGCTATAACTCCAAAATCGACATTTGGAGTGTAGGCTGCGTTGTACTTGAGATGTGGGCAGGGAAGCGACCATGGAGTGATGATGAAGCTATAACAGTCATGTTCAAAGTTCGTTTTTTTGTCTGCTGCATGCGGTACACTTATGAGTTTGTTGCAGGTATACCAGAATAAGCAGCCCCCGCCCATACCTTCCGATGTGTTACTATCCGATCTTGCAAAAGACTTCAAGGATAGATGCTTCGCAATGCAAGTTTTGTTATTTGTCGTCTTGTTTGCCATGCTCACGAATGATGCTCAGTGATCCGGAGGAACGCGCAAGCGCTGCGGACCTTCAGCAACATCCATACCTGGAACTTCCAGACGGCTGGATATTCAACGACTTTAAGTAGGACCTCATTCGGACATATTCTTCAACATCATTCCCTATATCCCCAATTTCTTATCGCATTTACTCTCATTTGTCCCAATCGCGCATCTTTCTCTGTTGTTCCGCATGCTGATTTGTTTCATAATGACCTTTATAATTTTTGTACTTGTGGGGAGGGTGTGCTCGTAATGGCTTCACGAATCCGAGTTAACTCGATTGGTTGCGGGAGTAGTGTCACATCACTAGAATTTGGTAGACGACAATGATATCCTCACGCTTGCACAACGGACGAAATAGTCGAAACGTATACAATGGAAGGTTCTGTCTATGAAATTGCGTTCAAGCCCCCCGAGATGGACATCTAATACACATTGTACGCCAGCCTCTCGTACGGTAGAATCCACAGCTTCAGACGCCACATTTCTGAAGCGTTTTGAGAGCACGCAACTTGATCTTTTCGTTGACCGCTACTCCAGCAAAGTTGAAGCTAGCACCGAACGCAACAGAAGTTTTGCTTTTGGGCCATGCTGGCAATGATGCATGGCACCGAGCTGAGATCTTTCTGAATTCTTGAATGTCTGTGCCCGGACAGAAAGAGTAATTAGAGCCTCAACAAAGAACGATGAGTAATGAACATACTAGTCGTCCGAATAAACAATCGACAGCGGCCAGAGTCCACAGGGTAGATACTAGACTAGTAGTAGTAGAAACCACCCGTGAAGTTGCAGCGAGATAGCGGGAGACTTTCTACCAACGCAGGGACACTGGATGTGAAACCGGAAGCCACGAGCATTCGAACCAACCAACACATATTCCTTATTCGGCGCTGGAAGGGCAGCGATCGGGAACAGAGACGCAAGGTATTGGAGAGCATGAAATTGGAGATAGGTTGACTCGGCCATTCTAATGTTGGCAGTAAGCTTAAAGCTGGATTGCATCCTAACGACGAGCCCGCATCGGCGAGAATCTACGCTCCTGAGCAGGAATACCTGCTACAAGTTCCTGTGCCTCTGTTAGAAGTTAGAATTATGGCGTCGTCCTCAGCGCAGTGTATTAGGAGTATAGCGTGTAAGTTGATGGCGCTCTGAATAAGTAGATGATATCGACTCGGAGTCTTCCCTTAGTACTTAGTAATTACGCCTAAGTAAAGGAGATTACTCTTGACCTTGAAACAGTACTTGCGCTGAATCGATTCGCAGTGTTAGTACCCGTACTTTGAAACGGGCGAGCTACATGCACAAATGTTTTGATCTCTCTAGACTGCCCAAAGTCCCAGGTTTTCGTTCAATCAACGTGAGCCCTCTCTCGCCCCTACCACATCACACCCAGAGTCTCATTTTTCTTCCTTACAGCGTCGTAATGTAACACCCGGCTCCCCTCTTCCTTCCCTCTTCCCCGGTATGGCGCCGTACGACCCTGCCCGCACCGTCGACCCAACGCACCCCGCCACCCGGTGGAAAGCTCGTGCCTTCCCGAATTTTAGTTGCTCCGCGTTCATGCTGCGCGCTGTACCAAAGGGTGCGCTTTTACGCCCAGAGTTCGAGAGTCCCGTGTCTCAGGCGGAGCGCTCGACCATGGTGCCGTGCGGGAACAGGAAGAACAGTCGCAGGAGGTTGGATATGAGCATTTTATTCATGATATCGAAGAAGAAGACGAATAAGAGGGCAGTGGTGCGCAACAGAATCGCGATGCGCATTAGGGCTGCCTTTGAGCTCATCGTCGTCCGGGGTGCGGATGCTGAGCCCAGAGAGAACGTGCAAGGCGGAGACGGGGGAAAAGAGAGTAGGCCTGAAGAATCAGCATCGTCAACCGTTGCTCGGAAGCCCAATAAAAACAATGACCGTTCGGTACACAAGGCGAGACTCGCCAACATGGTATTTTCAGCCACCCCGCCTAATCTTGGGCTGGTGTCCAATCCTGCGCCTACCAAACACCTAATCCTCCAAGGTACGTTATCAAAAGAAATATTTATTTGCCTCTTCTCTTCTGACACGGACCAAGACTGGACATATGTTATGTCGCCCTCTCTTCTGAGCTACCGCATGCCCCTCCCCGATCTCATACAACACCTCCGTACAGGCCTTGAGAGCATTCGAGCACAGTCTATGAAACTCGATGCGCTATGGGCACTGGACAAGAGAACAGCCAACTTGCCTTTGGCCCCCATCACAAGCGAAGAACCTGAAGAAAACTGGCGACAGATCGCAACTGACGAGGATGAGCTCCCCGCGCTATTCGACCTCGATGCGCCAGAGCAAGCCTTCAACAAGAAGGAACGATCTATCAATACGCAGAAACAGCCTATCAAGCTGTTTTTCCCGACATTGCCGCCGTCTGGAGAGTCCCTCTCTGCGTTGTTCGCTGATGGTCAGCCTGTTACTTCGCCCACATGCACTACGAGGCGATTGACTCCATTGGCGAATGGACCAAGTCATCGGTCTCCCGATTCCATTTCTGATCCTTCGAAAGTTCTCCGACCTCATCGCCCTGCACAGTCTATATTTAAAACTGGTGCAATGGATCGTCTTGCGACCGTAAAGAATCGGCCCCTAGTTGTACTGGGTCGTAAATCAGAACCAAGACATGTGTAGAAATTTTGCGGGTATCAATGATACCCAGATCACTCCACCGCTTGTACATTATTCACCTAGTAAGCTTAATCTTCGGTCATTTGTTCGTACGTTGTCGGTGATTCTTGGTGATCCGGAGGAACGCGCGCGGAGCTTCACATCATCATGAGGAGCAGTGTGACGTCACTGAAGTTTGGTGCCCTCATAAATGACAGTCCCACCCTGATCACAAGAAGCAATGCAAACACAGGCTAGTACCGCTCATAAACCAGACGCAGATGTTACGCAGGCCGCCATACGAATACAACGTGCGTGGCGCAGAAGGCTTGCCGCCAAATCATATCCGCAACTTGAACCTATGGACACAAACTCACGCTGGAAGGATGCTACCATCCATGCGCGGATGAAGGTATTGTGATGCAATTCACGTGTTGTGTAGGTTCTTGCTGATGGCACTGTGGACAGGTTGATAGGCAAGATGCCGACAATGGAAAGAATGACTCTCGTACGCGCTGGAGGCGCGGTGTCTTCATGGTATCCAGGATTCAAGACAAGAATACGCTATACGCTAGGGATGCGGACTTGGAAAACACGAGGTGCGAGGACGACAAGATGTTGGAGACGCAGTACTGGCTGGAGCTCATAGACTCGTACGTGAACACGTTGAAGTTGCAACACATTCATCGGTGATACAACATTTGGATTCTAGGAAACACCGATATGGTTCAAATTGTACGTATTCACCCAATTTTCTCTCTGGTTTATCCACCGAGTTTTGCATTGAGTAACGTTCGCGAACCTAGTGAAGGTTCGTGTGCCACTGGTTCCAGGATTCAGAACTTTAAGAAAATATCAGTGGTATCACAGACGATGGCAGCAGGATGATACAACTGACAACTTTTTCAAGTGGTGCGATCTAGAAGGTACTACATGTGCTTTTGGCTGAATTTCTAACTATAGGCTGGATCGAGGAGCCGGGAAAAACATCAATCTTGATGAATGCCCGAGAGAACGGCTAAACAAAGAAGCAAGCATTATTTCGTCTCTTGCACTGAGTGACTCTCTTACGTTTCTTCTGAACATGCAGCGAATAGTGTAGGTCGAATCACACATTGTAGAATGTGCGCCGTAGTTGACTGCTATCACAGGTACCTCTCACCCGAACAAAGTCAGTTATTACTTGTTGCTCCTGGTCATATCTAACTAGCGCGGTTTAGGAATAAACTACCTGGTCAGCATTGATGACGAAGGGAAGCTTCGATGGGCTCGCAATAACGCTTTAATCGATACCACTGAAGGAAAATGGCAAGTTCGGGGCGAAGGCAAGGGTATCATTCCTCAAGATAGCACTCGTACATATCCCCCCATCCCTCCTCACCGCAATAGTTTCGGGTCCCTATCGTCTACTTCAGTCAGATCCCGACAGGAAGACGAAGCAACTCATTATGCCGGGTCCCAAAAGGGACGAACTCGACTTGGACGAGCCATTCGTCGGCACTTCACATTGAGAGGCACGATGGATAGATTGTTGAGAAAAACAGTGAGAAAGAATACATGGATCTATGTCGCAGTACGTTGCAATAACTCGAGATGCTTTAAGCTAATACGCGGTCAGGATAAGAGCTGTGAGTCATGCATAATGTGTTTAACTTGTATGCATAAGAAACGCACTTCCAGTCAACATGTTCATTGGAATCAAAGGTATTGACGTGTCTAGAAAATTACTCTAGACTGCTAACGATGTGCTATGGAGAAACGGGATTGTTTCAGCATTCATCATTTCTAGCTGGCGGCATTGTCACGTCTGCAGGAGTTATCTCTGTCAAGGAAGGCGTCATCCACAAACTGTCTCCGTTGTCCGGCCACTACAGGTGAGATTCACTATGTTGGCTATACTCCTTTTAATCGTAGATTCGCTCATTTCAACCTTGCCGAAATCAGAACATCTGTTGGCGTAAGTCTTTTGCTAAGGAATACTCTCGTTATTGACGTGGTATGTGAAGCATTTCAGAAATTTCATGGATGGACTCTCGGAAACAGGTGTTGATATGAGTAAAGCCAAGATTAGTAAAGCTGAAATGGTCCTTCGATGGTGAGAAATCAGTTATTACTGCGGGTAGTTGACAATTAAGGACCGATGTACTTCAGTATGGAGTTTGTCTCCAAGACCAAGAGGGCCCGACACAAAGTAGCAGCAAATACCAAGGGTTGTGTAAAGGAAACTTTTCGAGGTGGGGGAGACGATGGAGAAGAGACGAGGACGGGCACCATTTCTATTTGGAAAAGAGACATTCTAGAGGGACGTAGCGGGCCCCGTAAGAGATAGCGATGATCTTGCAGCCGAAAGCTATCTTTTGCATTCACGACACTTTCTCGCTACGATGCGCTCTAAAGACTGTATCTTACACCTGTTGCGGATATACTGATGACACCATCCTCCTGGTGATTCACGCCCTGGCCCATCGGCTTTCGATGTTGGAAATACGAACATCAATTTTAGCCTAAAGTGGGACTCCATGGATTGTCACGGTTATAAAGTCAGGTCTGTCTCACCTTCTCATCATAGTCAACCCACTCATCATCATCTTCAAGATCAACGGAGAACACGGTGCCCGTCTCTCCTTTGCAGGTCCACTGTCCTTTCTGTGACATTTACATTTAGTGAGTTTGGCAAAGCACGAAAGCAGAAATTGCGGACTGGATCAAATTCCGTAAACTCTAATCCACGACATTCGATCTTCAAGAGAGTTGCAAATTGTCCGTTTGATTCAGCAGAGTATGGTTTTGATGGTTCAGCAACAAAGCTAGCAGAGCTTTCCCTTTTACAACCACCGCAACGCCAAACTAGGTTCGCTGAGCCTCTGCTAGTCGAGAGATCTCGTTTTTCCTTGGGGAACAAGATGGAACACTCCATCGTCGTGGAGTAGATACACGCACCAATCTATTCAACGTAACGAACTTCGGATGCTCCTCGTGACAAGTATTGCAGACCATCTGCACGGGGCAGTCAGAATACGAGATATGATGTGGTCGCCGACGATCACTTTGAAGAAGTACTCGAAATCAGCACCAGAAGGTGCCAAATCGGTGACGTTTTCTAGCTCAGCTTTGATTTCCAGTTTCAAGAACTTTTCCGAATTAATATTTTTGAGGTCTTTCCGAAGTAGCGAAAGAGACTTACGACCATGATAAGAGGATGTATGTTTTATGCAAGATCATGGTGGATGTATTACTGCGGTGTATGATCTGTGATCAGAATTTGTTCTTGTTTACATTCTTCCGTTTTCGTTTTACACTTGAGCTGTTGAACGCAAACCAGAAGTACCAAGTTGCCAACTCCCAAAATGCGGTTGCCTCCGCCGTGTCGACGCGGTCTACCTTCAATGATGGCCGCCAGGCAATTCCATTCCACTACACAGGTGTCCATGCGGAAAAGGGTGTCCAAGGCGCCGAAAGCAGACGATGAAGAAATACTTCAGCACTTTCGGCCAGACGGGGGATTAGATGTACCAGTGGCAGGATACCTGTTGTACCGCCAGCAGCGACAGACATTATACTACATGCGGCTAATTGAGCACGAGATTCCGAAACTCGTAGGTCAGCCATGATTAACTCGGACTTAAGACGTCCACTCATTCATATTTTAGCGTTCCGCAAACCATTCGTCCCTCCAACTTCCGATACACCTCTCGTCATACGGTCCGTCAATTTTGCTGGGGAGCAGCATCCATTGACGGCCAAGCGGAGTGTTGTTGTCCCGGTCGCGCATCTTCCCCTGCGGAACGAAGTAGCTTTTCAGAGAGCGAAACTCCTCGCCGGCGTGCGGTGGACGCCAGACCCCCCAAGAGATTCCGGTATTCAGCGGATGAGAATGCAGCCAAGCATGGTTTTATCAAGATCTCGTGCGAGGACTTTCCGCGAGCCAACATGAATTTAAAATGGATCAGCGACACGATTGATAAGCTGGTTCTTGAGGCCAATGTAGGCTGAATTTGACATCGGCTATCATCTGTACTCATAATTACTAGGCTGAGGGCGAGGCACCATATCAACGGCTACCACTCGATACCCGACATCTCGATGCTAAGGTGCGGAAAGCGAAGAAGGGTGATCATGTGCGGGGCAGAGGTGGATCACGTCCGAGTCTTAAAGACTTCCCCACGGAATGGCTTCCAAAGCGTCAAGAGGACGCGATATCTTCTGTGCTTCCATCTCAACAATAGATCGTTTCTTTCGGCGGCCGCTGTAAATCGGGCTGATATCATGATCACGAGTGTATGATGAGTCAGTCATGCGAAATATGTTATAAACTCCATCGATGAAGTGTTTTGATCTCTATCTTCCACATGGCGAATGTAATTCGTGCGTCTGTGGTTCAATCCTGCACCGCCCGCTTCAATCTATCAGAGACATTGGATAAATTCGAGAGCCTGACCAGACTCGCGAAAGAGCGTGATGGGACGCAGCTCGTTGTATTCCCCGAAGCCTTGTGAGTCCACTTTGGTCTACATGTCATCTTACCTATGGCATGTAACTCTTGCTCAGCATCGGGGGCTACCCGAAAGGTTCGACCTTCTCATGCTTTGTAGGAGAGCGTCTACCAGAGGGCAGGGACGAATTCGTGAAGTATTACAACGCGTCCATTGAGATTCCTTCGCCAGCGACAGAGCGCATCGCAGAAGTGAGCAAGGCGACAGGGGTTTTCGTGGTCATGGGGGTCATTGAGCGTGATGGTGGAACGCTCTACTGTACTGCCATATTCGTCGACCCCGTTGAGGGCCTAGTGGCAAAGCATCGAAAAATACTGCCAACAGCATGCGAACGTTTCATATGGGGGCAAGGCGATGGAAGCACCCTTCCTGTTCTAGGAAAGAAGTTCCAATCCTGCGTCGAACCATCGCACACTGTCAATACAAAGATATCCGCTACCATATGTTGGTGAGTGCTAGACCTGATCGTCCTCACCTTGAGATCTAAACGAGTTGTACCAGGGAGAATTATGTGCCTCTGCGTGAGTTTCGAACCTGGTTTAAGTAAACCTCTCAAACGGTTTCCTCCCTTCAGTTCGAACTTATTATTATTCTCTCGGGACGCAAATCTATTGCGCACCGACGGTGGACTCGCGTGAGACCTGGCAAAGCTCCATGCGACACATCGCATTCGAAGGGCGTTGTTTCGTGCTGTCTGCGTGTCAATTCGCGACCGAGAAAGACTACCCTCCGGACCATGCCGGTGTAGATGCGAGTAATCGCAACCCCGACAACGTCATGATCAACGGTGGCAGCGTGATAATCAGCCCTCTGGGCCAAGTACTCGCTGGCCCCACGAGGCAGGCTGAGGACATCCTGACTGCAGATCTTGACCTTGATGATGTCGTCCGAGGGAAGTTTGATCTTGATACTGTGGGGCACTATTCTCGTCCAGATAGTACGACCCCTTCATTTCACTTACCTTGATATGCAACTCATGGTCCGTGCTTAGTGTTTCAGCTCAAAGCAAACTTTGATTCAGGCACTGGGCCCCACGCTTAAGGAGGGAGGGGGGTGTAACGAGCTTTTATTATTCCACTGTCAACATTGCGTCTGTGTTAAGTTGATCTATTTAATGTACATCATGTCCACAGCTGACTGGTTTCACCTACATTGAATGTTGGACACTGGGTGTCGAGACCGATCAATAATGCTTTGTAGGACATGTGGCCCGGTAATGTGGCCGATGAGGACAAAGAAGCCAAAGCCACATCTCCAAGTCTTTCTCGCCCTTCCACAGCGCACACAAAGTGATGTGCAGAAGACCACCCCAAAGCGTCCAGAGCTACTATGATATAAAGCCTAAGCTGGGTTGTAGAATGAGTGAAACATACAACACTCTCCATCACTAAGCCGCGGCAGGTCCAAAGCTATACAGACTCTTCAGCCAGATATCCATCGTACTACTTGCTATACACCCGAGAATGTCTAACTCTCAACCAGCCGATGCGCGTGCTGCGCTTATGGAAACGGTTATCTCGCGGGCGAGTGCAGAGGGAGTATCCCCAAGCTCTCTATTGCGGCGACCAAGTCGCAATTTCAATACGCGAGACTTCGCTGGCCGAAACCAGTCAGCTAGCCCTACGAAACATCGGGGGCGCCAAGACAAGAGTGGCTTGGTCATTCGGGGCAGAACAATCTATAACCCACAGGCCGAATCTGCTACACACTCGGCACCCAAGACAAGCAGATCGCACACGCTCATGAAATCCACCGCTCGCTCCTTCGGATCGGAAGAGAAATCGATGTCTCTGGAGATCTTACAACGGATGGATGCTGACGAACAAAAACGAAAGAAGGGCCCCTACCAACGTTTCCTGAAAGAAGGGAGAAGCGACTTTGCACAGAAGTACCGGATGAACGATGAGGGGATGTCTGCCTGGATGGGTGCCTCTGAGTCTGGTGCACACTGCCTTGCACGAGGCAGTGAACGAAGTACACCTTCGCTATCTCCATCCAGTGTTCCATCGGATATGGAGTACTCGCCACTTCGCTGGAATGCGCCTGCATTCAACTCTGGGGAGGGGGATTGGCAGGCGATATTTGACATGTACGTCAAACAGGAGGAATGTTTGGAAGATAGTATGAGATATTAAGGACTGTTGGCCTATCACAATCAGCGCATAAGCGTATAATCACTTATTTCATATAATTCTGCAGTTAGTTATGGCACCATGTATATCCTGCGGCGCACTGTCATTTACCATATAAACGAACGGCTCGTGTAGGCCGACACGAGAAAAGCGGAGAAGTATGGCATATCAGTTTGCGAAGTTGAAGGTTAGCCGAAATAATGTTTAGCGCGCCACTGAAGCCAAACAAAACCAACATTAGTAGTTGAGCGAATTTGCTTCCATCCTTCTTTCCTTGTTTGCAGTCAACCCAAAGTAAATTTTGGTCCTTGTTCTTCAGTCATTAAAGCCCTTGACATCACTGACAACAACGTCCAGATGACTGACTCCTACTCATCCCGCGCTGGTGACCTTTCACCATCTCCCAATGGCTACGCGAACGGTTCAAGTCCATCGTTGACACAATCTAACAACGCTGGCCTTTCCCCCGTCATTCGCAAAAAGCTCATGGGCTACGTTGGTTTCGCCAACCTTCCAAACCAGGTACACAGGAAGAGCGTACGAAAAGGTTTCCAGTTCACTACAATGGTTGTCGGTTCGTTGTTTATACACACACGTTACTCTCAAATATTTACCCTCATTAGGCGAGTCGGGTTTGGGCAAGTCGACGCTGATCAACACCCTCTTCAACACCCCTCTCTACCCTCCCAAGGAGCCCCTTCCTCCTGCGGCTGAGCGACCAAAAACGGTTGCTATTGAAAGCATTGGCGCAGGTTAGTGTCTTACCATAGCATGCGAAGTATCATTAATAGTCGTTTCTAGATATTGAGGAGAACGGTGTTCGTCTACATCTCACTGTTGTTGATACCCCCGGTTTTGGTGACTTCGTCAACAATGACGACAGGTTTGTAAATTTTTTGGCCATATAGAGAATCTTTCATTTATACGTAACACTAGCTGGAGACCGATCGTGGAAAACATCGAGTCCCGCTTCGACTCATATCTAGAGCAGGAGAATCGCGTAAACCGGCAGAAGATCGTTGACAACCGCGTTCATGCCTGTCTTTACTTCATTCAGCCCACCGGACACTCGTGCGCAGTTTGCTTGTCTTACTTTGTACTGTTCTCTGACACGTTTTAATCACGCACAGCCTAAAACAACTCGACATTGAATTCATGCGTCGCTTGCACACCCGAGTCAACCTCATTCCAGTCATCGCAAAAGCCGACACCCTGACGGACGAGGAAATTGTTGCATTCAAAGCCAGGGTAATTCTCCTGCCGTCCCGTATTTTTATTGCCTAACTTTGCATGCAGATCCTTGCAGACATAGCTCACCACAAGATCCACATCTTCCAGGCCCCCAGCTATGAAAATGAAGATGAGGAAACCCTAGCTGAGGCCGAGGAAATTGCTAGCAAGATTCCTTTCGCAGTCGTCGGTTCTGACCATGTCGTGGACACCACCGACGGTCGTCAAGTCCGTGGACGTGCTTACCCTTGGGGTGTCATTGAAGTCGACAACGAGGAACACTGCGACTTCGTCAAGCTTCGCCAGATGCTCGTCCGAACCTACATGGAGGAGCTTAGAGAGTACACGAATGACGTGCTATATGAAAACTGGCGAAGTGAGAAACTTCTTAGCATGGGTGTCGCCCAGGATTCCAGTGTATTCAGGGAGATCAAGTAAGTGCTGCTTTTATTGTTCGTAGAGAAAGGTTCATTGACGTCTTGTTCAAGTCCTTCGGCCAAGATCCAGGAGGAACGCATTCTCCACGAGGCCAAGCTTTCAAAGATGGAGGCCGAGATGAAGATGGTGTTCCAGCAGAAGGTCCAGGAGAAGGAGTCGAAGCTGAAGCAGTCCGAGGAGGAACTTTATGCTCGGCACAAGGAAATGAAGGATGCTCTCGACAAGCAACGTGCGGATTTGGAAGACAAGAAGCGAAGAATCGAGAGTGGTCGACCGCTGACCCCAGAGAAGAACACTGTAAGCCAACAACTCCACCCTGGAGTGATTACTGACTGGCGTTTGTGCAGACCAAAAACCGTCGCTTCTTGCGGTAGATTCAGCTTCTTTGGTTCTCCCACATTACCGATTCCTGCTGTTCTTGTCTTCGCCCCTTCTAGTCTGCCATTTAGTATTCTTGCTACCGTACATTGCATTGGCGTTTCACTCGTTACCTCGCCCTCGAACATTTTACACTCTTTTGGATTGATGATATCCAGGCTAGGCTACCCTCTACCCTTTTAGTATGATCAGCTTCTTATGCGGAGTTTCTGGACGTCGAAAGACGTCGGGGAGACGATTGGATTTTTATTTCTGCGATGACTGCGCGAGATACCCAACCCAGTGTTGCCACTATGTCAATACTGATAAACAGATAATCTTTTGAGTACCAAAGCTTGAATAAGATTGATTTGATCACGAACCACAACACAGCTCAATCATGGCTGATAACCAGTCCGCTAATATTCAAGCTCTGTTGTCCGCTTTAAATGTGTTCACTAGTGCACCTGACAAGACCTCATTGGAGAACGCGAATTCCTGGCTGCAGGATTTCCAACACTCTGTAAATGCACTTTCGCCCTTCGCCCGATCTTTCAAGCCGGTCATCTGACTTCGTCCATCCGCCCTGTCCTAGCCCGAAGCATGGTCAACATGTAACGTCCTCCTGCTATCTCCTGATGCACCACCAGCGGCCAAGCTTTTCGCCGCACAGACTTTCAGGTCGAAAGTTAGTCTATGATGATTCAATTCTGTGTGCCACTGAAGTCCCCCCGACAGGTTACGTATGATCTACATCAAGTAGATCCATCAAATCTTCTCCCCCTCAGGGACACTCTTGTCACTGCACTCGAAAGATATCAAAGTGGCCCGAAGAACATCATCACACAGTTATGTCTGGCTCTCTCGGGGCTTGCCCTGCAACTCCCAGCTTGGGATAATGCTCTGCAGAGCATCGTCGAGACATTCGGAGCGAACCCTGCAACGGTTCCTGTCCTCCTGCAATTTCTGACGATCCTCCCGGAAGAAGTGTCGGGCAACACAAGGATACCTGTGACCGTAGGTAGCGCACACTTACTAGTAATGCCGTTTTTTCATGACACTCACAGGATGATGAATATCGCGAGAGGTCTGCAAAACTCCTCTCAGACAACTCTGAGCAGGTACTTGAGCTGCTGTCCATGTACTTGCAGGCAACTGGTTGGTTCATTTTTTTTTTGTCGCCGAGGGGCATTTGTGACAAGTTCTGCAGGTGTCACGCACGCCGTTCAAAGCCAAATCTTTGATTGCCTCCGCAGCTGGTTAGTCGCAGGTGAAATCAATATGCCCGCGTTTGGCAAATCTCCTTTGCTTGCGTTCGCATTCGAGGCCCTGGCTTCGGAAGAACTTTTCGACTCGGCAGTCGACGTCGTCTGTGAAATGATACATGAGACGCAAGAAATCGACGATAATATGCCTGTGATTGAACTCATCGTTCCTCGAGTCATCGCCTTGAGGCTTCGACTGGATGATCAAAAGGATGATCCAGAAAAGATTCGAGGCTACGCAAAGATCTTTGCGGAAGCGGGTGAAACGTACCGGCTACTCATTCTTCAGCACACCGACACATTCTATCCTATCGTTGAGGCAATTGGCCAGTGCTCAGCCTACCCAGACCTCGATATCGTGCCCATCACTTTCCCCTTCTGGATGCGGCTGGCTCAGACTATCGGCAAGAAATCGTCCATTTCGCCACTATTTGTGGAAGCGTACCAGGCTTTGATGGGAGTAGTCATTCGCCATTTGCATTTCCCTCCTGATCTCACCACTATGACGGGCCAAGAGGCGGATAACTTCCGCTCGTTTAGACATGTGATGGGAGACACTCTCAAGGACTGTTGTCTAGTTCTTGGTGCAGATGCGTGTCTTCTTTCTGCTTACGGGCTCATCACTGTTGCGCTCTCTCGCGCACCACAGTCCATCTCTTGGCAAGAAATTGAGGCCCCCCTCTTCGCCATGCGTTCTATGGGCGCCGAAGTTGACGTGATGGACAATACCGCCGTGCCCAAGATAATGGATCTCATTCCCTCCCTTCCGATTCATCCTCGAGTTCGTTATGCTGCACTGCTCATCATATCTCGCTACACCGAATGGATCAACCGCCACCCGGACTATATTGCATACCAACTACAATACATTTCAGCAGGCTTTGAAGATCCCGACACCGAAGTCAGTGCGGCTGCAGGGCAAGCATTGAAGTACTTGTGCCAGGATTGTAAACAGGTGAGACCAAAACTTACCTTTGCGATCAGATTTTATTTTATGCACGCACTTGCAGCACCTGATCGAATTCCTTCCTATGTTGCATACTTTCCTCATAACAACCGGAGTAAAACTGGTTCAAGACGATCGGCGGCAAGTATACGAGGCCATCGCTTACGTGATTTCTGCAATGTCTATGGAGAAAGCTGCGGACTCGCTACGAACCTTTTCGCTTGACATTCTTTCTCAAATACATGCTATAAGTAGCAAGTCGACAGCAGTCACCAAACAAGAACTCAAGGAAGTCGGATGTAAGTTTCGTGAATCGTGTTGACGACCAGCTAACGCCTGTCCCACAGATGGCTTGGAAAATCTGGAGGTCATGTTGCATGTTGTAGGACCCTTTGGAGATCAGCTACCTGCCGCCTGTCAGAACAGCTGTCAAGAAGCATGGTCGATTTTTGACGCCTTCATCGCCAAGTTTGCGTTCGACTATGACACTTCTGAGAGAGCCACTCGCGTACTTCGTCACGGCATTACGCTGTTCGGCCAGACCGCCCTTACAGTTGCTCCATCTGTCCTATCACGGATGGTGACGTCCTTCGAGGCAACAGGTTTCTCGTCTTTCTTGTGGATTTCTGGGAAATTTGTAGGGAGGTTTGGTCACGAGGCGGACCCAGCTTTGCGAAATGCCTTTCAGACCCTGTACGAGAGAGCGACCAACAAAGTCGTTAGTCTCTTACAATCAAAGGATCCAAGAGACATCCCTGATGGTGAGCCCTTTTCGTTCAAATTCTGGCAATGACTGACTTTACTTCAACAGTACTGGAGGACTATGTTCAGCTGTTGCTCCAGCTCATACGGATGGCACCGGATGTTTTCTTCCAGTCCAGCGCATTCCCATTGGCGTTCCGAGCCACCATGGCTGCCCTCACTCTGATTCATTCTGACCTCGTCTTTGCATCCTTAGATCTCTTCCGCGACATCCTTACTCACGAGAGTCTTACTCCTAGTTCATCGCCACCTCCCAAGTTCCCCATCTACTGTTCCGCTATCAAGGCCGTCATGGAAAAGGAAGGATTCGAGTTCGTCGGCTACGTGCTCTCGGGCCTTGTTGGAGACTTCCCTGAAGATGCCGCTGCTGTTGTTGTCACCATCTTCCGCGCCGTAGCGCTTTTGTGGTCTACGCAACTGGTCGCATGGCTACCACCTATTTTGCAACAGCTTCCTCCATCCAGTGCCCCGAACCAAGCGAAGCAACAGTTTTTGTTAGATGTGACCAAGTGCGTGCATCTCTTGATCGACTATAGTAGTGAAGTTGATTGATTGGTAGCGCGTTGAACACCGCTCAATACGACAAGGTCAAGTATTCCGTTCTAGCTCTCCATCGAGCTTCGCGCAAGGCTCGAGATCGTAGACGTGTGACACCCCTGAACCAGGCGTGAGATCCAAGTGAGGAAAGTTTTCACATTTGAAACGGATCAGGAATTTAGTGAAGAGAAGAGATGTGCATACTTACAGTCTAAGGTGTAATAGGAATTTTGTACATGCCAAAAATGTTTCGCACTTGTCTGTGAATGTGCCACAGGATTTATCACTCGGCGCTACAACCGAGGGAAAGAGGTAGACTCGCTACCAGTCGACGGCGGACGGGTGCAAGGTGCTACCCAGAGGTTCGACGTTCACAACAGCTGTGCTGAGAGGTTTGCGACTGCACACAAACAAAATATAATATCCACAATACTCAATTTACGTGCTGCTGGTAAACTTGAAGGTGTTGTGAAACTCGAAAGCACGCGAAGAGTCGGTGCCGCAGGGGCTAAATATAAATTCAATGTAAGTAGAAGTATACGAATTCACTCGATTCTGGTGGTAAGTTGACGGTTCTCAATCTGACTGATGATAGGCTGAACCACTGAGGGGGTGTAGTAGGCGCTTCATGAAGCTTCTGAAGCTCCTAGATTTAGACTCTGGACTCTGCGCCGACGTAGTACATGGCAACGGTCAAGTAGATGACCTTCTGCAACCCCCCGCAACCGCGAACGGAACACATCCTGGTTTAAAATCAGATGCCATGGTTGCAGCCTGCAGGACGGGGCGCCGACAATTTCACTGTTCAGCGGTACCGTCCACGTGAATATCTCATGTCAAAGTGCCTAATGTGGAAAGCATCGGAAACATCGGGTTCTGGTTTTTAGTTACCACACCTGAGGATACCTTACATTTCTTTCCAACACCACCTCCACTAATGTTTCGTCGTTCAGGCCAATCCTTTGCTTCTGACCGTACGTTTTCTTCATCTATTATATAGCGATTAAAAGCCCTGATGTCTCCATGATAGTCGGTCGCCGGTCGTTCTCGGTGTCGGCTTCTCGAAGGAGTTATGCTGACACTATACCCAACCTACGTATTCACAAAGACACCAAAGTACTTTGTCAGGGTTTCACTGGAAAGATGGTGAGCTCATGATCCTTTTCTCGCTATCTAACGCGTGAACGATATATCATCCAAACAGGGAACCTTTCACGTAAAGCAGGCTTTGGCTTATGGAACGAACATGGTTGGGGGTGTCTCCCCAGGAAAAGGTGGCCAAACGCATCTTGGTCTCCCAGTCTTCGGTAGTGTCAAGGAGGTGCGAATGCATCCGTTATTGTTCTGCCGACTGTCTTCATGATATCGAACAGGCCACACGGGCAGTAAAGCCAGATGCAACTATCCTTTATGTTCCTCCCCCATTTGCTGCTGATGCCATCATCGAGGCCATCGAGAACGAGATTGGTTTGATTGTCTGCGTAACGGAGGGTATTCCTCAGGCCGACGAAATTAAGGTGCACTATTTTTGCGATACATCAGGGCAGTTCATGAACTTTATATATAGGTTATGAATGCTTTGAAGAGCCAATCTAAATCTCGCCTTGTGGGGCCCAACTGCCCCGGTATCATTGATCCACTAGGCTGTAAAATGGGTATCCAGCCTGGCCATATCCACAAGCCAGGAAAGATCGGTATGTTTTACTAAAAGGTTGGTTTTGATCTCGCGCCTTATTGGTGACTCCAGGCATCGTTTCGCGTTCTGGAACCCTTACATATGAAGCTGTCGCTCAGACCACCGGTGTTGGTCTCGGTCAATCACTTTGTATTGGCATTGGTGGCGATCCATTCCCCGGCACTCAGCATGTAGATGCCCTCAAGGTTTTCATGGAAGATGATGCGACTGAGGGTATTGTCGTCATCGGTGAAATTGGTGGTTCGATGGAAGAGGAGGCTGCCGAGTACCTTGAAAAATACAACAAGACTCGCAGCAAGCCTAAACCTGTCGTCGGGTTCATCGCCGGACGCACTGCCCCCCCTGGGAGACGTATGGGTCATGCTGGTGCTATCATTTCCGGCGGCAAAGGTATGAGCCTTTGTAATTTCTTCGCCCTTTGACTGACTTTTGGGATTGTAGGCGCTGCAGTAGATAAAATCGCTGCTCTTGAGAGAGCTGGTGTTTTAGTGGCGGACAGTCCGGCAAAGATTGGTGCTGAGATGCTCAAGGTTTGTCCGATTTTGACTTTGACTGCTTGCAATGGTGTGCTGACTTTCGGGAAAGGCAATGAAGGCAGCAGGTCTCGTGTAGATAGAGTCTTAGTTATACCAGTGCTACATAGTGTACCACATTTCAATTTATTGGTTTTCAATATTCTGATATGAGCTTACATAATTGTGCATCATCGTTCATCGATGTCATTTACTCCGTCCCTAGCCATAGATGAAGCAGCAAGCTATCTATCATCTTCACCATCCCTCTCAAAGGTTTCTACCACCATCAAACTCGAGGTCCATATCGTATTCTCGAATTTCAATCAATCTCTAACTTGTTCACAGATCTATGGTCTATTCAAATATCTCAAGGTGGCCCCGAAGCCGCAGGGCTCACGACCATCGATCTTTGACATGACAGGACGCGCCAAGTGGGATGCGTGGAAAGCGGCGAGCGAGATGTATGAGAACAAGAGCCACGCCGCGGAACAGAGGTATCGTGCAATCGCTCAGGAACTGGGATGGAGACCAGGTCCTACTCCCACCGCTCTGGGCGAGGCGCCCGAGAAGCGATCGGAGGATGAAGGCGCGGATGCAGGCGTGTGGGATGACTCTGCTGGCTCGGAGTCGTCCAAGTCCTCAGGTGGTGGAGGCGGTGGCGGCGGCATGGGAACATCCGTTAGCTCAATGGTCGACCCAGGCCTGGCTTTGGGTGAGGCTCAGACGTTGCATGGATTAGCTATCGCAGGAGATTCAGAGAAATTGATGGCGTTCTTGCTTGCGAATCCAGCGGCAGATGTAAACGCACGCGATGAATTTGTGCGTTTCTCCGGTGCTTCTTTCAGCAAAACTCAAGTTCCAGTAACAGGGTTACACCGCCCTTCATTTGGCTTGTGACAGAGGTAAGCTTGCCTCTCGTCCAGGTTTTACTGAGCAAGGGAGGGAATCCTCTGTTGAAAGTAAGGCATGGAAATATTATAATTCGAATACTGACTTCGTGATCGGGCAGGATCCCGACGATTATACCGCAGCGGAGCTAGCTCAGGTAGCTGGACATGAAGATATATACGACCTCCTGAATAGATAGCAGTAAAGCCACTTAGCAAACTTCGAACATCTCAAGATTCTAAAAAGAGTTTGAATGATAGTGCAATTATGGCCACGGTATGTATGTTATGTCGGGTGCAGACTTCAAGATTGATATGAGTAGATGAATCTACATATGCGAGGCTATAGTGGTAATATTATGATTTCCTCCTCGATTTTGACAGATGGTGGAACGAACCCACCCCAAAGCGACGTCAAGCTCAGTTGCTCAAGATCCCCTCGGACACTGCGAGAATCATGACGCAGCTGAAGTCGTTGCAGGATTACTCGTCGAATCAGAGGCACTGTCTTTCGACAACTCTGCACCAGATCTTGGACCCAAAGCCTTCGGGTGATACTTTGAGTCTGGCGGTAATACACCACCCTTGAATATTTACTTTAGCACCGACAAGCGTACAAATAACAAAAGGCGGGCTCACACATTCCAAGAGCTTGACTACAGATTTACTAGGCAGTGCTCCAACACCCAGCCAGTATTTTATTCTGTCCACACTCCATTTAACAGTCTTGTGTGTCTCCCCGAGCTTAAGGGCGGGGTCGTAAATGCCCAATAGCTCCATAGGTTTTGCGTCTCGTCTTGTGCGCTGGTTAATGGCGACTAAGTGGAATATACGGTTGTGTCTTCGGCCGTGCATGGCCATCCGGAGGCGGACAGGCATAGTGAGTAATACAGCGGTGGACAAATCGTAAAAGCTTGCAAGTTGGAAGAACACGAAAGTTGTGTACCACTATTTGGTCGGACGTGTTTTCGTGACGCGGTACTTACCATCAAGCGCGGTATTCAGCACGACTTCGATGGACTAAGCTCTAGGAGACTCTAGGCACACACTGAATTTCCTGTGACATTGCATGTTGTGGGACAATCTAGGATTATACGAATGGGCAACAAATTTCTAGATCATACATTATTGATTTGGATGAAGGGATGTGATGCTTGTAATGCCAGCAACATCGAGAACTCGAGGTCTACCATCCTGCTCGAACAGCAGGGTACCAGTGAAAAGTTTACTTAACAACAGCCCTTGAGCCGAGACTGTAAGAGTGAAGTGTCTTCTCCATATCGTATTTTCTTCTCTATGAGTCAGGACCATCACTGCCTGGAATTAACTGCAAAGGCAGACGTCAGTACCCACCCGAATATCTACTAGTGAAAAAGTATCACAGACCATACAAATATTGTTACCATTGAGAAGGGTCTGTGCAAGCCGCGTTTTCTTCTTTCCCTGGGGCGTAGTCTCGCTGAGGACGACGTCAGCAACAAGAAATCGCCATCGTCCAGTGTCACTGACTATTCCGTTACATCCTCTAGGACCATGTCTGCGTGTAGGCGTGTTCAAAACCAGTTGATCGCGTAGGCAGCAGCGGCTCACTCACTCACGAAATCGTCGAAGCCAAGCAGTGTTCCAGTGAACTCACGATCACTCTTCATGATGACCCATATGCGGGATCCAATACATCTATCAATCAGCTCTGCGACGGCCGTCAGGAGAATGATCAAATGATCTTTGTTGCCATTGTACTTGCCTAGCGGGAGGATTTGAGAAGCCATGATGGTAGAGCTTGTGGTGGCGCAAAGCAAGGCGGGCGAAACATGTCACAGCACTCAGATCGATGTTCTCAAGTAAATCTTATATACAGACAACGTAGTACAGGTTACCAATAATCATCATTATCAGCTACTACTTTGAATCATTTTCTTGTGCTCTTGACACAAATCGTTGTCATAAGGTTTCTGCGTCCGTTAGACGCGTTACATGTAACATAGCGCACAAGCACAAAGAGTAAAGAGAAACGGGAATGGAGAGGTGATCGATAACGGTTGTGTGCAAGATATAAATGACAGTACCACAAAGTGGAAGAGACACGCGAATCATCACGACCAACAGTCTACTGTTGGCCGAAACTGAAGCCTCCTTGAGGAGCAGTGACATCTGAGTGGAACTGCGCAGAGAATTAGTATACGGAAAAGTACAACATCAGGGTACTTACAGCAAATGCACCACTAGCATCGACATTAGGTGCGCTGATTGCTGCATCAACTTCCTCCTCGTCTGGGAAGTACTTGTCCATGATATTGAATGCCTTCTTGTATATCTCCAGGTTGTCGTGTGATTGAAGGTTGTGGATGGTAATCATACCGCCTGCCTCCTCGACATATAGTGCATATTGGTTAACGGAGCCGGGACCTCCAGCCTGCTTATCCGTCTCGCCGACCTTCAGAATGTTGTCTAGACCATCAAGGGCAACTTGGATAATCTTGTTATCCATCATGGTGAGCAAATCACAAAGCGGCTTGATACAGCCTTGCGAGACAAGATAGCGAATCTGCGCTGGCTCATGAAGACCGCCGGACGTCGCATTCGAAATTGCCCAGCAGGCCTCTTTCCGCGTTTTGAAGTCGGCATTAGAAAGGATGTTGATAAGCGGAGGAATGATGTTGGCATCGACGACTGCCTGAATTTGTGGAGGTGACCCAGCGGTGATGTTGGAGATTGTCCAACACGCTTCTTTCCTGATACCCTCTTTGGGGGAGGACAGCAGCGAAAGAAGAGCGGGCAAGGCCCCAGACGCGATGACGACCTGAGTCTGAAGATCATCTCCGGTAACAATGTTGCCGATTGAGCGAAGAGCGGGTGTTTGCACGGAGGTTGAACTGTGCATGAGTAGATCAACGAGACGCCGACATACAGCAGACTCGATAACTGCTTGGATCTTGTCGTTCGAACCGTCTGAAAGGTATGAAATAGCCCAGCAAGCATCAATCAAAATTTCGTCATCGAGCGAGTAAATGAGTTTGGTCAAGACCGTCAACGCAGGAGAGATCTGATGAAAGAAGACGTCAACATTGTATGCATACGACCCATGATCTGCCACAAACCAATTCCCAGTCAGGCTGGGGGTTTTTGCCCCTGCAGAAGTTACTCAAGGTCCACGTAGCGTTCCTGAGCATGCTAAGTTTGTGATTTTCGCTTAGCAAAGTCAGGAGTGGCCTCAAAGCCCCTTGCTGCAGGACGTAATCTCTGCATTGCGGGCTGTCACCCGCAATGTTCCCGAGAGCCCATACTGCCTGCTCACGAACATCGAGAACCGGAGATGACAAGAGGTTAATGAACTCGGGGACGGCTCCAGCAGAGATAACAACTTGAGTGTGCTCAGCGGTACCAGAGGCAATATTTGTGAGCGCCCACGCGGCCTCGAACTATTGACCGATTAGCATGACGGAATTGCGAGGCAAGCACCAACAAACCTGCAACATGGAAGCACCAGTCCGAAGGAATTCAACGAAACGGGGCACAACGCCACACTCGATGACTTTCTCGATTGGGGGGTTCCTCTCCTTTGACAACAGTTTCCGGAACTTAGTGGTTGCATCCAACTGGCGATCGGGATCACTGGAGAACACGCCACTGATCATTTCCTCTGCAAGCTGCAAGAAAATTCAAGAGATAATCAGGAAATAGATGAGATCGTACGCACTGGAGGCTCCCAATTGCTTGTCGTTGCTTCTTCATCTGAGTCAACTGAAGCTGAGGGGAGGAAATTACGCCTCTTCGCGATATTCTCCTCGCGCTTCTGCCTTCGGATCTCAACCTGCTGCTCCTCTCTGCGACGCCTAAGATCGTCTTGCTTCAAACCACCTTTGTTCTTATAGTCTGATCAAACACGCGTCTTCAGCTACTGATGTCAAGAAAAAAAAGTGAAACAAGCATACTGGCTCTGCGGTGTTCCATAGTACGTGACTCCATGGTTGATAACTGGATCGTAAAATCTAAGAAATGATGAGAAGGAAGGAGAGAGCCAGAAAGATCAAGATGTTGAAGGCCTCGCGTCACAACAAAGGATAAAGCATTATCAGCCACCCGTCACATTATCACACCCGTCACACAATGTCACACAATCAGTCACATCACGAAGTTACTTAAAAAATGTCTAAATGAAAATGTTCGATTGAAGTAACGATACAGCGTGGATAATAGTTTACGAATCAAACGGATACTGGTAGATTCATTTAGTCTCTTGGAATGGACAATCCTTGTTAATGATCGCTCACCTCAAATGATTCTGGGGGGTCAACGTCTGGCGAGCTCTCATCTAGAGCGATGTGAAGATCCCTCAAAGGTCTGGTACGGTTGACGTTGCCCTGCGGTAGCGCATGTCCATTCTCAGTCGGTGCTGGCTCCACAGCTGGAGGTTCAAAGGAAATGAACTCTGCCTCCACGTCTGGCCTCTCATCCACCATCATGAGAATACCACCCCCGCCCGCATACCGCTCTGAGGCAAGACTTGATGGTGCTTTTCTGACACCAGGGTTCGGGTTTCCTTTACCGCCAGTCTTGGGCGGGATGGTGTTCAATGATACTGGACGAACAGGTTGATACCGTCCTTCAGGGGGAAAGCTGATGTAGGCGAGCTGCATGGGGGTGACGCGAGTGAAGTTCGCAACATTCTCTGAGGAAGGCTCTGATTTCCGCTTTGGCTTAGCGTCTTCGGGAGTGATGGCCGAAGGCGAGCCATCCGTAGGCTTGCCTGAAGGACCCTCTTCGCCTTTCATTTCAACGTCGCCGTCCTTCTTTGGCTCGGGCTTCTCGTCCTGAAATATCACATAGATGAGTAAAGAACGGCTCCGTTGCAAGCCCAACTACGCGTACAGTATCCATAGCATCTGCATCAGCAGCTGCTTTTTTCTTTTCTCTCGCTTTGACCTTAGCAGTTGTCGAGAGAACCGCGGTAGCTGCTTTAGCGAAGGTTTCCCGTTTGGGAGGTGTGGCAGGAGGGGGATAGGCGAAAAGACTGGGCCTGGCATTGGAGACAAACTCAAACTTGGGCACCTGAATTCTGGCTAAGTGAAAGTGACCTAGAAACGTTGTATGTTGCTTACCTTTAAGTCTTCATTCAAGCCGATAATGGCGGTCGGTTCAAACGCGAGGCACGCGCAGTGCGCTAATGGATACCAGTACCAAAATTGGCAGAACATGGCCATACCAACGATTGCATTCGTGTTTTTGCTCCCTGCACGGCTCTGCAAACTAATAGTGACGTTGCGGCCACCAGCATCTATTAAACCTTGTCCAATAGCAGCACCAAAACGTGCCATGGGGTCTTCGTGCTTGTCAGACACCACCTTAGTGTAAAGGGCACGGGTTGAGGACATGGAAGGAGACGATGCCTCTGATTGTTGAACTAGGATCATACCAAGGGCAATAAAGGCACCCTGTCGGACGAAATCAATCCCATCCTTGGTCATGGGTTCCAGGATCTCGACAGCATCTTGAAGACCGGTGCCTGCGCACGCGATACCCAGGGCTAGGGTTGCGCCACAACGAACATGTGGGTTGTAACTCTCACTGAGGAGCTGAACGATTCGGGGGACTTGGCCTGGGTTCTTGAACAGGAGGAAGGCGAGTGAGGTCACAGCTGCCCTCCGAACATCATCTGAGGTGTCAGAGACTGCGATGTGCAGTAGCTGCCGGACTGCGTCGTTATTTGACGTCCCTGCGTAAGCCAGTGCAAGAGTATAGACACCACCATAACGTAAAATAGGGTCCTAGATGGACGCTTCAGCAAGGGCGTTGGAAGTCACGGTAAATCATCTACCTTTTCAGCCAAAAGTGATGCGATTGTAGAGTCGGCATCCTCTTGTCGACCATAGAAGATGAACGCCAGCCCCATAGCCAGACCGCGAATGATCTTCTCGTGCTGTGTCTCTCTCGCATATGTCAACATCTCCTCTGCGGAGGTCCGATCTGCAGACCCAAGCATCACGAGGCCCATGGCATAACCAGCTGCTTCGCCTGCTACAGCGGAATCGGTGAAAAGTGTCTCCTTCAAATCATCGTATGTGTCGGAGCTTCTTCCACCCATCCCGGCAATACCAAGGCCGAGAGCGGCACCGTGCTGTACAACCTCACCCTGAGCGGTTTTCATGGTCTCGCGAAGGTAGTTCTCGACAGGTTGGCCGCTGCCACAACCAGCGTTGATCAGGCCAAGAGCATAAAGGGCACCACCCTCGGAGTAGGCGGCCCCTTGGATCTGGCTTTCACCTCCTGCTTGGGGGAGGTATGGGCCAAGGATATTCATTCCCTCCTCGAAATAACCCTTGTGGATGACACCGAGGGCAGCGGTCGTAGAGAACTTGGCCCAGTTAGAGGCCAAACCGAGCCATTCAAGGTTTTCGCGAAGAAACACATCGGAGGTTGTTCCAGCATGCATGAAGGCGTTCTGTAAGGTGACAGCGGTATGATATATAGACGTCCGAGCTTCGAGGACGTCCTGGCGAGAGAATATTAGTGACATTTTATTCCACAATGAGGATACCCACTTTCGTGTTCTTCAGAATCAGCATATCTACTTTGTTGTTGCGCTTCAAGAATTCTAGGTATAGTTTGACAGACTCTTGCCCATCCAAGATTTTACGGAGCTTGTCGTATATCTCCTGAGTTTCCTGGATAACAAACTTAATACATTGCTTGGATATAGAGACCATTACTCACCTCCTTGCCCTCAGGTAAGTCGGCCTTCACCCCCTGCAAGAATTCCCGAGCACCTCCCTCAACTAAGTCGAATGCGAATTGATATGCAAGAAGCCTCTCCTTTGGAACGAGGGAAGTCAGGAGTGGAATGACGAGTGACGGTCTATTGAGGGTGACAAGTAGTCGAGCAAGGGCGTGGATGTGCGGGGATTTTGAAAGTGATGTAGGAGGAGGGAAGAGAGGAAGGAGGAAGTCCAGGACTTGGTCGCGGTAGGAGAGGGAAAAACCTGTATCCAAAACAGCTTCCATCGTGTACGAGAGAAGGGAAACGTCGTGTGTCAAGTCATATACGCGCTCCACGATGTCGAAACGGTGAGACTCCAATGCAATGCCAATTGCCTGCCCACAAACGGTCAGCTCGGAGCATGTAGCATCCACGGCAGTCGCGTTACCTGGCGGTACTCCCCCTCTTCAATACAGCGATCAAAAATACTTTCTATGATAGCTTGTAGCCGATGGTCGATCTTTGTCGAGCTCCCGGAAGGCTCGTCAGTGCGCAGCGTGACATATCGGTCAATTGCGTTCGCTTGAGGGTAGGTGCACAGCGTAAGTTGGTTTACGGGTCAGGGCAATGGGTCTGACACTCACATATCACTGTCTCAACATATTCGCCTGCGCCATGTGCGCGGGCCTCAGCTTGGAACGCGCTCCCTGCGCCCAAGGCAAAGGACAGGGCTTCGTCATACTCTCCCAGAAAATAATACACTTTGCTAGCCAGCAAAGCAGCATTATGGCGGGCTGCCTTGGGAAGGTCATCGGACTCATACAAGCTCTCTCTAAGAACAAATTCCGAAGTCAGAATCGGCTGGTGTGCAAGAGGTATGGCAGTCCATACATGAGTGCAATGTGCTCCGAAATTTCTGCCCAAAACTGAGGAACAAGGGGGATTAGTGCTTTGAGAGCATGTTGTTTGAACACGGTGTCTGGTTCCTGTAAAAGAGCGAGCACGCCAGCCGCTGAAGATTGGGAACGGACAACCATGACTTTCAGGTCAAAGAATACTAAGTTATGAGACGCGTCACCTTTCATTACGCTACACACGACCAAGTCTTTCAATCGGAGATTCAATTCTTCTTCCCGACCTCGTCCGCCGAACGCGAATATTCATTGCATTCAACACCATATTCATGTTTACTCGCACTGCCGTCCGTGTTGTTGCTCGCGCAGCTCCCAGAGGTACTCGTGCTGCTTCTGTCGATGCTGGCGCCAGTGATTATTTTACAAAGCGTGAAGCGATCAGGGCCCATGCTGCAGGTTTGCACAAGTACTGTCTTGCGGATATAATGGATACTGAGTTAACTTGACAGAAACTACTCAGCTTTGGCGCAGAATAAGGTTAGCCCAATACCTCCTAGGTAGTTGATCTCCCTGACATCATGCAAGCTTCTATGTTTGCGTCCCAGCCAGTGCGTTTTCAACACGAGTTCTGTGTATTTGGTCCGCTCACTCCTTTTAGCCATTGTCTGCGCCCTTTGGGTGCGTAATGTAGAGGCAGAACATGCCGAACACACAGAGCACATAAAGGCAGAACATGACGGTCATCTCCCCGAAATTGCTCCGTACGAATACATGAACCGTCGTCTCAAGCCTTACCCTTGGGGTATGAACTCGCTGTTCTTTAACCCACATGTAAGTCGCCCAACTTTTTTTCGAGCACGTCTAACCTCATCATCCATAGGTCAACAAGAACTTGGAAGATGAATGATTTTGTCTCGTACTCAGTAGACTATGATGCAATACAACTCGTTCAATAATTCCAGTGGCTTTGCTGTCTCTGATACTCCGGTCGGTGCACCAATCGTAATTCCCATTCTCTACCTTCATGGTTTTGATAAAATAACCCTTGATTGTTCTCCGATATCACTGCCGTGATAGTGAATATAAAGTGCGATTGAGAACCAAATGACAGGGAGTGCTTGGGAGTGCACGCTGGGCACCTGGCCCCTCCAATTAGAGGACTTATGGGGGATTCACATGTGTCTAAATGTCGCAGCAGTCGTGCCTCGTAGATGCAATGCTGGCTTGCAAGTCAAACACTTCCCAACCTCTTTGCAAACTAGTGTCACAAGCGGTTCGCCGTCTGGAACCAATCAATGAATATGTACCCTGCTAGGCCAGAGACCGAAGTAGCTCTTAAGATGTAAGTTAGTCGCTACTCGCCAGCGGGGCTAAGCTCATCATATCTAAAGCATATCAGTTACAGTGAAGACTGACTATTCGTCCTTCCTCGTTGCCTGCGCATACTATTCTCGTGGTTCATGACAAGGAGACGCACTCCCTCGTTGGTCCTTCAAACGACTTGGACATACCCAAGGAACTCGGTATTTTACCGCAAACTTGACGTTGACAAGATGTTGATATTCTTCCTTTCGGATGTTCATCTAGCCTTCCCCGATTTCGCATGTTATTATCATACAACTTGGAAGTCCTACAACTTGGAAGCTGGAAGAGGAAAGACGTACTAGCTTCGATCGTGTTCAAGAGAAAGTCGTCGTTGGTATAGATTCCCTTGCGAGTGAGTCCCTCAAGTTTGTCCCGTATATGACCTGTTGCGTTCCGACTCGTGCTGCTGAAACAGTGTACTTTCAGGCGTCGCGGCCTCCAGGAAGCTGACATTTATCAGTATGACACTAGCGATGGCGACTCGGTGATCTAAAGGATCAATGAAGGACGCATTTACGGGTGTCTTGGACTTATTTTGTCCTGGCATCGCTGTCGACGTCAACCAGCTATCACCACTTTCACTCCCTGAGGGATGTCGTAGAAGAATGCTGCACGGTATGCAGTGTCGCACAAGGTAATGACAACTCACCTTGAGTTTTTAAGGGACAATCTCGTCGACCCTAGCTGAAGTGTTCGTCCAGGACCCTCCGACTCGGTGTCGGCTAGAAAGTCGCAATATTATCGATGCACCCACCATGTACACTGAGTCAACAATCTGAATCGTAAACTTTCAATCATGCTATCATGTTTATGCTGGCGAAAGGTGGACCGAGGAATGAGGATTGTAAACAACAGCAAAGCAGATACAAGGAATAAAAAAATCATCTGTGGATTGAACGGGCACAAAAGTGTCGGGATTGAAGGCGTAGGCGATAATGGCAAGGCGCCTGCATAACATGTGCACCATAAGAATCGATTCAATTGAGAGGCCCACCTATTTATGCGGGAGGCTTTCGCTCTTGACCGCCCGTACCTGTACTGTGAGCATCTCCACTGCGGTACTAATACCCCATCACTGTCATTGTATAAAGAGCTGTCACGATTTATCGCCACCTCGCCTCAACTCATGGCTAAGCAACTAGCAAGGGTTTTTGCTCTCTGTGGAAGTAGAAAAATGGACGGCGCGTATCAATCCAGATTGGCGAGCCAAATATCCAGATCGTGTCATGGCTGGATTCGTTTGTGTGAATCAGAAAGTGATTCGCGACCACTGTGATACAACCTTCGAGGGCGGGCCATACCTCTACTTCCCTGATGCCTGGCTCCCGGGACAAGCCGGTACATCTACGTCACTCAAGGGTGTCATTCGCGCCGAAAGGTAAATTTTGAGGAAGGTGAAGTAGAGAGTCAAGCTTGGCTTATCTGGAGGAGGAAGAGGTGGACATGATCAAAGTACGCTTTGTGAGCGTCACAGGTGTTCGTGACGAATTGATGTACCGTCGCGCCGCCTACCACTCGCGGACGACCGCTGTTGTTGGAGGTCAACTCGATTGTCTCTTGCAGCTACTTATATGACGTCGCTGACATCACTGGACAGGATGATATTATGTATCTTAGACCAGCAATGAATCGCTACACCGGTATCAGTGTACCCAACTTTTGAAACACATAATGAAGTTTCTCATATGTATACGTATTACGCCCGCGGGAACCTCTTATGCCTTGTAAGTTGTAGACCCCACTGAAGTGTAATAAGGATAGTGAAACTAGCTGGGTTTCATAGCCACTAATTTCACGGGAAACTGAAAAGCAGTCACCAGACGAGAACTGTCTAGCGGGTACATAGCGGCGTCTAAGGGCGAAGATACCACGCACACCCGACAGTTGCGGAATCCCCCTAGCTTCATTGTTCAATACCATGTAGATGAGGCTACAAAAAATGAGCATCAAGGTCGCTTGTTGGCTAGAAGTGCTTAATACATTCTGACAGTCAGGGACGTTCTCCTCAATATCAGAGGAGCAGCGTTCAGATCATATGAATAATACCATGGAGCAGCTTCAAAGAATATGATAAGCCTATGTAAAAAAACGGTATAGGATAAATAACCGTCCGACGTTCCAACGGAGTAAACGGAGGCTTCTGTTGTACTTATAAGAGGACACACAGAAGTACAGTACTTTTTAGATCGTTTGGGAATAGCTCATCAGATAAATCATAATAGAATCTGTCGACAGTGGGCTCAGGCTGAGCCGCTCGCGCTGCAACACCATGACTAGCAGCAAAAGGCAGTAATAGCAGAAAGGCAAGCTCTTTGAAGGACCTGTTTGAATGAGAACTTGAACCTCACTGCATCAGCAAAACACTTTTTTCCCACCACCAAAAAATGGCTGGCCGCAGCTTGGTCCCTTCTGTACATAGCTGTACAGAGCCCACAGAGGCAAAGTGATTTGCTGATTGGCAGATGAAGACGGAGCTGTTAATGTACAGTACCACGTACGCTAGACCACGGAAAGCATATTGCTCCAAAAAGTACTAGGTGTGATTATCGCCAAAAAAGGAAGGTGCTGTAGATCGATGTGATTCCACCAAAGTTACTTTCATGTGGTGTGTGTGGGGACTTTCACTCGTCAACTCCTCATCGTTGCAACCACCTACAACATCACCATCGACATAGAATTTTAGAACCATGCCCCGCGCTATCATATCCCCCTCAGTCCTGGCCTCCGACTTCGGACAGCTCACTGCAGAATGCAAGAGGATGATGAAAGGCGGAGCGGAATGGCTGCACATGGGTACGTCTACTCATCTGTGGTGTTTCAGCGAAACATTCCTCATCACCTCATGTAGACGTCATGGACGGGTAAGAAATGAGATTCAAGCCTCTTATCCGATGATGATTTGTCTTAATCTAGCCACTTCGTGCCCAATATCTCAATGGGTTAGTAGGCCATCACACTTGTTTGCCTGCAGGTAGTTCTCACGTAAATCGCAGGCGCACCAGTTCTGTCGTGCGTCTATAAAGGCGTCCCGGACATATTCATGGATTGCCATATGATGGTTGCGGAGCCCGAGAAAGTAAGTACAGGACTAGATCGACATGGCAGTGCTGATATCAGCATCTACCTCAGTGGGTGAACGACATCGCGGACGCAGGTGGCTCGCTGTATTGTTTCCACATCGAAGCAACGTGTGAGTAATCGAACCTTCGATCTGTGTCCTCTGTCTGATGCCCTTGGGCAGCCGATGCTGTTTCGCTTATCAATGCCATACATGCACGGAACATGAAAGCCGGAGTGGCCATTTCTCCGGACACGCCGTCCACAGCCATCACAGACGAGATAGGCGCAGTAGCGGACATGCTCTTGGTCATGACCGTTTACCCCGGTGCGTCACAAATATCGAATTTTTGATGGGTCGCCTCATATGGCACAGGACGCGGCGGCCAAAAATTCCTCGATCGGTGCGTTCCAAAGGTCACGGAACTGCGCGCACGGTTCCCGGAAAAAGACATCGAGGTCGATGGTGGTGTTGGACCTAAGACGATCGATGTTTGTGCCGATGCAGGTTAGTGTTGTCACAGATTCCCTCGGTTTGCCATCTGAGGGGCCCGCAGGAAGCAACGTCATCGTGGCAGGAACTGCCATTTTTGGTGCCCCAAACCCAGAGGACGTCATTGCTTCGCTGAGAGCTACCGTTACTACTGCTCAAGCGAGGTTCTCCAAGTAGATGACAAACTGCTCATCGCACAATATGTATTGAGTAATTAGATTTCACCATGCGTTCATGTCCCTTGAAGGTAGCACAAGTTATGTTATATTAAAGTAGACTACGATTGGTCGAGCAGGGCACTATGGCCTGAACCAGAAGGGCAGTAAGCAAACTGCTTGACAAGTCCGTGGTGAAATGATCGGAAGGTGGTAAATGTATGGACAGTGGGAATCAGAAGGTAGGTATCCAAAGAACTTGTCGCACTGAGGTCAGGGTCTAAATCCAACAATAACAAAGGTTGCAATCCGTGCATTTATGATATGAGGTCCTTTCAAATAACGCGCTTGATATGATTATAAGATTGAGGGACCGTGGCCGATGGAATGCCGCGAGGGAAGGTGAAGTGGTTCAAGGTCACCATTGCAGCCATTCGCCGTACATGTTTGGCCGCTCTCCACGAATGTAAGACTCGAACGTTCTCTTGAGGACAGTAGCCCAGTCAAGATCGCGTCTATCGTCAGCAACCCGGTCGGCGAAATCCTCGGGGTCGATGTCGGGTTCTGCCGCTGCACGGGCAGCCCTCTCGCCAGCTGAAAACTTGGGGCCTAGGTCAGGCCAGTTGCGAGCTGGATCGAATGGCTTCCACCTAAGTCACGATTGAGATTGAGTACAGTATGTCACCACCGAAGGATAGTGAACTCACCAGAAGTTGTGGAAGTGGTAAGAGAAAGCACCTTGGAAGAAGCCTTCAAACCCTAGTGCCTGAGGAGCAGCACTTGCTTGTGCAGGTGTGTCAAAGAAGTCCGAGAACCTATGAGAAATGAATAAGCCACTACATCAGAGCACGAAGCATGCATACGTACTCTTGGAAGTATGGCTGGGGCGGCCTTTCGCGTTGATAGTACTCAGTATTGAGCCACGCGGAGTCAAACATAGCGTCAGGTAGTCGCAGCAAAAGACCCTCCAAGTATGCATCCTTGGTGTAACGAGACACCGTCATGGGGTGGAAATCGAGGCCGTTCTTCAGTGCAGTGCGGAACAAGAATGACCCAAGGGCAGAGTTCTTGTTCATGCGCAGAACGGCGGTATTGTACTTCTCCAGCCGAGACCACCTATATGCAAACGCGCCCTTCCAACCCCAAAGCTTCCTCCCAGTCCCGCAAAAATATGGTGTCCGCATCAAGGTAGATACCACCGAACCGATGGCAAAGGACGAATCGTGCCATATCAGAAAGGATAACGGAGAGGCGATCGTATGAAGACGAAGATTTCGAACCAGTACGGTTGAGCATATCATCTTCATCCGACTTATTGTCACCAGTGGACGAAGGCTTTGCAGAAGCGTCGACCTCGGTGCTGTTGGTCGAATCCTCTACAGTGCTAGTGACCTCGACACTTTTGGACTGCTGCTTCTCGGCGGGCACATTGATAACGTGACCTCCTGAGTTAAAGAGAGTCTCTTTCAATTCGCGCCACTCGTCCTTGAGTTCTGGAATACCATCAAGTTGGTCTGTTGTGTTCCAAAGCTTGAATTTGATGACGTCCTTGAAGCGACGATGTAAGAAAGGGGCTGCCCAAGGATTGGTCTTGAGTCCTTCATACATGTCACTCAAAGCAGGAAGGGTTGGGAACGGACGCTGCAGGACCAGGGTTGATCCACATCCAGAACTCGGGGCGACATACATCAAGAGTGTCGTCATCCTTCAAATGAAGACCGACATTCTGCGTAAAGAGGAAGGAGAGTAGGGCGAGATATGGCTTGTCGGTGAATGGGCCAGTCCAGAACATGTGGAAGAGACGAGGGTTTTCAGGGTCGCAAGGTTCCGGAAGACTCGAATAAGGTGTATGCTGCAAAGGAGCACGAAGAGGTAACTGCGTGTCCCATTCTGCCCCAACCTTTTTCCTCAAACCTGCATTAGGATCCGCCTCTCCACCTGAAACTAGTGGACGGGGTGGAACAAGAGGATTGACTATAGGAATTGGGAGGGGGATCTGTGAAGGAGGGATCTGTGAAGTTCTCCTTTTCTTGTTCCATGTAGATGTATTTCCATTCATCCATTTCGCCTCGTCTGAGTCTCTTGCCATTGTCGAGGCCTGCGCCTATGCGCAAAACTTCGAGGCAGTCGCGTACATACTTTGAGAACATTAGTGCGTGAAAAATGAGAAAGGCACAAAGCGTACTTTGCCTTGTGAGAAGTCGCAATGATCCATAATGATGTCCAGGTCAGCAACGCTGCCCGGCACAGGGCGAGGGGGGTACGCGAGATTGGGAGGCTGGCTTTGTACATCAATGTAAACGCGTCGTGGACCATTTCCGCGCGTGGTTGTAGCCACGGGGCCTGGAGGAGGCCTGAATCGTGAAGGAATCGTTGGAACTTTTCGTGGAGGAAGGCCCGGGTTGAGCGGTGGAGCGCTGAGTCCGATCTGCTCGGGTACTAAAAGATTTTGATCAACACGTATGATTACGACAGCAAGAGACTGAGGGCGTACTCTTTGCATTACTAGGATAATGCCCGCTTTCTATTTCCCATTTCCAAATTCGTTGCAAATCGTCTCGCCCGAATACCAGCGTGGAAGACTCCCCAAAGTTGGTAGTCCATTGTTTTTCCTCTGCGCTAAAGCGACGCGCAAAAGAACATACTGTAAAAATGGAAGCAATCAAGACTACGCAGAGCAGCAGAGGCCCCCGTCTTCGCCCGAAACGCGAGACACTGATCTGGTGTACACGACTTGGATTTGGCATGAAAAGACGGAGGCGACGCGAGCGTACGCCGGGGATTGGAACTGAGACGGGGACTGTCCAAGACATGGAGCGAGAATGTCGATGCATTTTCTCTTGAACAGCGGAGGAATAAGTTGGAAGACCGTTTGTTCAAACGAGCCTTGTCTGTGTAGCCATTCCCGCGTTGTGGAGTGAAATAATTAGAAGACGCCATTCACGTCCAGCAAAACGGCGAATTCACGACGCTCGTGAGGGCGCCGACGAGGACTTTTAAGAATAATTGATGAAAGTAGAGAAGCGTACTGGATCCGTGGGAATTTATCTAAACGGCCGTTTGGGCGTAGCTTGGTAATCTCGATTCTCTTGGCTACTACATATCATCTGTAGCAGCAGTACATCGCCTGTGTAGCCTGGAGTAGCCTGGCTATGCATAAGTTGACGTGGAACGTAGCCTCAAGAACCAAAGCTCTCTGAATTAGAAATTCCCCAAGCCTATCCGCAGCCATTCTACCAACAACGCGGTCAAAAATATACACCGCAGCACACGCCGGTGCGAGCGCTCCCTACAATTACAACAGCATTCGTCGGAAAAAAGATCTAATGTATCGTCACAGATTAAAAAGTCAGTGTCTCTCAAAACACGAATAGCATGAGTCCAAAATCGCATTAATAATATCTGCATCAAAAATGTCCTTTCGCTCTGAGGATAAAAAGATCGTCACCAGCGCAACCATTCACCATACATATTTGGTCTTTCTCCACGAATGTAAGCTTCAAATGTGCGCTTCAGCACAGTCGCCCAGTCCAAGTCACGCTTGTCATCGGATATCTTGTCGTCCCAGTCATCAGGATCTGCATGAGGGTTGGCAGCAGCGCGTGCTGCCCTTTCACCACCCCCAAATTTGGGCCCCAAGTCCGGCCAATTCCTAGCAGGATCGAATGGCTTCCACCTTTGATGGGGATGTCAACAAGAGTAAAATACGAAGAATAAATCACCTCACCAGAAGTTATGAAAGTGATACGAGAATGCCCCCCTGAAGAACCCTTCAAACCCACTGACCTGCGGAGCAGCGCTCTGAACTTCTGGAGTATCGAAGAAATCAGCAAAGCTACGTGGATCGTCAGTAAAACGTCGTCAGAATCATCTTCAGGGTCGTACCCTGTGAAGAAGGGGTATGGTGGCCGTTCCACTTGATAACCTTCCGTGTTTAGCCAAGCTGGGTCGAAAAGCGCGTCAGGAACGCGTAACAAAAGGTTCTCCAGGTGCGCTTCTTTGAGGTACTTAGAGACAGCAACAGGATGAAAATCCAACCCGTTCTTCAATGCGGTGCGGAAGAGGAAAGAGCCAAGGGCGGAACCCTTGTTAAGATGGAGCACAGCAGTGTTGTAGTCGTCATGGTAGGACCACCGGTAGGCAAAGGCGCCTTTCCATCCCCAAAGCTCCTCCCAATCCCGCAGGAAGATGGTGTCAGCATCTAGATAGATTCCTCCATAGCGATGAGTGACAATGAATCGGGCCATGTCGGACAATATCACGGAAAGCCTATCATAAGTCGCTTCCGACTTCGAACCAAGGCGGTGAACCATATCACCGATCCCAGATGAGCTAGCACTAGAGCTTCCTGCAGGTTTGTCAGCAGGTACGCTCACAGTCACACCCCCAGAATTGAAGAGGGTTTCCATGTTCCTCCACTCGTCTCGCAGCTCCAGGTTGCTATCAAGTTGTTCCGTTGTGTTCCACAGTTTGAATTTGATAACATTCTTGAAACGCGGGTGAAGGAAGGGTGCCGCCCATGGGTTCGTCTTCAGCGCATCGTACATATCTGTGAGTGCGGAGGGATTGGGAACGGCCGCTGCAGGACCAGGATTAATCCACAACCAGATTTGTGGCGGACACGCGTCAAGCTCCCTGCCCCTGTTCAAGATGAAGACCAACGTTCTGGGTGAAGAGAAAGGATAACAGCGCAACATATGGTTTCTCGTTGAATGGACCTGCCCAAAACATATGGAACAGGCGGAGATTTTCGGGATCGCAAGCAGTCGAAGGGCCTGAACGGACGATTTGCTGCTCAGGGGGTGAGAGTTGTAGTGGGCCCTCCCATTGAACATTCCTCTTCTTCATCAATCCTGCATTTGAATTTTGGCGTCCAGTGGGGTATGGTCCTGCAGGCACTGTAGGTGCAGCTTGCGTGGAGCGGGGAGAATATTCTTCATCCGGTCGATCCTCTTCCATGAAAGCGTATTTCCATCCCTCCAATGATCCTCGTCGAACTCTTCGACCATTATCCAAACTAGCGGAAACGCGCAGAAACTCCAAACAATCCCGGACGTACTACGCAAGATTGTAAACATGCGAGTAAGGTCTCCGCAAATGACACACCTTGCCCTCTGAAAAATTACATTGCTCTAGAATGATATCTAAATCTGCAATGCTTCCAGGTACCGGTCTGGGCGGGTATGCCTCGCCGACAGACTGCTTCGTATTTTCGAGATATACTCTACGGGGACCAATTCCTCTAGTGATAGTGGTCACTGGCCCTGGCGGAGGTGTAAACGGTGAAATGAGCGTATGTGCCTTTGCCGGTGGCAAAGCGGGATTCAAGATGGTAGAGGTGAAGCCAATCTGCTCGGGAACTCGAGATAAGTTAGCCCCATCTGGCATACGACCGAAGCACGTTGTCGCTTACTCTTCCCATTGCTGGGGTAATGTCCGCTCTCGATCTCCCACTTCCAAATGCGTTGCAAATTCTCTCTGCCAAACACGAGGGTAGAATCCCTGAACTGGGGTGTCCAGTGGGACTCTTCGGTACCCAACATTATGAGGAGGATCACAACGGCAGAGACTACAGACAGGAACGCAAGACATCGACAGACGAAACCTCTTCGTTGACCGACGCGGGCTATTCTGAAGCTAGGAACGGGACTTAGGGACTCGAGACGTATTCGGCGTGTATGTGACGAGAGTGAACCTGACATAGGTATTAGCCATCGCCTGCCACTGGACTGGAGATGTATTTTTTCGCGAACGGCAGAGGAATAAGTTGGGAGATGAGGAGTGAAGTAAGGTCGGTCGCGAGGAATATCGCTGCGCTGGAATGCAGCCAAATATCGAGCTGCCATCGGGTCAGGCAGTAATTTTGTGATCGTTGTGGTAGTCAACAAAAAATGAAGGGAGGGTAAGAACCTCAGGCGTCAAAACGCAATGTACGTCAGGTACTATGTAGTGGAGAGTAAGGAAAGTGGGGCTCAGGTCATCGTATAACCTGGAAGGAAAGATATTTTACCGGTATCAGTAGTGGCCCTGCGATGTAATGGTCACGAATATGCCTATTGGAACGTAGATTCTACCACGAAGATGTCCAGCTGCCAGGGCACATAGCGTAGTGACATCTAGTGACATGAATAGAAAGCCCGCAAGCAGTCGTCTACTCACGCAGTCATCCAATCGCCGCTTGAGAGTTGAACGTTGCGTTAACGTTAAACGGTGGTCGAACCTCAAGCCTCATGGCAGCGTAGATCGAAGAGGCAGGTTAATGATGCCAGAATGTACATTGCAATTGCATGATACCCTCATGATGCATGCTACAGTAGAGTTACAACAAAGTCTAAGAATTCAACAGAATGCAATCAAACTTCAATCATCTAATTTGCTCCCAAGGACTGCATTTCAAGGTCAGCCGGGTCAGTGGGGACTGACAAGATGCGCATGGTGTTGGTGTGGCCAAGACCACCTTTCCAGCCCTGTACGGCAATGACGGTAGTTCCCGTCTTAATGATGTTCAACGCGAGCGCGTTCTTCAATCCGAATCGGATGCGGTTGTCAACCTTGGGTAAAATGCATTAGTTTAGGCTCATAAACGCCAATCAGACAGAGGCGAGCGTACATCTTTCTGCCACTGGCTCTCATGGATCCCACGGGGCTCAGGGTACCAGAATGGATAGCATCCACGGTGGAGATGGATTTGACGGGCGGTCTGCTCGTTACGAGTGACTTGAAAATGTATTTGAGTCTAGAATGTCGATAGCAATCAAAGGATACTTACCCGTGAGGATGGGCACTCTGGGGCGGTATTTGGAGATCAACCGAGCAGTGTTTCCGCTCGTCGAGAGTACAATGATAGCACTCGCGTTTTGCTCTGAGGCTGCAGCGACCGCAGCAATCGCCACAGTCTCCACAGTCTCAGTGGGACGAGGCTGGATGCCCCGAAGCTCGTCATACAAAGGTGGGTAGCAAATCGCTGCCTCGGCCAACAGACATGTCTCAGCCATCATGAGAACTACACATAGCGTTAGTTTCGGCAGAACAGCCACACGAAGAACACCCACCAGACTCTACGGGATAGCTTCCCTTTGCAGTTTCTCCGGACAACATGACGCAGTCGGCACCGTCAAGAACAGCATTGGCCACGTCACTGATTTCGGCACGAGTGGGCCTCGGGTTGTACTGTGCATAATCTGAGCAATGCTCATGGGATAACAGGTCAGTAAACACGTACCGTCATTGACTATAAGTAGCATATATTCAGCAAACGCACAGCCACACGCTGAGCGATCCACGTACCTCAAGCATCTGAGTCGCAACGATGACTGGCTTCCCAGAAATGTTGCACTTAGCAATCATCATTTTTTGTGCCAAGAAGACCTGGCTTGCAGGGATCTCGATACCGAGGTCACCACGAGCAACCATAACACCATCAGTTTCTCGCAAGATCTCGTCAAAGTTTTCTACACCCTGCTCGTTCTCGATCTTGACGATGATTTTGATGTTCGCACCATCCGGCCCTAGAACTTGACGGATGTCTTTGACATCCTGACCGCGGCGGATAAATGACGCGAAGACCATGTCAACGCCGTTCTTGACACCAAATAGCAGGTCCTTTTTGTCCTTGTCCGAGAGAGCGGGAAGATCGACTTCGGTCTTCGGAAGGTTTACACCCTTGCGAGAAGAGAGGGTGCCGTTGTTCACGGCGCGTACACGAACATTGGGTCCGTCACAGGACAAGACGAGGAGTGAGAGGATACCTAAGACATGTATTAAATGAACGAACAATTCAAAGGACATCCTAGGGGTAAACCTACCGTCATCGATGTAGATGAGCTTGCCAGGAGCAGTGACCTTTGGCAAGTTTTTCTATCAGGATATATGAGTATGAAACACGCGGAAGATAATTTACTACGCACGTAGTCAAGCCACAGGATCTTATCGTCGCAGATCTCACAGTACTTGTCGTCTGTCGAGATGATGAATTCATGGCCAGCCTTGATGGGCAACTGAAGAAGCAGGGTTAAACATGACGTCAATCACCCGGTGGCGTCGGCGGGAAAGATTAGACGCATACATCCTTTCCATCTCTCATCAAACCCGTGCGGATTTCAGGGCCTTTCTGTTACACAGCCAAATATCAGCACAAACGTGTAACACTAGAACGTTAGGCTTACTGTGTCCAAAGCAATCGCAACAGGCCGTCCACTGGGGTCCTCTGTTTGGTTTGTGCATCAGTCCAACACGATCGTATTGTCAGACAATTCGTAATTACCTGCAACCATCTTCCGTGTGTTATCGATGACACTCTGGTGATAGTCATATGAACCATGAGAGAAGTTCATGCGAACTTGAGGAGTGAATCAGTGTCCGTCATAGACATGATGTACGATTGTCACTGACCGACATTGACACCAGCGCGTCTCAACGCGGCAAGCTTCTCGACGGTGTTCGTGTTTGGACCTAGATATAATTAAAATCGTTATAAACATCGACGATCGCACAGATCGCGCACCAATCGTTGCAATGATCGCGGTCTGCAACGTTGGAATCAGATGAAGAGAAGGCGGCTGTAGGGTGAGGAGACGACTAGCCTTGCGAAGAAACTTGGTGTCAGCGGTAGGCTGCGGGGCGTTAGAGACACTCAAGGTGGAGTTCCACTCGAGCTGGGATCGGATACCATCGTAAGTGAACATTTTGTTGGTCCTGACTGCGTTGGAGAGGAATCGATTATGTGGATTTGGGATCGTGCACTGAGAAATAATATCAGCACTTGTTGAAGATATAAGTCTTCTAGCGGCGGTAGAGAGGGAAAAACAAGTAGAGATCATACGATGTTGACTCACCTAATGATGGCGCGGTTAAGGGAGAAGGTTCAGTGGCGGGGTTAGATAACTCGCGTCCTGACAAGTCAGCTAGTCAGGTTTCGGTAGTGTATTTATCTGTTATTTGATCCCTTTGCTGATCTATCGATTATCCACTAAGACTTGATTAATCAATTTAAGACTTCACAGCCCGGATCGGACCATATACCAATCGCCTGCTCCTCGTGCTGATGTACCCTGTCGTCACTCGTGGCAGGCCACCAGACATTTGATACGAACGTTTGAAGGCTATAATCGGACAACAGACATATCGATTATAACTAACAAATATGGACCAATTGACAATATGATAAAAAAAAACCCCCGTCAGAGTCTGGCTTACAGAAAATCCACTCAAGAAAAAATCAGAGAAGGAAGGGTAGAAGTGCGGAGTGCTAGAATCGGGGCTGACGACAGCAATGATCTGAAAGATAAGACAGAGCAAACGAAGAGCAACAAGCAACGAGAATCAACGACAGCAAATGTTACATTACTCTTAACGTCCAACCGTGTAAACCTCCATCAACTGCAGCCGCAGCTTGCGCAGCTGCGAGCCAGTTGGGATCCGCTGACCCCCCTGGCTGTGCTAGAACACCGCCCGGTGCCATCGACCCTAGCTCCATAGTCTGGAAGACGTTTTCGCAACTAATTGTTCGTCCAGAATGATAGCCAATACCATCCGAGGCACGAATGAACAACAGGGGAAGATTCCGACCAGCAATGGATGGTGGTGGGTGTGATTGTGAGCCATTGCCATTAGGCCCGTCAAGCGGTGCTCCGTGTTCATTGTGTTGCGGTGATTGTCGATGGATGATGCCATCAGAGGTCATCACGCTCGGAGTCATCACATCCTCCTCGAGCGCCTTAATGATCTCAGGCAATGACGGTAACTCTACGGTCACAATGGTGTGCAAAGGGGGCTGAGTGAGATATCGTGATGCAGCGTCGGCGGAGGAACCCGTGACTTCATCACCTCCACCCACCAACACCTCGTTGGATGAATTAGACATGGCAGCGCCGAAGGTGGCAATGTTAGTCAATGGTCCCGGGGGAGCAGCCTGATAGAAACGAGCTCTGAGAGGACCAAGGCCGCCTAAATACACGGTCAGTGGCATCTGAGTTCGCGTCTTTGGGTCTTCATAAAAGAAGTGCGACACGGTCATTTCGAGAATATTGTTCGTTGGCCGGTACACCGGTGCCGTGAATAGTGTTGGGAAGGGTGTGATAGGCATGTCGGGTATTGAATTACTATGTTGACCGAACGCGTCAAAGAACGTGTACTGGAACTTTGCTATGGTCGGGGATTAGCGGAATCCAACAGCTCAAAAAAAGGCACCCACAAATGCCCACAATTGTCCAGCATAGATAGTCATCTACCTCATCGGTCAAGATTCGCACGCCATCTTTCATCTCGTCTCGTATACGAGGCGACTGGAAGATCAGGGGGTGTGTTCCACCTTGGGCCGGTGCTCCGGGGACGGATGGGGTAGAGTTCGGAGCGCCAGGGATGGGACCGGCAGCAGACAAATAATGTCTCGTACCATCCTGGTTCATCCTTTGCAGAGCAATTTTCTGCATCTGACTTACAGGCCCGCCATCCTCAGAAGACACACGACCTTTATCCACTTTGCGAATGATAAGTGGTGAGGTAGCAATATTGGACAAGGTGTCTGATAAGACGACCTCACAGCCGTAAGTAACAGGTTGCGGACCGGCTATAGGGTGAACGTGAGTAATGATGACTTTCCAGTCACGTGAGCACAGACCATTGGTGGGCGGCGCGTCATCAGGGCGTCGCACTACGTTCACGTTGAACGCAGACCAAGTAACATTACTTGCACAGAGCTGAGAGTTGTCGATAGTCATATACTTGGTCCGTACAGTCTGTGAATTGATCCTGTTGAAAAGAGATACTGGACCTCCAGCGAGGATACACGAAGAGATGTTACGGGTTTTGGCTGTCTTCTTCGAGGGTTTAGATATAATGGTTACAGGAGCTGAATCAAAGGTGGCCCAAACACGACCAGGAGTTCCATCAGCACTGCTCTCGCCTGACAAAGCAGAAGGAGGGGGTTCTATTATGTCGAGGGAAAGCTGAAAGCTCTTTGCTTTAGCGGTTCCTGTCACGTGCAAGAATTTGAAGCTTCCGGTCATATTGTTGTCCAAATTAGTCTTTTGGTCCAATGATCGTTCACCTTGCTCGGAGACAACTGACATGGCGAGTTGTTGTGAGCGCATTTGCCAAACTGGACCTTGAATATGAACGACAGGGGGAGGACAAAGGAAGCGTTTTTCGCTGCCATAAGATTTCTGGGCAACAGCGGCATGCAAGCACATGACGGTTGTCATTTGGAGAAGAGGATGCTGGTGCTGCTGCGACACATGCTCGCGGACAGGTCGACGCATTTTCGGGTGTGGATCGTCGGGTTCTGTCTCGTCCAATTTACGCTTACCACTCTTTCCATTTGAAGACTTTTGGACGGACATATGAGTGCTACAACGATAGTAAGTCACATTCTATGTACTCACCTGGCCTGCGACTGAGGGTAGATGTGGCGACGCGTGTTGTTGGGGAGGCGGAACTTGGACAGGGGGTATGACCCATTGATGTAATGAATCGGGAGCGACAGGATCTTTTCTGTTCGCCGCAAGTAAAGATTGAAGTGACGCGTTCGGATCGGTGTTAGAAAGAATTGAAGGAGGTGCGGAAGTTACTGGAGGTTGTGAATTAAGGATGGCATTGTTGTTTGAATGGTTTGAATGCTGAAACTGTTCACCATGATTTTTGTTGGCAAGTATATGAGAAGGAGAAGAAGAAGTAGGGTTTACAATTAAATCCAAAGTAGATTGGGCGGGGGAGGTCGGAGGTGGCGATGAAGTACTTAAATTTTGGTGAAGCTGCTGTTGAAGGACAGCGTCGGGCATTTGAACGTGTGAGGAAGAGTAAGGATGGAAAGTCCTCATAACAGTTTCCCGCCAGGGATAACGATGTGTTGGTAGCCAGCTGTGGGAATCCGTGAGGAAGAGGTGGGAAAATTGAGCTTCACTACAAGACTTTAACTAAGACGTGCGAAAAAAACAATACCAAACACGTGTTACCCGTGAGAATTATTAAATAAAAATAAAAATATTGACATTTTAAACTAAACTATACTAGACATCGCATGTAATGCCAATTTTACAGGCCACCACCATTTCATTTCTTCTTGTCCCCCTGCAGTAGAATTTTCAACTTGACGTAGCTTGCTCAGTGCAAGGTAAAGTGACTCGTGATCAACAACTTCATCCTCCCCATAGTCAATATTATCTTTTGATATCATTCAATCAACTTCCCCATACTTCATTGGTTAAAAACGGACTTACTAAGTACTGATAACACGCCCATTTTATCTTCTCCCTTGATAGTCTCCTCTATGTCATATTCTGCCGCCCGTGCGAATATGACGGGTCCCGGAGTACGAGGCAATGACCCATCATTATCCTCTAAGGATTGCACTTCATCATCCCCAAATCGCTCAGGCTGTTCTTGTCGTAACCACTCCCAACGTTCCCCCTCTCTTTCCGGAGATACCAAATATGAAGCCGGGAAGAACCCCGCGAGGCTGAACGGGTCCTCTCTATCACGAGGCGAGGCAAGCGGGGAGGCGGCCGTCAAAGAAGCGCTAAACCTATACTGGGAGGATGCGGTTGCCGCTGATTGATGTAAGCGAGGAGCGAAGCCATCTATGGTAGACTTGGCCCTAGCGAGAGGAGGTCGAACATGATACTCTAAAGGCTGGGGTGCGGTATTGGAACGACGCATGGCCATGGTGGGCCTGTTCTATGGGGGTCGACCAGCTAGAGCTCCATTTATGAAGTTGTCAGAACACAATCGCCCCAACGCATATTTCAAACCCCGCGGTCAGCCAATTTCAGATACCCCATGAATTGTATGCAGCTACCTACAAAACATACGCACGTCGTGCGATATGTATTACAATAGTCCTACATAATGCAAGAAAGTGGATTGACGATAAGAAACCAATATTAATGTCGAACTTGCAGCAGGCAGGGGAGAGACATGTGAAGACCCTAATGAAACGACAGGTGGAAAAATATGTCCATCATGAAGCCGAATGTCCAATGTGGTTTAGGAAAACGAGTGACGTGCTGCGCCTGCACCTGACATCTAACACCATCTCAGCCCACTCAACTTGGAGGATCACGAGGGAACCCAGTAGAGCGACGTCTGTCCATCGCCAAGTCTCGAGGACGATTCTGACCAGGGAATGGAACAGTCGCGTTGGTCTCGGTCTTCATCACACGAGACTCTCGCTTTGCGCCGGGGCGTTCGGGGCGAACTCCAAGCTCTACATCCTGCTGATGTCGCTGCCAATCCTCCACCCTCAAGACCGATTGACGTTTCGATGAGTTGTTGGCACCGCCCATCGCAGCAAGCTTGTCAGCGCTTATGCCCCTGGGTCGACGTTCTGGGTTCTTCTCCTCCTCGGGTCCCGTCTTGCCAAGACCGTCCTCAGACTTGCGTCGCAATTTCTCCTTCTCTTCTCGTGCAAGCTCTGCGGCCTTCTCAGCCTGCCGTCTGTTCACTGCTTCCCGCTCCACTGCCTTTGAACGCTCCCAGCGGCGCTTGGCGGCTTCGACCTCCGCATTTTGTTTCGCAGCCTCCGTGAGTGGAGCTTGAAGGCCCCGCATCTTTTCCCGATGTCGTTCCTCGAGTTCCTCAAACGTTGCAATACGCTGAGGTTCTGCTGGTCTGGCAACTGGCGCTGCGATCATCGCGCTTTGTCCGCGAGGAATGATGATGGGAACATTGCTGGGGGGCTCAACAGGCGCAGCCTTCAATGGTCGAGTGGGAGGGAGGACGATCGGTATGTTGCTTCGCTCGGGCTCAGGTGACAATGGCGTCCTGGAAAAAATGGCAGGAGTATAACGTTGAGGAGGCGGTGCAGCAGCTGCAGGAGATTGTGAGGATAATAACACAGCTGGAATCGTGCCGTTGAAATATGGTTTGGGCTTCCTGGTCTGAGCACGGGCTGTTGCAAGCGTGGCAATAGGCGCATCCTCATCAGACGTATCTTTCGCGCTTGTGTCTGGACCAACGCCAGGATCCAACAAGCTCTCACGGCGTTTCCGTTGGGAGAGGGCTTCAGTGACAGCTGGCGGGACAGGTAGGCGTTGTTGTGCAGATAGCGATCCCGTCGTGGATACACGGCTCGTTGGGATGGGTGCAGTGACCCCAGCTGGTGGTTGTACGAGCTTACGGTCATGAACATACGAATCCCAGTCATCATCGCGCAGAGGAACGCTTGTAGGACGGCCAATGGATGCACCAAGCGGAGGCGTATCTATAAGCTTGGAAAGTTCCAAGGAGTGCACACGACCGCGTGGATCTGGCTGTCTGGGTGGGCGAGTGTGTGGACGTGGGGCAATAGCATTATCAAGGTCGTAGCTGAGGGTGCGACGAGAGGTCAGAGAGATACGACGAGAGCGGGAGTCGTCCGAGTCAGGGCCAGGCGTCTCCGATCTGAGTGCATCGATGGAGCGTCTGATGGTTTGAATTTCGGCAAGAAGCTCCTCCTTGCGATGGAGATCTTCCAACTCCGCTGAAATAGCAGTTTTCCGCACATCGCTGTGTTTAGTGTCGCTGCTGTCAGGATCGTTATCAGTAATGAACCCAGAAGGGACATCCTGTTGAATGCCAAGACCAAGATCAAGTGCAGGCAAGACACCGGGCGCTTGAACATCTCGTACAACCCGCTTAATATCTTCATCAGGGGTAGGAGCGGCCATGAAGTCGGATACTCCCGATGTGTAACGACCGCGCCCGCCAACCAACGTGAAGGTCGAAGCCCGCCCCTCCTGAGAACCCCTGGACGGGAAGTCGTTCATCAGGGGTGTCCCAGAGTAGCCACTGCCCTCCCGGGCATGCTTTCCAAGTGATGGATGATCGCGCTCCCATTCCTGCTGTTCCTTTGAGAGCTCTGCGAATCTGCCGGAAGCATTTAGTTCGGCCTCTTCATCTCGCTTCTTTTCTTCCTCAGCAATTTCCCTAAGTTTGCGCTGCAAAACCCGGAGGATGCGGAGCTGAACGGCGCCGCCCATAAGAGCGATAGCACCAATGAGTCCAAGTTCGATCTCCATTGTCTGGGTTACGGGAAACGCAATGCCGTTGTTAACGTACTTGGGGAAGAGGGTGGTGAAACCTAAATTCCAGACGTAGAACTATCGTCATACGTGAGTAATGAGGTTACTATGGAGGATGATGCAAACCTCTTTTAAGCCAGCTGTCGTGTAGCAATCTACGCCGAGCATAAAGGCGGAGGAGCCAACGAAGGCAGTTGCGACCAGGAGCATGTGCCAATGTAGCTTGGGTATTGTGCAGAGGACAAAGGCAACCACGCTGCATGCTGAGTCGCAGTCGTAAATTAGCAGGGAACAAGGTCGGCCACGAGGAAAGACTTACCTATGTACAGGATCCATCTCATCCCAACAGGGGTAATAAGACCGCCATTTCTGAAGCATTGTATCCATAGTCCGAATGCGAAACCTCCCCACGCGCCAATAAAGTATTTGGTGGCCTTCCAGAAGAAGATTGTGAACGCGCCGCCCATGACACCAGCAACAGCGGAGGCTAAAACGAACATCCCTTGGAGTGTGTTGTTCGGTGGGTTGATCGCGGGAAGAATGCCGAACTTGACGATGAGAACGAAACAGACCAATGATAGGGTGTAGAAACCAATGAGGAAAAAAGAAGTCCTACATGGTATGGGTGAGACACTGATAGATCCACAAATGAGAGAAATTACCATCTATTCTTGTGACCCCAAAACGCACTTGGTAACCCTGTTATGATGAGGATCGCTCCCAAGACACCAAAAGCTGGGGATATTCTAGTGGCTAGGATGATGGGAGTCGGGGTGGGTGAGGCGGAGGAGGTTGAATTTGCAGCAGAAGCCTGTATAGTGCTAGTTGCATTGTATACGGTGGGTAGAACGGTGGTAATGGTGGTAGCGATATTCCCTGAGTGACTGACGGTTGTCAATGTGTAGGAGCTAGTAGTCAAAAAGGTTGTAACATTTGCGGAGACGGTTGGAGAAGGTGTACCGCTAGTTGCAGTGGTCACATTCGTAGACTGAGCTGCCGACACCTGAAAAAGGACAGACGAGAAAAGGAGAAGACATAACATAAGGTATGAGCCAAGAGGTGCTCTCGCCATCGTTGAGCACGACGAGGAAGGACAGTGAAGAAAAGATTGTTCACCGAACTACAACCTTGGGGGGGTATAACGGGGTATACCTTCTGAAGTGGAAGTAGAGAAAGGGCCAGGGCTGGCCTCGGCGCTAGCTAATCCGAGAGTCAGCCACCTTAGGCTGCTATTCATGGATTCATTCACACCAAGGTTACATCATGCCATATGGACCTATTTGGACTCGATCCGAGCAACCCACGCCGTTAACCAAGTACGCCACATCAATCCTCATGTTCACCTAGACCAGCTCGAGCCTCGTCCAACGTTCATCCGACTACTACGGTTTACAACGCCGTTTACCTAGGAATATCTAATGTACCGTAGCACGTGTACCGACGGGCACGCTACCCCGCGCTTCTTCTGTCAGTCAAAATGTTCTACCTTTGTAACTGGAATGCCAAGTTTCTTCAACGTCATCTCCATCTTTCTTGAATCATCCCTGACCGAAACCTTGCCTTTCTTTCCTTCATCCTCCCGGCGTCCCTCCAAGACTGTGATAACTTTGCCTTGCCGGCCGAACCTACCAACTCGCCCTGCGACATGCTGGTAAACGTCTCCCGCGCGTCCTTCCGGAAGTCCAAGGAGAAAAACGTGGGTCAGCGCAGGAAAATCGATCCCTCGGGTCGTTGCGAGGGTCGATACAAGCAATGTGGGATTCTCATCCGGAATATCGCTGTTCTTAGATAGAAGGTGTACGCGACCGGCCTCATTGTCCACGAGATCCAGACCGTGGGCATTCACACCGAGTTGATTCAGCTCGAAAATAACCCGTCGGACGGATGTCGTTGCAGGTACCACAAGTAGCGCGATGTTTGGTACGTCCAGAGCGAATGCAGATGCCACAGCCTCAAGCATCCCTGGAGTGAAAACAGGAGGAGCTTGCAGCATGTCTGGTTGCAAATCAAACCATCAGCAAATGAATGACAATGTGAAAGTAAAATCTCCCCACCCGTGTCAGTATCATCAACGAGCAGTGCCTCATCGTCTTCATCAAAAATAAACTCTTCTTCTTCTTCGTCCTCCACATAAGAGTTTGCAGTCCCAGAGGAGTCCGGCGGTGCAAGGGCTCGTGGTTTGCGCGCACCAGCTATATTTTTCACAGAACCATCCTGTGAAACGACAAGAATATGGTGTGTGATCGTGCGGTTAAGACCGTGAGCCGCACGCGAACTGGACGAAGCCTTGATAAGCTTGAGCACTTGCCCGCTTCTGAACCATCCGTAAGTGCCAAAGAAAGCTGTCCTCAACCTATTTCGCATCGTTGCACTGAGCATGATAAGCTGCGGCCGATGAATTGGGGCCAGCTTCATCTCCAGAAGACGCTTTCGTAGTTGCGAACTACTAGTTTTCGTATTCGTATAGAGTACATCCAGTACAGTCTTCAAAATAGGAGGGTGTTTTTCATTTAACCGCTCCGCTTTTTCTCTGGCATGCTTTGAGCCTTTCTGGGGCACCACTTGTAGAAGCGAGTCCACCTCATCAACGACGACAGTCGTTAACGTGGACAACTGAAGTACTTCGGGCTCCTTGTGAAGTACGTCTATAAGCGCAGTTGGCGTGGCAATGAGTATATGCGGAGGATATTCTCGGAGCACGGATATTCCAGACGACGATGGGTTCACGATCGCCTCAAGGATCCGAGGAGATGAGTTTTTGAGGTTTTCCGGTGGTGAGCCGCGCACTAGCACCTGTGCAATCGAAGCGAGCGAGTATGGAGCAGGTTCACCGGCAGACGTTAGCATGTGGTGTAACCAGTGCAAAAATTGGTAGGCGAGGTCACGGTGGGGGACGATCAGGAGAGTCGTAATGCCTTTTGTTGCATTGTCCTTTCCCTTTTCCGGATCGTATCTAGATATCCTTGGTTTGCTCAAAAGTCCGAGTAGCAATCCGAATGACCTTGAAAGACGTTGTTTAGAGTCACAGCGTTCGGTAAAGGATGTAGAGTACGCACTTTCCAGTACCCGTGAAGTCCTGCAAGAGGATATCCTGTTTACCCACCACTCCGGATATCAGCTTGCGCTGCATTGTCGTGGGTTGCTGAACATGGGGGAATGCAGCACGAAGAGACGCCGCAATTGGTGTGCGCACTCCAAGGGACTCGAAGGTTACAACGTCCTGTGGAGCATGCCCCGTGCTTTTCGCGTATGATTGCTCTTTGGCATGCACCTCCGAGCTATGGCTCATATAGCGAAGCAGCGCATGCTTCCTGCAGACTGACTGACGCGCCCAGCTGCGATATAGCACCACGACTGCAGAAGAAGGAAAACTCATGTGGACACGTGACACAACCTGAGAGCGATATATAGCGAAAACAAAAATCATGTTGTGATCGGAAGTACAATTTTGACGAAAAAGTAAGATACATAGATGGGTGTCAAAGAAGTGAAGTCGTAACTGTGAGCTAGTACGTGGCGTATCATGAGGATTGAAAGGCCTAACTGCTGCTGTGATAAATGAGATAGGTTGTCAGAAACGCAACGCCGCCGCATGCGATACCAGCATACCGTCTCGCAATTAAACAGCACTTCATTTGGCAACCGCAGCAGCACAAGGGGACGTGGGTAAAGAAGAGGGAGGTGAGAGCTGCTCCCTCGCATAATGTAAATCTTCTTCTTGCGCCTCCGCGTGGTCACCTTCAATCCTCGCGAGTTCCTATTCCTCGCCCTCACCAATGGGCTGGTATGTGCTCCTGTCGTTACGATAGAGTAGCCGGCTGACCCAGCCGCGTTCTGTAGCAATTTTGGGTCGAGAGCCAGAACGCATCGAAGGGCTGCGGGTATTGGACATCAGAGATGCCCGCTCGGACTCATAATCCAGCCTCTCCTCTGCGAGTACACGATCAATACCGTACGACTGAAGGAGATTGGAGATACTTTACCTTCTCCGAAAACAGCATCCATCTCCTCGAGAGGAACGCCTTTAGTCTCGGGATACACTACATTCAACGTGAGTAGGGAGACCATATTCAAGATCATCCACCTACAGAAATAAACGAGAATGAAACTGCATGCGCAATAGAACCCATGCATAGGGTATAGTCGCCAGGTAATGACTTCTTGGAGGTATGGGGTCGTCTCTCCGACGATAAAATTGAATGCCCTAATGACATCAGTTAATAACGTGTGGCAGATGCCTCGTGCTCACCAATTGGTAGCAGTCGATATAGATACACCTTTCGAACGGAATGTGAGGGGCATAATCTGAAACAAGTTTAGCATGGCATTAGAGCTATTGCTGGAAGAATATCACCTCGGGGGGGTAGAGCCATGGAATAGGGCCCCAACTGAGACACTATCAATCCAAAGGCACAGAAATGTGCGAGAACAGCATACCTGTAGCCGAATGCAGCATTGAAGACAATAACACAAGCCACCACAGCCTTTGGAGTAGCTGGTACATCAATGTACATCCACCAGCCAGTGAAGCCCAGGGCAATGCCCATCTGTATATCGATGAGCATATTGAGGTCTGTTAATCAGAAAGGGCGACCAACGATAACGGCACCAGAAAGCAAAATGACGCGACGACCCCAACGGTCTACGAGGTACCAGCTATGGGAGTGTTGAGCATTCCTAACAAGACCGTTGATGCTGCAACTCACGGGGGCAAAGTACTCAAGACGTAAATGATGGCATTGATGCCCGTCATCAGCACAGCATCGCGGCCAAGCCATCCGGCCTCTGCGTTTCAATGAGTTTTTGCTGAGAAAAATATACGTGCACACATACCTTCGAAAACAGATGCTAAACATTGTCCATATCAGTCAAAGATCGCTTCGTTGTAAAATAAAATGCGTACGAGCGTAGTAAGAAATCACTGATGATTGTTTTCAAGCCATTAGTTTCATGAAAGCCGTACAAAAATAGCTACGTTACCATTAATTCCATTCTGGAAAAGACGGGTTCATGACGGGATGATATCCGTAAATGAGCAAAAGGCTTACCAGTTGAGCAAACGCCTGCGAAGACATGGCAAGTAATACGCGTCGTTTGTACTTCCTCCACATCACAGCATACGAGCGGCCTTCCCCAAGTTCGCGCTGCGATTGTTGAATGTAAAATGGTGATTATCGCAGCGAACATTAGCGCACCTCATAAATGACTTTGTCCTTGATTTCTTGAAATTCGGCTTGAGCGAGAGCTGTCATTAGGGTCTCCTCCATGCAGATCCACGATGACACGCATCCCAGCAGCATCTTGGTCGGTGTCAATCAACCACCTGAATAGGTTCAGTGCATGTCACCTTGACAGTGAGAGACGGCATACCGAGGACTCTCAGGCATAATAAGGCTTCCTGCAGCGAGAATGCTTCCAATGACACATTGCAGAAAAAGGGGTATGCGCCAAGAAAGATCGGACCCGATGAATGAGCAGAAGTAGTCTGTCCACTATGGGAACGTCAGCTCGCCAGCTCTACCACAGATAAAGACGACTTACAACGGAAGATGCATAGCCGAAAACATTACACGTAAATTCCATACACGCAAGAGCGCCTCTCTGCAAACAAAATTAGTAACCATGAAACGTATGAAGGTTGAGACCTACATGATTGGGAGGAGAAATTTCGCTTTGATATATGGGAACGATTGTACTAAAAAACGCGCTGAGCATTTCACGAAAATTTTAAATCGAGGACCTACGACAAGAGTCCGACTCCACAGCCGCTTATCACCCGGCCAATGATCATGACGTAGAACCCTGTGGTGAATGTCTGAACCGCACCGCCGACGGTGAAGACAATGGCCCCGATGAAGAGCGTTCCCTTCCGCCCAATGACGTCGCCGATGCGACCAGCAGCAATTGATGTGGCTGTGGAATATTATTGAACAACCCAAACTGGAAGTATATAAAAAACATACCGAGGGCTCCAAGCTCGAGAACTGCGACCATTGTACCAACCTCAATTGGACCAGGCGAATTGAAAAACTGCTTGAAATAGGGTCCAGTAATGATACCGGACATGACGCTGCCCCTGGACTCAGTAGCTAGTAAGTCAACGAGAGAGACGTGTCACGAACCCCTGGTCATATCCGAACTAGAAAGTAGCACCAAAGATTAGTTTAACGTCTCGTGCGACCCGTGGTATATAGCGTACCAAGAAAACGCCCAAGCTAGCGAACAAGGAGATAGCGTAGAGAAGTGGTTGCCCGACCAGTCTATGTCGGGAGGACGGAGGAGTAACTTCCATCATAATGCATGGACTGATGATGGTAGGAAAGAGGAGTATGCGGTGGAGTTTCGTCTGCCAATGCCTAAAAAGTGTATTGAAAACGTACAATGTGTACTAGCGCCACATCAAAGTTGGCAAACACTGAACTACTTCATTTGGAGACTATTCTGTTAGACTACTTACTGACACCTACTACAAGAACCGAACTAGTACTCCTCAGCCAGACTAAAGGCTGCACATTTGCCATATGCCGCGCTCGGACCCTTCTCTAGACTCCTCATCTGACTTGTCATATGACTCTGATGAAGACTACCGTTTAGCCCAGAAAGAGTGGAACGAGAGTTTAGAAGAGCTTCAGCAGCTCGCACTCGTATTACTACTGCCATGGGTAGGCAAGTACTTTGGCAGGAGATGTAGTTATTGGTGTATGTACATTACAACGCATCATGTCTGTCTCTACTAACAGATGCATCCTGCAGTGTACGATCGCTACACGCGTATCGGTCTCGGCAAGTCGTTTTTCATGGGCGAGAAACCTTTAGCATGGTCCTTCTTCTCGCGATGAGCAAGGCATATAGGTATATTCTAGTACTACGTCAGACATAAGCCTTTGGCCCTAACTTCATCCTCCAAGCTGTCCGTCGTTGAATTCTACCAACCAAGCTCTCCAATGCCCCAGCCGGTTTGATGTACCTCAGGAGGTCTTCTACCATCTCGTCTGCAACCGCCCATTCCTCCCTCGAAATCAGCCCATGTAGTAGGATATACCATGTATCATAATTCATTGGGACCTTCCGGTTTGCCATCTCCCTGTAGTAACCCAATGCCCCTCGCAATCCTTCCGCTTCTGGGTTCTCCAAACACGCTTTGATCAATATGTGGTAGGTCACCCGATTGGATCGGATATTCCGCTCCTTCATCCTTTTCAGGACGTATCTCTTGCACTCCTCGGCTAGAGCGGTGTCGGGCCATACCCGGCGGTGCAAGGATGCAAGCACACCTGTGTATGTCACGTCATTGGGTTGGGCATCCGGATTCGTCTCCATCTTCTGAAGCAGCTCCATTGCTGTCCTGAGACCTTGCTCCGAGGGTTCCCGGAGCTGTTGGTCTATGATTGCGCTGAATACAGCGACGTTGGGCTCCACATTTTGCTTCTTCATCAAACTCAGTACCAGGTCCGTGGCGTCGGTACGCCCAACTTTAAGAAGAGCAGAAAGCACGGAAGAGAACGTGAATGCATCGCCAGTCAGCCCATCTTCTCGGAGACATTCAAGCAACACCGAGACCGCACGAAATTCACCTCTGCGACCATGGTGTCGCAGGAAGGTATTGTAGGAAACGATGTCGGGCTTTGGGCCCTTCTGCCGTAGGTTCTGCAGCAACGCATCGGCGTCACCCGGCCGTCCGTTATTGAGAAGACCGTGCAGCACTGTATTGTACACGGACAGTGCGTCCTCAGTGTCTGGCAATGAACCATTGGCCAGCCCTTGCTTGAATTCCGCAAATTTCTCGATAGCGTCATCTGGCTTCCGAGCATTGAACAATGTCGAAATGACAGCACGATATGTCAAAATCCCTGGTCGAATGCCTTGGGAAATCATGTTATCCCAACTGGTGGAAGCGGCATCAGCTTCCCCCATGCTATCAAACCCATCCAAGAGCGCTGTCCAAGTGATGACACCAGGCTGGATGCCATGTTTAACCATGTCATGCCAAAGCTTCTCCGCCAGATCCCGACGGTGGCACCGCAAGAACCCCGTTAAGAATGCTGCCCAATTGATCTCTTGGACCACGACAGGTTTCTGGCTGGACTTCTGGGAATCATGGGCAGCGAGATATGGCTCTGAACCATACAAACCGTCGATGATAGCGCGGTATAACTTCTCGATCCGTGAAAGATCTTGATTGCCCGCGAGATTTGTGATATGAGTGCTGAGTGAGTGGTGACGAGAGATGAGTCTTGCGATGTCGAGGCGACGGACATAACTTTGCACTTTTTCCCGGAACGAGATGTCATCGAAAGAAGCCATGAACTCCTTCTGGGTGGACTGATTTACGCGGACAGGATTTTCGAGCATTATCTTCAGTGCGCCCTCGAATGAATCTTCGAGTGCGTGTGCAGCTATTGCCGCAAGGACGAGTGAAAAACTGGGTTGGTGGGATAGCTGATCGCCTAGAATATTGAGAGCTAGCCCATTCGCGTCATCAACATCTTCTCCTAGTGTGGACGGTAGAGGCTCAGACGCGGACTGGTTGCTGGAGTGGGCCAGAAAACGTCTGTATAGGTCAAGGGCTGCCTGCGAGTCGCCTCTCTTGATATGTGTGATCATACAAGCCGTGAGGGCATTGACTGCACCCTCACAAGCAGCAGCAACCGCTATGTCCTCGATGACGCTCCTCCCGTCTGCGTCCCAAGCCTCAGTGCTGTCCGTAGGGCACAGCCGAGCAGCGCGCTCGGAAAAGCCACGCAGCTCTCGACCTAGGAGTCGCAGCAACTTCCTATCTTCCAACTGCGACCATAGCTCTCCCACTCGCGCGATGTCACCAGCCTTCAGAGAGAGGCGAAGCTCGACAACCTTTTCGTCGAAGAAGTTTATATCTGGGTCAGATACAGCAGCAACGCCTGGTTGGCTCAATAAGCTGATACGTTGCTTGATGCTCTGACAAAGAATTGCTGGGCTTTGCGTGCGTACGGAAACTGGGAATTCTGCGAGTTTCTCCGTGTTGTGTCTGGTGGAAGGTTTCGTCACTGAACGTTGTGGTTGCACCTTGGAGCTACCGAGACGGTATCCGAACGCAGTCGGGGCAAGGAAATCAAGCACGGCGGTAGTTCGCCTCGATTTTGTGGTAGCATGGCGCAGCATCCGTAAGCTGTGAAAGGACGAAGAAATGAAGACCTTCTCATTTATCTTGTTTGCGCTTATTAGATTTGGAAGCTTGACTCTCGGACGCTTGAAGGTCATTGCACAGGTCTCAATCCAACCACAACATGGGCCACGGGAACTCTAACAAACTCTATATCACGCACGCTGAACACGCTGGCGAATTCGGACAGCATTCTGCATCGTCTGGGTACAAAGCGTAAGTCCTTTTTGCGTCTAAATCATCGTTTCCTCTCATGTTTTGCACAGAAAGCTCCAAGTACCACATCCTCGAGCACAAACGCCATTCGACTGCTGTGCGCTTTCTTTCCAGTCATTTAATCATCCAGTATGCGCCCGCAACGCGGATGGGACGGGCTTCGTGTTTGACCTCGTCAACATTATCCCTTGGCTAAAGCAAGTTATACTCTCTTCCTACAAGGTGACGTTTGTCTTACGCTTTTGTTCAAAGGCAGCATAACAATACACATCCCATTACAAAAGAGCCCCTCGCCCCTAGTGACCTTATAACACTTCACTATTCGCGCAAACCATCTGGCGAAATCCACGATCCAATTTCATTCAAGCCGTTTAGCGAGCACTCACATATCGTAGCAATTGCGACCACAGGAAATGTTTTCCTTGCAGAAAGTATCAAAGGCGGTAAAGATCTCCTCGAAGACACTAAATTTAAGAAGTTTGTAGACGGGTCTTCCATCACCATCCTGAACTAAATATTACTTTTGCAGGGAAGACGTCATCACATTGCAAAATCCCCATGGTCTCCCAGCCTCGTCTACAATCAATACTGGTGCTACCGCTGTCGCAAAGAAGGAGCAAGAAAAGCCCAAACCAGCCGTTAAAGCAATCTCTGATGTGAAATCTAAAGCCGCTGTCCCATGTGAGCTTCACTGTTTTCCCCCACAGCATACAGCCTGAGTATTATGACAGGGAACATTTCTCCGTATTCTAGCGGTGCATCTGGTGCATCCTTGACTTCAACGTCTGTGGATCCTCAGACACAAAATTCACAACTACTGTGGGATGAGGTGCGTAAAGAGAACCAGTGATGATTATAATTTTTGTTGATAGTGGCCTTAGGAAGAACTGATGTTTGAAGAAATGTCGAATCCTCCTAAGGGTAAGGGGAAAGAAAAAGACGTCGGTAAACGAAGAGCATATGTCCGAGTCGTAACCAGTTTGGGTGGTTCGCTAAACCTGGAGTTGTATTGCGACAAGGTCAGTGCTGTGTGCGCTATGCTTTCATTGACGTAGTTCACGCTCCCTCATAGGCACCAAAAACTTGTTACAACTTCCTCATGCTTGCGAAAGCAGGCAAGTACGACGACTGCCTCTTCCACAGACTTGTTCCTGGATTCATGGTACTTAATCTTTCATCATCTCGTAAGATTGGATACTCACTACTGTAGGTGCAAACGGGTGACCCAACTGGTACAGGCTCTGGTGGGGAGTCCCACTGGGGTACTCCTTTCCGAGACGAGTATGACATGAGAGGTGCTGCAAAACATGATAGTCGTGGTGTCATCGCCATGGCCAACAAGGGCGCTGGCACGAATGGGTCCGTCTGCTGGTTTGCCCGTGTTTTCTCTTTCACTGACTGGTGCCACCATAGATCGCAATTTTACATCACGTTCAGAGCTACACCGAACCTCGACAACAAGCACACTGTCTTCGGCAAGTTAGTTGGGGGAGACGACGTCCTCGATGCTCTAGAGAAACTTCCTCGCAAGGATGGAACAGAACGCCCGGCGAAGCCTGTTCGGATAACGGAAGTTATTATGTGTGTAAATAGCTTCTTTGCTCAGACCTGTGTTCATTCCCTCCTCTTCTAGACATCAGGATCCCTTCGAAGTTCACAAGGCACGACTTGCAAGAAAACTTGCTCGGCGTGCAGAAGCACAGGATGATTCCAAGAAAGTGCCTGAAAAGACTCAAGGGGATGACATTAATTGGTTCGGGGTCAAAGTCGGCACCGGGGACTCGGCATTTGGTGGGGGTTCTGCAGGTGCTGGAGTGGGGAAGTATTTAGGCATCAAGAGGCCGTTGGATCAAGCAACACCTGGCGTACAGACCAATGATATCGGTGACGACGCCAAGAAGAAACGGAAAATAGGGTTTGGAAACTTTGACGCTTGGTAGTAGACAGACAGTTGTTGCTCTATTGTCTAATATCTGTATCATTATCATGCCATCCTACTGTAGTGTCGAAAGTATCTGTAGATGTTTGGGAAAAGGTCGGGTATGGATAATACCGGAATGAAATGTCCATGGTTAAGAACATTAATGCGTGCTAGTTTTCGTTAACCAGGCACGGCAACTCGCTCTCTCCTGGTCGCTAGGGGCACTGGCTGGACTTCTAGAGAGAAATCAGGATCGCGGCCGTCTGACAATCGTGAACTGCCCTGACCTGCTGAAACAAGTGGCAACGAACTTGGCGGGGATGGCAACTCCACAGGCACTTCGGGCTCTGCTTGTCCAAGCTAGGTACCACGAAGTGAGAAACGTAAAATGATGTCCGACAGCTCGCACTGACCGCTTCCGCTTGTAATGCTTGGAGCTCCGCCTGTACGGCGCCCTCCTCATCATGTGTTAATCGGTTTGCTAGCAAATCACCAATTTCCTGTTCACCATCCTCAGCACAGCTCGAGGAGCACGGAAAATAACATACTCGTTGATACTCTCTCGCTTCTTGTGTCTCGTCCATGAGCTTCTCAACACTCTCGATGCTCATCTCACGATGAATTTCTTGAAGAACTTCATTGCCTTGCTTGAGACCATGAAGGACAGAAACCTCGACCAAAGAAAACTCGATGGTTGACACCTAAAAGGTCATCATAGAATTTCAGCATGCGTCTGGGAGTTATGAATGAGACGGACTAATTGCTCCAAGTTCTCCAATTGACTGTCGGTCTTGAGCAGTAAGCTCTGCTGATACTTGCGCCTACGGAGGGCTATGACGGCACGGTCTTTCTGACCGGTAGCGAGATGTACTTTGGCAATTTCATGCTCCCGGTCGAGCACGACTTGTATCTGTATTAAAGAATAATGGACGCAGCATCTCGACGAGCGATTCTGTAGTCAAACCTTCTTCTGATATTGCTTTAGCTTATCGCGTTGGAGTTTAAGACTAAGGAACGGATGCACTTGTTGGGCGTTACCGTTTGGTTGAGAAGTCACGAAAGCCCACGCACTCGAGAATCGCTCGATCATGAGCGGTGACCTTGGGTGTCGACTGACTTAACCCCATGACTTAATGTCTGTGTTGAAGTGGTTGTGGAGACCGTTCAGTCCAAGTACTTGTGTGAAGTCCGCACACACTTAGCAAGTACACCGCCACCACACTGGATGAAATGGCTAGATTCCTATTGGATTCCAACTACATCATACGCCCACAGACAGGTCCCGTTGTAATACAACACTAAGGATACGATATTCTTAGTGTAATGCTAGAGTCGATGTGCTCCAATAAAAAGACGGAATCTGGACTGTGCACTGTCGTATCCCACTGGCAAGTAAAGGATAAGCATGCATGAAGTAGCACACAGCACTGACGGGATCACATCCCATAAAAATACAAGACACCGGTCATTGCTCGAGATTTGATTTCGTAGGGTGAGCAAAGCGCAACTCGGACGAGGAGCGCTGAGGTCGCCCGAGCTCAAAACTCATAGGGGCTAGGTCCCCTTCTTCTTCTTCAATTTTTATATCAAAAGGATAGTGTTTGTGGTTGTAAAACCGATTCGTCCTACCGAGGTGCTGGTTTGAGCCTATGGATGGTAGAACAACCCGTGAGGGTCGTGAATGCGGAAGGAGTTTTGGGCGCGTCAGCGTATATAGGATCGTGTTGAAAAATCCCGATAAAAGAAGGAGGGTGTCTGCCCAAGCCGTCACCGGCCATGGTACATCGTTGCTGTGAAATTGCGTGAAGCGAGCGGCGGTGATAGGCAATACCTGCTGAAAAGTCAGAGAGTATCCAGCTAATGAGCATTTTCTACCTACCGTAATAATGTAGACAGCAGGATAGCTGGAAAGGTAAAGATTAAGAGGGTTTGCTGACTCTGGGCCATAGCCAACTCACAAGAGCATTCGCAACGCGATAGTTCCTTCGTCTCGTGATGGTCGGGGGTCAGAACCATCGGAGGGCGTACGACTGCGAGCCTCAGCCGAAATCCAACGAATTCTATGTCCATCAACGATGATAACCCGTTTGACCACAAGAGCAAGGAATATGTAAACAACGATGGTGATGAAGGCTGCAATCCACATCCACAGGTATTGAAGACCCATTCGTTGGAAGTTGTTACGTTCAATCCAGCACCCTGTCCAATGCAAAATTAATTAGCCACACGGATGAAATACCCACATTGCGGACGTACAGTGCCCAGTGGGTCCATAGAAATTATCAACCACCGCATTTGGTATTCCGACCATCAGGCCAACAGTTACCCATATGATGGCTGAGCCAAGTAGCCCTGCTTTTGGAGGGGTATCCCACTTCAATACAAGCACCTGCATCGTGTGTAACGCGATAGCCTGCATAAGCTGATTAGCACGGGAGACGTTTCCAGGTGGGATGTGAGTTACTATCGTGCTGTTTTGGCAACTGGTTAGCATTCTAGAGAAAATACTAAATAATGTATCAGACTTGCCTGAAAGCTGCTCCCGTATTCCCCACGTGCTTGAAGGCTCCTGTGGTGCATGTGAATGGGTGTGCCAAGGTCCTACTTCAAGAAGGGTAATACCTTGCACAGTGCAGATCGTACCAGGGTATACTTGCTGCAGACTAAATTCAGTATTATTGGGTGGTCATACAAAGTGTGAACCCACAGCAGCGTCGATCCATGTGATGTCAAACATCCCCCCTGAAACACTATCAGAGACTGCGGCACCGCAGTGTCCAGAAACAGATGGCCTCACCGATTGCTTGAATGAAGTCAAAAAACATTAAATTGAGAAAGTAATAATGAATATGAGTGTCCGTTGACCATCTGCGGGTGGCACCCAATCGAATTGTGACAGCGCTATACTAGTGAAACTTGGGGTAAGTCGTTGAGCTTTGGAGACTGGATATACCTACAGTAATGTATGCCAGAAGACTTGTAATAGCCAGTACTGATAGTGTTGCCGCTTCTACGATGAAGGCGAGGCCCAACCTTTCCCCGAAGTCGAGAGGCGCACTGGCCTGCGGGTGCGCCGCCATGCTAGTTGAGTTGTCCAAGAAGGCGCGGAAAGAAAATAAATGTATAACTTTTTGGGCTCACCCATCCACCACCTTAAATTGTGCTGGCCACATTTCGGGATTTCTTTTTTCGTTCTTGGACAGCAGCGAAGACCGCACATTTTGGAAATTACATTTCCTAAATTAGGGAATCAAGTGAGACAAAAACCGTCGATCGATCAAAGTGACAAAGTTTACCTGCTGGCGGTAACAACCGTAACAACTCGGTAAGCCTCATCCAAGTGTTCCAGACCTATTCGATGATAAAAATATAGTGAGAATATGCAGGGTCGGCAACGAGGGGCTCACGAGTCCCAAGCATTGAGGAGAGCTACAAAGGGTGAATTTTGGGAAACCAGCAAGCTTTGAAGCTTGAAGTAACGGTAGGGGTATGATCAGATCTCGCAATGCCAAACTTGGCATGATGCATAACTTTAATCTTAACTCCGTGCCATGTGGTTCTCGCTCACGTGTATTAATCCGTAGACAGCGTGGAAAATGGAGGAAATGGTCATTGCAAGGGACAAGGGGTCGTGAGGTTCCGCGGCGAAGCTTTCCAGGGGTCGACTTGATTATCATGCAAATGTATGGAAACGTCCACGTCGGATGATAAAACGTTGGACGATCCAATAAGAGTAACGTTGATGAGCAGTGATGAGCGTGTGGATCCGGCAGTAAGGTAAGAGATCAGATACATCGATATGAGAGTGTATATAAGGTGAGCAGCAATCAACGGACCAAATGCAGAAGGTCGATGCGACGCGTGCTGCACGTGCACAAGGTAAGCCTAAGCTTACAATGTACTTCACACAACCCGAATGTCCTTTTAACTAGGGTATCTCCCATCAACTATGTTGTCAGGGTTGGGCATGGTGTAATTGGCGAAGCAATCATACGCAAAGTTAATTTGCCCAATTCGTTCGTGCATTCCGCTGATGAAACTGGGCAGCGCGCATAGACCGTTCGAATCTTCCGTGCAGCCATGGATACCCGTCAATGGCACCACTCCATCATTCAGAATGAACCGGATGTGTGTGGGCTCCTCCAAGGCTGGGCAGCTGAGAACCTGGGCGACAAGCTGGCTGGCAAAAGGTGCAATCTGGCTAGCAATATAAGACTGATGACTAGTCAGAAATCGAGGTGAACAATGGTTTATAAGACTGCGTACACGATTAGGAGGGATATGGTCGGTCGGCAGGGGACCAGTTGCAGCTAGACTGGTGAAGTTCAGGGCAGTGATGACTGAGCTGTGTCAGTACGGTCTTGTCAAAGAAGGAAGCGGTAACATACTGCTGGCAATGACTGAGTCGTGGGTAGCATCCACATATATGGGTTGATCAAGAGGGAATGTGATGTTGCTCGAGTCGAGAGTGCTGTTGGTACTGCTGTTCCACATCGTGATGGGAGTTTGAGTGAGGCGTGCCACTAGCTCTTGGACATAGCCAAGGCCCTGTGCTGCTGCTGTTGGATTACCTGGTCCATCGCTGTACCAGAAATCTTGTTTAAGATGGAGTGAGTGGTCGCTCGGGCTGCATGTTTATCACTCAATGTGCTCACCAAGATCTGCAAATACGCATCACTGCCAAACTCAGCAAGTATCATTTGAGAGAACATACCAACGTAATACTCGAATCCCTCCCATTCTTCCTCAGTGAAGAGGTCACAAAACTTGGAATAACCGAGGGCTACAGTCTGCGGGATGTCAGAAATACACAAAGATTTTATAGATGATGTAATTACCTCGTAGGCGCACATCTGCTGCATATCAACCAAGTCTGAGACGGTAAAATTGAATCCTTGGATCATTGACTGCAAGCGCATTCGAGCGTCTTGGAGATAGACATTTGCCCAGTTACTAGCCTGAGTGCTACCGAAGTAACCGATATCTTCCGTATTGGAGTTGGGGCACACATTGTAAGGAGCAAGGGTATTGTTGAAGTTGTCCGCCTCGATGATGATCTCCTGGTGGTAGTCGGTCTGGTAAGTTCTGACCTCGAAAAAGCCTGCAGCAAAGTTCAGGCTGCAGGTAGCGTTCTCAGATGCAACACACGCTGAAAGATGAACGAATTGCTCACGCAGAATCCACCATGCGATCTATACGCCACAAACAAATCATCAGAGCTGATTGTGAAGCAAACGTTAAATGCTCGCAAACCTTCAGAAGTAGTACGGAAGACTGGGAGTTCTGTGAAGGCATTGAGTAACTCGCCGTATCTATAGCGGAAGGCAACCCCGTTGCTGAAGCTGATGGAGGTGAACATCAGGAGAAATATCGTGAAGGAGATCGAACATACAGCGCTTCGCGGCCGAAGGGTGTCAAAATCTCCGCGCCCAGCTTATATGTCCAGGTTGCGAGGAATTTCAAATCACCTGTGACATTGAAGCCATTTTTCGATGCAGCAGAATGTATTGCAGCGGCGAATTTTGAGGGTCCGGAGTCAGAGGTTGGATAGCGAGCACCGTGGCGCATCAAGAGATGCACTGCGTTGAGACCGCATCCTTCTGGGATGACGGGAGACGCATCAGGAAGACCAAATGACTCCACGGAGTACATGGGCGACAAGTTGCCCCAGCGACGCATTACATTGAAAGTAATGTCGGCGCCGTTTGCCGAATTGGGTCTTGACAAGGGAAATGCGCTTTCGACCTTAGAGAAGGGAATAGCAGTGGCAATAGCCTCAGGTTCAGCACCAGCTTAAAAAAAATTGATTAAAACACAGGTATAGACTGGAATCAGTATTATAACAGACTAGGCGTTGGACCTGCGTAACCAACTTGCGATGCATCTGGGAAGTAAGAATCAATGGCAGTGTTGGTGGCACCAGGGGGAGGATAAGATGCAACAAGTGTTGATCCTGCAAAACTGGACGCCGACTTTGCGCTGCAGAAGGGCAGAGCGAGCAACAAAACGCCCGCAAGCATGGCTTGATGGTAGAGAGGGTTTAGGGAGTAGCAAAAGGGAAATGAAGCCTACGGTAATGACTTTATGTGCTTATGTGACATAGAAGTTCGGCCTGCAAACGGGACGCCAAATGAATAGGAAGCACTTCCGCTGGCGTTTTTCTCCGACTCATAAAACGCCTGATATCTTTGGATATTTTGGAGTCATATGAGGCTTTTTGGGCCGCCATCGATGATCGCGTGCAGGTGGTAGGGAAGTCCACAAAGCGCTCCGAAAGTGCTTTTTGAGCATTTCCTTTAGGCAATTACTCCGAGCGAGCCTCAAGCGAGCTGAATTTGGTGAACGTCAAGCAGACCTTGGAGACAATTGAGCGCTTTGGTAGTTCATCCTTGATACTGGCATGAAGTTGAATGATATTTTGGAATAACGATGAGAATACTTATGGAGGTCCAGGATCGTTTAGCTGGGTCGTGATCGCAGCATACCTGGCAGCTGTGATATATTAGAATTACAAGTGATACATAGTAATCACGGGTAACCTTAACGACACGTTCGCCGACTCGTTGGAGCAGCAGAGTAACTGCCCAACGGTTCGAACTTGGAGTGCAAACTAGTCTTATAAGTTATGAGGGTCAATGATTTTGTCGAAAGGTGCATGGCAGACCGTTTTCCCACCTTTTTGCAGTACAAGGCTTTAACGCTTTGACTTTATGCGTTAAGGCAATATTATGCTCTCCATCCCGTGACAGAGCATGCAACGAATAGCTTCCTTATTCTTCCAGTCGTCCAAATCCTTAAAGACGACAGTGTATTCATCCTCACGCCGGTATCATGACTTTCTTCGCTTCTCTACCCCAGGTCAGTTTTATTCACTTACCCTGCTTTCAAGTTTGAACGAGCTTGCACAGGTGGCGCTGGTCGTGTACCACTTCATTCACCCACCGTCATAGGCGTGGCATCCTCAAGAGGTACTCGCAGGTGATCATTATTCCTTACGCCTCGTTGCCTAGCTGAGTCTCTGTTTGCACAGTCACCACGAAGACTATTATGCGTTTGCATCATTACTCTTAGATCCTGAAGGGCTACGAGCAAGCTTGAAGAAAACCCTCGGCATAGACTGGGCCCCAAAGAATATAAATGACCCATTAGCACGACAGGTAGTTTTTGTCGGCCTCTATGACGGGTATGTATCATATCAACCTTGACATACACACCAGTCGTTGACACTATGCAGACATGGTGGATCCACAGTTTCCCAATATTTGCGCCAGGAGTTGCATGGGTTATTCGAATCCGTCGACAAGAGTCACATTCCTGAGTTGTATCTGTGGATAAAGGACCAAGGAGGTTATTTCAAGAGGTTCCGCGGGGGCGCCCTTGCTCCCTGGATACATCAGTCAAAGTCAAATGATACACCTCCCTTGGATCTCGAGGCACGTGCAACCCAGGCGTTCTTCGAAGTCGGTGAGCAACAATCACTTACCGTTTGACGTTTATAAATGGGTAAGTTTAGACCGGCTCCTCGCTATTGAGAGTGAAGCCAAAACATGTGGAGCAACAGCGTCTGTCGCGATCCTCCACTCCCTTGATACCCGCCCATTCTTCTCCTCCACAAAACTTGTTTTGACAGTCGCTCATGTTGGGTTAGTCATATTTTCAATGAACACATATATACGTTTAGAGAACACGCGAACAGCGATGCTCGAGTACTCCTTTGTCGTACCAACGACTGTCTAGTCCACCCGATGACCGAGAATCATCACCCAGATACCCTTATGGAGGCCGCTCGTCTACGACGCATGATGGGTTCATCACTTATCACCGATTCGTTCGGCGAGTCTCGGTAAGCCAGTGCAGCGTTTTCCATTATCGCACCCTCCTTCATTTCCTTACAGCTGGATGGGTGCTCTGGCGAATACGAGAGCGTGAGCAGCACAACCGCTTACTTCTAGCAACTTACTGATATCGGGTCTTAGCCTTGGAGATCTCAAGTGGAAGCGATACGGCGTGACTCCAGAGCCAGATGTTCGAACCATGCTGCTGGAAGGTTCTATTCTTTCCTGTGCAGCGTTGTTACAGCCTCTGACATCATCGACAGGCAAGAAGTGGGCATACATGATCATCGTCTCCGATGGAGTGTCATCCATCCTATCTGACCAAGAAATCGTGGACGTTGCCCGAGGTGCACCTAGTCCAAAAAAAGCCGCCGACCAAATTTTATCATGCTCTGAAGAGCTGGGTGGCGAGGACAATGCAACGGTTGTAGTTGTGCCCTTGTCTGGTTGGGCGGATATTCAAGGACCCGACAGGACCCGCGCTCTTCGCGAGTATCGAAGTCAACAAGCGAGTAAGTATTTCAAGCATTTTCTCTCTCTCTCGCTGATTAACATCATGGCAGTTGGAAGTGAGCGTCAGAGGCGAATGTGATTTAGAGGACTCATCAGTTATACCCTCCATTAGAGCAAATAATTTGCTATATTATTGCAGAGATTTATTGCGCTTCAATCTTCGTTCTTTCATGGTATGTACAATGGGTCATTACCCTGTCCCTAGAGGCATTTAAATCTGCGCTGCGGCATGGCCATCCGACCTTGGGTCACACCCGGCAGCCCAAACAGTCTTCCCAGACACATCGACAATCTTCTGAATAATCTGTCCACGACCCATCATTCCCGTCTCGAAGCCGCTGACGGTATTGGCATCGTGTCCCATGGCTAAAGCAACATATTTAGAAAAGTCATTGATAAAAGACAACTAAAAGCATACCGCGAAGCTTCTGAATGGTTGACATGGGAATAGTGTCTTCAAAGAAAACCCCACCGTTGACTACACCAAAGGCAGCAGGATCCTTGTCGTCTGGGTCAGGCATTCCAGCTGAGATACAGAATCGAGGGGCATCAAGGGCGGCTTGGGCAGTGAAACCGCGCAGCATATTGAGCAGGACCTGAACGTGGCCCTGGGGCTGTGACGATGATTTGATCATTATATCGACAGGCACCGGAGGGGTGGGAGTACATACCTGCATGAAGCCACCCATTACACCATAGGACAGGAACAAATCGTCCCCTCGTAACGCCATTGCAGGGATGATGGTGTGGTATGGTCGTTTTCCACCCTACAAAAAAACCGCATAACTCGATGGGTCGTACAGTTGAGTTAGTACACGACATACCTGTAAGCAGTTAGGGTGACCCTCCATCAAAAGGAATCCAGCACCCCGGTTCTGAAGAGTAAAGCCGCATCCCTTGGGTATGGCTTCAAATTTTCAGCATCGTCTAAACCGTGACGCGAATTGACGAGTCACCTCCAGTCCCAAATCCTTCGGGTGCAAAGTATCAACAGGTGCACTCGCGGATAAACTAGATGCCTACCTGCATAATTGCTCTGAATAAAACTACATGCATTTCCCCACTGATCTGTAGCTGAAACACGATATCCCTTAGTAAATGAACACTGCACAAGGCTGCGTTCTCTATCATACCAGTGAAGTAAACCGTGTCAGATGAGTTCACTGGATTCCCCTGACAATCTGTGAGTAAATTAAAACGGTATTAACTGCCGAGCGCAACTCACGTGGATCACTTTGGGGTTTGTAGCTTGAGGGTTGAAAAGAGCTGCGCGTTTGGATAAATATTCCTACAGCACAGATGAGATGCGATGGAGAATGGGAGGCCCTAATTCTAACCTTGCTCAGTAGCTCATCGACCGGGATATTGTTGAACTCAGGATCAGTCACGTAGTATTGTGTATCTGCTGCCTGTCAGCTGCAAAGCACAAGCGAATCATGCAAGGATCTCACCCGCAAAGGCCAGACTAAAAAATAGACGTAAATGAACAAGTGTTCAGGGGATTCGACTACTGCACGCACCGCAGGGCCTCAATGAGCGCATGGAGATACTCGGCAGAGTTGTGTTCTAATTCCAGGAGGGATGGAATCTTTCCTTGCTCCTGCATTTGTTCGAGAATGCCAAGAGCAAGCAACGCAGTGAGACCTGGCGATGAGCATTAGTTACGCTCGGGCGGAGACTCATTTATCTTCACCTTGACCATTGGGAGGACACTAAATGTTGATAAAGTTGGTGTCTGCCCATAAACAACGCCATTGACGGCTCACCTCATAAACGGTAACATCTCCAGCATAGGTGTATTTGATGGGTTCTACGAACGACGTCTCGTGCTGTGCGAGATCATCGAGCTCCATAACGCCCCCTTTGCTTTGAACGAGCTCCACTATAGCTTCTGCGATACGACCTTTATAGAAACCATCCTTTCCTTGCTCCGCGACAGTACGGAAAGTCTTGGCAAGGTTGGGGAACTTCATAATTTGACCTGGGAGAGGTGCCTTTCCGTTCAAAAGCATTTCATGTCCGTTTGGCGACGCATTTTTTATCAACGTTTCCGAGTGCTGCCACTGTAGACGAATCAGCAAGTTGCTGAAGGCGAACAAAAACTGAACTGGCATTATGACTGTGAATTTCAGATACTGGAACTCTACCATCAAGGGATGCAGTCAATAAACTTGGCGATGAGTATTGGAATGAATAATTACGAACCCTTCTTCGGCGAGCCTGATCGCAGGCTCAAGAACTTCAGCGACGGTAAGTTTTCCACTTCCGAGCTTTTCCACAGCATCGACCCACGCGGCAGCAGCACCTGCTCGCTTGGTCATCTATCATATAATCAAAGATATCAAATGAAACAAACCTGGGACGGTGACACAGTTCAGGTCTGTGAGAGGAATCTGGCCGCCTGTAACACCACGTTGACGCATGTATTCAACTGACAATCTCTGAGGAGAGTGACCGGAGCCGTTCATTGCCTTTATGGTTTTCGTTTTCGCGTCGTAGAAGAGACAAAAAGCATCCCTATTTCACTCTCAGATTGGGGTGATGCACTAGCTCATGGATAAACCCACCCTCCTATACCACAGCAACTAGGCTCGGTCACATTTAGGGCGGCGGAGGTCGCAACGGCAGCATCAGCTGCGAGCAAGTTGCACTGTCGGTGGAAGTTGTGATCGAGAACACCGACACTCACCTGCATTCCCGCCTTTCCTCAGGATTTCGAGTCCAGCCTCCGCCGCGAGAGGTTGAGAACATGCGACGACACCCTTGGTACCATAGACTTGGGATCGCCGACTTGGAAATCGCTGGAACGCGAGATCAGGTTGGTCTACCTTACTCCAATCGACTTTCATTGCGGGGAATGCGGAGGTTATGAAAAGGAAGGTGGTGAGGAGCTACGATAAATCATTGAAGATTCTGGTTAGTTTTAAAGGAACGGGGCCCCTTGTCTCCGGCCTAGCGCTCACACACTATGCGATCGGTGTGCTTCACATGACGCTCACATGGACGTGACCGATACTGATACATTCCTGACGGAACACCGACGCAATTGGTACCATTACATAACAGTTTTCAGCGACACTTTGGGTATCGGGAAAAGGTGACAGTCTATTTGAGTCATCATGTCCCTAGAATTCCGTTTCCAATCAGCATCAACGGACTACCAGAAAATACAAACTGAACTCGCAAGTTTAGTGGAGAATCGCACCCGTCTTGATGCCCAGCTTTCCGAGAATGAGATGGTCAAAAAGGTTCGCCCAACATGTTCGCCCAACTCATTTTGCCTACCCCATCTTCCAGGAGTTTGCACAGTTGACCCCCAGTAATGCTGTTTATAAACTCGTGGGGCCCATATTGGTGCCTCAAGATCAGAATGAGGCCAAAACCAATGTCGAGACACGCCTGGAATTTATCAAGAGCGAAATGTCACTGGTTTTATGTCCGAGTTGAATGCGGGACTCATCAGCATCACAGAAAACGCGTAGATGCACAGATAAAAGATGGCGAGGACAGGTCAGAGAAAAAGAAGAATGAGGTAACGTCACTCGCCCGCCTTTGCCAGTAATGAGTTTGACCCGTCATATCGCAGCTCGTCGAAATCCAAACCAAGCTCCAGCAGGCTCAATCTACGCCGAATGCTTAAACGAATGCACTTCTGCAAAGAGAATCGAATCGCTCCTGAAGGTTCCTACAGGAGTGCCAAACCACATGCACGACTGAGTGGTACTTAATCGTGCTACTGATACAGTGTACACCGTACATGCTACCAAAGAGATACTAGCCTACATATAGAAAAATCGACGTGTACTGAATTATCAATGGAAAGTCGATCGCTTCAATACAAACCTCTCGTAGAAGCCGAGTGCGACAGTTTTCGACGGACCGAGGCTCCTTGCCTTGATCATCCCAAGCTCTCGCATAGCAACGTCCCAGGGAAATTGGCTAGAATCGTTACAGTGAATATATGCGTAGGAAGCCTTGAGTCTTGCCACCTCCTCCGATGAGAAGAGGAGAAAAGACGACGGGTCCGGGGCCACAGCGAAATCACGAGCGAGGGAGCGAAGAATATCTTGTCGCCGTTCGATTTTTAGGCCGGTGAAATCACGACGGATGCTTTTCTTGTACTCTTTATATATCTTCTCGACGTGTTCGCGTATGTTGGAAAGTTCCGCTCCCATCATAAAGGCAGCATCGCTATTGCTGCCCCTCGCACGCTGTACCCTTAACTCTGCATCCTGCCATGGCTTCGAGAGAGAGGAGTCTCTGTGACCGTGAGTTTTGGGAAAAGTGCTATCCACCTGTTGCAGTTTCAGAGTTCGATGGCTCCGAGCATGGCTCAAAATCACATCCATAACAAATGCTTTCATGCCTCTGGGACGCTGAACATTGATTTCGTTGGTTTCCCGCGTTGTCTCCTCTATAGTTTCTTTCCACTCCGGGGAGCGCTTTTGGTAAAGCTTCGTGTCTCTCTTCACGACCTCCGGTAAAACGGTCAATCCACTCTTCGCCCCATCGAGAATATTGCAAAACCTGTAGTAATGTAAGATATGTTTCCTCATTGCTGTGATTGCCACCTACATGTAAGCCAAGCGAATGGTGTCATCGTGCCCATACCCAAGGGTGTACACCGCCAGGTCATGTAAGTTCGAGTATTTCCCAACCGATGATATATCGCGCAATCCTCCTAGCAGAAATGACTGCAGCTGGGGTATGATTTCGTCGAGCTTCATTCCCTGGCGTTGTTCTAGGAACTCGTCGACTCGTAGGGTATTCTTGTGGAAATTTTTCTCCAAGAAATTGTCAGGCGGATAAGAATATCTAAGGTCGGCGTTGTTGAAGTGCGACACAATAGATGGTTGCCAAACGGCAATTGCTTTGTCCCCGTCGTAATCGCCTAACTGTCACTCAGTTTCTTACATAAATACAATTTCATGATTTGACGTACCCCCAGCAAGAAGATCTGCAAAACGGCGAGTTCCCTGTACAGAGCACACTATCACATCCGTGTAGTGCCTGAGCTCCGGTTTTTCAACAGCTCTGACCTGCCTCCGAACCATTTAGATGGATAGTAAACAGTAGACGATCAGCATGCCTTCTGAGTGTCCGTCGGCAGTTTACAAGGATGTCGTGTTAGCTATTATGTGTTCAGCGTCTGCAACGAGTTGAGGAACGACAATGACACTAACCAGAACATCACCCAATACAACATTTGACTCCGTTCCGTCAGCACAACGGAATTTTGAATCCCGAGAGAGAATCTGTACTTCGTCGGGAGTCAATGTTCCAGAGGGGTCTAAGACGCACAATCGTCAAATAAACGAAGCCGCAATCATTGATAACCCCGCACCTGGCACGATCCACGCCACACAAGACATAGGCACCTCGATTTTGTATCGACGTACATAGTTGTCAACCATTGTCTTAAGAACGTGGCGAAGCTTTTCAGCGAGGATCGGGCAATCGCGAGGAGTGAAACCAGAGTCAAGCATGACCATTACCGTCTCTTCAAGAGAAGAAGGGCAACCTGAGACCTCGTCACCCCACCAAGCGATTGAGCGGGGAATGTCAATGGCTGCATCGAGATCATCTTCGTCATTATCTTCGATGTCATCGCCTTTGACGGCGAAACCTTTTGATCGAGCCTCCCCACCAGCTTCACGAGCTAATCTGGATGCAACCACGGCACCGGCCCTGGCGACACTGTCCCATAGGCGATACATAGCGTCCGGTCCATCCCAGTCAAGCAAACTGTCGACGATAGTATCCAGACCTTCCTTCATCAGATCAATAAATACTTGATGGGGAACTCCATTTTCAGCAAAATTCACTATAGTCTCTGCAGCAAGACGGGAGGGGGAGCGCATATGAGACGACCGTAGAACATCGATTGTCAGATGTCCAGGTGACAGCTCTTGCATTTCAGGATACCCGATTTTGATTTGTGATCGGCGCAACCAGACACGAGTAACATCGGAACAATTTTCCGATGGATCAGGATGCAGAAGTAGAAGGCCCTGTAGGAAGATAACAATTTGGCTTTCCCGAGATTCAGTAAGTGGCTGTTACCTTGGCGCCAGCAATTCTACATTGGATTGCAGTTGGTATCACGTCCCATTGCAAGAGCTCGCGTAACGCCCTCAAGCCAGTTTTGTTTATGTACCCGCAACCATCCGTCATGTCCGGGCCCCCCGGGTCTTTGACGCAAAACGAGTTTTTAATATCGTCAATAATAGTAGCAATAGCCTACCTTCTTCTTTCATATAGATGATATTGTCCCAGCTGATGGTAATTCCGGGGACAGAGTTCGAAAGTCCCAAGGCAAATCGCGATGACCATTTGGCCACAGTCTGAAACGTATCAGTGGCTTTCTCGGACGATCAGAACTGCTGCCAACCTGAGCCGTATTGTAGTACAGGGGGTTATGCCAGTCGAGATAATCCTCCAGAGACGGCGGTGGAGGATGAGCATGAGAAGGCATTTTGCATCCCGTCGAAGCATTAGTTGCCACCAGAAAAACGTTTCCATCCTTTGCATAGAATGCTCTATAGACCACACCACAGAGGAGAAAGTGTTGCGAAAAAAACTCCACAAGGCCATGCTGTGGCTTGTTTAGAATATTCCTCGGTACCTTCACGCGGAGGAAATTCTTGGAACCATACCGTCGCACCAGTCTCGACGAGGAACCAAGTTCTGGCTGATTGAGTTGAATGCGGTAATCGGGTGTTCTAGTGTTCTTATCGACAGACTTCAAAGTCGCGTTGAAATGCACTTTCCCCCCATACCAACCATCGACCTGTCGCTGGAATCCGTCGAAACTGTCACCCATGGCAAGAGCCAGTTCGTGCTCCCGGTCGAGCTCTTTCCAAGGCGACTTGTTATGCCATCAGTTATCGACCATTGCAAACCAAAGAAGCACTGTACTAGGACTGCCTTTTCCTTCACGAAGTATCCTTCTGCTTCACCTTTGGAGTGCTCCCGTGCGAATACCTGAGCCACACGTTGGGTAGCTTCTTGGTTTGTGCCGCGGAGCTTATCCAAGTCGGGAATGTTGATGTCCCGATATGCAAGAACATTATAAGTGACCAGCTTGGCAATCAGCCACTGTACCCCAAAGCAAATGTTTTTCCTATCAAAATAAGCTTGTAGATTTCGATCGTGAGCCTAAGAACTTCGTCGGTAAGAGACTCAGAGTCGTGTGAGAAGCACCCACAATTGAATGAATTTTCATATTTGCATCATCAGTTCTCGCACTCTTACGTGAAGACAAGGAGGCGTCAAGCGGCTCCTCTGTTTTCCGTTTTCCTAGGACAGAAGACCAACTGCCCGGAGGTGAAGCCAAATCCGACGAGCCAACAGACGCTGAAAGGAGTTGGGCGGAATGGGCGCCAGGAGCGGCAATCGACGGACTGGTTACCGTTGGAATGTCAACTCTCGAGGTGTTGCCGTTCGCAGTGCTGTTCAAAACTGTGACCAGTTTTTAAGCTCTCAGACCACAGCAACAATGAGTTAACTCACGCTCTTCCGGCATATTGCACATCATATCACTCAGGTCTTCCAGCCCAGAGTAAACGGATGATTGCTGATGTCGATGTTAGCTATCTAGGAAGAAACTAGGATAGGAGCTAATCGGAGACTGACGGTTGATGAGAGCGAGTCGCTGGAAGCAGTCCTTTCTACCGGAACCGAAACAGTAGGAATGATGGCAGAATAAGCCTCTTGATGATATGGAGTCAGTCCATGTGCATAACTATGTCACTCCGTGCGCAAAACACAAGATCAAAAACAATCGTACCTTCTTCGAATCCCCACTCGTCCACTGTAGGCCCCTCTTGTACTTCGCGGTAATAAGCCTGCGGCATGATGCCCCTCGACATGCTAGATACACAAAATGTGTGCAAGGCGTAGATCCTAGGTGTGTAATGTGAGTTCAAAAAAACTGGACGAGGACGATGTTGAAAATGTGTAGTAAGTTATTGCATGGATCAAACTGATCATCCAGAGAGATCATCCAAAGAAGCACGATTGGAGATCTCGCTCAAGATAGCAGGTTTAGAACAACTGAAACGTTGTACATTGGCCATGAGGCAGGCTGACAAGGCTGACATCGGATTCAAGTCGCGACTGATTGACTTCGAAAGTTACAAATTGTCGGCCGTACTGTGAACAGGATCAAATCACCCCTGGGCCCAGTGATTTGTCTCTCCTTTCAGAATTCTAGATTGGTGCGTCAGTGTCAGGATCATTGCTAAGGGAGCGATTTGCAGGGAGTATAACGAGCGGTTACAAACATAACACTCGTATATATTGCATAAATGAAGATATTGATAGCCCATCAGCTTTCCGTTCTCGACTGGGCCCTCAAGTGGTTCCTTCCCATTCGTGAAGTGTACCAACTCAAGAACACCAGCCTTAACGTCACCGAGCCCTCGTTTAAAGGGCTCTCCAGACGTGAAGCTTTGCATCATTTGGGCTTGAAAGATGTACATAAACCATTCACGACGCTGGGTCAGTCAAAAGCACGTTAGTATGACATATATCTAAAAGAAATGCTCATTGTACGAGTGCCTTTACATGGCGATGAATATGAACAAGGACTCGACGCGCAGTCTAGAATGCCATGCAGACCCTGGAGATCTGGCTAACCAGGAAATGGTCCAAGAAAAACCAGGTCCAAAATCGTCGAGAAGACTACGTCGGGCGAGCAAATTTGTCTGTACGAGTGAACAGACGTACACATAGGCTCGATGCCACCACGCCCCCTACGACTGTTGTTGTGCAGCCTGCATGTGTGCCAAATCCCGCTCCGTCTCCGGACTTTTCAAGATCTTCTCCAGCTTAAAGCGTTTCCGCGCGGATATCGGAGGGCAATTGCGAATTAATACAGTATCACTCAATCGAAGGACTGTTCCACGACTCAGCATAGACGCAAAGAATAACGTGGTGGTGACAGACCATTCCGTTCATCGTGTGTTAGGATCTTTTTGCTTCGTTCAATGCGCTGAAAGTCGGGTGAGTATATTCTTCGTAGGGGAACAGAGAAAGTGTACTTTTCCGGTTATTTTGTGGATAATGTGGCGTGAAACAGTCACTGTGGCTGTCTTGTGCATACAACCGACTTTAGTGACGATACCGGTCAGTGCCATGGGAGGCATGGTTGGGCAAGTAATTAGAATGAGTTCAAGTTTGCTGAGGGAACCATTTGGGTTCTTTTCAGCGTGGGAACTAAATATCATATCAGGGAAGTTCGGCACCACCACCTGCATGGTCCTGACGGCAAGGGCAAGTAAAGATCTCGGTTTCGCATGTTGTAACCAGTACAGAGTATATATTATGTCTGCGGATGAATTGTCTTCGATACTATTACTTACTATGCGGTATATATGGGTACTTTGGTTGTAAGATTTAAAAAGAGATATTTATGCCAGGGAGCTTGAAGGTGGTGGTGCGGAAGGAGCATATTTTGACTTGCGTCTCAATATTGGGCCGTATCTGTTGCAATGTTAACACATCAGGAAGCAGATGAGGCCTGTAAAGGACCTACTTTGTCAGGACGAAGGGAATTGGCATCATGATCAGGGCGATACAACCCAGCAGTGTCGAAGCCCATTCAGGGCCAAGCCTATCGTACATCTGAGTGGCAAAAAGCTGAGCGAGGGGTAGTCAGCTGAGATGTGAAAGGGGAAACAATATATTTTCTTACAGGAAATCCAGCACCGAACAGACTACGAACGACAGTATTTGCAGCTAGCGCCGAAGCAGCGAGAGCCAAATATGCATCAATGATATAGTTGAACAGGGCGAGCTTGAGAGACGTGAGCCGTAGGTCAGCATGCGAATTGTGACAACATACAAATATGAAGCAAATACTCCATCCTAGTAATGCACCCGACGTCATCGGAGCCCATATCGAAATGCTAGGAAATGATGTCCATGCAAACCAGAAAAATGATATGGCAAAGGACGGCGCTGCAACCATGGCAATCCTCAATCTGAATTCTGGCGGCACAGGGTTTGGTGCGCATTCCTGGACTTTGCGCTCGTAACTCGGGTTAAAAAATAAAATGTACTGAAAACGCAATGATAAGAACGTGGAACGCAATAATAAAAGATACACACAGTTACGACTGCAATAAAGCCGCCAATGGGCAGCGGAAGGAACATGAGTCCAGATACACCCGCATTCAAGTTGTGCCCCTTGGTGAAAACCACAGGATAAGCCTCGAAAAGCAGGTATATACAGCCATAGACGAACTAGGATCATATGTCAATGGTCCTCTAGTCAGTTGCAAAACAGTAACTCACGCTCATGTATAGAGTTATGGCAATCAACATTGGTTCAGTAACGAGAACTTTGAAAGGCCGAGCAAGAATGCTTTCCACGCGCTGGGCAAGTGTGAAGTTTTGCAGGTCCATGGCGGCATAATATTTCTCATCCCCGGTGTGCTTCCTGACCTCTTTAGCTTTCTTGGCAAGAAGCACTGGGCTGAGGTTATGGGATGAGCGCCTAGAACAGCCACCGCGTAAAAATCGCTCACGTATACGTCTCAGGAATAGTGAAAACAATCAGCAACCAGCAGACGCCAGCCTATAAACATACGTGTGAATTATAACTGATAGAGGATGGAGAAAGGACTTGCAAAAATAGTTAATATCCAAAAGAGCCAGCGCCATGAGACACTAGCTAGGGCAAGGTATCCTGATACTACTGGACCAATGGCTGGTCCAGCAAACGGAGCCACAGTGAAAATCGCGAGAGCAGTGCCGCGTCCCTTTGCGTCCCAGATATCTGATATGAGAGCGCTTGAAAATTCATCTTGTAAAAATACAGCCGTCCCTCTAGAGTCGACAGCACTTACCCTGAATTTGCTAAAGGGGCGGCTGCAAATGTACCACCAAGAAAACGGAGAATTAAGACGGATGCGATATTCTGCGACAACGCACACCCAATTTGGAAGCACTACAGGCAACTTTTGAGTAAAAGGCGAGAAAGTAATTCAGTCGGTTCACCATGTATAGGAAGAAAGAGATGATGAATATTGGACGTCGTCCGTACTGCTCCGATAACGGTCCCCAAAGTAAAGGGCCAACACAGTAACCGCATACGAAAAGCGAAACAGTCAACGTTCCGACTTCCCGTGATACCCCAAACTCATGCATGAGAGTGGGTACTAGAGAGGATGGGGCACTACTCGAGAAGGTGCTATATAAGGCAAACAAAGCAATCTGAGCATTGAATATTTCACGATAGATGTTATACGCACGCATTGAGGACCAGGAGACCGGCAGCGAGGGTAAGGTACCACTTTTTGGCAAAGGACCAGTTCTGAACGAGTTCATGAGCTGATCAACATGATGGTCTTGTAACTGGAAAATACCTTTGGATTGGCTGGGTCGTCCTCATCGAAGCTCACTAGATATGGGTCTGGGGTGGACTTATTTTCAGGAACGCTAATAAAGGCATCCTCCTTGTTGTTCTCCTCAGTGTGAATAATGGGAGACGTGGATACCCTCGGTGAGTCGGGCATATCTAAACTTTGGAAAAGCACGGCTAGGAAAACGAGGTCTGGAGAAGATTACGACGGCCCTTTTAAGAGCCTGAGTGATGACAGGACCATAATTGGGGCGAGCTGGTCGGCATCATAATCCCACCTGACAATATCACAGTGACATATAGTTTTGACACCTTTTGGAGTAGTCTGACCATCGGTGAGTTTGTCAAGGATCAGTCCGATAGGACTAGGGGACCTACTATTTGTCAGCCTAACCACATAATGCTAGTCCTAAATATGGTAGATTGCCGTAACCCACGATGTCAGTTTTAAGTGCCCTGTCACCAGGTAACTTATATTGGTACTTAGTACTTACGTCTGATCAACCATGGACTTTACAGAAATCTACAAACAATCTGGAAATCTCGCATCGTTTAGCCCAGGCGCTCACTTCATCCTCAACGTCGTCGAAAATACCTTAATCGTTAGACGAACTGATACTCTACAGATCACGCGTACATGGACAATCACCTCGCCTTCTAGCACCGCTAGCATTCTAACAAAGTCAAAATCTACTTCATCCAACTCAGGTGTCCCAGCAGATGGCTGGATATCCCATGCAGGCTGGTCATGCGATTCCGAATATCTCTTAGCTGCGTCTACAAAGAAAGGGATAGTAGAGGTTTTCAAACTCAGAGACGAAAATTGGAATGCCCGAATCGAAGCTGGTGCTGAAGGTCTCCTCAAAGCTGAGTGGGCGCCGGACGGTCGCCACATTCTCTGCTTTTCTCAGTGGGGCGTAAGTGGATCTCCTTGACGTCTGTCAGTTATTCACGAATCACTTGGCAGCTTCGAGTCACCATCTGGTCTCTTGTCACGGGTGATGCAACTTACATACAGTTTCCGATACACCCTGATAGAGGTACCGTCCATCTGTCAGTATTGCCGCCCACTTGTCATCTTATCTAATCAAGTATAGGATACGCTTTTCGCTCCGATTCCCATTACTTTGTCTTGGCTGAGCGACATAAGTCAAAAGATACCGTGGGTGTGTATGATACAACTGACTTTTACAAATTAGTCCGGGTAAGCATGACTTCATTATCTCCATTCATAGCTCATGACCAGGAAGGCATTAGCATTTCCCTGTCCCAACGTCCAATCTATCGTCGCTGGCTTTATCTCCAACTGGTAATCATATTGCGGTCTGGGAGGGTATTTTGGAGGTGTGTCGTTTCAGGCCGCAAAGCCCGAGGGTTGGCTAAACACTTACTCCGGCATTTCACGCGCAGTATAAGTTGCATATCCTATCTCTAAGCGGAGATGTGCAAGGGACTTTTTCACCGGAGCCAGATCCGGGATTTGGCGTTCGTAATGCTGCTTGGCATCCTACTGGAATGTTCCTCGCCGTGGCGGGATGGGACGACAAGGTATGTGTCCACCGTGCACATCACCGTTACTCGAACTTTCTAGATCCATATCCTTGATGGCCTGACTTGGTCTACGGCTGCAACACTCGAGTTGTCAAGCAAGATCCCAGCGGGCGCTGTGAGTAAATGTTTTAACAAGGCGCAAGATGCTCAATCTTGGTAGACACTATGGCGGGAACCGTCAAACTGGCTTGAAACTACTCAAGGTCGAGGATTTCTGTCTTGTGCGAAATATATTTGTCTCATCCTTTGAGTAATGCTGACAAAGTGTTCTGTAACTAGATGAACGGTCACAAGGACCACAAACAATCGGCTTGCAACGCACGGATCCAATGAAGCCAAACCCAAAGTCGGGTGCGGTCCAGCTTGAATGGAACAAGACTGGCACGCTGCTGCTAGTGCGGTTTGGTCTGCCTAGACATTTCTTTCCTTGACCGTGCGTAATTTGACATGGTGACTGTAGAAAACTGCCCCATGGTAGTCCACCTGTACGATTTTCCGGCACCTTCGGATCCGTTTGTTCCTCGGTTGCGTTGCGTTTTGCAACACACAAAACAAGTCTTGCATGCACAGTGGAACCCAGTCCGTAAAGGCAATTTAGCCCTGTGCAGTGGGAGTGGTAGCATTTACACGTGGAGCGACGAATGGATTGGAGAGAACGGGGTAGAGGAAGACATGGCGGAGTGCATCGGTGTACCGGCGAACAGTAAGTTCTCCGTCATTTTTGTACATTCAGGATCATTGACGACTTCATAGCAAAATTCGAAACAAGAAATATCAAATGGGCTCCCGATGGGAAAGGGCTAGTGTTGCTAGACAAGGAGATGTTTTGTTGCGCGTTCGAGGTAGAAGAAGACGGTCCTGAGAGCTCATAGTATGTGTAGTAGTCTTTTCTGTATATCTTACATCGTTATTTGGAAAACCTACTAAAAATATTAGTGCACGGTTGTATTTTTGCGCCGTGCTTTTTAGTGACGATAATTTCGCCATCGGCGACGCAAGCGTACGCAAGGCCAACGGCCGAAACGAGAAGCTGACATAATCATTTCGGCACATTTTCGCAAATTCGCAAGCGTCCAATTCCGTAGCACAACTAGCCCAGTTACTCTATTCCATCTCGTCGTCCAATGCTTTCCCGTTCTCTTCGTGCTGCCAGGCTGGCAGAACGTCGACTTGTTTCTCTAGGTGCACCACGATGGCAAAGGACATTTGCAACGCCGTCAGATCACAATGACAACAAGCCACGGCGGAATGAAGCGGGTGAGGGTAATGCGCAGAAAGGCAAGGAGAAGGCCAACGGTGAGGCAGCCAAGGAGTCTGGAGATGGAGGTTCAGACATTCCGAAAGGACTCGAGGGCTTTTTCAAGCGATATCAACAACAGCAGACCTGGTCCCGCCAGTCACAACCCGACGAAGACGAGACTCCACGACAGAAACCTCCCCCTCCACCAGGCGGTAATAATCCCAATAATGGATTTAACGTCAACCAACTTGCCCTCCTCGCCACGTCCGCTGCCATATTTTATGCTCTGACAAATTCTTCATCCTCGGGCTCACGGGAAATCACCTGGCAGGAGTTCCGCACCGCATTCCTCGACAAAGCTCTAGTTGACAAGCTCATCGTCATCAACCGGCAGAAAGTTCGCGTCAAGTTGCATTCCAATGCCACTGGCGCGATGTACCCCGCAGCATCTCTCGGTGGAGGAGATTACTATTTCTCAATAGGCAGTGTTGAGGCTTTTGAACGGAAACTTGACGAGGCTCAGGCAGAACTTGGTATCCCTCCTCACGAGCGGATACCGGTCGCCTATCATGACGAGATCTCTACCTTCAATACCATGCTCAACTTCGCTCCCACTATCCTTTTCGCCGGTCTCCTTCTGTACATGTCGCGGCGAGCTGGAGGTGGTGCGGGTGGTGGACCAGGTGGCATCTTCAGCATCGGCAAGAGCAAAGCCAAACTCTTTAACAAGGATACAGATGTGAAGGTTAAGTTCAAGGATGTTGCGGGTATGGACGAGGCGAAGGAAGAGATCATGGAGTTTGTCAAGTTTTTGAAAGAGCCCGCGAAATTTGAGAGGCTTGGTGCGAAGATACCCCGCGGAGCTATCTTATCGGGACCTCCAGGAACTGGAAAGACCTTGCTGGCAAAAGCGACTGCTGGCGAGGCCTCTGTCCCCTTCTTGTCCGTGTCTGGTTCGGAGTTCGTCGAGATGTTCGTTGGTGTCGGCTCCTCCCGCGTCCGCGATTTGTTTGCTTCAGCGAAGAAGAATGCACCGTGCATTATCTTTGTTGATGAAATCGATGCTATTGGAAAGGCCAGAGGCAAAGGAAGCAGCTTCGGTGGAAATGATGAGCGGGAGTCGACTCTCAACCAGTTGTTGGTGGAGATGGACGGTTTCGGAACCCAGGAGCATGTTGTAGTGCTCGCAGGCACCAACCGTCCAGACGTCCTGGATCCCGCTCTCATGCGACCTGGGCGTTTTGACCGTCACATAGCTATTGACCGCCCAGACGTCTCTGGCCGCAAGGGCATCTTTATGGTGCACCTCAAACCACTCCGGCTATCCCAGGAGCTTGATATGGACAAGATTGCTCAGAAACTCGCCGTTCTTACGCCAGGTTTCTCAGGAGCAGACATTGCGAATGTGTGTAATGAAGCCGCCCTTCATGCCGCACGCAAGAATCACGAATCCGTCAAAGAGGACGACTTTGAGAGCGCAATTGAGCGTGTTATCGCAGGTCTGGAGCGCAAGAGCAGAGTCCTTAGTTCTGAGGAGAAGAAAACTGTTGCCTATCATGAGGCTGGTCACGCTGTTTGCGGCTGGTTCCTCGAACATGCCGACCCGCTTCTCAAAGTGAGCATTATTCCTCGTGGTGTTGGCGCCTTGGGATATGCACAAGTGAGTCCAGAGATTCCTTGACAGTATCTGACAAATACTAATTGTTTGTGCAGTACCTTCCTCCAGATCGCTACCTGCTCTCGACTCCGCAGATGTTGGACCGAATATGCATGACCCTTGGCGGTCGTGTATCGGAGGAAATTTTCTTTGGTCCAGAGAATATCACGACGGGTGCTCAGGACGATCTCCAAAAGATCACTCGCATGGCATTTGAAGCATGCGCAAATTATGGCATGAACACTATCATTGGTCCCGTCAGTTATGGTGGTCGTGAGAGTCAGAAGGAAAGCTGGACGAAACCATTCAGTGAGAAGACGAGTGAAATGTTGGATTCTGAGGTGCGGAAAATGATCACGTACGTACATTCGTTATCATCTCTGCAGCATCAGCTAATATTACTGTTTCAGTGGAGCACATCAACGAACCACTGAGCTTCTGACGCTCCACCGGGAGAGCGTGGAGAAGGTAGCCCAGCTTTTACTCAAGAAGGAGGTCATTACGCGGTATGTTATACGGCATCCATTCTGGCCGCGTTCAGTTGACAATTGTTGTATAGTGAGGATATGATTGACCTTCTGGGTAAACGCCCATTCGCCAATAAATCCGATGATATGGACAAGTGGCTAGATGACAACCGCGGTCATGAGCGCAGCGCTCCAGCGCCGATTGAGGAAGCCGCTCAAAGTCCTGTAGATCCCGCACCTGCACCTGTCGCCACGTCCACGAAAATAGAAGACTACAAGTGGTAGTAGCTCCTTTCTTCTCTTGCATTGATATACTGGGTTTTGTTCCACGACGAGGCATTGGACGCGACCACATATATGTCTTGTATCTTTAATTACTGTGACGCTCGTGTTACCCTTCTACTTACCGTTCTCGATGCATACTAAACAGTATCTAAAGGGTATATCGGAATTGACTCCACTCATCACCCTTCGCACGTCGTGCATCGTTGACTGTCTCAAATCGCCCATTCTTCAAGGCCATCTCGTTCATTTCCTCCGCAGAGTTGTCACTGTCGATTACCTCATCGCGCTCTCCTCTGTCCCTTCGCTCGTTCTCCCTGCGCAACAGGAACATGAATGCGGCTGATGATAACCAGCCGATCGCAATGTAGGCTAGGATGATACCATGACCGAGCCTGTACCAAGGTGCATCCTGGGCACGATACTACAGGCCCATAAGTCGAGAGTTTAAGTTGAGCGGGTTTTGCGAACTTACAACATTCGAGGAAACAGCTCCATTCAAATTTCCCCTATATCAATGCCAATCATACTGCCTGGTGGCATAACGTAAGGATCGACGTACCACCCGATGGCCATGGCTAGTGTGACACCTCGTTTATAGGAGCCCTCGACATTGCTTGCCACCCATGCTCTGGAATATGGTCAGTGGCAGGAACAAGATTAAACCAACCAACATACACCGAATTCGCTGTAGTCGTGACCACATTAGTTCCAAGATATAGCGCAGAAGAGGACTGATACGTACGGACTGTAGGATATATAGCGCTGAGGATGAAATGCTCAGCCTACCACAAAGTTTCGGGACAAAGTTTCGTGAGACTCACGATGCGGCTAGGAAGCATGCGAAATAAGAAAGTGCTGGAGTTCTGGATGTGATGAGTATGATATAACCGACCAGACCTGAAACATCTATAGCCTATGTTTATTTTTTGAGAGCTAACACCACTTGCCCGTTCCGAATAGAATCCTATCGTGTGCATGAGACCTCGAAAGCAAAAATATATGATGTTGCGCACAGATTAATGTATCCCCTGTTCCCGAGGCGGTCACCCATGAAACCGACGATCACAGTTACTATGCATGACCAGACGTATACGGGCACTGAAAGTAGATTCGCTGTTGTCGCTTTGTAACCTGGATCTTGCGGTCAAGCACTTCAGTAGAATATAGATTCACAGCACTCACCAAGCTACGAGTTTCAACAGCGAGAAAAAAACATTGATTCGATCAATATCTAACTCAGCGGAGATCATACGAACCTCGTTAATGATCGTTGGGGTGAATAAGGAAAATGCGAATAATGGTCCATCGCTAACGACGTATTAGAGTCAGAGCAAGGTTATGACTCTCTGACCCACAATCCCATATATATGCCCACTGGGTGCACTCAGCACCACTGACGGAGAACGATATGAATGCACATACTAGCCAAGTAGGTTTTCCAGTCCTTGAGGCTTTGCCAGATATACTGGGCTTTGAATTCCTCGCCGCCAGCGCTAAACTGCATGTCGTCCCTCAGACGTCTAATGACGAAAACCCCTGTGCCCACATCAGCGTCGACCAAGTGCCTTGGAGGCCTTCTTTCACTACTTACTCTCTTCTTTGGTCAGAAACCCGGCTGTCTCTGGGAAATTCGAGATGATCCAATATGAAGCCAACGCACACACTACGGTGGCGAGTCCTTCGAGTATGAAGATCCAGGACCAGCCAGGCTTTCCTGCGACACCATCCATATGGGATATACCTGCGGCCAGGAGACCGCCTTCGGGGATGCATTGTTTCACGCAAACTTAGATATACTATGAAGCACTTACTGAATGCGCCTGCTATAGTTGCAGAAGTAAAGAATGCAGCTACCCGTGTGCCAAGTTCGGACCGCTTGTACCAGCTGTGCGGGAAATATCAGCACCACCAGAGTAAGATTCTGTAAGGACGTACCAGGAGATATAAAATACAATCCCGGGGTATAAACCAGCCTCCGCCACTCCAAGCAGTACTCGCAAGGCTAGATGTGAATATTGGGTCCGACAGTGATCAGCTTCAAGAGTATATCGGGCTTACTGACGAGCCCTCCGTAGTTCTGCAGAAACCCGTGGCACATCTTGTCGAGAGTTACATTGCGAAGAAGTCAAACAGCTTCTAACACGTACCATGACAATCCCCCAGGCGAACATCATGGAAGAAAGCCACATCGAGGGTCGAACCTTTCTGAGGATTACATTGCTCGCAGGCTGCATGAGTCGTTTGTCAGTATGGTATGGACAAGGATTGCGCACACTGCCTTACTTCGAGCAATGCGTATGGAAAGAAGAAGGCAGTAAGTGCGATGAGGTATTGCCTGTCTGTGATGCCCAAGTCGGTCTCCATGTTGTATAACTGAAAACGCGTCAGCGTCATGAAGTACCATTGACGGACTAGCTAGCTAATTATCACCTTCGCATTTCCTATACTTCCCCGATCCAAAAAGTTGAGAAAATAGAGGAGACCCAACCAAGGTACGACTCGCATATCGATCTTACGAAGTAGTCGACTCTCGTCGACCAGACCAGTGTCGACATCGGGCTCGTACAGCTCGTCCTCGGCTATGATGATAGAACCTGACTTTGACATTGGACGAGAGAATTGAGCATAAGGAACGGCGTTATCGCATATTTATAGTGGATCAACTTCCGGGCGCTTGAACACAGCGGAACTAGTAAATATCTAAGTTGTGTGACTCACGGTGTGACCCATGCTAGGACAACAACTTGAAGCAGTTGCAAGATCAGAATTCTAGGAACTACAGCATCTTGCACGGCCCAATCAAAGGAACACTTTACGGTATTCGTCTATCCCAACAACAACTTCCAGCCCCTTAAGTGCCTCCCGAAACCAGTTCTTCACATCCTCTGTATCAACCCCAGCAGCTCTTATAACTGTGCCTTTTCCATAATCAACAGGACTCAGGGACCACAGGAACTTCTCTGGGGCTGTGCGCTTGAAAACAGAAATAGTGCGGTACTTTGTTTGCAAGTCAGTCACGACGCTATGTGTCTGAGGCCCATAAAGAAGCATCATGGCGTAGCATGAATAGGGCGAAAGCCTATCTTTGAGCGTCCGAAGTGGGGGGTCGTGAGGATGCGATGGGCAGGACGTAGTTGGGGTATCAGGAGACGAGTTATCTAATAGTAAAACGTCCCGTGCGACGCGTCGGCCTTCTACGAAGACCTCGTTGACGCTGTAGTATCGGAGGAAATCCCAGTCCTCTCCGATAGACTTGCGCCCCGATGTAACCCAGTCTAGCAAAACAATGGACGCGCTCCCGGCAAGGTGGAATGTTTGCACTTGAGTGTATGATGCAGAACGGAAGCAAGTCACTGGGTCAGGGAGAAGGAACAACGCGCTGTCAGGAGCTATGGTAACTTCCATGGATTGAGTCGTGACCGCCTGCAGACTACTTGGTAGGGGAGAAGATCTTCGCAAACGCGTGGATGCTCTATCGCCAGGACGTGTCTTGAAGACTTTGGTGGATCCCTGGACATGGTCTCAGACTGATTATGCTCGGGGAACACACACCATCGCACCTGGGAGAGCAGCATGAGCTTGCATTCTCTTCCTACCTCGACAACAAGGTGAACGCAGTCCCCGCCAACAAGGCCGCCGCCATAGCTCATCATGTATACTATAGCGACCCCATGCTTTGAAACTCTAGGTGATAAGAGCTTGAGCGGGTATGATGACGAGAGCTTTGAAAATACGACAGCTGATGAATGCAGATCACAGGCGATATGTCCAGTACCCACAGGGATGCTCTCCCCAGCCGTGGAGGACATCCGTTGTCAGTTGACATGGAATGAAAGCTAGAGCGCTATGATAAGAAGGTTAGAGAACTAAAACTATGTTATTCCCATAGCCTTGGAGTGCTAAGCTTACTGCCGATCTATCCACAGACGTTGCTAAGTATTTGAACATTGGTGTTCCATATGTATCCCATACACATTGAGTCGAGACGAAGTAGAGTAACGAAAAGGAAAGAGAAAAAAAAGAATGCAACGAGCGACGATAACTAGCACAAGAAGCAAGCAAAGGTAATAAGATAGGCGACAAAAACGGTACACAAACGAGGGAGTGGCATGGAACAAATCCAATAAATTTTGTACTGCAATGCAAATCTGGTAAACTCCGGGAAAGGATATGCGGGGTGAGGGCAAGCATAGGGTCGTGTGCATTTTGATCAGGGAGAAGTCGGAGAACAAACAGCATAATGATACGAAGAGGATATCAATACTTCCGGGTAGCCAGGGCACGGATTTCATACAAGTCACGTCGTTCAGGAGAACCAAAGGGATCCGTCTGGCGTGACATTCGCCATCCTTTGATTTCTTGCCTGTGTCTTTCCTCTGCGGCGCGACATTTTCCCACAAAATCGTCAGCAACGTCATAGACAATGGATGCCCTTGAACCGCGATCGCTCTCAGACTCGGAGTTCGTCCGTATTCGACTGCGTGCTGGGCTCGGGGCGGTGATAATGATAGCGGAAGTTGTCGATCCACTTGTATCTGACATTCCGCTACTCGTGCATCCTTGCTGGCTGGCACGGATTGTGCCCCCCTTCGATTCCCATGCATCTTCGTCATCTTCGTCATCCGCGAGATCGGCGAAGACATCTGGTTCTTCTTCGTCGGGAGGTAGAGTTGACACCCAACACATCCGCGTGGGGTCGAAGATCATGTTACCAACTTTGCGAGCACCAGCGGCAAAGGAACCAACAGGGGATCCAATTGATGACCCAGTGAGGTGTGTGATCAGGGCAGGTCGCGTGGAAGTGCCGACGACTGTGTCGAAATCACGGAGCACTTGGTCATTCCCTTCCCAACGAAGGGTTGTCGGATTCCATTTCATCTCACCCACGACTGTCATAACGCTCCGATGAATACCAAATTAGGAGGTACAATGATCCAATCGTACCTTTTGGTCCGCTTGCACTGCCGAGGTGGCGGATTAGAGTGGGTTTTCGTCTTGTGTGGCCAAGCACAGGCGAGGAGGCATCTTTCTTCTTCTTTACGCAAATATCGGTGCTAGAAGCCTTTGGGAACTCAATGCGACTCGTGCGCCTCAGCGTGTTGGTGGCGGGAGCGAGTGCGCCAGAGACGTCTATAAAAGGAAAGCACATGAGGAACAGCGTGGGGCGAGCACACAAATACACGTGTTCTCACCTGGACTAGTGACATCCTTTCTTCCCTTCTTACGCATCGTACCTGTGTCCTTATCTTTCTCCTTGTCGGAGGTCTTTGACAAATTACTGCCAGGACCACGATTCATCGCCTTGGGTTGCACCCTAAACCTTCCCTCCTTGTCCCGGTCTGTCGGGAGGTCATCAAAGCCATCTAACTCCGTGCCGTCGCCATATGTGCGCTGCCGTTTTGGTCGGCGAAGAAGTTTGGGAGCTGATGTCGAAGGTATGAATGGTGACTGCGTCTGTGCAGCGCGACTACGTAATGATAATGTTGAAGGAGGGCGAGGTGGTATTGGCGATGTCGCGCGATGTGAGGGCTGAGGTGCAGGGAGGGCAGTGGCAGTGGCAGGTCCAGGAAAGACGGAAGATAGGGAAGGTCGTGACTTCATCCGTATTGAAGTTGGCATGGTCAAGCGTAGTGCGGCAGGATTCGAAGAAGGAGTGGATGGCCTCGTGGGTGGCACCATAAAGTCGAGCCCGTGGATACGGCTCGTTGAGCTCGTGTGCGACTTAGCGCGCGAAGCAGCTGTGGGCGCCTCGTAGCGTGCAAGTTTACCTGATGATGGACCTGCAGTGATGACGATACCAGAGCCTGATGCCTGAGACGTGCTGCATTCCATGAGGGAAGACAGAGACGCTTTGCGAGTGAGCCCCTTGCGTTGTGTTGAAGGAGGGGTGGGGGGTTTGAGACCAGAATGCGACTTTTGTCCTCGGAGACTACCAGGTTTAGGGGATAAAAAGGTGGTTGTCGGAGTAGGAGGGGCGGAGGAAAGTGCTTCCTTATAAGTCTGAGCACGTGGGGGGCACAATGGGCGGGGTGGCGGTGAAGACGAAAGCTTAATGCGTTGTAACTGACGAGCAGATGATATGGGAGGATTTACAGGCGACTTGGCCCGGTCAGCCCTCAGTCTTGAGGGCGGACGTGTGGGCAAGAGTGCGCGAGCAGGAGCGCTTTTGCTACGATTGTAGCGCTGATTATGCTTGGCATTGACGAGCCTGCTTGGGCTAAAATCGTCATCATCCTCGATGAGGAGACCCATTTCGAAGTCATCCTCGGGGTCGGGACTGGCGACCTTTATTCGCTGATCAGTTACCTGCACGTGTTTCTTGAGTTCCAGCATCTTTTTAAGATGCTTCGCGCTCTGGCTGGACTCGAAGAGGCCAGAGGGAACGACTAGCCCCTCCAGCTCGCTCTCGTGTTCATCGCATTCGCTTTCCTCTGTTGTTTCGTGTAAAGAAAGGGAGGATACAGAGTTGGATGATGAGGAAGCATCGGCAAAACCGAGGGATGAATACGCGTCAGAGGATTGAGATGATGATGTCTGGTCTCTGTCACCCCATTCCAAGGAATTCTTCGAAGACCGATGGCTAAGAGAAAGAGGTGCGAGGGACAACTGGGTAAGGTCTGAGGGAAGGGCGAAGGCAGATTCGATGTCCTCATCGATGGGAGAGGGAGGGGGTTTGACGACAGGCTTTGGAAGGGCTGCGACCTTTATGGTAGACACACCTTCATCATCTTCCTCATCTTCTTCCTCCTGGCAGGTGAGTGGGGGACGAATGGTGATCATGTTGCCTGAAACAATCCTAGATAGCTGGAACCTGGCAGCCATACCAGCGACGACAGCCTTTGCCTTTGCGCCGCCGGTTTTTCCGAGGTCCATTTCGATATCCCAATCATCATTCTCGTCGTCATCATCCTCCTTGTCTGATTCAACGTCAAGGGAGCGGATATGATCGCCATCAGGAAGATCAAAGTCGGCGTCTGGCCATTCTTCACGTGCGAGGGCGATTGATGGAGCTGGGATTGTAGACATGGTGGATTACAGATATTTGTTGTAATATACTAAGCCCCAGACGGGGCTGGTGAAGTAGAGGGTCAATCGAGTAAAGGTAGAGAGCGTATTGGGGGGTAATTGGAAGATACCGGGTGATAAGTATCCACTTCACATACGCACCCCGGACAAAGATGAAAGTCGAGGATAATGGAAGTCACTGAGTAAGTCCGGAGCGGCGTTTGCGTGTTGAATCAACCAAAAAAAATTGGCGAGACTACCTTGGCGAGACTAGCGATGCCTCGTGTTGTCCCTCGAGCGTCGAATGGTTGGGAGTAGTTTGTGACACATTGTCACTTCAATCATTGTCACTTCTAATACAAATAATTCAAAACAATATCATTGGCGTAAGTTGTTGTTTATTTGCACACCGTACAGCCTCGAGAACCCGGAAATTGCGAAGCAAAGTACTTCTAGACTAAACTTAGTATGGCATCAATAGCCGCCTCTCCCTCGCCTCATGTTCGATCTCATCTTCGGAACCGTCTAGATCTTCCCTATCAGAAGCGAGTTCATCTCCGTCAGTTACCCTCTCAAGATATTCATCTACGCCCTTCCTCATTCGAATGCCCCTTTCTGCCATTATGTCCACGAAAGCGTCAAGCTCGTGAGCGCTAAACGCAGATCGCAGCGGCCCAAAAGCCAACATATATAGATCTGCATGTCACATTCAGCTCACGATTCCATGGACATTGCAATATACTTGCCCTTGCCAAGCGGACATTCATGCACTGCTCTGTAAAGCAGTTTCTTGGCCCTTTCCAACTCCCCGACTCGAATCTCGAATTCCAAAATGACACGCCACAAGATAGTGCTTCCTTTCGTCCTGAAAACGATGTCAATCCATGACAGCCCGAGCAGAACGGTCCCACCAACCTCTCGCTTTCTGCAGCCGCAGCAAGACCGCTCCGCGTGCGTTCGATCTCACTCTGCCACCGGCCTTTCTCCCAGCCAGCAACCCAGACTTCTGCGATACGCCGTGAAACGTTCTTTTCCATCGGGCCTCCATCAGCCGTGCTTTGTCCGAGCTGAGCCCGTACCCGACCCCAGATACCATGTCCCTTCTCGGCCTCTAGAAACATGCCCAACACTAGGCTGTTGCCCGGATAAGTGTCGATGGCAATCTGCAGTCGATCCCTCAGGACAGCTGGCGGAGTAGGACTTCGTAGGATGACTAAATGGTTGTACAGTAGCATAAGAGATGCAACCATCATACTTTCTCTGAGACCAGGACTCTCATTAACGCTGGCAGCAGGCTGAGAGTCAAAGATGACGAGTGCCGCATCTTGAGACGAGGAAGTAAGCAATTCGACCAAGGCTCGCAGGCTTATCCAAGCCTCTCGGTCCTTCCACTGCTCATGTGGGCAATTAATCGTATCATCGAGGCTGCGTTTTACACGAAGAATCATCATGCCACCCGAACCCTCGATGTTGACTGAGCGCTGGATAATACGTAGTGCCGCATTCTGGTCACCACTGAGCCATTCCATCTCCGCCCAATCCCGCCATAACTGACCGACGAAAGGCTGGGTTGGTGGATGCTGAGAGGCTACAAGCACCGTTTGATAGACCTTACGGGCATCATCTACGTGCTCGCGCAAGCGTTCCAGACGTGCGTGGGCTACCCAGTGCGGCAGAGAATCTCGTGCTGTCGACAAAAACGTTCGTGAGAGCTTCAGAGCGCTGCAACCTCAACATAAGTGCTACTGACGCACATAACAAACAATGAACCATACCTTTTGATACTAAGGGCTGCTTCAAATGCTAGTGCGTAGATGTCCCACTCATAATCCTCGCTGCCGCACCTAAGTTGTTTGAATACGGCCCGTACAAAGTCCTGGTTGATTCCTTGCAGATCAACAGCAGTCCACATTCGCCACTTATCTTTGCCTATCCACTCCAACGGTCCGAGGGCATCTCTACTCCACTCTTTGATCGGGCCGAATGCACTCGAAAATTCTCTTTCCTTCCCTATGAGCGTGCCAGCAAGAGAGTCGGCGAGCAATTGCCGCTGTCTCGCAGTATCAGGAAAAATCGAGTGCAACCGCGAGAAAGAACTGAGGTACGTGTATGACCATCTGTCGTCCCAAGATCCCTGTGACAGTGTTTCCACAAGACCAGGAATGTGCAAGCCTAGGACGGATAACCAGATTAAACGGAAGGCATTCTTAGCACCTTCCGTGTGGAAGGGCGATAGTAGTGCCTTGATATCCGAAAGCAGAACGGTCGTGTATGGGTCAGACTCGCTCCTCTTGTCCGTGGAGCGGGCGGGTACATGTGATGCACAATCTGCGCGCAACTCGTCGTGGTGCCATTGCACATATGGGTCATTCGATTGGTCGTCAACGTCCATCTGGGCAACCGCCGTCAGCGGGGAACCGGAGTTGTCGGGTCGACCGGATGAGATCCAATCACCCCAGCCTTTGGCTCCAGGCTCGCCGACGCGCGGTACTTCGGACTCCCAAAATTCCTCAAGGGACTCTAATTGCTTTTCAAGGGGAAGTCCATGTAATGACTGAGGTGCCTCGAACGTTCTATTATACGAGTGAGAAAATAACACTCAGATGAAGTGAAACACAGCACTCACAATTCCGCTTGTGCCTGGAATAAGGCAGTTGTGCGTTCATGGTAGCCTGAAACAGACCGATAAGGAATATATATGATGCGGCAGTAAGTTCCGTACCTGCTTGTTGGAATGCGACTGCAACTCGCCATAAAACACGCAGATTATCAATTTCACTGCCCTCAGAGCCGCTGAGCGCGTTTAAGACGCGCGTCGCATCAGCGACTGACGTATCAACTCCACTAGCAGTGGTACGAATGCGCCATTCAAGCCAATCCATCCAAATTTCAATTCCCCCGAGTTTCAGGGCGTCCTCCCACTCGGCCTTAGTTTTACTCTGGTGCCAGACATCCTCTCCTGCCCTCAGATACTTCAGGAATAGAATGCGAGATGAGCGGTTGTGCGGATGGGCAGCACGAGCACGAGTGAGAATAGAGAGTGTTATTTCGGCGCGAGCCTTGGCCGCATTTTTCGAGGTGAGGGGGATGTTCGATATTGAATGTCTCACGAGTGATAACCATATTTCGATTGAAGATGGATCAGCGGCCAGCTGCTGCTCCAGGGCCTTCAAGGACAACTGATGTGATGTAAGAACGGGTGTTCCTGACTCATCATCCGAGCTGTCGTCTGAAACGGACGACTGAGAGTCTGAATCAAGATTGTCTTGGTGTTTAGTTATAGAACGATAGTCTTCGGCAGCTTTGGGACGGCGGTTGGAGGGTAGTCGCAAGAAGCCGTCCACTTCTTCATACTTGTAACTATCCCCAGATCCAATAAGGCGTTGACATGGGGGTGCTGCCAATAACGTTGCTACGCTTGAGTCCGTCAGGGCGGGTTGCTAGAGACAGGGTCATTTGTGGACACCTGTTTGATGTAGGACTACTGTACCTTATGCCTCCTCCCTATGTTTATCTCTATAGCCTTGCCTCCTTTGCGATAGATAGTCCAGTCCCCATCAAGGCCAAGAATACTTCTACCACCTTGCACATCATTTAGACATCAACGTGACATCCGATAGATGACTTACGGTTCACAATATGATATTTTGGAATATCACCAGCGTGGATGCCGCCATATGTAACATTTAGTTGATCACCTTTTCGATCAGAGAAGAACACTGGGCGAGAATCCCATTGGCTGTCTTGATGATCATTCTGAGCAAGACGTCTATCCTCCTCGGCCTTGAGTTTTTCATCATCCGGTATAATCACATCCTTCGATGTAGGTCTGTGTTGCCTGGGAAGTACCGGCTCATGAACATCCTTTGCCGTCTTATGCCTCTTGTCTTTTCGGGACTCGTCTTTCAACTTCTTACCGTGGCGTTCGCTCTTATCCTTTTTATGCTTTCTGGTTTTCTCCCGAGATTCGTCCGCAGTACTTTCATTTCGCGTCGGGGACAGGCTATGCCTACTCGGACCAGGATCAAGGTCTGGGAACGAGGCGAACGAGGGTGGAAAGGAAGAAAACGAGGGTGCGGTCATTCTGAATTGAGCTCAACGCGGGAGCATCGAGCGGGTGATTGAATAGGTATGATCGGTGTAAATTTCCGTTGCTTTAAAGGATACAATGAGCTATGCAGCGTTCTCGAATCTGGTCCAGACTTCGAAGACTACTAATAGATCTGGTAGTAGTGTTTAAGTAAGCTGTGCTATCGGCAAATCCCGATGAGAAAGGGAAACCCCCTCACCTCGTTACTTGGAAATCTATTTATTTCATATCAGCCTTCATTGCAAGCTGTCAACTCCAGCCTCATTCTTAGTACTGCCAAAATAACCTCAACGCTCCGATTCCAATGCGTCCCCTCACCGAAGACGAGAGTAAAGCTGTTTTCACAAAACTTGCCAACTACATCGTACGCATATATGCCTCTATTCTGACACCCCTGCTCCACTGAACACATGAAAAATCAGGGAAAGAACCTTATCCATCTCATCGACCGCAAGGATGAGCCATACTGTTTCAGGCTGCATAAAGATAGGGTATACTATGTCTCAGAATCATCGATGCGCATGAGCATCTCCGTCGCTCGACCCAACTTCGTCAGCGTCGGTACTTGCTTCGGAAAATTCAGCAAAAGCGGGAAATTCAAGTTGCATGTAACAGCACTTGAACATATCGCACAGTATGCAAAATACAAAGTGCGCTTCATGAACTCGCTACCTCTTTGTAACGCAATTGATTATTTTATGTCCTACAGGTCTGGATCAAATCAAATGGAGAGATGCCGTTCCTGTACGGCAATCATGTTGTGAAAGCACATCTTGGCCGGATAACAGAAGATACTCCTGAACATCAAGGAGTGGTAGTCTTCAGTATGAACGATGTACCACTGGTGCGTCCCAGCTTCCGATGACTTTGGCCCATACTCACAAATTTTGTAGGGCTTTGGCGTCACAGCGCGGTCAACAGTAGATACCCGAAAATTAGATCCAACAGCCATAATCGTCTTTCATCAAGCGTATGTTCCACTTACCATCACGCTTGCGGTACCTTACGGAGTATCTTTTTTTTTTTTTTTTTAGCGACGTTGGTGAATACTTGAGAGACGAGGTAAGCTCACGAATGCTACTGCTGTGGAACGTTCTTATTCGCTTACGTCGTTGCACCAGGAAACCTTGTTTTGATCGTTCCCACTTTTCTTTTCTTTTTCTTCTTTTGGTATGGGAGGTTTATGGACCCACACAACTTAGATTACCCGTTTACACGTCGGCAGTTTCGTAGTTCTTGGCCATGCGTAGATCGTATGTCGCGCCATCTCTTTACTCTGGTAAAAGTATTGTAGTTTCGCCTTACGCTGAAGGTTCTGTTTATTGAGGTAGAAGGCACATGTACGGATGATCCTACAACGAGAATGGATATTGAATAATGAATGTCCGTTACAAGACGTGAAGTGCTTGGGACTCATAAATCACATTCTGTGTTCAAAGTGTCCCGGTAGATCTGCAGTAACATCTCAAAATCTACGGTCGTCTCGGGCTCGGAAACACTCTCGCGATCATGAACAAACGGGAAATCATACTCACGCGTTTCCAAATCTCCCTCTTCGCTATCATATGCTGAATATGATGCCGAGGAAACACTCCTAAAAGTCTTGTCATCACTGTCGAGATCAGAGTCTTCTGATATCGAATCAAGGCCGCCGCCTATGCTTCGGAGTGATTCATGACCACCACAAGCAGCGAGGAAAGATGAGACATAATCCATATCCCGCCTGTATATGTGCCCAGCAGCATACTGTACATGGACTCCTGGAAAACGCCACTGCAGGGTCTCATGGTGCTGCACTGAGTCGGGGGGGATGATGAGGTGGAGGCGTGGTCCTGTAGTGTTGAGCAGTGCCCAATCCAATAACCTTATGGCTTTGAGTTGCGGAAAGCACTGGGACTTCCACGACACCCGTATGACATCTGGATCAGGGGCAGAGGGGTGCCACGTCGCCCAAATATCTATCCACCGCAAAGTCTTGTGCAACAAGGTTTTTCCATGTGGTGCGAGTGATGCATCCAGGGTGGAACAGCGGTCTAGAAGTATCTGGATATGTTGCATGCCCAGAATAGGTTCATGGGCTGGGCCTGGCCCAGGGGTCTCTGTCATAGGCGGAAATAATGCAAGGTGCTCCAGGGCAGGACAGCAGTCCAGAACCATCTGAACATGTTGCACACGCAGATCATGGGCGAGGGTGTCCAAGGGAGCAGTGATGGAAAGTGCCGTCAAGTGTTTTCCATGTACATCCAAAAAGTAGATGTACTGTGGGACCTGATGTGGTCGGGGTCGATGTTCATAAACCATGAAACGACAAAGGCAAGGCAATTTCCATTTCTGAGCCATTGTATGAAGGAAGTTTAAGTTGCAGCGGGAGGGCGACTTCACGGTAATCTGCAATTCCTGGAGGCGTTCGAGCGTAAGAAATTCGACGTCGTCCTGTTGATAGGTATGAATGGACAAAGATAAGATGGTGAGATTTTTGCACTGTGGAAGGCATGGAAGAATATCCGAAAGATGTATCTCGTCTCCAATGTCGAGATGGACTACTTTTGAGAGGTCATACCGGTGCAGAGAGCAAATGAATACGTCGCAGAGTGACATATCCATATTTAGATATACTCGGGAAGCATTGGGGCTCATCTTCAAGATGCGCCGAAGGGCTTCATCGAACATTACGAAGTAATGAGGTGTCACCAGGCAAGACACGTTGATGTCCATAATCATCTCGCCAAATCGCGCATTGCCTTGCAAAGTTCTCCAGAGTGCTGCGATTTGTCCGATACGGCGAAGATGTACTTCCCGGTATAGCAAAACGGTGCCGATCTCCCGCCAAAACTTGCAGACAAGAACTACAGATTGCTTGATTCGCTGTGCCATACACCATGGAGAGAAAGGTCCACCACTCAGGGATGCGTCCAGAAAGACTGTGGGAGGAAGCGTAGATTCTAGTATTTGAAGTAATATTTCTGGAGGTGGCTGCTTGAATGGGATTGGCTTTCTTACGAGAACCTCTGAATCAGCATCAGAGTGTTCTCCCTACAAGATAGTGCTATTAATGGCTTGTCCTGGTGAGCAGTGGAAGGACTCACTCTGGAAGTGGTCGGTGATAGAGGCCCAAAGTAATTGGAATAGCTCATTCTGCGGACACGATAACACTGCAATCAATATGCCTCAGGAGTCAGTAACCATAATCCTTGAAAGTCAGTGAACTATATAGAGACATACGAGGCACGGCGAAAGAAGTCGCTCGCCGTTTGACGAAGTTGATGATGGAGGTGCAGCGATAACTTTAGGGTGATACCAATGATGCCGTTCGACGTTGATAAGATATATATGGTTAATCACAAACCTCGCTATAATCACACACAGACTGTTTGCACGTGGCTTCCTTTGCAGGGAGTGCAAGCTGAGGCCCCAAAGTCATTACTTAAATCCTCACCACCACCAGCACCACCATGGCCTCCGCTGAGTCGTCCTATACTCGCTGGGAGACTCTCGAAGACGAGCAAGTTACAGTCAGTGACGTTCAGGACACTCTTGCCCCAGCAAACGATGACCTATGGGTGGCAGCAGCCTGCGTCGACCGATTCGTGGGCGACGAAGTAGTTCAGCGTTCACTCATCGAGCTTGGAATCAAGCGAACAAGCGTGGCTGTGGAGAGGTGCAAAGAGGTCATTCTCTTACCAGCTGGAAGTTCTGACGCTGTAAATGGGCCTAAAGAACTGCTTAGCGTGTACTTCAATGACACGCCTGAAGATGCACAACTCTGCCAAATTCGAACCACTCTACTCGAGCGCCTCGATAGACTGAACTCCTTCGCTGAGATCCGCAAGGAACTTCTGGAGAAGAAGAGAGACGAAGAAGACAAGCCAAGTATCGACGCAGAATGGGAAGATGACCCTTGGGAAGAGGAAGGGGAATCTTCCACCATTGCTCACGCAGCAAGTCCTGTTCAGCCTCCTATACCACTGCAAGACTTTTTGGCAGAGGATATCCTGGATATGGCATGCTTCTTCGCCTCGCAGGAGTATTTCGACGCTTTACGAACTCTTCTGACGTACCACAGCTCGCATCTATGGCCGTACCGCTTCGCCATTCTGGAAAGCATACCATGTCATTCCAATCCTTCCGAATATCGTGACTTTCTTCCTGCTTATGATGCGGCCACAGACAAAGAGCTTACAAGTCCGTCACGCAGATGGCGGACGGAAGAAGATTGGGTAGAGTCACCAGAGGTTCAAGCTGCTCTTTCAAAAACGGAGCTCCCAGCTGAATTCGAGGCTCTATACCCCTCCTCAGCCAACGTTCCTTCCCAAGGAAGTCAGCTGTTGTCTGCACAGCAACTGGCTACTTGGTACCAGAATCGCGTTGACCAGGTCATAACATCGACAGGCATGCTAGACATCGCCTTTTCCCTTGTGCAGCATGGTGGCTCGCTAGGTGTCCCAGACCTTGACGAGCTAGGAGAGAATCTCAGTCTGATGACTCGACTGGTTTACGATATTCCTCAGGCATGGGCTCAAGATGACGAGGATTGGACTCTAGCGCGCTGGCGGAGCATGGAACCGTCACAAGTCGTAAGCGCATATCTAGCGCATTCAACCTCCTCCACCGTAGCTAAGGATATCTCGCGGTTAGTCATGCCCTACCTCTTTGTTTTGGAGTCGCGGTCAGAACGAGCGGGTCAATCCGACCCAGATCTTCCCAACCGCCTTCTCCACAATTATGTTCTTGGCGCACCCTTGGATATCGTCGCGGCGATAACTGAAGCGTCCAAACCCACATTGCTTCCTCCGCAAAGGCTGATCAAGAATGATGAGGACGTTGCACGGCTTGCTCTAGCTTGCCTTTACGGCAGCAATAGCCTCACGGAGTGGATGACAATGAGCCGCATTTTTGAATGCCTTCCCGCATGGGACATTGGCCCAAGCCCCGAAGACCAAGCCGATGAAGCGGACGCTACGATCGTTTCTCTTGGAGAATTTGTTACGCCATCTACAGCGCACCCTCAGTGCGGCCCTATAGACCTACTATTCTTCTTCAAACCTCTTCCAGTCGTCTCGCTTTCGCGCGCGCTTGACATTCTCGACGTTCATCTTGAATCCGGAGAAATATTTGCGCGGTGGAACGTACCCGCGCCATTACGCTGGTTCCTTCAGAGCGCAAGCAACGTTACCGAACAGCGTGCTTGGGCCAATAGAATGGCTCGTCGCACTGGCGCCGCCGCCGACAAACTTGGAGAGATGAAGGACTGGGAATGGTTGCTTGATGACATGTTGAAACTGTGTGGGACGAATGAATCTGGTGTGCGAAGTGCCTTTGGACTTCTGACGGAAGAAGAGGTGTCATCCATATTTTTCAGTGGGATTTTGAGCTCTGGTCGTGAGTTTGCTAGCTTCTTGTCATGATCCAATGCTCAACCGTCAATCAGGATTTGATATCGCCAAGGACCTTATTTATTCGAAGCACGGCAAGCTATCCCTTAAAGCATCTAAAATCGAAGATCTCTGCCTCGCTGCGTCTCACGAGTTTTATGACAACGCAAGCTCTGCGAATTACAAAGTTGGCAACATGAAGCTTGCCTATGATTGGTGAGTTTTTGTGCAACTGGAGGGTACCACGTGCTCATAATTCATCTAGCTTGGACGTTCCTGCACCATCCCAGCAGTTAACAAAGGAGCGAGACTTCATTGAAGCCACTTCCCGCCTATCTTCATTCAACATCATGTCTCGACCAGGAACCCCCATTTCGCCCATCGAGATTCGGCTCACAAAAGACCGCCTCTCCCTGATCTCCCGCGTCCTTTCGAGCAATGCAGACGCCTACAAGCATACACAAGTCATTCTCGACCTCCTTCACAAACTCGGGTTTCGAGATGACATTGTTGCAGAGGTGAAGACCCTCGCAATGATATCTGACGCTGCATTACAAGCGGAGGATTTCACCCGGGCATTCGATACGAACCAAAAGATGATTGACGTGGTTTTCAAGCTTCGCTCAGCTGCATCGTTAGGATCAGAAGACCCACGACTTCAGGAGGCCAGCGAAGTTTGCTGGCTGGCCTGCTTTCAGCTTGGGCGGCATCCAGAATTTCCGAACGTTGAACAGAAGCTCACACTTTTCGGCCATGCGCTGGAACTGTGCCCAGCAGAAAAACTGAATGACATTTTGACCCCTTGGCGGCGACTGGAACAAGAGGGTTTGGAGGTGCGCAAGGAACGACTTGCCGATCACTCCCCCCGTTCGAAACCTGCCGCTACCAAGCCTGTCTCTTCCCTGCAATCACGCTTAAATAATCTCCACGTGCCCACCACCCCTCTTATCAATGCTGAGGATGCCGCTGCCCTCGCTGGCCGAGCCTTCAGTCGTGTGGCATCTAATTTTCCCTTCAGAGTCGGTGGACGCGAACGTTCGGGGAGTCGTGGAGGTCAAGCCAGGTCGCAAAGTCGAGATGAAAGTCACCACAGGCTAGACGGGGAAGATGTTTCCGGTCAAGCAAGCCGGGCGCTCCAACGAGGCATTGGCTGGTTGCTGGGGGCAGACGATGAGAGCTGAGCCTATTGAACGCTTACATATTGGGACTTTTGGATGTACAGCGAGACTGTCTACCACATACATACATCAGTTTGCGAGCAAACATAGCTAACAATATACAGTAATCGAAGAGGATACGCGCACTGAAAGGTATATATATGAACTGGATGGAAAACCAGGAGCAAATCAAAGACATCTACAATGAACGATAATGGGGAAGGTAAAGGAATGTGGTAAGTTACTGATAAGTGTATAGAACGGATAGAATATGTGTAATTAGCGAAGGGGGAGGGAAAATTGCACAAGAAGTTGCACATAAGACAGGAGCTAGATAGATAGTGTAAGTCCGGATATCACAATGCACGCGATCGACTGATGAGGATGCGGCCCAATCAAAAAATAACGAGTGGCGAGTACCATGATGGCGATCCAACCTTCCTAGATAAGTGGACGAGATAGTTGCGGTGATTTTGTCAGAGACCTGTCTAGTTCCCACTCGCGAAGCGAGCGGTATCGCCTATGCGTTCCCTCGGTCTGTCGACGACCCCGATTTTCTTCGACCCTGCACTACGAGCTTCACTCTCTCTTTGTGGGCCGCCTCTGCCGCAGTGGTCGCAATATCTATTGTCTTCGTCAGCAGCATGGAGGTCCTCGACTTCCGCTTGTAAGTCCCTCACTTGACCCTGCAGCTCCCAAATTTGTCGTTGCCAGACCTTCTTCGCTGAGATCATCTGCTCCTGCAAAGCTTTGATTACGAGGGACTGCTCCACTGGCGATGGTTTATCGTCGCTTGGTCGAGATGATCCTGACGTGAATGGCGAGAGTGCTGCCACTGAACTGATCGTAGACGTTGGCGTGTCCAAATCGAGCTCTGAAATATACTCTACCTCCGGGATGGCAACGATGTCAGCGAACTGAGAGCTGAACGTCGTAGATATGGGACGTAATTTGAGAGCTTGAAAGTCAAGTTTCCCAAGCAGAGCATGCTGAGGTGTTTTTGACCCTAACGAGGGTGACTGGGTCGGGTCTGTAGGTCGATGTACAAGGTGTCTGTCGTTAACGCAGACTGGAGAGCCGCTTGTTGTGCCAGTGGATATGTACAACGCAGGGGGGGTACGCTTCAGCGAGGGTGAGGAAAAGTCTGTGGAAGGCTCCTGGTCGACATCAGGTGTGGACTCCCTGTTGAGGGCAGTGCTGCTCCCAGCATCTGAACTTACAGACGACAAGCGAGATGGGATGATTGGGAGCGACGATTTACTATCTTCATTTCCTCCGTGAGAGTAAACCCCGTATAAAGACGGAACTGGTGGCGGCGGACTTCTCTCTTTGTCGCGACCCTTCTCTCGTTCACGACCATTGAAGAGTCTCATAAATCCGCTTTTCTTGTGCTTCAGCGTTTGCCCACTGGCATTGACGACAGCGGGTTCTGAATCCCTTCGCTCAGGTTTTTGCAAAGATGCACCAACGACTGAATGAATGACACCTTTGGCGCGGGCGCCAGCACTAGTGGAGCGAGCGCGGGCCCTCTTGAAGCTGCCAGTAGCAGAAGTCTCGGTGCTTGCTATACTGGCAGCGTCATCTGGGTCAGGAAAAGGAATGCGGGATGTATTCTCATGGACTCGAGAGGGGGATGAAATCGCGGTAGCACTGCGGGTCCTTTCTCTCGCCTGTGCCTCTTGCAGCGATATCAAAGTGACAGTTGAAGGGGCATTCCATCCTGCGACACCTTCAAAGATAGGTGGGGGGTGAAAAGATGTCAGCTTGGTGCTGCGATCGCATGGCACTGAATTAAGGTCGTTGGCATGGAGAACTGCGATGGGAGGAGATATGTCTTTGCCGTGAATACGCATGCCTATGGAGGGAATGTGATCCCGGGATGGTAGGGAGGAGGCAGACGTGTCTGGTGTTATAGTAGATGAGAAAGCACCGGACCGCGAACTCAGGGAGTCAGTTACGGTGGCAGCAGAATCACTTCGCGAGACATGTCCAAAGGTGGAACGGGGTGGAGCAGCTCTAGAAGGGGTATAAGAAGCCACCAAATCAGGGTTGGCATAGGGATGCACGAAGTCATCATGAGACAAACGACCTTGCAAAGTAGGAAACGATGAAAGAGTAGCGCTGCGTTCGTGATATGGTTGAACCTCCGAAGCCGGAGAGTGTGGTCTGCGGGTATCTTGTTTGGAGGATGACGGCTGGGAAGCGTGTCCCATTCCTCGCGAAGAACTGGTGGTAGACTGAGGTTCCCCTGGTATGTGATCGTTATAGTAAGTTGTGGGTGGATAGTTTGTGGTGCGAGGGAGAGAAAAGTTATGGCGGTTTCTTGGGGAGGGGACAGACAGAGAGGAGGTCGACAATGATTCCTGGGCCATGGTGCTACATGTCGGGGGTCAAAACGTCACACATTAAGAGAAACGAAAACATACTATAAGGCACCTCGGGAACCGGAATGATTGGCCGCAGTGAAATCAAAGGAGGCATTGGACTGAGCATAAGAACGGGTTGACTCGACGCTAGGTCTGGTAGAGGAACTCTTGCCGAAGTGACGCATGAGATCAGCCTTGGCAGTCTTACTTTTGACTTTCATGCCAAAGGTGGTGGACATGGGACTATTGTCCGAGTCAATCTCGTCAATTTCGTCTTCGCCGGTTTCCCAAGGTGCTCGGGAGTGAAAGCGTATCTTGGGACCCTGAACACTTATCCTGTGCGAGGAATCGTCGTCTTCATCGTTATTCTCCGTTGCGTCTGCGGTGTTGAGTGAAACACCTGCAGCGCAGTCATCGTCAAGATCCAGGCTACTCGCTGGATGATGACTGAGGCAGTCAGAACGAGTGATAGATGGCCGACGCTCGCCGAAGGTGTCTGTATCATCATAACGAAATGAACTTGTATTCGGTTCGATATCCCTGCTGTCTGGAGAAAAGTAGGCATGACTGTAAACTGATGGAGAATCGGAAAACTCAGAGATAGAGGGGAAGTGGGTATGCCTAGGAGCATAAGAGCGGGCACTTCGACGGTCGTCTTGAGCGTCCCATGGAGAATGAACGGACCTCAACATGACCGCGACGGTCCAAGGTATGCTTCAATTCAAAATCCAAACAATCCATAACCAGTATCAAGCATCCTGCATAACAAAGTTTAATCGGCAATAAAATGTCTCATTCATCTTTAATTACATAACATTCAATCAAATTCCGCGTTAACGCATATGCAACGTGTGTCAGTACCAGACCAGCATCAGCTTCCTACACGTTGAAAACCATAACTCAAGTCTACGAGCTTCTGCGAACTTGCTTCGAGATCACCTGGGAGACATGACATATATTCGTTAAATTAACTTATGTAATATGTACATACTTTATCGACTATCCTAATATGGACATGAACGACAACAACTCCCCTGCGTGCCAAAAATTGAAAATGTCAGAAGAGCCTGTCCCTCTTACTTCTTCATCGCACGGACGTGTATCTGGAAAATCATGGAAGGCACCAAAATCAGCGACCTTGTATGTACCACACTATACACTCCATATGAACTAAAAATCACTCGACAATTAGTCGAACGCAATGTTCTGCTGGACACAGGTCTAAATTTGAAGAGCGAATGCAGAAGACTACAAAAGACAGCGCTGCAAAGAAGTTAGAAACTGAGCTCAGAGAGGAGAAACACGCTGAGAAGCAACGGTGAGCGATAATCGGTGCAGCGCGTTGGACATCAATCATAATCTTGTGACGTAGGAGGCGAGAAATTACCCTCGAAAGGAAAAGCGCAGCAGAGGAGCGGCGCAGATTGGAAGAAGACAAAGCCAAGGTAGATCCATATTATCTAGGATTTGCCTTCTGAGACTAATTGTGCCGAAGATGGGAGCTAGAAAAGCCGCGAGGCTACGACGAAAAGCGGGGCGCACAAAGAAAATACATGGTTGAGAACACCCTAAAGATATTAGAGCATCCCGGTACTATGGTATATTCGTACGATGTACCATCTCTACAGCGCCCAGGTCGTGTCCAATTCACCTGGTTTCACGAATGGTTTGTCCAAGCCTGCAACTACACTCTCACACAGAGGACAGCTGCTCGCGAGGACGTCGTCCAACTCAGCCCGTAGCTTCTCAACCTTCTTCTCGAAGTCTTTATCCACCCCAACCTTTCTCCCGCCACCCATACCCGGTATCCATCCCGGTGCAGACACAACCGAAGCCAGAGCATCTGGAACAATAAGATCTCTTAGGCGGTCTCCAGCTGAAAGTAGATTTCGTCCGAGGAGATTCGCGGCCTTGGTACCATTTTGGATAGGGCTCCCGAAGCTAGCAGAAAGGAGTGTGCGCTGTTGAGTCGGCTGGCGCGAATGCCCGTTGGGCGTGGGCGAAACTGCATGATCTGGATTGATTTTTGGACCACCCTTCACCAGCTCGGTTTGCAGAGTAATGATCCGCCGGAGTGCATGCGTAGGAAGATATTCTTTTGCCTTGGCGACCGCGCGATTCAGTACGATTATTAAAGTTAGCGAGGACAAACATACCAATCCGATCAGACAATCCGCATGGAAGGTGTGCTGGCAGGGAAAGACGTAGAATTGCCTTGTCAACAAAGGCTGCGAGCAAACGGAGCATCGTTCCCCTGCATCAATTGTTACGAAACGATTCTTCAGCTCGGCGATGTCCTGCTTGATAGATTCCGCAGTACGAGTTGCATCGTCCATATCTCGTTTCAAGTCATCGATGTGGGCTGAATAACCTTCTAAAGCGTGCGCGATTTCCTCCTTGAAGTCATCAATAACGACGAAGTCGGGGAAGAAAGGCAAAATATCCTCGATCTTGAGTATATTCGTGTTCTCCAAGAATTGCATTGCGCTACTCAGACTCGTGAGCAAGACAACAGCTGATGAACATCTTACTTACGTTTTGATGTCTTGTTTATCCTGCACCACATATCGCGCAATCTTGAGCCAAAGCTTCTTCTGCAGAGGTGTGTCATCCTCCGGCTTATTGGCATTTTCCTTCGCGAGCTCCAAGTCACCCTTCTCCAATGCCAAGTCCACGCTATTCTCCCAAAGACCCATTTGCGAGTAAATGTGAACACATGATTGGATTCGCCCCGTTCTTTTGCACACTCGAAGAGCATAGTCGAGGTCATAGTACGGTTTACCTGTCATCGGATCTGAAGGCGCCGAGGTCAAGAAGTTGATTAACGGGCCATTCTCTTCTGAAGAACGAGGTAACCGAGTCGCAAGGAATGTCACAAGAAGGTTGTGAACCATCGGTGACTTGTTGCCCTGCTCAAACACCACATAATTGAGGTACCGCACAGCGTGGTCAGGAGACAGGGGGTCGCGAGGGAGATGTTGCAGCTGGAGCAGGGAAGGAATGAGGCGCAAGGGATCCAAAGACGGTTGTTTTAACCAGGATTCAATCATCTCCTTGGGCACTTGCCTGGTCAGCACAGTACCAAAGCGGTAGTATAAATCGGGGTTCGACTTTTTCCGGTTAATGAGGGACATTGCAGCATATGAGTACCATGCTTACCTGGCGGTTGAGCACTTCAATGGCTTTGATCCACTGTTCTTCCAATATCCAGTGTGCAATAACGCGTTCGGAGTCACCGAGCACAGTAGCGTAGTGTAGGTACATGTCAGTCCGACCATGACCTTGGATCAACTCATAAACAACGTTTTTGTCTAGATTGCTCTGCAACAAAATATGTTCAAGTGAGTAAAGTATAATGAAATGGCACACCTTATACGTATCGAAGAATTGTCGTAGGTCATCTTCAAGTATCACACGCTGGGTTTGCAGATTCTCGACATCGCTCGTCACCGATTCAGAGGCGCATAGGTCGTCTAACTCGTTACATCTGCTCAGATAGAATTCGACAAGCCATGTGGCCAACATCATCCGCTGTGTCAAGTCCTGCGATGGAAAGGCAGTGAGGGACCGAATCGCTGAATATCGGGGAACTGAGGAAAACTCACCGACTTCCGTGTCCGTTCGAGTCTTGAAATCAAATATGAGCGCAGCGCATCTCGTTCTCCAGCATCCAAGAACTTTAGTGCGACTTCCTCGAATGATGCAGAACACTGAGAATAGCATTGTGCAGCCTGGAAATAACGGCCTTCGTCAAAGAATGCACGCGCTTGAGCAGACAAGATGCTATCTCGCTGGCTCGCTGTCTGCATTCAACTCATCGGTCAACATCCAGCGAAGGCAAAGAATATGGTATTGCCGACCTTTGCATACCGAAGTGCGATGTCAAACTTCTGTTGAGCCAAATATATCTGCCAGATGTCCCGATTCTCATTGCCAACAACAAGCTCGAAAATGGATTGGTCCGTGTAGGCCCAATATGTTTTACGAACTGGGTCAGCAGCAAGACCTCGTACAATTTCATTCTGTCTCTAAACAAGCCTTCAGCAACAATGCGACCTGGGCTAATACATGCGACATACCAACGGTACAACATCTTCATAAGTCTGCTTTCCATTCAAGGTGGAGATACCAACGATGCGGTCCCTGTATAGCAAGATGAAGTGGAACTCTGTCAAGCAAATAGAGACGGGGACTTCTGCCGGGGAGGTATCAGGGGATGTGCCAGGTGAGAAAGAAGGGTATGGATGGAGCTGTGTTGAGTCGATGTGGTCGTCAGAATTTGGGTCAAAGTTCAGCGTCCCGTGATAGATACCAGGGGCTATGAATGCCCACGTCAGGTGACTGCAATCCTAAACAGAAAGAAACTCGCCAGTCATCCAAGCAAGATTCTTCGGGAGTGACAATGCCTGGTCTGAATTAGGGGTGTAGAAGTGAAGTTCTGAATACTGCAGGTTTCCAGGTAGTTCGGATATTTCTTTTTCATGTTAGAGAAGGGCTAGGCTGATAAGCACTGACCGCTTACTTGGCGCAGTTTCCCGATAGGTGGCGAACAGGGAAGAGAAAACACGACCACCTTCTTCAGACCGCCGATCTGGCGAGCCGGCGAATTGATATATTCGTGAAGGAGTCGTAACGATGATCAAGGCAGTCCGCGGATCAGAAGGGGGAAATAAGTCAAACTTGATTCCAGTGACTGGATACTTTTCAGGAAGGGTGAACAGAAGCTGCAGGTACCGTTCCTGTGACTTGAAGAAATCCTCGCCAGCATCCAACACAGCTTCGAAGATACCACCATTCCGCGTGCCAACCAAGAATTCTCTTGTTGACATAGAATGGGTGGATGCCAGTAATGCAGCCTTATTCCAGGCAACGCTCTCGATTACCATCTTGAACGTCTTGAGTTGCCTAGGCTTCTTCCAGCCACGGTATAAATACCAGTTCTCGCCTTGAACGGAGGTGATAATGAGATGGCGACCTGATGGGTCGAGAAAGATCTTGTGTATGGTCAATTCGGTCACTTTTCGTGGAATGGGAATCGTGATGACATGCTCTGCATGAGAGAGCTCGATGAGGACAATTGTATTTGATGCTAATGCCATGGCAAGGACATCGGAGGACACTGCCAGAGATACGAGAGGCGCTGAAAGTGTATACTGGACACGTCCCAGATCGAATAATGGTGTATTGGCCGCAACTGCGTTCGGTAACTGAGCATCCTTTGAGGGATTCAGTGTATGAGGGCTAAGGCATCTGATACATGTGTACACACCAATGCTCCTACATGTTCTAATTCGGCACGAATTTCGCTGTCATAAGGAGACGGCTCGTAACCTTCATACTGGACTTGTGGAAGAGGTGCAGTGCCACGAGAATGGCCTGCTGTAGGAGCAGCGTGCTCGACAACTACGTGGATCGTTAGCAACAAGCGTCAAGATATAAACGAAAGATATGTTACAGTCGTCAAACATGGCACCAGCTCTGAGTAGACTGCGGTTTCAACTTTCGGAGGACTTGAAGTGGCTTGTAAGTCACTTACTGTAAGCGGAACCAATTTACCTTAGACCTTGTTTTGGATAGACTCCTTTTACCCACAATCTTTTATCACCGATAACCATCATCTGCTAGCATCATGCCACCTTCAACCCCAAGGCTGTTTCTTATTCGACATGGTACGCACAATACCGTTGATATTCCTTGTTAGGCAGGAGGAAACATTGATTTCCCCCTACAGGTGAAACAGAATGGTCCTTGAATGGGTGAGGCTCTCGAATATTTACGGTGTGTAGTCGTGGCTAATGTTTTTCTGGTAGACGGCACGTAAGTGCTCGTCGCATCCACGTCTCGGTGCGTGAACGTAACGTTCTCGCTAGACTGGAACAAGCGATATTCCTCTCACAGCCCGGGGAGAGGAACAAATCAAGTCCAGAGCACACATCTTGGTCGGCGAAGGCAGTCAGTATCATACACTTTGTTTTGCATTGCTCGTCCAAGTTATATTGCTTCTTCTGCAGAACCAATTGATCCACAAAATCTCTGCGTTGCCCTCGTATCTCCCCGCCAGCGAGCCCACAGAACATTCCACTTGTTATTCGAACATATACCCGAGTTCCCGGACCACATCATTGATGTGTCCGTTAGAGAGTGGGACTATGGGCAGTACGAAGGCTTGTTCAAGCATGAAATTCTCGACAGAGACCCCAATTGGACCATCTGGAGAGATGGGTAAGTCATCACCAGCTTTCACAGTGATTCCTGGTCGACTTTGACCAACCCAGCTGTCCTGGAGGCGAGAGTGCTCAGGAGATGTGCGCTCGCGTTGACAGTGTGATTGCCCAGGTCTGTGTCTGAGTCACATGCCATGCCATTCTGATTTTTGGCAGGTTCGAGAGTACCATAGAGAATACTTCGAAGAGGGCAAGGGAACGCGTGACGTATTGATTGTTGCTCATGGCCACTTCAATCGTGTCCTCATTTCCCGATGGATGAGATTCGAACTTGCTACAGGTACGATACAACTGACTGCTTGTTACTTCTTGGGTTCAAGCTTGGTCACCAGGGACTCATTTCAACGTGGAACCCGGAGGAGTAAGTGTGTTTCTTATTTGTGCTAATGAGAACTAAAGATGTTGGTAAGGTTTCTGTCCTGAGCTATAATCACAGTTCCCTCGATGAACCAGCTTTGAATGCTCTGAATCTTTATGCTGACCTCAAGTAGACTCTCCGTTGTATGCTGTAGGATGTAGATCGTGTTGTTTCGATAAAAATGGGTGGTTCGGTGACGGCCGGCGCCGAGCGGGACGCGTCCCGTGATTGGCAATGTTATATTTTCTGGTTGTAATTTTATTCCTTCTGCACTCGTTTGACCCGTTCCCAAGTTCCAACACGTCTTTTGTCAATCCCGCCATCATCTTTGGTGATTATGGCCGACATAGAGACCAATCCCCAAATTACCGACCTTGAAACTGACCTTGTTTTTGTCGCCGAAGATAGCGTGTCTCCTGAAGCTCATGGTGAACATGAGGCATTTGACATGGTAGACCCAGAACCAGTCGCACAGGATGAATCAAATGAAATTGGCACGCCTGCGGATGGCGCAGTGGATGATGATGTGATTGACCCAGCAGTCACGCAGGAAGCCATGCAGCCCGGTGACATGCTTAAGGATGCTGCACCTGCCACAAAGCCGGAGGTGACTAAGAAGCTTGCTGCTTCAAAGGCCGCTGTGAAAGCAGGCAAGGACAAAATAGTCATATCCGCTAAAGGTGCTCCGACAAGATCTGCACCGCCCACACCAACCGTGAAGAAGGTGCGTTTGCCTCACCTCAGTCTGATGCAATTCATCTTAGCCATGTGCTCAAAGGTATTGAATTCTGGCACATTTGGATCTGGCGCCACGAAACCGGCCACCGGGAGCAAGCCTCCTTCTGCAATTCCTTCGACTCTCTCGAAAACCACCACTTCTGCTCCCTCAACTTTGAGGAAATCTATCAGCACTTCCTCTGCCAATCCGCCAGCGAAGACAGCGTCGAAAATGGCGTCTTCCAGAAGCCCCCCTTCCGGTCCTCCACAACCATCTCGGCGAACATCCATGCTCCCCCCAAGAGCGCCATCTGCTACCGGCACCCCTCCGACACCAAAGTCGCGGGGCACTTTATTGTCGTCTCTGACATCTTCTATGTCTTCCAGGCCTGCTCCAGCTGAGGCCAGCACACCTTCACGCGCTTCTGTTGTTTCTCCTTCTGGCTCTGTTGCATCGCTGAGGTCCAACGCTGCTGCTCCTGCCGCCTCTCGTCCTCGTGCTTCAATATCAGAGGTTGTGAGGAGAACGCCCTCTGTTTCATCCATGAAGGGAAACTCGACCGCACCCCCTCTGCGGCAGCCTACTTCAATTTCATCCATTCGCGAAGTTAGAGATGACGGAAGACCTCTAGAGGAGATGCAACAGAAAGTGAGGTGACTCCGTTTGTTTCGGCTTATCGCTGACGATTTTCGTTAGCTCAAAGAGGCTGTGGATGCGCTCTCATTGAAAGCAGATGCAGTCGCTGCGCTTGAAGAGCAGCTCGCTGTCCTTACAGCAAACCTAGAAACCGCTCGTGCAGATGCTGAAGCAAGTCAATTTTCACTTGTGCAGCTGCAACAAGAAAAGGCTGCTGCTCAGTCGGACCTTCAAGCGCTCAGCGCCACCTTGCAACAAAATCGCAATGAACATTCACGCGTCCTTGTTCTCCTCGATTCTACGAAGCAAGAGGTAGGTTAACTGCTATCACTATCATATTTATCTCAGACATCTTGTTTTCAGCTTGATGCGGCAAATTTGGCGTCAACGGACCAAACTGATATCGTTGACAGCCTCCAAAGCCAAGTAGAGTCCCTCACGGCTGAAGTTGCAGCGGCTCGCGAGAACCTTGAGACCCTTCGCAGCTCCAGCGAGCAGTCTTCTTCCGAAGCAGCAACGGCTGCTCAAATTGAGCGCGAGGCTCTTCTTAGGGCAAGGACCGAATACGAAAACATCAGCGCGGAAGCCGAAGTGTTGAGGGCCTCTCACGCTTCAACGCTTCAAGATTTCCGCGCCAGGTTAAGTGAAGCTCAGCAGCGAGCTGCAGATGCAGATGCTTTCGAAGCCCAGGTCCGGCAACTCAAGGCAGAGCGCGAGGAAAACGCGAACAAGCTCTCAGAGCTGGAGGTCGAGATTTTGGAGTTGAGGGAGAGTCAAGAGCAAGCAGAGGACGACCATGCCAAGGTCCTTGACCGCCTCAAAAGGCTGGAGGAAGAACTGGCCCATGCCGCCGCTACTACTCAAAGCGTTGTTGACGCATCGAAAACCAGAGAAGAACAACACGCCAACCAGATGGCTGAGGTCGAGGAAGCTCACAATGGCGAGCTGCGGGCCGCCAACGACGAGCTCTCCAACGTTGTTGCCGACCTCGAAGCTTTGCGGGAAGAGCTCGCTGCTGCTCATGCTGCCCATGAGCAGACAAAGCTTGAAGCTCATAATACCGTTGAGGAGCACGAGCGTCAGCTTGATGAGACGGAGGGTGAATTTTTGTCGAAGCATCTTGAGCTTTCGGAGGAGATCAAGAGAATCACCATCGAGTTGGAGGCAAGTTGTTGTTCCACGTTTCCAATATTATTTTCTTATGGGTGATATAGAGTCAAGAAGCACATTACAATGCCAAAGTTGACGCTGTGAAGGCCGAACACGACTTGCTCCTGCAGGAGGCGTTTGAGCGTGCTAAGGTATGTATGGTCTATGACGTTGTGGCACAACTTGTACTCATCCTGCCGCCTTGTTCTCAGAATGAAGCTGGAGATGCACATGGTGAAGACCTTCAGGCGCTCCGTGCTGAATCACAAGCAACAATCGAACAACTTCGTACTGCCCACCAGTCGACGGTGGACGGACTACGAGCAGACCATGAAGACTCTCTTGCGTCGCAGATCGGCGAACTCGAGAAGAAATTGAGCAATCAGAGCCTAGAACTACGTGCTACTCAAGACGACCTTGCTAAAGCCAAGGCAGCGCTAGACTCCTCACGATCTGACGTGGAAAGCCTCAAGGCGCAGCTTGAGGATGCCCGGGCGGCATTCGCGGCTGCCTCTGCCTCTGCTGACCAGGCGTCCGAGATCGATCGCCTGACGAGGGAACTTGCCACCTTCCGTGATGACAATGTCATGCTCAATGATGTTCTTGCCGTCACGAAGGAATCGCTTTCGGAAATGTCTTCTAATCACACGAAGGAGCTCGAGGAAGCGGCTCGTGGACGTGTTGAAGACGTCATGAAGCTCCGTGCTGCTCATGAAGAGGAGATTAGCAGCCTTGCAGCGCAGAAGTCGGAGCTGTCACTCAAACTTTCCGACCTGGAGGGTGAGATTGCTACGCTCAAGGCACAGGTTGCTGCTGAGGCTGCAGCTACGCCGAAGAGCAATGGGGCTGTGCCCCCATCTTCGACTATGGTCACCAGGGAGGAGCTCCAGAAAGCACACGAGGCGCACAATATGAGGATGCACGACTTGGTGGCCGAGCATGAGCGTACCGTCAGGGATCTCAGGAATGAGATTGATGGACTCCAGAACAAAATGGACGAGGTCCATCAGGACATCGCGCGCAAATCGATGGAGATCCAGTATCTCGAGCAAGAACAAGAAGAGAGTCAAGACTCCATTACTCGGTATGTCAAGGTCTTTGGACTTCAAAGTGTATTTGGAGTGGTGATCGCGCTGGCCGTGATTTTTGACTTTATTTAGTTGTTCTGATATTCTCGGTGATGATAACGATCTGCCTTTACTTTTACTGTAATTTATTAGCTTCGTACCTTCCTTACTTGTCTGTTCTGCGGATGATTCATTTTTGGATTTGATTTATTGACTTCGCCGTGCTCATTTCATGACACGTTTCTCTTGCAGATTAAAGGCAGACCTCGACCAGCTAAGAGGCACGACCGACGCATGAAAGCTCTCACCAACCCTTCGCCGCCAGGATATACTAGCCTCATGGATTCCGCACCGCCTCCATCCCCCCTCCTCGTGGTCGATTAACATTAACTGGGCTATGTCTGTGGGTGGTGCCCTGCACCGTTGATGTTATTGACGACTTGTCCTTCCTTCCTTCCTTTATCATCTTTCTCTATTCGTAATATCACAGACAGGAGTTTCACCCATTCCTACCTATCATTCCTATCAGGGTGTCTCAGTCTAGCATCAACCTCCTTTTCATTGCATACCCCACCCTCTGGTTAATGATTGCACATATCTGGAAGTCTTTCTCTAATGCGACTGTAACATTGTAGATCCTGCGTCGTTCGAATGCAAATTCTCCTTAATCATGCCGACTTTTCTCGCTTTGTATTCATCCACCGTTACATACATAGATTTGGGATGTCAGTAGAGGCTGGTTCGAGATTTACAACTTCTTACGTGACCAGAATTTGCTGTCAAGTGGTACGATGTCCAGGCCATGGGCTCCGACCGCGCCCGGTGCCGATTTAACACTCGAAGATAATTAATATTGTCGTTCCACTTGTCAAATGGAAATAAACAATAAATATTAGAGTCACTCTGAAACTGGCCAGGTTTGGGCTATTTTGTGGAAAAGGTAACCTCCGCTCCGCGGGCAGCTGTGGTCCCATTTTGGAAGGCATCGGTTACTTCCAAACCTTTTATTCGCGTCGGCTTGAACACATCTTTCTCTCTTCCTTACTTCCCTCCTCTTTTTCTACCCGGTCACTTCCCGCGACGACGAGCACACGATGGCAATTCAAAAGGAGCCCGGCCAGAAAGGTATCAACTGGTCGAACATTGCCGTCGGTGAGCGCGTCTACAAATGTGATTTCACTTTATGAAACATGCTGAACAATAATCTCATAGGTGCTATCATGAACATGGTATATATATTTCATCTTCACTGCTGATTATCAGCTAATGTACGCGTCGTGATGCGTCCTTCGTACTACTTAGTTTGTGCGTTCGTTCTTGTTTGGGTGGTGTAATTTTTACTGACTTAACTCCGCCTTTGCAGGAGGCAAGTCGAAGGAGATGTGTATGCGGTGTTAAGTAAACCTGACGGGGTATCTTTAGGTCACGACCCTCGGCCAACCCTTGGAAGTTCTCAAGACCCAAATGGCCGCCAACCGGTCTCAGACTTTACTCGAGGCTACCAAGTCAGTATGGGGCCGTGGTGGTGTTGCCGGGTTGTATCAGGGTCTGATTCCTTGGGTCAGTGATTGCATTGTCAATCAGGCACTCGACCAATGCTGACCTAATGAATAGGCATGGATTGAAGCCTCCACTAAGGGTGGTGTGCTTCTTTTCACTGCTTCTGAAATCGAGACAACTGGTGTTAGTATGGGTGTCAGCCCTGCTACCGCTGGTCTCTTGGGTGGTATGGGTGGTGGTATTGCTCAGGCTTATGCAACTATGGGTGAGTCTTCACGTAAGGAAGCTTGAATTTTTTCTTCATACATGATGCATTCTTTCGTTTATCGAGGCTAGTTCAAAATACTGTGTTGCCTTAAATTAACCATCTTTCGGGACTGAGCTGTACGCGATGATTACGAATCTAGTACTGACACCTCGTACTACAGGATTCACGACGTGTATGAAGACTGTTGAGATCACGCGACACAAAGAGGCTGCTGTTGGTGTACAACGGTCAACATTCCAGGTATTCATGGACATCTACCGTCGCGAAGGTATCCGGGGCATCAACAAGGGTGTCAATGCTGTTGCTGTGAGACAATGTACCAACTGGGGTTCTCGGTCTGTCATCTGCGATGAGTGTTGCGGCGCTGTCAGCTGATTGTCGGTGTACAGCATGGGTTTTGCTCGTCTTGCTGAAACTACGATCCGGAATGTACGCGGGAAGGGCGAAAATGACAGTCTAGGTGCCATGGATAAGATCTTGGCTTCCTCCATCGGTGGTGCACTGGCTACATGGAATCAGCCTATAGAGGTTGTCCGGGTTGAGGTCAGTCTAATACCTGTTTGACCATAGATTGCACTTAACGTTTTCACGTGACAGATGCAATCGATGGCTAAGACGACTGCAAATGCCAACCGCCCAGCAAAACTAACTATCCTCAACACCCTTGGCTTCATCTACAAGGAAAACGGTATCAAGGGTCTCTACCGTGGTGTAACACCCCGGATAGGTCTTGGTATCTGGCAAACAATCTGCATGGTGTCGTTTGCGGACTATGTGAAAGTCTGGTATGTCTCTCGCATGTAGTTGCATGCAAGGTGAAGGAAGCTAACGGAGCCTACAGGGTGAAAAACCGTTCATAAGGGATTGCAATAGCGATGGCATTTTAATCCTCATAGACCGATAATTATATATTTTGACATACGCTTTATAGATACATACCACTTTTGCTGCTCGCTATATGTATATGTTTTCCCTGGTTGTATATCTTCGGTGGCTCGCATCAACTTTGGCTTTTTGGAGTCGACTGATGATATCTCGGAGCACTCTCAGTACATATCACCTGATTCAATTGAGTTTATGTGTCATGATCCGGTAACCGGTTTACGGTAACTTTGGTCACGTAAAGCCGGTTCCCGCTAACCTGCTCAGCGCTGGCAGGGCTATCCAACCTTCACCATAACCACCATGATACCGCCTGCCACAGGGAAAGCACCCATGCATCCACTGCTGGCGAAGTACCTCAAGCAGCTGGCGACAAACCCACTGCGCACCAAGGCATTGACGTCCGGTGAGCTTTCTTTGAATCCAGCAAACACATATGACGCTCAACGTGTCGGATGCGTGTTCGTGCAGGCACGTTTTCCTTCCTCCAGGAAGTCATCGGATCAAACGTGGCTGGCCTCCCGCCGCCCCAGATCTCAAAAAATGCAGCACCCTTGACGAAAGCCCTCGCACGTGCACGTATTGACTCCAAAGCCATCAAGATGGCCATGTACGGGTTTTTCGTTTCTGCTCCAATGGGACACCTCCTCGTCGGCCTGCTGCAGAAGGCTTTTGCTGGCAAGACAGGGCTCAAGGCGAGGCTAGGGCAGCTCCTGGCGAGCAATCTGCTTATCGCGCCGTTAAACGCGGCAGGTGCGCGCTAAGGCTTTACTCGGCTCCTTTACTTTTGGTGCTGAGGGTTTCATCTAGTGTTCTTGGCCTCTATGGCCATCATCAATGGTGCCAAATCCTTCGACGAGGTCATCCGCACCGTCAAGGGTGGCTTCTTCTCCGTCGTCCGAGTAAGCAGTATTATTCATTCCTTCAAGGAGTATTCTCACATCCCGTAGGTGTCATGGATGGTTTCCCCGATATCCATGACTATTGCACAGCAGTTCATTCCTGTCGAAGTATGTCTTCTGACCATCTCCATGATTACCTGAAATTGACGGACACACAGCTTTGGGTGCCTTTCTTCAACACGATTCAGTTCACGGTCGGCGTGAGTTTCCTCTTGGTTCACATGACTTGATGCAGGCTAACAACATCACTACGCAGACCTTCCTCAACATCAAAGTGAAGAAATTGAGACTCGCCGCAATAAGGAAGGAAGCCGAGGAACGGGAGCGAGAGAGAGCGAGAAAGGCCACGGAGGAAGTAGCATAAATTTGATCACCTCATCTTACATCGCGCGCCACCTTCTTGAGCTGTAGGTTATATCCGTATTATATTCCCTGTTGTATACATTATGGTTGCGAGATATCCGATATAACGATTGATGATGAGTCGTCTGAAGGCGCACTCTGCTCGTAACGGTGCCTCACTTGCCATGAACCATTGTCTGTGCCAGGTTCGCCTACCTCGGTCTCTAGCCGCCAGCCTGACAGTGAGTACGTTCCTGGATGAGTAGCGCACAGCTGGGCGAGGACAGACGTCGACTGCAATGGCTCCAGAAGCCCTCTAAAGGTCATCCGGCCACAGTATGGCGCAGGGAGTAGAGTCCTACAAACGTGTCAGTTAACCGTATATGAGGCAAGGAAGTTACTGACGATGACGAATGTTGACGAGGGTCAAGTCTAATGATAAAGCGCGACGGATGCGACAAGGAATGATTGCGAATCGCAAACTCCACAGGAGCTTTACAAACCCTGAACAACGCTGCTTAACAACCGTTACTTAGAGGTAAAGAGAACCACTCACCCCTTGCTGAAATCATGCTCAACCACCAAACCATCCTTCACATTCACAACGATCGGGTTCATCTCCGCGTTCCACTCGCTATCACGGATAGCTTGCAGCGTCTCCGCCTTCTCCCGTTGTGTCTCAGCATACATGCTTCGCTTGACTCTGGCGCTCTCCACCCCCTCGAGCACTTCTCGAAGCGCAGCATGGCTTGCGCCTAGAGTAATCTCTGAAACAAGGATGTGACCGGAACGCTGCTCAGAAGGGATCCTCCAAAAGATGACGAAATCCACCGAGAGCGGGTTGTAAAGCGGGAAGATGCTGGGGTACGACGATGCGGGTATTCGGGGGTGTGATTGAGCGAGCGTGTGTGAGACGGCTATCCGTCGTGCATCCATAATGAAGTGAGCGACAAACGGTTCGTAGGCAAATGTCTACGAGGGGTCGATGAATGATAATTTTGGAAAAGAAATGGTGTTCTGTACCTGGGAGACATGTCCGCAGAGGAGTTCTAGTGGTGGTGGACTGTCGGGCTCGATAGCTTGACCATGCAGCACGTTGCTCAGTTTCCTCGAGACAAATGCTGAGACTGCATTCACACTTGTACAATCACCAGTGGAAGTAGCGCCAAATGATATCCGCGCTGACTGAGAAGGACGCAAAGGCTCACTAGAACGCAATCAACCGACAGAAATATGAATGTTGTTTGAACTTACGACTCAAGTTCAGCCAGGGGAGAACAGGACCAACTGGCGCTCATCGTTGTCACTTGGTTGATCTCCACATAACTCGAAGACGAGATATTAGCCAGGTCCAGACTTAACGAGAATGAGTGATCTCGTGAGTGACTTGGGTGCGAGGCAGTAGAGATCTGGAGGCACTGGACGACCTCGTAACTCCTCGTGACGCGCGTGCAGTGGAATGGGCTACCTTGTGCCTGCATTGATCACTTTAGCAAATCAGCAGATCGAGGATATTGTCGCGACTCACCTCGCGATAAACGAAGAGAAGCGACAGGTCTTGTTTCCCCTTACGACCTGCATGGAAAACAACCGTGACTTCGGTGCTCTTAGCTGCCACGAGCTTCTCCGCGAGGGGTATACCGTACGGTGTTGGTGGAACAATCATGTTATCAGACTGCCACGTTTTCCATTTCATGCTCGTAGCTGAAACTGGCCCAACATGAGTACCTGCAAGTCAAATAAGCCAGCAGTAAAACATACCTGACGCACTATCCAGAGGCTCGATCCAGATCTGATCCTCAGCACCAGGCACAACCCATACCTCCCCAATATCTCTCGAACCAGCATTCGACATCCACAGCTTCATTCGCTTACACTCTCCCTCAGCAAGCACAAGCTGTCCATCGTCCACGAAGGCCACAGCGAGCTCTTGGCTTGCCTCTTCCACATCGAGCTTCAAGAGCACGTCAGGAGCGTACGTGACTGTCTGTCTCTGCTGAGCTGTCTCCTGTAGCCTGCGACCACGGCGTGCCAGTGGCTCCACTGTTGGAAGGAGCCCCAGGAAGTCGTAAGCAACGCCCGTAATAGCCAATGATGCTGGTTTGGAAGATTTGATGGCAATGGAAATCTGAAATAATTCAGTCAGCTAAAAGCAGGGAGAAGCGACCAGCACACGAACTATCCGCGACTCCTTAGCATAAAGGACAGTATCCTCCGCGGTCTCGATTACAACATTATCCCGAATCCAGGCAGCATCTCCAGAGGACGATTCGATTATCACCGTTGGATTGGCCAAGGTGACCTCCGTATCGAGGGGATTGCGCAAGGTGATATCAACCCAGAATGCCTCTGTGCATGAGATGAGTCTACGAAGTCGGAACGCGCGATGAAAAGAAGAAATTACCTCCCACAGCGGCCTTTCCACTTTGTTCAAGCCTCTCCTTCCCTCGAGACTTCCAGAAGGATGACCATATTTCTTCCCGAGTCTCCCACTCGGACTGCTCGCCATCGACAGAGTCTCGTGCTAATCGAACGCAGGTCTGCGAGGGGACAACGAAGCGAAGCGGTAGCTTGAGATCCTCCAAGCGCGCTTGCTCCCCGTATATCGACTTCAAGTGCTGGAATATGGTGTCAGATGGGGTACAGGTAACGGAAGGAATCGCATTACCGAAATAGCAACCTGGAAGTCCTCCAGGAACACCTTGTCCGAGTTGTCGGGATCTTTCGTGATGTCCACAGTATGATTGGAGAGCTGTGCGAGTGGAGATGACGATGCTGACGACCACCGCAAGAGGCCCAAGAAGTACCGAATAGCACCTGATACGTCACCTGTGGTATATAGCAATCTTCCTAAGAGATACACCGCGTCAAGAAAGGAAGAAGACGGCCCGAAAGACACTTGCCAAGTGGGTGCTCGATACCAGACATGACAGCGTCAAAGCCTTGAAAGTCTGATGGTTGTTTGTTTTCAGAAATCCAAAATGATGGCGACAAGGGTCTCTCCGGGCGAGAGATGGACAATTCATGGGCTCTCCGAAGGAAATACATGGTTAGTGGTTTCTTAAATGTATGTGTTCATCAATAAAAATTCCTGTTCGAAATAGAAACAGCGTACGATGCCGCATTTCTCCAGACGATTTGCAGCAAAGAAGTACCACAGGGCTGCTCGCCGTCGTGCATCTTTCCGAACACTGAGGAGTGCTGCGTGAGCCAACAAGAGAGCTGCTGGTGGTTCTTCTGCCTTAAGTCCTGACAGTCAATTGGTGCCTTATCGAGGGGAAAATTTGTAATAAACGCACGTTGCCCGCAGCCCAGACAAGCCATCGCTCACCCTCGAGAGTATTGCTTAGGAAGTCGCTAATCGTGAGGGTCGATTCCCATCGCACCGCGTATAACAAAGCGCGTAATTGTGCATGTGATGGGAGCTCGATGCTTTGGGGGTGGAGAGTATTCAAGGCATGAGAGACGTGAAGCTGTACGGCTGGCGAGGGAGCGATAAGTAAAGGGAGGATATCCTAGCAGCGGGCTTATAAGATAGCAGGAAAAATATGCATATAGATACATGCTTACAGAACCTCCCTTCCCTTCCTTCCGTAATGATTCCCATACAGAAACTGCTAGTTTGAAGTCGCCAAGGATTGTTGCAAACTCAGCCAAGCGTCGTTGCTGTGATGGTGGAGGAGGCAGCGTAGAAGATGACTGGGGTACGCTGTGTGTGTGTGACCGTGTGGGCAGAGAAGAAGTAGAGGAGCTGGAGGAGTGTGCAGGGGCTTGTGAAGGTGAGGATGAAGTGCCAAAAAGTCGACGTGTTGATGTAAACAAGCGTGATGGTAGTCTTCGGCTCGAGGAATACTGGTAGGATATGGAACTCGGTAAGTAAATGGAAGGGAATGGTTGATACATACGGCCTCGTTCCATTCTATAACACATTTCTCCATCCATGGAACCAAGTTCATTGTCACGAATTCTCGTGTAAATCTGGCGGTTTGTGAGATGTCTTGTTCAGACATCCTGAGAGTGTTCAATGGGACTGTTTGTGCGGTCTTTGGGTCAGGGCGTGCGCCATCGACCGAACCATTGAGAATAGTAGATGGGGGTAGTCGAGGAACGAGTGCTGGAATGGACACGGGGGGTGGCGGAGGGGATGAAAGCTCAAGAGAAAGAAGGTAAGTATGTAGACCATACTGTTTCTTAACAGCATTGAAGAGGGCGCCTGCTCTGGAAGGGTATGTTGTGAGAAGGAAGAACGGAAATGAGGGGTGAATACGCACTCTTCATCAGAAAGTGGAGAGTCCTTTGGATGAATGATTAGGGTGAAAATGAGATGTGTGACGTCTACCCATGATGGAAAGTCTAATGTGCGGGAATGTAGGGCAGTGATTGCCTGCAAAGGGTTTGGTGCGGTAGTAGAGACTGCTAATATAACTGCAGCAAGACGATGCATGAGGGGCGATGTAAAAAGTGGAGTAGAATTACTGACTTGACATTGGATGATTCCACCCCTCATCTCTAGCTGGAACGTGATCACCTTCGGCACAACGTCTTAATTCATCCCACCAAGGGGTTCTTGCAATATCTCGATCGTGGATCTTCTCGAAATCATCTACCCATTTCGTGCAGCGTTTGCTGATACGGTCACCGATCCAGTCAATAGTTCGGGTGGCGCGTTGTTCCTCATCCTCACGACACGCGGCCTCGATTTCTGCTAAGTCAGAAAAACGAAGAGCAAAGCATGCATGGGGGACTGTGGTCAAAGCAGTCGTACGGGTTGTGACTTGGTAGGGACGTGATCAAACAGTAATACGAGTCGAAAACATTTAAACATACCTTGTGGTAAGGGGGAAAATGACTGTAAAATATGAGGCAGAGAAGGTAGAGAAGAAGACTGGAGAAGGTCTTCAAGGTCTGGGGAAGGGATTATGCATATGTGCGGGGTCAGCGATGAAGGTAAAACTCGGGCCATGAACGTCGCTCTTGCGTTGCTCTACAAATTGGCTAGCTGGCCCAATGATGGCTTTGACCCTCCTCGGCGTAAAGCACAAAGTACTAATAGCTTTCCCACAATATAAAAGTTGGACTCCAATTAATTATACATGACTACTACTAGCTGAAACATTCTTTGGGTATAAAGATAACGCAGGGACTGTACAAGGTATTATAAGCAATTCAGAAGAAACCACCACCGCCAAAACCTCCGTCAAACCCACCACCACCACCAAAGCCTCCGTCAAATCCACCACTTAACATGTCTCCGAGGAGGAGGCCACCTGCTAATCCTCCTAACAACGGTAACGCCATCCCACCTCCCAGTCCTCCGCCTCCCGTCCGACGTCGATTATTGTATGCATACGGGTCTCCCGCAGGTGGGCCATATTGGCTATAGCCCGAGTAGCCTGCCCCAGAGTAACCACCGTAACCACCGTACGGCACATTTCCACCATGCTGTTGCATGTACGCAGCACGTTCCTCCAAGTTTCGTCTCCGCGCCTCCCGAAGCTGCTCTTCCTCTCGCGCACGTTGTTCAGCCCTCAGTTTCCTGTGTGCCTCCCGCTGCTCTTCCTCTCGTGCACGTTCTTCAGCCTTCAGTTTCTTGTGCGCCTCCCGCTCTTCCTTCGTTCCAATCGCCTTGTCTTTCAACTTGCCGAACATCCCGCGCTTTCGTTCATCATCATGGTGCTCGTCGATTGATGGCGTGGATGCGCTACCAGAAGCCTTTGCGTTATTGGAAGACTTTTTCTCCTTGGAAGACTTGGCGTCACTGCGAAATGGAACAACATCGGGCTCTCCACCGCTGAATGAATGCCTCCGCTGTTCATACGGAGGGGGTTCCGCCAACGTTGCTCCTTGCAGCTTCTCTACTTTGGCCTTGATATCCGGGTTCTCAGATAGGAACTGTTCGTCTTCGTAGGGGTGCACCCATATAGCTCGGGGTGGCTTTGCTTTGGTATCTACCTGTAGAAGGGTGTGTTAGATGGCCTGCTACAGCCCAATCTGATAAGGGATCCGGCGCTCACCCAAAATGGGTGCTTCTGCTGGGGATCGTACTCCTGAATCCAACCCTCTGGCAGGGGTAGCTGGGACATGGTAGATACGAGATGCGATGGGTGTTAATCGTGAGTCAGGTTGCCGCGTCCGACTCCATCTGTGTTCATTCTTATACCCATCCGTCACGTGCCCTTAGGGGACGCACTGACCCGACGGTGTCACAGCCTTGAGCATAGCTCTAGTGGCATAGCTACCATTGTGTCCCTCAAAAAGCCGATACAATTGATTGTTCGAGCCAATGTTTCATAGCACAGACAATATGAAGCGTTTTGGGTCGTGTACATATTGCCGATTGCTTGATGGACTGATGTCTTGCAAGCGATCCTACAGACGGGAACATGCTGGAGGTAAGCGAGGATTCAAATATTCAGGACCTACAGGCAATGCATGTGCAGGCAACCATCACGTTCAAAACGACGGTTGGTTTCATATCCACGAGTAGGATCTTCGAGAGTTCCAGCAGATCTTCATATCATCACTCGGCGATAATTGGACACATCCTCCGATTGAAATACAGCCAAGAATAACATCAAGCCGTCAGGCGGAAGCAAGTTACTGACTGCAGCACAGCTGTGTCGACATTTGTGTGTGGCACTGGAAACCTGTACTACATCTGCCAGGATTCAGGACAACACGCGCACAGCATTTGTGGGACCCTTTCTGTGCTATCGGATTGCCGTTGTGGCAGAACCTTGCTGTAGTCTTGGTTTCCTGCATGTCTATCATTAACTATTACCGCGACAGGCCACATGCCATGACGTTGAATAGTCGGCCGGTGAGATTTATGCAAGAGAACATCGCCACGAACACGCAACTAGTTACTATTGCAATTGGAGGAATGGACATGCTAATTGCCCAGATCGTTCCACTTACGTGGGGTAGGTGGATAAAGGACACCAGGTAGGATGTGCATTATGAAGAAGAATATGAATCAGTAGATATCTGCGGGTTTTACGAAGACAAGCCTCCTTTTTATGCGTTGCGCGATGAGATGGAATCCGAGTCAGGATTCAGCACGGCGACCAAGCAATGCGTCAGAATACTTGGCGATAGTCATGGTCAGGTTCAGAGCTCAAGCTGAGGTACATATGTGGCATGAAAATGCGACTGCCTTCCGATAGTACGTGCTCGAACTCTTACATATCGTCTGACGCATTGACATCACAGGAAATCGCTATCGACAGCTTGAAGCAGAACCTGGTATTCCAGTCGACAACCAAACCAGGGTGTAGACAATGCAAGACGACCAGTACTGGCTGGAGCATTAACCATCGATTGATAATGACTCGTACCTGCAATGATCGGGAAAGAGGAATTGACCACCTCATTACGAAGGCGAACAAAATTGTTGAAAATGTCAAAAATATTAATACAAATTACCAGTAGTGGGAGAAATCCATGGTATATCGGATGCGCATGCCAAAGTTAGATGATGGGGATGAAGCGAAAGCATTGAGCAAAGGGCCCTGACCGTGCATCCAACGAGCCCAAAGATGAGGGTAGGATAAGAACGAGGTTCGGAGTAGCAAGGCATCGATTCACTGCTAGGCAGGATGGGCATGAAGATAACGGATTATTTCCTGAATCTTCAGTACTTTCTGTTCCGTCGGCATCTGTTGGTAAAAGTGTAAAGTCAATCGGCGACCCTGTAGTAGGACATGAGGTCACTCACTTCAAAAAAGTGATGCATCCTTCGTCGCCTTTTTTCATCAGCTGCTTGCTGAAGAGCGATATCATCGACAAACGGATGCGTGTCGACAAAATCTTTTCGATGGAGGGAGGAAGAGCTATTGCTCGGCACCGCCCACTCCTCTATCACGCCCCAGCCTTTATCCTGATCGTCCGATGTCGAGTCTGTACCATCAGCCTTAGGAACAGAGGCCTCATCTATACACCCCCACCCATCATTCTCCCCTGCAAGATTCGGCTTTCTCCAAGCTCCCAACATCCCCCACACCTCATCTGAAGTTCGCCATCCTCCATCAGCCTCCATCATCTGCAAAAACTCTTCCAATTTCAGCACTTCGCCCCTCTCCGCAGCATCAACTCCACGGATCCAGAATGGTACCAGATCAAACACATGATCCACGTGCGTCTGCATCTCCCATGTGCGCAGGCCCTCGGAAGTTAGCGGAGGCAGCTCGGGGGTTCCCCAGGCGCCATCGTCTTTCGGCTTCCACCACTCGGCTTCAGAGACGTGCTGGGCGTGCTCAGGGAACGTTTTTTCGTGCCGTATTGCAGCTTGCATGGTTGTGAAGTAGAATTGATTGGTGCGTCTTGGGATGCAAACGTTGCACGTCCATCCTCGGCATGAGACGTCGGGGGTGAAATCTATAAGCGAATCAGCATCCATCTATCATTAATTGGTGACATCCAGGACGCACAATGTGGTTTGTCAATTTTCAACTTTTTGGAGGAGGAGGGGGGTGCCATGATACAATCAGGATTCAAGAGGATTCAGAGGATAATTGGATGATGGGTAAAGTGCTTGAACTTCCTGAAGGGCTCGATATAAATCATTCCCATCTAGTGGCTACAGTCCACAATCATAATGAGCAGCCGCACACAATCCGCATACGGAACGGTTTCCGCTGAATACGTTGCCAATACAAGAACCACGAGACGTGCCAACAATGGGCAATACTAGTTAGGAAGTCCTCGGCCTCCTATTACTACTATGCAGTAAAAGCTTCACAATCCAATTATTGTCCACAAAATACAGAAACTGTTCTTGATAATAATACTCATAAATATCTACGAAGCTCCGGGTAACGGGTTCACCCAAGTTCCATTCGGCCACAGGGTCACAGGCATCGTAAAATCACCAGGCGTATCCCCAATTGTGTACTGCAAAAGAATGCGTCAGGTCCCAGCCAGCGCAGAAAGTCCCGTGAAAATACTCACACCAAGCCTGAAGAAATGTGGCAAACCAGCCTCCAATGCAGCAAGTGAGTAGTTGAGCGCAGTACCGATGTACACTTCCACATCATCCACCAGCAATGCGAAGCCATTCCAACCTTGGTTAGCGATGGCCGCGGGCATGTTGTGCCAGGTGATGGTTTGGTTGGTGAGAGCAATGGAAGCGTTGTAAGTGGTGGAATTCGTGAGAAAGGTGGGGAGGGGGGAGCCAGTTGTGCCGCCTTCGACAAGCTGCGATCTGAGGTGAGCAACTGGTGACATATACAACGTGCAAAGGACATACATCAGCAGCGGTTTGCAGAATTGAGTCAAAGCCGAACGCAGCCACGCCATTAAGGAACATTCCAAGCAGGAATCCCTGATAAATCGCCGAAAGCCTGGTCGGGAAGCCAATACCAGGGAACAACGCCATTGAGATGATATAATGATGCAGCCTGAACTCCAGGCCAGGCAGCAACGCCAGCACCAGTGCCACGAGGCCCCCGAGAATGTACCACCCAAGGTAGTATGGTAGCCAGCCGGTCTTCCGAATGACACGTATCTGGTTAACCACTAGGACGAAAAGGATGAGGACAATGATGATAAGCGCTACGAGACCCCCCGGTTGTTGGTTGATATCAGCCGCGGTCAACCGCTCAATAGGGATTTGGTCCATGGTGAGATTTGTCAGAACGCCGGTCCAATAAGGTGCGAGGTACCAAATCATAGCTTCAAACGGCGCATTTGCGAACACAGGTAGCGTAAACCTCACAGCAACCCGCCAGAACGCGTAACAGACGAAAAGGGTAGGCAGGAATGCACCAAAGGCGACATCTAGCGGAGGTGGAGTTGCCTGGGGCTGAGAGAATAATGCGATGTGCCAAAACCCGATGCAGACGAGGCACCACCACATGACGATAGCTCTAGGTCGCAATACGAGGAAGAGAAGGCAGGTCATGAGGATGTTGAAAGCGAGTGCGGGTGTGCGGAGGTCAGTGCAGTGAGTGAGAATACTAGACGGTGAAAACCTAAAAGACATCGGGAATGTAGAGGGGAATCCAATGGAAGAGAGTCCGAAAGCAGTTGTAGGTAAATAGTCTGTGAAGTTCCCCACAAGATTGATAGATGCGCAACCTCCTGTCGAATCGCTGAAAAGGCCACTAGAAAAAAAATGGTCGGCCAAGTCCTCTCTACGTTGAAAAGAAAGAACAATCGAATACTTACGCCTGAACAGCGGAAGCGCAGATAAAACTATCTGCTCTATATGTCTTCTGACTATCCCCACCTCCTACAAGTAGCGGAACGAAATCCACCTCTACATCGCCCACCACACGTGGGTTCTGCAGGATAACACTATTACATTGCGCCGGGCACCTGAAATCAAAAGACGAATTACTAAACGGCTCACACAAAGCGCCGTTCAGACCACATCCTGCATCCCCTGTCCAGTAGACAGATGTGCAACCGACAAAGGAGCTTGCAGGGATGAGAAACCATTGTGCGCGGACCAAGAAGGAAAAGGAGATGATGTATGCAGCTACGAGGAGGACGAGAAGCCATGGAGCGGTAAGTGGACGTGTGAATCGAATGATTGCAGGCTCAAGTGCGACGTTGAATTGACGTCCTTTGATAGTATACGTGCGGCCAAGGAGGGGTACAGGATCTGTGTGTTGTGAGCGCCAGTAGCAGGTCACCCAGAACATGAAAACTCACTAGGAAGATCGATTTTTGGCCTGGGTCCTCTAACGTATGTAACCGTTCGAGTAGCAGCATGATACAGCCGAGGGGTTCGTGCTCTAAAGGAAGTGGCAAGTCTTGAGAAACGAGTAGCAGTGGGTGGTGGAGGATGAGATGCTCCTAATGAGCCATCACAAAGACCCTGCTCTGCCGTCCCCTCAAACTTTTCTCTCTCATCGCTTGAGCCGACTGCTGTTTCGCGAGAAGAACTGTAGCGGAGTCCTTCGTCCATGAGAGCTCAGTTGGAGGGGATAATCATGAAGAACAGGTTGTGTGCGAAAAGGCATGCGATGCGCAGCAGACGTCCAAAATTAAGTCATCACTGCCCCTTAAGTTGCAATTGGTCAGTACCATCATGATTGGGAGAGCGCTGCAAGAACATCCCTACAGTTCAGAGAGTAATGCATATGCATGGACGTCATATGAGATTTGCAAAAGAAGACTATCAGTATTACCCTGCCAAGGCCATTAAAATAAGGGCCAATGTACTACTTCCAGCAAATCATCTTATATAGGACAGGTAGAGCTTCTATCCCGGCCGCATATCGCCTACCGTTCACCATCATCTATTTCATAATCACCATCTTCGTCCGATCCCTTCTCATCTGTTCCTTCTGTACCTCGCCGTCCCCGATTGCGCGCCCAACTTGGCCGCCCTTGTTGCATTTTAATGCTACTATTGCTCAACCACTTTGTGCCTTTGTAGTGGGCCGCAAGTGAAAGGATAGCTATTCACGATGAGAGACCATATCAGACTCACTGAATATGACGACCGAAAAAAGGGGGAGCGCACCGTCTTCGTTTCGTCTGTAAAACTCAGCCCACGACTTGTCTGATCTTTCGCTATTCGGGAACTACATCATCCAATGCACACGATCGGCTCACCAGACTCAGCGCAGAACATATGATAGTACTCACCCTTTCAAGGAAGCCCTCCCACCGTTCCCGACTCACCATGTCATTCCATCCCGGCGTGCGCGCAACATACTTAGCTATGATCCTCCAATCTGCAGGCGTAAACAAACCACCCATTGCTCCCATGTCTGCTTCGTCAGTATCCGTCGTGGCGGAGGGATCGTGAATGTCAGACGAACGAGAAGGCGAGCGACGCGCGAAAGAGGTCACACGTCTGGACGCAACCGTCTTAGTATTGGGGACACGAGCAGTCGGTCTCGTGTGACGACGTGAGGATGTTGTCTGCCGGATAACTTCACTTTCTGAGTCTTCATCTACTTCAGAGGGCGTGTTTGGGGAGTCTGAATTTTCCTCGTCTTCATCCTCGTCCTCGTCCCCATCCTCGTCTTCTTCGCCTTGAAAGGAGTGAAGGATTTTGTCTGCAATGTCGTGTCTATTGTGCCAGTGAGATGTCCAGGAGGGCGCGCTGTGATGCGGGGCCTGTGCGAGGTCAGTATTGAATGTAGGCTCAGCACGACACCTTGCACCTTTTCATGCAACATCGCACACAACTCTTTCTTCGTCAGGCTCGCGTCTTGACTCAGTCTCCAACTAATAAACTTTAAGAAATACGCGCGATCCTCTTCTGTATACTTGTTCCCATTTGTTCCAGCTTCGATTCTCGTTGGGGGTGTAGGGCTTCGTGATGGTGGAGGAGGTAAAATAATGTCTGCTTGAAGCGACATTAGTTTGGGTGGCAAGTTTGCCGGGAGGAGGGGCGCAGAGAGGGAGTTAAGGGTTGCTCGGGGGCGTTTTGGAGGACGGTAGCCGAGGGATGGAGTTGTGCTGATGGCGGTAGGTGTAGAGCGTTTTGGTGGTCGGCTTTGTCGGAGTGGTGGGGAAGGGGAAGGCTGGCGTTTTCGCGAGTCACGCTCGCGATCGCGCTGAGGGGAAGTAGACTGGGTTGCGGCGGGGATGGAAGTAAAAGGTTTCTTGACTGCTTTTGATGGTTGTTGGTTTTTTTCTGCTAGACGAGCGACGAGGACATCGAAGCGGTCGTGGTGGTCAAGATAATAATCTTTCCAAAGGTTGGCAGCATGGTTATTGACCTGGGGGAGTGTCATCAACGCGCGTGCGCGTTACGATTTAGCAGAAATGACACGCACACCATGTAAGCCCTCGAGAGCCTGTCTGTACGTTTTCCCGGACTGCTTGGACTGAAAAAGAGCCTGGGTAAGGATGGAGTCGTCATTAGGTGACTGACCGACTGGCGCTGAGAGGCGATAAAAGTCCTGCATGACCTGCTGGGGAAAGACAGACACGAGATGGTCGAGAGCGGGATTGGGCAACGCGTGCTGAATTGAATTCGCGGTCGCGGGGGTTGGCACATTAATACTTTGCGGGTGCTGCTGTGTCATGTGTTGACCGTTCTGCATGTTCTGCTGGGGTTGTTGCCAGTGATGGTTCTGGGGTTGATGAGGATACTGGTTGATTTGGGGCCAGTTTGGATGGTTGAGGAGGGTTGTCATGCTCTGGTGATGGAACTGGTCTTGAGGTCGACCTACGTGAGGAGCAGTCATACCATTTGGCACGGAGTTGTTCATCGAGGACGCACGCGACAGCGAGGAGGACACTTGAAAGGAGTTCACCGCTGTTCACCGCGACGAGCAACACGAAATCAAAATAAGTACCCAAATACACGTGCTTCTATCACGTGTCACAATCACGTGAGATCATCGCGGGTCACTTGAGACTTTGAGTGAACTCACCCGGGTCTACTTTCCGTTGGATCCGTCCATCATGTCAATCCCTCGCCTTGCCCGTATCCCTCTCCGTACCACCTCACGCTCTTATGCTACAACTGCTGGTCTAAACGCCCTGGCACGCGCAAAGGCAGAAAGTCTCAGCGCGACCTGGAAGGGTACTAGTGCAACTGGAGGTAACACTAAGAATTTCATTGGCGGAGCCTTTGTCGACAGCAAGACAACCCAATGGCATGATGTGCTTGACCCTGTGTGTCTAAGTCCAACTTACGGTGCAAGCGCGTTTGCTAATGATTGTTCGGCAGTCGACCCAAACACTGCTCACACGCGTCCCCGAGACGACCACGGACGAGTTTGACCAGGCAGTCGATGCTGCTAGTCAGGCATTCAAGTCATGGAGCAAGCAGAGTGTTCTCGCTCGCCAACGCTTTGCCATAGAGTGCGTCCTCACCAATTCTAAGAAACTTACACTTACGTTATATCCAGACTTCAGCACCAAATCCGTGAGAATGCAGATGTACTTGCACACAGTATCGTCCTTGAGCAGGGGAAGACACTTGCAGGTACGTGTACTTTCCTAATCCTCTCAATATCACTCTGAAATCATCACTTCCCAGATGCTCATGGTGATGTCCTACGTGGTCTTCAGGTCGTCGAAACTGCCGTCGGGATCACCTCCAACATCGTCGGCGAGAAACTTGAAGGTAGGTGTGCTACTTGATATCTCATTCAAGGTGCTCACATCACCATAGTCAGCAAAGACATGGACACTGAGGTCCGAAAGCTCCCTCTCGGTGTCTGCGCGAGGTCCGTTCTGATGCACCCTACGTAAACACCCGCTTACCTATTACAGCATCGCACCTTTCAACTTCCCGGCGTAAGCTCTTTTCCCCACACGTCCCTGACTTACCCCATTCACTCGCTCATTGCCATTCAGCATGATTCCCCTCTGGACAATTCCCCTCGCTACCGTTACTGGTAACACCCTCATCCTCAAGCCGTCTGAGCGGGACCCTGGCGCAGCCATGATTATTGCTGAGCTCTGTGCCCGTGCTGGCCTCCCCGAAGGTGTGGTGAATGTAGTACATGGGACGGTGCCCGTGGTCAATAGAATCTGTGACGATGAGGCCATCAAGGCGGTGAGTTTCGTGGGGGGGGATCGTGCGGGAAGACATATATATGAGAGGTAAGGGGGGGGGAATGAAGTGGTGGTTTTTGAAACAGTGCTGACGGATTCGGTAGGGCCACGAAGAACGGGAAACGTGTACAGGCAAATCTAGGTGCAAAGAACCATGCGGTAATCATGCCGGACGGTGAGATCCTTTTCTTATTGTGTGTGGCTAGAACTCATGTAATGCATAGCAAATAAGAATCTTGCACTCAATTCCATTATCGGCGCTGCATTCGGCGGTAGGTATTGCTCAATTTAATTTGGACTTCGTTGATATGATTGTGACAGCTGCGGGACAAAGGTGTATGGCAGTCTCAGTAGGTAGGTCGTGCAAACGTACCTTGTGGCATCTACATTAACATTCATCTGCGTATGCGTAGCCGTTCTCGTTGGTGCAGCCCAATCATGGCTTCCTGAGCTTGTAGAGCGCGCATCGAAGCTGAACGTGAACGGAGGATTTGAAAAGGGTGCAGATCTGTGAGTTCCCTTGGTCCAATTTCCGCCCAATGCAGCCTCGTGTTCCTTCTTACCTTCCACACCTTTCCAACGCTGATCTGCACCCCACACAGCGGCCCCCTCATCTCTCCCGCTTCCAAAGCTCGCGTCACGGGTCTCATCGAGTCCTGTTCAGAGGAAGGAGGGCGAATCCATCTTGACGGGAGGAATGTCCAGGTCCCTGGGTACCCAGCTGGCAACTTTGTAGGTCCGACAGTTCTGGAGGGAACAGTGGGGATGCGTTGCTACCGGTGCGTATTTGGGTTTGACCGATCAGAATGTAATACCCACTGCCACACTCATAGCGAAGAAATATTCGGCCCTGTGCTTACCGTGATTACCTCGGACACGCTGGACGATGCGCTCAGCATCATCAATGAAAACAAGTACGGGAACGGTGCTGTGATCTTCACGCAGTCGGGCGCGACAGCGAGGAAATTCGAATCGGGGGTTAATGTGGGGCAGGTGCGTTTCTACTCTTTCATGCATGTGATATCGTGGTTTTTGGGCACTGTTTTTCTTCTGCCCAGAAATTTTAAAAACACGAGAAAAATGGATGCTAATGTTATATCGTCTCTACAGATTGGCATCAACGTCCCAATTCCTGTTCCTTTGCCTATGTTCGCGTGGAGCGGTAACAAGGGCAGTGTGCTCGGAGATATCGGGTTCTATGGGAAGAGTGGAATTAATTTCTACACGCAGAACAAGGTCAGTCCTCTGCGTTTGAACTCAGTTGAAGTTGACCATGCCTTGTGCAGACCACGACGAGTCTCTGGCGCCAGGAAGATGCCATTGGCAACAAGGCGTCGGTGGATATGCCTACACATCACTGAGCGTTGAGCTATGGCTATGGCATGTACTGGTGTTAGGTCCTGACCCTTGACCGCCAGATCACAGAATCGTATGAAAGAGGTGGAATAAAGACTAAGGAAAAATTTAACAAACTAGTCTGTTATGCATTCGTCACGCGATATTCCTATCATTAATCATTTGTACATCTCACATCTTCATGGAATTATGTTGTTTCCTGCTCTGCCCAACATGATCGCGTAGTTCACTTCATCTGATCCAATACGCATATTCTGAAGCGCAGAAGATATTTTCCGTCCCCCTACGTTATTAATATCGAGCATCATACAGTCCTATCTGATGAATTGCTGCCAGCTCTCCATCCTAACAACCTTGTCCAAAAACGCGTTCAAAACCATGCACTGGGAGCAATCCGCGTATGCGCCCTGCGGATCCAACCGATTCGCCATTAATGGTGACAATGAAACCAGCCCACCCAACCACAAAAGACGGGGGAATTTGTCTTTATTCGTCACGACCCTCCCCCACAAGCGGAGACATGCCAGCGCACTGTCGAGATGTGGAACTAATTTGGAATTATCTTATCTTATCTATGTTCACGTGATGCATACGGTACCTCTCGAGGTTGTGCACTTATGATTCATGAACAGTACTAGTGAACACCTAAAGTTCCAAAACACACATGCCCTCGCCTCCGATCCAAGTCTTCCTCACGACGATCGCGTCGCAGGTTGTCGTACGGAAGCGCCAAGGTTCGTACATATCACACCACTGAACGCTGAATGTACATCACGTTGTTCTACCGTAATATCAACCAGAATATATCCTCCGCATCCTTCAAACCAAGAAGATCCCATATACCTCGTACGATCTCGCCTCTGACGAGGATGCCAAACGCTTGTGGAGGCGTAAAGCCCCACCTAGTGCGTTTCGATCTCACCCTATACTCATACTACGCTTATGTTTTTCCGTCAACGCGGCAGATAAGCAGCAGCTTCCAGGTATACTCGTAGGTGGCAAATTTATTGGGGTATGGATTCATTTCTTCCAAATATACATATATAGTACTCATCTCAGCCGCACAGGACTTTGACGCCTTGTGAGCCTTCTTTCCCACCTCGTCGCATCTCTTTCCTATCTTACCCCATGCAGCGAAGAAGCCGTCGAAACCGAATGTCTCGCTACCTTCTTGAGGCTAAATGAAACCTGGGACACTGCCGTCGATGAAGACCGTCCGGCACCCGAGGTCAAGCCTGTCGGTGTCCCCGGTGCTGTCCCCATCGCACAAATGACGCCCGAACACCACAAGCCCCGCTTCTTCCCCCGCGACCCAGATACCCCATTGAAGCCTGTGAACAGGCGCAAGGGGGACTTCGATGTGAGCACGGAGCTTGAGGGGTACGGGTTGCAGGGTGTAAGGGTAACCGATGAGGACTTGAGGTTGTTGGTCGAAGAGCTTGGGCTTGAGGGAGATGATGCGGAGGAGATGGTTAAGAGCTTGGGCGGTGATGGGAATGGGAAGGATGTTCCAAAGGGGGGTGGTGGGGTTGACGAGAAGGTGAAGGAAGCCACGAAGAGCAAAGACGCTACGAAGGCGAGTACAACAAAGGAAGACGATAAATGACCACACGGTCTGATGTATAATATCTGCATAATCTATATACCAGCCATGGAAGTGGAACGAAGATTACTGGCATGTGCAGAATTCCGCCAAGCCGCATGTGATAAGTTACTGAGGAATATTGTTCCTGGGTGCGATATGATAAAGCTAACATTGGACTCCCTCTTACAGCTTGCTCATCGGCATGTTGACCAGAAAGCCACCATCAAGGGCAATGGTCGCACCATTCACGTACGCACCAGCCCTGCTAGCCAAGAACAACGTGGTTCCTGCGACGTCCTCGGGCGTGCCAAGGCGATTCGTTGGAACCTGGTTGATAATGACGTTTCCCACAGTTTCGAGAAATTGTGCCGTCACTATAATCAAGTCAATGAAATGCCAATAAATAGAAACGACGCATGATGAGCTTACTCTTGCTTTGAAATGCGCCTGCAACATCGACACGAGTTGGTTAATTCGTGTAGGAGTGGATGAAAGAACGGACTCACCACAGGCAATGGTATTGCTAACAATGCCCTCGGGCCCAAGTCGGCCTGCGAGGTGCCGACTAAGATGGTGCAGACCAGCTTTGGCAGCAGCATAGGCATATGTGTCATGGTCGGGCACACCAATTCCCTCCACCGAGCCAATCTGATAGAATCGAGAGAAGCCAAATCGACTGATCAACAAGGACTTCCAAAAGAAGGGTATACACTCACGTTGATGATACGCGCTGGGTCGTTATATACGACCCCTGTCTTACCACCTTGAGCTGCCCCTGCACGCAGTAACGGTAATAGCTTTTGCATCAAGGTGAAGACGCGTTGCAGGTTCAGAGTGAGGACCTTTGAAAAACCCTCGTCCTTCGTTGTATGATATTCAGCGAGACAAAGCGAAACCGACAGTAATTAACGCACTGGGTATTCGTCGATAGGTTCTGCCCATGTCGTCCCCGCGTTATTGATGAGGACATTGAGAACAGTTTCACGTGCGGAAAGTTCCTGCACAAACCGCTCCACTTCAGAGAATTTGGACATGTCTGCTGGGATCGCAGTGCATGAGCCTGGGCCACTTGCTCCGAGTTCCTTTACGGTGGCCTGGCATTCCTTCACAGAACGGGCCGAGATATAAACCTATCTCAGCGCGGTGAGGTCACTGATCCCCCCCCCCATGTGCCAGGGCATTGTAACGCACCTTAGCACCGTTCCTAACAAATGCGGAGGCAATCTACGAGAAAGAACTGAGTCCTACCGTCATTCACAGTCAGCCGTTTGGGACCCACCATTTTCCCAATCCCACGAGAGCCTCCGGTCACGAGAACTACCTTCCCTGCGACTGCAAAGAGATTTTCGACCTGTAATGCGCTCATTAGGCGGCGCGGTGGTAACTCAGAGAGTCAGAGTGCGTATAGTGAAACAAATGGAGTCTGTTAAATGAGAAGTCCTTTCGCCTGCATTCTTTGTTAATCAGTGCTAATAGTGGCCATGCAATTTTTTGTCATCCGAATTTCCAGGGAAGAGGAGACAGAGGTTCCGGCTGCCGTCAGACTTGTGGAGCCATGTGCTCTCGCGGACTTGGAATTACTCTTGTTCCACTTGGTCGCATGAAGTCTTCACAAAAGATATCAACCTAATATGGCGGCGTGGAATTACAGACAAGATTGTACGGAGTGACAGAACTATAAATACAATAGTCCTCGATTTTCACGGGGATGTGCCAATGAAACATGTCCATCAAATGTCCATGGAGGACGATGATAGCGGAAAATTAGTGAAACCGGGAACTATCTAAGGTTCAGAATCGTAGAAAACATCCGATACCCTTGAGTGACGCCGCCGCAGGGGTTCATCAGAGAACGTAACCGCAGGAGGGATATCAATCGGGACGTCCTCTGTTTTATATTCCTGGGATGCCGTTCAGCAAGAAGTCGTTAATAAAAAAAAGCTTGACGATAGACGAACGCTTTGCGAAGTACTTTCATTTCTTGGGGTAAACTTCCTCCTTTGTCGCCTCTTACGGTATACCCGCTCATTGACAACTTCTTCGGCTGGCTCACTAGAACCTTCGTCCTCACTTGGGAAGCGCCACTGAATGGCGGGAAGGATGCATGCCGCAAGCACTAGAAGAGAGATCACGAGAAAAGTGGCAGATGATACAATGGCAGAAGTAACCGGGAAGCGTGTCACAAGTCCCCTATGCGGTAGCGGGCCATAAGGGCGGATGGGAAACGGTGACAGATTAGTACTCACCGAATTCCGTGGCGCTTGACGATCCCTCTCAGGGACGCGGAAAGGACGCTTAACTCTCGTCCCTCACCATTACCAAGAACCCTCCATCCGTCTCTGCGCCCCAATTCAACTCTGGCAATGACACGAGACGCGCCGGACGCGTGCGACTCGAGGAAGAGAATGTCAAGATGGACTAATTGGGGCGACAAAGATACCCAAGCCAATCGGCTTTTTGCAGGCGGCAGAACTATGGCCTGGGGTGAGTGTGAGTGTCTGTTCCCAGGGCAAACGGTTCGGTACCTACTGGTTTCCTAATGGATGTCAAAGTTCTATTAGAAGGCGTCGAGAGCGTCAAAGTAGTCATGAAGTTCCCTAGAGCAAAGTTCGCCTCTGATGCTGGTATAACGAGGTGCATAGAGATGTCATAGGGTTGGCTAGGTGCCAGAGATGGCAATGATATCTCGGCATACGGAGAAATACCGTCGCTATAATGGAATGAGTACCATGGTCCAATAATGGAGGGTTGAAAGAGCTCTCACCCGTATTGTAGATACAGAGGGGACTCCCATCCCACAGCAACATTCTTCCAAACGTACCAGCCAGAAAAAAGAGAGAAAATTATGATGACTGGAATCAGCGCAAGACATACGAACAATGGAATCAACCGAGGTGCTACTGGGCGACAGAGGTTCATGATGAATCGTGCGACATTTTGGAGCAAAGAAAACTCTTCACTCTGCCCTTCATAAGAGAGTGGCTTGGAGTACTCTGGCTCTACTTTGGCAGTTGGTGTCGATGAAGCCATGGCTCCACGTTGAGCACAAGGTATTCTGAGTGCAGATCCGAATTTCTAAGGGATGTTACCACGTGACCTTTCCTTCATCTTCTGACTTTCACACATATCGCAGTGGACTGTCTTGGTTGTACGCTCATACCTGAGTATTGGAATAACTGTATTAACCGATCCTTCTGCTCCTTCAGACCAGATGACACCCAATATTCTGGCCCTATTGGGAGTCGACCCGTCCGCTGATCTCATAACTGTGTTTCTGAAAGATCTGGTCCAACACCTCAACACAAGTTTGACAGCTCCTGAAGTGAAATCATATTCAGATGCAGTCTACTTCAACTACTATCCACTCGGGATCAGCTTCCTCTTCGTCCCACAAAACGGGTACAAGCCCGCTGCGGGCCTGAAGCGCGAGCAACTCAAAAATGATTCACTAGTGCTTGATAGCATTAACATCTACAACTCCCCAATGCCTAAGGCGACCCCCGAAAAATCAACTACATCCAGTCGAACAGCAGAGCTCGCCTTCTCTACTTATCCCATGTCAAAGTGGAGCCTACCACTCTCACCTGAGGCTTCGGTTTCCCATGAGTCCTCGATTGAGATTTCGCTCACAACAACTGGTAAAGATTTTGTCAGCTGCCTCGGAGAACCCGATAGGAAAGGCGGTGGTGCCGGGCCTTCGTCTGGGTCCATTGGCATTTGGTGTGAGTGGTCGAAGCACGGAATTATGGTTGAGTTTGGTGGGGATGAAGCCAGAGGACCGCAAGCCTGGGAACGTGGCAAGGACGCCGTGTGGAGGGTCATCACAGTGTTCTCCCCAAAGCAAGAATAGGCTCAAAGGTAAAAGTTTCATGCGACTGAGTTCTACTTTTCGCTGATCCGGACCGCTGTGTTGGCAGTAGAAGGCTAAGTTTGAGCTAAGCAAAACATAGACGAAGGAAGACAGCTATTCATCATGCGTGACAGCGTGCTCGTCGAAAGAAGCTGCTATTGAGGCGTGTAGATTTCTATGATTGTGTGCCGCATCTTTTCTCCCATGAAGACTACCTTTTTCTCGAGCTCTGGTAACACTAAGACCCAGGTCCTGCAGGAAACTCTCCTTGCGCACCTCAGTCACTTGTTCCTTGGATTGGATCTGCATTCATCTTGTGCGCTCGAAGCCCGATCTTCATCTTGGGGGAAACACGATCCTCGTCCGTCATTCACATTAGTCACGACCTCGCTTCACGCAGAGCTCTATGCCCGTTTCGTTCAACCTTGTAGCTTTGTTCGAATGGGCCTTTTTCTGACGCGGTCCTGGTTGATCGCGAGATTCTATGCTTTCTTCCTATGGCTTGGCACTCAATGTGTACCCGAGGGGCTGCTGCTCTTGAGACAAACGCGACGATGAGAGCCGGTGAGAACAGGCAAAGAGCCACTGCTTAGCCACATTAGGTAGAGGTCGGAGACCTCCGTCAACCGGAGTGACTCACAGAAGACAAAGAGGGCTTAGTCCTGTGGCAAGAGGTGTGCGATTTCAGAATTTCAAACATCAACTTCAGCTGTGACGCAGGCAAAGCGTGGCTGTCATGATCAGCGTTTCGTGCCATCCGTCTTGTATCGGCCATCGATACTTATGATCTTACAGAAATGGGCCTCCATCTTGGATGGGTATCCAATCCCCTGTGGACACCAGTTTGCATTTTTGTAATTTCTGACAGTTCATATATGTACAGAATCATGGATGTCGACGTCCACTGCTCATCGCTATCGTCACCACCACGTCAGCAAACAGTCTTATCTGAGCATACCTGCTGCTCAATGCACGTCGAGTCGGTAGGCGTCAGAGCAACCATACTATACTAGTGTGATCGTACGCGTTATTTATGAATAGCATCCGTGGATTCCAACAACCATGTGAATCAGGGCTCAGAAGCTAGTGGTGCATTGGTGAGATCTTGAAACCTCATAAGCGTAGTATAATCGCCCCTGGTCTCGTCACGCTTATTTCTGCCCATCATGGCTGCGCCTCGCGAAGTAACAACCAAGAATCTCTCTGGAAAATTTATCATGGTTCGTGTGCTTAGGTTGTGTGCGTCACATTGACAATTCTGACAATGTCCTATCCACGGGTATTAGAACAAGACGTTGAGCGATAACAGCGACGATATCCTCAAGCTCCAGGGCGTATCTTGGTTCAAGCGGCGTGCCATCTCGATGTTTACATTGACACTCGTCGTAAAGCACTATACAGACGAGGCCGGCATAGAGCACGTAGACATCGACCAGACATTATCTGGCGGTATCCCAGGCACGAGTGAGGATCGCATTCTTGACTGGGAGGAACGCAGCGAGAGCGACGACGTTTTCGGTGCCGTGGTCGGACAAACAAAGAGAATCAAGCTTGAGGAAGTGGAGGACGAATTCCTGAAGTCTGGCTGGACGGAAGATACTATCGAAGACGGAACAGTTCTAGCTATAGCCTGGAGTGAAACGCCAAAAAGTGGGATGGTGTGGAGGGCGGAACAGGTACGATTTTACTGATTCGGTTTCACTCATCCCTCATTCATATTCTTCAGACATGGGGGTTCGAAATTTTGAATGGCGAGAGGAGATACGCGAGACATGTGAAGTTTACATCATCAGATAAGAAGGATGGTCCAATCTTCAAACACTTGTATTATGACTATGGTGAGCCACCTCTCGCAGTGATCTATACGCTCATGGATTCATCTCCTCCTAGTCGGACCCAACTGATACCAGCGAACTCTTATGAATGTACAATACGAACTACCATGCAAGCATGAAAGAGTCTATACTAATTCACCCCAAAAACCGACTACGTTCGCCACTGTCAAAGGCCTCGAACTTGCACGGCTAATTTAGATTCTGCCATAATTCTTTCCCCTCAGAACGCAAGGAACTTCCGATTTTGCGATCATGGTGTATGACCGAGCTCATAGCCGGTTGCTAGTCAAGCATTTCTGGGCTGAGTATTGGTAACAAGATTATCGTACCATAATACGAAGGGACGACTATCTTCCTTCGATTGGTCTGGCTAGGGGAGACTAGTGTACCATTGGTTTTGTTGGCAAGCTACGTGGGTGACTCCTCTCGCGCATACCGATCACCAATGGCACAAGGGTCGACTGCGAGTGCGTCCTTCGAATGCTTCTATTGGGTACCCATCTTGTGTTTCAACTCACGCCATCCTTGAAGCGGTGTTGGCTCGGTGGAGAGCCGGAGATATCGATCAACATATGCCCTTATCTCGTTTCACGTGGAATTAAAGGTGGTATAAGAGGCGAAGGCATGATGCCTTCGCGCTTCTTATACATCTGTATTTGTTCCACTCACTCACAAACTCTTCTCACTATGGCTTGTCCTGACACTGTTACGCTCAAGAATCTGACAGGAAAACACAGACTTGTGGGTCACTAGTTTGATATATGACTATTGCATAATTTGACAAATTTGCAGAACAAAGGGCTGAGCGACGGCATTGATGAGACATTGAAACTGCAGGGCGTTGGCTACCTGAAGCGTACCGCTATCGCCAACTTCTCCCTTACACTGGAATTCAGCCAACACACGGACGACGGCATAGAACATATCGATATTAAGCAGACCCTGTCAGGAGGCTTCAAGGCTCCTACAGAAAACATAGTTATGGATGGCGAGGAGCACCCCAAGAATGACGACCTCTTTGGACCTCTGATCGGCCAAACCCGTCGTGTCAAGGTCGACGAACTTGATATCGATTTCCTGAAGGAAGAATGGACGGAGGATACTCTTGAGGATGGCGTTATCTATGGTGTCGTGAAGAGCGACACTGAGAAGACCGGGAAAGACTGGGTCATACACCTGGTACGTTCGATAGTTTGGTCTAGTTGACATGTGATCTTAATGATCTACGTCAGGTTTGGGGTTTCACGATCAAGGAGGGTGTGAGAAAATTTGCCCGACGCTACAGGTTCACCACAAAGGAGAGGTCTGAACCGATCGATGTCAAGTTGTACTACGACTATGGTGGGTACCTTCCATCCTTCCACTAGTTCTAATCCTAACTGAGCTTGCCGTCAGTGGAGTAAGGCTTCATGATAGAAAAATTTGTGCCTGCACGATAGTGAATATATGACTGAGCTACATGTATATGGCGGGTTTATCCCTGCGCCAGGAGAGAGTGCGGATGTCTGAGTTGGCCACGCTTTTGGCATGAACTGTAAGGTCGACGAAACCATGCAAGTAAGAGATGAGACCTTGATGGATGCGAGACAGAGATCATCGATCAGACCCTGATCTTGAAGTTTGGGGTCACGTGGCAACTATAAGTAGGCAACCGTAGCACGGACGAGGTTGTCCAGCCCAACCAACTTAGTTCAACTGCCAACCCTTCTCCATTACATCCTCGACTACCTGTTTCTCATAGTTCTAGTCCATTTCAATACTCAGTTCATTCACCCGATAACGATGGATGAAGAATACGATGTGATTAATCACCCCTGATACCATCTCATCCATCTATGCTGACCTCTTCCTGGCGTATGGTTTTTGTTGGCGCGATCTAGGTCGTTGTTCTTGGCACTGGCCTCACGGAATGTATCCTCTCGGGTTTGTTATCCGTCGAGGGGAAGAAAGTCCTCCACATGGACAGAAACGATTATTACGGTGGAGAGTCGGCCAGTCTGAATCTAACACAGGTGGGTCCTTCTTGAAACAGAACGAAGCACTAGATACACTAACGCATGCATCGAATCTCAGTTCTACCGTAAATTTCGCCCGAACCAATCTCCACCCACCGAGCTGGGCCGGGACCGCGACTATGCAGTTGATCTTATCCCAAAGTTCATCATCGCCTCAGGTGAACTCGTAAAGATACTCGTTCACACCGATGTCTTGCGATACCTTGAGTTCAAGCAGATCGCAGGTTCATTCGTCTATAAGAATGGCAAGATCAGTAAGGTCCCGAGCACGGAAGTAGAGGCAGCGAGGAGCCCGTTGATGGGTTTGTTTGAGAAGTATAGAGCGAAGAAGTTCTTTGAATTCCTGCAGGGGTGGAAGGAAGAAGATCCGGCAACGCACCAAGGTGGGTGCCACTGGATTCGCGCAAAGACTTGAACATTCTAATGTGGAATACAGGATTGAATCTCGACAAGGATAGTATGAGGAAAGTATACCAGCACTTTGGACTAGAGCCCGGTACGCAAGACTTCATCGGACATGCACTGGCACTCTATCTCGATGATGAGTGAGTATGTCTCTCCGTCCTTCGCCAAACCCACTAACACTCCACCACAGCTACATCAACAAACCTGCTCGTGAGACTTACGAGCGCATCGTCCTGTATACCACCTCTATGGCGCGATGGGGCAAATCTCCCTACATCTACCCCCTCTATGGGCTTGGCGAGCTTCCCCAATCCTTCGCGCGTTTGAGTGCAATCTATGGCGGGACTTACATGCTCGATAAGCCGATTGATGAAATCGTGCTCAACAAGGATGGATCATTTGCGGGTGTTCGCAGTGGAGCAGAGACCGTGCGTGCCAAGATGGTCATTGGTGACCCGAGCTATTTTGGCGCGGGGAAGGAGGCGGAGGGGGGCAAGCTGAGGGTGGTCGAAGACGGGAAGGTGGTGAGGGCGATCTGTATTTTGAAGCACCCCATTCCTGGTACGGAGGAGAGCGATAGCGTGCAGATCATTATTCCTCAGAACCAGGTAAATAGGAGGAATGGTGAGTGTCTGTTTTGTGATATCCTCGTATGAGCCATGCTTATGGCGGGTTTTTAGATATCTACATCGCGATGGTGTCCTCGACACACAAGGTTTGCGCGGAGAATATCTACGTTGCGATCGTCAGCACCATCGTCGAGACCTCCGTTCCCGAGAATGAAATCCAACCTGGTCTCCACCTCCTGGGCAGCATCTATGACAAGTGCGCACGCTCTTTTACCTTTTTTATTTATTCTCATTGATACCAACGATTCCTACAGATTCGTGACTGTCTCCCCTATATACACCCCCGTCGCCGACGGGAAGCAAGATCAGTATCTACATCACACGTTCGTACGACGCGACGTCGCACTTCGAAACTGTCGTTGAAGATGTGCAAGACGTGTTCAAACGTGTGATGGGCAAGGAACTCGAGCTCAAGAAACGCGAAGCTGATGCCGAGCAATGAAGGTAGATGTCGGCGATGGCTAGATTCAGCCAAGATCTTAACTCCATGGCCACCCTCCGCCATAAGTCATACCTTATACTGTGTACACCCGGATCAACGCAACAAAACCTTTCGTGCTAGTTTGTACTCTTTAGTCTTCCGCTTATCCACCACCTATACATACGATTGATTATGCGGGTCTCCTTTCACTACATGTTAATTGAATCACGATTGCTTTGGACGGATGTACAGTTGTCACGGTCGATGTCGGACCTCATTAGTGCCTCTTGAAAGTAGCAATCTTTCGTTATCCTGCAGATCTACCTTGTCACTGGCAGGGCTCCCTAGATCTCCCTTCTCGAGCACAGTCATTGAACTCATCCCCTTCCTTCTCCAAAGCCTGCTCCACGTTCATCGGGGACAAAAGGGCTCACCCCACCGAAAGGACACATGCACTGGGAAACCGACTCCAGAGGGACTGTCATCCAACCCGCTCAAATTCAAAGTCTTCACGCACAGCACCCAAGTTCTCGTTTCTGATTCCAACAGCCCGTAACCATATAAGAGAAAATAACAACCTACTAGGGATCAGCCAAACGAATCAAATAAATCCATACTGAACTCCGGCACTTGAACATCCTGCTTGGCGGATTTAAGCAGACTCCCGAGGCCCGCCTTGCGTGCTAGGAGGTCACTCTCCTCCTTGATGGGCTCTTGCGTGGGCACCTTGGCAAGTGAACGGTCGGGAGAGACTCTGCGTGTCGGAGTCGTAGATGCGATGTCCATGTCAATCATAATTGTCGAGCGTCTGCGTAGCTTGGGATCCAGTGCAAGAGACCTCCGCGATGTAGCATACGGAGTCGGTGGGAGTTCCGTGGGGGCAGGGACAGATATCGACGGGCGCTCGAAGGACCACGAACGCACAAGGTCCAGCGCTAGTGCATGACAACCTGTACGGAAGACAGTCAGTCAAATTCTGGCTTCACATGTAATTGGACACACCCATTCTGCAGAACACCCGGGCGATCTGGAGCACGAAGTTGAATTCAGAACGCCCTGATATCTCGCTTGTGCCCTTGGCTGTTTGCAGTGTCTTGGAGCGGAGTTGGGAGAACAGTAATGCAAGACTAGGATCATCGTAATGGGGTTCGCCGATTTCTGCGACTTGTATATCTAAAGCGTCGGCGATATCTCGCAGGGGTGTCTAACCAGATGAATGAACTCTCAAAGGTTACGTGGCAGAGCAACTTCACTTACCACCAAGATCCTGACAGCGAAGTCCCTTCGGTTGAGCATCCAGAACGCCCAGCTTCCAAGCCATCGGTTGCCTTGACGAAAGGCGGTAGGGATCACCGTATTGTGTAGTATATCCCGTAGCACAGGGCCATCCGAGCCTCCTTCAACCACACGAGCAAGAGCGATGGCGAGCTGAAAATCTGAAAGATGCTTGAGGCAAACATGGACGGCGTCTTTCAAACTCCCTCCCAAGAGGAAGAACGCAGCAGCGTATTCTAAAGCGATCATGCAGTAACAGAATCCAAAAAGGTTATAGAAGCCTACCAAATCTCTGCTTACCGAGCAGAGCATACGCGTTCTTCAGGGCTGCAGTCCTCCGTTGAGGCTGCGTGAAGTCGTTCGCGAGGAACTTGAGCATAATGGCCTGTTCCTTGTGCCATGCAGCTTGCTTCCACAGGCCATGCACCAGCTTCACCTTACCCAGTGCGAAATAGAAGAGTGAGCATGCTGTGGGGTCACGGTTGTCACCAGCCATGTATTCATTCCGGGCAATGACTTCCATGTGAGCCCTCTGGATGCCCCCGAAACTCAGCATGGCTCGACATCCAGCATGAAAGCGGACATACCAAGGACTCAACCGAATTCAGCCATATGAAAACTCCAAGAGCTCGGGCATCAGACCAGAGCATCCTTCCATTGCACGCTGCGGTCGATGTGCTTAACAGAAGCCCTTGGCTTTCGCTGTGGAAGGCCCAGATCATATCACGATATCGCAGGCGTTCCCTCCAACCGGTTGATCGTGGTGTTGCGCCGTTCGAGCGTGGACTGCTGGGATCGGATGTGACCCGACGGTTGAGAATATAGAATGACCGCATAGAGATCACATATCGAAGGCCGTTGGCGTCCAGTGCTCGTCGCTGTTCTTCGATCTACACTCAGGGTAAGCCGGTGATAACTAACCATACATTCGCACACTGACCTCGAGGGTCGTCTGAATGAGAACCAGGAGGTGTGCGTGCTCATTGGGAGTCAAATGAGGAAGAGGTCGCGCTTCAAGTTGCTCTATGAGTGTCTCCACCATATGGCGGGAAAAGACGGTTTCATCTGGTCTTCGAAATGTGGGCAGTTTTCACAGGCTGAACTAAGAAACACTCACAACGAGTTTTCTTGTGGTGTACTGAACAAGAAGTTGTACCGTTTTGAGGGTTTCTTGTTCTGTAAAAAAGTATTATCCCGAGTGACGACCGAGTCTTGAAGAACCTACAGGTATCATATGTTGGCCGCTCAGATAATGTTCCACGGGAAAGGTATTCCAATGGAAATCCTGCGTAGGATCCTCATGTACAGCCTTAACGATCCGAGATAGAGCAACAATAATCTGCTTCACCAACTCCGCCTTACCTACAGAATCATCAGATCAGTCTAATTGCTCCATCCATAATTCTTACCCCAAAGTAAGCACTGCAGAAGCATTTGTGGATGGTAATCCTCCAGGGGTCCATTGTGTCGAGCAATGTACTGAAACAGGGGTTCCTGGTCCTTTTGAAGCGCCGTTTGACCAAAGAGAAACAACTGGTGTCCTGCTGCAATCAAGAAGGACCCGTTTGCAAGCCATATCGAATCGCGGATTGGATATGAGATGTAACTGGCGAGTATTCAGTCGACCTCTCAACACTCGTTCAAAGACCGAACGCACTTTCTAATATCCACTTTCCAGCAGATAGCCCACGCAGGATCGTCATCAAAGTAAGTTTTCCTTTGCTGGCACAAAAACTCAACATGATGCATGAAACCGACAGCCAGGATCGACTGATTATCAGGCGTTGATGTCCAGTCCAAGTCACTTATAGGTTCCGAAGTACTATCGAGAGGATGAGACAATGCTGACAGCGGAGCTAGCTCACCGACCTGAACATTATGCGGTGCTCGAGACCTGAGGCGAACTCAGATTCCTTGGAGTCCCAGATTGTAAGCTCTTCGCCATCCGGCAGTCGGACAACTGAGAAAATGTCAGTCATCGCCACTCTATACAATGAAGAAAGAGCTATTCACCTAGGACAGACTTTTTCGCAGAGCTGCAACTCGCCAGGGCGAAATTCTTCCTCCCTGTCTTAACATTACCTGTACATCTCCACCCAGAAGACGTTCCTTCCTCCGGTATCCAGAACGAAAGTTCACCATCGTCAGAGATACTGAGTAATGTGTCATGCTCCTCCAAAGAGCTCTCCCTACTCCACGACATTGGATCGACGGGGAGAATGAGTTTTGGCGGCTGGGCCAATGGTAGATTGTTCTGGGAATGCAAACGTAGGGTTAGATTAGGGTTGCTGTCAATATGTATGTATACGATAGAACTGTCTGAGGTCAGGCCAACAATACATTCATGCGCTGTCTTTGAGGGTGCCGAAAATAAGTTGATGATGGAAGGGACCGTAAGGGTTGAAATGGGCTCCGAGTGTAAAGTCAAGACCGAGGTTTCGGACGAGTATGTCGCTACTAGCTCGCCTGTGCCACAAATCAGGCCGCAAGTCGTGTAGAATGAGATCATCTTACCGCCATCCAGAACCACAACATATTCCGCGTTAGACCATCGTCTTCCGCGGGCAAGCTGAGATCCCCCTTCAATGACCCGCCAGACTTCCCCTCCATTAGTGCGTACGACTGCGACGCCTCTTCCAGCGGGCGTCCTGACTAGTTTTCGGATCCTGCTCTCCTCATGGGGGAGCCTATCAAGTCCCTTGGCATTAAGGTGCAGTCCTGCTGATTGGCCATCAAAAAAGGCTAGAGGCGACACCTCGAAACTAGCCAGGGGAGTGGATGTTACCATGGTCAAGGAGGTGATATTAGGATGGGGGAAAAGATACAAATGAGAAGGAAGCTGAGAGAGGGCGTCCGCACTTGTATGTGAAAGGGCGAATTGACGTATGAGCGTCGGCGGTCTCCTGTCAATGTTCTGTGACCCGGTTGAACTTGCATCAAACGAATGGATAGCTTAGCACCTACCGCGACGGCACTGACGAGCATAGAGCCATCCCCGAGAGCGCGGACAAAGAGATCCCAACCTTCTTCATCAATTTCTCGCAGCCTCTGGACCTGAGGGCTTGCGTCTTCAGTATTCGACGCTAGGACAGCTTTGATCGTGCGTCGGACCACTTCTTTGTCCAACCAGACAACCGTGGACTTCCTGGGATGTGATCCAAGTTTCGCTGCAACGAGGAATGGAAGCGAGGAGAAAAGGTCGAGGGATGCATGCAGTTGCAGACGATGGGGGGCATCGATTACAGGGAGGAATATGCGCAACGTAGAATCAGACGTGATGGTGTAGAGGGCGGGATCATCGCTACACCCAATATGTGAGCCTCGTGTCAAAAGTGGTGTTTGAAATGCTCGACCTCCGTGATGCCTGAGAGAACCTCCACATCAGGTCTGTGACGGGCCTGGGGTGAGGAATGCCTTGCACCAGCCTGCCGGAAGTAGTCGAATACAATCTAACCAGGTTATCATGCTGTGATTTATAATTTAGTAGGAATCGGGAGTGGGTATGAGGTCTCTCACGTGAGATGTAGTGGCGATAAATGCGAGAGTTGGAGCAAATTTTGCGAGAGAAGGAGTTGTCACCCTGACAAGTGAGGTAAAATTGGGATTGAAGCGAAGGACTATGCGCTGCCGTACCTTGCTTCCCACTTCTTGGACCATGTGAGAAGGTCATTTTCCAGGATCAACGTGTAGACGGATAGACCTTTTTGACTCCCAACCGAGAGAAGCCCTGGATGGAAATCAATACTCGATAAATAAGGGGCAGACAAGACTAGTACCAGATCTGCAGTCCAGAGTTGTGACGGGGTCGCCGTCTGTGAGGGAAAGGGAAGAATGAACTCTCCAGGTATCGTTCTGGGTACCTGACAATGACCACGCGGCGATGTGCGTGTTCATGGAAGCAACTATCTACTTCGAGTACGAAATTAGAGTAGCTGGACTAGGGGGGGGAGTAAAGGAGGAGATACACGTACTACTTTCATGGCGGAGTCGACGGCAAGGCAAGATATACTTTGATTGAGATGCTGGGTGCCAGGGTAGATTTCCCCGAACGCGAGCACGCGTACAAGGTTAAGATTGCTGGCATCCAGGATTACTACGGAGTCTGCGGAAGGGTACAACTAGAAGAGGGTCTTGATCAGTATGAAATCAATTGGATGAAATACGCACTATGAGAGTTCCGTGAGGCAGAACAAGCTGGTTCAGTGCACCAGCTGGACAACCGGTGAATGTTTTCAGGAGATCTAGCATCTGGCGGGCGGATGTGAGTTTAGAAAGAATATTATTTAATTCACGCGGCCCATGCCAGGGCGCAGGGAGATGGCAGTTTAAGTGCAAGTTGGTTTTACTGCAAGGTGAAGGAGTGCAGGCAAATACAATAATATGCTGAGTCCGGAAAAGCGCCCATGCTATATTTTTTGAGTTGTTTCTGACCTCCTTCGTCATAATTCGGAGCCTGACTGCGCATAGTGCGCGGCTTTAGCTGTCATCGTCGACGTTCTCCGCCAGCTCTTGCGACTACCATAATGCTCTGGGGCTGCATCCCACTTACTCTACTGGCTCTAGCGCATGCGTCTCTGTCTGCTACTCAAGTCGCATGGAATTCAGACCCAGCCATCCAGTCTACTACATTGGTCGACGTTCTCAACGCTGACGAGGACTACTCATATCTCCTTTCTCTCCTACAGAAAGCTAAACTCATTCCAACATTGAATAAACTCAATGGCAGCACCTTCTTCGCCCCAACTAACGATGCAGTCAAACGTCACGCACAAACCAATGATCTCTGGGGGTCAGCCCTCGAGTATCCAGACTTGCTTAAAGACAATGTGCAAGAGGAGCTACGTCAGCAACTGTTCTACCACCTTCTCAACTACTCCGTAACTCAAATCCCAAACGACTTGACCACACGAGTTCTCGATACACTCCACTACCCAAAACTCTCCCTCGATCCTCCCGCTAATGAGCCACTCCCATCTCTCCCATGGATACCACTACCTGAGAGCACTTTAGGCAACAAATCTCAGAAGTTACGCCTCACTTCACGAGAAGGCGTAGCCTGGGTCGGTGTCGACGCCTTTGGCAAAGGGGGTATTGAAATAAAGAAGGAGAGAGTGGATGCGGCAAACGGCGTCGTGTATGGGATTTCTCAAGTTCTTGAGGTTCCACCGCACCTTGGTTGGTTTCTTACACTTGTATTATACCACCGTCTCACCTACCCACGCAGGACGCGTCCTGTCCCAACAATCCTCGTTGTCATATTTCCAGAAGATTCTCACACCTAACATACTCCATGTCATCAACTCTACCTCTGAGCTTACGTTGTTCATGCCCGTGGATTCTGCGTGGAAAACTCTCCATCCACTTGAACGTTTATACCTCGAAAGCGAATTTGCCGCGGATGATCTCTTGCGCATACTCAACATGCATGCTGTTGTCGAGAAGCGTGTCAGATGGTCGGACTCTTTGGACTCTACCACCACCCGTAAGTAGCAATGCGCACACGGGATGATCGCGCTGACATTGGAAGTCCAGTGACCACTGAATATGGATCTCAGTTAGAAGTCGCTGTCTCCGAAGGGAAGACCACGGTATCAGGTGCTACCCTTGAGCAGCCTGATATCTATGCGAGTAATGGAGTTTTACACCTCGTATCCTCTCTATTGGTTCCACCAGGAGCCCTTCAGTTAACCCCTGAGAAATATCTTCTTGCACTCAACTGCACGTCCTTCATCTCTCTCATCCACTCAGTCAATCTTACCCATCTCATCAATGATACCAAGACTCATTACACCATCTTAGCACCGAAGGACGACGTTCTATCAGGTTTCGAGCATGACGGGTTACCCAAAGAGGGTAGCGATGAGCTGAAGAGGATGTTGCAGTACCATTTTCTTCCCGGGAAATGGACGCCCAAGAAGTTGGTGAATGACATGCTGCTAGAAAGCGTACTTCAGGAACCGGGGCTCGACGACGGGAGACAGGTCATGCATGTAGAGGTCAACGACGATGGGAAGAAGGATGTTTTACCCAAACATATCAGGTTTGGTGGAGCCGGTATTATTGGCGAGCACAGTGAGTGATTTCTAGATGATGCCAGCTTTCTGCCGCTGAATTCCAGTCAGTTGAGATCAACAATACTGTTGTCTACTTTATCTCCCGACCTCTGGAACCGCCCGTGGACCCACTTCAAACAGCACTACCCTCTCTTGATCTGTCTTCGTTCCTTGCCGCAATCTTCTCCACCTCCATTGCAGAAGTCATCAAGAAGACACCCCGTGCAACGTTCCTCATACCTCACAATGCTGCTTTTAAGCGGCTCGGCATGCTGGTCAGCGACCACTTGCTAGCTGCTTCATCCAAGACGGATCTAGAGAACGTCATTATGCACCATATCATAGACGGTATCGAATACTCCCAAAGCGTCGTTAATGGCTCTCAGCGCACTTTTGCCACCCTTGAAGGATCCGATTTACAGCTGGAACGCCCAGGAAATGGATCCATTATTGTCAGTGCCAGCGGTGGCTGGGCTGGCATGAAGAGCGCGCTATATCCGAAGAACATGCTCACAGAAACTGGCGTGATACATGAGCTGTCGGACATTATGATCCCGCGATCTGTGGAGTTAAATGTAGGAAAGCTTATGAAAGCGGCCAAGGCCACTACCATGATCAATATGGTCACGAAAGCAGGATTCGACTGGATCCTGAATGGAACCGCCCCTCCTGAAGGTTCAGAGTGGGCAGAGCAGGGTTTAAGTGGGTCGAGTTGGACCTTGCTTTGCCCAACAGACGATGCGTTCAAGAAATACAACCTTACAGATCTCTTCGAGAATATCGACGATCTTCGTGCGATCGTCAGCCAACACCTCATTCCCACTTCACCATCTGCAGGAGAATCGTTTGATGTCTTCGACGTCTTAAACAACAACCGCCCCCTTCCGCTGGAAAATTTGGGTGAATATTCCACTCTCCTCTCACCTTCTTCGGCGTATGGTGATATTGTCTTCCGCGCGTTGGATGACAAGGTATCCAAATACATGGTCGGGATCAAGAACGCAAGGGGAACAGATAAACAAGCTGACTGGGCACGCGTCCTAACATGGGGTCGCGCAACGACGGGTGGGGGCACGGGCGGCGTTATCACCCTCGACCGCATGCTCATCCCGTATCATCCGCCATGGTGGATCGAATATCTCGCGCCGTCCTTCGTGGGAGCGCTTGGTATTGGGCTGATATGTTTGTTTTTCTATGCTGTCCGGATAGTCTGGAGAAGGGATGCGACGGAAGCTACATACGAGCCGGTTGGTGGGTTTGAACGGGACGATGCGGATTCGTTATAGATACATGTCAACTAATTTGTGGATTTTACTATGTGATATTATGCGATCTTTAGAAGTGCAACTCGAGACACGTTGTAGTAAGTACTAAGTAGCCTAGGAATTGGGTCGCGTTTTCAAATTTGAAGGTGTTATTACTTACGGGGTAAGGTGGTGAAATTTTTGAAAGCTCGAGCTCGGTGGAGGAGTTTGATCGGCGAAACCGGCTGCAAATCATGTGGCAGGTCAATCTGATCGCACCGACAATATCATATGAAAGCGCCGGAAGGGTCCTTGTTCGGAGAACCGCAGAGTATCTTCCACCTGCCGTTCTCTTTCTCATACCCATACCACCTCCGCACCGCCCATCATGGTTAGAATCACCCTTCAATTGGTGCATCACACGCTGACACGATTTCTCAGAGCAGCGAAGCACCAGCAGTCGAGGAGACCAAGAACTCAGCGATTGACAATGTAAAATCGTTCATTGCAGGAGGTTTTGGAGGAGTTTCTGCAGTCCTCGTGGGTGAGAAGATTTGAGTTGCGCGTCCTGACTTACGTTTATTCGGTTTCAGGACATCCTTTTGACCTGACCAAGACACGATTACAGACCGCGGCTCCTGGCGCATACACTGGTGCAATAGATGTTGTGAAGAAAACTGTAGCTCGAGATGGTGTTACTGGGTGAGAGGCTGCGTCTATGCCAAGGGCTGCTCTCAATCGTTTATCGACAGCTTGTACCGCGGAATGGTACCTCCTCTCCTGGGAGTCACTCCAATCTTTGCAGTGTCCTTCTGGGTAAGTATACAGTGCTTATATACAAATTCCCTGTCTTGCTGAGACTACTGCCTTCAGGCTTATGATGCCTCCAAGAGCTTGATCCTCGCACTTACACCCAAGCGCACATCCGAGAGACTGTCTACAGCAGAACTTGCTGCCGCCGGTTTCATGTCTGCTGTTCCAACGACACTCATAACTGCACCTGTTGAGCGAGCGAAGGTCCTGCTGCAGGTGCAAGGTCAAGGAGGTTCAGGACCCCAGTACAAAGGCGTCTTCGATGTTATGAAGCACCTTTACAGGGAAGGTGGCATACGGAGTATCTTCCGAGGCACTGGTGCAACTATCGCTCGTGATGGACCAGGTAGTGCCGTGTAAGTTTACATATGACCTTTGGAAGCACTTCCACCTGAACCGAACTGATGCTCCTCAGCTACTTTGCAGCGTATGAAGTTACCAAGAAGGCCCTGACGCCAGCTGGGTCGTCGGCAGGAGACCTCAACCTAGGCGTCGTCATGTTCGCAGGCGGAACTGCAGGCGTTGCCATGTGGTCAATAGCTATACCCCCGGATGTAAGGCCTGAAATGAGCTGTAACCCCTCTAGCATTGTATTCACTCCTCTTCAACAGGTTTTGAAATCCCGCATACAATCTGCACCTTCTGGCACATATTCTGGACTCTTTGATTGCTTTAGAAAGACGGTAGCGCGTGACGGGATTACTGCACTGTGGAAAGGTCTTGGTCCAGCCATGGCCAGAGTATGTTGTTTCCATGATTATGCCGAATATTCACTTAATATTTTTCTTCGTCAGGCTTTTCCGGCTAATGCTGCCACATTCGTAAGTTTTATTACTCAATCTGCCTCTGTTACTGTTCTCTGATTGGTGTCGGTTAATGACAGCTTGGCGTTGAAGCCTCGCGGAAGTTAATGGATGGTTTCTTCTGAACGGTTCGCGGTTTTATAGAACATATGTCAAATGGATATAATCATTGGAAATTCGTGAAGCATCGGGATGAAGAAATTCGAGTTGTGCCACGAGACTGTTCAGTGTTTGACGCGTGATGTCCAAGCCTTTGTTGGAGTTACAGCCCTTCGCTTCGCTCAGCTTCAACTCCTGGTAATGTAGCGAAGCTGGCGCACAGGGCATGTATATCAATTATCCATGAGTGTCCTTCTACCGCTATCTCACCGCTAGTTGCTCACTCCGTCATCATGTTGACCATTGACATGAATGTTGCCAGTCGTTCACGAAATTGGCTGTGCGCCGTAGAGAATATCTGGCTTTGGTGAAGCAGATCATCGTGCGCGGGTGGAACAAAATCATTCCATAACGACGAATACACTGGCAGGTTCCCTAGAATCGCTGTCATTGATTCATTGGCCGAATCACTTTAAGTGCTGGTGAGCATGACGGATTCGTCGATCGATCGGACATTCCTGATATGACCGAATCAATCCTGCGTGTACTGTCACGGTCTTCTTTCTGATGTGACTTATGGATGACCGTCCGCTGGACATACTTACAACAGTTAGTCTCCCCTAGACAGACCATAGAGGTGTAGTCTTTGTGGACAGCCGTTTCTTCTCACTTGCTACGGGAGACTACTGGAGACTATTAGACGTGTAGTACCGGCTCCTTCCGAGCAATCAGGAACCGGCAACCTGTCAGTCTCGATATCAACCATAGTGACGGTTATGAGCTTGAGTTATGTCCGACTCGAAGAAAAAATACAAGTCCTCCAGTCAACCACGATCTCTATCAGCTTCTGAGTAGGTCCAACCTATTCCGTAACCACTCAATCTCACTAGCAGTCAGAATTGCTCGTAATTTGAGCAATTTTGAGACATGGTCAACGCATCAGTGTTGCGAACAAGTTTCTCTATCTGACCTTCCTCCCGAATTTCAAGAGGACGTGGGCAGTCTCTTTGGCATTACGAAGAAAATTCCCTCTCTCCTGGTTAGACAGGGTAAGCGGGCGCGTGTATTAATCGTCCATGCTTCTCCATCACGGTGTTCATACGCGACTTTTTGCAGTCTTTTGACTGTAGTCCAGGTTTTGCCAAGTTTATAGCAGATGCTTCAAAAGCGGCACCAGAGCTATTCTCCGACGATGTAACTCATGCAAGCAACGAACTATTCGAAGATGTATGTGTCGTTTTCAGCGCATGGAAGCGTTTGGCAAAGATGAGGAACTCCAAAGAGAAATGGTCTGAGGCGGACTTCGTGGCTAACGTGTGAGTTATCATCAGTTGAACATCGAATACAAGGCTCTAAGATATTGCAGATATAATGTATTTCGAACGTCTGCAATCAGAGAAAGCACCTTCCGGTTTGTCCTATCTTTTCTATACCTGTGGCTAAGAGATTTATAGACATCAGGGTTCAATGCGCGGTTTCCCTCCCGCAACCGCAGGACACATTTCAAAACGCCCTTGACGTGCCTCGCGTGTTGAACACAAAAACAGTTATCCCGGACTGCGCAATATTCATTCCCGCTTCACGGACGCGACCATGGTCCCATTCTGCCAAGTCACCATATAAACTTCTCAAGAACCACCCTGCTGTAGTGAAAGCTGGGAATGCGGCTAAAATGTCTTCTTTCAGGTACCAGAGTACCCCATGTGCTCAGCTTCCCGATATGCCTGGCTTCGAATTCGCAAGCAGTTTTTGGGAGGACAAGAAGCCTATCCATGCTCTTCTTGATGACGCATATCGCCAAAACCGCATGTCAACGACTGCTGCTGTCCGGCATCTCCACTCTCTTGGCATCCATGCCCCTGTCACTGGGCTTATTTGGGCAGATGGCGTTGTCCGCGCGCACGTTGATTGGTGTGAAGAATCTGAGGGAAAGACGGTATGTCAGCTGTTGTTCTAATCTGGATTATCTTATGATATTGTAGGTTGTGATGTCTGCCCCATATCATGATCCCCATAATCGATCGCCAAACGACGTGTTCCACGAGTGGAAACTTGATCGTCCAAGTGACATGTTGCAGATTTACTTCCTTGTTCGAAATATCGACCAGTGGACCACAGGCAAATTCTCAGAGTATGTTGTTCGGGGTGTTAATCAAATGGTGGACAAGTTGTCCTCCAGCGAAATGGCATATAAACCCTGGAAAAGGGTCGGGGACCTGGCACCTCCTTTGAAGAATAACGCACTGAAAGAGAATCACAACATTTCAGTCACTACGGTTGTGACTTCGGATGCGTCTCCCTCTCCACCTAAGCCCAAGAACAGGCGACGGAGACGCAGGTCTAGTAATTGATACCCTCGGACTGATATGTATAATATGTAATTTTGCTTTACAATTGCTTGTGCTACATTGAGTATTTTAATTCAATACATCTACCAGGTGCTATTGAAACGTTACAGTATGAAGTGAAAAACATCTATTTCCACGCAGATGGAATTTTTGTAACAACGTCTGCCCATCGTGACAAGCGACCTTCCTCCCAGTCCTCTATGTAAGAAAGGCCGGCATTAGCACGACGTCCTTCCTCCACTTTCAGGCGTTTCTCAGCATCACACCAGAAGAGGACCCAAGAGCCCATCCGCATGTGACCGGTGCTACGCTCAAAGTACCACTTGTTTACAGGGTTGTCATCACGACTCCGCCAAACAAGGTCTCGTCCTTCACCCTTGCCCTCCTTGCCCCCGTTGGGGTTAATGGAGAACGGGTGACCGAGGCCGTAAGATTCGTCGTGAAGGGCAACCCACAAGAAGTCGACAGTGCCATCGCCCTGGTGGCTAGGCAATACAGCAAACTTGTCGAGATATGAGATGGGTTCAGAGGAATCGGGCGAAGTCTCGTTGGTGACAATGGCGGCACCGACGTAATCTCCAGCGACCACGACAAAGTCGAGGGTCTGTTCTAGGCGCCTGTAAAAAGCGTCAGCACCGAGGGTGCGCTTGAAAGATTTCTCCAAGAGATTGTTCATCTTGGTTTTGTCAACGTCAGCAAGGCTGCGGATGACCTGGATTGGCAGACCGCGACGCAGAAGTGTGGGCGTATCCCGCGTGAGCTTTCGGTTGCCCTGAAGAAGTGCATGAGGCAGGCTTGAGCTAACAGCGGGCTTGTTCGTGATGAGGTTGGCGATGAGGGAACTGGGTGACCGGTGAGATACCATGATGGCAGATGATGTAGGTGGCATGTACGCTAAGCAGGTACGCGCGAGGGATAAATTTGAAAGCGAAGAGGGCTTTCCCTTGTACCATGATGGGTCGTATGTATCGCGGATATAGTCATACTCGGAGTTGACGTTAATGAGGAGATGAGGGAAGCCTTCCCTAGCATAAGAAGGGACACCTCCTTCCCGACTGATGATCATCAGTCGCATAGGGACAAGGTTGATATCTTGGGAGTAGTCTTCATGGGTATCACATGAACCTGACTTCATGCCATTATCATCAAGCGCAGCTGCCTCTGCCATGCCACGAGCGAGGGCGCCGAGAACGTCATTAGCATCTATCCGCACTGATCTGCAGAAGGAGTCCAGGGCGAATGGTGGAAGAACCGGAATCTCCCCAGCGCGAAGAGCAGAACGAATAGCAACAAGGTCCGAGGGAAAGACATGTGCTTCAGGGGGAACAAAATCGTGAGGCTCGGGAAGTTCATCATCTGGCTTAGGACCCAGTCGGACAACGGTGCCCAGGACGGGGCGCGCCTCGGCGCCTTGTGCCTTCCAATGCGGATACGACTCGCATGATCTCTTCGATGATAGCGGAGCGCTCGCCATCATCTCCCCTGACCAGATTATCATTTTCGACGACGATGACGCTGACAAGTCCGAGCTTCTCGAGGTAGACCATGCCCCGGGCGATGCTGTCAAGCTGCTTATTTGTGAACGGACCTTGGAGTTTTACGAGAGCGGTGCGACGGTAGACAGGATCCAAGATGGAAGACACGATGGGGCCCGGGGTAGGCTTAAGCTGCTCAGGTTGTTTGTTGACAGATATATTTGGGGCTTCTTTCGGGACCGATGACGTCGAAGGACGAGTGGATGGGAAAATGGAGTCGGCAGGTTCCGGGGTTTGTGGACGAACGCCAAAATTTGCGAGGTAAGATTTAGTATCCCGCAGGGATGGATTGGCTTTTAGGAGGGAGAGAATAAAGTCCTGGTGCAAGGTTAGCTCGTCACAGAAAAAATAGGTAAATACATACATTATCTGGTGAGTCGAGATCATCAACCTCGACAGTGGGCGGAGGTTGTCGAAGACTTCGAATAGTCTACAAATATAAATCGAGTCAATACAAGTTCCGCTGCGTAGGTTTAGAAGACGTACAGCGTAAAAAGCCCTGAACGTCTGAGTTCGACGTGCTTTCAAAGCTGAAGCTGCGGCGGGGGACAGTATACGAGGGCCATGGAGAACAGTATGTGAGAGCATGATGGGGAGTAAATGCGGGAGTGCGATGTCTTAGGAGATGAAGCTTTTATGGGAGGGGTGAAACAGCATGTATACAGTTAGTATTAGAGCATCCTGTAGAGATCATAGAAAATCTATGAAAGGAACGCGCTGGCAAGCTGCCATGTAAGTGGTCAGACGGACTGCCAATGTGCCATGATGTCGTTTGCGTCTGGCAAAACTTTCTCGGTCATATGATCCAAATTAGAAATTTTCATCCATTCGCTCGTTTGCTTGAACGTTTTATCGATTACTCGCCATCTTACTTCTGGATGAATCCATTTCTGCCGCCCAATCGGCGTAGCAAAACGAGCGCATCATGAGACTGAAACAACCTTTATTCCACCAAGCGCAAAATTTGTGCAAGTAAACGTCAGCGCTCGAGTCAGCAAATATTGACAGGAACTTGCGTTATGCCAACGAAAGCATAACGCAACCATCTAGCCGGCCATGATGCCATCGTGCGTTCTATTCTCCTATGTTTACGTAGCGCCGCAAACGTCTGCACAGGAAGGATTAAGAACTTAATCATTACCTATAGCGCATGGCCGCAGCCGCAGCGCCCCAATCCATGAACGCACATTCTATAGCATTCAGCCCAAACATCGACTTCCGCTTCTACAGCAGATTCATCTACCGTAAGTATCACTAACTGGGCAACCCTGCCACAGTTCCCAGCTCGGATCTTATCTTATCATACAGTGCCAGGCTCTCAGGGCTGTTAAGTATCATGTAAGTAAAAGTGGTCCAACAACAGGGGTACTACAAGATACCAGACATGGAACCATACTCTTCGTTGGTGCCAAATTCGTCGTTGACCAACATAATTGCTATTTTATAGGTCTGTAATAATATCGATCTACAGGTGGGAAGCTACTGGGACAGCCTCGCGTGGTCCTGGACAAAGCGGGATCGCGGGTATGCCGGGACAGCGTTGAGAATACCGTACGAAGAATTAATCTCCACCAAGAACTTTGGGGACATGCACTATAGGAAGCAGTTCTCCCGAGATCATAATTGCGATGTTCATAAACGACTTCGAATGTGAAATTTTGGGAAGTTGTTGGTTCGCGCTTACCCCGAGTCATATTTTCAGTCATCATCCTCCAAACCCCATCGCCGACAGATACGATCGCGCGCGCTTGAAAATGTTGTATTGCTATGTAGCTCCCAGGAAGCTTAGCAGATAAAATTTTAAATGCGTGGCTTGATGCCGTACTATGTAATTTACTAAGAGGCGAAACCACGGACCGGGTTCCTTGACTGGCCATTCGCGTTGTCTGACTCGTTTTAGCTTATACCACTACTTAGTATATAGGATTTGTAGTTGGTAGTTGTCGTTGGGCCGTTGCTGCGCAATTGGAAATGTAGGGCCCAGGCAGCCTCGATGCGTAGCTCTTTTTGGCAAGAGGCGTCGCAACGGTCTCTTCGGATTCGATGATCTGCACTGCTCAAAAAGTGAGAATGCGAAGACGCCGGTGGCTAGACTGCAGATCGGCTCGCGCTGTTAGAGAAGCGTTCAACACGGTCAACGTGTGGCATGCTTACATCCACCAAAATGACGCTGTCTTCGCTGCACATGACAGCATTGAAAAATGGTTCCGAAGAAGAACGCGGTGGAGGTAGGGTACGCCTGGTAAGCCGGTAAGGTAGACTTGTCTGGGCTTTGTCCTGAAAGACACCGCTGATCACCGTTGCATCACATACATGATCAGCAACAACATCTTGAACATTGGCATCTCTCTTTATTGCGAGCTGGTTGAAATCCCGTATCTCCAAAGTCTGCGGAAACATCTGGATCGGCTGAACAAGAGACACATGTTTGGTCCCAAAGACGTAGCAGACCCACGGGGAAAAGCGCGACGGAGACCGCATCAAGCGTGTGCCTGTGGGGCCCCACTCGTCCCAGTCGATATCACGTCGGCTCCCCGTAGGAATAGCCTCAATATGGGATAAAAAAGTGCCAGCTGAAACGAACAGATCGTAGTAGGCGACACGGCCGTCGCACAACAGGGAGGCTGCAATTATGAAGAGTCTGTCCCGATGCGCCATTAAGAAAGGTAACTGGACCTCTGGATCAGGCTGCCAGGCAGGCGATGGATCAGAGCGAATTGAAAACGTTAATGGGCTGGTCCAAAGACCGAATTCGGGCCACAAAAATGCGCAAAAATAATCTGCCGCAAGGCCAATCTTTTCACTAGACGATCGGGCCATATCGAGCACATAGAGGCGGGACCGGGTGTTTAAAGCTTCGATGCCAACGAGACTGCCCACTAGCAAAAAGCGACTGCTGAGGAACGTAAATGTCGCAATTTCAGGGCTGGTACGAGTCTAATAATTATGGTCAGAGAGTCAGAGAGTGGCTCCACAGAACCTCAAACCATTACCAAAACGACTTTGCCCGTTGTCCAGTCCCATATGGTAAGTTCTTGGTTTGGAGCTACGAGGCTCATGAATAAGATACCCAGAAGGTTACCGCACACTTGTAATGTATGCGTTGGGAACGTGTTCCGCACATCGAGGTCATGAACAAGAATAGCTGGTTGAGGCGCCAATCTGTGCCTGTCTCCTGTGGTGAGGGAACGTAGATGGATCCGAATGCTACGGGTAGCGGAGTTTGGGTTGGGGCTGCAGCTGGTCAGATCTGAGATAAATACAGCAGTGAAGTAACATACAGCAAGTTGGAATGCTCGATGAGCACTAGAAGATCTTGCGCAGGATCCATGGTAAAGTCTCGAACATGTATGTCCAGTGCCACATGCCATAACTTTTCTTCGATGTTTCTGTATTTTGATGGCAGCCGACGGAAGTGAAGGACATCTGGCGTGCTAGATTGCGCAAACACGCCACCGTACAACTCCCAGATGTCGCCGTGCATCATCTGTATGTCCTTCGATTCTACCCATCTCAGAGACTCCCATGCAGCATTGCGTTCCTTAAGAAGTACAAGCCGATCTGAGACGGTAAGTGGGCTTGGAGGGCCGTTCATCATCCCGGATACAGCAAGCTCGATGTCATATTGAGCTAGATCGCCTTCTACTATTGACCGGAAGAAACTGCAAACCTGTATGGCATGAGCACGGTCGACTTTATGACCAATTTAACGCACCTCTCGGCAAACCAATAGCGTTCTCCAGTCTAGCGCAGAAAAAATCTTGAGAATGAGTTCCACAGGCAGTGAGGTCAATGTCGAATCTTCCATGATGAATTGTGTAGAAGTTCGGCAGCCAACCGGTAGATCTGATCATAATATTATTATACACGTGACTGACAGATCACAGTTAGCGGCGGGTCTTGTTCTCTTCTCATTCGACTATTGGTTCTTATCCCCTCAGGTTACCGGCAATGATCACCACCCATGGGACAAGGTTGCCCACCAAGGTGTGTGTGTGTATTATATCTATAGATTTAATTTGCTACAATCCATGCAGTTCTACCAGGAGGATATCGTGCGCCGCATCGACTCGCCGAATGTATATGGAATTGTACTCGTGAGTATGTGCCCGCTGGACTCATCCATTGCTCATGGAATCATACAACAGAGATGCTGGCATGATGCTGAGGACATTCCACCACTCCCAAGTCCATTCATGGACCCCTTAATGAGGTCCCTCGATCGTGGCGAGATCGGCGTCTCATTCTTCCCAGGTGGTGTTCGTGACATCGTCCCGGAATCTGACTATGAGCTCGTAGATAGGACATTTCAGTCAGGGGATTATTGCAAGCGTAGCGTCGATGACGTTCGTTCTGGTGTGGTTACTAGCATTGAGGCACAGGCACGGCTTGTGCACGCAATCAGCGGAGAGAAAGTACAAGATTGGAGAGATGTGAAGGAGGTCAGACGTGCTACCGACGTTGATGGTGGAGACTATGTGATCTACGATGACTGGATTGGACAGGTGCGCTTCAATGTCTCGCACGTCGAAAAGCTATGCTGAGTTCCTACATGAAGGTCATAGAGGTCTGTGCAATGCTTGTGGTACAAGAGAGGTGATGATTAATGAATCCATAGTTATTTGACGAACTTCTCGTCTCTGCATCTGGCACCTTCGTGCGCTTGCCTGAAATTAGCTCTCGTCTGACCATCGGGGACAAGGGTCCGGTGAGTTCCACCTGGAGGTTTACTATTCTGTGCACTCACTTATTTTAGGACATTCTTCCGAACCCCGAGACACTCCACGGGACGGTGATTTATCCTCTAGGAGCCCCGCTACCTAGCCCGGATGATACTGTCATAGATATGAAGCGCACAATACTAGCCATATGCTGGCTAGCGGTAAATCAAAGCGTAGGTCCCCTTATCTCTTTCAGTTCCTCACAATCTTAGCGCATCATGGAGTTGGATCCTAGTATCGCCCAACTCAAACAACGACCAAAACGTTTCTGGTCAGGAGAAGATATGACTAAATTGACGGTCATTCGGATGCGTTTGGATGATATACGTGTAGGGGACAAAGTGTTATTGGAGAAGGATGTGGGTATTCCTGTCAAAAAATATGGTGCCGAGTCAGGACCACAAGGCGCACTGACGATTAAGACCCTGTGCGTGACGGAGACGAAAACGGTTGTCAATGTTCTTTGGCAAGATGGGTCCCAGGAGAGCCTCCCTTCTACGGAGCTTATTCCGTATCTCAATCCGGATGAATATGATTGTTGGTAAGATTTCTTTTCTTTTCTGTTCTGACATGGCATTGAAAGACATATGGCTCCTCAGGCCAGGCGACCACGTTTTATGGAAATTTGAGCATGAAGAGCATCCAGCCATCGTCCAATCGGTCAATTCTACTGATCGAGTCGCCATCATTTGTCTCACAAATACTGGAAAGACTGAAGCTGTTTCTGTTCTTGAGCTTGACCCCAACGGCGCCAGCGATTGGGCAGCAGGCACTCCGCATACCCATCTCGGCATGCGTCGTGGTGACAAGGTATTTGTCCACCGTGAGGGCACCTCAAATGGCTTTGAATCCCCCCGAGTTCCGAGGATCGGCGAGATCGAAGAGTGGGTGAGAGAGGTGCCAGTTAGGCCTGACGGCGAATTCAGTGGTTGGAGGCGGACGATGGCGGATTTGGGGACGAAAATAGCCTCGGAACGGAAAGAGAGGCCCAGTGTTTACCGTGTCAAGCATCCAACGAAGGACGATGCATCTTTTTCATGGTTTGGAGAGGTCACTGGGGTAGGTCCCTCACCGAATTGCCACGATCTGGTTCTAAACTAACTCTGCTTGAAGCTACGTCTTGACGGAACAGTCGATGTCACCCATCCAAATGGATCTATGGCCATCTACCCTCTCTCACGGCTGACAAAACTCTATGACAGCCTTGAACAATTTGAAGATGATGGCTGGGAGGGTGAAGAAGACGGGTCTGATCACGGCTCTCATGTTGAGAACACCGATGGTGTATGGCATCTGGATTCGGGTGGCATGTGGCGCTACGACCCTGACGATTCAGAATGGGAAGACGAAGAGGATGACAATGAGGATGGTCATGAAATGGACGTGGATACCTGGGCTGACGATATTGATATTCCACTGAGCAACAGCATGCCAGGTTCTCTGATACCACGCGATGTGACACCAGACGTGGCTGATTCGGCATCACCACTCCCAGTCTCGCCGTCCAACACATCACCAGATGCTACCCAAGAGATAAATGTTCAGGAAGATGAGGATGGTAATGCAGATTCTCCATGGAAGAAGTTCGAGGTTCTCCCGAGTGCACCCCATGACCACGCATTTTACTCGTCGGTGTCAAATCAGCCATCGAAGAATTTCCTCGCACGTTTGACAAAAGAGTACCGTGCGCTCTCAACGAGCCTACCAGGTCTGTCCATCGTCCCTCATATTTGCTTCCAAACTGATCGGAGCAGAGTCAATTCTCGTCCGTGCGTACGAGGACCGCACAGATTTGTTGAGATGCCTCATTATTGGGCCGGAGAATACACCCTATGAGGATGCACCCTTTGTAATTGATTGGATGCTTGACTCAAACTTCCCTCAAAGCCCACCGATCGCTCACTTCTGGAGCTGGACCAACGGCAATGGTCGCGTTAATCCGTGAGTGACGATGAAGGATAGCGCAGCTCTCGACTAATCAAGACCCAGGAACTTGTACGAAGAGGGCAAAGTTTGTTTGTCCATCCTCGGGACGTGGAGTGGAGATCGCACGGAAACGTGGAGCGCGGCAAGATCTTCACTTCTCCAGGCCCTTGTGTCGATACAGGGCCTGGTGTTGGTGAAAGAGCCGTAGGTTTCTGAATCATGTCGTCCTTTTCCCCATCGCTGAGTGCTTTCAGGTGGTTCTGTGAACCTGCGTACGAGAAATTGAGAGGTACTGAGGAAGGCACGGTTAACAGGTGGCGTCCACGCTCATTTCCTCGCAACTACTTGTGACTCACTCCATTATATTATGTTAGTCGACTTTACAGTGAGAAGGCATATGTCCTGTCCCGTGGATTCGTTCGCCGCGCCTTGGAGATTCCTCTCGGTGGGTTAGAAGCAGAGATCAACTGGCTGTACAATACCCATGGCAGACTAGCCAAGGTCCTGCACGAATCACGAGCGCTGATCCAGAAGAGCCAGTCGGAGCCAGAAAATACGGAGGCAGATCAGAATCTCGCGGTGCCCCGCCTGACCGCGGGTGGTATCATCATGCTAGAACGAACGTTAACTAAATTGCAGACGCTTCTTGACCAGATGTAGGATTTTATCTCTTTAGTGTTTTCTACCTGTCTTATCACGTATTGGATATTCGAACATGACATCTATTAAATGCAAGTGGTATGATCGAATTCGAGTGACACCCAATCTCGACGCCCTTCATCAACCGACCTCTACGTAAATAGGATATACCTAACATAATTGTAGATGATATGCAGACCTCCATAGAAGACTTAAACAGTATGGGAGGACGAACAAGGCGTAGAGTACGTGGAAAAGTGTGCACGAGGGAATACATGAACGAAGGAAATCCAATAGAAAGACAGACAGCTGGATGATACTAGTCCGATGGCACCAAAGTCCACAAGAACAGACAGTATAAACGAGCAAAAATGTACGTACTGCCCTAGCACTGACCCGTGTAATTGGTCTTGGGGAAGGGTTGTTTGAAATCGGTCTGCCAAGTCGTCAAGTTCGGATTCGTGTACGCCTCAAGATATCTGAACACATGGACATGAGCAACTAAAACCAGTATCCGTTAAAATGTAGCGTACTCGTTGATATATGCAGCAGTCGGGTAATCCTTGGGGTCACAGCCGATGTTGATGTTGTCTTTAGGCTGGTAGACACGAATCCAGTCTATCCGCATCGTAGCTGGGAAAATCAGGTTGGTGAAGTCGACCGTTGCGAAGTTGGGAGAGATGCCCAAATTGGCGATAAGGTACTACAAGGAGTGTGAGCGAAAGAATGATTCGAGACAGATGTTTTACCATTGGCTCTTGGGGGATTGGTCTATCAGCAATTTGAGTCACCGGATCAGCTACCATTCCGGAGGCGTCGAGGGTCCATGAAACAACATCATTTGCAATCCAACTGATGTACTGCGGAAAGACAGAAAGACAGTGTCAATAATAGCTATCGGCAAAATATGGGTTTCACTTACGCCTCCGTCAGCTTTGTAACCTGACGACGGTGTCAACTCGTGCAAAAACAACGACGATGAGAAATACCTGGCTTATACTGGTATCCATAGGTCTCATAGCACCCGGTGTTCTGTGTGTAGCAACTCTGGTCTAGAAGCTGTTTAACATCTGAACAGTTACAAAGCACATCCGACTTACTTGTATTTGTGACACCAGATGTGGCCTGCTGAAAGACACCACCAATGTACGGGTTGAGTATGGTGACATCTGGGTTGGGGATGTTAAAGTTTCCTGTTGAGTTCTGCCATACGTAGCCAGCGTTCATAGGCTGTCTGCATTATGAGCCACCATATTGAGTATAGACTGTCCACTCACAGCCCACTGCGCAGATTGAGAAACTTGACCTTGCAGAAGCGAACCGGTAACCTACGGCAGTTGAGAAGCCTGTCATGATGAAAAACGAGCGTGCTTACCTGTGCCTCGAAGATATCAATTTCGGGTGCAGACCGACCAACGTACGTCCCATCCGAGTGCACAGGTCCCGGATGGGATTCTCCTTTGCAAGTGCACCTTGACAAACGCTGGCCAGGGAGATACGAAAGCGCGTTGTTGTTGTACGGATCACCGGTGGTAAGAGCTGCCGTTGGTAAGCCATTGTACGTCTGGTTGGAGGTTGTGCCGACGTCACAAGCATCATAAGAGTAAGGCCACTGATGCGGTGGTGAGCGATTGAACTTCAGCCTGAGAAGTGACCCTACCATTCCTTCGAGGCTGGCGCCGTATCCGACTCGTCCTATAACTTGTCAGACCATAGCGTTTTCAAGATACGACGCTACAAACCAAGATTGCCCATTGACCACACTGAGGTCACGTTAGTATGCTCGCAAAAAAGAGTAGCTTCGATACGTACCTGCCGGCCACAGACCTAATTGATGGAAGCAAAGGGTCGTTGAAATATGCAACAAACAAGATAACATGATACGCACCACTGACGTCGTTTGTCCCTGGTAAACTGACTGACACCAGAACCATACCACCTGTGAAACAGAACTTATTCCAAGTGGAGAGCAATGCACTCGTGAAATTCAATTTGTTCATCTCCCTTTCCGATAGAGTGATTTCCAGCGCGCCATTTTTGGTCGTGACCTGATCAGGGTAATACCATTCAAGGTCATTGGTCTAATAACAAATTATGTTTCAGTTGAAGCTAACACCTCCGGAACCGTACCATTTACCTGCCAATAATGAAGGTTCACAGCCTCCCAGTATGGATCATCTCCAGGCCAGAAGGTCCGGTTGTCTTGATTGAATTCATCGCTGAAAACTAACTGCCATTCTGAGGAATCTGCAAAGGACGTGTAGGTATGGGCGGATGATGGAGTGTCCACGTCAATAAGACCATAATTATTTGGCATAGTTGGAATCTTTGTGGTCGTAATAGGTATTTGTAACTTGATGAGAGGAGATGAAGACTTGCCTGTCCGCTCGCATTGATTCCACCAAGGTTGAATCCACCCTCGTTTGAAAGAGATTGCTTTGTAAAATAGGATATCATAGGGTATCCAGCACTGAAGAAGAGGGCGTCAATCTCAAGGGCTGATATAGATGGCGGGGGGCGTACAAAAGGGTGACGAGTCCAACAGCAAGAAAAATAAGGCAGCCGAGATTTGTTAGACCTCTGTAAGTGAAGATTGAGCCACCGCGGTCATTCTTGCGGTCACGACGAGGATCCGGATTATGGAGGAAGTCATCTGGTTCTGCCTGGTTCATGGAAAGAGCGGCACCCCATGAGGACGGATCAGGAGATAGGGAGAACTGTAGTGAACATATTAGAGGCGAAGCACAGTTGAATATGAAAAGATAAGTGTATACGTACCTTATCAGATATTGACTGTCCTTGTAGAGACGCGGTCCGCCCAGCACTGCTGTAAGGCGACTCGTTCTAAAATTCAAATGCAAGGAAGTTCAGGTTGAGAACGTTACGCGAAAGCTGTTAGAGGACGAACAAGGGAGTTTGTACTTTGCATACTTCTCAAGGACTGGGGGCCCCGAGAAAACGCGGCCTGCACGACCTGGGAGCCCCCTGGAGATTGAAGAAGAGTTGCAGTTGAAGGTGCATTTGAGGGAGTTTGAGTATAGAAACGCCTCTGGTTGTCTGAGGCCATCTTGGGTGGAAGGGCAAAATGATTGGATGGGTGATAAGGAGCGGTTATTTGACAAGGATTAGTGTTACAGGTGAAGCCAAGGTGAAGCTAAACTTTGTGGCGAAGGGGGCGGGCGAGGAGAAAGACAAGGAAATAATAATATTCTGAATTTGTCCTTGCAATGTTGTACCCCCGTGGGAAGTAATTAATGTTAACCGCGGATATTATAGATATTTTTATTATCTCAACATATCATCGCCCGCAGTTATAATTCCATTTCACTTTGATGTCCGCCTTCCAACAATCCAAAGAGACCGCCCCCGACCTCCCAATGAATCGAGTTCATCAATATGACGTAGCCCACCCAGGGACGAGTGGTTGCTGTTGATGTTGTAATACCATCCACGGATTCTCCCACCGTCTGGCATCGGTGTTTATGTTCCCTGGGACCTTGACGCCAGATTGTTTTACACCGGGATCAATCGAAACAGACCGTACGCTAGGCGTTTTTTTATGGCTTCTAGCCCTACAATTCAGACCGCAAGATCTGATTGAACGCGCTTGCGCAGGACCATCTTCAGCTTGGCGGAGAGGTAAGATAGTAGCAGAACACTGCGATGACCTCGTTTCAGACCTACATATGGAAGTTTTAGTGGGCAGAAACGTCGATGGATCAGTTACCTGTTGGCCCCCAGATGATCTATGGTTAGCATCGAGGAAACGGCTGGGGTACTGGATTACCTTGGACGAAGACTAGTTTCATGTTCAACTGGGACGACAATGGCGCCAATTTTTACACCCCATCTCACTCGAGCGTAAGGACGCTTCAGCTTACGGCTCAGAGGCTTTCGCAAGAGAATTACTTGATAACATGGGATTCCGGACAGATCGCACTCCGGTGTGGGATTTGCAACACTCCCACTACATTCTCGCTACTTGAAGGGGTGTTATGGTTCAAGCGGATCAGTAGTTACTGAGTCGAAATGCTTTGTACATTCGAACCATCATCATGTATAACGTTGTTCCCTGTTTCGTCTGTCGTCCGACTTCCTCTGAGTCTTCTGTTTCTCTCCAAAGGTCTTCTCAGCTCTCATACGAAGCAAGGCTTTGCGTCCAAGAGTGTCACGAGTAGACGCGAAGACTCGTAGTGCTAGAGTAAAGTTTCTGAGTGACGTAGCCATCGACCAGTCGTTACAACTACGTCACATTCAATTTGATAAGACTAACAGACTAGACGTAGTTCTACTGAACTTCCTGTGTTACTATAGAGCTTTTCGCATTCCCCTCGTCAACTTTGCTTTACTTGTGGTACCTCTCGAGCATCGCCCTCATTTCTGTCTTCTACCCCGCTGGTCTTTGCAGCTACAAGATTTGCGGAACCGGCGAGCCCCCTTTGTACCAGCCACCTTGGGCCCAGTATCCGATAATCCATCTACTGATGCAGCAAGATGGAACCAATCATTTGCCACCTTCGTACTCAGGAAACGGAACCTACCTTATCACCAAGATATGCCAGCCACAGTAAGTTTCCAGAAGCCCTGCGTGGTATGGAAACTACCTGAGTAACACCCAATTCCTACGCACGATTAAAGTCGTCAATGGACTGCCTACTGCACTCGTATCTTATGTGCAGAAAACCTTCAATACACTACGTTCAACAGGACACCCTCCTCCTATGGACTTGTTCTTGGTTTCATTGCGGGAGTCCCATCTCACTTGTATCGAAGGTAGCGAAGTGATGAGTGAGGCAGGTGTGCTGGAGTTCTATCAGGCCAGGACATCCAACTGGTCCACCTTAGGCTCTCTGCCGCACTTGCACAGTGGCCTCTGGGATCGGGGGCGTGTGTTAAGGTGGTCTCATGAAGCATCTTCTCGTTCACACACTATTGCGGGCGGATTCCTCAAAGCTCTAGGGGATGGTGTGGTGCATAAAAGTCCTTTGTAGAAGAGGATGCATGAAGCCGAGCGTACGAAATGGCAATGGTTACATGACCATTCAATTTTGCCACTCTTGCAACATGGGAATTCAAGAGTTTGTCTGTGGGGTCTCAAGGCATCATGGATGCTGTGACGAGGATTGCCCGGAGGGGTGTATTGTCATGGTCACTTTGCACCCCGGGTTGCGAAGAGCATGTCACGCGTCTTCATACTAATGCATCTTCAAGCAAGCCTGTTGGACGTGATGCTACGTCGACATCCATGACATGGCTATTTGGTATGTACACTTTTGAATGCCCAACAATACGAAGTTTAATCAGTATTCATAGAATGTTATTCTTCGCAGTTTCCCGATCCTGAATCCCCCCTGGTTCATGACACCGATACCTTGGACCCTAGAGAACAAACAACACATGACATGATTGAACAGGTGAGTTCTATGATCCACGTCTGCTGTGGTTCGAAGATTGATATCAATACTACAAGATTTGGGCCTAGGCCGTTCTTAATGATAATACCTTTGTGTATTTGAGCTCTGGGAGCATCGAGTATATTGGGATTAGACATCGCAGGTCGCGAACCTTATATTTATCCACCCATCAACCGCACTTCCTCTGACCTGCCACACGGCTGGCTGCAGACTGGGCTGTATCTCGCCATCCTTGAAGGTGCCATTATGAGATTCTCACCCGAGAACCACCTGACGATGGGCGGGTTGATACTGACTGGAAGGAAGACGGAGGTAGAAGAAGGGGACACTGAGCACATGCACACCTCAATCAGTACTACATTTTCTCCGATATAATCACGAAACTTATCATTGGCGTATTGCAGACTACAACACTAGACACCATTACGACAGCTTATGTACGGCTACAGTATGGAGTTTATGATTCTGTCCGCCCAGCTCTATTTGCCCAAATGTCTCACTCTGCAACTCCCTTGCGGTCCCCCTCCATCTCCACCTCAGAATACCACGTCCTTGTCGCACTGACCAGTGAAATTGCTCCTGGTGCTACCGGTGTTGTGCACGGTGGCATTCTTGACATGGAGATTGACCATGCTCCCGCGTCCCTCCCAATTGTCATGAAGCTGGCTCTTATTCCTGAGCAGACCCAGCAGTTGGAGCACGAGGAGCGTGTTTATAACATCCTCAAATCTGCCGGTATACCAATTCCTAGGATATATGGCCTTTTCTGGGATTGTCATGGAGATGCCAGTGCCTTGTTGATGTCCTACAGTGGCACAAGCATTGAAAAGTCCGGACCTACTAAGTAGTCCGTTTCTTATTGTGTGGTTGTAGAAACTCCTAGTAATCTTCTCACCAATGACGCTGGAGAGACTGCCATCATGGATTTTGCTTATTCAGTTATCTGCCCTCAGGCTCAGGCACATGCGCTCGAACTACAACAAGTTTCTGATATGTTGACTGACCCCATGCCTTTGACGGTTTGATCCTCCGCATAGCGGTCAGAAACCAGAAACCAATGTCACCAGTAGTGTCCCAAGGCACCCCAAAAGGGTTCATTCTATTGCGCTAATACTTCAGCTGTACCTGTTGGCGAGACTCATACTTACTTACTCATCCCATCATATGGTCCGTGTGTTCCTCCAATATGTTACAAATACTGTACAGTTGTTCACCTTCGCCACTCAGCGCTCAGATTTGCCCTGATACTTTTTACATCGCGCATAGCATTTCCCACCTCGGCTGTCAGCATTGTTCTATCATTACGCCGAGGTGCGTATTCTTGTAACTTACACTTGGTACTGTAACTAACTCGTAGACCTAGACTCAGTCTAGACTCTAGGTAATACCAATAGTGTTGGTCTGTCATCACGCTGAGACTCGTACAGTATTTTCTTGTCTCAATGATTATTATCCTGTACATGTATCAGTGCGGCCACTAGCGCGTCTCCCAATCAATAAATGTCTATCTCCAGTCTATATTAGAAGGAACGACTATCTTCCTTCATCTATATAGGGCTGGGTAGGGGAGACATTACTAGTGGTGTCATCGACATGTCATTGGTTGTAGTTATGATTTAATTTCACCTTGCTGTCCAATACCCGCGCCTTCCAACAATCCAAGGAGACCGCCCCGACCTCCCAATGAACCGATATTACCCAGTTCATCAGCCGCTCTCTCAACACGACGTAGCCCAGTCCGCTCCCCGCCCTCTCCCCCAATCTCCATTCCTCTTGCTGCCGCTTCCTCATCAATTTTTTGTAGCCTGCTTACAACCCCCCGGTTCGCTCGTTCCAAAGCTGCTCGTCCAGACGCTCTTTCTTCAGTAGTGACATACGGATAATTGGGCTCGAGCTTCTCTAGCACCTCCGATTTTTTTGCCCGGTAATTGTTCCGCGTCGTGCTTGGCGGATGTGAAAGTAGAATATGCGTAGTGACAGGTTGTGGAGCCTCGGCGCTTGCAGCCTGAGATGGTTGATATGTGTATGCAGTTTTGTCCAGCCACTTGTCCAGCGCAACCAGAGCGTCCCTAGATTTCTTCACCTTGTCATGCTTTGACGGTCGACCTTTCTTCTTGGGTGCATTTGTAGTGGCAGAAGCTACCTGTTCATATGCATCCGCGACGTCTGACATAATTTTTTCCCTCGGCAGTTCTCGAGGATTAAGCGGATACAAATTAGACGGAGGGAGTATGAGAAAGAACTGAGCTTTTTGCAAGGCGGAAAGTACAAATATTACGTGAGGTCTCAAAGGGCGGAGTAAATCCGTATTGAGCACGTCGGGCAGCTTCAGTAAAGACTGATACATATCTGTGATCCAGTGAGCTACCCGATCTCGATTTAATACAGAAGTGCGGCTTACCAATTGTCACAGGAAGATGAGCGAGGGCATGTAACGGCGGAGCTGACGTCGATGGCTGAGTCGCAAAGAAGGTGTAAAGACCGAATAGAGCAGCAGCTCTAATAAGAGGAGACTCAGATTCTGCTAACCGTTCTGTGTACAATATGGGTAGGTCACTGCTCAGGGGAAACGAAGCATCGCGACTTTACCTGAGAAGAGTCGCATAGTGACTTTAAGAAAGGAATCGCGAGATCTGGCGTCAAATGCCTTGAAATGCAACCATGTCCATCCGCGGTTGGTCCAGATCTCCTTGAACAGCACAAAAGGCTGAGGAGGCGGAGACCTGCCATATCGCTCGATGTAGACTTGAATAAGGTGATCGATGTCTTCACGTGCGGGGTCCACAAACAAGGAAGACGTGAAATATGTGGGCTGCAGGACCACCTGGCCTCTGGGCGTTGTATGCGTTGGGGCCAGTAACATTGTGGTTACATCCACAACTGAAACTTTAGTGAAACGAATGAAATTTCCTTTTCTGTCAGTTTATAAACAACTGCAAATACACTTCACAACGCCGTTTAACCAAACTTCTTCTATGCTGACCGTCATACGCCTCGCACCAAATGCCTCCCCTCTTTCGTAACACTAGCAGCACAATCTGCTTCTTCTGCCGTTCAAACATTAAACCTGCGCCGCCGGATCCACGATCTTTTCGCTGCCCGCATTGTGACTGTTGGAATCGCTACGACGCGAATGGCGAAATTATGTCAGATGAACCTGCTATGCACGACGAATCCCTGAACTCAAAGTCATTTGCCAAGCGAGGTAAGCTTCGAATTCATCGGTGCTTTTCACCCTCTGATTCATTCACAGCTTCTCCCAGCAAGGACCGCCTGCCATCCATGTACGGAAGCGGCCAGTTCTGTCACACGTGCCAGACCAACCAAATGCTCTTGGTCAACCTTCTTTCAAATTACCTACCACCACCACATGTAGGTACTGCCCTTTTCCGCGCGTCGTATCACACTGAACGTCCTGAACAGCATCCGGACTATGAACAGCGTCTAGAGAAACTTCCAGAATATCCGTGAATCATTGCATGTACGATATCCTCCGGTGTGTGCCAACTGTATGCCTGCTGTGGAAGAGGAGATCCGGAAGAAGGATCATATGGCACGAACGAAGGCTCTGGGTGGATGGCTAAATGACAGCAGAGGTAAGGAGAAGCAGAGACAAGTTTCGGGATCAAGCAGAGAAAGAGAGAATCTTCAGACCCATCTAGCTTTGTGGAGAATAAGAGGGCTTCTTTGGTTTATGACGTTAGCCGTGGCTGTTGTTGCTCATTCGTCTGGTGCGTCAACACATTCTCACAGATCTGACATGACCATCATCTGACTTTCATGTCGCAGTTGTGTTGAGATTGCATTTTCCCGATGTACTAGGTCATGTGCGACATGCTCTTCCACTTGTCACTTTTTGTAGTATATTTTGGACCGCCTGGGATCCAACATACTACTCCTTCCGGAAGGCGCGAATACAAGGTCGCGATCTCCGCGTTCGCGGCAAGAAAAATTATATCGTCAGTCCTTGTGACAAGTCGTCGTCTATTCTACTGACGCACTATCAGATTCTCCAAATGACCGCATGGTTCTCTAGACTGCTCTCATCTATTCTTCTCGCGCTTTCATGGCACTCGCCTTCGCGGGACTACCTGTATCTCTCGCAATACCCAGCATCATCACGAACTCGTTACTATTGTCTAACATCACTCGTCGTCGAAGTGCTCGTAAGTACAAATCACACCTTCCCCCTTCACTCATGTTCACAGGCGTCATGCGCTCAGATCTGTGCTACCTCATTTGTCGCTCTGCGCGTGCAAAAACCTCCGCCCATTCGCTTAATTGATACTTCTAGCCACCAGCATCTAGCCACTTCTGCCCGTCCTACTCCTGAGCCTCGCGCATCACCCGCACCTCACTTGCATACTGCCAGCGAGCCAGACCTTCTCGCATCCCTCTCACTCTCATCAAATCCCATAATCTCCCCCAGCAACCCGATCTTCGGCCTCCCGTCTCTCATCGCGTCCAATTCAACATACACGTCCTCTCAAAGCAAGGTGGATGAAGACGAGGACGAAGATGCTATGGATTGGATGCCCACCGTTCCATCGCCGGCGAAGCCGAGGAAGATCCTTAATGACAATGATGACGGTTCGTGGCTCAAGCCACAGCGTTTCTTCCCTCCAGAACGACCGACGGGCTTGGAGTCCTTGTTCGCAAGTACAAAATTGGACGATAGAGATCAGAAGCCTTCGTCTGCTGCACACACCCCTCATACACGGACTACCCTACTTCCGTTCATCACGCGCTGGTGGTGGGTGGGTGCCACGTCCTTCATCCTCGTTCCTTTTGCGGCTTTAGCTTTTAAGTTCTGGCGAGGAATGGAAATACCACGAGAAAATTCGACCTAACCCAAGCTCCGTTGTGTAGATTACAATATAATAGTCATTAGTGACCTGCACAAAAGACAGTCTTTTATTGAAAGAGATCACTACCCGACCGTGCAAGTAATATCAATAGACCGACCGCACTGATTGGCTGGTAAGGCATAGCATCAAAAACACAAGAATAGCGACGGGGGTATAATAAGTACGATGGGAAGAAAATGCAATAAATTGGGCATGGACGCGAAAAATATAAGCATAACGTTTGTCGTCTAGGAATAACGTAAACGAGACAGAGGCGAATGCGTGGTCCAGCAAGCGGATGTATTGACTGATACGACAGAATAAAAAGGTGAGTAATGCAGAAAATGGATACATCTCCGCCCCCACTCTATGAGAGACGATGGAGAAATGGACTGCGTGCAACATCCAACTTTTCTCCGTGCCTGGCTTCGGCCGTCTCAGTATCCGTGCGTGGCGTAGCCGCCATGGTGAAGTGGAACGCCATACTGGTCAGACTGATACTGACGCGAAGTGAAACTAGGACCACGCGCTAGTTCCTGCATCATGGGCTGGGGACTGGGACCACGTGCAAGGTCAGCGTAACCGCCAACAGGCGCGAGATTGGCGGGCCCTGCAGTGAAATCATGGTCAGGAATGGGGTTGAGACCTGCTGTGCCAGCGCCGACGTGCCCGTGGCCAGATCCGGAGTGGAATGATGATGCGGTGGAGTTGCGGCGGTTCATACCGGGAATACCACCATCGTCATCGTTATTCGGCTGCCAGTCAATAGGTTGCATGCGGTCTTCAAAGCTAGAAGATTTGCCAAACTTCCACTTGCGAATGATGGTCCAAATGATGATGGAGCCACCGACACTTGTAGCAACGACAATGAGGACGATGAGGGCAGTGTGCGTGATACCAGTAGAATCAGAGGACAAGGAGGATGGTGTGGCGCTTGCACCTGCAGACGCAGTACTGGTAAGGAACACTACTGACGGAGAGGAGCCCTGAGAGCCCGCCTGCGTGGGTGCAGTGGTCGTAGAAGGACTGGGTTGAAGACTTTGGGTAGTTGACGGTGTTGATTGAATGCTGCTAGTTGGGGAGGTGGAGGATTGGGAAGATGACGACGACGACGACGACGAAGAAGAAGTCGAGGTCGCTGTCGTTGGTAAAACTGCGCTAACTATAGTTCCAAGTAGCCCACCGGAGTTCTATTGATGCAATTTCAGCTCCGTATCTAGGATGGACATGGTGAAACTCACCGAAGTAGCAGAGGAAGAAGAGGATGAAGAAGATACAGAAGATGTGGTTTTACTATCAGCTGTAGTTACCGTTAACGCTACGGACTGCGTTGTCACGGCGGTGGTTGTAGTAGGCGGAAATCCAAGCTGGGGAGCCGGCGCCCGCTTCTTGAGGAAGCGGTTGTGGCTGACTTGGTGATTTGAGTCAAATGCTTTTGCATCTGATGCAATGACCAAGGAGAGAACGAGTGTGATGTAGAAAAGGAGAGAAATTCTGAGTTTTGGCATCTTCACCAGAATTTGTCGCGTGTTGAAGAAAACTTGAAGCCTAAACTAAACCTCGGCGACTACAGGCCGCAGAGAAGAATGGTCGAGATTGAGATCGAATGAGTCCCAGCGAATAAATGGACCAGCCGTCGATACAAGACAGTCAACGTCGTGGTTGAGAACGATGAGGAGTTGGATAAAAAGGTCAACAAAAAGAACCAAGTTACGGCGATAGAAGGTACTCACTCAGTGAGGTAACGGTTCTCTGATTATCTATCCGAATCACGTCGAAAAGACAGAAGGAAAAAAGAATGTCGTTGTATTAGCGTAAAGGAGCGAAACCGCGGCGTTGGCGTGTGTTGTAGTAGAAACAGATGAGCGTCTGTTCAGGGCTGTCAAGGAGACCAACAACGAACGCGGAAATATGTCAGCCGCCGTTTCATTTTGCCATAGCTCATCATTTGTAGATGGTATAAACTACAACACGCGTTGAATATCGATCTAAATTATCAGTGCTCCGAAAGCACAACGGCGGAACGTAGGCTAATCAGTGTCATATTGTGAAGCTGCGTACGTCCAAAGGGGTGAAATAATTTCCAACTCAAGAAAAATCAATCTCGTCTGCGAACGTCCGACATCGCATAACAACGAAGGAAGAGTCTGAAGAAATTGTAAACTAAGAAGGGCCGGTCAGTGACCATTGGCTCAGAGGCACAGAGCTGGGGGTTGTGTATGCACTGGAAGACATTCCTGGCCATTGCGGGTTAATGAGCACCTCCAACGTGTACGAACCAGCAGGCAAACTGATCACTAGGACAGTCACACCATCATTAGGCTGATCAGGTTGTGGGGGAGTAGGATCATTGGCGAACCGAGTAGCAGTCAAGGTGCTGAACTGAGCGCCAGATGGAGGATTCAGCAGTTGAACAATGGTCGTCGCCGAACCAATGGTGAGTGTAGCTGTCAAGCTATCTGCACTTATGGAAACGGTTGCGTTGGTGTGTGCTCGCCACATGATGGATTGTTGAGCATTGATCTCATCCTGAATGAGCACCTGCTTGCGTCCGTTGATCAAGTGAACTCCGCGGGAGAACGAGGTACTACGGGTGGTAATTAGTGCAAGTTCCGCATACAAGTATCAGCAAACATACACGTTGAAATATGCACTCGTCAGGTCCGCAACGAAGTAGGCGCTTGAGTCACCGGGAACATTCATCACAGTACTGGACCCCTGGACTGTACCCGAGGTGTCATGGCTGACGGTTGGAGCAGCGAGGACATTTTGGTTCTGCTGGTTGACCAAAATGGTGTTCTGACCCTCCGTCATTTTGCGGTAGTATAACCATCGCTGACTGTCTTGTGCATCACTGCTGAAGTAGCCTATTGAGTTGTAGTCTCCAGATCCAAGCTCTCCGAACCAACGAACAGCCGAGAGCATCAACGACGAAGTCGCCGCAATCAAGGTCGTTGTGCGTCTGGTGACCCTGCAGCGTGCCCGCTTTAACGGCGACGTAGAGAGCGTTCTCGTCTGTCCAGCTGGATCGCATGGAGCCCCATTGATCAGTGCTGTTATCGAAGAAGTGGTCGAGTGCTAGACCATCCCAGAAAGCACCCGTAACAGCAGGGTTGTACCAGAACATGCTCCATGGCTCAGCAGCATCAAACTGATCACGCTGGAAAAGTTGGTACTGCGGCATGTTGTACTGCTGGCCGTAGAACATCATGGCGTTGGCAGTGGTGGAATATTTGTTTGGACCACAATCACCGTAGCCGAAGAGGGAGCCGGGGCCAAACACATACATGTGGTATAGACCGGTATATTGGAAGTCTGGATTGACGGACAAAAGGTCGTATGTGGAACCAGTGGCGGTTAACAGCGAAGATGCCATCTCGGCGTGGCCGGTAGTACCGAAGTACCAGTAGTTGGCTGTCTCAGACCATGTAGCCGTCGCTCGAAGGAGCAAGAGCACAGTTCTGGAGGGCATTGGGAATGGTCATGGAAAGAATTTGTTCAGCGATACCGGTGGTGTCATCGCCGAGGATAGCAAGTGCACCCATGGTAAGGCCGTTGTTACAAACACAGTTCCAGTTGCCCTCTGTGTTATTTCTCCACCAGCCAAAGGCCAGCGGGTCGTTGGTGTCACTGTAGGCGGTAATCCCGTTACTAAGGCCGTACTCAATCATAGTGGCCATGATCGAGGCCCTCTGATCAGCCGTCCACCCACTGTACAGCCAGTCGTAAGCGATAGCATAGGCTGCAGTGAGCTCAGCAGTGTCAAGGAAGTGAGTTGGGTTCCATTTCGTGTTGTTAGCAGGGCCCCAACCGCCAGTCAGGTTGCCAGCGGCGTTCTATGATCACGGGGCGTCAGACGTCAGGCGACCTCGAACTAGACAATGAAACATACCTGCAACTCGGTATAGGTGCGATCCAGCCACTTCGTGTCATTGGTCATGCGGTATGCGTAAGAAAATGCCTTGACACGTTGCTTGATCTCACGAGCAGGATCCAAAATACCATTACCGCCATCCAAATAATAAACGACAGGAGGCAGGGCCATGTATTGTGAAGCATTTCCGAAAATAGTGTCGTTCCAACCAGAAAGATAGGGATCATTTTTGATGAGGTTGGGAAGGGTCTCCCACATGTAAGTAGGAGCGATGAGGCGAGGCCTGTCAGAGCGAACTTGCGTGGGGCTGGGGTTGGATGGTTGGAAAGGATCTTGCGGCCAGGCAAGATTAGCGTCGGTGGTGGAAACGAATGTAGGAGTAGTAAAGGCGGCGGTATTGGTCTGCGGGATTAAGACAATCAACAACCCGAGGAAATTTCTCGGGATGCAAGACTCACGGTCATTGGGTAGATAGGCACCAAGTATTGGCTGTCTGTTGCGGTGGCGAAACGACCGAGATTATTTTTCGCACTGATGGCTGAAGTGGCAGCCGCAGCCGCAGAGCCCTGCGTCGAAGAGTTCTTGCTTGAGCGACTGCCCAGAACACCACCCAAAACTGCGCCAGCGATGATGACAATGGCGACGGGTATGCCGAACTTCACCCATTTACTAACGGCCTTCTTGGGCGGGCTATGGGGTGTAATGTAACCTGACGACTCGTTGTAGTAGGGATCTCCAGACCCGTACGGGGAAATTCTAGGCTGACTATTCAATGCATCATAATTTGCAGCCATTGCTACAAAATGGCCTGCAGGGTAGGCCGAAAAGAATGTAAAGGAGAGACTATAGGTGGGCGTTGACTAGGAAAAAAATAGCCAGATGAAGAGACGAGCGCACGAACGGTGATGAAGGTGAGATGGGAACAGAAGCAATTGTGTATTCGTCGGACCACCAATTTACAAAACGGCATCACGGCTAAGCTTAAGTATCTGGATACCATGGTCTCAAAATACAAAGTTAACGGTAAAAATATCCATCTCTTCACTCCCGGACAAAGACTGCCGCTGCACCCATTCCAGTCCCGATACACATAGAAGTGACCAACACCTGCATCAAATTGTTAAAGGTAATTCAGTTAAAGAGGATTGAATACATGCCTTTCCCTTTCTCCGGTGGAGCTCATTTAATCCCGTAACAATCTGTCTCGCTCCGGTGCACCGTAATCAAAGGCACTCCATATCAGCATGCGGTAAATAATATACAACGCGAGGGATGTACTCATCTAATGGGTGGCCAAAGGCTATAGCGCCTCCGTTAACGTTCACTTTCTCCGGGTTTAGACCGAGCTCCCGGATGCAGTAGACGTACTGCGAAGCAAATGCTTCATTAATCTAGTTCATGTACCAAAATTGAGCATGCACCCCTTGACGAGTCGTTAAACTTACTTCATACAGGTCAACGTCTTCTGTACTCAACCCGGCGTTTCGAAGAACCATGGGGATGGCGTACACAGGGCCAATGCCCATCACACGAGGAGGGCAGCCTCTCGAATTTTTCAGCAAGGAAATGCCTTTTCTGGAGATTTCCCTCACCTGCAACAGCGGTACTGACATGCTTGCCCAGAATTTTAAGTCCAAGCTCCTCTGCCTTGCGCCTAGTCATCATCATGATTGCTGCTGCGCCATCAGTGATTTGGCTTGCGTTCCCACCCGTCGTGCATGCTTTGCCCCATTGAGGGAATGCTGACCGTATCTTCAGAAGTGCCTCTTTCGTCGTCCCGTAACGGATACCATCGTCCTTTGTTACCACAACCATTTTCCGTTCACCAGTGGTAAGATCTTTCTGGTACACAGTGAATGGAACAATCTCCTTCGCGAAGTAACCGGATTTCTCAGCGTGTTCAGCCCGTTGAAAAGATTTCGCCGAGAACTCGTCCATAATCTCCCGCGAAATATCAAAATCTTGAGCGACATTCTCGCTGGACCAACCCATGGGATAAAGACAATCCTTAGCGGCAGCATTTGCCCCAAGAGCTTCGGACTGAGGTGGAGCACCTTTGTCAGGGCTTGCATAGTTGAGCCTCGCAAAATAAACTTGAGTTTTTGACATACTTTTGGGACATGGACTCAGCGCCGACAGCAAGTCCAATTTCAATCTGGCCAGAGCGGATTTGATTTGAGATGACAGTTGCGGCCATGAGGCCACTAGAGCAAAAGCGGTTGACAACTTGAACTGGTACAGTTTCCGGGAAACCCGCTGCCAGCGCGGCTCCTCTAGCATGATAGACTGGGTCTGGAGCGAGTACTGTGCCCACGCAGATGTCACCAACGGTATTCGGATCGACATGAGACTGAGCTATTGCTTGCTGAAGGTCTGCTCAGTGAAAATTACATATAGGCGTATGCAACGAACGTACCTTGAACATCTCCAGCAAAAGCTCATCCGTCCTGTCAATTAAATCAGACATGAATACTATCCCCAGCGACGGTATCGACCACTCACATCATGTCTTTCAGAGCACCCTTCTTCGCTTTGGTCAACGGAGAACGGATGGCCATTGTTATGACCACGTCATCTGGATGTTTCTGCTCCAAAGCAGTCAAGCCCGTGGCTGAGGAACCCGTAAGATGGGAAGAAAGCTGTTTCAGGCGTTGCAAAGCCATAGTGAATTAATTTGAAGAGGTCCTCTCAAACAGCAAAGCAAAGAGTGCAGCACGTCCTACCTAGGGTGCCGAAAGCCGGAACCAATCACTGCACCTTGCTTTGCAAGGTTTCTCCGACCCATAATTGAAGCCGTTCCACGTGACTGAACGCAACAAAGGGCAAATGTATATGATCGATCCCATTGCCTCTCACAACGCTGGTCGAAACGTTGACGTCGCGAGCTCGCGTAGGTGATTCAGAAGGTGTAACATTAAATGGTAGACAATAGTGATAAAACACCCCTGCATGGCAAGCAAGGTTTCTGCCGACGCAGTCGGCACTTCCCGAATAACGGAAGTTGTTGAAAGCATCCGTGCTTGAACTCAACTTGAACTCCACATGAACTAATCTCTTCTCAGGCTGCTGTATCTCGCCGTCCCACTAAGTATCATTGGTACCCATGGCCTAAGTATAATACTCTTATCACTCCATTTTGCATTCGTTCTCAGCTTTTTCACAAGTGTCAAGATCGCACTCGCTCTCCAGAACGATCATCTGCTCTATTCCTCTAAACAAGGAATATAAAAGACGCTGAGGAGTCAGGACGTCACCCAGTGGTACTCCGTGCCGTTGATTCCTCTCACCGTATGACAAACAAGACGTAACTTAACTACTGGCTTGGGCATGATGCTGTACGTTCGATTGAATCACGCTCGATATGTTAATCCAACTTGATTCCACAGTAAGTATGAAAAGGGATGTACTTCACTTTACGGAGCTCTTACGCGATACGAGCGACCTGTCTGCGCATACGTTGACCTTATCAAGTTATCGCTGGCCGTTTCTTAATGTGCAATGTGCCAATCACGGAATGCCCGCAATTATCTTCAGCGCTTATTCATTTCAACTCCAAAGATATCCGCGGTGTGCGTTACATGTGGGGAGAAGACTGGGCCGCGTACCTGCTTGGATCTCTCTCATGCTTATCTTCGCATACTTGATAGCTAAATTTCGGCAGCACTTTAAAGTCTGATTTTTTTTTTTCAAATAGCGCGTTCGAAACATCCCGTCTGTCGTTGCAATGTCGTCAACCACAGGGTCTGAAGTTCTGACCCAAGGTGTAGGGTATGGGGTTGTGCTCGGTATCGGTTTCGTGTTTGCTATCCTCATGATGGGTTTATCAACCCTTCAAAATCGATACACGACCTACAAGATCGCCACTTCCGAGGAGTTCAACACGGCATCACGCAGCGTCAAACCTGGTCTAATTGCTTCTGGCATCGTGTCAGCATGGACCTGGGCGGCCACACTCTTGCAAAGCTCTACAGTGACTTACGAGTACGGTCTATGTGCTGGCTATTATTATGCAGCAGGTGCTACGATTCAAATATTCATTATGGCAATTCTCGCCGTGCGGATTAAAATGATCGCACCATACTGCCACACCTTCCTCGAGATCGTCCACGCTCGTTACGGTAATGGAGCACATTTCATGTTCGCGACCTTCGGATTGGTCGTCAATCTCATTGTCTCTAGTATGCTACTGCTCGGTGGCAGTGCAGTAGTTAATGCCTTCACCGGGATGAACATTTATGCCGCCAACTTTCTCATTCCGCTAGGAGTCTGTATCTATGTCATCCTTGGGGGTCTTCGCGCAACGTTCCTATGTCGGTGATCGACAATTCCCCCCAAGTTAACCCACTGATCTAGGTCTGTTTGCAGGCGACTACTCACATACACTCATCTTGATGATCCTCATCCTTTACTTCTTCTTCTGGACCTACACGAAAGCGGACCTCATCGGCGGTTTTGAGGGAATGTACCACTTGCTACAACAAGCAAGCATTGAACGACCTGTGGCCGGAAACCAAGATGGCTCATACTTGACCCTGAAATCTAACTGTGAGCTGTCTGTCTCACCCCCCACAGACGTTTACTGAGGGTTCTTTTTGAGATGGCCTCACATTTATGATTATCCAGATCACTGGTGGATTCGGTACTGTCATGCTGGATCAGGCTCGTTATTTGGTATCGTAAAAGTAGATATTTGCTAATATCACGAATAGGGCTACTGGCAACGTGCAATCGCATCAGAAGCAAAAACTGCTGTCCGAGCCTATCTTATGGGCGGCATTGCCTGGTTTGCCGTTCCTCTCACTTTCTCCTCCATCATGGGTCTTGCTGCTGTCGCGCTTGCCAACAGTGAGTTTTAGTATATCTCGAACAAAATTCTAGGTACTTATCTGATGACACTTTAGATCCCAGCTTCCCGTATCCTGGTGGACTCACGGTGGCGGAGATTAATGCTGGCCTGGCTGCCCCTGCTGGTGTAGTGACACTATTGGGCAGTGGTGGTGCAGCAGCCATGGTGGGCCAATATTTCTCGGTCAATAACAACTGACTGACTGTAAATATAGTTGATACTGCTTTTCATGGCAGTGACCTCAGCTGCATCCTCCGAGATGATAGCGACATCGTCCATTCTCACATTTGATCTGTACCAGATCCACTTTAGGCCTGATGTACGTAGAAATCGGTCACTCCCAAGAACAAACGCTGATGGTGATACGTCCAGGCATCACCAGAGACTCTTATGCGTGTATCTCACATAATGGTCGCAGTGTGGGCTCTAGTCATGTCATGTGTTGCCTCGTTGTGGAACGGAATTGGCATATCGTTGAACTGGTTGTTCTTGTTCTCAGGAACTTTATTCACTGGCGCTGTTGGGCCAGTTATCTTCAGTGTAGTATGGCGCCAGCAAACTAAAGAGGCTGCCATCAGTGGTGCATTGGGGGGAGTAGTGGTTGGCATAATCGCCTGGCTGGCAGTTGCAAAAACGTATTACGGTGAATTAACTATCGCAACTACAGGTAAGTTCGTATCCACTGAAGGTATTGCGCTCTACGCTGACGAAGGACAAGGACAAATGTATCCCAACCTCGCCGGAAACCTGGGCGCTTGCTGCTCAGGTGCTATCATTTCTGCGGTGATCACTCTCATCAAGCCTGACAATGAGTTCGATTGGTCTGCCACTAAAAGAATCAATCCCAGAGGAAGAGAGATGGATCGAAAACAGGCAACCTTACCAGGCTCTGGCTCTGGCTCCGACACTCCTGTCGAGAAAGAGAAACAAGAAAGTACCATGGTGGATGCGGCATCGGCCAAAGACTGACATGACGATTGATGTCCCAGCTGAAGAATACGCATCGCTTCAGAAGTCACTCAAGGTCGCTACTTGGGCCTCGTTGACAATGACATTCGTCGTACTTTTCGTGAGTGCAAAGTCGTGTGTTGATGCTCGGTTATTAACTTGATCGCAGCTTATACCGATACCAATGTTCCTGTCACACTATGTGTTCTCTCTGAACTTTTTCAAAGGTTGGATCATCATCTGTGTGACGTGGCTCTTCGTGGCTGCTTGTATTACATCAGTCCTCCCCCTCTGGGAGAGCCGTGCGGCGATAAAGGACATTTTCTTGGGTATGGTTCGGGACATGTTCGGGGGCGCAAGGCGCAGGGAGGCAAGGATTCGCACCAATGCATAGTTGTATTCGGTAGATATTACTTACTATGCGCAGAAGAAAATCTTAAAGATGACCGAACATCTGAGTACTTGATTATGGGATACACTCACATGAAGAATTACATAATCCGGTGGATACCAACCATGTTCTTGCCGATCTTACCCCTTTACTTAAGTATTAGAAGGAACAAACTTTCTATCCGACCACTTGTACCCGACATAGACATGCCCGTAACCATTATACCCTCAAATCCAGTACCAGCTGCGTTATCGGGGACATTTAGATTCATAGGTTGGACCAACATTAAACTTTCAATCTGTTGCTGGTATTGATCTGGCTAACCATAGACATCGGAGGTGAGTCTGTGTTACAGGAATAGTGGTACACTATCGGATTTACGATTCCAATATTTTTATTCGATAGTTAATCTCACAGATCCTGTATTTCAGGGCATTTACCATGGCAAAAGAAAGCACGAAGGTTTGTCGTGGCCTTAGACTAAATGCTCCTGCAATGTCGCTAATATCAATTCGCAGATGACTTCCAAGCAGTGCTGGACAGGTCGCGGTTGGCTGGTGTTCAGTCCATGATAATCACAGGCGGAAGCCTTCGAGAATCAAAAATTACGCTGTCGCTTGCTGCTCAACTTGGTTCGCACCATCTCGCAGAACCACATTTATGTGCACTCTGATATCATTATGCGCTTCTTTATCTTACAGGCTTCTTTGCAACGGTAGGATGTCACCCAACCCGCTCAAAGGAATTTGACACGCACCCAGGCGGCCCAGAGGCCTACATTCAAGAGCTAGATAGGCTCATAAGTGCCAATCTCCATGGCAAAGGGAGAGTTGTTGCTATTGGTGAATGTGGCTTGGGTAAGTCTATATTGCATGTTTAACCTCTGCATGTAACCATTGATATCATCAGATTACGATCGCACGCACTTTGCACCGGAAGATGTACAGCGACGACACTTCCGTATGTGTGGAACATCGGACCCCTTATGTCAAGCTAACTGTTGTGTTGTATGGTATTTCGCAGGTTCACAACTTTTTCTCGCCAAAAAACACAAGTTGCCGTTATTCCTACACTGCCGCGCGGCACACAAAGACTTTGTGAGCATACTTCGCGACGAAGGTTTCGGTGAGGAGGGAGAGAGAAAGGGAGTTGTGCACAGCTTCACTGGGTCAGTCGAAGAGGTCGTTGAGCTCGTGCGTTCATAGTCTTTTCTTCTTTAAATTACGCTGACTCTGACGCACAGATGGACATGGGCTTCCACATTAGGTGTGGTTTCAGAGGGTTAGCGTGGAATTTTGGCACTGATGATCACAATTAGCGTCAATGGGTGCTCCCTGAAGACAGAGCAAAATTTACTGGCTGCAAAGGCAATTCGATCAGACAGGCTCTTACTTGAGACAGGTCAATTTATAACACTTATGAAGGGAAACTGAAAATTTATATGATGCTAGATGCTCCTTGGTGCTCAATGACCTCAACACATGCGTCAAAGACTTTCCTAGAGTCGCTCCCGGTGTCATTAAAGTCAAAGTATTTCCCTTCTGGCACTAAATTGCCATCGTTCATGATGGGCAAGCCAGTGAAAGGGAGAAACGAGCCCAGTGCGATCGGAGGTGTTGCGTGGGTCATACACAGGCTGAATGAAGGGATTTCATTTGAGAACGTGTCAGAAAAGGCGTACCAGAATACTATTCAGCTATTTCGCCTAGATGAACTTCAAGGTGCATATATAAAGGACATGTAAAATTAGACGTGTTTTCACAAGCATGCTAATGGAATCATATTTATACTGTTTCGTAATACTGTATGCTACACGTATGATACACATACACCGATGAACTCTCAGCCAGAGTCTCACCAGAGTCTACTGTCGTTTCCTTTCATCTTCGCTATCCTTGGGCTCGTGTGGTATTTATTTTTATGGACTGTTGGTCTCTTGGGATGCAGAACAGGGTGAGCAACTGCGCTACTTGGGCATCAACCCTCGCTTACTGTCGCATACCACAGTCGAAGAAGGTATCGCATGCGACCACGGTCTCCACTTGCAACGGCGCCGCCGAATTCTGTTCATGGTGTATCTATTCTGCGACCGCTGAAAGGCCTGGATGCCAACTTATACGAGAACCTTGAGTCTACATTCACGCAAGAATACCCCAATTTCGAAATTATACTGTCTGTTGCTGATGAGCAAGACCAAGCTCTTCCGGTTGCGAGAGAGCTCATTTCTAAATACCCCAGCATCAATTCCAGGATTATAATAGGTAAGTCTATAGTGAGCAATGTCGACGATTCAGCTGAGGAAAGCAATTCAGGAGAAGAGGTGGTGGGGGTTAATCCAAAAGTCAACAACCTCATTCGTTCATATCACGAAGCTACCCACGACATTCTCTGGGTCATTGATTCAGGTGTTTCGGTTGCACCCGGGACACTCGCGCGCTCCGTTGACCTGCTCGAGCCATCCACACAGACAAACCTTCCCAAGAGGCGCGTTGCGCTCGTCCATCACGTCCCATTTGCATCCTGCTCCAGAAGGGTTTCTTGGTTCAAGAATTGAGGAGGCATTCCTCAATACTAATCATGCGAAGATGTATCTCGCAATCAACGCTGCATCTATCGAATCTTGTGTGGTTGGGAAATCAAACCTCTACCGGCGTTCTGATCTAGAACGGGTTAACGGTTCGCTGAAGCCCCGAGTGCACATGGTGTCAGAAAATGACCAGGATTGCACCCATGGCCTTGCTGCGTTCGGTAAATTCTTGGCCGAAGACAACATGATTGCCAGTGCTCTATGGCACGAACTGGATCTCCGCCACGATCTGTCCTGCGACGTGGCGCATAATGTGATTGGGAAAATGTCTTTATCGGACTACGTGTGGAGGCGTGTACGCTGGATTCGCGTTCGCAAACACATGGTTCTTGCGGCAACCATCCTCGAGCCCCTTACCGAAAACCTTATTGCTAGCTCCATTGCTGCTGCAAGTTTCCGGTATCTTTTCGGCATTCCCATATGGCTTTTTCTTGTCATTCACCATGCAGCTTGGCTTTGGGTGGATCTAGATGTTTACGAGTCACTTGCTGGTCATCCTCTCCCAGCAGACAGACGCTGGCAGTTCATCAGTGCATGGTGCCTGCGTGAACTTCTAGCATTGCCAATCTGGTTCTTAGCTATGCTTGGAAACGAGGTGATCTGGAGAGGGAAGAAATACGAGGTGTTACGGGCGGGAGAAGTAAAACGGACATCGGGTGATGGTATACGCAGGGGCCTATTTACCCGGTGGAGGCAGAAAGATATTGACTATCAGCCCTTGCTAAGCAATCATTCGGATACATAATGCATGCATACAGTGACAGCGCTTCCATTTGTTTTCCGTAGCTCATGATTGGTTATTGGTTATCATCAACGGCGACCATATTATAAGAGGTACGTATATTACCCACGATTAAAATGTACAGAAAGCGTCTTGAGTACTACAGCTACATACAGTGAGAGTGCGGGATGATGAGATGAAAGGCAATAGACAAAGTTTGGTTATGAGAGTATACCCACATCAGGCTCAGGTTCACCGAAAGCTGCTCTTGCCTCTTCCTGACTATGCTTTGCAAGAAGACGGAAATTGTAAATCATAACCACCTCATCAAAGAAGGCGTCGGACCAATCTTCTGACTTGCAGGAGTCCAGCGCGGCGGTGCGGAGGCGCAAGTCGCGTCCATCACATGTAATCTTGCATAAAGATGCTTCAAGATTCGCAGGAGTGGTGGGCTGAGGCGTATGCTGTCGTGAATCCCTAGCATCTTTCTGCCGTTGGTTGGAGAACCAGTTCTTAACTTGGTGATATTCCCTATGATAGGCGAGATTAGGGAATACGACGGCGACGAGCTACTAACAACACGACGAACCTGTTTATGATGACTCCCAGCTGAGATACCCAAGCTTCGTCAGGGTACGGGGTGATCTCATCATAAACCATCTGCATTACGAGACGTTGGCGCGATGTTGCGGGCGTCTTTCCTGTAGATGGGATTACCAACGCGCGTTTCTTCAACTCCCGCACTCTAGTTTCTCTCTCGTTTTGAGCACGGGCTGCAGATTGTAAAAATGCCTGTTTATACGCCTTCTTCTTGAGATTGTCTTCGGAAGAAGTCCCTTGACGTGATGTGATGGCAGAAACGGAAGCGGGTTTGAATCGCAATGATGATCCCTTGCTCGTCGTGACTCGCTTCCTTAAAGTACGTCGCGGAACAGACTCCTCTGAAAGTACGACGGACTCCACGGATGGGTTCGCAAACTCTGCATCCATGCCATCTGCTGAGGCATCTAGAGACGGTTCCCGAGACGAAGATGATGATATGGGGCTATCCACAGCAGATCCATCTTCCTGACCATCAAATGAGGAAAGAGCGTCACGGGAAGACAGAGTGGGTGAATTTGAGAGTGCTGTTGCAGACGAGCCTGTGTATGGTGTGTCCATCAGTGATCTGTTATGGTAATGTGGGCAATACAAGGACTGAATTGTCTTCGTGGTTTATATGAAATAAATGAAGAGATACCTGCCTGAAATAAATACCGACGCTTGATCCACTGGTGGCCGGTGGATGTAAGACAAACCTTCTTTATTGTAGTATTGTAGTGGACGGTTGTCCAAACCAGCTATTGTTTCGGGGGGAAGATCGTAAATGATTGAGAAAGGAATGACTACTGCGTTTATGACAGGCGCCGATATGGCTAAGTCTATGGGGACCAGACGTCTTGACTGAGGTCGATAGCAAAGTGCGGTCGGTAGCCGGAACTCGCCTCTTGACTCTTATGTGTGATCCTTTTTTGGATCATCGAAGCCTTTGGTCAATAAAACCAAACAACCGCTTTCCTAAGAATTGGAGTCAGCACTTAAGTAGAAGCAACTCAGGTTCGATTGCTAGTGTCTACTATAATTTCAGTCCACGCGAGGGCTGGGTGTTCAGCTTACAACGACTTATAATTATGTCCGATCATGATCACACCAGACAGCGCATAATCGCATCGGTGTTTGATAAACGCAACATAGGTGCTGCGACTCAAGAGACATACGTTGGACACATCAAAATATGGGAGGATTCAGGAGAAGATTCTGGGAAAAAGCCTCGCTATATCTTGCTGTCACGTATGTTATCATTATCTTTCTTCCGGATCGCTTAATAAACAGCTCTTCAGAGGCTAGCGATGGAACTGGTTTCCTTCACAAGTCAAAGCTTAACACAAACGGCTCATTTTCCGTAGGGAAAACATGGAAAATTTCTGAGCTGCGTGGTATAGAAGTTTTGAATGTATGTAAAAGCATATGATGAGCTCAATCACGCAGCTAACCATTACGCAGCCAATGTCCTTCAATATCACACTGGCTCGCACATATAAATGGCAGACGGAAAACCATTTTGATCAAGCAAACTTCATTTCCGCGGCAGTACAGCTGTTTTCCGTCGTCACAAATGGTATTGGTGCACTGCATCTTGTCGGAGTGCGACAGAATGAACTAGCCCCTGGTGAGATAGCTGGGTCCTCACCCACGGACGCTATTAACTCTTGTTATTAGCCAATGGATCCTCTGAATCCTCGGAAACTCTGGTCACCCAAGCATCGCAAAATGAATTGAATGTGACTCCTGCGCCAGCAAGGCGACAAGCTCCGACTTCGCGAACGGAGGCGCTACAGACAGGCTTGCATGCGGAACCCCCGACGAGAGCTCAGGTTGTGAGACCTCCCTCCCGTTCCTCATCTCCTGCTAGTTCGAACCTTAGTAATCTACACTCCAGCTCAGGCGCAATTCGACCCGCTTCTCCATCACCAGCCTCTCAGCTACAAGGGCAACCGCAGACCATTCCATCCAGTCTTCCAGGTTCACTTCGACCGCGAATTACCCGCCGTCCATCCAATGCAACGCTACCACAAAACCCCTCGTTGAATGGCTTGCCAGCAAACCTTATACCATCCCGTGCACCTCCCGCTACGACACCTCTACGCACACCCAAAGAAAGTTACCCTTTCGCTGCATCTCGCCCCTCCGCTGAATTTGTCCACGCGTCGAGTCCACTCTCAGTCACGTCAACAACTGCCCAGCTTCCTCGATCAGAGTCCCCGATTTCCATTCGATCTCGCAAGCCACCTTCAAGTAAATCGATACCTACCCCAGAACCTCCACAACCTCGCCGGGAGCACAACAACCGGGTATCGTTCTTTGACCCTCTTAATCAAGCTGCTTTGGATCGGCTTGTAGTGGGAGATTACGCAGAGGATGAGAGTGCAGGTGAAGAAGAAACCTCACAGGCTACAATGGCGAGCGTAGAGGAGATGCTAGAGGGATTCGAGTGGGCCAGCGATGACTCTTTTGGAAGAAAGAACGCAAAGGGGGCAGCAGACTTGGTTGAGGCCCGGCTGCTGGACGAGTTGGTAGCCCTTGAGAAGGTGAACCAGGCATCTGAGAACCTCACGTTTTTAACCACTGACTCATGTTTCAGGCCAATATACACTCCTTCCTGGAGTCTGATGATCGTGTGGCTCTGGTCATGAATTTACTGGATGAAGCCATTACTGAAGTTGACGCTATGGACAGCTTGATTTCATCATACAAGATTCATTTGAACGTTAGACCCTGTCATCAAACCGATGTATCGCGTACTAAACTATCTTACCACAGGCCGTTGGGGACGATATTTCGTTCATACAGTCCCAGCGGCGCGGCTTACAGGTTCAGACACAGAATCAACGCGCTTTGCTAAGCGAGCTCGAGAATCTCCTTGTATGTTCTTTAGACCCTACCACCATATATCATACTGACGCCAGGATAGCAAACCGTTCAAGTAGACCGTGAAGCACTGGTGACCCTCACTCAGGAGTCCCTTGAAAAAACATCTGGGATACAGAAATTGGAGACAGCGGCCACGGAACTTTATAAAGCTCTCCAAGCTGGCCAAGACACCGGTATGTTTGCATATTTTGGCATTTCCTCCCAAGGTTTTATTGCGCGTAGACATGGCCGCTACCATGGAGCGATTAGACGAATACAGGACCCATAACGCACAGTTCTGCAAGCGTATCTATGACTTTCTATCAATTATGTCTGTCGCGCAGGTGAATTGTTTATTTGTGGTCGTGAACGCGACACTTATGTTGCGTATGTAGGCGGAGATTATCCTGGATGGAAATAATGGGATTATCAAGCCTAGTCGAGGACGACCGATTATCAAGAGTCATAAAGACATGGAGGCATACCTGGGTCGGTATGCAGGGCTACTTCTCTACCTGAAGGAGATGGACGAGAGCATATATTCAAAGTTCTGTGCAGTAAGGGAATTTCGGCGCCTACTAAAACTCATGTTGATTGATTTATCTCAAGGCATACTTCTCAGCCACCAGTGAACTTCACAAAAAACAAATGGGGAGCTTACTTTCGATTTACTCAGGATCGCTGAAGAGGATACCAGACGAAGATGCTGACCAGAGTTTGTGATCAACTTTTTTAAGCAGACGTTGGGCTCATATTGAGACAGACTTTGGGTTGACCAACGTAAATAATCAAAAGGCATCTATTCGACGCGCTGGAACCATAGTCCGTTCGCCCATCGAGGGACGAAGGGATCGAGACAAAGACAAGGAGAGGCAGACCGATGAGGAATATCGTGCACCAGAGGTATACTTGTATCTGATTCAGGCTAGTCTTCGCTCATAACAGTGCCAGGCCCTGGGTCTTATTTTGGAGCAAATTTCCCCTCAAATCTACCGGGAAGGAGACTTCATTGCAGATTTCCTGCAAATTAATGATGCTGGTCTCACGTTTGCTGACTATGCCGGGTTGGACAATTACTTCAGGCGACAAGCTGCACGAAGTGCGGGCTTGAGTCAAACCACCATGAAGCTCGTACGCGGTGCCATGGACTTAATTTTCGGCTTTTTACCTGCCGAGCTGAAGCAATGGATTGATTCCGCTATTGCGAAAGATACTTTGTACGTATCGTATATTTTCCCATGGAGAAGCTCTGTTCACTCCGCCGATAGGCAGGTGGTCGGAGTTTTGGTATGCCTGGAGCGCTTTGTCGCGGATGCAGATGAGCGTGACAATGCCTTCTTTTTGCAAATGCTTGAGAAGCAGCACACTAGGCTCAAGGGTTCCTTCGATCGCTATATCGTAGGCAATTGGCTCCGTTATTGGATTGCTGCCGCTCACGATGAGTTTGCAGAATCAACAAATCAAGATGATCGAGGAAACTAAGCTCACGAGCAAGAAGCGAAAAGGGGTCGCTCATTTTGTGAAATACTTTCCGATCTATGTCGGCCGCATCGAACAGCAACTAATTGGCGCGGATGGCTTGGAGATCAGGGCCAACGTCGACCTCGCTTATGAAAAGATCGTGCACAGCATGTTTGAATGCCTTAAGCACATGGCTACCCTAGATGGCGAAGATGAGGACAAGGGCCAGCTCAATTACCACGTGCTGCTAGTCGGTAAGTGAGCTGATACACCGCTGATTGTTTATAAAACGTTTGGCTTGCAGAGAATATGCACTACTTCGTTGCAGAAATGTCTCAGCTGGATGTAGGCTCGGTTTCTGGGTTCCCGAAGCAAGCGGAGGCAATCTACAATGAGAATCTGAACGCCTACGTAAAGATTGTCCTCAGACGACCTTTTGCCAAGATCACTGTACGCATGGTAGTTTCCTCATTTGTCGTCACTTTCTAATTTATTTTCCCCTTCTACAAGGACTACTTCGACGGTATCGAGCGGCTGCTTACGACTACTGCCCCGACAGAAGTCTCAAAGAACAGCAGCTACAATAGATCTTCGCTGAAGAAAGTTGTCAAGGAGTTTGATGGCAAAGACATCCGCAAGCATATTGACGCCCTATTCAAGCGCGTTGAGAAGCATTTCACTGAAGCTGAAGAGAAAGCGACGAAGGAAGAAAGCAGTGGTATTGCCCCTGGCACGGTCATGGTTGGCGTCTGGAAAGCTTGTGAAGAGGAACTGCAAAGAATGACAGAGAACTTCAACAAACGGATTTCGCAATGTTATGCGGATAGCGGTGTCTCATTGGAATACACTAGCGCCGACGTTGAGACGTCCTTTAGGCGTCACCGGCTTGGATCATAAATTATTTTAGAGTACTAATCATGAACCTTACATTGGATGCGCATTGTACAGTACACACGCCTACGTTATATACCACTCACTCTTGTTAAAGTGATAAAATAAGAGACAAAAAGTCTATTCGTGTTTTGGTAAGTTGGAAGAGAAATGTCTTAGAAAATTAACTTCAAGTGATCTCCTGAATGTGCCTCAGGAGGCGGTAGGATCGTGGACTGATTCTACGGACTTCCGTTCCTGCCCGCCATTATGATTGACCCCAGCACCACTAGCATACGTAGAAGCATCGGGAGAGGAGCTAGATTTTGAGGAAGACTTTGCTAATCTTCCCAAAATAGCAGGACCGTAAGAAGTCCAAAGCCCCTTCATTGATTCGAGGGAGTAGGGCTGCTGCCCAGGTTGGCCCTCCCTCGCAGCTTGAGGCTGTTTGGTAATGGGAGTCTTGTTCAGGATAGTCCACAAGAGGTCAATAAGCATAGAAATGCGGGATTGAAGGAAACCGAGGACATTGCTTTGAGCAGAAGCAATGCCCGAATCCAACTCTGCCTGATTCTTGGAGCAGAAGGGTTCAAAGTAGGTTTTGTAGATGTAGGTCGAACCCTGTCTGTTTGTGAAAACCTAGGTGAGGACAGCGGGAGGCAAGTACGAACCTGGATTTGCGGGAGAGATAGGTAGAGCAAGAAAAGGGTTCGTGTTTCCCAATAAAATGGCAGCCTTGTACATGAAATAGGGGTAAATGATGTTGATATTGTTGAAACGAGCTGAAGTGAAAACTAACCATGATACGAATGAGCCTATGGTCGACTCTACTGCAATAAAAGCCCCAACTACTGCCCAATACATCGAAAGGTTCTGGAGGTCACCAGATAAAGGAGAGGAGAGGGCCTTGTAGGTAGAATAACTTGGCAGCAAAAAAGCGAACCACGCGCTGAATTGGAAGTATGGTCAGTAAATTTACGGGCATGAGAAGTTGGCAGAGATCTATACCAAAGTAGATGAGATATCATAGACATCAACATCATGAATCGCTCTCCGAACTTGGAATGGTGGTCGACGGCGATAGTAAGTACTGATCGCACAAGATATCAATTTATGAATGATAAGTGACACTGGAAAGAAGAGATGACGCTTTACCGTATGACAGGAGCTGCGATACCAGAAACAAGTCAAGAATCAAGATGAGTTGTGTGTATGGATTGTCGATAGGGCCACGTAGGATATCAACTACCGCGGACAATCAAATTACGTACGTGTCATTACATAATATTACCTCTTTTAGATGGAGTAGGATGGAGAACTCATTTTAGTTGAGCCTCAAGGCCTCGACGTCCTCACATGTGCGAAGTCGTTATATCCACATGTATTGTATTATAATGCCCGTCGGAGTCATCCACCCTCAGACCTGCTAGCTGCAGCCAGAGAGCACCACAAAGCAACGAGCCATTGTTCTGTCCAAAATGGCAAAGCCTGAGCATTGGACTGTCCAACATCCACATATCCAATGCGGCGGTGGTCCACAAGCCACAGTTGGCTTGAGACATATAAATGCCCATGGGGAGAGCTACTCTTCGATATCATATCCAGCCATGAAATATCAGGCATCCTCTTTCGAGCAAGCTCAGTTCGTCGCCACGAAATCCACGAGTAAAAGGTCTCATCGCGCTTCTCCCTCTGATGTTGAAAATGCTCCTCGGAGGGAATGCATGACACCGGAGCAGCTTAAGATCCTTAACCCGTACTATGAAAAAACCCCACGTCCTTTGCCGGATGATATCGAATTATTGGCCAAGGAGATTCATAGGTGAGTTTGGATTCCTCCATATACGGCACTCCTGACCAGATGGGTGTAAAAGGCCAGTCCAAAAAGTCGTGAACTGGTTCAATAATCGGCGTGCCAAAGAGCGCAGATTACAACGACAATCGCAGAAGCCGTCACCTCTGTCGCAAAGCTTCTCGATAAACGTTGATAGTGACGCTGATATGGCCGAACCGGATGTCGACGGTTCCGAATCCGAGTCGGATGTCGACCAAGATGCCCTCGACTGTGTAGCGGCCATGGATCAGATGTCACAAAAAGAAATCGATGTGGCTTTCATTCTTAGCAATCTCAAACGACGCATCATCATCGTTGGCCCTTCCGAACAAAGAGAAATCGACGTGTTTTCAAGCGTATAACTGGCCCCAGATGTCTACTCGATCACCGCTATATAGCCACTATATTTTGAATTACTTGCCTTATTGTTGTTACCCACATCTGCAATATATCCATTGACATGATGCCATCTCGCGAGGAAGCCCCCCCTGCTTCGCATGGCTCACCATACCGTCCGCTATATCAATTCTCGTTCGATGATAGCGGTCACCCGATCGTCCGCTGCTGGTTTATGGGAGTCTTAACATCGGAAATGAAACAACTGGTTTATTGATTCCGAACTTTGGAGCACCGTGGCAACACCTCGGACAACATGCAGTGGGACATACGACTGCTGGCAGCACTTGAAAAGGTGTTCTGAGATTCCCACAAGTCGTGAGGAAATTGTGACTATCAGCAGCAATAACCAAAGGAATGAGTATGATTGCAGCACGACCACAACCGGCTGCTGATGGGAGCTGACTATCGTAGATGGAAGCTGACTATCGCTGGCCGATAATTCTAGGGGTATCAAATCCGGGAGGAGCAAGCACGATCGCTCCAATCCAGGGCGCAGCTTTGACTGCATAGATACGTGAGGGACTTGATTTCAAGTTTCCAACGATATCAGAAGGGCCAATTATAGCCTGTTGTCCACAGTTGGACGAGTTGGTTGAAAAACTGGACTGATTGACCTGAAGAAGTGAGATGCAGGACATTCGAATTGACATTGGAACGATGGTACTGCAGGGGAGTTAAAAAAGGGTGGCAAGGGGATCATATGGGCTTGTCATGGTCGTGACGACTAACTTCGAGAACTGCCCATTTTCAGATCTATTTTTTTTGGTTTCAAATTATCGTTATAAATATATATATAGGTTTTACTATTTATTTTTGTTTGCTGCGTCGATAGTGCAGATGTTGAACAACGTCGCATGTGGCAAAGCAGTCTTCGTTGAACGTACGACGTTGTTCGGTTCGGTATCGCTTTCTATCTGTTCATCCATCCTGGCATCTGTACAATATTCGAGCAGTCATTATGGATCCCGCCTCTAGTGCTAACTCAGTGCTTCACAAGAAGCATGATGACGATTTTGACAAGGCTACAGACAAGCGTGATGTTAAGCCAGTCGTGAAGACCCTAAATCGTGTCCCCCGTATGTTCTATTCAGTTCTCCATGTATTGGATCTCTTTACTGACTGTGCCGATATAGGTGCATGTGTGAGCCCACTCCGGCTTTCCAAGTTCCCGACCCAAGCTGACTTTATACTTTATAAACAGAATGCTTGTCGGAAGCAGAAGATGCGCTGCGAGGGCGCAGATAATCCTCCATGTCGACGTTGTCGTCATGCCGGACTAGAGTGTCTATTCGAAAAGCCCACCAGAGAAGCAACTCTCACGGGCGAGGCAGGACTCGAGTTAGTAAACTTCGCCCTATGACATGTCAAGATCTTGTTCTTACAGTATCGCAGGCGTATACGAAGTCTAGAGGCTCACGTTGCTGAGATACGTTACACTCAAACTTCGATACAGAACACTCTTCTCGAGATCGTTGGTCACCTCCGAGGCGCTACGCCGTATAATAACCGCTCCCCTTCGACGTTCTCACAGGCACCGTACAATACACAGTCGCCGACAATACAATCCATGGGATCTCCCCCAATATCGTCTGGCCCGAACGGGTCTCATGTAGGAGATCCAAATATTCACAGCGTACAGGCTGGCCCTACCACGCCCACCGCCTATCAGCCCAACCCAGGATCTCTTCCACCTATGATCAACGCCCCGCCGCGTCATTCACGGGGCTCTGGTTCTCAAGGTGCATTGGCATCGGTTGGGCAACCTCCCGGTCACGGAGAGTACCACCCACCGCAGCTTCCGTCCTCACATACAAATCCGACTTCACCGACCCAATCTTATGGTTATTCCCCTTCTGGGCAAATCTTACCCCCGTTTTCCACGTTACAGGCGATCGGTCGTGCAACCTCACAAGGATCTATACCCGGCCGTCATGACCCGCATCAACCAAGGCAAATGCAGCGTGGTCACAATGTGCACTCACCTTCGGGATCTAAACGCACCGCGCCGTCCTCGTCCAATCCAACCAGCGCGGACTCGACAGATATTGATGACGACAATGGAGAGCTGCCAGCTTCCGGCCTGGTAGCACCGTGGGAAGTTCTAAGAGGTCTAGCTGACGTAGCTATTGAGCGAGCTGCCAAGGTCAGTGGTTTCACCGTTTTACACCCACTTCGCGTGAACCCCTATCGCGTATAGGAAAATGGTGAAGCAAGCAGTGAACCACAGAGTAGGGCCAGAACCCCGTCCCCCGAGCGACAATCCAGGCCAATGAAGAGGAGAAAGATCCGTCATCGGGCTTCCCATGGTTTGACTTTCCCGGATGGTAGCGTTTCATGTCCACTTGCACTTCACTGATTCTCAACGTTTTAATGGGTAGTTGTCACGACAAACGCTATCCCGGAACAAGAAGCCCGTGAATTGTTCAGAATGTAAATTTTCTTCTCTTTTCTTCATGATACGTATCAATGCTCCCATTATACAGATTTTATGCTGGATGCTCCACTTTCCTCCCAGTGTTCGATTCCCAAGTCGACACTTTCGAAGCGCTTCATGAGCGGTCGCCGTTCGCTGTCGACGCTATCTGCACTGTTGCTGCTCGCGTGAGGGACGGCGGAGGTGATTTACTGACATTGCTCTGTAATTCGCTTATCTCATCGTCCATCAGGAAATGCAAGCGAGACTTATACCCGATGTTTGGAAGCGGTGCAAAGTATTTCGTGTGCCACGCTGTTTGCTCCGGTGAACCGCGTAGAAGCTGTGCAAGCCATGAGTGAGTACGTCTTTCGGTGACATACAAATCACATTAATCGTCTGCAAGTTCTTGTGTCTGGGTGGTCAGACAATGGATGGCTCAGTGGCGGTCATGCTGTCCGCATGGCCATGGAACTGTGTAAGTAGCACATTCACAGTAAACACGAATATCTGAGTGTTTGATGACTTGTAGCACTTCACAAAGCTTGGCCCAAACTTCTTAGGCGCATGCAGAGCAAAACCAAAACCACTGGCGGTACAGAAGATCGCGACCTCGTTATTGCATCCCGAACTTGGTTTTGCCTGTATCTCTTTGAGCATCAGTGCGTTTGTGGATGGCTTCAATGTCCGATCGCTGATTGTATATCAAAGGTTATCCTATGGCACAGGACGTCCAGCAATTTTAAAGGATGATGAAAGCATATGGCAGTGCCGTTTGCTTCTACAGCATCCTCTAGCAATTGAGGATGACATGCGTTTAGTTTCGACCGTTGAGCTAATGGCTATTCGTGAAAGAGTGCACAACAAGCTGTCACCTTTTGAACGGCCTGTCGATGAAAGCACATTTGCAGTCATTCATCAGGCTGACTCTGAGTTCCGAAATTGGTATAAAACTTGGGATCATGCTTTTTCGCAGAAGTACGAAGATGCAGGTACGACCGAACCACCAGGAACTACTCCCAACTCACCCTGCTGACTCTTCGTCAAGCATTTTACCGCCAAAGTTTGCAGATCCAACAACTGCACGCGGAACTCTTCCACAATGCCACCGCGTTACGTGGTATCAATGGTCCAGAGGATGTTCAGAAGATGCCAGCTACCCAGAGAGAACTGGCAATACGTTCAATACACACCGCTCGCCAGGGCCTTGAAATCACGGTTAACTCGCCGTCGTATAGCGAAGGCATGAAATATGGTTAGTTTCCACTATTCGGTCAGGATTCCTGGACTCACTTGGAATAGCTGTCCACTATACACATGCAACTGCAACATTTGCAGCATCCTTCTTGCTGCGGTTAGCCCGTCTCTTGTAAGTCATGCGTGTTGCAGGCGGTGGGTAATGTACTCATGTCATTCCAGCCCGAATGATTGCGATATGCAAGAAATACGCTTACAGGTTGAGCGTCTCGCTGGCTTGATGTCTCAAAGTGAGTCTATTGCACTATATTGTAGAAACACACTCGTCAACTGCTTCTTTGGCAGTCCCTGGCAAGCGCTACGCCATTACGCTTCAGTTGATGCTGAAAAGAGCGAAGAAGCGTAAGGCAGCATCAAGCTCCCGCTCCCCCAAGATACCTAGGGAGCCTCATCGAAACATGTCTATGGTCATTGACATGCAGCAGAATGCACACATGAGCCCCGAGAGCTTCACACAAAAATATGATCTCGCATATTCGAGTCCTGAAGTCATCCACCAGATGCAAATGGGCATGATGCCCCAGCAGACGGCTGAGGTCGACAGCATCTGGCGCGGCTTTGAAATGACGTCTAACGAACAACTTCCAGTGTGGATTTCTGATCAGAGCCTCGGTGGTAGTACATTCTCCCAGCAAGGCATGGATGCATTTTTGCTGCCTGCTGACTATCTACCTCCTGCCCCTCAAATCTGGTAGACGGCGAAGTACCAACGTGCTGTTTTTTATGGTTTCCGTCGTTCTTTATAGCTTTTTGTCTATATGTTGTACGCTTGTAAGTTCCTATCTGTTCTTGCTTTGTTATATATATATCCAGTATTCTTGTGTAGCTTTCGCATCGCTATTCAATCGCTCAGTGTGCTTTTGGACGACTATCCCTGGATCAGGCTGGGCTGAATTGAAAGGGAAATGTACGGCGAAACACTCAATTGACCTACAATCACAACCATCGGGACTGAATCGAAATGTTTGACTTGCTGACAAGGTATAAATGTACGAATCCTTGATCTATGGTCTTCCCAACAACCTTTCGTACACAATGTACTCCCCAGAAGCGCGCAGGCGACCTGTGTCTCACGAGCGACTCCCCCATCTTGCTGGCATTGGCCTTGCGAGAGAGTCGCCTGTATCCTCGCAGTACTCGACTGCTAGCTCAACTTGGCAGGCCACTGATGGGGCGATAACGGCTTCCTCATCTCAGCACACCAAGGCCAGAGAGGCAGTTGCTGCCGCCGAAATCAGTCGTACATTCAGCGCACTAGAAGATGGAAGGACTCCACCCAAGCGAAAGCGCACCCTCGTATCTAAGCTGGTCCCTTTTGCTCGACGTCCACAGGAAGCGCTTGATGAAGAGATTTTCAGCGACATGAAGACATCTCATCCGGCGAGCGGTTCTTCGAGCGGCAGGCATTCACATTCCTCCAGGGTTGAGGGCAAGCCGAGTAAACAGCCTTTGGGAGGGGGTGGTCCAAATAGCTTTTATCAGGGGGGCAAGCTTCGTGCCAGCGTTATCAAGAGCAAGCGACCTTCTGCAATAACGAAACACGTTCAAGGTGAGCCTCAGAAGAGTATCATGCCTGCCATCCAATAACGATCTCGTGTAGATATTGACAAGCGTCGTGCTTTCATGCTCAAGCTCGCAAAGTGCTTGCTCACTTTTGGTGCTCCATCTCATCGTATCGAATCGCAGTTGGCCACCGCTTCTCAGATCCTTGACGCGAAAGCCTCATTCGTCCACATACCAAACATCATCATCGTCACGTTTGGTGACGAGGACATGACGTCTGTCGAGACTCATTTCGTGAAAGCGAACGGAAAAATTGCGCTCACCGCGTTGCAAGGAGTCCACCTTGTGTATCGCAAGGTCCTTCATGACAAAATGACCGTCGAAGACGGCACCAAGCGATTGAGCTCCATACTTTCCGCTCCCCCAATATATTCCCTGTTGGTTCGCTGCCTATTAGCCTTTGTATGCGGCTCTACCATCTGCGTCCTTGCATTCGGGGGATCAGTCATTGATATGTGGATCAGCGGAGTGTGTGCCTTCGTCTTGCAATACCTAGGCCTTAACACTGCAACAAAAAGTGCGACATACGCGAACGTCTATGAGTACGTGGCCTTTACCTCTGCTCTGCATTCACTCGATTTACCAACTTGATTAGGATATCAATTGCCATTATCGTGTCCTTCGTGGCTCGAGCACTCGGCACCATACCAGGCAGGTTGTTCTGCTACAACGCTATAGCATCTGCCGGAGTGGTGTTGATTCTACCAGGATTTACTATCCGTAAGTGGCTGACTTGTGCTATCCACCACTCACTGCGACGATTCAGGTATCAGTTATCAGCGCGCTAGAACTCACTTCCAGAAACATTTTATGTGGATCCGTAAGAATGGTTTATGCGATCATCTACACTTTGTTTTTGGTGCGTCCATTTTAGAAAAGTTCGTGTTGAAACTTCTTAAATCTCAACCAGGGTTTCGGCCTAACGATCGGCTCCGATCTTTATCTTGTACTCAACAAACACGCTCGACACACGTTAGATAAAGGTGAAGCAGAGAGATATACGATGTACCACGGGACTTTCCACGCTGTGAATGGCACTTCACCCGTTCCAGGAGGCGCCATCTTCGGTTTTGCTCAAACCACTGATCCCCATATCGTTAACGGTATTGGATCTACTGTTCTGGTTTCGACCTATATTAACCCGACCTGAAAGGGTGCTACAGGGAGCCAAGCTGGCCATGGTGGAGAAAGGAACTTCCCTGGTGGACGCTCTTCTTCCTCGTACCGGCGTACTCTCTATGCTCGTCTTTGTCTAACCTGCAGGAGTTGCGCAGCTGGCAGCTTCTCGTCATGGTGCTGTTTGCGTGCTGTGCCTTCGTCGCGAATCGAGTCTCGAATGACTATCTTCCTGGCAAAAGCGATATCATTTCGGCTTCTGGGGCTTTGGTCATTGGACTTTTGGGCAACGTTTACTCGCGAGTCATGCGTGGAACCGCTTTCACAGCCATGGTCACCGGTGTGTTGTTCCTTGTTCCTGTAAGTCAACCTGAAACGTGCTTCAAATTTATTCCTCCAACTAATATCAAAAATAGTCTGGTATCGGTCAGGGCGGGGGTCTCCTCTCGTCTGATGAAACATCGTCTTCTCAGCAATACTCCGCTGGACTTGATCTTGCCATCCGGATAATAGAAGTTGCGATTGGAATAACGGTTGGTCTATTTGTCAGTCAGATCTTCGTATATGCCCTGGGAAGAAGAAAGAACGCCGCGCACTTTGCTTTCTGATATCTTCCAATTACATAACATCTATCTATGTACACATCATACCATAAACACTACACTAGTGATTTGAATCGATGACAGACCAAAACGGAGAAGTGAGAATCGAGAATCAAGGTGTTCTAGGGATTACATGAAGTTTTTTACGAGTAGAGAATTAATACAGGTATTCCAAGATTGTTCCAAGCAACGAAGAGACAGAAAATAAACTTGGGTGATCTAAATAAGTTACGCTGCGAAGAGTTGATTCAGCTCTTCCATCCGTCGTTGCAGCATGTCGGCTTTGCTGAAGTTCTGACCCAGAGTCATGTTGGCCAGCTCGGTCTTCTTGCGCTGCACTTCCAGAAGGCGATCTTCAATAGAGTTCTCGATGATGAGCTTGACCGTTGTTACAGGGCGTGTTTGCCCTAAACGATGCTACGATGGGGTCAGTGGACCATAACAAAAGGTGTCAAAGGTACTCACAATCCTATCGACTGCTTGATTCTCAACTGCGGGATTCCTGTGGCAGGCTTAAGCAACACTTGAATCGCAGGAATCAAGAAGATAAACGTTACCAATATGGGTCCATCAAGTAAACACGTTGTGCAGCAGTCAAGTTCAAGCCTACTCCTCCTGCCTTCAGACTGACTAGAAGGACTTCACACGCGGGATCATGTTTCAATGCTTCCATGGCACGAGTACGGTCATCACGTTTCATCGTGCCATCAAGACGATCATAGCGAATACCAGCCGTTTCTAATGCGTCTTCAATCCTAAGCTCGGATGAGAAAGACCACATTGTCAAATTGTAATGACATACTTATCCAGCATCGTTGTCCATTGGGAACTAGATCATAGAAATAAACTGTCAGAGCGATTCACCAAGTGAGAATTATGTACATACAAGACAACAGTCTTGATTACTCCATCATCGAGTTTATTGCCTTCATTATCCACCATTTCCACCTCGATTGAGTCTGGGTCGTAATTGACAGAATGTGGGTTTGCCCGGGAGAATTGCATGAGATCCCCGAGCAACGCCTTGACTTTGGTAGACGGATGGAAGTTCTCGAGTGTAACGCCTTTGGTTCGCTTCTCTCGCTTGACAGGCTTCTTCTTGGCGCCAAAGTCACCTGGCGAGCAATCAGGTCGAACTCGAACTGCATCTTGCGGCAAAAGTCCAGTTTGGCAAGCCGAGCAGGAACGGCGAACATCGGTAGGAACATCCGGCCAACCTGGGCATACGCACTGACGATAGCATCCCAGGCAAAACAGATGCTGACAGCGCGTGAGGACGAGTGACGGTGCTGATGGACTACTAGCTCGTGTGGGGGCACGAGAACTGGAACCTTTAGTCTTCCTTCCTCGTTTGGGTGCCGAAGGACCATCCATATCCATGGCACCGCTACCAACGTCTATCTGCCCCTGTTGATCAGAAGATACACATAGCTCCTCTCCACATTCAACGCATTGAGTTGTAGCTGCCTCCCGTAGCAATGCAACAATGGCAGCTGCACGAGTAGGATTGAGACCTTCCTTCCCAATGGCAGCGGCAATGTCTTCGTAACTGGTGAGGTCCATTCCCGGTGGTCCTTTACCATCCACGAGCTCGAAATGGTCGCAAATCTGTCGGAGACGTAAGATTTTCTGGAGTATGCCGACGTAGTTCTTCATGACTTCATTTTTGTTGGAAAGCTCGTTGAACTCGGCTTTGGACTCCGAGAAGAACTGGTCGTAGATTGTCTGCTCATGCGGATCAAATTTCAGATACCGGAGTTCATCGCGGCGTGGAGGGAGATAGAGTATTCGACGCCCATCAGATGACTTCGACTCCTTTGTTCGCCTCAAGGTAATGCACTTCATGATCGTCTGAAGACGCGCAACACCCAATGACTGCCCATATTTGACCGGAGTGCCGATGAACTCCGTCCAGATGTTCTTGTCATCAAAAGGCTCCAAGCGCAAGAACTTGATGAGAGCATACACATCATCGAGCTTGTTCTGAACGGGAGTACCCGTGAGGCATAAACGGCGGTCTGCCATTAAGTCGCAAGAGGCACGACTTCCAACTGTCTGGGTTTCCTTGATCGAACTGGATATAATTATGTTAGTTGTGATCCACTGGATAATTATTCAAGAACGTACTGAGCCTCATCGAGCACGACACGAAACCAGTGTACAGTCTGCAGAGCACTGGACGCCTCAGATGGACCAAAGCTCGAGCAGGATTTTTTCCTCTTCATTCCTGCCCGTTTTGGTTTGGGCAATTTGAGCACTTGATTACCGCGCTCGTCAATGTCGACCCCACCATACCCGTCACTGCTACCATCGTCATCATCCTCGGCTTCTACATTTGCCATTCTCCGATTTTGTTTTGAGAATTCCGATGCTAAAGTCGCATACGTAGTGATGACAGCATCAAAGTCTGCAAGGAATGCTGCGTCTGGCCGTCGGGCATTTCCATGGTATACGTAGACACGAAGTGGTCGACCCTCGCGTTTTCGAAGAGGTGGCTTCGTTTCCACTTTGGTTTCAGCCTGAGAAGCCGGGGGGGTCTGCAAGGAAGACAACGACGTGGCGGCAGAACAACTCATCCCACCGCCACCGACCACAGTGACTTCTCCTCGCCAATGCTCGCGAAACTGGTCTTCCCAATTCGATACAGTGGAAAGAGGACATATGATGAGCGTCGCCCGACTTTTCGCCTTAATACGACACGCTCTAGCGTAGTCAGCTTCGGCCTTATCCTGGGCCTTTGCTGCCTTGCCTTTGCCCTTGCCGGAAAATGATGACGAATCAACTTCCGGTATTCCCCAGACACTTCCGGCGAAATGGGCAGCAGTCAAGGGATCCTCCAGCACATTCCGGTCCGGAGGAGGAGCGGGTGGAGGTGGTAAAGGCGCAGCAGCAAATGCATGTGCAGAATCGAGTGTCGATGCAATAAGGGAAACGCAAGTGATTGTCTTGCCAAGACCCATCTAATCATGAGACAAGGCACAATTTGTCAGATAGGGCAGAGATAAAGGGCGGAGGGCAACTTACATCATCTGCGAGAATAGCACCTTTGGCTTCTTGAGGTTCATGGAAAACCTCTCTCTGGGTAACGATATGAAACCAAGATGACTGGCCTGTATGGAGATCGTTCCGTGGCTGCCACAATGTCGAGTAACGACCATCTGCGCAGCGTTTCTCCCGCTCCCGCTCGAGCAAAAAAGTGAGCGCCTTCTTTTGATGGGGATACAATGTTGTTCCTATCTCAAGAACTTTCGAAGCCCAGTCAGATGAAAAGATAAGAACAACAGCAAAAAAGATTAAAACTAACCAGGCTCTGTCTCTGGTAATTCGTCTCCACTTTTCAGACTCTTGAAAAGCTCGTCGATTTGGCTTCGTTGTACTTCTAATGTTTTGCCGGAAACCATGGGGGCATTCCAACGAGAGCTATTTCCTCCTGGACCGACATATCCGGATCTAGAGGGAATCATGGAACGATGGCCCCCGGGTGGTGGAGCATGCGGGTTGCAGTAGTGATAGTTCATGAGGCGCGAGATATCATATGGCCCAGAGGGATGGTCAAGCAATAGACCGCATGACTGCAGATAATTGCCAACCACAGCAATATTGCCTTTCGGCGTATAAACCAGCATTTGGAGAGGCAGTATAGGAAGCTTGTCAAAGCGAATAAGCGGATGCGGGAGTCATCGAAGAGAAACGAGCGTAACATACATTTGGTGAACCACGCCGCACCTTTGCATCCAAGCGGATCAGGCCCTTACCTAGCATGGGACCGAGATCTGTGGCGACCTTTTGTTCGACGACACCAAAAGCTTCCCCTTGAGAAGGTTCGCCCGACGGTGTTTTACTACTAGGCGTCTTGATATGTATCGTCTCAGTTGCACCTGCCCTCTGGGGATTGTGTTCATACTGCAAGCGGACGTTTGCCCACTCGATCTCATTATTTGATTCCAGTGCTTGCAGATAGGACACGGGATATAGCACAAGTGCGGTGACTGTGAGCTGTCCGATGCAAACCGGAGTCTTGGGATGAAGGTCATCGGGCAATCCATTAGACACAGGGTGATGGCGAGACTGAGGACTGGGAGGAGGTGACGGGGAGTCTGTAAGATCAATGACCTGATGATTTGAAGGTGGAGCAGAAGAAGATGGTCGAGTCGGAACAAGAGGAGGCAAAGTACGCGCACTGCCAGTAATTGGCAGTTGAGTAGACGTATTCCGTGGTGCTTGCGATGGACCAGCAAAAACAGGACGATAGTTGGAAGATTGTGGGGGAAGTGGCGGCTGCGTCGGATTAAAAGACGTCTGGTCAAGTGGTGAAAATATGCTTGGCTTCATTGAAGGAGAATGATATACGAGCGGAAGGTGATTTGGAGGGGGGTATTTAGCATAAGATTGTTGGTGTTCAGGTGCGTGCACAGGATCGTAGAACATACTCTGTCTGGGCGGAGGGGAATGATAATCGGTTGTCGGGCGCTTCAGGTGGCTGTTAGAATTGAAAACGCTTTCAGAAGAGTTGGGTTCATCATCATCTAGGGTAAGGTCAATATGATTCGACTGGCTGTGCGAATCTAGAGTCAAGTTCTGAATATTAGGCGATGATCCCGATGGTGCATACGTTGCCATTGTGCATGACAATGAGGAAGGGGTCGTTCCGGGCGTCACGGACGACGAGTAAAACAGTAAGCGCGAAGAACCTAACCAAGTTAATAATAATAAGTTTCAAAGATCACGTCGCAATAGCACGTGATCCTGGGTCAATTCGGTTATAATTTCTCACGCTTACCATGTGGGCTCAGCTTGCCCAACTCCCGTTCTTCACCAACTAGGTAATAATTAAACTTTGAGCTCCATCTCCCGTGGGGGGGCCTTGACTGATCGAGAACAATGATCACATTGGTCTACTAGTGCTCATACAGGTACGACTTGGCGGAGGAATTAATACCTGTTTGCTACTACTTTCCTACAAAACAGCCGGAACGCAGAGCGTCAAACACCGGTTATATATCTTATAATAGTGCTGTTCGGGCACACAGCCATATTCTCCAGTACGAGCCCGTGGTTGGAACTTGCCCGAATAGCACTGCTATGAGAAACGCATAATACTCCTACATCTGATGGCGTTACCCACCTGCAACGCAACTGAGGTCAAACGTCGATCAATCAATCAAAGATATTTCACACTTACGGGGTGCCCATCCCATCTCGTAGTAAGCCTGTCGTGCAGCTAGCTCTTTAGCTTGCTGCTTAGTGTCGCTAGATCCTTTACCCTTCTCGATCCCATCCACTAGTCCCACATTCAATTATTAAACTCTATTTCAAGAGATAAGATGACGTTCCATGTGCTCACCAACGCAAGTCACGTTCCATTTCCCGGAATGTGGTGGGCCCACTAATACTGCTGAATAACTGACACTCACACCACGTTGATGAGCTGTTTGATTGAACAGTGGTAAAAATGCAAGGTGTGGTTGAGCAGGGGCTAGAGGATTTGGAGGTGATATCCTTGGGGGAGATGGCGGCCGAGACAGCGGAGGTGGCCGCATATACGGATTGTAATGGGTGGTTTGAGTTAATTGCGGGAAATTGGTGCGCGGCGGAAGAGATTGAGGCGGCAGCGTCGAAAAACGTGATTGTACGGGTGGCTGATGCATCTGAAAAACGCGATTGCGAGGAAAATTGGTATACTGGTGGTGGAGGGAATGATGGTAATGGCGGAGGAGGAGCAGAAGGCTCCTCTATTTTCACTCGTTTTGAGGTGGGAGCAGGTGACGTTGGTTTTGAAGCTATCGGGACGACATCAACATCCATATCTTGATAATCGTTCAATATCGTAGTAGACAGCCGAAGGAGGCCGCCTATCCATTCCTGCACTGTCTGGAGCCCGTGCTCGGTGAACACGGCTCCCAGATAGGCATTGAATATTAGGCGCCCTTCCTAGACCCGAATGAGAACCGAACGATGTGAATGAGAAACAAGCAAGTACCTCCGCAGTCTGAAGTGATGGTAGACACCTGGGGTCGCAACGAATATCTTCCCGTAGCCGATACAGTTTTGACCAGATATCAATCGTTTCGTCAGTCAAAAGCAGCGTCCTCTGCACCTACTCGAGAGTAAAATCGGTCATGCGCATTCAGAAAACACATGGCTCACCTCGATTTGTTGCACTGCAAGCTTTGGTTTTCGGAAGAAAAGTAGTTGTGTTGTCATCATCTCCAAAACCTCGTGGCCAAGGACGGACAATCTCTCATTGTCACGAAACAGTGCATTGCATGCCAGCCGGAGAGACCTGTGGGTGAAAACTTCGAGAATGATGTGTCCTGAAAGCTTCGGAAGGCCAGGTAGCTCCTCTGGCAGTGCGTCAAGGGTTGGCGAACGGCTTCGTTTGAGGGTGTTAGCAGGCATTCCGAGTCCAGGTTCAGGTGTAGATTCCATAGTGAACAGAGCAACGCTGTGACCGCGAAGTCGAGGAGGGAGAGACATTAATAATAATAAGATGTGCAATGTATCCAAGATGGTGGATCCAAAAGATCTGCGTGGCTCAAGATGGTGGTGGTTCTTGTTGTGTGCGCGCAAACTTTGTCAGTCAGTGTGGGTCCAGACGTCCACCCCCGAAATTCGAATACACCTAAATTTAGATGTTATTACGTATTCACTCCTCCCTCTCCGGAGTTACATCCATACGCAAATATGGCAAAATCTAGCAGTATCTAGCATTATAAGACAGCATGTAAAGTACGATAGAACATCTCTTGACGGCAAAAGTCAGTTCAACATCGAAGGGCCAACTATCCCACTATAACGAGCTGCTTCCTCCGCATCCTGCTTTCGTCGTTGGTGTCTAAGCAGTTTCTTGAGAGAAGTCACCGTGGCTTGTTGAGAAGGGTCCTGCTCCAACCGTAGGATGTGTGTGGTGATACTGTTGGGCGGATGTCAGGAAGTTACATATATTACAAGGCGGTCCACATCACCTGCGAGGGCCAAGTGCGACAGTGGGGCAATCTTCCACGAGGTGATACGAACCTTTACAAACTGGACATTGCGTGGCTGATGTTTTATGTCTCTTGGAGGATAAAGACTCAACCGCAGGCGCAGGCGACGACCGTCGTTTCGATAGCAGAGCGGATAGCCCAGCTGTTATACTCTTCCTCTCCCTGTCTTCATCCGTGGAGGAAAACTCCAGTGTCGTTTGTTGCCCGACTTTCTTGGTCTCGTCTATAGGCCTGGAAAACCGAGGAGACGATATTATGGACGGCTTGGCGGACGAAGATTCGTGTGTAGGTCGTGGTTGGGGCAAAGAAGATGAGGTAGATGGCTTGGATGACGAAACTACCTTCGGATTCTGGACACCGAATGCATCACGAGCATGTTTCTTTTTTTCCTTGATAGTAACCTGGCCGCCGTTGCGGTTTGGGACAAGCTTGAGGGGCTGACCAGCAAGAAGATGACCGTGGCCCCTTTTAACGAGCGTCTGCTCTATGGCATCGATAGCAGCTGTCTAAAGTGGATGTTAATGTCTTGAGGAGACCATATGAAGCGACGTCCATACCCTAACTGGCCACGGCTCATCTGAATCATGATTCATCAGCATTTCCCTGTACTCTACTAGGTTGGTGGAGTCTTCGGTCATGTAACAGATTCCCTTTCCATGGCGGGTGTTACATAGACCGCAAAGCAGGACATCCTCATCTTCTCTCGCCGAGGTCTGTTCTCGATACTTGGCCTTGGCCTTCATCTTCGCCTTCTGAAAGATCATCGGTGAGTCTCCATCCACGTCCATCGAGCTAGTGCCCGAATCACTCGCTTGCACGCCAGGTGTGCCCGGATAAGCGTCAGAATCGCTGGATACATCCGACTTCGAAGGCCGATGTTTCTTCTTTTTCTTGCTCATGTCTGGCGTGTCCTCCAGACCCTCAATGTCGTCAAGCTTTTGCTGTGGAAAAAATGAGCCTTGGGTTTAAGACATAGACGTCATTGGAATCACCTGAGGAAATATAGCAGCAGCCTTCCTCCGAGCACCTCTGCCTGTGACTTCAGTTACCTCCTTCACGCCTTTCGCAGCAGCTATCCGCTCAAGTGCTTGCGCCCAAGAATCGCCTTGCTCGGTGTCCGGAACATCCTCTTGGATGTCTTCCATGGTATCCTTATCCGCCGCCCACACCTTGGCAAACGCGAAGGAGAGCCCAGTCTCCTTAGTAGCTGCATGTTGATCGCCCTCTACTTCAGTCCTCTCGATGAGTTTGTCGACATCATTCTCGACGTCTAGAACGAAATGTGAGTCCAACATCTGTCCAATGGCGGCAATCTCGTACGCACAGGTTATGTCCTTCAAAGACTGATCACCTTCTTCGAACAGGGCTTTGGCTCCAAACGTAAGGATCGACTGTAGATCATCACCAGCACCGTCGTCATTGTCCATCTTCTGAACAATCAAATGGTCGAGAACAAGTTTTTTCTTCCCAGTTAGCATGATCCGTTCTAGGATGTTTTGTGAGCGCCAACGGACAGGAAGTCATGTAGCGATTCATGCCTTCAGCCGAGTCTTTGACCATGAACTTGAACACCAAGCACGTCTTCGTTTGCCCATACCTGTGAGAGCGAGCTATGGCCTGAAATGTGTCATTACAAAAAGAAAAAGCCAGATATAAAACATGGCGTACTTGCAAGTCCTAGAATGTCAGATCTGAGTTAGGACACGCAATATAACTATATCAGATCGCACGCACCTGGTGAGGGTTGAAATCAGGATCGAAAATGATGACAGTATCTGCGGTATACAGGTTGATTCCGACGCCGCCCGCTCGAGTAGAGAGCATGTAGATGAAAACATCCGAGTTCGGCTTGTTAAACTCGTCCATTCCCTTTTGGCGATCGGCCTGTTTGGTGTTTCCGTCCTAGAAAGGGTCAAGATCGGTATTTGCAATTAATAAAGGCGTGAATAATGACCAGGCGCAAATATTTGTAGCCTTCACCTCCGAGGAAGTCCTCGATAATATTTAGCGCCATAACAAACTGTGGAACATGGGTCATCAGGAGAAACTACCGGAAAGCGCTCCACTCGCCTGACTAAACAATAGTACACGATGACCTCTGGCCTTCAGTTTGGGTAAAAGCATCCTCAAAAACCGCAACTTCGTGCTAGCGCCTATCAGTTTTTCGTGAGCCTCTGCGGGCCTGAGGTTGCGAGGCTCGATATCCTCAGAATTAAGATATGGATGTTGAAGGCATCTGCACGGGATGAGTAACAAGAGTTAACGACTAGGCATGGTGGACTGACTTGCGAAGTTGCATCAACATATTATTCATATTGGCCTTGCTGACAAGAGGTTTTCCAGCTTTGGTAGTCGAACCCTGGGTCAGACTCCGGAGAATGTCCAAGTTTTGACCTACGGCAGGGTAGTCAGCATACGACATGATAGAAGCTGCAATGGACGTGTACTAAGGATCGACCTATAAATCTCCTTTTGCAGAGGTGCCATGGAAAGGGGAACGATGACCTCGTTCTGGAGAACGTGAGAATACAACCGAACCCACGAGGACAAACAAACCTTAGGGGGGAGTTGTAGAACTTCGCTCTTGATGCGCCGCAAGAAGTAAGGCTTGAGTCTAGTATGCAGCTGCCGCACGAGTTCCTCATTCAACTCTTCATGCTCCTTCTCCAAGGCCTCAAGGTCGCTCCATTCTTTGGGATCGAGGAAGTTCATGAGGTTGAAGAGTTCACGAATATTGTTGTTCAGAGGTGTCTATGACGAAGTTAGCTGCTAATAGAAAGATGATCACGGAGGTATCTCACCCCGGTCATGATTACACGATGAATCGCATTCAGCTCGTTTAATTTCTTGAACAACAGGCTATGATCGCTCTTCACTGCCCAGGAATCAGTAATGTTGCTCGTCATTAATGCCAAGTAACTTACAACGTTGCCCTTCGTCCACAACAAGAACTTCCCAGCGCGGAATGCTCTTGAACACCGAGTTAAAATCTCTAGGATTGATGAGCGTCTCATAAGTGGTCACCATCACGTGGTACTTGGGTTCCGGGCTGCCCTTTCGGTCGGAGGGATGGAACAACTCGTATTCAATAATCACGTCCCGAGCCTTCGCTTCCCCATAAAAGGGTACTACTCGTAACTTCGGTGCCCAACGAGTAAATTCTCGAACCCAGTTCGTGATGGTGGAGTTCGGAACAACGACAAGGGCAGGAGCGGCTTGCCATTTCTCGATAATAGTCCCAAGGAAAGTCACGATTTGGACTGTCTTACCCTGCGTAAGTTTGTACGTGAGTAAGGAGGAGTGGTATTCATAGATATGCATACCAAACCCATCTCATCGGCAAGGATGCAAGGCTGCAAGTTCCACCAGTTGTCACAGAGCCAGTCAAAGCCATCCATCTAGAAGATTGTTAACACATCGGCCGGATTGAAAGCGCTAAAGAGCAGACCTGGAATGGCATGAGCTGGAGTTGACTGTTCTGACCAAGTTGAGGTTGAGTTTTCCGACGAAGGGCGTGTGGTCCGTATCCATCCTTCACTCTGCTTTCCAGCTTCTTGATGCCCTTCTCTGATTTCCGAACGAAAACGTCTAGCGAGTCTATAAAGCGTTGGAAAGCTGTCTCGAATGCCGCGTAACCCGACTCATCAGAACGAGGGGGGGAATCCCAGGTTGCTATCTCGCCATTTAAGTTACACAGCGACAGGCGAGACCATATATTCACCTTCATTGTAGCCCAGATCGTCCCATTTGATAAATGCCCATGCGACATACTTGATGTCCTTGATGTCCAGCTCCGACTTGTTAACAGTGCGCAAGAAATCGTCTACAGTCTCCACACAGTCATCACTAGGCTGTTCACCTTTCAACTGCGTTTTCACCAGCTGATCCTGGAGCTCCGGAGGAAAGCTCGCTTCTTCGTGGCTCTCTACGACCGAGTTCCCTTTACCTCTCTTTCTACGCCCCGACTGGTTGACTTTCCAGAAAAGTACGTCCAGCACACGATCCGTGCTTTTCCATGCAGGGGGGATGTGACGCTCTGCGTCTGGCAACGGATTTAAAGATGATGTCGACTTGGCCTCGACCTCAGGAGTCTGACTCGTATTAGTCTCAAATGAGACCGGTGGAGCAGGTATCTCCTTCGCGGAAGGGTCAACCTGCATGGCGCTCTCTTCGGGAGGAGGGTTTTCCAACAATTCTACCTTGGGCCCGGTCGCAATGAAGTTTTTAAGCTTCGAATACGTTGTAGACGCCAGCCACATATGTGGAACCCATTGGGCGCGCCGATAACTTCGCTCGTTCCATTTTACAAGATACTCCCGGGGCAACATGCGCTTTGGGTCCGGAGGATTCATGAGCGAATATTGCGGTTCAACGGCGTCGGCAGGGTATGGACGCCATGCAAGAATCTTGTCTACGGTGTACTCAAACGAGAAGCAATCCGCACAGCGCCATCCAGTCTCGAACTGATAGAAGGATGCAAGTTTGGTATCATCAACAGAAGCTGGATCATCACTTCCAAAGATATCTGGGACAGGAAGGTGGCGATAATGGGCAAGACGCTTGCAGGTGAAGCACCGGTAAACAAGCTCCCTTGTAAGTCTCGATACACTGTTGGCGGCATGCGAAGAAACCTGCGTGCCGTCGGCCATTTCGACGTCCTGAGTGGGACCTGCGGGTGTAGGTTCCGAGGCGGCGGGTGGTGCTGTGGACTGTCTCACGATTGACGAATCGACTTCTAGAGCAATCTCCTTGCAGCCCATGCAAATTCCGCCCTTCATGCAGCTCGCGCACATGAACTCTGTGGTCTGCATGATACCGAGCTCCTTGCGATTCGGAAGCTCGGAGTCTGGAGGGTCGTGACCATCGTAACCGTCTGACTGTTGATTCTTCCATTCCTCTTTATCGCGCGCACGCGCTGCACGGGTGATTTCGTCTTTCTGGGTCCTTGCCAGACAGCGCCAATGAACTGCGACAGGACATTTCAAGCTGTGTTGTCGAGATAAGTATTCAAGTGAGAGTCGAGTCAGTTTGATCCTACCATCGAACCCAGCCACCCAAGGACCGGATGAGATCACCCTCATCCTCGTTCTCCTCAAACGCATAGTCGTCTTCCTTGTGTGATTTCTTCCTGCCTTTCTTCGGCTTTGCCAACTGCACGTGAGCAGGTGCTTTGTGACATTTCTCGCAAATATCCCGATGAGCGCGCAACAACTCGGTATCCTCTTCCTCATAAGCATCAAACTCAAGGTCTGCAACAGAACGAAAGATGCCATAAGCAGGTCGGGAAACAGGTCCACGCTTGAGTCGCTTTTGAGTTTTCGCGGCTGGTTTGGATGTTGTAGACCTCTCGGAAGTTCCCAGGTACGAGTCACCATCGGTTTGACTGTCACCAGGCTCTTCAACGTAATCATCTGCGAGGTTATTTCTTGCGCTCTTCCGCTCACGAGCCGACCTGCGAGCTGGAATAACTTCTATGATGTCATCCTGTTCGTATCCTGCCAATTCATCCTCCGATTCGCTTATATACTGGCGGACAGGCTTGCTGCGTAACTTTCTTGGGCTGAAAGGAAGTTTTATTTGAGTTGTAGCGCGTGACGTGCTTTTGCCTTTAGCAGTCGCAGCTCGAGTTCTAAGACTGGCTTTGCGGGCGAGCCTGCCATTGTCCTGTTGATATTCGTCATCGCTTCGGCCGTCATCCTCTTCCCGATCAGATTCCGAAGGTTCCGTGAGGTCAGACAGGGACGCCAGAGACGAGGTATATCCCCTCGCGCCGCTCGCCCTCCGGGCAACACCATTGACCATGTCTATGGTGATGATAGTCCTGATGCGAGAGTCCTCGTGCACTGCGCTAGATGATGGGTCAAATGAATCAAGCTCCCCTGCATCTTTCTTGTGATCTGCGCAAGACATGAGATACGTATTATACATGCCGTTAATGTAGAAACTCACTGTATTCCTCAACCAGGTCAGCATATTCGGCCTGGAAGTCAGCAGCAGGAAGCTATATATATAGGTTCACGCGTCAGATCAGCATAAATGTCCAGACAAAGTGATGCGCACTATATATGCTAGCCCATCCTTGAAACGCACAAAGTAGGAAAGGTCAGTGCCTTCGCGGTATTCGCTCACTACAGCGTCGATGTCATCCCTGTCGAAAGGCGCGCCTTCTTTGAGTTCCTCAGGAACTGGTTTATATTGTGCCCTCTGCGAGGCAGACAAAACAGGAGGCTCTATGAAAAATGATGGTTTGGGGCCCGTCTTGGGAGCCGTCGGAGGACCTGACTCGTTGGAGGACGTGATGCCATCACTAGTAGTAGGTAGCCCACCAGGAGAGCTATATTTTGGTGGAGTAAAAAGTAAAATGGGATCAGAGCTCGGAGAAGACATGCTGGGAATGTCTCTCGAAGACGCTGTTTTCACTTTCCCGAGCGCGCTTTAGACACGCTCTTTCAAATGAATTGGCGTTACAGCAAAGACACGTGTGATTTGTCAGGTCGCGTTTTCGTGTTTCTCGCGTGGGAATTCAGAGCGATGCGTTGCGGCAGCAGCGAGGGAAGAAAGCTGCAGAACCGCCAGAAGTGAAGAAAACAGTGTATTATATAGGTTGCGGTTAAGGGCAAACATGATAATCTATTTAATCTCATATGAATCCCCCAGAAATGAGCCACGCATAGCACTGCGCTGCTAGTTCTTCACTATGGTCTATCAGTCACAATCAGTATCAAGATAGTGCGGAATATTAAATACAAAGACAAACTGATGCAGAATGCATGTGGGATATCGCGGTGCCCGTGCACGACTTTCACAGTGCTCGAGTCTGCCCTGAAGACCTGGAGAATCGTTTCTCTTCCTTGGTCAACCCAATCATCCTTCTCTGCGAAGTAAAACCAAATTTGGTGTCGGTGTTTGTCCAAAGTGGCAGCATCAAGTTCTCGAATGTTGAGCATTTCATCGTGTGCCATCGTCATCGCAGCAAAGATTGAAGAAGGAGATAACAGAAATGACCTAAGAACCTGGGCTTGGGGGATTGAGTATTGTGGAAACAACCGACAAAGGATGGTCAGTGGCACAAGACACAATACTCGAGCGATCTGTGAGGTAATGCGCGGAAAGGGAGGCCGAAATAGTCGCTGAGAGAAAGGAGGAATCGTGAGCATGACTACTACTAAAACTCAAATACCAACCGACAACAGTCGACCATTCGGTGTATAAGCAATATTGGTGAGAGTTGGGAAAAGGAAGAAGACTCCAGAAACGGCAGCGGATCGCAGTTTCAAGACCTTTTTAGAGAGCGTTGAGCGGAAGCAAGATTGGACACTGCAGAAACGCTACCTGTAGAGCTACCCACGAACCAACGCTGTGGCCAGCTACCACAATACGTGTATTGGCACCAAAAAATGTCCTCAACGCGTCGAAAACCCGAAGGGAATTCTGGATCTGGAACGGCAACGCATGACTGAATGAAGTGCTGCGAGCTGGTGCAGAATCCTTGACCGCAGGGTCATGCCCGATGTGTGAATGCGAAAGTATCGCCAGTGTGCCAGACTGGTCCTTGTTGTGTATTGCGGTTAGAAATGGATGATAGAAGTCAATGATCCCAGGGTTTCCTGCACTCTTTCAAAATCAGCTCGAATGGAAGTACTATGTCGAACCTACCCGGTATAAAGAGTAATATCGTGGAGGGTGACACGCCTGCTTGTTTACACGGCCACCAATGCACATGTACAGGTGGTATATCGTTACTGGCAGGAAACAGAGCATTCGTATATGGAACGCTGGAATCTGGCGCCAGAGAGTCTAGAAACGGGGGTAAATTGGTCGAGGTGTCGGGCATCCTGCAAGATGACGGGTTCACCAGCAAGTGCGATGAGGTACTGTGAAGCTTTACAATATATTCTAAGCCAAAGGCCGCATTACCTTGTTCGCAGCTAGCGGCAGTCTCCCCCAAGAGGCCTACCTAGTGCTAGTAGTGAGCGCTGGTACGATACTACTACTAGCTAGTTACGTGTAAGAACTTACCAAAGACGGAAATAATACATTGAGCTCTCTAAGTCTAAAACAATTGCTCCCTGGCTCGCAGTCATATTCTAACTCACATGTCTCGAATATCGACCTTTCCTCTCGAACCGACAGAGCCAAACCGTGTTCCCTTACCGACGAACTCAAACGGTTCTTATTCGACTACCAGACCGTTGCAGATCGCTCGTTCCCCATCACGCCAGGCAGCACCAAGTAACAACACCTTTGCCTCATCACCCAAGGGCCCAGGTTTTTCATTACCCAAGGGTCCTTTCCGCCCACAAAGATCAGAGCTGAGGCCGCGTCAGCTATCTGAGCACTCCGAGCGGGCTTCCACTTCATCTCGAGCAACCCAACTTGAAGATTATGCAGCGAGGGACCGTCGAGATAGTTCCAGCACAACGCGCTCGGATTCATCAGCGGCGCCGCAATATAATAACGGATCCATAGGTGCTGTAAATAATAGGCATCGAGTGGACATACCGCGATCTAGCACGTACGACGAGACTTCCCCGACAACCCCTGCACTGGCTTCCGTCATGGCCGCCTTCAGGGAAGCCGGAGCTCGCAAACGTGCGATGACAAATGGTAGCGAAGATATAGCTTATGAACAAGAAAAGCAGAGGGAAAAGGAGATGGAGATGAGGAGGCAAGAGCGCATCCGCGAGCGAATGCCAGGCCGGAAAGCAACCGGGAAGGCCAAAGCAGGAGATATCGACGGTGAGGAATCTGATATCGAAATACGCCTAACTTTATGTTTCACTTGTTTAATCGTTAACTAACGTCGCGTTGTAGCTGTGCTAGACCAGATCAAGGACGAATGGGAGTTTGTCATTGACCCTGATGTAAGGCGTAGATTCTTCTGTCATTCAATAGCTGAGCGAAATAATCTTGCAAACGTTGCAGTTTAACAACGTTGACTTGGCTTTGTCACTACTCGACGATTCTTCAACTGGCAAAGACATCGAGTCTTTTCGACAAACCAAGGTAATGCTGTCGCATGCATTGAAAGGATCAGTAGACAGTAAGCTCTGTGCTCTGAGCAGATGTTTTGATTTACCAATGTTTGTGCGTAGAGCATCACAAGGCATTTGCGGACGCCCTTCCGCATCACGCTGCTCTTCTCAATCATCTTGGACTCGCCCAGACGCAGATACAACAGTCAAGGACAGCTCTTGTGGAAGCAAAGGATGCTCTGGGAAATAAGCGCGCTGATCTTGTTCAGCTGTGGTCAAGAGGACAGGTGTTAGAAGAAATGATGAATTTATTGGATCAGATGTCGGTTTCTTGTTGCCAATCGGTTCCTCTGCTAATTATTTGTTTGTAAAGCGAGCACTTGAAATCCGTGCCCGACGCACTTGAGACTCTCATGTCGGAAAAAAGGTTGCTTCAAGCATCGGTTCTCCTTGTGCGGAGCCTCAAGTTGATCAACAAACCTGACATGCAAGAGATTGGAGCAGTTTCAGATCTGCGAAGTTATTTGATTAGTCAAGAAAATGTGCGTCCGTCAATTACTTAGAGACACATCATCTTATAAATTGGCAGGCTCTACGGGAAATATTGATCGACGAACTTCACAACCATCTTTATCTCAAATCTTTCTGGTGTGAATCGCGCTGGGCTGCTTATAAGCCGAACCAGACAGCTTGTAGGTCCTCCTACTTTGTGCAGCTCTGTCTTAATTTCTTTCCGAAGTTCCTAAGGTCGAATTTGAACATGACTCGAGTGCACAACTGTCTCCGAATGGCATTGCATATCGTTCCCCTGATTCATCTCCACTGAAACTTGCATCCTCCCGATTATCTCGCTTTCTTAATTCTCTTGCACTCCGACCCAATGATCCTCCCCATGATCTTAGTGAATCGAACCTACGCAGCAACGCGTCCGTTCAGGATTTATCGTCCCCATCTCTTCCATCCGCTCCATCTTTCTCATCGAATGTTAACCTTGCTGCGCTAGCAACTTCGGCTTCTCAGGCACCTCAACTTGATACAAACCCGGAAGCAGACTCCTTCGCCTATATTGAAACTCTACTTGAGTCCCTTGCAGTCTTGGGAAAGCTTGGGAGTGCGCTCGATATTGTTGCGCAGCGTTTGCAAGGCGAGATATACTCGTTGGTCGAGTGTACCTTAGACGAGGTTGAGGAACGAACGGAAGAGTCCAAGAGAGTTTCTGTATTCGGCGCAGCGAGCCTTGGAAGACGGTCAGAGGGCGGGTATATCTTCGTTGCCAATGATCCCGTCGGCATCACTCTAGATGGTGTTGTCCCTTCGATACCAACAAAGGGGATTCTCCTCCGGACCTTTTCCCTACGCCTTGCAGCACTGGAGTCTTCTACGAAGCAAGTCGATCAAGAAACATTGAATGACTTCTTTTGGACTGTTTATTCCAAACTTGACGCAGTAACCCAGGGATTAAGGGTAGTTTGTGAGGTTGCCAATCGTATAGGATCGGTATGCTACATTGTTTTTGTAAAACAGCTTCATACTAACCTGTATTGTCTCAGCGAAAAGATTTCAAGGATTCATCCGGTGCCAAACCGGGAGCTTTGTTTCCGCTTGCTGACGTATGGCTTCCGGTGCAAGCTGAGGTGTGTAGCGCATTGATTCTCGTAAACAATATATCAAGCGAGCTACAGGTCCGGACGCTCTTGCATGACTATTTGACGGACGAGGAGCAAGGCTCGGTGGCGGGGCGAAATCCAATATCATCTATCAATGAGGTCCTACGGGAAGGCCGGTTCACGAGAGACAAACAAAAGGTCAGCACGGAATATCGTTGCATGTCTCATCACTGAGCATTTACTTCCAGTCCGTATTCCGATTTGCGGATACTGACATGAAGTCCACGGGCAAAGTCCTTCGACGTCACGAAGACGAGCTCACTCGGGTTCTTCGAGATACAATGCCCGGTCTCGTCCAGAATTCGTCCGATAGTGCTGTCCAGGCGACATTGTCGACAGTTGGCACGGATGACCGTCTGTTAGGTGTCGGGCAGCATCATCGCTTGCTTATCAAGCCGGATGCATTCCATGTCAGCGTACTTTTCCAGCCCACCCTTACTTTCTTGAACCGAGTGACGGAAATTCTCCCTGATGGTGTAGAAAGTACCCGCTCTGCAAGTGGTTTACTAGATGACTTTGTCCTCAAGGTCTATCTGCCACAGTTGGAAGAGCGCATATCTGAACTTTTCCATCAAGCAGTGACAAGTTAGTTGATTCGTCTCTCATATCGCGTTATCCTGCTCACTGTCCAACTAGGTCCTGACGCTTTCCAATATGACCAGATGTCGACACGATTCAGTCCAAAACCAATATTCAGAGTTCGTACTTTCGCAGGTGCTATCATATTGAATCATTGATGCACGGTTATCCAGGCAACTACACAGCTAATGGCACTGATAAACTCGTTATGCGCGATGCTCCGCACAACCCCATTTCATCGAGAAAATTATTCTCGCCTAATTGTTGGCGTAATTATTCAGTTTTACCAGCGCTGTAGTGACAAGTTCCAAGACCTGGTTTCTTCCACTACTAACATCATATCCGATTCTTCCTCGTTGCCTCTGGTGCTGGCAGCTCAGTGGGCACAAAAGTCGGAGTTAAACCCATGTTTAGCAGAGCTCTTCGCAACACCTGTGTGTATCGCACGCATACTCTAGAGGCTTGTGAACCCAACGATTTTTTTGCAGGAGTCCAATACTGTGATCAGGCGTCAACTTTGTCGACAGGAAACAAATCTGGAACTGAATTACCTCGGTCAAGCTCAGATAGCCAAGTACGACTTGGTTTCTTCAACTCGCAACTTGGCGGGTCTGTGTGGTCTCTACCGTAGTGTGGTCAGTTGCGCAGCATGGATGAATTTATAGCATTGATTCAATTGATCTGCAGGCATGGTTCACAGAGGAGTTGAACGCACTGAAGTCAGCTCCAGAAGGCACACTCTCGCCGACTACACCTGCGTCTGCCAATGTCGTGATGTCGTTTACTCCCTCGGCAATCTCTAGTTTCCTCTCGCGAGGTACTTATGACGAACAACTTAGCCTCCCCCTGTCACGAGAGATGGCAATGTGGGTGTATTGATCATGATGTTGACCATCATACTCATATAAATCTCTAGGCGGTTCGGTGCCTTGCTTAAGACATACGCCCAACTGGCCGAGATCGTTCTACATACCATTAGGATCGACATTCGTTGTCGAACAATGCACTATTTGGATGCAGCCATGCGTCTTGTTGGTGCTTAACTGCATTGCACTTATTATCCTGCTGATTGATTGCAGGGTAACTACAACATCGACCATGAGGCTGGTGAGCCTGACCCATACATTGTGGACCTTAACGTGGAAATCAGCAAGTGCAACGAGTTCGTGTCAGCAGCAATGCTGAAGGAAGAGCACCAGTGCGTATCTGCCCTTCACCTCAAATGAACGTATCTCTCATCTCTCGTAGATTTGTCTTTTCCGGACTTGAACATTTAATGGAACATCTCCTTATCTCCAATGCTAGGCATGTGCGCATGGCCAATGATTTCGGTGTCAGGAAGATCATGCGGAACACTCTGGCGCTACAGCAGAGCGTGCGGACTATCGGCGATGACCAGCAGCACGCCGAGTTTGAGCGCGCAAAGAGTTATTATTCACTCTTCTTTCTGAAGCCTCAGGTACACTCCCTTCTTCGTGTTCTGACAAACTGCTGATGAGTCGAATCAGGGTTTGCTCGACAGTATCCGCCAAAACCAGAATTTTACCTTTGATGAGTATAAAACCATACTCAATCTTCAGTGTGGGGTGGATCAGTCCATCGGTGAAGCCGGAGTTGCTAAAGCCGCCGACCGCAATTACAGTATGTATCTCATCGACCTACATGGTCTGGAGCTGGAGAGTTCGGCGGACATCAGTTGAGGTTCTCAACATCTAGTCGTCTTTGTATATTTATGACCAGTACCTTGTGGGCAATATATCCCTCCACGCTCGCAGATAGGATCACTGACAGATCGCGCTGAAAAATGGCCGATTGAAAAACGAGCATTGAAATGAAAGTGTCGCGTCAAAATCCTGGCTTTTCTAATGGTGTCGCTCTAGTAACAGAACCAAAATATTGCTCGTGTGCGATTGTGTCTTAAAAGAATATCCTCCTGATGGTCAAGGCTTCCTATGCATTGCCTGCTCGCTGTATGTTTTTCTGATTCCACGCCACATCATCGTCCGTCGCGCAGGGTAATAGCCTCCCTTGCATTCGTGCCTTGAGCGCATTCGGTGCTAATGACACCGCGAAGCCACCAGACTTTCTGGTTTTCACGTTCTCGCATGCTGAAATAAATGTCAGGACGGGAAGCTTTCCCAGTAGCTCCTGGTATCTCCTGCGCAACCATCGTCTTGGAAGAAAAGCGCGCAACCCTTGCTGTGATCTATTTGCCGGCTTTGTTGTTAACTGGACCAGCTCCTCGAGAACAGTAGTACCGTCAAAGCCAATTTTCCGGACAGCAGCTGAAGGACTCGAGTCGTTACCCTCATCGCTGACACATCGAGGAGGCGAGCTGGAGATCTGAAGAGGTGGAAGCACCTTCTTCCACTCCTGTCCGAAGTACTTCCAGCGAGCGTTCACTTCCCGGCGCTTACTGAAAGGCCCCAGTATCTTGGCATCAGGTGAATTAGGGTCTGCACGTTCGGGAAGTATTGGTGGGAAGCTGAGGTCGCCAGGTACCAAAGGTCTTTTCCTGCGAGATAGACCCGACGTGAGAAGTGCGGTAAGCTCTGGGGAATACACGGGAGGACGCGAGGATTCTTTGCCGCGGATGATTGGCGAAGGAAGTGGTGTGTTTGGGTCAGACAGCAAGGGCTACAGAGACGTCATCAGGAGATCGTGAGCAACGCAAATGACTTGTACTCATCACCTCCATCAATTCCCACCTTAGCCTACCTACCCGTCCGTAGGCAAGGTCCAAAATACGATTGAAGGCCAGATGGCTTCCATTGTTTGCTGCATGTACTCGTTGCATAGTCTGGCCAAAAATAAGATGAAAATCAGTGCTTGACGAAAGTAGCCTCGCCTTTGAAAATCTCTTCAGCTTCCGCCGCCTAAGGTGGTCGCATTTTGTCTGCAGCACAGCGCGACAGCCATCCTCTGCCTTCAGGCGGAAAACTCGACTGCGGGCTATTAGCAATGTACATGCTGATCCGGGATGGGCCATACCGAAGGTAAGCATGGGGCAATCGTCTAATCTCACGAAGATATGTTCTGTATACTGACACGATCTCCTGCTTTCCGTGATTCATGACAATGTGACGTGCTTGCTATAAAAATTTCTTGTGCAATGTGCTCGAGTGGTGTCATGGTCCTGGACCCAGTCAAAGAATTGAAATCCCCAAGAGCGTGGGAGAATGGATCTAGAGTAATGCAAGTCGAGCGCGCCTGATGAGCTCTTTGTCTAGTACTTAATGGACAATAGTGTTTGCTACCAAAAAAACGTCGCGAACAGTGATACGCTAGAAGTCCGGCTGCAGGATTTTAGGGTATCAGACTGCGCTACCTTCTGTGGGCCTCTCTGTCGGTTCTAACTTGACATTATCAAACTTGGGCTCTATGTCGGACCCATTCAACATTTACTTGGATCTACTCAACGGTCAAAGAAGGTCATAAAAGTACACGGCAAAGCTACGCATTGATTGCCGTTATACGTTTCTCCCTCAGTTCGCAAGGATCAAGCCGCATCTGTAATTTTGTAAGATATGTCCAAGTCATTCCCCTGTGATGGCAATGGTACCTACCGAAAACCCGTGTTGCAAGCGTGAAGCTTCAGGTGAATGATTCTCTCAGTCCTCCGAAAAGACGATTGGCAAAGGATGATCGATGATTGCTCGCAGAATCGTATTGCCTTTCGTTCCTTCTGTGCTGTCTGGCATTGAGACTGCAACACTAGCACCGCATCAGACTTGTTACTCACGTGGCTAAAAATGGCGTGTCAATTAATATAACCTCAGGAGCTAGGTCAAACCTTGCAGGAACTGCATGGAGAGCTTCGACACAATGAGAGCTTTATTACCTGTGGTTAACGCAGGACACCTCAAGAAGGTAGCGCTGCAAGATCAAATGTCAATCCCATCCTGATTCAAGAGCCCGCTGTAACCCACCACCCGATACAGCGATTACCCTCATGAATGCTATCGGCATGAAATATTTTATATACTCATCATCTGAAGACGGCTTGACACTTAGCAGATCCCATAGTTGGGGACGGGGATAAATACAGACAATGGTATGGCATGAAAAGAACATTGTGTGATCAGCGGGCAACATCAATAAGTCAAACGGAACATGAACTGGAAGCTATATTGTTTCGTGTCAGGATCCCAATACGACCAATTCCAATATCCGGCGTCGTCAGCTTCGTCTTCTATCTCGCGGGCGGGAATACGGAAAGCAATTGTCTCATACGGCTCAGCAGCCACCTACCACCTAATGAGTAACATATGATTTAGGAAGAAGTGGCACTCACGATAAGATACTGGTATGCCTTGTTCGGAGGCTCCCTCTTTTGCTCCCACGCACTCATAAATCGTCGGCGAGGGATGACATCTGCTTTGATTTGAGGAAGGTGGACCTGGACCATCATACCTTCTTTGCCAGTATCTTTGTCCCGCACTTTCGTTACTCGGTAGCCAGGGCGTCCTATTTTGAGGAACACTTTGCGTTGTACATTGCTTTGAGTCGGAGCGATCATCAACTGGGTGTCCTTAGCATCGCGGGCCGCACGGCGAGCGAGATTGGTCTGATGCTTCTTTCCCTGAGTGTGAGCCAGGTATGAACCTTCGTTCGTGTGGAGTGTCAGACAGAGACGACATTCGAGGCCACCCAAATGATTCCTTAAGATATAAGGATCCTGAACGACGCGTCAAGTTATCAATATTGGAGGGCATGATGAATAAGACGTACTTTTGCAAGATCAATTGTCTCGAGCGCAAGCTTACGCAAACGTTCCCGCCTGTCCACGTTGGTCTCCGAAGCCCCAGCGACACCACCCCCGCCAAACTTGGAACCGACACGATTCTGGAACAAAGGTAAAAATGTATTCCCAGAGCACACCAGGTATGACTTACTTGAAAGTCTAGAAAAATGCATAAGGGGTATTAATACAGACAGAAGGCGACTGTTACTTTCACTTACCCATAATTTTGCGAGTATGATGGTGACTGATGAAGATGCCAGTGCTGACATAATCAACTGCTTGCAATTTATTTCTTTGCAAAGTAGTATTCTCTCTTTTGCAAAGTAGTACTAACGTCCACCAAAATTCGAAGCTGTAGGAAATATCCTGCGCTTCCCCCTCTATTGCAATTGACTGTCGGACGGTCAGGACCTAGGCTACGTTCTGTGGTATTGACACCAACAAATTATCAAGAGCATGGCTGGCCAGAAACGTGCTCTAGAAGATAACTCATCCCGCAATGTCAAAAAGCACAAACTCGCGAAGGACAGGTCAAAAGATGTGCCGGAAAAGCCTGTTCAATTGATATCAAATCTCATGAACGAGGAGGTCGACTTTCCTCGAGGAGGTGGAACTAGCTTTACAGCTGCAGAGGTCAAAGCTATCCGAGCTGAAGCTACGCAAGAGGCAAACGAAGAGCTATTTGCTGTGAGTTCTGTTGCGTGATTTTATTCCAAATGAGCTCGACAGAGTAGAAATTGCTGCAGGCGCCTGGAAAGTCTCAAAAAAAGAAAAGTAGATCTGACGTCAAAAGCAAGGCGAGTGTTGCACCGAAGAAAGACGTAGTTCGCATCGAGCATCTCAATTATAAGGTATTTTTCGTCACATGAAGCTGAAACACACCGGCTCAGTCGTGCATTTTCAGCGCATAGTTCCGGGTATGAAGTTGCTTGGCCAAGTCGCATCGATACAACCGCTGGCTCTCATTATATCCCTACCGAACCAGCTCATGGGTCACGTTCCAATCACACAGGTTACCTCTCAGTTGACTAGTCGTCTCGAATCAATGCATGAACAAGAAGAGCCTTCAGATACAGAATCCGTTGACGACGGCGAATCCGATTCTCAGACGGAGGTGCCGGATCTGTTTCAACTCTTTCGTGTGGGACAATACGTCCGTGCAGTTGTGACCAATGTGCATGCATCAGGGTTTACGGACGTTTCTGCCATCGGCAAATTAAGGGATGATGCTGCGAAAACCAGTCGTCGCATTGAGTTGAGTCTTGTGCCCAAGACAGTAAACTCTGGAGTTCTTAAAACGGATCTCAAACCTGGCTTTGTGAGCAATATCTTAGATCACATTATTTCATCATGATTAAGCCCCGCATAGATACTCTCAGCGGCTGTTCAAAGTGTAGAAGACCATGGATACATTCTTGACATCGGCGTACAGGGCTCCTCTGGCTTCTTATCCTTCAAAGAGGCCAAAAGAGGTGGTTTTGACGGCTCAAAGCTCCATGTTGGCCAACTGCTCGACACTGCGGTTGTGAAGATGTCCAGCAACGAGAGAATATGTACAGTTTCAGTCGATCCTCAAGGCGTACAGTCATCTTCAGTCAGTTTTGCTCCTTACGATCTGCAATGTTCCTCACCATATTCCAATTTCCAGATCACAGAAGTCAGCAACGTCACCTCCGTACTACCGGGAATACTAGGTCAAGCATTGATCACGGCGATTTCACCGATTGGTCTCAAGTTACAGATACTTGGCTTCTTTGACGCGACAGTTGACGAGTTTCACGTGCCCACTAACCCTGCTAAAGCATTCAAGGTTGGGCAAAAAGTGAAGGCCCGAATATTGTACGAAATTCCCGGAAGCTCGCCCCCGAAGTTTTCCGTGTCGCTGTTGGATCACATTGTCAAGCTAGAAGAGAAGCTTTCCACTGATAGTATCTCTGAGAAAGCTGCCATTCACTTGGCGTATCCCATTGGCACGAATTTGGATGCAGTTAAGGTGAAACGCGTAGAGTCGGAACGAGGACTTGTCGTTGAAGTGGAGCCCCACCTTGATGGATTCATTCATGTAGAGTTTTACACTAATCGATTGTCCTAGACTAACTCCACCTCTTTGACAGATATCTCACACGTCGGATGATCATGTCCCAACACTCTCTTCCTCCTCGGGCCCGTGGAGATTGGACACCCTCCATAGAGCGCGTGTGATAGGCTATCATCCGTTGGATGGATTACTGCAGCTCTCCCTCCGACCTTCAATTTTAGACCAAAGGTTCCTTCAGGCAGGCGATATACAAGTCGGAGAGGTCCTGAAAGGCACTGTTAAACGCCTGACTGATTCTGCCCTATTCGTATCGATCTCTTGTAATGTGGACGGTATCATATGGCCAAACCACTACGCAGATATACCACTCAAGCATCCATCAAAAAGATTCAAGGCCGGAGGTAGCATAAAATGCCGGGTACGCGATCGTATCAATCAGATGTGATACATGCTATAAGGAAATCCACAGGTTCTTGCTGTCGACCCCGAACGCATGAGAGTTGAACTGACTGCCAAAAAGACATTGATTGAATCTACTCTACCAGTCCTGACCTCCATCGAAGAGGCGAAGATCGGGATGATTACAGATGCAGTAGTGTACCGAGTTGTGGACAAGGGCTTGGTCGTCCAATTTTACAATGGTCTCAAAGCGTTTGTGCCGTCCCGCGAAGCAAGGTTTGCTTAATTCCGCTGTTCGCGTCGCTTTTGATTGACACTTTGCAGTGACTATTCAAGCAAACTGAAGGATATGTTTGTCGCGGGCAGAGTTGTCAAAGTACGGATTCTAGCCGTTGAACTGCATCCCCAACGAGTTGTTGCAAGCATTCGTCAGGCGTCATCATCAAAAGCTGCTAGGGTGACCGATACCAGCGACGTTACAACGGGTGCTGTCACAGAGGGTGCTGTGGCAGTTCACAAAATACCAGCTGTTTCATCCCTGCGGCCGTCCCATGCTCGCGAGCCCATCCCTCCGAAGGCACTAGCCAATACACGTGGCAGTCCATTGCCACAAGTGAAGGCTGTGCCCACCCAACCGCAGTCGACGCGGAGATCGCCCACTCCCAAACAGACTGGACCTTTGAAAGTTGCAGGGTTTTCTTGGTTCTCCAGTGGCGCCAGGTCTGATGCGGCATCTGACGAAGGGTCTTCATCCGACGAAGGCAGTGAGGATGATGAGTCCAGCAAAAGGAAGAAAAAACGCAAGAAGAAAGAGATTGAGCAGGACCTCACCGCTGACATGCACGCCAAGCATCCAGAATCAAATGCCGACTTTGAGCGGCTCCTCCTGGGTTCCCCAAATTCATCCTACCTTTGGGTGCAGTACATGTCTTTCCTCCTTCAACTGTCCGAAATCGATAAAGCACGGGAGACTGGCCGACGAGCGGTTCAGACCATCAGTTTCAGAGAGGAGGAAGAGCGGCTCAATGTTTGGATTGCTTTACTGAACCTCGAGAATGTCTATGGTACCGATGAGTCGCTGGAGGCGGTCTTCAAAGATGCTGCCCGACACAATGACTCCAAAACCGTCCATCTCCGCCTGGCGGCCATCCTAGATCAGAGCCAGAAACATGAGGCAAGTTCGTTATGCTAATTTCACTACTCTACTGATGAAGACGCACGCAGAAAGCAGAAGATCAATACAAACGAACCTGTAAGAAGTTTGGCTACAGTTCGAAAGTGTGGACTCTATTTTGCGAATACCACTTGCGACGTGGAGACTTGGAGCAGGCACGCAAACTGCTTCCGCGTTCACTGCAAAGCTTGGAAAAGCGCAAGCGTGAGTAGTTTGGTGGCACCTTTGTATCCAATCTAAAGCGGGTGAACAGACTTGAAGACAATATCAAAATTCGCTCAGCTCGAATATAAGCTCGGCGATGCAGAACGAGGCAAGACTATCTTCGAAGGGATCGTTGACTCGCATCCAAAGCGCTGGGACCTATGGTCGTTTTATATGGATATGGAGGCAGGGCAAGGCGATATCCAATCATTAAGGTGAGCCCTCTTCTCCGCCTTTGGACGCAGTACCCTAACAACACATCCGCAGAAACATCTTCAATCGTGTGTTTGCCATCAAAATGACTAGCCATAAAGCAAAGTACGTATGGGACTATCTTGCAGCATTGTAACATCTAATTTCGTGTAAAGGTCATTTTTCAAGAAGTGGCTCGAACTGGAGAAGAAGATTGGGGACGAGGAAGGTGCATCGGCTGTCAAACAGAAGGCAGTCGAGTGGACACAAAAAGCTGCATCCGCATCACAATGAGTTAGACTTGGGGTGTCGCAAATGTTGATGCATGTCACAATATATAATCGACGTCGAACAGCGAGGAAGCAATGGTGTAACGTAGAACTACGAATCGAAACGAGTGTGAGCATGAGCGGCGGTAAGCAATAAGGGTATAACTATATGTGCAAAGCAAGAAAAAACAGAACATGACAAAAAATAGTGTTACGATCGCGACCGGGTTCTCTCATGTCCTAACACATGAGAGGGAGACTCGAAATCGCTGAGCGGTCGCCGGGCGCCAAAAGAGCTAGCCATCTGCCGTTGCCAATCGTCCAGTTCATTCGACAGGTGCTCAAAATTCTCTGAGCTGGACATGCTGGATGGTCGTTTGAGGGGCTGATCAACTTCCAGGAGAAGGTGGATTTTATGCGAAAGCTGCTCGTTTTCCCTTTTGAGGTTGGTGTTTTCGATAGTGAGCTGTTCCAGTAGACTGGCACCGCTGCCTTCACGATATACCGCGAGGGTAGCGTTCAATCTCTCGATCTCCAACTCTAGCTCCTCCACACGACTCTGGCGTTCATCAAACTCCCGCTGAGAGATAACGAAGTTGTCCTTCATGATGTCGAGATCTTTCTCCAGTGTCTCAATTCTTTGACGGAGGTCTTTGTTGTCACCGATTAGACGCTGACTTTGCTTCTGCGAATCAATCAATTGGGTGCGAAGGTGGTCGTGACTGTCGTCTGAAGGAGTGCTGCGACCGTTAACACCACGTCGCGGTTCAGTGCTGGATCGTCCTCGAACAGTGTCAAGTTCCGCTTGTAAACTAGCATAGGCGGTTTTCGTCCTCGTAACCTCGTCTTTCATCCTTCGCATCATTTTTTCGGTTCCTCTGCGATGCATGATCAGACCTATGACATGTACGAATACTCGAAGAAAAGCTCACTTCACATAATGCACGGCAAGCTGATAGTCTTCTTCCATCTGGCGCATTCGCGCCTTATAGCTCCGTTCCGTCTCCTCGAGTTTCCGTTCAGCTTCAAGAGCGCGTGCTTCAGCTGCTGAGTCACCTTGGTTCACGGGACTCTGCACAGGCCTCGCCCGATCTTGTTGCTGTGACATGGTACTCAACTGTGCTTCAAGTTCGCGCTTTTTTCGAAGAACTTGACTCAGCTCCCGCTCTGAGCGCTCGTACAGCAGGGAGCGTTCTTCCAGCTGCTTCTCCAGGTCTATTATTCGCGAGGAACTTCCCGAATTTGAGGAGGGTTCATCCGAATCTGGGATGATGCCGTTTTCTGAAAGATAGTTCCGAAGCATCACCAGGCGAACGTTGGCATCGGATGCGTCTTTCAACGCTCCCTGTAGATCATTCTTCTTTTCTGCAAAGTCTCTGCGCAGACGACCCTGCTCCAAGACAGAGCTGGACAGCTGCGCCCGGAGACCCACGATTTGCGATCGCAGGAATGTTTGCTCGGATTCCGTTTGCCGTACCCTGCGCCGTTCCTCTGAGACGTCTCTTTGTACTTCCTCCAGCTGCTGTGTAGTCTCCTTCAGCATCTTCCGTAGAGAAGCAGCTTCCGCCTCCATGACCTCCATTTTCTCCGTGTGATCTCTCGTGATTCGGTCTTCGTCTGCCCTGAGATCACGATGCGAGTCCAGGAGCTCACCAAGACTGCCAGTGGTGAGTGCACGGAATGCATCGGCTTCTTCACGAGACTTGGCCCACGCGTTCTCAACCTCTGCCAGCCTAGCCCTCGCTTGTTCCACTTCAGACATACGAATCTCCAAGTCTCCGCGTAGTTCGGCGACATCTGCTTCTAGCTGAGTGATCTGGTCGCGAGCGCGTTGATCTTCTTCAGACCGGGAGGCTATTGCTTCTAGTGCCGTACGGGCTTGGTCCAAAGCGCGGATATGTTGATCGCGGAGTTGAGTCAACTCTTCAACCTGTCTCTTGACCTGCGAGTGTTCAGCGTCTTTTTGCTCAAGCAACGAAGTCTGGCCAAGGAGTCGATCGGCGTGATCTCGAAGAGCAGCCTCAACATCGACACAACGGTCGCGAATTTCAGCGTGTTCGCGAACAACACGATGGTGCGTCTCCTCCAGGGCATCTGCACGTGTGCTGGCGTCGGAAGACCGTGCCTCGGCTTGTTCAAGCAGCGTGGTCTGCAAGGCGAGCGAGTCACTCAGCTCGTCCACTGACTTCTTCTGTGCAGTCTGTTCAGCCAGTAGAGTTGCAAGGTGACGTTCGAGTTCAGAGATACGCTCTCGCTCTATTTGCGAAACCTCGGTAGGTGCAGATGCTTCGTGTGCAGTAAGCTTCGCACGGTAGTATGCAGCTTCTTGGATTGCAGCGGCTTTCATGCGTTCGGCATCCGCAATGCGTTCAGAAGCCTCACGGGCTTGATTGGCCAATGTTGTCTGCATCTCCGTTAGAATGATTCATGTGTTCTTGAAAGGGAAAACACACCTGCATCTGAGTCTTGAAGTGCTTGAAATTCATGACCATGTCAGCAAGCTTCCTCTGATCTTCACTGGTAGAATCTTGGAGGTCAAGATCCTCTGCTTCCAACGCTTCTTCGTCAAGCTGAACAAAGCCCGACCGGGACGCTTTCAGAAGTGCCGTCTTCATCCAAGCTTCCCGCCTCCGCAGCGTCTCGACTTCCATCTCTTTGACCTTGTAATCCCGAATCAGGTCAGCCGTCACATTGCCCGTCGAACCATATTTCCCCTGTGCATGCCCGTTTCCGTTCGCACTGGAAGAAGCGGATGACGGCAGATAGAAAGCATCAATCGGAGGCCTGCTACGATCCACAATAGGTGATGGACTTCGCGCAGCCAAACCGCCCATCGCCACGCTCGCCACACTGGGTGGCTGTACGCTGCCATAAGGATCGGCCGCATTCTGCGATGTGGGAGACATCGCACGGGTGACGACACTAAAGGAGTTGGGACTCCGTGCTCGATTCTGCTCTGGTGATGGTGCGTGATCTCGAGCGACGTGGATAGACTCGACAACAGTGTCCGTCCCGTGTCCGTCATCCGTTCCGAGCACGTCCCCGTCATCCCTTCGGGGGCGCGTCGGTATTTTACCTTTGGTATTGGGAGATGACTGTGCAGGGACACCATTCGGTGTCCGAGTTCCTGGCCGGCTTCCTTGCGGAGATATAGCCCGGCGAAGTTCATCTGCGTCCTGAGAAGCACCTGTCGGAGACATGGCACGGGAACCGTTAGGCAGAGCGCTCCCTGGGGGAGTTGGTGTTGCAGACGACTTTCGATCAGACTTGTTGGTCGATGGTCCTTTGTTTGAATCAGGGTATTTGATGTGCTCTGAGTAATCTGTCAACGGTGACATCGATGCAGAAGAACGACCACGTACTGGTGTCAAGAACATGAATAATTCCATGGTCATCGCCCTTGGTTGGCGTGAAAGACTCTCCGCCAAGGACAAAAACTCTGGTTCCCATGGACGCCATAGCATGTCCCGAACGGCCGCTAGGCGCTGGACCCATGTTTTGGAACATGTACCATCTCTGGTCTGTACGCGACAAACTCAGAACCACTGACGCCACTCATACATCAAATCACGTACTTGACATTTTGAAAGCTGCCAAATCGCCAAGGTCCTTGCCGTCTACACCCCGGCCACCAAATATGTAAATGACATCGTCAACGACAGCGGCTGCGTGGCCTTCTCGCGGCGAGGGAATAAATCCAATACATTGCAGCTCCGTCCAGGTTCTTGTATTAGTGTCATACGACCATGTATCATTGTAATGGTATTGACCATCCGTTCCTCCGAACCTGTAAAAACGTAAATACGAGCCGGTCCATAAAGAACCCAGAACGTACATGATGATGCGATCCTGGTACGTTACACAGGCATGTCCTGTACGTTGAGCAGGACGGGCGGCTCCGACGGGCTGACACAGCTCCCAAGCCGTTTGTGTGCGGACTGACATAACATAAGATTTAAGAAATAAGCTTCAATTGAACGGAATTTACGCGTGTTGAGATCAAATGACCAAAGGTCATTCAGGAACTCGCCATCTACCTGTCCTCCGAAGACGAAGAATTTGGTGCCGACCATGGTAACAGCGTGACCATAGCGTCCAGCAGGTGCAGGACCGTGCATAGCTACCCGGGTCCACTCTCGTGAAACTGGGGTGTACATGAAGTATGGTTTCTATGAATGATTAGGATAAACGCACCAAGGTTTAGTAGATATAAGCCATCATCTTGCTTTTCTGACTGATCGGACAAGGGGTCTGTTTTTGTGTCGCCTCCCCATACAATAAGAACGCTGCTAACGATCGCACTGGCGTGACCGACTCGCGGTGAGGGTATTTCACCACCTGTCTGAACGAGAGTCGCGGAGAGATCGCGGGTAGAAAAAAGGTACAAATCATTGCGGGCTGTTTCGCGGACGAGACCACCAAAAAGATACAACTCGCCCGAAGTGGTGGCTGTGGCAGGAAGTGCATGACCATAGCGAGGGAATGGAGAAGGTGAAGGTGAATTTGGTGCGACCTGGCCAGGTTTTGGGACTGAAATGGGGGGAGGGAGGAGTAAGCGCCGCGCAGACCATGGATAAGCTGGTCGCTGTTGAGGCTGCTGGGGACCTTGGGGTTGCTGCTGCTGTGATTGGGGCGGTTGTTGTGATAAGCTGGGGCTGGCGCCGCGAGGTGGTTGACGTTGTTGTTGAGCGAGGGCGGCGGCGGGGTTGAGAGGGCCATTGGGTGTATTTGAACTGAGACTTTTGGGGGAGATTTGGGAAGGCAAGGAGGAAGAAAAAGATATGGAAAACGATGAACAGCTGTTGAAGATAAATATGACAATTGACTCACGAATCATTATCCCGTATGTGTTGTTGTTGAACAGCATTCTCCTTTGCAGCTAGCTGAGCAAGAGCTTGACTTGGAGTCTGAGCTACTGTTACGGATGAAGCAGCGAGCTGACTCGCGCTAGGCTGCTTCTTCCTGGAGAAGAATGACATTCTTCGTGCTCTGTTTCCTAGGATGGACGGTATGGTTGGTTAATAAAATTTGTTTTGAGGTATTAAAAGTGAGTATGTGAGATTGAAAAAGGGAGGTAAAGGAAAGTCGGAACAGAGTACGTATTTGATTGTTCACAGGGAAGGAGACAAACTACAAGCAAAGTCTCTTTCAGCGTTTACAATTATTTGCTGCTACAGTACTACTACTAGAACTGGCTCAGCGCCTCTTACACGTGTACTCTTCCACCTTGATTCCACCCTGGTAAATAAAAAAAATCTGTACATCATGATACTGCCAAACGCATCATCCAATAATCTCCGGTCACCTTCGCAACGACCTATTCGTGAACACTGCTGAGGACCGTTGATGCCGCTGACCACGGTCAAACTTGTCCTCACACTCAGCCGACTTCGGCATACTCTAGTCAAGCATTTCTCAGGATCACTCAAATACTAGATACATCGCCTTACGAGGCCATCCATCATCCTGAATACTACTAGACCTGCTCCATTCGTACACTTTCAAGGTCCCCTTCTTCATCCTGATTCGTATTACCTTATGCTTTGAGAAAGTTCGCGTGGACTCCACGTCTCCCTATCAGTGACACATCAATGAGCCATAAGTAGATCAGAACTCACAGTGAATATGGTCAGATCCAAACGTCGATATCTGCCGGATCCCTTTTCAGTACATCATATCTTCGGAACATCCAACAAGCAGAGACCCACAAAGTAGTAGCTGTGATCGTACCCTTCATGCTTCCTTACTCGTACCTGTACCTCATCATGCCCAGCCACCCGCGCAGCCTCGAGGAACTTCTCCGGGTGCAGTTGGTACAGGAAATTATCCGCCGTTCCCTATGTATCCATCATACTATATTAGCTCTCAAGAACTTCCTCAGGGTCGTACAACCCCTAAGAAGACAAGACAAAACACGCACATAGTCCACAAGAATATTCACCGCACCTTTCACCTTCCCAATCATCACTGTTGCATCGTACCGGTCCTTCCCCTCCGCGATACCCCCAGCAAGATATCCCGAGAATGCTTTCGTCCCCCACGGCACCTCTGACGGCTCGCAGATCGGCGAAAACCCAGATGCACTACGATATTGCTTCGTCCCAGATAGGAGTGACGCAAGGTACAGCGTCAGCGCCCCGTGTCCACCCATCGAGTGTCCAAAGATTGACTGGCGTGTGAAGTCCTATGGGTGTTGCCGTCAACATGCAGCAAAGAAGGGGAGGAAAGACCCTGGGACGTACGAGAGGCATGCCTGCTTTTTCGAGCACCTGGGGTAGCTCTTGAGTAATATGTGTGAGCATATTGTAATGCTTCGACCACTTGGGATTCGTTGCATTCAGATAAAACCCAGCACCTGTCCGTCCTTGTTAGGTGAGGATGAGCACCAGAATCGGAGATTACCAACCACTGCCAAAGTCCCAATCTACATCTTCACCTTCGGTGCCCGTGCCGCGCGGGGAAGTGTCCGGGAAGAGCAGTGCGATGCCCTGAGCTGCCGCATCGCGCATGAAACCGCCTTTCTGGGCTCTGTGTTCCGTCATGGGAGTTTGCAGGTCCCAGGGGAGAAGTAATTGAAACGCACCCATTATCCTCCGTGCAGGTCAGTCCCGCAAGGTAGACAAGCACCGGAACCTTCCCCTGAGCAGCGTTGGCAGGGATGAAGAGGTTGAACTGGGTATAGGTATCGCCTAGAGCTGCAGACTAGCATCGGTGGAATCATTATCAGTAGTACTGTGGCGTTCCCACCACTGCCAAACGACGTACTTTAAACTTGTACTTTGCGAGCGTCCCCTCATAGTGCTTGTTCGATGAAAGTTGTTCGAGCGACATAACATAGTCTGGCATAGTTAGATGTACTATCTGTTGAGTTAATGTCGATGATACTTGACACGATGGGAAGATCAAGGCTGTCAAATTTACAAGCTCGCGAAACGGACAAGAATAATTCGCGCTTGGGGTGAGATGGCTGAGATGCTCGTCTCATGACATGACATACCCCTGCTTCTCCGGGCCACCCCCCGGTCATGGTATTAATTTGTCCTACTGCACCTACATGAAATGGTACGTGAGACAGTATCAGATCACTAAACAGTCCTGACTTCGGTAGTAAGCAATTAGATACGATACGACTAGTAATGATGCGGCAGATACTTGATCCTGTATTTACAATGTGATGCGGGTATGGCACGATGCGAAGTGGTCTAGTCTCGTTCGAGTACAGGCGGGGTTAACGATTTCGTGGGTGGCGTAGGTGGGGTCTCTTCGTGAGGAGGCGTCGGGGGTAAAGATCTCTCTTTCGGTGATGGAGGTGCATTTGATGTCGAAGATTTCGATGCTTCTGCTGAGTGGGAGGTACGCTGTATCGATTCTTCTTGCACTTTTGATACCATCTCTCCAAGTGCAGGGTGCATTTTCAGCAGCGGGCTTGACATCGACCTGGGAGACGGACTGCAGTCCGAGAGGTTTTGTTCCATCCTCTCCCGCTGACCTTCAACCACGCCGTTCTCTAGCGTACGCTCGTCTTCGCCGCCCTCGTTCTCCTCCACCCCGGCGAGCAAGTCTGCAACACCAAGGTAAAACGAAGCAGGCTTAAACGGAATTTCCTTCCCTCGAATTGCAGCCCACGTATATCGCGCAGCGTTCGTCCATCCAACAAGGTCTAGGTGGTTCACGGGAGAAAGGGTACCGAGATATGTGCCCTGCAGACGTATTCAAGAAGATATACACACCGAGTCATTCTTCGCACTCACCCACTTGGCTGATTCGACGCTAACCAGCCCATCGTTCGGTCCTTCCTTCTCTAAGATGACGCTGTGCGGCCATTTCCATGTATCGATAAGCCCTGGTTCATAACATGCGCCCCAGCTAAAATAATGCACACCCTCAACGTCAGGTGTCTCCTCGTTGAAGCGGCGCATACTCTCTAGCGTAAGACATTCGAATGCCTTTCCATCGCCGCCACCGTTTGGTAGGAGCTCAAGCAGCGCAAGTACGGATGGAAGATGCTGCGATGCGAGCGACATGAAGTGGTCGGCGAAGGAGGAGCCCCGATGTGGAGTAGCAATCGTAGTGATGCTTATCACAGAAAACTTGCGTTGGGCGAGGTGCGTCGTGAGGTAACGGCAGTCGAGACCGCCCTGTATGTGTCAGTAAGGGTGAACTTCTATCTCGGCACTTTGCTTACCATGCTATGCCCTATGAGGTGGACAGCCCGGCCAGGATAGACTTCTGAAATCTTCTTCTCAAGAACTTTTGCACGGTCTACAGGAGAACTTGTTGCAGGGACTCGCGTGATGAGAACTTCACAGCCATTTGACTCCAGGGCTTCCTTGATACCACGCCAATGTGCGACCTGTAAGGGTGCAAGGGAAGGTCCGACGGTTACGGTGTCAAACCCAAGAAGTCCATGGCAGAACACAACGGGGGCTTTTGGTGCGCGATCTATACACAAGTAGTTAGCCCAAGCTCTAAGTGTGAAGAACTACAAGCATACACTTCTGATGAATTCTATTCGGCGACTGATCTTCCTCAGTAAGAAGTTTGTTGACGTTGTGATTGCTCCCCGAGTCTGAATCACTCTGGAACCACCATCTACTTGGAATAGGAGAAGGTGTAACCTGTGATGCGGTAGACGTATGGATCGAACGTAGCGTATCAATAGACGAACGAGTGGGTAGGGAGTGGGTGAGCGATAAATATGGGTCAGTGAGGTGAATCGCAGGATCTGTGGATGATGCGGGGAGCCCAAGCTGAATGCGTGGAGAAATGGAAGTTACAGTCGCTGACGGGAGGGTAGAGCGCAGGTTGCTAAGCAGTGGAGGTGGTCGACTGAGCAGCCGAGTAGGCGAAAAACATGGCGGCAATCGCGCACGTGGGGGTACTGTCGGAAGGATGCTGTCACTCAACGCCTCGTTCAACAAAGATAGTCCCGGAGACGGTGGACGCGAAGATGAGGGTGAGTCATTTGGAGTCGACCCGGAACTGGATGCTGTCCCTCTGACAGACGACGATGACCACCGTACAACAGGTGCTGGCTGTTTCTGATTAGCAGACATACTAGAAAGGGGGTGCTGGAGTGCACATGAAGGAAGGGCAGACGCCGGAGAAGCGCTGAATGACCTGCCGTGAAACCCACGTGCAGTCCTGCTATTGGCCTTCGTTATTGCAACGGACGAGGAACGGGTGCTCCACATCCCAGACCAACTAGCAGGTATTTCCTCGTCACTTCGACTGTTGACTAGCTGCTCGAGGCGGGAAGTAAGCGTCTTACGAGTGGAACTCACCGTTGTCGACGGCGACAGAGATAAGTCATACATAGCATGCTCGTCCCTGCTCGTCCGAGCTTGCTGCAGGGGTTGAAATCACAACTTTTGGTAATTGTTATAAGTGGCTGTGCTATATTTCAAGCTCATCATCAACTGTGCACAAATTCACAATGCATGGTCCATCGCTGCCATCCGTCCTCAAGTCAAAGCCTGCCACCCATGACAGTGAGCAAGGACATATTCTTGATGTGGGACACGAGCTGACATTGGTGACAGCAACGACTACGCCTGATCAGCTAAAAGCTGGTCTCGCCCGTGTCACCTCTCCTGAAGAGTAAGTTATGCTTCACTGCACCCGCGCGTTCTCATTCGCCCATAGGACACCGATATACATATGCGCATTTCAAGGTATGCGGCATCATGCTGTCTGATATTTGCCCGTTCACTCGCGCCTGTAGATTGTAACAGACTGTTCCCTTCACGCGATCGCGTCATGCTGCACCGTAAACGTGACCACAATTCAGAAGAAGATAGAGATATCATTACATGGAACGAATAACACCCCACATGTTCCGGACAGCATCCATGCACATTGTTCAAGGTTCCGATTGCCTCAACTTGCAGGAGCTGTCAACCCGCGAGCCCTGCAGTGCATTTTTCTGACTACCACATCAATGACGGATACCGTTTATCTCAATTTTGGCCAGAATCGGATATGAACCTATCGCAGTTGAATACCACGTACAAATCTAGTGCCAAAGAAACGCACAACAAGAGCAATGAAAACACAAAGCACCGCGAACTGAATTACGTGAAGTGGGCTCGGATCCGCTCTCGGTACGCCTGATCCAACTCCTCGAGGTCCATGCAAATCCACCAGCTCTTAAGTGCGGCGTACACTGTTGCGCGGTTCTGTGGGTCCGGAACAAGAAGGATGCGAGACGAGGATCTTGGCTACACGTCCGTAAACAATCAGGAGATCGGTCATTAATTCGAAAGATGCAGTTGGTGTTAATTTGTGGAGGACTGAAGACAGTAAGTAATCTCGGGCACGCACCATCGCGAAGCGGACCCCAAATAGGTTCATGGAAGCAAATCTTTCCGTCGAGGATGCGTTGTTTTGTTCTGTCATCTTGAGCCGTCGCATGTTGAGACAGAACAAAGCCCTGAGAGTCCACGATGTCGTCGAGGGAAACGCCAGACTGTGAGGAACTAGCAAAGTCGAATGGATGGCTTCCGCTTCAACAGTCCGAGCATTAACTCTGAACGTGATTGCCCGTGACAAAATTGCAGAACTACGCACGTCAACATCGCAAAAAGCGTCACGCCTGCGCTCCAGCAGTCAGATGGCATGCCAACATAGCCGAGATGCTTGTGGTCGAGCGCCAGAACACCCTCTGGTGGGAGATAGGAGATGGTTCCACAAACATGCAAGGTTTCTTGGTAAGCTTTTGGACGTGCAAGACCGAAGTCGGCGATCTGAATGCGCGGGTATGGTCCAGGTGAGAAAAGAAGGATATTTTCTGGCTGTTCATGGCAGGATGAAGTTAGCAATCTAAAACACGCGCGGAGCATCACCTTAAGGTCTGCTTTATGATCAGCCAAGACCTCGCGGAAGACAAATACGAGCCTTACCTCTGTGCGAGATCATCCGATCGTGTAGGTACTTCAAGCCCTTGAGTAGTTGGTACATGATGTACTTTGCCTCCCCTTCGCACAATCGATGTCTTGAGTGCGTTGTGATGTACGTGAAAAGGTCGCCGCCGGTACAGAGTTCAAGCATGATATATCTAATGCATACAATTTCCTGCTTTAGTGGCAAACCAGTAAAAAGCGACGCACAAGAATTCCGGATCCATATCAACAGCATATACTCTGTTAATATTGGGCTGTTTAAATCAAGATCATGAAATTTAGGATGAGAAGATAAAATTATGGACGAACATGGTACAGGTTCATGAGCAAAGTTGCCTCTTTCATCTCCTTTTTGAGGTCACTACCTTCTTTGCGCCTGATAATCTTGCAGGCAGCTTGTTGATGTCCTGTGGTATCAAGCGCAAGCTGTACAGTGGCATAACTACCACTCCCAAGGCAGTGGGATGTGATGAGGAATCGACCAAGGTCCTGCGTGGACCCTTTAGAATCAGCAGGCTGTTTCCGTGAACGGTACTGACTTTGTATGACTGTGTTTGTGACTGAGAAGGCTGTGACACGTGTTTTTCGTGTTTTTCATGAAGATGCTTCCACTTGACTATGCACTGGAACGCTGGTAGCTGCTCAGCAAGGCACAAAGTCGCACATCGTTGATACATACTCTGCGAGGCCGGTATTCTGAAGGTATCGCCATTCATGACAATGACAGACGCTTTGCGGATTTTGTGCCCATTCAAAATGAGTCCGTTTGTTGATAAGTCCTTTGAAACGGTTAGTAAACCAGTAAGACGGTGTGTGTACTAGCTACTGACCTGGCACGATACAATGATTCCTCCGGTGCTGGACTGAACCCTGCCCAACGCGTGTCAGGGGACATGTGAACTCGTAAAATATGTGAGCTGACGCGTGTATCTTGCAATGTAGGCTGGAAACCACGATGTCTGGTATCACGTACGAGCTGCATATGAGCAAGTGAGTAAACAAGATAACTCAGGACAAAGGATGCGTCAAGCGACCAAAGAGATGGGTTCCTTCCGATGGTTATAGGCTTCCCTATACTCAAAGTGATAGCTGCGTATCGGATCGTTATTAATGATTACCCGGCCTAGAGGAACAAGCATAGAATCCATGCCTTCTGTGCGTCCATCTGTGGTCGTTGTAACGAATTTGGCGCATACATCCGATCTTGACAAGGTCTGCGAACGTGCTGACTCTGAAGCGACAAACGAGGGTACAGGCTGAGTCGGTCCTAGTGAGTTTGTCTGTGCTTCCATGCTTGTTGGAGAAGAAACAAGAAGCAACGCAGACGCGACTCAGGGCTTTATCCAGCTGCAGAGGGGTCATTGCTAATTTTGGAATTTGACCCCGACCTTACCTCACCGCACATTCACTTTGAGTCTCAACTGATGGTGATATATTTGACGTGTTCCTCCACCGCACGTGTTATGCATTAATCGTATCCCTTGCCGCTCCTTTGCTTCACTCGCTTGTTCTTTTTGTTATGCTTCTTCCCATTACTCTCACCACCAGCACTCGCAACCACTGCAGCCAGTTTCGCACTCCCTTCTCCCAATGGAGTACCATCGTCGGCCACCATATTCTGATGAGGATATATTCTTCCTCTCGAGAACTCTTGGCCATTACGAGAAGTACCTTTGACAAATGCTCGTGCTGATAGATTCGAATTGTGAGCGAAGAACTCTTGGTCGACGGCTTGAGATTTCTGCCCCTGCCCTTGAGCAACAAGTATGGGAGACGGATTAGGTGGCACGAAGGTATCCGCGTCTTTTCCAACTCTCGTGACGGGTGCACGTTTCTTTCCTGTCATTCGCAGCAGCGATAGGTCGTGGGTTTTTTGATTGAAAGATTCCTCAGGTGTGTCCGGTGGTGGATGGCAGAAGAGTAGCTTTCCGTTGACATAATCCTTTAGGATATACCGTGCTGCTCGGGCTTCGTCTGGATTACCTTGACCGGACCGCATGAACCCCCGGGCAACTGCAGAACTGATGAAAAAGGAGTGGTGTTAATCAAATAAAGAGAGCTCACTTGCATATGCAATCAAGAAGTCCTCCGCAGTGATCTTCCCGTCACCTCCCTCTTCTATACCCCTGGCTTTAATAGCCAAACCGTAAGTTGCTTCAAGCACCTCCTTTGGTATCCGTTTGGCCACCAGGGCTACAGGACCACTGTGCTCTCTCATTTGGTCAATTGGTAGTACACCGTCGCAAACCAGCGCCGCCTTGGTCGTTGCAAATTGCGGGAAGACCAGCCCAGGACAGTCACAAAGCACGATCGTTGAAGAGAGATGGATAGTTTGGAAATGCTTTGTCTTTCCAGGAGTTGACGAGACGGAGACCTTTTTTTCTCCAAGAAGGGCATTAATTGTGCTGGATTTACCGACATTGGGATAGCCAACTAGTCCGACCACTAGTTTTGTTGGAGGTTCTCTAGATGGGCCAGCGAATACTGCAGATGGGTCAGCTGTGGGTCCTGATCTGAATAAAAACCAATCGGCCCTTACCTGATAGATCTGGAGCAGCTGTGACGAAGAGATCTTCGAGCTCTAATACTGAAAGAACTTTGGTACGAGGATCCTGTCCGTCGGGACTATCTTCCTCTGTGTGAACGTACTCATGTTCGTCGTCTGTGTCACTTGCCGAATGATGTGGCGATTCCGGTACCGACTCTTCTGCGAAGCCATCATCACTGACGTCGTCGCGGGGTGTAGACGGACCATCTGAATCGGATAGTGAAATGTCATCTCTATGATCCTCCTCATGTAGTCGTGCCTCTTCGGCCTGAGAAATAGCATCCCGGCGGGCTTGCTGCAATGCAGCAGCATTCGCAGCGGAGAAGAATGCGTATTGTATTCCTTGACCATCAAAATAATCTGCCCATATTCGCCTTGGGGTGAAGGGTTCGAATGAAGATAGTCCATGGATTACGACTAAACCATGCTCACCTTTGCGTCGCAGTGAGTAGATCGGCCTTATTGATTAACAGGAGACCTTTGCGCTTATCTCTTCCAGTACCCGCCTCCCCTTCTGCACCTTCCACGTCTTGGACATACGATTCAAGATCTTCGCACCTGAATCTTAGTGGATTGCGAGCATCTACGATTTGCACGACTAGATGTGATCGCTCCAAGACACGCCACAATTGCCTCCAGACTTCGATATTGCGTTCGAATGGTGTCAACAGAAATTTGTCCTCCTCTTGAAGCCTTCATAGATGTGTGAGTGGCTGCAGAAGATCGCGTGTTTCCTACATACTGAGCGAGCCCTCTTCGCCACTCTAGGAACGCATCCTTCTCTTGTCGATCTAATTGTAATGTTGTAATTGATTTCGTCCATGGAGGTCTTCTGGGCACCCTGAGTCGCTCCTTGTTTTGCTGGTGCTTCTTCAGAGTCGACTGCTCCTCCTGATCGGTGAGAAGATTGGGATTGTGTGTTGACCCTGCAGGAGACTGGATGATTTTCACATTCCGTCGTTCTACCTTTCCGCGTGAGGCGATAAACCAAAGAAAAATATATTCACGCACCAGCCGTAAATTCCGTGCCCGCCAACTGTGCTGTGTTCAGGAATTCATCTAAGTCTCTCTCCTGCGTAACAGATTTCAGGCGGGTTGTTGAGTCAACTTCGGTTGTATACTGAGCACCATGAGCAAACGCATGCAAAACGCAAAACATCGCGCACAAGACCGGACTCATGTCTTTCTCTGGCATCTTTGAACTTTTTATTGATGATAGCTCGCCCAAGTCCCGACGGATTCTGGTTCTTCTGTCTTGGTGGCTATCATTGCACAGCGTAAGCAGTTAGCTTCTCAACTTTTGCCTTTGGCTCACCATGATCTCCAAAGTCTGATCGGATTAGAGTCTAATCAAGTGAGACGGTGGCCCCGATTCGAGATTATCACTGCTATATTTGGTCATCAAGCATTTCCTTCCGTGACTCGGCATTGGCAAACCAAGATAATAGTAAACCTATCGTCCCCACACTCGAGCCTCGGTATAGAAGGATTTATGGAATCTGGTTGTAAGCGTGACTAGTACTTCAACCTGAGGCTTTTATCAGGTCAAGATAGCCTCATCTAATCTTTCTGCGTCCTCACGCGAAAGACTCAGAATCCAAAGAACGCCACGAGGAAGATGGCCAACGATGCATTGGAGCGCGTTGGGGCAAGGGGTGGAATCAAATCTTACTCTACACAAGGTAGCGCCGCAGAGGTACTAAGTCGGGCGACCGATCGTCGAGCATCCCCGAGCACAGAGGCAGAGTTTTGAAATACTCTCATTCTTACTCAGCCTACCTTTGGATATCATATTAGAGGTTCGTCCGTCATCATCAAAATTCGAGATAACCACTGATTGGATTGGATTACTACATACAGTGTGCAGGAAATTCAACGTTGCAAACATATCATGCACTACTTCGACTCAATTTGATCAACTCAGCAACGACCTGCGTATCGTGCGATCAACAACAGCACCAATGCGTCGCGGAGTGCGTGTCGGCCTATGTCGGCCTGCTCTCTTGTTGGGATCAAAATCGATCCAGGCACATGTCCGTGCCAGCCGCTGGCTGAGATTACAGAGCGCAAAGGGTGAGTCATCAGGTGAACACTAGATACAAAGCAAACTACTCCAACTCACAATGTGAATGCAATGACTATGTTTATTACAGCAATCACTGGCCTTAGTGCACTCCTCACCGTCTTGCTTGCATGCACCGATAGACACTATAGATGCTGTCAAAGCAACAATAACGGTGAGGAAGGAGAAACGCATTGTTTGTGGAAACTGGTATGGGTTCTGCTGAAGGGCTTGAGTGATCTCTTTGAGGTGAGATGGACGGTAGGAAGATGTCTTGCTTATATACGATCCTGAAAGTCGATACTTATGTGATTCGGTTTAGCAGGATGATGGATTCTGATACTGTATGATGAGAGTTTAGGCAGAACCTATCCGTTCCAGTGATCTAGCGGTAGGTGGAGCCAGTGACCTATGTGCGATGTTGCAGTTTATTTGAAAGTCAGTGACATAATTCTACAACTATTTAATATCGACGAACTTTCTTCCGCTTGGCGCTTCTATTCACTTGTGAACCCGGAAGAACAGAATGGTCCATTCTCCCATGGTGTTTGCCGGGAGAAGCACCCTGGAAATGGCAAAGGTGTGCGCACCTGAGATCAACTTGCGTATGTGGTTGGCTTGATGTCCACTGACTCCAAGGCTCGAGACCGCCCCCTTTGCTATCTGACACTTCAACTTGAACGTTTACTCTGTATTCCGTTAACCGTGGGTTAGCTTGGTGAGTTGAACCCGACCACTGCCGAGCCAGTATTATGGCGGACGATCTAAATTGGTATGATTGTCGCGGCAGCCCTTACCCTTGTCTACACGGCTTTTGAGAAACGTGCTGTCAGGGATGGCCTTGCAAAGACATCCCTGAGCCTAATGACACGCCTCGGTACATGTACTACACAGAGTAGCTCCACCATAGGTGTAACCGGATCCGTTGGGGCAACTTGAAGGGTCCCGGAGGGTGCAGTGCAGCGAGAGCAAAACAAGAGTAGATTGACGTACACCTCTTATCACCCCAAATGACTGCATGGTTAAAAAATACGCGTGAATTGAAAATTGTACTAGCGCTATATAATTCCTTTTATTGTACATCATGTTCATTGTAACACATAAATCCGATAGAACTCAAGCCAAGAGGGCCTAAGACAGTACTCAGGCTCAGACCATCCACGATATCCTTCGACACGGAAGGGACGCCTTACTAGTTCGCCTTCAAGTTAGCATGGCCTAGAAAACATCAACCGCGCAATCTTGGCGCAATCTAATGCTTTTACAGCGCTTCTAAACTTACTCAACCAGGGTGCCCTACTTACGTCGGGCTGGCAGGGATTACTAGCTTCTGCCTTGCAATTGGAAAGGGGGTTCGAACAGACGCTGGTCCAGTGGTCATCGACATTTCTAGTTTTGACTCTCGGTGATAGAGTGTCGACGCACAGTCATTCATTATTGTCAAGACAACATCTTCTAGGTTCTCGTGTGGCAGTCGCATGACCTCGACACCATCCGTGAAGTTCGCGCCCATCGCACCAGTTGTAGGTTGACAGTTGACATAACCCTTTCGTCCAACGTACTCATACAGCATTGCAGATGAATCTGCCACAAGCGGGGACAAGTACACGACGCCGTCCAGGTCTTCCCCAGTTTGGCGTCCAGTTAGACATCGTACACATCGCCCATTGTGAGAGGACTCAGATAGTCCTCGATCAACAGCAGCTCGCGTGGGGAACGGTTTATGAACTGGCACGAGGCGTCACTCGTGGGATATGGACGTTCGGCGACATGACAGAACATCGTTTGCGTAAACTCAAGGGTTCAAATGCGGAAGCCGCATGGAAAGTGGCTGCTGTCATTGGAGACAAAGTGCCATCTGCGATGAAAGCACCATCAGAACTTTGGTATGAACTTCAATCACCTCACGAATCGCAAGCTAAATATGTCGTGAAGGCTTGAATACGATCGGGAGCAGCTTGGGATTGTTGAAAATAAAGGTCGCGGCCTGGGATCTATGGGAGACTGGGAGGGAAAAGATAATTGGTACGGAGGCAAGATCCAGCAAGTTGCTCGAATCATCAAGGCTGGGAAAACGTTCAAATTCGAGCTCGAAAAACCTGAGATTCGGCGGTCACATCGATTCGCTCGGTTTCTGGGATCTCGACGCATCCTCCAAGTCCGTCTCCCAGACAATCTGGCTCGGACATATGACACAGATGGTGCGGCAGCTCTCAAATTTCTGACGTCTAGCAAATTCGTGCTGTGTGGCCGCGTCTTCGTACCATTTCATGCAAAGGAAGGGAGTGTCTACCTCTTTGAAACAAATGAAAACATAGATCGGCAGACTAACCCGGGAGATGGCGACGGTCACCGACTAACACTTCACGACTTTATAGAGTGGCATAATCCACTGGGGTTAAATGCAAAACAGGTGCATACATTTTCGTCCATGTGATGCAGCCCTGACACGCACCTCGAGTAGCCTATCAGCAAATGGTCTACACGAATGGGGCTCGGCATATCAACTTCAGTACCGACAATAGAATTTTCTCCTGAGAATATATGCTTCATTGATGACCAACGTAGCATCTCCTTTAGCTTCTAAATTATGATGGTTTTGACTGTTGTTTTGCAGATGCTGTGGGCTGCGGCGAGGGAAAGCCTCCAGCTGAGAAAATTATGACAGATGGGTGCGGGTTCATCAGTGGAGCAGCCTTGACTGCCATCATGCGAGTAATGCAATATCCGAGTAGACCGACAGCCGTGCAGGGACGAATCGCTGGTGCCAAGGGAATGTGGGTCCTGCACCCAGATCCTGAGCATCAAGTCGCCGATGGACCACCAAAGATTTGGATACGTAACTCACAAAACAAAATCAATCTTGGGCCGCTGCGCGACGTTGACACTGCCCATAGAATTTTCGATCTCCTCGCGCCGTCTCGTGTAACTGGACCGAGCCGTTTATCCAGTCAGACTCTGGTAAACTTAGCGCACAATGGTGTCCCCACTGATAGGCTGAGGGAACTAATGGCCGATGGGCTGCACAATGAAGTCCGCCAACTCACTGAATGGAATGGTCGAGATTCAATGCTCGTAGTGTGGCGGGCTGTAGAGCGTGCAGGCCGGGTGGTGATTTGCAGGCTGCGGCGTCGCATTGCTGGTCAGGCGCGTGCACTCGGCCTTGGCCAACTCCGACCCAGCGAGGAGCTGGATGACGAGATTGACGACCACGATGGTGACCGCGATGATGTCGCAGTGAACCAGCCACTGGCCGCCTCGGGTCCCCGGAGTCGTAATCCCCATAGTGGCCAACCAACCACTCTGTATGAATGTGTTCTCGAGCTTCTCCAGGCAGGGTTTCACCCCTTGAAGCTCGAACTACTCTTTCGTAAACTCGAAAGTGTAGTGACGCTAGTACTGGACGATTATGTAGGAAAGTTTCACATTCCAGTCAAGGAATCCCTTGAGGCCTACATCATACCAGGTAAGTAGCTTCACCAATCACTGTTGCTCGTCTAATCGAACCGCAGATCCATATGGGGTCCTTGAGGAGGGCCAGATCCATTTTCGCTCGTCGGAACTCATCACCGATCCTGAGAGTGGAACCCAAATGGATATCGTAACAGGATCTGTCTTAGTAGGCACTTCAGTTTATTGCAAGGTTTGTCCTGAAATTTTATGATTAGGTGTGGAGGAATCCCACGAGACTACCCTCGGATGTCCAGAAGGTAAGAAAAACAGTGTTTCGTAGAAAGGCCTCCGAGTCATGAAACACGCATCAGGTCACTGCCGTCAGCCACCCAAAGTTGGCAAGTTACTTTGACGTCATTATCTTTCCGGTGAAAGGCCAGCGCTCACTGGCGAGTTACTTGGGTGGTGGAGGTCAGCATATTTCTCCTCAGGCTTATTCTCGAGGCATCTACTAACACCACTTTGTAGATTATGACGGAGGTGAGCTTACCTCTTATGTTTTCCTCACTTGATGATTTATTTTCGAAGATACGGTCGTGTTGGTCTGGTCTAAGCATCTCGTTGAGAACTTTAATACGGCCCCGATGTGCGAGACACCCTCGAATTTGAGTAATGACTTTGAGCGAGAGGTCGAAGATATTGCTGATTTTGACCAACGAGTATCCAGGCTCTCTGACAAAGAGGCTCAAACAGCTTTTCAGAATGTTTTGCTACTTGGGCTTGCGGAGACGAAGAAAGGTCTCTATTCAAACTTTCACGACTTAGCTGTGTATAAGCACGGATATGCAAGCGCAGCAGCCATTCGACTTGCGTATATGTAAGTGCTTCAAGTTGCATTGCTGCGATGCTCGTTTCATAATATGTGGTGCAGGTTCACGACGTGCGTGGATGCAAGCAAGACTGGACTGCGGGTCAAATCCCATGTTTTCGAGGCAGACCGCAAATCTTACGGGAACGGGAAGCCGCGTTACAAGGCTCTTGAAAAAAGCAAAGAGGACCAAACAATATTCACGCGAGCGGGATCAGCACCTTTCATCCTCGATATCCTTGTGGACGAGGGTCGTCGCTTACGCGTCGAATTTCTTAAGAAGTACTCAAGTCTCCAAAAGCCCTCTACCCGTATGGTGGACCATGACGCCCATCTCACCCTTCCCTACACATCTGCATCTCGCAGGGCCACGCAGGCTGTGCATGTCGGTTTCCATGGACTGCAAGTCAACTTGACCGTTGCCAAAAAGCATGTCGAAAAGGCACACGAGGACTGGCAACGTGCCATTGCTATGCGGAACAGTGCTTCAAAAGTCAGGGGGTGTTCTGACCCTAAGGAACAAGAGATCCAAAAAGCTGCGCAATACTTTGCGCAACGGCCGTTGTTCCAAGACACACTCTTTTTTTCCCAGGAGGAACTCAAAACTGTTATGGCATCGTACGCTTACACTCTCTCCCCGACGTTCGGATTCTCTGTTGCCTTCGCAGAGCTTTGCGCCATCAAGGCGCGAGCGCAAGGCGCAGTCCTTTTCGAGGATAAATTTGCACAAGTAATGAACATACCTAGCAATATCCTGCGAGCCCTTTCGCAGGCACAGGATGATGTGGATGATTGAGTTTGTATTTTTGCCATGGCATGATGGTCATTCAGTGCATCGGTATATCTCATCGAATCACTTGTCTTATTCTCAATACTCGCTACCTGCTAGCGCTCTAAAACCATCTCTGTGATACATAACGATGACCGATAGTTACCCAGACGGCCAGCTTTGTGTGTCCATTTGACTGCTTTTAGATGATACACCACCCTTGTCCCCAATCTTCCGCTCCAATTCAAGCCAAATCACACTCATTCAATTAGTTCATGTAACTCACACGTACCACTTTGGTGCTAGACAAACACACTTAAGCACTGCGGGTTTCGTGCTACTAAAAGGCGGAGAGGACTTACCTTAGTGATTGAATATCGCCTTTCCATGCATCCATATGCATATAAATGCATAAGTAGCGTCTACAATGGGGATCTTATGATGAGGATCACGATCCCTTCGAAGATAGTCTTGATACAATTTATATTTGAGCGGAGCAATTTTTTGGTTGTACCTCACCTGCTTTGTGGTTTGTTATAAGGATGCCTCACGTTGTGCTCGTCCAAGGTTTGCGGTGAACACGGAGGCAACCTGTGTGCGTGCTCCGAAACACCGCATCGCAAGTGATGGTTGCAAAATAGTCCACAACTTCGTATGATGAATTTGGGGCACCCAGGAAGAACCGCTGAAGGTCGGCCGCGGCAGTTGACTCTGCAAGTGTTGCGCGCATGTCGACAGTGATATCACGTTCAATATCTCGCGTCTAACCAAGGAAGCTTTTAACTTTCAGACACGCAGCCTGAGATTGCTACGTCTGCTAACCAGTGCCTTCGATGAGATGAGCGCGCGAGTAGGAGATTGGCGCAGTGACGGTACAGCTGATGTTTTGTTGACTATTACTACTACCTCTTTTACAACAGTATTCGTTATGATATCGCTAATGTCAGTCACAGTAGCAACCGTTGATGATCATGCTTACGACGGCTGGTAGGGGATCCAGGTCAGCAGATGGAATCCATACTTTGACAACTCTGCCCGCGACAAACACGTCCTTCAGTTTGCTCAAATGGTTACTGCAAAGTGACAATTAAAGAAGAACCAACAACGGACTTGAGAAAAAAATTGTTTCGCGGGACGGTACGAACGCCTTGTGATGACCAAGCCCTTATCCAGAACTCGATACACTATTGCATCTGTGACCATCCCAATGTTCGCCTCCTCAATGGGGATCTGGGCTGCCAGAGTAGATTCAATCAACGCCTTTTGGTGGTCAGTTCAACTCTCGTGCGTTAGACGTCGACGATAAAGACCTGTAGTATGCGTACCCGGCGTTTGTGCTGCCTCCGGCCCCGCGATGGATGCTTGCAATGTATCTGCGTAGTGGTTTATATAATGCTGCAAGAGATCGAGACGAATAGAACAGATTCAGTGACGCATTTCAGTGCCTTTCAGGACCTCTCCCACTTGTATATCGCCTGTCCACAGGAACTTTTGCTCTAAGACTGACAATCGGAGGGAGAGCTGCAGTAAACCGTCCGTTGGTGGCCTATCACACGCGACGGTGTTCGATCTCCGTGGACCCGAGGAGGAAGAGAGCCCTGGAATATGACCATCCGCCATCAGATGTCTGTCAAAGAAGGTAGTCGAGTTGGTCTAGGATAGATGATCAATGTAAAATTTTATATGAATGAAGTCATGAAGGGCTTCACTTCAACCTTAACGGCATCCAGAATCGTGCCAATGGAATGCGCCAAGTGAATGGTAGCGTTATCCGGGATAATGGTTCTCCCCCAGGTTGACAATGTGATCCGAGAGTAAGACGGAAAACTTCGGAGGTAAGCTTCCTGGAATCTCGTACAACACTCGGGACTTCACTTTCTGCCTCGTCTTGAATGCTTTAGCAGGGTTGGCGGGCACGTGAAACTTGTGAGCTGTTACATCGAAGAATCCAATCACCTCTAAGCTTGAGCCCACGACCATTCGGTGACATGGCATTCTCAGTTCTGTGGTCTGGGGATTGGAACACAGGAAGGATCATTGTCACAGTATGAGATACGGGAGTCGAGACTGACCAAGGATGACTGTGTACGGTATACCTTGAGGGTCAACTAAAAGTATATATTCTCTCGGTGCTGGACATCTTCACAACTGCAAAATCAAGCAATTGGCCGAGCTTTAAACTGCCCCTCCTGGGGGCACAGGAACCTGCACGCCTATGTCAAGTATCTTTTATGTTCTTCTACAAGGTCGAGCAGCCGCTTAGAGTGTCTATGTGGCTTAACCATGATAAAACAAGGTGATCTGATATGAGATATCGCTCACATAGCTACACTTGAGATTTGTTTTGAGGACTCTGGAGTTTACTGTCATTGGTACGAGTCCAAACTCAATACGATGAGTTGATGACTGTCTTTCGCATCATCTCTTATTTGGCCGATGCCAGAAAGCAGGCTGTAATGTGTGCACCTGTTTGTATGCGGCGTGTACATTGGCCGCAGCGGCGCAAGCGTATTGGTTGAAACAAATTCGACACCTCCATCACTAAGAACCGGATTCCCCGTCATACTCTTGATAAATGATGTGGATTCATGAGAGCACAGGTCCTGCTGTTGACGAGTCAATATTGCAATGTGAGGGTTAGTGTCATACTAGGACGTCCGCGTCAAGGTAGACGTCGTAGAACTTGCAAACAGCTGATTATGTCAGCTCTATTCATCTCTTTCATCGGCCTCAGCATTAATATTGTACTCGCAAACTCATGGGTGAGTCGCTCTCTCTGTCTATATTAACATTCCTTATACATTTGCTCCAGATTATCAAGTAAGCCATAGCTTGTCATGCGCTCTGGAAATACAATTTTACCTTGGTTCCAGAATCGTGTCGGCTCCAAGTTCGGTGGAGGTGGTGTCGCTGGGGCTTCGGAGACCAACGTGGACAGGCGTGAACGTTTGCGTAAACTTGCGCTCGAGACAATTGATCTTGCAAAAGTACGTCCTATTTGTCCTGCCCTCCAATATTGACAACTTGACGCGTCGTTCAGGATCCTTATATCTTAAGGAATCATTTGGGTTCTTTGGAATGTCGTCTCTGTCTGACACTCCACACGAACGAAGGTTCATACCTGGCTCACTACTCAGGGAAAGAAGCATCAGACCAATCTCGCTCGTCGTGCGGCCCGCGATGCTAAGGACACCCAGTTGATGATCGCTCCGACTCAAAGCAATGTACAGCGCAAAGTGTTTCTTAAAATAGGACGCCCTGGCTACCGAGTCACGAAAGTGCGGGACAAAGATACTGGTAAAGAAGGTATGATGGTCCAGGTCCACCTTCCTCAAATCAAAGCGGATGTCATCCCTCGCCGACGATTTATGAGCGCTTGGGAGCAAAAAAGGGAGCCTCCGAACAAGGCATACCAGTATCTTATCGTGAGTGTCATTCCTTCCTAAGTCGCATGTTACTTATTGGGTGGTAGGTGGCTGCTGAACCGTACGAGACAATTGCTTTCCGCATTCCCGCCCGCGAGATAGAAGACGAATCTGATGATGCCGGATATTGGAATTGGTCATATTGGGATCCTGATACGAAACAGTACAGCTTTCAGTTCATGTTCCGTTTGACTTATTGATGTTGTCTGCTGATCACACAATGCGCAGCGTAATTTGCTTGCTTGTCATATTTTCATCCCCGTCCCGAACTATCTGGATCATTTTCATTCTCCTAAGTATTGCATGTCAAGCCATCTTCCGAGGATGGGCAACGTGCTCCGATCGCTCATAACTCGCTTCTGATATAGGAGACTTCGATTCACGGTAAATGACGCTGTCAGCACCAAGTTGTCACCCGTGTAAACTTCCCCGTACTCCAGAGTTAAGTACCGGTAGAATGTCCTAGGGCAGAAACTAAATTAGTTATACAGCCCAACCATCGAGATTAGGGAGTTACCGCCCTGAAGTTCATACCCCGTAATCATGGTATTCATCGAGAGTTGTCGCTGTATTAAGTGCGACTCTGCTTTCCGGGACGATCTCGGATTTTGCCTTGTCCGACACCCAATGATACTGATTACACCAGTCACCACCCAGAGTGGTTTCCGTTTCAATGGTTCCCCAAGTTACCCCGAAGTCTTCCAGTCACAAACAAATTCAACCTACATGTGTGGACCAAGGACCTATGCATGGCAACTTGAGAACGAAGATTTTCAGGAAAGACGTATAACATTAGACTGGCAGCAAGTACACGCATGAACCATCCATCAACCAATCACAAGATTGAACCCTATTCACATCAATCCTGATTCGCGCTGATCATACGATAGTGACCAATGGGGTGATACCACTAAGTTTATACGTCGACTTCGTTCAATCAAGTCTTCGCGCAACCAATCCAAGAGATAGTTCTTCACGTGTATTTATTCGATGTGCTAGTGCTGGAAATAATGAAGTAATTAAACAATATGGCCATTATCTGGGTATCCCGCTAGTATGTATGCGAAACCAAGTATCATGTGGACCGTCGGCGTCTAAACATAACCTCTGCCTTACGGTTGGGAGAGCAATTCATCATGAACCATTCATCTGGGGGACGTTCGCCTTCTTTCTCCAAGCTAATGTCATAATTTAGTACAAGATAAGCCATCATGGCCTTCATCACACTAGAAGCAAAGAAGCGACCGGGGCTGACGAAAACAATGAGCGAGAACTCGAAACTGTAGATCGGGCAATTTCAGCGTACCAGGCACGAGTTCCATACCCAAAAGGGATATAATTTGAACTGGTGGAAGCTAGCAGGCATTGTGGGTCTTTAATTCCTTCATCGTCCTCGCGCTGTGAAAACCGGAAGGGTCGAAACTCCGATGCGCTTTCGAAGTATTCGTCATCAAGATGCATAGGTGATGAGGCAGCAACGACGTGAGTTCCGCTGGGTATTACAGTACCATTCGAGAATACGAATGGCCGCATTGCTTTGCGCATTATAGGAACTACATCACGGATCAGCTTAGTATCAGCATATATCGATAACAACCTACAGAGAGTGGTGCTTCTCAGTCGTTGAGATTCCTTGAGAAAGCTGTCCATCTTCTCGAGTTTTGTCATCGCATTCTTCGTCCATCCTTCCTGATCAATGACAGCTGAAACTTCCTCTCGAAGGGGTGTGGAATACTGAGGGTATGCAGCAAGGAAAAAGAGAGCGTGAGTGAAGCTCTTTGCGAGTCCAGTAAGGAGTCAGTGACTGGGCTGCTGTGTCAAGTATAGAAATACCTGAGCTGTTGTATGCAATGCAGCGAAATTGAGGACCAAAATCCTCAAGCATATACTCCGAAGAGTTCGGTGCTCCTTGTCGGATACCTCAATGAGCCAGCTAATCATGTCGTTCTTTACAGGGAAGTTTAGTCGAGTGACCATGTCATATGTATAGTCATGATAACATACCGGTTTGTCGCTGCAGTCATCCCTGGATTGTTCTATGTTCCGCAGTCGTTCTTCCACAATAGGCTCAAGAAGTGCCATACATCTCCTAATGCTACTAGGCGTGTTTGTCAATAATCGACCAATGATCCTAAAAGTCACAGTTGGGATCTTCGCACCATCAATTCAGCAACACTGCTTACGGATGTGCAAATTTTGGAAAAAAGTTCACGATACTTGCACGCATCACCACTTGTAAAGCGAATTGCTGTTGCAGGGCTTCAAATTCGGGTGACCGAGCTGCAAGCGAGTTGAGTAGGATGCACCCCTGATGTAAGTGAACTACTCACAAAGCGGAAGTCCAACAAAGATGCGATTGCTTACGCGACACATAGCCTTCACGATCTCCGGATACAAGCGAACTTTAGCCCAACCTGTGCAGAACCAACGTAAGTATAACCTCACGGGAAGGTGACGGAACTTGCCACCCTGGTCTGATGGCATGATCGTGCGGAATACGTGGGTGATCTCGTCGTAAACATCAGGGAAGAGGACCTGAAGGTTTCGGGAGAGATGGTTGCGAGTAACATGGACGTGATATGGATATTCTTGCGCATCAATGCCAAATGTATATTTGACTTGAAGAAGCTATGGACGGAGGGTCAAACTTTAATGTTACAGAAAGAAACACCGGACGTACGTCTCTCATAGCGTGATCGAAAGAAAGCTCATCTTCCGGTACCTTCCTCAACTCCTCTATTAACCGTGGTCCGGTCAGCACCACTACCCATCTATCAATCAATGGCACTCTGAACATTCCACCTTTGTGCTTGACCGACGTTCAGAACATAGTTGCCTAACTTAGAATAACATTGTCACGAACCTTCTGATAGCCTTCTTGCACCATAGCCGGAGCATCTAATATGAAACGAACCGCGCCAAACCATGAAGACAACGCCCCTGACGGACCGAGCGCAGGAATAGAATTCAGCTAGACTAGACGTTAGTCAACCCGCCGCAACTGCCTAAAAGTGCTTGCCTCAGAAAATCTGCAGCGATCGTAGATGAATATGAGCAGAAGGACCACTGCGACGGCCAAGCCATAGACCGGGAGACTATCACTGTCCATGGGATGAGCGTCGGAGACAAAAAGAGATAGAGGGCATTTCGGGCACCACCACCATGCGGGGCTCAGGTATTTATGTTGGCGCAGTCATCAGTATAGTGAAATTAGAGTTAAGGACAAGGCTCTTACCGGGTCGGCTAGATTAGATACATACAAATGCGAACAGTGGCGCGGAGTGCTGAACATTGGATTTTCCGTTTCTCAAGGAGAAGTTTTCACAAGCATTACAGTGATCCTTATTCTCGACTCGCATGAGAAGACGAGCCAACCTCATCGATCGGAATTTCGTCATGTCAACGATTCCATGATCAATCCATGACCGCATCAATAATAATAAAAAATCACATTTAGTAACGAGGACAGCCCTACCAGACCATTCGCTTTTTTGCGAACATGATGGGCTTCTGGCGTTTGAAGCCCATGGAGACAAGAGCATCTCCGCTTTCCTGAAATTTCTAGGGCGTCTCTACCTCCGCAAGAAATGAACGGGATCGAACGGAACTTTGCCGCGTGTCCTATTGAGTATGCAGGTCGATCAACAGCACTGCCGTTGTTTTGGTTAAGAATGCAACGTTGAATGACCAGAAGGTCCTCATTGGTTATTGCTCTCGTAATTAGAGCGGAAGTTAGTGGGCTGGATGGACGTGCTACCCTTGGAAGGGTAACTTTACCAATCATATAGAAGACTCAAGCGCAACACGTCCATGAAGGTGGAATGAGATGAAAATGTTGAATGATCCGGTATACAATCTAATTATAATTTTGGGACTTCATCGTAGCGTTTCTGGGGCCACGCTGTCCCAGCTATTCGCTCCATTTACTGACATATAAGCCAACTCGGAACGCGTCAAGATTCTACGCCGGCATCCCTAGCCAATCAGGGCGTAACACCCCATAAATACGTGGTACTGTGAAATTGCCCTATTAGAGTCTGCTCGGAGCGCGATTCCGTCTCGAGAACTAATTTACAAACTTAGCAGCGGGAATAAAACATCACCGGGGGCCCATGTTTGACAATTTCTCAAAACCGGGATTTCCCCGAGTCCAACAATCTGGCTCGAGCTCGTTGATAGTGTGGCGAATCGCTATCAAAAGATCGGCGCAAAAATATGACGTGCTAGAGGAAGTGCATCAATTCCATAGCCGAGCAAGAGAACAAGTACACAAATACTTTGCGAGAACTAAGAACATCTAGAAATACTGCGTGGGTTAATAGTAAGTACAATGAGATTGGTCTACCATGATCCATCTCCAAGATACGTCGATAAGTCCACCATCGTCCTCTATGAGGTAAATCAAAATCAAGGAGATAGAAGGCAGCTTAAACAAGAACATCAAACCATCTCCGTATCACAATCTGCCAATGCAGAAAGTCTAAGAAGGAATGACATGAACTCAGACATCGTGTTTCCGTTTACTCAACCTTCGCCGATGAACTCTTTCCTTGACCTTCCCAGCCTCGGCGATTGACAAGGACGGATGTTTTGTTAATGGAGGAATCGCGTCAACATTGACGACAGGCGCGTGTGTTGGCAAAGGAACATTTCCAGGGAAAACGGCCGTCTTCTTCCGCAGTAGTTTTCGACCTTGGTGATACATTGCTGCCGGTTCGTGAGCATGGCCTTTTGTTGGTGGGAAAAGGTCAGGGTCGGCATAAGGATCGTAGTAGTCAGCCTGAGGATATAGATTAAGCTGCTGCTGCTGAGGTAGCGGTTGCTGGGGCTGTAGAGGAGCGGGCATAACAAGACGTTTTGGAAGGTGACGATTGGTGCGCGGTGGCTGTAGGCTATTTTGAGTGCGGGAAGTAGATTGTGTAGCTGTGGTAGTGCGCGTGCGCGAGCTATCCAACGAGTGAGTACTACGATGTCGAGGAAGGTCGGGTGCCAAGTGGTTCCCTTGACCGTTAGGGGGTTCTACGATTGGCGGTGATGAAACAAGTGTTCTGAAATTTGCATCTCCGCGAGATGGCGACATAGTTTCAGGATATCGTTTATTAGGATCCGGGGCTAAAACGGGCGCAGAATGTATCTGATAGAGGGGATAAGACGCGAGCTCATCATGAGCTGGCCGCGGATGTTGTGGTAAGTGAGGTATATCGACACCAAAGTGGTGGATCCGAGGAGGAAACCGGCTGGCGGGTACATGTAACGACGTATCAGAAGGCGGCCCTTCGGGCGGTTTGATAGGGTGGTAAAGGGGAGTGGAGTGACTTCTGGAGTGACTAGGTTCTACCTGGCCCGAGCCTGGATTGCGAAGATCTGCGTTCGGGTTTACAGTATTGGCCTGAGGCGACGATATCGTATCACCAATAGGAGATTGATGAAAAATTTGTCCAGGAACAATATTCAGAGATTGTCCACCGACACCAACTTGAGGCACTCTGGGAGACTGCAGCAAGACATGTAAAGATGAAAGGTTCCACGGATCTCAACTACAAAACATACTTTCTGGGTGCGCACGGGACGAGGGACATTCTTTGTAAAGAGAATGTAAATAAGAATCGCAAGGATTTGCATGACCAACCCACCTCACGCTTAGATTTACTATATAAATCGCCTCGCAGGATGTCAATGTCATTATATTTGTGAGCGGGCCCAAGTTGGGCAAGATTGCTACCAATAGCTTCGTAAGGACCGCCATGATGCCAACCTGCTCCAAAAGGATCTGTCTCGTCCAATTCGTCGATTCGATCGAGGGAACGAGAGGTCGTGAAGCGTCGCATGAAATTCTTCATATTCCGCTTTCCCGTAGGTCTGTTACTGCCATCTGCATGAACTGGAGCGGTGTTAAACCGCACTGTGGGGGGTTTCGCCACTTTCTCTCGCTGCTCTGGAGCAGAAACATGACGTTTTGGGATGGGTCGAACAGAAGTAGGGGGAATGCATGGCTGGTGAAGGTCCTGGGTCATGATTCGGGGAGGTCGGAACTGGAGATTTTGAGAACGGAAGCGAAAGATGGAAAGGTGGAACAGGGGATGGAACACGAGGTGCCTTGGGATAGAACTGCGAGTGGGAATGAGATGTAGCGGATGATACAGTAGGGGACGAGAAAGCAGAGAAAGCGGTGTGAGAGTCCAGAATCTAAAGATACAGAAGTCGAGATAGTCGGGGACGGATGTTCCTCTTCCGAATCGGATGAGTGTGAAAAGTCAGAACGATCTATAGGATAAATGAATTCCTGATGAGGCGATAGATGACTGTGAGTGTATGGAGGGGTATGAGGGAGATTCCTGACGAGCATAACAGGGGATTTGGAGGGGAGCTCCTTGAAGAAAGTAGGGCTAACGAGTGGGAAATGTGGATGGAGGCGAGGATCAGAAGAGAAAGCAGGGTCATTGAGAACGGACATTGACAAAGGTCTTGAGAAATTGGGGGGGCTATCGCCGTGATAATATGAAGAGGGTGATTGATCGAAGTCACGAGTAAAAGATGCTGGAGATACCCTGGCGTATGGATCTGGATTATAATACTGTGGATGAGTCGCCGCTGCACTAGCAGACGTATAGAAACCTAGAACACGTTCGTCGTGAACTGTGCTTGGTGAAACCTGAATTTGATAGCTGGGCTGGCATAGACTGCGACCCCAGTTTAAAGCCATATTAGATGGGAGTACAAAGGATGATAGTGAAAGCTTGTGCCCATGAGGTTAGCATCATGTTCAATAAATAGATTAGAACTGACTTTCTATGTTTGGCAACCAAAACCAGTATACAAGCGGACTTTGCGTGGTCTTTCAACTCAATGGCAGACATTTCATCTATTCGAGCTGAAATAAAAACTTGGGAACGCGATTTCAAGTCAAAGTTCTCTAGGGACCCTTCTATCCAGGATATTAGAGACCAACCTGCTGTAGGTGTGTCTCTTCAGTACTTTCTTTTCGCGTCTGGTACTTAATATCCTTGCAGCTGACAAGTACAAGTTATACAAGAAACTATTAAAGGCAGCTGAGACGCGTCCTTCCTCGTCTCAGACACCTACCAATCGCTCTCGCATAATTTCCAAGCCGCGTGCAGTCGAAATCGTCGCAACCTCTCCCAGGCTTTAATCCATTCTCACCAGTAAAGAACAAAGGCAAGCAGAGAGACTCTCCCCCTGCATCCTCATTTTCAACTCGAAGGGCGCCCTTATCAAATCCTTTCGCAACTCCGTCCAAGAATATACCAAACCGTCTCTTCCAGAGCGAATCTCCAGATAATTTCTCAGACGGTCAGCCACATTCACCAATCGGTACATCTCTCAACTCGCAGCTACCTCCCGCGCCGAACACGGCAGTCTCGCGCGCGCGAAAGAGACTACGTGGTGAACCAGTCTCACCCTCACCCAATAAGCAGAAGCGTCAACGTATCGGTTCTCACTCAGTTTTACCCTTTCAATTATCACATCCTTTGTCTAGCGATGATGATGATGGGGAAATCGGTGGCGCGGATATCAATACCTCATTCGTGGATGATTCACCCGTGAAACTACCGGCAGGCGGCAAGTCATTCAGGCTCCTCTTTGAAGACGCTCTGCCAACTGCAAGTGCACCAAAGAGACATGCAAACGTATCAAAGTCACAGCCACGAAGCTCGGATGATGCTGTAACCTTCTACGGGTTCGATTCGAACGATACCACGAGTCTCGAAGTATCTCCCTCCAATGCTCCTAGACGCTCGAAAAGCCACAAGGACAGGCAGATTGCAAAGGCAGACATAAAACCTACTTTGACCACAAAGCTTATCAAGAAAGATGAGTTTCCCAGTGCTGAAGGCCAGGTGAACCAGTCGAGATCCGGCCTATCGCGGACGATCGCTAGGGAGAAACGAGCGCCCAGCAAGCTCCAGGAACCAAAGTCATCACTCAAGCGTGCCTTGGAGGTCGTGTCAGTGAATGATGGACTGGCATCAGCTTCTTCACAGCTTCCCTTACTTCCACCATCTCCAAGTCCTGAAGACGCCTCTTCAAATAAACGTGTTCCAGCAAACGGAAAGGGGAAAGCTGGAGCTAGTCGAAAGAAAGCCAAGGTTGTCGATGAGGAGGTTGGGGATGAAGACGAAGACGATTTAGACGAAGTTGCCGTTAAAGTCATCAATCGGGCTCAGACAACACAGCAGCTGTCGGAAAATACTGACGAGCCTGACTGGGATCCAATATTACATAGCGGTACCCGTAACCGCGATCCAGATGCCGCGGCCGGCCACGGTGACACGACTCATAACGAAAAGGGAACGTTTCGTGTTGATTTGCCTGACGAGCTTCGCCTCATGTTGGCTATTTCACCATCAAGAAGTCACAACAGCAAGGAGGAGCGTGTATTCCGCGGTTTACTTTACGGTAATCGTGTTGGTCACTATGACGCGTCAAGAGGTGGCGATATCTGGGATATCGGTGAAGCGGAAGATGACATCCGAGGTAGCACCGAGGGTGAAGACGATTGGGAGGGGGAGCCTATACCATGGGAAGTCGGAGAGCTGTAGGATTTTGGTAGGATTTACTAGCCGTATGTGGTCATGTTCTATGATTTCGGTGCTTTCACAGAACGTTTCCAGTGCTTCATATCAGAGACACTATTATACTTGCTATCACTTGCAGGATCAAATGTGCAGTATGAAGAACACATGCAAGACACGTGTCCCATACCAACGTCTGATGCAGTTCATGCGGTGCCCGCCGCCCCAAGCATTGTACGCCGCGCACTGCATAGAGCAAGGCAGCAGTTTACTAACGTGTAAGCACTCCGCGAAATTGCGGACAGGTGGGTCTCGACGCCCCAGTCTAGACATCATACGTCTGCTTCTATTGCGTAAGGGCAAACCCTTTACACATGTTTCACCTCCGTGTTCGAAAGGGGAACATGGCTCGGCTCTTGAAGGCGTTGCTCACATGCAATTTGTTATTCGAGCCAGCCCTCATCCTGCTGGTGATTCCTCACATAGTCCGGGCGTTACGTCGTGTGAGCGCAGTGAGTGGTTTAAAACCAGTTGCTTAACTCAGGAATCTATGTCTTCTACTTCCTTGTTTTCTGACGCATTAGCTTCCATTTCTCTTCGTCTTCGCCGTAGCCGTGACACCGGCAGTCTGAAGAGCAAGCAAAGCAATCGATCCTCTTACCGCCCTTACTCTGTCTATCAGTAGACAATGATTCCCACTATCCTACGAGATCCCGATGCAGCCAAAAAGCTGTTTGAGACTATCATCGACTCTCCCAATGGCCGCCGCTCCATGTCACGCCTTGCGCGGACCTGCAGAGCTATGTGCGAGCCCGCTCTGAATGTACTATGGAGGGAACTTGACTCCTTACTTCCAATTATTTCGTTATTTCCCAACACCCTGATGAAGAGAGCCCGCCGCCCAGGGCTCGGTTTGGTGGGTTTTCATTGACAAAACGTCCTCTTAAATTACTCAATTAGATACCTCTGGCAGGCTAAGGCACCTAATGCCGAGGACTGGAGCAGAGTTCTCGCTTATGGTGAACGTGTCCGCCGCATTGCGTACATCGAGTCCTCCCCCAGCGTTTCCCCATCTATCTTTGCCGTTATCACAGAGAACAGGCCCGTGCAGTACATCCTTCCCCACTTGCAGCAACTCATCTGGCGCGTGGACACCGCTGCTGGCCTGCAGCGCTGCACCATTTTCCTGAACCCAGAGCTCCAAAATCTGATTTTGGAGGTCAGCACGAGGATCCCGCAGCTTGCTACATTCCTTGCGGACGTATGCAGCAGCACTCAGCTATCATCATTTTCGTTCACGTCGCCCACGAGCCTTCCCGACACGTTCACTGACATTTTGAGATCGCACAACACGTTGGAAAGGTTGGTTCTTGTTGCACCTGGTGCACTTTCATCAAGCGTTGGACAGTGGGCTGCATCGTTGCCTATGCTGCGTGATCTTGAGCTTGATCTCACTGGCCGGTCTGTCATCGCAGTCGAAGGTTTCTTCGACGACATCGTCGCTTCGGGAGCTTCCACTCCTAGTGATGCGTCGTCAGGACAGTGGCGTCTTCTCTGGAGATGAGATAGACTTCACGGAAATTCGCAAGTCATCGTTGCGCTTGACCGGTGACCTGCGCTCGGGTGGCGTGTTCACCGATCTGCGTCAACTATCGCTGACTGGAGAGGTTGCAAACATTGCTGTGTTCCTGAAGCACCTCACTAGCAATCTCACGCACCTAGAGCTCGTCATTGAGGATCCACCGGATATGGCTGACTGGCAAGACCTCTCTGGTCTGATCTGCGAGCGCTTCAGCAAATCGCTCCTCTCGCTGCGTATTAACGCAACAGGCTCATCTCGTTTCAATGAGCTTGTGAGATCGACCTCTCGAGGCGGAGAACCACCTTGTCGTCACCTTCCCCTCCAGCACTTCACCTCACTCCCATGCCTGCTCCGCCTAGAAATAGACCTGCCGGAATCAGTCCTCTTCCATAATTCAGACCTGCAAGCCGTAGCCGAAGCATGTCCCAATATTGAGATCCTCAGACTCTGCCCTATGGCACGTTTCCCCGCATCTTCTGGCCCCAGCCTTACGTTAGAAGGCGTTGCACTTCTGACACAGAACTGCAAGCGACTACAAACGCTGGCCCTTGTACTAGACGCCCACACGGAGTCCGAGGAGACGTTCAACTCCCTCGAGGTATCCTCGAGGTCACTTCTCCGCCTACACGTGGGCCACTCAGTCGTTAATGACGCCCTTCAATCTACCATCCTTCTCAGTCACCTTGCACCCTACCTGGAGACGATAAAGTGGTTCCATGAAAAGAACCGCCCCGGATATGTCGAGGCAAACGCAAATGGTTGGCAGAAGGTTTCGGACTGGTTGCCCCACATGCAGGGCATGCGCCTGATGGAGAGAGCCAGGGCTGTTCATCTTGCCACGCAGAAGCCCGAGACCCGGGAACAGAGCGTCGACGCCACTGTGACGCGTGTCACTGCGGACAAGTGTCTGCAGGTCAAGCCTCGTTCGGTTCAGCGCTCCATCCAGGTGTCACCCAAACTGGTTGACAGGTCGACTGAGGCTAAGCCAGAGTTAGTCTCGATGTCTATTGATGCCACACCCTCGATCGTAGACACAAGCGTCGACGCGACTCCGGCGGTCTCACATCAGTCCGTCTCCGTTAGAACCATCACAGTCTCCACCGAAGTCGATGCAACAGTCCGCACAGAATCAAAAGCTGTTGACGCCAAGGAGACGTTGTCCTATGAAAACTCCGCTTCACTTAATAGATATGCCGACCCCTTCTATGTCTTCCCTTCTGTCTTCCCCGCAGTCCTTGCTGGACTGTTCACCTTCGCATGCCGTATTCTCACCACTTACCCTCTCACGATCCCTATGCATATGCTCGATAAGTCTCTCTCTATGCTCCATGCTCAACAAAATGACGGGGACAATTCGTCCTCGGAAAAACACGAACTCAGGCCTTCTCCTGCGCACTCGCTTTCATCGTCGGCGTCGGAGCTCCTGGATCATGATATTCCTCCTGTTTGTCTATGAATTCTTTACCGCGACGGGACGCTTTACTCATTTGGTACACGGTGCTGGCGCTTATGTAGGGGTACTATCACGCATATTATTCTAACGCAGACTGGAATGGCATGAAATTCACGAATGCTGGTCAACAAGCCATTAAGGAAGTGCTGCAGAAGGCGAGTATGACTCCCGCTCAGGGGTCAGCCCACAAATGGAAAGTCAGTGCAGAAAAGCAAATAACGCCAAACATTTTTGCGACGCGTCACTGCACGCCAAAACAAGACAAGCCGTATTCTAAGTCTCACTACTCAATCGCAATGGCCGAGGTCAGAAAACAGGAGAAGGACTTCACGAAGGAAGTTGATGGGCTCCTACTAGAGACCTCCGCTCTCGCCAAGGTATGTGTAGAGTGGTATATGTGTCTTACCATTCGAACTGATGATGGACCTTTGCTTACTAGTCTGGACAACTTTCAGATGCGTTGGAGAAGCTGCTTGCGCTAGAGAAGCAAACACGAAACGCATGTCTTGTTACTTTCACAATTTCTTTGTACTGAACTGTTCCCGCTTAGTCCAACGATCTCCCTTCTACCACGCGACTAGCTAAAGCAGCACTTGAGCACTGCTACGAATCTCGAGACTACACGCAACTCAATACCACCATCAGCTTACTGAGCAAGAAGCATGGTCAACTCAAAGTTGTCGTTCAGGCGATGGTCGAACAGGCAATATCGTGGCTACCCGAAATTCGGCAAGAGAAAGGTGTCGAGAAGTGGTTAGAGTTGGTTGAAACTTTGCGATCCGTGACTGAGGGAAAGGTTAGTTCATCAGGTCATGAACTTTGAACGCATACTCAAGAAGTTCCTGTAGATTTTCCTTGAGACACCTCGTGCGCGCGTGACCCTCGTTCTCTCCCATTACCATGAAACTCTTTCCAAGGCGCCAAACGCCTCGGCGGCTACGATCAAAGAAGCACTACAAACGGCTTCGGACCTCCTTAGTGACCTGCAAGTAGAAACTTACTCTTCGATGGAGCGGAGAGAGAAGACGGAGTTCATTCTAGAGCAGATGAGGCTGTTGATCGCTGTTGCTCGATTGAAAGATGTGGAAGTTCCCGCGAAACAGGGGAAAAGTGCGCTTGGCGGCGGCGAGCCAGAATGGGTCAAGGCCAAAGTTGGGGGACGCAAAGTCAACGAGTCATTCCTGAAGGAGAAAGCAAACGAGGTCCGTCCGTCCGTGAAGTTGCTGTTTGCGGCCATCAATGATCGTCTTAATCCAGGATCTCAAACTCAAATACTACGATTTAATGATCCAACAAGCTCTGCATCAGAGTGCATATTTGGAAGTGGCAAAGCACTATGAGAAGGTTTGGGATACCCCGTCCATTAAGGAGGATGAGAGCAAAAGCCGTGCTGTGCGTACTTCTTATTCCCATGAGGCATGTAGCCACTGACGGATCACGATCTTCAGGCCCTCGAACACATCGTTTATTACGTGGTGCTTGCACCTCACGACAACGAACAATCAGACATGCTACACCATCTGTTTGCTAAGCCCGCCCTCGAGAAGCTTGAACTCCATTAGTGAGATCATTGTCCTTTGGTAACGCCAGCACTAATTTTTGGACAGTAACCTCGTCAAGTCATTTGTGACCCGTGAATTGATGAGGTGGCCCGGAATTGAATCATTGTATGGACCTTTCTTGCAAACAACGCCGGTATTTTCGGTTTCCAAGCAATGGGAGGACCTCCATACCCGCGTCGTCGAACATGTGAATTTAATTCATTTCTCTAACCGGTTATTCCAATTTACGACTTTTATTCAGAACGTGCGCGTGGTGGCGCAGTATTACACTCGAATCACCCTCTCCCGTCTTACGGTTCTTCTCGACCTTACACCACAACAAACGGAAGAAACGCTCGCCCGGCTAGTTGTCTCACATACCATCTGGGCGCGTGTAGACCGACCAGCAGGTATCATCAACTTCAAGAGTAAGCGCAGTGCAGAAGACGTGATGAATGATTGGAGTTCGGACATGCAAAAGCTACTTGGACTCGTAGAGAAGACTTGGATAGGGATGAATGCGGCACAGGCCGCTCAATCTCGCATCAAGGCATAGCTGTGTATTATTACTAGTGGCATACGCTCTTGATATAATGCTTTAAAACATCAACGAGTCTACAGCTGAGAACTGCTAGATGTCTATGGGTCTCGTATCTAGCTACAGTAATTTTAGAAACGCAGGATTCGCGGTGACACCCTGCTCCATAGACTGCGCAGACGTCCCAGCTTCTGATGCAGGTGCCAGTTCATCTACCGGAAGGTAGGTCGGACGGACACCTTGCTTCCATAGTCTGGTATATTGTTGTCCTCCGTCAAACTCTCCCATCCCACTGTCCACATCCAAGATGGCCTTCCAGCGCTTACGAGCGAGAAGCGCACCTCTGTCAAGCTCAACCTTGCGGTCTGCCGACTGGTAGACTGCATCTTCCTTCTCGAATGTCCGGTCAATTTCAGATGAGAAGACAGTGCCATAAGCTTCGGCCTCCATTCGAGCAAAGGTGTTGGCGAAATCATGCCCAGCTCGTAGTGATCTGAACTCGGCAACAGCGCGTGTGTATGCAATGCTAAGGGCCATTTCATGGTGTTTGTGCAGGTTAACAGCAAATTGGACAGCGCTAACGAAATGGGGGGTCATGTTATTGGATGGTTTACCGAGAAAAAGAAGTACTTACTTCTCCGGGGAAGGGTTGAGTCCTCTTTGAGCTAGCCGTGTCCAATCCTTTCCTCGTACTGGATGCTCAACCTCCACTTCGCGACCTTCTACAATGCTGACAGGCCTGAATGCCTCAAACGGATGGTCGCGGAAAAATTGCCGACGGACTCTGTCCTCCAGGTAAACTATAGGCAATGGCTCCGTCTTTGGTTTCCGCATTTTTCTGGATGGTAACCGACAGTCTTCGCGGACTGGGGGAGCTCTTGGAGGTAGAGGAAGGGGGGGATGTTCAAGAACTGCTTGGAACCACACAGGCTCGTTCTTAATGTAGTTCGCGCGCATGAGTCGCGCGGCCTGCTTGTGCACCTGTGAAGCAATTCGGCGAACCATATTGGCAACGGCGGTAGGATAAACTTTAGCAAAGAAGTTCAAGTAGAAATGAGTTTGTTTGGATCAGAAGCCTTTGCCAAACAACTACCACACGATTTCGTGTTACTGACTCTCTGCGCAAACTCTATATAGTAAAACTGCACATGAGTGCCGATGGAGGAAGAGGAAGCCGAACTTCGTAATCCCTTTCCCTCACCACCATCTCACTACAACAATTATACGTCGCATAACCTGAAACTACTTGCTTTGCTGAAGGAACGAATTGGGGATCAAAATACTGATGTCGGGACAGTGAACCAGCATGAACTACTCTCAGATCAGGCAGAAGTACCTTCATGGTCGCTGCCCCAGCTCGAGAAACCACGAGTAGACTGGATCCTTGAAGAAGGTCACTATAACGTCTTTGGGGATACGTGGTTTGTAAGCATGCTGCTTTACATTTTGTGTCAACATTTGATTATCTTCCAACCAGGTGAAAGAGACTATCCCATCCCTAGCTGACCTCGGGGGACATCAGCTCTACCCTGCTGACCCGAGCGTAGGTGAGACAGCCCTCGGGTATCCTCCAGGCGTTCGCTGTCCTGAAGCTGTGCTTTCCTAAGATCGACGTCCCGCGCTTCTTGCTGTACTGAGGTCCATGCTTGTCGCGTACTCCAATTTGACAGATGCAATACTTGCACCACCACCACCCCCTTCATCATCGACACTGCCAGAATGGCAACGCCATCTTGAGTGGATCACAATACTTGCCCAAAATCTTATGGCAGCTGCAAATGATCTACGCCCTGTTCAGGTTTTTAATTTGACGCAATAGCCCGTTTGGTTGACTGACGTGTAGATAGGCTAGAGGACACCTTGAGCTCATGATGCAACGACAGCTGGAGCTGAGGCGCGAGGAAACAAAGAATATTCACTCGTGCGTGCCCCACGTTATGGTTTCGATTTTATTCAATACGACAAGCTAGGCAATGCGATGCCCTCGAGGCTCGGCTGTTGGGGCTGCGCTCTTCGACTCGGGAAATGGCGGCGTCAGTCGAAGATCAGAAGTCGACTACCAAACCCGGCAGTTCTCAGGTAACTTTCTCTCACTACACATCAAAATAAAACTGACGTTTGTAGGTACAGGCATCTGCGATCAACGTGTCCCTTGAAGACATGTTGCGTTGGGCAGAGGAGGTCGCATAAGAATCATAGGTTCTTTTTGGCGCAGTTGTGACACATACTTATGTTCGTCACTGTTGTGTGTACGGCACACCCACTAAAACGCATGGTAGGATTTATGAACTTGCCGACGCGCGCTGTGGTAGCGAGCGAGTCTGCAGTGATCGTATTCCGACGTTCATTGCTTGGTTCGCAATGCGCACCGTCCCTTGTCCACCATTACAAGTCGTAATATATGACGCTACAAACTCTGTTTTCACAAAAATAAAGTTTTGCGCGATGCAACTGTGCGTGATACGACCTTCAGTGCGCAATACAACCACCAGGTGCGTGATACAACTTAACAGTGTGTGCGGTTAGCGAAGAATTAATTTGTGCTTGCCGCAAGCAACGGTACCCACCTTGAAGAGGTTTCCAGCGCTGACGGGGGCCATCCATGTGCTATTGCAGGTAAGCAACAGCGCCTTTTTTCATCTGTTTGTTACAAATCATTGAGTTATTTTGACTTTGTTTCACAATGAGCTCACAGTGGATACCGTGTGGATGGAGGCCTGATGCCTCGGAAGTACCCAACGACCCCGAAAAAGAAGGAACGACTGTCTTCCTTCTTTCAAGGTCTGACTATGGGAGACCAGTTTCTTTTCCGCGTCTCAACACCCCCAAAAAACACGTGTACAATCCGTTTATTAATTACTGCCGGGTAATCGAAGTGAGTGACACAGCGCGCTTGACAATAACTCAACTTTCTCTCCTGAAAGACACGTGTGAACACGATTATTACAGGCGCTTTAGGCATGGATTAGTGTAAGGTGGAGTCTTCTGTGTCAGCACACGACGACGTGCCCTTGCCCGAATTCCAGTCTTCATGGTCCGACCGTGAATATCTACATGTCCTCTCACCCAACACTCGCGCAACAAAGAAGGGACCTTTACGTCGCGTCCCACACCACGGGTCGAGTAACGAAATGTTGATGAAACCGTGCACAAAATCATCTGTCAAGGATGAAGATGGAGTACGTGACTAGGGAGACCCTGTTGTTGCATATCCATGTATAAGGAATGACCTTCGGCCAGCAGTTGAGTGGCAATGGGTAACGCGGAAGGACTAAGTACATATTATTTACACTTTGTATACGCTGTTAGTGCGGTATCTTATGTTGGGCGTTGGTCGGGTCGACCCCCAAAAGGATGGCCGAAAACTGCATCAACACACGCGTCTTGACTGGGGTTGTATTCAGGTCTATTCGCGTTCATAACAAAATTGATCGATCACAACCAACAGCTCTGCATTCATGTCCACTAGGCGGAGGATCGGCGTCAGCATCGCAACAACAGAGGTTGCAAGACGCCAATTGATGCAGCCAGTTGTTTGCTGGGAGAAAGTATGGACCGTTCCAGAAAATGCTGCTCCAAATTCCTCTATGAAGATCTACAAGTGGATGAAGACGGACAGAAAACAAGTAAGTAGTCTGACCTATTGATAGAGTAAATCTACAATTATAGTCAATCTTGAAGCAATTTAGCGATGATGAAGGAGAAGTGGACGAACCACTAGCACCCCTTCCTGATGAACCTGAGGTGGTGGAAGGAGACGAAGAGATGGACCAGGATGAGCCAACCGCCTCTGCAGTTCCCGACGCAGAAGCACCTGTATTGGACACGGAGACGAACTCAGTTATTCAGGAAATTCCGTCGGAACCCCAAACCAAACCATCCTCTCCGACACCTCCTACACTTTCACTCCAAGCTCCTGAACCTATATTAGTCACAGAGCAAGTTGCGGACATGTTGGACGAGTCACTCAAGGCTCTCGATGGCGACGTGGATATCGAACTCGGTGTACACGAGAACGCCAATCTGGAAGAGGTTGGAGACCTGGATATGGGAGTGCTCGGGCCTGATGGAACTGCTTTCGAAGCCGTTCATGACCTCAGTCAAATTGAAAGTGGCGACGCATTATTGGGTGGACCTCTAATGGATGACACAGTCGATCCATTTGCTCTAAACCCGAATGATGATGAGTCTGCTGGGGGAACAGCTCAATGACCTCTTCTGCTTTGATTGCCCCAGGTATAACTCTACTCTGTGATATACAGGCATCTAACTGACTCATTTCATAGTTCACCACTTGATCAGTCGTTGCTCCTCGCGCGCAAGTTGCCAGTCCATTCTTGCAAGAGACATTCACGCCGAAGACACTGAAACCGAAACAACACTCCTGAAATCGACGGCGCTCGGTCCTGTGCTGCTCATGATGTTACAGTGCAAGAGAGTAGTCGAGGTTACATTCGTTACACTGCGGAAGGAGGTTGTAATGGATGTGGGCAATATTGTACTACATCATACTTCTGGATCTCCGTAGACGCTTGCCTTAGACCTGCATGTAATGGCCTAGCAGACCGGTACAGGACTTGATGTTGACTTGGGGGTTTTGAGCTCGGAGCTTTGTACAATATTTCAAGCTGAGCTTCTCGTGTCAATCCTATAAAAGGTTGGCCGCAGTAATTACGCGGTTTCTTGAGAACTCACTCAAACTACTATCATCATGGGGGATACCTTGCGATCTCTCATTCTGGCGGAATATCCTACGCCGATCTTTGCGGCTACTGAGGGCGTCCTTGCATTTTTATCACTGGGCCCAGCGCCCACATTTGTACCATTGGTACTACTCCTCACAATTTTGCGTATCCACGGGCTGCGCGTCGCATGTCGTAGCACTCGAGTATTAGAGTTGATATGCTCCTGGTTCGTGGTTACAGTTGGCGCATCCTTGGCACATTACTCCTCCGCAACGAATGCACTGTCAAGCTCATCACAGTCATTTGCTGCGGTTGCAGTCATGTCGGCCATCACATACGTGGGTGCTATCGTACCATTCTACCTGGATATCCGCTTTAATCGCGGGTTCCAAACGATCTGGGCTCAGACTACATTTTTCCCAGTTGTATGGGCGACGACGTGGTGTCTTGCATCCCACATCTCTCCTGTGGGTAGACTTCTGCACTGGAGTCCAGTCTCCACGTCCCATCCGTACAACTGGCTCCTACCGTATACAGGACCGGTGGGCATAGATTGGGCCGTCGCTGCCTGTGCCGGTCTGTGTTCAGAAGTTGCGGCCACCTGGCTAATGGGCTCCGACAAAGAGGAGCAACCTGTTCACGTCTCTACTTCAGCTAGTGAAGCGCAATCCAAGAGGGGCTCGCGAAGTCTTCTCGCGCTAGGAACGCTACTCGTCGCATTCACCCTTCCCTCTCTATATCCCAGTCTCCCCGCGCATGCTGATACATCCGTTGATATTTCGCCATTGGGTGTCGCCTGTGCCCTACCCCCTGTTCGCAAGGGCAGACACCCAACTCTTAGCGACTTCATTGCTGAGACCAGGACATTAACTCCACGAGCCAAGGTAGTATTATGGCCCGAAAGTGCTGTGGTATTCAATAACGAGGATGAGAGGGAAGCTGCGTTCCAAACGCTGCGTAAGGATATCGGGCAATCTCTCATCGGGGTTGCATTTGAGGAGTTCTTGCCTGAAGATCCGTCCAACCCCGGCGGATCTCGCATGAAGCGCAACGGGCTTGCGCTTGTTCATCACGGACAGGAGAAAGGCCAGGAGGTTATACAATATTACAAGCGCAACCTAGTGCCATGTACGTCCCTCCGCCTGAACACGATCTTGCCAGGTGTCTGACGGTTAGACAGTCACGGAATCATTTTCAGCGGTGCCTTCAACTGCGCCCCCCTCTATATATACCTTTGAGCTAACCCATCCAACCTGGACTACAAAACCTGAATGGTCTTCTACGCCAAATCATACTCGGCCGATTCCCGTCACATCTTCTATCTGCCTCGATTTCGCATTCTCATCCGCGTTCAGTTCGCTTGAGTCTCGACCCGCGTTGATTCTCGCACCTGCTCGCACGTGGGACCCTACCGTCGGTCTTGCGATGTGGGAGCAGGCCAAGTCGCGCGCCAACGAAATTGGCAGCGCGGTCCTATGGTGTGATGGAGGAGCAACCGGAGTGAGCGGTATTGGGGGTGGGGGAATATCCGAGATCATGCAGGTTGGGGCTGGTTCTTGGTCTCGCACCATTGGCCTGCAGTTCCCCTTCGACCAAACGAGGACTGTCTATGCCGTGATCGGAGAATTTGGCGTCCTTGTTTTCTTAGTCGCGATCATGGGTGGAAGCTCAGCAGCCAAATATCTCCCGACCTCCGGACGCCGTTTCATGGAAGCAGTGCCGCTCTTGCAACGTCTGATTCGTGGGAGGAGCGACCAAGAGGATTTGATTGATGTTGCAGTGCCGGGAGAGAGGCAGAGCCTGCTGCACTGATCGGAAGTCTTCTGTAATACTGTGAAGAATCGTATGTTTGCTCGTTTTTTGTTGTTTCGATTGAAGGTGGCAACGCATTATTGAGCGTCTTATGGATCACACGATTGATCCAGTCTGCCGAGGGAACAGCCTCAATGACCTCTTCTGCTTTGATTGCTCAGGTACAACTCCACTCGGGGATATTAGGTCATCTAACTTTGAACTCATTCTATGTAGTTCACTACTTGGGAGTTTCATCATCGCTGCTGCTCACGCGCAAACTGAGGTTGCTTTTCGGCATCTTCTCGACGCCGAACATACTGAAATCGTAAAACATCACTCCCGAACCAACGTAGTAGTCGTCGATTGAGTGTACTACATCATACTTTCTGGATCTTCTTCGACGCTTCCCTTAACCCTGCATTACATGCAAGATGAGTTGCCTAGCACACTGATACAGGGACGACCTGCTATCAAGACTTGGGGGTTGTGATTGGTTGGCGTTTATTTCAAGCTCAGCTCCCAAGAGCTTCCTGTGCTCGTTATAAAGGTTGGCCGCAGTAACCGCGTGGGCTGAGGACTCAATTACTACTAGTAACATCGCCCAACATGGGGGACTCCCTACAATGCCTCATCCTGGCAAAGTATCCTACACAGATTTTTGCATTAACGGAGTTCCTGCTTGCCCTCATATCGCTGGGCCCGTCGCCGACGTTCATACCCTTAGTGTTACTGATCGCGACTCTCCGTATCCATGGAGCCAGAATCGCAGGCCGCAACATCCAAGAATTAGAACTCATGTTCTCATGGGTAGCCGTCGCAGCTGGCTCAGTTTTGGCTCGTTATACTTCGGCAACTACGGCTTTGTCAAGTCCATCTCAATCACTTGTTGCGGTTGGAATCATGTCTGGTATCACATACTCATTAGCCATCGTGACGGTTTATTTAGATATGCGTCTTAATCGTCGACTTCAATCAACGTGGGCCCAGATCACTTTCTTCCCTGTTGTATGGGCGATGACATGGAGTGCTGTATCGCACATGTCGCCTGTCGGCAGACTTCTGAGCTGGACCCCAGTCTCAACATCTCACCCCTATGGTTGGCTGCTACCCTATACAGGGCCCTTGGGCACAGACTGGCTTGTCGCTGCCTGTGCGGCTCTGTGTTCGGAAGTGGCAGCCATCTGGCTCATGGGTTCCGATGAAGAGGAGATTCACGCGTCCACTTCCGCCAGTGCACATCAAATGCAATCCAGGAGGCGCTCGCGGAGTCTCATCGCACTAGGAACTCTGCTGATCGCACTCACACTTCCTTCTTTATCCATCACTCTCCCCAACCGAACTGACACTATTGTTGATCTTTCGCCATTGGGTGTTGCATGCGCTCTGCCACCCGTTCGCAAAAATAGCCACCCGAGTCTCAGTGATTTCATTGCCGAGACCAGAAAATTGACACCGCTGGCCAAGGTAGTATTATGGCCCGAAAGCGCCGTGGTATTCAACAGCGAGAAGGAGAGAGAAGCTGCATTTGAAACGTTGCGTACGGATACCGGACAATCCCTCATCGGGGTTGCGTTTGAGGAATTTGTCCTCGTGGATCCGTCAAATCCCAGTGGATCTCGCATGAAAAGGAACGGGCTTGCTCTCGTGCATCGCGACCAGAAGGAAGGCGAAGAGATTGTTCAGTATTACAAGCGCAATCTGGTACCTTGTACGTCCCTCTGTCTGAATACGATCATGCTAGGCGTCTGACTGTCAGACAGTCACCGAATCGTTCTCAGCAATCCCCTCCACTGCGCCTCCCACCATATTCAACCTCGAGCTACCCGCTCCAAAATGGACGACAAGATCTGAATGGTCTTCCACTCCAAACCATACTCGACCAGTTCCAATCACGTCGTCTATCTGCCTCGATTTTGCATTCCCATCTGCCTTTAGTTCCCTCGATTCTCGACCCGCCTTAATCCTGGCACCCGCTCACACATGGGATCCCGCTGTCGGTCTCGCGATGTGGGATCAAGCAAAGTCGCGTGCCAACGAGATCGGCAGCATGGTGCTGTGGTGTGACGGAGGGGCCACCGGAGTGAGCGGTATTGGAGGTGGGGGAATATCTGAGATTATGCAGGTCGGCGCCGGTTCTTGGTCTCGTACCATCGGCCTGCAGTTCCCCTTCGACCAAAGGAGGACTATCTATGCCGTGGTCGGAGAATTTGGCGTCCTTGCTTTCTTTGCCGTGATCATGGGTGGTAGCTCAGTAGCAAAATATCTGCCGGCACTCTCCGGACGTCGTTTCCTGGAAGCAGTGCCGCTCTTGCAACGTATGATTCGTGGGAGAAGGAGGGACCAAGAGGATCTGATTGATGTTGCAGTGCCGGGAGAGAGGCAGAACCTGCTCCACTGATCGAAAGTCGTATTGTCAAATATGCTTGCTTATTTTTTTTTGTTGTTTTGTTGTTCTGCCTGCTGTATCACCATTCCATAGTGTTTTTTAGCCTGCTTGTTACGATCGCAATATCTATTCCAGCTGGTTGCTTTCTTCAATCAGATGAGACAACGAAAATGATAGCTCAGTCGCTATTCTTTGAGCGCAGTAGACTGAGAGACTCAGGGTTTGCGCCATAGAGAATCATGATGTTATGGCCCTAATTACTCCTCGGCATCAGTACTTCTCTTGCGGTAGTGTCCATCCGAGTCCGATCAGCGCAGCATACCCAGGACACAGCACCGATATCTCTGGCGGTCTGATTGCCTTCGATTTAAATCAGATATTTTGTAGCCCCCCTTTATTCTCCGATGGACCTCGCCTGGATCCTCAGGAGTAATGAGGGGGCACTCTCCTTGTTGAGGAGGACCTCCGTATCCTTCCTGTAGATATGATGTCGTCAAACGTCTCGCTGTCCCTGCACGTCGCCATGCTGGCTTCGAAGATCTCGATCACATTCATTCTGGTGTAGCCCTGAGCTTGCCCACGAACCGGTGGACACTGTAGTCGTTACCCAACGTCCTGATGACACGAAACCGGAGTTCCGCGCGTTCGTACGCAGTGTTGTTGCTGTCGATGCTTGGAGGACTAGAGGGGCTGGTAAGAAGACGTACGTGATATAATATCCGCTCAAGCTGACATGTGAGGTCATCTCCGACGAACATATGACTACCCGGACATTGAAGCAGTCGAGTTGGGGTTTAGATGAGGATCTATATTGACGAATACGCAGGGTGAAGCTGAAAACGCTGCTTTGCTTCGATCGATGAGCGTCGTGGTGCTGGAGCTAAATTGATTGAAGTGATCTGACAATCGAGATCGGCAAGTCAGCAAATGCTGCGTATGTAGTCAAAACATATAAGAAGGCGGTCCCTTCTTGTGTAATAGCAAAAACCTACCGTCAGGGATTCTCGAGTAAACGAGCCCAGCATCGCCGAGGCTCCAATGCTTTGGATTATCGACTCATCGCGATCAATGTTTCCAGCATAACAGGAATGTCATTTATCACACGACGTACTAGTAATTTACAACAAAAAACACCACGATCTACTGCAGTATGTCGCGTGGAACTACTGCGTTTACCCCCTGATGCTGCAAACGGAAAACGTTATCGGTGAGGATCATGATGTTGATAGCCAGGAATAACGATGCATGCAAGGCGAGAATAGGGTCCCGCAGTGGTGCTTCCATTAGCGCACGTTGCGGAGCTCAAGTCCAGTGGTTCAAGTTATTTACAAGAGAACGACTTGAGCCTGCGGGTGGCTTGGGCGTGTTTTTCCTGATCAAGAAAAAAAAGCGTCATTCCTGACAGCACAGGTCCATGCTTTGTATGTAAGTGGAAGATGTCGAGCAAAATGATCCATTTCGAGCTAAAATGAGCGTTCTGGAAACGGAGAATAGGTAAATGACTGGAGTGGCTTATCTGAGGCGGTTCCTGCCCTTCGATTGATATACACTTCTGAACGATTTCCACGGGTGAATATCTGTGAAAATTCAGTTTTTGATTGATCGCAATCTGAACGTACACTGGCAAGCTACTAAGCTTTAGGCGCGACTCAGTGCTAGGTCATGATGTTAGCTTATGTAAGTGTATGTACCGATCGCATATTTGCCTCGAGGCAAGGTCAGCGGAAAAGTGACAAGTTTACAGAAAACACGAGGATAAGGACTGGTAAGTAATTGAACCTGATACAGGCTTCTACTGGTCGTCAGGAATCCACGTTACAATCGCGTTGACGCAGCGCCTGATTTTATTCAAAGGTCACTCATCCTTCCCTTCTTCTCCTCACAAGTCCACATCGAAAGGGCTTGGTACAGATACAACGTCGCCATCAACCTACTTCCAGTCGAGACTACCTCGCGGCCTTCGAGGCTCTTTGCGCAGCTCGGCTCAGTCTCTAGATCCAACTCGCTTACTCTCGCGAACTTTTGCTCGGCGAGGTAATCCAGGTCTCTTTTCAAAGAAACATCCAGAGCCTCCTACTCCAGAGCTCCAGGAGCAACAACTACAAGGTGAAGAACTTGAGGAATTCGAACTTGTAAATCGAGAGGAACTCCCAGTTCATTTCGACGACGACGACGAACCTCTTAATCCAGAACCTTCTAATAAGCCCTGTTCTGACTCATCCGTCCCTCCTAAACAACTAGCGCCTTCTCGTACCAAATCCGCTTTATATCGCCTCAAGAATTTATCCAAACCATCACTCCATTTATCCGCTTTCCATTCAAACCGCCAACCAGTTCATTCTAATCGCGCAGCAGAAGTCTCCGATATCTATCTTGCATTCCCGCGACCCCCGACTCACATACCCACTCCGATTGCATCGGCCTACGCAACTTCCTCAGTTGCGAGCTCTACACTCGTCACTGCCAATCAAGAACTTGACGAGACTTGTTCTACCCTTCGTGTCTCCCCTCCATTCTCAAACGAATTTATTCTTCGGACTCCTCAGCCTCTCGTTGATTCACCTGTCGCATTTGACGCACAGCCAGATATTTCTAGCACTCCCGCTCAGACATCTGTCCATCTTACGTCCGCTAGCATCAGAAGCAGTCGTAGATTTACTGGCTCATTTAGGTCTTTATCAAGGCTATTACACGGTCCTTTTACCTCTCGCTCAGACGTTTCATCCAGTGGTACTATCAGAACCAGGCGGAGAGGATCTAGTATAGCAACCTCGCTATCCCTATCATTCAGCGAGCCCCTCTATTCTTCCCCTTCCAATCTTGTCATCGAGCCCGCGGCTGACAACTCTTCAAACCCTTCTGAGGCTGCACTCGTCGTTTTAGCTCGAAAGGCAGCTGTAGCAGGTGAATTATCCTCACCAGCACCCCTTCCGATTCCCCCACCTGCCAGTGAAGCCTTACATCCAGAGCAGGTCGTGAAACCGTTTCCTCCCGTCGTCAAACACGAGTGTGTTGATCCGTTGGAGCTTACTGCATCGCCATCACCACTAGGCGCCAGCTCACTTTTCAGCTCTTCAGCCCGCACGTCATTCATTCCACCATCCCCTTCTTGGCTCAGTCGAAACGTTCAGAACCGTGATCAGTTTGATTATCGCACCTTCTTTCCACCTTCAAGGATCTCTCTCCTGACAGATTCGGAACATTTAAAAATTCCAGAGATCAATACATATTTCACATCTGCGCTTTTTGCTCCCGATTCCCCCAGACCCTTACCCATTCCAGCACCTTTCCTCCCAGTTCCCGCACCACATTTTTACGCTCCCGATTCACCTTACAAGCCCGTTCTCCAGCGAGTGGTCACCGATATTTATTTGGAGACACCTGAAGCAGATCGGGACTCACTTGCAACTCCGCGCTCCATCGCAGAATCCTCTTCCAGCACCTCGAGCATCATATCAAGTGGTGCTTTCGTATCGGCGCCAGCTTCGCCATCTGCGTTCTTCTATTCTCGATCATCGACTATCAGCCGTATCAGTACAGAGCGCCATCGCCAATCAATCGCTGCGCGCAAAACTCGTCTGAGCACCCCTGGTTCTAGACGTTTGTCATCGAAGGAGAATAGACAATCTCTTAACCCTCTTTTCAAGGCACGGGACCTTCTCTCTTAGAAATCGCGCAGCTTCTGATTACCCTAATTCACAGGAGTTATCTCCCTCATCTTCGCGAAGGCCTTTCTCACCCTCCTCTAACGCGCTTAATCTTAGCGTCCCTACATCTCTTTCCCCACTTCCATCGTAAGTTCACATCGTACGCCACCTGGAATTTCTTGGCTGATTTGCGTTCTATAAAGCGAAACCTCTTTAAACCCACACGCTATCTTTACCCCTCTTACTCAAACGCCAGACTCTTTCGCGCCTAATCCTATACCTTTATCAAAGGATCTCACAACACTACTCGAAGCTTTCCGTCTTGAAACCAGTATCAAGCCTTCCTCTAAACGTCGAATAATGGATTACACGGCGAAGAATGCTGAGCACGTGGATTTTGGTGGAGAGGTTGACTACTCTGGACACCAGTGGTTCCAGGAGCCGCCGCCAAGGCCAGAGGTACGTCATTAAGATTGCCACTATCACCGAGTTCGGACCCTAACGCCTCATGCAGCCTCAGCCTGTGGTCGAACCATATATCCCAGAACAGGGCGTCATCATGCAGAACGAAGCATTCGACTTTGCACTCAAAGCAGCACCCAACGTTCTCTACGGTCGTTATAAGCAGTACGGCCAAGTAAGTCCCCCTCCCCAACTCCAAACTCCAACTCGGTACTCACGCACATCAACAGCTAGGCGTACTAGCATGGTGTTCTGAATTCGGAGAGATGATAGACAGTCTGAAAGACCTCGGGTTCCATGGCAACATGTTCGTAACGACGCGCACGCAAGCTCTACGCACCTGCGAAGAAATCCTCAAACTCAAACTCGACATCGAGATGCAGATCATCCTGATGTACCTCTCATCACAAGTCGCGCGGTTGCGTCGCTTCCTCGATGGAGAACGCCAGTGGGACGATTACCCCGCCCCCAAGTTCCCGCTGGACTATCGGCAGTATGGTCATCCAGGCGGCTCGTGATGAAGCCAGAACTCTTTCTGTTTACTTACTTTTTTTCAATGTTCGGATCGCGGCATATGGTTCGTTTGTTGGACCAGCTCATGTGCATAAGACATCAAGTTCTCTCTCATAATCGCATTTTGCATACATATATCCTGTATCAGGTTTCACAAAGCGAATGTACTTATAGTGACATCATTCATCTTTTTCCAGAGTAGTGAAGGAATCCTATTGATTGCAAACACCAATAATCGTGGGCGAAGTATTGCGGGGGGCTCAATTAATTGAGCTGGTACATAAAATGTCTAAGTCCAAAGCAATAACTGAATAGCGAATCAAAGCGAATCAAAAAAAAAAGAAGTCCACCTGACCACGAAGTCCCGGTGAAAATGAAAGTTGCAGTAAGCGTGTATGATCTAAGTTAGTATGATACTTGTAACTGAACGTGAAATGCGTGATCGTAAGCGGGTATATCAATGTGAAGGCACTGGCGGGTACTTGTTATTCGTCCAATAATCTGAGGTAGCTCCACTGCCTCGATCTGCATGTGTTGACAAGCGCGCAGGTTGATAGGTTGATTCACGTGGGGGATGCGGCAAAGGGTTCTGGCGAGGAGGATCTGCCGGGGATGCCGGTGAACTCTCTGTAGAAGGGAACATAAAGGAGTTGGGTAGTGATCGGTACGTGGGTTGGTGGGAACCCTGATGAAGAACTTGTCCATACGGAGATGTGGCAGTATAGATAATTGGGGGAGGCGCAGAAGGCATGTTGGCATAAAACACGCTCGCTGGCATGGGATGTGCTTGCAGCGGCTGGACGAGGTACGACGTGTGACTCGAACCGTGCCCAGGACCATCTACTACGAACTCTCCGTTGACATGCCGAGAATCACGAGCGGACGGCGAGGTAATTGCGTTGGACTCCTGGTGATACATGCTTCTGCCTTTCCATAAACGATCCATCTCCCATGCCTCGCGTGCGCGAAGGGCATTGATATCTGCAGCAGATGCCAGCTCAGAGGTTGGACGGGTTGCGTTCGAGGGGAGGCGTTCGACACGCGCGATACCAGAAATAGGACTCGGATTAGGTCGGGAGGACTTTGAGTGGTGTGAGTCGCGTGGCCTGTCATCGCTCTTGCGATGACGAGGTGGTTCGCCTTGAAGCGTAAATACCATCGGCTGCACACTCTGACGGGGGGAAGTATCGAGGCTACGTGCTCGCGAAGGACGTCCCGAGAGAGAGCTGGAATCGACTGCTTCAGCTTTCGTACGTTTCGTCCGACCTTGGCTACTCGCACGGGCATGGTTCTCTGCAGCTTCTTGAGCTGCCTTCTCGTGCCTTCGCTGATCCCTTCTGCTCTCACGGTCCTTCGTCGAAGACCGCGACGACGGCTTTTCTACCCTTTCCACTCGCTCATTCTTCTCTGCCCTCTCCTTTGTCCGCCTCCGGCGAGGAGCGTCAGAAGAATTGACAACAGTCCAATGCTCGCCCTCGGCAGGGATAGCATCCCCAGACGACGAAACCTTGTCAGACGGGTTCCGCATCAACCTGAACGTCTCCGTCTTCCGGCTCGTCGTAGAGTTCGACTTTGCTACGCGTACTTCCCCATCGGCTTTCTTGACAGGAGAGTTCTCTCGTGAGGGTGCCCTACTCGACACCCTCTCGATTGGGGGCATTTCATATGGAAGGTCTGTGTGTACCTCGTTGGGGTCGTATGGCGTAGGCGGGTTGACCAGGACTGACGCCCTGGACAAGGGCGAGTCATTCGACGTTGATCCAGCGGCAGTAGTGGCGAAGGAGAAAGCATGGAACATTCTGACCTCTGGGATGGCCGCGGGCGCAGTCAAGGATGGCGCGCCTATCGACAACGAGTGAGCAGACGGAGAGAGATAAGAGGCGGATGGCTGTGGTGACTGAACACTGGCCACCTGCGGGGGGGAGCGGACCACGTCAGGAACAGAAGGTGCGGGTGTAGGGCTTATGCGTTTCACGGGCGATGTCTTGCCACTGGGTATTGCCTCCCTGCTTGCGTTCCGCTCGTAACGCGGTTGCACTGGCGGTAGTAGCGGAGGAGCCTCTACGTGAGACTTTGGCTCGGGCAGGTCCTCAGGTGGCAACGCGATGCTTTGTCTGATCGGCGTATTCCCTCCAGAACTCGGCGCATCTGGGTTGGCTATCGTTAACCTTCCAGGCGAAAAAGGCATCTCGTACGAGACAGACGAGCGGTGATCAGGTATCTCGCGCTCTAACTCTGTTGAGGGTCCCAACCCATCCGTCATTAAATCGAGATCTATCCGCGGAGGCGGTACGCGCTTGGATGGATCCGAGTGCTTTTTCTCCAATGATGGCTTCTCTGGAGAAGGGTGGCGTTGGGAGAAAAAAGAGCGACGACGGTCAGAGGGTGATGCAGCTCCGTGTGGCTCATCCTCTGCTCGTTCGCTGATAGTCGGTCCCGCGTCTTGAGTAGACTTCGTCAAGATGCTGAACTTCCTCACCAGTCGTCCTAGGACACTTGTTCGTCGCTCCTTCTTGGAGGACGAATGGGTTGATAACGCTACAGTGGATGCATTAGGAGGCACTGTGGTGGGAGAAAGAATGGAGTGACGACGCGCAGATGTATCCGGCACTTGAAGTGAGGAGGTTGCGATTGTGGATGCACGGTGAGGTGCGGCAGGGTCTGCTTCCTTCTCCTGTCCCCCGAAGAGGTTGGTCAGTCCGGGTTTCCGGCGTTTACTGAGTTTACGCGTGATATTGGGTTCGGATGGTTGTGTGTGTAGGGCAGATGTAGACTGAGATAGTGGAGAAGGAGTGACTGTTTTACGACGAGTTGGAGTTGGTGCGGTGTTCATGCTTGACAGACGAGAGCGAGAGCGACCCTGAAGAGAAGGTTGAGTACAATTACGAGAGTGAATTGGAGGGGCTACTTGCCTCAGGGGGATCAACTGAGACTGGACTGACGTTGGTGCCAGTGTCGTAGGGGGACTGGTGATGCCAGTGAGTGCCCCATGGATCAGAGGCGTCGAGTAAGTCAGCATTATCCTGAGAAGTTTTGCGACTGCGAGGTTTGCCACCTGATTCTTGGATGCGAATTTGTGATGAAGATGGAGTTTGGAGAGAAGTGCCTGAAGGAGAGCGGCTTGGGCCAGGCAAGCGAATTGAGTCCTCTGAACGGTCGTTGAGAGATGAAGCCATTGGGGGAAATGAGGGGGAGAAGACAGATGGAGGACGATTACCAGGATTTAGTTGAGCTGGGGGAATAAGGTGGTAATTCTTGTACCACTTGGGACCGAGTGGGTTATGCAAAGGATATTTTATCCTGTAGGATGAAGTGTTCGCAGCAGCCATGTCGGTCTCTTTCTTGAACCAAGCTGGTAGTTCACCCAAGGGGTCTGGTATGATTGAACGAGAAATGAACAAAGGTAAATCCTGGTCCTCGTCGGAAGTGTCGTTTGCCTTTAAAGAGTCCATGGAAACGAGTGATTGAGATGATTGAAGGTCCAGGTACTTTGCAGGCCCAGGACCACTGGTTTCTGTTGCTGCTGCGGTGGTCTTCTTTGTGGACTTTCTATGCCATAAAGACTTCCCAGACGTAATTTTAGAGGATCTTCGAGAAAGTTTACGCTGAGGTTGATGCTGTTCTTCCATAAGTTCATGAGTAGTAAGACGGTCAAAGACGCCGACGCTTTGACTCTGCTGTTTCAAGGCCAGGGAAAAAAGAAAAAGGCAAAATTAGCGATCGCGTAACGCGGGAGAACAAAGGAAACCGAGACCGGGTCCAGGAGACTCGCCTGTTCTTCAAATGGTTCAAGTACGCTTTGAAAGACTGGATTTCTGTAATTCGCCATGACTTCAACGTGCGTTTAAAACGAGGTCCGACGCTGACCGTCATCAGACCGCACCAGTGCTGCACCACCTGGCGCTCAAATTATAACAACCGGGGTCCTATTTCCACATCTTTCTTAGCTGCGATGAGTACGCAGATCTTGATTCTTGGCAGCGGAGGTAGAGAACACGCTCTAGCTTGGAAGCTAGCACAGTCAGATCAAGTAAAACATATCTTCGTATGTCCCGGTAATCCAGGAACTGCGAAAAATCAAAAAACTTCAAATCTTGATCTTCCTCTCATCTATCCGTACAAAGATCTAGTAGATCATGCCATCAACAACAAGGTACTTATCAATCTACTTCATATCATACTGATCTCCTGATCCATGTAGATCAACCTCGTAGTCCCAGGACCAGAGGACCCTCTCGTTCTTGGCGTAGAAAAATGCTTTCGTGACGGTGACTACTTCCCCCCCACATCGCCTTAAGATGTCTGCTCATATTTCATCCAGTCGGCATACCCGTCTTCGGTCCCACCCAGCTTGCAGCTAGGATGGAAGGCTCAAAAGCCTTCTCAAAGGCCTTCATGCACCGTCACGCTATACCCACCGCTAAATTTAAAATATTCTCTTCTTCTCAACTTCAGGATGCCATACAATACGTTCAGACTTGCGGTCACTCTGTCGTTCTAAAGGCCAGTGGCCTCGCAGGCGGAAAGGGTGTCCTCATCCCGTCATCTATCGAAGAAGCCCTTCAAGGCCTGCGATCTATCATGGTAGACAATGCCTTCGGCTCAGCAGGTTTGTTCCTCATGTTCCTCTACAAATAAATGTAATGACGCTTCACTGCAGGCGACGAGGTTGTGATCGAGGAACTCCTCGAAGGTCCCGAAATCTCTGTCCTCGCGTTTTCTGATGGGTACACGATCGTTCCCCTTCCAGCCGCGCAAGATCACAAGCGCATCGGCGAAGGAGACACCGGCCTTAATACAGGTGGTATGGGCGCCTATGCCCCTGCCCCTGTCGCAACCCCCGCGATCATGCACCGTATCATGACCGAGAGTCTACGTCCCACTATCGATGGCATGCGCAAGGAAGGTATACACCGTCTCTTCTCTGTCCCATCCCCTGCTCACCTTCCTCAGGATTCCCTTTCGTCGGCCTCCTTTTCACAGGTTTCATGCTTACTGCCGACGGACCCAAGGTCCTTGAGTACAACGTCCGTTTCGGGGACCCCGAAACCGAGGCCCTCATGATGCTCCTGCGCGATGATGTCGATCTTGCTGCAGTCCTTCTCGTGCGTCCATGCATCATCACCTTTGCCAGAGGCCGATGATTCACCTATCAAACAGGCGTGCGCAGAGCGTCACCTCGATTCAGTCCAGATCAACACCCGCTTAGGCTTCTCAGTCTCTGTTATTCTCGTTTCAGGGGGATACCCCGGGAACTATACCAAGGGGAAGCTAATTCAAGTGGGCGATATCCCATCTGGTACACCTTTTTTTAGCGGGCGATCGGGGGCTTATCGATTAATCACTTATCATAGATGTCGTCGTGTTTCATTGCGGAACATCAATGAACGGAAATGATCTGGTCACATCAGGTGGCCGTGTCATGGCAGTGACATGCTCTGCACCAACCCTGGAACGAGCCCTTGCACAAGTTTATGCGGCTGTGGAAGAAATCTCGTTCGAGGGCAAGTTCTACAGGCGAGACATTGCACACAGGTGACACCTCCTCCTTCCGATCATAATGAAAACTGACATCTCGTAGAGCACTGGCGGCGAGTCAAGCTCCATCAAACGGCCTGACATATGCGCAGGCCGGAGTTTCCGTAGATGCCGGAAACGCGCTCGTCGAAGCCATCAAGCCACACGTGCGCGCCACAAAGCGCTCTGGTGCTGATGTAGAAATAGGGGGTTTTGGAGGTATATTTGACCTCAAAGCCACCGGCTACAAGGATCCCGTGCTGGTTAGCGGGACAGATGGCGTGGGCACGAAACTTCGTGTCGCCGTCGATGCTGGTATTCACCATCTTGTCGGTGAGTTGCGCGCCTCTGACCCCCTTAATCAATCATGACAATTGGATGCCCAGGAATCGACCTGGTTGCAATGTCAGTCAACGACCTGCTAGTGCAGGGCGCCGAACCGCTTTATTTCCTCGACTATTACGGCTGCAGCAAACTAGACGTCGCTACTGCTGCGGAAGTTATCAAGGGTATCGCACAGGGCTGTCAGCAAGCTGGCTGTGCCTTGATCGGTGGAGAAACGGCAGAGATGCCAGGGATGTACCAAGACGGTGAGAGCGTTCTCAACAGCCCGCGGAACCCAGTTCATCATAATAAACTTCCACAGGCGATTACGACCTCGCAGGCTTCGCAGTAGGCGCGGTCGAGCGCACTTCGATTCTTCCTCGTTCGGATATCATGCCAGGGGACATCCTCCTCGGCATCGCTTCTTCTGGATTACACTCGAACGGGTTCTCACTCGTTCGAAAAGTCATCGAGATGACAGGCCTGTCATATGCTTCGGCATGCCCGTGGGATGATCAAAAGACTCTCGCGCTCAGTCTTCTGGAGCCAACTAGGATCTACATCAAGCAGGTCCTCCCAGCTGTACACCAAGGACTCTTAAAAGGCATGTCGCACATCACAGGAGGTGGCTTCATCGAGAACATCCCGCGGGTTCTACCAAAAGGAATGGGCGCCTACCTCGATGCATCGACTTGGCAGCTCCCTCCTGTGTTCCGGTTCCTGATGCTGCAGGGTGGCATCGCACCCTTGGAAATGGCTCGCACGTTCAATAATGGTATTGGGTTGGTGCTTATCGTCGGGCGGGAGGATGCGGAGAGGGCTGTGGAGGTCTTACGGGGGACTCCTGGCGCTGATGTGTACCGCATTGGTGAGGTCACGGATAGAAGTGGAGTTGAAATGAGGAATTTGGAGCATTGGAGTCATCAATAGCGGAACGCTTGGTTGTATGTATCGCCAAAATGTTTCGGCTGAAATTATCATCGTTAGAGATTGACCAGATGTGCCGACGATCGTACATTTTGCGAAGATCAGTAAACTGTTCGCAGATACTAGTGATTTTACGTTCAAGCGCGCGTCAGGCCACTTTCGCTCGACAAACGAGACGCGAGAGCGCCATGTATATGCTTTCGCGGAACAGTCTCGTTCATAAGTACAGTATGCATGAAAACATTGCGATATTGATACTGAATGTGAGCAAGACATATGATGAGATGGGAGGGAGTCAGTGTCACAGTAATCGAACGTAAATGTAAATAGTATGTGTACCCGGCACGCAGATCAACACTAGTAGATGAGACAAAAGCATGATGAGAAAAAAATCACTCTTCTAGATATCAAGGGTAGTGAAAAATTGTAATGCTTGATCGACCAGAGAGAAAAAAAGACCAGTGTGAAATCGTGGCAATGGATAGTGTGTTATGCGGAAAGACCCAGAAACAGAAGAAATGATAAGGATTTGGCAGTAAGATAAATAAATCGAGTCGGATGGATGAAGCAAGAAATATCAGATTAAAGTAAAGCCAAAACCCGATGACAACACAGATAAGAGTAGGTCCGTCTTACGCGGAGACAGACACCTCCTTTGCAACTTCAGGAGCGGCGCCAGTCGCTGCAGCTGCAAAAGAGATGGGCAACTTGGCAGGCGGGACAGTAGTAGGCGTGCCATTGGGTTGTACGCCATTGACCACGCCATTGACCCCAGCAGGCTTTGATTCCTAAAAAATGATCAGTCACGCGCATAATCTACGGCCAATAACACATACAGCCTGGTTTTTTATAGGATGCTGTTCTGGAGATGCATCCCGAGTGACTGGGTCTTTTGTTGTCTCTTTCCGGAAAGGCGCAGGTGCTTGAAGCACTTGTGCTGCCGTCGGACCGCACGATCCATTGACGGAACTTCTCGACGAACTCGTCGAGCCACCAAGTACAGGGAACTCATCTGCATTGGGAACCCTCTGCTTTGCGACATATTTTTTATCCGCTCGAGACGGACCATTGGGCTTTGTACCCTTTGAGCGACTACCATCTGTCGATTGAGATCGGCTAGAAGCTGCGGTGCCGTTGACGCGAGGCTGGGCATCCTGTAAACTGATCAGGACAACTCTCTGAATCAAAGGGATGATCGTACATCTCGGACGTTCAAGTTGGCCATTTTTTCCTCAATCGTAGGGATACCGTTCCGTGCGGCATCCCTCGGACGTGGTCCGCGCCCAGCAAAATGAGGGGGATGAGCATTTGTGACATCAGGAAGAACGTGAGGGAAACGGCAGTCATCGCTGATCGCTCAAGTCAGATACAAATGATAGTGAAATCAGAATGACTTACCCATTTCTGCACCTGCCTGCAGGATAGAAGAGGCACGCTGGTTTGCGACTTCCGCCGAAGGATCCGCGCCTCATACTACCCCGGCGATTATGATTCACGCCCTGGCGGAAGACTGGACCGTGGCCAAAGGCCTCAGCGTGAGGGGGAGCCTTGGGCCCGCCGTTGGCTTCACTGAATCCATGGTGATGCTGGTGGTGTGGGCCGTGAGACTGATATGGTGCAATGGGATCCTGACGAACAGCGAATGGAGGTGCAGAAATAGGTCCATTCGGATATACTGTCTGCGGAGATTGCGGACCTGGCGCGCTAGGTGGCTGGTGGGGAGGTGGAAGCGAAGGGATAGAAAGCGGAAGGGGTACATGAGAAGGTTGTGAATACGATGGAGATACAGGTGATACAGCGCCATATGGTATTGGGGCAGGTGCAGCGGAAGGGCTGAACGGAACCTGAACGGGAGACATCGCCTCCGAACCAGATCTGGTGTGAACCATGGGTGGGTGTGGGGGAGTATGAACGGGGCCTGCAGAAGGCGATGCGGGGTTAATGTGAGGAGGAACTGAACTTTGGTGGATGATATGAAGGTGGAGGTACAGCGTAATAATTAGGTGCGTAAGGTTGTTGTGTCATTGGATCGTAAGGAGCGGGATATTGTGCAGGAGGCGGCGGCGGAGCAGAATAATACGGGCCAGCCTGAGGATGCGCAAAGAGACAAGAGGAACCGTAACGACAAGCAGGAAAGTATCTGCAAGGAATGAAACGAGCCACTTCCGGCGGAGGGAGGTTTCCAAAACCTCCGTTTTCACCCATCTGCATGGGGGGCTGCGGATAATACGCAGGAGAGCCATCGGGCAACGTCGGCATAGGGGGTACCCCCGGGTAATAAGCATAAGGGCCAGCGGGAACGGGATAATAGGGCTTCGCAGGATTAACCTAGCGAATCCTGAGTGTAGCCTTGGTCTTGTGGTGGTATACCATTAGGTGCAGGTTTATTCTGTGCATTGTTGAGTAGCTCCAAGATCGCAGCATCAGATGTGTACATTTCTGGCCGGCCGTGGACAGATGCAAAAGAAGGATCGGCACCTGATCATGTAATCGATGAGATTATCGCAAATCGACGCGTGTATGATATTACCTCGGTCGAGTAGCACCTTCACTACATCAACATGCCCGTTCTTGACCGCTTCGATGAGGGGGGTGGACCCGGCATGATCTGGAAGAGAATTCCACGAGGAGAAAAAACAATCGATATTAATTTTCTGCGACCACGATGCTACGATATCAAAAATGTGAGCCACCCACCTCTGATTTCGATATCGACCGAAGATACATCGTTGAGTATACCGAGGACAGTTTCGAGGTTCCCCTCAGAGCAAGCGGTCCAGAGCTGGGAGACCATGTCGCGAATCCTATAGTAAATCGGAGGGATGAAGAGAAGTAACAAACGGAATGGCTAGGCAGAATGAACCGAGGGTAGATCTGTGAAACTGAGCGAAAGGAAGAAAAGAGATGCCTTAGACACGTCGACCTCAACTTTGGATTGTATCGGCTTTCGGGTGCAGCCCCCCTTACAAAAAAAGCAAAAAAAATTGCGTGCGAAATATGTATTTACTTGGATACCCTTACATAATAAAGAAACATCGAAGGATTATACTACGGTATGACGTGGGGAATCTCCGTGCCCATCAATGCCGATCACCCGATCGATAGGTCACCTCATGCCATGATAAAAAACGGTCTGGTCAAATCAATGAATGCAATCGCAAACGTGGACGATGAACAGTTGTCTTCCGTATAATTTACGTATGTATGTGTATAACCCGTCGCGCGTGGGTCATTAATCTAGGTACATTCCTTTTCAGGAAGACACATTTATCAGTCACGATCACATGCAATGCGGAAACGGAACTGGAACCACCCTCCCTGAAGACTTAGTACAAGTGTAAATAGCTCATGCGTCCAATCCAAGCTTCTGCATTAACCTCTTGGCTGGCTCCCCTGCTTTCTCCGGCAGGTCTAATTCGCGTGACGGCGGGCGACACATCAGCTCTTGTATACCTTCATGCAGGTCTTTTCCTGCACCAGACGTTCAGATTAGGCATATCACGCTCCATCACCACACACACCTTCATACAGAAGAGCATATATCTATCAGGCAAGCAAGATAGATTTAGCTGAAAAATGAACCAATAATACGGCAGAATTCGTTACGCACCCCATTGGCAATCGGCGCGGATACTTGCATCTCATCGATAATCTTCTTTAGGCCCTTCGCTGTTGTCACGCCCTCAGCTACACTACCGAGCGTCTTGATAATATCTTCCAGCGGTTCTCCTTTACCCAGTCGATAACCCACGGTGTAATTACGACTGGTCGGCGAACTACACGTAAGGAACAGGTCTCCCACACCAGCGAGCCCCAGGAACGTCAATGGCGACGCTCCGTATGCGGTTCCGATTCGCGTCATCTCAGCGAGACCACGAGTGATAAGACCTTACGATTCAGCTATCAGTGAGCTTCTGATTCGAAGAATGCGACGATCTCACCGGCTCTCGTATTATTCTCGAATCCGAGACCATCGGCGAGTCCTGTGGCGATGGCGTAAACAGTTCTTAAGAGCACCTGCAAGTTCCAATCCTATTGGATCGGATCCAGTGTAACTAAAGACACTTGAACTAGGTTGCGGAGATTGGAATGGGGGGAGGCCTACCACCGGAACCACGGCTGGTGAAATATCTCTGACGCTTTTTTTGCTTGTGATTCTGTTAGAGACGCGACGGACACAGAGGTCGGTTGCCTGCGGACAACTTTGGAATCTTCTCAGAAACATGCATGATTGATTTCAGAATCTGTACGTACTTTCATTTGCAAACGATGGACCAGACTACTACCAGAGTCACGACTATGGAAATCAACAGACAACGCAGCGCTCACAATGAAAGTTGCCGCACGAGCGATTTCACTTCCGCAAGTATCGGCAATGATCTCGAGCGTTAATGCTTGCGTATCTGTTTCAATACCCTTGTTAACGAAAATCATCAGTGGCAAGTTCTCGCGGTTCAAGCTGTGCTGCAGTTTGATCAGCGTTTCTCTGTTGGTCTCGATCCTAAATCAACTACGGAATCTCGGACTAGTCCATATGAAACATTCACCTGACGCCTTGCGTTGGTATTGCAAAAAGTAAAACGTCCATCTGTTTCATCATCTCCTTGCTGGGCATCTCCGGGCCAACGGCGCGGATATTTGTTGAAAATTCATGATCTTTCAAGTAGTCGGGATTCCGCCGATGCTTGTTGAAGTATTCCACAAAACGAGCTTCACGAGACCACATGAACACTTCGTGGTCTGAGTTTCCGAGATGGTCCGACAGACAGCTTCCAAAGTTGCCTGCTCCAAGGACAAGAATCTTTGACTTTGGAGGTGGTGTCGAGGGTACTGAGAGCATAATGAATTTCGCAGTGGAGAGAGAGTTACTGGAGTGAGTGCTACGCCTGAAGAAGAGATTGAAGTTGCAGAAGACAACGTTGGCTCGTGGATATGGTGTGGTAGGTATGCGGTTGACGATGGTATTACGTCGAAGAGCGATATAACCCAGCATGCACGAGTAAGGGATCCAGAAAGGTATTAGTCGAGAGTCTAGTATATAAAGTACTTAGTAGCACAGTCCCCAAGTGCTCCAGCGCTGCTCTGATGCTGAATCTAATTCTTATGTAATCAATATTAATGCTAGCCAGCCGGGATGCGGCCCACGCCGGCCGCAGTCGGTGTTTACAACAAGCTTGCCCTTCGTCCAACCAAGTCGCGCATATACCTCCAGCACTCATCTATTTAATACCTTATTCTTCTCTTATAAACACAACTTCTTTTCAGCCGCCATGGCAATACAAGACAGAACCCATGAATTTCGTGCTTGCGTCGAGTCCATACGAAACAGGTCCGCCGTACCACCCCGAACCGCTGAGGCGAAACAGAGGTTGCTCCAATCACACGGCAAGGGGGAAGCAAAGAGCGAGTTCTCGCGCATGGCCTCTGCCATTGGGAAAGATATTAGCAGCACCACCATAAAGCTAGGAAAACTTGCACAACGTAAGCGTAAAATGTCATTGTTCACTTACGCTTATTGACCAACTTACAGTCGCGAAACGGAAGACCCTGTTTGATGACAGACCAGTAGAAATTAGTGTATGACTTTTCACAAACGTGTCCGCAGTACGCTGACGTGGCTCCTTCAGGAACTGACGTTTATCATCAAACAAGACATTGCGAACATAAACAGGCAAATAGCCGCACTGCAATCTTATGTTAAGCAACGAAATGCACAAGCATCAAAATCTTCAGAGGGGAAACAGATCGAGGAACACAACCACAATGTCGTCATGATGCTGCAGAACAAGCTGGCAAATACAAGCATGAGTTTCAAGGATGTTCTTGAAGTTCGGACACAAGTGAGCCGCTGATCCGCATGTCACCAATTCAGGCTAAATGGAGTTTCAGAATATGAAGGAAAGCAAGGATCGTACAGAACAGTTCATGTTTTCCACGGCCGCCGCAACCCACCAAGCGCCGCCGAGTAAGTCGCCATGGGTGCGCATACGAGCTCTCACAAATCAATTCTCCTCACAGGTTCACTACTTCTAAACGGGAGACAGGACCCTATGGGCGACGGCAGTCGGCCTAATTCTAAAGGCAAGGGTCGAGCCCATCAAAACGAAGACGTTCTTGCATTGGACCTTGATTCAGCGGAAGAAGGCTCAACAAAACACGGAGGCAATGCATTCATGCAGATGCAACAAATTGAACAACAGGTGATCCAGCTGAATGCTGCTCAATTTAACGTTATATTGAGCGACCCCTAGGACTCGTACATCCAATCGCGATCAACAGCCATAGAATCCATCGAATCAACCATTGCAGAACTAGGGCAGATATTCACCCAGCTGGCCAATATGGTTGCCGAGCAGCGAGAAACAGTACAGCGTATTGATGCAGACACCGTGGACATCGCGTCGAACGTGAGTGGTGCGCAGAGAGAGCTGTTGAAGTATTACGCGAGCATATCGAGCAATCGTTGGCTAATGCTCAAGGTCTTTGGCGTGTTGATTGTCTTTGTGAGTCTGTCATTTTCAAGAGATACGGGCACACAAGTTCTAAACTCCTCTATAGTTCCTTGTCTTCATTCTTGTTTCATGATTGGACGCTCAGCGCCGTTGTCACATTATTTACTGGACGATATTCATAACGTAATTCAATATCCAGCATGGAATCACATCATAGAATGCTTTACAGTATGAAACTCAGCCAACGGGGATGGCATTGACGCCAGTACCCCAATCCTTAATTTTTGACCGCCGTGCCTTATCAGCCTTCGCGTGTTTCTTTCCTCCGCGATGTGTCGTAGAGTCTTCCGTGTCACCAACCGTCCATGTCCGCCTTTTCTGCGCCTCTTGATCGGCGCCTGATGTTGTGGAGAATCTCTTTGCTCCGTCTATCTCAGGCGTTGGCTCTTCACCTTGTGACTTGGCTTTCTTCTGGAGTTGTTTGCGCTGTGCAGTTACTTAGTACCAAGTAGACTACGCTGAAAACATAGCTCACTCTCTGACTCTCCAACTCCTTGTTCCGCTCCTTCAACTTTGACAGCCTCGCCTCGCTCTTGCCACCACCACCAGCTGTAAGTTCAACGTTGATCTGACGACCATCTAACTGAGAGTGGTGGAGCTTGAGGCCCTGCTGAAGAGCGTTGCGATGCTTGAACTCGAGAAAAGCGCATCCCTTGGATTTGATTACAGGTCTCGAAGATGGTTTATTAGCAGGTGTTTTAGGTGCAAGCAAACGGACAGTGGGTGGTGGATCTGAGCAGAACGTTAAAACCTCCCTTGCTTGCGGTAGATTACAACAATGACTTACCACACGCTGCGAAGTGAGTCTGTATTGATTCTAAAGTAGTGGTATATTTGAGATTACCTGACGTAAAGGTGTCAGTAGGTGGAAAGAGTGTGAGGGTGCTCAATCATACCAAGAAACAGAATAAAACGTTGTTTTGATTTTTCAGTTTTCGTCTCTCCCTGCTCGACCTCCTCTGCGTCCTCTAGAACATCCCCGGAATCTCCCTTTGTTCTCTTGACTTTCCGCTTCCTCGGCTGTCCGTCCTCTCCCTTTCCGGCTCCCTGTGCTTCTTCTGCAGCTTCCCTCTTTCTCTTTTTTGTTGCCACCACCAGCCCTTTCGCCTCTCCTTCCTTTTGAATGATTTCTTCCCTTCCTTTTCCTTTCCCCCCAGCATTCCTTTGAGTGACTTGAACGTCTTCCCCGCCCTCCGCACTGCTAGCCCGACCATCAATAAGGTCCTGAACTTCGAGAATAGGGACATCGTGCTCCAGGTCGTCTTGGTTTTTTACTTTGCCTTTGCCTTGCTTGAGCTCGCGGAAAGCGATGCCTTTCTTTTGGCGTTTGGTGAGCTTGAGAGTTGAAGACATTTATATAGGATCCTGGGCGCGTGTTTCTTTAGTGGGAAGTGGAACGTTCCCGTACATGAAGCGAGTAGAGCGGGAGATTAGATATAAAAAAGCATGCATCGTGGCAAGAAGAATGGAAGCATGTATTCAAATAATATCACGTGATGTCGTACGTAGTGGCACTGACAGGTGCCAGCATCAGCCGGTCACTCGAGTGCCCGAGACTCGAGAGAACATGCTGAACCATGGCAATGCAGAACAGCCCCGAAGTGAGCTGTATCGGCCCAGGGTTTCAAACACCTGAAGAATACTCCGGTTTGAGCGTGCGCGGAGGTAAGATGCCCGCGCGATTTGCGAGCCAGATCAGTAAACGCAGACAAAGTAACCAGACTTGCTATTCTGCGAGCCACTTAAGGGGCCCTTTTTGCCCTCAGTCAGCTTAGTGACAATCCATTCACGGCTTCGCCTGCACCCTCTATTTCTCTTTCCTCGCCATCAGCTCCCCTCCGCGTTCGCAGAATGGGACGTAAAATCGGACTCACAAGCCCTAAAGAAGGCCGAAGCACCGGGCTAGAAGATAGGCTCATGGTTCCTATGTTCACCTGTCGTGAACTCGGGTAAGTTTGGAAGGGGTAACCGGACGTGACGGTTGGCGATGAAGTGGCTGATGTAGAATTAGACGGAGGTATGGATAGAGGAATCGCGACCGGAGGTCTAGAGCTAGGTGTCCGAGGGTACGACACAAGTGAGGGGTGTGTTTCTCGCAGGTACGATATGGAAGGTGACACAGCCCGACGTTTTGCAGATGTGGGATATGGATCATACCGATCGTCCACTGCCATGAGTTGTTAATGTGATACCTCTAAATGACAGGCGAATTTCTCACATTTACGCTTGTTCGAGCGCACAGCGCTTGTCGTCGGAGGTGGCGTGTATCGCCAATGAATAGACATGGGCGTTGAAGTGATGGAGGGAGATACCAGAGGCTGTTCGACCGTTAGGAAGAGATAGCACATGATCGCGAAAACATACAGGATCTATATCCATGGCTACTCCCATCGGGCTTTCTGCGAGGGACATGCTCAAATCATCGCCGTTTACACTATGGGCAGGGGTGCAAGGCTTGATGTTGATCGAATCGTTCTGTGTGTCAAATGCAAAGAGGCCTTGGACGTCGTCATCGTCATCATCGTCACTTAACGGATCCTCGTGCGAATCCTCGTGGCCAACTTCTTCAGGGTAGCGACCACGGTCTGACGGTGCACGAGGTGTACGAGGTTGCGAGGGGAGGTCGGAGTACGATGCCAACAGACGTTGGAAGGCTGCCTCAGATTTGAGTTCATCCTCTTCTGGTCGTGGTTCCGCTAGCAGATTCAATATGCGCGGAGGCTTCAGCTATATAAGATATTAGCATATGAATAACAACTACGTAGCATAGCACTCACTGGATAGGTAGGACGACGCAATATCGGTACTATGGGAGTGTCCAAAGCGTCGGTTTGTAGTGCATTCAAGTTGGAGCTCAGACTACGGCTTGGCGGTGGTGTTGAGGGGGGCTCGATACTGCGTGTGCTAGTGTTACTTTCGTCGTCTCCTTCTAAGGGAAGAGTAATCGGGGGTGTTGGATTTCCTGAGCTGCTTGATGGAGAGCCTTCGGACCACATTCTCTCTCGGTCGCTTTCTGATTCTTCACCATTGCTCCCTCGCCTCCTGGAGGGCACCGTGAACGAGATTGCCAATGGACTTTGTATTCTCTTGTCTGCATAGTACGATGACTTGGAGAGCAATGTCGGTCGTCGCAGTCGCAAGAAGAGTGGATTCGGCAGTCCATCATCGGGTGATGCTGAAGATGCGCCGCTCGACGTTGATGGCAGCGCAAACTCTTCGGAGGAGGTTGGGAAGGCTAGACGATGAGATGATTCGGACATGGTGGGGGAGGTAAAAGGCTGGTGAACACGGTAGATGAATATTTGAATGGCAACGTCGTGGCCTTCTACAATTACCGAATCCACAGGGGCATTCCCATTATGCGATATACTTGGTTACTTCACATCCGGGCAAAAAACTACATGTGCGAATACTTCGCAGGACAAAATGGCAATGATTAAATATTTTTGATGGGGGCGATTCACAGCGATTCACTCAGAACAACAATGAACTTCAGCCGCGGAACATTGCGGTCTACACGTGTAGCAACCTCAGTAGAATGGCGACCCTGGCAAACACACCATTCATTTCCCGCGAGTGAATCAACATCGGACAGACCAGAGAGTTATTAGAAAACTGTGTGTTAGTGCAGAGAGCACCGGGAAATGCAATTGTGATTTATTATGCCAAAAGCAAGCGGTACGCTTCGATCAAGGATGGGTTGGTTCGCTAGGATAAATGACTGAAAAACGTGTTGGGATCTGACCATCTTTCGTGAGGCAAACTGCATGAATTGAGTCTCTGTGAGATAAACTGATTCAATGACATCAATACTATCACTGAGGAAGGAGCTGATAAGCAGCGTATGTAGCGCTCGACACAAGTCCTAAATAGACACGGTAAGAGAGGGAAGGCAAGACAGAGGATGATAATGCAACTTACCGAGCACTGTCAAAGTGCTGATGGCGCCTCCGTACAGCCGCTGTGAAATAATTGAGATGCTATCGGGTATTATGACAAGACCGAAAAACAAACCCTCTTTGGTTGGCCCGACTTGTATCCAATGGTATAAATAACGCGCGCGAAGGAATATGCACCACACATAGCAGCAGCTAGGGCAGGGTATTTCAGACCAGCGACGACAGTTCTGATGACGACGTCTGTTCTGCGTCACTTTCTCCTCAAATACAACAAAAACCTACGAGATGAATACCACAGGCGCCGATTCAAGCGTATTGTGGTGTGCACCTAGTTAAGGGGTAAATAAAAAGCCATGCGACCATACATCTCAAAGAAAACATACGCTGCATGCAGTTGAAACGGAGTGCTGCTTGGGAATCTTGAACCTCGGCTTTCTCGGCATACACTGTGGTGGAGTATGGAATTTAGACCGGGTAAAGGAGTGACTTGGACGCACGTTGGGGGTAATTAATCCCTGCCCTCTTGCGATATCTTCCAACCAGGATACCCTGCCAGATAAGGACCCACCCTATGGTCATCAAGGAGCTGGGAATATATCCATAACTGCGATAAATGAAGTTATTAGAATGAGCACGACAGTCCGGCAGCCAACGCACCCCTCAGGTAGAGACATGATTACTTGGAATATGAGTAGAAGTAGCTTGGAGTGACATTGTCGTGATGAGCCGCGGTCTGCATTTATAGTAAGACACCGTACCTCAGGAACACCCAGGAATACGCGTACTGGGATACGCGCGTCGTCCCTGGATGCCTACGCGTCTCTTAGCAAGCATAATATTTCCCGAAAGCCTGTGATGGGTCGTCAGCACAGTGCCGTGGAACAACCATTTGTAAGACGCGTCAAGCTTCGTCAGGCTCGCGTGCCGTGATGACACGCAAACCTCATGCCGGTCAGGCACTGTTTAATCGAGCTGATACAGTGACATTACTGCGCTTGGCACGTCTGCACAAGTACTTAGCTGCGCAATTCACACAAATCTTTTAGTAAAAGGTTTGTATGAGCTTGCACAGTCCCTATGATAATGACAACTTCCTGAGTCGCGGGGAACTCGTGAGATCATTGCAAATCTACTTATGTAATCAAAAGTCATCTGATCAGTGCTCGATAATTTTGAGATTTGAGCTATAGCTATCTACGAGTAAAGCATTAATTCTCAATCCGAGATGTCCAAACGAAGTGCATCCGACAGGACGACAGACGGCCAAGCATTCGCAAAGGCCTCCGGAAGTGGGGCTAAGCGTGATGAGAATGAAGTAAATGATATCGGTGAGTTCGAGGATGCTTGGGAGGATGAAATCGAATCCGAAGAGGATGTGGTCGATGGAGAGGCTGGGGACGGCGAAGATGGTGCGTTACATTGCTTTGAATTTTACTTCAAAATGGAACTAACAGTTAACGTTTAGGGATGGATGTAGATGAAGTCATGCCCGCTATCGAGGAATCTGAAGAACGGCCTCCTGCTCCAGAGGCATTTATCCCCAGGAACGCATGTCCTTGGAAAGGACGAGATATTGGAGCCTGATGACTCAGTATATATCATGCGCCATTCAATGAATGTGACATGGCCTTGTTTGTCGTTTGATGTCCTCCGGGACAGTTTGGGGGACGAACGGCAGCGATACCCAGCAACTGCATTTCTTGTCGCTGGAACACAAGCAGATCAAGCAAGCAAAAATGAGCTTACAGTCTTTAAAATGAGCTCACTGCATCGAACTCAAAAAGATGGAGGTAATCTGTGATTACATGTGATCGTCGATCGTATCTCACAAATCGATATATGCAGATGATTCAGATTCGGACGAGGAGGATGATGACGCTCTCGATGAAGATGCTATATTGGAATTCCGTTCAGTACCTCACCACGGTGGCGTAAACCGCGTTCGTGCCCAACCCTTACCACCATCATCACCTCTACCTTCAGCATCACAGCCCTACTATACCGCAACGTGGGCCGACACTGGCAAAGTCCATATATGGGACATTAGACCGCTTATCGAGTCTCTCGACGTTCCGGGATACTCGTGGGACAAGTTAAGGACGAATAAGCCAACTTTCACAATTAACTCGCATGGTCGCTGCCGAAGGATTTGCAATGGATTGGGCATCATCGGGAGATGCAAATCCCTCATCACTACGTCTACTCACTGGAGACGTGCACTCGAAGATATACCTGACGACAACTACGCCATCGGGATTCAATGCCCTTTCTCAACCGTTCACGTCACATACCTCCAGTGTTGAGGACCTGCAGTGGAGCCCATCCGAGCCCACCGTTTTTGCATCATGCTCTGCGGACTGCAGCGTGCAGATCTGGGACGTGCGGAGTAAAGGACGACGAAGTGTGGCCGGAATCGAGCCAGCGCATGAGAGTGACGTGAATGTGATTAGCTGGAATCGAAATACTGGTTACCTCCTTCTCAGTGGCGGTGATGAAGGTGGAATCAAAGTTTGGGACTTACGCAATGTCCAAAAGAAAGGGTATGTCCAGATCGAAATTGCATGTTAAGCCTGTACTTACAGATCATGAAGGACAACAGTGGTTCCCAGCCCCGTGGCGTCTTTCAAATGGCACAGCGCCCCTATAACCGCTATCGAATGGCACCCAACTGAAGACTCGATATTCGCTGCGTCTGGAGCGGATGACCAAGTGACCCTTTGGGATCTCGGGGTAGAACCGGACGATGACGAAGCAGGCATACCCATGAACGATGCACCTGATGGTGCGCGGGACGTCCCACCGCAACTCCTCTTCGTCCATCAGGGTCAAAAGGATGTCAAGGAAATTCACTGGCACCCACAGATTCCAGGCACAGTTTTAAGCACTGCACTTGATGGATTCAACATATTCAAAACGATATCAGTGTAGTTGTGCGCCGGAGGCCGTACAAGCCCTTTTGCCAGCTACCCAGCTAATAAAAAGTAGGACTTGCAGAAGTCACATACCTGAAATTTAATAGATGTCAATGGCTATCATGAGAAACACGTTAACCAATTGTCAGCCACTTCGTGTAATTATCAGTATGGATACGGTAAGAGTACTGAAGTTGGTCCCAGAAAATGTATCAGTAGAGTCCGACACCATTGTTTCCCTTGGGTGCCCGGATCTATACACAGCATAAGCGAAGAGGATGAGGATGTGGTGCGGACGACCTGCCTTGGCAATGTTCTTGTGCAGGATATCAGTGAGGACAGCGTAGATATTGCGAATGTCTATAAGGTTCTGGCGAGCAAAGAAAAACTGCTTCTCATCATGTTCTTTCAAGCTCAGCTGAGGGAATATCAGTCCCATCGGGGAGGTTAAGGGTATACGATGAAGCACGTACTGTGTAATCTTCTATGTTGGGATACTTGATGAGTTTGGAGGAAATCTTTGCTCTTCCCAGATGATGTTGACGAATACCATCGCGTATGTTGTACGCGCTCTCCTGCGACCGGAGAAGTTCGCTGAGAACCTCTGTATGACTATCAGACCAATGATGTCAGGCAGTGTATGATTACGTACCCTCTTGAATTTGAACACCTTGGGTGTCAGACGATTTCAGTTTTAGCCGCCACAAATAAGACCTACAATTTACTCACCGAAGTTGTCACCGCTGATCGAGAGAAAACGTCAAAAAGCGGACTACTGGAAGGGAAGTGGGCTCACTCTTCAATCCTGCAACTCATGTCAATGCAGAGAATAAGACATGACGAATAGTACGTACTTGGGCATGGTCAGGTTCACCCATAATTTGACTTTGTCCTGTTTGTTTGTATATCGTCAGGTTAATGCCCAAAGAAACAATTAGATACGTACACAAGAGTCAGATAGTTGTGCACACTCTGATTTGGTCGTCTCATGCAGCTTCGAAATGAGTTTATTGGCTTGTACAAGCTCTGGATATCTTGCGCTGACGGTCTCGTTCGCGTGGGCGGGCGAACCACTTCCATCTTCATTGCGCTTACGCTTGTTAGATGACGGACCATTCTTTGCTGTCGATGATGGTGAAGGGTAGACGGTAGTGTCTGTGGATGCAGCCGCTTGAGATATTTGGTAGGGTGAATCATCGGACTTCGTGGACTCGATCAGGCTCGTAAGTTCACTGTATACAGGTAAGCCATAGGGAAGGATGCAGAAGAATTCTAACATACATTATCTACCAAGGATAAGCAACAAGTAAGAGAGATAATGCAGGAAGCAGCTCACCTTGTTTGGGAACACACGGAAGACGATGCCTTCTGCAGTCTCCGCAACGTTTGCACGGAAGTCCTATGTGTCGTTGTAGATTTAGCGCGCGTGAATTGCAACTAACTGTGCATACCTCGACGCTTTTGGCGACCTCTTTGCTCATGGACATGGTGGTCTGAATCATGGAGGTGTACGCACCAAGAGCTGGCACGGAATTGCCTTTCATGGTGAGCAGTATTTATAAGCAGCTTTAACGTAAATATACATGTCGCGTCTGGGTTCTGTACAACGTCTGTACACCTCACGCTAGGTGTGCACCGTCTGATCAGCTACCACGGAGTTCGTTCATTTAGCCATCGCTAAATGATATTTCTGAGATATCTTATACAGTATCATTCGCACAAGCATTCATTCAAGTTGAAGTACATTGGACATGGCGAACCAAGTGAGTCTCTGGTCTATGCCTTAGCAAGTGGCTTTTTCACCGCGGATACAGGATGAAGATTCAGTAATTTCCACACTGACGGGATTCTCTTTGAATAGTGTTCTGTCAGGTCTATCTCTCTCCACAGGCGATCTTCCCAACAGCCTTGGTATCTCTGGATTGTCTTCCTTGGATGCCAAACAGATTTACAATGACAAGTGGGACGACGACGACGAAGCCGTTGGTGCGGATCAGGGAGAAGACTTTGAGGATGAGGTGGACAAGGAATTTGAAACAGAAATGCCTGAAGACATTGTGAAGATGGAGGTTCAATCCCCTGTTGGCATACGTCACACGGAGAAGCGCGTCAGGGTGGTGAAGCGGCTGGTGGAAAGACCAAAGACTGTCTATGAACGCTTTCCAGCCTTCGAGAAGGACAAAGTCCTCGACTTCTCAGAGTTGTTTAAAGGCTACACGGTCAAGAAGTCAAGGATAACAAAGAGGCCATTACAGGGTATGGATTGTACCCAAGGAATCTTCAAGGATGTTAACTGTTCTATAGCTGAAAGTATCTACCCCCGGAAACGTGATATTGCCAAGGGTTTCCTTGATGCCGTAGTCGGTGATACCAAACGGCAGGTCGAGAACAAACGTGTAGAGGAGGTTATGTCCGCTGGCAGTATCGAACATGACTTGCTGCGTGCTCTTGAGGTGAGTATTAATTGCAGGTGCTCCTGGAAATACCCTCATCGTTTGCAGGAGCGGAAAAAATCAGACGTGCCTGTGACACTTCCTCTGCATGACAGAAGTTTTGATTTAGTGCTGCTATCCAACTGGGAGGACGAGATTGTGTACGAGCCGAGCCACACAGCTGCACCACCCACTCTTGAAAACAACAATCTCACCACACCGGTCAACAAAGCTCTTGAGTCAGGTGCTTGGACGCAGAGCATTATCTGGAGCCCAAATGCCCCTTTCCGCGATTTCATTCAACTAGAACTTAACGAAGAAGATATTACAGAAGAGCACCCCCAAGGTAGTTCTTCTATTTGACTGTTGATATGGGGTATCTTTACTAAACATTGGTGGTGTTGAATTTAAATTGCAGAAACTGTCAGACCGAAAAAGCGTATTAGAGCGCATGACGTTCAATCCCGCGATAAATTCAACCTGTCTAATGACCACTTTTACGAGGTGTCGAAAGAGGGTGGCCGGCATCGTGTGCGTCAGACGTTTGGACAACTTGTCGTCGAACACGCTTATTCCGCTCAGAAGCTCCAACTTCCCTTTGTGCGTAAAATGATTTCAATATCGACTAGATTGATCCTCTTATCTATATTCTCAAACAGTACAAGACAAGACTTTCAAAGCAGGAAGCACGTTCCTTCCACCGGCCCGCTTTGCAGTTCCCAACCAACATAGATATTCGCTTTAGCAAGGTGCGCACGGCGAAGAAGAAAAAGGATAAAGCGGGCCGTAAGGTCGGTAAGGGCGGCAATATTGGCGAGGGGTTGCATCGTACGACGGATTTGAGCCTGAAGGACACGAGTAATTTTGTCCTTTGGGAGTATTCCGTGAGTCATCGTTTCTTGCATGATGTGATCGGAAATAGTGAGAAACCCTTTAGGAAGAGCATCCACCAATTGTACCAAACTTCGGTATGGGTAGCGCGCTCGTGAACTACTATCGTAAGAAAGACGAGAAGGACGACTACATGCCGAAGGTACGGATTCAAATGATGACTCAGGGACACTTAATCGATCTGATTCATTAAGCTCGACCTCGGGGTGCCGTTTGTCCTCGAGCCGCAAGACGAGTCTCCTTTTATGAAGTTTGGCTTATGTCTATCCTGGCCAAACATTCCCGGCGCTTTACAATAATCTCGTGCGGGCACCACTTTTCCGCCACAAACCCTATGCCACCGACTTCCTGGCTGTTAGGTGCGGTTCTTGAATTACATCTATCGGGCAAATTTATTAATTGAAAGTTAGGAGCACCACGAAAGGCGAAACGCGGTACTACTTGCGTGAGATCAAGAACCTATTCGTGATTGGGCAGACGTATCCCGTTACCGAAGTCCCAGGGCCGCACTCTCGGAAGATAACTAACACCATCAAGTACCGCCTGCAAATAATTGCCTTCAAGCTCCTAAAAAAGAGCAGCGAAGAGCGGCTAAAAATATCAAGATTGATGAAGTACTTTCCCGATCAAAATGAACTCCAGATGCGGCAGAGGCTAAAAGAATTTATGGAGTATCACAGGCGTGGCCCTCACCAAGGTTTCTGGCGTCTAAAATCCACGGTAACCATTCCAAGTGATGCGGATATGCTGAAGATGGTGGGTCCCGAGCAAGTCGTGTTAATGGAGAGTATGCAAGTCGGGCAACGCCATCTTCAAGACTCTGGTTACACTCAAACCGCCGAAACCGCGGAGGATGACGAAGGTGAGACTAAGCTCTCCGTCGAACAACAACTGGCGCCTTGGATCACGACAAAGAACTTCCTATTCGCTACCCAGGCTAAAGCCATGCTTCGGTTGCACGGTGAAGGCGACCCTACTGGGCGTGGGGAGGCATTCAGCTTCATCCGTATTTCGATGAAGGATATCTTTGTCAAGGCAGGCGAAGATTATGAACAGAAGCTCGGTAAGATTTAATCTCACTGCGCCACAAAGCCACGGTCTAACCACACCTTTTTTTATTATCAGCTGAGGCAGATAATAGACCAAAGTCCGCGCACCGTTACAATGTTGCCGAACAGCAGCAAATTTATAAATCCGAGATCGAGCGGATATGGAAAGCTCAGTTCGATTCATTGAGCAGGAAGGACGAGCCACAACTGACGGTGGAAGATGAAGAAGCCCCAGCCCCTGTTGATGTCAAGAAGTTACAACGCCAAGCATCACTCAGAAACGAGACACCCTTCTCTCCAGTAATGTCACCAACCCCGACCCGCCCTGCATCGCCTGCTTTCAGCCGCGGTTCTTCATTAGAACGGGACCGAGAGATGAGCTTGGGACCAGATGGCAGTCGTAAAGTTCTGCGAATAAAGCGACTGGTATGTCATTTGCCTGTTTTAAGCTCGGGACGTGGTTGTTCATCCCTGAATTCAGGTCGATGATGAATGGCAAACAGAAATTATCCGTGATCCTGCCGTCATACGTGCATATGTGCGTGCCCGGCAATTATTGGAAGAAGAAGCTACGCTTGCCGATAATCTCGCACCCACGGGTGATGCAGATAAGGACAAGAGGTACAAGAAACGGTATGTCATTACTCAGACATGAATAGCTGCAGAAGTAACGTGGAGCCCGTTTTCGTCATAGGTTGGAAGAACAAATTGCTAGAATGAAAAAGAACCAAGAGCGGCGTCTGCACCGCAAGAACGCGAAAATTGTTAAGGAAGGCGGCACCCCAATGCAACTCACCCGGCCGCTCAAACCAGATACGACCGTGAGTGCAGGACAATTGACAGCAGGTTGTATTTGGCACTTACGTTTCGTTCAGAGACGGTGTGGTCACTGCGGTCAGATGGGCCATATGAGTACGGCATTTCTATTCTTTACGAGCTGTACCTGGTAACTCACCCTTTCTGTCAGAAACTAACCGCAAATGTCCTCGTTGGGCTGAGTTCAATAGTGGAACGGCACCTGCACCTGCCACTCCTACATCTGCAACAAGTCCGCCGCCAAACACACCCGGCATGTCCAGTCTAAGCGGGTTCAACCGAACTAGCGGGGCGCTTGGCTTTGGTGCGCCGGTTCCTTCTCCTTTGGCAACGAGTCCTCCGGTATCTGCGATGGAGGATATAGATCCGGTACCTGGTACTCCCTCAGGTTCTGCTCCAAAGATCAAACTTACGCTTAAGAGATCATGATGTGCCACGATGCCTGCTTCGTGTTCCTTGTCTATTTTGTTTGCTCGCATTCAGTCCTACTATATGTAACGTATGTCTCGCAATAAACGTGTACAAGTAAAGTGCAAAAAAAGGGGAAGAGCGACGAATAAGTAATTAATGTCCAACCGCCTATGCAGCGGCCATCTCCACGTCTACAGAAGTTCGCGAGACCCCTGAGGACTCTACCTGCGGAACGCCAAAGCGTTTCCGATAATCCTCGTTGATCTTCACAAGAAGATTACGTATGAGTTCTGCGTGCTTCCGCCGGTCTTCCGGTGTGACTTCCTTCGTCAGATGATCTAGCTGGATCTTGCCAACTTTCTTAACGAGTTCATCACTCTCAGATGTCTCGGTGATAGACCGCAAGCTGGGGATAGTTGTGTGAGTGGACACGGGTGAGGAACGTGTCGAGCTAGGGGTCGTCCCGCGAGATGTGTCTGGGGACCGTGGTGCAGACGGTGAGGGGGAGCGGTACATATCCTTAAGGGGTGGGAGCCTGAACGGACCTGCATCAGGCTTGAGTGATGGTAGCTTCAAGTCGGAGTCTCCTGGAAGCAATAGGGGGTACAATTTGCTGGATGACGCAACAGATGGCGGCATCGGTGACAGCAAGGCATTGATTGATCCGCGGTGTGTGGTTGTAGGGGGCTTGGGTGCTACCGGTTCGGGTGCATTACCAGGAGCGGTTTTCAATGGGATCATCGTCCGCATGGCTTTGTGATGGTACTCTGGCGCAGCCATTTGCACAGGTGGAGCAGCACCACGAGGGCCACGAAGCGAGCTCAAGTCTGCGAAAGAGTCTTGTATCGATGAGTGGTGTGGCGGCGTAGCATTCGAGGGGGTCGAGCTAGAAGAATGCGGAGATGTCGGGTCCAACGGGGGTGTGGGGTGAAAGTGTCCTTGTGGAGTGGACGTTGAGTGATAGCCATATGCAGAGGACGGCGTATTGAGAGCGAAATCGTGGGAAGGGGGTGCCGAAACACGATGGGAAGACGTATAGTGTTCTGAGTAGCCACCGGGGTTGGAGGCATGCATAGGCGGATAAACAGGATTATATTGATTCTGCTGCACGGATGGATGCGAGGACCTCCCTAGTGAGGGTGGAGAAGGATAGCCGGTGGAGGCGTATTGCTGCGACGGATGCGCAGCCTGTGCATATGCGGCATCGTGCGCGTATGCTGTCCCTGGGCCTAGGAGTCCAGGCATTCCGGTGAGCCCAAGCTGACTGAGGCTGTCGGTATCAAAATACGATGTTGGTGAGAACCGCCCGGATAGGTCTTGAGAACCACGGTTATTTGGTGCAGTCACGTCCCGTCCAAGGGTGACCAGAAATTCGTTCACCGCAGCTAGCTCCTCCGGTGTGCGGACGTCGAAAGACACCGAGCGCGGATTAAACTCATCATAATGTGCACCGTCTTGGGCATATGCAATACTGTTGAGACGCTCCATCATTTCTGTTAATTTGTTCCATTAGATATTTTATAAGCATTGAGATGGCATTAAACTCACGGGTGTCGTAAGAAGGGTTAACCTTTCTCTTTTTCATTTCAGTGAAGAAATCGTCGACGTTATATTCAAGCGACCTCTTGTTGCGATTGGAGGCGCGTGCGTCGGGTTTGGCACCATCCCATGAAGGAACCTGATTATGGAGAAAGAGCTCATAGGACGAATGAGGCACGTGACGCGAGGGATGAGCGATAGACTCAAGCTCCGGGGACGGGGTTGGCAACGCGCTGTAGTGACCACCTAAGATCCGACGTCAGCGGAAACAATGGTGGAGATCGTGTGACTTACCGTCTGCTGCTATACTTGAACGTGGCCGTGCACGAGCAAAAGGGACTTTGTGAGGCAATGTGGGCGCTGCGCCTTGGAGCTTCCCGGAAAGCGACCTGTTAAGAGCGCCCTTTGACGGGACAATGTCGCCTCGAACACGGGAGGTGTAAGCGGGATCATTTACTGTGATTGCTTTGGAGTGCTTGTGCTGTGCGTGATGCTCCTCTGTGTGTATTTTCTCATGCTTTTTGAGATCCTGTGGGCGCTTAAAGGACTTCTTGCATATCTGACGACAAGTGAGTAAGAACCGAACGGTGAAAAAATACCAAAAAAATATAACTAACCTCGCAGACATGGGGCTTCAAGGGGGTGTGAACTAGGAGGTATTTAAGATCACTGGGGATTGACAAGAAGTGATGGGAGTGGACATACCTCGAAGGTGACTCGTAATATGATCACGTTTAGCACAAGAAGTGCCACAATCCTTCCATTTACAGGTGAGACAGAGATTATTCGTGCTCTTTCGGCCGATATGGTCGTTGCATAGATGATTATACAAGACTTCAGGATCTGTGAAAGTGGAAGTACAATCGACCCATTGACAATTGTATAAGTCTGAGTTTGATGTAATAGAAGAACGAGAGACTGCAGTGTCTGGTGGAGGTGATTGAGACTGAGGGGATGCAGTTGAATGGGGAGGTGGGGAAGGGGACTGCATGAGGTCGAAGAAAGGATAAGGTTGACCAAAGTTGTTATTGTTGTTGTTGACTTGTAATAAATGATTCGAAGTGACAAAGTCTGGGACAAAAACAGTCGCGGAGTACGAGGATGTCATTTTATAATGCGTCAGAGAGAAGGGACTCCTTTGTATGCCAAGACAAGTTTTTTATTTCTTGGCGTTTGAATGCCAGCGTGCCAAGCAATTGGTTCCTTGGCACCAAGACCGATCACAACATCGGAGATCACCGTATTAGATCATTTCCTAATTTGGATACACTGCCTCGGATGAATTCGGTATGTCCACCTGGTAGCCCTTGAACGTTTTGAACACTACTATGCATGACTTGTCATGGTCGATCAAGGTTACAAAAGCCAAGTAAAGTGCGTCATGTATTCACCAAATAATACTAATACACCTATTTTACTAGTCTTATCTTTCTTCTCAAGCAACTCCACAGCCGCGACCGTCAATCTCCATCAAGCATCCCCTACTTAGAAGTTGTTTCAAAACCCTTGATGCTTCCTTCCCCGACTCGTTTATATCCAGCGTGTCCGTTCTATAACATGCTCCGTTATTCCTCTTGGCGCCCATCCCCATTACTCCTGCCGATTTGCTCTACTCCTCGGCAGTAATAGCCGCCGAAACTACCTTCCATTTTCGTCCAAAGGACAAGCCATAGCTGGTACTCCATCCTATCATAGGTCAAGAACGTTGGATCTCGACTCGTTCTCACACCACGGTGTGAGAGCCTATGCTGAGCCAGGAATTCCAGAGCGACTCAGATCTCCCGACATCGGCGCAAAACGGGTGAAATCATGAAACACTGCCAATCACCCTGTCGACAACTGCGAGAATCCTAACTCAGTCTCACCTTCATGAAGAGCTTCGGAGTCCCTATCTGTTTGTATTAATAATGTCGTCGATCCAGGAATGCGCGGTCGGGTCGGCATTTGGCACCTTAAATTGACATTGCTTGTCATGCACGTCGTATGTGTGTTCAGAGCTGTTCACTAGACTTATCACTCTTCATCCCGGATGCTTCCGAGAGCAACCGCAAATTACTCTAGAGTTTCTCATGGCGGAGCCATAATCAACTTGTTCCGAGCTAGAACCGCCAGCTCTGCCAGCACTCTTTCCTTCTGGGACAGGAAACTGACAGGAAGCCGGGCAATATCGTCGTGGACAATGAAGACTTCATGTGAGCATTTAATGAGCTCCTCAGGCTGCCTATCGTTGACATGTCAATCAGGGAAACATCCACACGACCAATGATATTTGGGTTATTGGACACTCTACCCCAGAGTCCTTCGACAAGCTCTTACAGCATTCAGGTATAGTCGCGGAATGTCGTAATAGGCTGTAACTCTCAAGCCTATCATCCAAGCAATAACCTGAGAAAATCGGAAGACAACGGACATTTAGTCGTGATTCATGATTCACGACTACTCCAGAACAGACGGAATCATTTTGTTAGGCATTTTGGAATCCAAGTAGTTGATGCCAAGAAATACTTTTGATCAATGCTGTATGCTGTAACATAGAACTCCAAATGGAATGACATGATTTCATTTCGAATTGGAAGCTTTGCCTTCATTTGCCAAGCCACGCCAACCAGGAGTTACTATAGGACGCCAAGATAATATTGCGCCAAGACAATATCTTGGGAGCACTGCTTGTCTTGAAGCTGTCCCGACACTCTGATTGGTAGAAAGTCCCGGTCGTGAGCACAAACTTCGAGTTCCTTGAACCGCCTTTTGCCTGGATGGCAAGGTGGCGAATCTGCTGCGCAATGATATCGGCTTCGTGTTTTGTAAGCGGCCCGCGATTCTTGATGTTTCATAAAAATGCATTCGTCGTCCTCTTTTCTCAATCGAAATTCGACCCGACTGCACGGTGGTGGGTCCGAAGGATGAGTGGAAATAGTGCCTTACACGGGATTCAAACCGTACTTCAGCAAACTTAACTGTAATACAAACGGAAATTTTGGCTTTCCAGAATGTCTAATGTCTTCGCAGTATGACCGCAAAAATCACTGATACGAGTGCCTAGAACAGCGTTGGCAATAGCAACTGGAAGTGCAAAAAAGAATCTGCCGTATTAGTCGTACTGATAAAGATAACGCGGTAAAACTCCTTCATGCACGCACGCGCAAAGAGCTTATAATATGCAACTTCGAGTCCTATGACGCGTCTTCAAGTACCGGCACGGGGAGTAAATCGCATTCATGGAGAGGTGGGCTGTAAGGCGGGCTGTAATGGAGAAGAAGTGCATACAAAGTTTGGCACCTTGTGACCCCAACCCTGAGATCCATCCTTTCGAAGAGTGACATCGCCCGGGTGACCGTATCGCTGAGCGGCTATAGGCCACCGAATTCGTGAGACTGCACGACGTTGCGCCATGGTCATGACATGAGTCATGGTCGATCTCCTCGGAAGAAGGACGCAGTAATAGGTTCTGCTTACCGAGTACTTAATACCAAGCCTCGTATTCTTTCCCATTTGGATTATGAAGCCCAAGAATTGTCGGGGTTGCTGTCTCTTGGAAATAGGGACAGGCATACCCCGCTTGCATAATTATCACCAGACCTTTCGAACGCTGGGCTACGCTGGATGACGGAAACCGCAGGGGCCAGGAATATACGCCAAGAGGGGTGGACAAACCGTCTAAAAACCCGTGACATCGGATACAGTCGTATCCCCGTCCCAGGTACGCATACGGCAACACGTTTCATGGCCATCCACGCTGCCATAGCACGAATCAACGGTATCTTGTATGACCACCCGTTCACTTAAATGGTAAGTGCAACCATTGCTGAGTGCATCACAAGGCTTCGAAACCCTCGTACCTCGTCAGAAGTAACTGCCTCGGTGAATAGTTCAAAAGGGGACATACAAAGAAGGTACTTCCCCTTGACATCATGTTAGGCACCAGTGGGAACGATTAATCCATCCACCGCATGACGGACTGGCGCGAATTAATTATCGCGTATCAAATGTACTTACCGAGTGCCAAAGTGAGAGCGACTCAAGCTGTTTCACTCGGTGGAAGTTGCGGCATCCGTAGGTTAAAATCGATAAGTTTCGCATACCTATACGCGCTGTGGGTACTAGGCTACACAATAAAGTTAGTATGTACACGGAATCAGAACTGACGCTATATGCATACCACTAGGGCGGCAGTTCACGATAGCCACAATGTCCACATCCATTCCCATGAAACCCCGATATTCTGTAAGCAAGAGGGAATCAAAGTCACTTGAAACAGCGTACCTGTTCACACCGTACTACTCAGCTGCGATCACGGGTCCCTTAATAATAATGAGCTCTCAATTCATACCGCATGACGCGGAATATCTTACGAATAACTTGCTGACGCCAATGTGCGACCGGTCGGGTCTCTCGGTGTGCCGTGATATCATTATTACTGTCGTACGTGGTGTTGTATCATCGGGTATCGCGGTGGAAGACAGGAAACCATTGGAGCCAGGCCGAGCGGAGGGTTGGTCATCATGGAGAAGAAACGGGGGGTGAGAGATGCGACAAATACGGGATTGAGAGTGTACTTGGAATGTGCATGTGGATACTTATTATTTCCAGATCATGTGTCTTGTTTCCCCTGAAGAAGTTATGACGGCTAGTCACCCATTAAATGTTACCTCATGGTGCCCTAGTGTATGCTGGGTTCGAGATTCCAGGTTGGTGATATCCTCGGGACGTTCGATACAGGTAAGTATTAGCACGATTTAGTATGCAGACTGTACTTTGATCAATCTGCTATGGAGAGAGCAACTTGCAAACTTTAACAAAGGCTCAAGCGCGGCACATACGCCTAGTCACGTGCGAACTAGTCCCGCCATATTGTTGTCTTCCGAATATTAAAGTTGTTCACTCGCCATGTCGCGATACCCGGACTATCTTTCGCCCAACACAACCCCTTCTAAACCGTCCAACTCCCAGAAGTCACGAGCAAGACGCGAACCATCTGGCGTTTTCTCCTTGTTTCAGGCACCCCAGATCCAGCAGTTCAAGGAGGCATTTCAACTTATTGACCACGACAAGGATGGTTGGGTGACGGAATCTGATCTCCGAGAGGTATTCTCAAGTCTAGGTGAGGTTACACTCATTATGTGGTAGTATGGCACTCATTCTGGTTTCAGGTATTTCACCGTCGAAGAGCATGCTAGATGGCCTGCTCAGTGCGCGCCCTGGTGGCCCTGGGCACAGCAAGTCACCTCCTGCGACCCCTTCACGCGACACATCAGCTTCATCGGATAGAGGTATCAACTTTACCATGTTTCTCACCATGATGAGCGAGCGACTTTTCGAGTTCGATCCAGAAGCTGAGTTGAGGGAGGCTTTTGAATGCTTCGACGAGGGCGACACGGGTATGGTTAAATCGGATGAGATGCAGAAATGGATGGGTGAAGTGGGAGAAAGAATGGATCAGCAGGAGGTTCATTTTGCACCTGCTTTCATTGTTTGAGTGACTGACTTTGTGCATAGATTGACAAATTCCTTAAGAGTTCATTCACTGATCGCCAAGGAAATTTCAAGTACCGTGAATGGATTAAAGTGATACGAGTGAATGATGATGGTGATGAACCAGAACCAGACATGACATGACAAGTTGTACGAACGTTTGTAACTTTATCCATTACCTAGTATACCATGATTGCCACAATTGTATTCCTTGCAGGAAAACTCGTGTTATGAACTTGAGCACCGCGCATCCTGCAAGACCATTGATCGCGTTAGATCCACTCCCCTTTGAGAGGCTCTGCCGGGAAGCGATCCTTGTCAAAGGTCAATTCCTTGAAAATTTGTTCGACTTGCTCCTCTAATTCGCGTCGGCCGACTTCTGCCAAAGCTAAGCTCCGGTGAATATTTCGATTCGGGAGGGGTAGGACTATAAGAACCTACCTGCTCCTCGCCGATTTCCGAGGCTCTGATCATTTCCTTCCGTTCCCGTACGAGCCGGGATGAAAAGCAATTCAGCGCCTTCGTGGTCCAGAAGTCCAATACAGTTACAGCTGGTGAATCGAAGTCCAATTGCCGACGAACGTCCTTTTTCACCCTTTCCGAATACGTGTCTCATGATGCCTTCTGGATATTTTGCACGTCGACTCTTCGGCAATCCTACACGTTGACCATCTGGGACTTCTGCATTGGGATTCTTGACCTGGATTACAAAAGAGGATGCGATACGGATCCCAAGTGCTTCCTGAACATCTCCTAACTGAGTCGGGTGTGAAAGGTGATATCCGAGATGAGTAGCATTTCTTGATGGAACATTCCCTAGTGAATTGACGATCGCATACACACCACAGCCTGCGAGGCGAACAGGTCCTGTGTGACGTGTACCTAACTACGATTTCATATTGTAATCGTCACTAGTGGTGAAAACATACCTCGGGTCTTCGTCTCATAAGTCTTTTCCCCCAGCCGCTCCTCCAGGTCATGTAGATTATCGCCCACGGATATCACCGTGGCCCAAATGGGGGCATGCCTCCTGCATTCAGGATCAGGGAGAGTCTTCTTGCCGACGATGATCAAGCGGAAGTGTTTTTTGTCCTTCCTCGTTGGTTCAGGTGCAGGCGCAGCGTCTGCGCCTTGCGCCACGAGGTTCATCTCGTCCGCATCTGCACCGGAGGCGTCTTTATTCTGCGCCTCACTTTCGCCGTGCACACTGACCAAGGGTGGACTAGGGACAAGAAGTATCTGGAGCTTGCCGACATCGTCAATAGAATAGACTTCTTCACGCTGGACCTTCGGACGGTAGAAGAAGTATATATGTCCACGTTCGATTACCCCTGTGTAAAATGGGTTCAGCCGCGAAGCACTCGGAAAACTACACTGACCTGGGGTGAATGCATATTCATTTGTATCGACCTCTTCTGTCTTCAGCTTCTTGACCTCTTTCGCTTCCATTTCCCCCGTGTCAAACCCCGGAGCTTCACGCTTCTCACCGACATCGGGTTCCATCTTTACTTCTGCGTTTCTTGCAGCGGCGTCCTCATTTTCGCTTTTCTTCGTTCGCTTTTGCCTTTGAGGAGGATAGGAACTCCCATTGGAATCCATGCTAGGGGCATGTGTAGCACTGCGTGTCTGTACTGGCATTCCGTGATGAACGAGGAATACAGGGGTAATCACGCTTGACGTCATGTGTGGCTTCGCCTGTCCATCGATGGCAATATTTGCTCTCTCGAAGACCGTACCTACTTTATATTTACAAATGCATATATCAATATGGAACAGGCAAGTATACCCGTTAGCCTATCGAACCGTACCGTAGTCTCGAAACTAGGCGTTTATGGGCAAGGAACTTGCGCTCGTCCGGATAAATCCGATGCTCCCCTGTTCCGCGACAACCGAGCGATCCATATCGGTAACGTGGGTGTGACGTCACGCCCCATGCGGGGAGATCAGGCTATTTAGGCGCTTTGCCTTAACGGTCCACTTTACCGTAGTCCCAGCAGCTCTCCATGTCTGCTCTCAAGTTTGCAGTTTCTGCGCTCAACCGCGATAAACCTCATGTACGTGCAGGACACCTGTCGCTCTTGCTTGCTCACAACTTGTTACGATGTGCTGCAGTCATCTATCACTGATTGGGTAGACATTCTCACCTCACCTTCATATAGTGATGAGGCATATGATGGGTAGGGACGATATATCTCGTAAATACATGCTAAGCTTACTCAATTCTTCCAAGAATACCTGAGCTAGGTAGAATCAATTGCGCTACAACCAACAGGGTGCGCTTGAAATCCGGACCTGATATTGTTTAGTGGTGACCGTTGATGCGTTGGTGGACACTCCTCACACTAGGACTTCCGAAGCATCCAGAGCAATACGGAAGAAACTCAAGCATGGAGATGCACATCACCAGTACCGTGCGCTTGTCGTGCGTTTTAATTTCTTATCGGCGGAAGTAGAACGACTGATAGGACCAGATACTGAAAGCGCTTGTCGACAATGGTCCTCAGAAATTTCAAGGTAAGTTTATATCGTACCCATCCACGACTGACTTTAATTGGGGATAACAGCAACATTTGCCGACGGCCAGCTGACTGATGCCATAAAGCAACTCGCAGCTGATCCAACAACGGACCAGAAAGTTAAGAAGAAGCTCATAGCCGTCCTTGCATCGTGGAATTCTCAGTTCAAGGATGATCCATCGATGTCAGTTGTTTCAGGTCTCTATAGACAATGTCGTCCCGCAGATCGTCGCAGCCAAGGATACTCAAATGGCGCAGAACTCAGTCACGGTCCATCATCTGACTATGAAAGGAAAATGAAAGAGAAAGATGAGAAGGAGTTGGCGAAACAACGGGCTAAGCGGGAGAAAGAAGAAGCAAAGGAAAGTGCGCGTAAAGCAGAGGAAGAAGCAAGGAGGAAGAAGAAGGGCCGGTCCCGACGAGCCCCATTCAACTTCGAAGTTGTGCGTGATTTTCATTGTTGGCCTGGCCCGCGATCCGACACCAATCTGACATTAATAACAGGAGAAGCCACAAATACTCACAACCATTGCTAATGCAAGTCAAGCGTCCAGTAACCTGGTGAACGCCATAACGCTGGTCAATGGCGAGAAAGAAAGTGTAGCCTCGAACGTACGTGTGCAGGAGTGTCTTGAGAAAGCACGTGCAATCCGTAAGCCTATCGTGCGCTATATCCAAGTCGGTCTTTTGTGTTCTGTGGTCGGGTTATTTGCTCATGATCAAACTCAGCTTGTGGAGAACGAGGAAATGATCGGCGCGTTAATCGAGACCAACGAACGTATTATCATCGCCCTGCAAATGTACGTCAATGTAGGTGGCCTCTTTCCATCGTAAATTCGCTGCTCATTGAACTGCGTTCAGCTTGCAGCTCCTGATCAGATGACGCCGTTAGATCCTACGGCGGGCGTGCAAGCCGCAATGGCGGCGACGCACCTCAGCCCCAATAATACAGGCGAGCTCTCGAATCAACAGCGAGCAGCTGTAGAGCAATACAAGCAGCAACTACACGCTTATGAGGAGCAACGTAGCAGCGGTAGTCATATCCACGAAGATCTTCAAGATCTATCATTTGGGTCTCTGGGTAACGAAGAGGGGAAATTGCCCCCACCCATGAGACCAACAGCACGACATACCACTTCAACAGAGTCGGCGTGGGATCAGGGGAGGGGAAGTCTCTCTGATTTCAGCGACTACGAGAGTGAGGAAGAGGAACAACGGAGATACGTTGCAAACCCACCTGCAACGTCTTCAGGCTCGCGACATTCAGAAAGAATTGTGGATGACGAAGACCCATTCGCGGATCCGTTTGCGGATTGATCATATCGAGATACATCTTGAGTAATCGCCGTGCGTAGGCAATATATCTTATGTACATATAGCCAACCCCCCCGGCTGTCTGGTGTAATAACAGGTCCAGAATTCTCGCTGGAAATACATGATGATACTAGTATGAATCTGGGATGAATTATACTGTGTTAGGAGTATTAGAGGTTTGGTACACGAATGGTAAGTAAGTACTCCTTGTCTGATTCCCGCCTCGGGAACGAACACATGCAAAATCCACTAGACATCGTCCTATCTTACAGTTGAGCACAGTCCGCAAGGATGGAAAAAGAAAACAAAAACCGAAATCTCGGTTGTCAACCACTTTCTATACCGCTATCCATTTCATTATTAACTACTTGTTCACCATTTTGAGGTGATGTACCGTTCATTTGCTGTTGGTGTTGGCGAACATCCTGATGTGGCTGTTGATGCTGGTGCTGATGAGGAGCCATCGCGCCTCCGTGCATACTCGTGCCAAGAACTCCAAAGCTTGGCCCCCCTACGACGCCCATCGGGCTTTCCAAGTACAGTCGGATGAGAACGCTTTCAAGAGCAACAACAGTAGGCCCTGGGTAATCGAATGCTCGAGCATGTTCACGAATGGAGTTAAATAAAATGCTCATGCGATCCCACAGTTCTTGTTGAGATGGTGAACCCTGAGGAGGTACGATGTGAGGATATGCCATTGCTGGAGGTCCAGGGAAAGCAGGGAACGGATGAGGTAGATGGGTAAGTGGAGGGTTTGAAGGATAGCTTTGGACCTGGGTTTGAGATGAAGTAGAGGAGTCCTCCTGCTGTGAAGGAGCAGGGACTGCAGATGCAGTTTGTATGGTACGCTTTGCCTCCTCCTTTTCCGCCAGGACTGTTTGTCGTCTACCACGACGGGTGAAGGGCAGGTTTGCCAGTCCAATTGCATGAGAATGCTCAGCAATATCTACGGAAAACTGTTCAGAAAGGATATTCCCTGGCAGCATATGAATACTCACAACATACCCGAACCTCATCAGTGTCATAATAAGTCTTGTAGCTGATGGATGCCAAACACCCTTGACCTTCAAGCTGACAGAGGATCCGTGAACAGGCCATAGATTGGAGCTTGTGCTAGTACGAACCTTCCTGCTGGGTACCTTGCGAACGCGCTCAGGGTGTTTCTTTACGTACTTTTTGCGACCGCTCCTGGAATGCCGGGCGCAAACAAGTTTGGTGTGGTCCTTGAAACGAGGAGGAACTGCTTTGCTGCCGTGAGTATCGCCCTTCACGAATTCGACCATTTGAGTTTCTTCCTCTTGAACCCTCCATTCTTGGAAGGCAGCAAGGTTTGGAAATATAAGAGTATATCCATCGTCACTGTCACCACAACCGTAAGGTGATCTTGCGGTGGTCGACTTGGGGGGTGCTGGGGTAGCAAGGCTCGAAGGCGCTGGAGGTGTAGATGTGGATGATGGGGGATTTTGTGAGTAAGGTTGCTGCTGATTCTGTTGCAAATGTGGAGGCAAAGGCTGGGACATGGCCAGTTGCCCGAGCCTGAAATGCTGGAAACTCATTTTTTGACAAGGAATCCGAACAAAAAACGGTTGGGATGAAAGCAAAAAGGTGGAAAACTGTTCCCGCGTGTGACAACTTTATACAACATCCAATATGTAATGTCACGTAACATTTTTGTCACGCACTTTCCTTTTTCCAATGACCTCCTCCCTCAGAAATTCGTTGCATAGGCGCAATCATAAAGAGCGTTCGCAGCTCGCTCATCGCTCAAAATTTGGAATTTTAGAGAAGCACAAGGACTATGTCCAGCGTGCACGAGATTACCACTCCAAGCAGGATCGTCTGACGCGCCTTAGGCAGAAGGCATCGGACAGGAATAAGGATGAGTTCTACTTTGGAATGAACAAGGAGCGGACGGTGGAGGGGGTTCATGTCAAGGATAGAGGAAATGTCTCTATGCCTATGGATATGGTTAAGCTCCTCAAGACACAAGATGAGGGTTATGTTCGGACAACGAGAGCCAACGGACTCAAGGCATGCAGTCTATGTGCATTATGTATCAATCAGTCGATCAACTCATTCCTTGGCAGAAAATAGAGAAGATTAAGAGCCAACTTACTACTTTGGCCAATCTTATTACTCCGCAGGATGATAACCTAGAGGACGATGGCGAGGACGCATTGGACGAAACCGACCTGGAAACACTCCGAGAAGCAGGCGTCATACCCCCGGAAACAAAACGGCGTCCGCCTCCACGTCATATAATCTTTGCTGAGAACGAGACGGAAGGTCAGTGTAGCTGTTATGCTGCATTGTTCATGGCATGACGACATATACGCTGTAGCAAAACAATTATCTCAGCGGCCATCTTCAGACCAAGCTAAAGCTACGACTGAAGTAGACGTCGCAAGAACTGAAGTTCACCTCGGCTGGAAAACTGAGGAAAGTGCATCGTCTCGACGGAGACGGAAGAGCAAATCCTCAGCCGATACATCATTGGATGTCGTTGGGGATACTGAAGAAACACAGGAACTTAATGTGGTATGCACACATTTTACTGTTGTCATCCGTTTCCTGAGAATTTTCACTCAGCAAAACCGCAAGCGCCTCCTGAAAGAACTCGCTGCACGACTAAAACGTGACACTCAGTTACGGTATACACAACGTGAGCTAGAAATGCAGAGACTTTTGGCGGGTAAGGGAGGTCGACGGAAGCTGCATGGCGTTGAAGAAGTAGGGGCTGAGAACGACGATGAAGACGGGGATGAAATGAACGACGGAGCAACTTTCAAGGCAAGAAGCAAAGCGGATGAGAAGACTTACAAGCCTCGAGTGTACAAGTGGCGTATAGAAAGAAAGCGATAGTATTATCTGAGTCCCTGACAATCCGTTGTGTATGTAGCAGCTAGTCCGACGAGTATAGCGCGAGTATATGGTACGTGTTCAGTCCAAGATCCAGGTAACTATTTGGTATACCATCTGAATAGTGGATACGCATGACCAACATCAGGTGACAGATTAGAAAATGCAGGAGGCGCCAAGCGCTGCGCTGGCAATAACTACCCAAAGAGAGCTCCACTGACTGAAGTTCGACCGGCTGGAACTTAATGAGCTTACAGTCGGCGAGGTGCCTGAACTTGTTCCTTGCGGAAGTGGCGTGGCAATGGGCGTGGCAGGGGAATAGGTGACACCGTTAGCGGTGGCAGCGACTTGGAAGACAGATCCACCGCCGTACTCGTAGAACTAGGAAATGTGAGAAGGAAAACTACGAGACAGTTGGATGCACGTACGTCAACGAGCATGAAGTTCGGGTTTCTGCCCTGTTGGCTAACACAGAGACTGAACTGCTCGCCGAGAGAATTTGTACCGGATACAGCATTAGTCTGATTAGCTTGGCTTGGGTCCGGAGCCGGTTGGCCAAGGACCAAAGTATCCAAAAAGTGGTTAATGAGGTACATAGATGTGGCGGTGTTGCTGTTAGAGCGGTTCACATTGCAATCAAATGATGTGGTAACGTCATATGCGGTTTCCCAGATGTTAGTGAATTCTGGGGCAAGTATCAAGCAGAGCCTCCACAAGTACGACTGCGCACACACCATCAATGATGTAAGGAACGGAGGTGAAGTCAGCATTGTAGTCCATGAATGTTATCAATCGCTTTCCCGAATCGATGAGGCTGCCAAGGGTCGGCCAGCCGCTTTCAGGTAGCGACGAGGAGGGTGGCGAATAAGATACCGTGTCAAGCCCGACCGATTTAAAGACAGTGTCATAGTCAGTTGGCGGAAGATCGTCGGAGTTGACGATGAGTAATGAGAGTACTGGGCAAGACATGTTGAGAAATGCAAAGTCGGTCATTTCTCGTAAATGCAACTGACCTTCATTCGGATTTGCGTCTAGCCAGGTTTGGACTACATGTCAAGGGATAAGGGAAGGGAAGCTGAGGGCGAAATTCTGTTCTCACCAGTTGTAAGGTAAGCCTGAAGAGTTCCGCCATCATAGAGTGACTAAAAGATGGTGAGTAATGCACGACTGATACAACATGTACGGCGCCTACACAGCTCGTGTGGCAAAGGTGAATGACTCCGCTCGAGTTATGGGCCTGCATTTGTAGCATTCGAATCCCATCGTTTAGCTGTTGCGTAACTGACAGGGGTCATTGAAAGTTAGTCCGAGGTTCGGCCTAAAAGGACTATGCTCTGAGTCTCACCGTTGTAGTCCTGGTCCGCGAACACTTCAAAGGGCAGGAATTGAGTGAGCGTCTGCATGGACAAAGACGTTGGAACTCACGATTGTTGGTTCCGACCGCATAAGAATCATGGGCACCGACGAAGGTAACATTCCCGAAACTACGGGTGCACAGATCAGGGCTCCCATTGCAAGTGGTGGCACGGCGAATTCGCGCCGATTCGGTGGGTGAAGCATAAACGAAGTCAAAAATGGATGTCAGCATTGCAAATGCCAAAAGAGCGGCCCGCGCCCTGGGGAAAGAAGACAGTAGCATCATCAAGAGAAGGACGATGTTTGAAGAAAGTGTTACTAGTTTTGAAACCAAGAAAAAAGAATGGAATAGGAATACTGAAGGGGGCGGAGTCGGCGGACAGCCAACATCGCTATAACCACACCATTCCTGCGGCGCATGAAATTAAATTCATTCACAACCTAATGCATGGTGAGATGGCCGAGCGGTCTAAGGCGCCAGACTAAGGATCAGCTCATTGGATGAGCAAGTTATCTGGTCCTCCGGGGCGTGGGTTCGAATCCCACTCTCATCAATACTTTTGCTGCACGCCATGAATTTTTGAATCGCCCTCACTTTACATAGTTGTATGTACATGAACATAATGCCAGGATATCAGAAGGTGGAGGTGACGATTGTAATGATACACGATGTTGATTCAGAAACGGACGAAAGAAGTAGCCAATTGATTTAAATCCAGCAAGAGATAGCTCAATCAAGTCAAAGTTTCTGTGATACTGAAATGCACATGGTCTCCTTCACCTAGTGTGAGTCTGACTGGCAGACGGGGATCAATACGCACAGGAGCGCTCGTGCCAACGAAAAAGTCACCACGACTGAAATTCCTGGTGATGGCGGCTGCTTCTTCCTCTGTGAGATTACGCGGCCGCTTGTTCGGACGAAAGGTAGATGAAGAAGCGCCAGTAAATGCGCCATTATAATCATAATATTGATGCTGACTGAGAGTAGGTGCTCCATGCACATATCCCAGGGGTGTCTGTGCAAATGTAGACACGCCAGGAGCTGAGAGATTACAAGATCGTGAATGAGTACACTACGTTTCAGCGGAGTCAAAATAATTACTTTGATGCGACTGATTTTGGTCACTTTCAGGATCTGGGTATGCGCATGTTGCGCCAATACCTCGTTTTAAGCAGCTCTAATAGGAGGTATATAGTCAATATATCGAAGGAAAATCTGCTTGTTTCAAGATCTGTACTAACCTGGCACGGTAATACCTCGCTGCACCGAGTTTTACCCGTATGACAAGCAGTACATGCACGCCTTACTGAAGGAGCTTTTGCTGAAAATGATATATATATATAACTTTTTAATGATTGTTGGTGATTATGGCGCATGAGCTCACCTTTACGGGTTGCTGAGGAATCGTTGACTGGCGATGGGCCATTGGGACTATGCTGCTGTTGCTGCTGCTGAGCATCAGCAGCGTGTTGATGAAGTTGATGAAGTTGTTGTGCGTCCATGGCCGACGCCGCATCATGCGCCGGTGTAGATGCCTCACTAAGAGCCGACATGGGTGTTGCGGAGCGGGGAGGTTCCGACGATGTTCGGTGAAGCGGGGGTATGTATAAGTAATTCATCGGAGCGGATATACCTAATTAGTCGATATTTATCTCCATTTATGCGTGTTTGTACTTCCGGTAGCTCCCGCCACACCGGTGAATGGACGGTGTTCGGTGCCGTGAGCCCGCTAACCGGTAATAGTTTCATTCCGGTCGGTAACAGTTCTTTGCCTGCACTACCATGTCATCCCAATCTCCGTCTCAACCACCTCCCTTCTCCGAGTTCGATTATGCTTTTGATCCAGCTCTTTCAGGATTGTCTCCTCCTCTTCTTCCCATCCCATCTTCCGCAGACCTCTTCTCCCCATCTGAAACAACTGATCTCCTAGGTTTCCTCGACAACTTTAATTGGGATTTTGACGTAGATCCCATTCTCGCTGCGCCTTATATACCCCAAAACACACGCAATCTTGACCATTCGGGAGACATTGCATCGCCTGTACTCTCAGAGCAACAGATGCCATCAGATACTAGACCTTCATCTTCTTCGTCCGCGACTTCATCACAGCCAGACTCCAGAGGTACAAAGCGCAAGAGAGCTTCTGCACCATCATGCCAGACGGGCAGAGCAAAAGTTCTCCTCTCAACCCCTCAGAAGAGACTCAATCATATCATGTCAGAGCAAAAGCGTCGTAATGCCATCCGTGAGGGCTACGCGCAGTTGATATCCCTTCTCGCTCCAGCTGGTGCACAGGCTATTGATATGCCAACTAGGGGTAGACCCAAGGGCAGCGGCAGCAGGGGAAAGGGCCAGAGCAAAGGCAAGAGTGGAGTGCTCTTTCGAGCAGTGGAGTATTGCCGGTGGCTTCAAGAAGGACGAGATGCTTTGAGGGATGAAGTACTTCGTCTGGAAGCTGCTGCGGGCATTGTCTACCCGTCTCGATAGTAATGGGCATACACCTTCTTCATCAAGACAGGTTTGTGAGTCCTCCCGTCTACATACGTGCGGATCTCATCAGTCTTTCAGAATATAGGAATGGTTTTTCTTCTTGTCTACTACCAGCCCAGGGGCTCCATGACCCCGGCTGCTTGCTATAACGCGTGTCCGCAAATTTTTGGAAAATTTGCTCCCGGAGATACAGTACTTAATCCATGCGCACTGGTCGAACTTTTCGACATATACCAAGAATTGTAATTTTGTGTATTGTTCCCCACGTATACTTACTGGCGTATTTAAAATTACCCGCGGCTCCAGAGACCGTGTATCGAACTGCAAAACCGTAATTTCCTGTTCTGCTACCGTCTCAACCGTTTCACCTGTAGGTTATGTAACGTAAGTCAGTGTTTTATGGTCTTATAGAACAACTTGCCTTTCAAAAGTTCGTGGTTTCAGAGCATGATACCGGCCCTCAATCGTGCCAAGTGCAGATGCCCGAGATCCTCTGATGATTCGTCGATCTGCTGAAGTGTCAAAATATTTTCTTTGGGCTAATCTTAAGTGAGTCAGGCTTTTTGTGGTTCGTCGATAGGCTGAATATTGAACGCAGGTAAATTTTTGGCAGATCATTTATTATCAGAATAATCCATGGCCTCCCCTCTGAAAAATGACGCGCTATTTTCAATTCTCGTGTATAATACACACACCACGCTACCACTGCTCTGCGGGATCGCAACCATGTGATGAAGTCAGCCGACGAGACTACATACCCATTTTTCTCGGCGCCTCTCAACACCCAAGGTCATGGGCAGGCTACGTACATATAAGTGATGTTACGTGAACATCGCGTGGTCTTCACTGACTATATGCGCCATGCATCGTGTTCTCGGGGCAAGATTGGAAAGAAGGGCGCCGTGAGGGTACACGTTCATGTGGATCGCGGCGTTCTAGGAGAGCCGGAGGAACTAAAAGGGTTCGGGCTGACTGTCGATCCGCTCATCAAGGTTAAGGGTGGAGGAGGAACTCATCAAGATTGGCCACGAGGTGTCTCTTACCTACTCACGCATGCACCCTCCCGGGGGAAAGGGGTGCGTGATTTGCCGACTGGTGCTCTCTCAGGCTTGCCCCTTCATGGTGCAATTGTGGATATTTTCTCATCCTCAGGAGTCGTCGAATTTTTACAGATCCCGCAACTAGCTGTCTCATGCTAAATCGTGACCACATTGCTCCCACGTATTGGACTGAGCATAGGACCTTTGTTGACCCGACCATTAACAAGTCCGTATGATACTACAAGTACACTGACAAGAATACTTCATGAACGACCGACGAAGGCATCGACAAAACCAATTAAACAAAGTACGCGCTCGCAACTCTTTTACAGTGCACTCTTATGCCACTTGTCCTCAACACCATCAGCCATAGTTAAGTACGGCATCAAGTCGCTCGTCAAAAACTCGCTTGGCCATTGTTGCCTGATTTGATCCATGAGATACTTCGTAGCAATTTTCAAGTGGTCGTCCTTGACGCTCGGGGCAATCTTCTGGATGCCGGGTGCCTGCTCTGCAATGATGCGGTCGATATACTGCGGGGTAATCTGCTCGCCAGTGTCAAGACGTGCACCGTACTTCACCCACTGCCAGAGCTGCACACGTGCGATCTCGGCAGTAGCAGCATCCTCCATTAAATAGCTGACAGGGATGCAGCCATTGCCGCCTATCCAAGCTCCGCAATAGGCAAGAGCCACGGAGATATTAGAGCGGATGCCGTCCTCGGTGATCTTTCCGGGAACATTGTTGCTCAACAAGTCTGCACTAGCGACTTTCACATCCTCACGTCGGATGTGATACTACAACACCTGCGTCAGCGGTAGTCACAGATACAAAAATACCGCGGATGCGAACCTGATTAGGACCCAACATATTTTCGTCAAACACCTTGCGAGCGATATGATTGATCAAAGGGTGCGCAATCCAAGTGCCATCGTGACCAGCAGTGACCTCACGGAGCTTGTCTGCTCGGACCTTCTCCATCGCCACCTCGTTGGCTTTGGGGTCATCCTTAATAGGAATTTGCGCGGACATGCCACCCATAGCAGCAACCTTCCTCCTAAAAACACGTGTTAGCGCCAATGATCACGCGGGGAAAGTGGCATTACCTGTGGCAAGTTTGAATTAGAAGACGCACATACGCATCCATGAAAGGCACGGTCATAGAGACGTCCTTCCTGTCCGGCAACACGGCACTTCTGTCCGCCCTGCGCTTCTTGATTGCACTAAATATGTAATCCCATCTAACAATATTCATGTGAGTGAGCAACTGATCCATTGACATGTGTATTCTCCTCACCTTCCACAATTGAGTCCGGCAGAGTGATTTCTGAGCTCGAATAGAATTTCTTCCATCTGGAATGCTGCGGGAAGTGTCTCGATGAGGACAGTCGCCCTAATTGTGTTGTGGGGTATTCCGATATAGGACTGGGAGAAGAGGAAGACGTCATTCCACAGACGGGCCTCGAGGTAGTGCTCCATCTTGGGAAGATAGAAGTACGGGCCTGAACCGCGCTTGATGAGCTCATGGGCATTGCTGTAGAAGTAGAGTCCAAAGTCGAAGAGAGACCCCGAGATAGGGGCGTTGTCAACCGTCACGCGCGTCTCGTCCAAGTGCCAGCCCCTGGGTCTAGACAAAAATATAAACATCTAATGGAGAGCCAGAAGAGATCTCAAAGGTACCGAACAAGAAGCGCAGCTGGATTCTCAGACAATTTGTATTGCTTCCCGCCGGACTCGAAGTCGATCTGGCGGTTGATAGCATCACGCAAGTTGACTTGGCCACTGATCATGTTGGCGAATGTAGGAGCACTGGAGTCTGGAAACATTATGTTGGCGCAATTCTTAGCATCATAAGTGATCTGCTGACCTTCAAAGTCTGCCATGAAGGTTTTTGCACCACTGTTCAGAGCATTGATGACCATCTTACGGTCAGTAGGACCAGTGATCTCAACGCGTCTGTCCTCAAGACCGGGTGCAGGGGGTGCGCAATGCCATGAAGGTTCAGCACGGATGTGAGCTGTTTCAGGAGGAAAGTCGAGAGGTACTCCTGAGTCAAACCTGCGCTGTGCAACATCGCGTGCAACTAGGAGGCTCTGTCTGGTAGACTCGAATGTCCTATGAAGTGCAGCAAGGAAGGAAAGTGCGCCATCGGTAAGGATTTCAGCCTGAGCCTTCTGAGCGACCTTTGTGTGAATCTGAACGCCTGCAACCATTGTTGGGAAGTGAATAGGGTGTGGTAAGTAAAGCTTTGATCATTTGCGTGTGTGTTATGTACCAGTGTCTCGGGACTCCGACATACCGCGCTGGTCCTTCCGCGCGAGCATGTGTTTATTGACCCATTATTGGCCTGCCATTTTTCGGGTGTCCAACGCACGGCCGCATTTCAGAATACGTCATCCGACGTCTGCTCCGTCCCCCGAAGGAGCTGCGTCCTCCCCGTTCGGGTCCAACGGTTACCCGTGTTCGATTGCTTGTCTGCAGCGGCCGCACTGCGATCCAATCCTCGCATACTACCACGCATCGCTCATGTACACCGCGTTATACGACACCCTCGGTCTCGCGTTTCTGAATGAATATTATTGTTGAGAGGTAGACGTAAGCATAGGGAAGGCTACTGTCCATTTGGCAACCTTGTGCCTGTCAGAAGTTCAAGCGACCCTGGTTAGAAGCATATTGCACTACGGTCGTATCTGCTGAAGCCTGATATCATGACCGCACTAGCTAGTGATACGGTTTGTCATTTCAGGTTTCGACATGCAGATCGGGCCCGAACCAATTACATTCCGCTACTTAGTGCGGACATCAACGCCACGCGTTCGACTACCGGCACACATACGTAAAAGAGATCAACGTCAAAAGCATCAGAGCCCCGCACACGAAATGAAGCATCATGATTGAAGCGTCCACGACTCGACGAATAGTGCTGTCAATACAAGGAAAACTTTGACATATGTCGATCGCAGGGGGTCATATCCACCCTAGGTTGAGTTACTATGTCTTCCGTACGTACTACCAGTTAGTCATGAGACTTGAAGACGCCGCCGCAGGGTACGATGCCCTACGATGCCACGGGAGACGGTGATGGGACTGGATCGAGAAGAGATGTAGCGATGGCCCGACTATCCGAAAACTTAATGATAATTTGATACATAAATATAAAGAAATCGACATCCAGACAAATCCAGACTCTACAAGATTTGAGGATGCTACCGGAGCTTGCGAGTTGTTTTTTGAACAGCAGTAATAGACGGAGATGGGCCATGGCGGTGTGATATTTTCGATCCTGATATGATACCGTAGCATGCAATATTACTTCTGTAGAAGCTACAAGGAAATACATTAAAATCCGAAAACAAAGAATTCAGTGAGGAGAATAGACAGAAACTATCCCCAGTCAACTTCCAGTTCATGAGCCAGCCAGTCATCGTCTTCATCGTCTCCATCATCGGCATAATCATCATCCTCGGCACCTTCCTCGAAACTCTTGAGAGGTATGGGCATTAACGGTGATGGTTTACGGCTGCGATCCGAGAGCGACTCGGTATCTACCAACTCATCAGCAGTAACACCCTCTTTCAACTTGGACGCCCCACTTCGACTTGCGGCTAACTTCTTGCGCTTAGCAAGGGGAGAACGGAGCGCATCGCCCTGCCGGTCACCAACCCCGAGAGTCCCACCATCCGAGGGTGTGACACTTCGTAGCCTTTTGCGTTTCATCCGAGGGGTAGTGTTCGGACTACTGTAGGAAGGATGGAGTTAAACCGGTAATTTTAAATGCGAGATCCAAACCTTAGTTGACTTCGAGTGTCGTCAGGCATGGTATCGTCGTTATCAGACGTCAACACACTTCTCGTGCCACTCTTCTCACTCATAGCATCATCTTCATCGTCGCTCTCGTTCATAGCAGCTTCGACTTCATCATTGATGTCGTTCCAGTCGATGTCGTCAAGCTCTAGGGACGCACTCCCTGCGGGGGCAGGCTCCACGTCCCAGTCGTCTGCGTCGGGCTCCGGATCTGAAGAAATCTGGTGTGGGTCGAGGATCGGACTAGAACTGGGAGCGACGGCTGACGGGTCATCCAGTAAATATGGAGTCTCATCTTGTCGACGCCACAGTGCTATCGAGTCTGTGAACCAAGATAACCACACAATCTTGATTCCCCCCCGCTTCCGCGCGGCATCCACCTTGACAGTGCCATGCTATATATTGGGGGAAGTATGAGCTAGGTTGTGTGAAAGACAGAGAATCAGTGACCTTGGCAGCAACCACGTGGGTGATTCGACTGGATAGCTCAGTATAGCATTCCGCCCCGAACATGTAAGCTATTTTCCATATCTCAGTTGTTTCGGGCTTTGTATCAAGAGGTATCACACTGGAAAATAGTATATGTACCCCTTGCAGAGTGTCCATGCGCATTTGTGGAATAATTCTCTGTGACGCGATTGATCGACGTTGCGCGTTAGATATAAGCCACTTACTGTCACGTCATAGGATTTAGACCGCGTGAGGGTTGGCCGTCGTTTCTTACCTCGGTCCTCTGGCGATCTGTTGTCAAACGAAGTAAAGAAGCGACGATGGACCTCTCCAAGTAGCTGCAATGAACTCAGTTGAGTTGGACCATACACTCAAAGGTGCGGGATACACACATAGCCGACCCGTTGAAGCTCGACATCGTCGTTCTTCAATAGCGCCTTTCGTGGAACTTTCTCTGCCTTGGGGCTTTCCGCTGCCTTCACGTCGTTCTTGGGATGAGCGGGCACTTGATCCCCGGGTGACATCGATCCAGTGCCGTCAGACTCCAGCAGCGCTTCTTGCTTTTTGGCTAACGGACGCTCTTCGACTTGCGCCTCGAGCGCCATGGAATTTCGTGTTAGCATCGCCTTCGATTCCATTTCAGCTGTTTCACGTTCCTCGGGTGTTGATGTTGGCTGTGATGGGGCTTCGGAGTCAGAGACAGGAGGTGAGGGCGGCTTGGCTGGTTGGTTCAGTCAGCACGAAATTATGATCGTTTTTCTAAAGGACTTGCCAGGAGATGGAGATGGGACTGTGGGTGCTAGAGGTTCAATTTTAGGTAGGAAGGCAGAATTGATGTCTCCTATGCCAACAAAAAAGTCGTCTTGAGAAGAAATCAGTGAGGGATTTTAATGCACAATATAAGAGTAGAACGAACACGGGATGACTTTGATAAGGTTCGGACTCCACTCCCAGACGTCTGCACGATCATCGATGATAACTACCATAGATGTATCGCAAGGAAATAGACGTTGTAGACTTTTCTGTGTGAGACCTCGAATGACGTTGAGTTGCGGGATAGCTATCAGATCATATTACTCACTCCCACTTTCATCTCTACTGAGTATCCGTCCTCCAAAGATTTTACCATCAGGGTCGATTGCAGCACAAACCTCTTCTGCATATGCTCGGGTACCCATCGTGTACACATGCATCTCATACTTGGTCGATATATTTCGGAGAAATTCCTGGGTTCCCGGTCTTGCAGATCATGAGCTAGACAGTTATGACGACGGCAAGGTACCAGCCCTACGCACCGAGGTTTAATGTAATACATGCATCCTTCATTCTCGATTAGTTTATGCTTTCCCTTTCCTTTGTGCGAGCCTCTTGGGACTGAGACCATTCCAAATGATTCGGGGCCCAGACGAAACTTTCGTACATCTTGCAAAGCTTCCCAGTTTGGATTACATTCGTCTTCACCATCGGACGCTGTCCCGTCAGAGTCGTCGTCAGAACCTGGGTCTTTTGGAGTAGTTGATCTCTTCTTGGCTTGTCTGGCCTCCCATGCTTCGCCTTCCCCAATCCACTCGCCCACAGTTGGGTCGACTGTCGCATGCACAATGGTTTGGTCAAGATCGACGATGAGGGAGAGTTTCCTTGACTTGAGTAAGTGGTCTGCGGTTTCCTTCTCTATCCTCCGAGCTTCCTCCAAAGAGACTGTTGGACCAAAGGCAGAATGCGTCATTTGAATAGATGCGCGCGACGCATCTGAGAATCCTGTGTAATCAAATCTGAACGCGTGTCAATGTCGTTCATGCGACATGATGATACACGCACTCTGTCATATCCTTCCCGCATAGCCCGCATAGTCCTCCAATCTGAACGCCGTGCTTACATGGCTCCGTGATGCATATGATAGGTCTCTGTTTCGCCTTCTGAGCAGAGATGGAGTCGCCAAATTTGACCTTCCAGGATTCGACAGTTCCTTCAATTGAGCAGTCCCATGTGCCAAAACGAGTTTCTGGCTTTGAGCCGGTTGCAGGAGATGAGTACACGAAAGAATATGTCAATAGCCGGGTCCCGCGTTGCACAGTAGCTCCGAGCTGGACATCAAGAGATGCGACTTTTATAGGATATGGTAAAGTCGGCGGTAAGAAAATATCTGTCGGACTCGACATTTGGCTGTCAGAGCCGAGTGTAAAGTTGATGTCGAGTGTAGGCTTGAGCGATGATGATACACGACTAGACTGGGCGACTTTGTTGAACCGGGATTCCCTATCGAGTAATAACTCTGAACCTTGTGCCAAATAATCGCCACTACAGTCTAGATGTCGTCCCCGCTCTTGTTTTCGACAATTGAAGTTACAAGACAAGCATTTTATAGGTCAACGCTATCGTATGCCATCGTCAATCTCAAGCCAATCGTGCCAGGACGTGAGTAGTCCCTTAATACGATATCTTAATCTTATAAGCGACGACTTTTAGACGTGCTCGTAATTCCAAATCGACCCGTGCCGCGTTTGACGGACCTCACCTACACCAGAATTGACGTCCCTCATCATATCTGTCCAAAATGTCGGTCGAGTGATCGAGCGCGCGTATAATGGCGATGCGTTGACCGTGGCATGCCAGGTATAGCCACTGGCAGACGAACACGGGACTCGATATTGATATATACGATCTAGGATGGAAAGGCTGCGGGACAGTCTATACCTCACGTCCACTTCCATATCATGCCTCGGAAATACCATGGAGACTTCTTTTCACAGAGAAGGGATGATATATACCCCGCACTTGAGCGGTCGGAAATGGATTTGCCTCGTGACTTCCAAAACCTCAAAGTGCCTAGCTCCGATGTTCAGCATCATCCATTCAAGGTCGATGCAGACGAGGACAGATTGCCGCGGACGCTGGAGGACATGGAGAAGGAGACGACATGGCTGAGAGGTTTCTTTACAGGAGAAAAGGAACGTTGCGATACCAACTGCAGTGTAATGCCACCCGGCCGCCCATTTACCATTGGAAGGTGTAAAGATATCCGTTCAACCGCAGAATACATATCATGATTAGATCCAAGCATCTAGAGGAATGGTATGTCCACGGTGTCTATATCTTATCATTCCAGACATTCCAAGCAATGTTATGACTGCAACCCTCCGCATGCTTCCCTGAAGTTCCTGGACCTGCAAGGCATAATATAGGTGGGGCCAGACTCGCGCTTGCATCACGCTCAGAGTGGAATGCGTTCTCGACCCCTATAGCTTCCAGACCATCATATCCGTCCCCGCCAGCGTCTGCAGTAATGCACATCATCTTTACGCCATTCTTCCAAGATTGATAAAGCCTGGATTTTACAGCTGCAAGCTGACCCAGACCTTCATTCCAGCCCTTTTCGAAGTCCTCGCGGATGGTCTGATGTTGAACGTTGGAGATGAAGGAAGATGACATAGACAGGGAGAGCAGCGTCGGTGACGATGGAACGACGCGTACCTTTGGAATAACTATTCCAGCGGGTACATGGATTATCTCCGGCTCTGATGCAGTAGGTGCTTCTCTAAATGAGATGGTCGCTGTTGCAAGACCACGACGACCTGGTCTTACACGTCTTGCTGCTGGCTCTGGCATGCCTGCTGGTGTACGGATAGTGGCTGCGTTCCGTTCTAACCAAGTTTTGAGCTCTTTTTCCCGTGCTTTTGCTCGTTTGACGGTCGCATGTGCACATATCCTTCCAATATTAATCCATTCCCCTTGGTCCCGCGCAACACTGCATCCATCAAGGATCAAATGCCGCAGATCATGAAATCGAACGAGTATTGCCTCCATATCCGAGACGAGGACATTACATGTGGACAGGTCAAGAAGACACAAAGCAGGGACGGAGGACGGGATGCTGCTGATGAAACGGCACACTTGACGAGATGGTATGCGGAGACGCAGGTACTTCAATGAGCTGATATACGGTGAGCACAATAAGACAGATATTGGATCGAGTCGAAAGAAGACAAGGGGCTGTGCAAAATGCTGGGCACTTGATATCGCAGGGTCGAGAGGATCCTGGATGATAGATAACGCTGGTAACTCGTAGGGAGGCCAACGGGAAAGTGCAGTCAGGGTGGTGTCGAAATAAGCTCCCTGAAAAGTAATACATGTTGAGTGCAAAGTGTAACATTTACGCAATGTAGTACCTTGAGAAATTGATAATACGTGGCCCGATTCACGCTGGATCGCATACATGTGTCAGGGGGGATAAAACGAAAGAGATCATTATAGTACTCACTAAGGACGGAAACGTAAGGAGAGAAAGCGCAGGTCTTGTCTTGGTTTATGAAATATTTCCTCAACATGCTCTGGAGCAAAATTGGGTCCCACGAAGAGAAGGAGAGAAGATATACGAGGGAGGATCCCCAGTAGATTAACGAGGACATCGGCATCGACAGTCCAGGTTACGACCCCAAAGTTCTTGACCCAGTTTCTCTCGGCAGTGGCATTAATATTGCGAAGACGACTGTATAATTGTATAATTTGCTGCGCATGCTTGAGGCGTATGTGCTCGAATAGATGCTGGATAGGCACCGGGGATCTGGGTATCGCTCTTGTCAGGGCAAGGATATCTTGCTGGAGCGAGTCTACTGGTAAGTGACTGACGATTGCAGTATACAGCTCTGCAGGAAGTTCGTCCAACTGCATCACCTTGCAGGGTAGAGGCAAGCTTATGGCGCATTGAGTCAGTAAACCGGTGAGCCACCGATATTCCCATATTTTGTAAGCCGAAATGCTCTTTCCTATACATATCTTCCTAATATCTAATCCACAGCTGTCAGCGTGTCGAGCGGACTGCGAAATCGGCCAGTGTGACTACACCGTGACATTCCGTGACATTTATGTGACTGCACGAAATGTGGTGTGCACGAGCTTGAAGTGGTAACCAATAGTAATGTAAAGCAAGAAGCATTGGGCTTACAAAATATCTACTAATATCTGAGTCTCACTGGTTTACTGATGCTCATACACTGCTGCTACTGGAGTTCACATTATCAAGTGTCCAACAAGACTGCCCCCGAGCCAAGCATGCGTCCCTTCAGCACCTCCAACCAATAACTCAACGCCCTCAGCAACCGTCTTCCTAGTCTCTTCCCGGTCTCCCCACCGTACCCGTGGAGTCCAAGCCACCAAATGTGCTCCAACGTGGGCAATCGCGACCCTCGCCAGCGCTTCATCAGGCCCACTTCCTCCTCTATAAGCCGAGAGGAACGATCTCACAATCGTGGACGCCTCTTTCTGGCGGCTCGGATAGAACCGCTGAAGCAGACGCATCTCTGCGCAGAACTGTCCAATGTCCAACCCACGAAGACCTGCCTTCGCCAACTCCCAGTCCAGCACATAAAGCTTCTCTAGTGTAGGCACGCCCCCCTCTGACTCTCTTCGAAGGGATACCATGATATTCCCGGGCCAGAAGTCTCCATGCGTAAATGCTTCGGAAGTGCTACCAATTTCATGACTGCGGGCCTCCGCAAGCTTCGATATAACGTCCAGATTCTCCTCAGGGACGTCGAGGACGGGGTCAGCCAAAGTTGCTATGTTATCTCTGCCGCTAAGCGTAGAGATAAGGCGACCATATGTAACTAGAGGTGAGATCATCTTGCCCACTTCGTTATTGTGGAAGATACCCATGTCGAAAGACCCGTTTTTGTTCCAGGCATGGATGCGCCCAAGGAAACGACCGATTGCAGCACCGATTTCTTCGGCGACCGGCTGCGGCAGGGCCTCGTCAATCACGAGCTGTTTCAGCGTCCGAGTGTCCGCCCCGCAATCATCAATGATCATGACGTGGGCTTCCTCGTCGAAGAGACGGACGGCGGGAACGGCAATGACATCGTCATCAGCATGCATTTCGCGGACGAGTCGCAAGGATTCTACTTCGAATTTCTGACAGGTCGTTATCAGCCCAGTACTAGTTACAATATAATGTCACTCCAAGGCAGCCTTACCTGGCGCTCAGTAGGCAAAGCCATCGTACCACCGGATGCAGCAACATATGGTGCTGCATACTTGAAAACAAATGTTTCCTTGCCCTCGAATGGGGTGTTAAGGTGTATCCTGTATGTGAAGTTGGCGGAGCCTCCTGCCAGCACGCTTATAGTATGCGACGCGAAAGGGGTATTAGACAGGTATTTTCGAACGTCAGCACTGGTGGTGAGGTCAGCGTTGTTGTCTGCCATGTCTGAATAGATGGGTGTTGCTCCCTGCTACAGCTACATTCAATTTGCCTTTAAAGCACTTGTTGAAGCTCCCGTCATTTGACTCAAGACATTCGCTACCGAACGTGCGGGATCATCCGGCTGTGATGCTTCACCAACATTCTCGGCAATTGCCAAGCAACTATTAGGTATGGGCGTCCGAATCATCAAACATACAAGAGTACAACAATTGGATTTAGTGAAAATAGTGAGGACAACAAGGAACGGATTCCAGAAATTTGGTCGTGAGCACGTTCGTACAGTACTTTACAGCTTGTCGTAGTAGTAGTCGAGAGCTGGAATATCGGGCTAAAGAACGAGGATCAGTCATATTGCAGGACAGCGTACAGTCGCTCATTACCTTGAGACCCTTGCGCACACGAATGCCCTTGACGAGCTCTTCGAGCTTGGTGCCCTTCTCGAGTGGTGCTGATCAATCGCATCAGCGTCAGTCTTCACACGGCGTGCATGCAAATGCTCACATCCGTTCATAAGTTCCCAGTGGTCGAACACACTCTGGGGGAAGGCTTGACCGGCTGTTTGTGAGCGGAGATCACTGTTGAAGCCGAAGGACTCCATGACGGGGAGGTAAGCCTTGACGGTGAACATAGGCGTTCCTGGCCTCTGCTCTTCGCTGAAGACCTGGCCACGACGCCTGTTCAACACGCTGTAGATACCACCGATGGCGTTCTCAGGACATTGGATCTCGACTGTGAGTAATATCAGTACCCGGTAAATTGCTATAGACATATGGGGTCATACCGAGGTACACCGGCTCCTGGAGACCAGGGGTAGCAAGCAAACATGCAGCGTAGCAGACACGACGGCACGTAGGAATGATCTGTCCACCACCACGGTGAATAGCATCGGTGTGCAACTGCGACCATAGCGTAAGAAGATAAAATGCAACTAGGTATAAAGGATACTTACAGTGACATCAAGAATGTTGAAGCGGATACCACGCATGTTTTCCTCAGCGCAGACACCCTCCTTCGTTGCCCACTGGAAGGCAGCAACGCAAGAGTCCTTGATTTCGTTGAGGTACTGCACACCCTTGGTGACATCGACGAGCAAGTTGGGGCCAGTGGTATCGGGACCAAAGCACCAGATCTTCCTTGCATCGGTGACATCCCAACCGAAGTCATCGGCGAGGATACGAGCACGGGCTTTGTAATCGTCACGGGAGTTAACGGTACCAGCCTCAATAGCCTTGGTGAGCTCCTCGTCAAGAGGCAAGGCCTGAGCGTAGAGACGATTGTGCTTGTTCTGCGACTTGGACAAGGCCACAATCGAGGACTCAGCCTTGACAGTCTCACGGTAGCCGACGACAGGGTCAGAAATCTTGAGAGGAACACCAGCGTGGTCTTCTTGGAGATCCTGGAATAATGATCAAACTAACGAAATTCAACGAACAGAAGGCAATTACCTTCAAGCAAATTTCCAAGTGCAGCTCACCGGCACCAGCGACAATGTGCTCACCAGTCTCGGCAATCCATGCCTGGACACAGGGGTCAGACTTCGACAAACGCTTGAGACCTTCGACAAGCTTGGGCAAATCGGCAGCGTTCTTGACCTCAACAGCGACCTGCACGACAGGGGACACGGAGAATTTCATGACCCTCATGTTGTGTGCGGTCTCAGAGGTGGTAAGAGTTCCGCTCTTGAGCAAGAACTGGTCAATACCGACGAGACCGACGATGTTACCGGCAGGGCAGTCTTCAATGGGCTCGATGTAACGACCCATCATGAGCACCGTACGCTGAACTGACTTGACGAACAAGTCTTCCTTCTTTCCAGGCACGTAGTTGGGGCCCTGGATACGGATCTTGGGGCCAGAACGAACGGTACCAGAGAACACACGACCAAAGGCATAGAACCGTCCTTTATCTGAAGTGGGCACCATCTTCGAGACGTAGAGAACAAGGGGGGCCTTGGGATCACAGTCCCTGATACCAATGGCAGACTCGTCATCCATGGGACCTTCGTAGAGAGTCTCAACACGGTAGCGTTGAGCAGTAGCGGGGGAAGGAAGGTTAATGACTATCATCTCCAGGAGGGAGTCACCAGCGGGCAAGAACTTGCGCATGACAACCTTGAGGAGAGCCTTGCCCTCAAGATCCGACTCGTCAGACGTCAGCTTGACATCAAGCTTCTCGCAGATGGGACCGATTTGGTCCTTCTTGAAGTTCATGACGGCATCGAAAATCTTGAAGATGGGCTCAAGGACGAACATGTTGAAGGACCGTTCAAGGGGTTTGCCATCGGCGTCGGAGCTCTTTGTACTCCACTTGCGAGTGGCAGGGTTGAAGTAGTTGTCACCCCAGAGCTTGGCCAAAAGCTTCTCTTTAGGCACACCGAACTTTTTAGAGTAGCGACCAGCGAACTGGCGGAGGGTGAAAGCCCACCCGTGGAGACCTGAACCGAAGGCAACAGTACCCTTGTCTGGGTAGACCTGGACGTCACCAAGGGCATTGTCGTGGTAGGTCGAAACGATGACGTTGACTGTCTCTATGGTACGCTGGAACGACTGGTACAAGTCCTCTTTTGAAACTTGAAGTTCAAGTAGAGCACGGTCGACCTTGTTGATGATAACGACGGGTTTGATACGCTCCGTGAGAGCTTGACGAAGTACCGTCTCTGTCTGCACGCAGACACCTTCGATACAGTCGACGACAACGAGAGCACCGTCAGTGACACGGAGAGCAGCCGTGACTTCTGACGAGAAGTCGACGTGACCTGGTGAGTCGATCAAGTTGATCAAGAACTCATTGCCTGAATTAAAAAATCATCAGCGATATTCTGCGAAATTAGAATTGAAGACTTGCCCTCAGTCTTCTGCTTAATGTTTTCGACATCTTCCTTTCCCATTTCGAAGTACATGGAAATGGCTGTCGACTTGATCGTAATACCACGCTCCTTTTCATCCTCTCGCGTGTCCGTAAACCGCATGTCACCAGCTTTTGCTGCAGCGATGATACCAGCTTTGGAGACAAGGGAGTCGGTAAGGGTCGACTTTCCGTGATCGACTGCATAAGTAATTTAGATAAGATCGAGTATGCAATGATCAGCGGGATCTCGCTCACCGTGGGCAATGACGGACATGTTACGGATGTTCGTGGACTTGTCCATAAGCCCACGAATCTGGTCTATGAGAATCGTTGAGAAAGAGATCGGGTTTCCTTGCACGATCTGTATGCTCACCTACTGTGAAGTTACTGCGATCGGTGACGATGATCAGTGCATCGGAAATGTAGATCTAAGCGGGAAATACGTACACCATTGTGTCTAGATTTTACAAGGATACCAAGAAAGAAAATAAAGATGCGGGATCCTCTTGAACGAGCTGGATGGTGAGTCAAATGCAGCACCGGGACCGCAAGTCTGAGGCTCGTTGATTTCAAAAGTAAAGTTTTTGGTCTTTGGCTTATCGATCGACTTCAGGGCAGGTCACGTCACGATGCAGTGTGACGACAACCATCTTATCTATTAACAGTCCTACTTACTACTATGCCCACTCGCAATCCACTAATCATCCCATTCACGACAGGCTCTAAGCTCATATATATCTCCATTCCAACTGGTTCGACTGCAGGCTTCCCCAGACGTAAGATTTAGTATATCTACTTATTACCTGCGGCAGGTCTTGGCGACAGATCGGTGCAAACTCTATTAATCTGCTAGCGCTTCAGCGTCAGTCCGCACAGCATGATGCAGTACAACGAGTCAGTTACTGTGCCTACAAAGTTTCCCGACAAATTTAGCCTATTTTTTGAGGAAAATTCCAAGTTTATGTATGGAAGTAAATACGCGACTGATTTTTGTCACGTGATGAGCTCCGAGTCAAGATGCGATATGAGTCTAATTGAGGAAAGCCATAAATCTAGATGAGACTTGGATTTCTGCAATCATCTCTCCTTCGATCAAGACTTCCATCTCATCGCGTTCCTATCCATTTGTCTCTAAGAATGGCATCTTCTTACGACGGCCCATGGACTGCACGCAAAGTGCGCCAAGAATTCTTCGACTATTTTCGCTCCAAAAACCACACTTTTGTTCCATCTTCCTCAACCGTACCCTTCGATGATCCCACTCTCCTGTTCGCAAATGCTGGCATGAACCAGGTGCACTCAACTCCGTAGTATTATGCGTCAGAGCTCACATCATATCAGTACAAATCTATATTCTTGGGTACCGTCGATCCCAACTCCGAGCGAGGCAAGCTGAAACGTGCGTTCAACAGCCAAAAGTGCATCAGGGCAGGTGGTAAGCACAATGGTATGCGCAAGTTGCTAGCAACGTTGAACTATACTCACACTGATCCAGACCTCGAGGACGTCGGCAAAGACTCGTATCACCATACATTCTTTGAGATGCTTGGAAACTGGTCGTTTGGTGACTACTTCAAGGTGTGGCGCTTGTTTTTGAGACCCCTCTTCATAACCGACATTTATCATGCAGAAAGAAGCCATCGAGTTCTCATGGGATCTCTTAACCAATGTATACGGACTACCCAAAGACCGTCTATACGTTACCTACTATGCTGGAGACCCAGAAAATGGAATACCCACCGACGAGGATGCAAAACAACACTGGTTAAACCAGGGTATTTCACCGGACCACGTAATTGCATCAAAAGGCAATTTCTGGGGTAAAAGCATGTTCTATCATCCAGTGAACGTCGTGACTCATACGCGCTTACAACAGAAATGGGCGCAACTGGACCTTGTGGGCCTTGTAGGTGCGTATCTCCAGCTACTCTCTTATCGTCATGCGTTGATCTTCTTCAGTGAAATACACTTCGACCGCATTGGTGGACGTAATGCTGCGCATCTCGTCGATGGTGACGACCCAAATGTCCTTGAGATATGGAACAATGTCTTCATCCAGTTTAACCGTGATGATGATGGCTCATTAAAGCCTCTTCCAAGCAAGCACGTTGACACTGGTATGGGTTTCGAGCGACTCGTCTCAGTCCTCCAGAACAAACTCTCCAACTACGATACCGATGTATTCCACCCCATCTTCACGCGCATCCAGGAATTAACAGGCGCAAGACCATATACGGGGAACTTTGGCAATGCCGATGTAGATGGTATTGATACTGCATACCGTATTGTTGCTGATCACGTACGAACGCTTTCGTTCGCATTGAGCGATGGTGGCGTGCCCAACAACGTTGGTCGTGGTTATGTCCTTCGTCGGATCCTTCGTCGAGGTTCCCGCTACGTCAGGAAGAAGCTTGGTGCACCCATCGGCTCATTTTTCTCCTCTTTGATGCCTGTTGTCGTAGAGACTATGGTCAGTAAAGCAGATCTATCGCATCCGCTCGACCTGATGTGTGCCTTGTGCGCCAGGGCGACGTGTTCCCCGAGCTTACGAAGAAGCAAGGCGACATCAAAGAGATCCTTGACGAGGAGGAAGAGTCCTTCTCGCGTACCCTTGATCGGGGCGAGAAGCTCTTTGACCAATACGCGACGCGTGCGAAAGAGGCGGGTGCCAAGGAGCTTAACGGCGCAGATGTGTGGCGGCTGTATGACACGTACGGGTTCCCCGTCGACCTCACGCGGCTCATGGCGGAGGAGCTCGGGCTCGGTATCAATGAGAAGGAGTTCGAGGATGCGCAAGAACAATCAAAGCTCGCGAGCAAGGGATCGTTCAAAAAGGACAAGGCGGATGGCGTGAAGCTTGATGTCCATGATCTTGCTGCATTGGAGAAGAACGATGCGATACCCAAAACAGATGACTCGTCCAAATTCCGTGTGTGACTTCTTGTCCACGATTCGCCCTTACTTAACCACTTTTGCAGAACTTGGCAATATCACTGCTACAGTGAAGGGCATTTACTACCATAAAGAATTCATCTCATCATCATCCGGTATACCGGAGGGCGCAAACTTTGGCGTACTCCTCGACCGCACGAGTTTCTATGCAGAGTCTGGTGGCCAGGAGTATGACACTGGCAACATTGTCATCGATGGCGCCACCGATTTTGAGGTAACAAACGTCCAGGTATACAACGGCTACGTTCTCCACACCGGTTCTCTCAAATATGGCCAACTTTCTATCGGCGATGAGGTCATCTCCTCCTACGACGAGCTCCGCCGCTGGCCGCTGCGCAGTAATCACACCGCAACACACATCCTCAACTTCTGCCTCCGCGAGGTCCTCGGCGACCACATTGATCAGAGGGGCTCGCTCGTGGCACCGACAAAGCTCCGCTTTGACTTTTCGCATAAAGCACAGATTTCCCTCCCCGAGCTCGCGAAGATCGAGTCGATGAGCATCGACTGGATCAAGAAGAATGTGAAGGTATACGGCAAGGACCTGGACCTCACGACTGCGCACAAGATATCCGGACTGCGCGCGGTCTTTGGCGAGGCGTACCCGGATCCTGTGCGTGTTGTCGTGCTCGGGTACGATGTAGATGAGGTCGCGAACGATATTGAAAACCCAAAATGGCGGAGCACAAGTGTTGAATTTTGTGGTGGCACTCATGTTGCGAAGACAGGCGATATCAAAGATTTTGTAATCACTGAGGAGTCTGGAATCGCGAAGGGCATCCGCAGGATAGTTGCTGTGACTGGCCAAGAGGCACATGAGGCGTCCCGTGTTGCCAATTCTCTGAAAGTTCGCCTTGAGCAGCTCGAGTCGACGGAAGGCAAGGAGAAGGATGGTGGGCTCAAGACTCTCAGTGTGGTGAGCCATAATCTGTCTTTCTTGCACTGTGCGTCAACTGATGATTCTGCAGGAACTTGGTCAGGCAGATATATCAGTTCTTCTCAAAGCAGAGCTCAAAGACCGTCTGGCGACTGTTCGCAAGGCGCTTGACAAGCAGATCAAGGAAAAGGAGAATGCGATCAACAAGGCGGTATGTCCCTTTGCTTGCTGTTCTTGTATGGTGACTGATGCACATGTACAGGCTGTGAATGCTCTGGTTACTTTCTTCGAGGAGAAGCCTGACTCAGAAGTCTACTTTGCTATCCTTGAGGTTGATGGTAATGCAAAGGTATGTTTGACAGTCGTCCACAAAATGTGCTTATACTCAAGATGATATCCCAGATCTTGCAAAATGTCGTTATGCAAGGCAAGAAGCTTGGCAAGGCAGTCTACGTTTTCAGTGTCGACGCAGAAGGCGGCAAGGTCGCACATGCAAACTACGTTTCCGAGTCTGCACGGTCAAGAGGCCTCGACGCTCGGACATGGGCGTCCAAAGTCAGCGATATCCTTGGGGGCAAAGCTGGAGGGAAGGAGGATGGTGCTCAAGGTGTTGGGGTCAACGTCAACCAGGTTGAAGAGGCTCTGAGGGTCGCGCGGGAGACATTTTCAAGTAAGTATAACTAGGGATCTCTGTTTGATGAACACACCCAGCTAGAAGTTTATATTCCTTGTTGTAATTGAGAATAAAAATACACTGTACTAGACGAGAATATTTAGGAAGCCCCACTGCTCCAATATTTTGTTTGATCATTGTCACAGCCCGAGCACAGGCTGTTTAGGGGTGTACAGCCACAATACAACACACGGAAGTTTCCCATTTATATGCCGCTACAGCCTCTTCTTCAATCCCACATCTACCCCACTGAGTTACTCTCCTTCATCAGATTGGCGCCCCACCAAATTGGCATTTTGATATTGTTCTAACGCCCTTCTTGTCTCCGTGTTGAAGTTATGGGCTTCATTCGACCAGCTACTCCTGGCTTCCTGATTACCCTCATAGCCACCATCTTGTTGGCTATCGTATCTTTCTCTGTCCCTCTCATAAAATCTGTATATTTCCTCAAGGCCAACCTTGCCGTGGAAGGCACCAATGGCTACATCACTTTTGGAACAATGGGCTATTGTATGGATATCTCAGGGACTCTTTCATGCTCCAATGCAACAGTTGGATATGATTTTAGTAAGTCTACTTATAAACATGGCAGGATTTATACTGATGACATTCGACTACCCTGGCATATATAGACATCAATGCGTTGGTAGGCGATAATACGTCTATCCAAATCCCCACTCTAGTTGTAAAATGGCTCACATATGCTCTCGTCCTGCATATCGTAGCCTTCGGCCTCGCAGGAATAGCTACCATCTTTGGTCTACTCGCTCACGTCCGTGAAATGTCCATGACTTGTTTCAGCAGCTGCATATCAGGATTCGGTGCTACCGTTGCCCTTGTTGCTTTCATTTTTGACCTCGCCATCTTTTTCGTCGCCAAATCCAGAATGAATAGTGTTTCAGGTGGCTCTGCTTCCATAGGCAACGCTGTTTGGCTTACCCTTGTCTCCTGGATCCTGCTGTTCTTCAGCGGATGTTTCTATGGTATCGGAAGGTGCTGCATCAAAAGACGTCCAAAGGGTGCATGGGGCAATAATGACCGTACGGGTGGGAATGCATATGCAGATCAAATGCGACTTGATGCTGTCAAGGCGGAAGCAGATCGCAAAGCCAGACAACAGCAAGGCGAAATTGGTTTACCGTCATTCCAAGAGTACGATCCATCGCAGCCACTGAAGGCCAGAATCTCGGGTGAAAATGTATACCCAGACGAGGAGGAAGCCGTGCCATATCGAGACAACCAGAGCGTCTCCACCGCCGGAAGAGCTGGCACGGGGTCCTATGGTAGTCGTCCATCACTAGGTGGTTATGCTGGAGGAGGTTATGTGCAGGCTCCTCGGGGCACGCGCGCTGTCGATGAATACAACAACACTTCTCCGTATCCAGCGCCACCACGCCGGAAGAGTAGCACCCTAACTCAGACGACGTCCTCGAGCGTTTATCCGCCGACCTCTGCGGCTCACTCGATGTCGCCTGTCAATTCGTATCATCCCATGCCAAGTGCATATCCTCCCGCCGGGCCTGCAGCTGTCGCTCCAATGCATAATGCTGCTGGTGCTTATTATAGTGACCCATACTCCCCAGAGGCATATGGCCATGTGGAAGGTGCTACTTGTGAGTTGTAGTTCAGCGGCATTTTCTTATTTTCTCACACAATCGCAGCCCGTACGCCTTCGCAGCGACGTGGAGCATATAACCCTTGGGAACCGCAGCAGACTCACTACCAGGAATCACCGTTCAACCCAGATTCATACAATGCTACGGGTGTACTAGCTGCGGCTTCATATGCTGCACATACCCCCCAGCCTGAACACAACTATGGTGCCATCGGTGTACCACAGCCATCGGACCCATACTATACTTCAAATTATCAAAGTTCGACTAATGTGCCGAGCTCTCCGCCGCCAACCAACCACAGTGCATATGCGGCACCTCCGAGCACGGGTGCTGTGAAGGGCCCGAGAGGGCCGACGCCTGTGGTGATGTCTCCTCCACATGAGATGTACAATGACAACCCACCAACATATGAGGCTGGTCAGTCGCGGGCGCCTGTGCAGTGGAAGTCCTGAATGTGATGTACTTATTGTATCCTCGTGATGTTTTCATTGAGTTGGTATATACTGCATATTTTTGTCATACGGACCGTATCATGATTGGCTGTAGGACTTTATTTAGATACCCTCTGTATTCTATAGCGAAACAGTGGCTGGTCTAACATGAACCGAATGCTGACAGCAATTCGTGTCTTGGATTTTAGAGTTCATCAGTGAGGGTTCGCTTTTGCTTTTCTTGCCGCTTAGGAGGCTCGTCCGTAACGAACAAGGCGAGGAAGTCGTCTGCAAGGCCAGCAGCAAGGATGCCAGTGATATCGGCTGGATCGGACTGTGAGCTTCCTCGTTACTAAATTCGGGGGTGGATCTTACCGTTATCGTATGCTGGAGCAACCTCAACAATGTCAGACCCGCTGCAAACGAGTTGTCAACTGCTTGTACAGGCCCATGAATGATGGAAGAAATCTTACACAAAGTTCAATCCAGCAAGACCTCGAAGAATTCGCTTGGTTTCTCGACCCGTCCATCCAGCGGGTTCTGGTGTACCAGCTACCTGGGCATCAATACCTTTAAGGCCATCTCAGTAATATTTCGCTCACTTGCAGGTGCCTGACCAGGGTCTAAGAAAGAGCGATTAGTACCCGACGGTTAGCTATCAATCGGAAAATCTGCAGACCGATGGTGTCAATGTCAAAGCTGAGACGGTACGCGATTAACATTGTGATCAGTGATGTATTACTACTTGAGGCGTACCTCAGGTAAACAGGTGAATTGCCGACGCGTTGTCGGATATGCTTAATGATCTCATCTGTTCCAAGGTCGTCGATATCATCAGCCATGATAAGCTCAAAGCCAACTTCTTCGTCGTGTTCGATCAGCTCAGGGCCCTGTCCATTCAATTTATGTCAGCTCGGATCAACTTGAAACACAAGGAAAGCACTGACCTGCAGTTTGTTCCGGATTCCAGCGTGAATACTGGTGTTGGACATAAGTCCTTCCTCGAATGCCAAAGAGAAAAAGGTTCCGTGCGTAACCTTGGACTGCTGGGTGATGCCTCCTAAGCTTGGCCAGGTGTCGATGTGTGCATCAAAGTGAATGACAGAGATAGGCCCATAAACCTGATGAAGAGATCGAAGAATTGGAAGTACCTAGGGATCATTCGACATGTGAAATTTTGGGGATGTAAGGGCGTGCTATCTCACGATGGTATGGTCTCCGCCTACCAGCATATGATTAACGATGACGTTCGCGAACGAGATCATGGTATGTGGCTCACCTAATGTCAGTATACGGGGGTGCTCCACTCCATCACGCGCAAGATTTGCGGTGCGCGCACTAGCGCTTCCATTCACGGGTCGTGCCAAGAGCGTGGTATAGGCAGTTTCCATTTGATCAATGGCTAATGCGTTGTCATAGGGGCTGACAGGAACCTATTACACTTGGTCAATGCGTTTAGACACCTCTGACGGGCCAAAAACTCACATCTCCACAATCGATCACTTTTGCTCGGGTGTACGGGTTCGTCATCCAGTTCAGCGCGTAGCCGGCCACAGCGGATTGACGTCTCGAGCCAGATCTAATTGCATATGGCCCGAAGCGTGCTCCCGGTCTGTAAGAAGTTGCCGTGTCGAATGGCATGCCGAGAACAGCTATGTCAAAGGTTGTCGATGGATCATCTAGGCAATATGCATAGGGTAGGTGGGAGTAGCTCAGAGGTCCTGTGTAACCGAGGTCAGTCTGTGCGCCGTACTTTGCTGCCCACGGCTCCTGCTGTTGGGCTTCGAATGCATGTTGCTGCGCATAAACAACGGGAAGTAGCGCGAGCGGAAGGTATCTCATTGTCAATAGCGTTTCTTCGATGCTACTAGTGCCGGCTTATGAGGATAATCAGGATGGGTCTCTGCGACCAGAAACAATTTATATTGCATGTTAGATACTCCGAAGGTATTTCTGTGTTATCTGTTTAGTACCTGATGGGCACGTGGTGATACGAGAAACACAAAAATAGCTCGGAAGTTAAAACAATCTTCAAAGTTCATCGCGAGGCCAAGAACCTGGAAGTGCGTGTGGCGTGGGAGGAGACTGAGACATGAACATCGATAGAAAATCGTGGACTAGGTCAGCCGCAGCCGTGCCTGTGATTTCGGCTGTCAAAGAATATCTCAGTCCCAGCCACAAACAGCTAGATAGGTAAACAAACCATGGTCATAGACAGGGGCGACCTCTACTATGTCGGCGCCACTGTGTCGCAAACAAGGCATGAGGGCCACGGGGTCAAGAATAGATAGGGTTACCTACACGAAGTTCAATCCGGCTAGGCCACGAATGATTCGTTTGACCTCCCTACTCGTCCAGCCTCCTGCCTCGGGAGTTCCCGCTAAATTCCAAAAATTCAAGCTTGGATTCAGCCATTCTGGTAGTGGGACATACTAGCAGGTGCAAGACCAGGATCTGTTTAATTCGTCACATGGGGGGCAGATCAAGAATGGGCATTACACACCAATGACATCAATATCTAAACTATTGTCCCTTCAGCAACGTTCTAAGCCGTTTGTAAAGCGAACATACCTCAAGTAGACAGGGGTGTCACCAACACGCTCCCGTATGCGCTTGATGATCGCGGGAACCCCGTGATCATCAATGTCATCGCTCGTAATGAAGTGGAATCCAACCGATTCATCGTTTTGAATGTCTTCAAGTCCCTGAATTCAGAGGTGTTCAATGCAAATAATGAAAGATCAGAGCCTTGTTTACCACTAGTTTGCATCGAATACCAGCATGGATGCTCGAGTTCGAAACCAAACCTTCTTCATTAGCTACGTAAAAGAACGTTCCGTGGGTAATGCGCGATTGCTCAGACACAGTTCCCGGATATCCATTCCAGGTGTCGAGGTGTGCATCGAAGTGAATGACCGAAACAGGTCCGTATACCTTGTTAAGAGCACGAAGAATTGGGAGCACGATCGTGTGATCGCCTCCAAGGCTTCACATGATATCAGGCGTTGGCATGTACGTGTTTGAATTGAACTAACCTGACGATCCTTGGATGCTCGCGTCCGTCCTTCGCAAGCTGAGCACCCTTCACCCAAACAGGCTGATCGGAGGCGATAGGACGATCTAACAAGGTGGAGTATGCGACCTGCATTTGGTCCATGGCAAGAACATTGTCAAAGGGAATGATCGGAACCTTTATCCTTGTCAGTTCATGTCGATTGCTTGTCATTGAAAAAGGCGCACATCGCCACAATCAAGTATTTTTGATCCTTGCTCGTACGGGTTATTGCCCCAAGCCAAGCTATATCCACGAGCCTCCCTCTGTCTTCTGCTGCCTGAACGAATCGCATAGGGTCCAAAGCGAGCGCCAGGGCGGTAAGAAGTACCCGTGTCAAAGGGCATACCGAGAACTGCTATGTCGAACTGCGCGGATTCATCTTCCAGACAGCGAGAATAGGGCATGTGAGAAAATGACAATGGTCCAGAGAAAGGTTGATCAATCTGTGGACCGTATTTTGATAACCATGTCTCAGGCTGTTCAGTAGTGCTGCCCAAGGGGACTTGGTGCGCAAGCGCGATCCTGAGGGAAACCGCGCAGATTGCAAACTGAAGGAGACTTTTCAAAGCCATGCTTGTAACGTTGGTCACTTGGGAAGACGACTGATGTTGACTCGATATCTGAGAGACAGGCCAATTCTTATCTGGAAAATGCGACAGACGAGGTCAAAAATGTGCTCCAATAAGGGACTTCAGAGAAGCTCCAGGCGCCATATTCTAGACGCAGAAGATCAGACAAAGCGAACTATATTATCAGCTGCTCAAAGAAGCATGTACATGAGGCAAAGACAAACTTTAGAAGAAGATAAACTTTTGGGGACGGGTTAGAAGGAACGGCTATCTTCCTTCCGTCTATATAGGGCTGGCTAGGGGAGACTAGGGACGGGTCCCCGTGCGGCACGAAGATCAAGCTCGCTTATTAGCTGCCAGCCTGCCACGGCGTGCCATACACTATCATGATAGTAATACTACTGGAGTCGTGGACCACACGAAATTAAAGCGCACGTGACCGTCTTCAGAACTTCCCACCACGATACTGATGTCAAACTATAGTACAAAGTATGTACGCTGAAACCAAATGGAAGACGACCATACAAACATCGATTCAAGTCGCTACAATGGTCTTCGATGAGCGGCTGATGTACGCAGGGGCAAAATCTGCCATTGGCGGCGTTTTCTAGCATTCTCGCCTTCTGTAGGAGCATCCCGCTGACCGATCGTCACAACTCTGAGTTTTCTGAGGAGCTCGGGAGAATCATCTGCTTCCCCTTCTACACCTCGATCCTGCTCTAAAGTTTCGTCTTCAGTGAGTTCTATATCCCCACTGAAAACGTCTTCAGGAGTTGCCTTCCGTTGTGCTGTGCCACCAGAGAAAAACGAAATTGGGGTTGTAACAGCGGAGGTTAGGAAAGCCGACGCATTGTTCAACAGTGACTTTGGTTTGGGCATCGGAATTGATGATAGGACGTATGTCTTTCGCATCCATGCGGTCGAGGTTTGCGCGGCTGGCGGAGGGTATGCGGGGTCACACTGGAAAGATGCAGTGATTTGCTGAGTTTCTCGGGAGTATGAGAAACGCGGTAGAGGATGCGAGTATTCATTTGGATATGGCTGAGAGATGGGTCGGCGATGTCGAAGCACTAACCGGTCCCCTAGATCTACGGTAAGTTTCACACAGCAGATAACAGACTCTGACGTCACACCTTCGATATCGATTGCATGTCCTGACGATCTTGAGCAAAGAGCGCCCGAAGTATCGATAAAGAATACCTGGACAATTTCATTGATCAGCAGTCGCACGGAAGTGAATGACATACTTGATTATTAGCATCTGGGTTTCTGAAGGCTGATATCTTGTTAGGGTTAACGTGTGTGCGTACGAAAGGCGAACCCACTTTCAACTAAAGACTTTTCTTTCTCTGGCCAGAGCAGAATCTCGATACTATCTTCTACCTCATCTCCACCAACATCCCACAGTCTACCATTCCCAAGGTTACGAATCACGAAGTATCCTGGAGGAAATCCATAGAGCTGAGCATTCGCAGACATGGTGGTGGTGGTCAAGGGCAGTACTTCAACGGGGCAGTTACTAGTTACTCCTTCTGGAAAACCCCTGGGTTTCACTACGTAAGTGACAGTACTAGATCGTGCCTGATGAACGAAGTCCAGAATGGCCGGTCGAGCTCTCGATGGTTCCAATCCGTCAAGTATCGCATGGAGTTGATTGTGCACAGGGAAAGTCGACCAGTTCACGATGAATCAAGCTCTCAGCATCGTACATACAATTGGTAACTTAAGAAACATAATACAATGATTGACATGTGAGTATCCAAGTAGAATTATGTTGTCATTGGTCACAGGCGTCATCTGTCCTTCGCGAGCTCTAATCATTCTCTTCACTATCAAATGCACCAGGAATTCTCAATGTTCATCTGATGCGCACAGCCCGTTCGTTGCGCTCTACGTTCTGCTTCTCCATCCAGTCATCTAGAGCGTACGACATCTTAGAGAGACCCTTCCATTCGTGACGCGCGACGACGCTCTTCGATAATGAATGACCTCCATCCCAAGCAGCGCTCATCATCATTGGTTCCTGTAATAGATATTGATTAGCGTAATTGACAGAGAGGGAAAAGAATGAGCTGACATTGCCGTTCCAGCTGACATCTCGTACACAAACTGTGCTACGGGTGCTAGTGGGGAGTCCACACTCCTCGGCCGAGGGATCGTATGACATAGCCGACGTCTTCGTGCGATCGAGAACCTGTACTATTTGTCCATCGAGCGACCATATCTAAATGCAACGTGTTAGATATAAGAAAGTCGAGTTGAATCGGGACTAACGTGTATTTTCCCATCTGCCGAACCGGAGTAAATGTATTGACCACCTGTTGTCTCAGCCGGACTAAAGTGGCATCGGATAAGTGTGCGTAAGACAGCATGACCTCTGTAGGTCATAACGCTACAGTCACGTGGGTGTGCAGCGTGCCTTGGTTTCGGGTAATGACCATAGCTTAGCAAGACATTTGAGGTTAATTCTCACTCGAGTTGAGACCTGAAGCAACACACCGGTAATCAAATGAAGGTGCCCTATAGTCGCGGTCAGCACTTTTGTCAAAGTCTTCGCTGCTGCACATCTTCCGCAAATCCCATAAACGTAACGCCTGATCCTTTCCGTTTGAGATGATATAACGGCCATCGCCTTTCGCTGAGACATTGGTAATGCCTTCTGTATGGCCCACCAAGACTCCTGACGGTCTTTGTGATGCACCTAGTGAACGCCGGTCCCTTTTACTTGCATTAGTAAAAGAAAGGTCAAAACCTGCGCAGAACTCACCAAACTTTCAAAAATGTGTCATCTGAGGCGCTGATTAGAACATTTCCCGATGCAGTGTCAGCCCAACAGCAGCTGTTCACGTCATCTTGGTGTGCAATGATCTTGACTGTCCTACGGTTAGCCAAGAGGTCATAAACTAAGGTGGAGCCGCTATGAGAAACCGAGGTCCAAAAATAAATAAAGACACTACCAAATATTTGACGACTTCCACCAGCGACGACCTCATTCCCATCTGCAGAGAACCTGCAGCTCCAGATGCCAAATGACTCGTCATCGCCATAATCATCCCAGCCCCAGTGTGCGCGAGACCGCTGACGTTGATTAGGATCCTTAAAGCTGATAGGAGTTTGATTAGACGATGAGTCAAGTGTGCTTGTCATGTACACCGTCGGTGACTAATATCTATTGAAATCAATGGAAATTACAGAGCGGTTCCACTTACAATCGACGAGTAAATCATCCTAAAGCGATGTAAGCATGATTTGAAGGGAAGATGCAATTACTTGCCTTTCATTGTCAGGACTCAAGTGAGAATCTGTAATCGTCCAACGGCCAGGACACCCCTGTATAGTCTTCAATACCTTGAGTGTCGTCTCATGGTCGCGGTCGTTGTCATCCCAAACTCCTGTCGCGCTGCGCTGTGTGTTCCTTGTTCGCTTGATATAGGGTGAGGGAGGCGAAGTCATGTCATAGATATGAAGGCGAAAATCTTTAGAGGAGTATGAATTTTTTGCCCCTTGACAGCAGGATACCACACACCTTGACAGCAGGTATAGTAAAATGAAGAATCTGTAGAGTGACATTAAGTGATAAATCGAGCGAGGGAATGAATAGGTGTTAACCTCTTGAGAATTGTCCACAGTAAACGTTTGAGGCGTAGGACGCAACGGCGGTTCCATTCGTATTCGGAATGAGATCCTGTAAGAAGTTCAGGCCGTTCCATAAGATACAAGAGGTTAACATACACTGGTCATATGCTCTCTAGACACTGCCCCTCGGGGTCGCGAGGACTGGCCGAGAATCATCCGCGAAACATTCTTCTTGTTTCTCCTACTCCTGATCTTCGGGCCCACACAACCAAATTCTCCTCCCATGAGGAGCCCCACACCTGACTTCTGAGGTTCCTGGTATGGAGGGAACCATTGCTGGTGCCAGTCTCCTACGATTCGTCCAAATTCGTAGCCGTCATCGTCTTCTTCTTCATTGTCGCCATCTGGAGACTCCACAGAACGTGAGTCCCACAAACGCTGCAAGTCTTGAACAGTGATGGTCCTGGGCTGTCGACCTCCCCTTGCATTACCGCCACCACCAGTGTCAGCCCGGACATTTTGTGAACTAAATAATGCTACAGGTTGGCAACAGATAAGCGGAACAGGCCTTGCAGGGAGTGAACTCACATAGGATGATTTGGCTCAACATGGGTGATTGCTGTGGGACACCGGAGGGCTCCTGTATGGAGTCTTGAAGGTCCTCTGAATCCAAGACACGATCATCTTCCTCGTCGACATAAGCGTCGGGGCCATCATAACCATCGTCATCTTCTTCGAGCATTTCGAAGTCAACTCGATCGTACTCAGACATGATTGAATCTTAGGAGGATGGGTGTTAGTAAGAAAGATGAGTACATGTGGTTATCTTTAGCGTCTTGACCTGAAGCCACGTGAATACCTCGAATCCGCGGACCGAGAGAGCTCATATGGCCCGATGTACCGTGCACGACGGGACAAATAGGCCTCCACCCAGTCTCCGCCAGTACATCCATGTCCAAGAGGTTTACAACTTTGCGGAGGTCAACAGACGAAACGACGAAGCATACTTAGATGATAGGTACTGTCTGCGAGTACTAGTATTGGTCGCAGCGCAATAATATACGGACATGACAAGGTCACCTATATCATTTACCAGGACTAGCTTATCATGGGAAGATACATAACAAGCAAGCTGTGTCGGAATCATGGATGTACTGCAAGTGGTGAGGAATTGCAACTCCGCTGGTCGTTTGAATTTGAGCTATAGCATACGTTGAACGGACACACAAATCAAGAGCAGCCATGCCGGCGCCCCTTCTCATCACAGCGGATCAAGTCAATTGCCTCATACATGCTTATTTCATGGATTCTGGTGCAGTTCCATATTCTTCTTCTTGCTATCTATATCATCTAACTCCGTTCAGGCTTTCAGCACTCTGCTTTCGCCCTACGAATGGAGGGCCGTCTTGACCAGTCACCTCATATTAAGAAGCATATTCCACGCGGAGAAATCATCGAACTACTTAGCAAAGCTCTTCTTTACTCCGAGGTCGAGGCTCATTGGAAGGGTGACGAACTGGCTACAAATTGTTCAGCTCCGTTTTCACTCCTAGACACCCATACATGTTTACTCCAGCCTATTTCTTCAACAAATGATGTCCGCGAACCCAATGCTCCCAAGGTGAATGGGGACACTGCCGGTAAAAGGAAGGCAACCACACCTTCTGAAGATACCCGTGCTGAGAAGAGAGCAAGGAAGGAGCAAGAGCAGAAGGACGCGCAAATGGACGTCGAGGGTGCGCTCATTCCATTCTTCATTCTACTTTGTCCTCAATTATCGCAGGCGCACCCGCCCCAAAGCCAAAACCGAAGGACCCTAAATCAGACGCGTCTCAAGTCTTACCAGAAACTGCCGCTAAGAAGCTTAAGCACAAACCTAGTGTTGTTGGAGCGCGTGCCGGTGCCGTTCGGTTCTTACAGGCTCACAAGACCGAAGTGCGCATCAATACATCATTCTCAACGTCCTGTTCACGATCCTCTCTTAGGTTTTCGTTGTCGCCTGGAATCCTTCTGCAAAAGGCCAGCTAGTCTCTGGGTGTGCTTTCTCTAATATCAAATTTCTGTTTGTGCAACTTAACTCTGACTACCCAGGTCGCGTGATGCTGTTGTGAATTATTGGACCGTCCCCAACGGACCAAACAACGATCCCACAGCCCCCATACAACCAACTCTAACTCTATCAGACCTAACTACAGCTTCGCAGGCTGATTTGACAGCACTGAACTGGAATCACGATGGTTCACTCGTAGCTGTCGGCTCATATGATTCCATCCTCCGAATTTGCACTGCGAATGGGGAAATTTACTTCAACGACAGTCACCATAAGGTAAGATAGAACGTACATCCTTCCTTTTCCTTATCCATGTCCGGTAGGGTCCCATATTCGCTGCGAAATTTTCACCCTCTGGCCAATGGATCGTAACCGCTAGTCTAGACTGCACTTCATGTGTCTGGGATGTCAAGCACAAGAAGATACATCGACAGTATCGTAATCACGGAGGTATGTCATGACACTATGGCGATTGGCGTCTTGTTGAACTCGTGGGTAAGACGCTTGCTGCTTGGATGTTGAATGGCTAGACGACTCGACTTTCGCAAGTTGCGGGGCAGACAAAGTCGTTCATATCGTATCCTTGACAGCTACCGGGCCATTGCATACTCTTGAGTAAGCTTCCTTATAGACAGAGTGCATCGACAGTCTTCATGATCTGCAAGGGGCCATGCCGGGGAAATTAACTCTATCAAGTGCAATCCGTCTCGAACACGGCTAGCGTCGTGTGCGGACGATGGCACCGCACGTATATGGAACATCGAAAACATACATTCCGAGAAAGCTCTGCCAGCGCCTGTAGTGCTCAATGGCCACCAACAATGTCTCACCTCCATCGAGTGGTGTCCTGTCACTGGACCTGGTGAGCACGAACTGGTTGCAACGTACGTTAGGTTGTGGTTTTGGTAAATGTTCGCCTTCATAACAAGCACACCAGAGCCTCGTTTGACGCCACCGCCCGATTGTGGGATACCGTCACTGGAAACTGTACCAAAGTCTTTGCGGACCACACCAAACATGTCTACGCTCTGACCTTCAGCCCCGATGGGCGTCACCTCGTCACTGGCGGAGGTGATGGCTCGTTAATTATATATGAAGTCAAGGCGAGTCGATTACTTCCTTCAAATTGTATCTGCTGAAACCGGGTCATTCAGTCGAAGGAGAAGAAATGGTCGTGGTATACGGGCGAGAAGTCTGGGATATTCGAGATTGACTGGCAGAGTTGGGGGAATACCAGCTTGATTGCATTGGCTCTGGAACGTCAGATGGTGGCTATTGTTGACCCAGGCAAGGTGCTTGCGCTTCAGAGTTCTTGATCACTGTCTTTTTACCTGGACTGCATTACCTTATCATTATTGCGCTATGTACTGCTGTTGCCAATCAGTTTGTTCTGCTCTTACGCGGTGCCACCGTGGTGACGTAGTTGACACGAGCCGCCGGCAAGCTTTCCGTTATAGTGCTGCGATATGCCGGTCACGAATTTATCTCAGTTCCCCTCGTCTCTCTTTCGTCGTAATGTTGCATCTAGGCCTGTCATCGTCTTTGCGTTATTCTTTGCGCCGCAATGTGGCAGAAGCAGTCGTACGGCCTCGGGCGCAGCCCTTCTCGATGCGTGCACCATCAAATAATGCGAACAACATACGGAGTATGTTGCAGAATCGTCCGACCGTCTTGTCGCCTACTCTGCTCTCCCGCTTCTCGCGCTCTATTACAACAGATGCACACACTGTAACAACCTCTTCATCCCAAGACGCTTGGAAGCGTTTTGGAATCACAGCGGTAATGCGCCTGAGACAATAACGTTCCTCTCGCTGACACGCTTTGGCTCGTTAGGCTGTTGTCGCAGGCACGGTAATCCTAGCAGAAGGCTTCCTGAACAGAGATACTCGCGATAGATTGAGTCCAGCCGAACAATCCTACTTACATGAAAGTTTCAAGTACACAGGGGGTGGACTAGCATTGACTGCACTCGCCGCTCGGGGTTTGTTCAGGTCTGGTGTTGCCTTCAGGATCATGTCTGCGAACCCTTGTGAGCTTGAAGATGAGAGTGGCATGGAAATATGCTGAGGCTCTATTTTTCAGGGCTTGTACTCGGTGTCAGTCTCGCGGGTAGCATCGGATCCATGATGGGGGTCTTCTACACGCCTCCGGAGCAAACCTTCCAAAAGCACGCTTTTTGGCTGGTATGCTTGATGATACCGCGGCCTTCCAGCATCTGAGCTGATCGTGATACAGGCATTTAATGCGTGTCAAGCCGCAACCCTAAGCCCATTGTTCTTCCTGAGCCCCGCCATTTTATCTCGCGCAGCCCTCTACACGTGCGGCGTGGTTGGTTCTCTATCTTACGTGGGCGCCACCGCCAGGTATGTTTCACACTTGTTGTAAGGAACAGCAAGTAACCCGTGCCTAGGAATGATAAATATCTATACATGGGTGGACCACTGCTGGCTGGCGTCACAGTCGTTGCTTTGAGTTCACTCGCACCCCTCGCACTCCCGTTGGGTATGCGTGGCCTCGCTGTTGCAGAGACCCTCTCCCTTTATGGAGGTCTCGCTGTCTTTGGTGGCCTTGTTCTCTATGAGTAAGGTTCCAATACATTTTCATAAACGGTTACTAACTTATTCCCCTCAGCACCCAAAAGATTTTGCAGCATGCGCGGATGGCGGAGACGGGTGTCATTCCCAGAGATCCCATAAAAGAATCTGTTGCCCTTGAGCTCGATATGATCAATATCTTGTGAGCGGTTTCATCTTGCTTAGTGGCATTACCGGCTGAGGTTTTCTTTCAGCATCCGCCTTGTTCAGATTCTGGCTATGCGCCAAAATAACCGAAAGTGATTTACTCGATCCCCGATTGCCCTGCCTTGGCTTTCATCACCACTCAGCCTTTACTCATTCTGTGACTGCACGAGATGTCGGGATGCACGAACTGCTGGTGACCAATAATATAAACATCTCTCATATAATCACGTTCATAAGGTATCTCATAGTCCACATGTATTATTAGCTAGGGAGGTACGAATGTGTATCACGCAGTGGATTTTCCAAGATCCTCAAGAATATTGACGAATGCCCCTGGGTCAATGATCTCTGTGCCGCCATAGGTGACCCGCTTTCCAGTCTTCGCCGCCCATTCCTCCAGGTTTCCGTACTCAACATATCCTGCCCCTCCAACAACAAACACCATGCCCTCTGAAAATGCCATGCGCTTCGCTCTACCTGCTCCTAACGTGCCCCCACCTCCTGGACCGCCTGGACCACCTGAAATACCGAGCCCAGCGTGTCGAGAAGCTCGGGGGTCAAGGAAAATATAGTCGTCTGTTTCTTGCAGTGACTGGTTCGAGGCTGCAGACGAGTCCATGATAGCCTCTGTAAGTCGAGTAACAGGGAGCAATTTGTTCGCTGGTAGGAAGTTCTTGACACCCGAGATAAGATTGTCGAGACCCCCTTCTTTGAGTCGGTCAGTGAGCTAGATGATAGATATGTCAGAGTCTGTCTGGAGAGTAAAAGAATTACTGACTCTGTTTCCGAATGCTGTGAAGCCTCTGAAGAGTTCTCCTTGGCCTGCACCGAGTACGGGCGTCGCAGTTCCTCCTACAGTAGTGGGTACGGACATCCGGGATATTTCCCGAGTACGTCTGACATATTCAAATGCTGCGATATTGGCTCCAGCCTCCTTCAATTCCTTTTCTAACTCGGCGATATCATCCTTGGAGATTGCATTGTCCATTGATGACAAGTAGAAGACCAGAACTAAGCGCAGTTTATCCTCCGGTGTAAAGGTGCCACTCGGTCGAGGAGCACGGAGTGTTTCTAGAACCGAAGCAACGGTCTAGATCATAATCAACACGGAGGATTATTATATAGTCGGATGAGGGCTGCACCTGTTTGTTGATAGCCTCTTCTGTGCTGAAGAGTTCATCAAGCCCACGCTTCTTGATCTGCTCTAGCAATGCGGTGGCTATGTTCATATGTGTATCTAGAACAGCCTTCCGCGCAGTCAGTTCTGGTAGCTGCGTGATCGCAGTCTTCAAGTGTGTGGCATTGGAAGATAAATCACTAAGACCCCTGTCAGTAAACACGATACCGAAACCTCAGGAGTACGTACATTTGCGAAATGTCGTTGACATCACTGACGCCCGTAGATCGCGTGATTTCGGCAGCATCTTGTTTGTACTTGTTCAGTTCCGTGTCAATCTCTTCAGCGACTTGAGGGAATGGGTTCGGCGCGTTCTTTGCCCAGAAGAAGTCCTTGGAATCGAGATCATATGAGCGCTTCTGTGGTTGAGTGACGACTACGCGATTGAGCTTGATCTCTAGACAATCGGACACCAGGGCTTGATATGTCCATCCATGCGAGATCATCGAAACGAGATCAATGTTCCTGTCAAGAATCAGCAGCACTGGAGCAGTTTGAGCTACGTGGCACGAAGCATGTGAACAAACGTACGTGGTCGTTGCAGATTTGACAAGCCGGATGCATCTTGGGCGAATAATGATGTTGTAGCACCATGAGTTCGGGAGGCCGAAAGAATCGCATCTCGTATTTTGATGTCGAGCTTTTTGGCTATCATCTCCGCCGCATTGCCTTTGGGCGCGCGGATGATCGGAACATGGCCTTATGTGCTATTCAAGTCACCCATCGACAACACATCAAATATGCCGCACTCACCCATCGTGACAACAGCACTGAAAAGGCCACTGGAAATCCGTTCAATCTCCTCTTCTATCTGTTGCTCGGTGGATGATGGGGAGTTTAGGAGTTTATAACATGTCATAGTTTGTCCCTGTGACGGCCCTGCCTGACTAAATGGTGCGGTAGGAGGCAGTGGGGACAACAATGAGAAGAGCGAGGGAGAGGGTGCGATGAAGGATAGATATTGATCAAGGACCTGGGAATGTGCCGCATCAGCGCGTAGAAAGCAGAATGGACATGCGCAAGACACCCGCCTGTTCAACTAATTCACCTGTCCCTGCGCTTGCAACAGAGGCGGCCAGCTCCTCTAGCAAGGCACGGGGGAGGGGTTCCACAAAGTTGAGGTGGAAGGACTCATACAAGCACTTGTCGAGGTCTTCCGCTATCCGTCTTACATTGTCGAGGGTGGGGGCAACGAAGTAAATAGCCGGAACGTCTGGCAGTGGAGGGCGTAGAGAGTGTAGTTGTCTATTCAGAACTTAGATGCGGATAGTATCGCAATGAATTATCAGTGCCTACACATGGAGGGTGACGCCGACATCACGAAGGTCTTGTACTCGGAGCACAGTTGCCAACACGTCTTTCGTTTGCTGGTCTAGCACTAAGACCTTCCACACGGGAGGCCCTGTGGCGGGGGGAACCTTGAGTGCAGTCGAAGCTTTGCCTGACGGTGTTCCCGGTCGTTGAACGGGGTCTGACGGGGCGTTCAGGTTAAGCAGCGCAAGCAAAGCACCTGTTTGTGCTTGCTGCAATGTTGTTGGCGCGGTTGCCTGGGCTCATCTGTCGGTATCAGCAACACAACAGACTGGACTTTGAGAACTTACGTGCTTCAGAGCAGTGCTTGCCATTTCGATGTCCCCTACTTGATTTCGCGCGAAAGACTAGCTGCAGCAGTGGGTTTGCAAACACTCAGCCACGTGCACGATTGTCAAGTGCTCAGAAAGGCAATTGGTATGTGCTTCTTCCTGATGCTGTTGATCTGTTACTGGTGACTGACCCGGGCCTTGCTGATAGGCCTCAGGCTATCTTTGCAAACTTTGCATCGATGAGCTTCATCAGACTCACATCAACTGTGTCATACCCTCCATTGACTTTACTAGGTGTGTGACTACTGATAAAGTATTTGCAGCGAAGTGTACCGGTGTGCGACTAGCGGGCTCGCGGCGCGCTCAACGATAGACGTGATTTGGCGCTCACCAACAAGGTTATCCACGATACACTTTGTAGCCTGAGATGAAACTACTTTGGAACACACACCGATATTTGGATCTCCCCTCCCATGCCGCAGTGATTGACTGGCCCAATGATATCCAAACCTCCCGAGCACCGCAGTCACTGCCGCATCACGCATCAAGCTGATGCACACCGCCATTGCGAGGGGGGATGTACTAAGAGCCACGAGTACACCTCTATTTATATTCATCTCTGTCCTTCGTTGATCCCACCAATTAGTCTTCCTGCTTTATACACACCTTCAAACCAATCTGTAAGACTTACGTCCGCATACGAGGTATTTAATACTCACCTTCTACTGTCAAACAGCCAGTCACTCCTTTGGTAACATGGGTGGATCACAGAGCAGGGTGCAAAATCATCATAACAAGAAATCCACCGTTACTCCGCGGCCCATTTTTAAGTCCTGGTCGCTGGGACATAGGCGAAAGAGAGAACGGCGCCATTTGAGAGACGAATTGGCAAGTCCAGTTGAGAGAGACCCCGCCCCATGGGTTGGAGGCCATAAAGTATTCGTGGCCCTCGAGGACGGACAGGGGTTAATTGTCAATCGAGATGCGCTAGGACCCCGCGCCAAGCGGACCTCTGAGTATTATGCGTTGTAGCGCTCGTTCGCGTTCATGAGTGAGCACCCGTTTTCTGTCTAAGAAACATGTACATGTTTTGATGATAAAACTCAGCTATATGCATTCATCTTCGCATGCCTGTGCACTTTGTAATCAAGGGTATGCTCACAAGGCCGACGTTCACGTGAGAATCTGAATAACAAGTCCGGCTTTAGTCCGTGACTTTTCTTTGACTCCGATGTTTTTGTTCTCGCTGAGAGCCTTTGGTTCTGTGTCTCTACATTGTAAATAGGTGCGGTTGTACTTTTATTGTCGGCTAGTGATGGGTAGTCCTGGAAACTACAGAACCACATTGTACTTACTCGCAGATCCGGGCGCATGCAGTGATCAATTCGAAGTTGTTTGTTGAACCTTACGTATGCGAAGGTCTTAATATTACTGAACCGAATACGGGCTATGTATGTGGTTGGTTCATGAAATTTTGAAGCTTACTTACTGGCCATCGAAACGCCACCTTACTCAATATCCTGCTCATTCATTACTTGTTGTATACACGCCCAGCCGAGGGCTCTTATGACTCTTCACGCAGAAGCCGGTTCGGCGCTACGACCTAGACGATACCAAGCGGGTGGTCAAAGCCAAGGGTGGTTCGGAACCGCCTCTGAAACTGCTCATTCACTTGCTCCTTCTGACGAACTATCACTCATGTTAAATTTACTGTCTGTAACACCAAACCCTGGCGGTTCAATGTTGTCTTCAAGCCCATACCCCGTGATGTATACCACTTCGTACCCCACTGTAACACAATCAGCCTCAACATTTGTGTCATATTCAACTGCTATTGTCTCGGCATCCGACTCTTCGTCCCATGTCTTTTCTACTCGAAGTATTGCGCCGATTCAGTCTGTGTGCATCGGAGATGGTTTAGATTCAGCTTCGGAAGGAGTGATCGCAACTGTCGTGCTTTCAACGTGTGTCGGCCTTGCCATTTGGGTGAGTTACCACTTGATAATCCTCTGCTGTGCCTGTATACTCAATTTGTCTGGAAGCTGCTTTTTGCTGTACTGCGTCCGCGTTACCGACAAATATATGCGCTTAGAGAGTGGTTCGTGCAACAAGAGTAAGGCGCTTATATCTAGGTAGTAGGTTATGCTAACTCTTCTATAGTCTGCGACCGGATCGGTTAAGCTCGAGTCTCGGCGCCTTCTTCTTTCCCTCTGTACCCTTTGTTCCGTCTACACCTTCAGACGTCTCTGATGCTGGAAGGTCAGCTCCAGTGGACGCTCGCTTGTTTCCATCCGACGAGGAATTGAGCCAACGCACTCTGTGGACATGCCTCATCATCGTGCTTGGCTGGAGTTTGGTGGGCCTTGGTGGCGCCTTGCCGTTATACCTCGTGTCTACGCCGTGTCTTGCGCACTCCATAAGTGACCCTCGTTTCAACGGAATTTACTCCACAATTCAAGACCTCAGCTTGCTACGTCTCCTGCAGCAGCTAGAAAATAGCCCAGACCCTACAAACACCACCTACTCAGTACTAGACGTGGTTAACGGCGAGGACCAGGCTTCAAATGCTCGCCTGCGAATCGTCATTCTCGCCGGTTTGGCGGCAATTGTGGCCACACCGCCAGCTCTGTATAAAATACTGAAAGAAATCAACAACTTTGTTGCATTTCGCAGACGCTGGTTAGAGGTGCGATGCGAAGGCAAAGAGATGGGCTGGCTGAGCTTGAGAAAAGCCCCCGGTTTTGCAGGATGGGGAGAGAAGCGTGTCAAGGACTATCTTGTCAACATTAGACTCAGCTCTTCCTTGGGAGGCTCTTCTCGGTCCAACAACCGACCGCCGCAGCTCCCACGCCGAACTCAGTCCTACTACCAGAACTCCCAGGATTCAGGATTCGAAGTTGACGTGCAAAGTCTGTTCACTATATGGTAAGAAAGTGTGTAAGACAAATATTCACGAGCACTGATGTTACAACGTTTTCTAGCGACACCCACAATTTGGCGCTTCTCATTGAAGAACGAGACGAAGTGCTGGAGAACCTCGAAGTTGCAGAAACGAGATACATATCATCCTTCAAGATTTCAACGCCCGACCCCTCCATTGCTGATCTTGAAATTCTCGTTCCCCATGCATCTGAAGAAACACCATCTAGACCTCATATAAGCAGGCCCCGTGTTCTGGTTGGATCGGTAACAACCTCATTTACCCTTTTCTATCATTCGGGCTAATAGTTGCTTCCAGAGAAACCGTCCACACCATCGGAGACACAACCCGGCGCAAGCTAGCTCTTCTTTTGCTCCAACCTCATTCGTAGCCCCATCGCAGTACTATAAATTGCGCGGCTTGAAAAGTTTCGATGGTGGGAGATTTGCCGATGGCATCAGCACGCCGGTTAGTTTGACCGAGTCGTTCAAACAACGAATTGTGGGCAGTCGCTTCCAGGAGGTGTCCAGAGACTCGACGTCTTACAATGACATGCCGTCAGGGAGCCGTATAAAGAGCGAAGAGATTGAAGAGTCGTCGATATCAGTTCCTGACCCAAGGTACTACAGGCCAAACCATGGCGGAGGATCGTCTTCAGAAAGCGGTGGAACTGGGACAGGAACCGAATATCTAACTGTGGAGTCGTCGATGAATGCTCGGGGATCTCTTGATGACGACTGGGTCGTCCTCGCGCGCGAGATTGATTTTGGCAATCCGTTGAGTGGGGGACCCCGTGTCGGCCCCGCACTCAGACCACAGGAAGAGCTTGCGGCCCGGAGACAACGCCCGAGACCTGTTGACACAGCATCGACCGACCGCCGGGAGACCTTTCCACTAAGAATTCGACCGAAAAACAACGTTCCCGCTGAGGATGTTCCTCCTCCTCATTTACGCCTGCAGCCGCGACAACCGTTTGTTCGACCTGCTTCTGACCTTAACTACGATAACCTCGGTGCTGTCTATGCGGAAATAAACCAATGGCGTTCCCGGCTGAAGCTCATCAATATGCAGATTGCGGAAGCTCAGCAAGATTGCTATGCAGATATCGCCGATGGCGCGCGGGTCAAGGGTTGGATTATCATCGGACGGGGTTTGCGCCACATGCATGGTGTGGAACTCATAGAGGGTAGGGCAAAGGAGGACGTGCGTTGGAACACACTGCAGAACGAAACGACGCTGCTGGATTCTATAGCCTTTTGGCTAGTTGTTGGGGTGGTCAATATCTTCCTTGCTGCTGGCCGTAAGTCGCATTTTATCGATCTACTTGGGGAATACTGCTGTTTAACTCTGCACAGTGACAGCTGTTGCGGGACTTGCCCTCGGTGCCGTTTCTGTGGAGCGTTATCTACCTTTATTTCTCCCCCTTTTAGATCATGGGAACCTTGTTTCGGGATTGGCCACTTCGCTCGCTCCCGTGATTGCCGCCACCCTTCTCACTCTGATCGCACTCTCGATCGTAAAATGTAAGGATATTGACAACATGCTCACCCTCTGTAGCGCTCATCGGAGTATGATATAGGGGCAGCCACATGGAGTGGCGTCGTATCCGTGTCCGCAGTTCGAATGCTCTCTGTCAAACTTGTGTTTTACTCCATAGCAGTTCTGGTCGCTGCATTGACTATCACTGCTGGTGCTCTCCTTTTCGCGTTAGAGGCATTCACCCTTGAAGTTGATATTGCCAAAACGGTTGCAACCGGTTGTGTCTATATGGGCGCTTTTGCTTTTGCTCTCGTCATTAACGTCGCTGTCGTATTCCCTGGTTTGATGTTGCTACAGCCCTTCCGATTATGGCGTGTAATTCGTTCAGAGCGAGACGCCGTCACCCCAAGACAACGGTTCCGAGGTAAATCTCCTAACTCCATCTAAACCGCGATGAACTGATCACAGCTACCAGCTGTATATCCAACAAGTTACGACGTTACTTATGCTGCGAGTGCTTGCGTGCTAGCCATGGTTTTTGCATCGGCATTTTCTCTCATTTTCCCTTTGATCGGGCCGGCTGTTGTGATACTTTTATTATTGACTCTTGTTGGTACGTCACCTGGCATCATATGATTCCGCAGAGCGAAATGACTGTTTCTCAGCTCATAGATACCTCACTGGATATGTTTACGCCCGAACTCTTTCGGAGACTGGGGGGCTTTTCCAGATCTGGTTACTGAAGCGATTGGGCACACTTCTTGCGCTACAACCTCTACTCCTCGGCTCAATCCTACTCAGTTGGCGGTTTTATATAGAAGGAGGAGTACTTTTGGGCATAGCGATCGTTGTAGCAGGGATCGTGGAAGTGCACACCATGCACAAAACGAGGCTTGCAAGCCTCCAAACGTTGCCTGAGAGCACACAAGAGTCTCTGAGAGTTTTTCGCAGGGCGTTGGAACCCAATGGTCTTACTGATACTGATGACGAGAATCATAGCATGATCACCACTAGAGGGAACCGCACGAGGGGCTCGATGGCTTCTGTCCTCGAAATGATGTCTCTCACGTTAGCAGTCATGCCATCAGCTTCAAGTCATCGTGGTCCGCTTCCACTCCGTACGAGCATTCCTCTGAAGAATCAAACATCCACTAATAAGGTCTTGTAGAGACGGAAACACTGGATGATCTAACTGCTACAGAACGAGCTGCCAGAACACATCCTGATGCTCCTCCTCACCTTCCTCCACTACCCTTTGGGGACCATGCTGAAGAAATGTCTGGTATCATGTATGCTCCCGAGTTGCTTGCCCCTGCACCGATAATCTGGCTTCCAAACGATACTGCAGGGGTGGCCAAAACAGAGGCAATTGACTTGCAGAAGCATCATGATTTACATGTTACCCTTGACGTTCGTGCCAGGGATGTCGTCCTCCCTAAACGAAGTACATCTACGCGGACACACACGTGACGAGTTACTCGCGCTTTTTCTTGGTAGCACCTGTTTCATATTTCCGACGTTTCCACCATCCCCGGGCGTTCTGGTGTGATATTGGTGGACTCATGTTACTTTATAGATCGTACTTATTGCCTACCATATATCAAGCATCAAAGGCGACATCCATGAACATTATTCACCAGACTTGGGATAGGAGTACAATGGTGCTTCGAGTTTTTGGCACTTGCAATGCCTGCGCAGCTGAAAAGCATGCGGCACCCTAGGGCTTATTATCATTGAACATTTTTTTTGAGCCGATGACGTCTGTTGTTGAACCCTGAATCAATCTTCAATTTCTGGACAATTGATAAAACCCTTCGAGCGCTTGGTGACACGACTTGGTGATAGTACTTTGCGGCAGAGAACACTAGAGGGATCGTAGCTGATTCCAGCTGCGAAAGGAAGACTGATCCGGGAGCTGACACAAGCTGCTTCACAACCAGCCCAACTGTTATGTCGGATCCGACAGATTTTGAGTTTGGGCGACCAATTACTTGTGAGTTCTTTATCGTGCGATTATTTACATCACTAATTCCTTTGCAGTGGCGCAGGTCAGACAAAATTCAATGTCTTGACACTCGTGGAGGTGCATAAAATGTGAACGGCCGCAGACATACTAAAAGATGAGTAATTCGTGTTATGTTGCGAGGCGGGTCAGGTGAAATAGGAACACAGGAAACATGAGACGAGTAGCAACCTGTAGCAGCGCTAAATGCGTAAAGTATTCTGACGTTCGACATGATGCGAAATTAGGGTCCAAGCATGTGAGATCATTATTTTTCGAAGCAACCCTCCTAATTAGATTGTTGAGTAATTGTGGGCATCACAGGTTTGAAGAATTCTTTGTCGAAATATTTTCCTTTCTTCGAAGTTCAAGTCGTACTAGCCCTAGGGGGAAAACGGGGAGCCACAGATTTAAAGAATCCTTTGTCCCAGACCTATTTCCCTTTATTCAAGCGCTACTGCCCTAGGGGGGGAAATCGAGAGAGTCGCTACACCGTGATTGTGTCATGGCCTTGCCACGTGAGTGCAACGACGCGGAGTGATAAACGCAGGGTGCAACCTGTTGCAACGCGGTCTGTGACCAGCAGGTGTGGAGCGAATGGGCGGCCCAAGTGATCCGGATGGTTCGAACACCCCCATGGATTCGCCGTATATATTACTCTCTTGTGGTGCGTCTCATTCAGACTTGTGTCTTCGTTCTTCAGCTTCTCCCTCACCATTTTCCCGTTCTTCCTGGCTCTGCATCAGTGCCTATGTCCAAATCAACCTCTAATTTTGAACAGGATCCATTCATATCATACTCCAAAACCTGCATGACTACACTCTCAAAATGTGGACGGAGTCCAGGAGAGTTGCAGAAGAGAAGGCGAAACTCAAGCTTGCTCGAATGGAGGGAGAGGCACGGAAACAGAAGGGAACTGATCATCGCAATTCACCCACCGCTCAGTGACCTCATCGTCCTTGAAGGGACGCCGTATTCTATATTTCTTACCGGCGATAGAAGATCGGTCGCGGTCCGTATTTCAAAACATATCGCGCTTAGTATACGCTCTGAATTTTCCCCACTATTTCCAAGACTGCGCCGTCAATCGCCGACTTTGATCAGGTCCATGACCTCCCCCTGCGAGATCTGCATCAGACGTTCTTCCATGATATCCACCGGTCGGCTTCAGTTCACCTTTTTCGCTCCACCTCCAGCAAGTGGTCATGTAATGTCCGTTTGTTCCCTGTAACTCGGCGATGTTTGATAACAGCTGACATTTTTACTATCTCCCAGACTTCGATAAATTTTAGTCATTTTTCATCGCTCTGACAACATAACTCTGTAAGCTCATATGTACTTCGACACGTTCATAACCGCCGCCTTTCTACCTCATGATCCTCGTGTAATACTAGCGTGTTCAATGCCCATACATTGAATCCAGGCCTCCTAACGATCTGCAACCACCGTGAATTACTTAGACTCGACAGTCCTTGTGAGCAAGGCTTTTATTTGGAGACTCACACGAGTCATAGGAACAGAGCCACTGGTCAGACAGTCTACAAATCAATATGTACGAAAGCGCGCTATTGCGAGCAGAACCGGTAGTAATAATCATGCGTTCGACCCTCACGGTATCTAATTTGCTCCACTTTGTGATGCTGTCTTTCACCGGAACAATTCGCTCGGCGTCTTGCGAAGAAGTAAGTACATGGTCATTAATATTCAGCTTTCCCAAACACGTATCCCCTTTGCATCCCTTTGCGCGCGACTCCCAAAACTGACCTGAGCAACAAGTATCATGGTTAGGCCGGGAAGCTGTAGACTTGTTAATCCTGACATCATGCAGGAACGGAACTCACGACGTACAAGTGTTCCTATCAGAATTACCTAACTTCGCGGAGTAGGCATGCGGCAATATATATTATATTCGCGGTGTCAGGTTTTTATTCATTCAAATACTTGATCGCTTCTCCGGATCCAAGACACGTTCGTTCGGGAAGGTGGGGTCGAGCTGCTGTAAAGTCGTCTCCCGGTGGGATCCATGCTCCACAAAGAATGATATCAATTATAATTCAGTAGCGCTCGTAATGCCGTCAGTGAATACTACCTGCTTAGTACTTACGCCAATGATTTTCTCAATAGCGTCGTGCAGTCACAGCAGCCCTACCCCTAGGGTATTCCGGACCTCTAGATCTATACTGATTCTAATTATTACCGTCACTTCTGCGAATACTGTCACCTCTGCCCCGGGCAGCCTGGTGCAATCAGCGGTCACTGCCAGTGGTTCGCTGAGAAAGATACGGCGCACTGTCTGAAATGGTGTAGACCGCTTATTAAATTATGAACGCTGGCAGGAGGATTACTTAAAGTCGATCCTGCTCCTTGCAGAGATTGCTAAATTCTTGACACTGGCTGCCCCTAGGTACGGCCCAGAATTGGTTGTGGCAAGACTGTGCATACAGTATTTTCAGCATCCTTCAACCTGTGAAACCCATTACTCTAAACTCGCAGCTGGCTTGACCTTGCTGATTGGTAGGAGCTTACAACAGACAGGTAAGAAATACTTATTCTGTTGTTTTACTCTATTACTCCAGCTGCGGCTTTGCGCCGAGCTTCTCGGTGTTACACACAAATCAGATTTCTATTCCGAACTTCAAACCTTATTGTCGATTCAGTCACAGTCAAGGTTATACCAACGGTCTCGAATGTACCAGTAACTCGTGTTGTCACTCCGACGCTTTCAACACCGACAGTCGTCAAGCATCCCCAAGCCACCTTCAAACCGGCATGTCGGATCAGCGGTCTCCAACCGCACCGGCAGCTACCATCTCTCTCGGAGGCGCAACCCCCGTTTCACCGGCACGGAAACGACGCACGGGGACACTACGCACGGGGTGATGTGACATGCCTCCGATTTGGGATCGACGCAATCAAGGTATATTGCACGGTCAGCTGCAACTAGCAACAGAATGGCGCGCTTCTCCATCACCTTCACCAAAACTTTATCTGGCGCTTTTTGACCCCTTCAAACGCATGCTTGGGTCAGGCAGGCTTGGAAATCATGACTCGTACCTTTCAAGATCAGGGTGCGCTATAATCTTGGGTCTCCATGGTCAACAGTTGTGCGGCAGAAGAAGTCGCAGTCGTTATTGGGCTCCTGTTGGTTATACGACCGTATCTCAGCCCCTTGGCGCCGCGAGGGGCGGCATATATAAAACTTGCACGGACGCACCATGCAGCGTACATGGATAGACATACTGATGGCATCAGGAACACTGCTTTGAACACGATTGTCACGTCCTAGCAATGAAGAACCGCAAAGACCAGGCGATAGGGCACCTGTAATTGCAGATGGAAAATACTGGCTGTTGTTACAAAGAAGATGATAGATAGTGTTTAAACATTCCAGTAGACGATTCTATCGCCTTCGCCCCCCCGCTCCACCGCCCATCACAACAAGTTTATTACCCCTCTTGTTCTTGTTCCCGTGTCCAGCTGCGCTTCGCTGCTCAAGTTCGTGCCAAGCTGCATCTATCTCCCACTCGTCCCCGATCTCCTGACTCGCACTGCGATTGTTCGTGTTCGAACGTCCAACATCTGCACCCGATGCGGAGTGTGCAGCAGACGCAAAGCTCCTCGAACCCCAGGCACCAGTAATCTGGGGAGCGGGAGACTCACGATTCACTATCCCCTCGACTTCCACAGGATAAGCGATGGAGTCGAGAGGCACAGAAACAACAGACTCGCTCCACGGCGCAATAAATTTATCCCTTTCGCGTTCTTCTGCACGTGCGCGTGCGCGGTCGTCCTTCCTACCTTTCTCCTTCCTTCTCGACTTACGGAGTTTGATCGCCCCTTCAAAATTCTTGAGACCCTCGTGACCCACAACTCCCTCTAAGTCCGCCTCGATGAAAACGACGTCTGCGCCTTCTGGTGTGTGTGCGAGGTACTTGCACCTCTTACGCAGGTCGTCGTTGACAGTACCTTCAGTGGCAGATTCTATACAGATCGTAATTGTGTCCGGGAATGAGGCATAACTGTTAAAGTGCGAGAAGAGGATCTTGATGTCGAGAGGATGTAAAAAGATGGGCAGGCCAGACGCTGCCTGGTAGTAGTAGTAGGTCTGCGTAGACGGGGGAGGAGGGTTAATATTACGGCGTTGTCTGTGATTGCGATTATTAGAAGAGGTGTTGGTAGGGAGAGTTGGAATGGGAGCTGATGGCGGCGTCGACTTGGGCGTGGCAGGGATCGATAGAAGGGTACGCGGAGATACAAAAAAACCGGAGCTTGGATGCATGGCGAGAAATGCTTCTGGTGCCTCGGAGAATGCAGCTCCTTTCGTCTCCCCAGCAAGCTTCCGCTCATATTCAACATTATGGCGCCGTTCGATGTCGTCGAAATCCCTGCGAGTTCTGTCAATGGCTTCCTTCAGCTGCGGCGATTCCAATGCAGCTGCCTTGGCGATCTGATGGCGAAGCTTCTGCTCAGCTGCATCAATGAACGAAATACTGAGTTCATCTCGCATGCTGGCCATCATCCGGCGTTCCACTGCGAGCGCGTCCAAATCGTTGGAAAGATCGGTGATCAGATAGTCAGGAGTAGCAAGCATGAACTTGGCATAGTCGTAAACGTCAGGGAGGAAGTGAAAAGGAGCCTGATGAGGCGGAATTAGGTCTGATGGCCAAGTGTGTGAGCGTGGTAAGGCAAGGGTTGTCAACTGAGGACGTTGCATCAATCGCATCCGCATTGTAGATCCAGCTCGAGTAGCCCCATGATCCGAAAGTTGTGTGGAATGTGAGGAACCACTGGCGACAGCATGCTCTCGCTCGTCCTCTTGAAACCGAGGTCCATCATACCACTTGACACTCTTCAGCTGTTTCTCGTTGACAGTGTCGAAGCAGACCGGACATCGCGCCCACTTGAGATTATCCGACATGCTCAGGTAATGTAGGATGCAAGGAAAACAATACACCTGGGAAATGATCTTCAGTCTTTCGTATACAACAGAAGGCATCTACTGACATGCCCGCATTTTGTCATTCGCGGAGCAGTTGGAGGAGACAAACAGATGGGACAAGTCTTAATCCCCTCCTCCTGTATGGTATGCCCTCCACCAGTAGCAGCAGATGCCAAAGCTGACGACCGTGGCATGATGACCTGCAATATATCGTGCCATTGGAAAAAGCTATAATCAACAGTAAGGTGTGAGCGGTCCAGATACATATGGGAAGCCTCACATGTCTGGATCCGCAAAATGCACTGTATAGTCACCGCTTGGGTTCATAACAAACCGGTACTGCGCATTCACGAACCCTGTGGCATGTAAGGACTAGCGTCAGATAATACAGATGACGACACTCACTCTCCTTGTTCCACACGGCTGAATGGACAGCCTTCTTACTCCTCCTAGGCAAACTCTGAGGTTGAATCTGTCTAGGGGGAAGTGTGAAGTTCAAGAGATGGTTCAAGGACTGATTTGAGGACATCTTCGCTGGTCGCTTGGGGGTGGTTGCCTGTGCTCTCAGCTGGGACGTCATCGAGCAAATTTACGGGCGGAAATAAACTGAGTAGAATTAATGGATGTGACTGGATTTCTCGTGGGGTTCTTCCCTACCAGTGGGATAGAGACCACCACGATGCCGGTACTTAAGACGAAATCTGTCGGACCTTATGACTCCCAATACTACCAGTGTCACGTGTCGGTACCGTAGCATTCTTCGGAATCGTTTGCAGGCAGTTACAACACCATTTCATACTATCAGGCTGGCGGCGTCATGGCAAAAGGCAAGAACCTGAACCCAGCGGATGCCTATAGTGAGTCTCCTTCTGTACCACATACAAGCCCAGTAGTGAATGGCACTGACCCTTAGGAAAGGCCCAACGAAAGAAGGAACTTAAAAAGGCGAGCACAGTAACACACTGAACAATCATATTTGAACTAAACGCACATTTTGGAATTACTATTACTGTAGTAGAACAAGGCAGGGAGGTCCAAAGCTCGTGACTTCGCTCTAGTCAAGAAGGACACAAGAGGTTGGTCTACCCTATCATCTACAGTATTCGACTCACTGCTACTTTTTTAGATATCCAGGATGAAATCGAGAAGCTTGAGGGAGTGGCAGACCCCTCTGCTACAGAGAAATATCGCCTCGCGGAACTCAAGGCAGACCTAAATAAAATCATGGCTAAGAAAGAAGAATACGTCCAAGAGCATCCTGAACAACGCAAACTTGTCTATCGAGCTCGTAGAGAGAAGGATGAAGCCAACAAAGAGGAACCAGTTGTCGAGCAGAAGCGGAATGTTTTCAACAAGCACGGTCTGCCTCGGCATCCTGAACGAAGCATCTACTATGATGCTGTCATGAATCCCTATGGTGTACCCCCTCCAGGAATGCCTTACATGGAGAGACGTAAGTTATACATGTGTGAATTGATTCTGATTCTGATATTCTCATGTAGCTCTGAGGCCTGACGAGATAGCCAGTGATGACGAGGTCGACGCGGGTTAGCAAATCCTGTTAATTTAGTCATATTGATCTCTTGCTCAATTAAATATCTAGATGATGACGTCGTTATGCCTGAAGGTCCCCCTCCAACCGGTAGCAACGATGACATTATTGACAGCGATGATGACATTCCGATGCCGGAAGGGCCTCCACCAAGCAATCTTCGTGCGTTCCATCATTTACTTTAATGTCCATTAGTTCCTCAGGTCAATCTCATAGAACCACCACTGCCGCCAAGCAGTCCCTTTAGCGGCGCTCCGTTTCCACCTCCACCTCCACCACTTCCTCCATCTGTTAATTCTGTTCAGGGTCCCCCGCCTTTTCCGCCGTCTTATCCATACCCACCCTCAGGGTCTGGACATGCTTCTCCTCCCGGCTTCCCGCTCAGTATCTCACCATATCCCCCTGCGTCCGCGTTCATGCAACCCCATATGCCCCCCCCGCCTCCTGGGTTTTTCCCTCGTGTACAGTCAGCTTCGTCTATGCAAGATCCACTTTCTTCCATCCCCCATCAAACGTACCAAGCACATCGTGTCAACCGCCTGACGCCCCATCCATCACTTCCGCTCAAACCTTCGTCAGTCCCTGGGGCTTCTCCCGTAGGGATTGCTAGTAATAATACAACTGCAGCTACGGTTTCAGCCGAACCGCAGTTACGAGACTTGAAGAAGGAGGCTACGGCGTTCGTTCCGACATCCCTGAAGCGGAGAAAACCTGCTGCTGGGATGGTATCATCCAAGGTCAACGCAGCTCCTTCTCTTGGCGGAGGGTCAGAATCTTCAGAACCAGCACCTGCTTCGCGACCAGATCTTGTGAGCTCATTGATGGATAAATTCGGACCGGTACCTGTGATCCCAACAGCCCCGCCGAATGACAAAGGTTCTGCGAGGGGCATGCAGTCCAATACTGGGAAGAAGGATGATTATCAGAAATTTGTGGCGGAAATGGGTGACATTTTAGGTACATAGTTCGAAGTCATGAGGCATTCAGCCGCTTGCACGCTGTGATGTCATTAATGTAAACTCGGAAGTGACAATGCAGTTTGCTCTGTCGGGCAAGATTGTTTCCTCCATCTTCCTCTTGGAAAAGTTTACAGACAACGATACAAAGATGGGATGCAGTTGTTCGACCCTCATAGACAACGTTATTGAGAGGTGAGATATGAGCTACATACAGGAGAGCAAAGAGCAGAAAACACGAAAACACGCAAGATGTTGGCAAATGATAGCTAAGTAGCTCTAAGAAAATTGAACGTTCCACATTCACGGCGTCTCCTTCCAATTGCCGTCTAACAGTCGAATGCCTCTACGAGTCAGGCGACGGCTCCATTCCCTCATCTCACCCTGTATACCAGCCTCCTGAGCACGGGAATTCACTCCATGCCTCAGCCAGCGCACGTCACGCATACGTATAACTTTTAGGGAAGGAAGAAAAGGGAGGAGTCTCTCCAAAGTGGCCCAGAAGTCACTGCTAGGTCGGGGAAGTGACAAAATCTGGAGGGGAAGAGTAGGAGGGGACGATGCACCGGATGTCAATGGTGTTTTGAATGAGATTGTAAGTGCAGGTAACGGATATTCGAGAGAGAGGTGCATCAGATTTGGGGATGTGTAGAGTAAAGTAGTGGGTGATGAATGATAGCGCGTCGGCCAAGATTTCGGAGTAAAGAGGAAAATGGTTTGAAGGTGCTGCCCGTGCGTCTCAAGAAAGGGGGACGAGAGTGATGCCGGAAAGGGAATGTCATCATACGGAGTAAGTGACAGTGTCTGTAAACACGGTAGGGGAGAGTGTAACAGAGCAAGCATCAACGAAGAGGAAGGCATAGATAAAAGAGTAAGCCTTCGCAGGTGGGGTAAATAAAGCGGGGCAGCTATAGGTGATGCCTTGAGACCTTCGGTGCTGTCGAAATGTGACTCGAGATCGGTGTCGTCCAAACCAATCCCGATGACCTCCAGCTGCTCTAGGTTTACGCATACCCGCAGCAACTGAACAAAGGGATCTTCATCAATTGCTACCGTGGAATATATCAAGGGATCGTAATAAATTCCGCCCATGGTACGAAGGTTAAAGCAGCCATCTCTATGTGTCAGAGACGCAAGTGCGCGACGGCTCAGGAGAAATCCAGAACACAAAGTCAACTGTGTCAGGGACGGCAGCAGTGGAAAAAGCTGCGTTAAAAGTGTGTTGACCGCATAGTACACCGAGGAATTGAGCGCTGCAAGAAGCTCCGAAAGATCAAGCACCTGCACCCAACGACCGGGGGTAGAGTGCGGGATTCTCCGGATAGAATCCCACATTCGGTCTGCAGAGTGAAGATGTGCAGTAAACTTCTCCAAAGAATTCACAGAGTGCAATCGTACACAGGAATATAAGAGCGGAATTGCAACCTCCTACCGTGAAGAGTTTGTGTCAGTATGGTGATACAGAGTACATGGAAACAGTCATGCGCAACTACGTTCCGTCCTCCGCCTGCTTCCGTGTACGTAAACGCATTGAAAGACCAAGTTACTCGCCTTGAAACCCTTGCATACTAGCATCAATGATGAACACGAGCGCAGTACATTTTTGTGCGAAATATGCGATTGGGCATCTTGATCGTCCTCAAAGACAGCCTGCACAAAAATATGTGACCATATTTCTGAAGGAAGAGGTTTTAGAGGGGGTCGATGAGGTAAAAGAGGGAGGAGGAGAAGGCGTCCTGGATAACGAGCAAGCGGCCTTGGATAAAGCAGAACCTCGCCCATAAAACAGTTTCAGCACTAACTATTGCAGCCAAGAAAGCTGAAAGTCTGTGTGCACTCTTGCGAAATGTCGATCCCATATGGCTATATCAATGATCACGTGACCTCGACGCGGTGCCGAGTCGCGTTCAATCACTGTCAGTTCTCTTCTCTGCTCCTGTATATTCTATAACAACCTAATAGTCTCGCAGGCCGAGAACACACATTATATATATCTCTTTGAAGTCCATTCTAGCCCGAACTGCAATAACGACCGTTATGGTCTTCCTTCCGCCCAATATCATCTTCCCGGTTATCGCTTTGGCTGTCCTGAAAGCACTGTGCATCTCTGCCCGCCCAGTTTCAGAGGTATGTCATGTATTACTACTACCCTCCTTATACTCGTATAAACCGTGGCAACTGTGTTAGAATTCTTCGAATCCCGCGTATGCGCGACGCTACTCTGAGCATGTCCCCCCGATAGGCTCGGATACCTTCAATGCTGGGACCCTCTCCCATCCCGCCACCATCGCGGTTGATCCCTTAGAAGTAATGTTGGATGCATCGGGGCTTGGGTCACTTGATGGACATAATTCCAGTGATACAGACGAGGGAGAAGGACCACTAGACAAACTTGCCACGGGCCCTGTAGGTCAGAAAATTAGATGAATGTGAGTCGCTCATTTTCGCATAACCAATCAATTCTTATCCGATCCCTTCTAGAAACCGAGAATTCCAGGGTGTACCCAATCTCCCCTAGGCATACCATAGACGGACATTTCTTCTATACTATGGTATTCTGAGCATCTTCTTGTCCTCATCTGCGTCAGGCGCCCAAACGCTTGCACACCAAGATGTGAGTCGGTGTCACAATGATCGAAGCGGTTGTTTTGGAATGCGAGTCAGGCATGTGAGGCAAGCTGTTATGCTAGTGCGCGCTATATGCGTCCCCTCAAGTCCTAGATCACGGCTACGTGGGTTTAAACTACCAACAGACAGCATCGCAGGAAGTGGGATGTTCGTTCGGCACTGCTTGTAGCGAGGAGACCTTCGGAGGACGTTTTAGGGAGAGCAGTGTGCACAGAGACAGGAGGCCTTGCAAGCCCCGTTTCAAACGATACTAGTAGCTCAGCAAAGATACTAATTAACGCTATTGGCAGCCGCGCGACTTCAACATATTGATCCCACTGGCACTATACTAGATCCCATAAGATTGCTCGACGGCTCCCTCATCATTGCCGCCTCGGGACTCCGGCTGGCAGTATTTCTTCGAAAGGAGTCAAGCAAGGGCAACAGTGTGGAGAAAAAAGCACGAGCGACTTCGAGTTGCCCTGTAACAGTGCAGCGGATCGTACATACTTTGTATGTATGCCGGAGTCAGCACTGAGCACTACCTTAACGTTGCAACCTGGGTCATCATACTTCTGATGCTTCGCAACCGAACCACGGCGTTTGTTGAGATGGGTTGACCGATGGATAAGTTCAACAAGTTCGTCGAGAAATGATGCTCTGGAGACCAGCCCATCGCAAACGCCGCATTCCAGAAGTGCTGCTGATAACTCGCCTGTGAAGTCTACCGAATCCTCTGTAAGTAACCGGTGCTGGTTGTATGATAGCATTTTGGGCACGAGTTACTTAGTTTCTGACATCGTGAACAAGTTGATGGCCACTAGGTACGCTTATAACGCAGTATAAACAGAGCTCGAATTCTAACTGGTTGGCATGGGCCCTATGGGGCCCGGACAATCCAGGGCAAGGGGTACGCGCCAGCCTCCAAATTTGGACTGCAAACGACCACATGAGAGAGATGCAAGTATGTAAAGAAGGGAAGGCACACGGTAGACTCGAATAATTCATACTCGCAAGAAATATACTAGCCAAGCGAGACCACGCAAACCTCCGAAAATCCTTGATGCAGTTTATCACTGCGGAGTAACCCCCTCGGGGATGTGACGTGGGTGAGTCCAAAAGGATTCTGCACTTTTCACATGGAGATGACATTTCGGCACACTCGATAGCACGGGGAACAAGAACAGATTTTGAATTGAAAAATATCTCCGGCGCGTTAGTCGGAGATAGGTGGGAGAGGAAGAAGTCAAAGGGTTATAGTACAAAAGAAATAAAAACATAACGACTGCAGCTATGAATACACAGTTGTCTAAAAGTGTCTTCGGTGGCTGACAAGCATGTGAGTAAAATCATAAAGACTCTAGCTATGAATACACAGTTGTCGAGAGGCGTCTTCGGTGGCTGACAAGCATGTGAGTAAAATCATAAAGCAACTCATTGACTGGCACTTACGATCAGGCGCTTGGTGAAGGGGTGCAGGAATGCATGTCACCAGTGGCATATTCAATCAAGCAGCCTCTGGAATTCATGCTTTGCGTGAAATCCGTGAAGAGAGGATCGGGGATTATATCTCCCCAATCGCCATAAAGAATTATGCGGCGCAGTGCTGGAAACGATGATCTGGAGAGGAAGGCGAGGTGTCGCTCAAGGCGCTCTTGAGAATTGGGGATCATGTCGGTAACCATGAAGCACGGGTGTGCGTGCAAAGATATGGATTGAAGCGCGCAAGGTTGGTTGAAAATTGGTGGTGGGTATGTGAAGTTAAGAAAGTAATTGAATTTTTGGACTTGAGGACAGCCAGCGAGAAAGGGAGTGATTTGATCGCTAAGCAAGAATCCAACGTGCCGTCCGAATTCAACCGTGCAGAGGCGAGCGCCAAACATCCGCCAAATGTCCTCCAGTCCGTCCTGTTCTAGCGGGAATTCTGCAACGACATGCACAAGTGAAGGTAGCTGCCATCGGCAGATCTCTTGCACGAAGATGACGTTGATGCGTCGTACACGAAGTGTCGTCAGTGCGGGGAGCACCAACGCATCGCTAGTAGATGGGGCGGAACTCCACATCTCCCCTCCTACAACAAGATACTGGAGATTGGGAGAGTAGCATAGAACATCTATGAGCGAGTTGATGCCCCCAGAGCGAGCAGCATCATTGTAGTGCCACCACTCGAGCCTCTTGAGGTTTGGGAAGGGGTGGCTGCGAGTGGGGAATTCATAGCGTACCGCGTCTGGAGGTCCTGGCATGAAGGGCCTCACCAAGGTTTCCAATCCCGGGCAAGACTGCAGAATCTGTAATGCGAGATCCGAGCTAGTGTTTGTTGCAGTACCAGTGTAAGGGTAAGGAAGTTCAAGGCGGCGGACGTGTGTTCCAAGCTGTTCACCTCCATATGTCTTCCCCAACTCCTCCGCAAGGGCAGGAGCCCCATGTCGGACCATGACATCCTCATACAGACTGCTGAGACCGAAGTCTCGCCAAAGCTTGCAGACCTGAACCACTGCATGCCTAACAGCCAAAGCACCCGCCTCTCCTTTGTTTTGCCTCTCAAAGGATGCATGGAAGGGCTCGAAGGTTGGCAAATCGAAAACTGACTGTGAGTGGGTCGCCCAGCGGATTATGGACAACCACAGCTCCGGAGGGAGCAATCGGTGGTCATATCTGGACATCCCAGCTTGACGATGAAAAGAGAAGGGTGAAGATTCCTTCTCCGATTTCGACTGCGTGGCCTCTTTGCTGGCTGTGCAGCGCTTGTCAACCCCATCCTCAGGCTGGGCGTCTACTTCTTCGACCTCCTGTTCATCGTCATCTGAATCTCCATCTTTACCCACGATCCCGAGCCTCTGTTCCACTCGTTGCAATCGATCTTGTAAATCGCCGCACTGTTTCTTCAACGCATCGTTATCATTTTTCAGGGCCTCGTTCTCGGCACACAGCACCTGAATTGATTTCTGTGATTTCTGTGACGACTCCTCCGTCGTCTTCGTGACCGTGGCATCAAGCCGATGTTTGTTCTCGCTCGCGACTGCCTGCTTTCTCGGTCGGAAGAAATTTGCCAGACGATTAGCTGGCCCTGCTGGTGTCGGGGTGGTCATCACTGGAGGGAGGATTGGACTGGGGTGACTGCTACTGCACGACTATGACTGTTCTTGGTAAAGATTGTATAGACAATGGACATGCCCTTCTCCGGTAGTCTCCGCTACGATCGCGTCTCTGACCAACAAGTGAAACCAAAGTGAGACTACATACTGATCAATTTCAATGAATGCTGTGTATATACGTACACCGCATGCATAGCTAGTACTTATAAATATACGCGGGGTGCGGTGAATATTTGAATAAGAACGTCGTCTAGAACGCAACTAGAAGATACCTAGTCTTCCCTAGACAGAGTCATTACTAGAACCTTCAGCATATGTAACTCTCACGGTTCCTGTCAAGGAATCGCACTAATGTTGGAGTGTTGCACCCGATTAACTCATGACGTGCATTACCAGTAGCGCGAAAGACAAGAACAAGCAGCATATCGATTGAGTATCGATCAGATAAGCAACGTTTACATCAAGATGAGACACGCAGAGGAAAACATGATCGGAATGTGGTATCGTTGAGAGACAGTGAGGCTAGCAAATAAAAACACAAGGGAAGCGCAGCAAAGAAATGGATAATATAGCTAGAATCGCCTAACATCAAGGTCACTTCAGTGACATTACAATGAACGTAAAGCTCGTATCACGCATGTCCGTTTTCGTCAAGTATAGCATCAAGAGGGTATGAAAAACCGGCTCAGCCCATTAGATGACCTGAAGGTAATTCGATGGTGCAACTGCGACACAAGAATTAGGGTAAAGGGGACCAGCGAGCAGTACAAAAAATACGCACTTCCTATCATGCCATCTGCTTTCTTTGCTTGCCACCACTTGCCTTGCTTGTCGACAATATCAAGAATCTCACCCTTAGCGAATGAGATTTCGTTTGGATCATCCGGAGAGGCAGTGTCTGTACAAGCGATGAGCAAAAGAAAATAGCTGAAAGAGCTCTTCACTTACAAGCATACAATGCCTTTGCTTTGTAGACATATTCCTCTGGCGCGCCTCCAGGGTTGGCTTCAGGCATAGTTGGACTACCTCCACTGATACCTCCACCTGCGCCTACACCAGCGGCACCAGCACCCATCAACGGTGAGCCTGGACCCAATTTATTGTCAGGGCCACTCAGGGACACCGGGGCAGGGTTCGGTGTACTGTGGATACTGCCTGCACCAACTGCAGGTCCAAGGCTGCGGGGAGCGCCGTCCATGCTTCCACCACCGGCGAAACTATTTTGACTCCTAACACCAGGACCGGTACCCATTTTGTTGGTGCTGTCATAGGGCATGTCGTGTGAACCAATACCACCCCCAGGAGAGTAGTTGGCTGCATAGCCATTGGTGCCAATGTTGCTCGCACCGCGAGTTCTACGGCGGCGGGACGGGGGTGTGAGACCACCGGTGCCCATAGAGCTGAACAAGTAATATGCGAGAGAATCTTCTTCGGAGGTAAAGTAGATAACCCATAGAATATCCACTATTGCAAGAATAAGCCATCCCGCAGCCATAGCGTCCAGCGCTGCCACTCCAGTAAAAATGCTGTTGCTGACGATGATGACAGCCATAACGATCGCGATAGCACCGAAAACTGATATTTGCAAGCGGTGCATGGCTATTGAATCACTTGCGAGGGTGTGCAAGACGCCAAGGGTTAAGAATAATTGGAGGAATATCCCAAACCACCCAACGCCAACGGCTTGTTCATGGACTAAGGCAAAGAAAAATTAGTGAGCAAAACTATAAAAAGTAAGCCAGCTATTCTGACATTGAGCAGTTGCGATACATTGCGATATAAATGCAATGAACCATGCCAGCTATTGTGACGCGCTTAGTTGGGAGAATGAAAAATCCGAGAGTTTGAGACCTACCACTGCAAGAATTGTCGTAAACAAGAAAAGATAATGAGTTAAGATTGGTGTAAAATCTAGTCCTTCACTGCCACGAGGAGGCATGGTTTATTTGTCGAGGTCGTAGAGATTTTTTAGTGAGAAAGGTGAGTATAGAAGACTTTGAATTGCAGTACAAGAACGAAACCAACCACGTGTCCAATTACTCCCACGGTTCTATGTCCACTGGCGGTGCAGTTTATCGAATCACAGCAACTAAGTTAGCTAGGGGGGTATCTTCTACCATCGCCCTGCAGGCCTGACCAGGTGTCTCTATATAGTGATATCCCGATGAGTCAAACCGAAGTGAACCTTGTTTATATTCTACCGACATCGATGGCGTTCCGGCATTACTGACGCGCGACGACGCACGTCGCGCGCACTTGCCAGAGGACTGCCAATAATCACTGATGGTTTCCTTGGCAGATTGCACAGTGTGTAGACATCCGTGCCGTTGCATCGTTGTTTCATGACATCACAGCATATGTCTCTTCGGCCATCCTAACAGTCATCCCCGATGTTCATCGGAAAACTGTAGTCAGCATCTTTTAGCCTTCGCTTGGCGCTCTCTATCCCGGCCATTCACCCGCTGAGGTGTCACGAATTCGAAACGGTTAGAGTCATCAGCTTAGTTGCCTTCCGTAATCATATTTGATGTGCACTGGCAGAATTATTTCCTAGCTTTTCTTCAACACCACCCTCGTGCAAGCAGCACGTTCTCGTGATTCCTCAGGCTCACATTACCATAACCTTGAATGCCTCCCCATGGATATCTGGAAAATCATACTGAGGACAGCTAGTGTGATGCTGTCCAGTTTCGGAGTAATCCTGGTGTGTGTTGGAGATTTTCTGGTCGGCGGTCATGTTTATTTTTACTATGTACGCACCGGACACCAGAGTCTACTAGCCATTTGCATTCGAACACTAGTACCATCATACGTCAAGGTGCTTATGTTCAAGACGACTTGGTCCAAACCTCCCCCACAAACGGCTCGAAATCCACGAAAGCGAATAGCTCACCGCTTCAAGCACCCCGCTTCCTCGGTTTCATCTTCTCTACATTCAAACAGTATAATGCATAATGGCGTGGTCGATGAGGTGGTGCCAGAAAGTCATACAGCCTCTCTTGTGCCTGCTACGGAATCTCGTACCCCACAGTCCAATCGCATTGAAATCTTGCAAGTCCACAAAGTTTCAAAGACGAATTCCCTTTCCATCTCACCACCCTTCAATGTGTGCCGGATAATAGCTTCTCGGGCGCCGAAACAGAGCTCGGCGCGCCTCAAAGGCAGAAGTTCTACGGGGTCTCTTCCCAAATTTCGTGAGTCAGGTTTGTGCTGCTGGTCTTCTATTGATGGCTGCTCTCGAAGTTACAAAAAGCATAAAACACTCCTCAGACCCACCGTTACGGACACAACCTTACGCCGCCCCATACTTCTTTCCAGCACCCGGGTCACCGGAAGCTATTGACTATGTGACGAAGACGCGAGAAGAGCTGCTGCGGTCCCCTCTAACTTCCGGATTCATTCATACAAACGCTTTTGCACGCAAGATGAATAGGAGAAGCTCCGCAGGTTAACGTTGACATCTGGTCGTGTGGTTGTGATAGGTGATACTAGCGTATACGAGTTTATTCCTTCAACGTTGAAGACCTAATTTAATGGCAAGCAGTGCCAGATAAGATAAGATAATGAAATGTATTGCTCGGAGATTCCCACGTGTAGCATTTGAGTTCATGATGTACCTCCGTCTGCCGTACTGCATACTGTGAAGGGCAATAATATGATGGACACCCAAACACCCTTCACACCTAATTCGAGACCACAATCTCCGTCACAGAACTTCAATCCGCAACTCCCTTTTCTTCCCATACCACCACCACCTTCCTCCTCCTACCATCCACAGCTTGCAATCTCTTCACCGTCTCCAGTCGATCCTGACGACGTCGGCGCAGCTCCCGACTTTAACACGCCTAGAGATAATTCATTAGAACCTCTTTCGGATTCCGCACAACTTCTTACCGCCCAGCTCATTTCCTCACACATGACTTCGAGAACGCCGAAGTCTGGAACACCGCGTCCTCGCACCGCTGGTGAAGGTGACGGCTCTGGAGCGCAGAGGTCTCCAGAAAGACCACTTAACGTTACCGATGCGCTTAGCTACCTCGACGCAGTCAAAGTCCAATTTCAGGACAAGCCAGACGTATACAACCATTTTCTAGATATCATGAAGGATTTCAAGAGCGAAGTGTAAGTCCATCGACATATCGGTTACATAAACGCGGAGGTACGACTTGAAAGGCGAAAATTTCATGTGGCACCAGGTTATCTTACCGCCTAAGGGCGTGGAGTACACCTGGCGTACGCGCCTTTCCTGTTCTGGTTGCTGTTGCACAACCGTCCGTTTATATCATCTTTTCTTCTACTTCACAGCCTCGTGTTGCTAATGATCCCTTCTCCTGTACAGAATCGACACGCCTGGAGTGATCGAGCGTGTGTCGATGCTATTCCACGGACATCCCTGTCTTATCCAGGGATTCAACACGTTTCTCCCCCCTGGCTACAGAATAGAGATGTCGGCAGACCCGCGCGACCCCAATATCATCACCGTCACAACACCCTTAGGGACGACCACTCAGAGCACAAGCGCTTTCGAGCAGATCTCCCGCATCACTCGTGACCCTACTGCATCTAAGTCCTTGCTTCCGCTTCCACCCACCGGCGGACCCGGGTTTCCCTTCCAACCAATTACCCGTTCGACGACACCATCGATTACTCCCTACCAGGTCCCGCATATGTCACAACCTGTGGACGCTTACTCTTCAGGCCTTCAAATACCCTCCACAACTGCTGCTGCGTCATTCCTTGGCAATTTGTCCAACCGAAACGCTGTAGAAAATAAATCATCAGGGGAGTTTAACCATGCAATACAGTACCTGAACAAAATCAAGGAGCGCTATACCGAAGATCCCGATACATACAAGCAATTTCTCGAAATCCTGCAAACCTACCAGAAGGAGCAGCGTCAGATCCAAGATGTATGTGCCCCGTGCGTTAGTTCTGATGACGTTTATTGACGCTTAAGCACAGTCGCAAGTATACGTGCAGGTGCATGGCCTGTTCAAGAATGCTCCAGATCTGCTCAGTGAATTCAAGGATTTCTTACCTGAAGCATCAATGGCCCTGGGTCACAGTGGGGTTGTCGGTATTCTTCCGCAGCCAACTAGTGGTCCAGGGGTGCCAGCACCTTGGGTGGATGCGGGCGACAAGAATGGCAAGAAGGCGCAGCTTCCACTCAAAAAACGGAGAAAGGCTCCAGAAAAGGAGACGACTCCTGCGCCGGCTGTGCGAACTGTCCCAAGTCGAGTGCGTGTTTTAGCAACTCTTTGTCTTTTCACCAATGACAATAACCCTTTGTAGGCCAAGAAGCCCAAGCACACGCACAAAGGTGCCGACCCAGACTCTCCGCAGTTTAATTCTTACGGATTACCGGAATCACCTCCCCACCATCCCCTGCAATCACACGCTGGTATGCTACCGCCACCCCAAATGCACAATCTAGTATTGCAAGGCCCCCAGCCAGCTGCCAACACGTCACACCCCCAATCAGCGCCTGATGAACTCATCTTCTTCGAGCGCGCGAAGCGCACGTTGGAGAGCAAGGAGACATATGAGGAGTTCCTCAAGCTCTTGAACATGTACTCCAAGGACATCATCAATGCGAAGACACTTGTGAACATGGCTCAAGTGTATTTAGGCGATGGTGATCTACTTTCGCAGTTTCGGGAGGTGGTTGGGGTCGATGAACGGCAAGACAGTATCGAAAATGGTCCCCCTGGGAGCATCCGCACCGGCCCGCCCGAAGCCTTGTCTGCACTACCAGCTGAGGATGGTGAAGGACCAAGCTATCGGCGGTTACCCGAAAGCGTACGTATCGAATATCTGTCATTTTTAGCCGGATGACTGAAGCGCTCTTGATTTACAGGAAGTTCATTTGGCGTGTTCGGGCCGCGACGAACTCTGTCGTTCTGTGCTCAATGATGAATGGGTTTCACATCCAACATGGGCGTCTGAAGAAGCAGGCTTTATTGCGCACAAGAAGAACTCGTTTGAAGAAGCACTGCACAAGAGCGAAGAGGAACGACACGAATATCACGTCCAGCTCGAAGCCCTTGCACGCACGATCGCTATCATCGAGCCTATCAACTCCCGCATCGAAGACATGACTAATGAAGAACGCTCTAGTTTCCGACTCAAGCCTGATTTTGGTGGCTCGAGCAAGAGCATATACCACCGGACGCTCAAGAAAGTTTATGGCCGAGATGCCGGAATCGAAGTCATTCAAGCCCTGCAAGAGTGTCCCAGCGTCGCTGTGCCGGTGGTCCTCGCTCGGCTGAAACAGAAAGATGAAGAATGGCGACGCGTGCAACGAGAATGGAATAAAACGTGGCGAGAGGTTGACGCCAAAAATTTCTACAAATCTCTTGATCATCAAGGGGTCACTTTCAAATCGAACGATAAGAAGGTCGTCACTGCCAAACACTTCGTAGGAAATATCGAGACGGTCAAAGCCGAGCAAGCAGAGTCGCGTGCACAGCAGGGTCTCCCATCATTTGCTGCGGTTTTGCCAGGCCATCAACTGGAATTTCCTTTCAAGGACATGTCCGTCCTTCAAGATTCCCTTAAGCTGGTTTACTCATTCTTGGATCATTCACATGCACACTATACTCCACAAGAACGTCGTGGGGTGGAAGGTTGGCTGCGGTCGTTCATCCCCCTCCTATGTATGTGCCCAGCTGCCGAGTTCAATGCTGGGTTCGCGCCTTTGGACGATCCGCGAGACGAGGAGATGGACCCACAAGCTTTAGATGGGCCGCGGAGCGATCACGCAATGCCGTCTACGAGCGGACGTTGCCCTTCGGGGAGTGTAATAGCCGCAGGCGACCTTCGCAAGCGGTTGTTGAAATCTTCGCAAGAGAACACCATTAGATCAGAAGGGATGGATACGTCTTCGTCATCCCAATCAAGAGGAACCACGCCTCATTCCGACGGCGTATTATCTGATACCTCCCCTGAGGATAATAGCAATGCAAAAATGGCTCCACCCCAAAACAATTCTCCAGATCAGTGGATCCGCGATGCGTCTGCCAATCAGGCGCCTCCTATTTCGGGAGACGGAACCTCTAGACGAAACCCGTTTTTCGCGAACACGACGTTCTATACCGTGTTCTGTTTGTTACAGGTATGTCTCACAGTCTTACACGCTCGACACGAGATAATTTTATCACGTGCAGTTAATCTATTCTCGTCTGCTTGTGTGTAAGGAAGAAGGCGCTCACCAGACTGCGAAAGGTCTAAATCCTGCGGACTGCAATCCTATCGCCGTCGAATTAGGACTAGATGATCCGAATGGACCGCCCGCGATACTTACACAGGCTATGGAAGCTATGTGCAACCGTCAGACTCGTGACGCGACTGACGTCGTCTATCTTTATATGTTGGAGGCGTTTGAAAAGCTTTTTGATAACGAGCTTGATCAAGGATTATTTGAGGAGCATATGCGATGGTTTTTCGGCAACAAGGTACGCGTGTGTTCCTTCCGGTTACGTTATCTGACCCCGCGTTTCCTGCAGGCATATCACCTTTTCACGTTGGACAAGTTGTTGTCTTCCTTAATCAAGCAGGTAAATATAGCTGGCGTGTCAGGCATCCTGTAGTCTGTTGGGCTCTGCGACTGCGCCGCTAGGCCATTAAAAGTTTTGTTGAATAATATTTTCCTTCAACAGGTGCAGATTCTTTTGTCAGATAACAAGTGCCAGGAGCTTTGGACGCTACTTCAAGAAACGCGTAAAGTCGATGCACTATCCAATCAGGACATGATTCGCTATCGACGCGAGGCAGAATGTCACGTGGGAGCGGACGAACACTTGTACAGGTTTGATTGGGTATGTGAATACTCAATTTCGGCGATGCTTGCATCCCTGATGGTGAAGTAATCGCAGCATTGGTCTTCGAAAACAATGTTTGTCCAACTTGTTGAACCTGACGATCACAGCGTGAATGGCGACGGAACGACGATTAATCGGTGGCGAGAATATATCGACTCGTATGTGCTACGCCAACCGACAGAATGGATAACACAGCAGAAACGTGAAGGAAAGGTATTTTTGCGTAGGTTTGTGTACTTTTTCAGAGGAACGATGATCAGGAGCGCTAATGCCTGAATTGTGATGTGTATAAATAGGCACATAACGATCGACGAATCACCGCGAGGCAGTTCAAGTTGGGATACGATGAGTATCCGAGTAAGCCTAGGCACATACAAGATCTTCTATGAATCAAGCGCTGAAGATGTATACGTTCGGCGGAGGAGTAGAGAAGAGGAGAAGGAACTGAGGGAACGGGCAAAGGTGCGGGAGGAAGAGCGTAAACGAAGCCGGTGGTTGCATTGATCTTTTAATATTACCAATATGAAAATAGGCTGGTTTTTTTTTTGGTACAAACTTGATAATATATATTCATGTGATGACATAAAAATAGAGCTTTATTTAGCAAGCGAGGAAAACAGGGTTTGCATAGAAACGAAAAATAATATTACTTAAGCTTGAGGATGCCCACGTCTAGTCCCGCTTTTCTCCTCAGACACTGACAGTCGAACTTGTAGAATTGTTCCCCCTCAAAGTCAAGTAGGAGAAGAGCGTTTTACAGGAGGTTCGGGGCATCGTTGCCATTCAATTTGTTGGTCAAATCTTGGTTGGTCGACTTTGACGACAAATTTCCGATTGCTGCCACGCTCGGACGGCAAGACTCTCTTGGCACTTCTGTGCTCTCGTATCATGGCCAAGCAAAAACATGTTCAACCCGACTATACTCCTCCTAGGCCAAGACGCAATAATCGTCGACATACACCTGCATTGCAATATTACCCGTCTTCTTCTGTATTATCGATCCTTGCTACTATCGCTGCCAGCTCGCAAACAGTAGACGGAAGTCCACTCCCGCTACCGACTCCGCCTCCTTCTTTCCTATGTCCCTTTATAGAGGAGCATGACACTCTTCACCCTCGTGACTTATCACCCACAATAACCACCACTTCTACCAGTACTTCCATATCATCATATCCTAAATCCACAAAATATAAACCCGTACAAGTGGCCGACAGATACGTTCAAGGAGTTGACGGTCGCTGGTACAAGGCAGAAGCCTGGACTTTGTTTGGTTCAACAGTTCGTTCTTTCACTATATCATGATCCATGTTTCGGCTCTGATATCTTTACCTAGTCGACGTCTTCTGACCTTACCGTCAGTACAACGCAGTCTACTCAAGCTACCGGTTCCGCGCAAATCGATTCCATGCTTCCTGCAGGTTGGACCACAACATCCACTAGTGATCGCACCGATTCTATCATTATCCTGTCACTAGCCATACTCTTGGCAGTGTCAATTTGCGTCTTCATTATTGGCTGTATCATTTGGAGACGGAGACGGAAGAAACGGTCAAACAGAGAGAAGAAATTGAATGACTTGGAACTGAAGGCTAGACATAAAGCGAACATAGAGGATGCATCAGAGGACGGTGAGAGGGAGATTGAGGCTCGTGGCAAGCTTCGCTTATGGGCGAAGGCGAGCGCTCGATGGAAGGCCAACATTCGACATTCTGCTCGTCGACGCAGGAATCGACGTCACGGCTTCTCGTCGGGGTTGCTAAGTCGACCTCAATCTCCGATATCGACAGAAGCTCGCGAGGAGCCCATCCTTCCCTCCTCCCCAGTCTTATCCCGGCGGCATTCAATAGTACCCGTCTCTGAAGATAATGATCTCCATCCCTCTACCATTGAGAATTCTCCCACTCCCACACGACCACCTTCTACATCACCCATCCCATCCAGCTCACGCATCGTTTCGTTACCTCCTGCATACATGTTTCCCGCACCGCAAATGCGTGAGAACGAAGAACGTTCTCAGGAGCCCTCGGATACAACTTCGAGCGATGCAACATCACGGCGAGGGTCACTGCTCTTCGGTCGCCATGACTTTACACCTGCACCCGAGGATGACGATATTTCTTACCGTCCCAGCTTTGTTGGGCATGTTGCTACTGATGACAAGGCGCATCTCGCTCGTATGGCGGAGTTGGCCAGCGTGCCGCCCATCAACGGAGATGACACTCACGCCAGTTCCTTAGCGGTTCATGAATCTGCTCCTGAATGGCATGATGATCTCGAATATCCCCCTTCCTCTCCAACCACTGTTGGGCCCTCCGCGACTTCTCCATTCGAGGTTGGTACTCCCGGCTTCCCAATACCGCCCTCGAAGAGTGTTATGTCATCCGGATACTTTGACAGGCACAGCTATTTGGAGGACATCGCCACCTTAGATCCTTCCGCGTTACCTTGCATGCCCCCGTACGAGGCTGGGTCAAACCTCGTTCCCTTTGAGGAGACACTGCACGCTTCTGCTCCTCCAATATCGGAGGATGACCAAGCTTTTGAGCATTGGGAAGGCACTGCTCCCGAAGTATCTGATATCTACAGTGACGAGTGTGACACCCACATTCCTTCTTCTGCTTCCCGGCCCTCGTTGTCCAGTTCTCAAGCTTCCGCTCCGCATGATCAGGTTATTAGCATGGATGGCGCACTCCCAATATACCGACGCTAGCTAGTAGTGGGTTTTTGATCCACTTTGCAGACATTTTGGGATGTTCGTCTATTTGTAGTGTACCATATACCTAATTATCATCCTGTCATGGACTTGCCACTTGCACAATACAATGTTGTTGTTTAGTTTTGCAGTAATGGTGCAAACCCTCGAGGGGTCGTTGATGACTTGATATCTAACTTATAGATTCGCTCAGGTTGCTGTTCGCTCCTATTAGGCTAATCCTCGACCGATGATTGGACCCATACTCAATCTTCCCTCAGTAGCATAGGCCTGGCGGTGCCTGCAGGCGGCCCTGACAGGGTGGGTTAATTTATTTAAATCTAATATTTTGTTTACTTACACTTACATAATTCTGGGGCTGTGTAAGACTTATACTTACTAGTAGAAGTCCAAAAATAGTATCCACATTACATGGTGCCTCGATCACTTAACCCTCGCTGATCAGATAGGCTCAATATCACAGCTCTTCAGATCGGGACCAACAGTCACCTATTCAGCCACCAACGTACTCGAGAATGGGGAAGTCGCAGAAAAAACGGTCGATGCGCCGGCACAATCCCATGCGGGTGCCAGATTCGCATCTTCCCAAAGGTCTGGAATCGGCAGCTTCATCCTCCCCGAAAAATGAAGCAGTATTACCTATCATCCAAAAGGTGCGTCTCACGACAAGATCCATGCGCGTGAATTTATTTGTGCTGTAGTTGGAGAGCCCAGACGCTTCTGAACGCAAGTGGGCATGCGTCGCGGTGTCCAATCTAATACAAAATGATCCATCTACGCGACGATTACTGCAGGGAAAAAATGTTGTCGGAGCACTCATTACGCGTCTATCTGATAGCGAGGAGGAGGTTTGGATCGAAGCCGCTGGGGCACTAAGGTGTGCATCTACATCTTCCCAGTCTTGAAGATTTCTTCATCTTATGTTCTGGTTCCTGTCAGAAATCTGTGCATTGATGGAGGATACGATATATGCGCCGAAATGTACAATAAAAATATACTCGCTCCCCTTAAAACATTTGTGCCGAAGGTATGTACAATATGCATGTTAATAATGCGAGGTCGACATTTAATGTTTCCAGATATCGAGTGCACTCTCACAATTTTTGGAGTCACCCAAAACGGCTCCAGAGAATGCACAAAAAGTAGTATATGAATTTACCGAGAATGTCAATACTATACTCTGGTGTCTTTCGTAGGTGCATCAGTTTCTCATCGCATCGAATCAGCCCTGAAGGGAGTCAGGGAAACATCAAACAAGGCTCTCAATGCTATCAACCAAATAAACCTTGTTCCCTTTTTGATGTCCTTCCTGGCCGCTCGAGCCAAATTGCCGATAGCTACTGTTACTGCTGCAGGTTCGCTCATAAGGCTGTTTTCAGTCCAGTCATTATGACTTACCTCCCTCAGCGCAATGCCTGTACGTCTTGACGGATGACAATCAGCCAGCAATAGATGAGTTGCGGTCGAGTGCGGCGTTCAGCACGTGTTTACTCGAAATTGTACACAACGAAGGCGATGTAAGGAGCAAGGATAACGAAGCATTTGGGGATAGATTGACCATGTTGAAAGTGCTGTCAAGTGGTAAGAATTTTCCTTTTGTGAAATATATGAGACTGATTATGATCAGGTATCCTGAGCAACGTTTCGCCTTTGCCTCCCCCTAGTGCCGCATCAGGGGTCGATGTTGGCAAGGAGATTGTACTTCCACTACTTCAGCCAGTTGTGGCTTCTGTGTCTCTTATCGAGTCATCAGCGCTCGCTGAGAACCTGGTCGCAAAATTGGTAAGTAATCAATCTCAGTGGCTCCTTGGCATTAATGATATGGCGCAAAGGCGCTGGAACCTCCACAGATAGAAAAACTATCTCTCAAAAGTGGTCCACAGTCAGATCACAGGTCTGACACCGAGCTCGAACTCGAACGTTTGGAGAACAAATTGCGCACTGTCCAGCTTGCATTAGAAATTCTGACCGGGGTGTGCGCAACATTGCCTGACCCCGTATCAGAAGCGCACGAAGGTGAACTTGATGCAGAGGAAGACGCTGAAGGTAAGAATTTCTACATGAATGGAGACGATAGTTTGACATTCAGATAGAAAATGATGTTGAGATAGAAGAGGATGTGACTGATGGCATGGCCCTCGACGATATACCGATTACCAACGGTGCAACAATCCCAAGTCATCTGCCTGCGCTCGTACAACCTCTCATTACCCTTATCCAACCCGCTAGGTTGTCTTTTCCTCCTGCAGCCGGGCAATCCTCGCACCCACCGACGACATCGGTGTTGAGTGCAATTCATGTTAGCGCACTTGAGTGCTTGAATAACATATTTCTCTCGCTGAGTGCGTCTCCAACTACTGAATTAGCCACGGCGACCGCGAGTGGAAAGCAAGTATGGGACGCCGTGTGGGCTGCACTTGGGAGTGTAGGCACGGAAATTACACGTGGTCAAGGGCGTAAACAAGAAATGTGGGAGATTGGTGTGGGTGTGCTCTGGGGAGTAGGAAATATCTGGAAGGGTAGCTTGGTGAGTCTTCTCACTGACAAAAGTTCGGGTGTTGAGGAGTTGCTGCCAGGTGCCCAACGAAGAGCAAGTTCAGCTATTGATTCAGCTCTGCAACTCGAGCGCTGATCCTGCTGTTCGCGTGAAATGCATCGGCACGCTCGAGTGCCTGGCGCAGCATCCACAATCTATCGATGCCAATCGCGTGAGCCGCAAGTTCTCCAGAACTTCTTGAAACTGAACGCAGAATTAGGTTATTGCAATGCACCTGCTTTCCATCCTCCCAACATCCACAGCGCCTTCATCCTATAGCACCGAGCCAGTCATCCAAGCACTGTCGGCTCTCATAGACATCTACTCAGATGAGAATCTCCCATACGACGTCAATTTCCGGCAAGGCAATTTCGTGCAGCGCCTTGTGGATAGCGTTGATGGGGTGCGCAAGGCTGTGCGTGCAATCGACAGGCGGAAGGAGCGAGATTTGAAAGCTGAGAGGGGAGGGGATGCGAGACAACTTGGTTGCCTTCATCAAGTACCGAAAGGCCTTGCGATTTTAGTGATAGGTTTTCATAGTATAGCTAGCATCACGAAAACATCCGCAACGACTACTACTGCTAGGGAACCCGCCATCAGCTCCATGCGTCATTGTTCCAACGCCTCGGTTCCAAATGACAGGGCTGCCATGATGGTAGATATACTCGTCTGCATTCAAAGGCTACGCCGTAGTTCTGGCAGCCAAGAGCAATATCCACAATCATGAGTTTGTCCGCGTCCGACCTTCCTGCATTCATAATGATCCGGTTTGGGTCGCTAGCAGTAGACTCCAGCAAGCCATGCTCAAGCGCATCTAGGATACTCCAAAGAACTCGGGAAGACGAGAGTCGGTACTTGAGGTACTGCCGTGTGGGCGCTGTAATATGGGAAAAGACGCAAGGATAGAACCAAGTGAAGCTGAAGGATGGCGCGCTATATGTAAATGCGTCACTGAGCTGATGACGACATTAGAAAGGGGACATGCGAAAGAATCACGGAGGGGAGGTCAGCAAATGCGGAGGTGCGTGAGGGATTCCGTCTTTGCAAGGAGATTTTGGAGGATCATGCCAAAATAGTCTCGCCTGTCCATTATTGACGCAAGACACATGAATCGCGTCTCTGGAACATGTTTTGCAATCTCGTCAAGGCGAAACCACTTATTGTCCACAGCGTTCAGGACGATGGAGACATATCGAGCGCATGGTTCACGACGCGATAGGAATTTTTCATACGCAATGAAATCGCCCATGGTCTCGATGAAGGCATAGCGCAACACTGCGTCGTGGAGCACGTCGCGCCATACCTTAGACAAGATCGAGATGACGCGAAAGAAACGCCATCTTACGGAAGTGTCGTCAATGGAGCACCATGCATCTATGATGATTTTCTCTACGAGTTCATAAGGAAGAGCGCTTCTGTACTTGTGAAGTTTGAGTTTGTTGTGCTGCGCTAGGAAAGGAATAAGTATTGTCGAGAGGACAAAACACGTGGAAGCCAACCTTTGTGTCTAAGGTAGGCAAAACAGTTGTGACAGTGATCTGGGTAGCTCATACAGTCAGGATTGTCGATATCGTTCGACGTGAACAAACATCAACTTGCCTAGGCATGGTGCTAACATACCCTCGGGGTGTCAATACATAGTCTGCAGGACACCCAACGTCTTTTGTTCGCTAAGTTCGCTTGTCGAGAATTCTGGAACAGAAACTTTCTAGGTTCAGCACCTCAAGGAACGATGCAGAAGTCATGACATACGAAGCTTTGAGAACGCCTCCCAGTGATACCCACTGTCTCTAGGATATTTCGTCGTTTTACTCACAGTGCACTCGATCTGGGATCAATGAGATTGAGCTGAACTTGAATAAGTATCAGAGTTCAGTACTAGTTTTAAACCTACAAGTGACTGAGAGTGGCAAATGGTGGCCCTTGCCAGACGCGAGGGTAAATCTTCAAACGTGTCCAGGTGGTAGAACGTAGATACGCTGATACCGAGGGGGGCGGTCGTGTGTTAACCACGACTGGCTTACTCGGACTAGTACTTATAGTTATAGATCATGTAAGTCAGTATTTTTCGTGCCCGGGTAGTGCCTGTCTAACGTCCGCTGAGATGGTGACCATTCATTCCTTACCGCAACGCATACGATGGCCAAGGCGGCGAAGACAAGGGAGCATCGTAGTCCTCGACGTTGAACGTTGATGCCCCGTTTGGGTAGGACACGGGCAACGAAGGACGTAGCTTGGATTTGAATTTTATGCCTCAGGCTGGGCAGAGCTAGTTGAACTGCGTGGATAGTGAAGAGAAAACTGCGTCATTCTCCATGAGCACGTATTGGAGGTGAAGAAAGACCGAGAGTCACACAAGTCCATCCCCCTCGAGTGACCTTCACGTACCACCTGCAGGTTTTGAGCTCACTTCAGATCTACCACGACTATTGTGCATAATCCTTGAACAAGTCATTCTCCGTGCTATACATCTGGCAGGAGATCGCGCAACATAAAGCCTTCCAAATACAGCATAACTTAGCTGTAAATATTGGATGGTCCGTGCACTCAGGTCTGATAGTATATATACGAGCCTCCAACATTTTGAAATCTTCATACTTACCTTGATGGCATAGGCTCCTTCACGTACCTGGGTTTGTGGGCCGTGGGGACCCTTCATAGCACGGCGACCCTGTCCATACAGAGGGTAACTACGGTTTGTATGGGCTCCGGCTCATGCACCGTCTCAATATTTTCCAGTCCTGCCACGGCCACTCTGGCTGGGCAGGCCATCTTTTTTTTCGACCTTTTTATGTCCTAACCCTAACCCTAGAGTAGTCCAAAACAAGAACTGTTTCCACTCCAAATGAAAAGTGATACTTTATTTCTCCGGAGTGGTTACAAGTCTCTATTGATCGAGGTACATTCAAATCTAATCTATTGGTACAATGATACGCGCAACTTGAAATGCATAAATCAATTTGGTCCTCAGCGCTCATTAATCATTCCTCAGTCTTCTCGCACAACTCCTGTTCCCTGGATTTGACTTCAGTTTATCATCGCCCAAGGAAGCCCATAACTCAAGTACGAACCTTCCTGCTATCGAATGCATTCAATCCAGCGGCAACTCGGCTGCTCGCGATCATCGCGCTCCAGTCTAGGATGTCCCACTGTTGTGTCGCTGAGACCATTTGTGCCTGGTGCATCGCCCGCGCGCTGATCATGCTGCGATGCGCGTTATCAACTACAAATGAATGAGTATATTTGGATGCCTGAAGGTCAGCTCATTGACATACTTGCAGGCATCGGGCAGTTCATCTCTGCAGACAGGCGACGTATGTGACTGGATGGAAAAATTGTGTTAGAAAGAATCATATACATTGCGAGCACATCGAGCCACTAACTTGGAGTCTTTGATTCCACCATCTATGGCAAAGCCTACAGAGCCATCAAACAAGTCGTTGACCATCTTGTTGCCATAGGCTACCAAACTATTGTTGTCCGCGTGACATCAATAGTGATTCGAAGCAATGTAATTGGTAGCATACATACCCCGGTGCTGGCATGATTTCTAAACGCAATCATTGATCAGCTCCCCGTCAAGGTACGGCAGAATGCAGTCCGCAGTTCACCTTTGATCAGGTCATATACAATCTGCTGTCCAATGCCAGACTTTTCTCCAAATGTCAGAGTTTCGGCAAGGAGCTCATTGGCACCCATTATCATGCCATTACCGATCAACTTCAACGTCGGAGCTAAAAGCCAGACACATTTCAGATTTGTTCGGCATCGCTCTTACACATTCTTGCCTTTTTCTACATTGCCTCCGAGGTCAATCACCTTGCGGCCAACTGCCGGAACGAGGAGAAAGGCGACCTCCTTCTTGGAGCGGTAATCTCCACTCATCGCAATAACAAGATTGGCACTATCTGCTGCCGGGGGAGGTCCAAAGATAGGTGAAGTAACAAAGTGGGCATGTGGAAAGCTTGACAACAGTCTGTCAAGATCGCCTGCGGCAGGCTTGTTCACAGTTCCGTTAGTGACGAGGAAACTCTCACGCACCAGCAAGCGTAGGGTAAACCTGACACCATCACTAAGCGTGAAGTTCAGAAGCAAATATCAGGCTTACTGTGCTCGTATCAACAAAGATTTTGACTTTGGTTGGAGGTGTTTGCTGATGACGGCAGCATGATTATCTGATCCTGCAAGAAGATAAGATTGCGGCGTACGGCGAGAGCCTTTGCGAACTCGTCATAGACGCTCATTACAACAGCATCATTCGCGAGATTAGTGAAGATAACATCACACTCCGTAGCTAGCTGGTCGAGAGTGTCGGCGACTTTGACGGCGGATGCGCCGACTTCTGCGAGGAGCTTCTGAGACTTTGCCACAGTCCTGTTGTACACGAGGAGAGGCGACGAGTGAGATTTGCGGGAGTTGGCTAGATTGCGGGCCATGAGATAGCCCATGGCCCCAAGGCCACAGAAGCCGATCTGAAGAGGGTGCACCCCAGGGGTTGGGGGTCGAGAAAAAGGAACTGCGCGTGCATGCATGGCTGGAGTTTGAAGAAGTTTGTCTGCCATTGTGTTTGAGCTGGGGGTATCTATGAGAGCTGGTATTATTAGCAGGTGCACTCGTCAAGAGCTTTTGGACACCGTTATCGAGGGTTATCGCCGATCAGGAACGCGGGAACGCCGCATCCCACGTGATGTCATCTATACGTGGATGATCACATGATCATTTTGCTTGCATAAGCGTAAATGGCCAAAAATAGTATATTCACAACTTGAAAGTCGTACAGCCTTTGGTACAGTCTCAGCAATTGGCAGCTGCTGTAGCTGCGATAGCAGCAGTTTTGCATTTATACCGCTGCCCGTTATCACCATGCAGCAGCAGCAGGCGTTCCAAGTCTATGCGCAGCAAAATAAGGGCACTCTTGTTCCAGGTCAAACAATCTCCGTGAACAAGTACACGGTCCAGGTTGAGCGGTATCTCAGCCAAGGTGTGTTGAGCCCAATTGGCGTCTCGTTGAGCGTTAACATCTTGTGAAAAAGGTGGATTCTCTCATGTTTACCTTGTCAGGACTCCCACTCCCGTGTATAACACGACGCATCATGTTCTCAAACGCATTGGCGTTCCTAACGAGGCCATGCTCGCAGAGGTTAAGAAAGAAGTCGATATCATGGTTCGAAGCATCCAAGCTGCTTGCTCAATGCCTACTGAATCTGCCTATAGAGGATACTGAAGGGGCACCCAAACGTGGTGCATCTGATTGATGCTGCCTGGCACAAAATGGCGAACGGCATGTACGAAGTCTTCATTCTCATGGAATTTTGTCCAGGCAAGTGTCTTTGCAAGACTTACGCAATTGATGTGGTCTTACTCAGACGTAGGTGGTGGGATCATTGACATGATGAACAGACGTCTGCGTGAACGTCTCACAGAAGCAGAGATCCTCCAGATTTTTGTAGACATCTGTGAAGGTGTTGCTGCCATGCATAATCTTCGTCCTGCCCTTCTTCATCGTGATCTGAAAGTGGAAAACATTCTTCAGGCCTCCAATAACGTCTTTAAACTCTGTGACTTTGGCTCTGCCACGCCAGTCGCGCCTCGACCGCCATCTACCACAGCTGAGGTTAGAGCTCTCGAGGCGGACTTGAACAGACACACCACACTACAGTACAGGGCGCCTGAGATGGTCGATCCATACCTCCGCCGTGCTGTTGACGAGAAATCTGACGTCTGGGCACTCGGAGTGCTATTGTACAAACTCTGTTATTACACCACTCCTTTCGAAGAACACGGACCCTTAGCAATTCTGAACGTACAGTACCGCATCCCGCCGTATCCCGTTTACTCGTCGCAGTTGAACACGCTGATTGGTGTGTTATTCCTCGCTTCCATCGTGTCCGAATATGCTGAGTTATCCTGCAGCCTCCATGCTTCGCGAGCACGGCACACAGAGACCTACAATATTTGAACTTCTCGCTCAAGTACACACCATACGAGGTACCAAATCGGGCTTTGTCTACGACATTCCTCCGCCTCAGCCCCTTTCCCCTCGAGCTTTACAGCCTCCTTCCACGAATGCTCTTGACAACCTTGTATCCTATCGTCGAGATACCGCCACGCAACAAGCGTCACCAGCTCAGCCCAAGACCATGGGTACAGGCATTCAAGCGCGTGATAGGGTGCTGGAGGCTATTGCACCAATGCGTCGTGGTCGGCCACCTTATTCGCAGCAACAGAATGACACTGCCACTCTTTCTCCGACCTCTCGGCCTCCTAGTCCACCGAAGCTGCCGAACAGGCCCGACGGCTCGTTTGGCGCAGAGGAGGACAGGGCATGGAAAGAGATAAAAAATTCTTCTGCTGCCGGGGGCATCAGGGCTCATAAATCAGGCAGTGTAACTGCGAGCGTTTGGAGGCCCAAGATATCCGCGCCTCCCTTGGATGATGCATGGAGTGTTGAGACGCGTGCGTCAAAAGTGACCTCGGACGAAGTTCCAACACCAGGGCTTATTGCATTTGGGGACGATTTCGGAGACAAACTGTGGAGCGCCTTTGACGGTACTAAGGCTGGAGGAGCTGCTGTCGCGACAGAAATGGGGCCATCCCCGAGTTCTGGAAAAGAGCGTATTTCAAGACTTGCTCCTCCGCCTGAGGGGTCACGTAACACAAGACTTACGATCACGAAGAGTAAGGATGCGTTCGATGGTCTAGGTTTAACGCCATCTTCAACGCCTATACCTACTCTTGGAGAGACACGCAAGCTGAGGACTGGCCTCGCTGCGGTTAATGGAAACAATCGCGCAGCCATCACTCCTAGTCCATCTATCACTGCCGCAAAAACCGTCACCAGCCCCGATGAAACCAATACCTTCACCCCGCCCTCCAGCACAGTCGACGACCACGAACGCATCATGGCGTTCTAGTTCATCAATGCAAGCCCCTGCATCCACCCCTCCTAAGCTTCCACAAATGGGCGAATTTTCTGCCGAGGCACGATTTCCTTCTGTAGAAGAGCTCGATGCGACATTCGGTAGATCGACACCTCCTGTCGGCCATCCAAGCTGGCAGCTCGAGTCGTCAGGGCATCACAAGGAGCGCGAAAAAGTAGTTGATTTGTCCGAACCTTTCTTTTCATCTTCCTCGTCGCTTCAACCGACTTCTCAGCGTGGTCTGCGCTCAGAGCAGGTCACCGGGGTGGCGATGCGTGAGTCTGAGAAGGATAAAATTCAGAGATCTTTTGGACTGGAGAATGGCGTTGGTGAAAACGCATCGTCTTCAAAGCCCACATCATATCGACCTATCTCACGTCCTTCGCTTTCGAGGAAACATCGCAGTAGTATTGCCGTAAAAGCCACACCTCACGCACAACTCATCGATGGCTTTGATACTCAGGAAATCACTACGCCAGCTCCAGTGTCACGCAAACCCAAAGACTGGTTAACAGGCGATGTTGATGCCCTCATCTCCCCAATTAAGGACGGATCTTTTGCTCAGGCTCAAGCCAGCAACCTCCCTGCGACTCCCGTTCTGCGCGAGTTTACGAACAAGCGTTCGTCGTTCATCGAGGAGAACACAACAACTATACAATCGCCACAGGAAGCTGTCGCCGCTCAACAACCTCTCCATCGAGTAAAAACACCTCCATCGCCGTCCAGGGTGCATACACGGGGTGTCAGTTCCAGAGAGCGGAAGCAAAGCGCCCCTACGACACCGAAGAAACCCAGAGATTTGCCGGTGGTCGCACCCAAACCAGTAATTGCTGCTCTTGCACTGAAGCCGAATATAGAGTCTCGACAGGGGATGACATCGCAGCCATTGAAGCGTCCGTCGCAAGATGACTCCGATAGGTGGAGAGCTATCCCTATCTCTGAGTCACCAAAGGCAACTAAGATGCAAGATTCGTCAAGTGACGGGGAACAGGGACCAGAGGATGCTGTTGGATTTGCTTCGGGGAAAATAGTTGAGAAGCCGGATACATCCCGAAGACGAAAGTCGAGGGGTCGGCAAAGTTCCGTGCACGACCTCGTCGATCTATGGGGAGGAGGTGTGGTGCAGACAAAAGAGCGACCAAAGGATTCCGTTCACAGCCCTGCCGTTGCTGCATTCAGAGAACCGGCCAGGGACTTTGGTGTGAAACTACAAAAGAGTAGATCAATCGCAGTATCTTCAATGGCGAAGCAGCGACCTGCATCACCTCGTATGCAGTCTCAGCCCTCAGAATCCAATCCTTCTCGGCGACGTTCACCAAGTCGGTCTCCCAAGCGAGTGCCAGCATTACCTCAGACAAAGCAGGTATCTGGCGCATTCACCCCTTCCTCAGGTACCGTCCCCGTATCATCCTCTCGCGCGAGGCCGCAGTCTATGCTTGCCTTTCCAACGGCGAAGCCTGCGCCGGACGCGAAGATGGACACGCCGTCAAACCCTACAGGTCTATCTGTTCCAGAAGACAACCCTCGGAAACACGGCGCTCGGCGGACCTCAATATCAGATATGGTCCAGCGCTATGAAGCCATCGGGGGAACGCCCAGAGGCCTAGGTCCAGGTCCGCCTGTGATAGTCCCCAAATCAACAGGTTTGAAGATGGCAACATCGTCTGCAAGTGGTCGTGCTGTGGATGTCACGGGCACAAGCCCAAGTTCCCCGTTAGTGTCGAGATTCACAGCCTCGAGAGTCATTGCACCTGCTTCTGAAGAGTCGGGTCCTGGAGCTGAATCGGGGAAGCCGCGACCATCTGCAATTGATTTAGCCAGGGCAGCCCTCGCCAGTCAGGACCAGAGCAAGGCGGACGTGAGTGCCCGAAATCCTGTCGTAGGATTACCCTCTGGGACATCCAATCGATTCATGCCTGCGGGACGGGCTGGGCTGGACGGTCTTCCAGCATCGCCATCATTTTCTCCTCCAAAGCCCGCCATACCTCTAGAAGAGGCACGCTCACCGTCGCCTGATAAACCCTATCAAGGAGTGGGAAAGCTGATCGATCAATGGCAGCGTAAAACGGAGGTTGATTCATCTCGGCCCTCTACCCCTCGTAGAGGTGGTTATGTCCAAAAACGAGCTGGTCTCGTCTCTGGGGGAGTTGGCAAGGACAATTGAATCACGTTCATTTACTTGACCTTTAATATATTTGCTCTCGTCTGGTCGCTGACAGCTTGCAATAACTTGTAAAGATAATTTACTACAACAATCTGAGGTGCTACAACAAGTTTTTAAAGACTCGGCTCAAGCACCTTCGGAAATCAGAGGCATCTAATGATCTTGCGGAGACTGGGGACGACGTACTGTGCCTCCAAGTAATTGTCGTGCTATGTCTCTACCCTTCCCAAGCTCCCAAGCATCCTGGTCAACAGGATACCGATTGAGTTTCACTCGCTCAGTTTCACCAGTAATGCCAAGCTCCTGCGCCACAGCATCGGCGCGCGCGAGGTTAGAGTTCCCGGGGTGAATGACGATAGCCTCAGGTTTCGACTTCGCTCGTGGGCGCGTTTTGGGCTGCCATGTTCGCGCAGGCATATGGTACGAGTCGTCTTCGCTCTCCGAGTCTAGGAGAGGATCTCCAGTTCTATCATAGCTTAGACAATGAAAGGGCCGATCAGCCTCTATAAGCTCTTGTCATGGATGAAACACTTACGTGGCTGACTTTGCTGGAGCAGCGTCAAAATACTCGAAGAAGAATTGTCCAACTGACAACATGAGGACCTTTTGGAGAGATGCTTGTCAAACTTCCTGCAATGATCTCACGCATGATTATTGGCACTCACAACGGCAAGGATGAGACTTGCTCATAGCCGGTCAGGCCATCACAGTGACTTCCATTTGAAAGACAGGACTTACCCTACTTGGTATGACATGGCGATAAGCATGTAAATCCTGGAGTATTTCACGGTTCAACATTGTTCCGGACTGTGGATTGACGAAGACGCAACTCACAGTCTAAGTGTCGTTGCAATTCCGTACAACGTTGCTCTCCATACCGCCTTTGCTAGTCGCGAACGACCGATGAAACGAGGTCGCCAGTGCTTGCTGATAGCAAACGACAACAGTCTTGTGTTTCCAACGAATCAGAGGAACTTGGGTAGTATGGAAGAAAAAGATCACGAACCTCTCAAACAAACATATGACAGAAGTCAGAAGGATACCAAGGAAGAATTCCCAGAAGGTGTGCAGGCGCAGAGAACTAAAGAGGATATGTTCACCAAAGAATGAGAAATGAATGTAATCAACCCAGCCATCCATGGGGGATTAGTACTGTACAGTGGAGCAACAGTGAGGTTGCCGCAGTGGTTACCAGTTACCAGTAGGTAACGACACCTGAATTACCGCAATAGTCTAATGGAACCTTGGGTCTGGCTAGGGGAGAGTAACAATAGTCCAAAGTACGACAACTACTAGCTAGTACTTAAGTAGTTGTCAAGAATAGAATCCAAAGTGAGATCTAGTCGCCCATTCATTGTAATATTCCGCCCAATTCCACTTGATACAGCCGCGACCCACTTCGGACCAGCAGAGTCTAAAGTTTAACGGCTTGATGGCTATTTCATGCTTTCCTTACGCTTTCCGAGAGCAACACTACTCTCGGTAGCTTTCTGCTCTCTCCATTCGCAACTCTCTTGATATTCGCAATTGCTGTCAAGAAGTGAGCGGCTTTCATGACGCTGGCTACTCAGAGAACTCACAAACACCGAGTGGATTGTGCGAGTTCAACACCCCTAGGAGGACGAATACCAAACCACCATTGGAGAACATCTTCAAGATGCGCATCGAGCCGGTTGTCGTCCATGACAAATGTCCTGGTACCCAGTATCGTCGAATGGCCAGAGGTATCTTCCTCATTTGGAGAGTCGCTATTTCGAGCTAGAAGAGTCCTATCTTCTAAGTTGGTGACCTCATCAGCCGCCGGAGCTGTGTGCAAGGGTTAGTATACTGCAGTTCTCAACTAGGGTTCAGACTGACTTCCTTCATGCTCTTTCGGGACAATTGCTTTGGAGTCAGGAACATCTTGGGTGCATGCATGCAAGGGATCTTGCATCACCCGTGTCGGCTCGGGATTTTCCAGAGCAGGGCTGGCGAGGTCAACTTCATCGAGTACGAGTTCTTCACTTTGTACGGCGAATGTGTCCCTTATGTGTGCCGCAGCCTGGGTGCTCGTGCTAGCCTCTCCGGCCTCCTGACAAAGCGGGCGCAGACTCTCCTCAATAGCACGAGCTATATCCAGTTCTTCTTGGCGGGAAAGCGCTTCCAGTGGACTATTGACTGCCTTTTCCTCGCTTTTTGCCTTCTGTTGCCGATCACGAAACGAGTCCTTAGCTTTCCGGTAGATGATGTGAAGCTCGGGATTGACACATCTCAGTCGTTCAATACTACTCCGAGCCAAGTGAACGACAGAGACCCATGCTGCAATCATGGTGCACAAATCCACGTGGAACTCAGGAAGGTCTCTTTCATCTCTTGTTGACAAACCGATGTCTTCTACAAATTGTTTGGAAAATGATTTATGCGAATTGATGCCTTGCTTTGCCCATAGTGCGTCGAAATCAAAGGTTTCCGGGGAGAGGAGTGCAGAGAGCAGCCGATGATAAAGCATAAGTTGCAGTTTTGATGATACCGCATCCTCCTCTGGGGGTAGTGATGGTACGCGACGAGTCTTGTAGTCGACGAGCGTTACATCGTAGAACGTGGGTTGCGGATGGATGGATCTTGAAATCGAATTGTTTGGTACGGAATGGTCATGAACTTCCTCCTCGGTTGGGGGCCGATCCGCTACGCCAGTCTCCGTAGGAGTAGACTGGTCTGGATAGAAAGCAGGTATAGGTTCCTGCGATGGAGACGGCGACCGACGCTGTTTCTTCTTGACGGGAGATGATTCAGGAGAGGCAGAGCTACGTTTGACAGGATTGTAGTGTTCGTTTACTTGTGATGGAGCATGCCGAGTCACTTCATCCTGCCAAATCAGTGACATGAGGCCAATCAGTCATTATCTGAGAGCGGAGATACCTACGATGATTCCGAAAACGACTTGCCCATGCGTAATTCCGAAGACTGGGAGTTCACGCTGCAAAATTACGTTAGCACCTGGTATGATTGCCCCACGGTCAGGGAAAGATACCGTTAGCCCTTCCAGAATCAGTTGTTGCATGCCGGCCGTGAGATTGAAGAGACTGTTGAACTGCTCAGAAAATGGCGTGAGAGCAACAAGAATGTGACATTCGTACCGCAAAGCCCAACGCTCCTCATGAGTTGATGTACGGATGGGAACTGTTTCTGGCCTCACTTCCAGCTCCAGAGCTTTGTGAATAGACTAAAAGTAGTCATATCTTCTGCAAGAACACGTGAAATAATGAGACATACGGCCCCTCTCTTGAGTGTCCTGTCGTTTTGTTGTGCTACATTTTGTTGGACTTGAATTTGTTTACCGTATCTTGACCTGAAAGCGGAAGGTCGCCTTTCGAGTGGTTTGTGGCGCTCTCCATACAGCCCATATTCAAATTGCACTTCACACCTATGTCCAAATGTAAGAAAGGGGTGACGGGAATGACTTCGCGAACAAACCAAACAGGTGAGACGAGGTCCGTCACGGAGAACCCCTTCTTCCAGGAGCTAAACTTCTCGTAGGGGTTTCTTGGGTCTTTTTGCGGCCGCATTCGAGAAACATGCGTGCTGGTAAGTAGCAGGGGCCCTATGCTAGCTGGGATATGACACTCAGCAGGTTTGGAGATTTCCTCAACAAGAGAAACGTCAGTGGAGGACTCAAACGCAATCTCAAGTGCGGGTCCACCACCAAAGTTACTGATACTAGTTTTCCGGATATCTTGTTGCGAGGTTGGTGGTATTTTATCGGGCGCCTTCTGCAGCAGGTTATTGGTGGCATCTACATCGAATTGTGCAAGCTCTTCTTCGGTGAATTCTGAAAAGTCGTAATGTTCAAATTCGTCGTGAGACATGAAACTTGTGGATTGGAAGGAGCTGAACCTCACGACTCAAGTCGCGACGCGAAGTATCACGTGTTCATGTGACATGACAGTGACAGTGACATTGGCTGAACGGATCAGAACATCCTAAAGGAGCTTCCTTGAAACATTTTACTCACTGTCATACTTCTAGTACTTCTAGCTTTATCGATCATGATAATCCGCAAGACTGACTCAAAAGCGAACAAGTGAATTCGGTAGGCAGTTTTTTATATCTGTTTTTATCAAGATTGCTCGTTGCCGATCGGCACGATGACGCTGCTAGGGGCGCTGTGGCAGAGGTTTGTGGAGCTGAACATTTGAAACTCGACACAGCCAATATTCTAGAAACATATAGCTTCACCTAGACGCATGTCTTTGCACAGAATTACGACGTCCACGAAACTCTGATCTCTGATCTGAGTTATCAGGATCATCATCGCGTGAGTCTTAAGCTTGAGAGCTCGGCTTACAATCACATCACCAATCTTCACTCTCTTCGCTTCTCTTATCACTATTTATTATCACCTGTCCTTAAGTTCTTTGTTTGTGGCGACCACTTTTCAGACCTTCTCCTTCGCACACAGCGCAGCGTTCTCCCTTGGTATAACGCCCACCATCATGATGAAATCCTTCCTATTCGTTCTTTTCTTTTTGCTTGCCATCGCGGTGGCATCTCCACTTGATGGACAGGCTCGCGACCTCACGCCGTCAAAGAGATTTGCGCTTCCCAATCTCCCTCGGCAGCCAGAATCTTTCAAAGCCTTGAACAAACGTACCCCCGCTCTCGGGCCCTCCCCACTTTATGTTGCTCGTGAGGCTAGTCCATCAAAGCGCCTCGCTGCTCGTCAGGCCTCTCCTTCAAAGGGGCTGTCAGCTCGACAGTCGGTTGCCTCACCGCGTTATTTACATGCCCGTGCTGCGGAGCCAGCCCCGTCTAAGCGGTTTGCTGAGGATTCCGCAGCACCGCAAAAGCGCAGCCTTGACGAACAGCATGTCATGGAGGACGTGACAGATGTCCAGCGTGGGTTTTGTCTCGACGGGCTCGTGGCTTGCCCCGTTTTGAGCACCCCTGGCCAGTTCCCTCGCACGTTTGTCGAGTGGGAAGCGGTAGGGTTTGAGTGTGTCGATTTTACGGTGGATTTGCGTTCCTGCGGTGGCTGCTCCAGTCTTGACCCTATTGAGTGTGTATCTGATGACTACTACTACTTGATTCTATTTGGCTGACCATCACAATTTTATTAAGGCACGACTGCGCGAAGATTCCATATGTTCAGGGCGTAGCTTGCGTTGCTGGCGAATGCCAAATCTCATCTTGCCAACCCGGCTATTTGCTGCAAAGTGATGGCCAAAGCTGCTCGCCAACAGAGTAGGCGTGTAGATTCGTCGGACATTGCTAATAGACTTTCTGTTCTTTTTATGATGTGGACGAGCCGGTGTTCATCCTAGACATTTGACGTTTATGCCTTTTCGTTCAGTCTTCTTACAGGACTTTCGTTTCGTTGTTATATTCCTTTGTGGATACTATTCGTGTTACCTGTTTGCTAGTTTTACGGCCCCCACATATTTACGACGATTGGTGCTAACTCAGGTTGTTCTGCTCAATAGATAACGCATTTCGTTGTGCATAGATTGCCGCTGAGATTGAACTGAACATATTACGTCACTATTACTAGTAGCTTATAATCTACTAGTACAAACTCGGGTCGGTAGTAATAGGACTTAAAATGGACGTCGTTCCACTTTTTAAGTATGGGTGGCACATGCCGGTCTGCGTTGGTTGTTCGCGTCGAACCACTTGGACGAGCGCCCGCCGTTGACCTCCTTCATATCGAACCATCTTTCAACTCAAAACGATAAAAGTTATTATAACATCTATCTCTTTTTTTTTTTTTTTTTTTACGATTTTACGAACAGCCTTTGTGGTGGACATGCCCATTGCTGCACTGTGGTGATATCACTTGTTTCATCCCATTGCATGCTTCAGCGGCAAGCTTTGCCACACGTCAACGTCCTATCCCTCCAGTGCCCCACACGGATGCCTTGTAATTTCGTTTCACCCTCGACGCCTTTTAGACGCCGCCTTGATCTGTTCCTGTCACTTTCTCCGCTCCGTTTGCGAGGTTGTCCTCACTGGGGGAACTTTACCAATACTGTCGTTCCCATGATCTTCATCATATTTGATAACTATGCATATGAACTTGGAGTCAAAACTGTGCTCGCAGGCATCCTCGCCTTGCTACTTGGTCTCGTTGGATTTGTTATTGTGAGTTTTCAGATATATGCTAGTGATGTTCTTAATATAGAACCACGGAGTAGAGTATATTTGCTCTCGGAGTATTCTGGATTGTACCTGCGATGAGGACGCAGACCCCACCCTACCGAGAACCAAATCGTCGTCATCCACTCCATCGTAGTCTCAACAGGCCCCGTGGTCCTGTATTTACTTCCTCCCCAGAACCTATACTTCAGGAATTACCATCAATATCTCTTCTGTCCAAGGCTCCTTCCCTTCGGCGAGCATCGTCTTTTCCCGACTTGCATAAAACGCCTTCTCTCAAGGAAAGACCCGCTGTGAGCTCGAGACATGTTTCTTTCAATCTCGACGCTCCGGAATCCTACAATTCAAGTTTGGCGAGGTCCGTCAGCATGAACCCATCTCCGATGCCACCGACAATTCAGCGTCGCTGGCCACCTGCACTATCTCCGTTCTCCAGGCGTAAATCGACACAAGGGGAGTCTGCATCATGCTCACCCACTGTACGTGATGAAAGTAGTACCATCACGTGCGATCACAACTCGCCCACGTCAAAGAGTGCCTGTGTGCACGACCTTCCACTCAAGTGTTTCGACGAGCATTGTGAATGTCGCGGTCGTCGAAATAGCACGGGCTGTGATGAACATGGCATAATGAACCGGCCTCAAGTGGACACTCTTTCCGAAGGGACAGCTTCTACGCGCTCGTCAAAAACCATGTCTTTACGGTTACCATCTGTTCGGAAAGCCTTCAGCGGAAAACGTCGTCCAGCAAGCGTTCCGCCGCGTGCGCCCGTTGTGATCAACGTCAGCACGAAGGAGCAGTCTCAACAGCAACAATCTGCACCCGAGTCCTCCGTGAAGTTGTTGCCATCCCCCCCTCCCTTCCCGACATCTGGTGAAATGTATCGCGCTGAATTCGTGAGTCCTTTCCGGACGAAGAAACGAAAGAGTGCGTGTTGGCGCCTTTATCAGAATAGGATGGTGCCGAACCGTTGTTAATTTCTCACGCTTGCAGAACTTGAGTCTTCGAAATCCAGTCGCAACCCGATGTTTTCATTCTCTAGTCCATGGTCAAGTCCCAAACCTGCGGGGTTGTCGCCCGATGTACATCCCACGACATCGTCAACTTGTAAGCACGGCATTTCTTTTTATAAGGGATAATGACGATGGTTTTTGCTACAGCTGTTTTTACGAACTCACCATCTGCACTTCGTAGGACGTTCGCGAGCCGCTTCACTCCTTTGTTCAAGTCACCTGCTATCGGTTCTCCTTCTAGCTTAGAATTTCCGTCCCCCTTACCTTCGCCGCCGCTACAGATGGACGTGCCGAAGTTGACGGGCAAGTATTCCTCGCGGTCTGTTCCTCGCACACAACCGTACGGTCCTCCTTGGAATGCTGTGATGCCAGGGCAACATCACGATCTGGTCAATGGCAGCCTGGATGACATTATTATCGAGAGACCACGTCGCAGAAGATCCAATGGAACTGAAAGCCGTCGGGGGTTCAAGTCGCCCTCTAGCACCCTTCCGCCGATAGACGCCTCTGAGGGCGAGTACACGCCTGAAAATCTTGTGGATGAGCTAGATCAACGTGTATCGGCTTTAACGCACTCTCAGGATGCTGTTCCAGGTGCTTCCGCTGAGGTAGCTCAGCAAACACTTCGGAAGTCTTTGACTTGCGTCGGCGAACCCGTGAGACGCGAGTCCGCTATCTTGTGGACGATCGCAGGCCTTGAACAAGCTGTTGGCATCTCATCGGATGAATGTAGTTAATTTCTCTTGTCAGTTAGTCATGGTAGGTGTTTATATGCTGTTTGCAGAGTTGACATGCTGAAGATTACCTTTTCAGATTTTTTTTTACTTCAGCGCAATTGTACATACGGGCACATAGCAATACCACTTTTAGCATATATTCTCCATGAAACGTTGGCATAGCATACACTCGGGTCATGGCAATCATCGCAGTACATCATCTGATAATATTTTCGCAACAATGTCTATTGAAACTTCTCAACTCGACATAGTATTTCGATGCAACCCTCCGCTCTATTCGTGACCAACTGTCAATTTTTGGTGAGGCATTATCCGGACAGGCCGTCATTTGCAAGCAACGCGCTCATGGCGTTGGCCACGGCACTATGTTGACTGGCGCTCAACATTGATCCCTCTTCAATACATTGCTGTAGTTGCGCATCAAGCAGGCGCCTGTGATTTTCGGATATCAATGAGTCTGAGATGTGGACGACAAGGACAAGTTACCTGAGTTGGTTCACCAGAATTCCGATGCGGGGCCATGCCTTCAATTTGACAATGCTGCCACCCTTTCCAACCGTGAGACCACCTCCGATGTGATTGACGGACACAGGTCCACCGAAGAGAAGCAGTGCGTAGATCGGAACCTAATCCCCACTTAGCACGGCAGTCACCGAAAACGATCGATCGAGGAGTCAAAAAGTCACACCTGGGTAGCCCCGCGGATGAAAACCTTGCTGGTCATCTGTTTCTGGAAGTAGGCTAGGAACGGCGACTTCCACGTCGACTCTCCAAAGAGGACAGACGAGGGGTGCAGAAAGACGCGCCCATCTATCAGATCATGCATCTTGTATTCTTTTGCGGTATTTTGGCGCTGAACAGTTCCCGCTTGCACTTTGTCGAATTTGATCGCTGAACGTGGAAGATGCACTTGGACAACGCGAGGCCACAAACCGCCGAGGATGACGGCTTTGACTATGTTTGTGTTCGTACTGTTGGCATTCAGTTCCTGAGAACTCGCTGTTGCGGAACGCGGGATGAAACCGAGATCTGAAAGAGAGGAGAAGAAATCGTGGCGTAATGAGGTGATCTCCCTGACAGCGGCGGGCGAGATAAAATTCTGCACGAGATTGATCATTTTTGGAGTTCTACCACAACGAAAATCGTACCTCTTCACAGAAGTGTTTCAAGGCTTTACGATTCTTGCCCTCAGACTGAAGGCGCATGCATTCGTTGTACGCATTGACATCTGCGAGTAGATCGCTCTTGTCTTCGCCAAAACGTAGTCTCGCCCTACGTGTGCAAATGAGTCCTGAATTATGGACATCGAGAAGGAATTTTACTGAGCGGCTTCATCCCTGTTATTCATTGGACTAACGAATAAAGGTTTTGACGAGAGGCAAGCTACGACCGTAAGAATTGGGTCTATGCATTGGAAAATCGTGCCAAGAACAAGCATCTGCGAGGCATTGTCAGAAATCATTCTGTCCATATTCAAGATACTAACCTTCCCCAGTCGCAAATCCACAGGGAGCAATGACTATGCGAGAGCGCATCTGCAAGTCAATCAATGAATACAGGAGATATGACTGCAATCACGCACAATATGGCGCCCAAGAGCAGTCAAACGGCCATCCGCATCAATGGCTCCGAGCTCCTCCAGGACATTCCAGGCCTTATCCATTGCAGATACTTCGGGAGGATCAATAGCCCGGTTCAGGAAATGCTGAAAGGAAGCTAGGTCAACGTACTGCACCCATCATGCACACAGAGTCACTAACCTTCACATCCTCACTCTCGCGCATCACCTTCACGGTTAACGAAATGCTCTCCAACGGTGTTCGTAAAATTTCTGGTACTGGGAAATGGCCCATTTTTTCTTCCTGCTTTCGAGAATAAAGCTTGTAGCAAAATCCTGGCTGCGTTCTACCAGCCCTACCCCTGCGCTGGCGGGCTGCAGCGCGCGTGACCCATTGTTCTTTTAAGAGAGATAGTCCGCTTATTGGATCATAACCTATTTCTTTAACTTTTCCAGAGTCAACGACGTAGATTATGTCTTCAATGGTGATGGACGTCTTCGGAACATTCAGCTACAAGAACTAACTGATACAACGAACTGACCTCAGCAACGTTTGTCGCGGCAATGATTTTCCATCGGTTTGTATTTGCGAAAACAGCAAGTTGCTCATCGTTTGACAAGTTCGCGTGTAAAGGTAATATCTCGGCTTTCCCGTCGAGCGTGCCGCGAATTGCTTCAATACAGGAACGAATTTCTTGAACTCCGGGAAGGAAAATCAAAATTCCACCTCGTTGCGACGTTGCAACGATATGCTGAACAACAGCAGTAATCAACTACGCAAAAGAATATGATGAGTTGCTGGTCCAGTATTGTAACATCATGGAAACACAACCTGATAGTCAATCCTCTCCGCTCGCATGATGTTTTGGATGGCAGATGTCGCCTCTTCGCTGAGGCCCCGAGAACTATAATAATCCCGGAAGGCATGTTTCTCTTCTTCCGATTCCTTTATATTTGGTTTGATTGATGCCGGTTTATAGGAAACTGAGGAAATGTAATCTTCGAGGTACCTGTCATGATTCATTTTTAAGTGGGAGTCGTCGTAGTCGAGTAGTGGAACAGTTGAGAGAAATGAATTGCTCACATATCTGTGATTGGGTGCGTAAAGCCTGGGATAGTCAACATCGGGGCGTTGTTGAAATATTTCACAAATGTTTCATGATTGATCGTTGCTGACATGAGCACCACCTTTAGTGTAGGGTGTTGTGCCAGTAATTCCTTGAGTTCTAGAAGAAGAAAATCTCCATCGACAGAACGTTCGTGAACCTACCTGTAGTCAGTCATGGGTTGGATTTTATGAAAAGTTGTCATGCACCTCGTCAACAACAATGTGTGTGACATCATTCAGCCCGTCGCCGGAGCCTAGCCTTCGTAAAACAACTCCGGTCGTACAAAAGAGCAACTTGGTTGCTTGACTATGCTTAGTCTCTCCACGAATAACATATCCGACAGAGCCGTCGTCTATACGTTCTGACGAAACCCGCGCAGCAACAGATACGGCAGAAATTCTGCGAGGTTGGGTGACAATGATTGAAGCTTCGGCTCCGTGCCCCGACATTACCAACGAATCTAGGATGAATTGCGGGACTTGGAATCGGAGCCTCTGAGTATACATCGCACAGATAGACATTGTCATGACTTACGTTGAGTGGTTTTGCCACACCCTGCAAAATGGACCCCTTTAACTAAGGGCTGGAGACAAATAAAAAGGCTTACCTGTTTCTCCAACCACGACAACTACTCGGTTGTGTTCGAGCAAGGACAAAAACTTGTCCTTGGCAGCAAATGCAGGAAGGCGTCGACGAACGGACAGCATCGTTACATATGCCTGGGATTGGCACAATTGTTCAAAATCTGTCTTGACCTGTGCATTCGATCGACTGTCACCGCGATGTCGGACTTTGTGACGCGCCGTTTCTTTAAGACCAGTCCGTAAGGTAGAGGTATGGATAATTGGCGATGAAGTGGGCGAAGGTATCAAGAATTTAAGCACTTCCGACATATCCGGCGAACCGTTGGATTCAGCGCGTGCCCAGTGGTCCTCGAGAACCCTCATTGCTGCCATGAGAAAGCCTTCCCCTGGCTCGATAAACCCATCCTGTCTCATTTCTTGCAACAGCTGTGAGAGAAGATGAAGCCGCATATATGGCGGGACAGACTTTGATGTGATATACACAGGAGGATAGTTGTGAAAGGAGTGGTCAGAACAAGATGGTAGCAAAACATGTAGCTCCACAGGCGCGCTGAATAGAGGCATTGATATATGGCTCGCGTCGACAAAATGAGCCCCGAGAGCCTCTGCTTCATCCGCATTACTTCGTAAACCGTCCACGACATTAGCCAGCACTATATCGTCTGTATTGGCTTGGGCGCACACATCCTCACCTAGGAGGCGATGGTCCAAAGAGGCCATCAGCAGGTCCATATTTTTTACCGATTGTCTGTCAGCAGTACACTCCTTGACAGTACGTGCGGGAAAACCAGCCTCTTTGATGATTTTCTCCTCCACCCATCTCTTTTCCAAGTCATCAGAGCCAGAGTGACCGGAGACAATGAATGGATTGGAGGAGTTATTTCCGGGAAAGAAGCGCTCTGGAAGGTCGCATTCTGGGAGATGAAGAACTAGATATTCTATGCACGCCTCTAGCGGGGACATTGAATTCAATAAATTACCCCCGAGAGGCGAAGGTTTGGATAGAAAGGCCAACGTATTGCGTATTTGATCGGACTTGAAGTTCAAGTGACCAAGCTGCTGGGTAACAGCTGGTATCGCCTCCGCGGGCAATATAGATAACACAGGGTCGTCACCAAAGTGCAGCGCATTTCCCTGCGACTTTCGTTAATAATAGTGTCTACCATTGAAGTTAAGTTACCTTCTTGACAACATCTTCCACTAAATCTCGCAACTCAGTGGTCATTCTCACCTCGGGGGCGTGAGCAAACTCCTTGGACACCTGCATCATGGAATCTTTTGAATGTCCTTGTTGTCTATTTTGGGCTGCTTTCGCTTGCCTCTCGTCCACTGCTCTACGTGCGGCAAAAGGATCAGCATCATACATCCATTTCATGTGATCTGGAGCATTTTGTTGTTCTGCAACTAGCTCGGTCCAGTAATCGCGAGGCCCAGGTGGTAATACGAGATTGAGCTGAATCCTATTGCAGAACTGACAGTTTACGCGTGTTCAATCCTACTGATCATGTGAGTAGTGACAGAAATACACTGACACGGTACAAGGCGTATGTGGCACCCCAATGACGCGCTTCAAGCGCAGTAGGCCTCAAATAAGGTGGGTGAGGTTCAAGTCGGACACTTTCTGCCCGTGATGTTTTCTTATCAAATCGAGTGATAATTACGACAAAAGACCAATCGTTGCCATGTTTACGCTTGTGGATCTTGAGCTATGATAAAAAGTTTGATAAAACAGTCACACTCACCGTCTCGACGGTTGGTTTGTCCCAGCCATTCTTTTGGCACCTAGCAATGGAAAAGTTAGCCCTGGAAATCCACGGATCGGATGGTGAATGCGAATGTTATTAATGCTCTCGAACAACATGTATCATTGCCAAGCGCACCAAAGTTCCTATATCAAAGGCGAAAAAGCATGTACCTCTCATGAAGTAGACTCAGAGGATACTTGGATCCGGGCGGGAAGAGTGGTTTTTCTTGCTCTGCATCAGCTGACTGCGATGGCGAACCTGCGCCAGAATTTTTGTTAATCTTGGATGAATTTCCTGCATTCCCGGATTTAACGATGCCCTTGCGAGGAGGCATCAACTTCGGAGTGAGCGCTGAAAAGTAGGAAAGCAAAATTTGTCGGAAAAAAGTTTCCAGGCTTACGAGACCATACAATACACTTTAAGGGCCCACTGGGTGGATGTCATTATAAGCCAATATAATGGGGTATGATAATCTTTTAATGGGCATTGAGAGGCAATTGTAAGGGCCCTTTTGATGGCCTTACATTGAAAATTGCCTGCTATGGCCCCACCTAGACTGCCCCTTATGCCTTGTAAGGGCTTATAAGGCCCTTTGAAGGCATCTAATCAAACTTGTAATCTGGTGGCATCGTAATGGCCGTTAGGTTTTTTTCCGACAAATGACAATTATGTAAGCTCTACAACCTCAGTGTCTCGTGTACCCTCAACAACTCTAGCTCTCACCACGACCTTGCTATGGCGGAGAATGACCTTTACAACCTTGAAGTACTCTCGCTAGTCGCCAAAATTACCCAGGAGATTGACAACTATACTGGCATTAACGATAAAACACTCGCTGAATTTGTCATATCTCTTCACGACCAATCTAAATCACTTCCCGACTTCAAATCACAGCTCAGTAATGCTGGCGCTGAATTCCCAGAGTCCTTCGTTGAGAACGTGGATCGTTTAATCTTGAGCTTGCATCCGAAGCACAAGAAGACATCCAGTTTAGTTATCAATGGCGCCTTAAACGCCCAAACAAACGGAGACGCTCTCGACCGTGAAAAGGACAAGCAGAAACGACTTTTTCCTGGACTCTCTGTGCCGGACAAGGATGTTCTTATGAAGGAGGTGGATGATATGATGGCTCAGTTTGAAGGTGTCTCGAAGAAGACAAGAACAGCACACGAGGATGAGAGGTCTACGAAGCGGCAGCGAAGAGACCAATCTCGGTCACAATCACCACGCCGCCGTAGTCCAAGTCCTGACAGGGGTCGCAATTACAACGGAAGGAGGGATGACTTGAGGGGGAGAAACGGAGATGCAGGCAGGGCCCGTTTGGATGAGCGGCCAGTATTGTTTAAAATCTACGATGGCCGAATATCAAGTCTCAAAGATTTCGGCGCTTTTGTGCAGCTAGAGGGCGTTGGGGGACGTATGGAAGGTGAGCGACGCCTTTTGGTTTTCAATACTGTCTTGCTAACAGACTTCCAGGCATGGTGCATGTTTCTAATATTCAGCAAGGTGCACGTGCCAACTCTGCATCAGATCTCCTTAGCCGTGGACAACAGGTCAAGGTCAAGGTGATGAGCATTGCGGGCGCCCGTATTGGTCTATCTATGAAGGATGTAGATCAAGTTACGGGTCGCGATCTCACTCCTCACTTGCGGATCAGGTCTGAAGCCGAGATGGAGGAAGAGCGACAGCGAGCGGCTCGCGCATCGTCTGGGGCCAATGCGGTGCCGTTGCGCTCAAAGGATGAACCATTAACGACCCGGTCCGCCAAACGTCTGACCTCACCTGAACGATGGGAGATTAAGCAACTTATATCATCTGGTGTCATTGATGCTTCCGAGTATCCTGACCTTGATGAAGACTTTATCAATCCTGTTGCTCGAGCAGAGGTCGAGGAGGAGCTTGATGTCGAAATCAGGGAAGAGGAACCGCCATTCTTGGCCGGTCAGACGAAACGCACCCTTGATCTCAGTCCTGTGAAAATCATCAAAGCTCCTGATGGCTCCCTCAACAGAGCCGCCCTAGGGGGGCGCGGCTTTGGCTAAAGAGCGACGCGAGCTTCGACAACAAGAAGCGAACGAGCAAGCTGACTCTGAAGCTCGAGACTTTAGTGCACCATGGCTCGATCCTATGGCGAAGGAGTCAGACAAAATGTTTGCTCAAGACCTTAGAGGTCATCTGAAGGATCGACGAGCTGGCGAAGTGCCTAAATGGAGGAGAATCGACATTCAACAAGGCTACAACATATGGTGAAATCACAAGTCGCAGCATACAGGAGCAGCGGAAGAGTCTGCCTATTTTCAAGCTTAGAGACGCTCTGTTAAAGGCCATTGAAGAGGTAAATCAATTCTTTTTGTGTAGTTCGAACAGTCTCTCACTCAGCTTTTATAGCATCAAGTCCTTATTGTTGTTGGAGATACTGGCTCTGGCAAGACAACGCAAATGGTGCAATACCTCGCTGAGGCTGGCTTTGCTGACAAAGGACGCATCGGCTGTACACAACCGCGTCGTGTGGCTGCCATGTCAGTCGCAAAGCGTGTTGCAGAAGAAGTAGGATGCCGTCTTGGTCAAGAAGTTGGCTACACTATCCGTTTCGAAGATTGTACGAGCCCGGAAACGAAGATCAAATACATGACGGATGGTATGTTGCAGCGTGAGTCGGTGATTGATCCGCTCTGTAGCCAATACTCCGTGGTCATGCTTGATGAAGCTCATGAACGGACTATCGCAACCGATGTCTTGTTTGGTCTTCTCAAAAGTAAGTTTGTGCACCTTTCTTTGATCGTCGTTATCTGATGCATTGCTCGCAGAGGCTGTCAAGAAACGATCCGATCTCAAGCTAATTGTCACTTCAGGCGACTCTGGACGCGGAGAAATTCTCGAAGTACTTCTTCGGGTGCCCAATTTTCACAATCCCCGGTCGCACATACCCTGTTGAGATCCTTTACACTAAAGAGCCGGAATCCGACTACCTGGACGCGTCATTAATTACCGTCATGCAAATCCACTTGTCTGAGCCCCCAGGTGATATCCTCCTCTTCTTGACGGGCCAGGAGGAGATTGATACCTCATGCGAAATTCTCTTTGAGCGTATGAAAGCTCTGGGTCCGAAGGTGCCAGATCTTATCATCCTCCCCATCTATTCTGCCCTTCCCTCCGAAGTACAGTCTCGCGTCTTCGAACCTACTCCTCCTGGTGCCCGCAAAGTTGTTATCGCCACCAACGTTGCAGAAACCTAGTTTGACCATTCCTGGGATTTACTATGTCATTGATCCCGGGTTCTCGAAGCAAAATGCATACGATCCGCGACTAGGAATGGATTCATTAGGTGGTCATGCCTATATCCCAGGCACAAGCACGGCAGCGCTCTGGTCGTGCTGGTCGCACAGGTCCAGGGAAGTGCTACCGTCTATACACGGAGGCTGCCTACCGGAACGAGATGTTGCCCTCATCTATCCCAGATATTCAGCGCACGAATCTTGCTCATACTATTCTGCTACTCAAGGCGATGGCTATCAATGACCTTCTCAGTTTCGATTTCATGGACCCGCCGCCAGCAGCAGACCATGTTAACTGCGTTAGAGTCATTATATGCGCTTTCGGCATTGGATGATGAAGGTCTTTTGACCCGCTTGGGCCGCAAAATGGCCGACTTCCCAATGGAGCCGCCGCTTGCGAAGATGCTCATCGCCTCTGTCGAGCTCGGCTGCTCTGAAGAGATCCTTTCTATTGTGGCCATGCTCTCCGTGCAATCTGTCTTCTATCGCCCAAAGGAAAAACAAGGGCAAGCCGACTCCAAGAAGGCGAAGTTCCACCAGCCAGAAGGTGATCACCTCACCCTTCTGACGGTATATAATGGCTGGAAAACCGCCAACTTTTCGAATCCTTGGTGCTACGAGAACTTCATCCAGGCAAGAAGTATGCGGCGTGCGCAGGATATCCGCAAGCAGCTGGTGGGCATTATGGACAGGTGAGTGTATATTCTTGATGCTAATTTCGTAACTTCTAACATCATTCTCAGATACAAACATGATATTCTTTCAGCAGGAAAGGATTACAACCGTGTGCGGAAGGCAATATGTTCTGGTTTCTTCCGGAACGCGGCTAAGAAGGATCCTCAAGAAGGCTACAAGACGCTTGTTGAGGGAACGCCCGTATATATCCATCCCTCTTCCGCTCTCTTCAACCGCGCGCCTGAATGGCTAATTTATAATGAGTTGGTGTTGACCACTCGCGAATACTGTCACAACGTTACTACCATAGAGCCAAAATGGCTCGTAGAGGTAGCACCTCAGTTCTTCAGAGTCGCCGACGCCAACAAGATCAGTAAGCGGAAGAGGCAGGAAAAGATCGAACCGTTGTACAACAAGGTATGCATCGCATCCATGCAGGACAATCTAAGGCTGACATATTTATTAGTACGAGAAACCCGACGAATGGCGACTATCAAAAGTCAAACGGAGTGCACGCTCGGTATGTAGTCATTTAAAGCCAGTCCACCATTCCGTACTAATCCTGCCCATAGAGTCAAACATTTGGTTAAAGCCTCGCATGTCACTTGTTGAATTAGTTTATGAATTATCTGTAGTTGTAGAGTATAATGGCGCCGTTACAAGCTTGGTGCGATTTGTTGCTTTATTCCACATTAGATCATTTGAAGATAGCTGATGCGGCATGTTTCTAATTGCGGCATGCTTGCTATGACCCTCGCGATGATGATCCAGATCCAAGAAACAATGGGAGTCTTAGACTGGAAGACTAAGAATAGCGATTAGTATTTTTGTATGCAGTTCGAAGATGATGTGAATACATACTGGTACATTTGCATTAACGAGAACACTAGCCCACAAATCGCATGGCATCAGCATCTACATAGTACTTCGCAACCTCTCCCGCCTTGACCACCGGTGCTGTTGGGTCGGGTACCAACATGAATGATTGGAAGAAAACTCTAGGCTGCCCATCGACAGATTTAGTTGGTGTCGATACTGGATTGCCAGCAGGACCACGTCCATGAGTGACGTTTCCAGAGACAGTAACAAGAAGTGAGGGGGGCTGAGAGCCTGTGATGGTAGCGCGTGAGTGTTTCCGTCGCCGTAGGGCACCCCAAGAAACAGACCTGGTATGGGGTGACAATCGTAGGATTGAACTTCATGCCTGGTACTTGGCATATCTTGAATCAGTTTTTTCACACCCTCAGCACCTTGACACGGATTTCCGTTCCACGTCAAGGTCGATGAGGAGCGATAAAACTTGGGGAGGTCATCCACCCTTGTAGGGGAGTCATATGTGGTGTAGTATAGACGCGTAAATGCGTCTGCTGCCCTTGTCGCGATCTCGATGCTTGTTAAAGTCAAAATCAGGATAATGGTAATACAAATTACGATAATGACACCTACTCATTACGAGTGAAAGTTGTAGTGGTGGTCATGGTTCAAGACAATGAATCACATCCATCACCAGTGGCACGTGATATATGCTCCTGTGTGGCATTATTGTTACGTGATGCCCTAAAGCGGTTATTACATTATGGAACCGTCGGACTCTCAGGGAACGAGTACACGATGTGTGTGTAGTAAGTACCGCATTGCTAATTTGCTACCATTAATACCATCATAGCAGCCTTTAAATATGCAGTCCAGGGTCACAACTCGCTCGTTGCGGTTGCCTCATACCACCACCATGGCAGAACAAATTCGAGTCGTTAGTCTTAACTGTTGGTATGTTATCTCCAATTCTGCAAGCGCGGTCGGTTTGATCCATGAGTGACGTAGGGGCTTGAAATATGTTTCGAAAGATCGGCACGAACGAGTTGCTGCAATAGCTAGTGCGCTCGCTCGTTCAGACTACGATATCATTGCACTCCAAGAAATCTGGGTCGAGGCAGACTATAATCAAATTCGGCAGAGTGTCGTTTCCCGCTTGCCTTACACAAAGCTTTTCCATAGGTATGGTGTGTCTTGTGTGCTGGGTGCATGGCTCATACCATCTTAGCGGTGCTCTTGGTGCCGGACTTGGTATCCTCACAAAATGGCCCATCATTGCCACCAGCATGACACCATACTCACTTGTTGGCGAGCCCACAGATGCCTTCGGAGGAGACTGGTTTGTGGGAAAAGGAGTTGGGAGCGTAACGGTTATGCACCCTATTCTTGGACAGGTCCAGCTTTTTGTCACACATGTAAGCCTGCCGATACATCTACGTCTTATGGTATTGACAGCGCAGCCAAGTTCTGTGCCAAGGGCGGAGAATCAGGTCCTGAGTACAACAGGACGTATCGCCTAGTGAATGCTTGGGAGTTTGCAAAAGTCACACGGCAAGCCGCTGAACTAGGGCGGTATGTCATCGCCGTGAGTTTTCTGTAACCTCGGTCATTGCTTCGAGCGTTGCTGACACATAAATAGATGGGTGATTTCAATAGCCTTCCAACGAGTCTCCCGATGAATATCGTCCTGAACCATGCCGGATTGGTTGACTCGTGGGCAGTCTCACACACACATATACCTCCGCCCTCTGGGATGTTATCTCCCATAGAGGGTATCGTCAAATACGGAATCACTGCCGATTCGCCTCTTAATTCTTACCGTGACTCACAACCCTCTTCCGACCCGGTTGTTCGCAAATATCAAGGGAAGCGCCTTGATTATATCTTATTCCGGCATCCCAGTCCCAACGCGACCAATGACTACCTTCCCCGACTGGCGTGCCGAGATAGCAGGGTTGTCTTCACTGATACCATTCCCGGAAACTCATGCTCCTACTCTGATCACTTTGGTGTCGAGGCGACCCTAGTCATTGGCACGCAGGCGGAATCCTATGGCGGCGACCAGGATGATATGGCGTCACTGAAGGGTAGCTCAGCGGTGTGGTCCAACTCCCCCTCTGAACTCTCCTCGAATGCTATAACCGAGATGATGAGCGCCTTGAATGCATCCTACAGGATGTCGCAAGATCGTTCTCGCAAGGAATTGACTATCTTTGGATTGAGCATCTTGATGCTGCTTGCTTTCATTATTGGATCTGCATGGGTTGTCATTCCTTGGATCAACCCAGTTTTCGTGCTTCTAGTCATTTTCATATCGTGGCAGGCTACGACCAAACTTTACGAAGGTTTCATCTTCGGGAACTGGGAGAGGAAAGCTTTACAAAATGTTATAGAAGAGCTTGAACTTTATAAGATGGTCCTGGCGTCACAGGCACCGCAAGACTGGTAGAGAATACAGTATCATTGTATGGACATCTTACGCAGAGAATGGAATGGACTATTTGCTACATATATCTGGACTGGAATGTATGCGAATCAAACGGTGAAAACGATATTGCCCATATAAGGCGGTACTATACAAGATAGGCAGTCGAGGCAACAGATGTCATAGCGGCCCAAGATGTCGCGAAAGCAGGAATATTGGAGAGACTGATGCTTGAGGGTTCGGAGGGAGATGAAGGACGAGTCGGTGTGGGTGACAATGTGAATTTTTTGCGACGAGTAGGCCAATCCTCCGAATATTGGGATGCGGCTGATTTCTCCGAGAAAACAGAGAGTGCAGACTGCATTCGACGAAGAGCTGGGGTGGACGCCGCATGCCGAAGAATTCGAGATGGATCGGCGACAGTCTCACAAGGCGTAGTGGGTTCTAATTCGCTACCGCTGAAATTGGGGGTTGGCGCCAAATCCAACCAAGTACGGCCCCAGCTTGGAGGTACTGCTGGGCTCAATCGCACTTCGTAACTCGTATCAACAATTTCTCGAGCCATCTGTTCTTGAACTTCTTGCCATCCCGAGTTAGTCTCCACACCATCGCCACGGACAACACGGACGTTATCGTTATCCGTGTCGTTCTCAAGGCAAAACTCAGTGACGTTATCCAAAACTTGAGGCGTGTGGCTTTGGATGTGAGGCAACCTGTACCGCACAAATTCGCGACAAGAGATGAAGGCGGTCGTTGCAACACTCAAGAAAGGAAATGCCTGAAAAACATGAATCTTGAAAAAGCAATGATCAATAAAATGCATGAGACCTCGACTTGAACTTACAGCATCCTCGTAGGTCTCCAACTGAACCTGGACACCAGCCAGTGAAGCTTTGTGTGAGAGAAGTACGATCTCATCATGCAGAACCTCTGCATCGCCACATTGAATAAGCATGGGCGGTAGTCCATCGAGTTTGCCAAATAGTGGGCTGGCGTATGGGTGGGTAATGTACCGCTCGAATCCATCGCCTAGATACATTACAACGGGGTGCAGGTGACCGGTTGGACCAGGCGTAGGAATGATGTCATAGTCAGCGTTAGTATCCCACGATTCGCAGCTCAAGGTCAAGTCTGTCATCATGTTTCAGACTACCTGGAGAAAGAGAAAGTGCATCAATTGCCACATACCAACCCAAGGGGAGAATAACATCGCGCCGCCCGGAAGAGTGTAACCATTGTCTCGCAGATAGAGCAGGAGTGCGAGGCCTAGTGCGCCACCCGCACTGTCGCCTGCTACAACTAAATTTTCTGGCGGCACGCGCAAGTCATCCGTCAAGCGGAAGTAGGTGCTAACCACGTCGTGCAGCTGGCCAGGAAAAACTGTTTCCGGGGCGAGCCGATAATCGACAGCTTGGATTACGATGAGCCAAGGACGTTTGCTTCGAGCCGTAATCAAGGGACTCACCAAATACGCGTGCGTTGGTATATTTTGACAGTGGTATGGTCAGCATCCTTTGCGCTGCTGCGCTAGACGAGTAATATGCTCCTGGAAGCGAAATAAGACGCCGCATTGCACAGAGCACCGCAAACTCACCGCCATGGATGTAGAGGATGACTCGAGATTGCCCTTTTCGAAGATCATAATCGATTTTCGTCTGATTAACAAGGTTATCCCCTTCGCCTGCTTGGCGAGTGGACTTGTAATCTGATTGCAAAGATTGCCAGAGCCTCTTCCCGATTATCCACTCCCCAGAAAGTTCACGTTTTTCGTCTTCCATTGCATCCAAAGTCTCCAGTATACCACGAAGGTTGCGTTTACGCACACGGAAAGTCACTGGAGTGACTAAAGCGTCTGAGGGCAAGGGAACTAGCCCCCCGATATCCATTGCCTTGCGAACCATAGCCTAGGGACGTTGTCATTGCTAAGGTTGCAAACGACACAAAATTGCACTCACGATATCTGCCAGTGCGGAATGCCTCGAGACATCTCGCATAAGACTAGTGAGGATAGTCATCTCAATACCCCATGATTTCCTGCGCGGGCCCCAAACGTGATGAGATATAACATCAAGAGCTAGGGATGATACTGAATGCATGATGAGTTAACGTTCAGGATGCAATAAATCATTGATAAAACGCGGGCGATACTTACCTTTATTTAATGCGAAGACAGGATATTTCCATGCGTCCCAAACTTTCATGGTGAAGCCATTCGTTGCTTTGAGATTCCGGTCAATGCGGGCAGACATTGGGAAGACGCCAGGGGAGTCATAATCCCGTAGAAGAGTTACGATAGATGGTTTATTGGTTACCACGGGGGAACTGGCATTGGCGCCATGATGTAGAAGTCGTAATGAATCCCGGAACATCTTTGATGGACAACGCTACAATCTCAGACGGTCAAACAAATATTGGAGGAGTCAGTGAATGGGTTCCAAGATCCGCAAATGTGATGAACCAAATGGTCAGAGTCTTGCTGGTCAGAGCATCAGGACAATTGTCTGCAAGTTCATCGGATGAACTCTGACTCCGCTCCATGATGATAATCCGAAATCGGTGATCACGTGATCGAGGACGATCAAATGATGACAATCACACTTGGAAAGCGCCGATTTCGTCGGCATCATAGACCTTGCTTGTCACTGATCTGCCGACTGTTGAATCATGTACGCTACAGAAAGCAAAGCTGACAAGCCTTTGTAATGCCCGCGGAAGCGGTTCGGAGAGATCGAGATGACGTACCAAATAACTTGGATGGCAGTGGACTCACAAACGGGTGAGAGACCTTGCCAGCAAGATAGTTGACGACCGCAAAAATAACATTGGTGTGCATATGTAGTATCTTACATCTTCAATAGTCATCGCCTCGACTGATAACCTCCTTAACGGTGGGTCGAAGAAGTATTGTATGCTCCTAATCGCAACGCTAAGTGACCATGTTCAAGAAAAGGAATTTTAAAGGCTTACGAATTGTGCAGTCATGGAGCCCTTAGCATCACAGAGCGGTGGGTAGTCTTGAACGATTCCTTGTTGCACTAGATGGTTGAGCTAAAGTCGGAGCAAATTAATCAAATGACGGATTGCCTAGTCGTTTGACCAACCGCCAGCAGATATTTGCTTTCACCAACGCGATCCAAGTACCGTCGGCAAAATGGAAGAGTTCCGAAGTTATGGCTAATCGACTTGAGTAGTGACTTGGCAGACGTTAGTCTTGCAATGCATGAATGTCAATGCTTGCCGGAATGCAGGAATAGGAGCAACTTACCTGAGGGGCGCGCGCGGAGCGTCGATGATTTTTGCGTAATGCGAGCACTCGCCCTGTTAATGGGATCAGCCTCTGACGAATTCACCCGCAAACCAAGCCTACGCTCTCAACCACACGCCCACGACCCGTCGAGCCAAAGGTTTCAATCGCAAAATACTCGCCCTCTTCCATTTTCGTCGGATCATCGTTCTTAACGAGTTGGACTGATTTACCGCCGTGTATCTGGTAAAGTCCTATAGAATGCCCGCTAAGGTTTCCTATAGACTTGACTAGAAACTTGTCAAAGGAGTCCGAAATATTGGATGAAAGATGAATACCCGGATATACTTTTCCATCGACCTCAACCTCGTATGACTCCATAGTCTCTTGGATGGCACCTCCGATTTCGCCCAAGCGCACGTCAATACCGGATTCCTAGTTATATATGTTTCCTGTGAACTGGAGTCAAGCATGTGGAGCTGAACTCGGCTCACCCTGACTCCAGTATCAGTGGCAGCCCTTACTGCTTCAATAAGCTTGTCGTAAGTAGGCTCAAAATTAAGCGTGAAAGCGGAATCGACTATGCGTCCTTTCACATGCACTCCAATATCGATCTTTAAAACATCACCACTTTGAAGAACTAATCATCCGTAAGCAGCGATTCCTATCCAGTTAACACATACGCACTGTTAGTGTCCCCAGCGTTTGGTGTGTAATGAGCAGCGCAATGATTCAAGCTGAGTCCAGTCGGAAACCCAATGCCAGACTCCAGTCCATTTTCCTCGACCAGGGCACGGCTGCCATCTTCGATCAAGTTTGCAATTTCGGTCATGGTCATCCCGGGACGTATGTATTTCCGTGCGCTTTGTCGAACCTGTCGATGAACTTCTGCGGCACGACGGATGCTCTGGTACGTGATCTCTGGGTCTTCCATTGCCATTCTTTCATCGTAGCGCTTCTCCTCGGACGTCGTCCTCCATGCGTTACTGTAAACAAGAAGTTGTCAATCTCATTAGGGGATACAACGATTGCAATACGCACTCATTCTTGTAGGGCTGTATCTCTCCCTCTGGGTAGACACCATTCGTGAATATCTTCGACAGACCAACTCGTGGGGGATCTGACTGTTGCACCTTTTTCTTCTTAGACTTCTTCTTTTTCTTCTTTTTCTTAGTCTCTTCTGAATAACATATGACGATGGTCTCAAAATCAATCTTCAACTGGCTCACCTCCAGCGCCTGGTGTATCCTCTACAACGTCATCATCTTCCACGTCTTCCTCTTCGTGGTCCTGCGGCACGATGTTTTTCTGTTCAACCTGTTTCTCGTCCTTGGATATCATCGGTGTTGAATTATTAGCCTTGAACGATTACTGGTTGCATGGGACCGTAAGTACCAATACGCTAGCCTCATGTGGGGGGTCGGAAGCCATGCCAGGAAAGATAGAGGGGTCATTGTATTAGCGGCAAACCCATGGTGAGTTGGTGGGGAAAGATAAGTGTACTAGTGAGATGCCAGTAATAACTTAAAGACTAGTATACACGGATATCGATACCGACAATGAACAGTGCTCCACTACGTTAATTATGCTCCGAAACCATAAAGTGTGCGCCCCGAGCGCTTCAAAGCATAGACTACATCGAGGGCAGTGACAGTTTTCCTGTGTGCGCGTCAGCTTAGCGAGAAGTGATACAATCATAGGACAAAGCAAGGCTCACCGTTTAGCATGCTCCGTGTAGGTAACAGAGTCACGAATGACATTCTCAAGGAAGATCTTGAGTACACCTCGGGTCTCTTCATAAATAAGACCGGAAATACGTTTGACACCTCCGCGACGGGCCAGGCGTCGGATAGCCTACGGACGAGTGAGTTCAAGTGATACGATGCACGCAAGTGGGGGTACATACGGGCTTCGTGATACCCTGGATGTTGTCACGCAAGATCTTCCGGTGGCGCTTAGCACCGCCCTTGCCGAGTCCCTACAGAAAACAGTGAGCTCTGCATGTCAGACCCTGACTCGAAAATGCGCACCTTGCCACCTTTTCCACGACCAGACATATTTCAGGAGTGTAATGTGGGTTGACGGAAGGAAATAAGGAATCTGATTTCAAGGTTGGTGACTCAGTGGTGGTAAGGAAGAAAGGGTTATTTGTTTCCATGCACGCGTTTCGCGTTTGTTTAATGGTCTTTCACGCATCACGTGACGTCGATGATATTCTTTCATTCATTTTGTTTTGTTTCTTATCACTGTTGAAGTTATTGACTATTTACTGAGCATCATGTCGGGAAGTGATCAAAGTATAGCAGATTTCCTCTCATCGGTATTACCAGTACCTGGGAATAGTCGCCCGGCGGACGAGGGGCTTCAACGACCCTTAGTGACCCTTACATTCGCTCAATCTCTGGACGGGAAGATAGCAGGCAAGGGAGGCAAACAACTTATCCTCAGCGGCAGAGAAAGCATGCTCATGACCCATTGGTATGATATGTATTTTAAAGCTCACAGATTAATCCATCCCTTACTATTCCTAGGGCAGGATGCGCACCAAGCACGATGCAATTCTAGTTGGCATCGGTACTGCACTAAATGACGACCCTCAGCTAAATAGTATGTCTTAATTTTCGTCTGCCTGTGTGACTAATATAGGTACAACAAGGTCGCCATATCCCTGAGGATGAAAGGCCAAGCCATCTACCTCGTCCCGTGATACTCGACGCAAACTTGCGCCTTAGACCGGGCTGCAAGCTGCTCAAAAATTATCAGGAAAGAAAAGGCCGCCGTCCGTGGGTAATTTGCGATACTAATTTGAGCCTCGATGATGTCGGAAGAAAATACACCCTCGAGAACGCTGGAGCAAGGGTAATCGGCGTGCCCTCAGTGGACGGTGGGTCATATTCTGCTGTGTTGCGCAGGTCAAATGAATACCTTCAGGTTTCATCATGATCCCAGACCTCTTGAAAGTTCTTTACAACTTTGGGATCAAGACCCTCATGGTCGAAGGAGGTGCGACCGTCATTGGCTCTTTCCTAGGGGAATCTGCACGCGCCAAGCCTAATGCCATTATTGATACACTCATCATCACAATTGCTCCGACGCTGATTGGCGATGATGGAGTCAGTTACGGGGAGGGACTCTCAGCGGCGCAGGTACGATCAAGGATACGTATACAATCATGCGTTTTCATCTCAGGCCCCAGGTTCCCTCTTTGAAGCACATCCGGACAGAGGTCATGGGGAGAGATGTGGTTGTTGTCAGTGCACTAGAGTGAATGTTTTTTGGGCGAGCGAATTAGCTCCCATGGCATAGCAAGAAACTACGACGACAACAAAGCAAGGCAGAATAAACGTGTTTACATGAATAAAATAAGATAATTGCTGGGTATGTAGTGCGTGATATAATTCGGCACAAATATGCAATGCTAACGGATATCAAGATGGGAGACTAGCCATTCTATTTCTGCAAAAAGGCAGTATTGTCTTGTGCAAGGTCGCACTTACTAGCAATGCGGGTCGCAGCTTCGAGTGCTCTTTCAACAAGAGCGCGGGAAGGAGAAGTGGGAGGAGTACTCTGCAATAGGTCTATCCGCACGATGATCAAGACCAGAAGTTATAGAATGGGAAAAGAGCACACCTCGATACAACAAAACGTATCTCATGACCCGCTGTGTTGGTTGAATTGCAAGATCCCGCACACTCTGTCTCCGAGTTGGGGGCTCTCCCTTTGATTCGTTCGCACGACCGTCCACCAAGTTGACTCTAGGACTTCGTTCTGTATGGGAGTCAGTACTACCGTCATCAGGCACCTTCCAATACTGTTCAACTGTCCGTTGTCTATCTCTAATCCTACTCCCTGCCTCATTCATTAAGGTTAGAAGAGGTGGAGGAGAGTCTCCACTTGATTTCACCGCCGCAGGGGTGAGAGGACTTGTGGCGGAGAGCAGGAGAGACTTGGGCCGACGCCATTTCCCTCCCACGCTGGTTGATTCCGCTTCGTTGCTGGGGCTATCAGTAAAGAAGTTGCCTGCCACGCGGCACCACGAAACCATGGCGATTTCAATGTCATCTTCGCAAGCCATGAATGCGGCGGATACGCCCCAAGCGGAGGGGTCATCAAGGAAGGCCTTCAACAACGCTTCCGATGCTCGTACGAGGTTAGGAAGGTACGTCAACAACAGCGGAGGTGGTTTGTTTGCTGTCTGAATATATATCACCTCAATTACGACATTCCCTTGAGACATCATGCTGGTGACGAACCTGTCCTGTCAGGAGCATTTTGAGGGCATCTTGGTATTTTCTCTCCGTCCGGACGATTTCTCGGATGCAAAATAATGCCTTTCTTGCAGTACTCCAGAGAGCGGCGTCATGAGAGTCCAACTCGACATCATGCAGAATCACGGGTAAGGGCGTCACGGGCTCGGACTCCTCTGATTGGCACGGTGAACTTGTATGACCGCCGAAGTGGTCGCCATACTGGAATTCCAAGTGGCTAGATCCTTGTTCGGAAAGTGGTATACTAGCCAGGTCATGGCTAGTGACTCTCGAGACAGGGAGTGATCTATGCTTGTCGTTGCGGGTACTCCGCTCTCGTATGATTTCGAGCCGTTTCAGCAGGGTTTCATCCGATAGATTTTCATCTACTGCCATGGAAATATCGATCTCCTCGTCGGCCGAAACAGCGTTGGTATAATGGGAAGGGACAAAAGATGTGGACACACAGGTGCCCATTGGAGATGCACCGATCCATGCCAAAGACGCGAGTGCTTCAGTGCTAGGACTGGCCTTTTGGGTGGTTGATGGTGATAAGGCAATAGATGCACTACTGTGGTGGCTTCTCCGCTTGGGTGATAACTCAAAGTTTGTTCGCCGATCGTGCCATGGGTGATGTATCGGCTAGACAGGCAAAGGATCAATGACGTGCCACGGCGGACTAGGCTGAGACTTACAATGTCTAGCCGAAGTGGAGAGGGAGGCTCGAACGAGTGGCAGAAGACTTTGGTTGCGGGATTCTTGGTTGGATAATACAGGGGCACGAGTCTCCTCCGAGGCATGGTACGACGAATGGGATGAACTTGAGACATGAGATAGTGCTGTTGAGCGTCGCTTGATCAACTTTGACCTGTGTTGAAGCGGAAGGTCTGATCTTAAATGGTTATCCTCTTGGGTACGAGGCTCCTCCGAGACAATGTGACATGAAGAATGGGATGAACTTGAGACATGAGATAATGCTGCTGAGCGTCGCTTGATCAACTTTGACCTCAGCTCTGATCTAATTTGGCCGTCCTCTTGTCGCGGCAACAACGGTGCGACGAAACCGGCGGAATAGTGCTTTGTAGGGCCGACGATCATGGTGGGCGAATTTTGGGAGGAACGGACCGAAGTAGTTGGACGACGATCATTAGGATGGACATTAATATCGATTTGCAGTGAAGATTGTGATAAAGGATGGTGAGTGTTTGGAGATTGTGCCTCGACTTGGGCATGACGGAATCGTGGAGTACTACTCGGTCCAGGCGCGTTGGCTCGAGCCGATAACGCGGGTGGAGATTCAGAGGGAAACGATGACGAAAGTGGTTGTGAATGTGATCTTGCATGAACCGTGTGAGGATTCGGAAGGCTTGGCATCTTCAGCGTTGGTTGGTTGATGACCGAATGCTGTGGCACTCCCAATTGCTTATGATACGTGCGGGGTTCGCCAGTCAATCGACCAATGGTGGGTGAAATCGGCGAGGGCGGCATCTTTCGAATATGGCGATATGCAGCACCTAGCCTCCCATCAAGATCTCCACTTGTGCTAGGAGAACATGGACCAGGGTAGTCGGCAGGCAATACTGCTTGACCAGAAAAAGAGCTGATATTATCGCCTGGAGTAGTACAACCTGTCTGGGTGCTCCAGCTGAAGAAATCACTGTTACCTCCATGGCTAGACGAATCTTGTGGATGTGATAGCGAAGACTCTTCCGTTGATAACTTGGATCGCACACTCTCGCTATGAGCGACATGTTCGGATGTTTTATGCGGCTTATCTTCGTGGAAGTTCTGGAACACTGGGACATTGACGGGACCACGAGTCACATTGTCAGAGCGTTGTCGTGGGTTGTCGTGAGGGACCTGGTCCTGCGCAGGCCTTCGGAAAGGAACTCGCAGTTTCGGCCAGAATCTCTTCTCGCCTGACATGCTGCATGAGTGCCGAGGGTGGTCAAAGGCGGTGGCAGCTGCACTTGAGGTGCGGCTGCCGGCAGTCCGCCCGTCGAATTTAGAACAAATCTGCCCCCGCCGCGCCCGGTCTTCGGACCACTTCCTCTAGAGGCTAGTGTATCTGTTACCTTCCACGCCAAGCCCGAAGCTTGCAGCCTTCTTCGTCCCGAACTCGTTGTCAATGTGCAGATGCGGCGGCGTTTCGCCGTTGTGGTTGTATCAGCTCTTTGTACGCCACAACGGTGATGGTTCGGATGTAACGGTCTTTACTCCCCGGCTGCTCACTGTGGCTACACATTGTATAACAATCAAATTGAGAATGCTGAACAATCCCGAGGGGGCACACATGTCTATCATCATTCGAATTCTGACGTCTGGTCTTTATCGATCGATATCAATTCAAATCAGCTTATAATAGTACACGAGCAAATATCACAGGATAAACAAGACGCTAGAGAAGGACGTGGATACGTCGCTGCATATAAACACAGGAAAGCTAAAAGTTATCGATCATCTTCTCTACTCATCCTCTGAGCCATGGCTGTCGTACAATACAACGTACTCAAGGTTCTCGGGCTCGGACCGCGTATCTTGCCAATCGGATCCATACTCATCAGACGAAGGGACACTGACCAAGGATACCGATGATCCATCAGAATCTCCATCATCCGTTAAATCCGTCGCAGGTTTGGACGTTAAAGGAGACGAGGGCTCAAATAAGCGACCACTGGGACCAACGGAAGGGGCAGACCTATTGTTCGATGATGACTTTGGCATGACCATCGAGGATGACGCCAAAGAATGGTCGCTAGCTTCATCGGCTGACTGGCGAGGCTCAGCAACAGTAACGCTGTGAAAGGCATTAATTCGAATGCAGTGAGACACGGAACTGTACGTACTCAATCCAAATGTTAGCGCCAAAACTTTCGCCTTTGCCGTCCGTCAACTTCCAGTAACCGACGTATCTACCGGGAGCATCAGGTGCCTGATAGGGAACGTGCTTTAGCAATAACAAACTGTGGCAGACGAGATAAACAAACCTTGAGGTCACCAGTCCACACATCAAGATTTTCTCCGGGATCAACATGTCCAACTTTGGCAATCATCGTTGAGTCACTGTCAGGTGTGAAAGGCTCTCCCGCAACGAAGTGAAGTTCAGTCGTTTCCGGCCAAGGTCTTTCCCCGTCGTTTGACATCCGCCATGACTTTACAAATTCAGCACCAGGTGGAAAAATCTGACCGTCGGGAACCGTCGTGTCGGAAACAAAAGCACAGCTGAGAGAAGGACGTGTCGCCTGTTGCTGTTCTGTACTGGGCATGGCAAATACTTGCTCATCCAAGATGCTATCAAGGGAAGGGGAAGTTGTACAAGACGGAGCGAGTGCTTCAGAGGCGATAGGAGATGGTGTACGGTAACCATGGGCAAGTGCAGCAAGATCCCTGTCCGCAAAGACGAGAGAATCTATGATCGACGGAATATCAGATGCCGGGGTAGCAGGTGACACTTCCTGGGAGAGTGACTTCGCAAATTCTTCAGGCCGAGTTGCTTGAACGAGGGTGGTATCTTCCTCCAGCTTTACCAGATCGCTTTCAAGAGCCTTAACCAACTCAGCCACGGGGCTAGACAAAGGGACTTCAGATTGTCTCGCTTCAATGAGGTGTTTCATTTCCCGATTGACTTTTGGCCACTCTTCACGATAGATGTCAAGTGAAGTGTTCAGGTCGGGAGATGGTGAATTGACCTCAGGAGCGGAAGGTCGCATGATCGTCTGGACCAACTCGCCGATATCCCCGTAGGTATAAGGTGAGGTTGATTGTTCACAGTCAGCGGCGGAGAGCTGCAGGGATTGCGGTAAATTAGTAGTAGTTAGACCTCAAGGGCCAACAAATCTTGCACTGACCTTTGAAGCCGTGCAAAATGACTCCATGGCCTTGACCGGATCAAAGTATCCATTGGTAGAGACGGATTGATCGCAATTAGTGGCGGAAGACTGCAGGAACTGCGGTAATTTAGCAGGGGTTAGACCATAACCCCAAGAGCCAACGGATTTTGTACTCACGCGGTCCTCTTCGGGGCAATATGCCAAGATGGCAAGGGGGCTCAGAGACTCGGGAACAACAACAGGTGGCTCCTGTTCCTCTTTCACGGAATGCTCAGAGGCGACGCGTGATGTGGAAGCAAGCGAAGATTTCAGAGGATGAGGTTCCACAGCCTGCGGGGGCGTATTGCCCTGGCATGCGCAACTCCTTCGAGATTGAATCAGTTGAGTCCGCCCGGCTCTGTACACGGTAGGAACAACAGTGTTTGAAGTCTTCATCTTGAGCAACGGATGAATGGGAGGGTGGACTGGAATAGGCAGGGCTTCGCAATCCTGGCACAGGTCGAAATCAGGACAGCTAGGGTGCATGCACTACACAGGACGCAGCCGTTAGGAACATCAGTGATGCATGAAAAGTAACTACCTTATAACGGACGCCACGAATGGTCTTCCGGCAAGCTGATGGCGCAGCTAATTAATTGATGCTCGTGGTCAAACAGGACAGTACTTACAATCACACGTCGCATAATGAGCAACCATGTTGGTCACTGCGTTGCGCATCTTAAATTATTGTCAGTCAAGTTTCTTTTCACAACAAATGGCGCAGTTACCATGAGGTCATTCGTCTTGCTCACCCGCACAAAGCCATGATTGGGATGCTGCTCTCCAGTAATCCTAACCACAACGTCAATACTGACCGCGTTGTAATAGCAGAACACGTACTTGAAGCAATCAGCGCATGTATCAAAATCTTCGAAGCAACCATTAGCATTGTGGTTACAATCCAGAAATCCATTCTTACCTGGACAATTAACACATTTCTAGGTAATCATGAGCGGTAAGCGGTAAGGAAGTGCGATGAAGAAAGCAGACTCACGAAACGATCCCCGACAATAGGAGAGTCGCACATGTTGCAAGCCGCGCAGTGATGGACGGGGTCGATGACTGAAGTCGTAACGGAGGAGCGGGGACTAGTAGGAACTGTAGGACTACGACTAGCCGCAGACGCATCACGCTCTCCGTCTCCACTAAAAACCGTGTGAACGAACACCCGTCCAGGTGTTTCGATGTCAAAGAATTCATGGGAAGCATTGTGCCTCTCTGCAGCACCTGACTCGATACAGGGCGTGCATAGATCATAGTCTAGGTTGGGGGATATATGAGACTGCATACAAGTGATATCATACCATCTTACCAGGACAATCCAGGCATTTACGTCTGACACCAACAATGATTTCGTTGCAGCCGTCACAAACAATATTTCGGTGAATGATAGTTGTGCGTTGAGTAGGCTCGGCATCATTAGCTGGCGAAGTTCTGGTAGACTGCGATACTGCGGGGACTTCCGCGACTGAAGGTGTAACGGTAATTGACGGCGCGACTTCAGTGGATTCACGCTGCCGGACAACGTGAGCTGGCCCAAAACTGAACGTGTGCATAGCACCAGATTTGGAGAAACAGCTTGGACACTAGCAGATATGTAAGCAAAGCAAATGACTTTGGAAAAATGAAAATCTTACAACGAAGTGCCATGGACATTTCACACATCCGTACCAGCTTCCAGAGAACTCGTTCCTGCAGACGAAGCACCAGTGTGACGAAGGAGGTTCCTTTGAGAGATTGCACGATGCGTCTGACGAAGGAGGAGCCTCGTCGGATGTTCCTACATCGACGGGGGTCTGGCGATGGGATACATCCACTTTTGTTACGGAATTGTATTCTGGGCCAAAAGCATTATGCATTATGCGATCAAGATCTGTCCTGAATGAAGAGAAGAGAGTTCCTATCTCCGACTTCCCTTTGGCGATCGAGCAACATGGCGCAGGAGAGGTCACTTGGGGCAAGAGAGAGGAAATACCGGGAATGGACGGTTGCCTTGGGAGACTTGGTGTTTCTCCGAATATGATGGGCGGCGGTGGCGGCGGAATGAACGAAGGCGGGATTGGATATGCGAGGGAACTGGGAAGTGGTCTGGGAAAAAGTGATGGTGGATTGAATAAGGGACGGTTTAGAAATGGTGTATCCAAGGATGGACTGGGAGAAGGAAGAGACATATTAAATGGTGCAAGTACAGGAGGCGGGGGAATCGCCATGAAGGGCAAAGAAGTCTCCTGGGAATCCTCGACTGCTGAACTTGGTGCTTTGTGGGGAGTCTCATCGAAGATAGAGAACCTGAGCAATGGGTTGGGCCAGCGCCTGCGTAAAGGGGCAATGCGAGTGCGGTACTCTTCTGCGGTATGAACTTCCTTTCCAATTAGAATACGGGACGGCTTAGATGCGTCAGGCGAGAAAATGAGTTTAGAAAGATAATAATTATGGCTTATAGGAAATATGCGATACAACTATAAGTGTGAAACGTCAGCGCTTCAGTAGTAAGCGGTGAGCGGTGACGAGCATACCTGATGGTAAAGCTCCTCATAGGTAGGAAACAAGACTTTCTCTGGAAAAGAGAACTTGCGAGTCTCGTTTCTGTAAGTAGCCTTAATTGTGAACATGGTAGCGTTCAAAAGGAGAGGTGGGGAGCCCGCAGCTTACACAGTGATTTATATTAGGCCGCGGCGTGACCAAGGAAACGTTACAACTGTCACGTGCTGTGACGCGAATAGCCACCGATAATTGGGAGTCGAAGTCGCGTTCAGAGTAAGTACTGGACTACATTGGTGTACAATGCTCTATGAGTATAAATACAAGCTTAGTTTATCCCGACTCCAATACTCCTTTCATCCATACTCGCCATGGCTCTTTTGTACGGCACCAACAGGTCCACGCTGATCATTTTCAGGCCCCATCGGTCGGCAAACGCCCTACAATCGTCGCGCCGTGCCATGGTGCCCAACACATCGTCATTTACTAGCTCGCATAATACACCCCCTAGAGGTTGATTGGTGAGGGCGCACAAATCGACACCAGTTTCCGTATGACCCCTGCGTTCCAGCACACCGCCTTTCTGTGCTCGCAAAGGAACCATATGCCCCGGGCGACTGAAATCAGACGCAGTCGAAGTGGGGTCGACTAATTTGCGCACGGTGAGAGATCGGTCATGGGCGGAAATGCCCGTTGTAGTGCCTAGCCCGTAACCACTTCAACACCGCATAGTATAGCCTCAGAAAAATAAAACTGACCATGTTTATAGTCTACGGTGATGGTGTAAGCGGTTTTGTGTCGCTCCTGGTTGTTAGGGACCATCATGGGGATTTCAAGCTCGTTAAGGCGCTCCTCAGGAAGAGAGATGCAGATGTACCCGCTAGAATGGATGTGAAGACAGAACGTATGAGTGCAAAGGACTCGTACCTCGTGTGCTTGATCATCCATGCCATCGCTTCGACAGAACATTGACTCGCGGAAATAATGATATCACCCTCGTTCTCTCTTCGCTCGTCATCCATGACAACAATGGCTTCACCCCGCGCGAATGCATCCAGTGCCTCCTCTGTTGTATCAAAGGAGAAAGTGGTTCTCGGCTTGACGTCCTTTACTTGGGCGGGCAACCAAGTAGGATTGCACACTCCATTTGTTTTGGCAGGTGGGTGGTGCTGGGACACAACGCCTTGAACCGTGGCGATGGGCATTGTAGTGAAGAAACCTACGCTCTCATGTCATGAATGTAGATCACTTATTAAATAATCATTCGGAATCGGAGGGAATATTCACCTCGAAATGATAGTTTACTTCCGGCAATTTGACATTGGTTGTCAATCCGGCAGATAGCACGGAAGTCGTAAAGCTCTAGATCATACCTAGGTGATGAGCAAGAGAAAGTGACAAATATAAGCTTGTAAGCAAAGCGGCTTGCAAAGCTTGCTGCCACCTAAAAGCCGAAAGCCTAAAGGTAGTCTCGGCTGATTGCGGAAAGTGTGTTAAATTTTGGGTTGGCAAGAAGACAACGTCCTTTCCGCACACCTCTTTCTCTTACTTCGACCTTGAAGCCCGTGCTTGCTGGGACAGGTTCCTTTAATCAAGGACCTCTATAGATATTTTGTTTAGAGTCTTATAAAATATTAGTCATGTCGCATCTGACACCAACTGGCAAGTGGGACGCAAGGTATTTCCTTCTCTTGTTCTATCGTGTCGTGTTGATTTTGATTTCATCCTGTTCGAAGATATCTTGGCCCTGTCCCTCATGACTCTGCATACTATGCCAAGTGCATGCTCGGTGGTGTCCTTGCATGCGGTATCACTCACGCTGGCATAACTCCTCTTGACGTGGCCAAGTGTAACATGCAGGTCAATTTATTCAGTCCTTGCCAGTTCGTTGTTTGTCTGATATTTTCGAATAGGTGAATCCTGCAAAGTACACGGGTCTCAAGTCTGGTCTCGCGACGCTCATTCGCGAGGAGGGTCAGACTGGTATCTGGAAAGGCTTTGGTCCCACCTTCCTCGGTTACTCGTTACAAGGCATGTTCAAGTACGGTCTCTATGAAGTGTTCAAGGACCAGTACATGAACTTGGCTGGCGAGGAGCTTTCTAATAAATACAAGCCTGCCATCTGGCTCGCTGGTTCCGCATCGGCAGAGGTCTTCGCTGACATCGCTCTCTGTCCTCTCGAAATGACCAAGGTCAAAATCCAAACCAGCCCTAGTGGGACCTTCCCCACCGCCTTTGGTGCTGCCCTCTCGGAGATGAGCAGGACCAAGGTCGAGACCCGCTACCCCTTCGGCTCCCTTGTTCCCCTCTGGTCTCGTCAGGTCAGAACACGCGTCTTATTTTCCAATCGCACGTTGCTCATAGCTTTTTAATAGATCCCTTACACCATGGCCAAGTTCTTCTTCTTTGAGAAGATCGTCCAGGTCTTCTACACTCACGTCTTCACTGAACCCAAAGAGTCATATGCAAAGACCACTCAGCTCGGAGTCACCTTTGCTTCTGGTTACCTCGCTGGTGTCGTCTGCGCTATTGTCTCCCACCCGGCTGACTCCGTCGTCTCGCTCATGGGCAAGCCTGCTAACAAGGGCAAGAGCATTGGTATGATCGCATCGGAAACTGGTTTGGCCGCGCTTGCAACCAAGGGTCTCGGTACCCGTGTGTTGATGATTGGTACTCTTACCGGTACGTAACCATCGTACTTTGTTTAAATTACTGACTGACCACATCAATCAAGGCTTCCAATGGTGGATCTACGACTCCTTCAAGGCATCGATGGGTCTCGGCACCACCGGTGGCAAGTAAACTGTGCACTTGCCTGCATCGGTAGTGTCTACACTGGTAGTCAGTGCTTACATCCCCTTTTGATTCCCTGATCTAATTTGTCGTGCAGGAGGACATGCAATAGATGTTTACTTCTGACAGTATACAGTTGGTTCACATTCATTCCCTGGTGATCCCTATTGCTCTCTATTTACCCTGTCCAGTCTATATGCTCCTCGCCATACAATAGACCACGATTATCTTACGACCAATACCACTGCGTTCTCTTCACAAGTCCGCATTACTTGAGGTGCTTGCATGAAATAAGAATGAACTGGCTACTTAATGTCTACTTGTCCGAAATGCCTGACATTTGAACACGCGTTGTTCAGATATGTGTGTTCGACTGAGAGATTATTCAGCTGTGTTTGAACCCGTGTATTACCTCGAGATTTGAGGAGCCTGATATGATTATAATTGAATTCCTTATCATACTTAGTGCTCAGATAGACGAACAGCTTCGGTGGGCTGTCGTTCCACCTGCAGCTAGCTTAGGTAAGCTGGAGAGATTTGCGGTAGCTGGTGATCAGCTCTACGCAGTGCTTCCACGATGGCGTACGCCCTCCTGGCATCCACACGATATGACCCCTTTCTGATATCATGCGCTTGGAACAATGATATAGACGGGCCATCACCTTATCTCCTCCTTCATTACCAAGTAGACCGACTCATCGCGTCTGCCGCGCTCAATGGTCAGGCTATCCAAGATGGTGTTACTTTGTCAAATGTCAAGACATTGTGCGATAAGGTTGTTTGCGGGCATAATGATTCTATGGGGGAAACTGCGTTGAAGGTGTCAACATTTCACTCGAGATCATTATGAAACACTAACTTATGGTCTCTCACCAGGTTCGCGTCGTTTTGAGTCCTTCTGGAGAGCTTGCTGCTACTGCAACCCCGGTAAAAGGGTTCACACACGATCCAACTCTCCCCTCTCTCTTCAACCCCGCGATAGACTCCGCCCCTTCGCTCGTGCTCACTATTCGTATTGATACCCAGCCAACATCAGACACCATATCATTGAAAACAACAGATAGGCGTGCCTATGACGACGCACGCATGCGAGCTGGTCTCCAACCTGTAGGCTCATCAGATCCACCAGCCAGCGATGCACCTGATGATGTGATCCTGTACAATACCCGGAATGTCGTCACTGAGTCATCTGTGTGTAATGTTGCATTCTATCGCAACAATCGTTGGATCACCCCTCCTTTGGTTGCTGGTTGCATATCTGGCGTTCTGCGACGATGGCTTCTTGAACAACACCGCATTTTCGAGGCAGTAGAGGACGAGTTGACACTAAACAACATCGTGGATGATGAGTGGGTGCTTGTCTCTAACGGTGTCATTGGTTGCCAGTTAGGACGGATTAAACTGCATACTTCCAACAAGTCGGGTGATTATGCCAAAGATTAAACTACTTTTGACAGTTTGCTGGAAATGCAATCTATGGACTGACCTCCGTGTCTACGTCCATGGTATCTATGTCCTGACCATCAAACATTCCGTCATCCATCTCGCTCAGGATGTAGTCCACCACAAAACTATCCTGAACAAGGCGGTCCATTCTGGAGAGATGCCGTTCAGTGTACGGAATCATAGCGTCGATAAGTTCCTTCAGTGCAGTATTGCCGCTTGTAGTACTTTTCACGCTCTCTTGACCAGAGGACTGTAGGATACCTTCGCGAGCTTCTTCCGTAAATGCCGCTATGACATCGTCCGCCGATCTAAGCTTCATGACTGCATACAAAACTCCTTGCGCCACTCCGCTTGTCTTAGCATTGGGATTCCAATCACGAACATAGCGCAAGAGGCGGGCAAGTTCAGACCCGCCGAGGGTCCGGAGTACCTCGTCAACTGCACCGTTGCCAGTTACCGATGATGCATCAGCTGCGGATTCCGAGGGAGTCGCACGAATGTCTTTGAACATAGACAATAATCTCCCAGGCTGTTGCATAGCGAGGGCAAGTTGTATTGCTCTGCGATAGTCATGAAGGGACAGATAGTTCATGAAATCTTGCTCCCTGACAAAGAAAACCATGAGCTTGAACAAGATATATGTAATGACGTCCAAACCTCAAGACCAGCTCGGCACGTTTGGCCTCGTTTTCCTGTTCTTGTTCCTCAGTGCAATCTTCCCAGAATGTCACCACAGAGTCCGCTGCTGCAGAAACAATCGTACGTTCATCCGTGCTGACGGTGAGTGCCCAAACCTGCAGATGGATTAACTTCAGTCAAAATGAGGGTGGGAGCAATCACACCTTGTCCTCGTGATTGTCCATGGTGGCTGTGCACTCTTCTTCGCGTACATTCCACAGTTTGACAAGGCCATCCGACGCTGATGTGACGAGCTGCATACCGTGATTGATGAAATCAACCCTCAACACCGAGTTGGTATGCCCCTCGAAAGTTTTCACGCAAGTGAAATCCTCCAAGTTCCATAGTTTTACGGTTTTATCGCCGCTTCCAGTTGCGAGTACGCGCTCTGTGCGACCAAACTTGATCGTCCAAACGCCCCGCTTGTGGCCTTTACAGGTTCCGAGTAGCTTGATTTCTCCGTGTGCAGACCGATCCCCAGTTGCACGTGAAAAATTAATTTCGTATACTTTAGCTGTGCGGTCTTGCGATCCAGATGCCAAGAGGCGGTCGTTGGGGGAAATATCGAGAGAATTAATATCTTTCTCGTGTGCTTTATGAGTGGTCAAACTCTTGCACTTCATAGCGCTTTGACCTTGTGGAGAGGCATCGAAAACCAGCGGCACGTCGCCGATATACCACATTTTAATCGTCCGGTCTTGACTACCGCTGAACATGAATTGCACACTCGTGGTGCTGCCTTCGCCCAAAGTTCGCGACATCGCAATGGCGCCTACGCTTTCTGCGTGACCTTCGCAAATAGCAACGCAGCCCCACTCCGTTGGGAGGTCGTTGTCCGCGGATGCAGGCGCCCACAATCGAATGGAGCGATCTTTGCTTCCGCTCGCAAAGAGTTTCCCTCCCGCGCCATGATCAAGTGATAACACGATTTCTGTGTGACCAGTCAAAAGTCGCGCATCCAGCCCTACAGTTGAATAAACCCGGATGAGGGATGAATTCGTAGCGAATGCGATGTGAGAATCCACAGATTTTGGTGCATTTGGAGACAGGAAAACTGCGTCAACGATCTCATCGTTGAAACCGATGAGTTGCCGGGTGAGCTTTTGGGTGCTCAGGTCGTAGAATAGTATATTCTGGTCTGCATGTACGGAGACAATCGTCGATATCGATGGCAAGTAGCTGAAGACGTGCTGTTAGTAAGAAAAGTAATCACAAGGGGACTTAATACTAACACAGCTTCTACGATCTGACGCTGCTCCTCTTGATCTTCGGTATGTGGGTCTGTCACCTGGCTGAGGGAATAGAGGACGGATGAATCCTTTACATCCCCATATCCGGATGATACCTTTCTCCCCAGCAGTATAGAAGCGCAGTTGGGAAGCGCTACTACTAGGAACCAAGTGCCCTGTCTGTAACAACCCGACAGCCTCAACACGTTCCATAACAGGAATGGTTTGAACCAGTGCAGGTGAAATGCTCTTTCCCTTCCCCTTGGCGTTTTCTGCAGATTTTGATTTTGCGTGCATCTTCCATACCAACACAACGGAGTCTCTTCCTCCGCTTATTAGCCATTTCCCGTCAGGAGTCACATCCAGAGCCCGAGGAACAGAAACGTGCCCTTCGAGAACAGCGATCGGACGTAGTGCACTTTGATCCTTGTTCACGGTCGCATTTAGATCAAATATCCGGATGCGAGTGTCCACGGAGGCCGTTATGAGCTGGAGTATATTTTGTGGAACCACGACAGAAGGGTCTCGAGGGAAGTTGAACTTCAACGCGCTCACAATGCCACCGTGCCCTTTGAATATGTGAGTTACATAGCCACGTTTAATGTCCCAAACCTTGACAACACCGTCCGCAGAGCCCGAGGCAAGATATGTGGAGGATGGATCAATGGTGCAGACGTGTACGGGGGCATCATGTGCACGAGCAACCACCCGAATGGGATGTATTTTACTTTTCGAAGTAGAGGTGGGGACCTCGTACACACGCAACGAAGGAGCAGAAGTGAATATGATCAGTTGGGAAGCTGATGGGGTCAAGCACAGCGAAGTAATGGATTGAGTGTCCTAGATCCCTCCAGTCATTGGTCTTCCAAACGTCTTGAGATCGGACAACTCACCCCTGCAAATCGACATATTTCCTCGCCCGTCAAAAGATTGGTGAGCACAGCTTCCTCTGCAACACAAGTAACGAGTCTGCTCCCGTCACCAGAGACCGCGACAGATCCACATGTATGAAGGGGTCCGATAGAACGCTTGTTTTTGTAGCTGTTCATGTACTTAGAACACAAGCGCGGGTGAAGGAGACACGCGAAGAAACTCACACTGTTTTCAATCTGGATTTGCTACCTGTGGATGCCATCTAATGTAACGACAGAGTTGCTTCAGAGCATATGCAAAATTCACTCTATAAGTTTGCTGTAAGTCGACTATTTGCTTTTGTATCTTCTGATTTCCTTTTTGAACTACTCGTCCATTCCGATGATATTCGTCAATATACAGGGAAATCCTAGAATACTCATGTGAACCAATGAATCGGGAAAGTAGAAATTCGTAGAATATGTTAAGTCCTTTGATGTGTCACAGTAATGAATGGCTGAAAAGTTTCACAACTAGTCGATGGAGAAGTCGTCTCCAGTGCTCCAGGGTGAGCAGGTGACGAGTTCGGGTCTGCGCCGACGATCTGTCAGCCTAGAGTGCTACGAGAACCGCATTGAATATTCATATAAGTCTGGAATGTGAAAAAAACGCACCTTATGTGGCTTGATGGTCAGCCTGCCACTGACTTCGCATGCGTGCAATCGTATCCTCTGCTGCTCGCCTCAACTTAGCTTCCTGATCTGCTAGATATTCAGCTCCCCTCCTCTTTATGACCTCCTCCTCTAGCATTGCTTCAACTGTTCTAAGAGCAGTCTTCGCTCTAGCTGCCTCAGCCTGAGCTTCCGCTAGCTGATCCGATATCTTCAAAGAAACAGATATCGCATCTGCCGACTGCCTCCGCAATCCAGCCATCTCAATCTGCAATCGGTCTACAAGATTTTCGTCAGAGTGGGTGATCAGTGCATGGGATTTCGAGGGGCTTAGCAAACGAGAAGGAGCCTCATTCAGCCCAAAGGCGCCAAGTCCGGCAAGGGATGACTGATGGTGGGGGGGAACGACCATATCTTCCTCGCTCTCATACTCGTCCTCACTCATGTCGTGTCCATCCGCACCTAGATCCATATCCTCCTCGCCATTCCCCCCATCGTGGTCATTTCCCCCAGTGCGTACGGCAGATATGTTGCATGGCGGCATCGAACGTCCCGAACCCGCAGTCACCAAGTTCAGAGGGGACGACATATCAACAGATTTTCGGGGTCGTCCTCGTTTCTTCTGCTGCGCGGAGTTAGACGACTCCTCGGTAGCCTTCGTGGGTCTTCCCCGCTTCCGTGGCCGCTTGGTACCTGGGGGAGCAGAAAGATTGACTGTCCAGTAAGAACCGAAGCCTGGATCGGTGACAGGACGAGGCTGTTTTTCAAATAATCTATTCAAAGACAGGTGATGGCGGACAGATTGCTGTAATTTAAGTGTTGAACACAAAAGTTTTAGCCATCGTAGCCTAGTGCACTGACCTTCCATGTCGGCCCCGCAGTCCTGAAATACAAATATTTCTCCTCCATGGCAGCATATATCTCGCGAATTGTGAGACGTCTCCGTGAACTACCAAGGATTGCACAGCGTAAGATCACTGGAAGAGTGTGCTGTGGTCGTCCATCTGTATCCGGAAGACAAGCCAAAGTATCGGGACAATTGGGATGAGGAGCATGTTCTTTGTATGGAGGATAATCAGAAACGTATTGAGGAAATTCTACAGTTGCATTGGCGCTACCGTCTGATGTGGGGGAGGAGCTGGTGGAAATAGGTTGTCCGGTTGGTGAGCTGTTGGCGAAGACAAAGGGGGTAGCAAATAGCGGTGTCAGACTGAGCCGCCAAAAAAATCCGAGAACAGGTGCACGTACTGATACGAGCTTCTAGAGTCATCTTCTGGGTTCAACAGATTTTTCAGGCTCGACATGGTATTTTCGAGGGCGAAACATAGGTTTGCAGCAGTTGCAATCGTTCAATTTAGAGGTTCTTGTAGGTCCATTACATAAGTTACATAATCAATGTTGTACCTTTGTAAGTGAAGTAGGCGACGAGGGACGATGGATTATTATTGGTGGCGTTCTACGCTAAGACGACAAAGATAATTAGCCCGCTACATGTGATAATGATCAGGTGGCGCATTCTGATACTCGTATGAAAAGTTGGAGGCCGGATTTTGAACTCCCCAGTCTTGGTTGGTTGGTGGAGGTGGAGGATAATCCATATTGATCACCGAAGCTACACCTGTAGATGATCCGTGGTACGACTGAGGTGAAGGTTGGTTGGCTCGTGGCCACCACTCGTAACCCGGGTAATACGAGGTCGAGGGCTCAATGCCAGGGATGTCAAGGCCAAGCATGTGCGCCATCATTCGGGTGCTGATCTCCTGGATACCACTGTTTTGTGGAGCACGTTCTCTTGGTAAAAGGTCACCAAACGCCTCGCGTTGCAGGACATCAGAGCTCCTTTCGCCAAATGCATCATCTGCTGCTCTCTTTTGACGATCAGGGCCATGCACCAAAGGTGGCATGTTACTGTCCACTTGCACTCTCACACCATTAAGAAGATCCCAAGCTCTTCCAGCGCTAGGCCATGTAGTCTTGGCTAATGTAAGATTAGGTGTGGATAATAGTAGTTCACGCTGACCTGCATTGCTTTCAAAACGGCAAGACATTGTCGCAAGCCAATATAAGCCTGAACATTTGATGGCCGCAGTGTTACTTATAAGGAGAATTCAGAAAGGCTCGTATTTCGAAAGAAAAGCGCTCACAAGTCACAATGTGCATAATTCTGATGGTTTTAGAGATCAGAAAATGCAATCTACTAGTGCAAACGATAAAACAAACCCAGCACTAAGAATATATGCCGACAGGCACGGTGAACTGCGTTTGATATTGAAGTTTTCGTGATATGTCGTTACTAGGCTAAAGTAAGCGTGCAGCAAGACGTTAGCTCAACTGACAAACCTATTGTGCTGATATAAGTGGCGGCACTTTGGCAGAGATCGAAAGCTTTCAGGGAGGCCGTGTCAGATCCGCTGGGAGGATTCTGTAATATCTGTTCTGATCTAGAGCATAAATGTTAGACGTGGACTCTCTAAGGTATGAAGGTGACACATGAATCACCCTTTCCAATCGGGAATGCTGTAGAGAGTATTAGTGACGCGAATTGACTATCACAACGTTTAACGTACAACGCTCGATGTAACAATAATACCGCAGACCAATATTTGATATGGACAAAGAGAACCACCGGTGGCGGAGTATTTCGCTTACTGGCTGGATCATACCGAAGATTACCAGGGAGGTCGATGTACCATTGGTCCAGTCTAGACTCTAGATTGTTTAAGACCGCCCGCCGCGAGCCCCTTCCCGTAGAGCGGACGGGGTAAATCATTGTCACAATAGAACCAATCAAAACGGCTGCATCTCCATCAGATTTGGACAAAGTCTGCAGATAAGTGGTACGAACATAGTGATGCGGCAGCTTTGAAGCAGCTCATCGTCAGCGGTGTCGATGTGTACTGCAAAGGTGCTGATTCGGTGCAGCTGTCTTCGTCGTACTACAAAGAGGTGAATCAATGACTAGCACGTCGTGATGTCGAGCTTACTTCAGCGGGATTTGGAAGAAGTGTATCAAAGTCGCCCTCAGCGATTGACACGGGACGACCTGGTAGAGGGAACGATTAGCTTCGACTAAGGCGAAGTGCGAGACCTACCCATATATATTGAGCCGTATCTGTAAGCAGTCGTTAGCGCGACATCTTCGAGTGAAAGCTAGATTTCTTACTTGTCTGCAATGCAACAGGCCCACCATATGTGCTTTCTGACCTGGTTCTCCTCAAGTGAGAACATTTTTCTTCCTTGGAACTGCCAGTTATCCGCAGCACGATTTAATCCGAGGTCCTGAGCCTACACGTAGCTAAGCACCCTGCATTCAAACTATGCATCATACTAACCATCCTTATCGCCATACCTGTGCCAGGAAAGCCATGAAACAAGGAGGTGAAGATCGACAATATTACACACCAATGTAAAGCCAGCCTTGCTCCATAGAACCTAGGTAATAACTCTCAAACGCGCTGTTCAAACGAATTACTTCAATCACACAAACCTATCCCGAATTCTCGATGGCCCAGGAGAAGCAAGGCTTGACATGTAGTCGCGCGAGAACTATGATAGACTTGTGCTGTTCCGCTTGGGATGAGCACACGTAATCAATATCGGGAACGTGATTTACCGAGCGCTGTCCTCGCTTGCGCGAGGTAGTCATTGCCAGCCTCCCACATCGCGTCAACAGTTGTAGGAGCGCTGCTATCCTGATAACGAGCGGCGATGGCAAAGACGGCCAACAGAAGCAGCTTGGTCACCGTCTGTGAAGGTTCTGGACTGGCAGAGTATGGAGTGCCCCTCGCAGACTCTGGTGTGGTTGGATTACTACTTCATACGGGTAATTAAGGACCCCGTGTCAATTACGGTCTTGTTAAACAACTTACCTTTGCTTCCTGTATCACGGACCGGTGGTCAGAAGAACGGAAAAACCAAGAGTGACAGGGACTCACCACTCGCTGTAGTCCCTCAGGAAACGGCCCTTGTGGATTACAGGGAAAACCGGATGTGCATAAGTGAAATATAAATCGACTAGATAATCTTGCACCACAAATGGAGGTAAGTTGACACTGACACCTTCGTCTGGTGGAACAGGGATTCTATTAGTTTTTGCGGAAGGCCAAAAGCGTGCCATAGGCAGTTTCCTGTCACCACGGTATTACTGTGACTGCATATGGAAGAAATCAGGATAAGAAACGAACCATATTCCCCCCTCATTTCGGCTATCCAAACGGGAGCTACGTCCCAAAAGATGGAGGCCACTGACTTTCCCGTGGTATCGAACCTAATATACGTATAGGTTGAATGAAATACCAACTTCGAAGCTCGCTAACCTCTTGATTCTCATCCAGAGAGAGCTGGCCAAAAGCAGTATCTGGCCCATGACATTCATCGGTACTGTCTGATTCTAGGATTATATTGGCTGATCAAATTAACAGCGTGTGGAGTAAGTCGCTCACCTGAAAATGCATCCATCGTGTACATATCATTCCAGTTTGGTGGACTACTGCTGGTTGACGGTATGTCGAGCCGCCGCCGTTGTTGCAAAGGAGGCCCGCTAATATTGTAGCTTGGAGGCACGCCGTGGCTGCCGACATTTCCTCTCGTCAGACTTGCTGACAGGCGATCTTGCCACTCCGAAGTTGGTATTGTTGAAAGTGTGTTGTCTACAAAAGCCGCTTAGCATAGAGTTCAGACACCCTCAAGGCTAGTTACTCACCTCTCGATGATGATACAATTTCTCTTGAAATCCTGGACTGCCTTCGGGAACGAGGAGAATCACGAGCTGAACCTTCGTTGCTCCGGAATATACATGCAAAGAAGTCTTCTTTTGTTGCTCCGGCTGGCTGTGAAAGTCTACCCGAAGGTCCCTGCGGGTAAATTCAACACTTTGCTCCATTTATATTGTTGAATATACGTCAGAACTCACAAATGGACCTGTGTCTACTCGATTGAGAATTTCTCTTGCAAGATCATCTTGCCTTATATCGGCAATGACTTGTCGTACTCGGGTATCTGGACAAGAAAGAACTGCGCCAAGAAGGGACTCTACCTGGTGCCATCGTTGTTCGATCGCTTGTATATAACCCTTAGGAGGACCACGCTTATAACTCGGGCCTGAAGATAACATTGGCTCCCTCTCATCCGGCGCTCATGAAATAAACGCTCACCCAGAAATGTACATGCTGCAATCGAATAGCCGTGAATTAGTACATATTAAAGGCCTTAGTTGTGTTACGCACTGTTTCCCGCTATCGTGCAACTCTTGCAAGTGCCAGGAGTTCCGGATGGCTCGCATTTGCTCTTCGTCTTTCTGCACTGATCACAAGCTAACATTGTTCAAGTACAAGTCAAGAGTGTCCCGGACTGGGCGCACCTCTGCTACTACGCTTCCTAGTTGCGAGTATTTCTTGGTTACCTTCTTCGTCAGAAGGTTCTGATTCGTTCCACTGGTGAGTGGACATGACGGTCAAGGAGAAATTCGAAAGATGAGTCTCAGAGGTCGCGTTTATAGAAAGATGAATAAGAAGTTGCAAAGCATATCATTCTTCGCACGGACCGATAATCACTTGCATATTGGCGTAATTTGTCTCCTATGTAGCATAGCCTAGCATAATATTATCGTTAGCCTCTTACAGTTGGCTACACGGTTTCCATTAATTGCATGATATGAAGCAACGACTTATTCCATAGTAGCTTTATTCTTGTATATATGATACCCACGTGTACACGGTCCAAGACTTTCTTGCTGACTCCGCCTAGAAGGATATCGCAGCGATACTTGCTCCCTTCTTTCCACTGCCTCAGTGGTTAACGAATCCTGCATAAAACAACTACCGAATGGATGACGAGGTATTGGCAGTGATACACTTGAAATAATGGTCGAGTCCTTCGAGTATTTAGTATGGTGGAGTATATAAATAGGGTATGGCCGAAGCAAGATAAGAGATCAGGCTTTATTTGGACTCGATCTCGAAGTAAGCGGAGCGGAACACCACCTGCTCGGCTAATTGTGCCCTCACTTCAAAGGGCTATAAGAGAGCGGGAGCAGGATGAACGAATCCATGTGCTTCGCAAGTTGGGAAGTCTGAGTTTGATGTATTATGGTAAGTATATTTTGCGCAAGGGCCTTTCCACTTACTTTGGACACAGTCTCCGCCCAACCGTCGATCTGCCATGCTTTCTCGCGTGTCTCTTTCCTCGCCTCGAGACTCCTGTTCACAGAACATTAGTTCTATAACCACCTGAACGTCATATTTGTGAACGAACGGGTATTGCCACATGTGTTGCACTTGGTGTAATCTTCCAACCTGCGAGAACCAAGCTCCGATAGGCGCGACGAACTTGCGACGAGCTTCAATGCCTCTCCGCCTGCGGGAGCAAAGCACGAGCTTCTGTAAGAACAATGTGGTTTTCAAAGAGAGTTGAAACGAACCATGTATTCTCCCACTCAAGTAGGGTACCTGGTTTTAACTGGTAGCTCCGAAGCTCGAAGACGCCGCCTTGGGCGTGGGGTGGCGCAGTGGGGAAGAAAGCAAATTCTTGTGTTAGCTGAGATGACCGTGAAGTAACGTAAGGCAGGAGGGCCTTGTACGCTTTGGCGTGCTAGAAAATACCTGATAAGTCAACGGACACTTGAGATTAGCAGACTCGTACCTCTGACGTTCTTATGAGTCCAGTGGTCTTGTCAAAGCCAGCGTAATTCTCGTATTCGAGTATATGAACTTGATATCGAGCGCAAATTCAAGACGAGAGAACCAGAGTATCACTAAAGACATACCGAAAGTGTCCTGCTGCCCCACTAGGGTTTCCCAACTTCCAGTCAACTTGACGTGTAACTCTGGGTCATCCTTGATTCCAGCGTAGTACTTCTCCCTAAGTAAGTTAACCAACTCTCAAAAAGCGCCGCCTGAAAGATCATGAATAATTTCTTACGCTGCAGCTTTATACTCGTCAATCGCCCCCGGCTTAACTCGGTGAACTATAAGATGCAAGCTGTTAAACAAAGTCTAGAAACCCGTGTTCGCTTCTCACCCTCGAAGCCATGGACATATTTCCCCCTAGCAACAATCCTTGAGTGCTGTTGAACCTCAATGTCTCCTGCTTTCTTCGCTTCTGGTGACCCGTGGAGGAGAGACTGTGAGAAACACTCCGTCAGGAAAACTGTCGCAACGTTACATGTGCGCTACCTGGACGGATATCGTTCTGCGCGCTCCAGAGAGCGCGACTTTATGAACAGACGTCTTTGCGATCGACGACAACATGATGAAAGCTAGTTGGAAAATGTAAGTGGAGAAGAGTCGGAAGATGCCAGTTGTAGCGGGGCTGAGGGGGCGGCAATACTACGTAAGAATATAAGCGACCCCTGAGTTTCAACTTTCAACCAACTGCATCCGGCTCTAAATCCACTCAAGCTCAATTGCAAGTTTGATTTTGTAGCAAGAGTATGTACAAGTGTGATGTCAACGTTAGAGATGGAACTGCTCTATCACGCTGACTACCGTATCCAAAACTCGTAGATCACCCAGTGAGCCGGAGACGGTAAATCAACCTGAAGACTCGCTCGAAAAAACCGATGGTTTGTCTCCTGCGACTGCACCATACATTCCTGTAATTTGCGAGGTGCAGTTCTAAGGCCTCGGAGCTCCTTCAATTCGGTTTCTTCGCATACCAATGCATGCATGGAGATAACCTTAAAGCACCAAGTCAGCACAATGAAGTAAAGCTGACCGAAGCACATGAATTCACCCAATCTACAGCATCTGCAGAGGATTCAAACAGGGCGTGGCGTAAAATATCCACAGTTTCCCTCGTGACAAGCAGGGTCATTTCAAGTGCGGAACCTGGTGAGACCACGCGTGACAGCATGTCCAGACACACAAAGTCACCTTGCTGTGCCGCTTACAAAAGAGGTCAATCACCGCACTTTGACACATCGAATAACAACCTACGAAGTGGACTGCGGAATGCGGTATCCGGGCGGCCGTCGACAGCCTGGGAGGGAGGGAACCGCATGTAATGGTCCACAGCATCCTGACCCAAAGACTGTCTACTTCGCGATTCCTGCATAATTATGTCCTCGGTCGAGTGACTCTCAACCTTTACGTTTAATGGTATTAAACGGATGTTCGTCTGCAGTAAACAAGAAGCACCAAGGCACGGCGCTTGAAATATTTGGTGATGACCAGCAGGGGTTACCGCATCAACGTCAATGAAAGGTAATCTCAATTCTTCCTGAGATACATCTGACGCTCTGACAGCGCTCAGGAGAGTGTCCAGGTATCGACAAGCTTTAATCTGTGTTTCCATAATTAGTACGACTTCACAATCTCGCGTAGCAGTGCCAGCGAATTTTACTGACAACATGAATATTATTACGTTCGTTACCTTCTATTCCGACTGTGAATGGTTGACCGCCTCCTAGCTCAACACCTTGGTCAAACCAAACTTCAGGAATCCTATTATTTAGGATCGTAAAGTAGTTGTCTGCCATCTTCATCTCGTCCTCGGACGCGTTCAGATGATGTAAGAGGGCCAAGAACTCCGAAGCTTTAGTCCGAGGCAGAATCGTACCATGTCCAAGCCACGCAGGTGAGGTATGCGCGCCGTAGGACGTGACCACTGTCCGCAGTTGTGTGGATAGAACCTCGTGTGAAGGCAGAAGGTGTATTGAGTGGTCAGGAGTTCCCAGAGCCCGAGTATGCAGAGTGCGAATAATCTCAGGCGTAATAAGGTAGTCGTCATCCTGCAAATGTCAGAAGTTCTATTTCAGAACATAAGCACGAAAGCGAAAACTCGTAGCTGCGGACCTGCAGGAAGCAGAAACGAGTGGTAGCCTCTTCGCACGCAACGTATCGAGCTTGAAAGTAGGTATTTTGAGGCGAGTTGTATATCCTGAGCTTTTCAGAAGGGCAACCCGTCTCCGCGAAGGTCTGACCGCACAGAAAGAAGGGTGTTTATAATTATAAGACGGCATCCATAAATTTTCCGCTCACCTGATATGAGATCTCCCTCGGATTGTTGTTCCACACTACAATCTCTGCTATGACATCCCCTAACCGTGGTCCACAAAGAAGACTTACGATCCGTACAACATTAGGAAGACGAGACCAGTTCAGGACGACTGCTGTCACGTCAGGATAGGATTGAGACGCTGGAAATAAGCTAGTGTTTGCTCCAATCAAGAAGCTCGTGACAAGGGGGCGTCCAGGGACAGCGAGGCTTTCCCAGGAAGACCTGGGAGATTGACTTATTACCTGGGTACGCCGACGTGAGAGGAGGCGGACACAGAACAACAAAGCACTAGCGACGAGGAGACATCGAAAGACGGTCGTCCTACGAGCCATCGACCGCAATTACCAGCAAAGTCGTTATTTACGTAGTATAAGCGCGTCTGCATCACAGGTACAAAAATACAGACTTGAACCACTCAATTGAGCTCCGTGAACATCGCCGTTTATCAAATATTGGCGATACTCATATGGCACTAGAGCAAGTATAATTAGCTCTGTAAGCGGAGATACATCTGACTCGGACATGTGCATTGTGAATTGCTGTTACAATCTAATCCATTCTACCTTTCAATGTACGCGTGATAATCTTGTCCTTGGTACTGTGAAGTAGAAATAAAGTCAATGGATGAAAGAAAACTGGAGCAGGAGGAAGAAGGAACTGACATGACATGGACAATTGCTCCCCAACCAGAGTACGCGTCTCTATCGACAGCGTTCAAGAGCGTTTGCGAGATGGTTTCGAACAAATCTTCCGCTTCCAAGTCTGGTTCCCAAAGACCTTCTGCCACACCAAACAATTTCGCGCTCGCTGTACCAGCTACCACAAAGTCTTTTGCAAAGTTTAGACACCCTATAAGGTCTGTGGCAGCGATGAAAGGCTTGTAACCTCCGGAGGGCGTTTTCGATAGACCAGCCATGACTGGTTCGATGAAGTAAGGACCAAATCGATGCTGATAGAGCGTCGAGGAAACCAAGTGGGCAAAAGTCTCTGGTTCTATCTCTCTCTCCTCCTTGATGGTATACATATTGACCCGATAGCGAAAGCGCTCCCGACTATAAGCCACTACATTAGGCGGCGAGTAGTGTAAAATAAGGTGATAGTCAACTCACAGTGTCGTCACGTCGGTAGCCAACCCAGGTAGGCCAACATATACCCGATCAGTTACAGGAAATATCTAACGAGAAATCGCGTTTAGCATGATGGTACGCGATGAGGGCAAATATCATACTCTCTGGAAATTTGAAGATATCCCCAACGCTTGACTTCCTAACCGCATATCCGAAGCAATGGCGACGCAATCTTTCCCTACCATGGCTAAAACGGAGCCACCGTTGTATTCCATGATCGACTGCAGACGATGTAAATCAGCACAGTAGATTATGCGAACTCGGAACGCGGTCTGACCATGTTTGCTAGCTCTGGTGGTGGTTATGCTGTTTGGTATGAGAGACACTGGTGTTGTAGCTGGCGCGGCCAGTGACGCGTCCCCCGTTTGGGTGTTACATGCCTTTCCTAATCTGGCGTGATAAATTCACCGATGCACTGAGTATATTGTAGGTCTTGCAGGCAGCAGCAGTTTCAAACATTGTACAGTAGGGAGAAATGGGATGCCTAGTTCGTTGACCTTAGAACTAATAATTACAGAAAGTCGTGTACTGAGGAGTGTCATAATTGCTAATGAGGAATGGGAGAATCATGCGAAGTAAAGTTTACCTAGAGTTCTGCCCAACCCCCGTCCACCTCTTGTTGACCTCCAAGGGTGGTCAACAAGAATACGATAATGCTAACCCCGAGACGCATCCTCAGGCCCCGGTATAATTGTCCAATACCCGTGTTTCTCAGCCATCTGGATCCATCTTGCTTCTCTACAGACAGGCCATCAACATCCTTTTCTTCTGCACCTTCTACCTGCCGTCTTCTCGCTCTTGATCTCCGCCTAATAGGAAGGTCCGACCTTTCTTCCGTCACAATGTGCCACAAAGCGTCCACGACACCATTGTATGGTACAGGACGCGTCTCGACACACGTGCGCAACACCTTCGCCGTACCCCGGGTTTGTACTTGTAACCTTCTGCGCACAGTCTCGATAGGCAGCGTGATTAGAAGGCCTGCCACAGATCCCAGCACTTGAGCAAAAGCCCATGCAACGGGACTGGTGTCTGCAGCGACATGTGGACCAAACCCCAGTCGAGGAGCGATAAGCGTAGGCATGAGGATGTGCAATAGAGGACGGAGGCCATTATCGAGAATAGTAGGGATAAAGAGTTGCGGATGGAAATAAATGCTTTTGATACCGCCTTCCTGGGCTATAATCTGCGTTAGTGCATCGAATGGCCCAGTGTACGTCCGGTGGCGTTGCATCCCTGATTGGGAAATTAAGCGGGTTCGAACGAGGTCCAGAGGCGAGAGTAGAAAGCCAGTGATGACGTGTGATGCTACCGGCAAGAGAAACGGTGGACGATATAGCCCAGAGGCTGATGACAAGAACACAGAATGCATAAGACTGTCGACGAGTGGTTGAACATTACTGAAAAGCACGTCGTGAACGCAGGATGTGAATAGGCCTGTGCATATTAACTGAGGTCAGATATAGGATGTCACCAAAGGGTAACACTTCACCTTTCCATAGTGAAAGCCAGCCTTCTCCACGGAAGGCAGCGACGCGTTTCACCATGTCCCAGGCGCCATTCATACTACCCACCGGAATGATGTATTCGGGGCGTGTTCCGTCTTCCAGCACAGACGTCCTGACCACATAGCCCTGATCGTCAACGGGCTTTGGCGCTGGGTACTGTATGTGCGAAGCAACGGGGTCCGCGAAGTAGGACTCGTCCTCGTTGGTAGAGTCGCTAAGCTAAGAGGAAACTTACAATGACATAAATTACACATATTAGATGCCCACCTACCGCTTCTTCCGCTTCTTCTTCCTCGTGTGCCTGGCCAGATGGTGCTGGCCCATCCTTGGGGATCCACTGAATTTGAAGAAGCAGCTTTCCTACTTCCAGCGGCATCACAAGTGCTGTGCTTGTGTACTGGAGCAATGCTGAAGCGACTAGGGAGCGCAGCAGTAAGGGTACATTGAGGCTGGAAGGTTCGCTGAGGTCTAGTGAAGGAGACAGATCAAAAATTGAGTTATGAGCAGGACGATTCGTCCATTGATAGGTGGTCATTGCAGGAGCTGCGGGTGCGGGTGCACTGGCGTTCTGCATAGGAGGTGGAGGTGGAACAAATGCCCATGCAGATGAGGCGGGGTTGTAGAGATCACGAAGGGACGAATTTGAGCTCATCAATGATCACGCAATGCAACCCTCCCAAAATGGGAGAGTCAAAAGTAATCTGTTGCACTTGGCTGAGAGCTGTGAGTCTGTGAGATGGCAAGAACACAATTCTGACTTGACTAGCCTTCTGAAAGCCTCACCTTGAGTTTAACGGAAGAGTCGGACACCGACAGTAGCTATAGCTGCCGCCCCAAATTCGTCGATTGCCACGTGACCATTCTAGCCATCCCCACTCAAGAGTTTCGGCATCTTACGCAGACTCAACCCGCTAGCTTACTTGACGGTCGGTGTTAAAAATGCTTATGATGATCAAGATGTTGAGGTGATGAATGCTTGTTGGTAAAGTTGCTAGTCCAACATAATTCTCACCAAAACACACAAGATTTGCTGAAGGGGGTAAAAGAATCGCTATCATACATATTTGCAAGGAGTCAACCTAACATATGTCGCCTAGCTTTGCATGGATGTACATTAAGATGGTATGACATTGTCGATTCTTTCTATGCCGAGTCACAGTCATACTTGTATCGTAAAAGGGACTTCATATGATCAAGTGGCAAGGGACGCGAGATTGAAGCAGTGGTCTACGAACAATCCAGCGCAGACCATCGCCGCGCCATGGCGACTTGCCTGGGGTAAAATTGAAGATCAGAATTAGCGCATGTGGTTATGTCAGTTAGATGTACCATGAATATCTTCCAGCAGTCTTGGGGATCATTATGGTCGAAGGACCATATGTGCCAGAGACAGAGGAGGAACGGTGCAATGACACTCATCACATAGAACGAGAGGTGTTGGCCGTTCAAGTACCCAGCCCACGAAAGGCACACAAAGAAGGTCAAGTCAAACAGACTCAACGCAGGACGAATGCCTTCACCCAGACTGACCGCCATAGACTTGACTCCGGCCATCTCGTCGTCCTTCCTGTCCTAGGACGACAGAATCAATACACGTCTCCTTGAGCAAAACATTCCAGGTGAATCACTTGACATGCGTAAATGGTGTCGTAAAGACATGTCCAGCTACGGAGGTATTGTCAGTGACTTATAAAAAAAACCACCGTCACTTACCAGCACGACGCAATTGCGATTGGTAGGATCATATCCCAATTGAACTGACCCGTCGTCGCAACCCAAGTGAATGGGACGGCCCAGCTCGCAGCAAAGCCTTGGAACCAGATAAGATGGTATACTTCTGCACAAAAAGGCCTTACCAAGGAACAAAGAAGGCCAGTGCATCCAGCGCTTCATCAGCGGATACGTACCACCACACGCAGGGAGCCCAATGATACCAAGTATGAAACTAAAAGGTTTGTAGGAGAAATTCTAACAATGATTGAATGTGATACTCACGCTGGAGTGCCGGTACGTGAAAACATATAATAGATAGCAGCAACGAGAACAGCCAAAAGAACTGAAGCCTCCGACCTAGAGACAACTCCTGATGCGATCGGTCGACCCTTTGAACGTTCTGTTCCACATTGAATAGCGTCAGGAGAAACAGTCAGGACAGATCTGAGACGTACCAACTTTGCGATCGAAGTCGCGGTCAAGCATGTCATTTATGACACATCCTGCGCTGTGCACCAGTGTGCCCAGCAATGCATAGAACAGGAAATCTTTCACAACTTCGTTCATGGGCAACGCCACATGATAGGCTGCTAACAGGAAGCCCCAACCTAGCCATGATGATTTATAACCAACGAATAAGTTCGCTCATCTTGCATCTTACCGAAGGGCCAAAAAATCAAGTCACTCCCCACTGGAAACCAGTGGAGCCTGGTGAGCTCGAACAATGATCTTGCCTCAGAGGGCATTTAACAAACTGATAAGGCGGACAAAAATTGGAGTGGATAGAGATACACCAGTGATGTTCGTTTTTATACTGGTACGTGAGGGCTTGCTGCGTCATAAGCAGGAGATAGTGGCTGCTTGAAATGATTTGCAACAACCTGTTCCACGCCACAACCCGGAGAGCTAGTAAAGGAGAAGGGATAGAGCCACGCAAATTAGCGTTCTGATGCCTCCGTAATGGAATGCGATGGATTGGAAGATTGGATAGGGCCCACGCGAGGAAGCCTCCTGAAGATTCTCATGGCCTCTCAAACTGCCTCCGCCGGGTCTCCGCCGGGTCTCGACCCTTGAAAGGTATGTTTGAATCTACATATCCTTGCCAAAGCTTCAATTTAAAAGGATTCTTTGGTGAAAATCACTCATCTTGTGTCTGCTTGTGCGCATGCCAATGACCCAGGTACAGTTCCAGAGTTCTGTCTGCAAAATTTTTTACTAGATTTTGTGGACGGACACATGTCTGCCACACAAGTCGGCTCCCTCGGTCATCGTGACCAATTCGCTGGTGCAAGTGCAAGATCATTCAGGCTGCCCTCCCGGATACAGAACAAGGCACTGACCAAGCTGGATACAGCCTCATGGGACCTGACTTGCTTAACAACACCACAGAGTATTTTATAATGTGGGGGTCGGAATCACGCTCAGTGGCGAACATGACACTCAAGAACGGTGACGATATGATGAAAGGTGACGATTGCATACCAATGTTGTCTTGGCTTGGTACCGCGTACTTTGTGAAGAAATCTGTAAGCCCGTTGGAACTTGGCTTACCTGAGTTCCCATAATCAGCATATATATTAAGTCCGAGATAATGAAGCATGAGCGCTTTGAGCTTTCATTATCACTGCCTTTTGGCGTAACGGTTAAGGGACGACAGTCTTGACTACTTACAAAATCGTTAGCAAGATCACTTATAACTTATGAGGAAATAAACTCGAGCGTGACTTAGCAGTACAGAAGTTCCTTTTCCATGTCATGATTGTCCAATTCATAGAAGGAACGACTATCGTATGGATGCGCTCCATCAATACGGGCCGGTCATGGAATAAAGTTGTTAAGTAAGTCTGAGTCAGCGAAAAAAAAACTGCTCGCTGCAAGGTTCGAACTTGCGACCTCAGGATTACCGAGTAGATACTCGTCATACTTATGGAACGTATGAGACCTGCGCTCTAACCAACTGAGCCAAGCAAGCATGATCACATTATTAGTGTGATTATATAATCAAGTGTTAGTTGTCTTGTGCTTGAGAAAGTTGTTGTAGAGTTTACATTTGTCGGAGATCGTCTTGCTATCTGGTGATTGCATATAACGTTCACTAACGACTACCTTCATAACACGTTGCTTCGACGAGGTCATCCTGGCCATTCATTGAACTCAGCCTTGAGCTGGCTCTGTGCCACAAGTCTTTCAAAATATTTCCCTTGCATCCTTAGCAGTTGCTCGGATGACTGGTCGGAAGAGACAGGCCTCAGATTCTCTCCTTCCAGTGCGTTCTGCGAAATACCAACGCACAGAAGAGAACCAGGGCATCTGGAATCGTTGGCGTCAACTCGGAACTGACGCATTCACACTTGGCTACGAAACGGTCCGCCTCGGATACCTGTCCCTCATGAACTGTGAGATTACTTCTATTGCCAGACACGATCATCGACTAACAACGTGTTAAAAGCCTCTCAAAAGCCAGATTCATCTGAAGCCACGTCTCAACAGCCGGACAAACCTAATCACACCAGTTCTTTGCCTTCGCGAGCTACCCACTCAGCCTTGCCACCTCGTCTGCCCATACCAGAAGAGTTCCATAAACCCATAGACTCGCAACAAATGGCAGGCCGCTCGCGACTTTCATCTTCTTTACCATCACGTTCAGAATCTTCGAATGCACCCAATGGCAACGCGACCTCACCTCCCTCAACCCTCACTGGACACACCTCAGTCACCCCGGTCCCCTCAACCTCGAAGGAACACATTCCATGCAGCCAGTCGTATGAGTTCATAGAAAGGTCCGCACACGGACGAGGGGTGACGAACAATATTCATCCTCGGCGGAGTCGAGATCACATACTCTCTCGCGTTGTGAGTGTATAGGCAATGCTAACCTGCTTCTACATCTTACTATGACCTGATTTAATAGCACAAAGCCAAGGTACAAGAAGATCGGAAAAAGGATCGTGAAGCGCTGGTGAACGAACTCTATCATTACAAACGCTCTACTGGTCAGCGTGCTAGTACATTTCCTGACGTTCTATCTCTCACTCCGATCTGTATTGTCAGGATATACCTCAGATTTTGATGCTTTTAAATGTGCGTCCATTCTGTCTTACCCGTTTCTGCCTCTAACTCGCGTGAATATCAGCTTTGATTAATTATCAAGCTCGCCTTGAGATCCTTGAACGACATGCACTTTCGCGTGCGTGATTTTACTTCATTCAGCTTTTTAGCACACTTACGACGTTATGGTTAGCTTCACCGTCACTGACAGACCTGCGCTCGAAGCAGATCTCACCCGGACTCTCGCGTAGGCACTCGTTCTCAGATGTGAGCCTGTGCATACTTCATTTCCCACTTTGCTGAATTATGGCAGGACGTCGATCCTGACTTCCTAGAACGTGCACTCAGGAAGGCCAAGAAGTCATTTGAGCGGTATTGGGCGTCTCTTTAGAGTATTCTTCCTCACTGAAACGATTTTCTGCAGTCCGCCACCCAAACCTTTCTCTCCCTCACATGATCGTCTCCGTTTGTCGGCGCGACACAGAGATGAAGCCATTGAGAATCGTCTGCGGCCAAAGCTACCCAAGGTTCTTCCTCCTGACGCTGACAAGCAAGTCACCGCGCTCCTGTGCAAGAAAGGCCCCATTTCCAAGGTTGCTCGTGAATCTGTTAATGACCGAGATCTGTCTCGGTTACTGCCCAGTCAATGGTTGAACGACGAAATTATCAACTTTTATGGGGCCATGATCTTAGCACGCTCGGAGTCCAGTAGCAACAGTGTCCCCGCCGCGAAGAGAAAGATACTGGATGTCCACTATTTCAACACTTTCTTTTGGCCAAAGCTGAAGAATGAGGGCTATGAGCAGGGACGGCTGGCGAAATGGACAAAGAAGGTCCGTGACTGCGCAGTGAAATTAAAGATGCTTTCTCATTCCGTATGCAGATTGACGTCTTCTCGAAAGATGCCATCCTGATTCCTATCAACCACAATAATTCTCATTGGACCGGGGCTGCCATCAACTTCCGTCGAAAGCGGATAGAATCGTATGACAGCATGAATCTCGACCGACATCAAGTTTTCAAGGTACGTTAATTCGCCTTGGCGTACTCACGGAGGTCCTGATGCTCATCCGTTAAGGCCCTGCGAAGTTATCTGGACTCGGAACATAGAAACAAGAGAAAGAAACCCTTTGATTTCACTGGGTGGCAGAATCACAATCCTGAAGACACACCACAGCAAGAGAATGGTTATGACTGTGGCGTCTTCACCTGTCAGTTCTTGGAGTCCTTGTCCAGAGGGGAGGAAGGGTTCCTTTTTTCGCAGCGGGACATGGCCTACTTGCGGCGGCGGATGATTTGGGAAATTGGTCATGCCAAGTTCCTGGACGGCCCATGACATTAATGGGCATCTACGTCTTGCTTTTGTTACATGGTTTTACGATACTCTGTATTAGCATTTGCTAATAATGGCGTGGTGTGAGTTGAATGATGAAGAAGGCGCACTCTGCAATCTTCAGTGATTGATCAAAAGTAACATCCGTAGTGGGTGATTGTCACCGCCGAAACCACCATACAATGATGAAGAACCAGAACACGAGTACGAGAAATAGGATGTACCATAGCCATCGACAACCCTGCCGCTGTGCCATGTTGTTCATCCGGCGAAACGTGCCGGCGAGGATGCCCGAAGTCTCCGCGAATGCATCATTCTGTGGAGCATGCGTGATAAGTAGGAGTCAGTAACGTGGAGCGACCAGCATGCACGCACCATCTGGCTGAGTTGCACGGTCGATTCTCGAACCTCGTTCCCAATCCCAATGGTAATCTTCGTGCCAAACTAATGAATTCCCTGGGCAGACGAGACGGGAAGCACCACTTACATCCTTGAGCAACTTCACCTTTGCTGCCAAGCCCTCCAACGCCTCATCATTCTGACCTTCCAGGTCATCAACGTAGCGGTGGCCAGAAGGCCCTGGGTTGAGGCTGTTAAACGGTGACGAGCGCCCTGAGGCTGGAGGTGTCACGCCGAGGAGAGCTGAACGGTCTCGTAGCGCTGCATTTGGTGCTCTGTATCTGAGGCATCAATCAATGAATAGTGCAAGAAAGAGCTTCCGCGAGTGGCCTAACCGTTGGGACATATAGTGGTGTATGTATAAGACCAGCTCCACGCGTCCCGACGGGCGAGAGAGAGTGAAATATTACAGTCAAGGTCGAAGGCAGTGATGTATATGTGGAGATGGGCAAAATTGGTAGAGTCCACCGATGCATCCACGTCACAATAGCAGTACATTCAACTCATCAATGCATTGATTGATCAAGCTCAGTGAAGAAATCTGTATCTATTATAATATCATCGATACATGAATCATCCACAAAGCACAGGTAGCTCCGAGGGTCAGAGTAGAAAACGGATGCCAGAAGAAACACAAGCCTCCAGATCCAGATTGGAGGGCGATGTATTTACTACGCCTGGCAAGCGTGCAAATATCTATAATATGTATACCTATAAATCAAGAAACTAAAGAACGCGAAACATGGCAATGCGAAGGATATGTGATGGATATGTCAATGCAAATATGATCCTGGCTGGGGCAACGTGAGGCTGGTGTGTCAAATCAAAAGAGTGGCAAATAGCGCTATAGAATACAAGCAAGTCCATGGCTTTGATGTACGCGCGCGTTCATTCGATACTCATCCGATTTGGGTTTGTGCTCATCGGTCCTCGGTTCAAGTGTTGAGAGCCACTTCCCTGTGTGTGGGTCTTACTTCTTGCAACTGTCACGTAGGGCATTAGTCAAAGAAAATACGAAGGAAGAAAAACACCAACTCGACGCCTTCAGTCCCCGACCGAAATTGCGCATCACCATGATCGAAAAAACGATTGTGATGACGAGAAGAACGATCGCGATTGCAGCTACCAGTATCATGAGAGGCTGGAGGACGTGAATATCTTCAAGAACTCACAAAAAGTGGAAAGCGATTTCCAGTACAACGCATATTGCGTATCTCGGTACTGAAGGACGCGGAAAAGCTGAAATACATGAGTGAATGAACTCTGTGTGGCAATTTGAAAAGAGCTCACTTTGTACGTGAAATAGACCAGGGCGCCCATACTTCCAAACATAAACGTTCCCATCATCCACTTGTTCTCGTGACGTGCGGCGAGGTGGCCTTCGATGAGGAGAAGGATAGACAACGGGAGAGCAGCCCAGGTGACGTAGTACTCCCAGTCATTCTTCTGGAGGACCAGCCATATGAATTGCACGGAGAAACCGACCCAAAAGAAGATGTCGAATTTGATAAGGCATTCGAAGATCTGATGCGTGGCATACATTTTCTTGATGCGTCGGTCAGCACCCTAGAAACTTGTACACCTTCCAGCCGAATTCGTGATAAATTTTCCAGCCAAGAGTGATGTACGCTATCTCCGCAGCTGATATGACGGCGGGTATAATGTTAGTGAGAACGGTCACTGATACATGCAGAATCCCGGTGGAAGTGGTTGCCGAGTCCTTAATTTCGCCGATTTGAATGATGGCGTATAGCAGGAAGAGAAGGTTGAATATGCTGAAAACCGATCGTCAGGAATAGGCTATTGTAGGCAAGTAGCAAAATATGAGCTCACATAAGAGACATAAATTGCAGTGTATTACGTGCATACACCGCATCAATTGCCATGACCAGTTGGAAGATGCTGAATTTCAAGGTGGTTTTAAATGGAGACGTAGGAGATATTCAGATACGTACTGAGCAAGCGCGAATACGCTGAGATAGACTTCCAGTTTCCCCGAATCATCCTGTAATCGGACAAGCAAGTCGGCCTCGATGGCGAGATCCACTGCAGTCTCGATGACCACAGTAAGGACAAAAAGTCGACAAGCCCAGGAGTCAGGAAGAATCTAAACAAATTTCGTAAAAAACCACCAGTATTGAGAAAAGTGTAGTGCTGACTTTAGCCCAAAAACTTCTAGTGTCGATCATCTTCTCCTGCTTCAGCGTTGGGGGATAACCATGGTTCGAATGGTTTGATTCAGGATCCTCCTCTGCAACTTTATCAACCGAATATATTCTTTTCTGATCTATGGAGAAAGAGTGGCCTCGTGATTCAGAATCGTCTAATGGATTAGTCGAGACGGCAAAGGTCTGATGCCGTGAAGTTCTCGAGTACGGGTCCGCATATTGGTCGATGAGGTCGCTGAGGTCGTCGTTATATGACTTGAAGTCGTCTGAAGGTGAAGGATTGGGGTGTTGTGCGGATAGGTGGTCTGTTGAGTGGTCCCCGTAGGTTGTGAACGGGCGTGCCATTGTTGAGATATGAAAAGAGTGTTAGTGATAATAAATGTGAATGATTGGAATCGCCCTGCGAGGTTAAGATTAAAGAACGTTGGTATCCACTGTCAGAGCTTCGATGGGCGGTGGCAATGGCAGTGGACTGCGCAGCCTTGTGAAACCTAGCTAGTTGTTAACCGTGTAATAATGAAGACATCCTTTTGTGTGAGCCGCACTGTTCTCCCGTGTGAATATTTTCCCTAATGACCATAGCGGACCCGGACACGTAACCTATTCTGGTGCAATCGGCACGCCAGGTCACACATTTTGGCGGGAAAACGTGACACTTTCGTTACAATTGGTCACATGCAGTCACACAAAACCCTGCGTGACTGCCGACTTTGTGGGATTGCACCGGAAGGGATAGTAGTGACTAGGTCACGCAGCGAACTTTGGCACAAAAAAAATAGTCCGGATCTCAATTCTCAAAACAATCGTTGAACCTACCGCGATTTGCGTCAGAACACCGTAAGGATACTCATTAATAAATGCGGGCAGACTCGTGTGTTTCAAATAGCGTGCGCAGAGGTGGAGCCTTTAAATGAAGCAACTCATTCATGGCGTAACGTGCCTTTGGTTACTTTTAAGCAATAGTATTGCTACAACATTAATATATTCCGTATCGGAATAATAATCAAACGACAAAGTCGTAGATGAGGAATTCGTCCGGGAAAGATCCTGGTAACATGCTAATCAAGCTCTGCGTGCCTGTGATGTTATGATGACCGCGAGCGCCAAGCAAAAACGGACGATTGTAGCTTATGAACTCCTATGCGCGCAAATGAGACTAAGTTTGCACAAATTATGGGTTGTGCGGACCTGGTTGTGTGGACTCACCCAACAGCAACTTATACCGTTCAATTCACTTCTGACAAGAAACGATCACGAACAAGGAGAAGGATTATAGACGACTCACAAGCTTGCACTTCTTCATTAGGGTTTGATTTATGGGTTATGTGGATCAGTCGGTAAGATACTTAGTTCCCCGCGTGCTGAAGATCCGCTGACCTCGGCGACCTCGTGTCCTGATAGCTTTGGCAAGTGAGCTAGCCAAATAACCATCAGCTAAGGTCCAGCAGATATGAATATGGACTCCATGGTGGTCGCTGCTAAGTGCGAGGTCCACGTTTTGAGGAATACCGGGGAGGCGATCCACGAGATAGTAAGTAAAATATTCCGAGTGTAATTCATACGTACGCATAATTTGGTCAGTATGAGAATCAGTTCGCCGTTCGGGCACCGTTGGAGCTAGTTGGAGGTGGCGGAAACGATCTTAGTTTGCCTTTTTAGGATTTGCTTCTTCACTTCGTCGCGGAAGAGGCGTCATGCTCATTCAGCGCCATTCAATGCTCGAACGTTTATCCCTCGGTCCCTCGTCGAGTGCTACACGCCGCATCGAATCAGACTCATGACTCATTATCCGAGAACTCCAAATTCTCGTATGTAAATGCCCGCTCTTTGTGGCAGCATAATTGCTTCTTGACTCACCTTGCTTCTAGAATGACGATACGTACGGTAAATGCTACTGACAACCCCCGCTCCTTCTCGGAGACTCGAAATGACCATATGATAGACTCTAGTGCTCGATATGTCGACGTGATTTTTTTTTTTTTTGGGAAACTGCATCCTCTGCCAGCTAGTATGACCATTTTACGCGTCTCCTCTTCGGTCGACGATAGCAGAGTCTCGGCAACACATATCACGGGTACGCACCTAGTTAGCTTTCTCATGCATGGATTTATGTCATGTGCTGATAGGATAGAGATGCAAGTAGGGAATTTGAAGGAAAGTTAACTGCTTGAAGCGAGTTACACGGCCCGACTGCGACTCCACATAGATTCGAGAGGGTTCATGCGGCCATTCCTCTCCCACCGGTAGAATCTTGACACCACTTAGCGGGGCTTGAATGTCCCTATGTCTGCCTCAAAGCTACTATAAAATTGCTCTCTGTGAGTGAGTGTCCTTCACCGGGCATCCTCATGGCTTCTCCGCAGTCGCAAGCCACTGACCTCCGTCCAGAATCAACCCTCACTTCCTGATTGCTGTTGGCATCCATCAAATGAGCTGCTTGCTGCTCCATCATTTTTGTCACATGAGACTCGCCATAGTTATTCACTTGGCGTGGACATTGCGATTGGGACTCGAGTGTTGACCGAGTCTTCTTCGAGAACCTCTGGCCTCGGCGCAACCTTCAAACCAGCTCTTATGCAATTGTCCTATCCTGTTCCTGATGTATCTCAGACCAAACATTTTGCAAACGCTTCCTCTCCTGATTCCTTCCCTCCTGACTCCTCGGCCAGTTCCCCTTCGACGGCTACGTACGTGGACATTTTTCCCACCGATGCGCGGAGTCGCAAAAATTCATTCGACAAGGAGGCAGAGGTGTCGTCACCTAGTCTTGAGTTCGAGAATTTGACTCGAAGATTGTTAAGTACCTACTTCGTATATTTTGTTTGTGGATGGGGCGATGGAGGTTAGTCCACGGTTTAAGTTTGAAGGTTCATGCTCATTGAACTCTTCAGTCACCGCTACTGTCCTGCCCTGTATGTTTGCTTCCGTTGTATTCTCTGTACTTTGTTCAGCGTTGTTCTGTCAGCTTTTGAGCGAGACTTCCATTTAACCTATATGACATCCTCCCTGTTATTTTCGGCTGTTACTATTGGGTAAGCTTCTTAAAAAGAATATTTATAAATATTGACGATTATCTCCTAGGTTTGGGGTCGGTACCATCCTGCTTGAACGAATCATCAAGTTCCTAGGTCGATTTTACCTATCTTTGGATCACAAGACTTATCTCCCTGCCGTTCCGTTTTTTCATCCCCTGTTCACGACCAATGTTTCGGCAGCTTTCCCTTGCGGCGTTGGATATTCCCCCGCAAAAGCACGATTTTCCTTGCTTGTCCTTGGAGGTCTCCTTCATCCTCTGTTCTTTATTATAATGGGCACTGCTCGTAATTATCCATCGTTACTTTTGGCATATGGTATGTCTGCGTTAGCCCGCTCTTTCTGGACTGGTGAGCATTTGTTTTGATCTTAACAATTTTTGCTTATCCGGCTTGTTTAGCGTCATGGTGAGCGTCGCGCTGTGATATTTTTCAGTCATTAATAAGTTGCAGCAATTTTTACGTCGTGTCCACACCCAAGAAGCCCCTTGGGGTTTTGCTAGGATGTTGGTGTGAGCATCAATGTGTGTCTGCATAAGACTGCTGCTCATGGCTCTCAGGCTTCGGGTCATTTTTAGCCCCTCTGGTGTGCCAAACGCTTATGGCAAAGGGGATTCCCTGGAGACATTTTTATCTTGGCTCCTTGGTTGTTTCTGCAATGGCTTTGAGCTCAATCATCTTTGCTTTTCGTCCGACGCGCAACGAGTTTCTGGCGGATCGCAGGGCCGCACTCGACGCCATACAAATCACGCCGAGCGCTTACAGCCCTGGGATGGACACGATCATAGAACCACACTGCACCACATGAAGTGAGAGATTTCTCTGCCCGCCATATCGATGTCACGTTCGCACCTAATAGTATGGTCACTGTCGTTGCAAGTCATCTGCACTACTGACCTCCTACTCTTAGCTCTCCTCCTGGCTTTGTCGATGCCGTATCAGTGGGCCTTTTCATTATTCGCTTTTATTTACAGCGGCAGTGAGACCACTTTTCAAGGATTTGTAAGTCTCCTACTCAGAGTCATTCATAGACAGAATATTAGACGACTTCTCGCAGATCGTTACCTATCTCCTTGCCAAGCGGGTGTGTTTCTGTTGTTCTAGCTGCTGCTGTCCTGTCTTGAAGATGCATTAGCATTCTAATCCGGACACTGTCGGGTATGTCAGCAGCGGCTTTTGGGGAGGCATGGCAGCAGGCAGAATTTTGTGGGGCTATTATTGTACTGGGTGGGTCGCAGTGCATCATCATGTCCTTGTCTAATCTTCAATGTGTTCGGCAGGTTGACCTTCACCCAGCGCAAACACATTATTCATGCGTGCACGTTCGTAACTCCGTTTATGACTCGCTCAACTACTGACTGATAGCCAACAGAGGTTCGTTAAATTGAATGAGGACATGCTCCTTGCATTGTCAACCCCTGACTTGATAACATCCAGGCGTTGCGCTCTCCATGACCATCCTGATTTGGCTTGTTGATTCAACAGGTCGAGAATGCAGCTGTCATCCGCCGTGATGGGTTTGATGTATGGACCTATGTTCCCCGGGACGCTGGGCCTTTGTAATGATGTCCTGCCGAGAGACGTACACATGGTTTCAATGGCTATCCTGTGAGTGGCCTCATCGCAGCATTTAGATGTGGCTGATCATGCGTTCTAGTAATGCCGTTGCTAGCGCAGGCAGTGGTGCGTGAATTAACTCAGGCTATTACTCTTCCAGGCTAACCGAAGTGTTTAAGCCCTACTCCCCCTTTTGACTGGTTTACTTTCGAACATAGACGGCATGAGAGTCTTCTGCTATGTGACGGTCTCGCAAACTGCAGCTATGTGCCTCCTTTGGCTCTTCTTCCCCTCGTCTCCACCTGTGCGCGTTTCAAGTCCCGCTTGAGCCTAGAGAAACCATTCAGCAACGAAAAACAGAAACACAATGAAATGATTCCCAAGGAATTATCTAGACAGTTAGATTCGGACACCAATTTTTGGGTATTGAGTGATGTGTATATAGGCAACAACAACACTGTCAGTGTAGAGTAGTACATATATGTAGGGTATCACAGCGTTACTTTCGTAGGCATGGTACATAGCATGATTAGACTATACCTGTACAACAGTAGATGGGAAGTACTTGTGCATGCAATCGTATGGCAAAACGAGAAAAGGCTAATTGTCGTATAATCAGCCGTCGGTGTCAGTTGACGACCCAGTCTCGTCCCCTTCGACATCTGGCACCATGAATTGATGAGTGAGTATAACCATGACGTGATGAAGCATTGAACCTACCGACGAGATAGTCTGGTTCAATTCTCACAGCAGGCGCGGGCGGCGGAGGCGGTGGTGGTGGTAGTAGTTTTGGGGGACTCGGGCGCTTCTGCTGGGCAGCCAGCGCACCCCTACCCGTGCCTGTCTTACTGCCCTTGGGACGCCCACGTTTGGGCGGACCTGTGCCTGCAGCGCTCCTCGCTGATATCGCTGACGATGTCGACGCAATGGGCGTGCCAACAGATGATTGAGAACCTGGGGTGGAAGAGCGATCGCGCTCAAGGAAAGAGGCAGTAGACGAAGAACGAAGTTTAGATGGGACTTTGGATTGGGAAGACGATGGAGGCACTTGAAGAGTCTGGGTATAGTCGTGTAAGAAGGGATAAACGGATAAAAAGGACTCGCACATTGCTTGCAGTCGTGCCGCTTCTGGCTGGATCTGCTTTGAGACGAGACACCGGGGACCCTGTCAGAGTGTCAGATGACGAGAAGACGATGTAAAAATTAGCACTATCAGACCTGCTGTTTTTAGTTTCTTCGTGGGCTTTTTCGTCGGTGATGTCTGAGGTGATATGGGCTAGAACAACAACAATTCAGATTGGGTCAAACAGGAGTTGCAGCACTCCTACTCGTTTTCGCTTCAGATTAAAGTCTGCATCATCTGCGGTGACTTTTTCAAAAACAAGCCCTGAGCAGCTTAAAGTAGAATTTACCTGCGCGCTTTCCTTTGCCCTTTGCCTTGCCCTTCCCATTCGAGTTATCATCTGAAGCGTTGCCATTTTCTGAACCTGGGTACGGAGATGCTGATCGGCCAGGCTCAATGGGAATCCTGAGGAGGTTGTGAGTACGCTTCCCCCACAAAAGTAGCTCTTAGCCCACTTCGTCTTGAGATTTGTCCCGCGAGGAGCTGCACGCCTGCTTCCGGTCCCTATCCCCATGCAAGCACTCAGGTGTGGGGCAAATCTATTGGAAGCCATCTAGAGTGACAGTTCAGCTTTAATAATGGTGTTAATGAAGCTATTGGCTCACTTGGCGCTTGCACACCGTACACTCAAAGAGAATGTTGCCGTCAGATTTCGGAGTGTTGGTTCCAGTGCTCGAAGCCGTCTTTCCTCCGACATCGCCATGGACGAGAGACTGGCTTTGCGATATTATGGCCTGGGCCCCATTTGGATGGACTAGATGTGCGGAGGGAGGATGATATGTCAGAAACGGTAAACGACGGACGGGAGCATGACATACCCATGCCACACCTACCGATAGGTCAGTAGGCATTCACGCTGGTAATTCACTAATGACGCACCGGGTGTGACATATGCGACAAACTGCTCTACTACGCAGAAGTTGGTGGTGCGATTGCAGTGCTGCATCCATTGCCAAGTCATCCAACATAGCTGAGAAGATCTTGGACGTCTGGTACATGGGTTAACGCTACCGCAACATTACCACGCGGTCGGACAACTCACAATGGCTGATATAGCATCTTCGCGTTCTGCTTTCGACATGACTGATGCGTGTCGGACTGTTGTAAAGTACTGTAAAGTAAACTTTAGCTTGTTCACAGTTGTCCACGGTCCACCGATGATGATGCTTGAAGCCCAATTCGATCATTGGCCACGTGGTTATCTCCGTGTTATTATTCGCTGACTTTGAATTAATTGGGCGCTGAGCGAGAACATCAAAGACAGCTACAGTCAGTCACGGAATTATAAACAACGCTCAGACCTGGTCCAGTCATGGTGTACCAGTGTATGGCCCGTCCAAACAGCTGAGGGGAACTCTCTAACGGCCCAATACTTACCCGGGCCGTCCTTTCGGCATGATCTTCCAATATATGTGCACTAGTGGTTCGCTTCTTTTCCTTACCAGCGAGGAACTTCGCGCGTAGCTCGCGAAACCTTCCTTTAAAAGCGTCGTGCGCTCGTTTGCGCCAGAACTAAGGTGTTTGCTGAGATATGCAACTTGGGGCCACAAAATCCAGGCTCTCACCATGCTCAACGGACACAATATCCGCTAATGAAGCTCTTGACTAGTGTTACGAGGAGTACGTACTCATTAATCGTCCACGGTCTCTTCCCTAAATGCCTGTACTTAAAGGCTAGATGCGGGAATAACCTCATTAAAATCCAAGTCAGATTAAGCAGAGGTTCCTCGCTTGCGCTCTAATCTTCACCATGGCGCGCTGGCTAATGCTGCTCTCTGCGCTGTGTCTGCTAGCTCATACAAGTGCTCATTCACTCACGCGATTAGCTGCTCATTCACGCCCGCAATTAACTGTTCGCTCCCAGACAGACACGGCAACGACCTTGTCAAGAAACACAACTATCACAGACCCTGCAAGCTACGTCAATGTTTTCATCGGCACAACCAACGGAGGACATGTTTTCCCCGGTTTGCCTCTACGGTGCTTCTATTGGCTTCTGCTGATTTTGCGTAGGTGCCACTCTTCCGCACGGAATGGTGAAAGTTGGACTCGACACTGATTCTCCAGGAAACGTAAGGCTATCCGATGTTTAGTCTTCATGACGTCTGATGTTTGAATGCCGTTTAGCAAGCAGGTTATGATGCCAATTCCACTTTCAATGCGACAGGCTTCTCGCAGCTGCACGATTCAGGAACTGGTGGTGTGCGTGTCCTAGGTGTTGCAAAATGCCGTACTTATAAGCTAATGTTCCCTGAAGGGTTCATCGCTTTCCAACTTTAAGCTCTGGCCTCTGCCTGAATGCGAGTCGTTCGCATCATGCAATACGTCTATGTCCGTCAGAAAAACGTTGCGCAAAGTCCTCCCTGATGGTACCACCCACGCCTAGTCTCGTGATTTGATGCTAAATATAATGTCTTACTCGTATCACAGGTTCTCCCGACGATGCTGGCTCACCTGGTTACTTCGCAACGAATCTTGTATGTGATGAATTGTACTACACCATGCTGCAAACTTAGTCCCGTAGTCTACTGGAGTGCGAGTGGAGTTGACTGCTTCACGTCGCGCTGCACTTCACCGTTACACATTCCCGCCGTCGTCACGTGAACCCCGCATTGTTGTGGACATCACGAATGACGGCCTGATCAGCAATACAGAACCAGTTGTGAACGTAAACACTACTACTGGGCGCATCACTGGCAAGCCTACTCGATGTCCTCCCTCATTCCTAGCTCACTGTCATTCTTAGGTGGAGCCAGGTTCGCTTCGTCGTTCGGCCCTGGAAGGTACAATGTCTACACTTGCGTAGATTTCAAAGGCGACGGCTATGACTTTCAGGCACCCGCTGAATATGGCGTTTGGCTGGGGAACGCCCCTGTGCAGAATAGTACACAGCTTACCCAATTGTACTCTGGTATTTCCTTGACCATTCTTCTTGCTATCTCAAAATCCATGGCTTGCAGGTTTCTTGTCCGAAATAGGGTGCCTTGCTGACTTTCCCGCCCTCATCCAATTCGATTGATACGACCATCCTCGCACGTGTCGGTGTTTCCTTCATTTCTTCCGACCAGGCCTGTGCAAATGCTGAGTCAGAAATCCCGGACTTCGACTTCGATGGAACCGTTGCAACAGCGCGAGAAACATGGAACGAACTTCTATCCAGGATCCAAGTCGATACTCAAGGCGTGGACAAGGAATTTACCGAACTATTCTACTCATCAGTAAGTATTTGAAATGTTCCAATGTGCTCGAGTTGCACGGCCTTTTAGCTTTACAGGACGCACATTTCTCCCGCTGATTGTAAGCCATACTCCCTTTTGCGAGCACAGGGTTGCTGACTCCGTAATTGATAGACACTGGCGAAAACCCCAACTGGAATTCCGCCGAACCTTACTATGATTCCTTTTACTGCAATGTTAGTATCTTTCGGTGGCATCAGTCGCACATTTTTAATTCTTCGAGCGCAGTGGGATACTTACCGCACAATGTATCCCCTAATGTCGCTTCATGATCCGGAGGTGTTCGCCCGCATCGTTCGTGGAATGATAAATATTCAAAAGCATGAAGGTAGATCACTGTGTTGTGAAATCATGCATACAACTCACTCATGATAGGTTGGTTGCCTGAGTGCCGCGGCGCCACTCTTCAGCAGTACATCCAAGGTGGAAGCAGTAAGTTCTCGAACCAGTTTCGCATGGTTTGCCTCTCAAATGTGACCCACAGACGGCGACCCTATTCTCGGAGAGTTCTTTGTCAAGTCAGTCAGCATGTAAATCAGCACCGATACACTCATTCACTACTGTCGTAGATTTTATGAACATGCCAGCGCGCTGAATGTCTCAGCCGACGACCTGTATACTGCCCTTCTTGCTGATGCAGAAGACCAACCACCCAACTGGAATCTCCAAGGAAGACAGGCGACCGTCTGGAAACAGTACAGTTAGCAAATCACTATTTATCATGCGCTCTTTGTCACAATCATCTTTCTAGGTTTTATCCCTTCCAACATCTATGCATCGGGAGGTGCCGCCACCAAGCAGGTCTCGCGTACACTAGAGGTAGGAGCGCGTTCGATCCGTGAACTCATTCTCGCTTACTTGAATAGTACTCGTTCAACGACTTCTCCATCTCACAAGTCGCAAAGATTCTCAACAAAACGGATGATGTAGCCAAGGTTCGACATTCTCCATGTGTGTGAAATCAGAACGTTAGTTTTTGTGACCGTAGTACCAAGCTCGGGCGGGAAACTTCATTAATGTCTGGAATGAGAGGGTTACTCTTCCCGAGTATCCCTCAATCAAGGGCATGATGCAGGCAAGTCACTCCCCCATGACGTTATCAATGCAGCACGAGACTAATTGGTTTTTAGTCCTCGCTTCGTAGATGGGGAGTGGAGTTACACCGACCCTCGCCATTGCAGCGTGAACGACCCTCTCCACTCAACCTGTTATCTCGACGCTACAAACCGCGATGGCTTCTACGAGTCATCTCCCATGGTGGTATGCATTTTCACTGGCTTCATAATGGTTTGTATCTAACAGCTTGCTTGCAGTATTCTCAAGTGTGTATATCCCACTAATACACCTCTTACTTTTGTTGATAGACTATCACTAGTACGTTCCTCAAGACACAGCGAAGTTGATCTTGTTGCAGGGAGGCAATGAGTCCTTCATAGACCGGCTTAACTTGATCTTCGACCAGGTAAATACCTCAGAACTGCAAACGACACTCTGAGGTTGACCCGTGTCCTTTCAGCACTACTTCGATGTCACAGACGAGCCATCTCAGCAAATTCCTTTCATGTACCACTATGCTGATCGGCCTGGCCTGAGCACCCAACGTTCCCGCATGATAATTGCCGAGTCTTACAACACCACGGTCAACGGTCTTCCTGGCAACGATGATTCCGGCAAGTCTTGTGAAACCTTCAATGGATGTCATCTAATACTTGCTCAGGTGCTATGGCCAGTTACGCTGTTTTCTACCTCATGGGGATGTACCCCCTTCCCGCAACCCGCCAAATCCTTCTCGCTTCGCCCTATTTCCCGAAGGTCTCTTTCTATAACCCAGTTTTCAATACCACGACCACTATCATCGCCAATAATTTCAGTGGCAACCCTCAAGATGGCAAGGGCGGAACTGTCTTCGTCAAGGTTTGTTATACCTTCATTGCGTATTTTCCAACCGTGACTTAATGAGAGCGAACTGCTGCAGAGCGTGACTATCGATGGCCAACCATGGCATTCAAACTGTTATCTAGACTGGGATGTATTCGTCAAGGGCTCTACCGTTGAGCTTGAGCTCACGAGCGACATTGATACCACTTGCGGAGAGGGCCCTGACGCTCTGCCTCCTTCCCTTTCGACTGGTGGATATAGCGGACCAATCTAGAAAGAAAAATGTCTCGTTTTGAGACCAACTGTTGGATATTCTCAAATTGAGTAAGATAGGCAGCGTTCATATATTAGCTCACCACAAGACCTAGCTTAATACTGAATTTACCTCTAACTCGCTGTACATGAAGTCCAGCCGGATCTGTTTTCCGCTTATGTGTGCAGTGTCCTGTGTCTTGACCGAAAGCGTCATGTTCATTCACAAAATTCGTAATGAATTCATAAACAAATCGTCTAGGCAAAGGAGTGAATGGCAGGTTCGACAGCATGGGTCTCATCCTGTACATATATATCATGAAAACAGTGAGATTCGAGGTTAACAGTCTGAGTTCCTTGGGGTAAAAACTGAAAGCATTAATGATCACCATATACCTTCTCCGCACTCAGCTCTTCAGTCATGTGCCAATCTCGAGATGGTGAACACCGCGACGATCACAACAGCGAGTGCACCAATGCTCGCAGGGAGCAACAAATCCTTCGGAATGCCCATCACCAGCTCCTCCTGCGGTGGCGTGTATGCCCTTGTAGGGGGAGTCACAGCAGCAGCAGGTTCGGGGATCGTCACGGCCTCTGCCTTCTCGACTTCCTTCTCTTCCTCCTTCGCGGCCGCATTCACCTCCGCGGCCTTTGCCTCGCTCTTCTCTGCCCCAGCATCAATCCAGTGCTTCCCACCCTGAATAAACAGTACTACCCGATCCGAGCCCGCCGACCGCGCAATTTTCACAGCATCCGCAATGTCCGTGTCGCTCGTAATGAGCACCGTGTCCTCGTCCGCATCCGTGTATGATAACGTAAAGTCCTCAGGCTCGGGTCGCTCGGCGGGTGAGCCTGCGAACTCGGTGAAGAACGGATCCGTCGCAAGCTTGCCTTGTACGATTTCGCGCAACATCTCGACACTATCGTGCCGCGCCTGGAACCGGTGGGTGCGCCCACTTGGCGTGCGGAACTTGAAGACGTACGTCCCATCGTCTACTGGCACGCTGGCTGTCGCGCCCGTGATAGCTGGAATGGTACCCTTGCGCTTTCGCGAGTAGCCTTCGAGGCCAGACTCGTGCTCTTCGTCAACCACTGAGGCAGAATCGTTCGGATGCACTTCAGAGTGCGGGGACTGCTGAAGGCGGGCGAGGTTGTGCGTAGAGAGAGAGTGGCCCTCAGTGGGGACGTGCGAACCAGAAACCACGGACTCGGTGTCATCGTGGCCACCAATAGAGTCGAAGAAGCGGCCCCACATTGGTCCGCCTTCGGCTTCCACAGAATCGCCAGCATTTTCCGTGCTCATGGCGTTCATCTGAAAATTGAGTTAGAACAGACCAAACCTACGAACAGACTTCACGGACCTGTTCCAGGGTGGCATATGTGAGTTTCAGGACATCGACGATAGCAACTAACCGTCCGTCGCTATCGACAACGGGCAAGTTCAGATAGTGCCCATCTGGTGGCATCTTCAGCACGGACAACACCAAAAACCAGAACACGCACTGTGCATCTTCTTGAGCGCATCGTGCACGCTCATGGCAGGAGGAGCAGTGTCAGGATGAGGGGTCATCACACGGATAACGCTACATATGCCCGCATCCAGACCCGCGGCGATGACGCGCAGGACAATGTCCTTGCTCGTGAAGATACCGGCAATCTTGGGGTATGCATCACCAGCACCTGGCGTATTCTCCATGACACAAACAGCAGTGACACGACGTTCCTTCATCAGTTTGGCCACCTCACGGACAGTCGTTTTGGGAGTGACGGTCGCAGGGCTGCGTCCGCGAGTCCATGACAGTCGTGAGATCTGGCAATGCGGTTTTCTCGCGTAGGGCGTCGACATAGGCGAGCATAGCAGCAGCTTGTGGGTTCGAAGCCATTCCTGGGCCAAGCTCGGATTGCACACCCGCAAGAGCGGTGTAGAGCTTCTCGGATGCGGACGAGGAACGCTCGACCTTGTTCAGTGCCTCATGGAAGACCTTGGTGATGTCAAGCAACCCAACAACATTGCCCTCCTCATTGCAGACAGGCTGACATTCGCGTTAACATCACTCATGTTCAGAGACCAGGTGAAATCATACCAAGTGCCGGAAGTGACGTTGAACCATAAGCTGGAGAGCCTCAGTCGCGCTCGTAGTATCCCGAGTAACCATTGGGTTCCGGGTCATAATCTGACTAACCGGGGTAGTATGAGGGTCAAGGCCATCAGCAGTGACCTATAAATTGGTAAGCGTCGATTGTCAACAGTCAACGTTAACCACATACTCTGTATGCCAGGTCCTTGGCGGTAAAAATACCACTGAGACCTTCTTCATCGTCTACAACAAGGACACAATCGGTCCGTTTGGCCGCACACAACTGACTAGCTTCTGCGACAGTGATATTGTCAGGCACAGTGAGTGCAGGGCTGGGCTTCAGTGCAGCCACGGTGCCCTTTGCAACAGTAGGTTTTGCGGCACGTTTTCCGCGGCCACCACCTGCATGATGCGTTGTCGAGATGGTACGTTTTCGGGCAAGTTCCGATTCGATTTTCTTCCGGATAGCCTGTGAAGGAGGATTAGCGACTGAAACATTACGGACAGGCGTGCGGCGGTGAGAAATAGTGTTTGATGCAGAGTGGGCACGCCCTTGGTAAAGAGGTGATAAGGAACTCATTGAAGGAGCGTGTACACGTGTACGTAGAAGCGTACCGTAAACAAAATTGCGTTCGGAACCTGAAAGCGGAAAGAATGCTCACCTCGTCGCGCTTGGACTGCTTTCTCCGGGTGTCAGCGAGAGACGGTGAGATACCAGATAAGTTGGACATGGATGCTGATGAAGTAGTATGTCTAGGTGGTGGTGGTGGTACTGGAGAAGGAGCACGATCGTTATGGAGAGCTCTGTTGGTGGACGGTGAGTGCGATGACGGGACGGGGATACGAGACATGGATTGTATTAAGAAACAACTGAACGACGTTGACGACAGTCGTTGTCGGTGTTGCTCGCCGTTGTCGTCGACGTTGCTCGCGTTCCGTGCCTTCTCAATCTTCGAATCCAAGAAAGCAATATTCGGACTTTGCTCTTATTTGTTTAGAGTGGCAGTGCAGTCAATATGTACAGGGGTCTCGCTCCCGCTCAACTCATCTTCTTCTGCAGCACCTTTGGTCCCCTTCCCTGCTGTCTGAGCTTGTATAAGTAGTACACTCCACCAATAACCAAAATTGCAACGAAGTTTGCTGGCAAAAGTACATCAATCGCGCGCTGAGAACGTGACAGGGAGCATGACTTACCAACAACGAACCCAAGTACTCCCTGAAACAGCTCCAGCACCAGAGTAGTGATGCTCCGTCCCAGCTTCAGTATACTCTCAATCATATTTTGAACAAGCGCAAAGATGGCTTGGAACACAGCTAACACAGCATGCAGCAACGACAGCCCAATAGCAGTCAAGGACTGCCCGAATTTCGCCAGTGCAGCAATAATCGTGGCCATAAGTAGTTGTGGTCAAGTTGCAATTAGAAGCTGCTGCGACCCTTTTTATCGAATGTGAGTGTCATCGACGTCATTGGAGCCCAGTCAAATTCGCATCGAGCAATAATAATCTATCATTATACGTTAGTGCAAAAAGAGATGATAGAGAGCCATTGCATATGCATATGTACGGTAAATGGGGAATGTCTAGGCAAGCTATCACATGTCCCTTCTCAAAAACCCTACGTTTCCCATCCACGTCCACATCCTTAATCCCTCCTCGGAGCAGCAGGCTCGACGACAGCGCTAGCTCCGAACCTGACAACCAGCTCCCGCACGCGCAACCATACCTGACCCACAGCTGGTGGGAGCGATGGGTGCTCCGAGAGTGTCGTGATACGCTTGTCCTGTAAGCGTAATGGCATCACGAGTGAACTGGGAGTGGAAGTAGCGCTGATGGAGGAATTGAGCGTAGACCAGCGGCATCATGAGCGAGTTACGGAACAAAAGTGCACCGAACAGAACACGCGCGAAGATGACGAGTTCGGCGATGGCCACAACGCGCATCGCGGTATCGTAGTTAGCTGTATGACGTGTCACTCATAAATTCAACTATGGTAGCCTTGGAATATCACCTTTAACCCAAAGGTGGAGCTTCTTCGCCAGAGGATGAGGTTGAGGTGGACCTCCAGCAGCGAGAGGTGGACCAGGAGGCAAAAATTGAGGCATCAATGTCGTACGAGTAAACGTCAGTGCATGGAAAAGAGAACACATAGTAAGGCATCAACGCGACTGCGCTTCATCAGTACCAGTGCATAATTCAAACGATGCAACGCACAGGTGACCGGCCTGGAAGTCCACCAGAAGATAGCCAACAAAAAGTATTGCACGTTCTGCGACCACGGTCATTCTCAGGGTGTTAAAAGGGGAGGAATCAGATAACCCACCTCATCTGCGAGCGCGCGTCTAACATACGCCATGTTCGGCTGGGGAGTCTACAGCCATGCCTCAGAAACACACACATTCCATGCGTTACGTCATAAACTCACCCCAAGGGCCTTCCTGGACACGCAACACCCACATCAGCACGCGATCTCCACGCTGGTTGGCACGCAGAAAGCACTCACTGGCACACAATAAAATAGGACATTAGGGCTCCAAGGAAGCTAGCTGTAAGGATCGTAGAGGGACTGGGTGAGAACGAGCCTTTGGGAGGAGGGGCAGTGTGAGCTGCGCACCCTTGTACCACCAAGACGAGACGGTTTTGAACATCATCCATGCCAAAAAGTAACGGGACCCTGAAAGGAGGAGCAAGAAGTGTCCACCCGCCCAGAGATAGTGCTATATGCGTTGTGTTTCGATGAGGGTTAAACATTTAAACAACGGAAGTAAATTGCGACGAGCGCCCCGTCAGAACGATAATACACAATTTTTGTTAGAAGGAAAAGACTGACCTGTGTAGTTGCCATTATACTTGAAGTCTATCAGTGATGAAGGAAGTGGTTGAGGAAGAAATTTTGAGCTGGCAGCTGATGTGTGGCCGGAGATGTCAGGCTTAGGCCTGGTGTTCAATTTAGGGCAGGCGCACACGTACTCGCTATGGGCGCTTATGGGTGCTCCCACAGCAACTGCACTGCTGCATCCTGATGGCAAGGATATTACGCCAATAGCAAGTTACAGGAGCAATGTAGACATAATAGTGACCCCCTCAAGCGTCACCCGCTCCACTGCTGCCCAGAGGCCTTTGCCCTCTTCCGTTCCTTCCCTTTCCGGTACATCTCCTTATCCACTGCTTTCTTGCCCAAAGTCTCGACCCGCCGTTCTTTTTCCTTTCTTCGCGGCTTGTTCCGCTGGAACTCCTGCTCTTCCACAACCTCCTCGCCGCTGTCTGCACCGCCACCCTAATGGCATGTCCTCCCACTCCTCGTCATCCGCATCCACATCATTTCTCCGTCGCTTGTTCCCAGTAGTAGTAGTAGGCTTCCCCCCACCGATATTGACATTCACGCGTGGGGGCACAGCGAACCCAAACGCCTTTCCCACCTTTGCAAGGTCCAGCGCATTAATGTCAAAGATCTTCTTCAACGAATACGATGCATATGCTTGCAGATACGACCGGAAACCATCCCTTGCTGACTGGTGCAAAAAGTAGTTCTTCTGCAACAGCTTCTCCAGCTATAGACAGACATGTTCCGTAAATTAATTGATTCATATCACTGAGACTACGAGCGCCTACCTGACTCTGCACATTCGCAATTCGGTCCGCAGGGAATGTAAATTCATTTAGCGGAACCTTTGCTTCCTTGAGATACCGCAGGAAGCCCAGTTCGCTTTCTAGCAGGAACATCAAACTCTTCCCAACCTTACCAGCACGCGCCGTTCGACCCACACGATGGATATAGTCTCTTGGGTCATCTGGGGGATCAAATTGTATAATCCAGTCCACCCGTGGGATATCGAGGCCGCGGGCTGCGACGTCCGTGCATAGCAAGATTCCAGATTCAGCATTTATAAACTCGAAAAAAGTATTTGTCCGTTTTTGCTGTTTTTGTTTCCCCTGTCGTGCACTGCGTCAGTATATGGCAGGAGATATGGGTAGTATGGAACATACATGTAGATCGAGCACAGGCACATCTATGTAATTTAGCAGTTCGCCGTGGTATTTCACGGAATTACAGCTCGAGAAGAACACGATGACTTTTTTCTTGAGGTTCTTTTTGAGGAAAGTAAAGAGAAGGAGGAAGCGGCGGTCGGATGGGCAAACAACATATCCTTGTGAAAGTGTTGAGACAGTACTTGTCGCCTCTTCTTTGTCGACGTCGACGTGCAGAGGCCCGGGACGAAGAGACATTCGCGCGAGGTCTTGGACTTTTGTAGTTTGAGTGGCTGAAAAGAGCATGGATTGTCGGTCCTCTGTAATTCTGCAATTCAGTCCCTCGTAAATGGGTAAGGATGTTAAAAGACTGAACCATTTGGTAGAATAGATATGATCTTCTTCATTTCCTCCTCGAAACCAATCTCCAATATTCGATCTGCTTCGTCTATCACCAAGGCTTTAAGATTTCGGAAAACAAATCCTTTTGTGTTCTATCGAGCCGAAGTCGATCCCAGAGTAATGTATTCAAGGCTTCGAAGACGTACCTCGAGGTGATCCAGCAGCCGACCAGGGGTTGCAACAATCAAATTAACACCTTTCTCCAACTTCTCTGCCTCAGCCCTCCTATTTGCACCACCGATAACAATACCAAATGTCTGCGAATGATGTGCCATGAGATCTTTTGCGACCCCGAATATTTGCAGCGCCAGTTCTCGTGTGGGGGAAACGATAATAATTCCAGTACCTAACACAAAAATTAACTCCCTCATATTAAAAAATGGACGCACAACGCACCATTTCTAGGCTTGAACTTCATCCGATGCAGGAGCTCAACTGCAGGTATGAGGAATGCAAGCGTCTTTCCTGATCCAGTACGTGCAGCACCGAGAACATCTTTGCCTGCGAGGAGAGGGGGTATGGCTTTTGCTTGTACGGGGGTCATTGTGGTAAAGCCCATATCTGCGAGAGCTCTGTTGGTTGGCTCTGAGAGCTCAAGCGATGAGAACGGTTCGCGGCCAGAGACATCTTCCTGAGGGACCGCAGATGGCGCGGTAGAATCCTCTGCCATGTGGGTGATTCAATGGTATCAGTGAGCAGACGTTGAAAAGTTTTGAGTGCAGCGATTATAAGAGACCAGCACCAGCCTGCAAGCGATGACCGTTATGACCTTGCACTCGATCAAAGATTTCGAAAAAGTTACTCTCGGCAAACTCCGACTAACCTCATTTCAATGTCTCCGTCAGGCGAGTATTTATGCATGGGTCATAAGACATTAGAACACCATGTCTTACTGCAGGCGCGTTATTATAGCACTATCACATGCGGTGGTCGCAGGAGCTGCCCTAGGATTGGGTTACTACCTTGGATCACGCCTAAGCACCCAGAATGCTGCACCTGCCGCCGCACCTATACCATCGTCAGAGTCGAAGAATAAAGAGCCACCCAAGGAACCGGAGGTGGATAGTGAAGAAGAGGATGAGGCGCTTGCAGACGGGGATCTCAGCACTATCAAGGCAGGCTTCATGCAACCTTGCAAACTGGTATGAGCTGGCATCCAATTCAAAACACTTCTCGCTGACTTCAGCCTCGAAAGGTCTTGGTCGTGCGAGCGGATCTCAAAATGACCACCGGGAAAATAGCTGCACAGTAAGTGCTACGTATCTGCTCAGGCCACTTGAGGATGACCCTTTAGGTGTGGGTGAGTGCTCACGCTGCGACGAAGTATAATTATTGGATTGCGCGACGACTTTTAGACACGCAACACTAGCATGCTACAAGGGATTGTCGAGGACAAACCCTGCGGTATGCTTCAAATGATTATTTCCACCTACCCGGCCATTGAATAGTCTATAGCTCGTACAACATTGGGAGAGGACTGGGTACGTGTTTGAAGACCCTCCTACGCTTCATGCATTGAACGCTGTGACCCAGTCAAGCTAAAATTGCTCTGAGAGGCTCTTCAGAGGACGAGCTCCTTGAACTCGAAGCAGTTGCCAAGAGTCTCAACCTCTGCGCTCGATCAATATTGGATGCGTAAGTACTCCTTTCGATATACATCATCACACCTGTTTGCCGACCTTTTCCCTCAATTTAGTGGTCGTACACAGATCGCGGCAGGTTCGCGCACTGTTCTTGGTATTGGTCCTGGTAGGGAAATTCGCTCATCATGATGATCGCACTGAGATTCTTCGCAGCGCCCATAGATCTTATTAACCAGGTGACAGGCCACCTGAAACTCTTGTAGTCCGGTGATCTTTCTATCTAAACGCTGTACCAGTCGGCAAGGCCAATCGTATACTTGCATCGCCCAGTCAATCAGGTGTCCGTTTAATGTGAGGATAATGCAATGTGGTATAGTACAAATGAGTAGTCCATGTGCATGCCGTCTATGCTTCGTAAGTCTAGGTTGTGCATCTAGGTTGTGGAGGTTTCCTTCCCCCTTTTCATCGCTCAGAATACGCCTCCGCTCGTTCCCTGTCCCGCCGTTTCCTGCATTACCTGCAAAAGCATAATCCGTGTCAGTCCTCACTGCCGCTGGCCAAATATCGTGGAGCTTACCTGAGCCGAGCTCAACGAGACCGCTGGGTGCATCAGTTCACCGAGCCGCCTGGAGCGATGCCACCCGTCCCAGTGGACGCATTCCTTATGGGGTTGCCCTTGGAGCTGAACTTTGACGGTCGAAACTTTTTTGACGCAACCCTGTGAACATCTACCGGACCTGAACTTCCCACCCCTCCATTTCCGGCGTTGTCTAGATGGTGGGTCAGATGGCGGGATACAGGGCGAGCCCCTCACTTACTCGACCCGATATCTACGAGATTGCCTATACACCCCAACCCCAACACCGTGGGGTCTATGCCTGTGCAGTTTGTGTTCGCAGCGGTGACTGACCCGCCGGGTGCTGAACCGCCTTGACCAGTGTAGATGCTACCGATGTCCATTGCGCGCTGTGATTCTGCGAGGTGGTAGGGCTCTGACGCCGACAGCGAGGGCAGTGAGAGCGAGGATGGTACTGTAGAAATACATGATGGCTGACGACGGCGGGTAAAAACGTAAAACGATGAACGAGAAGTGGTGGTGGAGGTTGGCGGTCAAGAGGGAATTGGCGAGATGGAATGTATTCGGCGGGTATTTATGGGGTCTGCTCGGTGGTTGACAAAACAAACAAGTGGCTACAAGACGCGTCTCGGTCACGTGCTTTGATTTCTGAGCCTAGAACGTTGGCGCGCTGGTCAGGAAAGGGAAATTTCTGGAACACTATTTGAATTTCCGGATGGTTTTGGAGTGACTGGCATCTCTCCTTCGAGTGAACAAAATGTATCGACAAAGCACCATCATAGGCTCCACCTAGAGCCTGTCTCACAACCACTCCCATCGAAGTTCTCGTTCATCCCAGCATTCCCTCCTATTTTCTTGTATGGCCACTCTCACTATCGCACGTGCCTACCAACATGCATTCCGTACTCATCCAAACTACACTCTCGCTGTCACTGGTGGAACCTTGAATGCCCTCGGCGATATCGTTGCCCAGATTTCCCAGAACGTTGTGAGCACACCCGATTTTTCATACCATTATCCACAACTCATGGGTTCCGTAGCTCGTTAAAGATCATGAGCCCAGACCAGGTTGGGATCCCGCACGTACACTGCGTTTCTTTTGTCTCGGCTCCGGCATGAGTAAGTCCCATGCGCTTGATTATCGGAGTAAACCTTGAACCATCTGCCTGCGAGGCCCTCTACTTGGGAGGTGGAATTTATTTTTAGAGCGACGGTTCCCTCTTCGAGCGTGGAGAAGCCTTCAACCCCGCATCAGCTTCAGAGCTCTTTCAAAACGTGTGGCTGCCGACCAGCTAATAATGTGAGACTTATTGATATCTAATGTTAGTAGACTGACGGTTTGGTCCTAGGGCACCAATCGGGGTGAGAATATGTTTTTCATCGCTACCTTGAACATGGGCTCATACACATTCTAGCTTGTGATGTTTATAGGCTCCATGGGTGTGATGGAATGTCGAAGTCCCAGGCAAATACGCGAAAAATATGCTGACATGTTTGCTCCCGCTCTTCTCACCAATTGGAAGGTTTGGCCTATAGCACAAGTGAGTTCAAGGACGTTACGACTGCTCGTTGAAGGTCAACTTAGTTTCTCTCAGATGGTTAACTTCCGATACATGCCATTACCGTATAGAATACCTTTCCAGTCCGCCTGTGGCGTATTCTGGACATTGTACTTGTCCATTTTGAATGCCAAGTGAGTAGCCCCCATTTATGCATGTCCCGATGATTCAATTAGTAATGCCAACTTCACAGGGAGGACGAAAGGCAAGATAGAGAGGCAGCACTGCAAGGAACAGTGCATTAGACGACTGTTTCTCTCCGACAAAATATCCTTCAATCTGCTTATCGGTACACCCCTGGTAATATTACATTCACGGATTCGTTGTAGCTCATAGATCTCATTTACCAATTTTTATATCTGACCCAATGTTGTCTTCACCTGCTCCTCGCTATATTTCTCGAGGCGCTTTTGCATGTAATCGCACATGTTCTAATGCTACCCATTGCATACTGCAGCATATTCTGCATAGGGTAAATTTTGGGGTACATCGCCAGGATGCTACTAGATTTTAAGTCTGCCCATACTTCGGCTTGAAGAATGCAGGGGGCAGTTTTGATAACACGTCTACCAGTGGTCGTTCCACTAACACCAGCTCCCCTGGCCCAAGGAAATCGAGTGCCAAGATGGGACGATAATTCGTTACCATCCGCAACTTCCTTTCACTGGCCATCTCTCCTACTGCCACCAGTGCCAGTTTGCCTGCGGCGTTTGCGTGACTGGCCAGTATATTTGCCCTCCCAGTCTAACTCGAGTTTGCAGAGCCAAGAGGAACCCCAGAAGATAGCCTCTTTGGGTTTCGTTGAGGTCATGGGAGGTGCAATACCCGTCATTTCGTCGTCTGAGGGAGTAGGAAGGGGCTCAAATGCGACCCCGATAACTGGGTCTGGGGCGCTGAGGAACTGCTTTGGAAGACGAGAGTTAAACTCCCGTCCCCATGATGGCACTTCACCGTGTTCTACGTGGAAGATGTGGATTGTGTTGTTAGGAAGAACGGCGAGGAGGATTTGCGGGTTGTCGGGGAGGAAAACCAGGACACTTGGTGGGAGAGGAAGGGAGGGTAAAGTAGTGTGATGCTAACACAAATCAGCTCTGCACCAGATTCTAGCGGTAGATAAAACTTACTTGTATGGAATCGAGATTGAAGATGAATATTCGGCAGAGGTCATCGGACGTGGCCAACCACTGGCCGTCGGGACTCACTGTCATTTTCATGATAGTGATGTGATCTATACCACCAACCGACTGTTCATCCTCCTCTGAGGTCCATTTGTTGATTCCGTGGACAACCCTGCCGCTTGTTATCGACCCAGCATTGCAATGTTGATTGAACGTCCGAAGTATGGTGGGTGCTTCCGAGCTTAGATCGATAATGAGGATGAGCGACGTCATCGCAGAGGCCATGATCAACTTCGAGGAGTCCGGGGTGAATGTAAACGATGATCCACCGGCTGAGACAGGATTCTGGGAGCTTTGGGCAGAGATTCGATTCTCCAACATTGATGCGAATGTCCGCACTCGTCTCGGTTTCATGTGGCCAGCAGGCTAAAGGAATAGAGGTCAGGCAAACACGTCTACCAAATTTATAACTGCGTTGCTCACGTTGAATTCGAGCTCGAAAAGCTTAGCCTCGTACAGGTCAGACACAACAACCCAACGTCCATCATCCGATAATGCGCTGGCGATGAGGTTCGTGCGCACGTTGAGATCCATCTCGAGTACTTTCTCCCAAGCTGTCCGTGTCTCAGGGTCAGTCGATGGATCAACGCCGTCCACGATCACATCCGAGTCTGGAATGCCCAGAACTCGCCATATATTGACACCTGTCTCATGCATGCTTGCCACAAGGCGAGCTCTGCGAGAAATACATGTTGATGCGGTGTACGCGATGCGACGATAATAGGAATCCTCGAAAGTTGTCGTGACTCTTGTTGTGAGGGGGTTGACGACGCGAGGGGCAATGGAAGATGAAGTCATGCTGGCTGGCAGCGCAGGAGTGAGGGCGATAGACATGTCCAGTCCTCCAGAGGCCAGGACTGGTGCGATGTATGTCGTATTTGCAGAGGGCTTTCGCTTGTAAGAGGAGGGTATGGGAGAGTAGGGTGGCCAGACTGCAAGACACCGGACGTCGTGTGAGTGTACACGACGTGAGCCAGACTGAATCCATCGCGCTGGGGCAGAACTCGACAGGGAAGATGATGTTTCCGAAGCGGTGGGAACATATGAGAATTGCACAATTTTTTGGTCGACGCCAGAGCTGAATACAGAAGTGCCTTCCTGAAATTCGGCGAGTTTAATCACAGAAGAATGTTATGTCGAACGACTTACGGGTCCAATTACAAGGCAAAGCACGTCAGCTCCGTGCGCCGGAAAGCTGCAGGTTTGCGTGCAGGTCAGGGAATCCCAGAACTTCACTGCGCCTAAAGAATCCCCAGATACAATAGTACCGTCGCTGTATTAAAATGCTTAGGTCGACATATTGAGAGGTGTTTCACGCGTGCACTCACGCAAGCACGCCGACTGTCCAGACCAGCGTCCGTTCACCTTTCATCTTGTCTGTACCCATACGGTCGGTCGATCTGCCAGTAGCGACATCCCATTTCCGCAAGCTGCTATCCGAGCCTCCCGTGACGAGCCACGTATCGGTCCACTCATCATTCGTCGTCATCGCTGTCTTCGTCACCATCTGTCCCATTATCTGTCTTCTTCGCCGTCCGCTGTTTCGGCGGTCGAGGTGTTGGTGGGCCCCAAGCGATGCTCAGTATGCGACTTTTTATGCGATCGAATCGCCTGTGATGCTGCAGAGTATCCGCGACTAAGGATAGCAGACGAACAGACCCGTCTTCGCAACCCAGAGCAAGTAGTGTCGAGGAAGGATTAGCTGCAATGCTCCAGATAGCAGCCTCCCTGGGAGCTAATGGTTCGCTAAAGTCCAGTATCTTGAGTCTGGTGCAGATTATACAAAGCAAGAGCATCATACCCGAACGCAGCTGCGAGATATGTCCCATTCCAACAATTCAGACCCGCCCCCCGAGCTAAAAAGACGGAGATCAGAGCACGAAGGCACGGTGTCCGGTGGTAATATATCCGGATAGCGTAGAGTAAAAGCTAGTGAATCTACTTTTGACGGGCATGGACCTGGAAGAATCTAAATGTGACTTCAATTATTAAGGCATCAAATAATGAGACAAAGAGCTCACCTTGCGCACTTGCCAAGCTTGAGATGCCTGAATCTCTCCCTCCTCGGCAGTCCATTCGAGAAGGTCGATGTTGCCATTAGCATGGCCTACACCAAGTGTGCCAAACCTATCTTTTGGATCCCTTTCCCGTTTCTTCCCCTTTAGAGATGGTAATGGTAGCGGGGGAAACGCGAGAGCCGTGATCGGGGAGGGCGAATAGTCAACGAACCTACAGCGATGTACGGCGATAGGTCTTGACATGGCGCGAGCCTCAGCGAAGGATAGCTGCCCCCGACCTACTTACATTTTTCTTCAATTGCCTTTCTTGGACGTGTCCTTAAACCACGTGGGACTTCATATTTTGCTCCTTAGCATCATCGCGACTTACTTTCGGCCGCGTCCTCCAAAATTATTGCTTTCGGTTTCACTTTGCTATCTCGTTCTTTGCTAAAATGTCTTTCCTTGGACGTAGTGGTCCGTCACCAGCTGGTGGTGTCAACCACGAACGCGTTGAAATGGCCATCAACGAGTGCGTCGGCTCTAATTTCACTCAGGTCGTTGTAGCTGACTCCCAGGCCATAGAATTGACATGGTTTCAGACGTCTTTAACCGCATCGTTTCGTCTGTGACGTTTTTCTATAATTCCTGCAACCTTGACTTATTTTACGTGTGGTCTAGTTCATGTCATACCAAGTGCATCAGTCCTCGCTATGCCGAAGGAGACCTCAACAAGGGCGAGAGTGTCTGCATTGATAGATGTGTGGCGAAGTTCTTCGAAGTTAACAAGAAGGTTGGAGAAAAGATGCAGAGCGCAGGAGCGAATGCACAGGCCACGGGATCAACAAGTTTCTCGCTATGAGAATGACCACACTAGGGACATCCATGGATAGTTATGACGCGAGTCGGTCGCTTACCTAGCTTTTTTTTCTGTCTGACCTCGTTCTTCAAAGCTTCAACTTGTTCTACAACGCAATGCATTGGTGCATAATCATCCATCCCAAACACATTAGACGATCATGTATCGGACGAACCCTACTTGGCCACATCCGGGAAACATTCTGCCATTGTTTTTGAGTGCTTGTTCTGGGCGTGCTCCTCTAGTCTGCAATGCATGCATATACATTATCAGTACAAAACACCATATTCTCTTTTCATAACAGGCAGATACTCACGCTGGTGAACGTGTGGTTTGCAGCTGAGATGAAGGAATTGATTGGAGTGATATCGATAGAATCTATGAGTAACACTTACGAAGGTCTGTCTGCAAGTCTGGCAAATAATGTTCTTCGCCGCTTCGTTGACCTTGGTCCTACTTGTAGGACCTTTGTCTGCGCCTTTTCCAGCATTGCGTTCACGCTTTTGTGCGGCTTTGGCGCCCTGGAGGTTTGTTAGTGATCTAAGATCAGCCATTTGTGTGAACTGAAGATGACCCACGTTCCCCATGATCAAGCTAAGAAACTGAAAAAAAAAAAGTGGGGACCGGGAGCTGGTACAGAAAGCTAGGACCGAAGAGAAACGGAACTGGTATACTTGTGAGTGCTGGACAACGTTGCACAGGACGAACACTGTTTACGTAAGATGTCTTATGGACCTATCTTATCTTGGATTGTTTTCTTAGAATGTGGGACTACAGTCATGGACGGCAGTAAACCTGGCTTCACTAAGCCCACCAGCGTTCATAAGCGAAGTCCAACAACATCGGGCAGACATATATGGTGCGGGTGATAACAATCTGTCGACCAGTGGGAGTCATCGCAACCAGACTCGAGTCATTCTTACCCAGACCTGGCATGAGAATATCACCTGTGCGGCATTCTTGCAATCATTATCGTCGCTTTTCTTCCTGCGTGCCACAATCTCCTCTCTTCAACATGGATCCCAAACTCGCATCGATCATTGAGCAGGTCAAAGTGGACATCCTCACTCCGACTCAACAGCAGGATAATGCGAGACAACTAGAGGAAGTCTCCAGGAGTTTTGTATGTGAGTGCGAATCGAAAGTAGGGATATTCATCTGGCTGAAGAAGTGGTAGCCGATACTATCACAGGTGTGTTCTCCAACTCGACTGCAAATCACCTGAACAGAAGGACCTTCGTTCAGTGCCTACGAAGGAGATGTTCGCATATGCTGTGCAGGCTTCACTCGGTGACGATGTTTACAGCGAGCCATCTACGATTGCCCTCGAGGCACACATTGCTAAGCTCACAGGGAAGGAAGCTGCTCTCTTTGTAAGCAGTGGGACGATGGGCAACCAGCTTGCTATTCGCACGCATCTTCAGCAACCTCCCAATTCAATCATTTGTGATGTTCGGGCACATATCAATAAGTTTGGGCTGTTGCTTCATCCATCGTGACCTGGTGGCTGACTTGCCCTAGGTACGAGGGTGGCGGGGCGGCAATCCACTCGGGTGCCCTCCAGATGGCTTTGACACCTAAAAATGGCATGTATGGGCTTATGTGTCGCACACTCTATTATTGACATCTATGCAGGACACCATTTGACTCTGAAGGATATCGAACCTCACGTAGTATCCGGCACTGACGTACACAGGTGTGGAGATTCTGCGTATCGAGGATTCTTCTAATATGCATCAGCGCACCAACGCGAATTATTTGCTTGGAAAATACGCTGAATGGCACGATCATGCCTCAAAGCAACATCATTGAGATCGCTGATTTTGCCCTCAAGAATGACATACTCATGCATCTTGATGGTGCACGTCTATGGCACGTCGCCGCGGAAACTCGGACACCGATTGATGAACTCTGCGCACCATTTGACTCAGTCAGTTTGTGCCTCAGCAAGGGTCTCGGTCAGTGTTGTCATCAGTTACAATAACTGTAAAGTTTGACTCTCTGCAGGCGCCCCTGTTGGAACATGTCTCGTCGGTCCAAAGGCATTTATACAGAAAGCGCGCTGGTTCCGCAAGATTTTTGGCGGGGGAATGCGCCAGACTGGTGTTCTTGCCGGGTCAATCGCTTATGCACTCACGCATAACTTCCCCCTCCTTCCTAGGGTTCACGCTCTAGCCAAACGCCTACAAACTGGTTTAGAAGAGCTCCAGGTCGGCATATTGAGTCCTGCAGAGACTTGCATGGTAAGCCCCATTAGTCGCTTCTCGATCGTTGGTCCCCAAACGGACTGACGATGCGAAATAGGTTTTTTATGATCCCTCCACAATCGGCGTCGAATACTGGGAAATTATAGACAGGGCGGCTGCATTACCGAAGCCCATTAGTCTTACTGGCTCTCGACTCGTGGTACATATCCAAACATCGCCCGGGGCGGTGGAAGACTTCTTGTCATTGATAAAAGCGCTGAAGCAGGAGAAGATTCAAGCGGGAATTGTGCCGTTACAAGAGCAGAAGTCGGACGGAATGAGGAACGTGTACGTCAGGGCCAGCAGGCCCTCTACGCCCACTGGATGATCAACATGTACAATGTGACTGTTGTCCTCAACGGTCACAAGCGTACTAACAAGTTTCTCGCAGCTCACAATCTATGTGTGTAGTTTGCAGGTTGAATATTGACTACACGTATGTATCATGTAACATCTCAAAAAAGGGACTGCGACTACATACGTGCTGTCAGGGCTCCCGGATCTGTAACGTGGGGGTCTCGAGCTAAACGCCACGTGAGGTTGTATTTTCTATAGCCAACGAAGTTTCTTTCGTGTAAAGTCCGAGATACCGCCTGACGTCACGACTGTAAAGTCCACACCCATCAAGTAACCTCCGACTTTAAGCGGCATCTTCACAACATCCTCCGGTGTATCCCCAATCCCGACAAGCACGTCAGCAGGAGCGCTGGATCGCACGGCAGAAAAAGCCGCAGCACGTAGAGAGAGGTGGCTATCCGGAAGTTTCTCTTTGGGAATAGCAACAAGGCGATAACCACAGATGTGGGGATAGCGAAGTACCATTGAGGCTGCTTCACGGCATAGCTTTGAAACCAACCCGAAGGTGAGGAGGTCGGAGAGATGGAGATGAAGAGCGATCTCTTGCCAAAGTTCAAGAGGCAGTGATGGACAGTTGATGTTAGGTGGCGCATTATCAGCTCCTTGAACGAGCGTGTCACCCTGACCAATGCGCCACTTGTAATGGCAAACCTTCAAAGCACGTACAAAGAGTGCGGGGTCGGCGCGATAGGCGAGACGGGCGAGAGCAGTGATGCCTGGAGTAGAAGGAGAATCTGCGAAGAATGATGGTAGGAATTGGAGGGCGTCCGTATGACTGAACGTCGTTGTGTGTGCATCTTTGACTACTTTGATGATTGCACAATGGTAAACGGAAAACGCGACCCCAAAGTAATCACCAGGATTATCCTTCTGCTCTAAGATCGCCTTGATCAGGCGTGTCATGGAAGCCTGCAGGCACCGCTCGTCATCTAGATGTGTTGCGATGTGAATGACAGTGTCTTCGCGAACCCATGTGAACTCCTCCCTACTCAGCTCGGGGTACCACTCCCCGATTGGAGCCTTGTTGAATATCTGGGGAACAAACGCGATGCTGGCTATGAAGCATGCAAGTGACCATTCCGAGTCTGTGAGTTGACTGTGATTGAATGCTTCGATCTCGAACTCGTAGATCATCTCGCCCATGCGAACCATGCACGTCCCAATCATGACCTCCAACAATGAGACCCGAACGTGCTCGTCAGGAGACAAGACGTCACTGATGGCGAGCAGGTTGCTCAAAGCCATGTGAGATCCTGTGCACATGAAAGATTGGTACGTCGCGAGGTCTGAATTATCGACAACCGGCGGGCCTGACTTCTTGTACTTGTGCTCAGGGGGGCACTCTGATGCGCAAGCTAAGTAGCCGTAATGATCTTCGGAGATGTATTCGAGAAAATCGTCATCATCTGGAAGGCATTCCAAGGAGAAAAAAGGCATCCCGTTTATATGGAAGATGTTGTGATCAAGGTCGACCTCGTAGATCCACTCGATCATGATATCATTGATTGGTCGCCGCCGAGAGGGGGTCCCGTCGATGGGATTTGAATCGTCTGATATTGATTCCGAAGTGCTTTCTAACTTGTCCAGCATCTCTCCCAACATCTGCCGCTGGGTTGCAAGGGCATTAGACTGTCGTATAGCCCGAAGCACCTCTAGACCGAACCCTTCCGGATAACTATCATGGTGGTTGTATTTGGCGAAATAAAAGTTCCGATAGCGAAGCACGTAGTAACCGCGGGTTCCCATGCCTGCCAGGTATATCGCGCTGCTTACGTTGAGCGTCGAATGTTGTGCACGAGAATAGGCCTTTGTATGATCGCGTAGTCTAAGAGAAGAACAAGAGAATGAATATCAGTTAAGGATCTCACAAGCGACGTGAACTAATATTCAGAGGGAGAGACAACAGCTGAGAGCTAGTGAGAAGCGAGTGAAGTGTGCAAACCGCGGGTCTGAAGGAAACACGAACTTTAAGTTCACCAGACCAAGACACACTAGAATTGAAAGAAGGGAGGTGGGTGGGTGGACAAAATTTAATGAGCAACGCGCAAAAGGAGATGGGCGCAGAGAAGAAGAAAGAGTGAGGCGTCGTTCTGCGACTCGTGTCCTTTTTATGAGGGCAAACTTCGAGGTGTGCTTCACCACGAGGGAAGCACGCGTGTGGAAGATCTTCACGTGACCACTTACAAAAGCCAAGTTTCGCGTCAACGCTCGCGATCTCTCGCGATCCGCTTGAAACGACCAAGAAGTTTAAGCTGAACCTCGTCGCTTTCGTGTGAGGCGGCTGGTCTTGATCGAATGTTAAAAAGCCTCATGGCACAGAAATAATGGACGACTATCGTTAGAATGTAAGTAAATTCAAATAGACTACGTCGGATATGGACGGTTAGTTCGAGATCGATTGAACATCTATAGTAAGAGTGCATCGTGACTGATATATCATAAGTGACTAAGGCGGTATGTAGTACAAAGGGATATTATTCCACACAAGTACTATGGATGAAAACGCATCAGAGATCCCCGTTATTCGACAAAAATGCAGCTACAATATCTCTAGCGTCCTGGCGTCCATCACGTCACGAACAGAAGTCACGTCCTTAACTTGCGCAATAATATTGTTATCTGAAGCAATCCTTTTGTACCCTCCGCCACGCTGCTGCGCTAGCAGAAGTGCGCCGAAAGGCTGTCCTAGACGAACAATCAACCTCAACGCTTTCCAGTGAGACTCCGAATCAACCGACTCATTCTCTCCAGGATACCCACCGAGCAATTCGTCTGACGAAGACCCGGGCTCCGATTCACCCACGCTCTGCGTCTCTGCAAAGTCAGGCAGCTCGAGATCATAACGATCCCATGGACGGACAAGCAAGAATGTCTGCCGAGTAGGCTTTGCCGGCGAGAACTGAGTCAGTTTCTCTTCGGTGGTGATTGGCAGGTCGCCAAGCCCATCAGCCTTGACATCATAAGTAAAATGTTTCTCCTGGTCTTGACCACGCCTCCGTCTGAATTCTGTCACGGTGAATGCGATGCAAGGCAGATGCAGTCTGCGGTGGTCGAAACGAGGAGGGCTCAACTGGTCAAGCCGGGTACACAGTGTCAATGCCTGCTCCACATCAGTGGCATGTCGCAGCGACGAGATCGATATTTGGATCTGATCTTCAGATAGAGATGGCGGCATGCATGGTGGAAGTTGGTACGAGGCAATTTCGGCTGGCAAACAGCTATTAAACTGTGATGATTTTCCGACCCAGTCCAGGGCAGTGATATCGCCTGACTGGGCTACGATCTCCTGCAAGAGTCTTCCGAGCGCATTCTGCTTCGTCTCGCCGTAGATGATATTCAGGTGGACCCCGAAGATGCCAAACAATGAATATGCAACGTCTTCCGGTAACGTGGTGACACGATTCGACGCCCACTGAAGTTTCTCTCGGGCACCACTCATCCCCGGACGGAAGTCGGCGAGAGCCTGTGCATCTATACCTGTCGAACCCTGCATCTCCCCCATAATAGCATCAGACTTCTTGTGGTTGGAAGAGTCATCATCGAGATATGGAGTCCAATCTGCTCGGTAGAAAATAACGATGTTAGGAGCCAGGAACTCCTGAACAGTCCATCCTCGCGTGTTCCAAACACTGTTTGCCAGGGCGCCTGTTTGTGCCGAAGGCGGGACATCCGAGAGATAGATAATCGTAAGAGCTGAGTGGTGATACCAAACAAACATGGAATTGATTGATGCTTGAACCTCAACATTGTTTTTTTGGTCGATGCAGCATGTATCGCTCCACGCCCAGCGGTAGCCCGCATCGCGAGCAGTTTTGCAGAACATCTGCAACTTCGCCGTGGTTCCGACTAGATCCAAATCGTACACATCCTTATCCTGGATGTCGTGCAGCAGCAGCTCATTGTTTTGCCATCTATGCGATAGCATGGCCCAACTGAAGTACGTCTCAACCGCTTCTTTGATGTGCTCTGTCTGGAGAGGCGCATGCGTCATCGATAATGACAAAATCTCCTTATACTCCAAGCTTTTCATGAAGGCGTTGATTACTGCCTCTCGACTGCATAAAAGTCCAGTGAAGGTGTCGAGTAGACGAAGCGGGGCCTTTTCCAGTTTAGCATCAATGGCTTTTCGAATAGCGCCATCTGCTTCGGATGGACTGACATACTGTTGAAGTCCCTCTGGAGAAAAAAGTTGATCATATTGATGTTGATGCATGAGTGCTTCGGGGCTTACTTTGTATCTGTGGGTCGGATGTACTGCCAAACTTGGACATGATGATTTTCAAGACCTCAATCAGCTTCATCATAGCGTTGAGCCTTGTGAAGCGCCGCGTGCTTCACTTCGTGCCCAAGATATGACGAAGGGTTGAGTTCGATGGCCTGTACATGGGTGGCATAAACACAATTGCTAGACAAATGATGGATATGCATCCACACCTTTTCCGCGTCGTCAAGGGCCTTTGCATGAAAGTTTTGTTCCAGATGTGCCTTGCTGCGGTGCGCAAAGAGGGACTCGCATAATGAATCCAGCCTGATTCCTGCCGAATATAGTTCTATAGCCGCCTCGTAATTGCTCGCAGTAACAGCTTCGTCTCCCTTTGTGAGACAGCGCGCAGTACAGTTTTCCTTGAAAGCTAAACGACTCAGAGTAAGTGTCGATATTAAAGTTGTATACACCCCAAAGCACCCACCAGTGGACCATACGAGGTAGCTGTCTTTCGCATCCTCTTCAATCATGCGCATCGTGTATTGGTGAGATTCGACCGCTTCGATTACTCGATCAGCGCGGAGGAGAGCATCGCACCGCCTTTGGTTGACGGTTTGCCATAACGAATCCAAGTCCCAGCCGAAGAACTGCCCACCATATTATGGATCAGTGAAAGTATGCTCTGAAGCTTCATAGTGACACACCACCGTGAATATCCTCCATGTAGGTTCAAAAAGTGCTCTACGAGAGAATAGGTCGGTTATACCGAGCCGATCGGCGGCTTCGCTGTACCGCCCATCCTCAAAAGCAATCATTGCAAGCTGGACACATAGATATGACTGAAGAGTGTGTTCGAAGGTGAAAAAAACATAAGGTATGACGTAAAGCTCACGTTGACAACGCTGCACAGAAGTGTATCTAAGTGATGGCAAGCGGTGGTAAGGTCTTGAACTCGCCGCATTGCCTCATCACGGCGACTGGCGCTGAAGAGTGCTACAGCCTGGACAAAATGACATCGAAGTATTAGTATGACAGACAAACTATGAAGATAGCGAAGAGTACCTTGATCAATAGGAGAAGACCGATGATAATCGGATCACGATTTGAAAATACGAAGGCGAGATCGAAAGCTTCCGTCGCGTCCCAGAGCCGCTCGTTGCCGCAGAGGGCGACAGCCTTGGAAATGTAACCCAATAACGAGGGCTGAATATCAATGGACTACATCACCAAGCAGAGTCAACACAAACAACGTCATGATATGCAGAGCATCTGACCTTGACTGAGTCTTGAAGCGCCTTGTCCCACTGGGAGTTTCGCGCCCTTATAATGGAGCGATTGGCATACAAGTGGTGGTTGTTGCCATCTGCGTCGATCTCTTGGGTCAGCAGATCTTCAGCAATGTGCAAGTCCCTAATAATGCGTGCATTGCGGACCGTCTTGTGTATAGCAAGGATCTGCATGAAGAAAGCTCACGTTGCGTGATAAGTAGACGCATCGAAGGTGAAAGCTCACGTCAAACAATGAGAGATTTTCGTCACTGCCAGAGGCTTTGTCAGTATTCAAGGGATGATTGCTTGGACTGTCGTGATCGCCAGGGGGCTCGCGGTTATTCTCGTGACTGCGCACCGGCAGCTAGTTGTCGTGTAAATGAATAGAAAGGCGGGACAAGAATGGGAAAGAGCATACATGCGTGTCACTACGAGAAAGGAGTTGCTGTCGCTGTACTTCCTCGTTATCTATGATCGATTCGTCTGCATCGTCTTCCTCGTTGGCATGTGAGTGGCGGTTGTTGTCATCTGCGCCGGTCTCTTTGGTCAGCAGGTCTTCAGCGGTATGCGGGTCCTCAGCAATGCATGCATTGCGTAGCGTCGTGATTATAACAGGGATCTGCATGAAGGAAACTCACGTTCTGTGATAAGTATACGAATCGAAGGCAGCTCACGTGAAATAACGAGTGGTTGTCATCACTGCCAGACGCTTGCGCTTGTTGCGAAGAATGGTCACTTGCACCGGTGTTATTGCCAGAGAGCTCGTTGTTGAAGCCATGACTACGCGGCTGTGTGTTGCCGCCGAGAGCAATATGAATGAACAGACAGGCCAAAAAAATAATGGGTGATAGCATACGTGCGTGTTACTAGGAGAAAGAAGTTGCTGTCACTGTGCTCCTTTATCGTCCTTTGTCCTTTCTTCCGCCTTGTGTTGCTCGAGTATCTCCTTGATAGACCGGACCAGCACCTCTCCTTCGGCATTCCCACTGACAAGCAGTTCTCCATCGGGAGAAATTGCGATAGATTCAACCTCCGTGGTGTGTTCGAATGCCTGTCCTATGTGTCGGTGTGTCTTTGTGCTCCACAGCTGCACAGTCTTATCATTCGAGGCAGTGGCAATGAAGGAGCCGTCAGAAGAAATGGCGACCGTATAGACGTAGTCAGTGTGAATGCAAGGTTGACCGATCGGGTCTCCATTCGACGAGTTCCAGAACTTGACTATTTTGTTGTATGATGCAGTGACAAGTTGCTGGCCGTCAGGCGACCACACAACATGTCGAAGCATGATTTGTTGAGTGTCGAACTTGAGAAGAAGCTCGAAGTTGTTGGTACACCAAACTAGGATGTCATTATATGTTCCGCACGCTAATTTCAGCCCATCTGGGCTGAATGCGACACCGATCACCGGATTATGATCCTTGAGCTCTGTGAAGAAAGCGCCAGTCTTTGCATCCCATATAATAACCGTTTCATCTTCTGACCCACTTGCGAGTCTCTTACCATCGGGGGAGAAGCACACTGATTGCACATAGGCTGTATGCCTTATCAGTGGACCGAATACCATTTGCTTGCTCTTGACATCCCAGATGATAATGGCTCTATCATCTCCACCGCTCGCAATTCGCCTGTCGTCTGGTGATACGGTCACCGATCTCACCCAGCCCTCGTATCCCTTGAATGGCACTCCTACCAATGCTCCTGTCTCCATGTCCCAAATTCGCAGGGTTCTATCCCGTGAACCAGTGACGACCCGTCGACCATCTTTGAAGAACGTGACTGTGGTTACGGCGTACGTATGCCCTTGCATCATCTGCGTTAGCGGTAGTGTTATTTGCGCTGGCGCTGGTTGCAGATCCACATCTCTTGCTGCATCGCGTTGACCTAGACAGAGATATAGACGGTCAGTGACATTTGAAGTCGACGAGGACCGTACGTTTAAGATATCGTCGCATTGTGGATCTTGTGGGTGGTGTATGGTAGTGTTGGACTTCAAGTTCTTCCCATGACCCAACTCATGTAGGCGCTTATCTACGGTTTTTCGGTATCACGCGGGTACGGCGTAGAAAATGTCGCTTCTCCCATCATCGCTGCCTCCTTGATAAACGCCCGTCATGTAGCAGTAGCCCCTCCATTTTGTGCACAGTGGACCCGCATGCATCTGGTACTATCATGTACCACAGCCCACTTTGCAACCATATATCTCTTCTACTCGACTCACGTTTCATCATCCTGTGTAACGCACCCTGCTTCGCCATATATAAAACGATCACTCAGCGCTCATGTCTGATCACTTCCAGTTATCAATGAGATATTACATAAATGTTGACGGGCATGCGTGGTGTGTACTGATTTACTTGCTTATCCGCACGATGACGATCCGCACTTCCCTAGCCACATCAATATCGTCTAAGCTACTACTATTCATGTGGACATTTTCCCCTCTGCGTCTCTCGACGAAGATGCTTGATTGACACCCAGAACCGTTATCAGCGAATGAATTCGATGCAAATGTGTATGGCAAGTAACTCATTATGGTAAATGTCGTCGTTGCTCTTGATGCTTCTATCGCAGTCGTAAGCAGGATTCTTTTTTCGATTATTTACCTCAGGTGCTGAGGTGATGTCTGATAGATTGCATACCTCCGTTATCTTGGGATTCTCTTTCCGTGTGTATATGCTCCTGCGCTTCTCGTCATTATGTTTCTCACCGCCATTACATACTTACTATTAAGGTGTGATTAGCTGAGTCGAGGCAACACTAATTTCTGATTCAGTAAACAGATATTTTTATTCGATGCTGCAATGTGGTGGTGTCGGAACGGCTCCATCACTGACATGCTCTTACCCTGGCCTGGGGCAACGCCTTCTTACAGTCATGGCCATACCGATCACGATCCTCGAGATATCCGAGTGCACAGCAATGCTACTGGTTAATTCAATGCATCCAAACTAGTATGGCACGAATCATCGTGTAGGTCAGGTGAAGCTCTGCACTTTTATCTATATCTCACTTTGACTTGATCAGGGGCAAAAATCTAGGTTCACGAAGTTGATTACTTCAGCTAGTCCTGCGTTTCAAGTCGTGCCCTCGGATACATCAAAATTGTATATTCTAATCTCACTGGCAACCCACGCAAGGGTCGTGGATTGGTTTATAGCGTAGCTTTCATCCGTCTCGTCACTTCTCAGTCCACAACAGGATCCATGCGTTACACACTTCCTCCATCCCTCTCGCTTTTGTTATGAGGATCTCATTAACAGGCTGAAAGTTACGATACGTGCGCAAATGCAGTCCCTCTTCAGCGAGCATACCAGCGTACATACCTAGATGGATCACGGTTATACCACCAATGTTCCTAGGATGGCGAATGCCTTCGATGCCAACATAATGCTATACGTTCCCCCTAACCCAGCGCCCCTCCTATCTCGCGCACACAACCTGACTGTCTTTTCTTCGTTACATTCGCGGGACGGAACGGAGCACTTGCAAGACACTAGTAACATGCGACGACAAACTAAGAAAATAACAATCTCCTAATGCTAACACACGAGGGTCAATAATGATTGTTGCCCTATATACATAAGATTAACGACGTGACCATTTTCACAAAGTACGCTCGACGTCAATATCTTCAAAGGCTATTGGCTGTCTATACTGTGTCTAAGTCAAGACGACACGTTGTACAATTAGTGCTTCCATGCAACATGCAACAAGAAATGTATCTTACTGTGCACAGAAGACGACCGGTGCCAACATGGATGATGCGAAGACACACGAATCCAGTGAGGGCAGTTGCGTTCTTCAGAGACGGTTGTTGGGATGATTGCACCGTGTAGTATCCTTAAAGAAACCCTGCAAGCAGATCTGAGTAACCTACTACTTAGTTAGACTCGTGACCAGTCTGACTATGCGTCAATTATGGTTACACCACTCAAGCATCCGTGGTAGTATGCGCCAGGCTGGTCACGAGCCTACTACTTAGTATCTATTTCGAAGATTGTACGACTGGAAACGAAACTTGCACGAGTCCGGAAGTCAAGATTAAATACATATGCCCGTAACTGAGTGAGCAATCCTTTATACACTTTTAATCCAATTGAGTATCATGTACGTTGACCTTGACCGAACACCAGTGAACGGTGCGTATTCAAAACAAATAGCATACACTCGAATTTGAAAGGGAATTTAGATGTTCGTCACATACTTAGTAGTTAGCATCCTGCTGAATGAGCTCAAGGGCTTTTGCAGAGCGAGCATTAATAGAGTACTTGAAGGGTTTAGGATGGCTAGAGTGTGTATGTCTAGACCAGCACGGCAGACCCGACGAGATACGCAACATACCTGATTGTACCTGATGAGGGGTCAACCTCAGGGGTGATCTCAACACCGTTCTCGACGACCTTGGAAATATCAAACACGGCAAGTGACATCGCGGTGGATATCCAGGCGGACGCATCAGCGAGATTGAGACCTGCAAAAGAAAGGGACATCAGAACTGTCTTCTTCTTCGGCGCCTTCTGAGTTGCACTAACCTGAGCAGATACTGCGGAGCAGAAGGTTAGCATGTCGCTCAAATAGAAACTCGATGCTTACCGTCTGCCAAAGCCGAAGCAGATAGTGCGAGGATCAGTCTCGGGCCCCTTTCCATCCTTCGGTAGAAAGCGTTCAGGGTCGAATTGCGAGGGGTTAGCATAAGTCCGTGGGTCATTGAGCATGAACCTGTCATTAAATTCTGATAATATATCAAATACAAACAAGTGAGGGTACCAACCAAATGTTAGGTATTATCAAGGAACCTTCTGGAATGTAGTATCCGTCATGGATATTGTCCTCAGTGACGCGGTGGGGGACACCTGTCATTGAGGTACAGCTCTGCAAGTAATGCATACAATAACAAAATACACATACAAGTAGGGACAACAGCATTCCAGCGTAGGACTTCTTTCACAAGCGCCTCAGTATAGGGGAGAGACTCACGGTCGGCGAAAGAGGGAAGGCGATCAGGACCAACAACGGCATCTATTTCAGCCTGAGCCTTCTTCTGCACATCAGGGTAAAGAGTCATAGCTAGGAAGAACGAGTAGGTCGCAGAAACAGTCTGAAGAATCAGGAGTTAGTCTCAAAATGTAACTTGGATTATGTAGAGGAATTAACCGTGTGGGTACCACCACCGTATAGAGATGCAGCAGACCATTTCACAACGTGTTCCTCCTCCGCAGACAAAGTTCGTCCTTCCAATAGGCTCGAGGCAAAAGACTTGTGGGCGATGCCAGCGGCCTGTAAAATTCACACTTTAACTCATTATCACAAAACTACGAATATCAGCTACCATCTGATCCTTCACAGACTTGAGGGGTGCAGCAGCCATCTCCTTGACGGTCTCGCGCCATTCACGGGCTATGCGCTTGAAGCCAGCGCTAGGGAACCACTGGGGAACATTGGCCACTAGAGATAGTCAGGCCATTGAAAGTAAATCAGAATGCTGTGACCCTACAGAATGGCAGGATGTCAACCATGAATGCACTGGGAGTGGTGCACCGCGAGAATTGGTCCAGAGCGCGGTCTGCAAGGTCGACGAAGGGACCATTATTCTGCTCTACTTCATAACCATGAGAGATGCGTAGAATGATAGCGCCAGCGGTGCTATACAAATCCAAGGTCACGTTAATGCAAGGAAAGATAACACATACTGTCGAATGTGTGCCTGTAGTTGGTCGGGTTTCGCAAGTACACGCTTCAGGAATCGATGGGTCTCAACCTCCTCGATCGGGTTGTAGATATCCAATGCAGCGCGACTGCCAATGACGCGGTGGAAGTGCTTGCGGTACCGACGAAGACGCTCACCGTAAAGGAGGAGAACCAAAACGTGCTTCAAGCCAACAAGTTCGCCAGCCATGTGCAAAACAGAACGGCCAGAGTACACAGCGCTTTTATTGTCCAGCATGTCCATCGCGATCTTGACAGAGTTCACCACAATGATATGCTGACCCAGGACCGAGATATGCGAGATATCGCCTGCAGAAAAGACTATGGAATGCATTATTTTGGCAAAACGGGAGGCACTCACCATACTTCTTGCCCCAATCAGCGAATGTGAGCCAGGGCTTGATGTGAGGCACGTCTAGGACGTTCCCAACGAGAGGCAACCCCGGGGGACCAGGTGGGTATGGTGCAAGGTTCTTCTTGGTGGGCGCCTGCATTACCAGATACACTCCGAGACCAACAAGGCATAGTATGTCCTGCCAAGTTGCGTTAGTGAGTATCAACATGGTCACTAGCAGACAAGCAAGTAAGAGGACGTGGGATGTATAATAAACAGTTCAGAGCCACCGGCGTCATTTTGTTCTTGATCCTGAAATAAACAGGAAATCAGTCTTCTAGAGCTGACCCAATACAGATATATGACAGTCGATATATTTCAATGACAGCGAAGTCTGCAGAGGCGATTGGGAGGGCACGTTTAGATCATTACTTGCAGAATCACCTCCTAATCGCCTAGTCACTAGTCGGAAGCCAATATAATCTGCCGAGGATAGTGGACAATCATAAAATCCGATGGGTATACGTAGGCTGCAGCCACGAGCATGAGCCGGTAATGTCGGACCTGTCTATCGGGCGACTATCTTGAGTGTTGGGTGGAGCAAAACTTACAAGGTAGACATCGTGGGAAAACTACAACCTGAGGGAGCATCCTCACGACTGAACGTGGGAGTAGAGGAGTTTTGAAACCCAATTCCAGGAATTTAAAGTTACTCACTGCACGAAAACAATTCGGCACTGGGCCGTAGGTAGTCTCTCAACATCAGACATTATAACAACACCGTGGAGTTTTCTCCGATACCTAATATGTCCGGTATCGAGACCGCGCGATGCGAGTGTTCCGCATCAGTGCTGTAGTCAACCGATCAACTTCGTTCTGTTTCGCACCCAGGCTTGGTACGTTAAGTTTATTTTAGTGGAGCATGCTACTCACGTTGGTGCTAATACGCAACGGATCACCAGGACAGATGCATATGAACAACACGTAGTTGGAGGCCGTTAAGCGTTTCAGACTCATCAGTGGATTCATTGTAGCTGACGCCGTGAGACCGAATTGAAGAATTTTAGTTGTTAAGACATAAGAAGGGATAGGGAGGACATCAGAGAACTGGAAATTGTGACTCCGTCCGCCTCTGTCGATAATGCACGCTCGTCGCTCGATGATACACAACCTCTACTTACCTTCGATGGTTGCATGAAACCCAAGCCCTCTTGTCAGACATGTCACTGTCAGAGATGAAACACTTCAATACATGTAATCACACGATTGCGTAAGCAAATGCCAACCCGAACTTTGTACGGCACCGTGACGGAAAAGCCTTCACAAGAACTGCAGCTCCATCATTTCTGGCAGTATTATGGCGGCTGGTCTGCTAGCTATGTACTAACTGCGAAGGCAGGTCGTAGAATCTACACAATAGCAGACATCGGCTTGTGACGGAGGACAGCGATTTCCGCTATTGCGTATTTGGTTCAGATGGATCATTCGCCTGCCGGAGTTCCGCAAGTCAGCAGGCAATCAGCAGGGCACCATAACTTGAATATAAATACTAGAGATATGGTGTTTCTCTGTGATCCCCATATCTCATCGAGCCATGCCTTCTCTAACAGACGTCCGTTTCGCTGAACTCTCGCAGGAAATCGCTTGCGATGTGCTTTCCAAAACTCAGGACGATGACAACATTCTTCAGTTCCAAGAAATCTCGAGGGCATTCGTGTGTGAGTGACTTAGACTACTTCACGGGCAAGCTATTTTACAGGATATGTACAGCGGACACCATCACAGGTATTTAATCTCAATCTGGTGCACGGACTCACGCTGATGGTAAAGTATCGTGGTCAGTACCGACCAAGGAGATGAATGCCTATGCTCTCCGTGCGTCCCTCGGGGACGATGTATTTATCGAGCCATCCACCGCCGCACTCGAAGCCCACGTCGCAAAGATCACCGGGAAAGAAGCAGGTCTCTTTCTACCATCGGGCACAATGTCGAATCAAGTTGCCCTCAGGACTCACTTGCAGCAGCCCCCATATTCAGTCATTACAGATGCACGGGCTCACATATATCGGTAGGTTGGTTTGTTGGCTCGAGAAATATATTTTCAACGTTTCCTAGCATGGAAGCTGGCGGTACCGCATTTCACTCAGGTGCCAACAGCATCCCGATTATTCCCGCTAACGGTATGCTCCCTCCCGATCGGTCCGCATCTTGATTTATCGTGTGTTTATGACCAGAACATCATCTTACCTGGGAGGACATCGAACCTCGCATCGTCTCTGGCACAGATGTGCATGTGTAAGTTTCAAATTAAAAGCCATTGGACTACCGCCGTGACACCCGCCCCTTAAAGTGCCCCAACACGTATCATAGCGCTTGAGAATACTCTGAACGGAACCATCATGCCACAGGATGACGTACTTGAAATTTCGAAGAACGCACATAGTCAAGGCATCATCATGCACCTTGATGGTGCGCGCATCTGGCACGTTGCAGCCGACACCGGATTGTCCATGAAAGAGCTTTCTGACCCATTCGACTCTGTAAGCTTATGTCTCAGCAAAGGATTGGGTAAGACCTTCTCAGAAATGCTTCGTTGTGAACGATACTCACTGATACCATAGGCGCACCCATCGGAACCGTCCTCGTCGGCTCAAAGCCATTCATCACCAAGGCGCGATGGTTCCGAAAGCTTTTTGGTGGAGGTATGCGCCAGACCGGATACATGGCCGGCTGCGCTGCCTACGCACTCACCAACAATTTCCCTATGCTTCCTCGCGTGCACGCCCTTGCAAAGCGGATGCAGCAGGGTTTAGAAGAGCTTGGCATCGGTATCCTGAGCCCCGCTGAAACTTGCATGGTGAGGGTGCCCTGACAAGCTGGATCACGCAACCTGAAAATGAATTTATATCAGTTGTTCTATGACCCTGCACCAATCGGGGTTGAATACTGGGAAGTAGTCGAACGGGCCGCACAACTTCCGAAACCTATTAAGTTGAATGGCTCTCGCCTGATAATACATATACAGTCATCGCCTCAAGCAATAGAAGACTTCCTAGAGCTCATGCGTGCGCTCAAAGAAGAGAAGGCTGCTGCGGGATGGAATCCCGAGAACGCACCGCCCAAGAAGAAGATTCTGTTCAGAGATGTATACGTCAAGGCCGTCAGACCAACGTAGATGTGAAGAGAATCGACGCAAGTAGATCGGTAATAAGTATGTATATATGAAACTGATATGTGTATATGAAACTGGAGCTTCTATCCCTTCCCGTCATACCGCTGTTTTTCATACTCCTTCCAGAGTGCTTTCATCACACTCTTCCCACCCGTATCCAATGCACTCATCATAACGGCATCACGACTGTGCGTACCCATAATTTCGCACAGCGAAAACAAGCCCGGCTCAAGCTCACGCCTCACATCCGCCCGCATGATACACAACGGATCGTTCACGGCGTCAATGTACGCAGTGACCACGTAAGCAGCATGCTTGGCAAATGGCTTCGACAGGCTCTCTGCCTTCTGTTCCGTATTGGGTTGCATGTGCGCGCGGGGGACAGTCTTCGATGTCAATGAGGTGAACAGCCGTGCAAGTGCACGAGCTTCTGGCACACCGAGAGGATCAGATGGTGCTATCCACGATGGGAGGGTGTCGGTGACGATGCGGCTCTGCTTCGCGGCTAGCTGGGGCCGTAGGCTACGCGTGCATGAGACCAGTTGACGGAGGACCATCCCCAGATGTGGCAAAATGTGGATGACCAGATCGCGCCGCAGTCGAACAAGCGCATTGAGAATAGTGGCGGTGGACTGGAAGACCGCAGGTGTGGTAGTACTGTCGTGCGTTGAAGACCCGCAGAGGATTTTAGAAAGCAAGGCATGTATAGGACCAGGGTCGACGGCGCGAAGAGCCGCGGGCTGGGATGAAGGCTCAATTTAGAGGCTCGATGCCATCATGTAGTACGACATACCCTATCTGAACATTGCCGAGCCACAAACTCGAGACAAGCTACCTTCAAGTCCGCAGGACCCGCAAAGAACTGCGCGTTTCCAATAAAGAAATTCAGACACTGAGTGAAAAACCCCTGAACGACCTTCAAAGTCCCTGAGATGGCGTGAGACTGGTGCTCTGAAATAATTGGGAGTCATCTCGTTTACCCTGAGGTGTATCGTGTAACAGGACGGTGGCTGTATGCACTAGGCGCACACATTGAGCCGGGGGAAATCGCGTACTTTCAAGTGCCTCATATACTGTGTCCAGTAAATGCGAGAAGTCGTTGACTGAAAGATGCTTGCATCCGTTTGAGACGACGTCATCCAAGGCTATCGGCCGACTTAGTTCGACCGATGGAACCAGCGTAACAAAAAAACGCACCAGCACCCGTGGAAAATACATACACCCCTACTGCCAGGTCGAGATGCATCCCGCGCTCAACATTGGGCAGACAACGCAGTTCCTCGAAGAGAAGTCCCAAGATTTCTGCAGAAGACTTGCATTTACCTTTGTTTTGCAACAGGGTGACTGCGATTTTCTGGCCGTACCCAGATATTGAAGTGGCTGATAAGACAAACGAGTTGGGAATGCGAAAATTCAGGATGCTTGGATGCTTACCGGCAACACCTAGCCAGTGGCCAAATGAAAGGTGGCGTGCCCACGCTTTGATAGTCCCGCTCGAGGGGAGTGTGTTGCTACCGTTGGACTGTGAAACAGGAGTGAGAGCGGCATGTAGTTCTTTCAATGATGCAATTATTGAGTCGGAAAGGCTGTCATTATCATCAGAGGATTTTTTTTTTCGAATGACGACAGAACATACCTAGAAACCGAAAAGTCTTGTGTGAGACGCTCAACCAGTTGGAGCACGCATAACTGGGGAAGGCTATCTTCCTGAAGGGAACCAGACTGCGCGAGGGTGCAGAAGATAGAGGCACATGCGGCTGAAGCGGAAGGGTCTTTATCTGATGCTCGTAGGAGTGCACTACCCAGGAGTCAGCAGTTTACAGAAATGCAGGGGGAAGACATACACAATATAGAGCTCCGCAAGATTTATCGTGGCCTCTCTCAGGACTGCATTATCTGGAATCTCTATGCTCATAAGGTGCTTCACGTAGTCGCTTGCGCTCTACATGCGCACGTTAGAAAGAACTAAAGAAAGGGCATGTATACATACTTCATGATCTGACATGTTCAAATACCCAAGTTGCCCCATCCGTTGAAGGAACACGCGGATATGAGTGAGTGTCAACCGCGCTTTTTCTAGGTCACTCCCTTGGTCACGCTTACGCTTTCCCTTCGCTGTCTTCTCTCCGGTAGTCGCATGCAACGAGGAAATAGTGACATCGCCCTCCATCGCCCGGCGCACGAGCTCCACGCGAGCCTGTTTAGTGAGGTACTCATGGGGAACATATAACAAAAGGCAGTAAGTACTGCTGAGTTGATCGAACGCAGAACCTTTCAAAGAGGCAGGCGATGATGTGAGGTATGCAAGGACGGAAGCTGTCGCCGTTAAGTAGTAAGCATCAGATTATTAAGTAGAAAAAGGAAAGCACAACGAGGGATCAGCGTAGGGGGATGATCTCACCTCGTATATTTCCCATTTCCCAGAACTGTGCATTGTGTAAAACGCCCCAGAGGACGTCTTTTGGCTGCAAGCCCTGCACGTCTGCCAGACGGGTAGACGAGGGCGAAATAGAGAAGATTAACTTGATCAGGCGGTCGAGGGAGGATTTAGACGCTTGGGCGCTGAATGATGGAGGTGTACATCAGAACCACCACTAATGAGGCAGTAAAGAGGAAACACGTACTCTACGAGATCCAACCACCGCTCGACGATTAGGTAGAGTACCATCAACCCGCTCGTGCTTTGCGGATTTTGTTCTTGCGCCTCGGCATACGCAAGGGCAACGTCAAGTACAGTCTCGGCTTCTACATGCGTTTCCGATCTGGAAGACCACGCAAAGAGAAATCGCAGCTAAAACAGAAAAACCTATCAGTCAGGCCTTCCGACCAAAGAGAGGAAGAATACACACAATTTCAAGCACCAGCTCACCCTCTACACCCTCTTCAATTTTAACAACCTCCAATAGCCGCCGCAAATCTTCTTGTTCTGCAACGCACTTCCAAGCCGGCAGATGATACGCAAAACGAAGAAGTGCAGCACCTGTCACTTGGTCTGCCCAAGATATTTTTGAAGTCCTGTTGCAAAGAAGCAAGCAAGAGGCCTCGATGGCCCATACACCCACTTCACGTACTGCATCATGAACCTCGGCGGTAATGAAAGAAGATGGGAGGTTCGACAGAAACAGAGCCACGAATTTAAGAGTGAGGGAAAGGGAAAGTGCATGTACATCTAGTTCCCGCATGTTCTGTGTGGGTGCCGAACTCGCAGGCAATGGGGCGGTTTCGCTTTTCCGCCGCTTTTTACGCGGCCTGTCTTCCATTTCGCTGATTTTGATGAGCGAGGAGAGATTTTGGTAGGTATTGAAGGTGTTTTTGAGAGTCAAGGTAATTTGTGTTGCCTCTTTTACTTGGGTAGGCGTGAGGAATGTGCGGAGTGCTTGTGCGAGCGAGAAGAGATGGGTGTGTGCGAGGGTAGCAGAAGAGTGTGCGCGGCTATAGAGTTCTTGAGGTGATGCAAGAGATCTGATGGAAGGAAGAGAGGTACAGGCGTCAATGAGTGCATGACTGTATGCGTGTAATGTGCGCGTCTTGGAGTGGAAGTCGAGGAGGAGGTTAAGAAGCGCGTTGGCTGATTTGTGTATGGAGGGAGAGGAGCAAGTCTGGAGAAACGGTCGTCAGGAATGGTGAAAGGATTGATTTGACAGAAAAAGACGGACGAAGGGGCAAAGCTCACCAAGATCAAGCGAGGAAGTATCCTTCCTACCACAGGCTCAATCACATCATAGTCTATCCTCGCAAGCACAGCCAACACGTCCAAAGCCAGGCGTACCACCTCTTCTTCTGCTTCTCCTTCCAATACCAGCACTGCATCCTCCCTCACCAAATCCACCTCCCCCTCTTGCACACCCTGACTCGCGTAAATGCGCTCATTCTCAATAATACTGATCAGACCCACTCTCGCTTCCCAGCTCTGAGCGTTCCAGGCTAATAGCTTGAGGCAAGAGGCGAAGAATGCCACGGAAGTCATTCTCATGTCATTTTCACGGTTTTGTATTTTATTTTGTGAAGCGGGGAACAGAGCGGTGCGGTATCGCCGCAAAAAGTGCGTATGAGTAGTGAAGAGACGGGGAAGAAGTGGTATGGCGGCATTTGTTGTGGAAGGTGAATTGGGCGAAGATAGTGCCGTGAATAGGCTCTCAGATGAGGGTGATGCACGAAGCGCATCAAGAGATAATATTGTCTCTGTTCCTGCGACGTATACCGCTTCGGTCAGCTGTGGAGACAGATGGGATGATGGCGAAATTGCACGAAGCCAGGACGAGAGATGGGTTTGGAGGAAGGTCGCGTGTAGCTATACAAACGTCTTAGGTTGCCCTCGCCGCATATAAAAAATGATGTTGCGCACCTTCTTCTTGTTCCCGGCATTTCCTAGTGCTTCTCTATATGAAGATACAACTGCCTCACACATACCTTCCAGAGCCTCATTTCTAACTAGCTCAGCAGAAACATCTAGTACAATTCCAAAGCACTCTAGAAGCGTCTCCACGCCAATTTTATGGACGCTTAATGGCCATAGGACAGAGAAGCATGGCCGCACGAGCACAAGGAGCCCTTTTGCCTCTGCAACCGGCAGATCCCTCAGCAGAGTGAGGATCGAGATGATGATTGGAGCGAGCGGTGTTCGATTGAGAAGAGAACCAAGCCAGACTTTGAGGCCTCGTGCACCTACCCCTACGCTTCCATCCAAAACCTTGCGAAGAAGGCACCAGTACTGCACATCGATTATAGGGTTCTCGCTGATTCATCGGTTATGAAAACACACGACTGCACCCTGCGTAACCTAAACGCACCTGGTTTTTGACTTGTCTTTGAGCAGTCGCGTGAGTATGAACTCGGCGATGAGCTCATGCTTGTTTGGGATGTGAAGGGTGGTGTCATCCCATGCTGCACAAGCGATTTGGATTTTTGTTGGGCTTTCTGGGTTGGGTGGGTCTGTGGGCGCTTTTAGGAGCCGGACAAACGACTGGGCGGACAAGGGAGTAGTCATCGATCTAGTCCATGCGTCCAGTGTACGCGATGGATGAAAAGTTATACATCTCACGTGATGTCATGAAGCTTATGACTTTCAAGTTGGACGCAATTGATTGCACATACTGATTAAACGATATCTGTCATATGTCAATAATCGGATTTATCTAGAAGAATTATAAGTTGTACCAGAGAGCGCGTTAATATTTAATGTCGTTGCATGTCGTAGTCTGGACAATTTACACCCCCCCAGGGAGGGGTCGGTATTAATCAATATTTGGAACGCGCGCTCCAGGCATTGTCATCATCTAATTTCAACCACACCTCTCTTTACTAGTACTACTCACCATGTCCGCCCAGAGCATAGCTCGATGGAACGCAATTCCAATGTATCGGCCTGATACAGACAAGCAAGAACAAGTACAATCTGTACAAAACCAAACTATTTCCATGAAGGTACTCTGCCATATTTTCTGGCACGAATAAAACACCCCTACTGCCCTCCCCTACCTCCATCCCAGCGCTCTCACCAAGGTATTGATGATGGTGACGATGACGACGATGTCTCGCTCGTCTCAAGATCGCCCTCGCCTGCACCCGATGCAATGGACATTGAAAAATACGACGAATATGTCCGCGGTCCAGAAAGGGAGGTCATCACCGTCGAGACCAAGATCAAAAGCACCAACAAGGGCTTTGCAATGCTCGCAAAATTCGGTTGGTTAGAGGGTCAGCCTTTGGGACTATCTGCAGACGGTAGGTGTGATAATTTCTGTTGGGAACCTGCGTCACCAATGATTTGCTGCAGCTCGCGTCGATCCCATACCATTTCATGTAAAAAATGATTTGACTGGACTTGGAAAGACGACTCAGGATTTTCGAATGATCGAGACAACAGTTGCCGAAAGGCGCAAGTTGGACTCCGAGCGACAACGAAAAGAAACCGAAGATCAACGAAAAGCACGAGAGGCGAGCTCGATCGTACCCAACGATGTTGATGAGCATACTGATCTTGTCCCAGGACAATGCTGCCCGTCGGGCTGCACTCAAATCGGAAATTACGGATACGCTCAAAGCGTTCTACTGCTCGCTCTGTGAGAAGCAATTCCAAAATGTCGCACAGTATGACGAGCATACAAACTCGTACGCACATCACCACAAGGCGCGCCTCCGCGATATGCAAGCCAATACACGTATAACATCCCAGGAAGACGTCGATAAACGGAAGGAGAAGGAGCGCAAGCGAGAAGAAAAGGAACTTCGCAAAATTGCCAAGGCTGCTGGGATCAAGATGGCAAAGCCTCCAATTGCACCAACTACCGTGGCTCCACCGGCACCTGCTGCAGAGGCATCACTTCCCTCTGAGGCGCAATCAAACAGCTTCAAGAAAGCTGGCTGGGCAACCGTTTCAACAGCAGTTGAGCCTGCCACTGGTTTCAAACGGTCAGGTTGGGCATCAATGGATTCTGGTGCATCCTCTGCGCCTTCCGCACCACTGCCACCGCCCCCACCACCGCTAGTGTCTAGTCCGCCTCCAGCTGCTCGCAGCGCAGCGGGTGCTTCACCAATTTTCCGTACCGGTGGCTGGACATCTCTTGACGTCGGCAGCTCTCAGTCAGTCACTTCGCCTCTCATGAACACTGCACCCCCACCGCCACCCAATGTAGCCCCGCCTCCACCCCCAGGTCCTCCTATGAATGCACCCCCTCCGGGAGGTCCGCCTCCATTCCCGCCAGCAAATGCGCGTCCACCTAGTGTACCACTTCCTCCGCCCAGTGCGCCACCTCCCTTTCCTCCTACAACAGGCGGCTGGGGAACTCTATCAGATTCTCGGAGATGGGATCAGAATTTCACTTCGGCACCGAAGTTCTCCCAACCCCCTCCAGTGCCCCCGCCCAGTGCGCCACCTCCTACAACAGGTGGCTGGGGCTCTGCTGCGCTTGTATCAGATACTCGGAGATGGGACCAAAGCTTCGCTCCTGCACCGACGTTCTCTCAACCTTCGCCTCCTGCGGCAGCTGCTCCGCCCACAGCCAGTCTAAAGGCTGCGGTTCCCCAGCTTGCTGCTCCTCAAGCAAAAACAGGTTGGCAGCAATGGAAGCAAGGCACTGGGTCGAAACGCAGATAGACTACATGTTTATATGTTAGTGTCGTTTTATGCCAATCGTGCTCTCATCGCTCTACGTGGCCTGACAAGAATTATCGGAGATAGATTACATACATCTGATTATGCTTTCGTTGCTCTATGTGGCCTGATAACAATATTTGAGCAGACTTGGTCTGCAATTGAGGCGACCATCAGTCGACGACTAGAATTAACAACTAACTACATTGCTGTTCTTTAATTTTGGTGGTGTATGTATGTACGTTTGCTTGCGGGAGAGCGAAGAGACGAAGACGAGCAAAAATTCTGAAGGTTATAAAGATCAAGAGGGACAGTCGCAATTAAAAGAGGACAATAAGCGGAGATCTACCAACGCCAGACGAAGCCGCGCAAGAAATGTCGAATGGCACAACCACATACAACAAGCGACATCGCAGGGGCAGAAAAGAGAAGTTACTCCGACTCGCTGCCCGAAGCTGTCGTCTGAAGAAGAGTCCGATGAATGATCGCTATCGTTCTGGCGAGCTAGCGTAGGTGCGGCGTTGGAAACTGATGCAGCGGGGTCCTCGAACAGGCGCATCCGCTCCTCCAGTTTGCGGATCTTCTCGGCTTCAGCAGTCTCGTCCATGCTCTTCCGTTTGAGGCCACCGGTCCCCGTGCCCTTGCCAGTTCGATTGCGTTTCTGCGTTGGCTGCCGCAGAGGTCGAAGCACAAAGTTGTACAGCTTTGTGAGAACGTGTGGTGGTAGTATGTCGATCTCGAGTTCGATCTCCTCAGTGCTCTGCTCAACATGATATCAGGATGATAACGCAACCTTCAAACAAAAATAACTTACATCACGGATTTCAGGGACACCCTCATGGATGATTTGAATGACCTTCTCAAGCTTAACCCCATCGAGACTGGTGATGGCCTCGCTCAAGTCCTTCTTCTGCTCAAAGGATAGAACGTCGTCCTCGCCCACGGGCTTCTTTGTGGCCTTACGCTTGTTCCCGTTGGTCGCAGGTGCTGCCTTGGGTGCGCGTGATGCTGCAGCCTTGGAGGTAGAAGCGACGGGAGCCTTCTCTTTCTTTTCCTTTTTCTTCTTCTCCTTGGCCGGCTTAGCCTTCAAAGCCATGAGATTACCGCGCATCGACTCGATTTGAGCCTCCATGTTGGCGATCCTGCCTGTGTATATACAGTACATCAGTAAGCGGACACACTGGATGTACGAGGTCCACCCACGGTTACGGTCCTCCTCTGACTCTTCATCCTCATACTCTTCCTCCTCCTCATCACTTGCTTCCCGAAGGGGTGGCAGATTCCTCCACTTCTCATCAAACAACCGCTGCAACTCGATTCCTGCTTGATTGACGGGTGTCCCAGCAGGATTGAACGTGAAGCAGTTCCGAATCATGAGTTTGAAATCATCAAAGAACCTGGACGCATTGGGGTACTCTCCACCCTCGAGCTTCTTCCTCATGGTCGACATGTCCATGGGCTTCTTGATGACCTTGTAATATGTCGGGATATCAAGCTTAACCGCATCTGGGAGATTTCATGTGAGATCCGATCCGATTGTAAGGGATTGCTTTCGGACATACCGACAGGCTCGTAGAACGGAGACGCGATCGTCGCGTGCTGCTTTCGCTGCAGATCAATCAAGATCTTGCCGCAATACTTGAGCTGCTCCGCTGTACCATCATCCTTTGGAACCTTTGCCTTGCGCATCTTTTTCGGCACGTCGGCATAGGGCAAGTCTTTCGGAGGTGGTGGATGAATTTCACGTTTCGGCCGTGCAGATGCCTGCTCGGCCTCATTACGCCGGATGACAGGAACCGAGGTGGAAGGACGGCGGACAGGTGCTGCTGCGGCTTTCTTGGAAGGAGCTGGGGGTGGTGGGGGAGGAGGCGTTGCAACTTTCTTGATCACAGGAGGCTTCGGCTACAATAATGAGTCGCGCACGCGGCAATCATGAAAAGGTGACATACCTCGGCTGGAGGTGGAAGCTGCTTTATCTGCTTATCAAAGACAGACTCGATATGTTTCCCTGCCTGAGATATCACATGGTCCGGGCCATTAAACGTGATGCAATTACTGAACACCAGCCGCACGTCGGAGACGAACTCCTCAGCGCTGTAATAGCGTTGACTGTTGGGACTGGGATCGGGCTTGGCGGGATTAGATGCATTGAGCTTGCGCTCAATGGTACCAAAGTCCATCGGGTTCTTAATGATGCTCGGGTAATGGGGAATATTGAGAGCAACAGAATCGACAGGATGCAAGAATGCGGAAGCGTCCTTGAGTTTCTTGAGCGAGCGTATTGTCGACAAACAGAATCTGTGTTGCACAGGGCTGAGTGTCGATATACCGGTACCCACAGGTGTTGGCACTGGGGTTGGACTCGATACGATGGTGTCGCCATTAGTTTGCACAGATGACGCTGTAATGGGAGGGGGAGAGCCAGTCTTCAGGGTTGGAAGGGAGTTAGCACGCCTGTACAGGCGCACGAGGACAAAGGGACTTACATTGGCGATAGATGCTTGATCGGCGTCCGAATACTTGCGCGCGCGCTTAGCTGGGGGCGGTCTAGCTTCATCATCGTCATCGACGGGGTCAGAGCGCTGTTGAGGAGAATCGAAGTTGGAAGTAGCACGTGATGTTGGTGGGCCAGCCGAGTCCACAGCAGCTAGCGAAGAGAGACGCGGGATGTCATTTGGGTGGCCATTGGTAGTAGGAGACTGCTCCATTTGAACGTCTCCATCAGCATCAGTCAAGTGTACGCCATTGACGCCATTGGTTGTTGGTGGGTCGTCTGAGTCATCAACTGTTGTCTCCTCCTCTGCCATCTTTACATCCTCCAACAATTGGCCTTCCTGTGGTGGTGGTGTTCCGCTCGGAGGATGAATAGGGATGGAAGCTGGTTCGATAAGAACAAAGGAAATATAAAATGATAATATAAAATTACTAACCTGGATCAAGAGGAGTTGAAATTTCTACGCAAGTTGAAAGAGAGTCAGACTTTGGATTATCGTTTGGAATCATATGATCAAGTTTAAGGTCTTAATACATTTGAAAGTTAGCTTATGATAAAGTATAATTAAGTAAGGGATCGCGTGCACCGTTGACAACGTTGTCGCCATTGAGAATCGTAGTTTGTTGTTGTTCGTTGGTCGCGCTGTGCTCTGTCGCGTTCATGGGTGGCGCGTGACTAATGCGTCACACAGCGTGACGTTTTCAGAGGAGGGAGATTTTGGATTTGGGGGAATCGGAAGACACCCATTGGGTCTTTATAGGCGAACGGAATTAAGGTTTGACCTGCGCAGGGGCCACTAAAAATTACTCACACCTCATATCTCACACAACGAAACATTTCTCAAATAAATCCCTTCTCTACTATGCACAACTCCATAAAAATTATCTTCAACTTTCTTCTTCTCCTTCCTCGTCCTCTGAGACGTTGGCGAAAACAGGTTTGGGCTGGTTTTGTCGCCATGCTGTTAAAATCAAAAACAACGCCACGTCAGCGAGCCGATCAAAATAAATACTCCAAAACACTTCTTTTCACACTCCGCTACGGCCCCTCCCAGTTGCCGCAACCCCTCCCCCTCCGCAGTGCAGACCGTCCGTACAACATGTTGCTCACCTGAAGTCCATTGAGGGTCCGCCTCCGCCATCTTCGCATACTTCAACAAGGCCTCTCGTGGCTACAGTCGTCAGAAAAAAGGACAAACAGTTAGCCCCCTTGGAAACCATCAAACAAAAAAGATAGAAGAAAGCACGTGATTGTGACACCAGCCGCAGCCCGTCCGCGAGAACATCCTTCTGTGAAGCGATGTAACCACTCACATCTTCGTCGCGGGTCGTATCCCGCACCAGATTCTGCACAACGTGTTGCGTTGCGCTCGCACCCACACGTCCTCCCCGACCAGGTCCTGTCACAGGCAGCTCCGGCCTCCTGCTCTTCCTCGGGTCCATCCGGTCCTTTTCCCGCTTCCTTTTCATCCCCTTCACTAACCCCTCTCCATCTTTGAACATCGGTAATGCATGCGGCGTCAGGATTGTTGGTGCAGCGAGTGCGTCCGACAAATCCTCCACCGTCGGTCGCTTCGGTGCTCCCTTCGACAGCAACAGCTTGGCACCATTCAACGACGTCTTCGGCGAATACAGTACTGAAATCGTGCCGTTGGCTAGACCCGCAATAATCTGATTTATCTTGGAATGCCAGACCACCTTGACTGGTGTCGTGTCCATGTCGATTTCCTTCACAGTACTAAGACTCTCTCGGTTAAGCAATATTAGTTTGCCTCGTCCACCCTTTGCCGACGCTCCTGTTCCGGTTAGAATATACTTTTCGTCAGGGCTGAATACAGCATTCGTGCCAGGGTATAATGTCGTAGCTCCTGAATGTGATGCGAGCGGTCTTTTAAACGCCCGTAAATCCCACACTGTTCCTAGCGTCAGCCAAGTAGATCAATAAGCCTAGATTTGGACGTACGCTTAACAGTGTCGTCCCCTCCTCTCGTCAGCACCGTTCTCCCATCAACGGAAAATACCAGCGATCCAACATCTGTGCCTTTCGTATGTGCGCCCTCAATGGTCATGTTTGGCCTCACAAAATTGGATGACGCCTGCCACATGTGCAGTGCGCCGTCAAGGCATGCTGAGAACCATCATTACTATGCATCACGATCAACGCGGGCCTGACTAGACATACCTCCTCCAACGAGTGTTCCGTCGGTAGAGTAAGCGCACGTCGTCACTTTAGTCCGCGCGCCACGTTCCTTGGATTTGACAACGATAACGGATTTCTGTTTCCGTTTGTTCTCGACATCCCATATTCTATTCCGTAACATTAGAAGGTGTTCGCTGATAGTAGCGTGAGAGCTTGCCTAATGGTCGAGTCTGCCGAGCTCGTGATGAAATACTGCTTATCCTTCGGATGCCATGCACAACTTGACAGTTCTCCTACATGTCCGCTACAACATATATGGGGTAAGCGAGCATTCACACAAGTGACGTGGAACGGGGCGTACGCAGTGTGCTTCATGTCTCTGATATACATATCACCCTTGACGAACGTTGCTCTAAGGTCATTCAAGCTATTCTGTTCTGCAACAAGATAGATTAAACTTACTTCTCCTCGCCCTCTCGATCAAAGAGCTTGGCTTGAAGCGTTCCTGAAATTACGAGGAACTGCTGACCATCGTTGGAGTACTTGAGGTCGTGAACCTGACTTCGGGCATCAACAACATCCTCCTCGCAAAACCAAACCACATACATAGTAACTGCCTGCAGGCTCCCACGTCTTGAAGGACCTCGTTTGCGTCGTCATTCCACCAAAATCCCACAATTTACAATCATAGTCATGCGAACCGCTCAAAACACGTGCACCGCTTGGATCCAGGGTAAGTGCGGAAATCACCTTGGTGTGCTCTTTGAGCGTTGCCTCGTGTGTGATCGGGAACTCGAGTCCCGATAGTGAAGGAGCGCTGGGGTCGTATTCGGGCTCGTCAACGGAAGAATCAGCATCATCGTCTTCGTTGTCGTCGTCGCCTACGCCATCAGCATTGTGTTTGAAAAAGCCTACTGGTGGGAGGGGAGGTCCGGGGTCATCCGAGTCCTCGTCAGATGGAGACGGCGCCCGAGTAGACGATTTACTAGGCCCTGATTCTGGGATTAAGGGCTTCACCTCTACTTTTGGCTGGATGGAATATATTAGAGCACAACCTGGCAGCCGAAAAAATATGAGACTGACCACTGCCTCCTCCCGTTTCGATTTGTCAAACCTGTTGGGATCAAGCTCGCGCTTTTTGGTAGCTTTCCCGAATCCAGCAATGCCCATAGCAGAAAACACGTCCATGTCGGTCATTTCGCACAGAGCTGGTAGTCGGTGTTGATCTGTATAAGTAGAGCCTGGTTTATGCGCGTGGAGCCGCGCAAAGATTGCAGCCACAACCTAAATTACTCTTACAAACAGCCTGAAATGGAAACATCGCCTAACAAGTCTTGTGGCATTTTATGAACGTAGGCCCATCTCAAGCTTGTCTTTCAACCACGTTCTGACCAGGTAACACAAAGTATGCTTAAAAGGCAGCGTCCCCCAACGCCCCCACCGTCGTTGGACGAAATCCCATCGTTGACGCCATGTCCCGATAGACCTATCAGACCCCTACCACACCGTGAACCTCTGGACCTGTCTTCACATGAGTCGCGTGCTAAAAGACGCAGAATACACCCTCCAGTGCTAGACGGTGCACAGAGAGGCTGGGGAAAACCACATGTTTCGTCAACCCCCGTCGTAGATGACAGCGATGGCGAAGAAGATTGGATAGATGGGGAGGATGACGCGGCAGCCGCTCACGCCCACCCTCACTTCGTCACATCAACGGATTACAAGCGCACCAACACTATCCTACAAGAAGTGCATGCTCTACACCAGCACAGGCTCATGTTCTCCCAACCGAATTCACAATCGTCGCCACACCTACATCTGCCTTCACACCCGGGCTTCTCAGAACCTCCATCATCCATGGCCACCCATCCACACCAATTTTTGCAATCTACTCATGGACTTTGCTATCCTTCTTTTTCCTCCAATGGAAAGTTATCGATACCAGCACTGCCTGAATGCCCTCTGCCTGAATTCTATTCCCATCTTGCACATGCGGCCCCGGCTTCTACTGAATCGGCTGCGCACAACCCATTGGATTTTCACGAAGTCAAATGTGTACGAGAACGGTATGAGGATACTAATAAGTACGACTCGTGTCTCCTCTTCTTTGTCTGTGACGTTTCTCACAGAACCCCAAAGATTATTGGGATCATTATTCCTCTCGCGAAGAAGGGAACTCCAGGATGGTAATTTCAGTACTCCTCTCATCGCGGAGGAAGGACGCAGTGACCACCGGAACTTACCATGAGATTGAACGTTCAGATCAGGTGCTGTGGACATAGACCTACCATAGACCCGTCGTGATCGGCACTCTTGATCCCATCATCGTTCAGTCCGTTATCACAGACGCCTTTTTCATGAATATTGCTCGCTTAGCATCCTACTTTATTTGGCATATTCGCATCCTTCCATATATTCGCATCCTTGGCATATTGTTTTTACAACACCATCACATACTGTACTACTGTGAATTACATCGCAATTTGGGACATCGGGCACTTCGCAATCAAACCGCAGCTTTCAAAAGATGGAGGAAACACTACCCGTTATGTGTAGCAATAAAGAAGAACTCAGCGATAATTTATGGAACCGATATGCAACAGATCTCCCCCTGTATCTCGTAGACACACCCTCTGTGAAAGAGCGGAGGCGATATTTGAACGTTCATGAACGATTCGAACGGGATTAAATGTCAATCTATGGAGCCTATTCGCAAAGCATCCGTAACAAATCTTACTCCTGTATCTGCATAGATACACCCTCTAGATGCAGAGAGACCTGCGTTCGGAGCATATCCGTTAGCTCTCCACCCAACAGCTGTCCAAGTCCCATTCCGTCTCGCGCGTATCGCCAGTCGTCTAATTGCGGCACGTAATCATAACGCTTTGGGCCACTAGCAAATTCGCATTTGATGAGTGGGCGTTCATCAGTATTCCAAAATCAGGCATGCGAAGGAAAGAAGTGTATCAGTGTGAAATATCACCGGTCATGTAGAAGTCGACCCACCTCAGTGGGGAAGACAGCCATATTTGCTTGTTAGGCGGCTGCTTGTTGATCACGTATGTCCCGTGTGTGCCTAGGTTGAGCGTCAGGACGCCGCTCTGCAGAAGAAGCAAGTCGTGAGTAATGCTCCGACTACGGGAGCCAGAAGGCGTAGAACTTCAGTATTTTTGGGCATACTTACATGATAGTCTACTTCATACGTGTCATTCCCTACAGCATCCAGCAAGTCCTCGAGCCGTTCGAGTAGGGTGGTCATGGTCGCGTCCGAAAGTGCGTGGTACCGTTCAATAGATAGATCACTGCATGCAGTAAAGGAAAATAATTGACCATCTTGAGTAAGAGCGAGAAAGCGAGGCGGTAGGGGCGGACCTGACATTGACCATTGGTGCAGGGGTGCTCAATGTCCGTCTGCACGTGTAAGGGTGCATCGCTGGCGGAACCCGCGTTTTCAATGGGACGTGTCCTGTTAGTGAAAAAATTCTATTTGCGGCGGCATTTTGCCAACGCAGGTTCGTATTTTTTGGAACGCGGCGAAGGAGGTTGCGGGGAAACATGAAGCAGCACGGTCTAACCGTGGGAACGACTTCGATCAAGAAGGTCGAGCAGGTCAAATCACGAGACAAGCACGCGCACGAAACTGCAATGAAGTATTGTCTACGCTTCTGAAATTCATGCAGGGTTCTCAAACTCGTTACAACCGGTAAACAAGAGAAGATGTTCTCGAGGGCTGTACTATGCGTGTTATATCATTAAAAAAATTGCGAGGAAGTACATCAAGCTGTGGATCCCTTGCCTACTTCTCGTGACGTCCAATCTAGCCACGACCCTTCATAATTAAGAATGCTAGAGAAATGCAAACACACGTTGTATCAAAGCACAGCACGGATTGGTCAGTTTGCGATTAACTTACTTCTCGTATCCATTTCTCCGTGCGATATCGCACGCACTAGCACTCCTCTTTCCACTGCGGCAGTAGAACACGACTTCTTGTTGCTTTCCTGGCTTCTCGAAACCATGCTGTGCCTTGAAGGCTTGGGGCGCGAGGTGGAACGAGTTAGCCAGTACCGAAAGTGGCAGATTCACAGAGGACGGAATAGAGCCTTGCATAACCTCGTCTGGTTCACGCACGTCAATCAGATAGGCGTCCTACGAAAGACAGGTGGGTAAGGACAGAAACAACGTGGGAGCACGACGTACTGTACTAGGACTAAGGGTCTTGGGCTTGACTTGCTCGTATGTAAGCACGGGACCTTGCCAGTCCTTCTGGAGCTTGTCCTTGGCCTTACGAGCAGCTTTCAGAGCGTCATTAGCTTTGCTCGACTCGTACCGTGCGAAGACCTGATATGTTGGTCTCGCAACTGGACGTGTGAACAGCGTGGGGCGTGCTGCACAGCGGGTGGTATTGAAAAGTGCGGTTCGTAGCATCCTTGATTCCTATATGGCGTCCTGTGTGTGCAAGTACTGAGCAAATATATGTTTGTCAAGACATTCCAAGCTTACCAACCTCCGTGAGCCAGCTTTGCGTGATGGCAGTGATGAATTAGGAAGATAGTCACGTGGCTAATAAGCTGTTTTTGCTATTGGTCGTCGCAGAAATGCCGCAATCTTTCTGTTCTCTCCCCCGCCAACACATCTCCCTTCATGCTCATCTTCCATCTTACCTTTCATTGCTAGTACCTTTCTGTTCGTCGTAGCATGCGGTCACAATATTCGAAATGGTACTCGACATTTTTTAGTCGCTTCAGATGCCTGTATATTCCTAGGAGCGAGCTGGCACTCAACGTAACCACCAGCATCGCGGTTTTTTCATCGACATGTCGCAGCACAAGCGGGAGTGTTATCCTCAACAAGCTTGTACTGTGACATGCCATCGCCTCGCATCTCTTCTCATCGGTCGTCTCGTGGGCTCGATATTCTTCCAGTCACCTTTTCCAACCGGGTGCCTTGTCCTTACGTCTCCGCCTCCCAGGGTTAAGTACTATGGATCCCGCCGAAAGGATCTACATACATGTTGTCTTCTCTCTCGATATTCCACCCAAGGCTCTGAGTATTGCTCACTCTTTTGATATCGCACCCAGTTGCCCAAGTACTGTGAGAACATTTTTCCATTCCAGGTGCCCAGTGCTCATCATTTGTAGTCATGGACAACGTCAGTTGGTTCAACACTTTTGTCCTTCGCATGCTTTAACGAACAGGCTGCCCTGATTGTACGGCCGATATCCCGCCGATCGGACGAACCATAACCAGGCCGGTTCATATCAGCCCAGCTCTTTTCCCCGAGTACGTTCACGCGGCAATGGGTATTGGCGTGCGAGTGTTGTTCTCCGAATCTGATTCACCGTTGACGCGACACTGCCATTTATTGATCGTCATATATCTTTCTGTCAATGCAAGCCGCGATTTGTCGCTTCTTTAATGTTGGGTATACGATTCCCTTTCCACCCCAGCGACTTTTTTCTACATGGCAGCAGATCTAGCAATGGCACTTCGCACGGAACAAAGTTATAGCAAGACAAGTATCGCTATTCAGCTCCCGGAGATGACAAACAACGGAAACTTCTTACCAATGTGGCTTGCTGTGCGAAACAATTTCAGGGGTACCCGATGCCAAGTCTCGGCAATACCCGAAAATTCATCCATCACTTTTCACATTGCGATTCGTACCTCTTCGTTTCATCGTTTCCGCGATGGATATGAACTCTACAAGCGACACCATGATGACTATGATGACACCCTGGTTACATTTTAGCGGTGGAGACTATTTGATCTTCAAGGCTTGGCAACCCGAGTCGAAAGGTTCAATCGCCGGCGCTTGTATCGGGCTAGTCGTGTTCTGTGTTCTTGACCGTTGGATTGCGGCCCTACGGCGTCAAATGGAGATTCAGTGGGGGTCGAGGTTAGCTGGGCCCAAAACGTGACATGGTCAAGGCTCATTCTCTGTTTAGGTCGCTTGCGATAAACTTGAAAGAGCCAAGTGACAACGATGTTGACGATAAAGCCCAAGACGTTATCGCTTCTGATCAAATAGATGTGATGGAGAGAGCCTCTCGTCAAACCGCCCCAGTCGCAGTCCGCAGCCGCCCGAGACTCGTGCCTCCCTTCATCCCCATGCACGATATCCCGCGGGGGATATTTCAAGGTGTTCAGTCGCTCTTTTCATATGTCTTGATGTTGGCTGTCATGTAAGTCCTGCAATGCATGCCATCATGGGGAGTTTAACTTACCGAACACAGGACGTTTAATGCATCATATGTTATATCCATCATTTTGGGTCTTGCCATAGGCGAAGTTCTATTCGGGCGGATCGGTCGCTTGCATGGAGGTCGAGTTTGAAATTTGATCCGTGTTAAAGCATGCATCCTACCTCACCAACATCGTATTGCTCTGCCCTTGATGATTATCTTGTTGGATTTCGCTATCGCGTAGGTGGCTTTGTGGTTGTCTATTATATGTTACTCTTAGATACTTCTCAAGATACCATTATTGTACATCTGATAACAATCCAAATCTGCCACCAACCTATGCAATCCGTACTATTACAGTGGTGCCTGTTCTATGTTCCACGGTAACTCGTATGCTCTCATATGATTATGCGACCCAGTCGGACTTGCAGTGGTATTTCCATCAGTCATATGCATCATCATGCATGTGTCATATCGAGCTGCTGGTTTGGCTCGCTCTGTTCCCGTTTGCGATCTCAACTTGCCCAAGAAGCCACGTCTGCAAACAAGAGCAAAGAGATGAGAAAAACTTTTTCGTGCCTCACAAGGTCGCTAGCGTACTTTCAACCTCTTAAATACGAAGGAAAGTAGGAGCAGCTCTTGAATTCTTCCTTGCGAGTCTCTCATCCTCACAATGATCTTCTCCTCCATTGCTCTCGTTGCTTTTATTTCCACAGCTGTACAAGCCCACTTCCAGCTTCAATATCCTATCCCGCGTGGTCCTTTCGTCCAAGACTCTGAACCAACGTTCTGTGGTGAGTGAAAATTAATCTAGGTGCCTAGTGTAGATGCTCAATGTATTTTACGTAGATGGTTACACCAACGCCGTGGACAACCGTACCGTATTTCCCCTCAGTAACGGGGTCATCAACATGAACAGCGAGCATCCGTTATGGTCGGGTACGTCAAAGAAAACTTAGTTTACCTTCTTTACAGAAGCTGATCATTTGTAATGCACAGCGGGAGTCATAGTTTCGACGTACCAAAACCCGATTAACTTCAGCGATTTTAACTCTAGCTCTGGTTATCAGTTGGCAGTTCAATTTTTCCAGCAGAGCGGGGAGGGAGATTATTGCTTCCCTATTGATCTCGCGACTTCAAACATTGCCGGAGTCAAAGACGGCGCAAACGTCACCATTCAGATTGTCTTTGATGGTGGCGACGGCACTCTCTACCAGGTAGGCAAGGCCCCTTCCGTGACTATGATTATTATAATGACGATGATAGTGTGCGGACTTGACTCTATCTGCCAACGTGACGACGCCGACCGGTACCACGTCTGATTGTACAAACGTGACTTCATCATCGTCCACTGCGACTACGACTGCGACTTCCCCATCTTCTACAAGTTCCGGCAGTGCCAGTAAAGGGGTAGAAGTTGGATCGGGAGTCATTGCAGGAGTATTCAGCATGCTGATGCTACTCTCCGCCGTATGAACGAAATAGGTAGACAATATGCTGTCTCAGTCTTTTGTTATCCATTAGTAAACGAACTTGAAGTGTGGTCACAGAACAGTCAATTAAATCGTAGCGGTGCATACGCACCAAGTCTCCGACTCTGATACTTGCTGACACCGTCCTCCTACCATGCAACACAAGTAATTGAAGCTACATCTAATAAAATATAGTACTGCTCTACAGATAAGTTGAGGCTCAGAGGATTAAGACACCAAGTTGTGCATAGTCTCACAGTGCACAGTAACTGCGTCAAATGTCTCAAGGGATCGGGAAACATCTATCATATGGTATCACTAGCGCGCGGCGAGCATATGCATCAGTAAATCGATGAGCCACCGATATTCCCATATTTTGTACGCCGAAATGCTCTTTCCTGTATATACATGACGTTATAAAACAATATAAAGTAATGTAAAGTAATGTAAAGCAATATATAAGTCTGAACCGAGCGTGAATTGGCGTGATTACATTGCTTTAGATTGCTATATATTACTTTGTATCGTAATACACAGGAAAGAAGCATTGGGCTTACAAAATACTACAAAATCTACTAATATCTAAGTCTCACCGGTTTGCTGATGGCCATCGTCTCGGCCTCGTTCCTCGGCCAGCCGGCATGCTCGCCACGACTGTGAGTCTGTGACGAACTCACATCTGTTCGGAGTCAAAACGAGTCCAACGCCTTTAAGATTTCAGCACGAATCAGGTGGGTTATGCAATGCATTCGCACGCGGCGTGCCCGCAACGATTTTTACAAGGAATTTACGCATTTGCTTCCCACAAAACCCTCCTCCACACTTCGTGGGAGTCGGGGAAGGGTGGACTTTGGCTTAGGTAATGTGACCATGGCTGACTAAGCTACTTCCACCGATAGACGTGTTTTGAGTGGAACCTAGACTAACTAATTCCCTCTCGCCTCTCTTATACACCATCATGTCTGGGCTAGACGATGACTTTGACATCGAGGATCCCATTCAGCAGGGAAACGACGAGGAAACTGAGCAGCAGGCACAGCAAAGGTTGAATGGGAAGTCTCGAGGATCCATTTACGACGCATTAGATGGCGAGGACGAAGAGGAAGAAGAAGATGAGGAGGACGAGGAAGACGAGGAACCTGGACGAGATCGTGGGCGAAAACGCGCAAAGGTCCGTGGCCTTGTTGACCTGCACAGCTGTGGGTATTGATCCACCACAGCACCGGCACAGACGCAATGCTGTGAATCGTTTCCTTGATGTCGAGGCCGAAGTCGATACCGAGGACGAAGAAGAAGAGGAGGAAGATGAGGCAGGAGGAGGTATGAGTAACTTTGTGGGCTCGTTCATCTCCAATACTCACAAATATCCCAGATGAGTTTATTGCTGATATTGGACCAGAGGGCGATGAAGATGATGTGAATAGACGGGCAGCGGTCAATGCACGGCTAGACAGGCGTGAAAGGGAGTTGAATGATCAGGATCTGGCGAAAATTGCGCAGAATCTTCACGAGCGCTATGGTCGAGCAGCAGTGCGGTACACGGGAGACATGAATGAAGTACCACAGCGCCTGCTGATGCCATCCGTACATGACGCAAGCTTGTGGCAAGTTCGAGTGAAAGTGAGTTTCTCAAGGATTTTTCATAATGACTGAAGCTTGAATCATCCACTAGCCCGGTCGCGAACGCGACATCGTCTTCAGTCTCATGAGGAAAGCAATTGATCTCGAGTACACCGCTCAGCCTCTCTCCATCCTATCCGCATTTCAACGCGACTCACTTCCCGGTATGGTATACGTTGAAGCGCGGAGTGCCCAGCAGGTAAACTCAGCTTGCAAGGGTCTTGTCGGCGTATACCCGAGCCGTGGCATCATACTAGTTCCCATTGAGGAAATGGCGAGTTTACTGCAGATCAAGAAGCAAGACCTTACTGTGACACCTGGAAGCTGGGTACGCGTCAAGCGTGGCAAGTACCAAGGCGATCTTGCGCAGGTCATGGACATTACAGAGAACGGCGAGGACGTCGGACTCAAGTTCATTCCGCGTATCGACTTGAACCCACGGGACGATGCCAACGTTGATGGTCGGAAGCGCAAGAAGGCCGGTACTGGCTTGGCGACGATGCGACCGCCACAGCGGTTCTTCAATTACGAGGAAGTCGTCAAGGTGCACGGACGCAAGCAGGTCTCAAAGCGAAACCAGGTTTACGTGTTCCAAAATGACACATACAAAGACGGGTTCATCGAAAAGGACTTCAAGCTCAATGCTCTACAGCTAGACAACGTCAACCCGACACTGGACGAAATCACGAAGTTCAGCCGAGGGCAGGATGGTGGCGACAATGAAAATCCGGTGGATCTGTCGATCATTGCGGAGGCGTCGCGGAAAGCCGCCATTGCTGTGCTGCAGCCAGGTGATCATGTCGAGGTATTCGAGGGCGAGCAGTCTGGTGTCTATGGTGTTGTCGATTCGATCAATCAAGATGTCGTGACTGTTACAGCTATCGGTGTTGATATCGATGGTCAGAAGGTGGATGTTCCTGCGCGTAGCGTGCGAAAACGCTTCAAACCAGGTGACCACGTCAAGGTAATGACTGGTCAGAACGCAGACGAGACGGGTCTTGTTATCTCGGTAACAGACAATGTGGTGACTTTCCTATCAGATATGTCCATGCAGGAGGTGGGTGGAACTTTATTGGTTGTTGTTTCACTGATATTCACATATATTCAGGTTTCCGTGTTCTCCAAAGATCTGCGTGAGGCTGCCGAAGTCGGTTCTGGAACTAACGTTGTCGGCAATTATGAATTGCACGACTTGGTCCAGCTTGAGTAAGTCGATTACCCGGCATCTCGGCATGTATTTATCTGATCACCGGTGTACAGCTTGCAGACTGTCGGTGTCATTTTCAAAACTGAGCGAGACTCCTTCCGTGTTCTTGATCAGAACGGTCAAGTACGGTTGGTGCAACCTCACCAAATATCGATGCGGCGGAACTCCGACCGTGCCATTGCTACGGACTATGAAGGTCATGAGCTCCGTGTACAAGACAATGTCAAGGAAATTGAAGGAGAGGTCAGTCCTTTCTTATGGCCTATAATAACCCCGCAATTTAAAGCTTTTATAGTCTCGTAAAGGTCGGGTATTGCACATCCACCAGTCATTCTTCGCCTTCCTACACAACAGGGACATCCTTGAAAATGGCGGTGTATTCGTCACCCGGTGTCGCTCCCTAGCATCGCTCGCACCCAAGGGTAACCTCGTTAAGCCAGGGATGGACCTAGGCAAGATGAATCCGACCGCTGCTGGCGGTGCCCAAGGTGGCATGGTTGGCTCTGGTGGAATGGGGCGCGGACCACGAGACCGTGACATTGGTGCCGTCATAACAGTCGTCAAAGGCAATCACAAGGGGTACAATGGTGTTATCAAAGACATCAACGGTACCCTGGCGCGTGTTGAGCTAAATACAGGCAATAAAGTCATCACCATTGAAAAGCAAAAGTTGTATCGGAGACTGTAAGATATTTGTTGTCTGTGTTAGTGTTTCTCCTGTTGACCTCTAACAGTCCAGACGGCAAACTTCAACCACTTAATGCGCCGTACCAATCACAGGGTCAGCAGAGGAACATGGGCCCCCCAGCCGGAGTCCCTAGTCGAACTCCCAATCCATATGCCAGCGCCAGCCGTACGCCTGGCTGGAATGGCGGTCGTACGCCAAACCCATTTGCCAGTGGGGATGGCAAGACACCTGCATGGAATGCATCATCACGAACGCCAAATCCGTACGCAGATGGTGGCAAAACCCCCGCATGGAACGCTTCGTCACGGACGCCCAATCCATACGCTGCCGATGGTGGTAAAACTCCCGCTTGGAATGCGTCTTCGCGGACGCCGAATCCCTATAGCGAGTCGTCGTGGGGATCAGGCGGTTGGGGTGGTAGTGCATCACCTGCACGCCCAGCGGACTCGAGTTGGTCATCTTGGGTGAGAGTTCCTCTTGAGCTTGAAACTGATTAGGCACTCATGAGCGATCAGAATGCACCAACGCCAGCTGCTGCGGCAACACCCGGGTTCTTGTCTGCACCGACCCCTGCTGCGTACACCGGTGCACCTACACCAGCAGGTATTATGAACGACCCTGGTTCAATGTCTGCCCCTACTCCAGGTGTTTCGGGTAACGAAGAAGAGAATGACTTCGGTATGCACAGTCCAAATAATTGAATGCCTTCTATTTATGCAAGGAACAGGTTTGGTGCTACGTGACCCTGTGATCGCGAACAAAAAGGTGATAGTGGAGGTTCGAGGTTCCGCAGATGCAGGGTGGCTCGACGGCGATCTGGAGTTCAAGAAGGGTTATGTCTCCTCAGCCTTCGCTTCCTTATCTGAGATCACAGCACTATTTCACCCTCTGGATTCGCCAGGGGGCACTCCAGTTCACGTGCCGACAATCTATCTTATACCTGTCCAACCGGAGGAGACAGAAGATCACGCCCTCGTGTTACGCGGACCTCACAAAGGCGAGCATGTTGTTTTGAGAGAGAGCGCAGGACCTGGAGTTTGGCATGTGTCGCTGTTCCAGGACACGACGGCCTACACGATCGACGAGGAAAAATTAGTGAAGCTTTACTACGTTTAATCTCTATATGTTGTTTTTACTAGTTGTCTTGCTGTTACACTAGCTTCCTGTTCATGTATAAATCCCAATTTGTCGCAGACAATAAACTGAACTTTGATCTAATCGTGTCGCAGATTGAACCAAACACGTGTACTCCTCCTGAAGTGGCGTGCGGCAATAGCAGCAGTGCCTTTGGGATCGATCGCTTCCACTGCTTCTCCAGTTCTGGTTATTCGTCATCTCTAGCTATGGAATTCAACCCGTCTACTAGCACCTCGACAATACGAACTCTGCATGCCGCTTTTGAAGTACCAGGGAATATCACTGCACAATCCCAGCCGTCGTCACCACGGTCAAGCGCACTGACGTCTTCCCCAAACAGCCCTTCTGAGTCGGTGTCCTCTTTACCTTCTGTCGGTTCTTCATTTTTCTTCTCTTCCGCAGCTGCCAGTCCACCACGCTCGCAGCCTCAGTCTGATCATGCACGGGATTCTACCACACAGGGGCTTATCATACCGTCTCTGACCCTACCAGCTCCATTGCGTCGCCCCACTCCATTCGGAAAAACCCTTGGAGATTTGAGGCTAATAGTCGTAGGGAATGGTGCTGATGACCGTGAGCTGGTGTCCAGTCTATTCCTAGACGACAACGAGGATGTTGTGGATATCAGTGGATGGGAGGATTTTGAACATGGTTCGATCCTAAGAGCATCAACAGACTGGATCGAACATCGAGATGCTCACGGACTTGAGAAGTTTGAGCCTGCGAAGAATGTCGAAATCATAGCGCTTGCGCGACACGAGTTTGATAACAATGTACGTCATAACCTTTATGAGGACTCAATCAAAGGTGACCTCTCCCCCCAGTCAACGAAGTATGCCATACTGCCAGTTATTCAATCACCATTTCACTCAGTATCTGAATTAATTGACCCTCGATGCCAGCCATCTGCTGCCCTGGCTAACTTGATTGCATCCCCGTGGTCACCATTGCACACCGCACTCATTATCCTATCCAACTCAGGTGAATATTAATCGTAATATGGCTGCTGCTTCTGACTGGGATCATCATACAGGCCCGTCTGCTTCGGAGGACGGCCCCATCGACTTACTTACACCCCACATACCGGTCATAGTCATGCGCCATGGCCCAGATCATACGCATTTTCCTTCCCGCCCTCATATGTCTTCATTCCGGCCACGTTCCGCAGTTGCTCTTCGGAGTGGCCTTTTCCGCTCGCCGGAGACGCTATCTTCACTACGATATGAAGCGGCAGAGCGCTTCCTCCGCTGGCGTGAAGTTGAGTGCGCCGTGGAGGGAATACATGCCTGTCACCGAGAAACCGTCTCCTTGTCCTCCAATGAACCTTCATGGAATAAGGCGAAATGGGAGGCAGAATGGGAATCACGATTATCCCAGGATGTTGCTAATTCTTGCGAGCGTGTGAACCCCGTGAGGGATCCAGTGCAGCAGTGCTTTGATCCACTGCACTTATCATCACTGGTCTCGTTCTCCATGTGCCTCCTTGATCCTGCGAGGAGATTGCTCAGCACGAGTATTTCTACTTTTGTCAATAAGTTGGCAGACAGTCAGGTCCGGATAGCAATGGCGGGTAGTTTGTGTTTGGGAATTGGGATCGGGATGATGATCCGATGATAGGTGGCTTTCAGGAGGTAGTCTCATGAGCCTTTGCTCGATTCTCGTATACATATTTGCTTTAATTTTGTAATATCCGTTTCGTTCCACTATTACTTACTGCGCATCTATTAGTGGCAGTCAAAGTGCATGATTCAGTTCAGAGGCGATTCAAAGGCGATTCAGCCGATTCAGTGCACAATAGAGACGATTCAAATTTTCAACACCGCGTGGAAATCGCTAGGCACTGAGGCATCGAGATCAGAGTACTTCAGGGAGGAAATTCATTTTCGACAGCAAGATTAGATATGCATACATATATATGGTCATCTGTTTTCGCCTGCAATAACCAGAACTCAATGGACAGACCACGTTGCGGCACGCATCAAGGAATACGACGTAAGCCGCCAAGCGGATATCGAAATCGTCGCGCCGACTTTGCCGCTCGAGACCAAGGTGAGCGACGAAGGGTTCGCCTTCTTTACATCGCGTGTGACAGTGATCATGGTTGCGGAATGGGTGTGTCGATGATGTAAAGCTGGAGCCCTTCTGTTCACCGCCAAGAACGATATTCACGCCACGGTGAATAATGCGAGTGGACATACTCGAAGTGGGAGGACTATAGCGATCAAGTATAGACATCGGAACCGCACCGACTGTACTGCAAACATGCGGCACTGTTTGGGGCGTAAATTTGCAGTTCCACTTGGGTTCCGGCATCGCAGATGGTGTATCTGTGGGCTGTTAATTCTCAGCGAGTATAGGGTTACTTTTTTTTGCCTCGGGTATTGCTGGCATGAACTGGAGCATGTTGGATTATCGATATACCATGTTTAACCGGAGTCGCATTTGCTACACGCGAAAGAGTGTAGATCATCAGACCGCTGCAGAGCCATGAGCCAAACCGAATAATTTCGCCATTCCCCGTTTCCGGGAGCCGCGGGAAAGACCACCGTAAGTACTTACTGTAAAGTCATAATAGATTATAAGCACACATTTACCGTATGTATAATGTGGCCCAGGCAAGCGACAGATCTTGGAGGTAACACTGATTGGTGGGATCGATATCATAGCCGACTCGGATATCACATGCAGGCGTGTAGGCCAAAAGTTAAAACCACCAAGATTGTACGTCCAGGAACTGCCGCCGGCCCACTATACCGATTGACTACGAACGTTTCCTCCAATTTACCGCGTAATATTGGGGCCCATCTGGTGTACCTGCAGGGAGGTGTGAGGTGGGATAAACGTGGTGAAAAGAGGTGAGCGAGCACCTTCCAGACCGTGACAATTACCTCAACGAAAATGCATAATGTAGAACGAGGATATCTTGCCTGCCGCCGCGTTTACAGGCGCGACGGGTCAGCTCTGATAATTTTCAACAATGGAAACGTCAAACAACACGAAACTGCTTCGCCCTGATCGTTTTCCTCTGTCGTGCTTTATTGTGCGTGCCTTGTGTACAAGTTGATACAGCACTGAGGTGGTGACAATAGATAAGGCAGATATGGTCGGGCGATCATCTCTTCTGAAGCGATTGTGAGAGTAATCGAATGGCACGAGGACCTACTCCGAGTCAAGGAGGTAAGCAAGTACCGCAACACCGCGGTATTTAAGTCTCGATCATTATACAGGGAGTTCCCTAAACCTTCCGATCCTAACAAAGTTAAACAACGTCGGTGCGCTTTGTCTTGGGTCATGATAAGGATTTCTCAAACTCTATTCGCTGTCAGACCCAAGCAAGGTTTTGTTATCCGATCATACTCCGCGGTTTGATTCTATCATCTGCACAGACATATACAGGGCCACTCTTCTCTGACCCAGCGTTCTTCTTAGCTCTCCTTTTATGGGAGTATATCATGATCATCACCGAGCCGACGTACCTCATCATCCCACTCATGCCCGGCAGAACGCGAACCTATCTCATTTCGAAGTCATTATTGCTTCATGTCTGAGAACGAGATAGTCAAAATCACATGCCCGAAGCACTGCCCGAGAAGTCAATTGCGCAGGCCTACGGCATGCTCGGATATTCAGGATGCGTCCTTGCCTATGCTTGAATTCGAATTGGCAGTTCATGCACGGAGATCTGATAGTGTATTGACAACTTGTTACAGAGAGCAGGATAGTTGATGCTCCGAGCTTGTTTGCCACATATTCGAAGAATGGCCTGCAGAAATATAGGCAACGAAGCAGCTCCCATCTCAGTAAGTCAAATGATGAAACCTACCTATACGAGCCTAGTCTCGGCCTCGTCCGATCTTATCTCTGACGAAATCAGCTAAGTAGGCTTCGCTCATGGACAGGCATTTCGCGCAGTCAGCGCCCCCTAGTAAGCACCCCCGGTCTACCGAGTGGCGGTGCCGACTAAGGTCTTACTTTGATTACTGTATCGAAGCGAACAGCATTTTCCTCATGTTAGTGCATTTGTCCTGTGCTCAGAAGAGGTATCCGCGTTACGTTCGCCTTCTTCGCCGCAAACCATGAAGTGGTTTCGTCGAAAGAATGAGCAATCTTGGGAGGTTGTAGGTTGCGAGTGTATCGATCCTGTGCAAATGATCGATGATGACGATGATGGTGCGTTGGTGTGGTCCTGGGCCTGTGACGCATCTGCTATCGAGCACCTCATCATCATCCTAGACCTTGATATCCTGCGTGTTAGAGATACGTCCACGTGTGGAACATACATCTTCGACCTTGGGAAGCGGTCTCCCCAAGCTTCCGATTATGCCAATGCGGTGCTTTTCGCAAGACAACAGTTTATTCAGGAGATCATGAAGAACGAGTACAACGTCTTGCTGTTGGAAAGGTGAGCAACTTGAATGTATATTGTGACAGAAAGTCGCCTGATTACACACACCTTGGCAGCTGGACACTAATTCTTTATCGCAAGGGAAAGTCGCATCGTATAGAGGTGCAATATGCGGGTCGACCGGCATACGTATCTGGGAAAGTGCCACCTCTCCGCCCTCCACCGTTCATGGCCGTCTTGGAGTCGCAGCATCTTTTTTCGTAATTATTGACCACTACTGTATCTGCGGCCGAGAGTCCAGGCCATCACATCCCATCGTGTATGTATTTATTTCTGCCTCATGCTGTCCTACCACATCCTACACATCCAAATCCGTACATCCTTGCTCTACACGCCTGTTGGTCGTAAGGAACATGAAACACCATATGCAGAAATGAAGGTCTTCGCAAGATGTGACGATCCCAAAAGACTAAGGGGTATCATCGATTCATCGTGTATTACCTCAAAGAATTTGTAAAAGTCAACTCTTAATTTTAGTGGCTCCTCGTGGTAGGGTTCTTGCCGTCAATGGACACCTCGGAAAGCGGAGAGGTCCTAACTGGTCATCTGTCCTGCCACTGGCACGTATATAATCTACAGAGCGTCACAGAATAGCGTTGTAAGTATCATCTAACTGCTCCCCTGCTCATGACTTTCAAGGACATCTTTTCTTCACCAAACGTGATGGTCCAAGTCTGCACACGCGCCTTCACCGACTTCTGTCATAATCATCTTAGTATACAGATACATCACACCCACAAAAGTCATGCAAAGGAGATAGATCGCGTCGAGAGCTCGTCTGGGCCCGCGCGTACGCACGAACGTTTAGCAGATTCCAAGCCGACAATTGTTGGTCCTAGGGTGGAACACAAGGACGAGTTCACCTGCAAAGGAGGTGTTGATGCCGGAAGACTTGTGAATCTAGCTCGAAAGGGCTTGTATTCCACAGCGAAGGAGATGGGAGGTAATGTCCTCCTCGAAGAAAAGTCAGTACATCCTGTATCTTTGTCCCATTCGCTGCTAACCTCCGGTCGTCAGATGGGACTGCGAGATTCGGCATCCCAGATCCCAGTGCCGCGACCAATTCAAGGTCACAGTAAGTGCTCCGTTCCGTGTCAATCAGTAGCAAGATCGATCCCTCCCATAGATTCATTATTCCGCCACGGTGGCACGATCGTTCTGTCCAGACGCACAGAAACCTGTTGAAATTCAAGCAGCCAAAGGTATCAAGGGATTAATGACCGTTATAGATCGTCAACCAGAGTGTTGAAAAAAACTTATTCATAATCCACGGACAGCATGGGTAATCATTGAGTATTGTATTTTTAACTTGGCGAATCGTTGTATACCTTAGGCCCATAATAATTCAGCAGACACATGAAGATAGCAATAGTTATGTAGCACCACATTAGTAGTTCATGTGTATGACGCACCGTGCATAGTGACAGATACTTGATCTCAATACGAATGAATTTCAAGGTCTTCTATGATTTTGACAAGGATTAAAAGTGCGAAAATTACTTAGTTTGCCACCTTCTCAATCTTGCTAGCCGCCCGGCTAGCATATCCGGTCCAAGACTGGCCAAAGTTAATAACACGCAAAACCTTGTGCAAATCATGGCCTACCTCATCATACAATGCCACATTTGGGGCGCCCAATAGCCTGAGTCCCAACCAGAGGACGCCTGCAGTCATGCCACTCCCACAAGTTGCCGTGATTAGTCGTTTGCCTTGTATGACAGCATCCGCGTGATTGCCTACGTGGCTCACTAGGGCATTACGTAACTCGGGAAGGGGTAGAAATGTGGTGTACTCTGCGGAGGAATTAGGGATGGTATGAGCCTGCAGGAACGCAGTGAACGGCAGTGAGAATGAATGCGGAATGTGGCCCGATGATAAGCCTGGCCGCGGCTCTGGGTCTGTCCCTAGGAATCTATAGGCGTAAGGAGTCCGTGAACTTTGTCCATAGGCTTTCGGTCCAAATTTGCTCACCGACCACGAGAACGGGCGTCAATGACGAGCTCAACGGCTGGGTCCGATTGAAGATCCGTAAACGAGTTTGACACAATTTGATCGTAGGCTGTTGGAGGTCGCAAGCCTCTACGACATTGGACGATAGCGAACACGTAGAAACTCACAGCGTATCATTCCCTTATCGAAGGCAGGAGTGGGATAGACGGACTTCCTTGCATGTGCCGGCGGCTTGGCTTCAATTGGAAAACCCTCTGCCTCCCAACGTGGCAAACCTCCGTCGAGGATACTTGATTTCTCGTGGCCAAACGCTCTGAACATGAAGAGTGCACGTGGTGATGAAAATACTCCATGCGTATCATATCTGCGCATTAGTATGGTTTGTCCAAAGTACACTTTGATGGGAGAAGCGTGAAGACGCACAAAATTACATGAGAAGAGGGCTCAATTCCGAATGCCTCTGTGATGTAAGACAGTGATTAGGAAATGGCATTGTGGTCAGTATGGTTGGTTCATACCGCACGCATCGGCGAACTGTCGTTCACTCGGTATCATATGTTTGAGGCCTAGGTCATGGGGAGAGGCTACTTCATCAAGGTCTAAAAACTGTGCTCCAGGGACGCGCTTCTTCTGAAACTCGTCGTTGGCTCTCCGCGGGGAATTTGGCATGAACCAACTGGAGTCCAGGATCGATACCTGTTTAGAATCGGGTAATGTTGGAAGTAACTGCTGCAGCTGCATGGGTGATAATAACAACGGCGTCGACATTGCTTTTGAAAAAGTCCTCTTCGCTGTTAAGGAAGATGTCGGAGAGCGTTTCCCAGCTATGTTCAGTGCATTCCGACTCAGTAAGGTCAGCAACATCATGGCAGTTGATTTTCAAAGGTTATTTTTTGAATTTCGTCACTATGTAAGTCCATATTGGGAGTAATACATACAGTGCCCTAGGTGGTGCGGCGGCTGCTCGTCGTTCACCAAAGTACGACATGCCGTCCGACCAAAGCACTTGGTTGATTGCTGTCCCACAGGATGGTGATTCCGAGGGACTCCTGCCAGAAATCACCAACAAGCTTCCTCAATATTCGAGATCAACAAGCGTAGCAGAGCTTGGGATTCCATCATTCAAGGTCTTCATTTCGTACTCATCGGCAAGCAAGGCATCTCATCAATCATCGTGTAGACAGGTACATTGGACTCCTTGATTGCCCTATCAGAGGAGCTGCCAAAACAGGACGCGTTCTTCACAGCGACGGTCGCAAAGATTGTAGACACACTCCGCAACTTATTGAACAATGATCCGACCAAGCTCGCCCAGCATGTCCTTGTGAATGAGCGTAGCGCTGATGACTACGTACTTAGGGGGTGGAAATGGAATGACAGTCGATATGGGGTGCAACGAAGTCTACGGGAAATGGTTGATGTGCTGAACAAGGTATTTGCCGCGTGTTACTCTTTGTAGGGGAGGCACTCATTTGCGCTCAAGGAAATGGCGTCCATAGACAATGTAATGAAGGCCAAACTAAACAACTACAATATCGTAAAGGGCTCCCTCGTTCAGATGCAGCGTAAGAAAACGTGAGCGTAAACTTAAACTTAATAGCAATGCAAGCGGCGCTCATCACTCTCTGTCACAGTGGAAACCTTTCTGTTAGGTCTCTCGTCGGCATAGTATCAAAAGAGCACGTCATCCAGGACTCAGAGTATCTGGAGACATGTCTAGTTGCCGTACCGAAGTGGGTACTCCTGCATGAACGCTTGTCAACTTGAGCGATTCAACATTCACCCCAGACTCATCACCAAGGAATGGACCTCAAAGTACGAGCGACTCACTAACATGGTCGTTCCCCGTTCGTCATTGTACGTCAAGTCCGGACCTTTGTGCAAAGGCTCACATACCCCACGAAAGAACTATAGCGTCAGACAGCGAATACACTCTCTTTGGTGTAGTCATCTTCAAACGTGTACACGACCAGTTCGTACAGAAATGTCGTGAAAACAAGTACGTCCAAAAACACCCCATTCCATTCAATCGTAAGCCAACGTACCCCCTACAGGTTCATAGTCCGCGACTTCGCCTACTCAGAAGAACAAATAGCCAAGCAAGAAGAAGAGCTCGAGATAGCAGACACGACAGAGAAAGAACTCTGGGTGAGGCGTCATCAGCACGTAAACTCAGCCCTTATCCTAACCGCCTTTCCAGACCGAACTTCTGAGACTATCTCGGACCAATTTCTCCGAGTCATTCCAGATCCTCGTGCACCTGAAGATCCTTCGGCTATTTGTCGAGAGCGTGCTTCGGTACGGTCTACCCGCGAATTACGTTGGCCTCGCTATCAGGGTGCGTTCTACTCCATCGCTTCTAGCTAGCAACATACTGATCAAATCCCCCTTCAGCCCGAGCCAAAGTACACCAAGAAGACACTTTCCGTACTTACAAGCCACTTCAGCTACCTCGGCCCCCGCTCCTCAGGACGTTCCAAGAAGCAAACCACAACCGAAGAGTTCGCAGGAGAGTACCAGTCGCTGATGGAACAAGAATTCTTTGATTTCGTGTTGTACGAAGTACCATGGATCGTGCTCTAATAATCATACTCCCCCCACGACCAAGTTAAATAGTTCTATTAGTGGAAGGATAACAATATGACCAGCCCACTACTGTAGAAATATCATTCGATGTAATGTACAAAAAAGAAGCGGGAGTGAGCGAGCAGCAACCACGTAAAGGCAAACACAGAGCAGCGGAACCGATAAACAGACTAGATGGAGCGCTAGCGTTGATTGCAGTGCAACAGAGGGAGAAAAAGGGAAAGAAAAAAAACAGCGGTGAGGGATTGCTTGCGTGATATCAGTCGTAACGAGTGCGAGATGTGGGATTGTGGGAGAAACGTAGAGAGATCTCCTGGTACATTTTGAATAGATCCTGTGCTTGATAGTCCCTTGAGCAGTGCAGGCGAGACTAATTTTGCGATCGCGAGCGAGAGCAAAAAAAAAGAAAACGGTACAGATGCAGCAGTTACAGCCCGAGGTTCGACATCACTCGCGATACCTCATCAACAACATCGGCATCGGTCCTCAAGGCAGCACGCTGCGATGACGAGCCAATGACAGCCGACGACCGTGGGCCATACACGCTCGGGAACGACGGCGCCGTAGCACTCGTCGGACTCGAGTTCCCGCCCGTCCCTCCCCCCGTTGACGTCGTCGGCGACTCAGGCTGCGGCAGCCTATTGCTCGCCTCCGTGATACGAGAGAGCGAATACGTGAGGTCGAGCGACTGCGCGCGGTTCTGCAGCGATCGCGGCTTGCTGATCTGTTCCTTAATTTTTGACTCGAGCAGCGAGTCAGACCCGCGTTTGAGCGCGTCTTCGGTGTTTCGTTGTCGTGTCGCCATCCCCGTGCCCTGTGCGAGTAATTAAGCATGAATGGATCGGACTGGAGATGGAGATAGGGGACTTACGATCGGGGGTAGCGGCGTCCAGTAGTCGAGGCCCGTTCCTGGTGGACCATAAGCTGACTGAGAGTCCTCATGCTCCTCTAGATCGTAGATGTATGCAGGGGCATTGAACAATGCTTTTACATCGGGTGATGAATTTGCCATCCTCAACCTTCGATCACCCAGTATCTCCGAACGGGTAAGCTCAACCGATTCTACAGTTCCAAAAAATTATCGTCAGCTTCAAATTAAAAAAAAAAAAAAAAAACCTAAAGACACTCACCATGCCTCCTCGCCGTCGACAACACCTTACTATCAAAGTGGGGGAACGCCTCCGCGAACGAATCACCCCGTTTATGCGTATGCGCCGTAGGCGAAGGATACACATGAACATTATGGTTCAACAAGAACTGCTCCAACATCTCCCGGGCCGCGAGCAAGAAGTCCGAGTTGCTCCTCTGGCAATGAAACTTGAACGAGTACTCGCCCACGTCGCCAACCGCGACCGCATTGGAGGACGAGGCTGACGCGCCGTTGGTGGAGCTCGGAGTAGGTGCTTTAACGTTCGGGGTGATGATCACTTGGAACTCGCGCTTGATGCGATCGACGAAGGTTATGAAGTCGGCGGAGGCGCAGACTTTGGGAAGATCGGAGCTGGGCGGGACCGCCATGTCTGCCTCGAAGGGGACGTGTTCCTATACATCAATGTCAGCACCAGGGTAGACATAAAGAAACGAGATATGTACCAGCAACATCGCAGCAGCAATCTGCACCTGACTCTCAGGTCCAAAAATCGTCACCACATCCGAAGCCGTCTCCTTATCAGGGAATCGCACGCGCGAGTTGGTCTTGGTCTCGATATCATGTATGAATATCGCCTTTTCGCCAAGCAGCACCCGGTGGTATCGCCGGGGAATCGATAGCGTTTCGTTCACATAGTCCTTGTCCTGCGCCTCGTCAGCACCCACCTCCCAGATGCCATGAGGGATAGAATGGTGATAAAGGAAAAGAGGGGACAAATGGGTGATGGGCGGAGCCGGACGCACCTTTGGATTCACAATTTCCATCACTGACTGCTTCAGGTTCTCCAGATTGATCGCATTCTTTGAGGGCGTCCTTGCCACAACATTGTCCTCGTTGTCATTGTACCCACCCAAAGCAGCGAACTCCTCCGCGTTGCTGAACTTGACGTAAACGCCGTACTTCTTCATTATACGCTGGATGTTCCGCCCGCCAATGCCGATGATGCGCTTGTGATACGCTTCGGGGACATGGAAGGATATTTCAGCCGGGAGCTCTTCTTGCAGGAGAGTGAGACCAGTAAGCACAGATGCGTCGTTGCCCGAGACATCAATAAGGAAGTTATGATCGTTGAATGTCTCAAATTTGATCTTGACATTCGTGGTCTGCATGATTTTGTTAATCTTGCCGTTCTTCTTCCCCGAGATGAATTCACGATGCTCATTGGCGAGCTCGACTTGGAAGCGGATCTCGTGATGGAAAGCCTGGCCCCTTTCTGTCAGCAGGTACTCCACTTTTCGCAAGGGAGCAAAGGCGCACCTTGACAATATCCAATTCCAAAATCATATTGACCGCAGCGCGTACCTCGTACTCTAGGCCGTGCATCTCGAAGCACATGCTCTTGAACACGACTTCTGCACCTGTCGTGAGGGAGATTTGCTTTAGGAGCGTGGTTACTTGCGAAGAGTTGAGGGTCGTAGGCGGGAGGAGGACGTTGAATTGGATGGGTAGCAGCCAGAATGAGGCGACGTAGTATTGGCAGGCCTAGAATCCCAGATGTACTCATTGATATCAAGTAAGAAGAGACAGTTACGCACGAGTTGCATTATAGACCGGATTGTGCGCTGAACGTTGACGCGGTGGTCTCCGTAGACAGTGATGAGGCTGTTGGAGCTACCTATAGGCGGGAATTGGACAAAGGTCGCATTGTCGCTCATGATAGACTTGAGGTCTTCGGCTCGGTCGAGGACCATCCAATCCAGTTTGCGAGGGACGATGACAGTATCTCGCGAGATCACAGATTTTCTCTGTTAAAGTGTTAGAACATACAAGAGTTTAAGCTAGGAGACGCACCTTGTTCACCGACAACTGGTACAACATATCCCTCGCCCTTTGCACTCCAAAGAACTCTCCCGTAATCCAAATGATATTCTGGCCCTGACGCACTGCAGGTGTTACAGTCGCAGCAGACACGACATCAGGACCGACCAAGCCCTGCAAGGGCGAAGGGAAGTAGACATTTGTCGCGGTCTCCTCCTGAATGCTCTGGAGAACATGTCTCTTCCGGCCCGCGACGATCGCGTGGAGCTTCTGGTCGATCTCGCACATTTCGGAGTGAAGACCGCTCTACGAGCACACTACGTCAGCAAAATGTGAATAAGTGGAGAAAAGGGGTAGAACGGACGAATTCGTCGAGCATTACCAACAACCTGACCCTTGCTAACTCGGTAGCATCGCCTTGGCCTGTGATGACGAGTTCACATACGCGCTCCGTCTCGAGACCGCTCCAACCTGCGCCATTGACGCCGTCTGGGGGAGTTCGGCTGCTGAGTGTAAGAGGGGAGTTTACTACAGCGATGTGAGCGAGGGTGGCGCCTGCGATGTCGTCTAGTTTACGACGGACGTCTGGTTTGAGGGTTGGTTTTGAGGAAGGAGCATCTAGGATGTCTGCGCGCGCGACTTTGATTGCTGTGCGATGCTGTGTGGAAGGTGAGATGATGGGATGCAAAAAAGAGAGAGAGACGGACCTGGACTGGACAGTCCTTGAGTAACATGCCGCGGGCAGTCATGACGTGCTGATACGCGCCCGAGACATAGAAATTCCAACCGCGTTGACCATGGTCTGTAGGTAGATACGAAACGTGTACGTTGTGTAAGGTCATTGCCAGGACGGCTAGTTTCTCTACATCTTCTGGAGCGCCTGGGTCAGGAGGAAGGGGTAGATGAGAGTCAGTATGCTGAATATGACGAGTACGACGTGGATGAGTGAAGGAAGTTGAGTAGATGTCCATTGTGTTTTAGAGGAGGATAAGATAATGATAGAGGAGTAAAGAAGAGGTTAGTTAGAGGGGTATGTTTCGATTTAATAGGAGGGTATCCCGCCGCACAAAAAATTACCAAGCTGGTTGGTAAAGAAAAATCAAAAATCAGACTGGTATCACGCTGTGCGTCGAGAAGAAGAAAAAAGAAAGAAAAAAAAGAGGAGCACGCTATCGACGACGACGAGGACGACGAGGAGAACGTTGAAGGCGAAAATGTTAGTCTACTAACGCTGGGTTTCAATTTCTGAAATTACAAAGAGAGAGGCACTGCACAGACCAACGTCGACTAGACTAATCATAGTCTACCAACGTAGTCTAGACTACACTACCCAATCAAATAAATCTTCTTCAAATAACTTTGAGAAACATTTCTTGCCAGGAGTGTTGAAATGCTTGTATGGTTCAGAAGGTGGTAACTTTTCACCGCACAAGTAACAAAAATGTTGTTTGCACTTGGCACAAGTCATCTGCGAGCGGGGAAAAGGGGGATTCACAGAAGACTCATAGAGAAGACAAGACAACTCACATGATTACACCCCACACTCTTCTCCACGTGAACACCGCATCCAGGACATCCCATAGTACAATTATCCATCCATTCCCGGTTCATCCTCTCCTCCTCGTACTTGGCAACCAACCTCTTCACATTACCTCTACCCCACCGTCTTTCAATCTGTGCTCGCCTAGCATCTCCTTCTGGTAGCCCCAAGTACTCCTCCACGAAACTCTCCGTCACTCGTAACGGACACGCACTGATCGGCCCATGCCATGTTCTCCTACAAAACGCGCAAAATGCATACTCGCATGTCGGGCACGTACGTAGCCGCGCCCACCCACTATCATCATCATCCACCTCTGGACTCGGCACAGGCGTCTGGCAGAACGCTACAGGACAGTGCACCATCCCAGGATCTCGTTCTAACGCCCTTTTCGTTCTAAGCCACTTCCACCTTCTCACTTCTTCCTCACCAACAACTCTAATCACATCCTCCTCGCCAGCCTCGTGTCCTGCTTTCACGCAGCCAGGATCAGGACACCCGACGCGACCGATATCTCCCTCCATAATACACGAACCCCAGAAATCTGTCAGACACGAGCGGCAGAATACATGAGCGCACGCAAGTCGGACGCAATGCCTTCCTTTATATGGAGAGAGACAGATTGCGCAGGGATAGGATGTTTCAGCGAATGCGGCATTTTGGGTGTGCGCGTCATAGGACTCGAGGAGCGGCAGCAGTGTCGAAGGGGAGTGGTTTACGATGGTGATGTGGCTTTTAGAAGAGAGACTCAACGAGTCCAAGAACTCGTCTCCACTGAGGAATGCTACCCAGGCGTACAGAACGCCTTCACGCGTCCACATACTAGCGAGGAGCGTGTGCAGGTCGCGGATCTTGCTGGTGGGAAACCATGCATGTGTACTCGTCAGCGCCGTGATACACGGTGGTGCATGTAATGGGTACTGGGGTGGAAGAATCAATGCAAGCAGGAAAGGCGGAAGTGCAGTAAGCGGGCTCGTAGCGTGGGAGTGAGGTGCATCGGGTATGGTGACGGTTCGTGCGGGTGAGAGCGCTATTGGGATCTCGAGCTTGATCGTACGTCCCGAGGGACCAACATCATTGGATACACACACGTCTGGGTAGATTGACTGCTCGTTCAGCAATCAGCTCTTAATCCCATACATTTCATTGGAACACACCTGAAGCACTTCCCATTCTTCCTCCTGCATCATAGCGCACTCTTCATCAGCGCCCTCCCCGGTGCGTTTTTCGATGCACGGGATAGTTTCACCTGGTAACATGAATGTAGGAGGAAAAAGATGTTCACGAGAACTTTCCACGAAAGTAAGATTGACAGTCCGGATCACGTGGAGAGGGTGAGGCATCCACATCGGACCCGGTCCTCCTCAGACGCCTCTGCCATTATACGTGTATAACGGATCAGACCGCATCGACATTCCTTTAGATTATGTAGGGGTTCCAGGGTTGGAGACCAGGAATTCAGGGTCTCTAGCTTAGTCATCACGTGGGGCGTCACTAGCTCCTTACAAGTTACTCCCTTATGTCTCTGGGCTGCGAGCCGCTCGCACTCTATAGCGATGATTTGTCAAGGAGTCTATCGGGTCATCATTATAAAGTGTTTAACGCGGCAGATGGCCAATCCAGACCACAAGTGAGTCGCACTTTCTTATCGCCCTCGATTGACGTAGGTTAGACATCCATACGCACAATCCACAGGCCGATTAGTTTCTCCAATATCTGTGCTTGTACTCTGTCACGTTCTATGGAAGGTGGGACCTGTCGTATCTTAGCATGCCAATGATCTGTTATGTGATGTGGGGTCTTCCGCAGGCAGATAGTTTCTCGATGTCGGTCCTTGTCCCTTGTGCATGTTTCTATAGAAGGTGGAACCTGTTGTAGGCGTGCCACACGTCTGTTAGCGACGCCATGTCACACCTTCATGGAATAACTTGATCACCGTACTGTATTTTTCCGCCGCAACTCGCGCCGAGCTTGCACTTGATCACTTACCTTTCGTTTCGTATCCTAATCTACGAAAGGTTCCGTGCACCTCACACTAAGCCCAGTTGCACCTATCCAACGCCGTCCTTATCCGCTCGAAGGATCTCTACTGGCCTTACGCATCAATATTGCCACTTATTCGGGATATCGACTGGTCAACGCGTCCGAAGATCGTCCATTCGTTGATGAAATGCTAGTAGTAGCGGTGTGTGCTTTCTCAAAACAGGACCATTTTCTCTCCAGGCGAGTGAATATTTTATTTTTGGTTCGAGATCTAGTCCTTCTCATGACGTTGCCAAGATGTTGTCACAGGTCAAGCAAGTCTGTTGCTTAACGGTCTCATTTGGGATCAGTTGTGCTGTCCAGCAAAACTGCTGCCAAATGAGACCTCCCGGTGTCAAGAATGAGGAATCAGTCATTGTTAATATATCATTACCTATCCTCTGAATTCTGTTGCTTTGGTATTCGACACGTAGAATACTATGCACCGTGTTTTTCTTACCGCAAAGCGTTTGCGAATGTTATCACAAAGGTGCTACAAAGGGTTCCAACTCAGTTCCAACTTATTACAAACGTAAAGGCTTGTGACTGTCGAGTCATTCACATTGTATCAGTATCATGCCCCCAACTACGACGTACAAGCACTTATCTACGTCGGACATTCGGTTTCCTAGTCTGGCAAGACATACTGCACCCTCGATAGTAGGTGTCGGAGAGCTGTACTCCCTCATCTCTGGGTCTAATCGTAAATTAAAGACGGTCAAAATTCCGAGTGAGATCAATTTCCCGCGCCTAGGAAGGGAGCGAGTTTACGTATATCTAGAAGAATTGGAGAATCGACTTTCTTTGGCGATGCTCGAGAGCTCTTCTGAGCGGTTGGCATAACCGGGCTTTGTGCTTACGTTTGGAGTTGCGGTGGGATATGAACCTAGATCACGGACGTTGCACACGCCCGGGATCTGAACGAAGTGGGATTTGGAGAGTATATCTTCCACATGATCGTAGACGCCAGCGAACAGAGGCGCCGTGTGCCTAGTTCAACAAGAGAAAAAAAAAGACAAGACTAACTCAAAAGCATTGTGGGTTCCTAGCAAACACGAACTTCACCGCGGCAGAAACAGCTGATGAATATCAAAGCATGGTGGGCAGCCCCGCGTCGCTAGAATTGACGAGTCTATGATCCTTGGGCATATGTGGAATGCGTATATGTGCAGTGCTTATTCACCTAGTTCCACGTGTATAATGAGTGGACACGACTCAGCAACGCGAAGGACTTGAAGGGGGTCCTCGAACAAAAACGACGCGACGATGGTCTCCCACCTGAGCACGCAAAGTGAGCGTCAGCGAATCGCCACGCGTCAGACGATGACTCACCCATCCGCAGTGAGGACACACGTCAGAATAGATGCGTTATTCACTGTCCACGCCAGATTCAAAGCACCAATGGCAAAAAAATAGTCCAACTACATCAAACGCGGCGGAGCAAGGTAGTAGGTCCTCACAGCACGTTACGACTACTTTCTTATCGATAAGCCAGATTGTCGTAAGAATCCTAATAACCGTGTCAGACAAGGATAAGTGATTCCCGTGTCGATCCATACCAAATTAGATGGTCCGCCAAAATACTGGTTCTGCGGTGGTCTGGTTCAACTCACCAAGCTAACCCATGGCTAACGGAATACAGAGTAAGGGCTCCTAAATAGCGAAGGGGACGGTCTTCGATCTTTGAAGCCAGTGGACATCAAAGCAACACCATACAAACAAGTTGACCGCAGGTGCGCGCACCCTTGCCATTTCCAGGGTGTTTCTCCCCCGAATAAACACCATGAGAGAAGGGACCGTTCTATTTTTCCGGCTCCACAGCTGGATAGAAGCACTGAGCGGAACAAAGTGAGATTTGTTCATCGACGTGGAAGTAGTTGTAGAACTGTCGCTCACGTTCAAATGAACTACAACGTTGCATAACTCACTAGCTCCGCCTATCCCTAGATGGCTAGAATAGATAGGTTCTGCCTAAACTCTCGTTGTATAGTATGGGTCGGAGTCCACCATCCTGCCAAACCGAATCGCATACTGAGCATCGAATTCTAGGATAGTATATAAGCAAGTCATCTTCCTACCGTCCATCTCACCTCAAAGAGGATATTCAAGCCCTTCAGCAGAAACTATAAGTACTAGCTCCCACAAACAATGCATTTCTCCTTCCTCACCATCATTTTTGCTTTGACGACATCTATGATGTCTGTCGGCGCATGTCGGTCAAAAGGCCAGACTTGCCAGAAGAGCAGTGACTGTTGCAACAAAAATTATATGTGCATTCCTGTTGTGAGTAGGAGTAGTTTGCTTTGCATCCAGTGTTCACTTGATGTGACTCACCCTTTGCACTTTGTAATATCAGCCAGCGGCTCGCGCGGACCTGTGCCTTCCACCATGATCCTAACAAGAGAGCGGGCCGGCCTGCACTCCGCGACGCACTGGTGAGTCATCTTTCCTCTTTCGTATTGGTGCTGTTGTTGATCGCATGGTACGTAGGTCACTGCTAGTCTCCTAGAGGTGACCTAATAAAAATATATGACAGTCGATATATGGGTCGCCGCCGCTGAGTTGATTAGATTGAGTCGCAGTAGTGTATGATATATTACCCACAGTGCATGCATGAAATTTGTTGCAAGTGTTCGAATTTTTTGCATGCACTGTGGGTGTGGGGTTCAGTAGGTCATAACCTCGGTCCCCCTGAGATTCACAGCATACATAAGGTGCTGGATCGATAAAGACGAAGACAAGATGCGCTCGCTTAGTAAGCATTTGAGTTCTCTTTGCTGCTAAAAGCTAGCGCTCAACGGGACTATGAGTAAGCTTCTCTCAACTTTCCGATTGACTTAATCCCTAAATGATGATCCGGACAACTACACGTTCATCATCAGTGTCCATGTGTCAGCCCTCAGCACCGTATCCTCTGATGAAGAACCTACTATTATCATCGCTTTCGACTCTGTCAAGTACATCTTTAACCCGTGTGTTTCTCCGGAGCAGGAGGAATTGGAAGCAGACCAGGGCGTGTTCTTGACTTCTCAGCGAGCGAGCGGCCTCCCACATGACTCATGTTCCAGCTCATCCGCATTCACACGTACGGAGACGGCGGCCATTAAGATGAACATCTGCATGGCGCGCAAGAAGTTTGAAGAGCTTCAGGGAGACAGCCTTATCTCAAATTTTTGACCTTTCACATTTGCTTGGCGCTATGAATCTATGTATGCCACATCCCTTCGACAATTTACCACACGTTTTGATGCAGGAGGTGTTGCAGAAATTGATCTAGCCCCCGCGGGACGAAGGACATTTTAAAGGAGTGTATTAGAGAGAGATAAGTCGGAGATATCCACAGGCAGAATAGTTTTTCAATGTCCCTTGTGTAGTTCTATGGAAGGTGGGACTTGTTGTACGTCAGTTAACGACGCGAGGTCTGCCGTACATCATGCATCATGCCCCACTTGATCACATACCTTTCACCGTGCACCCTACAGCCAGTTGCACCTATCTACCGTCGCTAAGATATCTTACCAGTCAAGCGCATCACGATTGTGGAATAAAATCGCTTTGCATGACTGGTGACACCCGAACGAGGGAACAGTGATTGTCAATATATCACTACCTATCCTCTGAAATCTATTCTTTTGGTACCCAATACGTAGAATACTATGTACTCTGTTTGTAAAGCCTGTGCGAATGCTATCACAAAGGCACAACAAAGGTTCCTAACTTCCCGTGTGTTTCGCACAGTGCGGTTTTCGTTTAGTCACGTGACCGTCGCGTAATTCATATTGAAGAAATAAACTTGTTACCTGTTCATTTCGCGCTCTGCTTGTCCGTTTGCCACTCCTCCCATCCTTGCGATGAGCTCGTCCGACTACGGGTTTGACGATGAACTTGACTCAGCTATCTTGAACGAACTGGACACAATCGAGGCCGCCCATCGTCATCCACTTCAACACCCTCCTAAGTTACCCCCGCCTGCGCACAAGGCACCCAAACCCCTGGACGAAGATGATTCTTTCTACGATCTTTCTCTTGAAATCGACGAGGCAGAACTTCAGCGCTTAGACACGTTCATTGACGCGGTGTACAAGGGGAGTGCACAACCAGTGGCAGGTTCGAGCAATCCTCCGCGGTCTTCTTCTTCAAAGAATACTGTGCAGAGGACTCTTTTCGGAGATGTCGCGCAACCAACTGCGTCCTCGAGCAGACATAGTCCTTCTAAACGTTCTTCACTTCAGCACACGAAGAGTCCCCGCAAGCCTTTTGGCCAGCAGGCGCCTCAGACGAGGCAGTGGGACCACACTGTATTTGCAAAGTCAGGCTGGAAAAAGCCAAAGACTGCTAAGGGAAAGGGAGGAGATAATGGAGACGAGGAAGAGGAAGTGCATGTTGAGTTTGAGCAGTTTCCTGCTCCTTTCGTGTCAGGTATGTCGAATATCTTGAGTTCGTGTTGGAACTGTACTAATGCGCGTCTTTAGTCGGGTAAGCGCGTTCGTTCAATGTTGTTATACAATTCTTACACCGCACGTATTCTGCGTTTCAATTTTCCTAAGACCCGTGTGTATTTTGCCATCGCACGTACGCTATTCACTGACGTTCCTACAGCCACCTTCTATGAAGCTCAAGGTTGACATGCTCGAAGCTAAACACTGGATCTATCCCCTAAACCAACCCAAGCGTGACTATCAATTCAACATCGTCAGGCACTGCTTATTTGACAACACCCTGGTCGCATTGCCCACCGGGTTGGGAAAAACGTTCATTGCGGGCGTCGTAATGCTTAACTGTGAGTTCCTCGCAGTTCTTTTCGTCAAACAACGTTTGATATATTCCAGTCTATCGCTGGTTTCCGAAGGGTAAAGTCGTGTTCGTTGCCCCAACGAAACCTCTCGTCGCGCAACAAATTGACGCATGCCACCGCACGTGTGGCATTCCTGGTTGTGACGCGATCGAACTTACCGGAAACAACCCCCGAGCATATAGGTCCAGAATGGTGTGTATTAGATTCACGTAGTCGACGCTCAAGCCGACTCAGATTTTGCAGTGGGAAGAGAAGCGGGTCTTTTACATGACCCCACAGACCCTCATCAATGATCTGACTACGGAAAACTGTGATGTGCGGGATATCGTTCTTATGGTCATTGGTCTGTCACCTAATTAATTACGTTGATTCGGTTTGCTAAGGGAAATGTGCAGACGAAGCGCATAAGGGAACAGGAGACTATGCCTATGCACAGGTTATTCGTTTCTTGATGGCCAAGAATCCCCATCATCGCGTGCTGGCATTAACAGCAACACCCGGAAGCACTCCTGAGGCCATTCAGGGCATCGTTGATTCGCTGCATATCAGTCGCATCGAGATTCGCGATGAAAGTAGTATTGATCTCCGCGAGTATATGCACAAGAAGGTCGGTCAACCACGGAGTTTCGAGTTACAAGGCTGACGCGAGGACATCCCACATCTAGGAGATTAAACAGCACATCATCAAGATGAACGACAACATTTTGAAAGCTCAAGAACTCCTTAAGGAAGTGATGATAGTCAGTTATCCTTCTTTTTGGTTACTCTTGTTTGACGAGTGCGTATCGGTAGACCATTATTAAACCTCTCTCTAGTAGAGGGGTTATAGATGTGGTGGATCCAGTTAAGATGCATCCTTATCGTGCTCAGGTTACTATGCAACGCATCGGGGCCCAACGAAATAGTCCTCACAAATGGGCATTCTCCTCGCTGTCCAAGCTCGCAGCATTGGCGCGTGCTATGGGGTATCTGGTGAGTACTCCTCGCGGCGTATATCTATCTTACCTAACGGGATGTGCGCATGGAGTAGATGGAAGCCAGCATCGGAATGTGTCACAACTCTCTACTGGAAATCTCCACTGAGAAGGAGGATGATTCTGGGAAGAAGAAGGGTTCTGCAACGACTGGCTTGCGTAAGGACAAGAATTTTATGGCCCTTCTCAGCGAGCTCGAAGTGCAGAAGATCCGTCCGGGTGGGTACGGTATGCACCCGAAGATGGAGACACTGAAGATGCTGCTGTTGCAACACTTTGGGGCACGGATGGGTGAGGGGGAGGAGACGAGAGCCATGGTATTTGTGACATACCGGGAGTGTGTGGATGAGATCGTGCATATCCTTAATGAGGAGAGTCCCCTCCTGAAGGTGACGAGGTTCATTGGGCAGGGCACAGACAGACAAGGCCGGAAGGGATTTGCGCAGAAGGAGCAGCTTGAGGTCAGTCCAGAGTTCCGCCCGTGAATGCATGCTTATGAAATTGTTGATATAGGTCATCAAGAAGTTCAAGGCTGGCGAATTTAATGTGCTCGTCTCTACTTCTATCGGCGAAGAGGGTCTGGACATTGGCGAAGTCGACATAATTGTATGTTATGATGCTCAAAAGACCCCGATTCGCATGGTGTGTGCCGTTCAAATTAACTCCTTTTACCACTCATCCGTCATAATGTGCAGCTTCAACGCGTCGGACGTACGGGCCGTAAACGGACCGGCTATGTCCACGTCCTCCTCTCCGAAATCCGCGAGGAGTTAAATTGGGACAAAGCTCAGGACACATACGGCGAGTTGCAGAAATGTATCGTCCGCGGGGATCAGCTTGAACTTTATGGCGACGTTCCACGACTCCTTCCTGAGCATGCGAAGCCCCAAGTGCTCGAGAAGAGAATGGAGATTGAGGAGTACGTACGCCAAGAACCTGCTTCCCGAAAGAAAAGTGCAGTCGACAACAACGAGGATTCGTCTCCGAAAGGCAAGAAACGGACGCGGAATGATGATTTTGCTAGGAATATACCACAAGGCGCAAGCACAGGCTTTGTCAGTGTCAGAGACCTGCTTGTCAAGGGTGCAGAGGCGAAGAAGACGAAGAAGAAGAAGAAGGCGAAGACGAAAGGTTTTGATCCCACAGCTGCAGAAGACGACTCGACGGACATGGAATTGGAGTCCAATCTTATGGATATGCGCCGCACCGCCTCGACGCCTGCTGATATCAGTACGAAGAAGAAGGACAAGTTGCGCGCGACACGCACCATGGATCCATCCAAGAAACGACAAGCTGCAACGTCACGCAAGAAGGGGAAAGGGAAGGAGAAGGAGACAGAACCATTGGCCACCAGCCAATTCTCACGAAAAGGGGATGACGATGATGACGATATCGAAATCGAGCAGGGCATTTCAGTAGCTGCTCGCGAGGTCATCGCTCGTAAAACCCCTTCCCCTAAGAAAAAGCGGCCAGCTTTACCCAGATATTGGTCGTCTTCACCTGATGAGGCTCCTGTTTTGGTTCGCGAGCGTTCCAACAGTTCTGTAAAACCATCTACAGCCCAGAGTCCCTCCTATCTTCCTATCGAAGATGATGCACTACTTTTGAGCTCTTCAGAGCCGGAAAATCCTTCAGGACCCAGCTTGTTGCCTTCGTCACCGCGAATTTACGATATGGACGACGTGATAGAGTTAACATCCTCCCCGTTACCATCCCAAACACCAGATCACCTCGTAGAATCTTCATCGACGTCTTGCGGCCCCAGAAACTCTCCGGCCGACAAGCACCGCAAACGGAATGGGAAAAGTCGAGAAGGATCCCCGGATCGCTCGCTATCATCGCTCCCATTGTCAGACGGTGTGATGGGTAATACACAAAACATGGCGTGGTTACTAGGATCGGACGAGGAACCTGACATCCAAATTATGTCTTCCCCGCCCATGGCACCACCGCAGAAGCGTAGTCCTCGCGTGGATCGCCTATTTGACGATGCAAGCGTTGAACTTGTGGACGGAAGGCGTCTCTCGCCTGGGGCATTTCTGATGCCGCCACCTCCCATCCCACGCCAAGGTACCTTTTGGTCGCCCGCACGCTCTTCTGATCATGACATGCCCGATTCCTCATTCGCTGTGCGGCCTGCTGGACGTTATTCCAGACCGCGTGCAGCAGCCGCACATTCTGAGTCACCTGCATTAGATATGCCGCCTCTCTCCCAGCGACGTTTGAAACGAAAGGATACAGATGTCATTTCTTGGGAATCAAGTCCGGCCCGTAAGCGTAGCAAGAGAAAGCCATTTGTATCCATACGACATAACCCGTGGATGGATGGAGAAGCCGCACACTCTGGTGACGAAGCAAGTGAGGGATCGTCGCACTCGGAAGATGATGTTGAGAGCGATTCCGATCGGCAGTTTATCAAGGACATCGCAAACACTCAGGTGTCTCCTTCTTATGATCAGTCGCTCGCTTATCAAACGGGGTTGCTCACACAAGCCCCGCCGGGAGGTCCTGCGTTTGCTACCAGACCTGTGAGGAGGGGAGTATACGCCAGAGGAGAGAGTGCAAAGCGCCGCGCTGGTGTGTCAAGTTCTCCCATACGTGAGGACGATTTGCTCGACGAGTATGCCATTGGCAGCTTTGTTGTAGATGATGATGAGGACATCATTTGATCAAATACATATTCATTATCCCGGTGTCTATTCTGCAGTCGGGACTACGGTACGGTCTTAAAGGCTCTGGTGTTTCATGCACATGCTGTGGAGAACCAGTGAATTATAATATTTACAAGTGCTCCTTACACCTTCGGACGTTTTCGATCGTCAATCACAATAGGAGATGTCTGTACACTACGTTTGCCGTTGTCTTTTCCTCTTTCTCCCTTCCGAATAGCGATCGAATGTCTCGTCGACATCGCACTCTCGATAGTGCGGTGTATAGCTGTCCGTGTGCGAACGAATCTGTGCGCAAGTCAAGCACGGCTTTCTCTAGTGTCAGCCCTTGACATCCGTTGAATGTCGTCGCATAGGCAGGTCGCAGAGGAAACTGTTTGTGATTTACAGTCCAGCTTGAACGTGCTGAATTGAAAGTGAACGTGATCCGAGGCAAGCCATGTATCTCTCCGGTATGAGGAATCTAAACCTCAACAAATCTGCGATGAAGAGCGGTGATGCAGACTCGCGCATTTCGCACCAATCCGTTTTCGACGGACATGTTACGTTGTATTGCGCACACAGCATTCACTTTGAGATCTAATCGATGAGGCCTGGGTGTGTTCGGATGAGTCAACATCACGAGATAGTCTGGAGTCTGCTCGAGACAGGAAGATCTCCAACGCCGTCTTCTGGATCATAAGAGGGTACAAAGCCATCCATCTTCCAAAGCGTTTTTTTTCGGCTCCAAAGCATAACGAGTAGCATTTTGAATACCTACGACGCCGTGAAATGAGCATGCAGAGGCCATGGTGATAAAAGCAGAGGAATACAGTTAGGAGAGAAACTTGTGATCGCATGTGGAGCTCGGTGGCGTGCAGTTGTAAAAGGAGGAGTAGAGACATGGAGATAAGCGAACCGCCCACGCAAATAGGAGACTGCCAAGCGCACAGCGATAGTGAGCGCTCAAGCAAATCGGACAGCATGTGGAATTCAGGTGGAGCACAGACAGGAGAGTCACGCGAATTGGTTCCGCGGGATCAAACGTTTCGTCCTTACATATGTTAGACTAGTATCTACTGCTAGGTACCCGTTCAAATTGAAATTCAAGAATTGTCCTCCCTGGACGCTTTGTGTGATCCCCGTGCGTTGTCCGTAAATTCTTGATCGAGTCGCTCGGACGCGACCCGAGTCATGATTAGGTTTAGGTCGATGACAGTCTGCATGGAAGATGAGTCAATGCACCCCTAATCATTGAGGCTACTTACGTGGCACACTCAATAGCACTCTCATTAGAAGTGAGCATCATGGGGCAACAAGGGGATATGTACCGCATAGTCGAGCCAATCTAGTAGCATGGATGTTGACCTTGGAATTCAGGAGACTACGAATCAGAAGGACCCTGGACATGATTAGGTCAACGACGAACATGTCCCAAATGCTGCTTAGGCTGGTGACTGGTTTGTGTAATGCCAATGCGGGGCAAGAAGATGCATGGCATCTAAAAAGTCGACTTGGTCGAAGTTCCTCTCTCAAAGTGCTTTAGAGCAGTTCGCTTTTGGTTTAGTTCAGGTTTGCGTTCGTAGGCACACATTTTTGGTTATGTGCTCAGCATCTCCACCAATCGCATGAGTGCGCTACTGAAGTCGTAAGCGTTCATTTCAGTGGTTTTGCAGATATGATATCACAGTGACACGCTAGCAGCACACGAACCCCTGGCAGGCCCCAAGTCAAATGAAGTGGACTCCAATGGAATCTGATATGCCCCAAGCCAAGTCGCTCAGGACTCAGACGAAGAAGGACTGACCACGGCCTGACCTCAGCATCTGGGTCCTTATGGACCTTCAGCCAGGTATAAAGGTCGCAGCACGTCCTGTTACGCTTCTCTATCAACGATCCCCTCTCGCTCAGCTACTTAGTAAAATTTAGTTTCAGCACTTACACGATGATTCAAACTGGCAATTACAAGATCCAGAACGTCATGTTCAGCACCCAGTTCGCTGACTTGGCAAATGCTAACCCAGCAGACGGCACCGAGGTCATGGGTCACGAGGAAGATGGCACCGCAGCCGGGCAAAAAAACCGTACAGTACGCGTGCATCATTAACATGCATCCTATACTCATCGACGCCATAGTTCTACATTGAGGTCGTGAACGCGGTTCTGGGCCTTGCGACAATCAAGAATGAGACCAGCGGGACTTATGTTACCATCAACGAGACGGTCGGTTCATCTGGTCTTGACAAATGCAGATCGCTCGCTGACAATGTGAAATGACAGACCAACAAGGTCGAAGGCAACCACAAGTCCCAGGAGCTTCAGTTCTCCACTGAGGGCGGGGGCGATTACGTGTGAGTGGCAATGGTCTTCGGTTCTAACATCGGTTCCTGATATCGAGAATTGGAATTTGACTCGTCTCCTTTGTTGTCTGCAGGATCCATCGGTACAACGTCAACAATGTGTGGGTCCTCAACGAACCTGCCGACTGGACTCAGGTTCGTTTTTCGTTGGTGACCTTCCTCGGCTTTAGACCGACGACGTTGCTCTAGATCACTACTGCTCCAGCTCCTCCTCCGGGCACTGCGGACTTCACGAAGAAGTACTGGCAGTTCGTGAAGCAGTGAGCTTGAAGAAGTTTCGGAATGCAAGGAGACCTAGTTGTTGTTGCTTTAACTTGTCTATCGGAGAATGATTGTACGTTTAGCCCATTGTACGTTTAGCCCACTGCGGTGGTGATGTATGGAAGAAATGTTTTGTGTCTCTGAATCGGAGAACCCTGGGGTCATAAAACATCCGAGACTCCGAGAACCTAGAAAGATCTAGATAGGGAGATAGGAGAAAAAACTGCACGCTGTGATCAGCTGCAGTGGAGCACAGGTGGAGCGCGCACATGGAAGTCATACGAATTGGTTCCGCGGGACCAATCCGTTCCGTCCTTACATATGTTAGATTTCCGTTTGACACTTACATACAGTCTAATGCAAGTCTAACGTGTGGGTTCGAATCCTAGCAAAATCTGAACTTTTCGACCGTCGGTGCAGCGAGATGCCATCCATTGGTTCGGTAATGTAATGAACCACTGCTACGTTCATGACTTCTTAGCTGTGGATGTACAGTACCGTTTCGCCGCTATATCTGAAGCAGCTCACCAGGTATCTCCGTGCACTGACACATTCTATGTACGTACTGCATCTTACTTTCGCTCGCAGAAGGAACAATTCGGACGATTTCAAGAAGATGAACAGTCCTGTCACGACAAGCTATCATGACTTGTCACTTTATATAAAATACAATAACTTTGATCGCAACCTTGGTCACGGTAGGTCCACTTGATTTTCAATATCATCTCATCTGATATTCCTTGATCAACCTAGCGGGAGGGAGGCGGGAAAATTGCTCGTTTCCACGACTTGAACACCCCAATGGAAACTTGCAGACTTTGTTCTTCTACAGAAATAGGTCCGATGACCCAGGAGATGACACTCTTTACTCAGGTTGCCAGACACCCAGCAATTGTACTCGCTCCCGGCCGTCGGGACCCTTCACGGTCGCGCTTCGACTTGAAAAAGGTGTGGATTGTCCCTAGTACCTTTTTGTTGAGGAGACTGCCCGTGAGTGCTTCTCTGGACCCTACACTGTATCAAAGAGACGTGTGCTTTTGTATTTTCATGAGCACGTGCCCGTGTAGACCGCATCGAGCACAAGGCGCGAGGTATAAGACCTGGAGTTGGAAGCAGACTTTGACTCCAGCAGTGCAATACCCCTCCAGTAATATCACATCTAAATCTAGATACACGCGTCAAGTCAATGCCGCGAAACTCACAGCCCCAGCTAAAGCCTTCTCTCCTCTCCCGCACTAGGGGCTCGCGTCGACGATACCCCGCCTCATGATAATGAGGGGAAGCTTTCCCCGCAAGCATCGAGGCTAGCCACTTCAACGAGTCACGCTGGTCATCACCCCCAAGCCAAGCAGGTACGACTCTGAATCTGAAAATGGTTCGATCTCATTGAATATTCGGTGTAGCATATGCCGGACTCTTCTTTCATTGATGTTGAACGTCCAATCTATTGCCATGTTCCTGCTACCCGCAGAACGCCAGCCTTTACACCGGGCACAGTCACTCAAGAGTGGAACAACCATGCTTATGGCATCTTAGCAACTGTGTCCATCTCCGGATCCCCCGCCGGGTCCGATCTAAAGGCCATGTCTATTGACGAGGGGCCGCTGGACTCTAGACAGTCTCGGAAAAGGAGTTCCAGAATGTCTGTTGATCCTTCCCCGTTGACAGGCACCTATCGCAAGGCTTCGTCCCAGATGTCGGTTGATCCATCTTCACCGTATGTTGATCAAAGCATTCAGCGGAAGGCTTCATCGCGAATGTCGGTTGACGTTCCTTCTACCTGTCGAAGCCGAGGATCATCAGATCGGATGCTGATTGACGAGATCCAGCACCACTATCCTGCACAGAACCTCCAACAGCAGGCAAATATTCACGGTGTTGCCTCATTTAACGCTCTCCCGACTGTCTCGCCGACCATGATGATATGTTCTCCCAATATTTCAACACATTTGCCGCGCGAACGTACGCTCGCGTCATGCGCTTCGCCTCCCACCTCCATTCCTATATCGGTTACATATCATGACAGAGGTTCTGCTCGCGGAGAAGCCAAGTTGGCATCGATGCCTTCGTCACGACTATCATTTCTACAGTATGCGAAGGACAAAGAAAACCAAGCCACCTTTCCACCACCACCAGCCTATTCCTGCACAGACACATCAAGGCCTTCTCCTAGCCTAATCACCAACTCCCCGGATCTTCCTCCGAGTCGGTCAGACTCCGTGCCAGCTGCACCTCTCGGAACATTTCCCCAGAAACATGGAACTCCTACTCCTACTTCAAGGAAAGGGAGTGGATCGCCCACCACGGAGCGAAAGGCTATTCATTATCAATCCCCTCAGACCAATAGGAGTCGTGTTCGTACGCGAGGATCGTCCTCAGGAGACTCGGAGGCCAGTCATAAGCGCCATTGTGTCCGACAAGATAGCCAGCCCATTGCTCTTCTCTCCATCGATTCTCGTTCAGCATGCGACCCGCTTCTGCAATCACCTCAGTCGCTCTCCCCCATCGATGAGGTTTGGCTCCCGCCTATGGAGCAGCAGTTGGAAATGGCCCGCAAGTCAGAGCTGAAGGCCAGGTTTAGGAAGTTCAAAGCTGTCATCGGCGAGGCTGTCGACGAGATCAAGCAGGCAATTGTGCCCTATAATAAAGACCACTGCAAGCGCAAAGTTGCTCGCACATACACCAATTCCGAGCCCTTCTCAAGTATTCCTGAGTACCTCAGTTCTACAAAGCGTTGCGAACTACCTAAACCCACAAGTCCCCGTTCCCAACAATGCACGTCATTTGACATTGGGAATGATATTGACCATATCACTCAAACATGGACGAACCTCACGCTGTGCGATTCTCCAACAGCATTACGAGGGGATGGTGGGGCCGTCCAGGGCGAGGCACCCCATCTTTCTTCATTTCTCCCAAGAATCAACGAGCCTCCCAGGAACCCAAGCAGATTACCATCCGATCGTAGAACTGCAGATGGTGGCGCAGTTACACAGTTCTCGAGTGGCGACGAAGTCGAGATATATACGGGGGACGCTGCCAACTTGGCCGCTCCCACGTTTCGCCGACGCAGGACTGCTGATGCCATTCGATGTCAATGGAGCGGTCATACCTCGGCTGCCTAAAAAGAATCATCGTAAAGTGGGTCGACGAAGATATAATAGTCTACACACATGTTAATTTCAAAATATTATGATACTGGTAACTGTAATAACGGACTTTACCTCATACGGACTTATAACGCTGCACGATAGATATAGACCAGGAATTCATGATTGTACTTCCTAGATCTCATGGATTGATTGGCAGGCATAAGCGAGCGATTATCGAAAGATATGTAACTTAGGGCTTGAAGGCTGAGACTTCAGGAAGGTTCGTCAAGCCGCCAGCAGGATTAAAATATACCGGCACCGAGTACAATACAAATGCAATTCCAAGCATTGTCAACATCTGTATGATCAAAACATGCCCATACCATCTTCATCACCGTCGCCCCATCCAATAGCAACAACTTCTTCTTCCTGTGGACGGGGAGAAGGACGGCGTCCTTGAGACGGCGAAGCACTCCGCATATCGTCCGGATGTGCATCTTTTGTGGTGGCAGTTTGTAATGAGGGCGCGGTGACATCTTGTGGTCTTGCTTGCGAGGGCTGGGCAGTGTGCCATGACATTTTCACTGGCCCTACTGCGGCGATAGTTGATCCCTTGGCAAAACCCTGGACAGAGTAAGCGCGTGTTAAATATGTCAGGTCATCTCTTGACTAACCTGCTCGGCAGCAGCTCTCGTCCTAAAACTGACGAGAACTTCATCATCACCAATGATCTCTGCTGATTCGAGCTGACCGGTGGTCTATGATTATCAATGAGTCAACGAGCCACACATTTGGAAATGAACAATCTCGACGTACTTCATACCAATCCCGCAATGCTTGCAGACTGTCTTCGCGAACACCCTTGACCAACAGCTTCCTTGGACGGTTGTCGAGTTTCATGCTTGCCCTGGGAGGACCGCCTCGCGGTGCTCCGCGATAGAAGGCGCCACGTGCCCCGCGACCGCGACCCCTGAATCCACGGTACGGTGCACCATACGAGGTCTCAGCACTGGTCTCCGATATTCCAAGACTCGCTGCCTCCTCCCTTAGTTTTGCAAGTTTAGCCTTAAGTTCCTCCGTAGACTCCCCAACAGCATGCAACTCAAGCTCCTTATCCAACCGCTCTCTCTCCTTTTTTTCGTGATCATTCTGAGTGGCCGGGACGGGTGCAGGCGAATGGACCTTGGCGGGAGTAGCTGACGGTGATGGTACTGATGGCAGAGTCATCTCTTCTCCTAACTTCCGCAATCTTGCCAGAATCCCTTTCTTCTCCTCGGCGGAAGCGGTCTCTAATGAAGACATTAAAGACTTCTGCTCCGCTATCTGCTGCTCCAGCAGCTTCTGCTTCGCTGCGAGCTCTGACACAGCGGTAGACTGAACGGGCTGTTTACGCGCGGGAGTCGTGGCGTGCGATACAGGAGGCTGGGATGGTGCAGAAGGCTTGGGAGCGTCTCGCGCAGTCAGGTTGGCTAGTAGTGGTGCAGAGGCTGCTAGCATTCGTGATCCTGTTTGCCCATGTCCTTCCATGGGCCGATGCCAAAAGACCTTTACAAACCGGTTCCCAAAAACAGCATCCTCTGACTTCCATGCAGCATGCGCCTCGGTGTGCTCAGAGAAACTCACGAGCGCCTTGGCGCTGCGAACATCGATTGCAACGTTGGTGACCGTCCCAAAGCGCTTGAACCAACCATTGACAGCGTCAAGGCTAAGCTTGTCCTCTGGAATCTTTTCTACCACGAGTGTTTTATCTTGCCGTCGTTCTGGGCGGAAGGTCTGTGCATCAGCACCAAAAACCCCTCGGCCACGAGGTGCACCCTTCATCCCTCCTCCGAATCCACCACGCATACTGTACGTCGAGGGCCCAGGCACATTTGGAACACCCATCTCCACGTCCATGGGTTGAACTGGTTGCTGCTGTATAGGTGTGGAACTCTGTGGGACGCGGTCTGCTGGGGGTGCGATCGACGATGCGGACTCTGGAGCCATCTGAGGAGTTAGGTCCTGTATGACCGGAAGTTCACCAGACCTGTCCGCCGCATGAGTAATTTGACCGCCGTCCTCTTGCGGAACTCTGGGGAGTAGAGGTGCACGTTGGGTCCCACGACCCATGCCAATGCCGCCGCCATTCGGGCGCATATCCATGCGTGCCTCGTGTGGGTCATAGGGGGCACCTTGCGCCATGCCAAATGGTATTCCACCAAACATTGGTAAGAATGGCACAGCACCATTCATAGGAAACATTTGCGATGGGACGAAAGCATCGTCACCGTGACTATACTTGCATAGTGCACCACGAGCACAATATCCATTATCTGTAGCGACAGGTGAGCAGCGCCCTTAGATCGTTATGAGAGAGCAAGCGCACTATGATAATCACGACAAATTCCCTTTCTTTGGTCTGGGGGTTGATAATTTTGCTGTCGTCGAGTGTTCACATTTTGATTACTGCCATTCATCCCGACACCCATTATACCATTCATCATCAATCCTTGGCCCCCAGCCTTATTTTGACCACCACTCCATGCGCCGGTGGAGCGAGAGTCACGACCATTGGAATACCGTGAAAATTGGCCTTCCACACTTAACCGAGCACCTTTAGTGGGTGGGCGCCCGTCACGTTCATCATGTTCGAGTGATCGTTTCTGTCCTCTGTCCGTCGGCGAATGATTGGATAAAAGAGCATCCAGAGGTATAGGAATTCCAGTATCTGCGGACTGTGGATGTGAGGGCAATGAGAAAGAACTTGTTGGGTCGCTGGCCGTGTAAGGGAGATACGACTTGGTTCTGAGAACAGTGAATAATGTATCTATAAATGAGGGTCCCTCTGATACCAAATTAAGACCGAGACACAGATTGCACAGACAACACGCACCTTTCTCTAAAAACTCTTCCAGTTGGGAGCTGAGCTCTTTCCTCATCTCGTTTTCCGGGACATTGTGCTTCAGTAAAGCGAGAATGTATTCAGCAAGTGCCCCAGGCTCCGCGTCACATCTACATATGCCAATCATTGTCAAAGGTGACAAAGACAGAATATCCGACGGTACTCACATTGGTTCCAGAGTTCGAACCAACCAGGGCTTTAGGTGTTGTGCAGAGGTTGGGTCGTAAAGCATTTTTACCAGAGAAAAAGGGTGTATAGAAGAGTCAGACAGCCAGCCTGAGTGTCTTGGGTTATCGAGGAAGCAGAAAAAATTAACGACGGAAGAAGTAGGATGGACGACCAGACCGATGCAAGTAAATGCTCAGGTGGATGCTTTGCCAGGACTGCCAGGATGATGAGTTTGCCCTATGACTAAGCCTATAGAATTTAGAAGTTCTGCTTAGTCAATGTCACATAATCGATGGTAGCTCCTGAGTAAGACCATGACAGTCGTTCCTTCTATGTGCTCCTAAGTCAACAACTGAACGACACTAGCATTTCCGAACATCGCTACTGGTCGCTAACAGCTGAACTCGCTAGCTTGATTTCGCACAATCTTCATCAAGACACGTAACAAGCCACGTCCAACCAGTACATGACGTGTATGTTTGAGCAATTATATACGTACCATTGCTTTCTCCGTTACAACGTGCTCCAGCACGATGGCCTCGTGTTGTCAGACGAATGAGCATGCGTCGCAATGATCTCAACCTTGTTGGCAGCGTTTCACTCCACATTTAAAAGAGGAGTTAAGGTTAAAAATATGCACGTTGGTAGAAATCAAAGCCCAGGCAACTTGAACATCTGTGACTGCGAGTTACGCTTTAGCCTTGATCTGTACAAACGAGTGTACTTCGTATATCATCTCTGCGAGAGCTTCCCCTCAGAGGCCGCCTGTCGTGCTCGTGCATAGAGCCCAGGATGACGCCAACAACAGCGCACTGATCTGTTAATGATAGAAGGCTTGCCAGTCTCGCCGGTGCCCTGGAATTATCGTGGGTATCGAACCCCGGATAGACCTTTATAGCGGTCCGTCTCTGATAAGACATGCAAATCACAGAAAAGAAACAAAAAGTCAGAGGCTAGGACACCAGTTATGAAACTTATTTCAAAGTACAACCAACTGATTCTGCCATATTACGATCGCCACGAAACCAAGGAAATATATTCTAGTAGATAGATACCCTGTTTGTAGATCAAGTTGCACTACTGCGCCACGACGTAGTTCCAGTCGCTCTTGATAGCGCCCGTCTGGATACCCACTAGCTCTGTCCAAAGAGGTTTCGAGATGGGACCCATACCGTCCTCACCGGTAGGAATCATGACATCACCTCCATTGTACCCAATTCTGTCGACAGGGGTGACAACAGCAGCCGTGCCGGTACCGAATAGCTCGACAAGCCTACCCTCCTTCGAGGATTGAATGATTTCGCCCATATTAATGGGGCGCTCCGACACCTTGATGATATCAGGAAGACCCTGGAGGCGCTTGACGCCCGAGACGTGGTTACGTGCAAGGGCTAGCACAGAGTCGCGGGTAACACCTGGGAGAATCATTCCATCGAGAGGGGGCGTGATGAGTTCGCTTACTGCGAAGGCAATGAATTTAACATGCGATTGGGACACTGCTGAGATGAATGCTTACTACCGTCCTTGTCCTTGATAACGGCGAACAAGTTCATGGTGCCCACTTCTGTAAGCCAGTGCTCGGGACCATGCAACCACAAGTTTTGTGCGTAGCCCTGTTTCGCCGCACTTTTTTGCGCGACAACACCTGGAGCGTAGTTCGCGGCAAGCTTATATGCACCGGTACCTTTAGCCATAGCGATTATGATACTAGATAGGGGAGCGAATAGTAGTAAATACCTCCGGGCGCCGCGCGAATGTACTCTGTCGTTCCATGTAATGGCACAGGCTTGAACCCACGAGGGTAGTACGGTCCTACAGGGCTGGTGATCACGAAAAGTAGTGCCTCGCTGGGTGGCGCAACACCTAAAGTGCCATTCGTGCCGACTGCAGCGTCATTGTCCTCAGTATTCGCGTCTGCAGGGAGGGTAAAATACCCACTTAATGTAGGTCGGATGTAAAGACTGTGTCCGGACTCCTTAGGTATCCAGTGACGGTCAAGGGAGATCAACTCCTTTATGCATTCAAGAAGCGCGTTTCCGTCGAATGCCTGTGGGGAAAAGGTATGAACATCGTTCAGAAGAGAAGAATAGAGCGTACTGGAAGCGCTACCCGCTGTGCGCTGGTGTTCATACGTTTCATGTTCATGTCAGGTCGGAACAACGTCACAGTACCATCATCGTGTCTATAGGCTTTCATGCCCTCAAATAACGATTGGGCATAATGAAGCACGGTAGCGCTAGGAGACAGATTGATGGTGCTGACTGGAATATGAGAGGAAATATCGGTGAAAGTGATAGCGAAAGCGGAGAAGCTCACAAGGCACAATGTTGGGTGCTTCCCAGCCATTAGCTTCAGTCCAGGAGATTCTCAGCATGTGATCTGACTGGGATCGCGATGAGACGCAACACATAAGGAACATGAGAAAATGACTCACGAATGTCCGTCCGAAGAGAAGACTTTTAGAGGGAGGAAGTTCCTTTGGGCTGGTTGTTTTGGTGATAGTGAGTCGGGAGGGCTTCGTGGGTGGTTAAAATGAGAAAAAAAGCAATATGATTGCACATACCTCGATACCGAGCGAAGCAACAGCTTTCCCCGTCGCAGAGTCCTGACCGACATCCTGGGACATGTACCGACTCCCAATGGCAGTAGGCCGCCATGATGAGCGAGTTGCAGTGAGCCTTGTAAAACGGGATGGCGTTGAACGTAACCGAGCGAACGACATGTCTAAGCCCGTGGGTATGAAGAATGCAGCGAAAGGGTATGTTAAGATACTTATATCTAACGACGCTTTTATATGATCCGTTGTACTCACCGAGTCACGAGGGCTGGCACGGGGAGGCAAGCCACGTGGTTTTCTCGAAGGGCAGCGGCAATCATGTCAACATCAGAATTCAAACGGCAGTACTGCATCACGGTAGTAGTACTACATAGTCCCAGAGTGAGTCGATTTGCCTTATTTTTACTTCCAGAACTTTCATAATGTCGTGTTTTAGCGGAGTGGCGGGAGGTACGTGGATGATTTGAATTTAGAATGACTCGGGTGAGTCTTCACCCCTTCGAATCATCGATTTATTAGTAGCATTCGTTTTGGTGGTACGTACACTAGGGATGCCAGCGTCGTATTTCTCATTCCCGGCGGCGGTAGCGAGGTGTGCAGAATGACTCAAGCCCAACTCCAGCCTTCAAGACTGTGCACTCCCTCAAGACTTCATCAAATAGACTGCACAATCCATGATAAGTGTCGAAATTGTTATCATTTTCATAAAGACACTAGGGTACACAAAATCATCGCTCGCTCACAGGATACGCAGATATCTAATGCCCTGTAGGATTTCAAAAATGCTGTCTTGGTCATCCTGTTCTCCATCACGAAACATATCCCGCATTAGGTTCACAGTGGATTCGTTGGCCTCGTCCATAAATGCAGGTTTGTTGTGGTGAGTTGGCCCGGCCTCGCAGATATCTCGACATGGGAGGCGACGCGGACGACTGGCGGATGGAAGATCTTGAATCATATCAACGATGCGCTGTGTGTGGGTGCTATTGACACCGATCGAGGATTCTAGAGTCACATTGGACTGAATGCAAGATTCATCCTTGACATCTGCCATCTTGTGGTCCGCTGTGATATCCACCTTGGAATCCACCAAGCCCTCGACGCCTGATGTCCATTGCGGCGGCTCATTGTAGTTGCATTCGTATGAGAGTCGACGCCTTACGAACGGCAACATTTTGTTCACGTCGCAGATGCCAATAAAAGCTCGCTTGCGCTTTGGACTGGTTTCTCCACATTCGTATCCGTCGTATGCTTCGCCGTAGACGTGCTGGCGAGCATAGTGCACATGAAGAACTTCGAGGTCTGGTATTGTCGATCGCCGAGAAAGGTTCGGCAAAGCAGACTTACGCCAGGAAGCAGTGCGGGACTGGATGCGCTTCATTCTGTCCTCGAGTGTCCAAAATCGCGCATTTTGTGAGCGTGGCCTCAAGGGACGCTTTGGTCTCGGAATTGAATGATAGGAGGTTGGGGATGACAGCGTCCCTGACGTCTCCCCTGCATGAGATGAAAGGAATTTAGCCTCTAGTTCGACCTAACGATGAGAGGTGAGGAGCCAGCGAAAGTTCTCTGGAGAATGTCTCACCCAGTAATTCGCAGTACATCGCAAAAACGGTGCTCCCTGAACATCGATGGAACCCTGTCCCACTGAAGCATCGATGCTGCGATTTGAAGAGAAACAGACTGGGAATTGGTAGGTGTATTGTCCGACCATAGTAGCCAGCTACGAGATTGGATGAGTGCGTAGGATGGAGAAGAAGTTGAGGGATATGATGACAAAATATAGGGGTAGGAAAGGATTAGGACTTTATACCGTGTGTCTTGAATAGAGTCGGATGTCTCACTTGCATCATTCCAGTTTGAATTCCGTGATATTTGATATTTCTCTGGACCATTGGCACCGTTCTATGCGGTGATATGTTCTGTATACGCCACCTAGTGGGTCGAGTACTTATTTCCAGTGCTTCTTTGAAGTGAGAAGACAGTACATAACATATTCACTTGACTCGTTCAACGACCTGGAAGATTTGTAATATCCGCAAAGGGTTCGCAAGGGCAGTCACAATGGACAAGCGTTGGTATGCCCGCTGGGGGTTGGCACGGGTGGAGGGGTTACAGTCGTATAATTACTTGTAAATATTTTTACAACAACAGTTATGGAAGAGTATCCAATAAAAGACTCACAAGACCGACGAAAACCGACGCTGAGGAACATGTCAGGACAAGGCCGCCGATCCAGGCAGCCTTGGCCAGTGCAGCCTGAGCTGTGGTTTCGATGATCGTAACATATGCAGTAGCCTTTCCCCTACTAATCATACTGGAATTGCAGAAGCATGTATCGTAGAAGCCAGAATACTGGAGAATACACGTCAAGACCACCCAGATGGAGTTTGCAACGGCCAACAGTTTGCCCATTCTCCGTAGCCAGTGCGAGAGCACCAGAGCAACACGTGCAGACAGTGGCGGTCGACAATAATAAGCTGCGGAGTAATGGGCGAGAATACTGGACATCAGGAGCATTATCCAAATGAAAGTCGATACAACTCCATAAAGGAGGTAACCCAGAGAATCACACCCAATGCCCTGCCCGAAGTTAGCTGACATATCACGTATACCAAAAAAAAACGCACTGTCGTAGGAATGAACCACTCTACCATAAATGCTGCTCCGACTGTTCCCCATTGTAATGTAAGCGAAGCACATGACGCGAGAGCCATTCGTGTGAACACGCCAGGCGCCCAATGGCTGCGCCATGCACCGTCGGGTGGTGCGCAGTACGCGGTGATTTCCTGAGGGGACCCACGTCGATTGCTGGGGTGGATAGTTTTGATATTGTGCGACTCGACCCATTCACTCTCAGAATGGACGGGAATATGGCTTTCAGCCTTCTCTGATGCCACTTTAAACGCCAGGAACATAGTCTCTGCTGTAGATGCCCATCGCAGCGAACGTGAATAATTAAACACCGGAGGGGTGAGGAGTTCGTCCGGAGACATCACATCATCCTCCTTAGCAGTTATTGTTAAAGCTCTTTGGGTGGACGCAGGTGGCGTTCCTGCATGAGCATCTGCCCATCCTGTGCGCGCGTGTTGGTCGGCGCGATCATAAGCTGCTTGTAAGCGATGGAAATCGCATTTCGGGGAGAGTTGCAGCCATCCAATGACTATTGGAATCAACCACAGCCACATTGAACTAGTGGCTTCGCTACCGGCTTGAGAGTTTGCATAAGCATCTGACGGGGTGTTGACTATAGACAGGATATAGGCGATGACGACCCAGGCGATGGAGGTTGCAGACGCGATTGACCATGTATGAGTGTAGTCCACCAATTCAGAGAAGTATTTCCACCAGGTGTCGTTTTCCGGAAGGACGACAAGAGAGGGGAAGCGTGTGCGATCGGAATGCAGTCTTAGCGGGACTTGCTGAAGGCTGCTTATAATAGAGACTGCGAAACGTGAATTAGGATAATGCACTGATTGACTAAATCGGCGGTTGATCCAGCGCGAATTGAGGAGGGTAATGAATAGAGAGTAACCAGCAAGTGCCGGTGACCCAACGGTTAACACAGCAGACATGAGATTATCAAGCCTGTACTGTGCCCCAAAGGGGAGCTGTGAGATCAGTGCAAGGTATGGCAATAGCCACGAACTGAAATCTTGCGACAATATATCCAAATAAATACCCCGTTTGCTGCCACAGAAGGAGGTACACAGCGAGTAGCTTATCGCTGTCGCATCGAATGTATTCGACACGGGATCTCCATTGCCGTCGAGGAGACCAATTAAATCATGGGTAGCATTTGCATTCGCTGCAATGTCAACCAGACACTGAGTCCAGTTGTGTCCAGCGACCTTTTCGACAGACTGCACCAATAGTAAGAGACCTACTAGGAGGGAGAAGAAATGGGTAAGAAACCAGAAAGCCATGGTCCACTCATTGCACTTACATGCCCGAGAGCCTGTGTGCAAGCGCATGCTTTAACAGCTACGCAAGGTAGATATGACGAGTACGATTTTAATAGTGCCAATATTTTGTAGAAAACCTCTTACCAGATTGTCTGTCGAAAGGAAAGGCTGCTCAGGTCAAAGCATCTGGGCGTGTTTTATATGTGTGCAAATGGGCGTCCTGAGGTTGCCCTCCTTGTCAATGCTATCTGTTGTGATTGGTTCCTGTGTATGCCAAGGAAGATAACGTTTAATGAGTGCGAGGCGAATGGCAGCGGCGCACATCCGAGCCTGAATTGCGGTATGTGCCTATCTCGGAGCAGGGAAGTGGTTTGCTCGTCAACAACAAAAGTGATCGGAGTTCTCGTATTCACAACCGATTGAAGATGAATGTCATTTTCGACGCACTTCCATAGGTGAAAAGGCTGCATCGTGAAACGAAAAGGCGTGAATTCGAATGGACTGACGTAGTCTAGAGCCAGACGTTCTGGGAAGCGGAGTTGAAAACATCACCGCTGGCGCTTCCCAGAACAACTAGAGGGAGGTCCTAGAACGTCTGGTTCGAGACTGGGATTGACATAGCATTCGGACGCACTGCCACTGCTACCCTGTTGTACCCCAGGGCAGAGCCCGCCATTTAGTTGATATTGATATTTGGTAAAACGTGAAAATAGTGCATGCACTCTCAGTCCAGTAGCGGAATTAATACGGCTGGCCCAACGAGTTGGTTTTTGCTGTATCGTCAAGTAGAACTTTTGGCGGTGGCGCGAGCCGAATAGATTACGAATATGTTTCGTGCAGCAAGAGCGGAAGACACCAAAAGCTACTTGTGGCTGCTCGCTGCGCTCAACGTCTTGAGAGATCGTGAATCGTCTATTACAAATCGCGCACGTTGAACATGCAGGAGAGGAAGGGTTCTAGTGCGTTATTCGGCCAATAATCAAACACGGAATTGTCAGCATGCAATCTGGAGATGGTTCAAATGTTCCTGATAAGTTCCTGTGGCGACTTGTAAGTACACGGACAAGGAGTCTGGCGGTGCGAGGACTCGATGACGTGCGAAAAATACGTACACATAATATAAAGAATGATGACGCTGTCACTGTCAGCTCTACCAACTCATCACGGGTCATCACAATATGTAAATACTTATACTATGTGTCCATCAACTATTATTTTGACGAGATGCGATGGATTGTTCACGAGGGCATTCCTGCGCTCCCTGTTCGTGCTAAATGGCATGTGCTAGAGACTGGGTGGACCCTTCGGAAAGTGGTGGTGAGGATCGTGAGAGACTGCGACGTCGGTCTCTCGTGGAATCGTCTTGCTGATGTTGCACAGCATAAGGCGCGCCATTAAGTTGCTCTTCCGTACTGTTCTGGGTAGGCATTGGAGGAATAGCAGGGGAACCAATCGCAGAGGAATGATACGACGATGACGGTGTGTAGGAGGAAGTCCTCTGTCGAGCATTGGACGGTGAAGCTCCGCGCTGGTGCACAGCAGAAAGTGCGGGCGGATTTGGTCCTTGTCACAGCAATGAGCTCGGAAATTCACGGAAAACAGGAACGCTCGTAACTCACGGATATAATCAGAGCTCACCGACCTGTGCAGCGGGGAAGCCCACATATCGACCATGGTCGTGCGCGATGACGTCTGGGTATCCACGCCCAATCGACCTGCTTCTGGTCCAGACAAATATGGATGCAGAGAAGGAGCGAGAGGAGCCGGTAGTACGACTTTGACCTGACTATGTGGTCCATGTGGAACACCTATGATAGTGCTTCTGCCAGAACTCTTCGTGCTTCGGATCGAGGCGCTGGAAACTGCAGATGGAGGACCAGTACGGCGAGAATATGAACGGGGAAGTGTAGCCTGGGATGGCGAACGGTGGGCAACAGAAGCTGAAGGAGGAGTAGATGGAGTAGAGCCCAGAGAGCTGCTACTAAGACGCCTGGCATAATTAAATGCAGGGTTTGGCGTTTGTAGAACTTCTTCGTCTTTGCCTGGGGGCGGCGGCACACCTTGGCCATCACCTTTCTCAGCCAGATACAGACTTGACTGTCGCGAAGGAAAAGTATTGTCGTACTTTGCAGGAAGAAGGGAAGAATCACTTGCGGCGGGCGATAATTCAAATGACGGGGAAAGGCGTGAAGATTGGGAGTATGTTGTCGACATATCGGGTCGTTCGGTAAATTCTGTCAGCCGCTGCTTACGGTAGTGAGCTATAGGCTGCACGGGAGGTAGGGGGGTGGAACGTCGAGCGAATCGGTGGCGTAGGAACCGAAAAAGACCGTACAAGATCAACATGCCTACAACAGCACATAGAACCACGATGATGATGGTGGTTGTGTGGTTGGTACCGGTCCCGCTAAAAATTTGGATGGCGACTTTGCGTCTTGAATTATAGTGAAAGTTAGGATTGAGGTCCATATTGAAAGGAGGTAAAGAGCGTCGGATTGTTAACGAGTGACGGCAGATTCTAGATGGGTAGATGGCGCTGGTGACCGAACATGTGTTAGCCTACGGAACCGTGGAAGAAAGTTTTATGACGCACCAACCAATATTATGGTAGGTCGGACGGACAGCAACGAGTGAACTGAACCGTCTACCTGGTCAGAGTTGGAGAGTGTGAAAGAAATACTTGGGAACGTGCATCCAGCTACCCCTCCCAAGTGAAATTCATTGATTTAACGCTAGTTACGTAATTATGATGGATGACCCGCCAGAACTTCGGTTGTACTTATATCGCGTCGATGGCGAGCAACGTCCGTCCTCGCTCAACGCCTTCTGTGACGTCCAACGCGACGAAGTCGAATCAGCAACAGCAACAGCCGCAAGCGACACTCGCAAAGCGTCTCCTCTTTCCACACTTACCACCAGGCTCAGACTTGCCGCCGTTGTTTGCTTCACCAACATGCTCTCCCGAACTTAACGCTGAGGCCTATGATTTTCTTGCCCTTGCTTTGCGCGCCTTCGTCAATACGTGGTGGACCAAGATTACTCGTTATGACAGGGAATTGCTTCCTGAAATCACGATTATCCTTACGACCATCCTCAGGACCCTCGAAACACGTCTACTATCCACTGACTTCTCCCTATTCATCTTTTCGGTTGTCCCTGCTCTAATAACCCAACACTATCGCGACTACCGCCACGCCGCATCCAAAGTATCTACCTCGTATGCAATGGGTGGCGCTGTACCCCTTCCACACCTCTTTCACCAGCTGCAGCCTCACGTAGCAGTTTCTCCCGAGGGTAAAATTGACGAGGAATACTTTCGCCAGGCATTCGACCACGTACTTAAATTATGCCTCCCCCCTCAGGATTATGCTCCAGAGGCTGAGCGATATATCGTGCGTGAAATCATCCTCAAGGTAGTAGTAAAGGATGTTATCCCGCGAGTCACCCAGCCTTGGTTTATTCAGAGAACAATTCTGGACTTGCTCGGTCCATCCCTTGATGCAGAGTCTGACAAGGTTTGTGATTTTATGTCATAGCGTATCAAACTCTGAACGAATGACATTGTAGCCTCCAGACGTATCACCGCCGTCTCATACTCATCACGCTCATTTCTCTTTTCATTCCCTCCTTGTATTCTTCCTGTCTGCCGTGCAGTCCATCTCTGGGATAGGCCTAGCTCTTGTTCAAACATATAAACAGACGCTTAGTACCATCAAACTCGTTAACCATTCCACGCGCCCAACAGTTACTCATCGGCGAGCAAGTGAACCATGGAGGATAGCTCGTCAGGCTCCTGCATCACCCGTGAGGAGTGCAAGATCAGTCTCACCACCTTCTTCATCATATGCCTCAGCGGCATCCTCTACCCCATCCCTGCGCGCAGAGATTCCTCCACGCAACCCTCAGAGTTTATTCAGTCATTATGCTCGAGAGCCTCTCGCAATGATATCGGAACTGTTTACAATGCACCAACGCTTTGCCACAAGCGCAGTAATGCATACGTTGTGCATGATCTATGCGGCCATGACACCGTTCGTCGACCGGTAAGGCAAGTTACTATTTGCAGTGACGCGCTCTCTAATTTTTGTTCTTCTAGACTCTTGACCCACATACTCTATACTCGAATTTTGTGCGCATCCTCTATATTATTTGTACTACGACTGTCCAAGCGTACATTGTTCCCAGATGGATACCCAGGCCCACCTGCAATCGATCCCACCCCAGAAGAACAAATTATTATTCACCAGCAGCTACTTCGGCGATTGCGCGAACAGGTGCCTGCGTTTGTGGCCCCCGTCCTCCTTGGACCATCGCCTGAACGCACTCTTGAGGAAATTATCGATCCCCTCGGTGACGCTGCGTGTAATATGCATCTGGCAGTATTTATCATGGACGCTTTATTATTGTCCATTTTCCCAGAGATGGGAGTAGAAGGGAGTGTCGGACATGCTGATATGGATGTACCAGAGAGGTTAGATGACGGGAAGGACTGGTCACCAGAGATAAGTCGAACTACGTCGGCGATGGCTCCATAGCGATGTCAAGATTATTCCGGAGTTTCTAAGATTTTCCCGAGTTTCCTCGCGGAACCGTGAAGAAATGCCGCGTATTTGTCTGTATTTATTGACGTCACACGGTACGCTATATATCGTCAACAAGAAATCCAAGCGCGTATTCCCAGCGTTTGTCCCCCTAATCATGTCTTCCATTCACCCACCCCCAAGCCCTCCCGTACTCTACTCGTTTAACTCCCCGAATGAGTTGAGCGAGAAGCTCGCCGTCTTCATCGTTAAAGCACAGAAAGAAGCCATCGATAAGAAGGGCAGGTTCACTGTTGCTCTCTCAGGCGGTTCCCTGCCAAAGCAACTGAATAAGCTCATTGATAACCCCGCGGTAAAATGGGACAAATGGTGCGGATCGATTCAGAGATCGTAATAAACATCCATCTCATGCATCCGATAGGCAGGTCTTTTTCGCCGATGAGCGTTGCGTTCCACTGGATCACGAAGACTCCAACTACAATCTTTGCCGGAAGGAGCTATTCAGCAAAGTCCCTATACCAAAACAAAACATCCACCCCATCGATGTCTCCCTCTTGGACGACCTCGAAGAACTCGCAGACGCGTACGAGAAAGCGCTTATCAGCGAGTTTGCTCAAAAAGATGCCGCTCGCTTCCCCGTCTTCGACCTTATCCTACTCGGCATCGGTCCAGACGGACACACCTGCTCCCTCTTTCCAGATCATCCTTTACTGACGGAAGAGGACAGGTGGGTCGCGTACATCGAGGACTCGCCAAAGCCTCCACCGAGACGCATCACTTTGACATTCCCGGTTATTAACCATGCTCTACGCGTCGCGTTCGTTGCAGCGGGCGAGGGCAAGGCTGATGTCCTCAGCACCATAATTGATAACCCAGAAGCGGGCTTGCCTGCTTCCCGCGTCAGACCATCGCACCCAGGCCAGGTGTACTGGTTTGTTGACAACGCCGCCTCAGCCAAGGTCAAGTACCAGAAATCGGAGTACAGGCTGTGAGTTATTGGAAACATGGAAGGAATTGCGGAAGGAATGTCTTGTACTTGTACCAACCTCCAATGCCTTATGTGTTATCTCACTTCAGCCGGTTGTCACTTCTTATGTCTATCGCGATCCGCCGTAGCTTGCGTCGTGAATAGATGGGTTGAACAGCGTTCATGACGTACGCGATAGAAAACAATGTAAAATATTACTCGGCCTAATTGCAAGGGGTAACAAACGGCAAGATGCCGCAAAGAGCACGACCAACAGAAGAAATACCAGTCCATAGATTATCCATCAACAGTTGCACCCATAGTTTTGTGTGCTCTCCCGGTCAATCTGGATTGGGTCCGGGTAATCAACATACCTATCACTTATCGTGAGCAAGATTACCAGACATAGAGCAAATGATTAAATAAACATACAGCTGTTCTTCTGCTTCTTGTTGCAGTGCGTTCTTGGAGACAGTCTGGAACGCCTGCTCGACATTGATAGCTTCCTTGGCAGAAGTTTCGAAGTAAGGGATATTGCCCTTTGACTGACACCACGTCATAGCCCGCTTCTGTGTTACCTGTAAAACAGGTCAGCAAAGAACACATGTTCTGACGTTTGTTTCGACAGACCTGTCGTTTGTTCTCTTCCACATCGATCTTATTCCCCAACACGACAAAGGGGAAATTCTCCGGGTCATGTGGGCTTGCCTGAATGAGGAATTCATCACGCCAGCTATCGAGAGTCTCAAACGACTTGGCGCTGTTCACGTCATACACAAGCACGCAGCAATCTGCACCGCGGTAGTAAGCCACACCTAGAGATTGGAAGCGCTCCTGTCCGGCAGTGTCCCAGAGCTAAGCATCCCTGTCAGTCGGGATGACGCAAGCTATCCTACCATAGCACCATACCTGCATTGTGACCAGACGGTCATCCACCATGACTTCCTTTGTAAGGCTGAGAGCGGGTAAGAACCGTGAATGGAGCCACTGGCGCGAAAGGGCACTTACAAGTCGGCTCCAATGGTGGCCTTATACTGGTTGCTGAACCGTTTGTTCACATATTGGTTCATGAGCGACGTCTTCCCGACACTATGCAAGTAAGAGCAGAATTATGAGTTTCAAGTTTATGGGCCAAGGCTAAGCACTTTGCAGTACGCACCCACTGTCGCCTAAGATAATAACCTAACTTGACGAGTCAGTAACAAGACAAAATTGTAAAATGGTAGTAAACGGACCTTGAGCAATACACGACCCATTTCTGAATATCAACGAGTAATTTATATGCGAGAAGGGGATTTATAGGAAGAGGAGCAGGTCGTCGTACTGCACAGGCTCGAAATGAACGCGGATTGGGTCGGTGGGGCGCCGGCACCGGGTGCCAGCGCTGCCCCATCCGGAAGGCGTTTGATCTCCGCTTCAACTACCATACTCGTCCCAAAGAAGTCAATCGGCATTCTCATGTTTCATCGAGTCACCTGTAATGTCCTAGAATTCGCTGCTTTCACTGGATATCGACGTTCGCAACATTTCTTAGGACGTATTCACTGCAGAAACATGGCGACTCGCATTGCACCTGCAGTCAGGAGAGAAATCCAACTGACCGACGCCGAGGACCGTTTGTGTACTTTACTCGACGAATTTACGCGCCATCTTCAGGAGAACAAGAACATCACGACTGCGTGCAGGATAAACGGAGGATGGGTCAGGGACAAGGTCAATCCGGACCTCTGTCATGGTTTGGGCAAGCTCTCATGTTGTTTCATTCGCGTGTTACAGTTACTAGGCATGGACAGCAATGATATTGACATCTGTCTCGCCGATATGATGGGTGTGACCTTCGCTGAAGGTTTCGTAGCATTTCTGTCTGAGCAGAAAGATCTTGATGTGCACAAAATCGCGAAAATTGAGAGCAACCCTGATCAGTCCAAACACTTGGAAACTGCACGGACCACTCTCCTTGGCATAGACCTCGATTTCGTGAATCTAAGAAGCGAAGAGTATGCAGAAGACAGTCGCATACCGACTGAAGTTGTGTGTTTAAGGTCTCTTTGAAGAACGCGCCGAACTTGACTAGATCACATACAGAAATTTGGTACACCGCTAGAGGATGCTCTGCGTAGGGACCTCACCATTAACTCGCTTTTCTACAACATTCATACTCGTTCAGTTGAGGATTTCACTGAAAAGGTGAGGTTATGCTACAGATATCACTCACATTTTTGATACTGACGCTTTCCGTACAGGGCCTCGATGATCTACAAAACGGTATTATTCGTACGCCGTTGCCGCCACGTGAAACCTTCCTGGATGATCCTCTGCGCGTGATACGATGTGTTCGCTTTGCAAGCCGCTTCGGTTTCGAAATAGATCCTGATCTGCAGCAAGCTGCCCAGCTTGAGATAATTCAAGACAACCTCGCACAAAAAATCAGCCGAGAACGAGTTGGGGAGGAAATAGACAAAATGATGAAAGGTCCGTGTCAGCCGTCCTACGAGAAAGAAATATCTGATGGGTTCCTCGTGCAGGGCCGGATCCTCTCCGCTCGATACGTATTATTAATGATCTCAAACTCTACTGGAGTATATACCACGTCCCACCACAAACCATCAGCATCGCATCGTCTTCTCCGAAAGCACAGGACCTTTCTTTACGCGCCGCTACCATTTTGTATGGCCTCCTTTCATCCACTTCACTCAGCGAGGATTCGATACCTTTGCATCCTACTCTCCGATCGTACGTTCTGCAAGAGCCAGGGTGCAAGGCACGCCTGTTTCTTGCAGCCAGTCTCTATTCGTATCATGGAATCACGTACCCGGATCAGAAAGGAAAGGAGCAAATGCTCGTCAAGTGTGCAATCCAGGACGGCCTCAAGCTGGGAAGACAAAATCACTATCTAGATGGCATACCTGCCCTGTATTCTGCTGCTGACCTCTTGAAGGGTGTTTCTCTGGAGCAGGACAGGCTAAGGCTGCCTTCGGAAAGGGTTGCTATAGGTATGCTTGATAATTGTGCAGCTAAATTCGATTGACAATGGGTGCCTGTTGTCCAGGGCTTTTGCTACGACAGGAAACTGTCCATAATATAAACACAGGTTCCCACTGGGCTAGCTCCCTTGTGTTCTCTCTCGTGTGCGAGCTTGTCTCAGCGTCTGATCGAGAAGTAACAGCGGAGTGCATTCAGTGTTACAACGCATTGACGAGGCGGGTTGAAGAACTTGGATTAGACAAAGCAGTGGATGCTAAGCCGATACTAGATGTGAGAAATTTTGATCTCACTGTACGTGGCTTTGGGCTGAACCGTCACAGGGTCAGGCGATCGCCCGCGCTATGGACGAAAAACCTGGTCCATGGATGAAAGCAATGGTTAACAGGGTGATTGAATGGCAGCTCGGACGCCCCGATGGTACTCAAGATGATTGCCTGGCTTGGTTGAAGGAAGAGAAGAGTACAGGACGTATCGACCTGGAAGAGCTAAAGGCTGCAACCATGGGAAATAAGAGAGTGCAGAATGCAGACAAAGCGGCTTCTTCCAAGAAAGTTAAACGATGAACGATCCAAATATGTAACAATTGAATGGTATGGTATACACAAGTTTTTGAGGTCTAATGAGATGCATATACTAGCTGTAACAACCCAGCGGGTTCTAAAAGATACAGAGGAATTTACATGATATGTGACAAGCGTTGCGATGGAAATCTGTGCGTGCTGGGTATGTAGAAGTGCGAGATAGGAAGTGTACGAGAGATCGTCGATGTCGTGAGCATATGAGTGGTATGATGGTGTAACTCTATGAGTATGGAGCGGGAGTTTTGAGTTTGTGACTTTTAGAACTGATTGAAGTGAATCCAGTCATCGAGGTTAACTTCGGATTGCACGTCTTTAGCGATGGGATCAATGCCCTCGGGCATGTACCTGGCTGTGATGCCAGTCATTGAGAGGGCTGTATGGGGACGGAAGCGAAGATTGCGAGGCAGCCATGGGCTGTACAAAAAATTCGTCGAGCTCGTTGTCTGGTGAACAAGGCGTGAAGAAGGTAGTCCAAGGGTTGGTGAAGACAATCGGAGATTGATGAGGCGTCAACAGGGGAGACGCATAGTCACTCAGCATGGGAGACTCGTTACTTTCGATATGGATCAGGGGTGGAGTAGGGGGCAGCTGCGGATTGGCACCGATGAAGGAGGAGTCAGTGAAAGGCATGACATCGAACTCGGCCCCGAAGTAGGCGAGCCCTGCAGCTGGCTTCATGCCTGAGTAGAAGATGCTAGAGGGTTCCTGTTCTGCAACCTTCCCGTCCAATGATGAGCGACATCAAGTTGACGATATATAAAGTTGGCATACCTTTATATCAAAAACAGCATCGAGATTTAAAGGCGGGATTTCATCAGTGGGAACGAACTCATCCATCATGTCGGCTGGATACAGCAGCTCGGGGGTACCGCTGGATTGCTCTGGAGTAGGTGCGGCCTCTGCGTCGCATCGAGAAGCAGGGCACACTGGCAACGGACGAGGACTCAAGGTGGCGAGGTTAGGGCCTGCGATGTGATGTTGCGTAGTGGTGGGGCGGGTGGCTCGAGGACGGGCAGCAGCCTTCTTTCTGTGATGTTCAGGCAATTGGACAAGAGGAAGAGCTCTGGGGATGACTATGGGGGCTTGTGGGGGAATGATAGGACTCGGTATAAACCCGTCGACATCCTCAGATTTTACGTGTGCCATTGCGTCCGCCAATGCAGAGCCCTCGACACCTTTCTGCATCAAGGAAGCGATCATATCGCACTTGGCCTTCTCCTCCTCGCTGTTGCGTCTCGCCTTTCGCTTCGGTCCCACGGCAGAGCGATGAGAAGGAGAGTATTTGTAGTTGGGATACATCTTCGCGTGCATTGCTTTAGCCTCTTTTGCCATCTGAACGAAAGGTTCCTTCTCGTCATCAGATAAGTTACGCCATCTCTCGCCGGCTATGCGCGAAACATTGCGATGGTCGGATTCCAGGCTTCTGAAATCCTCATTACTCCAAAGGCAAGAGCGAAACACGATGAAGGCATTGGGAGGGCGGGGTATATGGCCTTCTTCTTTTTTACGAGAGTGTGATGAACGATTGGGAAACGACAGCAAGTGGGATAGGACAGGGGATAGTGACGACGAGATGTGGGAGGCAGAGACTGCGGATTCAGCAGGAGATGGGGGGCTGACACGAACCGAAGGGATGCCAACGGTCCCAACGCTTGAATAGCCCGATTGAGTGAAGTACGGATCTTCAAAAACATAATCTTCAGCTGTGGTGAAGATTATCAGTGATTTGAAAGGGTGTGGACCCACAAGGTCAAACAAGGAAATGATCGTCGTACCTGCAATGGGTGATTGATGTGACAATCGACGAGATCGACGAACGACGTTGCGAACGTTGGGCATGATAACAAGGCTAGCTGAAGATAGATGTAGTGTCAATGATTAAGCTGGAGGAGATGTGAAGGAGAAGATCACACTAGATAAACTGAGCTGAGCTGCCCACTTTGCCCACATAATGGAGCGCTTAAGAACGTCAAGCCAAAAAGCCTTGTATGGGGGAGAGCTAGTACAACCACTTTGCCCCGTCACCTCGAGGCAGCCTTGAGGCCACACGGCCCTCGAGCTCTTCCATATTCGTCGAGTCGTCTAGATTTCCGCCTTGCGACCGTTGTTCTGTGAAAGGAGCAGGATCGAGATAGGAATAAGCTTCAATATGCTTCAATACAGGCGATATCAAAGTCTACAGTAGTACAACCTACCAGTACAACCTAGTACAACGTGTAGCGAACGTGCCGTACTGGATATAATCCTGGTCCAGGGTCACTGAGAGAAGTGGCTTTGATACTAACTTGCTACTCACTTTGAACGTTGATTTGTGTAGCTACTGGCGGACTCACCTCTGCGGAGATTCCCAGGGACCGCCTCGTGGCGAGACTTCATCCTCAGCGGCGCGGCGTTTTACCATGACACAATGCGCATCGGAAGCCAATCTTCAGGGCTCGGAAATCCATGGATCATATCTTGTCACATCTTCACATCATCACCCTAGCCTCCCTTCACCTCTCACATTATCACATTAAAAGATATGCTCATCGTCAGCTCATCATCGATTATCATTTATGTACATACACGTTTCGATCAACGAGCTGTTATCTTGACCGGTGGTTCCTTATGCTTGACATTTTCAAGCTTCCGGTAGCTCAAAGAATTTCGCAAGGCCGGCGCTGCTAGCGCATCACGTCATGTTGACCAACGCTTGAGGTCTTCTGGCAGTAAAAACGACGTTCTTTTCGAGAAAAAAAGTCTGAATGCTCAATTGTTTGATATATCACCTTCCCCAACACTCTTGTTTCTATCGGCTTCACGAACCTCTTTCTCCTTTCGCCTCATCGAGCCTGCGATCATGTCCCTTTACAATGGCATGAGCTGGAAGCAGTGCCCGGAGCTTTAAATGAACTAACCTCTTTTTAATCGCATCATTGCGGCCTATTTTGCGGGCAGCATTCACGGCATCTGCTCGCTTCACCTTGCCCATCTGTTTTCGCTTCATTTTCGAAGGTTTCGGAAGTTTGAGAATCCATTCTGGGACCGAAGAGCCGGACTGTGACAGCACGTTGGCGATGCTAGGTAAGGGGTTGTTAGCTAGGCATCGGCAAAAATGTATCACGTACGCTTTTAAGAAAGGCGCATCTTCATCTGTGAAATAAGTCACGGCTTTCCCCTCCCGCCCAGCACGGCCCGTACGGCCTACAAAGATTAAGTGTAAAGAAAAGCTGATCACAAGACATGGATGTACCTATTCGATGAATATAACTCTGGACACTGGTTGGGAAATCGTAATTGATCACCTCCCGGATACCTTTAAAGTCCATGCCACGAGCCATGACCTCTGTGGTCACCATGACCCAGCTTTCGCCACGGCGCATCCTGCTCACCGCATCATCGCGCTCTTTTTTTGTCATTCCGGCATGGAGACAATCCACGTTTGAAATGCCGTTCATTGTCAACTCCTCCGCAAGGGACGTTGTCCTTGGCTGAGTAGATGTGAAGACAAGGAGAGGCGGGTTGTATGGCTGAGAAAGATATGTTAGCAAACTTGGGAGCTTGGAGGCATCATCGGCCACATATGTCAGAGTTTGTGCGATCAAGGGAAGCGGAGTGTCTCTGAAGTAGAAATTTAGCGGCTGCACACAGGAATTCGGTAACTGATTCGTACTTGAGACCAACGATGATGCGTATAGGGTTCCTGAGGATACCCATCGCAAGCTTTTCAGCCCCAGCAGGTAAAGTAGCGGAAAAAACCGCCTTTTGTATGTTCGGGTGAGTGCATGCCGCGATGACTTCTTGCACTTGAGACAAGAATTCAGGATCAAGCATTCGATCAGCTTCATCCAGTACAAGATGTTGCACGCTGGTGATCAGAGTGAGTCACGTGCACAGCAGGACAAGCAGCTCATTGCGTACTTATTCAATTCCAGGTGTCCTTCCTGGATGGAGGCCACTAGCCGAAGGGGTGTGCTGATGATGATATCTACACAGAATCAGTCTGGATAGACAGGGCGCAGCGTATGAACATACCATACCTACTTTGTCTCTAACATTCTTGTCGCTCAGGGTACTAGCCGTAGCCTTGCTAAACAGGATCACGCGCCACTTACGCCCGGCGGCGAGTTTCAGGCACTCGTTATGAATCTGATGTGCCAATTCTCGAGTCGGTGCAAGAATCACAGCTCGGACTCCATGATCTCCATCGTTCTTCTTACTGGATATCGGGGAACCTAGTGCAGACATGATGGGCATCAGGTATGCCAGAGTTTTACCTGTACCAGTCGGTGAGATGGCAGCAAGGTCACGGTGCTGCAAGAATCGTCAGCGTCCTCCAGACCATAAGAAAAAACATCCGGCAGGCTCACCTCGAGCAAAATCGGAATCCCGTGAGCCTGAATCCCAGTAGGGTGTTTGTAACTGTTTTCAGAAAGGTTTGATAACAGACGTGGAGGAACATGGTATCGTTCGCGCAGGTCCTCGAAAGACGCGATTGAATTGGGTACATCTGATCCTTTGGCAGTCACGCGATGTTTCTGCATGGTCGGCGCCTCTTCCTCTGCGCCGCTATAGTTATTATCTGATTTCGATGATTCGTCCTCTATTTTCCGACGCTTGCGTTCCACCTTTCCGTGCTTGCTTTCAGTATGAGGGTCGCTTTCTTTCTCCTCAGCCTTCCGCTTCCCGGCGGGGGCTTTGGCGTACTTGAAAAAGTCCAGCTCTGGGGGTAACTGTGCATCATGCGATATCAACACCCCTTTTCCTTTAACGTCTTTCGATGGTGCCTTCTGCAAGAAGACGTGAACATTGAAGCAGCTTATGGATGCATTTTCTTACATTGAATATCTGGACGTCAGACTTGAATCTCTGTTTGTCAAAGCGTGCACCTCCACGAGAAAGAAGCTGAAATGCTTCCATAGCAGCTGTCTAGCACAGGTAGCGAACAGTTAATGAGGAATTAGTGGAATGAGTGTAGACTACTTAAAGTTAGTTTGCTAAGTCCAGCGACTTTCCCGACAGTGTCAGGTCACGTGGGCAAAAGTGTGCAAACCTCCGCGGATACTGGTGCCGTCGAAAGTAAGTACTCCAGAGTCCAAGGATTGTCCAGGAGCTATAATAGATCCATGGCATATGGGTATTCTAAAGAATCCAATACTAGATCCCGTGGTTGCAGATGTGTCGGCACCACACATCAGATCTCGAGACAATCATAGTTCTTTCACACTGGCATGTCCTAAGTATATGGTCCAGGGTTCTACCATTCTTCCAGGCTAGCTATTGTAAGTACGAGCACATGAGTAGATAAGAAATCCAGTTCAGTAGATACTGATATAGATGCAGTGTACAGAGAAAGTGAAAGTGATGTGGATCCAAGATTCTATGCTTAGGATATCATCTTACGTCGATGGCATTTATGCGAACGTACAAGCGTCAATCCGACAACTTAAAGGTATAAGTTATTGCATGCCTCACAATGTGTGGCGAAAATGAATGGAGATCACGAGGTGGCAAAGGAGGACCAGCCACGCTTCAGTTGCTGGTGGGGAACGAAGAGGTCGGTGTGCGTCCGTTGGAGAAGTTTGCTCAACTCACCTCGAAGAAGACGAACATCAGGACGGTGTTAGGTCCAAGACGCATCCAGGCGGGCGTCCAACCTTTGAACATAAACGCGGGACCTTCCTCCCGCAACGAACGGACCAGGACCTCTATTGGGCTGGCCTTTCCGGACTAGAAGCAACTGTCAAACTCCATCGCGAGTATTCGATATTTGAGAGTACGTACAGATCCCATGATCCTCGTCCTTATGACATCAGCAGGAGAGCATACGGCTTGAATCACAGGACCATCAGTGGCGTTCTGGTAGCTTTAGCGAGTAACTTACTCGTGCCACAGGTTCCGGCTGCAAGACTTGCAACTACGTGCAAGAAGAAACTATCATGAAATTGATAGTTTACCAGGGGTACAGGGTTTTGCAAGAGAGTGCTTTTGAAAAAGTCATAGCTGTTGAACCAAACGAACTGAGACAGCAAAGAGATAGTGACAACACCATACTCACGATCCAACCTGTGATGTCTGCATTGTATGTTGCATGAGCATTACTCCGACGAAAGAGAGTAAAATAATTACATTCATCAAGACTGCTCGGGTCTTTCCAGTGCTGGGGATCAGTGAGAGCTAGGTGTCATGTCAAATGCACAAACCGCGTTTGTCCCGAGGCCACGTCCAAGACCCTTCACACCATCCTCCTTCACTAAGGAAATGAGTCCAGTGATAGCGTTGCGGTAATTGTAGCGCTTCTCTGGCGGACGAACGGAGTCACTGGTCATCCGGACCAGTAGAATATCTGAACACAATTGATTACATAATGGCAAAATGGCAGCATGTCATGGACAGACCTGCAGGGTTTCCCGCGATTCCCCCCAACCCGCCTGCTACACTAGCTGCCAGGAGAAGCTTCCCCGCGGATGGGGATTGAAGACCATTGTCGGACATGCGGCGTTTCATTTCCTCGTAGCTGCCTAGACGTACGAGCGAGTAGGTCATTTGGCGCATAAGCGAGGCGGAAAGACCAGTATAAACACTGCGAATCCCATAGTCGGATATCGAATTGCGCAAGATTTTGAACATAGATGGACGTGGTGCAGTGGGACCAACACTCTGCATGCGCCTGTTGAATGCATATGAGTATAGTATCACAAAGGCTGAGCCTTCGGCACTTACACTTTGGCGAGGTCAAGGGGATGCGTGAAGCATGCGGCCACTGCAAGGTGTCAGGCGTGTTTTAGTCATGGGGATGTTCAGTTACTCACTAGACGCTGCGACGCCTGGGTGTGATAGTGAGCAGTACTTGGTAACATGAGCGATAGCTGATCTTACCTCCGAGCCTTTGAGATCAAGCCATATGCTACAGTTAGTATATCTTCGGTGGGTTTGGTCAATTGCTGTGGAGCTCACCAAAACGGATAGTTGGGCATCTTGCGTCGTTCCTTCATACCCATGACACCCGCCTCTCCTTATAAACGCGTGCGCACCTGTATCAACGCTCCACCGATTAAAACCGAGACATATACGATGTATACTTATCCTGAAGTTTTTGAAGGCACACACACGAAGTTAACATTTCTTTCTGTCAATCAAAATGAATCAATTGATGAAACACACACACACACAAATAAAGAACACCCCCGAGAGTTGAGGGGATGCCGAGACGGGAGACCGCACTGGAGTTGCAACCCATATCCTGTGATTATTGAGCTCTGGAAAATTAATAGGCGGTTTCATTGGTTTGAGGGCTGTCATATATTGAAGGAGACAGCTTGCGATGGACGGAAATTGCCCAACAGACATTCATGTTTCTCTACAGTAATCCGGTCTTGCACGCGGTGTCGGCAGCTGACTCTAGTTTTCATAGAAAATGACAGCGGTACAATGTTCGTGACTGCAGATTATGTCCAGCACTTGCTCAACGATCTGTGGCACTAATGCACTCGTCGGTGATGAAAGCACGTACGGACGATGGCATTGGGCAAGAGGTGGGTCCGTGCGCACGTGAGTTTGAAGGTTGTGACTTGTTGTGACTTCCCAATTAGTAAGCGCGCCGCGTTTAGAACAGCGCCACATTTTTGTGTTGCTCTTTAACCTCAACCTCCTCCTCTTGCCTGCTTTTTCTCCTCTTCTATCGACGACCTCACTGACAACCTACTCTCTTTCTGAACAACAATGAGCTCCCACGACAACGAGGAACTTATCGACTATGAGGATGAGCACGACGTTATCCCCAATGGCGCAGCTCCAACTGCTGTTGCTAACGGGGCAGCTTCGTCAGCAGCCGACGGCGAGGGCGACAAAGACAAGAAAAACTTCTCCGGAATACATTCGACAGGCTTCAGGTTCGTTTCGTCTCCATGTTGCCATAACCATGCCCATCTGACATTTTGTCTCCTTTTTTCGCAGGGACTTCTTGTTGAAACCTGAACTTCTGAGAGCCATCAGTGACTTGGGTTTTGAGCACCCCTCAGAAGGTATGCTTTCGTGACGTTTTAAATGATGTTTTCAACTAAGCAACCTCGTTTCAACAGTTCAACAAGAATGCATTCCTCAGGCTGTTCTGGGAATGGACGTCCTCTGCCAAGCAAAGTCAGGGCATGGTAAGACAGCCGTCTTCGTGCTCGCGACTCTGCAGCAACTGGAGCCAGTCAATGGAGAAGTTTCCGTCATTGTCCTGTGCCACACCCGCGAGCTCGCTTTCCAGATAAAGAACGAGTACACGCGCTTTGCCAAATATATGCCTGACGTGCGGGTTGGCACGTTCTATGGTGGCACCCCCGTTCAAAAGGATGCGGAGATCTTACGTGACAAGACGCGCTGCCCTCACATCGTCGTGGCCACTCCCGGACGACTCAATGCCCTTACAAGAGACAAAGTTTTGGATGCAAAGAATGTCAAGCACTTCACTCTGGATGAGTGCGATAAAATGCTGGAACAGCTTGGTTAGTCTCATCCTGCGATTCGATTTCGGCTACGAGTCTGCGGTATCTTGGTACCTCCCTTTGTCATATTCACCATATATCGGTTGCCACCGCCGCAAGAGGTACTCCTTGTCTCGCCCACAGTCAACGTCCCCTCGCTCCGCCGAGGGCGCAGGCGCCTTGTGCGCTCTGAAACGCGCTGTAGATGCTGGGTCATGGGATCTTCGTTGGGTTGATGAGCATGGCATTGGGATCTGGAGGATGAACTTCTACACCCAAGACGTAGTCAAGACAGGATATCGGCGACGAAGGCAATGTCGACGGCACCTATGGTGGCTTCCTTGACTGTCATATCGTCTTCTGGCGATTTTTGAGTCCCTTCTTTTCTCGCTCACCGAATGTTCGACAACAGTCTAACCGCCTCTCCCCGCTGTTCTTTCTTTGATTCGCAGACATGCGGCGAGACGTCCAAGAAATCTTCCGTGCAACACCTCACCACAAGCAGGTAATGATGTTCAGCGCCACGCTAGCAAAAGAAATTAGGGTCACTTGCAAGAAATTCATGGCAAATGTATGTGATGCATTCGTTTCTTATGCACTTTCCGCTAATACTTGTCGCAGCCTTTGGAAATCTTTGTTGACGACGAGACGAAGTTGACGTTGCACGGATTGCAGCAACATTATGTGAAACTCGATGAGAACGCGAAGAACCGGAAGTTGAACGAACTGCTAGACACCCTAGAGTTCAACCAAGTACGATATCGTCTCGCCCGAAAAACATGTTGATTCATGATTTTCAGGTGGTTATCTTCGTCAAATCGGTCGCAAGAGCTGTCGAGCTTGACAAGCTCCTGGTGTCTTGTAACTTCCCCAGTATCAGCATCCATTCAGGCTTAGCACAGGAGGAACGGTGAGTAATCACCAGCGGCTCTCGAATACGGGAAATCCGTGCTAAGTGCTTGCTGTAGCATAAATCGGTACACTGCGTTCAAGGCCTTCGAAAAGCGCATCCTTGTCGCAACCGATATATTTGGTCGTGGCATTGATGTCGAACGGGTCAATATCGTGATCAATTACGATTGCCCACCAGATGCCGACAGCTACCTGCACCGTGTTGGTCGTGCCGGTCGTTTCGGAACAAAGGGTCTAGCGATCACGTTCCAATCCAGTGAGGCAGACCAACAAGTCATGGCTGCTATCCAATCACGGTTCGAGGTTGCTGTGCCCGAGCTTCCTGATCACATTGATCCCGCCAGTTACAGTAAGTCCCTGGTGTCTGTTTCTTTCACCTAACTTATGTTCTCTTTTTTTTCCACCAGTGACGTCGTGATTTCATCTGCGCTTATTCTTCTCGATGCTATTGTTTTCTCATAGTCTTCCTCCCAAACACTCCTCGATTGTCCGAGCATATGTAATGTTATTTTAGTTGGTCGTCGAATGCATCATTGTGCTTTTATTTTTGTTCTGCGTCATGCAGTGCAAGTTCTAAGTAAGGGGTCGCCTATATTCGAGCGCCAAAGAATCGGTGTTTCGAAGAGTACGAGGAATTCAAAGGACTGGTACCGGCCACGACCCATTCTCCCGTTTTTATCACCGTCTCCGGTGCACGCACAATCAACCACACAGCCAGAGCCTCGAGGCTTTACGAACTTCTGGCTCAGGCTGTGTGCCTATCATACAGGACTCGTGTGTTATGATATCATCTAGCGCAAAACTGAACAAGTCCAGGATCCAACTGCACGTAAGTGACAGGTACCTGTAACGTCTTCTCGATTGCGAGGGCGGCTTCAAGTTAGCCTGCCAAGGGTGCGTGGGATGTCGCTCGACACTGCATGATCTCAGTCAACTACTAGTACGTTCAAACTTCAAACCTTCTCAATTCCTGGTCAGTTAAAATCCGGCGCAAGGACATACAGCAGCCTCGTGAACCTCCTTCAACCAGACGAGCGTCCAAGTACCCGTCATTTGGCTGCATTCCACCATCATCCAGCGAGCTTTCCATAGACTAGGACCGATCCAACCGCCTTCAAACATTACTATCTCCATCACCACAGCTTGATCGTTCCGCTGCCCAGCTCGTTCCCGTCGTACACACTGACTAGACAGCCTAATCCCCAAACAGTTTCTTTGACCCTGAGCTCGAAGATCCTAGTTACAGCTTGGACTTTGATTCTTAAGATTTCCAATTACACAATCGAACACAGCTAGTATCTTCCCGAGTTATTCTATCCCAACTCACAAACGTGTCACTTTAAATATCTGTCGATGAGCGACTGGGATCAATGTCAGAATCTCCTTCTCTTATCCTCTCTCCCTTACTCTTTGACTTCATTAACAGTTCCTCAGTCGTCTGAAGGATCTCGGGAGAAGCTGTCCCGGGTGCTGAATATGACTCTCCTGAACGCCAACCTCATCTAAAGTGTTTGGAAGAGACCCGGGTGGACCTTCTCAACTACATTCACCGATTATTAGACAACCGAGGGAAGATTCAAATTATTTGATTGCATGGCACAGTGGGGGTCGGAAAGTCTGCCAATGTTCACTGTAGCTGAAAGGATGATGGCTCTGAAGGTGATGAGGCAGACGAATATCGAGACACGGCTCGCACGGACATTATTTTTCTTGCGCAAGCACACGAAATGCAGCACGGCCGGTCATTTCTTTGCGACGCTTGCCTACCAGGCTCCAGCTTGCGAGCAATTTTCCCAGCGTCCAGAAGGACGTGAACAGAACTATCCTCGAGAACCCTGCAGTTCTAAACCCGACAAGTCTCTTCATGACCAGATGAAGGTGTTATTTCACCAACGTCTCTGCCGCCTTCGATCCAGACTGCGCGAGTGTCTACCTCCGGTGTTTGTTGTCGATGCGCTTGACGAATGAAAACCCGAAACCGTTGCTAATTTCATCTCCTTGCTTGACCGAGCTCTTCGCGATCCTGATATGCCCGTGATCCAAGTCTTTCATGGATATTCCCACCGACAACAGTCTCCCCGTGAATATCTATCATTCGTCAGTTCGTGGCTATGTTTCAGATGTCTCAAACTGCAGCCTCCCTAAATTTCAATTTATCACATCACCACACGCCCTGCTGGCTCATTGTTCTTTCCGTTTGACGACACGAGACATTCTAGAGAGCACGGCCTTCCTGGATGGAATTGAAGGAATTGAAGGAACACAGCCAAGCTATGCAAATTGACGACCCTCAGTGCTTACAACAATGGTTAGCCTTCATCGTCGGGCCACCAGAGCCGCTGCACGTTCTTGCGGGTCTGCTATGGCTTCGGGGAGTTCGCGGTTCGGGTTTGTGGTCCTGGCTAGAAGGCCTGCATGGGCGTGCATGGCTGCAGACCGAAGGAGGGAAAAGACTGGCTGTCCACCCACGTTGGGGGGGGGGGGGGGGGGGGACTGGTTGCAGACACGGGCGGGGAAAGCATGGCTGCAGACCGAGATTAGGGTTGGGTGGCTGTAGAACGGATGTGGGTGGCTGGGCACTTCGAGACCGGGAACAGTGGCTGGAGAACCTGACGAAAGAAATGTGGCTGCAGACCCAGAACAGGCGAGAACGGCTGGAAACGCAGAACGGGCGATGCTGGCTGCAGACCTAGCGCGGGCGATACTGGTTGCAGACCTCAAGGGGGCGAGTTACTCCATTGGCATCCCTTCCAACTTGAGAGAAGTCGTATGTCAGGCCACTCGTAGATCCTCGGCCTCAACAAGTCTGGTGGTTGTACTTAGTATACAGCACTCCATGTATAACCGATATGTGGGACATGTCGACGCTAGTAACAGCGCCGATATTAGATTGTCACCACCGTGAAGCACGCGCACTTCTTAAGTGAAGCTTGATCACGCACATGGAGTCTACCGTCCCCTGTTACTCGTCCGAACTTTTTCGGGTCCCTGACTTCGAGGTACGGGCAATCACCGGTGCACCGTTCAAACTGCGTGTACAGCCATTCAATGACCCGCGTCACCTCATGAGAGACGGAACAATATTTATTGACAGAGAGTATGTATATCAGACGGTTCACGCTCCACAGTGCAGAATATGCATTCGAAGCACCCTCGCCACAAAGTACTACCTTCCACATTCATTCGAACAACCCGATGACCCCAGTCCCATATGATCGCAGGGCAACGCAATGTTCGCATGCGAGTTTCAACCTCATCTCTCCTCTCCATCTGTCGAGCCTCAACCCGAACCCATCCTAACACCAGTCAGCGCCACGACCGCCACTGTACATGCGCCTGACTCGCAGCTGGCGCCTAGTTCCAGCGTAATCCAGGAATCAGCATTCTCACTTCAGCATTGACTTCGGGTTCACGTGTTACGGATTATCGAGCACGTTCCCCGCATATTCCTCCCACTCGAGATCAACTGAGAAGTTAGCACTACTCTGCATGGAGTAATAGAATAGTAGAATATAACATGATACCCACCATTTAATTTTTCATAACGCGAGTCGAGAGTACATTTCAAAAAAAGTCTATGGCCCACCTCTGATGCTGAACCAGCTTTTTCATAGGCCGCTTCATTGGATTTGAAAGCATATCTGTTGGAGCTGGAGAACGACGCTGTATTGTGTGTCTACGACACGACGGGAGACGAGAAGGAGAGGATGATCTACGACGTAGGTATATATACGTAGTCGGGACTATCTGAACAATGAACGATGACGAAGGGTGGAATGCCAAACTCTAACAATATCTACTGCAAGAGTGGCAACACTGGGTAGTTTGGTGAGGGTATGAATGCCACAGAGTTGGGTTTGGTGTTGTATGATGGTTGATGTCGAAAATGTTGTATCACAGCGACCACAGTGGATTGAGTTGATGGGAAGGTTGCCAGATCTAATCGAGAATCTACAAGCTAACGCTAGCGGGGCTAAAGGCATCAGGATTCAGGTAGGTGGGGATCGCAAAATAGTTGAGTTGAGTGTGGATGGGCTCCTCGGGATCTTGCGCGCATAGGCTTGAAGGAGTAACGTTACGATATCTGAAAGTTACGCAACTTTTGGGAACCGAAATATTTCGGACGAGTAACAGGGGACTAGTCACTCCGCACATGTTCTCAAGCCGTTGCTTGATGCTCGCATAGCGCTATGCTACTTCTTCCCGGTCAACTCGGTGCAAATGATACTAGTTACCATCGCTGCCCCAGGAAACTGGTAGTCTGCATTCACTCTCTGAGACTTGAGGATTCACTACGGTATCGAGGGGTGGAGTGGTAGCAGACTAAAATATAGAAGGAACGACTATCTTTATTCTATTTGCTCTGCCTACGGGAGACTTGAAGGAAACGGGTGCCAGTCTCTGCCAGAACAATTCGGCGAATCGTTCAATGGTGTCAGAAATCGCTCTTGTATCATGTTAAAAGCAAGAAGGATAAATGCCTTGCAAAGTTCAAACAATGTTGAACTGACTATCATCAACTGGCCTGTATCTTGTAGTTGGCAGCCCCTCCCAATCATCGAAGGGCCCAGTCGAGAACTAACGATAACGACGCTGTTATGCACAAAAGCGCGCATTCTGCTTACACAACTTGTTACAAACCTCAAGGGCAGCATTCGGAGGCAGAGGCCCGGGGACAATTGGGGGCAATCCAGGGAATAGTTAAGAAAACCGGGGCCCCAAGCTTGATTTGGCCCCAAATCCGAGTTGGGGGGACACCCGATTGATATCCACCGCATACTAGATGCGATCTGATGCGATAATATGGGGTTGATCATTTTGTCTTCATGGGCAATGCTCGAGACAACGTAGACAACGGTTCGATCGCAGTCAGCACTTGTATACAGGCACTGTCACCGTGTTTCTCGCTAATTCGTGGCTAGCGCCGATACGTAGTAGCTTCGGCGGCGCGTTTCGTCAGCTGTTCCGGAGTCGAGCTGCCGCCAATATTTGGCACATAAGCGGACCTCCTCGGGTTTCGGGAGGTTTCGGGCCTGTGACACCAATTGATACAACAGGTTTGATTTGTAAAGAAACGGATACGTATCTTGATTACAACGAACGCGGCCAACATAGCGAGAATGGACCATCTGTCAGGCTGGAGATGCTGGACCAATGACCGTTCTTGGTAGCATACAGCTCATCAGTAGCTGTCCTCGACAAATATTTGAACATACATACCTATTCAAACTTGACGCCACGTCGCGTACTGTTATACAAAGGGCGCCTAGATATACCAAGATTCGCCACGACTACTTACACCCGCATATCATACATAGTATGAATCTATGATCGTCGATTCCGGCAGGCTTAATTTCCAAATTTGACTTACACACTCTGCAGCTCGGGGCCAAGGAGAAATAACCCAGGGCACGCCTTGGGGCTGTTTCGAGTACATGTGGACATTGCCACAGCCATTTTTAATTTTTGCGACCCGCGGAAGCGATCATCATCCCTTGGGTTCGGCGAGGGACATTACTCGTTCATCGTTCGGGATGAAGGGAGTCAACATACAACGCTGGTGATGTGAGCACAAGACCCCGACGCAGTGACACCGGCATACGGTGAGGTCCGAAGAGCTGGAGCACTCAAGCTCATTTCGCAGAGCTACAGGAAGAGTATTTGCATGTAGTTCAAAAGATAGGAGATAGCCATTGAAACAAGTGACAACATTCAACAAACATAGGGTAGTCTGTAGGACTCTGGAACATCTAAGTGCACGAAAGTGAGCACGACTACAGAGGTGAGGAGGGGGAGTCGAGCATGACGCAACTGTAGCCGGAAGCACACAATTCCCAGCGCTCAGTGTTTTCTGAGTCGAGGACGCTTCTCACAGAGAGGCTCTTCCGTTGGTGTAGAACCTACGCTCTTTCTGATGGGCTTGGATCTTCCCTGTAGTATGTAATTGAGTGCCGAACACCTAAAATCTGCAATTCTTACTTTACGCTTGCGATTCAAAGCTACTGGACGGTTGTCATCATCTGACGGTAAAGGCGTCAAATCGCTCTCGTCCTCTGTGACAGTCTAGGAAGAATGAAGTTTTGAAGTTGACATAGGAAGCTGGAATCTGAATTTCAGACGTACCTCAGTCGTCTCTACTCTTTGCTTGTGCGGAAGACATTGAACCTCGGCCACAAAGGCGGAGGTACGACCACCCACAGTGATCCACTTGACAGTCGCAGGCTCCCCAGACGGCTCAAGAAACCAAAATTAGTGTGTGTGTGAGCGGAATAGACGAAAGAAGCATACAAGCTTCATACTTTGCTGCACCTTCTTACCTTTCCCCTTGCGAAGATCTTGGCGATCAGCAGATCGTCTGACGCAAGCGAAACTTACCCAGCGATGTTTGAAAAGCCAATGGCTCGGGTATTTGCTATCGTCTGCATTGGCTTCCACGGCGATTCGGCAAACATCAACCACTTCACGGTGCAGGGCTTCGACCTGGCTTTGATGCAAAGTATTGCACCGTTGTTCAGGGTGAATTTTTGCTTGATATAAAATTTCATCTGATCACAAGTACCATTGGTTAAAGCGTTCACGGTCTACAAAGTTTCCTCACCAGCAAGGTAGTTTCCAACGCCTGCACTGAAGGATTGGTCCAATAGAAGAGCCTTAATTGGACATGATCTTTTCAGGACAAGTGTCTGAAACTCCCACAGTGGAAGCATGGATAAAATTGGATCGAAGCCGAGTTCAGATATAGGTGGTTCTTCTCTTGGGCGGATGGCAAGGCGAATGCGCCCGAGACGACGTGCATCGGAAAAAGCCAATTCGGTTACGGTGCCTAACGTCTGATCCTGGATGTGCAATATAAACTGTTCACAGCTGGCAGTTAGGTGGCAAATGTAACATGGGGTGAATGAGGAACCTTCATGAATTTAGGCGGCCATATTTCAGGACTCTGATGTATTTTCCTCATGTACTGAAGGGTAGGCTGGCCCCTCACCTTGACACAAATAAGCGGTGAACCTCTGAGCGAAGATTGCATGAAAGACGTACATGTAGCATTCCGGTCATCCCGAAGTGAAGCACGGGCATCCTTCCTGCTCCTTCGAGCTCGATGTAGAAATATTTTCCTGCGATGGATTTCCCATGAGTCCGACGGCAGGGTATTCTAATAGAGCGGTGCAAGTTGCTGCACGCACCATATCGGTACGCATCTTTCACGACGCGATCACTGATTTCCCTACCCTATACCGGTGAACACGTAGACACATGCCTCGGTCAGCGCATCGGAAGCAAAAATGATGATGCAACATGAAAGACACACAAAGACCTCGTGGGATAATAATCCTTGGAACACTAGGTTGTCCTCGGATGTTTCAACCCGAATAATTTTGTTTCCTTTGCTGATTGACCTGATGAGGGCTGTTGCACGCTCTACCTCTAATCAAATGATGGTAACAGGTGAGCGAACTATGATATATAACTAACGATGATCCCTTGATAAACTTACCGGGGAGTTCAGGCATGGTGACAGCCAGGCTATGACAGCTAAGCGGTAGACCTGAGATGGTAACTGAGGAGTGAATATTACCCCATTTTCCCATTGACCTGATTCGGCAATTGAAAGTTGACCACCGGAGATATGCACTGTCGTTCCTCTCAGTCACTAGTACTGCTAGTACCACTACTGTTAACTATAGCAGGAATGTCTCGCCTCGTACGACCTCGAATAACGCTACTACGGGTACTGTGACAACTATCAGTTACCACAACTACTAGAGCAGAGGGGCGTTGTGCGTGCAACATATGCAACCCCCACGCTTAGAATAACCACTTCATTTCCCCAATGGCGTTATAGTACAGCTGGGGCGGAGCAAGGTCAGTATGTATATTGGCATTGACGTAAGCTTCCGCCAAATTCAAATATCCATGATATATATATAATAAAAGAACACCCCTTCAGCTCTCACCTCGACACATTGCCAGCGCATCTCCTCAGCAAGCCTTCCCTTCGCACAAGCTGCAATGGGACTTTGGACGCCCTTCTCCTCTAATCGTAAACCATGGGGGCTTAAATGGCGATCTTCCGTTTGGTTCATCACTACAAGTGCGTATTCCCCTTAAATGTCCGGAATGCCTGCATTTAAATCACTTCCCGCCCGCCAGTCGTTGGATTCGGTCAGTAAGCCTCTGCGCCAGAATCCTATCCGTATTGATTCGTATTTCAGGCATTACCACGGATTTGTTGGTTTACTCCGTCATCATCCCGGTCCTACCATTCCAACTCGAACGTTTGGGTGACCATAAGGTCTCGTCCCTCACTGGATGGTTACTTTGTGCTTATGTGAGATGAATCTTCATGTTTATATACCCCCTCACTCATATCTTCTAGTCCGCCGGGCTGGTTGTTTGTGCGTTGGTTTCTTTTATATTACTTGAAATGGCTTGACAATTCCCCAGCAACAATTCCTATTGCCATGTACTCTGAGCGATACGCGATGAGACGAATCCCGTTGATCTTCGGCCTCATTGCGCTCATCGCTTCTCAAGTTATGTTCATGGAAGCTCCTAATTACGCAGTCATGGCTATCGCTCGTGTGTTGCAAGGAATTAGCTCTTCCATGGTGTGGATTGTAGGCCTGGCACTTTTGTGAGAATTTTCGGGTTACCATCACACGCAAACTAATCACCATTTTAGGTGTGATACCACGCCGGAGAGAAACGTTGGCCGTGAGTTGCTATGAAAATTCCAGTCTGACTTCTATCAATAACCGCTTGTCAGGTCAATTGGGTATCGCAATGACTGGCCTATCCGTTGGGTGAGTACATTTCGATTGTACCTTTGCGCTGTTATCTCACTGCCGGAAGTCTTCTGGTTGGTTCACCCGCCGGCGGTGTCTTGTATACTCGCTTCGGCTTCCGCGCCCCATTCATCTTCGGGGAGATATGTGCATTCGTCGATCTTCTCCTTCGGTTTCTTCTCATCGAAAGGGATGTCGCATTGAAATGGGGCTATGACCCATCAGAACCCACAGCCTCAGTCTTGATGGACGCGCCGGACATATCTTCTGTACCTGATATCCAGCTATCCACTCTCCCGACTGTTCACACACGAGGAAACCCTGAAACGGAATATAATAGAGACCTGTCGATACCTTTGGACAAGTCCAAACTACCCAATGAACCAACGACAACCTCTCGAAAATCGGTCCTTGACTCGTCTCCGACACCAACACCATTACTCTCAGTGATCATCAACTTAGCGCAATCACCTCGAGCGTTGGTTGCTTTAACCATGACGTTCGTGTATGGGTAAGCATCGTTCAGTATTAATGGAACGAGCATTCACCGTTGTCGCAGAGTTGTAAATAGCATGCAAGAGCCCTCCCTTCCGCTTCATCTCCAATCTGTATGGAATTTCAATTCGAACCAGGTGGGCATTGTCTACCTGGCAGCAGTCGTGCCAGCCTTGATCTGTAAGCCACGTATTTCATTATCATACCTCATCCCGTCTCAACGAGAGTCCTAGCGTCACCATTAGCAGGTTATTTTGTTGATCAGAAGGGTTCGGACTACATAACGTCCATATGTCTGGTCCTTGCACTGCCGTGGTGGATTGTTATGACCCTACGACAGTCGTTGCCACTATTTATCTTTGCTCTCGCCGCTCAGAGTATATTTATCCCATGGCTGCATGTACCAAGCTGACCGTTTCTATCTAGGTTTCTTCGTCTCTGGTGTCGTTGCGCCAGTGACGGCTGAACTTGCTGGCGTGTCTCGAACTATGGCAGGCGTTGGCTGTGAGTGATTCTCACGAAATGCGATGTTTCATTTCCTGACAACGCACAGATGCTCACGTTTATGGCGCATTTAATCTTGCGTTCGGGATTGGTACCGCGGGTGAGAACATATTTTCGTCTTTGCATCAATTTTTGACTTTTCTCAGTGGGTCCCGTGATCGGAGGACAGGTCAGTTCCAGCAAGTGTGAAAACCACGTTTTTGATCGGATGTTTGATTTTTAGATATATGACCATGCGAAACATGGGTGGACTGCCGTTTGTTGCATTACCGCGGCGCTCATCGTCATTTGCATCACCCTCGCGTTTTGCTATACCGGTGCTGATCCTTTACTTGCCAAGGTCCTACGTCATCATTACCCACTCGATCCGATAGGAAAGAAGCAGGACGAAGAATCTAGCAGCGACGAAAATACCAGCCGGACCTGTATTGTCGCCAGAGACCAGTGATTGTGCATTGCGTTGACGTGGACGATTTTACATTATAAGATTCCCTACTTACTTGAAAGTTCATGTGTATCATACATACTTAGCATATGCCAACGGACAATAGGGAACACTCTTCTAATGTCAAAACTCTTCCCGCGCACAAGCTAGCTTGGCCTAGCTTAGATTAGGAGCGGTTGCAATTTGTACCTGCTTGTCACACCACCAACTTGGACACCGTCGGGTCTGTCCCTTTGACCCTTCAGCCAAAGGCCCAAAGTATCATTCATTCCTTTATACCATATCTATATCTTTAACTAGTGTCTGGGTGTGTGCGGATCCAAAAGCTGATGAACCCTCTCCGTGATATCTCACATCCTCAGTCTCCCGCCCCGAACCAATCGAACCTCGTATCGGGTTCTAATCAGCGACTCAATGCTCCTTCTGTCATCACGGTCGACGTCCCTGTCAGCGTCGCCCGACGACAGGAGACACAGAGCAGTCTGAGACAAGCATCCGTGGCTCTAGATGCTGCATATGAGCGTGTCACACAACTCAGACACAACATCAACAATTTGCTCAACCAGATGCCACCGGAATTCACAGAAGGACGCTCAGCCGCACGCGACAGGACGCCAGAGTCCAGTATCGCACCCCCGCATGCTGCCTTGGTCCTTACCGGGTCAGATGCTCCAGAGTCAGTCCTGGAGTTCAACAGGCGCGTTCAGAGGTTGAGAACAATCATCAATCCCTCGGCCAGGCAGCGCCTGGAAGATTTTGAGACCATGGCGAGACGCAGGAGAGGTTCTACTTCGGAGCGTGCTTCAGACGTGCCACGCAATCCCAATAGATCCCAATGGTGGGATACACCTGCCGATTCACCCTCTCGGATACTCCCAGCTCGCGCTCGTTCCCCTCCGCTGCCAGACTTGATTATTCCTGCAAACAGGACCGCTCTTCCAAGCAGTCTGGAAGAACGCTCTGCTTTCCGCAGCCAGCTTGGGATCATACATCCCGATGATCCCAGCACTATGATCGGGCGACAAGTGGCAGCGCGTACTAGCTCAGAACGCCAGAACATCACCGCCCCACCACTCGAACAACGACTCCAAAATCAGACCTCTGTCATTGCGCGGGATTTAGCGAACTTGGCTAGTCAGCTTGTGATGCGGGGAGTTCGCCGTATTGATGACGCTGCTCGGCAAACGCAGTCTCGGCTACCAAGCCTGAGCGATAGATCCGTTTTACAGGGACAAGGGACCGTTCCGGTTCCTTCAGAGGCAGAGATGGACTGGGAACCTACTGTGCCACAGCGAAACAATGACCCGCTCCTCACATTCGTGCTTGATATTGCGGCTACGCCCGACTCATCCACGCGTCCTTCTCAGTCATCGAGTGATTTGAATAGGCGGTGGACTAGTGAGCACGCCGAGCGAACACCACTATTAGAAGAGCGGGACCAAGCCCCCCCCAGCGTGCCGCAGAGACCACCACCTCATTACCTGAATGCTAGATCGTGGCCTAGACAAGCAACTGCAAATAATGCAGGTGAAACTTCGACGTCTTTTGGCTCTTACAGACGTCGCAGGGGATGGGGTACGTCGGTCTTATTACTAGATGGCACTTCTCTGACCCTCAATTTCAGCGCGCCTTAATGCGGATGGGGATGAGATTATTTCAGATGACGAAGATGAAGTCGAGCGCGATCGTCGCTCGCGGCTGCGTTTGATGTATGCTCTACCTGATGCAACCGTGTCGTCTGCGTCCCCTAGGTCCGACGAAGACTACTTCCCCCCCACCTCCATCTCTGACATGCATCCCCTGGACGATGATCCAGAGGCTATGCACGCGCGTATCAATGCCCAGCAGGAATCCAAAGAAGATATTTTTTCCCATAGTTCCTCTTCACTTTCCTACTCACAACATGTTGACCCTTTGCCGGCGCCCATTTCGGAGATGCTTCGTCATCCAACTGTACCCGTTCAGGTTCCGCAGTTTATTCCAGTTTCTAAACATGCGAGTCTTGCGGGACGGTGACGAGCATTTACCCCTTTTTATTCCTTTCTTGTTCACACTATACGTAGAGCAACATTTAGTCTGTCATTACAGGCATGATCTCCACAGATCGAAAGGAACGGTGCAACGGAGAGGACAACTGATAACTGCAAACGGCGCAGTAGACTGAATGACCCGAGCTCGGAATAAGGATGGTAGCGGTGCCACGTTGTTACCCTCGCATTAGTTTCGACACGGCCCTCCAATGTGGTCAGGGAAGCGATACCTGGTCACTTACAGCAAATGCACCAGATATAACTAATGGAGCCGCCACGGGCAAGAGGGGGCAAGATGATTGCAAGCAGGGGAAGAATCATGTTCAACCGTCAAACTGTGTACTCAACAAGTCGTCATGAGCCCGGTGAAGATATGCCGAAGGCTCTTGGCCAACTTTATTCGTCTCCGTAGGTCTGCGGTGAGAATTCCAGAAAAGTGGAGATACGGTACATGCGGTTCAAACTTCACGCGCACTTTGAGGAGTGTTGGAAGCTGGTGTGAGCGACATGTACCGCCCGCATCGAGAATGTCTGGACTCGCCAGTCTTTTATTTTTATTTTTTTAATCCAATTTCTGTCCATTTGGGGTGAAATACCCTACGTAGGACATTACTAACTAGGAACGGGGGACACCTGTGTCCCCCACCGCGTCTCCGACTTCGCAAATGCCCTGGTGGAGGGGTGACTTCCACCAGTCCGCCGTTCCCGCCGACCGTTTTAGATGCGCAGGTCTTCCAATTCGCGGAACCGTTGTTGTACAGTTCGTGTCGAGGTGGTCCCGGGCGTGTGTTATTGGTGATACAAGTACTCGAGTCGCTGTGCGACTGGGTACGATGGGAATGATGGAGTGCGGTGCTGGAAAAAAGAAAGAGAGAGAGGGCGGGAGGAGTGCCTCCGGAATCCTCGCCTTTCGTCGAGATTGAAAACTCTTCCCTCGGCTTCTAATTCAACACCAATCTGGTCGACCATTTGAACCTCCACTTGGGTTCAGTTCACGTCGTCGTCGAGAGTGAAGTGATGGGACAGCGGCCCGCGCTGTCCAATAGGATAGCTCGTCTTGCGTTTATCTATCTGGGCGTAGACTGGTCATCGTTTATCTTTTCGAGAAGGAGGAGAAACATCACCGAAAGTGGCGCGTAGTCTGCCCGTGCTATTGATATAGCGGATAAGTGGGGCGCTTGCTTTTGGGCTCGACAGCAGGTAGGGACTCGCCAGTCTAGGGACAGACACCATATGCCATAGCATATCTAAAACCATCGCGATGGCCTCCGAAAACATGACCAGTGTCCGGTGAGGATACTGCACATGCTTGGGACACGCTATTTTAAGTTGAGAATGGGTTGCTTCGTCAATACAGTCGACTGAACTTCGGTGACAGCCAATGGGGGATTGTGGCTTTGCTAAATACGGTTGCGACTCTTTTGTACGTGGGATGCTACTGTTTTCCAGCCCGTACCTAACACGGCTCTTGCGTTTCGTCGTCGACAAGTTTGAATCACCATTATTGCTGTTAACAACATGACAATGACAACAAATTTGCAACAGACTTTGCCATGGACCAGACGCTAACACCAGAGTCGTCACTGGGGCAGCATTGTCATGGATGAATTTGAGGATATTAACGTGGCGGTAATGGGCGTCCCGGGAATTATGCCTGACGCGACCTGCTGTCACAAATCAAGTCAGGGAAACCACATCAGTATCTCTGACGCGTCTCCGACAGATATATTCGACCTTGGGTCGTTCCCAACTGTCCAGCGCAATGCACGAAAGCCTCTCAAGAAGGACTATCTCAAAAGTGAGGGGAAGTGCTGGTGCTCCTTCATCGCGCCTATAGAACAAAGTCCGAAGTAGAGACACAAAGAAAGACGCACCGACATCGCCCTCTTTCCAAACTCCCTCAGATAGCCTCTGCGAAACGCTTGTAAGACGCGCTCTTGAAGAAGAGTTTCATTTTCGGAGCATCTGGGACTGCATAATGAAGATATAGTCAGAGGAGCTATGAAGGATCAGTATAGGAGGAAGGAGACACCCGATGACAAAACTCATCATAACAGCTCTCCAACTCTGCATCAGGGATACACATACTAAGGAGATAGTTAAACAACTCGCAGCTATTCTCATAGGAGTGGAAGCGGTCGTCTACGTTGGGCTGAAGTCTTGAGTACACATGTCGACTCGGTAGTACAGTTCACGATACAAGATGAGAAAGATTTGATCGTCATTGATCAATGGTGCGATAGTCTCTGCTTCTGGCCACTCCGTTTTTGCATAGTATTTCTCTGGGAGGCGAGTCCAGCCTGACTCGTAAGCAAGGGTTATTTCCTGAAGGTTATCGTCCAGGGCATTCTGAAGTTGATGAACGGTCATCACCTCAACCACTTGTTTGCCTACTGTCCTTCACTTCCTTCTTTGACGAGACCCAGCCCTCTCCTTACCCCGATGATACCACCTGTTGCGCTTTTGCGTCCCAGCCTGAGCAGTCTGATTGAACTTGACTGGATCGTATATCCGATACTCCAGGGCCCCCATCATGCGGCTATCATGGGCCTTAGCATAATGCTTACAGCCCTCCTTAAACCTCGCCAGCTGCAGTTTGTACAATGGAACCATGTATCGCAAGGATGCTGCCAGGCAGGGGGGGACAAAGATGAGAAATTACAATCTGAAGCTAGCAGTATCATCACCATAAGAACAAGAAAGTGAGACATGTTCAATTTGAGGTTTTGCGAAGGGTGTGTTGAAGGCTGCAGTGGTAGGTGTGTGTTGGAGGCGAACTTCCGAAGGTGTCTCTGGTGATGAAGGTAAATATTTCTAGTAACGAAGGCATCTCTGGGGCCAAAGACTTCTTCGGATGTGAAGGCTCCGAGCAGCGCAAAGGCTTGGGGTGCGAAACTGAACGTGGTTGGCGCCAGGTGGTACCAAGTGGTGGAAATAATTGAATCCTCATATGAAGAATCCCTACGAAGGCCCATAATATGCTGAAGCTTAAGATCAGAAGTACATGAGTCCAGGCATGTTCCTAGTGAATGAGATAGGTTCTCCTATTAGTAATACTATTAGAGTTGGGGAAACGCCATGGGAAGCTATGAGGTTTTCAGTGGTGATCTCAATGCCCGACAGCTTCAAGTCTTTGAGCATGACCCAGTGTCGACTTTCCGACTTCTCGGTGGTGCAGACTATCAAACTTCAATTAATCAATTAATTGATATTCATGACACCTCGAATCTACTACATAGCGCATACTATATGCCTCAACAAAAACACAGGCAGCAGCCAGTGAACGCAAAGAATGTAATTTTGAAGCTAAAGTCATAAACAAAATCCAAACAGCCACAGAACCAATATCACTGCGCAGGAGACGCAGCTGCAGCCTGAGGCTGATATGCCCCATAATAATTGGGCTGATAAGCATACCCCCCTTGCTGTGCGGTACCACCTGCCGCAGCAGTTCGCATGTGCGGGGGGAGTATCGGAGGCACGTAGCCTGCTCGTGCCAGCTGTTCCCGCGCCCCATATCGTTCCTGCAGCAGCCTGCGGTGGTTTTGCAGTGACGGTGTTCGCCACTGCGCGCTGCCCGGCCTGTGCAGTGTTACTGAAGAACCCTGCATAACTCGTCGGGATCGTTGCGGGTGTCGCAGCTGCAGCTGCGCCTGTCTGGGGTGTCACCTGCCCAGAGGTCGTACCCGTGGCAGCTGTCTGCGTTGGAGGCTGGTACTGATACCAGGAAGAGTAAGCGTATTGCTGTTGCCCTGATGCTGCGTATTGCTGGTTAGCATAATATTGTGTGGCAGCCTGGGTCTGCCCTTGTGTACCATATGAAGCTGGATAGTACGAGGGTGTCTGTCCTGGCTTGTACTGATAACCGCCACGGTAGCCTGCAGCCGCATAGTTATACGAGTATTGGTAGTTCTGTGCAACTGCGGGTGTTGCGGCAGTAGGTAGTGGCAGCAGGAGTTGCAGGGGTGGGCGTAGGTGCGACTGGTGTCTGAGAAGGTACCGCAGTGGCGGTGGACTTGATGTAGAGTGTTGAATTGTCGCGGAGAGCTGTTGCACGACCTGTAGGCAGGGTACCGTACCAGCCTTGTGAGGGCGCAACCGGAAGCGTGCGATGTAGTTTGTGGAGTGTGGCGGGGGAGGGAATGAGTGGTACGTCATCGCTCCCTGACTGTCGGGGTCGTAGGGATGCCAGTAAGGTGAGTGACTCGAGAATGCCTTGAGCTGCAAAGAAATGTAAGTCTGGCAGCAGAATCCGTCCAGGGTGCCCTCACCAGTATCCCATTCCTCTGAACCTTCTTCCACTGGATGGAAACCCCCTTCTTTCATCAGACGTTGTTTCTGAAGCTCTTCTAATCGCCTTAGAGCCTTTGTGTTCCGATCCAGTAGCTCCTGAACGGCACTCTCCAACTCTAAGCTCTTGAGGACAGACTTTAAGGAGGAAACCTGTTCTTTCGATAGCAGACCTTCCAAAACCTCTTCGTCGTCATTCCAACTCTCATCACGTAACGGTTCAATGACGTTACTCAACTCTTCCTGCCCCTTGTCTCCCTCCGTTGAACTCAACCCCGGCATAGGCAACCATTGTGCGGCCTCCTCAGCAGCCCAAGCCTTCTTCCTATGCTCCCATCCCCACAAGACCTCCCCAAGCGCCTCTCGTCCAATCTCCACTCCTTCCTGATCGAAAGTTGGAGCGAAGCTTGCATATGGACCATAGTCCAAAAATGACCCACAGCTCACGTGCCGGGGGCCGGGAAGCTTCAACCGATGTCCTGGGGGCTTCTTCTGTACGTATGCACCCAGTTTCATCGGAGCTTGCGTGTCTGTGAGGGTAATGGTCGACTTGGAGTCGCCGTCGGAGTACGCAAGAGACGAAGGTGACGGGAGGATTGCAACGAGTTCTGCGTTGGCAGTTTGGAGGTCTTTGAACTCTTTTGAGTCGGTCAAGAGGTCTGAGCCGAGGGATGACCACCAAGTGCCGGACGGGAGGCGCTGCATGAGAGCATATCTCTTACCCTGGCCAGTGTGAGATAGTTTATCGGGGAGGCTCGGGCTGAGAGGGGGCTTGGAGTCTCCATCTGCAGCACATGGTTCTGAAACCACTGGAATTATGGAATCGATATCAAGAGGCAGCGGGACGGAGTGGAAAGATGCCTGGTCGAGGACAGAGAGCGCAAGATTGCAAAAGCGTAGTTGTAGTGCAGCAGGGGAGGACGTACGAGACCTGGCGTGATAAGCTACTGGAAATAGATTCTGAACTGCGGACTAGAAGCTAGTCATGAGTCAATTCGAGGTGGAAGAATGCAGGAAACTTACACGCAGCACTCTGAGGGGGTGCTGAGATGACTCGGTGAGGAGCGTACGAAGAGAATATGATCCCGTTTGCGATTTTGAAGTGGAGGGTTCTGATGGATTTGTGGCGGGAAGGGGAAAGACACGGTCAAGAAGACCTTGGGAGTCAACCCTGTGGAACGGAGATGGTTAGCACATGTGGCGTAATGAAATGATGACAGTATTTGACGCACATTTCAAGTATTTCAAGGACCTTATGCGCGATGAGAGGGTCTAGAGGGACATCGGCTGCATGGTCAAGCTCGGGCAACTTTCCCTTGGACAACTTGTCGTCCGTGGACTCTTCCTTTATACCATTCTCGCCACGATGCTGCTTTGCTGCAGGCTGGTCATCGTCTGCAAGTGAAACGCGCTTGCGTTTCTTTGTAGATTGCTTTCCGCGTTGAGCCAGACCTGGATCTGGTTGTTTATCTTTTTCGTGCTGCTGTGTAGCAGAACGAGTTGCTCGAGCCATAGTAAAAATGTAGGATAAGGAGTCCTGTTGAAAAAGAAGGACTAAGATTTTGAATGTTGATTACGGGACGAACGCGTTCAGGGCTTCGACGCGTTCTTAGTCGAATTAGAATATTAATCCTCACGCAGAGTTCGATGACAAGTGAGGAGGTACTCTTTTCATACTCCGACTCATCTTCCCCGGTATTCAATTCATACTCCGACACTACGCCTCCTACCCCATGATATCCGCACCAACAAAACAAATACTTAGAGCCCAGCTACGCTCATTTCCTGCAAATGGACACTCTGCGTACCTCCCCCAGGTCAGAAAAGTAGTCCTAGAATACTGCCAGAAGCTTCCTTCTTCCGCCAATACTCGTACTTTCATCTCAAATGACCTCCAGCGCGTTGCATGGCAGAACCCACACGTAGAATTCGTCGTCAAGCAGCGCAATGGTCATGAGCCAATAGCAAGGGGATTATATGGTTCTGTGGCGTCTTTTTTGTGACATGGTACCTCGTCTGACCTCACCGCAGTCAATGGCCGTGACAAGGTCATTCCATTGCAGGAATTCGAAGTCAATGGTGTGGAGAAGAAAGTTCAACTCCTACTTGATTCCTCGGGTGCGAAGATAAAACCGCTGAAGAAGGGCCGCGTTGTGGAGAGTACCACCGAAGCCGCAAGAGGAATTTGGAGTGGACTGCATGTCGACACCCCGTTCAAAATATAGATGGGGCGACCGCTATAATCATACGTATCGTACGTTTATCACTCCATCTAATGGAAGAACGAAGACCCTGCAGTTTTCGTGATAGAACCCAAATTTCCTAGCAGTGCAAGGTCACCATTCTGGCAATTTCCAATGCCATGCCATGCGGTTTTCACCATGCTGTACACAGGTTTAAAAATGATATCGCTCGACTCCTGCGGCCGGCCAGACCTCCCCTATTCAATGTGAGCTTGTGACTCTCAACTTGAAGCCGGACTCCACGAATTTTGTGTGTTCTGTTTCATTCCCGCTACGTCATATTGTTCCAAGACTGCTTCGATCCCTGTTTCGTCGAACGCAATGATGAGGAGTGGGACACCAGAGCTCCACGATATGATACTTGAGTGAGTGAATGTTGTCGTTGATAAGCATAGGGACAAGCAATTACTGGCCTTGTCATTGTGCACATCATGCATGTTTGATCGGGCACATGGCATGAAGGACACTTGCGCGGAACACGATGAGTGCCAGGGCCCAGAGCATTTTTATCAGAGCTTTTCTTGCGCGTTTTCGCCACACATTTGAATGACATGAGAAGATTGATACCTTGGACAGTGAAATGCTCGGTTACGAGACTGCTTGCATTGACAACTGCAGCCGTGACTCTAGTGTCTAGTCGTTGTTTTCTGACCAGTGGCTGAAGGTCGTTTGCTTCCGGCCGATCTCCGACAACACGAAGAAAAACTACAAGGTCACACTCACGTTCGACGAGTCGACAAACAACATGAGTCGTACTGGAACTGCCTTCTCCGCCGGCAACTGGGAAACAGGCACAATCGCGTACATGGAAAGGATGAAGAACCTGCCAGAGAAACGAGTCAAGGAGACAAGGAGATTATCGCGCGGGCACGACCTCCTATGACGCGCCAACGCCGCAGTGGCGCATCATCTGAGTTTTCCGCGCCTGGTGTTGAAGCTCCTCCACCTCCCGTCAATCCACGGTCTCGCATTCGATTTTGTATTTTTTGTTTCTTTTTCGATGTGGCTACATTATTAACACGCCGCTGACAAGATCTAACACCCTTGTCATCCCGTTCCCTACCATCTATGTTCTGTTTTAATCGTGTTGTGTTCACACCGGCAGCAGCTTGAGACGACATCTGCGCAGTACTTATACCATCTTCCTCGAATATTTGTGACGTGCATCATTGAACTCGCTGGATCCTTGAGCTACTTGTTGATTGGTTTTCCGTCGTGCTTAGTACCTTTTGACCACTTTTCCTCTGTCTTAACTGCTTTAAGTCATTAATCTCCTTTTTCTAAGGACGACCTTCTTCTTTCTCCTTATGCAAAGCAACAAAAGTTTTTCTTGATTCTCCTTATTTTGCAAATGAGTCATGTTAAGGACGTTTTCCTGATGCTCGCTGAGTGAGGCGTATCCAAATGCTCTGCGCCATTTGCCACGGCACCCCAGACTCGCACGAATCTCCCGTTTTAAAGTGTGCTTGACCTTGGTAAACAAACGGTACAACTTGTGAAATATAGTGCATAACTCTATGATATTATCGACGGACTAAGAAGCGCTAAGAGGCGTTAACTCGAAGGTTTTGAGACGGCGCATCAGTAAACCGGTGAGACTCAGATATTAGTAGATTTTGTAGTATTTTCCAAGCCCAATGCTTCTTTCCTGTAAATTACGATACAAAGTAATATATAGCAATCTAAAGCAATGTAATCACGCCAATTCACGCTCAGTTCAGACTCAGATATTGCTTTACATCACTTTATATTCCTTTATATTGTTTTATAACGTCATGTATAGGAAAGAGCATTTCGGCGTACAAAATATGGGAATATCGGTGGCTCACCGGTTTGCTGATGCGTCGACGGTCCGGGGGCTGGGGATGGTTGGGCACTGTTACAGCTAAGCCTGATCAGGCAAGGCGTTGAGTCTGAAAGAGACCTGTAAGCTTTCTCTGGCTCTGGTGGCTTTAAAGAATGGTATTCAACTTGGGATAGTTAATCAGGAATAATAAAACTTACTTGAAAATGGTGTTGTGACTCGGTGAACCTGATGTCTGAATCAAGATCGCCTATCTCCGAGTACCGTCTCTCGTAGACCATTCTTATCGAGACTGTAGACAACCATCCCCAGACGATGATTACCGCAAATCCGAAATCTTGAGCTACATGACCTGTAGAATAAAAATTAGTCAGAGATCGTTCCTGTGCCTCAGTAATGCAATTAACTCACCGCCCAACCATCATACTAACAAGGCAACCCCGATGATCTACAAGGCGCAAAACACTACGCGGAACATTGGAAACGTGGCGCCGTCCAGGTCGAGAACATCAGGAGTAGATATATTCACTAGAAAAAGTAAGAACAGCCAAGTTATCATCATGACTGTAGCTGTGACCGGGGCCGATAGACTTGGGAAGAAGAGCAGTAACACGGGTGTCCCGGAGAAGATGATGAGATTAAACACAATAGCCATTACACGATGATCGATCATGATGCAAATATCGTGGATGATGGTGGTGGTGGAAGCAAAGTTGCTGCCAGTTCTATTATATAGGGGCTATTATATAAATTTTGGATATCGGTTGTTTAGCTTATAGGCTGATTCTTGTACCTATTAGTCGAATGCCACCATTCATGGCACCGCCTAGGCGGAAGAATCACTATATATATTGTGCTGTACGCTATCCAAAGTAACTGGTAGACATTTCATTGCTAGTCACATCACAAAGACTGAACTATGCATGACGTACAGCGAAAATGAGGTAGGACTAGTATACACGCTACCATGCATGACACCAACATGCAGGAAATGTGAAGCACAGTATACAGCATCACGTCCCTGACTCTCCGCCTCCTCCTTCGTGCAGATCACCTTTTGACGCACCGAAGACCCTGCAGTTTTCGTGATGGAACCAAAATTTTCTAGCAGTGCAAGGTCACCATTCTGGCAATTTACAAGGCCATGCGGTTTTCACCGTGCTGTACACAGGTTTAAAAATGATATCGCTCGACTCCTGCGGCCTCCTAGACCTCTCCTATTCAATGTGAGCCTGTGACTCTCAAGCTGAACTTCGCGAATTTTGTGTGTTCTTTTTCATTCCCGCTACGTCATATTGTTCCAAGACTGCTTCATTCCCTGCTTCGTTGAACGCAAGGACGGGGAGTGGAACAACAAGCTCCACGATATGACGCTTAAGTGAGTGAATGTTGTCATTGATAAGCACAGGGACGAGCAATCACTGGCCTTGCCATTGTGCACATCATGTTTGATCGAGCACATGAAGGACACTTGCGCGGGACACGGTGAGTGCCACAGACAGCATTCGGCCTACTTTGATATTTCATTCATTCATCCACCCAGGGCTAAGCTTGGTAGATCTAAGCACAATGGTCGTAAACATGTAGCCAGAGAGGTTGTTCACGTCCCTAGGGTTAGGGTTACCTCTTCTTCAACTCATGCCACCCATGTAAGTTAGCTGGTGCATAATTAGCTGCATTCAGTGATGACGCTGTAACTTGCAGCCGCGATAAATTCACGATCCATTCGAAAGCGGTGGTCTGCCAAGATGTTGAGTTGAAGGGGGATATCACTATCGGACCAGGTACTGTCGTACACCCCAAAGCTACCATCTTCGCAATAGCCGGTCCCATCGTAATCGGCTCGGGTTGCATCATTGAGGAAGCTGCAATAATTGTTAATCGTCGCAAAGAAGTAATGAGAGTCGGTGACAACAATTTGTTCGAGATTGGCTGTCGTATGTCCTTTCCCCTCTCGTGCCTTCAGTCACGAACTTCTTGTACAGGCGTCGAATGTCCATCCATTGGAAACTTCAACACCATATCTACGCGAGCGCGCGTCCACCATACTGTGCGAATATCCGATTACTGTGTCATCGGTGCTGCATGCCTCGTGGTTCCCACCGACGACGAGACTCTCGACGACTACACCTCTATCTTCGGACCTGCTGCAGAAAGAAGGACGTGGAGTGGAAGAGGACGGGTGCAAGAGGCTGACTTGAGGTTGAAACATGCAGAGTATCTCCGCGAGATGCTACCGAAGTTCAATCGACTACGGAGGGGAGATGGTGCTTGACGTCTTTGCGCTCGTTATTTCGTGCCTCAGCCTCGGACTTCACTGGCTGACGGAGGATCTTCGGCTATTATTCGCGGGGTTTTATTGTACGGGCATCAGAAGGGATAGACGAATGAGACCGGTACGTGAATCCGCAGGGTAGCTCAAGGGTGAGCACACATCATCGCTTGTCAGTTCTAAGGTAATGACTTCCGCTGGATTTCTGGAAGACGTTTACAACTTTACTGGCATGTATACGTAAAGATGGGATCCCACTGTCGTTTTCCATGACCCGATGTCCTACGTGTGAAATGGTCTTCTGCTGCACCGTATGATCTAGGGTTTTATTGAGACGTGCCTTAGTAATTGCACCCAACCGGAGTTATTTGCCGATCGTGTCAAAAAAACACGCCTTTGCCACCTTGCAAAATGACTCACATCCGGTATTCCGAGCCTTATCTTTATGCGTCGTTTCCTAACTCATAGCCTTGCAACGTGTACGAACACCTTCAAATCGCGCTCAGAATGCCCGTTGGCTCTGTCACTCTCTGTAACTATTATCATGTCCATCACTCCAACACCCAGTTGCAGTGTAAGCGCCCCTGCGGATCTCTGATGTCATATTAGCTAGACTGACCATATATCGACTCTTGAAGCATTCAGAACAGTTCGAACAGCCCAACTACTTTTTCGCACCCGACGACGACATTTTGAGAGACTGGCTGGATTCTGATACTATAGTCAATGTGAGTTCATCCACCTCGCCGCAATACCAGCCTCTGATCAAAAGTTCTTGCAGTCCATTGTTGATCTTTCCCCCGTTAACACCTTGAGTGATCTAGTAGTGGGTCGTTAGATCAGTACAACACGCGGCGTTCCTGACACAGCGTCAGGACATAACACCTGAAGAAGAATTCGAGGGTAATTATTCCTCAATGCCGCATAGCCTTCGAAGAGTCTTGGTGTGCCACTTATCTCCACTGTACATATAACCCGCAACCCTTGCTGATTCCCGTGTAGACCCCACCTTTGGAGTGCGACGAGTCCTCCGTCAGACGGAGCATACTATTCGAGTCCTCCATTCCTCCACCTCCATGCACAGGAATGTCCTCTTATTCGCGATATCATTCGGAGCAACTTCGGCCTTCGATGCATCGCGCGCGCCAAAGCGTATCATCTATAGCCTCCTGCTCGACCGTATACACAAAATCAGCTCCCGCTCCTGTAAAATCTATTCTCACACGACATGACTCGGGAATATCCCTTGCAACTACAACAAAGACTTCTCGCAGGAAAAAGCGGTCACCTCCGTCGGTGAAGTTTGTTGAAGCGCCGACGGTGCATTATAACTATTCACCAAGTCCTCTACATTCCCCTCTCGCAACCTCATCGATTCCGAGAAAGGATAAGCCAGGTCGATGGTTTACCCGGTGGTGGAAAAACACCCCGGGTACACCTCCGAGACCGACTATATCTGGCCCATATAGTTTAGGCCGTACCGCATCATTGGTCGATATGCATAGCAGTCGTTCCAGACCGACCAAGTGCGGGAGACTGAAGCGGTTCTGGGTATGCGTGACGAGTGTGGTCCGATAGCGTCTAACTCCGTTTACTCCGCGTAAGTCAACTTCTATCAAGTTATGACGGTGATAGTAGATTGCATGGCTCTAGGTTCCTCCTCACATGTCGCTGTCACTTCTCATCTCACGCGGGAGTTGACTTCCGCCTCGGACCTGCGGTTCTAGAGAGGGGAGAAGATTTGAATTTGACATTGGTTTGACACCTAAGGTATTAGCTATGTCCACCATACATAGACCGAGGAGACAAGCCGCGGAGCGCGCTTGCGAGGTCTTGCAGCATGTCATGTTTTGTTATACCCCACACACTGCCCCCAACATACGCAATGTTCTATAGCTAGATCATTCATATCTCATCCCAACCATGTATCAATGCACATAGTCTCAATACATGCACTACGCAGCTGTTCTTCGCGCCTTTTCTGCGTCCCAGCGTGCGCGTACCAGCATGGCACCCTCAGCCTTGGAGCGTACAAGAGGCGGAAGGAGTTGTAGACGGGCGGCTTCCATGTGTGGCGGTAGCATGGCGTCGTTACGGATGACCTGCGAACCATGATGATGTCAGAGGCCAATGTCCCGCGCATATCGGAATTCATGGAAAGATACGCACAGAACCGATAGCAAGGAAGAAAGAGAAAGTAGCGGCGCTGCTGAGCATATATTGCGAGAGGGTAGCCAGGAATCCTCGAGGACCGGTGCCATTTCTGTATTTTTGTGAGTAAAAACGAAGTTCAAAGTTGAATGGCTTCTTACCGAAGGATGCTATAGGACCCAAAGATGAAGCCGATGGTCAGACCGACGCCTCCACCCATCATCGCGCCCATTCTGGTATAAGCGGTATGGTTGAGAAGGGTTATGTGACGGAATAGCTAGAACCTACTTCACTGTCAACGCATAAGAAATTGCTCGTGGATTCAATAGTTATGTCTAGACGTACATTTTTGCCATGTAGAAGGTTCTTGTGCTCTGTGCGCTGCAGGGACGGGCGGCATCGTAGTAAACTAGTACTTGGTGACGAGTGAGAGTGAAATATTAGCCAGCGAGCGTGGTGGCGGAAAAGAGTAGCTGCAATTGACTCCGCGCTCCGAGTTTGCTGAACATGTCTGCATCGTCATCACACCTGCCTGCATTTCCCGAGGCTCAGCAGGCTCAAATAAGTGCGCCATCTTATTGTTTTTACATTAAGGAAAGCTGATCAGAATACAGTTAGGGCGAACCAGAGAGACTTGTTTCACGTGTCATCGTTGAGGGAGCAGGCAGAGTCGGTCCTGCGATCGTGGCTTGGTGCGGTCTCATATTATTTTCCTTGCCTCTGGGGCTGATGATGAATGGGAAGGTACAAGGTGGCTCACGCGATGGGACAAAGAGGTCGAGCTAGCCGTGAAACTCATGTATTACGGACTATCCGTTGGTCGAGGTAGCTACATATCTTCTGCGAGGTTTTGTCCTTTACTGACTGCACATCAGTCGTTCAGACACTTGGGGAGGAGTATACAGATATCTGGGAATACTCTTCTGATGGAAGAGCACCGTCGCATTCTCTCAGAGCGGCGCTGATTCTCCTCCCGACGCTTCCCGCGTATATTCTTACGCGCTGGGGTTCCCAGATAGGTGCACTGAGCCCGAGAGTAGATGAATTGCTCAAAGCGCTGCAGGTATGTTTGGAAGTAGCGACGGAGATCAACCTGGCGGTGTTTTATCTCCGGGGCACGTACTATGATTTAGTGAAGAGGCTGTTAGGGATACGGCATGTGAGTTGGGTCCCTTATTTTCGAATGGACATCAATATTGATCTGGATACTCCGTGACAGGTGTCTTCCATTCCAGAGAACCCTCATGTTCGCCCACCAGTCATATTCACTACTTGGCATACTCATCGCGATACGTCTCCTCCATCGCCTCATTACATTTTCGCGCAGTAGGAGTCAAGCGACTTCGGAGAAATTCTCAGGGAAGCGTTCGCTGGACTCAATGAATGAGATGTTCATTGACGATCGACCTGTTTCTACCTTGCTCAATGTCTCTGCTTCCGAGTCCGAGGTGAAGCCAGCGGAAGAGGACGAGAACACAATATTAGATGTCATGTCGATACCACAACACCTACGAGCAGGGAGGTCGTGCACACTTTGTTTAGATGAACGAACCGATAGCTGTGCAACCGAGTGTGGGCACCTTTTCTGTTGGGGGTGCATAGTAGGATGGGGACGGGAGAAGGCAGAGTGTCCGTTGTGTAGACAAGCACTTAGTCTTACGAGGTTGTTGCCGATTTACAATCTATAATTTTATGTTGCGGTCTGTTTTGTTACATTGCTGGGTTGTCCTCAAGCACAGCACGAACGTTTGCTGAGGTACGTCAGTAGCAGCACAAAATTATTATGATACATTGTAGGAGCACATCATATACCGGTGTGTGCAGAAAGACAAGATTGTACATGAACGGAGCCATATCATACCACCTGTTGGATGAGGGTAATGTTATCGCCTTTTAGTAGTATACGACCTTCAACAAATGCAGATGCAGGTGTGAGCGGTGCGTTCACATAATGCAGCAAGATAAGGGATCTCACCAAGCTCGCGCCGTGGCTTGGCGTCTTTGACATAGACTTCTGCAGCCTCATCGACCACGACATTCATGAACTCGTCAAATCCCTAATAAGATGCAGCGTCAGCTCAATGGTCCTTGCGAGACAATTCAAGGAAAGAAGAAAAAAGCAAGATCGCCGCGCGTCACGCAGATGAGGAGTGCCGTAGCCTTGCCAGAGATGCACTTCAACGCTCGAAAAGTTCGAAACCAGGAAGCTGCACGCACAATGATACGCCCTTCGATCCGCATCTCGATGTTGTCGTACAACCATATGACGACTTTTGTTCGCTATATGCGTCATGTCAGTGTCAACGGAGAGTGCATTGGCATGCTGAAGCAGACCTGCTGCAGGTTTTTGAAGATCACATTCTGCGCAAATGAAGATCATCGATGAGTAGAAATTGATTTTGAAAGGGGGAACGTACGATGGGCTGAACCAATACTCTTTGTTGGCGTCCAGACATGATGGGCGAATATTTTTACGGGTAAGGATAAAGTTAAACCTGACGAGCTCAGCAGAAGGTCGTTTGGACAAAACGATTGCAGGGGGTCTGCTTATGGTATACTTTCTCACGGGTGTTTTGAGATTTGAAGTTTCGGCAGACGCGTCGAGGCGTCTTCCACAAGCATTAATCATGGAGGTGAGCTCAAGGGACCTTCGAGGTCGTCGTGGCGCTGATCGTTCTTTAGGCATTCAGTCCCTCCAACTCATCAACCGCTGCGGTGGTGACCTTTATTACATTCGTCCAGGACCTCAAGCGCAAGACCAAGACATGGGGTCCCATGATAGAACTGTGTGCCAACGGCGAGAAGACGCTAGAGCGCTTTCGATACCAATTCCCAGAAGATTGGCTCTACGGCGACCAACTTAGAGGAGAATGGAGCGCATACAACGAGATTCTCAAGAGAAAGAATGATACCATCCAAGAGCAACTGGGTATGGGGTTATTCTCTTGAACTCGCATCGTTATTTGTGACTCATGATTCGTTTGTACAGATGGTCTTCAGCATAAGATAGTCGCCGAAGACAAGATTGTAGAAAACAAGATCAACGATATCCTGTTGGAATGGGAGCAGACACGTCCCGTACAAGGCAGCCTCCGTGCAGACACGGCCATGAATACTATTAACGTGTTCGAGGGGAAGCTTACTCGCGTGCAGGAGGAGTACGACCTCGTCTGTAGAGCGAAGGAGGCTCTGGATCTCGAGCTGACGCGTCACACGCGCCTTGAACCAATCTTCGAAGAGTTACGTGACCTCAAAGCAGTATGGACGGCTTTGTCCGGTGTATGGAGCCAGATTGGCGAGATGAGGGAGATGTCGTGGTCTACGGTGCAGCCGAGGAAGTTGAGGCAGCAGCTTGATGCTCTCTTGACGTCGACAAGGGACATGCCCACGCGCATGAGACAATACGCGGCGTTCGAATATGTCCAGGACGTACTGCGTGGACTGTTAAAGTCGAACTCCCTAATTTCGGACTTGAAATCGGAGGCGCTGAAGGATAGACACTGGAAACAGCTGTTCAAGGTTTTGAGACTTCCGTCTCAGATCAGTCTGACGCTGTGAGCTGGTTTTAAGCTATCACTCCTCGGTACTGCGTGCTGATCGTTATACAGTATGACTCTTGGTCACGTTTACGACCTAGACCTCAAGAAAAATGAGACCCCCATACGTGAGGTTATCATCCAAGCGCAGGGAGAGGTGGGTGGCAGTTTCGAGTTTCCTCGATTTTGCCTCACATTTTCTTGAAGATGGCCCTTGAAGAGTATATCAAGCAAGTGAAGGAAATATGGACGAACTACACGCTCGACCTTGTCAACTATCAGAACAAGTGTCGTCTTATTAGGTAAACTATTGAACAAGGTCACAGAGTGTTGCTCACCATACTACTTCCAGAGGATGGGATGACCTTTTTAACAAGTGCAGCGAGAACTTGAACTCCTTGACTGCAATGAAGTTGTCGCCTTACTACAAAGGTATGCGGCATGCTTTTTGTATTATAGATGCCCTTCTGACGTGCTTTCCAGTGTTCGAGGAAGAAGCAGGATCATGGGAAGAGAAACTTAACAGGATTCACGTCCTCTTCGGTATGAATGTTGGCTCTTTTTTCACTATGAAATTCACTCAATGTGGCGTTAGATATCTGGATTGACGTACAGCGCCAATGGGTTTATCTAGAGGGCATCTTCTCAGGCAGCGCGGATATCAAGCACCTTCTTCCGGTGGAGAGCGCTCGCTTCCAGAACATTAATGCAGAGTTTCTCACCGTGATGAAGAAAGTCTACAAGTCGCCGTTCGTCATAGATGTCATGAACATACAGGGCATCCAGAAGAGCTTGGAGCGTTTGGCGGACCTCTTGAACAAGATCCAGAAAGCACTTGGTGAATACCTCGAGCGCGAGCGGTCTTCGTTCCCTCGGTTCTACTTCGTTGGCGATGAAGACCTGTTGGAGATCATCGGTAATAGCAAGGATATCGTGCGCATCATGAAACACCTGAAAAAGATGTTTGCTGGTATTTCGACCATCAAGCTGGACGAGGACCTTACTCAGATCCAGGGCATGGCCTCGCGCGAAGGAGAGGAGGTTCAATTCAGCGAGCCAATCCTGCTCAAAGACTTCCCCAAGATCAACGACTGGCTCGCAAAGATCGAATCCATGATGCGCTTGTCTCTTGCAGATCTTTTATGCGATGCTGTCACCGAGTTACAATCCTTCTATGGCACTGGTACTTCTCTTGACATGGACCAGCTCATGGCGTGGATGGAGAAATATCCAGCACAATTAGTCACCCTAGCCGTTCAGGTCGCGTGGACTACTTCAGTCGATGCCACTCTCGAGTCTGGCAGGCTCCCAGAAGCGCCACTTGAAACAATCAGCCAGGCACTCGACCTTCTTGCGGACATCGTGTTGCAGGAACTGAGCCCTGTCACTCGCCGCAAGTGCGAGCACCTCATTACCGAACTGGTCCACCAAAGAGACGTTACTCGTACCCTCATCCAGCAGCGTGTCACGGATACCAAGGCGTTCACGTGGCTATCGCAAATGCGTTTCTATTTGGACCGCTCTGTCGAGAACCCGTTAGAGAGGCTTGCCATCTGCGTCGCTGATGCATCGTTCCCTTACGGATGGGAGTACCTTGGTGTTCCCGATCGTCTGGTCCAGACACCGTTGACAGATCGAGTGTACTTGACGTTGACGCAGGCGCTCGACAATCAGCTGGGAGGGTCACCTTTCGGGCCCGCTGGTACAGGTAAGGATGCGTCCTCTATCTTGCGACGCCTGACTAACGTTAGAACTCAGGTAAAACGGAGTCCGTCAAAGCTCTCGGTGTGCAGCTGGGGCGTTTCGTCTTGGTCTTCTGTTGTGACGAGACTTTTGACTTCCAAGCCATGGGTCGCATCTTCGTTGGTCTTTGTCAAGTTGGTGCATGGGGATGTTTTGACGAATTCAATCGACTTGAGGAGCGTATTCTCAGTGCTGTGTCTCAGCAAGTACAAAGCATTCAGCAGGGTCTTGTTGCATTGGCGAAGAACCCTAATATTGAAATTGAGCTGGTTGGCAAAAGCCTCAAGATCAACAAGAACATTGGTAACAATTTCATGATACGCGATGATCCTGGCTAATATATGCACAAAGGTATTTTCATCACGACCAATCCCAACTACGCTGGTCGGTCTCAACTTCCGCCCAACTTGACGAAATTGTTCAGGCCGTATGTTCTATTCCAATGGTTATGTGACTCCTTCTGAATACAGGGTTGCTTATTCAGGATGGCGATGACGAGACCCGACCGCGAGCTGATTGCCCAGGTCATGCTCTTTTCACAAGGTTTCCGTACAGCAGAATCACTCGCTTCAAAGATTGTTCCATTCTTCAATCTTTGTGACGAACAGCTCTCCCCCCAGCCGCATTACGATTTTGGTCTCCGTGCTTTGAAGGCTGTCCTAGCAAGTGCTGGTATCTTGAAGCGTGAGCGTCTGCAAAGTGCGAATTCCGAAGATGAAGATGGTGTAGGAGGTCTTTCCGATAGCATCTCGGAACAGATCATTCTCATCCAGAGTGTCACGGAGACAATCGTGCCGAAGTTGGTTGCTGAGGATGTTCCTTTGCTTACAAGGCAAGTTTTCGTTTGTCCTAAAACAACAGACGATTTACCCTCTGGACAGCCTGCTTGCTGATGTCTTCCCCGGTACTGATTACGTTCCCGTCGACCTCGATGCATTGCGCGAGCAGATTCTCAAGGTTTGCACGGAACGCCGCCTTGTTGACGGTGATCGATGGGTTGCCAAAATTCTTCAACTTTATCAGATTCAGAAGATTCAACACGGTCTCATGATGGTTGGACCTTCAGGTACTGGGAAGACCAACGCTTGGCAGGTTCTGCTTGCTGCTCTTGAGAGGCTCGATGGCACGGAAGGAATCCCCTATGTCATTGACCCCAAGGCCATGCACAAGGACGCGCTGTACGGCACACTCGATCCTACGACACGTGAATGGAACGACGGATTGTTCACCCACATCCTGCGCAAGATCGTTGATGATGTCCGTGGTGAAAGCAGCAAGAGACACTGGATCATCTTCGATGGTGATGTTGATCCTGAGTGGGTCGAGAACTTGAATAGGTACGTTTCAGGACTGGGTAATTCTGCGACCATCTAACACGATTCCAGCGTGCTGGACGATAACAAACTGCTCACGCTGCCCAATGGTGAACGTCTGAACCTCCCG